GGTTGGAGCCTGGATCACTTCGCCCTCTCTTCTCCGGCCACCGCCCCAACGAGCCAGCAGGGAGAGTGGGCTCCGTCGCAGTCCCAGACGCCATCGAGGACTCCCGCAGGCCGTCCCGCAGGACGTGGCAACACTGCTAGTGCAGCGACATCGCAGACAACCGGCACATGAAGCGTTCTCACTTGGTGAAGCGGCGACGGCCGTACTGCCGCTAGCGGACATGTCGAGGCGAGCTACCATTCTGATGCTCTCATCGATTGGAGGGCGCTCATTCGCTATAAGCCGCTGATGCTCGTGTCGGTGCTGGTGTCGCACGACACCACGGCAGCGGAGGATCCTCATCTGGGCCAGCAGGAGAGCTCAGGCTCCAATTCCCGAACGACCAAAGCGCACAACCACTTCGACATCAGCACCAGACACACCTGCCTGCGCCGGCGTCGAAGCAAGACTTCATGTAAGGGTTGCTGCTGGCTATAATACATCCTCCCTTGGCCACACCTGTACAAAGATGCGAATTGAACAGGACTAGGAGCAATCCACCCCTCGGAGTGCGGCGTTTGACAAGGATAGGCCCCCTACTCCACCGATTTGCAGGTATAGTAGCCTTCTTGCCGCGGCGTAAAAGGAAAGTAAGGAGAAATATCGACATCAACGGAGAGCTTCGAGAATTGTAACAGTGGCCTATTCACTGCGCGATCTCTTTTGACATCTCCAATTGCTCCCGCTCGGCCTGGTCAACTCCTCCTTCGACATCAGCACCAGACACTCCCACCCGGTACTGCTCTGGAGCCGCAACACTTCACGGCTGCTTCTTGTTGCTCAGGCGACGCTCTTAATGCCAGCACACACCCCATCCGCCCCTCAACAGCTTCTGCATACCGTCTCGCCCATACAACGATGGCCAATGGAGCATCGACAGAGCTATGAACAATCCACCATGGCGCTGCTGCTTACTTTGAGCACGGCTCCCGGTTGTCTTGCCACGACACAATGGCAGGACGAAGAAGGCGGTGCAATCGCTGCGGAAAGCTTGAAATGTGTTCGACTTGCGCCCATCCGCCAGGCTACCTCCGAACACCGGCGGCCTGCTCTGGATAAAAGATACGGCTTCCCTGGCTGGCTGTTGGATACCTGGCTGCCGTTTAGACAACGAAAGCTGGTCCTTAACAGCAAGGCTCGCTCACAACTGGCCCCGCTGGCTGTCCGTTGACATAGACTGCTGCGCATACCTCAGCTTGCAAACAGCTACCGGGAGAGAACGACGACGAGCAAACCAACCCTCGCCCCCAATATCACAGTAGTTTGGCCGCCTGTGCTTTTACTTCAGACCACCCCGACTGCCTCACCGTCCTCTCAAGAGCTCATAAGCCACATCACGGGCCAGAACCTACGGAGCCAGACTCTCTCCGCGCCGGCATAAGCCACCACAGCTAGCCTGCCTTCCCCGGTCCCCCGCCGAAGCGCACTCGAGGCTTCTTTCACGCCTCCTAACTCTCTTCGAAGCACAGCGACGAGGCCTGCACCATCACTCGCTCCAGCGCCGCCGCCGCCGCCTGCTCCAGCACCAGCAGCACAAGCGTCCTCTATCCAGACCGTCACGAACATTGCCAGGCAAATCTCCGATATCTGTAGGGTGGACGTCAGTTGCGGCGCCAGCCCCTGCACTATCAGTCGCTCATGCACCGCCGCCGCCACATGCTCCTGCTCCAGCAGCACCACAATCCTCGGCCCAGACCATCACAAACGTCGCCAGGCAACTCTCCGACACCTGCAGGGTGGAGGTCAGTTACGGCGCCACCGCCGCCGCCGCCCCCTGGACCATCGCCACATGCTTCGGCACCAGCAGCATCACAATCCTCGGCCCAGACCATCACGACATTGCCAGGCAAATCTCCGACACCTGCAGGGTGGATGGCAGTTGCGGCGCCAAATGGTCTGATCCTCACTCCATCTGCGGCGCCGCCGGCCGCAACAAGCTGCACATCTGCAAGGCCTTCTGGCGGGGTGCGAAGTACGGATCGAGATGAGAACGTGCAACACTATGATCGTGCCACGGGGCAGCTGGTCTGGCACGGACGTCCGAGCTGTCAGACGGCAGCGCGGGCGCCGCGTTGTTCGTACAGCCACAGCTCCCGCAGATCCGGCAGTCGATGGCACGGGGGAGGGATTGTGAGAGGGCCAGTCGGCTGAGATGTCGATGCATGTGGAAGAATCGCTCGAGAAGAGGAGGGCGCTGGTGTTGTAGCTAAGTAACACGTCTGAGCTCAGGATCTGCTTTTGTTAAAGCAACAGCCTGTCAAACGATCACAGCCTCTCATTCTGTCATCTCTGGTGCCGAGTAGTGCCTGCATGCGCTGCCAGTTGCTCGTTCTTCCAGGGCGTCTCATTGTTATACAGCTAAACGGTGGCATAGCGGTCCTTAACGCTCGTCGGGATGCTACAAGAAGAGCAACACCCGCTCCGGCGTCAGCTCTGGAGGATCAAGGACACCCGCGACTCCTTCGACATCAGCACCAGACATCGCCGATATCAAGGCAACACGACCATACTAGTGCTGCTGCTCTACTCATTGGTGTTCTGCTTGCCCGTAGGTACACTTGGGTCTCTGCCAGCCGCATCGCCGCCTCTTCACACCCTCAGGCCTTGCCGTCATTCCAGCAACTGCGGCATATCACCTCCGAGCTCGCCGCATTTGACGAAGACGCCTGGACCACTGCCTTTTTCCATTCTCATTCCGCTTCTCTCCTGGCTGGGCTGTCGTGACCAAGAGGCGGATCTGCTCAACCTACGCAAATGATTTGAGAGCCAGCGCCTCGGGACCTCTTGCACAACCGCAGGCGTACGGACATCGGCCACGGCATCCTCTTTGACATTCGGAGTTGCTTGTCGGCATCATGGTGTCACGACCTGCATGTGCTTTCACATGCTGCCTAGCTCCAGACGTAAGATCAGCATCGGCGAACATGAGACATAGTGGCCAAGCGGGCAGACCGGCCGTCGGCGAAGCCGACCAAGTAAGACGTGAGTGAAGCTAGTCAAGTAAGGCGTGAGCAACAACAGCACCACGAGCGAGATGCAGCCTCACTCTGATGCTAACGAGCGAAGCATTACCAAATCATGCTGGAGATGAGCGTGCCAGTGAATGCTCCAATACAGCGGCCTGTGGACACTCCTACGGCCCACGCGAGCCTGCCATCCACGTCAAGATCTACGCGGTTTGATCCTGTCATCATCCTGAACCCACCGTCCGGCCAGCAGCACCACCACCCCCCCGCCTAAGCGTACGAGGAAGACCAACGGCAGCGGTATCACGACCATGAGGCGGCGGTATCGGTTCTTGCTCGTCGAGGAGGCCTGCAAGTCTCGCATCGAGAAGCCTGCTCATGAGCACAGAAGCGTAGCTCACCCTATCCCGGCTGCTTCCTGTTGTCGTCGTGGGTTCTTTCCAGATCTGCTTGACCATTGGGAGCTCTGCCGAACACAGCCAGCACCAAGATGAGTGCCGCTTGATCTCAAGCTACATGCTGCAGGCAATTTGACACGCCAACCCTTTGGACGTTTGTCCCTTGCCCTTCGTTCTCCCGAATTCGACGCTGGCACGAGCGAACGCAACCCTAGCCCTCTCACTTCGGGTGTTTTGCGTCTGGCCGCTCTCGACGTTCCGCAAAGACTGCTATTCACTCGAACGGCCCGCAGCATTGCAGTGCTGCGAAGAACACCTCGCCTTCTCCATTGCGGTCTCTGACGGCCTCCCGGAACTTCCGCCCAGTGTTCGCATAGCAGCAGCACCATCTTACGAGTTCGAGCACAGGTCCAGTCTCGACACGAGCGTCGTCATCCCGGAGGTAGGTACTGTCCACGGGATCGCTGGCAGACTCAACTCTGCTTCGTCCTCAGATCTCCAGCAAGTGTCCGAAGGGTCCAGCTGAGCTATGTATAAGTCCAGGTAGCTTCGCTTTCGTCCCTGTCCTCTTTCTGAACTTCTGCTCTTCCATACCGTTTAGCGGGGCCACGCAAGAGGCACACCTACCAGCCGCCGCCACGCCGGCTCAAAACAATGTCCGCGGCAGGTTTGAGGTGGGTGCGACGGCGGGCAGCAATGTCGGTCGGGACTTTGAGGGTGATCCGGAGTACGCTGCCCTTGTCGTCAAGTACCGCAAACTCTAGCGAGATCGGCCTTGTCGTCTATCACATGGTCAATCCCATGGCCAACACAGCTCTAACCACTCTCGCGTCGCTGCTACGCCAGAATGGAGAAGGAAGAACGGGTGCTGGAATCGAGTCGTCATACGAGAGATGCTCGTGGCGGTCCGCGACAAGCCGTTGCTAACATCAGAAGCCTCCGTCGGTGATGTTTAGACGCTTCGCCGTACAGACGAAGCGTAGTATGGGTGGCGAGATGTTATATGGAATGGAGTGGTGAGATGAGTAGGCGACCTCCTCGATGGGGAGACGGAAATGATTGCTGGCATGAACATTGAAGCAGGATGGGTGTAGTTGAAGTGAAGTCTTTTTCTCCTCATGTCTCAGCTACCTTATGCACGGCCAAGGCGAGCCAGAGGTTCGCCAGTTTGCTGGTTCTCCACCAAAGACTCAAGTCGGACATGATACTGCACAGCCGGGCAGCCATAGCCGATGAAAGTCAGACTCCTTTCCCGGAATCACACATCCAATGAGACGGCGGCTACGCAGCGGAGGGTCTCACAGACTGTGCATGAGCCGAGCTGGTGAGGACTTGCTGGCCACGATCGCGCCTCAGGTCTAGAGAGTCTGCTCTTCGAACGAAGACGCATGTGTAGGCATAAGAGCCGGGTATCATTTGGTTGTCCGTAGTGTTCTCAGCATTTCCAAGCCTCGTGCTCCTGATGGCATCTCTGATCGGGATTGCCGCCGTCCACTGACCGAAAGCTACATGTCTGGTCTGTCAAATGCCCCCGCGGTCGGGATCGTGGTCCTCGCGAATTTCCCTGCTGGTCCCGCCCTTCGCTCCTCAGAAGTCATTAGGCCAACACTTCTCCTTCGTCCAGTCGTCGCTGTGCGTGCTCGCGTGCTGCCTGAAACAATAGAGTCAGACTCACACGACGCCTGATATGACATGGCTTGCGCTCCTCAACGTACTCGAGTATCTTCTTGTTGTCACGCGCCAACTCTTTACGGCAGAAGACGCATATCGACTTCTCTTTCGCAGGTTTCTTGGGTGTGCCGTTCGGATTGACAGGCACTCTCGTACCAGCTGCTTCTGCCTTTTTGTGTTCGCGCGAGATGCGATCCTTTTTGCTGATAGGCATGATGGCCGTCTTGGAGAATGTTGAGGATGGAGTTTAGTGAAGAGCTTGGAATCGGTGGACTTCTGTAAGCTCAAGATCTTCATCCTGCCTGCACGTGACCAAGGGTCCATTCTATTCACAGGAAACAGGTTGACGACGAAGTTTGTGCCGCCAATAGACGAGCAGGATGCCGCCTACTGTCCGACCTCCCATCATCACACGCCATGTTCACTTCCTCTACCGGCCCAAATGAACGCCTTCTGGAGATACCCAACGACTGTCTCCTTGAGGACTTTCTGTTCAGTAACAAATACGGCAGACATGCTACTGCTGAATCCAGAGATCCCTTGATCTGTGGCGTGACGGGGACGACGTATTCGACTATGCAAACGAGGCAGCGAGTAGACTACCTTGCGCAGGCTCTAGCGGAGGCATTGGGGTGGCATTCGAGGACCGGGTCACGATAGGAGAAGGTGGTGTGCTTGTACTCGGCAAACAGCGTCCGTACAATGTTCGATCGTGCTTGCGCGGCCCACTACCTTCTAACGCATCGCGGTAGATTGACGTCTTGCCGCTCGCTTGGGCTGTGCACCGTTTGTCCGGGATCTTGACACCAGCCAGCGCCTCCAACTCTGCTACTGAGCTGGCGCAACGACTCCAGTCCTGCCGGGCAGCTGCTATCTCCACGTCTCCACAACTGCTAGACAAACTCCAGTAGACTCAAGATGGAGCTTTTGAACCTCGTGCAGGCACACTCACACGTATACCGCTGGGCATGCGCCATGGAGCCTGCAATCTCTCGCGTCAGCTCGGAGGTCGCTGGCCTCGAGCGTTTCTACGGCGTCGTCGATCTGCTCACGACGTATAACGGCAAGCCGAATGCTCTGACGTCCAGCTTGACCTCAATGATTGAAGGATGCCTGAGGGTTTCATCTCTGAGACGGAGTACCTGTGTCGTACGAAGCGTAGTGGTTACCAATCTCATTGCACGTACTGATCGGGATCGCGGTGACAAGCTCTGGAGAATTCAATCCTACGAGATTCCTTGCGCCCAAGATTATGGCCAACAGGACATTCTCGTCGCTGTGTGATTCAAATGGTCATTCACGTGGTCTCATCCTCACGTCGGACACCATGCTGTCCGCTGGCAAGGTCCGACCTCAAGCTGGTCCCGTATGCGTCGGCGTGGTACCTTCACGTTGTTGAAAGATTTAGGCTACATCTTCCGGACCAGTTTCGATCGAGCGACTCCAAGCTCCTACGAATGCAAGTAAGCGATCAGCATGTCATCCAATCAGATAGCGTCTCCAGCGCAATGTGCACCAACGTGATCTACCTAGTTCAGGAATGAGTCACACCTGGTCGTTGTACTTCACCGAGCAAGGTCTATCCACCCAGTCCTCCATTCCAACCATTCGAGACAAACCAGAGACTGTCCTGAAAGAATGCCTGCATCTCCTTGTGTGTTTCTCACCGGTGCCACTGGGTTTGTCGGCGGCACGGTACTCGCTTGTCTCTCGAGTTCTCATCCCAACATCAAAATCAAAGCGCTGATCAGACAAGAGGCCGTTGCCAAAGAGCTCCAATCCCTACATCCCAACCTCACTCCAATTATTGGCGATCTTTCTTCGCTCGCTCTCCTGACTTCGACCGCATCCGATGCCGGCTTCGTGATCCATGCCGCTGGCGAGAACATTCCCGCTGTTTGCGCGTTGATAGACGGATTGACAAGCCATGACAACACCGAGTCTGAGGCGACGTTGCCGCTTCCCCGCCTTATTAGCCTTACCGGTCCACGGAGCCTGATAAATCTCTCGAAACCAATCACTGGCAATTTAGCAACGGACAGCCGTCCGTGGAGCGATGTCACAGACGCAGATAAGATCCTCAATGTCCCTGAAGATCGCATTCACGCTGGCGCGGATCAAGCAATCCTCACCCACAGTGTCGCGCAATGCGTTGGCACGATGCTAGTCTCGCCTGGCCAACTGTGGGGTCGCGGCAAAGGCCATGTTAAAAAGGAGAGTAATTCTGCGCTTTATTACAAGATGGTCAAAAGCCGAGGCCGAGCGTTCGTCATCGGTGAGGGCACGGCGACGTGGTCGTGGACTTCCATTGGAGATCTGGGCCAGGCCATCGTGTTCTTGATGGAGCAGGCACTGCTGAGAGGGAGCGAGCAGCGCGCGCAATTAGGTGTCAACCATGAGGGTTACTACTTTGTTCGCACGGGCGACTTGAGCATGATAGACAGGGCAAGAGCCGTCAGTGAGCGACTTGGTCTCGGGGAGGTGGAAAGCGTGTCAGTCGACGAGGCCAAGAAAATGCATCCCTTTGGAGCGGTCATGTGGGGTTGCGGTGAGAGGACTAGAGCAGATAAGCTGGCACAGTTGGGCTGGATGCCAAACGACACGGATTGGCGGGAGTTGATGCAGGAAGCTGGAGGCGAGAGGGCATGAGGGTGAAACAGCGCACCGTTAAGCGTCATCGTAAGCCCCGACCGCAGCATTCCACGAGCTTCTCCTTCGTCTCCGTCGTTCATTGTCACTATCCTCCGCGTCCGCTCGCATCTTGAACAGCCCATCTTTCCAGTCCAATGGTTTGTTGCGTGATGCCGAGCGCCCAGGGTACGCCATCATGTCGTCAATGTACCGCGCCCTTCCCAACTCTTCACCCGCACGTCCTCGCTGCGGGCTGGCGGCGTTGTGCAAAGATAATGGGCTGGCTTCTGTCGCAGTCCGAGGCAGACAAGGTGAGCCAGCATATTGTTGTGCGCATCCTGCGAGTGTGCATAGGGTCCAGCTCTGGTGCGAACATGTAGTAGTTGAAGATATCGGAGCAGCCCAAGCATAGCCGCTTGTTGTACGTTGTCTAATACCAATCGCTTCGTCTCGAACGAGATCAAGGTGGCTCACCTGGCCTAGCGGAGTCAGCAACATGGGAGGCGATTTGGAAGTGTAGACATACCAGGGATGGCAACCTTATCTTCATTTCGCTCCGGGTGGAATCGCCCGACCGCTGGTTCATATTCAGCCGAGCATCTCGGCGGTGGAGCTGGTTTGGAACCCAGGAGCTGGCAGGCATGCTTCGAAATCGTGCAGTCTCTGTCAACACCAGCAGAGGCAGACAGTGGACGTTGGGATTTCCATTCGTGGAAGTTTGCTGCTCGTTTTTGAGCGCGTCCTGGCTGCTCTGTCCGCGTGACCGGTCATATGAGCGCCGGACAGCTCCATCACAAGACGGTTGTTCTCAGCCACGGCACTGTTCGAGTCCACAACACTGGAGATCAAGGCGCAGGACTGGGAGAAGAAGAGGCGAAGCGAAGCCCAGAAATTGCGAGGAGAGCGCTATCGCTCTCGTCGAGCAGGTCCCAAGGTTTCTCAGCGAGATGGCCCACAAGCTCCATACTCGTCGCCAATCTATGCTTGGTCGTCCGGCGTGCAATCTGACAACGCAGGACCAATGGGCGAAGCCCAGGCTGCCCAGAGCTCACAAGTCGACGGCCCAGGAGAAGAGCAGCTCCTCCGTAGTCCACCCATGGCTTCTCTATGATGGCAATGGCCATTGTTGAACCCATCAGCCTGGGGAGCCCGGTATACGTACCCACCGCGTCGTATCCCTCCAAGAGCAGTCCCGGAAGCGTAAATGCAGAAGGAGAAGAACCAGAAGAGAGGCGAGATGATGCAGAATACTGCTCATGCACTTACCTGTCCAGAAGGATGTGCACCGGGTCGCATTTTAGGCCTGGGGATAGCAGACGATGCAGGATACTGGGTCTGTAGGAGGTGAGGTCTTCTGCCGCTGCCAAGTCATCCTACTAGCGCGAAGCGGCCCGCGTTGTTGACTTTTTACAGACGCCCGCCGCCTTCTCTTCTTCGCCAACGCGTCCGACCATGGACTTCTCTCATAGCACGCCACAGCTGCCACAGAGTCAGTACGGCAGCACGTACGGCTCACATGAACAATCTCAAGGATACCGGCCAGCAGGTTCGACGCAGCCACAGCACTCGGATCCGCCCTCCAGCGGCGGGCGTCAGTCTAAGCGTGCCAGACTGGATCCCCGGCTATATAACAATGACATGAGTAGCGATGGTCCGCAACCACAAGCGTCGCCATTCAGCCGTGATGGGCCATATCCAGCAAGAGGGCACCCTGCTGCCGGCCATGTGTCATCTCAGCTCTCCAGGAATTTCGAGCAGGAGGTTCGAGGGCTGTCCCAGTACGAGAGCAATGCCTCATCTCAACCACAAATGGGCAACCTACCGCCTGGTCTGGAATACTCACCATCTGGCGAAGTGCTGCCTCAACGCGGTGCACCACCGGGAGCAATCCTGAAAATGGCTTGTCAGTACTGCGACAGGAAAAAACGCAAGTGCCCCAGAGACTGGCCATGTAGCGAGTGCAAGAAGGATGGCCAGGAGTGCGTACCCAAGGCTCGCAAGTACCAACGCCCGAAAATGCCCGCGACACCAGGCGGTGAGCAGCAAGCCGAGAATGGGGAAGATGCATCGCCACCAGTCGAAGATGGTGCCGTGACCGCCATCAACAGAGAATCCGAATCGACCCCAGCGAGAGGTCGCGAGGAGTCTAACAGGAAACAGAACCTCAGAATGGGACCAGTCATTGGTGATCACCAGGAGTGGTCGAACATGCGCCTCGAATATCATCCTCTGCCGCCCAACATTGACGAGGTCCGTGAGAAGCTCTACAAGCTGGAACAACCAATCCTCCTCAACAGCCAGCAGTACGCCGATTACTGGCCACACATCACCAATGTCTACGGCCGCCAGATTCAACCGGTTGAGCAGGCGAACGGCTCGATGCTAGAGTACTGGGAATGCCGGAATAATCGCAAGCGGAGACTGAAGGGCCGACCACCGCCAAAGGAGCCTCAGAAGCGGAAGAGGACGATCAAGACACACCTTCTGGAGACTGATAAGGCCTGCGGGATGCGCTTCCGGGTCTTGTACTTTGTCAAGCATGCAAACACCGACGAGAACCACTCTTCTGGGTTGGACAGCTGTCGGTGTGTGCCAGAGTGGGTGCACTTGCAGAGAACGGGGCGGGTCGAGTCGCTCAACATACAGCACAACCACTCTCTGGAGTCGATGGATCGCTTCAAGAGGTCTGATGCAATCGTGTTCTACGCAGCGCTGAAGGTCCAAGAAGGTGGCTACATGTACGCTGCGGTGAGACGATGGATTATGGAGAAGTTCGGGTCCGCCACCAAGCAGATCGAGCACCTCTCGATTTCCGACATTGCCAACGCTTCGAGGTTCTGGCGGCAACAAAACCCTGAGCTCGAGCTGATTCCGGACATCCCTGATGACGACCCAGCGATCGGCGCTCGCAAGCGTGCGTTGGAGTCTATTAACAGGATCGCACCTGAGAGCCTGCGGAGAGCGCTCGCAGAAGTCTTCAAGCAACTGCCTGCTGCTATTGAGATTGCTCAACCCTTCTTGGAGTCAGTCCAAACGGGCAACGCGGCTACTTCAAACGGTGCACCGATCATGGAGGGCGACAAGATTGAGGTGCCGCTGCCTGGTATGCCTGTCAAGTACATGCCGCTCATTGCTCCGCGCTGGAACGTTCTCATCCCTCCCGAACCATCACCTCCTCCGTCACGGCGAACAGCTGCTCCTGACGCCAAACGAGACCAGCCAGCTTCGCCGTTCGCACCAGGACGACCGCCAAATGGTCTTGCGCTATCGGCTGGGAAGGGCACGGCTACAGCGTCGCATCGTCATCACGCCATGGCACCGCCTATGAATGAGCTTCCACCACGACCTTACAAGCCTGCGAGCAATTCTCACGCACTCAGCATTGACCCACCTGGAGCACATGCCAACAGCTCGATATCGGGACAGAGGCCGGAGTCTGCGCAGGACTACTCTACCGCTCGACTTGTCAACGACATCTTCGGCGCTCGATTGCATCATCGTAGTATACCAACAGCCGGAAGTGGTACTGCATCTTGGAGACCTGAGTGGGCAACAGCTGCAGATTCAGTGTCGCGGCCATCAACCAGCACAGAGTCGAGGCCAGCCTGGGCGGTATCAGGAGAGAAGGCCTCGCCAACTGCCCCCTCAGAACAGGTAACGAACGAGCAGCAAAAGCACCAGAAGGATGCGGGGCGGTCTGATGTAGCTGGAGAGAGCGGAGCGAGGATGCAGCTCACTAGGGCGGGACCGGCTGGACTCTACACTGAATGGGTGGCTTAGTAAGTCTTTTACTCAGTGTGGAGTACAGGTGGCCGTCCGAGCGTGGCTGGTGGAGGATTCGCACAACGTATGATATGCTGACAACGAATGAGGAGATGTGGAAGAGGTAGCCAAGGTAATGCACAGTGAGTCATGAACACTGAAACGAGCTATTTGCTGCATACTACTTGAAGACGTCCCTCAGAAAATCCAACACCGCCTTTGAAGTCTCCTCCGGCCTCTCCAATTGCGGCGCATGACCCACTCCCTCCAACATCAACGTCTTCGCGCTCTGGAACTGGCTCGCAACCCACTCCGCTTCCTTCTTGGGATCCGAGAAGTCTGGATCCTTGTCGCCCATCACCACCAACGCCGGAGTCTTGCTGGCTTTCTCAATCCAGGGAGTGACGGCTCGATGGTCGCATCCAACCACCGTCGAGTAGAAAGCCGACCAGCGGCCAGGACGGGTAAGCATATCAGTCGTCTTCTGCGCTCTCGCTTTGGCTTGATCATTTGGCAGACCGGCCCATAGTGTGGGTGCGTAGAACTTCCAGACTGTCGAACCCCATGGCCACTTGAAGAGGAGCGGCATGAACCACATCCCCACTGGACCCATGGGATTGCGGAGAAAGGGAGCCAGCAGCACGACGCCGCGGATGTTGGAAGAGTCTTTGCCTGCGGCAATGGTTGCGGAGCCAGTTGCGAATGAGTTCCCGACCAATACCGCTGGGCCTTTCTTCAGTTCCTTAATAGTAGTGAGGAAGTCATCTGCTGTCGCTTCGTCGCCGTACTGCTTGAAATCGGTTGAGCTGTCGCCGTGGCCGCGGGTGTCCATGTTGGCGACGGTGTAGCCGTTGGAGACTAGTCTCTGAACGAGTGGGTTATAGGTGTCGCGGGAGTCGCCCATTCCGTGCGCGCAGATGACGAGGGGTCCGGTGCCGCTCACTTCGACTGCCAGGGTGCCGCCCGCTGTTGAGATGTTTTGGACGGACATTGTGAGTGGTTGTGAAGTAGAAGCTCTAGTTGTCCAAAGTGTCAATTACGATTCCGGCTGTAAGATGATTCAGTTTCGGTCGTTTGATAAAGTGCTGCGTGCTGTTGTGGCAAAGAGTATCGCCCATATATATATCAACCAAGCGGATCAAATAGCACCCGCCATCGCGTTTGCCCTATCACGTGTCAATGCGCTGGACGCGAATGCGAGCTTCGGCGCCCCTGTCCTCCGCTTATCAAACCGCTCTGGCGGGCTTTGCACGGCGCTTCTTCTTCCGACTAGCAAGGATACCTTAGGACAGGTGTTTGTACCTGCAGCTGGCTGGAAGGGTGATAATGTACGATTCATTCGCGGGCCATTCCACCGAGGACACGCACCAACAGACAGCTGCACCTTCATCGCAGCCGTGCCTGGTGCCTTTGGCGTCAGTATCTCAAAGGTAAGGCTGACAAGGCTGTTTGAGATCCTTGCGTTCATCTGGTCTCCCAAGTCCTTCAAGCAACCTACAATGACCATACTGCGAGTAGCTCTGACACATCAATTCCCTAAACGTTTCATGATAGAATGCTTGAGATGGTGCCTAGCGCTACAGCGGAGCAAAGAATAGCCAGAGTATCTGTGGATGGGAGAAAGCATCTCGACACATCCCAAAAGGCGGCGAAATCAAACGAAATCTCCTCCGAAGAGCAACTCAGATGTTTGATAGCAACGGCGCCGTTTTGGAGGGCTTCACCAGGATACAGTGCGGAGCAAATGGAAACGCATTCCTGTGGATGATGTTCACACTCACAGCGAGATCATACAAGTTCCAGCGAGACGAGCTCGATGAGTGGATCGGAAAGCTGAGGATGGTCTCCTCTGTCTCTACAATGAGTGCTTTCCAACAGGCCTTGAAAGGATGGCCGTGGGCATGGGCGCTCTGGTGGTGGTCGCATGCTTTACGACGGACATGCATCGAGCTGGCTCCTACAAAAGGGCAATGGCAGATCCTCAGTGACGAGCCGGACCCAGTGCCAACATTCACGACGGGCTTGCGCATGAAGTTGCGCGTGATTTATGGTTAGCTGATCCAATGAATGGTGGACACCGTTTTCATTCCTCCAAGAGAAGTATCCAGATTACAGAAGCTGTGCCGGCCATCGACGACAGGAATTCCTCCCTCAGTTCACCTTGCCAACAACTCTGACCCGAACGCCCTTCGAGTCCAGCTTTGGACTGGGCAGGAAGAAGTCATGTGCCAGTTCGACATCCGACGTGTCAGTTTCATACAGCTCCAGCTGGAAACGTCTGAACACCTGAGCCAACTGCACATAGAGCTCCAGGTGGGCCAGACTGTGCCAATCGTCAGCCGGAATCCAACACTCAATGAGATGAGGTCCAGCTTACTTAATTCCAATGCACATTCGTGTGCCCTTCCCAAAACCTACAAAATGGCTGTCCAGGGATGAACCATCTGCGAGTTTGGACTCCTTGCCTGTCCATCGCTCAGGTCTGAACTTGCGAGGTTCCTTGTAAACACTGCCATCGAAGTTGGCATCTCTCGCACTCATGGAGATAGCTGTTCCGGGAGGAATGGTGTAGTCCTGGTAGACCAAGGGCTCCTGCAGAACCCTGGCGCCCCTACCAGAAATGCCCAGCCCGAACCTGATCCCTTCCTTGACACACCCAGTGAGGTATGGCAACTTCTCCAGCTTCTCAAACTTGAATGCGTCGTGCGCTGATGGGTTCGGTACGGCTTCACGAAGCTCAGCGAGCAATTTCGGGTGGACGTCGTCATCTGAAAGGATGTAAAAAATTGCCTGAGTGGCCGCCCATGCTGTAGTGACGATCCCGCCCCCAATCACGGTCTGAGCTTCATGCTCGAGTCGTGTGGCTCCCTTTGCATCCTCGGGGAGGTCTGACTGCAGGACTGCATGGAAGATAGTGTGATGTTTGCCTGCAGAGGGATCCTTCTTGATGGTCTGAATTGTCTTATTGAAGTCCTGCGTGAAGACTGTTAATACGAGAAGTCTTTCGAGCTGCTCAGAGACTACCCACCTTCTGCAGCTGAAGCATCTGTCCAAGCGACGGGTCCATTTTGGTGGTAATGGAATCTGGGATGCTTTTGAGAAGCTAGAAAGATTGTTAGCAGTAGAGTGAGGTGGCAACCGCTCTGCTCACCGGGTTGACCCATGGATACTGCACAGATACATGACCAAATGCACCAAGGGAGATGTAAGCGTTGTGGAAGTTCTCTTTCCAGCCGTTCTCGTAATGCTCAACCTGCCCGTAGGAGAAGCCGAACGAGTACTGGGAGATGACGTCTGCGGCGAACGCCGCGAAAGCATCTGTAATGCAGAAGACAGAACCATTCTCTAGGCAACGCTCCATGCCGGTGCAGAGGATGCCCATCTTATCTTGAACAAGTTCTTGTTGGTCGAGAATTGCTCGGCGGGAGAAGCTAATGGCAATCAATACGAGAGGTGAGCATCCAACAGTCATTTCTACTTACAACGGGTTCAATGGTGCACGAAGCATGCGGTGGTAACCAGCATCGGCCACAGCGAACATGGAGTCATTGTTGCCGAACCGTGAAGCCGTCGAAGAGTAGCGGCTTGCTTTTGGGTACTTCACAAACAGAGTGTCCCAGAAGGCGCTGTCCCTGATGTGTACTTCCTCTGGAGTTATCCGCACGATTGGCCCTGTGCGAGCACATAAGCTATGGCCAGTCCTTGCCAGCTGGCGGTCTCACCGTAACGCTCATGCAGCTCGTCGAGCTTGAATGAGAATTTGCCTTGCCGCCATATCTCGTAGTATGCTTCGTAGAACTTGGACAGAGCTCCCAGCTTCGGACCAGGCAGCTTGGCGAGCGGGCTGAGATACAGTCGGTAGAAGGCAAGACCGAGAAGATATAGAACGAAGGAGACGAGGGCGAGAGTGATGAGAGCCATGATGGTGGATTGGGCTATGGCACTTACGGATGTTGGGTTATGTGAGGTCGACAGATGGTATCGCTACTGAGTACATGTACTTAGCCTTGCTGCGAGGAGGTGAGCTGGCACTCTCTCAAGCGAGCTGCACAGTGGACATGGATGCATAGGATGCTATCTGCTCCCGTCCCCTCTCCTCACTTGTTATGCGGGACCTGCTCCATGCAGCTAGCGCGTGCCAAGAAGCCATCAACTTCAACCTTGCAACATCCCGTCGTCCTCTCCTCTTGGCCACCAACAAGGCGCGCTGGCTAATGCGGCAGTCATGCACTCGATATCTCCTCACTCCCTGCGGTCAAGGCGTGTTCTTGCCGGGTCGTACAGAACGCAACATGATGAATAGCGGCTGGCCAAACACTCTGTCTTGAGGGACAACCGGTGAACAGCTATGGAAGCGCTTCAAAAAGCCCATCGAACAGCTCAGAGTCCAGCTCAAACGGCAGCGTGCTGAGCCACGCCCAGTCGATCTGGTCATCTGGCCAGAGGTCCTGGAAGCCGTCCATTTGTTCCACAGCAGCTGCATCGAAGAAGACAGCGGAATCAGCATTTTTCGATGAGTCAATCCGCGACGCCATGGTGTCTTCCCCCTGTTGTGTGCAACCGTGGACATATGCCGAACCGCCACCATCATTCAAAAGTTGTGGCGTCTCACCACGAGAGCCATGAGCACCAGGACGAAAGCTTCGATCGCTCAACTCGAGCAGTCTCAGGCATCGGTCCGCTGTCGCACTGGATGCACAGTACGACTTCAGAACACTGAGACACTTGTCCCAAGCAGGGTGTGCCTCGCTGTCTTCAGACATGCAGCCTCTTTGCACAAGGAGTACCATTCCGCAAGTGTAAGCATCTAACAGAAGAGGTCAGCGGAGCATAAAGTGGTTCTCAGCAAAGCAAACTCACAAAACACTGTGTACCATGACTCGGGCAGACATCCAGGCGCCGCTTTTCGCACAAAGTCAACGAGCTCAACGAGCTCAACCGCAGCCCGAAAGCACAGTTGCGGACCCTCATTGAGTAAGGCTGAGCTCAGTATCGAGCTTACAGTAGAGGCCGCGCTGTGCTGTGCTGTCCAAAATCCCCGACATTCAGCCTGGCGTAACAGCAAAGGTCTAAATGCAACGACACGTCCGTACAGCAACCTGGCAAGCAATCAGAAAATGCGGCTGTATGCGCGTGGAAGTAGAAGCTCGGATTCACCTCACACGAAGAACCACAGCGTGGCGGTCCCACCCTGACCTCTGCTGCATTTCATTACCTAACATCAGATCTGCAGTGGCCGGCAGCCTTAGTATGTCTGGCAGATCGCGATCCCACCCTTCCAGTGCCTCTTCAAAGTTAAGCAATGCCACAAAATCATGGGCTTCGACATTGCTTCTTCTCTGTGGCGTACGCAGAAGCCCTGTACCGATATGGGGCGCCGGGCCGTTCTCGGTGTTCGTCGCGGCGGAGTTTGGGAGACTGTCGATGATGTCGCCGAGCAGGCTGTTCAGCTTCAACGAGGCAATGAGGAAGACCGCGTCTTTCCAATCGTTGGATGAATCACTGCTTGGTGGTACACAAGATGCGATCCGCTGCCTTGTGACTGCTGGAACCATGCTCGACCTGCCGTACGTCGTTGCTAACATGCTGATTGAACAGTTAGGAGATTGCACCCCCATTCTCGCAGCGGCTGCTCTGCTTACCGGTCTAACGCGACACATCCAGCCCAGGTCCGCCACCGAGCTGAAGTACCGATCTGATCCGTTTCCAACGCTCGCTTCGGGCAACAATGCAGCCCCAGTGCTTCTGACATTCTCACAGCAACACCGACAAGATTCCAGCATGCGCTCGAGAGCTCGGTTGTACTCTGTAAGTACACACCCATGTACAGCAGAGCTTGGATGATCAGTATCCGAGGACGATTGAAGATATCAAAATCCCGCTCGAGCAGGTCCTTGCATCGCTTCCAATGCATCTCTCCGCGTTGGCTCTCTTCTGCAGCACTTTCGGATACAGTACTGTCGCATCCCAGGGCGAACATGACGTTTAATAGGATATGGAAGCGTCGTGACTCCGGAACCCGGTCCCCCCATCGGCCTTCGTCACGACCACCATACGAATCAGCGTACACATGAGACTCCGTGAGCTCGTCGGAAGGCCCGGCCGTCCAGAGACCATGGTATGTTCGCTCAAACTCATGTCGGTCTAGGAAAGGGTACAAAGAATGGATGTTGACCCAAAATCCCGACAGCATCGCATCTGCCTCACGACGGGGTGGTAATGCATACTCTTCCAAGGCCTGCTGTCGTCCCTTTGGTCGCGTGCCGCTTCTCCTGGTCGCCAGGCTCTTTGCGCCAGTATCGCCATGCTCCGAGACGATCCGCAGGACCTGGTTTACGAAGTTGACTGTACTGGAAGCTTCAAAATATCCACTGCGTTCGACATCGTGGTCCTCATGGTCGACTATATCGCTAACGACTGCGCCCATTCCGTCAACTCTGCCACCTGCTACCATCTGCTTCCTTCAGTACAACACTGAAGCAAATCAGGAGCTTGCTGCTTACCGATTCGTCACTGAAGGTACTCCTGCGATCACTGGACTTTAGCCTTTTCGTGGGCGGCCCGACATGGCTCGGTGTCGGAGATTGGCTGTAACGGTCAAACGACTCACTGTGCGGTGAGACTGCAATCCGTCCAGCAGTCTGCCCGCCCTCCAGCTCTGCAAGACGTCTCTGCAGGGTCTCGATCTGTCTGCGACCAGAATCCCACTCATCAGTCCCGCAAATCAGCAAGGGCACCGTCTTCACAAGCGCCTACCTCGAAGTGTTGGCTTTTCGAGGCGCCGCCTTTGCATACACACATGGTTCGCTCGAACTTCGCTTCGCACACGTGTTGCAGATCGGCTGGACTCCGTCACATTTTCTTTTTCCATTGCGGCAACTCTCGCAAGCCTGCAGGCCCTTCGTTCTCCCTCGACGTCGTCGGACTTCTGGGTTGCCGCCGTCTCGCTGCTGGCTGATAGCGGACATTGTTATCAAGGCACAGTCAGCTGAACCACGATTGAAGCCGCACTTGCGGATATTTAATACGGCGCTGGTCGTTGCGGTATCTTTAATTCCGGATGCCGCAACCCCGCTCCAGCTGGGGCTGTGATGCGGAGAGCCTGGGGTTTGAGAACTAAGAATCGAATCAAATTGCAAGGCACTTCGGGGATACTTAAGACGTGGCAGTGTTCGACTCGACGACGGCAGCCACATCCGCGGTAAGCCGGTGCCGCTCACACTTCGAAATGCCGTCTGTTAAGCGTCGCAGGCTGTCTGATCCTAACGGGCGCGAACACCCGGCTCGCCAACACCCAACAGCGGACACGACGAACGGTTCCTCCGTATATATCGCCAATCGCAACATCGACAACCGAAGGCCGCTGAAGGTCATCATCGTTGGTGCTGGGATCTCTGGTATCCTCAGCGCTATCAAGCTCTTGCAGACAACCTCAGCGTTGGAGATTGTGATCTACGATAAGAACTCAGATCTTGGAGGTACTTGGTTCGAGAATCGCTACCCCGGAGTCGCGTGTGGTACAGTTCGACGAGCCGAGAATAAAGCAGATGAGCAACACTAATCACATTCCCAGATATTCCCGCCCATGTTTACCAGCTATCCTGGGACTCGAATGTTGCTTGGTCGCAATTCTACGCTTCCGGTGCGGAGATATTGCAGTACTGGCAGCGTGTGGCGAAGAAATATGGCGTGGAGAAGTACATGAAGTTCTCTCATGCAGTCACTGGAGCCACATGGGATGCCAGAAGAGCGCAGTGGAAAGTCACTGTCGACGACACGCTGGGCGGACGTACTATTGACCATGAGGGCGACATCTTGATCACCGCAATCGGCGTATTGAACCAGTGGAAATGGCCGAGCATCCCGGGGCTGAAGGACTTCCAGGGCAAGCTCATGCATACTGCGGCGTGGGACGAAGAGTTTGATGTGACTGTAAGTCACTGTACATGCAAGAGATCCGCGGAGGGTATGGCTAATCCTTCTACAGCACAAAAATGTGGCAGTCATTGGGGCTGGGTCCAGCGGGATCCAAGTTGTCCCCACTATCCAGTCGGAGGTCAACCGACTCGACCACTATGTCCGCGGTAGTACATGGATTGCTACTCCGATGGCCGGTCAGGAAGTCGAGAAGAGAGTAACGGAAGGCAGCAACTTCAGCTATACTCCGGACGAGATCAAAGCATGGGAGCAAGATCCTGAGACATACATCCAATACAGGAAGCAAGTGGAAAGAGTCGTCCAATCCGACTACGACATCACCATACGAAATTCAGAAAACCAGGCCAAAGCCAGGAAGTACTTCGAGATGCTCATGACGCAGCGTCTCTCGAAGAAACCAGAGCTTATCGAGCACTTTCTACCCACCTTCTCACCACTCTGCAAACGATTGACGCCGGGACCTGGCTATCTGGAGGCTTTGACAGAGGACAATGTCGATGTCATTGTACAACCCATCGATCGTGTCACGAAGACCGGCATCTTGACGAAAGATGGACGACAGCGTGATGTAGACGCAATCATTTGTGCGACGGGCTTCAACACACACTTCACAAACCGCTTCCCAGTGCACGGAATCGACGGCAAGAAGCTGTTCGATGAACAGACCACCTCGTCCAGGAGGCCGAGACTGTCAAACTATCTCTCCATGATGGTCGACGGCTTTCCGAACATGTTCATGTTTCTAGGTCTGAATGCCGGCGTGGGACATGGCAATCTGCTCATGATCCTCGAACGGGTCGCCGAATACGTCAGCAAGGCAGTGGCCAAACTGCAGCTGGAGAACATTCGCACGCTGCAGCCGTCTGTGAGAGCGACCGATCAGTTCACCAGCTTTTGCGATGCGCACTTCGAGCGGACCGTCTTCAGCGAAACTTGCTCCTCGTGGTACAAGACCGACGGCCGTGTCTCGGCTTTGTGGCCAGGCTCAAGTCTCCACGCCATCAAAGCGCTGCAGAATCCCCGCTGGGAGGACTTTGACTACACCTTCGTTGATGGAAATGGTGTCGGCTGGCTTGGTGACGGCTCGACGGCGGCGGACTGGGATCCTGAGGAGGACAAGAGCTATTATTTAGGGTCTTTGGAGTTTGTGAAGGACGACTTGCCGGGCTCTGTTGCGTAGCGGTAGTCAACAGTAACCAAGTTGCTGTCTCAACTGCCCAAATAACCCAAATACGTGTCGGCTTGAACCACTGACTCTTCCCTACATAGGTATCGATGGCAGACGCAAAATTCATCTTGTCACTGTCACCAAAATCCGTCTAGATCGTCTACACATCTGCAGCTACTTCGGGAAACTTGGTCTTCAAGCCCGGAAACAACCGGAAGGCGTTCTTCCACCCAATCTTACGTCGATCCTCCGCCGAGAACCCTTCAAACGCCTCCAGTGACTGCTGGGCCATCGGGATCAGGCTGTCTGGCATGTATGGATCTGAATTCCGTCAGCTCGTTGCAGTACGGATGATCCAGAGGACGCAACACTCACAGTCCGATCCCGTCAGCATCCGGTCCGCGCCTACAAACTCCTTCAGCGCCGCAGACGACGCATTACCCACGGTGACGGCGGTGTCAAAGTAATACCCTTGCAGCTCGGCATAGGCCTCATCATAGCTCTTCCCTCCTTGGAAGGACAAGGTCGACTGGATGGCGAGACGTACCGCCAGAAACGGAGTGACTCCTCCTCCATGAGAAAAGATCATGCTCATATGAGGGAAGCGTTTGCGGGTGCCAGTAAAAAGCAAGTTGCCAATGGCGCGTGTGGTGTCGAAGGGATACTCCATCACCGGCAACGACATGTTATACAGCGCCGGTGCTGCTGGAGGGCCTGCGGGGTGAACGAAGACAGTCGTCTTGCGGCGGTCCAGCTCTTCCATGATTGGATCCAAGGCCGGATCACCAAGATAGACGCCGTTGACATTGGTGTAGAGGCCTATGCCTTCCATGTGAAGCTCATCGAGGCAGTATTCGATCTCCGCCAGAGAGGCTTCGATGTCCGGTAGAGGAAGGACGCCAAAAGCACCGAGCTGTTTCGGGTGCTCTTGTGTCCACGTGGACATCTGGTCATTCAGCTGGCGAGCAAGTGTTTTGGCCTGAATGTTGCCCTTCAAGAAGCTGAGGCCTGGTGCCGTGATGCTCAAGATGGAGTAGTTGTAACCGCGGTTCAGACGCTCCTCGAGGTAAGACTCGATGGTGAACTCTGGTGTGCGAAAGCCATCAACGAAGATCTCGGAGGCATTCGTCCCTGGCGGTCCGTATCCAGCGTCCAGGAGAGCTTGTCTGTACATGCCAGGGATCGGATGCGTATGAACGTCGACCTTGAAAGTTGCGGCCATAGTGCTGGCTACTGCGAGGTGTATACTGCACAAGATCGAAAGGTAGTACATCACGATTCGACACTTTTGCTTATGAAAGGTGGATCCTTCGTCCTATGCTTTAAGTAATCACTCAGACTACATGCAATGGAAGGGTCGTTGAACTGATTCCGGCCAGCGGCTGCAAACAACCCGCTGCGGCTCCGGAAACAGACCTCTTCGATTCCGGGGCTCCGCAACACATATTCACGGTCACTTTGGCAGTTGAGGCGGGGAAAGCAGTTGAAGGGTGTGCACTAATCGAACGGACGGCCCATGACTACCTCTCAGAGAACACCAGCTGGTGCATTCGTCTACCAGACTCTTCGCAGACACCTTCAGACTCGACGATCAACTCAAACTCGGCATGGCCTTCCTCTCCTACGCTTCCCGTCAACTGGTTGCAGACTCAGACGACGTCTCGATGATCTGGGTCATCGCCATCCTCAGCGTCCTGGCTTTTTTGATGGTGTTTGCAGCGCTGCATCGACTCCTTCGACCTGTCGACAGGCTACCAGCACCATCCGGTAAGAAGTGGAAGCTGCCTCCAGGACCTTCAGGGTGGCCATTCATTGGCAGTTTACTCCTCTACAGCAAAGGCGAGGTTGCTGTAGGTCGTTGCCTTCGCTTGGTTTAGACACCGCTAATCTCTCACTTTTGAGCAGGCTCATCAGATTGCGGAGTATGGCGAGATGACTACAACTCATCTGGGCTCCAAGCTCTGGGTGGTACTGAACAGCAACCGCTTGGTGTCAGAACTGTACGGCCGCAAGGGCAGTGTCACGAACGGACGGCCACCGTACCCGATGGTCAGCGGTATGATCAGCCAGAACAGACGTTCTGTTCTGCTTCCGGTGAACGGCTGGGCTGAGCGCCGACGAGTTATGCATCAGCTGTTGAGCGGTACGGCACTCGCGAAATACCAGGATTATCAAGACATGGAAAGCATCACCCTTCTTAAAGGATACCTGCACCGACCACAAGCCTGGTATGTTCACAACCGGATCTACTCCAACTCAGTCATCCATCGCATCACTTTTGGTGAGAGACCGCCGGAGGGCGACAACGTCAAGGAAATTGCCAAAGCACAGTTCGACTTCCTGACGAATGCACCGCCCTACAATCTGTGGGACTGCTTCCCGGAGCTCACAAAACTGCCAATCATTTTCCAATGGTGGCGCCACAAGTATGCTGCAATGGGACATGCAACGCACGCGGCCTACGCCAGATACTGGACGCCATTGAAAGCAGCCATCGAGCAAGGCGACCGCCCACCTTCGTTCGCCCAAGATCTGATTTCTGGAGAGGGCAAGTTCTCAGGCACAGAGACCGACAAGATGTTTCTGGCGATGCAACTCGTAGAAGCAGGCAGCGATACCACACGACTAGCCATCAACATCTTCATCCTGGCCGCCTTTTCCAATCCTGACAAATTCCAGAAGGCCCGCGACGAGGTCGACAGTGTCTGTGGCGGCAGCGGTGAAAGACTTCCCGGCTTCGAGGACGAGAAGCTACTGCCATACATCAACGCCTTCGGAAAGGAGATGCTACGGTGGCGGCGAGTCTTCGCCTGGACGCCAGAGCATACATTGACAGAGGACCTCGCCTTTGAGGGCTACTTCTTTCCCAAGGGCACAAACTTTGTCATCAACCACGCCAGCATAGCTAATGATCCCTCGGCGTACGAGAGTCCACAGTCTTTCCAGCCTGAACGCTTTCTTGACGGGCACGAAACAGACATGGGCGGCCATTGGCAATTTGGTCATGGCCGTCGGGTTTGCGTCGGATACCGACTTGCGCAGAAGAGTCTATTTATCAATGTGGCAAGACTTGTTTACTGTTTCGACTTTGCTGCGGTATGTGACGTTACCAGATGAATGCTTTACGACGAGCATTGCTAATGTTATCGCAGAGAGAGCCTTTCGACAACACGAAGATCAATCATTTCACCCTCGACGAGCCATTCCCCGTGGAAGTGAGGGTGAGAGGGACATCATTCGCGGAACTGATCAGGAATTCCAGCACAAATGTCGGAAATGTCTGAGGAAGTGTACAATCCTGGGAGCGCAGGGTCTCCTTGCCGCTGCCTTCTGACAGATGCCGTTGATTATGCATTCAGAATCACAACTGTCTGTATTTCCGTTGCTTCAGCCCGATCAATTGACAGCTCTCCAATTCCGAAATGATTCGTAAGACTCATCTATTCACCGACGGAGTGATGTAAAGTCCGTACCCGCGACATCTCTTCACCACCGCCGGTACTGGAGAGAAATCGTAGGTAGTCACTAGCTCGCCGTTGGGGGCCATGAAACCGGAAGACGTTGCGGAATCGCTCGAAGCCGGATACCGCAGAGCTCACTTTAACCCGGGCGACATCAAATCCTGTCTTAAATCCGGCCACATTGGACGAGATGGAGGAGGCCAAAGAATCATGGACGGCTCATGAAGCGGAACCCACGAGCGGAGGTCTGTCTAACGATGGCGCGTGTGAATACCGATCGTCCACTGGCAAGGCGTTCTCTTAACTACACTTTACATTCCCATACGAAGTGACTCAGGAATAGCCTCATCTATCAGCAAAATGGCACGACAAGTCGACCTCGTGATCGTTGGAGCAGGACCAGCAGGGTGGGTCAACCGGGTCTTAGAGCAGAAGAAATCATGCATGGCTGTTCTGACCAGCCACAGTCTCATGGCAGCCGCATGGGCCGCTTTCTACAACCTGAAAACCGTCGTTCTCGACAAACGTCCCAGCAAGATCGAAAAAGGGCATGCGGATGGCCTCCAATCTCGCACACTGGAGATCTTGCACAGCTTTGGGTTTGGTGACCAGATATACAGAGAAGCCAACCGTCTGCAAGAGGTCTGCTTCTGGGTACTCCATCTTCTACGAGCGACGCCCAGACTCCTCATAACTGACGATTTCCAGAATCCAGACAACAATGGAGTCATCCGACGGACTGACAGAATTCCTGATACCATACTCGGCATCAGCAGGTTCCAGCAGAGTGTACTCCATCAAGGCCGGATAGAAGATTACTTCCTCGAGTTCATCGATCGTACCAGCAAGAACGTACACATCCAGAGATCCACAGAACCATTTGGGATGCACATAGATGAAACCCTAGTTGAAGCTGCGGACGATTGGCCGATCACAGTCCGTACACGATCAACGCAAGACGGGCTGACGAATGGCGTTCCGTCGAATAAGGACGATTTGATACAGTGCAAGTATCTGATCGGTTGTGATGGCGCCCATTCTTGGGTCCGAGGGCAGATGGGACTGGTCATGGAAGGGGAGCAGACGGAGTCAGTCTGGGGCGTGATGGATGTGATTCCCGTTACCAATTTTCGTGAGACTTCCAGTCCCTACTTGTCGAAGTCACTGCTGACTGGGAGACTCCAGCGGACATCCGTATGCGCTGCGTGATACACAGCGCATCGAGCGGATCCATCATGGTCATACCACGGGAAAGAGGCCTGGTGCGTTTGTACATTCAGCTCGCCAGCATACAGCCGGGAGCAGGCCATAGATATGACAGGGCGAAAGGAAGTCCAGAGATGATATTCGAGGCTGCGCAACGGATCATGAGGCCTTGGGAGATACGGTATGATTATTGCGAGTGGTGGACAATTTATCAGGTGTGTCAGATATCCACGACAGCTTGACGACACGACTGACACCATAGTAAAGATCGGGCAGAGATTGGGCAACGGATATGGCGCGCACGACCGCATCTTCCTCGCTGGAGATGCCGTCCACACGCACTCGCCAAAGGCCGGTCAAGGGATGAACGTAAGCATACAGGACACCTACAACTTGGGATGGAAGATCGGTTCCGTCCTCACCGGAACAGCGAGAAGATCAATACTCTCAACCTATGAATCGGAGAGGAGGCCGATTGCGAAGCAACTCATCGACTTCGACCGCAAATTCTCTCGCATGTTCTCTGGTCGTCCGGCCAAAGACATTGCGGACGAGGCAGGCATCTCCATGACCGAGTTCAAAAGCACCTTCGAAAAGGGAAACATTTTCACTTCCGGCACTTCGGTTGAATATGCGGAGAGTCAAGTGGTATCCAGCAGCTCGGGAAAGATTTTGCGGCCCGGTGTCAGGTTTCCGTCATTCCAGGTCGTTTGCCAGTGCGATGCCACGCCCGTCCAGTTGGCGGATGCTCTCAAATCGGACGGTATATGGCGGTTGGTTGTGTTCTGCGGTGACCTTACCCAGGATGCTACAAATCAACGGCTGAAGACGTTGGGCAAAGGGTTGGAGGACGCTATTTCGGCCTTGAACAAGCCAGTCGTAGAGCCCATCTTGGTTCATGCCTCTTCACGGGACAATGTCGAGCTGGCAGACGTTCCGGCACCATTCTACTACCGTTCAAATTCGAACGAGCGGGACTACTATCGAGTGTTTGCGGACGACTGGAGCTATCACCACGGCCATGGTCATGCTTACGGGGGTTATGATGTGGACAGAAATCAGGGCCTGGCTGTTCTCGTCCGTCCCGACCAGTACATTGCCTGGGCGGGTGACATCGACGATACCGGGGCCATGGAAGAGTTCCTGGACGGTTGCCTTCTTTGACCATTGGATTGAACACACTACACTACTGCTGAAATCTTTCTGCAATTACAACCTCAAATCTTCTTCGGATCGCTGCTCACTCCCGCCTCAACCATCTTCGCATCAGCCTTCTTCCGCCACTCCTGCAACCTCCCCATGAAACCGTCGTCAGCCGATTTGTTTGGCTGGTGGTCCCATTCCTCCTCGTGGTGCTCGATCATGCCTTGCGGGTCGAGCTTGAGCGTGACTTTGCTGTTGAGGGTCTTCTCGGGGGTCTTACCGCCTTTGAAGACGTCTGTAGAACAATATCAGCAGGCGGACTGGATCAGAAAAGCTGTAAAAGGTTGTCCTACAGTGTTGCGTGAGGTTCAGAGCGAGCGTATCCGGTTTCCCGTCATCGATTACCACGCACTGCTGTGTGTCGGAGCGTTCGAAGAGCTGTTCACTCGATCTTCAGTCTTGATAAAAGCTTCGTCTATAGTTGTCTATCAACGAACCTTGGGCATGCCATTGAACTGGCTCTTGATGCTATCCAAACCCTGTGCAATAGATACAGGATCATGGAATACTGCATCAGGCTTGTAATGGCAATATGATTTGTCCGTGGGCTTGAGCTGGTACAGCGACAGCACCTCATCGATGAGCTCCTGCTCTTTTGGCGTTGCTTGTCTGGTCTGCATGTTGCGGTTCGGTTTCGTCGTTGGATGTTTTAGCTTTAATTAGAGTTCTTCAATGGAGATTGAAGACTTCTGTCGTCAGTACATGCAGTTATATGTAGAGGGTATCGCCACGCCAAAGTGTATGTAGATGTAGTGGTGCGGCAATGATGAGATCATCACGTTGCGAGCTTCCACGTTGACTTGAACCCAGCTGCGTACTTGAGGAGGTATCAGATGCCATTCTGAGCACTGGTGATTGATTCTACTTTCTGCCGACACGTTGAGTAGACCAAAGTGGGCAGGTATGTGGAACACGATCTAAACTCTGCCCAATTGCTGTACCAGCTATAGCATGCCTACATGCACGGTACTGGCCTCGTAAGGAGCCACCTGTGGTATGCTCTCCTTATCAGATCGCCTCCTTTCATACCCTTGCCTTCCGGTTCCTCAACTTCCACACCTTCCAGTTCCCTTCCCTCACATTCGGCTACCTCGCCCTTCGGTGCTCCTTCAATGGGATCCTCACGCCTGACATCCTCACCCTTGAAATCCTCACCCTCGATATCTTCATCCTTGATATCCTCGCCTTTGATATCTTCACCCTTAGTACCTCTACCTTTAACATCTTCACCCTTAATATCTTCACCATTGGCATCCTCGCTTGTGATATCGTCGCCCTCGAAACCCTCATCATGTACACCCTCAGCATTTACATCCCCAACCCTCGCATCTTCACCATCCAAGCCTTCGCCATCAGCATCCTCACCCTCCCAAACCACCTCAAATATCGCCAACTGACTTCCCTCTGGCTCGCTCACCCCGCGTAGCTGAAACCTCCCCTGTTCATCAGTCTCGGCAAACAGGCGCTTCCACTGCTCCAGATTGCGCTCCCTTCCGTTGCCCAGCGCCAACTGCCCGACGTCCAGACTCCTCATGCCTCGCTCTTGGACGATGGAGATGCTGCCGGGCTCAGGCATCAGCTGCTCCATGATCAAAATCCGTGCGTCCTTGCGGAGTGAAGGTATCAAAGCCTGCAGGATCCCGTGGCAGTAAGCATCCGGCCAGTTGTGCAGGATCCAGCGCATGAAGAAGACGGCTGCGCCTTTCGTGGCGGCGGGCTGTGGTGTGAAGAAGTCATGTTCCATGTAGTCCACCGCCAGTCCGTCTGGTCTGACGGGCCGACCTTCAAACCCCGATTCGGTGTCCTGCACCATCCACTTGAGATGCGCAAACTTGCTCGCTACCGCTACTGCCGCCTCACCGTGCCCGCCTCCCACGTCGACGCACAGACTGCCGTCCGGCAGAGACGTCCAGTCGAACCCGGATGCGAGGTAGTCCCATTCCAGCCCGGGGAGCCGTTGGAAGATCGCCATCAGGCCGTGAAAGTTCTTTGCGCGCTCGGGATAGTCCTGGAGGACCTCGTAAAAGGACCTTTGGCCGCTGCAACCGTTGGCGACGGCGGCTGCTGCACGAGTAGGCTCATTCGCTTGCGGGTGCTCTACCAGCGCTTGCGGAATGTAGGCTGAGTTCATCAGAAAGTCGTCCGCGAAGACCTGGCTGGCAATCGCCATGAAGGGACTCAGAAGATGCTTGCTTGCGGCACTGTGGGCTACTCGACCAGGGATTGGCTCGGTGAAGATGCGGTGGCAGATTGCGAGACGAAGAATGGCTTCCAGAGCGCCCTGATTGATGCCTGTCTTGGAGGCGAGGTCCTCGTAGCTTATAGTGCCTACGGGTGGGACGATGCTGGCGATGTCAAACTTTGAGATGACGGCTTTTGCTGCTTGAAGTTCCGAGCCGCCCATGAGAAGTCTTGCTGGTCCCCGAGCAAGCTCGTTCAACTCCAAAGTGGCCTCTTCAACAGCGGCGCGTGCAGCTTCAATGTGTGGGGGGTACATGAGCATGGGCGGGCCGTCGGCGTCAAAGGACGGAGGAGGGACATTGTTGCTTGTAAGGTATCCTTCCAGAACAGCAGTGTTGTAGGCGATTGAAGCGGAAAGCTCCGTCAGTCGGCTCCCTTGCCCCATGCTTGAGGTGTGTGGCAGTGAGGAGAAAGGAGATGAAAAAGAGGTACATGTATGTTATACGGCGGTTATGATAAGAATGGGAAGACGGCATGGAACACCAAGGACTTGGGAACGCTTCCTACCTGTTCCAGGATGCTCCTCGATTCCGAGTAGAGCGACAGCATACCGCAAACCGTCCAATTGCGCGCCAATATCAGGAAGGATGTCGAAGGAGTGTGGACAAAGTTCTTGATCCTTGCGCTCGAGCGGCGTGGGAGTTGGCGCAACTCCATCCACGGACGTTGCCTTGTACCCAGCAACGACCTGTAAGCGCGGGAGGATATTGTGTCGTCTTCCATTGTTGACCGATGGAGGAGAGGGGGATGCAAAGGGAAGGGAAGAAGATGGAGGAACACAAGGCGCCTTTTGTGCCGAGGTTGGGCGAATCAAATGACGAGCATTAGTTACTTGCCTTCCATCGACCCGTTCCACAAGTGTTGCTTCTTACTCCTCCAGATGATAAGGTCGGCATACAGCATCAACATGTCGTTGCCCCGTATAGCCAGCACGGCCACCCGGCATCGTGCCCTGCACATCCCACGAGTCGCCGCCGCAACACCCCGTTCCATCCCATCAACACCACCCTCCCGATCCCTCCTCCGCCACTACCGCCCCGCCTCGATAACAGCAGGTCAACGACGAGCCTTCTCCAACACCGTGCGAAGACGCTTTGCTACAGTTGACGACTCTCTCGAAGCCCTCCACCAGGACCGAGAATCAGATGAAGTCGATGTCTGCATTGTCGGTGGCGGACCTGCGGGTCTATCAGCAGCCATTCGATTGAAACAACTCGCCAACGAGGCAGGGAATGAGGACTTTCGAGTGCTGTTGTTAGAGAAGGCTGGGGACTTGGGTGACCACATCGTCAGTGGCAATGTCATCGAGCCATCTGCGCTTGATGAGCTACTCCCAGACTGGAACTCAGAGGACAACCCGAACCGATATGGAGACATCACGCCGGCGACGCAGGATAAGATGCGCTTCTTGACAAAGTCGAGCTCGGTGTGGCTGCCTCCGCCTCCGCAGATGAACAATCATGGCAACTACATCATAAGTCTGAACCAGTTCTGCAAGTGGTTGGGTGAGCGCGCAGAGGAGATTGGTGTGGAGATCTTCCCAGGTTTCGCTGCGTCGGAAGTGTTGTACACGAAGGAGGGGGCGGTCAAGGGTGTGGCGACGAACGATCTGGGCATAAGTCGGGAAGGCAAGCCGAAGGAGTCGTTCGAGAGGGGTATGGAGTTTCATGCGCGGTGCACATTGCTGGCGGAGGGGTGTCATGGGAGCTTGACAAAGGGTGTGATCAAGAAGTACGATCTCCGGCGAGACAGCGACCCGCAGACGTACGGTCTCGGGCTGAAGGAGGTATGGGAGATTGATCCCGAGAAGTGGCAGAAGGGCCTCGTAGTACACTCAATGGGCTATCCACTGCCCTCAGACACCTACGGAGGCGGCTGGATGTACCACTTCGGCGACAACCTCGTCTCGATTGGCCTGGTCGTTGGCTTGGACTACCCTAACCCCTGGATGGCCCCGTACGGAGAATTCCAGAAGATGAAGCAACACCCCCTCTACAGGAAATACCTCGAAGGCGGTAAATGCATCTCCTACGGTGCTCGCGCTCTCAACGAAGGCGGCTACCAATCCATCCCCAAGTGCGCGTTCCCCGGTGGTGCATTGATAGGCGATACAGCCGGCTTCCTCAATCTTCCGAAAATCAAAGGCACCCACACTGCCATGCGCTCAGGCATGCTGGCCGCCGAAGCTGCGTTCCCTGCACTCGCCGAAACGAAAGATAGCGAAGGCGCCGTTTTCTTGTACGACTACGAGGACAAACTCCGCAACAGCTCCATCTGGAAGGAACTGAAGCAAGTCCGCAACATGCGACCATCCTTCCACACACCCTTAGGAATCTACGGCGGTATCGCATACTCCGGCCTCGAAGCGTACGTCCTGCGTGGACATGAACCCTGGACTTTCAAACACCACAAAGGCGATCACGCTGCGACGAAGCTGGCGGACGACTGCAAGAAGATCGAATACCCCAAGCCGGATGGAGAGGTGACGTTCGACATCCTGACGAGCGTGAGTCGGACAGGGACGAACCACGAAGAAGATCAGCCGGTTCACCTGCAGGTGGCGGATTGGGACAAGCATGCGGAGATGGAGTATCCGAAGTACAAGGGTATTGAGAACCGCTTCTGTCCGGCGGGCGTGTATGAGTATGTCGAGGATGAGAGCAAGGAGTTGGGGGTGAGGTTTCAGATTAATCATCAGAGTGAGTTTGCGGTGTTGACAGTACAAAGTGGCGGATGGGATTCCTGACTTGACTTCAGACTGCATTCACTGCAAGACGTGCGATATCAAGGTTCCGGACCAGGACATCAACTGGCAGACGCCGCAGGGTGGTGAGGGGCCGAAGTACGTTCTGACTTGAAAGGTCGGATGAAGTTGTACGATCGACCGAATGGGCTGCTCCTGAGCTTGCTAAATATCAGGCCGATGAGAAGTTCCAATGCTTTGAACATGCGAGCAGAAGAAGAGTGTACATGTAGCTGTGCACGTCCGAGGTGGGCCAAGCGCAGACATCTTGAGCAGAGCCGAGAGCTTGAAGCAGGATGTTGTACATACGCATAGCAATACACAGTGGCGACAAGGAGCCGGCGCTGGCCGCAGCCAGCATTCACACCCCTTGCAAAAATGTCTTAAACATTACTGATTCCATCTATAAGCGTTACTAAGGGTATAGAGCGAAGAGCATAAACAGCACCCTGATTCCTCCCAGCCTTCCCAATCGCCACCTCAAGCCTCCCCAGCAGGCTCCCCCGCCGCCATAACCCCCCCACTCGCCGCCTTCTCCAAGTCCCCATAACTCGGCGTCTGCGCTTTCCTCGCAAGCGGCGCACTATTTCCCCCATACTCCCGCGGCACATCATCGCCAACGTAGTTGTGCAGCTGGCTGCCGTACGTGAGCCAGGTCATCTTCTGGATGCTGTCTTTCGACATGAGCAGTTTCATCGTGCCCATCATCCACTGCATGACGAGCGGGACGTTGACGAAGTATTTGTAGGAGACGGTTTCGGGGTAGTATCTATGTCGATGTAAGGAAGTGGATACGCGGAGGAAGGGAGGGTGGACATACTTCTGGAACATATCGATGATCTTCGAACTCGACGCCTTCACCTCCGCTGGCTGCCGGAAGAACGAGACGGACAGGTAGTCGTGCACTTGAATCGCCTGGTACGGATCTGGACCCTGTCCGTAGTCAGGAATCACCTTGTCCGCCTCCCCAAGCCCTAGTCGCTCGATCGTGAGCTCCATCAACGCCACCCTCCACCGCACAAACGCATCTGTGTCCCCGAACGTCTTCTTGGGATCCTTGGCCGCGGCGCCGTAGATGTTGAACACGGCTACATCCTCCTCGCTGGGTGTGTCCTTGACGCCTTTGATCGTGGTGACATAACCTAACGTGGCGAATTTGGAGGCGTCAAAGACCTCATCTTTTGATGCGAGAGGGTTGTACGACTTCCTCCACTTCAGGGCATCGAGGAGTTGTTGGCGGGCTTTCGGGACGTCGTTTAGATTGGCGCGCAGGAACTTCTGGAGGATGATGAGGGTCGTGTGCGGTGCGGGCTTGCTGCGTGTCAACTCAGTTCGAGGGCCCTGGTCATGTATGGGTGAGGGACTTACTCTTCAGCTGGTGGTGAGAGCTCGACGCCATACATCTCGTTGTAGTCGGCATCCTGGAGAACGGACGGCAGCTCGTCTGCAAACTTGGAAAGAGTGTGGTCTTTGGGGAGGTTGGACCAGTCTGGCGACGCCATCTTGAGGACGGTCGAGTGTTGACACTGTTCTGTTGAGTGCTTGTTGACAAAGTTTGGGATATGCTGGTGTTGTTATCTGATCACGAGATAGTGAAGTGACTTTCCGAGGCCCGACAAGCCCGACTTCGGCGGAAAGGGGCTCTGTCTTGTTTGTCGTGATGAAAATGCGACATCAAAGATTCCATCATTGAATACGAGTTATATACTGGGCTATGCAAGTCTTCCGCTATGCGAAGGCACCGCGAGACCGCCTTATGGAGGCGTCTGCGTGGATGCCCGCTCAAACAGACGCCATACCACCATTCACACCCAGGACCTGCCCAGTAACCCATCGACTTCCTTCTCCGCTCAGGAAGACGCAAGCATCCGCAACCTCCTCTGGCGTACCAATACGATTGTGAGGGTTGAAACCGGCGATCATGTTCAACACCTGCTCGCTCTTCCCCTTGTAGAAGAGCTCTGTGCCGGTAGGACCAGGGGCGACAGCGTTCACTGAGACCCCCTTCCTGCCGAGATCCTTGGATAGCACCTTGGTCATCTGCTCGATCGCTCCCTTCGTTGAGCAGTAGAGCAGGTAGTTGGGTGTCACGGTCGAGGCGTGGCAGAGTGTTGTGGATAGGAGGACGATGTGCGAGCCAGCGCTCATGTGCGGTGCTGCTTTCTTCAAAACTGGTCAGTATGATAATAGATCCTGGGAGGGTAGGATTACTCACCTGCACCAAGAAGTAAGGCCCCTTGACGTTCAAACGGTAAGCGGCGTCGAAGTCTGCTTCTGTTGTGTTCTCAATATCCTTCATGGGCAGGATCCCTTCGATCGGTCAGCATCATCTCTCTTCATACGCTTCGTCTCAACTCACCAGCATTGGCAATAAGAATGTCCAACTTTCCAAACCTGTCCAGCGTGGACTTCACCATCTGCTCGGCGCCCTCAACGGACCCAGCATCGGCTTTGACAGCGAGTGCTCGCTCCTGGCCAATCTCCTTCACAACGGCATCCGCACTGCCAGCATCGGAGGAGTAGTTGACCACTACTGATGCTCCAGCTTTTGCGAGGGCTAGGCAGGTCGCTCGCCCGATGCCCTTCGAGCCTCCCGTCACCAGAGCGATCTTGCCTGCGAGGTTGGTCATGTTGTATGTTTGGTTATTGGTTGAGGACGTGGTGGGTATCGTCTGATCCTTCGGTTGAGGTTCTGCCGAGCCGTCTGTTGATGGGTCGTCCTGGTACGATCGATGTGGGAATATGCGTTCAATCTGATGAGCCAGCTTCTGCATGTCTATGAAGAACGACTACTCCAAGTATCAAGGTGCGGTCTATATATACTGTCCATCGCTATTTCTTCGGATCATTGGCGCAAGGCAAAAATTGCTGCACTCTGTCGATAAACGTGCAGATCCTATCTTGACAAGGACGTCCGATGACCGGAAGCCAGGCCAGCCGACATCGGCGGCCGGAGATATTCGAGCAGCAAGGCAACCTGTCCGGTCCTTCTTTGGCGCAGAAGGCGACACCCACCATTTACTCAACGAACGACAAAGATTCAAGGTTCCGGAGCATCATCATACGGAAGCCAGAACCGGATTATCATGATGGAAGCGATCGTGGACGTTGATGGCTTTGACGTTTTTTGCACCACGTCCAGAAAGTGCTGAACACTCTCTGCGGAGGAACAACAGCGAGTGGTTCAGCAGCACAGGTAGGGAGCTATCACATTCTTTGAACCAGCTCAGCCGGTGATACTGGCATGCGATGGGAGCAAAGGGCCCAACACCGCCGTGTGGCCACCCGCAAGAAAGGCTTGAAGCGTCCACACTCTCGTCAGTCTTCTTCCAGGTCCTCTTCTGAGACATCGGTATCTTGCGTATCGCTGGCCTTCCTTCGTGCAAGTTACATCGCTCTTTCAGCAACGAAGTCGGCACCATCAGCAACCCGCTCAACCGAACTCAGGGCACTGATCCTACGGCGGTGCAGCATCTCCAACTTTCCATGCCTGCAGTATCTCTTTGTCTCAAAATCCTCCTAGGCGGCAATTCCACCAACAGATTCCGCTTAATCTACTCCATCATCTGCTAATCGCAGCACTGCGACCTTCAACCTGCTTGGACTGCTTCTGAAGGAACAGCCGTTCAAGGGCCCATACAACAGGTCCTTCAGCAGCCTAGGCTTCGATACCGGCCGCCTCTATGGTGGAGAAGCCATGGATCAACCGGGGAGGAGCAGCTCTTCTCCGGGGCCATCGACTTGTGAAATCTGGGCACCCTGCACTTGAACCTGAGCGGCTGAGCACTTCGCCCATTGGTGTTGCATTGTCGGCTTGTACGCCGGATGACCGAGCATAGGTTGACGACGAGCATGGAGCACTCGCGCCATCTCCTCGACGAAAAGCGTGGTGGCCTGCTCGATGACGAGGGCCATGGCTCTCCCCTGGCAATATCTGAACTTCCCTCCACCTTCCTCGCCTTCCCAGCCCTGCGCCTTGGTCTCCGACATGGTGAATTCGAATAGTGATGTGGCTGAGAACAACCTCCCAGCGCTAGAGCTGTCGGGCGCTCATACGACTGCCGTGGAGACGTAACATCGGGATGCGCACAGATTCGAGCAGCATCATGGCTTCGGGTCAAGATTCACGAATGGACGTCCCGACGTCTACTCTATGCATTTGCTGATCTTGATACAAACTACACGATTGCAACACATGTCCACCAGATGCTGGCTTCCGAAACGCTGGCTTCTAGACCGGCTCTACCGCCGAAGTGCTTGACTAAATATGAACCGGCGGTTGGGCGATTCTACTCTAAGCGAAATGAAGATGTGGTTGTCATCCCGGGGTATGTGTGCACTTCTAAACCGCCTCCCCTACTGCTGACTCCGCTAGGTCAGGTGAGCTACCTTAATCTCGTTTGACACCTCGAAGCAATGGACAGCGTATAACACTCGGCTATCCTCTGATTGCTCCGACACTCTAAATCGCTAAGTCCCCGCACCAGAGATGGATGCTGTGCACACTCGCAACATTCCTACGAAACTGCGCTTTCTGGCCCATTGTTTCTGTGACTGCAATGTTCAAGGGTGCCCTCGCCTTGTGTGTGGCAAGCCCTTACTACCAAGCTGAAGTACACGACATCGCCGGTATGATGGACTGTTCGGGATCTTCCACGTCAGGCGGTGGCTTCCCTGGCTGGAACGAGGGGCTGTTTCAAGCAGTGCATGCGGAGCAGAATAACGAAGACAAAGGCTGCCATCAAGAATGCGGTTGAAGCTTACCCTTCAATACTACAACCTGGGAAAGTCTCGCTTTGTGCCCTGATGGGAGAACCCTTCACCATATGCACGGCTCTTGCAAGTCATCAACTGAAACAGCGTTCTCTCCTGTCTTGCTTCGTTATCAACTAACGGCGTCCTGGTCGAGGAGCACGGCTCTCATTCGCACAGCTTGACCGCTTCCCTTCTCAATCAGCGAGAGCAGCCCCGAAAGCGCTTTCTTGGCCGTCTCCTTCACCGATAAGTGTACGCCCTCGCAGCCCGATCAAGCCCTCACGACCGCATACCAGATGAGCCCCATGACCGCACCGATGATGATAGCCATGGGAGGGCTCACACCGAAACTCATGCCTCCAACAAAACTCGTGGCCAAGATGACCACCCACCAGGGATCGCGGCTCAGACTCCCACCTCCTTGGACGTTCTCGTCCAGGTAGCCAATTTCGAAGAGACGGTACACCGCGGTGAACACAAGTCCGACTGCCGCAGCATGAAGCCCTCTCAAGCACGCTCTGACCGCGTGAAGTTTGCGAGCTCTAGTCCATAGACCCATGAAGCCGGTGTGGAGCCAGATGCCCGGCGTGAAGATAGCGAGGTAGCCAATCAGCGCACCAGCCGCTGGCGGTACATTTGTGCCGGCCACCGCAAGTGTTCCAAGGTAGACGGCGAAGTTGAAGTTCGGACCCGGAAACGCTTGCGTGATAGCGAGGCCCAAAAGGAAGTCACGAGGCGCGACCCATCCAGGACCGACGACGTACTCGCGAAGGAGCGGAATGACGACAGGTCCGCCACCGAAGATGATCGTGCCGGCCAGGTAGAGATTGGCGAAGAGATCGAAGCCGCGGTACACATCACTGAACAAACCTCGGCATACCATAACGACGACGAAGGAGGCAAGGAAGGCAGCGACGATGCTTGCGCCCAGCTTCCATGACCGAGTCACTCTTGATGCGCTCCCCGAGGCCCCCTCTGCCTCGCCGTTCGGAATGCTTCTAGATGACTCAGACCTCCCGATAGGCGCCTCCGGCTTCATACGGTGTTGCGTGATGGCGGAACCTTCCTGGCCATCTCGGTCGACTCGTTCCAGCTCGACACCCTCTTCCACAGGAGGCTCGGAATTCGCAGAACGTTTCCTCACTCGTCTCCAGGCCCTTTGGAGCAGTCTCAAATCCCAAACCACGGTTGCTGTGCCGCCAACAACCATTAGCACGGGGAAGTACCACAAGGCGTTGTAGAGCATTCCAGCCGTGGCGCCAAAGAATACCAAGATGCGCGTCAGAGTATCGGTGATGGCTTTCTTACTCAGCTGGACCGCCGCTAGGGCAATAATGCCCACCGTAGCTGAATTGAGCCCACTCAGCAAGGCATAGACGGGTAAGGGCAGTTGCTCGCCAACATTGCTGATGCCCACAGCGAGACCAAAGGCAGCGATGGCCATAGGCAGACTCCAGACGAAAAGCGACAGCAGGCCCGTCCAGAAGCCGTAGTGCAAGACGTTGATGGCGTAGAGCATCTTGGTGGAGCCGGGGCCGCACAGGGCCTGACACAAGGCGAACATTTGCTGGTAGGTCGTCTCATCGATCCACTTGTAGCCCTCGACGAAGAGCCGGTGGAAGATCTGAAAGTGAACGGTAGGACCGCCGAAGGAAGTGAAGGCTAGACTCCAGTTGTGGGCGAGCATGTCCAAGGCCGGGACGGAAGAGATGGTGTTGCCGGATGGGAGCAGCTTGCTGCGGCCATTGTGTAGAACGGAGCGGAGGGAAGACCAGATGGAAGACATGATGTTGACGTTCCCGACGCCGTTAAGGCGGTTGGAAGGAGGAAGAGTCTGTAACGGCGGTCACACAGATATACGTAGAACAGAGCAGAAGCATTGCCACTAAGCTTTGTCTCGAAGTTGGAGCGATTGAGCCTCGGCCATGCGAACCATCTCCTTAGCCGTCCGGGTGTTCGTCTAGGTGTTCGTGGACGAGTACATGTAGAAGACTCTCCAACACCTTGAGGTGAGCCAAGGCCTCTGACGCAAAATGTGAGGCTCTGCGCAGGCACGTGACAAGTAGAGACTGAACCGAGGTCGTAACATCTTAGTCCAACCACCTCACCTCACCTCGAAACGATACTAATACAGCACAACCTTCGTTACCTCGTGATAGTAGCAAACAGGCAGCTCGAGGCACGAGTTCCCTCTACCTATCACTGTGGAGGACCGCTGTCAACAACTCTACATAACGAGCGCTTTAAGGAAGTGGGAACAGATCAGGGCTGCCCTAGCCGCGACGTACACTCATCCTTGTGTATGAGAATGCTATTGAAGTACTCGACTGTTACGGAGGCTCCAGGATACCGGTAGCAGCCGACACGGACACACGATATGCTCAAGATGCATTGCTTTATGCCGGCTAGACGACTCCTGGCCCAATGGCTCTAACACTCCATGTCAATGATGACCAGGGTGCTCAGTCGAAATCCATGACGACTTTGAATGTCTCACCTAAAGCTAGTTAATGGGCTACTATCTAGTAAGCAGGCACTATAATCCCGCGACAGTCCCCAAAGCCAATATACGCGCCTTTGCTACCCGCCTTGCCCGTCATGACTACTTCGTCGCCATCCTCGAGAAATGTGCGTTGCGACCCTACGCTATCATCGAGCTTCAATGGGGTTTTGCCATTGTCCGTCATTTCGAGCAAACTACCCAGAGAGCCAGCCGTGTCGCCGGAGATGGTTCCACTACCGAGGAGGTCGCCCACGCGCATCTCGCAGCCTCCAACGGTGTGGTGGACTAGCATTTGCGGGAACGAGTACATCAGATGCGAAGCGTTGGTGTCTGTGATGGTCGTCGTCGCTTTGTCGTTGCTCCCAGCCTCGGAGTGGATGGGATACTCGAGGCGGACGGAGAGTGGGATGTCATGGAATGTCGGCGCGCTCTTCTCATCAAGATACGGCAATAATGCGCTTTCAACTGGCCGTTGCGTCGTACTCTGACATCGGTGCGGTTCGAGCGCGTCGGCCAATACGATCCACGGACTGATCGTCGTGGCGAAATTTTTGGAATTGAAGGGACCTAACGGCACATACTCCCATGCCTGGATGTCTCTCGCGGACCAGTCATTCATGAGAACGTAGCCGAAGATATGCGACGAGGCCTCTGCAATGGAGATGGGCCTGCCATCCGGCCCGTTGCCTTTGCATAAGAAAGCAGCCATTTCAAGCTCCATGTCCAGCTTTCGAGAAGCTGAGTGTACCGGTGCGGCAGCCTCGGGAGCGGGCAAGATCTGGCCTGCTGGCCGCCGGATCGGACAGCCAGAGGGTCGTATACTGGAAGCGCGGCCATGGTAACCAACTGGAAGATGCATGTAATTGGGTTGCAAGGCATTCTGCGCACCGCGGAAGAGGGTGCCGACGTTGCGGGCATGGTTCACACCGGCGTAGAAATCGGTGTAGTCTCCGATGATCATAGGGACATGGTTTGCGCAGTCGCTCCGGAAGAAGAAGGCGCGGTTGCGGAGTTGGCGGTTGTCGCGTAACTGCCCGGGGTACGGCGTGTCCGCGCGGAGGAGATCTCGAAGGTACAAGCGGAAGGTCTGGTGAAGTGGGCGGCCTAACGAGGCGAAGTCGTTGAGAGACGGTTGTCGGAGACAATCGAGATGAGGTTGGATGTCGGGGCATTGCGACAGTGCACCGCCGTTGACAAGTTCTTGGAGTAAGATGGCATATTCACCTACGGCCACGGCGACTTGTCGATCTGCCAGCCGGCTGTTGTGGGAGATGACGCCGAAGGGGATGTTGTCAATCGAGAACGGGCTGTCTTCGTCAATATCCAGCCAAGATGCGGAAGCCATTTTGTGTGCTTTTTTGCTTGCGGCTGGCGTGAAAGCTGGTCAGATGTACACTTGCGACTGTAGGAATCTCAGATGAAATACCGGCAGTCGCGACCTCGAAACCTTGCCAGGCACCATTTGTTGTGGTAGGAAGAGGAAGACAGGAGGGCGGGTTCCGAAGAGTGCGGGCCGAAGATTGCCGGTCCGGATACAGCAGGCTATACTGTGCTCAGGAGTCCGTCCCGATACGTGTGATACACCGAAGACACAGACTTAAGTAGCACATAGATGTTCCTCATAGATTAAGCTGCAAACATCAGCAAGAGCACAGTTCATCAAATGGCACCGCAGTACGAGCTGTACACCTATTACCGTTCGTCATGCTCAGCGAGAGTCCGCATTGCAGCCGCATACAAAGGCATCTCAATGTCGTACAGATTCGTCCACCTTCTGAACTCCGAGCAGATGTCTGAAGACTACGAGAGGATCAATGCATCGCAGAGCGTGCCAACGCTGGTCATCACTGAAGAGGGCGGGCAGCGAACCGTTATTCAGCAGTCGGTCGCTATACTTGAATACTTGGAGGAGAGCCACCCGGAGTCGCCGAAACTACTGCCCGCCAGCGCCGCTGAGAGGGCCTGGATCCGACAGCTAGTGAACATTGTTGCTTGCGACATTCAACCGGTGACAAACCTCAGGGTGTTGCACAAGGTCAAGGAAATCGGCGTGGAAGTAACTCAGTGGCAGAAGCCATGGATGTTGCACGGATTGCTGGCATACGAGAAGACGATGCTACGTCAAGGGGTCGGCAGATACTCGTTTGGAGACACCTTAACCATGGCTGATGTTGTGCTGGCACCCGCTGTAGACGGAGCCGTACGCTTTGGTGTCGACTTCGACGAGATTCCCAACGTCAAGAGAGTGTATGACGAATTGCAAAACCATGAAGCTTTTCGTGCTGGATCGTGGACAGCGCAGCCGGACACACCTCACCAGTTTCGAGAAGCTTGTTGATCGGTACAGACACAACCTGAGTCGGTTCACATCCTTGCTTCCCTATCACAGACGCCTCTTCCCCTTACCCCGCACTTCGCTCTTCCGGAACACGCCGGGGGTAGTCTATATATCCGTGACTTTCCATCGGCTGCTGCATACCCTATTTCCTTTCCACCGTCTTTGCTTGTCACCATCTCCGCAATGGCCTGTCCGCCGCCTCTGGCGACTTCTACTGTCAGCCGTGTGGCTCCTGCCGGCCCGCGAGGCCCTGGCACCTACAAACGGGCTTACAAGGCGTGCGAAGCGTGCCGGAAAACCAAAAGCAAGTGTGAGCTGCAGCCGGCCCTCTCTGGATCTGCCTGCGTACGCTGCTGTCGTGAGCGGAGACAGTGCGTTTTTCCATTGCAGCGGTCCAACAAACGCGCAAGAGGGGCCAAGCGCAACATTGACGCCGCTGTTAGTGTCCCTATGTACGACACTTGTCTACACGGAGATCATGCTGAACCACGTGAAAGTAGACACAAGGCGATATCGGTGCAGCAGCACCGAACGAGGTCTCCGCACCTGACACAGCATGCGTCGGCGAAAAAGCCAATGCCGGTGATGGCGATGGCAGGGTGTTGCTCAACGAAGACTCGAACGTCGTACTGGACGGCATGCCAACCAGCGATCCGAGGCAGCACGCACCTACAGCGCAGGAGCGGGTGACGGAGCCGCCTATTCCGGGAGACATCAGCAACAATCTTGCAAAGACGATGGTCACATCTTCGAAGGATGCAATAGGCCTTCTATTTCAGGCTGCTGACCAGATTGACACCGACTCGAGGTCTGATGATGACGACGAGGATGATGATAGCCCGGCGGATCATCTTTCCGCTTCACACAACGGTACATCTGATGCAGCAACCCCACTAATGCATATGGAGAGGCGGCTGCCACCCCAGCTCTCAAACGAGACCATTGCACTGTGGAACAAGCATAGATTCGTCGTACAGGGCTGGTTTTCTGCGTTCGAAGCGATCTCGTATTTCGAATTGTAGGTATGTTTCTATGGGGCTGACATGCTACACCCTACTAACCACCGCGACGTAGCTTCTTCGACCGCTTCGCTCCGCTTTCTCCAGTGGCAGATTTCATATCCGCCGATCACGAGACCCACAAGCGGCTGATACTCGACGAACCTCTTCTCTGCTGCACAATTCTTATGATCGCCTCAAGGCATCTAGCAGCCCATGGCCCAGCAGGGAAAACTCGGTCTTCTTTCATCCACGCCAGGACGTGGAGGCACATCGAGCATCTCGTTCAAAGAATCACTTTTGGAACCGAAAAGTATAGCTCCGCGAAAAGTCGTACACTTGGCAGTATCCATGCATTGCTGCTCATTATTGAATGGCATCCTCGACTTTTACATTTTCCGCCTGAGCACGATGGCTGGGACGCTGGCCTAGCTCCGACTGTAGACGACTCCTTTCAGCTGCAGGACCGCAATAGCGAGACAGCGAGACGCTGGCGCGAGGACGTCTTCGAGCCCGCGAAAAGGTCTGACCGGCTGAGCTGGACGCTGGTTGGCCTTGCGATCACGCTCGCTCACGAGCTTGGAGTCTTCGACCCTCAGAACGATGGAGGCGAGGTGGGCGCAGCAGAAACTTACGTTCCCTCGACCAAGATCCGGATCAAGAAGCTTCTATACCTGTATTCTCACCAGCTGTCTCTGCGCCTAGGCTGTCCGAATATGTTTCCTCAAGGAGAGCATTCTGTACTCCAACCTGCGCCGGCAGCAAGACTCTCGCATCTCGACCATGCGACTAGGGACCGAGAGGTACTCTTGACTAAGTGGATTGAGATCACGAAGCTACTTACCACTGCGACACACATGTTCTTCTCCAGCCCAACAGCGATTAAAAACATTTTGAGGAGTTACCAGTACATTGGCCTGCTGGAACATTTTCAGCCTCTTCTAGATCGGTGGCACGAAGACTTTTCCAGAGCATCCTTGCCATGTAAGGAGGTTACACCCAGAAAGTGCAGTTTGCAACGTTGATCTATGCTGATTACTTACGTTCAGCAATACCGGCTGCTGCGAAGCAGGCACTCTTGGTCGACTACTACTACACGCGCATGTACATCAATTCGATAGCTTTGCAAGCCCTTGTTGAGCGTGCCAGCCAAGCTAGCGCTGGCAACTCCTGGCTGGAGCAAGACTACCTGCGGACAGAAAGCGCTCAAGATATCGGCTTCATCAACGACGTGAGGGAGTCAAGCGGTCAGATCCTTGTGGTCACCAAGAAGCTTTCTGACGACGGAGTTCTCGCCTATTTTCCCGTTCGATTCTTCTTGCGAGTTGTAGCGGCGTCAATCTTTCTTCTCAAGACTATCAGTCTCGGGTCGACAGGCACCGATGCAAATGTTGCACTGGATCATCTTGAAGACGGGATCCAGGCACTGATGGGCCATGAGTCTGACGACATACATCTTTCCAGCCGCTACGCGGAGTTGATAGCACGCCACGTACGCAAACTCAAGCGAAAATTACACGCTAAGAGATCCGGACGGACTTCCGGCAGGAAGAACGGTGCACCGCACATGACTGCTCGTGCGTCCACGCCAAACATGAGCCAGGACGACATGCAAAATCTTGCTGGAGCTGCCGCACAGAATGAGGTAGATCTTGGTCAGGGCAGTGTCAACATGGACGGGATGCCTGTTGGCGCTGCATCTTGGAGTGACACTGTCTGGGACGACTGGCTGGCGAGGCCTCTGGATCCGCTCGTGGCACCCTTTGGTATTGAGCCGGCTCAATCCACTGCTGGCCTCGCCAGTGACTCGCTTGACTTTCTCTGGGGTCCACACATGTGAACAGAATATCTATCAGATTGGTGGCAATTAGATTCGACTCGCTTCAGACGTAAGAAATGGAGTCCTATCCATCATCACCATCGATAGCTATGGCAAGCGCGAGAATAACAGGATGTACTCGAAGCTGCGGCACTTGTCAGATATCTTATCATCTACTCCGTACACTTCGTTATTATTCGCCAATCGCATCCGGCGACACGCCAAAAGGCGACGCAAAACGAAACTCCAAGGTGTAAGAAAAACAATGGTAAGTCGCTCGAGGCTGCATTTGGTCTTGATGACTATTGTTGCCGGGTAAAGACCTCGCCTCTACTTCCCGCCGGCCCCATTGACTGCCGTCGGAGCCATGACCCCGGTGATACCATTTGCGTCGTACTTGTACTTCTCCTCGAGATCCCAGTACTTGTTGAAGCCAACCCCTCGACAGACCTCAGCATAACTCAATATCTCGGGAGGCGCGCCGACGGTCATGCTCTCTTTCAGGCTCTCCAACGCCTCACGCACGGCCTTCAGCTTTGCCGCGACCAGCCGCCAGGGGTATGCTACAGCACACATGCCCAACTCCGCAAGGTCCTTTGCAGAGAGATTCTGCGTCATACCACCCTCAATAATATTGGCGAATGTGGGAATGCCAATCTCCTGGACCGCTTTCTTCATTGCGTCAGCGTCAGGAAGTGCCTCGACGAAGACGGCGTCAACACCGATTCTCTTGAACTCCTTGGCGCGGGTCATTGCCTCATCCCAGCCAAGTATCAACGAGTCCGTTCGAGCGAGTACGAAGATGTCTAGGCCGTCATTTCTGGCATCCACTGCGGCTTGGATCCGCGCGTAGGCCTCGCCGCGGCTGACTACTGACTTGCCTTTGGTGTGGCCGCATCCTTTGCGGAGAACGGTTAGCGATTGGAAAAAGCAGAAAGAACAAGATAAACGATGGCTTACTCTTCGGCCAGGTTTGGTCTTCGATCATGATGCCGGCTGCGCCAGCCAGAGCGTATGACTCCACGGTCCTCTTGACGTTCATCGGGCTACCGTAGCCAGTATCGCCGTCGGCCATGACGGGTACACTGACCTGGCGAACGGCCTCCTGGATCTTGTCACACATCTCCTGCATGGCAATGTATCCGGTGTCTGGAAGACTATCCGGACGTTAACGGAGTTCTTTTGTTCCAGATCTCGCACAGTTGCGGGGCGGACAACTCACCCATAGCTGCTAGCACAAGGATAGCCAGCAAGGAAGATCATCGGAAACCCTGCTTCCTCGACGAGTCTTGAGGTAAGTCCATCCATGGAGCAGCAATGAGCCAGGATCTTGGTAGGGTCTCGGTGGGCTTCCAGCATCATCGTCCTCAGTCTCGAAGCTTGAATGGATGGCACATTTCCGCGTACGTTTGGCAGGTGAAGCCGGACATCTTTCGTGTCACCAGCCTTGCCTTGCTTACCGGGATACACGATAGGATCGTCGAATGCGAAGGGATACTTGTGTGTGTTGACGATGCTCGCGGTCATGGTTGTTGATTCTTTCCAGCTTGTTGAGTTTGACCGGTGTGTGGGTAATGCGACACGGAACTAGACACGGTCGATGTGAGTTGAAAAGCCGTTGATGACCGGAAAAAGACCCAAGAGATGCGCTCACTTGATTAATAAAAAGAGCATCAGAAGCTACGGCGGTAGGGAAACGGCGGTCGAGGGCCGTCCGTTAATAGCAGAGCTGGCGGCTAGCAGTGGAAATTCGGATCTTCCTAGTCGTTCTTCCAACTTTCCGTATTCTGCACAGTCTCTCCTCTGTCCGAAGGCATGCATGGAACCATTCGGACAGCGCTACTGCTATTACCCCATCATGTACACGATGTTGGAGAGACTGCTTGCGGATCCTTTCCGTGATGTGCAAGAAACATGCGCCCACAAATAGGCTGTGCATCTGCCATGGTCCTCGGTCACCTTTGGTAAGAGCTAATCACAATGCCTGTAAGTGAGTTCGACTTCGCCGAGAAGTATGCGTATCTCAATGGCTTTGGGGTTTATCACGAATCTTCTGCGTTGAAGGACGCCCTCCCGACCGGACACAATTCGCCACAAAGGCCACCTTACGGGCTGTACGCAGAAAAGCTCTCTGGAACAGCCTTCACTGCTCCACGACACGAAAATCAACAGTCATGGCTCTATCGCATCTTACCAGCTGCCGCACACCGTGCGTGGGAACAGGTTCCATTAGAAGACTACGACAGCGACAGTCTGAGCGGCTCCAACGTGCAACAACTCCCGAACCAGCTCCGATGGAATCCCTTCGACTTTGACGAAAGCGTGGACTGGGTACGAGGTCTCCATCTAGTGGCCGAAGCCGGCGATCCAGCTATGAAGTCCGGTCTGGCGGTCTACGTCTTCGCCGCAGGGAAAGATATGGCAAAAACGGAAGCGTTCTATTCGGCGGATGGTGACATGCTCATTGTCCCTCAGCACGGCGTCCTGGACATTACCACCGAATTCGGTGGTATTCTTCTGCGAGCGAACGAGATTGCAGTCATCCCTCGCGGCGTGAGGTACCGTGTGGATTTACCGCGTGGTGCGGTGAGAGGATATATCTGCGAGCTGTACCAGGGTCACTTTCAACTCCCAGAGCTTGGCCCCATTGGATCGAATGGACTTGCCAACGTGCGCGATTTCCAGGTTGCGACGGCTTCATATCGAAAAGACTTTGGCGAATGGAAGATCACCTCAAAGTTCAATAGGCGGCTATTTCGAATGGCCCAGTCGCACACCCCTTTCGATGTCGTCGCCTGGCATGGCAGCTACTATCCTTACAAGTACGATCTTGGACGATTCAACACTATAGGCTCAATTTCTTTCGACCATCCCGATCCTAGTATCTTTACAGTCCTTACCGGTCCAAGCAGTTCCCCAGGCACCGCCATTGCGGACTTCGTCATCTTCCCTCCTCGGTGGCTAGTCCAGGAAGCCACATTCCGACCGCCGTGGTATCACCGCAACACAATGTCTGAATTTATGGGGCTTATTTCTGGTGACTACGATGCGAAATCGTCAGGCGCCGGTGGGTTTCGACCGGCTGGTGCAAGTTTGCACAACATTATGAGCGCTCATGGACCTGATGCAAGTAGCTATCGGAAAGCAACCGAGGCGCATCTTGAGCCGCAGAAAGTCGGCAGTAGATCGATGGCGTTCATGTTTGAGAGCTGTCTCATGGTCGGGGTAACCGACTGGGGCCTGAAGCATTGTGAGAAGGTGCAACAGGACTATAACGAAGAGAGTTGGGAGCCATTAGTTTCTCATTTTGACGAATCGCTCATCAACGAGACGTAGCCGAATGCAACTGAGCATGAGCGCTGTGCAGTTCAGGACGCAACGATGTTCTACGGCAGCTCGACTGTCCTGCTCGCGGAGGAAAGGTCTTCCATTTTGCCAGACTCAAACCCTGCTGCTAAGAAAGACACACGCACACATGACTTATGAACTACACTCTTGATACTCCTTGTTCAATGCCCGTTTCACCATCTGACCACAAAGCTTCGCGTATGGATTTGTCTGGACCGCCATCTGCTTTGCAATCTTGTTCCCGTATCGGCCACCGAGCGCAAATTCTTTGCTGGCCTCCTCCTCCAGGGTCCCGCTGTCGGATATTGATCGCCCGTTTGTCGCTGAAAGGGGTCCGGCAAGGCTCTGATCTTTCGATGCTCTGTATAACAAGTGGCCGCGGTGTGTATGGGCTGCGGCTAATACTTTGGCCTCCTTCGCCGAAGTGTTGTTTTGGGAAGCTAGGCGAATGGCGACGTCCAAGTCATCCAAGATGAGCCTCGTGTCTTCGGCAGAGTATCGTGCATCTCCACAGCGTTCAAGCATGCGCCTAGCTTGCGCACGGTTGTTGTATGCTGAAGCGTAGCGTGGGTACTCATCGAGAAGGTCATCTAGAGCGGCAATTGTGGTTCGAATGGCACTCTCAGAAGGCTCCTCGGTATCTATGGAAGAGATGGCTTCGCGCTCCCGGTTTCGACATTCCCCGTCACCTGCAACAGTGCTTGAGGCAAACGAGCATGGTTGGTAGGGTATCTCTGATGGTGTCCCTTCGGGATCGAAGATTGCGCTCAACACGGAGAGATCGTTTGTGCTTAGCTGGGGAGCGTTGGCCATTCTGCGGATATGACTCTGAGGTGTCGTACGAAGAAACAGGCGCTAGGGAGAGCAATGTCGGCCAGATGGCTTTAACAGCCGTCAAGTTTCGTGATCAGGCAGAAAAACAAAACAGGAACGGCCAGGCTGGCTCAACGCCGCACGCACACAATGCTAAGCTGTAGAGCGTCTGCTGACGAGCGATTTCCTCGAAACTCACCCCTCCCGCAGTGTTGCTTGGACATCTGCCTTGGACGGCAATATGCGGATCCTTCGGAGAGTGTCAAGTTGAGCCGCATAGATATCCGAGACTTTCCGGTATTGAACCCCTTCATGTCGCTGAATACCCAGCGTCGGATACTACCCTCACATTCGGCTTCGCGATTCCAAGCAAAAATTCGGCTCAGTCATGCTTCGTTTCTCACACAATACCCGGCATCAGCGATTATGCCGCACAGCTACACTTTGCGAGACCACCGCCACCCTTTACGGGACCACCAATTGTCGCCATACAAGAAAGGTTGTCTTCTGCATTGCTCGCCAGTCACGGACGCACCGCTGCTGCATATCTCGCTGCTTACTACACAAACGCCTCACTTAACGCAACGTGGGACGCTTTTCCCAACGCTTGTTCACCACTGGACGCCCAAAGCTATTAGCATTCAAGATGGCGACTGAAACCATTACCGAAGACCCGTCGCTGCAACTGCATGTGGATGCATCTGTAGGTGCATCTCAGAGCACCAAAGCATCTGAGGCCCCAATCAGCACATATCAAGGCTATGACAATGTCCATTGGTACGTGGGAAACGCAAAGCAGGCTGCCTCGTATTACACGACACGCATGGGATTCGAGAAGATCGCCTACCGCGGTCTAGAGACTGGTTCAAGAACTGTGGCCTCATACGTCGTTCGCAACGGCAACGTGACGTTCGTTCTCACCTCGCCCATACATTCAAAGGAGTCCCGATTGGAAAACTTGTCGGAGGATGACAAGCATCTGCTTGGGGAGATCCACCGCCACCTGGAGCTGCATGGTGATGCAGTCCGCGACGTCGCCTTCCGTGTTGACGACGTGGAGACCGTATACCGAAATGCTATCGACAATGGAGCGAGATCAGTCTATCCACCCAAGGAAGTTTCGGACCAGTTTGGCACGGCAAAGTATGCTCGTATCTGCACCTATGGCGACACGACACATACACTGATCGAGAGAGCCAACTACCATGGTGCTTTCCTACCAGGATTCCGTTCAGTTGACGAAAGGGATCCTCTTGGGAAGTACCTTCCGCCGGTCCAGCTTGAGCACATTGACCATTGCGTCGGGAACCAGGACTGGGATGAGATGGAGACGGTCTGTACCTAGTGGGTGTCCCTACATCATGCTCAGTTACGTGATGATTTCTAACTGCTGTCAAAGCTACGAGAAGGCTTTGGGTTTCCATAGGTTCTGGTCTGTGGATGACAAGGACATCTGTACCGACTACTCGGCTCTGAAGTCTGTCGTGATGGCTTCTCCCGACGAAGTTATCAAGATGCCCATCAACGAGCCTGCGCGGGGCAAGAAGAAGTCACAGATTGAGGAGTACGTCGACTTCTATCAGGGGGCAGGGGTCCAACACATCGCCCTACGCACGAACGACATTATTCGGGATGTTGCAAACTTGGCGGCGCGCGGCATCGAATTCATCAAAGTTCCTGACTCCTACTACGACCTAATAGCTGCCCGCTTGGCCTCTACTGGATTGACACTTGAGCAAGACTTCGCAAGATTGAAGGAATTGGGCATTCTGATCGATTTCGACGAAAGAGGCTATCTTCTACAGCTCTTTACTAAGCATCTCATGGACAGGCCGACGGTCTTTATCGAGATCATATACCGCAACAATTTCACTGGATTCGGGGCAGGCAACTTTAAGAGTCTGTTTGAAGCAATTGAGAGGGAGCAGCTGAAGCGTGGGAATCTGTAGAGTGGTGACTTGCGTAAATTTGATCAATCACACATAGTTTCTCGTTCGCCGTAGAGGGGGAGGTTATTATTGCCACAGCACAATAGACTAGAGACTCTATGGTCACCTCCACAAGCAATCCACAACAACAACATTTGAACTGTACGTGATGTATTAGCCTCCCTCGATCGCTAGTGTGCAATGAACTAACCCATAGACGCGAAACGTAAACCGATGCGCCTGGTCTCAAATGGACTCTTGGTCCGGCAGTTCTCTATATCTTTCAAGATGATGCAGCCTCGAGAAGCACTTCAATTGTGTTTTGAGTCTGCACACGCTGGAAACGCTCATCCGCAAACTTCTCCAACATCCGCTGAGGAGCACTCTGCAAACCGAGCCGTGCCCACCAACGCCCTAGTCTCCTCCTATCCACAACAACTACTCAGCTCACGGAGAGGCGGTAGGAGCTCGCCTGGTATCGCCCGGCCGTAAACGTGTGCAAGATCCGGCCAGGCGCCGGATATTCTACCCCGGATACCCCAGGAAACAATCCTTGGTATGGAGTTCTCCCCATTTCCCCCGAGGCGTTTGCAGTATCAAATGTTGGCCCATAGTATAAGATTGAAAGGGATGCGGTCTCCTTGATCCAAGTTGGTGATCTATCGCCTTGGGCTACATCTTTCTGCATTCGAGATACCTTCGGCAATCCTCCCCTGTTATCTACTGTCGACATGGACAAGAACAATATGTCCAGCCAACTGGAACACGCCGATAAATCGGGCGAGGAATACACCCATCGCATCGATGTAACCACGGAGCAAGAGGCGAGCATCCGAAAACACGTTAGTTGAATCACTACATCTGTGTTGCCTACGTCGTAATGCTGATCTTGACCCGAACACAGTTTGACCGCCGTGTGGTACCCATCGTTTGCACGCTCTACGTCCTTTCCTATCTCGACCGTGGTAATATAGGAAACGCAAAGACTGCTGGGGCCGACGAGGACCTGGGTCTAGACGATTCGGAGTGGACCTGGGTGCTGAATGCGTTCTATATCTGCTACGTCTGTTTCGAATGGGTAGGTCTCCAAGGCCGTGTTTGAAAAACGCTTCTGAACGGCTTGCTGACAGCAACTCTCAGACGACCATCCTCTGGAAGATCTTCCCGGCGCACATCTACGTTGCTGCACTATGTCTCCTCTGGGGCGCTTGCGCCATGAGCGCGGGCTCTGTACAGGATATGTCCCATCTCATCGCTTGCCGCGCGTTTCTGGGTATATTCGAAGCGTCTTTCGGCGCCGGAGCGTAAGACTTTCCCATCAAGACTCCCGATGGTGTCACTTTCGGGCCAGAGTTAACGTAGACCGCGCAGACCATACTTCCTCTCCCTTTTCTACCAACGCACTGAGCTCGCCTTTCGCACCTCCCTTCTTCTCGGCATGGCGCCACTTGCAAATACGTTCGCCAGCGCGCTCGCGTACGGTATTTCGCAGATTCAGGGCTCACTTGCTCCATGGCGCCTCATTTTCCTCATCGAGGGCGCACCGACCGTACTTTTCGCACCCGTCGTCTTCTTCCTGCTCCCCGACTCGCCCGGCACAGCGAAGTTTCTCACGGAGGAAGAGCAAAGACACGCACTCGAGCGCTTCAAGACGCTCGACCATACTGCGAAGAACCACATCCACTGGAAACAGTTCCTGGCAGGCGCGACGGACTACCGAAATATCATGCACATGCTTATTCACTTCATGTGCAATTTCTCATTCGCCGGCTTATCAAACTTCCTGCCAACGATCGTTGAAGGCATGGGCTATGAGAGCATCAATGCCCAAGGCCTGACGGCACCAGTCTACTTCACCAGCTTCCTGTGCTGTGTCGCCGCCGCGCTTATCAGCGACAGATGGGGCAAGCGAGGCTTCGTAATCATGGCTTTTGCGGGCACCGGATGTATTGGATATCTGCTCCTGGCGGCGCTGGAGCATGAGCGCTATAACAACGTGCGGTACTTCGCCGTGTGGTTGGCTGTGTGCGGTGTCTTCCCAGCTCTCTGCATCAACGCAAGTGACTCAAGATAACCCCTTTGGCACAGTCTCTGACTAGTACAATAAACAGATTACTTGGCTCCTTAACAACAACACCAATGAGTCGAAACGAGGAGCCGGTCTTGCCATCCTCGCTATATTCGGCCAGTGCAGCTCCTTCCTGAGCTCCGCGATGTTCCCTGACGCCGATGCGTATGTTCATCAAGTCCTACAATGGTGCACATGCTCGAAAGAGGTTGCTGACCTACTCTCAGTCCCTTCTTCGTCAAAGGCAACGCAATCGGCTGCGGCTTCACCGGCAGCATTGTTCTGCTCGCGGCAGGCCTCTACTTCCGCATGCGCTACCTCAACAAGCAAAAGGATGCTTTGCACGGCACAGCAACTGACAATGAGCAGCTGGATGTCACGGATCTGGGCGAGAGCCACCCAGGCTTTCGATATCTGCTATAGTCGCTCTTGTGCCTGCATCGAAGCTTTATTCTGCGGCTGTAGCAGTAGCTCGACGAATGGTTGAAAGCGAGTTTTGTCACCTTTAGTAGCTGCTTCTGTCTAGCTCGAAGGTAACAAATTAGTGAGAGTCCCTTTTGACCATTTCTCCTTTCGCTCATGATTTCCAAACCTTTGAGATGGCTTCTACTCCAACGCCCCCTGAGACAAGAGTGAGACAACCACTCCGCACAACAACTCCAATGCGTGCCAGATCAGGGCTGCCCGAGGAGGTAGCCGCGACATACACTCACTTGTACCTTGTGCATCGGAATGCTGTTGAGGTACTCGACTATTGCGGGGGCTCCAGGATACCGGTAGCAGCTGACACGGACACACGATATACAGGTTTTCAATAGCACTCGAGATGCATTGCTACTACATCGCTTGACGCGACGTTGAAAGAAATATATCCGCTACAGCCTACCTCAATGCCGTGCTAATGGGCTCTTCGATTTTTTGGCACTGAGTGACAAAGCAGTTGCTATAATCGTCGAGGAGAAGGTTCTTCTCGTGCTGATACAGCCTCCGTTTGGCCAACAACGGACAACAGCAGTGGGGAGGCCGTTTCAAATCCGTAAGCTTCAGGCGACTTCTTCATTTCCAGTCTCGTACATTCTTGTATACCTATTGGTGTACGAAGCAGGAGAGTACAGATTGACTATCGGGGTGCTTCGATCGACACATCTAGCCCGTCTCATGTCAGCACTTGATCTTCATCTCATTTGGCGCCGCTTTACCAGAAGAGGCATCTTTGGACCTCATCTTCCAACAACCCATGCCATCTACCCCTTATGCCTACTTTCTGGCCAGCATCGAGATGGTATATCGGTGAGCGCTTTCCCGTTCATTCCTGTAATTCCACTTATGACCTTCTTCGCACCAAGTTGGTCATTCGTTCAATTGCCTCACACGAAGATGGGAAATCTGCTACATGGTCTGGCCTTTGCCTTCCTGGTGGCATCTTCCGCCTGCCGCGACATCCCCAGCAATGTTCAGTCATTCGTCGATCGAGTAAAGAGCGGCAAATGTGAAGGCGGTTCGATCCTCCAAGATGGCTTCTACGCCAACTACGCCGGAGGCAAGAGTGAGACCACCATTCTGCACAGTATATCCCACGAGTACTGACCTCCACCAGCCCAAGCCTACTGCCAAGACGACGCAACAGGCGCCATCTACATCGTCGGCGACAGCGGTTCTCTCGCAGACATGGACGTCGACTGCGACGGCGCTCAATCCGACCACGGCGACGGACGGTGCGGCTACTCGGACGATACCTAGTCGATGACCGCCTTCGAGTACGAGGTCAAGCAGTATTCCCACAATAAGGTCTCCGATCTCAACGCCAATTACATCCCGTACGTGGTCTTCGGTAACTACGGCTCGACGAAAGGATACACCAACTTCGATCCGCAGGAATACGGTCTCCAGCCGCTGAGTGTGATGGCAGTGGTGTGCGGTGACCATCTGGTGTATGGCGTTTGGGGCGATACCAATGGTGATGATGGCCCGCCGGTGGTGGGAGAGGCTAGTATCTCTCTAGCAACTGCATGCTTTGGTGACGGCATTACGGGCAACAACGGACATGACGAGACGGATGTCCTGTTCATTGCCTTCCCGGGGAGTGAGGATGGTACTGTGAACAGAGACGCCGAATGGGGAGCAACGGACTTTTACACGTTTGAGGCTTCGATTGAGTGGCTCGGAGACGACCTGGTCAGCACGCTGTGGTAGGTTAGAGGGCGTCATGGCGAGGGTAGGGGGTGGTGATCCCTGTTTCTTTTCCGGTATACTTCACCCGTTGCTACCCTCTAGATCCTCACAAGTAGCCAATTCACTCTCGGTTCCGTCCAGCCATTGTTCTGTACTCGCTCACGGCACCCGTCGCTCACACAATGAGAGAACAAAGCATCTTGCCCCGATCTTCTTTGTGCCAGAGCTTTCAGTGTCCATTGAATGTGACCAGCGAAAGCCAAACAAAGAAGAAAGCCATTGTCCCTTGCCTTAGAAAGAGAAGCCACAATGCATTGTCGAAGCGTCGTCGAGTAAGTGGTATATATCTAGAACCGAAATCCTCATCTCTTACTTTTCGATCCCCAACAGCAACGAAGAAGAGGAACGCAAGCAGAAGAACTTTCAGGCTCACGAGAACTCCCGGCCTTCAACCCAGCGAGCACTCGCACTCACACACCCACACCAACCCCCCAACACCAGAACCATGTTCTTCTCGTCCTCCCGCCGCCCCTCCTCCGCCCGCCGCAGCTCCTCCAGCTACCAAGATCTCGGCGGCCTCCCCTCCCCCGCCGAGTTCAACTCCGGCCGCCGCAGCTCCAATTACGGCAGCACCACCTCAACCCGCTACATCCCACGCCCGACCCGCACCTACACGATCAAAGCCTCCATCTGCCAGCACCCGATCCGCGAGTCCACCTCCCTCCCCTGGTCTGGCAGCACGCTCGACTTCGACGTCCGCTACTGCCGCGCCTGCGAGAACTCGAACCGCATCCGCGACGAGCGGCGGGAAGCCGAGAGCTCGTACACGCGCAGCCGAGCCGCCTACGACGCCGGCACGAGACGGCGGAGCGCTCATAAAGAGGATCTCCGCCGGTATGATCGTGCTAGGATCGAGTACCAGGAAGATCTCGACTTCCAGTCAGACCGCGATGACCGCGAACGGCGCGCTCGAGGCCGTCCGACGTTGCGGGAAGAAGCGCGCGCCTTCGCGGGAAAAGACGATCCAGAGTGGTTGGCGTTCAAGAACGAAGTCCGCGGCTACCCTTCCCCCAACCCACGCCACGCACGCTTCGACGAAGCAGTAGCGCACCGGCGTGAGTCCCAGTACCGTCCGCAAAAACGGTACCGACGGGACAGTAGGAAGTACCGCGCGGGCAGCCACTCAGATACCTCTGGTCTCGGCTTCTGGGACACGAGTAATGTGGAGGTGCCGACGCGGTCGCAGAGTCCGAGGCGCGAGAGCTCGAGACGGCAGAGCAGGCGGTTCGAGGATTTCGGGGATGAGGATGGGTATCAGGATTACCTTGATACGTTCTCTAGCGAGCAGCTGCAGTCGAGGAAAGGGAGGTTGGAGAGGGATCTGGAGCGCTTGTGCAGAAGGTAATTTGAGTGTGTCGAGCAGGTGAGTCGAGTAAGGTAAGTTGTTGGCTCTTCGTGAGCGTTCGTACTGCATTCGTGACACTAGAATGAAAATCAGCTGTTCAACACAAACATACTTGACCATCTTCACATCATCCCATTCCTCGTGCAGCAATTTGTCAATTGTACGGCGTCACGTTGTGTCCGAAACCCCGCCGAATCCAACAAGTAAAAGAGAAGATAAAATGTCGACGCCCGACCAAGGCAAACTCTGTACTTTCCATATTCTCATATCCCATATATCCCATAATTCGTACACATGTGCCGCACCTCCACAATGTCCAAACCGTCGCCACATGCCGTCCAGTCTTTGCACGCCAACGCCGTACTTCGCAGTCCCCGTCGTAAGCGCAGCCAATCCATGCCAAACCTCCCCAGAGCCTTTTCCGATACGCCGTAATTCCATCGCTCAAGCTTCGGTGGCTGAGGTCCATCGGGTGTTCCGCCCCTCAAACCCCTCAGCAAACCGACTGCGCGAAATACTCTGGGGCGTCCCATCCCCACCCTCCCCTGGTGTCCCCTCCGCCTCCGGCTCAGCACTCCCCGTCCTCCTCGTCCGAATCCCAAACACCCTCCTCAACCGCTGCCTCGTGCTCCTCTCCTCCTCTACAGCCTGCTCAGTCGGCGCCTCTCGCCTCTGAGCAGTACGTTGCTCTCTCAACCTCCGCAGCGCTGCGAGTCGTTCCTCACGACTGATCTGTGCGGCCTCTGCTCGGCCGTAGTGGACGCGGTGGTTGGGGCGGCCGATGTCGCGGATTCCTTCCAGAAGACTGCGGCGGTAGCCCATCCGCGGTGGTGGCTCCTGGGGTTGAGAAGGCGCGCCGTTAGGGTCGGCGCCTACTTCACGGAGGATAGGGTTGCCGTGCTCGTCTACCTCGCCGGTGTCCTCCATTTCAGGTGGAGGCGGTCGGAGGTCGATGCGGCAAAGCGGGCAGGTACCGGAGACGTTCAGAAGCCAGGGGTCGACACATGCCGGGTGGAAGCGGTGATCACATGGCAGAACACGTTGGTCTTCACCGGCCTGGAAATCTTCCGTGCAGATGCTGCAGCCGAGATTGTCAGGATTGTGAGATTGAGAATTCGATCGCTGGGCGGTGATGGCTGCTGCGATACCGTCCTCGATAGATTGGCGGTTTCCTTCTGGCTGATCGCGAGGCTCGTCTGGACCCCTGGTCTCTCCATCACCGGTCGTGTTCCTATCAGATCCGTTCTCCGCCAGCTCCACATCCGCGGGCTTGGGTGCCTCTCGCTGACCTTCGCCGACCTTCACCAGCGGCAGGGTGTCAACAACAGCCCTCGCCAGACCTCTCGCCCTGCTCTGCCGTGGCCGACCGATCACATTCCGTGGCCCATACCTCTCCGGATGACGATGCGCTCTCATCGCACCAGTCACGATGATGACCACGAACAGCGCCGAAATAATACCCGTGATCGAATACAGAATAATCATCGCCACAGCCGTACTAGGCGTGCCCGGCGGATGATCCTGATCCCCACCCTGCCCCTGATGTCCCGCATTCGCCGCCGCAGGACCACTGCCATTGATCCCGCTCGAAGTCCCGATCGCAGCATATACGTCTTGGCCATCGGCGTCCTGCGTCTCGTTCAACATCTTCGCCGTATCCGTGCTGTTCTTCAGAGTGTATACCCAGGGGTAGTCGTCGCTGTAGTCCATCAAGTGGCACCAATCCGAGTACTCCGAATATAGCACTATGGCAGTGACGTTCTTCTCGTACGCCTGACGGAACACATCGTCGGCCTGTATCTCGCCGGAGTAGTCGTCGCAGGAGATCAGAGCGACGTCTTCTGAATCGAGATTGAGGGCATTGGCAGGGTCGGTGACGATGACGGGGCCGGAGAGACCTGTAGGCTGCAGCGGGATTCAATATCAGCTTCACCCTTTTCGCCGTGAACAATGGCGATCCGATCATGCTCACAGGTATATCATTGTACCCATCCCGCGTCAACGCCAGCACAGGCGCCAGCGGGACCATCTTGTCTCCCAGCGAAATCTGCAGCATCAACGTCTGATCGTCTCTCGTCGCCGCATCCCCCGCCGTCCAGTTGGTGGGAATGAACGTCTGAGCCGCGGTCGTCCCTAGTAGCAAAGTGGCCGTCGCCAGCCATGTTCTCCAAGACATTGTCGTGGTATATTCGTGGTATATCAAAAGTCAGGCTGTCCACATCCAAGTCGAGGTAACAGCGCAGTCTTAATAACGAGCGTAACGCAGCACTGGCATCCTCACACTGCCACCCTTCCAAGTACGACAACGAAATTCAAGTGACCGCAGAGATGTAGTGTAAGAAAGAGCGCGGAAGGTCCATCGTTCTCTCTTGCGGATTGCTTTCGCGCTCACACCACAGAGTCGATGATGGATGCGCCGGGATGGAGTGAGACGCGGCAGGCCCGGAAACAAGAGGATTTGACGAGGAGTCGGCCAATCGGTCAGATCTGGCAAACGAAACCGCGGGCGAGACTCCCTGGGCACTGGGGCTGTGTAGGAAACACACTGTATGGAATCACATATTCAATTATAAGATGTCACTTTGAAGACGCATGTGATTTGCATACCATAGTGCTGGTCGTAACAGCTGTTGGCGCTGCTGGAATGTAAGACATCGTAGTCTGTGGCTCGAAGAAGATTCGCTTCTACTTCGAACGCTTGAGACAATTTTTAGCATTGCTCGTGTCAATAACAATATACTCCTCCATCGTATTGATGGCAAGCATGTCGTGATGCGTTAATCCCTTGTCCATCTACCCAGGGATGCAAGTCCCTATCCCCAAAGCAAGCCCACCTTCTCAAACTCCCCACCGACCCTCTCAACTCACAAAATGGTTGAAGTGCCCAACAACCTTCGTCCGACACTTCTCACAATCATGCCTGTACCCCATACTCAGCCCCCGCTTCGCCGCCGGATCCGATCTCACCGGCGAGCCCTGCCCACTACTCAACGCTCCACTGCGCTGCCTCTGCTTCCTGACCACCAGCCTCGACTCTCGTCCGTCTTCACCCATCTCCATCTCCCCTCCGTCCTCGTCCGGAAGTGGTAGCGTAGCAGAGCGGTCGATTGAGATGGACGGTAAGCGCACGTTGTTCACGGTCTCCACCTCCATGTCGTTGAAAGTCAGCATACTAAGCTGACTCCCTGCCGCTTCGGCAGCTGACGGAGGAGTGTCGACTTCGTCTTCGTCGATGGGAGATGGGACTTCCAGGTGGTCGGAGGAAGGAGCAATGCTGTTGCTGTATTCCTGTGGATGCCTTTGACGGACATGCTGGCGAGGACTCCCGATCCCCTGTGAAGAGCGGACGTTCGAACGTGAAGGTGGGATAATGGGAGTAGGTACACGCTGCTGGGACATCCTGGATCGCCACGGACTGCTGCTGGTGTTAGACAGACTGGGAGGTGGTAAGCTGGAGGATGCCTGCGAGAAGAAGGCCGTGTCGTCCAGCATTTCAGAGTCCGTGTCGGACATGGGTAGGTCCTGCGGGCTTCCAGGTTCCGACATCATAGATGACTGGTCGTCAGAGTCGTACTTGGGCTTCTGATAGGTGTAGTGGGATAGCGGTGCTGTCGGTGTGTTGAGGACGGAGTCTTGCGGCCATGTCCCGCTGTCCCCAGAAGACGGGCGTGCTTTCTAAGAACTCGTTAGACCAACTCTCGTACGAAATCATGACTTTCAATCTGACTTACCTTCTCCAACCGCACCGCTGCCCCCGGCCCATCTACCTCCCTCCCATCGTCGTTCTGATCCCGACCCCGCTTCATGCCGGCAGTAGGCGTGGGTGTAGTCGCCGCAGACGCCATGTTGGCCATGTCCACGTTCTGGAGAAGTTCTGTTGTTAACCCAGCAGGCCAGCTGATGCTCAAGAGCGGTCCGGGAGGTGATGACAAGGCAACTGGTGCCGTTTGGAAGTCTGTATGGCAAGCGTCTACGCCGGGCTCACAAAGGGCCTCACAAAGACTGAACCAACGAGTAGCATCCGCTGACACATTCATACAAGGAATGATGTTCTCTTGAAGCTCACGAAGAAGGGGAAAGACAGCCTGCTGCACTCTGCCACCCCGTCCAAGCCTTCCGCGTTTCAAGAACCTTGAAGTTGGTCTCGATTGCCCCGCGTTGGTGCGGCTCGGCCCGCCACCTATTCACTTCACCCGGACGCCCATTGAGAAAAATGATTGACCTCGAGCTTTGTGAATCATCCTGACCGCCCTCAGTCGTTCTCTTTGACGATACACTCTCTACATCTGCCATTCACCTCTGTCAAGTTGCCTGCGAAGACCTGCAGCACCACTCCGCCCGTACGAACTTCTTGAAAACCCCACCATGGTGTCTGCAGAGGTAGAGGCCATGAGCGACGATGTTCGCGGTATGTCCACATACCTCTTACTTTGTTCATACTGTACTAATAAAGTCCAGTCATCGGCTACGACCCGCTCATCCCTCCCCAACTCCTCACCTCCGAACTGCCCGCCCCCGAAAACTCCCTCCCCACCGTCCTCAAAGGTCGCAAAGAAGCCGTCGAGATCATCAAACAGAACGACGACCGGCTGCTCGTAATCTGCGGACCCTGCTCGCTCCATGACCCCTCCACTGCTGTCGAGTACTGCTCTCGCTTGGTCCAACTCGCCGACAAGCTGAAGGATGATTTGCTCATCATCATGCGCGCGTACCTCGAGAAGCCCCGGACGACGGTCGGCTGGAAGGGTCTGATCAACGACCCGGACATCGACGAGACGTACAAGATCAACAAGGGTTTGCGAGTCAGCCGAAAACTGTTCTGCGATCTCACGAGCCAGGGGATGCCGATTGCGAGCGAGATGCTGGATACCATTTCTCCTCAGTTCCTGGCAGACCTGATCTCGCTGGGTGCTATCGGTGCGAGAACTACGGAGTCGCAACTCCACCGTGAGCTGGCGTCTGGTCTGTCGTTCCCAATGGGCTTCAAGAATGGCACAGACGGGAGTTTGACGGTGGCCGTGGATGCGATTGGCGCGGCGGCGGCGAAGCATCATTTCATGGGTGTGACCAAGCAAGGTCTGGCGGCCATCACGAGGACGGCAGGGAATCCGGATTGCTTTGTGATTCTCCGAGGTGGCACGACGGGGACGAACTTCGACAAGGAGAGTGTTGCGAAGACGAGGGAGGCGCTGCGGAAGAACAAGCAAAAGGAGGTGATGATGATCGATTGTTCGCATGGTATGTCCTGCTTAGACCACCATGTTAATATGCTCGCTGACGTATTTATTACCCAGGCAACTCCCAAAAGAACCACAAGAACCAACCGAAAGTGGCACAAACGATCGGCGACCAGCTTCGTGAAGGTCAAGACGGCATCGTCGGCGTCATGATCGAATCGCATCTCAACGAAGGCAACCAGAAGACCAGTGGAGGCGGGTTGGCGTCGCTGGAGAAGGGTGTCAGCATCACGGATGCATGCATCAACTGGGACACCACGGTCGAAGTGCTGGAGCAGCTGGCCGACGCTGTGAGGACGAGGCGGCAGATGAAGTCGAAGGGCGCCAATGGGTCGGCAAACGGAGTGCACTAGATGAATTAAATGCGTTGGGGGCATGCGATCATGACTTGGGCAGGCGTTCGCGGCGTTCGGATGGCTCCAGCAAGACGGCAAGTAAAAGTCGGATGGTCGAGAGGGCTCGATCGAGTTCAGTACCATAGATGTTGGCATTTAGCTTTTTGTTTTCTTCAGGGGTATCTGTGCCATGAAATCACACTCGCCTGTCCTCATGAGTACACCGTCTCCCTTCCCACGCCTCCTAGTACACCAGTACGCCTTGAAATGTCTCCTCCTCTCATACGGGCAGATCCTTATGCGCCCTGTCGTTCGCTCCAGCCTTGTCGCCGGCCACCTGCAGCCCTCGTGCCAAATACGGTCCAATGATCGGTACGTTGTACGCGAACCCTGCCATTGTCTGCTCTCCATTAGCTCCCACCTAATACCCACCCCTCTCCAGGTCTTCTCACTCACCTTAAAGAACTCCCCAAACAGATAAAAAATCCCCACACACTCCACCGCAAACCCAATCAACGTCCACTTCATCAAAATCAACAGCACGCCCGCCCAGAAGGCCGCACTACCCCTCCACTTATTCCTCCGCGCGAAGAAGAGGAACGTGCGTGAAGGTCCGAGGAGGAGTGTGATGCCGATGAGGAAGAGGATGTTGCCCATGGCGAGCAGGGCGCGGTCGAAGAAGAAGAGGAGGCCGAGGAAGAGGAAGGCGACGCCGCCGGTGGAGAAGGCTACGCCGAATTCTATACATTATAGCCATTAGGAAGGGGGAATGGTAGGGGGAGAGGGGAAGGAAGTACTCTGCGTGTCGGAGAGCCATAGGGTGGGCATGTTGGCGTTTGTTTCTCTTCTGTGGCTCAAGGGGGAGGATGTATTGTCCACGTCAACTTCTTGATAGTGTTGGCTGTATCCCTTGCCTCCACCGCATTGTCACAGAAGACACGGGCTGCTTCCTTTGCGGGTGAGATGTGCTTCTCGAGGAAATGTGTCCTTCAAGGAAACGCGATGGAGTCGCTCCGACCTCCGATGCGAATGCTGACATAAGATTTAAGGGTCCAGTTGGCTGCTGACCGCAGGCGACTCTTTGGCTGTAGTGAATGGCGAGCATGTGATTGCATTTCTAGGCTTCTGGATAAAGAGCCACCTCGAACAGCCCTTCGCTCACTACACCTACAAGAACCACTGAACAACCGCCACCATGAAGCTCCTCTACATAGGCGTACGTCCTTACTCCCTCCATCCAACAGAACCGGGACTAATGATATGAGCAGATCCTCAAAAACGAAGCCAAACCCGCCGTCGAACTCGCCGCCGAACGCGACCTCTCCTCCTACTCCCGCTTCACCCGCACCTCCGTCGGCGAATTCATGTCGCTCTTCAGCAAAACGGTCGCCGAGCGCACCCGGCCCGGGCAACGACAAGACGTGGAAGAGCAATCCTACACCTTCCACGCCTACGCCCGCAGCGAAGGGGTCGCGGGCATCATCATCAGCGACCACGAGTACCCTGCGCTCGTCGCGCATCAGCTGCTGGGGAAGGTGATGGACGAGTTCATTTCGAAGTTTCCTAGGTCCAGTTGGGCGAACAGTGATGCGGGGGTCACGATGCCGGAGTTGAAGGAGTATATCGCCAAGTATCAGGACCCGGCGAATGCGGATGGGATCATGAAGATCCAGAAGGAGCTGGATGAGACGAAGATTGTGCTGCATAAGACTATTGAGAGTGTGTTGGAGAGGGGTGAGTATATCCTATATCGAGAGGCGGAGGGCTGCTTCAGTCAGAAAGCGATGCATGTGCTAATATGTTGTGTGCAGGCGAGAAAATCGACAGCCTAGTAGCCAAGAGCGACGGCCTGAGCGCGCAGAGCAAGATGTTCTACACCCAGGCCAAGAAGCAGAACTCGTGCTGCGTGGTCATGTAGATACAGCGAGGCCGAGAGGAAAGTGATGATCATGATGTTACGAGCGTTGAATGGCATTTTCGAGCGTTCTGGGACCGGCATCTATGCAATGGCGAAATCATAAGTGGTTTGCGTTGAAGTGGTGTTCTTGCTGTGCACTCCTACAAGAAGGCCCTGGGTCCTACTAGCATGGCGTGGTAGTTTCTATCGAGGTAATCGTGGTGAATGTCGTTGCGCTGTGTTTTGAGGTCCAGCGTCTTCGGCCATGAGTTGTTATCACAATTGTGGCGCGTCCAGCATTGGCGTGAGACCTCATAAGGCGCTCTTTGTCCTTGTTGACTTACAGGATCATGCTGCCGAAGATAAACATGCAAGGAGATCTAGCTACTCACGTACTATGTACTCAAATCGAGTTCAGGCGAAATTCCAGCCGTCGATCAGATCGTACCCACAAGATTAGCTTCACCTTCCTTCTGCTTGACTGCACATCATGCATACGTCTCGTCTCCATCAAAGACGTTGGACCATCGATAACGATTTTGTACGAAGAGCTCAACATGAACTTATCTCCTTCAATCGACACTAGACTAAGCAACAATGAGCTCGCCATCATTGGAGGCTGTCGACCGCCATGACGACCGACACACCACCATCACCTTCGCACCGGGTGATCCATCCAACCCACGCAACTTCCCATCCTGGCGCAAATGGCTCATCGTCTCCGCCATCACACTCGTAGACCTGAGCGTCTCATGGGCCGCCTCTGGCTTCTCGCCAGCCACAGAGGACTTTGAGAAAGACTTCAATGTCAGCGCTGAAGTCGGCGTGCTGGGCCTCTCGCTGTATGTCCTCGGTCTGGCGTTCGGGCCCATGACTCTAGCGCCGCTGAGCGAGTACTATGGCCGGACGGTCATGTACGTGGTGCCGTATGGCATCTTTCTGCTGTTCCTGCTAGGGACGGCGTTGGTGCGGAATTTGGGAGGGTTTCTTGTGTTGAGAATCTTATCGGTGAGCCTACAGCACCTGTCCTATTCAACACTGAGTTCTATATTAATCGAATCGATAACAGGGCCTCTTCAGCAGCGTGACGATAGCAAACTTCGGCGGTACCATCGCAGACCTATGGCCGCGAGACCAAGTCGGCCCGGCAATGAGCCTGTTTCTATGGGCAGCTGTCTGTGGCAGTCCCACGGGCTACTTCCTCCTGTCCTTCGTCGCGGGAAAACGTCCATGGAGACACGTTTTCTGGGCTTTGCTGGGCATCTGCAGCGGCTTCTGGCTGATCATGACCGTCACACTGGTAGGCTTCGGAAACGAGACGAGGCACTCAGTCCTCCTTCGTCGCCGCGCCGCTCGACTACGCAAAGAACGCAATGACAGCGGCCTTGAAGTGCCAGACGAGATGAAGCAGAGATCTCTGGCCCAACTCTTCCGCGTCACGCTTTCCCGCCCATTCCGATTCCTCGCCACCGAAGCCATCGTGCTTTTCGCATCTCTCTACAACGGTTACCTCTACGGTCTATCCTTCCTCTTCAATGGTGCTTTCAACCTTGTCTTCGGGTCAGAAGGCTATGGCTTCGAAACTATCGGTGTCGGTCTCTGCTTCATCGGCTTCATCCTCGGCGTCAGCTTAGGTCCGGTCGTCAACATGTGGCAAGAACGGCGCTATCAGCGAAGCATCCGCAACGCTTCTAACACCTCCAGTACCGCCTCACTTGTGCCAGGAGATGCAGCGACAGCAGAAGAAGACCACTTCCGCAACATGCCCGAAGCCCGGCTCCAACTCGGCAAGATCGCCGGCGTCCTGTTTCCGATCAGCTTATTCTGGTTCGCTTGGACATCTGTTCCTTCGTATAACATCCACTGGATGGTCCCTATTCTGGCTACCGCCCTGTTCGGCTTCAGCTTCTACACGCTCATCCTGATGAGCTACCTGTATGTTGAAGACAGCTACATGATCTTCTCTGCTTCTGCGCTCGCTGGAGTAGGACTAGTGAGGAATCTGGCTGGTGCTGGCTTTCCGTTGTTTGGAACGCAGATGTTCGAGAACGAGGGTTACAACTGGGCCGGCACTATTCTGGCCTGCCTCGCATTGCTGCTCGCCCCCATCCCATATGTGTTAGAGAGGTACGGGGTGAGATTGAGAGCGAGGAGTCCGTATGCTAGGCAGCATATGGATGATGTGGATGGCAAAGATGATGAAGATTAATGGTGGAGGTGGCAACAAGGACGATCCATTCCATCTATCTCGCTGAGGTGGCAGTGTTACACCCGCTGCAGCTGGCCAAGGACTTGTGCGACATTCTCTTTCGACTTCAGCTTCTGGCATCCTTCTACCTGCACATCCAGACCACGGCGACCTGTATCGTGGCAATGAAACCAAAGATCGTTGCTCCAATAGCCACGCTGAGACCAACATTGTGCCTCGCTATCCCAACAACCAAACTCAACACCAACGTCGCGCTCGCTGCCAACAGGAAGGCACCAAAGACTCTGATCTTGTTCAGCCGATGCGCAATGACAAGGACATGGTGCGTCGTCAAAGATTCGAGGCCTGTTGGACGGTATGCGCTGAAGTCTGGTAACCTGTCGAAGAGATTCGGCTGGCCAGCTAAAGACTTCGGACTGGTGAAGCCTCGGATCAAGATGTCGTTTCGAATAACTGCGTCAATCTGGACCTCACAAAAGTCTCGAGACCTCGGAGTCGGCAAGTCCATCTATGACCTGGTCAGCTGAATGTCGACAGCCACGTGCACAGGAGACACACCTCGAGTGTACCGAAGGCGACAAAGAACTCCCGACACAAGAGTACTGCCAGCATTCGATTCCACCAGCCAAGTCGACTTCGATGCCACTGCTTCAGCAAAATGACCTTCTCCGTGGCGGTGCCGGGCAAAGGGAGCTGTTCCATCCATTGAGTCTTGTCGACTTTTTCCAGGCAAATCCAGTTGACGCTCGAGTCAATGGGAGCTGCGGCGTGACCGTGCGACGCCTGTGCTCTTGTCTCATTTTCCTGGTGGTCTGTTGACTGCTTGTCCATCGTGGTGTTTATTTGCGAGGTACTCCATCTCGTCCACTGAACTGGACGCCGTCGTCTTCTATATACCGAACGTGCTGCTTTAAACAAGATGTTCGCCTATGAGCGTCTGAAGCCGTTGCGAGCTTCGCAGAGAACATTTTTCGTTCCACAAGGTAACACAGACTCTCATGTCGACGCCTTTTGCGCAGAACATCTTGTCATTCGACTTAACAAGATGTAGGCACTTCGAGACCTTCGTCATGCTGCGGCGCGGAGAGCGATTGGCCAGCCTCGCCATCGCAGAACTGGGCGCAGCTGTGCATGGTGGCGTGAGCTTTTGCGACTGGGCGGTTAACAAGTTGTTTGCAGCTCTAGCAAGGGGTTAGGCTTCTTGCGCGGCGCAGTAGTGCAGCTCGCGCCGGTACATTCACCAGCTGGCATTGGCAAACATGACTTCAAGTGAAAGCATTGATTCTCCTTTGCTTCCATACGACAACGATAGCGCTGACCCTTGGTACACTGCGTGCGACTTTAGTTACTTCCAGACGTTGTCGGAGCAATATGATGAACCATGTCTTTCGAACAGGCAGAGACAGCTGTCGAGGATGCAGCCCGGATGACTGCTCAGGACACTGGGTGCCACGATGTTGTAGGAAGGGGTGAGGATAGCTGGACATCGCCGCTGTCTTCACACCAATCCCAAAGCTTGGAAGTGGACCAATCTGCTATTCCACCCGTGGCCAAGAGGATCGAGAAGCCTTGCCCCACGCCACTGCGACCATTGCCCACCATCCCGCCGCTCCCCACACCGAACAGCGGATACGGATCCCAACCTATGTCTCGAACAACCTCGGCCGTCAATCGCGGTCTGGTAAACCGTCTTGACCGTGAGTTGGCCACATCACGCGCGGCAAAGCCAGTGAACCAGAAGGTGGAGAATCACCCGCACATCTTCCGATGTAGCGTCTGCCCCAAGCAGTACACTCGCGCTCACGACCTCCGCTCTCACCAACAAACCCACACCGACAAACGACTGGACGTCTGCACCTTGTGCGGCCGAGGCTTCAACTCCGAGAGCAACCGCAAGCGCCATGAACATGCCCTCTGCAAAATCTGCGAAGACAGAGAATCTGAAAAACGGTGGAAACCCCTGCGTTCGGCTGTGTCTCTTCCTGTGAACCCTGAAATCCCGACGAGGGTGGCACGCAAGTTCCATGGCCGATCGACAAGCACGAATTCGCCCGCAGAAAGCCCGACTCATCGGCCACGAGGTTTGCGTGCAACCCTCGCAAGTTCTGGCTTCGACTCCAATGAGCACGATGGAGGACGAATAGAGGAACTACTAGAGGGACTACGCCTCAAACAGAAGCACGACGTATCCCTCGAAATAGAACCTGAAAGAGGTTCCGATGTCCACCCGGAATTGAAGCTCTTAAAAGGTGTCACAGATTGCTGCGGAACGACAGACTGCGACCCCAGATGAGTCCGATTGGATTGGAGTTATCCGGGGCTCTTCCTTTAGCGCCGAGAATGTTTCGTTAGGTACAACGATGTCGAAACGTCCACCCACTACAGACGTCCCGGATCAGCTTGGCCTGCTCAGGGACCTATTCGACGAGTTACGGGATTTGAGCGATGACAAAGAGAGCGACGACGAGCCATACTCTCCGTCTTACCGAGAACACGAGGACTCTCTCGAGCCGTCAGTCAAGCCTTTTTTTTCCAGAGGCAGCGATTCCTCAGTGGAACGGCTATCACAGATCCTTGATGAATTTTCCAGAAGCCGTGCTTCTCAGGAAGATACGCCAGGGGTCGTCAGCTGTGCAGGAGATTCGAGTTCTTCAGGTACCGCTGGTAGTTCATCGCCCGACAGTACCAACGCGACCCAGCTTTCAACTGCGTCTCATAGCAACAGCAATATTGGCAATAAGCGAGGTCGCGATAAGCAGGACGACTGGCAAGACGAGGATGGCGAAAGACGGCCCAACCAGCGTCGGAGTCAAGAGGCAGATGTCGCGACCTCGAGTGACAACAAGTACTGTGAGCGGATTCAATGTATTAGCGAGGGCTGCCGGGGACTTACGCCCAGCATTTCCGAATGGCTGTACGCTTTACATCCATGGCTCTTTTGTGACGAAGCTGACAATTTTGACAGGAGAAAGCTCGAAAGCTGTCACGGCATTTTCTTGTGCTCGCGCTGTTGGCAGACGAAAGGCGCGACGAGGTTGGAAGCCCGGGACCACCAATGCTTCGAGTCGCTATGCGTATGCACGAAGGGCCAACCCGCTCTCGAAAATGGTTTGGGATTACCTCCAGTCTCTCACAGGAAGACGCCACACTCCTGCGAGGAAGGCAAGAAAGCGCTGAAAGAAGCACAGTACAGCTATATTTGTCGCTTGCTCAGAGTTCCGGAGAGAGGTACGTCGATCTTCACGGTCCAGAGCTGGTCTCTGGCGAAGCCTTGTCAGAGGCCACTAGCTTTACCATCGTACGATACGCTGACAGTCTGCAGAATTCGTCTTCAGCAAGAAAGTGTGGCATACCAACGAGAAGTCTCGGAAGACAGAGCGCAGCAGGAAAGAAATTGAGCAAGACATTGCCACTCTCTTACAAAGAAGCCAGCAGAGCTACGCAGACATCGAGAAACAACTTGCTACCGCGCGGCAGGAAATTAAGAAGCTGAGGAGCAACGCAAAGGGATGCGAGGTCGTCATCCTGCAGTTTGCCGAGCGTCTCTGCGAACACCGGAATGCCGTGGGTGTACCACGGTCTTGCAGGATGTTGATCGCCGAGCACGCCCCAGATATACTGGAGGTGGTCGACGGCTTGAAGCCAGCCCCGCCATTGCAATGCCAACCGCCGCCACCACATATAATTCCGAATGCTCCTCAGGGCCAACAACAACAGCCTCAAGCGGACGGCTTGGCGGATATGGACTGGCAGAACCTTGACTTTGACGATTTCCTGAATGGTTGAAAGCCAGGAACCTCGAGCACTCGGCGATCTCGCAAGAACACAGCAAAAGCACCGCCGCCCGAAGAACAGCAACTGTCATTACCGTTCAAGCCCTAGGCCGAAGATGAGCAGTGCTGGTGATCATGCCATCGGGTTGTCCTCGGCATAGTCGCGTGCCGTCTCAACCGTGGAGTACGCGGGTACACATAGGGCAGAGAAAAATCGCGCACTGGGGGCTCCTAGAGTAGCACTTCGCGGTAGACATCTCGTCTGCGTTGTTCCGCAGAACAGTCAACGAGCCCCGAAAACAGACATGTACCATGGTCTGTATCAGTACCATGTTCGCATACCTACGATGTCGTCGTTATCCGTAAGCAGGGAGGATAGAACGTTGCGTTGTTGCTTCTGCTGTACAGGCGCAGGGCATCCTTTCGATATCAGTTTCCATGGTAAGGTTATGTCTTCGTTTATATCTGTACTCCACTGTGAGTTATCGAGAGCATTGTAGAAGTGAAGTGAGGGAGATTCGTCCGCCGTCGGTCAGGATCGTCCCAGCAAGCCAACCGGGCCGATTAAAGTGGGGCGCAATGGAGGCTTGATGAGCTCAAGCTAACAAGCTTGCAAAAAGCACCGACCTCATCGCTCGCTCTCATCTCTCATCTCCGCCGACGCCCGCAGTCACGCTCTTCTCTTCTCACCCACCACAACAACATCACTACCCACCACTCCCCATCGCATCTCCACTCCACCACCACCACCATGCGCTTCCACACCATCCTCGCCGCCACAGCCGCGCTCGGCGCTTCCCTCGTCTCCGCCCAAATCCAGCCCGAGGGCAACCGGATGGGCACCACGTACCCGCCCGTCTGCGGCAACGCCTGTGGACCCATCTTCATCCGCCAGCGCAACTGCGAGGACCGCCGCGCCTACGACAGCCAGGATGAGTGCGTCTGCGACTGGGACGGCGCCAAGAGCCATATCCCCGAGTGCCAGGCGTGCACGCGCTTTGCTGATAGCAACAACGATAACTTGCGGGGTGAGTATTTCATTTTTCCATGATGGTGTGGTGTGGGATGACGGAGCTAACGTGTGTACACAGCGCTGAACCACTACATCAACGAGTGCGACCTGCAGCGGACGACCGTGTCCGGCTCGAAGCCAACCGCCATGCCGTACGCCGCGGCCGGTGCCGTCGCGATGGGTTTGATGGCTGCGTTGTAAGTCATGTGATGGGTGTGTCGGTGGAATGAGGAGATTATGTGGATGCATGGGATGGTGGAGATGAGTCTCGGAAGGTTGAGGAAGATGCTATTCATGCGGTCGGGTCTTGTCGGCGGTGTTACTTGTACACACAGTTAAGAGGCATGTATTAAGCACTGATTGAATACTCTTCTTCCTCCACTTCATGATTGCCCCGCCCCCATTGCATTGCTCTCGTTCATAACAGATCTAAGCTGGACATCATCGCCGTGGAAATGGATCACTACCACGCTGCACAGCATTAACTCTACGATGCAAGTTTCTTGCACTCAGCCCGCGCGTTCTGGAACATCACACTGACTGGCTAGAACTCGATCCAACACCTTATCTGAAGGCGGCAATGAGGAGGGCTAGCTCACTGGACACGACCAGAGCGCGCCACTATAGAAGACAGAGCTCAGCCGACCGTCCATCAAACTTTAAGCCAGCGACAACGGGTCGTCAATAAAGCTGAATCCCAACGCAGAGACGATAGCGAACATGCGTGGTACTCCAAGCTCCCGTAAGCGTGGCAAGACACACACTTCACAAAAGCCGATTCATCACACGTATCTGTCCTCGTACCAAGCTACGAATGCAAACCATCGCTAAGCCCATGAAAAATGCTCCATATGCAAATAAACATCCTTCCCCCCACTCCTCACAATCCCCAACTGCTCCGCCGCCACAGCCTGGGAGACATCATTCTGCATGCTCAACGGCCCACACACAAACACGCCCAGTTGATCCGTCGACGACGCCGACGCAACCTCCGATCGCACGAGCGCGGGTAAGTCTGGTCGAGCGTCGATGTGTCGAATCTGCTGCGTGTCCATTGAGCTGGACGTGGCGTCGGAGTCTGAGCCGTGCCGGGGGGAGATGGCGATGTCGAGGGCTTTTTCGGGCTCATCGAGTTTTTGCAGGAATTGGCCGGTAAGTTTGGGCGCTTCGGCGTTGGCGGAAGAGCCGGTGTAGTAGAGTTCTACTTCGATGTCTTTGGGGAGGGTGTCCATGTCGAAGGTTGAGAGGAGTTGGTGTAAAGTTTCTTCGAACCATTGTCGGGTGGCGAGGTCGCGGGTCGCCAGCACGACTCTCGCGCTCGTAGAGACGGCGTCCTTCTCTCCAACGGGCTCAAGCTGGCGTTGTCGCAGATAGGCAGTAAGCACCGGGATGATCCATCCCGCACCAGAGCCTCCAGCGATGATCAACTGCTGTCGACTTTGCTGCAGCTTCCGCATGTCAAACCCGCCGTATGGCCCATCAATGAGCACTCTCATGCTCCCGTTAGGATAAGCTTCCGCCCAGCGTGCCAGCCGAGCGGTAAAGCCGCCTTGAGGACGAATGTAGAAGACGAGCTCAGACTCCGTTCGCTCGTACACGCTCGCTCGCTCGGGCAAGGAGCATGCGGTGAATGGATGGATGGTCCAGGCGTGCATGCCGAGACCCATGAAGCGGACGAAGAAATGCTGTCCGACCGCCCAAGTAGAATGCGTGGGAACTTTGACGCAAATGAAGCCGTTGGTAGACAAGCTGATGGTTGCTCGCTTGTTAATGCCGTGTTCGAAGTAGACGCGCGTTTGGCGGTGGAGCCAGGAGAGGGAGAAGAGGATGCCGGTGGCGATGAAGTAGTCCCTTCAAAGTATGTTAGCTCTAGCACAAATCCAGGGGTGGTTGTGCCGAGACTCACCACGATGACAGCGTGTAGTCGCAGTGGAAGAACAAGAACAGCATGAAGATCAAAGCTGCAAGAAAGTGGCTGAACTTGAAGAACTCGTAGGACCATTTCCTGCTTGTCGTCAGCACAGGCTACTAGACGTCGACAACGTCTCACTCACCGAAACGGCCCAAACGAAGCAAACGTCAACCACCCCTGCGCAATCAACGCAACCACACCCGTCCAGTAGAACACACTGGTATTCCACGACTCCTTCATGGTGCCAGTCTTGAAATTATACACGATAAACGGGAACGTATGCAGCAGCGCGGTGATAAAGAACGCATACGAGATCCACCTATGAAAGACCTGCAGCTTCTCATGGCTCACCCCCGTCACGGCGGAGATGAAGTTGCTCTTCCCAGCAGTCGCGAAGACAAACGGCATGCATCCAAGGGACAACCACCCAGACCGCGTCGCGAGTGGGGGAGAACTGCCGTAGTCGACTTTGTCCGTGTTGGGCCAGTAGAATGGTTTGGGCGCCAGAGTCATGCACATGAAGTAGATGGTCCCGATGGCACCGAGGGCGAGGACACCGAGGGGTGCGGAGTTCCAGTTCAAAGCTGGAATGCGGAAGGATCTGTAGCTGAGATAGCGGTAGAGGGCGGTTTTCCTTCGGACTGTCCTGTTCTGCGCGAGCGACCTGGACATGAAGTTGTTGAAGAAGTTGCCGACAGCGAAGACGAGGATGCAGGCCGTGAAGAAGGCGGTCGTGGGAACGGCGTATCTGTGGTCTGCTTCAGACCTGGACCACCTCTATTAGCACTTTTATATGCTGATGTTGTGGTGTTGATCGTGGACCTACCAGAACCGCCAGTAGCCCTGTTGATACTCGCACTGAGACTTGTCGTCGAGCATGCACATGTACTCGCGCCATGCGTGCAGCGACATTGGGCCTCCCAGCCATGGTATAGGCATCTTGACGAACGAGTAGACAACACCGTCTTTGTGGTTTGACGATGAAGACGACGCGCTAGGAGAAGTTTCGTCTTTCAGGATGGAGTGTAGATGGAGGAGTAGGAAGCAAGGAAAGTCATCTTACACCAATACTACCTCTAACTCACTCTTACACCCGCACGACGGTCTCGACTATCCGAGTCCATCGGCAAGCGTCACTCACCGTTCGCTCTTGCCCGGAAAAATGGCTGTAGTCGGGCAGGCGTACTAGCCACTTTGGGCGATTTGAGCAAATATGAGAATCTTGGCGGGTCCTCATCGACCTCACCTCCTTCGTACTGGCGGCTGTAGCGGCGAGAAGCAGCGTCGTTAGCGAGGGTGTGGGCAGGTAGGTGGAGTCTCGATTGCATTCACTTCTCGTCTCGTACTCTTACTCCCTCAATCACACTCGTGCACGAGAGGGTCCTCGAGCATTTGGACATCTCTAACCCAACCTCGATCAAAAGACACTACGACTGCCAACACGATCTACGGCTCATCTACCAGCTTCTCCGTCAGCCCAAGGCATCTCGCTAGACCTACACCATGCTCAATCCACGGCACGACGGGCACGACGAGCATTCAATGGCCATGTCAATGTCCGGCATGCACATGGCCTCCTCCACCATGGCAATGTCCAGCATGCCCTCCTCATCCTCCTCTGCCAGCATGTCCGGCATGGACCACGGCTCAATGCCAGGCATGGACCACGGCAGCACGGGCATGACCATGGTGTTCTTCACGGCCACCGACACGCCGCTCTACTCGACGGCGTTCACCCCTCACACGACGGGACAGTACGCTGGGATCTGCGTCTTCCTCATCGCGCTGGCATTCATCTTCCGCGGGCTGATAGCGCTGCGATGTAATGCTCTAACGCTGTGGGCGATGTGGAGGCGGAGGCAGGATACGAGGATTCTGCTGCGGGAGCCGGTGAATGAGCGGTTGGCCAAGCTGGCGGATCGGCCGTGGAGGATCAACGAGGCTGCGGCGATTGCGGTGTTGGATGTGATTTTGGTTGGGGTGGGGTACTTGCTGTACGTCTTTTGTCCTCTGCTATGTGTGATCGACTACTGACACTGTATGCAGGATGCTGGCGGTCATGACGATGAATGTGGGCTACTTCATGTCGGTGCTCGGAGGCACGTTCTTGGGAAGTTTCATTGTCGGGAGATGGACGGGTGCTGCTGTAGTACACTAGACAACTCGATGAAGCTTGAAATCTGCAAGATTGCGCCTGTCATGTCACTCATCTTACGCCGCCGCTCTCCTGCTTGTCGGTGCTGAAAGCGAGGCGTGAGTGGTATGGAATGGTGCTGCAAGCTCAACTTACGATCTAGCATCAACGACGACAGAGAGGCGACAGCACTTCAGCATCCGTACTCCGCCACGATTTGACAAAGGTCATTCGGTGGTCGTACGGATCTTCGTGGCCCAAAATCTCAAGAGCGTCGGCAAGATGGGAAGCTAAGATTCTCAATATGAGGCGCTGCTTGAGTGCCCTCGCCTGCCCGCGCAGCAATGAATCCAGCACCATCTCGACTACCGTTGGGTATACCTGGGAAGGAATATTGCCACCTCAAAGGTCATCCTGTATTGCAACACTGCGGGATGGTGGATAATTGGGAAGATGGCGGGCGGTATCGGTGGCTCGTCGCATTTTAGTGGTCTCTGAGGCTGCAAAGGCGGTTCTGCAATGATAGCAGCATGCTCCGTTGTATCTTTGTAGTCAGTTGTAGATGCTAGAGCGACTTCCATCCACCTGACTGTCCATCTGTATTGATATCTGCACCCTTATCTTAGCGCGTGTGGATAGAGTTTATGGAATGCGGGGACCGTTTCACGCTTCAAGAGATCAGCATGTGCGCAGGTGCAGCTGCCATTCGTTGCCTTTGCTTTCAGCCTTCCTGCACCTGCGCCTTCCACCACCTCTCACCACACCGCTCGTGCTAAACCAGCATGGCACCCGACGTCAACAGCCTCCCTTCCTCTCCGAGAACGGACCGGCCACGCCCAGCGTCAGCGCGTACACCCTCCGACACGGCGTCGAGGCGGACATCAGCACACTTGCACATGCCGCCGCCGCCGTCCGCGGCGACAGTCTTGAATCCGCGCAGTCCCACGCTTGGGGGCAATGAAAGCATGGCCGTTCCGCTAAGACACCCACGGCCCATGACGGCGGCTGAGGTGTATCTGGAGTGCGAGAAGGAGCAGGAAGCTGTGGTATGTCTGCTAGAATATACGATAAGGCGGCAGAAGGGATGCTAACAATGGACAACAGGTCAACCGTCTCACGCGTGAACTGACTGCTCTACGAGCCCAGAACGCGTCAGTCGCCTCCAACACCTCCCAATCCTCAACTTCCACCTCCGCCTCGCTGCTGCCTGTCGACATCTCCGACCCAAATCCAGCCCACCAGCTTACAGGAGCAACACACCCCACACCCTCCCGCAGGCACAGATCCTCAAGCTCGCTCAGCACACGAAGCATGAACACTCCCTCTACAACCGCGTCCGTCGCCAATAGCGGCATCACCAACACCTCCACCCAAACGCAAGCAGGAAGTACTGTCAGCCACCCCATCGGCAGCGTCTCGCAAGCATCCGCAGACCGTGCAGCAGCAGCAGGAAGTCTCAGCCGTCAGCCTTCAATATCAGCATCAGGCAACTCCACACCAGCAAGACAATCCCTCGATATCCCACGTCCCGCCCAATACACCCTCCCCCACCGCCCATCCATCTCCCGGGACCACTCCTACGCCTCCCAAACCACAGCAGCCTCCTCCAGCGCCGCTCACGCAGGCACACCACACCCGCAATCCCCAGTCCAGAACTTCACCACCCCGCACTACACCGACACCGCCGCCTACCGCTCCGAAATGGAACTCGTCAAGGTCGAGAACGAGAACCTCCGTCAGCGCGTTCGCGCACTCGAGCGAGCTCTGCAGGCCAGGAGACGGGATAGTAGCACCTCCGACGTCACGCGGCCTGATCTTAGCAGCAGCACCACACGCCGGACTCGAGACAGGGACTCGATGAATCCAGCGAGTCCGCCGATGAGCAGTCCAGATTCGAGAGCAACGTTCGGGGGCGTGCCGGCTGGTGTGGCGGCGTGGGCGGCGGGTGATGGTGGGGTAGGTGGTGTGGCGCCGCCGAGGGAGAGGAGCGAGAGTCAGAGTACGACGGCGAGTTCGAGGAGGGGGTTACCCGCGGAGGATGATGTGAGGTTGGGGGAGAGTGCTGGGAGCGTGGGGATCGGGAGGGGTGCGTAGGCATCATGACTGGGGAAGGAGGGCATGGCAGGAGCAAAAGCAGAGGTCTAGGACTTCTTGTGTGACACAGCGAGGTATGACATGATCAACAGCGAGCGCGGCGTTCAGGAACGAAAGCAAGGGGTCGGCGCGATGACAGCAGCCGATCAGAAGTCAGAATAGCTCCGATATATAACATAATATCTTACACCAGGCAAATCTATAATAATCACCACAACCCCTCAACCACCTCCCCCGCCCCCAGCACCCCCTCATCATCCCCCAACTGCCCAATCACCTGCACGCCCACCGTGCTCACATCTCCCTCCTCCATCCCCTCCCTCACTTCCGCTGGCAGAGGCACCGGAACGCTCAAAGCGGGTAGACATGCCAGACTGGCGGGGACGGTGAAGACGTCGTTCATGTAGTGCTCGAGGGCGGATTGCTGCGCGATTTCGGAGAGGGTTGGGGGGAGGGTGGGGGTTGTGGGGGTGAGGATGATGTCGACTTTTCCCTTCCCATCTTCCTTATTCTCGTCCGAGGGTAAGGGAGCGGGGCGCTGCGCGGTGTCCTCGTGCAAGGGGTGCGGCAAAGCGAACACGGCATCAAAGTCCCGCGATACCAGTCGTCGAATTTTCTGCGCTTGGATGAAGTAGTTGTGCATCGCTTCGGAACTTAACGTGTACGCTCCTAGCAATATACGTCTGCGTACTTCGTCGCCGAACGCTTCGCCACGGGTCGCAGCGTAAAACGGAAGCGGTGGATCCTCCTTCGGCCGCGCGTCGGGGCCGGATGTGCGGTACCCGTAGCGGATCCCATCGTATTTGGCGAGGTTGGAGGAGGCTTCGGCGGGGGCGAGGATGTAGTATGTCGAGAGCGCGAGTTTGCTTGTGGGGAGACCGATGGGGATGAGTGTGTGGCCTGCGGCTTGGAGACGGGTGAGGGTGGAGGCGTAGGCGGCGCGGACGGCGGGGGAGATGGAGGTGGTGAGGTAGGAGGTCGGGACACCAATTCTCATCTTTTTACCTCTGCCAGCTGTGCTGCTCCGTTTGCTGCGTATCCGCTGCCGTACAGACGGTAGCAGGGACGTCGGATCCCGCTCATCGTACACATCCAGCACCCCAAACACCTTCCTCGCATCCCCAACCGTCCGTGCAAGCACGCCCACCGTGTCCATCGAATTCGCATACGCCACCACCCCCCACCGCGACACACACCCATAACTCGGCTTAAACCCCACCACCCCGCAATACGCCGCCGGCAACCGCACACTTCCCCCCGTATCCGTGCCCAGCGCCGCCCACGCCTTGCCCTCCGCGACAGCTACCGCGCTGCCGCCGCTACTGCCACCTGGAGTTAAAGGCACACCGTTTCGACTGAAAGGGCTTATGGCGGGGCCGTGGAAGGAGGACTGCGTGTGCGAGCCCATACCGAACTCGTCGAGGTTCGTCTTGGAGGAGATGTATGCGCCATGTTGTTGCAGGAGGGTGATGACGGTTGCGGGAAAGGGTGAGGGGTAGTTGTGGAGGGCGCGTGAGGCGGCGGTCGTGGGCGTGGCGGTAGTGAGGATGTTGTCTTTTATTGCTATCGATTTGCCTGCGAGGGAGCCGTTGGGGTGGGATTGGGTTGGAGGTGGTGGTTCGGCGGCCGCGTTGATGATGGCATTGGTGTTGCTGCTGGAGTACGGTCGGAGGTGGGTGTTGCGCGAGGCATTGTTCTGTATTGATGTGCGTGCTGCATGGGCTGGAAGGCGCAGACGGCGCATCACATCTTTGTTGTTGGTAGAGCGTGTGGGTGTGATGAGGTGAGGTCTGGAGATGCTTCAAGCTCGGATACGCTTGGGCCATCTACCTCCTACCAAAAAAACCATCTTCCTGGATGACAAAAAAAGCGTAACAGCTCCCTCCCAAATCCTGTCACGCTTTTTCTGTCTCCCAAGAACCATCAAAATTTCAAAAAGAAAGAACAAAAACATTCAGCAGACGGTATTCCCACGTGGTCACCCACCGTAGTACTAATCATCCGATTCGCAGCTTGAGAACGGCAGAGCGGACGGGATGCCCTATTCTCTGCGATCTGTGGCCGAATGTAGGATGATTAGCTGTCTGATATAATATATCTTTCAATAATATTGCTCGTTGAAAGTCGGCCGCTCAAGCAGACTCGGTCCGCTCCAACACGGCAACATCAACGTGTTCATACAACCGCTGAGCAAGCACAAGAGACATGTTGGGTAGGCCTAATTGTTCGATCACAATGTCGTTCTTTTGAGCTGTGTAGTAAATGCTATAGCTCTACAAAACACATCCATCTATCGCCCCCCAATAGGACGTTGTTTTATGTTGTTCACGCCCCATCCCTATCCAACTGCGAATAATAGATCTGAATCGGCGTCCTCCCCTCCGGCGGCGGATTCTGCCTCACCAGCCCCTCCAAATCCTCCACCCACAAACTCAACGGCCTCGATCGATTCGTCTCCCCATCCCCATACATCGCCCCACTAATCGTCGCCAGCTTCTTCGGCTGGTTCCTCCACACCGCCAGGGCGCGGCTATACGCCGGTCTCGCTTCGGTCACTTTATACCTCCACCCGGTCTCGTCGCCGAGCATGGTGTTGATGAAGACGCCGCTGTGATCTGCGTCGCTCACCACTATAGTGCCGTTCGGTCCGCCGCAGGAACTCCAGACGACGTACGGGGAGCTGCTGGGCTGAAAACCGTTGGCGATGATAGGACGGCCGGGGTCAGTGATGAAGTCGAGGGGCGTGGGGGCAATGTGGTAGAAGACGGGGTAGTTGGCCAGGCCCAAAGTGTAGCCGCCGGGGTACTCGTGGACGAGGATCCAGGTGGTGTCCGGGAGTTGCGTGATGATGGTCATGCCGGGACGGTCGGAGTAGGTGGGGTATGCGACGTCGTTGACCACTGGACCCCAGGATTTGGCGTCGGTGGTGACTTGGTGCGCGAGCTTTTGGCCGTGCAGGGGGTCGCGTTGGTCGGAGTAGTAGCAGATGAGCTGATGGTCGTAGAGCCTGCGAACTAAACTCAGCTCTAAAACACAGTGAGGAAGTAGAGGTGACACTCACATCAAGTACGGCTCCCAAATCGGATGCGCTCCATTGGTCGTATTCGGCGCATTCCCCTTGGCAACATTACTCACAAACTCCCAACTACTCCCCTTGTCCATAGAAGCGTAGACATCAATATGAGTCCCGTTCTCGCTCCAGCTATTCCCGGCCGCGAGGATAGTGCCCTCCGCATACTCGCCAATCGGCTCCGTCAGCTCCATCAAAGCCGGCTGAGCGCCCATACCCCATCCATTGACCTGGTCCGTGATGTTCGAGATCCAGTCCCAGCTCGCGCCGCCGTCCGAGCTGGCAAAGACGGGGAAGTAGGCTGCGGCAACAGCAGCTGCTTGTGAGCTCGGCTGTCCAAAGGTGCCGTGTGATGCGGTGACGAGGATGGTGCCGTCGAGTAGCTCGACATAGCGTGGATAGGTCAGTTCTTCCACACCTCGCCTGGGTTGGTGGATTGTGGTGCCATTGAGGTAGGGGTAGTTCTGGTTGTTTTGAGCTGCGGATAGGATGGCACTAAGGCCTAGGGCCAGAAAGACGGATTTGAGAATCGCCATGTTGGCCATATTTCTCCTTGACTTCAGTGCGAGACCGTTACGGCCAAGATTCGAAAGGAAGTACGCATTATAAGAGCAGATCTCCTGTCACCCACTTTACCCAGCCGTGAGAACTCCAAATGCGGTGCTCTCCATCATCATCGTCACCGCTCATGTTGCCGAGGGTCCGACCAGCCATCGCAAAACCTCTAAATGGTTCTTCTTCCATGTTGTGGGGATGGTATGCGGAGGAATTGTTCAGATACCCAGCGCCTGTGTTATTAGGCGGAGAACAGCCGCCTTCGATAGCCTAATCCCAGCAGCCGGAATCACTGAGTCGTCAGAGGCTATCCAAACTGGTTGCTGGCTGGCAGGCAGACGAAACGCGGTGACTATCCAAACCGCTGCTGGCTGGCATGGAGACGAAACGTCGTGACCGTACACCAATTGACTTCTGAGCAGTTCTCTTGTGCCTGTGAGATTTCGCAGGGCAAAGTGCACACTAGAGTTATGTCAGCTTAAACGACAACAGTGTACGATCGAGAAAGCCTCGTATGAGCATGATGAATGGCCGGGATTGGATTGACTCGTTAGCTATCGAACACCTCAAGCCTTCAGCCTCGCAGTCTGCAGGTCGTCCTGCGCATCTTTGACCAGGAAACTGTACCACCAGATCGTAGGCCCGACCGTCCCCAGATGCCACAGCGCATGCGCATCCACCATACCCCACCAAGGCGGAAAGTCAAACAGCTCCAGACTCATCGCCAGCACGATCCAAGCCACGATCAGGCCAGGCCACGCTGCCCATAGTCGTCCTACTTTCCTGAATCGCGTCACGGAGAACCAGGTCCAGAGGATGTTCTGTATGACGCCGAGCGCCACGTTGGCGGCCATATTGTATGTGTAGTCGAAGTTGATGAACGTCAGGTACCCAATGTGCAACAGGTACAGCGATGAACACAGATATGTCCACAGCCTTAGCACCGTCGCCGAAGTGTCCTTTGTGCTCGCTCCGAATGTATCAGGCTTATCCAGCCGAAAGATCCGTATAGCAGCGAAGTAGAGCCCATACATCACACTCGCGCCAGCAGCGAAATAATCCAGCTTCTCCGTCGTATTGAAGTCCCGTGTATGAAACAACATACTGAACACCCAGCTCGCCATACCAAAGTATCCAAACCAAAGGTAGTAATGCCGCAGCGGGTAGCGCGCGGGTATCTGTTCCTTGATCTTTCGCACCCCATAGTCATGAGCGAGGAAGTTGAAGAGGCTGAAGAGGACGGAAGCAGGCTCTTGCATGCCGAGGAAGCGGTGGAAGGGCCATTTGCCGTGGAATTGGAGGATGGGCTCGAGGTACGGCGGGTCGCGGGCTAGGCGGTGGTTGGTGGTGATGTGTTGGCAGGTGTAGTCGCATTCGGAGGGGCAGGTCCAGAGGAGGAGGCGGTGGTGGAGGGCTGCATCGCCATGTCAGCTCGCGTTCTGCTGTTTGATGGATGGAGGTGGTCGCGTACGTATCGACGACCCATCGCTGCCACAATTGACCTCCTTGCAGTCCTGCTTCGTCGTCAATGGCTGTTGATCCAATCTCCATGCGATTGACTTACCTTGACGCAGCTCTTGAACTCTGGCAATCGGTCGCCCAAGCTCGCGCTTATGGGGCTGACGAAGAGAAGCACGAGGCTGAAGACCGTGAGACCATGACGCCTTCGCGCGCCTCTCCCACTCCACCACATGAGATGCATGGGAGGTGTAGCAAGGTTCAGAGCACGTGGATTTGTCTCGCGATCTCGGAAGAAACCGGCGCTAGAAGATGGAGGATGGGAATAACTCTCGTGCACTATCAATTCCAAACGGCATGTTCACACTTTGAAGGACTCAATACGTTCATCTAATTGAGACAATATCTACGCCATCTCATCATCACTCAACGTCTTCTCCTGCGCCGCCTCCATCCCCTTCCCATGCAACGGCGCCGACACATCCCTCATCTCCTGCGAGTCGAGATCTGGATCCGGCACGAAGAATGTCAAGATAACACCAATGCCATTGATGGCGATGGTACTGAGGAACACCGTCCGATAAGCATCAGACGAGGCTTCCTTGTACGCGGCAGTGCCAGCGGCGATGATGGCGTCTGAGACTCCTTGGACTCCTCCCAATGCCGTGCTTGATCCGGAAGTGTAGGCTGCGATCCAGTCGGCCACGCTTCCTGTTGGGAGTCCGGCTTCGACGAGCGCTGCTGGCACCTGATTTGGAATTGTTTGGGCGAGACGAGAGCCCAAGATGGCGGTATACACCGCGCTGAGGATCGCTGATATGCCCATTCGGATTCCGCCTGCAACACCTCCGGCCGACCCGATGTTCTTCTGATCTTTGAGTGCGACTGTGATGGTGGCGATTGCAAGGACCTCGTTCCTGTGCAGCCATTAGTACGTCTCGACGAGTCTAAGTTTCGGTTACAGCAGTTCTTACCACCCCGTGGCGAAGAGTCCAAGAGCGACCAGCGTCGATGTTGTGGCTTTGTTGTATGGAGTTGTAACGGCAACACCTATGTCTGTCATCAGCCATAACAGCGACTTATTGCCAATCGGACAATACTAACATCCTAGCAATATACCAGCGAGCCCAAACGCACACATCAGTTGATACCTGACATGGCCGATCTTGGTGGTCAAGAAGCCACCCGCGACCTGTCCAGCGACAACTGCAGCACCGATGATAGAAGATATCGCGCTGTCTGTTCTCTGTTAGCTTGTTGCTTCAAGGTCGACTGGAACACCCACCCTTGATAGGATCGCCGCTGGCGTAGACGGTCGCTACTTGGGTTGGCCAAACTATGGCGAAGGCATAGTAGACTCCAGCGCCGATGCCGACGAGGACACAAGCGGCGGTCCAGCGCACTAAACTAATCAGCTGACGCGCCTCTCGACGAGCTATTTGAACTTACAGTCACGGAACAGAGACATTGGCACGAACGGCTCTTTCAACGGCATGTAGCACTCCCAAAGTACGAAAGCCACCAGGACAGCGAAGCCAACGACGATGAAGGAGATGACTTTTGGTGACGACCACGGGTAGACTGCTCCGCCCTCCGAGAGGCCGAACAAGAACAGAACGCTGGACATTGTCAGTCATCTACTCATACCACTGGAGGGGCGGACTTACAAGCCAGCGCTGTACAAGAACATGCCGACATAGTCGAAGTTTTTGATCCAATCCCACTTCTTGTCCGACCCGTGCTTCTGCTCAAAGGTAGGCGGGAAATAGCAAGTAACCCAGAGAATCAAGGCAAGTATCTCATACCCGAGCAGGATGTAGTAGCTGGTAAGTTCGGTCAGCATCAACGCTCTTCTCCCATAAGTTCGAACCACTCACATCCCCCTCCACCCTACTTCGGGATGGTACTTGATCATCGCCTGACTGACCATCGGCCCGAATCCACTCCCCGGATACAACAACACATACAACGCCCCACTCGCCGCATACCGATACCGAATCGGCACCAACTCCCCCATCAAAAACGGGAAACTCATCCCCGCCGCCGTCGACACGCCAAGCAACACATTGCCCCCAATCAGCACCGGGATGTTTTGTGCAGTCATACACACAATACTCCCCACGACCCCCAACGCAGTAAACGAAATGACAAACTCCCTCCGCCCGAAAATATCCGTCACCCGTCCCACAATCACCAGCGAAACCGAGAGGGAAACGGTGTACACGAGCGAAACCCAGACGTAGTTGTCGTCCGGTCCGATATCCGCGTTGATGACGCCCAGGATGGGCGCGGCGTAGCCGAAGGCCGAGACGGTGGCGAGCAGGGACAGGGCCATGGCGAGGCTGGAGCCGAGGAAGCGGGGGCTGCGCCAGTAGCCGGGGGGGAGGGCGGCGGAGGGGACGGTTTGGTCGATGTCGTGGAGGGCGCCATGGTCGGGGGTGGTGGTAGAAGAGGAGGTGGTGGTGGTGTGTTCGAGGTGGGCGGTGTTTGGTTTTACTTCTGCCATGGTGGGTGGCGATGGTTTTCGAAGGAGTGAAAGAGCAAAGAGATATGGAAAGGGAGGGAAGAGCTGACGGCGCGGCTAGCGATGGATATGTGTATGTTAAGGAAGGCTGCGTACGCAAAGAGGAAGTCTAGATCCCCATATCCTCAGAGAGAGAGAGAGATATCACGGTCTACGATAGCCGTGCCATGCTTGTGTCCAAGGATGCCACGAGGTCGATGCAGATGCGATGAATCATTGCTGCAACGGAGATCCTTGACAAGTACCTTCCAGCTTACCTCTGAATGCTGTCTTGTTCACAGATGCACGCGAATCGTGTGTTGCGAGTCAGGTGGCCACCGCGGACTGCCGTCTGCTTTAGCTCCCGGATACGCTTATCCAGACCCGTGGCACACCCCGTGGAGTTGGAAACCTGGGGTCGAGAGGTCCAGGACTCCGGATGAGAGCGGCAGTTTGGAAATCTTGGAGGACTGATCGTTCGGCGTTCGTAGCAAGACAGTGTACAATGTACCAAATACTCTATGCAACGTAAGGATAGCACAGTCTCTCCCAACCCTGCTCTCCCATTCCCATCCAACACGAATGTTTCCTTCCATTACCAACCAGCGTCCAATCCTACCAGTTCGAAGCAATACCGCCTATGCCGTGTTTCGCTGATGATACACACCTCCCGCCCCTCCAATCTCATACTCAGTCTTCAAGCTCGACCTCCTCAGCAGCCGAGCTATCGTGACTCTGATGCACATTGCTTCTGCGAGAGTACAGCTCCAAGCTGGCATCAAGCGTGTCGTCGGAAACCATGCGCGTGCGTTTGGTCTCCGAAGGAAAGCTTGTCGGTGGCGCCTCCGTTGGGGACAGGATACGAACGACAGGCGACTCCAACTGCTCTGTCGTCTCTGATTCTGCTGACTCCGGCGCGGCGAAACGAAGCTTGGTCTGCTCCAACAGCCTGGTAACAGCCGGACTCGCCCTTCCAAAGCAGCGATCCGTCGCGTCTCGAAGTTGAGACTCCGCTCCAGCACCCTCGACTTCTCGCACTAGGGCGGAAGCCTCTGCAACCCACCGGTCATGGGGGTCCACCCCGCCCAGTTCTGTCATCTCCGGCGAGCGAAAGGGATCCTCAGAAACGCCAGCGGGATCTGCGAAGACGTCTTCGACCTCCTCGAGCCGCCGGCGGAGCTGGCCGTAATCGTGAGCGGCGTTCATCATCGACTCCGTCACGCTGTCTCGATTGTTCATGCGGGCTTCGGTGGCTTTGCCAGCTTCGCCAGGCAAGGCCTCTGTGGAAACATCGTACGCAGTGTTGAAGTCAGAGAGCTGAAGGTCGTTCTCGTCTGCGTCCTCGGAGCAGCCGATGAGGAAGCGGTGCTGCGAGCGGCCAGACAGACAACGTGCACCCACACTCTCAGCCGTCGACCCCTGATGCAAAGCGTTGTAGCGCATGTTGCGGTTGGAGCGCTTGAGATCGAACTCCAGCCTGTTGCCCATCGAAGGCGTCCGGTCAGGATTCGTGGTAGACGGACTGATCTCGGGCGTCTTCCGCTCTTCATTCGACGAAACCGACTCACTGCTCCAGATGGCGCCTCTGCGTCTGGGCGTTGCTTGCTCGTCGTCTGGCGCATGCGTTGTCGGAGGCTCGCGCAGCCAGTTGTTGACGCTGAATCTGTACTGAGCATCGCTAGCTCCGGCAGTGTATCTGTTGCAGGAGCGGCTGCTTGGCGGGCTCGAGTTCTCATCATGGCGGCCAATGGCGGGGAGGTTGGAGGCTAAGGGACCGCCATGAGGCGACATGCCCTCCCCGCCGCTCAGGCTATCAAAGCTGTAGTTGGGTAGGATGATGCCGTAAGTGAGAAGCTCCTGGGCTCCCATGCAAGTGTCATCATCAGAGGCACGATTCTCGAAGGGATCTTCATCCTCGAAAGACTCGCGCTCGAGTGGGACGTTTTTACTTTGCTCGGCATATTCATAACGTGTAGCCATGTCGTAGTTGCGTTGGAGCTCCATCTGCAGGGCGAGAGAGGTTGCGGGACTGGTCGGTACAGTCTGTGTGAAGACGTACTTGTTCGCTTCTGGTTCCTCAGTAGTCGATGTGCGAGCATTTCTGGTTACTTGAGTGGCTGACGCGTCGTGTGAGACTTGAGAGGCCTTCGGACGAAATGGCAACGTGACACTGCGATCGGGCGAAGGTGGTCCGCTGCCAACAGCTTTATCGTCCTTGAAGGGATCCTCGACTGGCATGCAGTCTACCTCACCAGTGCCAGGGACATGCGACCGCGGTGGCGATTCATATGCCCTTTGTCGACTAAGCGACTCCATGTCCGAAGGCAAAGTATGTACTGTCTCGGCCGATGTAGCATTGCGGCGTTGTGGTGAAGCAGGAGTGCTATTCGGGAGCTCTCTGCCAGCTTCCACAGTACGCTGAAGCTCAAGCTCGTCGTTGCGATGCGCGATGGTGGAGGCTTCGGCCATGGCTTCCAGTGATGAAGTGGAGCACAGCTGGACGTTTTTAGGTTGTGGCTGCGTTGGTGAGCAGCTATCAGTTGCAGTACCAGAGCTGAACTTGGGCGTCCGGCTCGCCAAATCATTGCTGGGACCACCAGACTGGCTGTTGGCCGAAGTGGCCTCAGTGTCCTTCGGCGCAGCTGCATACGCCTCTGCCATAGCATCAAGAGACCGCATGGTACGCAGCCACTTCCTCTCTTTCGCGCTCGGCGGGGTCACACTTCTCTCGAACATCTGCGACATCTCGCCGTTGGCACCATCGATTTCGAGAGGCAAGTTAGTCCCGGGCATTGGCGTTGGTGGCCCAGGTGGCAGCTCAAAGTTGAAACTTCCAGTGTCAATCTGAAGGAGATCGCGGGGCCGGACTTGTCCTCCAGTGCCGAGCGGCCCTCTGCGCCTTGACTGGATGCTTCCGTCCTCGATTGTGGGACCAAACGTACCCTTTCCAGAGGGCAAGACTGACGTTGATCCCTTGGCCGAGCGAGTATTGGTGAAAGATCGTGGAGGTGACACTGAGAAGCCAGATGGTCCGAGGTCAAGATCTAGAGCCGGCGCAAGAGCTGGGATAGGTATTGGTGAAGACGGCAGAGGCACACGCCGCGCCTGGCTCACTCCTGGGGTGTCCAGGTCGGGCAGCGGTGGCGCCAACGAATCCGACGTACCTTTGCGTCGTATACCTCGTATGCTCCCGATGACACCTTTGGCAACACTTTCGTGCCTTTTATATGCGCCCGGCTTCCCTGCTGGCGGCGAGGAAGTTGTAGCAAAGAGCTCAGGGCCAGCCGGACTGCAGTCATGCTCGTCGTTTGCGACAATGCTGTATACGCTGCTTCGTTTGCTATGAGCATGCGAGTGGTTGCGAAGATGCTGACGGAGAGATGCTGTGCCAATCCTCGAAGCAAGGGAACGCTGGCGCCCGTGTTGCGGACGTAGTGATGTGACGGAAGAGACGCTGTCGGCCTTGCTGGCCTCGCTTTCGTGTGAGAGCCTCTCCTTTGGCTCTGGTTGGTGGCATAATCCGGTAAATGCTGCATCTGCCGCGACGTGATCAGGCTCAGCTGTCCTGTGGTTTCTGTGAGCATTACAGACTCAACGGAAGACAGACGGGGACGCTACGATTCCGCTTTCTGCTGATCACCACGAAACGAATCTACAGCAGCCTTTGCGTGGAGTGCACTCTTGGAGACCGCATCTCGCAGGCCGGCCATCCATGAGCGCTTCTTCTTGAGTGTGGACGTCCCTTCGGCGACATCGAGGTTACTGCGTAGTGAGTCGCGCGCTGGCGATGGTGAGACCATGCGAGTCAGTGGATTAGGATGGTCATCGCCATCGCTCGGAGACATCGTGGGTGTTTCGGGTAGGTCGTGTCAATATCCGAGTCTACTGCATTCGAATGACGTTGGAGGTCCCGCGTCAAGATGTGAAAGTAAACAGAACGACAGCACCTACCTTTGCCGCATGCATCTTGCCCTTGACGAGAAGGGACAGCTGAGCGTTTGGCCAACAATGGCTTCATGGTTGGCAGGGAACCTCTTCCTCGCTCAGACGCAGGGAGGCACGAAGGTGTTCATGTCGTCAAGGCAGTCGAAGCCACGGCTGATAGTATGGAGCCGTTTGTGCTCCGGAGTATGGCATATGTGAGTGGTCAGCACGGAATCGTCGTAGTGATGTGAGACCAGTATGCTCATGGGGCGAGGAGAGATGTTAGAGAAACAACGGAAGTCGTCCGTATGCAGTTCGTTAGTGGCGGGTACTTCCGTCGCATATGCCTTTCACCAAGCTCAAGTTCGGTCTTCACCAACCAAACATACCACCTGTTCCCTGTCGCAACGTCGCGCTTGCAAGAGCTGAGTCGTGATCGCAAACACCTCAGTCGACGATGGCGAGCACTCAGCAACAGCCCGTGTCCTTCGACGCCATCATCCAGGAAGGCGCGTTGTTCAAGTCCTACCCAGATTGAAGCCTCCGTCTAACTTCTCTTACAGGTCGCAACAAGCGCAAAGCTGAGCAACTCGCGACAGAGATCTTCAGCAAGAACCGTCGATCGAGCGCCCCGCCAGTCGCGCCGAGATCAGGTCTGGGAGGCAGCATCGCCAGCCGAGTGGGAGTTCAAAAGGTATGCCGAAGCGACATCTTAATGTGTAAAACCTTCAGCTAACACTCAGAAGCGCCCCTCCTCCCTCACGCGCACCGCCACACCCCGCCAGACCGCCCGGCCAGGTCCACTTCACCTCACCCGACCACCGTACAACGAGCCTGCCCCCGCACGCCCTCGCCCTTCCTACACCCAGTCCTTCTCCGGAGCCGTGAGCGATACTAAGAGCAACGCACCCGCCCCCGAAGTGGTGACGAATGGAGGAACAGGTATCAGCTTCAAGGGAGCGGCCTCCGGACCCTACGGCGTGGTCGCGCAGAACTTCGCGCCAGGCACAACGGCAGCAGACATTGAGAGCGTGATGCAGAACGTGGGCGGGGACATGACCAGCTGCAGAATCCTGGCGTCCAACCCGACCGTGATTGCGGAGATGATGTTCGTCGAGCGCGCGGGAGCTGAGAAGGTGATTGAGACGTTCAATGGGAAGAAGGTACGCAAAGAACATTCAATACTCTAGCTTGACCTCGCTAATACATTGTCACAGGCCGACGGCAGACCCCTCTACGTCTTCTGGAGGACAGGCGGACACAACACAAGCGGTAGCCGGCCAGCACCACCCCCCGTCGAGCTAGAACCTCAAGTCCTAGTCGACGACGAGATCATGGAGGTCGACGAAGTCGGCGAGCCCCGCGAAACCGAAGACCGCCTACGTGAGAACCGCCTGCGCGAAGAGCGTCGCAGTCGAGACACCCGTGCGCCGAGAGATGCCTTCCCCACCGGACCAAGGAGCCAGAACCAGCGCAGCGGGGGGGATTCTTACTACCGCAGCAGCGATCGACGCGATGGCAACTATCAAGATGGACGGTACGGGTATGGTGGTGGCTATGGCCGCGGCGGTGGGCCTGGGAGATACACACGCGGGCAAGAGCAGAATATCGGGCGTGGGCGGAGCTGGAGGCCTTGAATGGGTGAAGATCACGTTGCAAGGGCTGTGTAACTCGCCGCCGGGTGAGCGTGACGCTCGGCCGCTGAAGCAATAGATGATGGTTGCAAATCAATGGCGTGTTATGTGTACTGTGGAGGCATGCTGGAAGACGGTCGAGGCGAGAAAGACAACGCCGCCTGGCATTCAAGATGCATTTTGAGGAGAGCGCCAGGCGCGGCTATGAACGTTGTTCGTCATCCGCGCGGCCATGCTGCTCTTTGTCGAGCGACGGCATTCGAGGTGGAGTCATTGTGAAGCGGGTGGCTATATTAGCATGATTGCACCTCGCCAATGCCATAAGTAGTATTAGCGCTGTAAAGAGCTTTACAAAACCCTTCCACACTCCAAGATTATTGAGACACCATCCCACCCTACACCAAGAAGCGCCTACGCTGCCCATAAACTTCCCCCTCCCCTTTACCCGCCATCATCCACCCCCACTCTTCTTCCGACTGCTCAAGTTCTCCTCAATCGTCCGAATCATCTCATTCCCCACCTTGGTCGCCTCCTCGAACCGCGGCGCAAAGTACGTCTGGATCGTCTCGAACTTCTCGCGGTAGCCGTCCATGTGGCCGAGGGAAACGCGGGCGCTCCAGTCCTGTGTTCGTTCACATGTGAGCAGAAGCGGGTAAGGGAGGAAGGGGAGGGGGGACTACGTACGCGAGCGGCGAAGCAGAATTCGAGGTCGTCTTGGACGAAGGTGCGGTCGGAGAGAGCGGTTTCTATGCACTCGTCTCTGGGGGAGGGGTCAGCCAGTATTCTCGGAGGCGTGAACAAGGAGAGAGGAGTCGAGGCGCCGGAAGGACATATGGTGTATATTGGTTTCTCGGAGAAGGCTGGCTGTACTTACAAGAGCTCAGGGTTGCGGTAGAGGTACTCTGTTATGCCGAGCCAAAGGCGGAACAACTGGATAGCGTCAGCAGTCATCACATCGGCATCCTGTTATGCGCGAGTCTCACCGGCGTCGAACAGATCATATGATCATACGGCACAATCCCCAACTTCCACCAACAATCCACCATCGCCAGCAAACTCAGCTGGCTATTCTTCACCCGCTCCGCACTCTTTTCACCCAAGCTAAACCGATCCAGAAGCTCATCCTGCAGCAGCAACTCCTCCCTCCCCTCCTTCTTACTCCCCGGATCGCCAAACACCGCTTTCCGCGCGGCATAGATCCGCTCCGTGAAAGCCTTCCGATGTCCACCAGTCATCAGCTTGACCAGTTCCGTCACACTCGTCGCGTACTGCCGGATCTGCTGCTTTGCGCTCGGATTCAAGATCGCCAGGCCGGCGTAGACGTGCCATTTGTTGCTGTAGATGCGGAGCATCAGGTTAATCTTCACGTTCTCGATTCCGCCGACGTAGCGAGGGACTTGCCACGGGAACTGGTTGTTGGCCTGCCAGGCTGTGCCCATGCTGAGAAAGGCGGCGTGGGTGACTGCTTGTGTGTCTGCTGTAATGCGGTCGTGCTTCTCTGCGGACAAGGGTACGAAGTTGGGCTCGAAGCAGGATAAGATCTTTCGGACCAGCGTGACGGAGGCGTCGCTGGCGCGGTGCTGGATGATGACCAAGGGCTGGCCTTTGGGGTTTACGCCAGGACCGTGGAGGGAATGGCAGGACACGATCTCGACATCAGCTGGCAGGTGAGCCTCGAAGGCGGCGATTTCGGGGGCTTTGGTTGAGGTCTGGCCGCCTACAATGGCACCTTGTTTGGTAGAAGGGCCGTAAGCAGATACCACGGCATCCATGTTCTTGGCTTCGACGGAGTACATAATCCAGTCAGAGCTGCGTGATACGAGATGGCCGTTGGGGAATATTGTGATATTGGGCTGATGATGAAAGACGGTCTCAGCGAGCTGTTTACAATGGCTATCTAATGGGTGGCACATACTCGACCGGAGAACTCTGCTTTCAACTGTTCATACTTGTCTGGGACATCGCAGGCATGTACTCTGACATACTAATCAGTACAAGACATACACGAGGACCTGTGAGGGATGTTAGCCAAAGCCTAGGACTCGTTGCCAATAGTAAAGGTGAGAAGGCAGAAGCATGTCAGACAAATAATAATAAGGTAGCTGAGATTTTACATCAGTGACGGCCGCCTGGTCAGCAGCGCCATAACGGTAGCTGCTGGTGCCAGATCGGCCATACTCGAGCCAAATGCACTCAAGTCATCATTGCAGGGGAGGAAGTAGAAGGAAGAGAATGAACGTACCATGCTGTATGCGAGGTCCACAGCATCGTGCATGCGGACCTACCTCCATCCTGCGTCACTGATCCTCCGGGCGTACATCTTGCCCATGTCACCCATGCCGATAATGCCCACCACGGCTTCGCCCATCTTGCCGGAAGATGCGAACGCGCATCCAATGGAGGATGATGAAGGCGGCTTGGGAGCGTAGCAGTAGCCTAAAGCTTTCTGGCAACCGTTCCTTCTGTTACAGAAAGGTCCTCGGTCCTTCAATGGTTGTGAGTGGAAGGGTTGTGAGGTGGTGAAGAAGAGGAAGAGGGAGCAGAAGAAGTTCGCAGTCATATTAAGCTTAGCGCGCCAAGTCCGGCACAAGCCGAAGCAAAAGTTCGACAGCCCACCACGAATTTGAATCCAGATCACCTCACCTCTTCAACCGCGTCGCACCAACACACAAACTACCACAAACATGGCACCCAAGAAGAAGGTCGAGCGCGCAGCGCAAGAGAACATCTCCCTCGGTCCTCAGGTGCGGGAAGGTCGGTTGCTGCCACACTCCAAACGAATTCATATACTGACTGCACTTGCTATTACAGGCGAACTCGTCTTCGGCGTCGCCCGCATCTTTGCTTCCTTCAACGACACCTTCGTCCACGTCACCGATCTCTCGTACGTCTGAACACAATCAAAAGAGTGCCATGAGCACAAATAAATGGCAAGAAATGGTTCACAGGCTAACCTGGGTGATTCCAGTGGCCGCGAAACCATCTCTCGCGTTACGGGTGGCATGAAGGTCAAGGCCGACCGTGACGAGTCCTCGCCATACGCAGCCATGTTGGCGGCGCAGGATGTCGCGGCACGATGCAAGGAGTTGGGCATTACGGCTCTGCACGTGAAGATTCGGGCTACTGGCGGTAGGCTCCCACCTCTGACAGGAGTGGAGGAGAGCAATGACTGATGAGACACAGGCAACGGCACCAAGACCCCAGGCCCAGGCGCACAGTCTGCGCTCCGCGCTCTTGCCCGTTCCGGCATGAAGATCGGCCGCATCGAGGACGTTACCCCAACACCGTCCGACTCGACGAGGAGGAAGGGTGGTCGCCGTGGTCGTCGTCTGTGATCGTTTCGCACCGCGAGGCAGTCTCGAGGTGGTGGCTAGAGGACAGACATTTCCAAGTGGTGGCACTTGTTGCTCATCAAGACGCTGTCGCGGAGAACGGCCTTTAAGCCTGGTCTCCCTGCTTTTCTACGTAGTCATCTGAATCGACAGTGGCTTGAAAACTCTCAATACATGGTATTTTCCTATGCCTCCCTCTCAATCTCAATCTACGTAGCGAGATTCCTAAACTGCAGCCCTCCTTGACTTGCCGACAACAGCACCATTGTCGCTATCCAGCTCCGCCTCGGGCGCATCCGAACAATCGATCCATCCTGGTTGCCGTGCGCCGTTTACTGTCTTTCGAAGAGACTGGCGACCAGCCCTGGCCCGCTCAACCGGATGTGATTAGGCTTGGTCCTTCTGGGTCTGGAAACAACCTGGAAGCGTACCAACAGCCAGAAACACCGCCGGGGGGGAGCGAAAGCACAAGCACTTCTTGCTCTCTGCTGGAACAATTTTCAGAGCTCATTGGCAGGCCCTTCGCAATCGGCATCCGCTCACTTGACGATTTCAATGGGACATTTGCTGCGATCGGTACAAAGTACATATGTTCTTCGAAAATAGAAACCTTTGGATCCCCGTCGACGGATAACGCTGCTGAACAGGGTGATTTGTAGTGGAGGCTGCAGGGTACTTTTACAGACAGCCCTACCGTGGACTATAGACGTGTGGACAACCGAACTAATGCGCGTAGAGCTATACTCAAATGTCAAATCCTATTCTTAAAGCAACGCGTTCGCAACTTGCTCGAGGTGCCTGACTTCCACTTGGTGCGTGAGTGCCGTTCTCTATATCAAACGCTTACGGACGCCGAACGTGAGCCCGCAGACGACGACATTGTTATGAGGTTTTATTCAAGTTCAGCGAATTAGTGACGACCTGCCCGTCCGTTCAAGATAGGCTGCGTTGCTGCTGAAGCCTGATTGATGTTTGGAATCTCCGAACGAGCTTGTCTCGTATATCACGATGGTGCGCATCTGGCTCGATGAGAAGAGGTATGACAAGACGTCGCTGGTTTTGGAGGCTCGCTGGTCCTGTCCGCTTGGGAGTGGCTTGCGACTTATGGACTCTGGATGGCTCCCGCCGCCGGCTCCAGCGCGCTGAGAGCAGATGCTTTTTTCTGCAAGCCGTCCTTTGGCGACGTACCTCCTAAGACACCAGTGTCATAGATATCGATTTCAGAAACCGTTCCGGAGGTCGCTGTCCTTCAAAGGTTGGTTCCTGGGGCATTTCTAGAGGTGGTGTGCACAGCTTGTACATGTTCACTTCGACGCGAGATCTTCAATTGGCCCGGTGTGATGCATCGCAATGTGTGCTACCCTCTTGGAGATGTTGATGCAGGAAGAGTAGGTGATCTCTCACCCTGTCTTCAAAGCGAAGCGGATGTATTGAATGGAGGTGGCCTGTGATTGGCCGCCTCACTAGCGCGACCTTGGCGGCCTTTGTCCAACTTTTCACAGCGCGACTCGAAGCGACAACACAGCAACCTCACTCATCAACCTCCGCGAGACGACCAATCGCATCGCGGTAGCCCCATCAACATCGCCTCACTGCTGCACGCAGACATCTTCTGAAGGAGGTCTGGCTCATCAGGACCAGGCCGCACTGCTGCTGTGTCGCACCACGCCCGCGCCCGCAGGCTTCCCAAAACCCTCACTCCGTGAAAATGGCGTCAGGCCCAGAGAAGAGCGTTTCTAACACGCGCCTGTACCTCGGGAATCTCCCGCGCACTGGTTAGTCCCTGGCTTGTGAACCCCGGAGGTCTACGTGGACTCGCTTCACTTTTGGAGGACTGGCTGTTATGCTCTCATGTCCGGAACGTGGAGCTGGAGCTGGCACAGCTTGACGCAGGACTTCATCGCATCTGGCGTAGCATGGCTGACTGGACCCTGTGATTCTAGCTACCAAGGCCGATGTTGAGAACCACTTCAACACCCATGGCACTGGGGAGATTACCGAGATCAAGCTTATGAACGGCTTTGGCTTCATCGAGTACAAGGATGAGATGGATGCGCGCGATGTCGTTCCAGGTTAGTCTTCCCTTCCTGTGCATGAGCTTTGCTGTCAGTCTGCTAACACCATCGCCAGCATTCCGTAAGTCAACCCATGTCCTGAAGGCCTTGTCTACGGGCACCAGCGCATCGCTCTTGCGCCTTGCCACCATTCAAACTCTATGCTATGCTCTCACATACTGACATCTATCGATGGATTCCAGACGGATCCGACTTCATGGGCGAACGTCTGGTTGTTCAGTTCGCTCGCGGCAGCAACCGGCCACGTGATGACCATGGCTTCGCCCCCCGCCAGGCTCCGCGCCCGCGCCGCACCGTACATCGCATGACGATAACCGGCCTCCCATACGAAACCAGCTGGCAGGTTAGCATCCCCTCTCCACCCTGGTCGCTCCCTTCATGTCTGTCAACATGGCTGCCTGTACAATCCTTGAGTGCTTCCTGTACTCTGGCTCAGTCGCCTCCAAGAACATGACCTTACCCAAGCTGGGGTGGTGGCCATTACTCTGTCCCTATCCCACAGTGACTGGCTACTGCTCCACATGCATTCTTTCTCTCTTCATGATTGGACATCTGGACTTACACCTTCCTACAGGACCTGAAGGACTTCGCCCGCCAGTCTGGCCTGGACGTGGTCTACAGTGAAGTCGCCCGCGAGCGTGACACCAGCGGCCTAGGCAAAGGGTAAGCCAAATGTAAACGAGTTCCTACCTTCAAACTAACTTGCGCAGCTTCGTCGAATACGAGACTGGTGCAGACCTTGCCACCGCTGTGGAGAAGCTCGACAACCACACCTTCAAGGACGCCACCGTTCGCTGCATTTCCGACGTAAGTCTCAACAAAGCGCGATCGCATACATTTTGTGCTAATTCTGTCCAGCCGCAAACCGAGATCCCGCGTCCGCGTGAGCGCTACAGGTCGCGTTCTCCAGGCTACCGCGGTCGCGGCTACGGCCCACCTCCGGTCGACGACTTCTACGATCGTCGTGGTCCGCCTCGTGGCTACAGCCCGCGTCGCGACGACTACCGCCGCCGCACTCCACCACCGCGCGGCTACTACGACGACCCACGCGAAGAACGCTTCGGCCCGCCACGCGGTCGACCACCGATGGACGACTACCCACCGCCGCCACGTTCGCGCTACCCCGACGATCGCTACGGAGGCCCACCACCACCGCGCGGCTACCCGGAGGCAGACCCGTACATGAACGGCCACGGCAGGGAGCCGTACGGTCGTCCACCAAGCCCGCCTAGGAGGGATCGCGGGTACGAGCGTGCGCCCTATGAGCCAGCGCCCCCGCGCTATTGGTGAATACCACCCTTTCTTGCTCCTTCTCAGCTCCTTTGTCATGCTCTCTAAGGGCTCAGACTGAACCGCATCAAGATCACCCGACTACCACTTCCCGATCATCGAGCTTCATCGCGTATAGCTAAGGTGAGGCTATCAGAACGGTAATGCTTGAGGGAGAACTCGAAGATGGGAGGAAAGCAGGGTTGATTCATCGTTGTCGAGTCGGACCGTTCAGCAGTATACATAATTGACTTCTTGCGTTCTCGAGGAGGCATGCGGACTTCGGCTGCTGTGGGAGGCGGAGCGTTGCAGCGAAGATTGGATGGATTGCGAGTGGGTGGCAGTATCAAGGCGGCCGAAGCAGCGAGCATTCATCCTGTAACATCAGACTGACAGAAAATTGTGTCCTTAACATCGCTTTTCGTGTTCTTTGTCCTAAGTGACCACAATGACTCGCCAAGCCTGCAAGCAGCCGACTTCGATGACACGTTAGCATGTGAAAGTCTCCAACAAACGTCAAGTCTGCCTTGGAGATATTCTTACTCTTTCTCCGACACACGTTATTGCCCATACCTGTGCGGTCCTCCAGTCGACGAACCAATACTCAGCGCTCTCGGTCGATAACTCACCCACCCTTCCACCTCGTGCAACCGCATCATGGCCAGCAAGGCTGCCTACAAACGGCTGAACCGCGAATACGCCACGATCTCCGCCAATCCACCGCCGTACATCTCTGCCCACCCGTCCGAAGCCAACATCTTAGAGTGGCACTACGTTCTCACCGGCCCTCCTCAGACCGCTTACGAGGGAGGGCAGTACTGGGGTACGCTGGTATGTGACTTCTCTTCCCCAAGCTACTTCAAGGACGCCGCTAACAGTACGAACTACAGGTCTTTCCCCATGACTACCCTTTCGCCCCGCCTGCGATCCGCATGCACACACCCTCTGGCCGCTTCCGCCCCTCCGAGCGTCTCTGCCTCAGTATCTCCGACTTTCACCCTAAATCCTTCAACCCAGCGTGGGAGGTCAGCACGATCCTGCTGGGCGTACAGTCCTTCATGACCTCAGAAGAGATGACGACCGGCTCTGTGTCGGCATCAGAGGGTGAGAGGAAAGCGTTAGCAGCACGAACAAGGTGGTGGAACAGCACAGGCGGCGGGAGCACAGATCGACGACTTCCGGGTCAGCAGGCAGCTGGGAGTAACAGGCGTGGCTTCGGCGCGATCAAAGGCGGAGACGGCGGAAAGAAATTCAAGGAGCAGTGGCCGGAGCTGGACGAAGAGAATTGGAAGTGGATGGAGGAGCAGAAGATTGATCCGCAAACGGGCAAGAGTTTGGTGCAGACGAGCTGTGCGCCGGAGATGGAGGGGTTGAGGAAGAGAGTGGGAGGTAGTGCGGCGGCGGGACTGGGTGCTGTGGTGGATGGGGGCGCTGAGGGGCAGGGGTTTGTTAGGAGGAATGCGATGTACATTGCTCTTGGGGTGCTGTTTGCGTATGTGCTTGTGATGCGGGTGGTGAAGGAGCAGTGACGAGGAAGGGCTGTGGGAATGGATGTTTGGATTAGCGTGGCGTTCTCGGGTGCTGCATTCGCTGGTGGTTACGTTGGTCGTCCGAGGTCAAGGACAGTCGTCTTGAGGGGAAGGACAAACGCGCTCATATCAATAGACGGTCTACGAATTCCGGTGTTCCAGCCCTCTGGAGACGGGTCACGCAAGCTCTCTCGTGGTCCACACGTCCACCTACAAGCTCCCTTTGAGCCACTGGGCCAACACTCTTCCCGACAAGCGTTGCCGGGCATTTCTTGATGCCGTCCCTGATGCCGTCTCTGATGCCGTCCCTGATGCCGTCCCTGATGCCGTCCCTGATGCCGTCCCTGATGCCGTCCGTGATGCCGTTCCTGATGATGACCGTTCGCTTTCTTAAGGCGGCACTCCCTGGAAGTCGTCCGAACGGCGAGGAGCTCCTATGGGCCTGGGTCCTTCGACGTGCGAGCAATGCGGAAGCGTCGACTTCGCCATGGTCGACGGCCTCGTCGCTATGTGCATCCGGACACATCCAGCGAACAGGTCTTCAATGCTCTCAGCGTTTGATGTGGACGTTTCCACGTATCGACACTTCAGATGCTTCGCAAATGCCTGACCTTCTTCCCAAGACACAGCTCGCTGACTCTGCAAGTCTGCTTTCGTCCCGACGAGCGTCATGACACGTCGCTTGGGGAACGCTGGGTCATTGTCGAGATCTTCGATATAGTACGGCAAGTCCTCAAAAGACTCTCGTGAGGCCAGACTGAAAACAAGTATAAAAGTGCCAATAAGCGGACGTCGGTCGAACGCCCCCCGTGGTAAATCCCCAGTAGCGTTGAGCACAAGCTCCTATGTCACGCCGTCCACTGCCATGGACATGTGGTAGGATTTGTGAAGAAGGCGTCCATACTGCCACAATGTTGGTAAACGGACGTATCGCTCCCAAGACCTTGTTACGTACATATTGTGCTAAAGATTTCTTCCCGCTGTGGCGGTTTCCCAGTAGGAGGAGTGGGCGGTCATGAGTATGCCATATGTTGTGGAGGTACTTGGATCTGTTGGACACCGCAAGCCAAGTTTTGCAGACAAGTCTTGCTCTCTGAAGATCCCAGGTATGCAAGTACGGAAGTATGGCTTCAATGAGTTCGTACGTGCTGAAGACTTGTTGTGCTGCTGCTGCTGAGAGAGGCTCTATGCTAGCGGAGGGTTTGAAGGGAAGTGTTGGCCAGTCGATTGATGGCAGTCGTGAGATCTTGGTACCAGACATTCTGGCTGTCGAGCCGATGTGTGAGAGGGTGAAGACATTCTGGGCTTACATATATCTTTCGATTCACAGGCAGTTTCAAAGGACGCAAGGAGTGATGTTGGGGTAGTCTAGACTAGCAGGCTTCAGGCACCCATGCATGAGACTTAGATATGCTTAACCTTGAGACTCTTCTCTTGACCTCACCACCCAGAACACCGTACTCGCAGCTGCCAGAACCTTGGCCGCAAGTATGGCTGATGGTCTGGACGCCTTTGAAAGGCTGACACTAGCCTTCGACAATCAGGACCGCGATATCGATGACATCCTAGATGAGGCAAAACCACGCAAACGAGCCCGGATATCGCCAGAAACCATCAAAGCCAACCTTGAACGGGAATTCTTGACGCCAGCAATCACATACAGCCCAGGATGGCTTGACCGGTTACAGCAAAGATGGGAGACGCCCGTCAACTACAGCGAGCTCTTCAAGCTTGCGCCAACGCAGACAAGGACGGTCATCCGCTTCACCCGAGAAGGTCTGGAAGGTAGGGTGGTGGGCTACCGCGAAGTCACTGTGCCTGCGAACAGTGCTACTGCGAAGAACTCTACTTCGATCCTGCGGAAGCCGGCCAATCGAGCGGATTTTGTGCGTGGCGCTGCTGGCTTCTACCCATTCGCGCCTGGAGGGTTGGATGCTGTTCAGGCTACGGCAGCCTATGAGGATGAGCTGCTTCAGCAGAATGGTGCCGATCAGGCTGGGAAGGCCAACAAGCTGAACCGGGTGATCGACTTTGCTGCAGAAGGAGGTCTACTTGAGGTCCCACCTGGGTTCAGCAGGGGACTGAGAGTGCCGGAGAAAGCTAGCCAGGATGCTGAAGCGGCTGAGGAAGTGGAGAACGTCCTTGAAGAGCAGACTGCTCAGTCTGAAGCCGCCACCAACGGTGTCCCCTTGGATGATGCAGGTGAAAGCACGCCTGAAGAGGACGAGTTTGCTGGTGAAGAAGAAGTCGACTCCCTATTACCGATCGAGTTCCCTGCGTTGGCACCTCATGGACCCCTAGCTGTCGCACGTAACAAGCACGGCGGACGAGAGTGGGCGCACATGGTCGATGTCAATCGGGACATTACCAACTTCCACGAGCTGGTGCCAGAAATGGCACGCACCTGGCCTTTCGAGCTTGATACGTTCCAGAAAGAAGCAGTGTATCATCTTGAAAACGGCGACTCTGTCTTTGTGGCTGCTCACACTTCTGCCGGCAAGACCGTCGTTGCGGAGTATGCCATCTCGCTCGCTGCGAAGCATATGACCAAAGCTATCTACACCTCGCCCATCAAAGCGCTCAGTAATCAGAAGTTCAGAGACTTTCGGCAGACCTTCGACGACGTTGGCATTCTCACTGGCGATGTTCAGATACGACCTGAAGCGAGCTGCCTCATCATGACTACGGAGATTCTACGAAGCATGCTGTACCGTGGAGCTGATTTGATCCGAGACGTTGAGTTCGTCATCTTCGACGAAGTACACTACGTAAACGACCTCGAGCGTGGTGTGGTGTGGGAGGAGGTCATCATCATGCTGCCGGAGCACGTCACCCTCATCTGCCTGTCTGCGACTGTACCGAACACGTACGAGTTCGCATCCTGGGTCGGCCGCACGAAGAAGAAGGATATATATGTCATCTCGACGCCAAAGCGTCCTGTTCCGCTGGAGCACTACATATGGGCAGACAAGAAGATGTTCAAGATTGTGGACTCGAACAAGCATTTCATTGAGAAAGGGTGGAAGGATGCTAATGACGCTATGTCAGGTCGCGACAAGGTCATTGCTGCTGAGCAGAAGGCAAAGGAGAAGGAGGATGCTGCAGTTGCTGCCGGTCGTGGTGGTCGGGGTGGGCGGGGCCAGAATGGCAGAGGTGGGCAGCAGCGTGGTGGGAGTAATCAGCGAGGAGGTCCTCAGCAGAGAGGAAGAGGTGGGCCACCGAATCGCGGGCAAGGCAACATTGCTCGTACGGGCAGAGGCGGCGGCAGAACGACGGCCGCCCAAGACCGCAACATCTGGGTTCACTTGGTGCAGCACCTGCGGAAAGAGGAGCTACTACCGTGCTGCATCTTCGTCTTCTCCAAGAAGCGTTGCGAGGAGAACGCTGATGCTCTATCGAACCTGGACTTCTGCACAGCCACTGAGAAGAGCGCCATCCACATGATCTTGGAGAAGTCGCTCGCTCGTCTCAAGCCGGACGACAAGACTTTGCCTCAAATTCGACGGATCCGTGAGCTGCTCAGTCGAGGTATCGCGGTTCATCACGGTGGCCTGCTGCCGATCGTCAAAGAATGTGTAGAAATTCTGTTCGCAAAGACTCTGGTGAAGGTGCTCTTTGCCACTGAGACGTTCGCCATGGGTCTGAACTTGCCGACGAGGACGGTCGTCTTCTCCGGCTACCGCAAGTACGACAACAAGGCTTTTCGAGATCTCCTGCCTGGCGAGTATACTCAGATGTCCGGACGTGCTGGGCGAAGAGGTCTTGATTCCGTTGGTACAGTTCTGCTGGTTACGCCTGGCGCGGAAGAGGCTCCACCTGCTGCTCGACTGCGGCAGATGATGCTGGGTGATCCGACGAAGCTTCGCTCGCAGTTCCGTCTGACGTACAACATGATCCTGAACCTGCTTCGAGTGGAGGCACTGAAGATCGAGGAGATGATCAAGCGGTCATTCTCGGAGAATGCTACTCAAGCACTGCAGCCCGAGCATGAGAAGCAGATCAAGCTGTCTGAAGCTGATTTGGCGAAAGTCAAGCGAGAGAGCTGCAACACCTGCGACAAGGATATTGAGCGGTGTCATCAAGCGAGCGTCGACTTCCAGCGGCTGACTGAAGAGCTGCACCTTGCGATGCTCTCTTTCCCAGTCGGACGGCGCATGTTCCAGGCGAAGCGTTTGATTGTGTTCCGTGGCAAGAATGATGTCCGGACGGCTGGCGTGCTGCTGCGTGACGGCGTCAGCAAGAGTGGCTCGACTGTGCAAGTGCTCGAAGTGCTGTGGAAGAATCCAAGGAAGCGGACAGACCCCGACTTCCTACCATACCTCCAGCGCTTCCGGCGGCGGTTCGTCCCACTGCCACAGACCGAGGCCGAAATGCGGCTACGCCAGCTGATGATCCCTCTATCTGACATTGAGGCCTTGACAAAGACTCACATGCAGATCGACCTTGAGGGTATCCTCCGAAAGGATCCTACAGCAGAAGCGCAGGCCAAGAGTCTGCTGCTGGCGACCTGCTCGTCGTGGACGTCTTCTTCGTGGTATGAGCTGGACTGGCACAAGTATCTCAAAGAGATGTCCCTGCGCACCCTTCTCGATGAGAGGGCCACTGCTGCCAATATTGCACAGTCCTGCGAGTGCATTCACTGCCCCGACTTCCCCAAGCACTTCGCCATGGAGCACGACCAATGGCTCATCAAAGACAAGATCGACTCCATCAAGCAACTCATGTCGGACCAGAACCTCCAACTCCTGCCCGACTACCAACAACGCATCTCCGTCCTCAAAGACCTGGGCTTCATCGACGAACACTCCCGCGTCGAGCTCAAAGGCAAAGTCGCCTGCGAGATCCACTCCGCCGACGAACTCGTCCTCACCGAACTCGTCCTCGAGAACGTCCTCGCCGACTACGAACCGGAAGAAATCGTCGCCCTCCTCTCCTGCTTCGTCTTCCAGGAGAAAACCGACTCCACGCCCAACATCACCTCGTCCCTCGAACGCGGCATCGCCACCATCGTCAAGATCTCCGAGAAAGTCAACCAGTACCAGACTCTGCACCAAGTCATCCTCTCCTCGGACGACTCGAACGACTTCGTCAGCCGTCCGCGCTTCGGGCTGGTGGAAGTGGTGTACGAGTGGGCTCGCGGCATGCCTTTCAGCCGGATCACGGACCTGACGGATGTGCTGGAGGGGTCGATTGTGCGGGTGATCAGTAGGTTGGACGAGACGTGTAGGGAGGTGAAGAATGCGGCGCGGATTATTGGGGACCCCGGGTTGTTTGGGAAGATGCAGGTTTGTCAGGAGATGATTAAGAGGGATATTTGTGCGACGGCGAGTTTGTATATGTAGGGGCAGGCGGGGGCAGGAGGTGGCGTGGAGGAAGCACAGAAGGACGCGTGACGTCTGATGGCGAGCAACGAGGATGTCTACAGTCTGAGCATTCACTGCTGTATCTTCATTGAATACACACATTCACCTCCACATTCAGGCTGCACTCAGCCCTACGAGCAAGCTGGGAGGCAGTTCCCTTGCAGTCTTCTAATCCCTGCCTCCTCCACGTGCTGAAACATAAACCTCCTCCACATCAAACGTCTCGCGATTCCCCTTGCACTTTTGTGATTTCAACAACACCGGCGCATGCCCCTCCCCTGATCCCACCACCCCCTGTGGTGATGAGCCATCAGCCTTAGTCATCACAGCAAAAGCCTCGCGCACCACTTTATTCGCTGGTACCTGGCTCCGGCCTCTGCCACTGCTAGCTTTGCTCCACATTCACCGTCGCCGCCGCACGTGTCAAACGAAAAGTTTCCTAGGTACTTATCACAGACGCTCACTGCAAAGGATCGAAGACAACAACGCGCAACGATGGCCTCCGGGCTCTCCGAGAGGATCAAGGCCACGCTGCAGGCCGATCAAGCCACGCGATCCGCTGGAGAGGCAGAGTTGAAGGCTGTACGTCCACTCATATCTGACTTGAGACATGGACACGACTAATGTGCGATACATAGGCGGAGGAGAGTCCTGGCTTCCTGAACGCACTGCTCGATGTACTCAACAGCGACGAAATTGCTGCGGTGAAGCTGTCAGGTACGAACACCCACCTCTACTTCACCTAAGCAAGCTCTAACATCACATCATCACCCAGCGGTCGTCTACTTCAAGAACCGAGTCAGCCGCGGCTGGTCCAAACCCGACGACACCCAGTCCTCCACCATCTCCGACGACGAGAAAGCCGCCGTCCGCCCTCGCATCGTCCCCGTCATCGCTACCGCCCAACCCCCCGTCCGAGCCCAACTCATCGTCGCCCTCCAAAAGATCCTGCACTCCGACTTCCCCAAGCAGTGGCCCGATTTCGTGGACATCACCATCAAGCTCCTCAACGCGCAGGATGTGCCCTCGGTGTTCGCGGGGCTGCAGTGCATGCTGGCGATATGTCGGACGTACAGGTTCAAGTTGGGGGAGAACAGAGGGGACTTTGATAGGATCGTGGAGACGACCTTCCCGCAGCTGCTGAATATTGGGAACAGCTTGGTGAATGAGACGAGCTTGGAGGCGGGGGAGATGCTGAGGACGGTGTTGAAGGCGTACAAGCATGCGATCTATTTCGAGCTGCCGAAGCAGTTGCGGAGTCACCAGGCGATGGTGGATTGGTGCACGCTCTTTTTACGAGTGGTCGCGAAAGAGCCGCCAGAGAACTCGATGATGGAGGACACGGACGAGAGGGAGCTGAACCACTGGTGGAAGTGCAAGAAGTGGGCATACGTCAACCTCAACCGGCTATTCGTGCGGTACGGCAACCCGGCGAGCCTGCAGAAGGGCAATGGGGAAGACTACACCGAAGTCGCCAAGACGTTCATCAACAACTTTGCGCCGGAGATATTGAAGGGCTACCTGACGCAGGTGGAGGCGTGGATTCACAAGCGGATATGGCTGAGTAAGCCCTGTCTGTCGTTCACTCTGGCCTTCCTGGACGAGTGCGTGAAGCCGAAGATGATGTGGGATCACCTGAAGCAGCACATGTCGATTCTGATTGAGCATCTGGTGTTCCCAGTGCTATGTCAGACTGATGAGGACATTGCGCAGTTCGAGGACGAGCCGGCGGAGTATCTGCATCGGAAGCTGAATTTCTACGAGGAGGTGTCCGCGCCGGATGTCTCTGCGACGAACTTTTTGGTCACACTGACGAAGAACCGGCGGAAACAGACGTTCGAGATTCTGAACTTTATCAACGGGATTGTCAGCAAGTACGAGACCGCGCCAGAGGGGCAGAAGAATCCACGGGAGAAGGAGGGTGCGTTGCGGATGATAGGGACATTGGCGAACGTCATCCTGGGGAAGAAGAGTCCGATCGCTGATCAGGTGGAATACTTCTTCGTGCGGCACGTCTTTCCAGAATTCAGGAGTCCGCATGGATTCTTGAGAGCTCGGGCTTGCGACACGCTGGAGAAATTTGAGGCGCTGGATTTCAAGGATCAGAACAACCTCACCATTGTCTATCGGAATATCCTGGAGTCCATGGCGGATCCGGATCTCCCTGTGCGGGTGGAGGCTGCGTTGGCATTGCAACCGCTGATACGGCACGATCCTATCCGAATTATGATGCAGCAGAACATCCCTCAGATCATGCAGCAACTCCTCAAGCTCGCCAACGAGGTGGATGTGGATGCCCTGGCGAACGTCATGGAGGATTTTGTTGAAGTCTTCGCAACCGAGCTCACCCCCTTCGCCGTCGCACTTAGCGAGCAACTTCGAGATACCTACGTCCGCATCGTGCGCGAGCTGATCGAACGAAATAGCTCGAAGGAGGGCGATGAAGGGTACGGCGACTTCCTGGACGACAAGAGCATCACCGCGCTTGGTGTGCTCCAAACCATCGGCACCCTCATCCTTACACTTGAAAGCACGCCCGACGTTCTCGCACACCTCGAAACGATTCTTATGCCCGTCATCACCATCACTCTCGAGCACAAGCTCTACGACCTGTACAACGAGATCTTCGAAATCATCGACAGCTGCACCTTTGCGGCCAAAGTCATCACGCCGACTATGTGGCAAGCGTTCGAACTTCTTCATCAGACCTTCAAGTCTGGCGCCGAGCTGTACTTGGAAGACATGCTCCCCGCGCTGGAGAATTTTGTCAACTACGGCTGGAAGACGCTCATGGAGACGCCTGCGTACCTTGAAGCGGTGGTGGATATGGTCCGCACCATCTTCAAGGACGAGAAGGTCGGCGGCGTGGACCGCATCTGCGGCTGCAAGCTAGCGGAGATCTTGATGCTGAATCTGCGCACGGGGATCGACATGTACATTCCCGAGTTCATCTCGCTGGCCATGACTGTGCTGGTGAACGACGAGTTGAAGGTCAAGACGTACCGGATCCACCTGATGGAGATGGTGATCAACGCCGTCTACTACAATCCACGCCTGGCGATCGGCGTGCTGGAGGCGAACGGCTGGACGAATAAGTTCTTCAGTCTGTGGTTCTCGAGTATCGATTCCTTCACTAGGGTGCATGACAAGAAGCTGAGCATTGGAGCCATCATCGCATTGTTGACGCTCAGAGCGGACGAGGTGCCGCAGAGTGTGCAGCAAGGGTGGCCGAGATTGCTTCAGGGCATCGTGCGGCTATTCCAGACGTTACCAGCAGCGCTCAAAGCTCGGGAGGAGGCGCAGCGGGAAGACGACTTCGTGACCGGCAGCGGCGGCTTCGACGACGACGAGGATGAAGAGGAATGGGAGGGCGAGGAGTGGGATGGCGGCGAGGGGGAGGGTGAAGAAACGGCCGACATCAAGGACGAGAGCACGGCGTACCTGGATTTCCTGTCCCAGCAGGCGGAGAAGTTCAACGCGGCAGTCGGCGATGATGAGGAGGGCGACGAGATGGAGGAGGAGAGTCTGCTGGAGACGCCGCTGGATTCGATGGAGGTGTATGGGTTGTTTAAGGGGACTTTGGAGGGTGAGTTCTTGCATTTCCCCCCTTCTATCCTTACGAATGCCGCTCCTTTTTAAGAGTGTTTTGCTAACGTAGGTGTGACGCAGCTATGAGCCAACAGCAACCGCAGCTCTACAATTCCCTCACCACAGCGCTCACGCCCGAGGAGCAGCAGGTGATTAAGGCGGCGCTGGAGCAGGCGGACAAGATCGCCGCGGACCAGCAGCAGCAGCAGCAGTTCTCTGGGGCGTCGGCGGTCGCGGGGGCGGGCGTGGGTAGCCAGCAGGCCCAGACGAATGGCGCGTGAGACGAAGAGGCTAGGTCGTGCTCGAAGTGCGTCCGAGTCGAAATCAAGCCGAGCTCTGGTGACGGTGTTAGTTGAGAATGGCATCGGGGCATGGCATGGAGAAGGCTTGTCGAGATCCTGCGGCTTAGCGGGCCGAGGGGCAGAGACGGAGGAAGGAGAGGAGGGGCATAGCATGACATGCATGGCATTCGCGTGGAAATCGTTCGGAACGGAGCAATATGGAGTGGATGGCATGTGGCATGTGGCATGTGGCATGGCATGGCATGGAACGGCATGGACTTTGTTGCTGTAGAGGCGAGTATGGTAGATACCCTGAATGATGGTTTTATGCATGAGCGCCGTCGAGAATCGCAGTTGGAGAGGATGTCGTAGTTGGTATACCGCGGACGTTCTAGAAGACTGTCTGTCTACGGTGGCCTTTGGCCGGTTCTAATGTCACTAATGAGTCCACATTCTGCACTGCTGCAGATAACATGGTTCCGCGGAGCCCTTCAGCAGCATCCCCGCATGAACACCTACCTCACGTCTCAGTTGTCGTCGTACACCCAACTTTAGGCGCAGAACATAGCCTGTCTTCAACCCGTCCTGCCGCCTCTAGCCTGACTGTTAGCATGGGCGGCACAAAATCGTCTGAAGGATTGCTGAAGCCTGGATCTAGACATGCAGTCTCGGCGGTTGGATGGCTGGGCTTCGAGCCGTGCATTCCGGGCACTGCCCAGGGGGATGTAACACATGATGGGGGTGATCGACGTGTCCAAAGACGGAGTCCGCGGGTGGCGGATGGCGGAGTAGGAGGAATCAAAAGGGTTGCTTCGTCGCACCCGCTGGTGAATAGTACAGTTCTTGAGTGGTGAACTGAGAATTAAGCCAACGACAAACGCAGACATTAAGTTGACGAGAGATGGCGGACAACGGTGACCAGCAAAGCAAGTCGCGACAGCACAGCAGCTCACACGTCGCACAGTATGCTAAGAGTAGCTCTAGCGATCAACTGCAAGCCTGGACGCAGCATCTCCCCCAACTTCCTGCCCGAAGACTACGACGAGTACCCAAACGTGTGCGGTTTTCTCTGGCCGTCCAACATCCCTCTACCGGATACCCGATGTGCGTAACTAGCACTCGCCATCCATGCACGATTGATGCGGATGATCCATTTTGACACCTCGCTGACGCAAAAGACCAGCATGCTGCAACTCCCCGATCTCGACCTACGACGACTGCTTCCGCTACTGCGAGCCCGCTGGCGACGCTGATGCCTTCCAGAGATGTGCTGCCGATGCGGCTTTTCGGACGAATGCTACCATGGGATTTGGGTCGAAGTGCTCGGGGAGTGGGATGGTGGTGCCGAATGGAGGGTTGGCGGGGGTTGTTGGGCTGTTCGCTCTGGTTCTGGTGATGTTCCGGTCGTAGGGAGGATTGATGGGGTGATTTGAAGGCGGAGACAGCTGTTGCAGTGTCCGGGTTTTCCATTAAACGAGGGTGGCAGCGCCGTGGATCGATGAGTATCGGCTCACGCGATTCGGACGGCGCTCAATCGTTTGCCATCAAGATGGCGGCGGCGGCAGAGTCAAGACTTCGATCGGACGGAGCGATGCTGACTGAGTTCGTGAGGAAATGTCGAGAGGGCTGATGCAGGTATCACATGGCATCGCTCTCCGCGACGATGGATGTTGCAACTCATGCAAACAAGTCGTCGTCCAACCATCATCAGGTGGAGGTGTGAGATGAGTTCCAATCTAGCCATCAGTGGCTTGCAATGCTTCCACGATGTTGGCTGCGTCCCGAAGACTTTTGGAGGTGAATTTCTATTTGTTGCTATCACAAGATTACTCGTCATGAGTGTTCTTTCAGCTGCCCGATTGGCGAGCCTACTAACAGTGTGCATTGTTGTAGAACTACACCGGATTCAGCAACTTGTACGAAGGTAAGCAGTCACATTATTAGCCTCCGTTACTAATAAGCATCCTGCATCGCGATCGCTGCCCTGTTTGGCCCTCTGGTTGTTCTCGCAGTCTATCAGTCGGAGGACATTGGTATTTGAAACGCTTTCCTAGCACGTCCATTGGCTGTGAAACGCTCGTATTCGCGCTGTCCAACTTGGAGGCTGCAGATCGTCGTTCAGGTGCAAGGCGCAGCCTCCGGTCAAAAAGGTGGTATTGAACGATTCAAAACAATGCTTTGCTCCTGGGACTCTCCCAGGACGATACAAGAACTGAACGCCCTCCCAGTTAGCAGAAGCGTTCCGTCGTGCACGATTAATCTCATCATATTCCGAATCCTAAGAACAGAACACAATGTCAAACAAGACAGATTTTAACAGTCAGTTGTCACATCTCCAACAACCGTCACGGACCTCTCTAACCAAGGCATCCAGGAGCGTGCTCTGCACTCTTCAGCGTCGGCGACCTACCACCCGACTTTGACGAGCACCGCCCGTTCTACTGCGGATTCAGCTCGTTCTCAGGCAGCGGACCGATACCAGACTTCTCAGCATGCTGCGTTGACGAGATGAAGACATCGAGAGGATGTTTCCAATACTGCACGCCACTCGTCGAGGATACCTGGGACAGTTGCATTTATCGAACAATACGCCAGTCGAACGTTTCGATGACTGCCCCTGACGGTACTATTTGCGCAACGAAGCAAAACAACTTGACCTCGAGCAATTCGACGTCCACCAACTCGACGTCTGAGGGAGGAGATGGTACGGGTGCGCCTGATAATGCAGCTGGGATGGTGATGCCGAACGTACTGGGGACGTTTGGATTGCTTGCGGTACTTCTGATGATGTTTCGGTAGTCGGGAAGAGCAATTACGAAACCTCTCGAGATGAGCGCCATTGTCAGGTTGTCGACAAGTCGAGCGAGTCATGGTCGGAATGGGCGACTGGACAGCACTCGAAGACACGAGGCCCAGTGCGGGATCAGCGCCGAGGGAGTTATACGTCTTAATTCATCCTTTACAGATATGCTAATGTGATCCAATTATCGGTTCCATGGATGAAGTGGTGATAGGTGTTGTGGTGATGTTCAACAACGTATGGTTGTCCAACCTGTCCGGCAGGATTCCACGACGTAACGTTGTGATACAACACATTGGCTTTGGCATGCGTGGTACTCGTGATATGTCAACAACGTGCAAGGCTAGCTGTAGATCGCGATAATTCTGTCTTGGCGAGCGTACAGATTTCCCTGTCTGGAAAGCTGACTCTGGCCAGTCGTGGTGATGCTTGTGGCGGGGGCAAGGCGCAGTGACCACAGATGGGGACGGCGCCGAAGGATCAACAACTTCGAAACATTTAAAGATAGCCCTTATAAGGCCCGACTCTCCAGTCCCATGCCGATTATCTTCACAAAACGGCGGGTTCGGTTCTCCAAGTTTGTAATTGACAGACATGGCGAAACAGATTCGACAAGACACAGGTCAGTACGAGAGCTCTTTACATATCGCGGTCGACGAGCTGACAAGATCTCAGATCAGTGTCGCAAAAACGCGGTCCAAGAAGGCATCGAGCCTCCGAATTTCGATGATCACGACCCGCCTCTGTGTGGGTTTCCATGGCCGCAATCTTCACCTCCTTTACCAGATCTCTCTTGTAGGTGTGCGCGAAAGCCAGATAAATGAATCAATGACTGACATTCGGCCAGCCTGCTGCAAGACCGAAGTCAAGACGTCGGCGGGCTGTTTTCGCTACTGCGAGGCAGTTGATCCCGATAACTGGTCGACGTGCACTCTTGGGGTATTCGACCAGTCGAACTCAACGGGAAAGCCGCCTTCAATCTTTGGATGCAGCGCCACGGCTACGGAGGGCAGTAGTGCGTTGACGACGCCGAATGGAGGGCTGGCGGGAGCGGTAGGGTTGGTTGTTCTGGCTCTGGCGATATTCCGATAATTGAATCGGCAATTTGAAGGTTTCGAGAGAGGGTCCACGGTGACGCGAGACGAAGATGCTTCTGCAACCTTTGGAGCCATCGACTGGTCGCGCGGGTCTTGCTTCGCCGTGCGTGCTCTGCATGGTTCAAGCAGGAGCTCGTGATGGGCTTTGAGGGAGCCGGCTTCGGCCACTGCCACGAAGCGACGGCAGCTATGATGAGGCATTGGATGACGCCCATAGATGGAGCAGATGTGTGTGTGAGATACCTGTTGATATTGCGTCCAAATGAAGAAGACTTTGGGAGCCCAGAACTGAACCGACACAGCTCGTGTTGTGACTTTCATGATCTTGTGCCACGACGACCGGCAGCCTTGACGACGGAGCGGTGGCGCTCTCCCGAATGCTTTCCATGACGATGATCTGTTTGTGATGTATTTATACTGTGACCAGCGATGCTGACACACGCCAGATCCTGAGATTTGCGTCACAGCGAACGTAGATTTTTCCCAATCCAGAAATCGCTGCGTTGCAGCCTGTGGTCGAGACAGGCTCCATTAGCTGCCCGGGACAGATTTGCCAGTTCCTCAGCATAACCTATTCGCGCAGGAAGCCCGAAGCCGTTGGACCCGGGCCTGGCGGCATTGATCCAGGGGTCGGGGGTGAATACGGTGTGATATCTTGCTGTGCGTCTCGTAGGTCCACCGTACAACGAGGCGCAGCGTCTCAGAGTTGAGATTGTGTTGTCAGGGGCCTCGTGTCGCCGTTCAGTATAGACCATATAAGGACACCTTGCTCACGCCCCAAATTGCTGTAATTGATTCAAGAACAACGAGGCTGCAAACAGATATGGCGGACCACACAGAGGAGCACCAGTGCAGCCCCGACCGCGTCACTGGACAGAATCTGTCTCAGGTTCTCGTCCATGCCGATCCGGGCGTCTGTGGTAAGAGACTTATGAGGACTACCACGTCTGCCATCTCTGCTGACCCTTTTGACCACAGGCTTCAGCTGGCCGCTGACAAAGTCATTGCCGGATTTCTCAGGTACGTCGGTGCCAGTAGCGATGCAGAGGGAGTGTGACTGACGTCTGGCCCTGCTCAGACTGCTGCACCAATAGCATCAAGACTTCGGAAGGTTGCTTCCGGTACTGTGAACCTGCCGACGTCCAAGGATTCCACGGCTGTGTCGCTCAGACCTTCCACAAGTCGAACACTACCATCACTTACATCCCTTACACCGTGTGCACGGAGACAACGAACTATGTCGGGATGAACGCCTCGACAAACGCAACGGGGAGCGAATCGGGGAGTGCCATGCTTTCGTCGGACGGAGGGTTGATGGGGATATTTGGGCTGTGCGCTATCGCTCTGTTGGTGTTTCGCTAGCCTGAGGAGCAAAGGATCGTTCGAGGCGCAGATGTTAGTGTGCTGATTGTCGATGGAAGTCCTCATTCGGTGTTGGTGTCTTGGGTCCGTGGATCGCAGGTTCATTTCTCTGGTTCGTGCAATCAGTCTGTGACATATCTTCAGCAAGACTTGCTCGCAAATATACCACGGTGCCATACAGAAAGCTGCTTGACACAAGTTGAAGTGAGAGGCCAAGACCAACCAGAATCACGACCTTATCTCTTCTAGATCTCACCACTTCTGAAGGTACCAGATGTCCCTGATATCGATATGGTCTTGATCCCAGCGCATCTGGCGGATAGGCACTTCACATTGGCTCGTTTTCCGAGAAGACCTCGTCCCGTTCGCTTGATGAAGAGTTTTAGAAAAAGCTTCCACGACTGGTGGCAATGGAAGGTGATGGTGTCTGGGACCCGTGTCAATTTGTATTAATACAAGCGCTTTCCTCACTGCTTAAGCTTCATCAATCCGTATTCCGATGAAGAGTCGCATCGATATTCGGACCGACAAAGCTTTTCCGTCCTTCCACGAACCACCACACCATGCTGATGACCACTATTCCTCCCACGAGCAGGACGCTCCAATTCATGTATTCAGCATTGACCTGCTCGAGCGACGGCCAGAGCAGGAAGAACGAGACGAAGAGCGTGTAGACAACAGCGAAGACGTTGATTGGGGTTCGCCATTTGCCGAGCTGGAAGGGACCGTAGGGGATGTGTTCGCCGCGCCACCGTTTCATCATCCCTAAGATGACCGGTGTGATCTGTCACCAGTCAGTGGATGTCTCGAATGCTCCAAGCAAGATCGACTCACGTATGTGATGTATAGGGTGACCGCGGCCGAGTTGACGAACGCGGAGAAGGCATAATAGGAGCCAATGTTGATCAGTCCGAGCAGAACCTGGATCGTGACCGAGAGCATGATGGCCCGGAACGGCACCTGACTCTTGTGGCCGACATGGTCGAAGAAGTTCGAAAATGGCAAGCCACCGTCGCGAGCGAAGGCCCAGGCTGTCCTTGAGCAGCCGGCCATGAGACCGAAGTGAGCCATGATGACGATCACGAGAGAGACGCAGATCATGGCGTTGGTCCCGGCGAGCGATTGCGTGGCGTTGTAATAGATCTGTATGAACGGATATCCGGAAGTCAAGGATACCGTGGAATTCAGAACCTCATTAACGTCTCCCATGCAGAAGAGCAGGGCCAAGATCATGCCGAAGCCCATAAGGCCGTTGACGAGTATGGTGCAGATCATTGCACGTGGGATGACGATTGATGGCTCTTTCACCTCCTCGCTCATGTGAGCGGCAGCATCGTAACCTGACAGAGATGTTCATCAGCAGTCGTCTCCAGGTATGTTGCATAGAGAACTCACCAACGAAGGGGAAGGTGTTGACGGTGACTCCTATGCAGAAGGCAATGCCATAGTTCGGCCAGAGGTCGGCGTCCGCGGTGGATGTCCATACGAACTCTGCCGTGTTCTTTGGTCCAAGATAAACCAGAGGTATGAGGACGCAGAAGAAACCGACGATGTGCCAGATAAATCTGCCTGCAGTATCAGCGTATGTCATTCTCGCAAAGTTCCGCTTGAGACGCACAGGAAACCTTCCAGCTTCGGTAGCCACCTCGCGAACCCAACATTGACGACCACGCCGAGCGCAATGATCGCCCAGTATAACATCGTTCCATGCCATTGCTGCCACACGTAAGTTGGGTAGTTAAGCAGTATCATCGCTTGGATGATGCTTGCTCCCAGATAGGCTGGCGATGCCGTGGTCAGTTGCCAACCCCAGCAGGTAATCCATCCAAATATCCATGAGATAATCCGGAAATGCTTCCTCGGAGCCAGTTCAGCTGCCCATCTGTACTGTGCAGCTGACGTTGGAGACATTGATGCATACTCTGCAAGACTCGCACAAGTACCTGGCTGACGATCAGCAGGTGCCTCTGAAATCGGGATGAAGATGGAGAGGTCCCAGGGCACCGCCTAGTACGGGACAATGGACGTGGCCTGGAGACCTTCTTATCTTTCAATTGACGGACAGAGTGTTCCTAAGAAGCAAAAGAAGAACCCGTAAACGAGAGCGACCTGTGGCAAAGTTCTCAGTAAAGACGCAGCCGACGGAAACATGGCCAAAAGTCTTACTGGTCCACCGTTCGACATTACGATGGTAAAGATCACAGTATAGGCCTCCCACGTAGCCATAACCGTCGTTGTCAGCCCCAGTGATGACATGAAACCAAAGGTTCGCTTTGAATGGATTAACGCGATTCACAACGCTTTCTCAACTCAATGCGTACGTTAAGCTGCTGGCGATAGCCCAGCCGTTCGAGTTCCCGCGCATCGTCGTCCTCCGTCCGTCGAGCCTGCGATACCTCCACCTGGGTCATGCTCTTCAGCTCCATGCTGTTCATCTTGACGTCTGGATTCCCACGTGAGAAGGAAGCAGAATCGAGACGACCGCCTCACCAAGCTGCAAGCAGACCAAATGACGGGATTCAGAGTTCTCCTAGCAAGAAGTATGCGCAGGAGGTCGTCGAACGGGGATACGGCTCTATTACCTATCTGCCAGGGCGGGATCTGATACGTCTGTTTAGCGAGGAGGCGTCTGGACCTCGCAGCTGTGCCTTTCTCATCCCGCGTTGTTGCTCCTCCACAGACCGTAGACGTGGTTGGTATGGCCTCGGCATTCGCTCAAAGCGGTCGCGTCGAAGGAGGACGAGTCCATCATCGTCGCAATGCCACAATGCCATCAGAACGTCCAGTGTTGTGCTTGTTCACCAGCAAGATGCCCAGCTATGGGAGCCGCAATCATGCAGGTACGCTCGCAAATCTTGCACTTCCAGATTGCAGACGAGCTGCAAGCGAGGACAAACTTACGAGGGTCCGTCCTCTTGCTTAGCGCCTTGACCCGACTCTCCGGAACATGTTACTTCCCGATGGTGTCGGGACGTATTCGTGCCGCACCTCTTTGGAGACAAGGCTCTCGGCATTCAAACTCCTAATGGCTACTTGAATGTCGGCTCACAGGGTTGAAGCACGCTTGCCTTGCCAAGATGCACGAGGTGCGGCAGACCTGTCCGGGCGAGCCCTGCTGAGTGCTCGACTGTTCGCGTTGCGAAGGATGGGTGGCGTGCAGCAGGGCGTCGTGGGCTGATAGGAGACGGTTGGCAATGGGCGACAGCAGGATAGTCATCGACTTCGTCGGACTTCTGGATTTCCAATGTTATCCATCTCGCCAGACTCTCATGGCGGCGCCGTGAGAACGATCTCCATGACCTCTTAATCGACGTATTTCCCGGGTGCCGATCCTCTATGTGCGACTACAGCGATGCCAGCCTCCGATTATCCCAGGACTGCGGAGATCACGGAGAACGACCATGGACCAGGTTGGTTGTGTTGCGCATAGAGTCCGTCAGTCACATGCTAAGTGATGTTCATTCTCAGCTGTCAACATTGCGGCATGGATCTTGATGGTCACGGCCATCCTGTTCACTTTGTTTCGCCTGGTTAGCAACATCTTACTGCGAGGACGCATAGGCCATCATGACTTCCTCATCATCGCTGCAAATGCTCTGGCAATCGGCAACACTATCGCGACATCGCTCATGGTCAGCTATGGTCTTGGCCAGCACGAGAAGACGTTGAGTGCGGCCGGCATTACCAGCTACCAGAAGGTATACTGCGATCAACCTCCAGCCTGTCGTACACCTCGATCGCTGATATGAGATCAGGCGCTTCTTGCAAGCTCAGTCCTCTACGTCGCGGCTCTCACTGCCAACAAGCTGTCGCTTCTGTTGTTCGTCTCCGATGTGCTGGCGTCTACACAGACTATGCTTCGTCGTGTCGTACAAGCCTCATCCATACTCATGGGACTCTATTTGGTAGGGAACGCTCCACCTATCCCTACCTCAGCGACGGCTAACAGCTCGATCAGGTAGCAGCTACGTTCACGCTCAGCTTCGCATGCAGCCTCCCGCACACTTACGACGTCTTCAACGGCCAGTGTATCAACTTCGTAAGCCCGGCACCCGCACTTTATCACCATATCGGAAGCAGTGCAGCTGACTGTCATCTCAGGATGCATTCTGGACAGTCCATGCAGTTGTCGACATCGTCGCCTGTCTGACCATCTTCGTCCTGCCTCTCACGATCGTCTATCCTCTCCAGATGTCAGTCAGCCTGAAGTCGCAGATCGTCTTTCCCTTCGCGCTCGAGATACCGCTCTGCGCCTTTGCGATCGTCCGGTTGATCTACATCCGGCACAGCTATACGGCGGACGACCATACATGGGCAGCTACTGAGCCCCAAATATGGACCCAGATTTGCATGCATCTGGGGGTGGTGGCAGCAAACATTCCGTGTTTGAAGATTTTCCTGAAAGGTTCGTACCTGCCAACAGAGACTCTGGGGCACTTGAGTGCTAGATAGTCATCACGAACCTCGCTTTGATAGAGCCGCGACTGATGCTTTGATCCCGACAGGCTTCGAATCCATGCTCTTCCGCAACGACACTACCCGTCTCCAGACGACCATGCATTCCCACTCCGGCACAGCACGAAGCAACGAGCGCGGGCCAGGCTGGAGTGGCTGGCTGGGACACGGCAGCGAGAGAAGCGAGCACAACGAACCGCAGCGGAATTCACGAAACGTACGCAAAGGCTCAAATTGGGTATGGAAGAGCGGGGACGGTAGTGAGTTAAGACCAGGCGATGGAGAGTCGACAGCCATTGTTGGCGCGTCGTCTGCTTCTGACAACACGAATGGGTTTGACGGGCTGAGCCAGAAGGAAGAGATAACGGAAGTGCCAGGACGGGATCGCATTTACAAGACCACGGAGTGGACGGTCCTGCCTGAAAGGGGTACACACTATTGAGAACAATCGAAGCCCGTCGACGACACTGTACGAGTAGACGGTGGAAATGATGTTTGGACGCTTCTTTTGACGTTCTATGGCTGCTTCTTCTATTTGTGATTGAACTCGCTCCGGAAGCTCTCCGGTGCCAATAGGCTGAACTCTGGATTCCCGTCGGCTTGCCAGTACCAAAACTCTGCATCTCCAAGTGTTCTGAGGGTAAAAGAATCAGCAAATATCTGACGAATGGTAGTGTCCAATGGTTACTCACCCTCCAGGTGCAACCTCATCTCCAGGCACCTTAGCGATCACTGGAACCTTGCCCTTCTCGACGTTTTGGATAAACTTGAGCGCATTCTTGATCGTGTCGGCTGCTTCCACGCCGGCAGTGGTGTGGCCGGCGCCAATTTTGACCCTCTTGTCCTTAGAAAATCCTCGGTCCTTCTCTTTCACGAATGCGTAAAGCTCTTCTATGCTGGCCACGAACTCCGTCCAGTTGCCTTGAAGGGGAAGAATGATTGGTACGTCCTGCGTGTCCCATGGTAGCTTTACGACGCGCTTGTACAGTGTGTCACCAGTGTAGATCCACCGTTCGCCCTCGTCGTAGTATGCCTGGGAGTCCGGAGTGTGGCCGGGAGTGTGCAGCGCGATGAGGCCGAGGTCAACACCCTTATAACTCAGTCGTTCGTGCTGGTCTGCGTATTTAGAGATGGTGTATTGCGGTGTTTTGACCCCGAAAGCCGTGGTCAAGGCGTTCGCAGCGCGGTTTTGGGGGGCCACGAAGGACTTGTTGTAGCTGGAAGAAACGATTTCGGCGCCAGACTGGGCGAATGGCTCCATGCCACCGATGTGGTCGAAGTGGACGTGGCTTGATAACACCATGTACTCGCTCTTCTCAGCTTCGGTAAAGCCGAGCTCCTTCTCGATGAAGGCCTTCAGCTCAATGGAAGAAGTGCCATTTGCATGGTACTCGCCACCGACGCCCGTGTCCACGACGACCGTCAGAGGGATTTTGGGGTATCGTTTGACGTAGATGAACGGGTATTCGATGTATTCGTCGTTGTGAACGACCAGGTGGGTAGTGTCCGTCAACCTTTCGATGCTGTAAGGTATGTTGCCGCCGTTGCTAGGGCTGGCTCGTTTTGCGTTCAGATGGAATCCACAGCCATTGGCGGTCCCGGTGAGTATGGCAACGAGAGCTGCGGTGAGCTTCATTTTGGTGGTAGTAGACAATGGTTGTCGAACGAGGGGGGAAGAGCTGGCAGTCACTGTGGACTGCGAGAGCGAAGGATATATGAAAGCATGGTCGAGGCCCTTGTCATCAAGAACTCGTTCCGCTTCGCTTACATCGTACCTTAGACTATTGAATGCACTATGCGTGAACCGTTGCTGGGTTGAAGCGAACGGCACGGGGATGGCGGCTCAACTTTTTAGTATTCGGGCTGGCATTGAACTGGCGCCACCAACGTCAGGCAGTCGGGACCTTCCTAATGTGGGACAGCGATAGGCAGTTTACTGTTTGCTGCTCGTGGATATCATCAATTTTGGGATACGCCCCTATGGGAGCAACACCTATGGCTGATGGCCAGAGGAACATCGGTCCGGAATGCCCTGGCGGCTGCCCGAAACACCACGAGGCAGACCCTTCGTATGGAGCTGAACGACAGTCGTGGGAGTCCTTATATCCAGATCGTTGGAAATTCTCCGTTTGCTTCTAAATGCTGATGATACCACTTGATAGATGTAGGTGTCAGTGGTCGAGTCGATGCAGGAAGTCAGTCCACGGAGCGCCGATGGCGAGAGCCAATCCAGTCCCATGGCGAACCACGTGAACGTGAGATGACTTGTTCTCGAACTACAAAAGCCTTCAGAATCACGTCTCTAGTACCATTCGTATGCTCCTACAGCCGCCTTTTCTACCCTTCCTTCGTAAGAATGGCAGGTAGCCTACCAAAGAGACGCATTGGTGACCTCAGACAATGACTACCACGACCTCTGTATTGAAACCTGACAGGAGCTATTGATCTACAGACGCGAAAGAGCACATGCCACCATTGCGCTCAATCCATACTGTCGGACACACCTATGAGGCTGATCAAGGCCAATGGCGACATGTTTGGAGATTCTTCCCAATTGGCTGCCGGAGAACCCGGGCCAGAGCCAGATATCTGTTGCAGACAACATCCCTGGACATCAAATCCGAGCACTATGGCCATACTGCTGGTACAACTACATCGTCCCCCATTGTACGACTGGAAGACAAAGCCCGGATCATCGATAGAATCATTCCCAGAGAACGCTTCGGCAGCAGCATCTTCAGCACGCCAGTGCTTCTGCTACTACGCTTGTTCTACGATGCAGCTCCCTTCCGATACATTGATGTATGGCACACTCACCAGGCCAATCGACCGAGGGACATCTCCCAGAGCAGCCTCGCCAGGGTCAAGATCTCTCTGGAGGAAGCGTCTAAGACCAATGGGGGAGTTCCTGAGACGGCCAACGGCGGTTTGAGAGTTTCCACGCAATCATGGGCAACATGTCTGCTGTGCGGTCTCTATCCGATTGGGTCAGAATACAGGCTGCGATCGCTGACCTGGACCAAGTCTCTCTCGGCGCCATTGTCTCACGAGTTTTTGCAATTCGTGCTGGAAGACGCGGATGCTGGGCACGCCATCCGGCTCATCGCGGAGCGAGACACCTACGGCGATTGGGTCTCCATCCGGTCCAGTTCGATATTAGACTCAGCTGGGAGGCGGATCTCGGGGGCACGCAGCAGAGGTGTTGAAACTGACGAGCAGCATGACCTACCGCTCCCCCTGCTGTCACTATCGTGGTGCCATCTGCCAGCAGCAAGTCGTCCGACTGCAGGTAATTTTGCGAGCATCATGGGGCATGTGACAAGACGCTGGCCGAAATACAACCTGAGCCGCCACCATTGCTGGTTCTTCTGCGAGGCCGTTTTCGAGCAGATGATCATGGATTGCGTCTCGTCTGATGATGCAACTGACAGGCAGCCTCGATTGACTACGTGGCCTGGGGCTGCGTATCGGTATTCATACGTTGTCATGGGTCGGAAGGTCCTCAAACGAGCTGCACTCGTCTACCAGGCGCAGAAGTTCTCATCGGAGATGGACCAGGATGGGGTTTTGGTGTGGTGACTCCATTTGCTCCGGCTCCCCAAACATTATTATGTAGCCCCATGGGATGACTCAGATCAGTTGATCGATAATAGGAGGTATGGGTGCTTTCAAAGAGAATGTAGTTGAACAAGCGGTCTAGACCATTGGTGTTTCTACTCGAGAGCATTGTTCACGCCTCGGCATGAGCAGAAACACCTTGTCGTCCACGACCACTTTGGGGCCAGCTTCATGAGTGACTGATGGTGTTCGTTCATCAAATACGTATCGAACTGACCGATTCTCAAGATTAAGGCTTCTAGGGCGTTTTGTGCATTTTGTCGTGTACGCCCTGTCTGGGGCGCTACATCGACGCTGCAAGAGGCATATCTGAACATGTAATTGCGATCCAGGGACGACACGACCATCAGCAGAATCATCTACCGTTTTATCTTCCCAGGCCATGATCGAATCAACAAGCACCACACCGCGAGCATTCAACATTCTCAATGGCGGCGAAGGGCAGGGTTAGGTACCGGAGCACAGCAGCACTCGCGTATGCGTCTTCGGAGCTGCGAGTACTAGGGTGCGCATACGCCACCTCGCAACGCTGCACGACCTCGTCTCTGATTGTGCAAGCTTCATCTGGGCGCGTTATTATTCCGCAGCTCTTGGTAGCATGCAGGCCTTATCTGAAGTGCTGTTGGGTTGGTTCGAGATCCCGGCGTTTTCTTCTGACCATCGCCTGCCTGCGAACGTTCGATTGCTGCTCTCTCGGTATTCCTGACCTTTACTACTCTCCAGCTCAGCTGCATTGAGGGAGGTTGTGCACCACACGATGGCAGCGAGCTCGTCCAGCTTCACGACATCAGTCGTTCCCCAGTCCAAAAACGACTTCGAGATGGCAGAACGGAAACTACCACAAATCTCAATCGGAGAGCTGCGACGAGAAGAGGAGCAAGACGATGGCACTGCTCTCGATAACGATGAGCCATTCGACCCTACTCTGTCGACGGCGAGCGACCGGTATCAGGTACGCGAGGTGTCTGATGTACCATACCGCACTGCTGATCTTGTACTCCTAGATGAATCGCATGGGCAAGCAGCAGGCCTTCGTCCGGCACTTCAAGCCCATGGCTACGTTCTCTTTCAACGCCATGGCAACCTGCGTCTGGGAGTTCGGCATCTTCAGCGTCAGCCAAGGACTGGTAGACGGTGGGCGAGCCGGTTTGTTCTGGTCTACCGTCGTGCATGCCGTTGGCTTCGTCCCAGTAGTCTTGAGCATGGCCGAGATGGCCTCGATCGCGCCTACAGCGTGAGTAGTTCGCTGTGTCTGAAGCATTGTTGTCTGACTGATGATGTGTTCAGAGGAGGCCAGTACCACTGGGTCTCGGAGCTGGCTCATCCGAAGTGGCAGAAGCCACTCAGCTATATCACGGGATGGATCTCTACGATGGCTTGGCAGGCTGGAAACGCTGTCGGTGTCTTCCTCACGGGGACCTTGATCCAGGTGTGAGTATAATGAGCGAAGGAATGGACGGTATTAAGGCTTTGCTGAAACGTCATCCTGTCACGACAGAATCATCCTCGAGAACAACCCGAACTACATGTTCCCAGCCTGGCATGGAAGTCTGCTGGTTATGACTAACATCGTCTTCACGGTGAGTGCAGTTTAGTTTTGGAGAAGAATTCCTGTTCCCAAAAACTAGCTTGATATACTCATCAATTGACCGCCTCTTCTTTCCACAGGTCGCCGGCAATATCCTCCTATCACGCTACATTCCTCGGGTCCAGACACTGTTCTTCGTACTGCATATCCTCGCCTTTCTCTGCGTCATTGTCCCTATCTTGGTCAACGCCCCGAAAGCGAGTGCGGCGGAAGTGTTCACCGAGTTCGACAACACTGGAGGCTGGCCGAATACTGGTGTAGCTGTCCTTGCTGGCCAGCTTTCGGCGATATACATGATGTGTGGAACTGACTCGGTACGTATCTGGTACCCGCTCGATTCAAGGGATCTGCTGGCTGACGTCGTATACAGGCAGTAAGTACATAGAACGCCGTCACGTGGGAGACGCTAATATTGTCTGCAAGGCCCATATCTCCGAAGAAGTGAAGAGTGCAGGTCGCACTGTTCCCAAATCCATGATCAGCGTATACGGTGTGAACATGGTCATTACTCTCACGTGTACGGTCACTCGACTCGAGAAGCTTCGCTGTTCAAGGCCCTTACTGATATCTGCTCCTATACTCCAGGCTGGCTCGTGATCTGCTTCGCCATGCCCAACGTCAATGCAGCCCTCGCCGATCCATCCCTGTACCCGGTGATCTACATAATGAAGCAGAGCATGTCCATTAAATGGGTCACTGTTGAGTTGACGATGATCGTCGCTTTGGTTTTGTTCGCAAATGTGTGCTACCTGACAGCTGTGAGGTGAGTGTTGCATCCATCTTCGATGGGTAACAATCGGTACTGACATACAACCAGCCGTGACCTGTTTGCCTTCGCTCGTGACGGTGGAACTCCCTGCCCGAACTGGGTCGCTCGAGTATGTTGATTGCTCTTACTGCTGGAGAGAACCTATCCTGACGCTGTCAACAGGTCCACCCCAAATACGGTGTCCCTATCAACGCAGGTGGGTCTCATACCTCTATCTTCACTGAAACAGCTCACACTGACGTCGGGGCAGTCTACGTAACCGGCGGCTTCTCCTTCATCCTCAGCCTCATCTACATCGGCTCTCCCACCGCCTTCTACGCCATCACCTCTCTCATGACGGTCGCGCTCCTCCAATGCTACATGTTCTCCATCGGCTCAATACTCTGGCGAAGGATCTACCATCCCTCCACGATCCCGAAGAGCCATTTCAGCTTGGGTAAATGGGGACTGCCGATCAATGCTGTGGCTGTTGTGTGGTGTCTTTGGTCTTTTGTGAGTCGCAATAGCCTCTGCTGTTCATTCAAGGCTACTGTGCCGTCCATACTGACTATTATCGACTAGATCTTCAGCTTCTTCCCGATGTACAAGGACGTCACCACCGGGACATTCAACTGGGCGTCGGTGATCTTTGTTGCTGTGCTGGTGTGCGCTGGGGTGCATTGGTTTGCCTATGGCCATAAGACTTATCAAGGCCCTGTTGTGCTTGTGAGGAAGCTGTAATATCCTTGCGGTGGCATGAGACATTCGAGGTAGATGAATCTTCGAGACACGTCCACAATACATGGAGTATGGGGCGCTCTGAGACATCTCAATCTCTATACCGGATTTCAAGAGGCTTACTAACTTTTCTGCCGCTCTATCGCTACTCTTGTGGAATCAATCAAGGCTATAGCAAGTTCCAGTTGCAAAGTTTCGCCTCGAAGCATCGCCGCTGGTGAGGTCTGGGAAGGGTACGCAGTTCCAACCTCGACATGTACTTCCGCTACAATCAAGCAAGCGCTACACCATACCGCGCGCTGAACTGGCCCATACCCCCAAGAACTAGGTCGATGGAACTTGGAACGACCTTTGAAACGGAGACCACTTGGGACTTTTCACGACTTCACCTCACTCGCGCCTTCGTCATGGCCTGGCTCGGCCTAAGCCCTTATGGGCAGTCTGAAGTGAAATCAAGCCATATTCGTCTTCCTTTCTGATCTTTCCTCTCTTCCTTACCCACTCACGACCACAGACGTATGTATCGCCCTTCCCTTCATCCTTCAGTGTCATCTGGTTCGCTGCAGCAAGAGCTTCATGCCTCCACACTCATCAGTGGGCTTCATGGAGCACGAGTACCTCACTGGCTTCAGTCACCACAGCACGTCACGGCCCTAACATGCAGAGAGGAAAGGGTGCAGTAGCTGAGCTTGATAGGCTGACTCACCTCGAGATAACCAGATACCGCTTCCTTTCAACCATACACCGACCAAATAACCATGATCGACCCCAACACGCAGGCCGTAGCGCCAGACTATGGAACGCCCAAGCGCATCCCCGACATCGACGCCAAAAAGCGTGAGCGGGCGGAGTTCAACTCTGCTTGATGAGACTGACATCCAAGAACCCGAAAACAAGTCGCACGCAACGTCTGAGTGCCACGCCCGCGCCAACGAACTCCATATGCGCGCCAATCGCCCGCTACCCCTCCCGTATCCGCAGCCAGGAGGCAACAACAAATGTCCGACCAAGGTTCAGAAGGCTCGTGCCAAGGATCGCAAGGCTGATAAGACAGGCGAGATGGTGTGCGCCATCGTTATACTCACCGGAGCGAAGCTAACGTCTTGATCAGATGCGGGCGTACGCGAACTTTCTCAGGACCGGCAAAGTCACGCCGCCTTTCGGAAAGAAGCTCGCGTTGCTGGCTGGGAGATGAAATGTCTTGAGATGTTTGCAGCGTGATTGCTACATGCCCATGTACGAGAGGCGCCCTTGACCGGAATGTGATTTGAGAGAAGAAGTTTGCTGTTTAATAGCTATATACCCCAACATACTCAAATAAGAGCGCCAACCAACGCCACGCTGAACCGCGACAAACACTTTACTGCCTCAGAACTCCTTACTCTCCCCAATATCCACGACCCCAAACACTCCCTCCTCCGGCAGTCCCTTCCACTTCAACGCCTGCCTCAACACCCTCGGCGGCTCCAACACCTCCTCCGACGTCAGCACCCAAGTACCCCAATGCATCCCCAACGCACGCTCGCACTTCGTATCGCTGAAGATGTTCACGCTGTCGTACGGGTTGGCATGCATAGGACTCATGATCCAACGCGGGTCGTACGCGCCGATGGGGATTAAGCCCAGATCGAAGGGGCCGCGTAGCTCGCCTATATCTGCGAAGGAGGGGCAGTGCGGGAGGTTGGAGTATTTCTCGCCGTAGTCGAATTCGGAGGGAGGAAGTTCAGGGACGGTGCGGTAGCCTGTATCGCCGCCGAACCAGAGTTTCTTGCCACCACTCGAGACGGACCAGCTAGCCCAGAGGGTGCGTGAGCGATCGAATGGTGTACGGCCGCTGGTGTGTTGGCAGGGGAGGCAGCCGATGGTTGCTGTGATGTCGCCGTCTGGTGTCGAGGGGGCGTCGGCGGTTTTGGGGACGCCTTTGGAGGAGAGGGAGATGGTCTTTTCGTCCCACCAGTCCATTTCCGTGCAGTTGGAGATGTTGAGTTTGTCGAACCAGACTTTGTTGCCGAGCGGGACGAAGAAGTGCACGTTGGGGAACTTCTGCTTCAGTTTGACGATTGTTGGGTGGGAGAGGTGGTCGTAGTGGGAGTGGGAGATGACTACGGCATCGACCATGGGTATATCGTCGATCTGGCAAGGCATTTCCGTGAATCTTGCAGGGCCGAGGAAGCTGAAGGGACTGCAGCGGTGGGTGAAGACGGGGTCGAAAAGGACTCGTAGACCGCCAGGGAACTCGACCAGATAGCATGCATGACCCAGCCATGTCGCCCGTAGCTTCTCGGTCGCTCGTGTAGGCAGGAACTTGGGCTTATGTACTGGCACAGTCGGCGGCTCGACACTAGGGTCCTTCCATTTCCCTGTCAACCGCATCCATATGATCTTGCTCACGATCTGTGGAGCAGACTGCTCTGCCCACGAGGGCCATGGGTTCATGAAACCTTTTCCATTTTGCCGATGATGCCGCTTGTCTTTGGCTTCGGAGGGGGTTTTGGAGACGCTTGTGGGATCGGAGACGACGGCGTTCAGGACGGTGCTGGTCATGCTGGACGTCAGACGGGATGTTGTGTGTAGTCGTCTGAGCAATCGTTGGTGCTGTATGTACCGGCTTCTGATTGTTCGTGAGTAGACTTTGATCAACGAAGAAGCGCACAAGCTCATGGCAAGCAACGAACGACTGGGGTGAGGAAGATATAGCTTGACGAAGAGGAGAGGTACTTGTACGGGCGTATGAGCTGAGGTGAGGTCTGTCTATGAGCGCGTCTCGCTTTCGCCGGCCTTTGCGGCGCGAACTTGCTTCCGCGCCCGTCGGGTCAACTTTGCGGACTTTAAATGCACTTCTTCTATTCCTTCATGACTGTGATCATTGATCCCATTTCAGCTTGAAGATGCGATTCCACAAGTAGGTAGCAGATGTGTGTCGAGTGGCATCTCCTCCATATCGACTGGTCGAAGTACTTTCATCAGCCAAGGCCATGGCACATCACATTCCCTACTCTCACACTCTTAGAAAGACACTTCCCTTGATCTCAGAAAGAAGTTTCATTATGCATTAAACACTCTATGCTATGCCAACACCCCTTACAACTCCGCGAAGGCCCAGCTCAGGCCAGCAAGGACCACCGCCAGCGCACCCGCGCTCATACCAACCTCCGCAGCCCCGCCAGTCTCCGTCGGCATCGTCGTGGACGTGGTGCTGTACGTCATGGTCTTATGATACGTGGTCGAGCTCGTGGTCGAAGTATCAGTCGTCAGCGGCGATCCGGCGACCATCGACGTCGTGATGGCAGACACAGCCGTAGCACTCCCACTCTCACTCGTCGCAGTGGGCTTCAGCGTCGCTGTGGGGGCCGCCGATGTGGCGATGGAAGTGGTACCGCAGTACGTCGACGCCAGCGCTTGTATCGCAGCTTCATCAGCAGGATCGCAAGCGTCCTTGATCGCGGAGGCGACAGCAGGGAAGATGGTGTCCTTGTGTGAGCAGATGCATTTGATTTCCGAGAAGCCGCACCCTGATGCTTCGATGGCGGAGAAGAGGGCGGGCGAGGCGCATGATGGGAGGCCTTTGAGGTCTTGTGCTTTCGCGATGGTCTTCATGCCTGGCACTACGGTCATTGCTACGGCCACGAGGGCTATCGTGGGCTTGAGGAGGGACGGCATTCTCTCTGTTGTAGGGGATGCTGGTAAGTGGATGCTCGAGGGTGATGGATTGTGTTTATGTCAAGGGTAGAAGTGTCTGGATGTGACGGAGGAGACGGTCTTTGCGACCTCAAGGTAGGTCTCAGGCTTTTTCACAGCTTCACTTATGGTCGCTTCCGTTCATTCCTCACTTCTGGCCGAGTTTGAAAGTTCCGAGTTAGGAGCAAATCTACCACAACACTGGCACGTCACCCATAACGAGCCAGCAACAAGGGCCTCACGCTAGATCCGACATACGAAGGACGGATGCGGAAACAATGGCACAGCGTGGCAGAACCACCAGCCATCGCAACCGAACCTCTGGAATGTGGCTAGCCACCCGGCTGGCATGTGCCCGAAGAATGGCTTTGTCCTGCCGCATGCAGCCACATCCACCCACCCGGGATGACGCGCTGTACGACACTTCTACCCTCAAACAAAGCGCCTCCCATCGCCAATGGCGTCCATGACATCCTCCCGATGCCCAGTCCTTCGGGCCGCGAGACGGCATATCGTCAAGATCTTGTGCAGACGAGACGATCAATGACCGCGCCGGGCTTCCAGCTTGAGCGCGAAAGAATCTTCTACCGCTTATGCGCCGCCACCATTTCCTTGCCTTTCACATGTGCGTGCATCCACATCAAAAAAGCCCAGAGTATTGGAGCTTACTGACCATGTCGTCGTTGACCAGGCTTGACGCCCCACCGACTCCATCTCCCTCCTCATCGGCGCCGAAGCGAACAAACGCCGCACCCCTCCCACCTCCCGCGCCAGCACACACGAGGAGATGCAGGAGCAGCGACGTCTTTCCCGCGCCTCCACCCACTCCCACGACACTTCTCAGACAATCGCGGGGCAACCCACCCCATCAGAGAGCATCGAGTCTTCGAGCCCCGACTTTCTGAACCGCAGCACCTCCTACGCCCGCCTCATGCACGCCCACATCGCCGCCCAGCTCTCCGCGCCCAACGCCGGGACATTGCCCTGCTACGCCAAGACCATGCACGCGCATACGCTGCATCAGCTAAGCACTCATCGACGGACATCCAGGTCCGAGGCCTCCAGCCCCTCACTAGCGAGGAGACACGCTTCCATCAGTGGGAGACTGCCGGTGAAGGTAGCGGGTGAGATGATTGAGAAATTGGCGCTGGATGATGACGTTGCGGCTGTTCCGGGGGTGCCGAGTAATACGCCTGATGCTAGCGAGGCTGAGGTGGTGAGGAGGGAGACGGTGCTGGGGATTGATTTTGGGAAGTTGAAGAGGCGGAGTTTGACGACGCCGTGTGCGGCGCGGGATTTTGCCGTGGCGGAGGCGAGGGATTTTGCTGCGCGGAAGTGTGTGGGGTTGAGTAGTGGATGGGAGGGCAAATGCGAGCTGTGATTTGTCTGCTAGCTCATCACGATAGCTGCATATTAAACCCCTTATCCAAAGGCACGTGCACCTCCCTCGTCTTACCATTTCCTCTTCCCACACCACCATGAACAGCAGAAGCTTCCCCATACCTCTCACCAACACCCTCTTCGTCTCCTCCAAGCAACACAACGGTTTCAATCCACACCCCAGTCTCATACCCAAACGTCCCTCCCATGCTAAACACCCCATCCTTCGAATACTCAAACCGCACATCCAACACCCCATCCTGTTCCAAGCTCTCCCCATCATCCACATACAGTGATCCCGCCGCCGTGCCATCAAGCCCCGGCGCAACGAGGAGAGTGAAATTCTGCTTCCTCAGCTCCGCGGTCGTGTTCGCGCTATTCATCCTCATAGGTACGATGGACCCGCCGCGGACATGCGTAGGTATCTCGGTGTAAGAAATATTGCTCAACATAACCATCTCCCCATGCCCGCGCACCGTCTCATGCGTATGCAGATCGTAAAACACGTCATCGGGAAGGTACACCTCCACGCTCGTCGCGTTCTCCTCCAGCACCGGAGACACGAGAATACTCTCGCCATAGAAGAACTGCGTGCCGATATCGAACGTATTCGCATCTTCAGGGTAGATGAAGAACAACGGGTTTAAGGTGGGTGTGCCGGTGGTGTGCTGGCGGTACATGGCCGTGTAGAGGTAGTCGAGGAGGCGGTAGCGGGTGTTGATGGCCGAGCGGGCGGCGGCGGCGACGAGGGGCCAGCGGTAGAATTCCTGGACTAGAGCGCCTTGGACGTCGTGGTTGCGGTAGAAGGGGTTGAAGGCTCCTGCATTGTCACCAATCGATCAGTGTCAGCGTTGCATTGTTGGGGATAGAGGTGAGGTTGGGGTGGGGATAAACGTACCAAGCATAGCCCACCGCGAACACAGATGCACCGTCGTATTCCCATTGAAGCCGCACACGTCTGACCCGACCATGGGCATCTGGAAGAGCGCGGCGAACTCGACCATCTGCCGGATCGAGGTGCGGTAGTCGTCCCATGTGCTGATGTTGTCGCCGAACCAGTGTCTGTCTCAAGTTAGTCTTTCGTACTTGATGGGTTACTAGAAGAGAGTGAGATGAGGGGAGAAAACATACCCAACATGTTTCCCTGCGCCAGCGAATGTGGAGCGGGTGATACTATATCCCCTGTCAGCTGATACTCTCACATTTGTGAGGAGATAGCAAGCATACATCAACGGCCTCTTCCCCGGCTGCCGATCCAACAACGCATTCCGCGTCGCCGTCGACATCATCGTCCCTGTCACGTAATCAGCATCACCCGCCCCTAACTCCCTGTCAGGTAAGGTTCGACGACTCACCGTAAAGATTATGCACATCAAACTCCACCAAACCATTCGCATGCACAATATCCGTCGGCACAGTCTGCACGCTCAAGTTCCCCCAGGGCCAGTAATTACTAATATTATACTCCGGGTACAACAGCTCCCTGCCGGGCAGTCCCATCATCGCGCCTGGCTGGCCTAACTCGCTCTGCTGTCGCTTGTTCAACTCGCTGCTGTGATGTGCAGGAATGTTGATCGCACGAGCGCTGACGGAGCGGTTCGAGCTGGACATGGTGTCGTGGACTTCGTAGGGGGCGTACATGGTGTTACATCCACCGGTATTGACGGTGCGGTTCTGGTGCTCGAGGGTGTAGGAGCCATCGGTGCCGTAGTGGTACAGAGCGTATTGGTAGTTGATCATTGAGTTTGGCGGCAACTGCACGGTCAGATTCCAGTTCGGCGGATCCGTATCGTAAGGCCACATTTGCGGCGCATCGTGGGGCTCGCCTTGGCCGATGGAGAAGGCGTCGCCGAGGAGGAGAAACTGGTCGGTCGTGGAGTTGACGTCGGCCTCGACATTGAAAGTGGTGAAGGCGACGCAGCCTGGCTGGAAGTTTTCTGGGAAGCCTGGAATGGGGTATGGTGAGTACATCCGCGCGGGAGGCGGGCGAGGAGGGTCGTTGTTGTGGATCGAGAAGAGTGCTGGGTTGGGGACGCAAGTCTCATCACAAAAATTACTGGGCTCGTTCATGTCGATCCAGATGCCGTCGACGTTGACGCCAGATTCTGCATTGAAGAAGCGATTGAACTCCTCGTTCCAGTATTGCTGAGTATTGGGCGCAAACCAGTCCGGGAAGACGGATGGGCCCGCCCACACAACACCGGTATAGGTGCCATTGTCAGTCTGCATGAACGCATCAAGGTTCTCGCCGTGTCGGAAAGGTTCGTAGGGGTACTTGGCCATTGCTGGATCCACCATCATGATGTACTTCTGTTGGCGAGCGTGCAGTGTGTCGACCATCTGCTGCATCGTGTCGAGAGGGAAGCGAAGCGGGTCCAGAGACAGACTACGCCTGTAGTCCATGTAGTCGATATCTGTCCACATGACTTCTAGTGGAATATCAGCAGCGCTGTAGTTGGCAACCACCCCAGCGACCTCCCACACATCCACCATACCGTAGCGGCACTGGTGGTAGCCAAAGCCCCACCACGGCATGAGGGCAGGATATCCGATCAGCTCTGCATACTGTGTGGTAGCTTCCTTTGGCGTGTCGCCGTTCATGAAGTAAAAGTCGAGCACGCCGCCGAGCGAATTGTACTCCACGTACTGTCCTATCTCAGGATCGTTGACGATATTGACCTTGGCGCCATTGCTGTTCATGAGAAAAGTGGCAGATGTGCCGTTGGCGCCACGGTGGTCGTAGATGACGTTGTGAGATCCATACAAGTTCTCTGACTTGGGGAGGAAAGGCTCTCCCGCGTTCCAGAGGGTGTGGGAGTAGTTTTTCGTTGGGAGACGGAATTTGTCGGCGCTTTCACCCAGGCCGTAGAGATTGGGGTCTTCCGGTAGACCGGTGCGTAGACGAAGGTACTCCGACTCGAAGATGAGCGCTGATCCGGAAGTGTCGAACAGAACCTCGCCAGTCGATGTACGGGTGACCGTGAACGAGAACGGATCTGCGGTCATGTTGAAGGTCATGTCGGTACCGCTGTCGACGAAATTACTTGGTGGCCGTGGCACCACATCCTCAGGTATTTGGTACACTCGTTCTGCCGCATCGTAGATCTTTACGTGTAGCCGTTGTGCTGTTGCTCGTCAATCTTTCTGTCTGGTGATCATCAACAATAATACGTACCCGTCTGATACTCAACCAGCAGGCGTAGATCTCGCAAGTCATGGCCATACACATTGCACGCCTCCCCAGCCAGATTGAGATCTGCGGTAATCTTCCCTACACCACGCTGTACGTTTGAAGCCGTATACCCAGGGCACTCACTCAACTGCGAAGCGCATAGCGGCAACAACGACGACAGAAGGAAAATCGGTCTCACACTGCTGAGCCTCATGGTTGCTTGAAGAGGAACAAAAGACGGACAAGCTCACACATTGCAAACCTTGATCAATCGAAGATGCTTAAGTACTTTTGAATGAACCCCGGCCGTCTCCACGAAAGACTCTCGACGATGTAACGAGCGAGGGGGAGGCACGCGGGGTTGGAGTGATCATCATTGCCTTGTCGAGCAGCGGCGTGCAGTGCGAGAGCGAAATCTGCCAGGCACGAGGCACAAGGCGGGTCTGCTCGTGTCGCCATGTGGAGGAGAGGTATCATCGTTCGGTTCTCTCGGAGACAGCACGTCATGTCGTTGTGCTGATTCATGTTGGAGGATGCATCTCGTTCAAGAGTCCATATTGGGAAGGTAATCCATACAGAAAGGCCAAAATCATATGTTCTTGCAATCAGCCAGTCTGACATCACCGCCAAAGCAAAGGATGGTCAGCAACGCAATGCAATGCATGTAGTGAAGAAGAGGTGAAGTGCTGCGAAGGAAGAGAGAGAGAGAGTCGTTGGAGCCGACCTCAGAAATGCCAAGACCTCGAAACGCGATTCGCGTGAAGTCGACTTTTCGAGGACCAACACAGCTCACAGCGACAATGCGGTGAGGTTGGATCTTTTGTACAGTAAATCTCTTCCTTCCTTTTCACCTTTCACACTCACAACCACCATGTCTTCCCTCTTCGGCGGCACCACCACCGCCGCGCCAGCAGCCTCCTCAGCTCCAGCAAATGCCAGCGTCTTCGGAAATGGTACGCTTCTCCCACAACAGAACCAGCAACCGACACACGTCGGCCCAAATGGCGCCGCACCGCAGCCAGCGTACTTCGATGCTCTGCTACAGCGAGGAAGGAAGAGGCAGACGGAAGAACGAGGAGGCGCGCTTGGCGATCTACCACAGCTTCAACTGGGACTGCAGGACATATCGCGGAAAGTGAGGAACCTTGGGCAGGGAGGGCCGTCAGCTGGCCTGGCGAGGAGTGGGAATGCCAGGGCTCACTATGTCCTGTCGGCATCAGGGGTAAACACGGGACAGGCCCTGCGCGACCTCAATGATCTAGCTACAACCACGACCTCATCTCAGGCGGCAGCAAACCAGCTTGCGGCAGCCGACCCGACTGGAGTGAAGCAGACGCTTGCGCAGCAGTACCAGAATGACTTCCAGAAGATGGTGGACAGCCATGTACAGAAGGCGCAAGACGACTTCAACCGGATGATTGACGACAAGCTGCACGGAGTGGATTGGGATGCGCATCGCCAGCGCATATACGAGCACTTCGGATTGAAGAAGCCGCAAGATCCAACAGACCCCACGGCGAGCACGAACGCCAGCTTTGGCCGTTCGTCGCGCTTCCAGGGCCGATACGGTGCATCCACGGCCAACAGCGCTTTCGATGTCAACATGACCAGGTCGATCATTGGCACGCCAGGTCCGAACGGCGTGCGCAAGAGTGTTTTTGGCGATGTGGCAGACAAAATGCCCGTGGAAGGCATCCGACCTGCGCCGGAAGACAGAGGAATGCGCTTGAAGCAGGAAAAGTACATTGAGCGGGTGAAGGAGCTCAATGTCGCAAGACTGCAACAAAAGGCATACCCGATTCTGCACAAGTTTTCTGAGGTTGAAGCTGAGCCGTCCAACGACGACACCTCGATGCTGGTCCACGCCTATAAAGCGCTTATGAAGATGATCGGGGAGGACCCAACCGTTGAGAACCTCTCGGATCCAGCAGCGGTCAAGGAGCGCCAGTTCGCAACAGCCTATCTCGACGAGAATACAGCCTCTGCGCCAGCAATTCGCATACGAAAGCGCATCATCAACGGATCGCGCAGCTTTCTGGAGGGCCTGTTCTACGCCCAGCTCGAAGCCACCGTGACTAAGAGTCCCAAGGAGGCCAACATCGGTGGCGTACCAACGGCGCTTGCGAAGGTCAAGGGCTACGTGCGCGTGAGGGCTTCGAGGAAGGAATTAGGCCCAGAGCCTGAGAAGCTCCAGTTGCTTAATGGTGACTACTGCTGGCCCATCATCTTCTACCTTCTGCGCTCTGGTTTGTATCAGGAAGCACTGGACTACCTGGACGAGAACACTGCAGCTTTCCGACAGATCGACCGCTCGTTCGTCCGCTACCTTCGTGCTTTCGTCGCCAGCAACGAACATCGCCTTCCACCGGATATGCAGACGGCGATCAACAATGAGTACTCTGCTCGTACTCGCCTGGCGCCAGAAGAAGTCGACCCATACCGCATGGCATGCTGCAAGGTGCTTGGACGTTGCGAGCTGCAGAAGCGTAGTCTTGATCGCATCACCAGTGACATGATGGACTGGATCTGGCTGCAATTTGCGCTTGCTCGGGAGTATAGCCGAGTGGACGAGTTCGCGCACGAAGCGTTTGGTCTGGAGGAGCTACGAACATCAATCAAAGAGATTGGCGAGAGGTACTTTGGTCCGGGCAGCGATGTTGCGAATGCACCGACTACGCTCTTCTTCATGCAGATCCTGGCGGGCATGTTTGAGAAGGCAGTCGCGGATCTGTACCCGCATGGCTATGTTTCAGCAGTGCACTTCGCCATCGCGCTGGACTTTTACGGTTTGCTGAGGGTGGCCGACGTCAGCAACAACGAGGACCTGCTGTCTAATACCAGCCGGCAACAAGCTCAGCTTGCGTTCGGAAGCATGATCGGGCTCTACACTCGCGACTTCAGGACTGCGGATGCCACGGCTGCAGTGGACTACCTCACGCTGATCTGCTTGAATGGTGACATGACCGGCGACCTTGGGAAGAAACAGCGCGAGCTCTGCTACCAGGCGCTCAACGAAGTCGTACTGGAAACGCGAGAATTCGCGCAGCTTCTAGGCGACATGCGCGCCGACGGCCAACGCATCAAGGGCGCCGTAGAGCAGCGACTGAAACTCATCGGCCTGGACAACGAGCGCGAGTTCCTCAAGAACATCACCATGGTCGCCGCCCGTACCGCCGACGAGCACAGCCGCGTGACCGACGCAGCCCTCCTCTTCCACCTCGCCGAAGACTACGACAAAGTGCTCCAAGTCGTCAACGAAGCCGTCTCCCGCGCCCTCACCACCGAACTCGGCGAACAGCCCGCCCGCCTCGACCCCCTCAAGCCCCGCAACGAATCCCAAGACCCCAACCAACCCCAAACCACCTCCGACCCGCAATCCAGCCTCTCCCTCACCGCCGTCGACGACCCCATCGACCTCGCCGACGGCTTACTAAAACTCTACCAGTCCAGCCCAACATACTACACCCGCATCCGCGAATCCACCTCGGACTCCACCACGCTCCTCCTACACCTCGCCTCCGCGCGCTCCGCCCTTGAAAGCCGCGACTGGAGCGCCACCATCGACCTCATCACCACGTCCCGCCTGCTCCCGACCACCACCAGCGGTTCTCTCCCCGCGATCCGCTCGTCAGCGAACGCGTTCCACGACCTCCCCGCCGTCGTGGCACGCACGGTCGGGCACGCGATGTTGTGGACTGTAGTCGCGTGTTCGAACAACGTGGATCGGTTGAGGCAGGCGGACTATGAGTTGGGGAATTCGCGGGAGGCGATCGTGAGGTGTGTGCAGGTTGCGAGGGATGTGATGGTTTTCGCGGGTTTGATACGGTTTAAATTGCCGGGGAGGGTTTGGGATGCTGTTGTCAGGGTTGGGGGGGATCTTGGTGCGTAGGTGGACGTGTGCATAGACGAGCAGAAAGAATGGGGTGGCTGCGCAATGGGGGCGGCAGGTGAATGCGTTGGAAAAGTTGGACAAAGGGGATGCAAGTGCAGGTAATGTTTGTTCAGTGGGCTCTTCTTCGGTGCAGGGAAGGCACAGTGCATGGGCGCACGTCTCAAAGGAGCTTGTTGGATACATCTTCTGGTCTGCGAGCGTTGAGCAAGCCTTCTAGACCTTTGTGATGGGAAGAGTGCTTGTGGTGTGGCAGAAGCATTAGAACAAACGAAATCGATCGATCTAACATCCACCAAAACGATTCTCCAAAACCAGAAGGATCTCGTCTCGTCCGGCTCTTCTAGCCAACGCTATCGCACAACCTCATCAGACCACCAGCCAGCTGAGCACCACCATGCACAACTACCGCCACGTCCACTCTCCCTCTCCAATTTCGGAACGCCACCTCGCCAACACCGGCCACGACCCGTTCCATCACCACCACCACCACCACTACCCCGGCCCTTCCTCCCCAGTCTCACCCCCCTACATCGACCTCGACCCCCACTCCAACCACTGGACCCGCGGCCCCCACCTCCTCCCCCACCACAAACCCCTCAAACACTTCGCCCGCCCCGTTGACGGCAAACGCCACGGCTTCCTCGGCCGCCTCAAAGACGGCCTCTCGGGCCAAGGCCCAGACGTCTACGTCGTGCTGTCCGGCGACAAACGCACGCTCCACCGCGACCGACCGCAGCGTGCGCAGTGGAGTGGATGGGAGGGGCCGGAGTGGGATGGGGATTGGTGGGGTGCTGCAAGGGGTGAGGGGGTGGGGGAGAGGACGTGGAGTGAGGATTTGCGGTGGGTGAGGCCCGGGGCGGGGCGGAGGGAGGGGAGGGGGGAGAGGTATAATTTTCGCACGAGGAGGTATGAGGGGGAGGACAAGAGGGGGAGGGGAGGCGTGTGGACGGATGTTGTGTGGGAGGAGGGGACGAAAGAGAGGGAGAGGAAGCCGTTGGCGTTTAGGGATGAGAGCGGGCGGTGGAGGACGAGGGTGCCGTGGTGGGCGGCAGAGTGTCCGGGTGGGAGGGCGGGGTGGGAGGTATATTGATCGCTTTTTGGTGCCATCGGAGAGGTAGCTGGCTAGGTGCTGAAAGGTTGCGCACACAGCTCGGAACGAAATATGGATGCGTTTTGCTTAACGTTCGACGGGGAATGATGGTTCGATGGCCTCGGGCTTGTGCGATGTGCCCGATGGAATCAATCTTGTTGTTTTCAATGGGCATGATGGCGTATCCAAGTCGCCACAGATGCCAAAAGTACGATGAACTGCTCTCGTCAGCACATACACGCTTCACACCACACCAAACGAACGTAGTGATGCTACCTTCATAGATCTTTCCAGTCGTAAGCAAACCCCACCAGCCCCTACGCCTTAGCGACCTCCCCATACCCCTCCCTCCCCCTCGCAAGCAACCCTCGCGTCCGCTCAGAACCCCACTCCTCCCTAAAAGCCTTCAGATCGCCCGCCGACTGCACCGCAGCTTTGCGCACACGGCCGAACATCTCCGCTCTGCTTGTTGCTGATTGAGCGAGCGGCGAGACTAGTGATGGTATTGTCGTTCGCAGAGAATCGATCTGTAGGGATACGATCAGTCCTGTATGCCGATCAAATAGTGGCACCATTCACTCTGTCTTGTAGCATTTCCAGATGCGCCAGCGCTGCTTCGATTTCGGTGGCGCTCATGGTTTGTTGTCCAGCCGTCGGCGGTGTTGAATTCGATCCGGCCTCCGCCATAATGGCAGGCCAGTGGCACCGCTGTCTATTGGTATCAAGATGCGCTTCTATTGATGTAGGAAGAGGCAAGGGAAGAGGTGAAGTCTGGAAGCCACCGAAAGAGCAGTCTTGGCGGCCGGCTTAGATAATGCCTCGTGGCACAGTCTTCTAACATCATTCAATACTAACACACTCTGCTGTCAGCCATGACACCCTACAGCATACACTCATGAATGCCATTCGGCCCTTGCTCATTATAGCCCGTCCTTGTCATATACCCGTTACTCTGCCCTCCATCCACAATGAACAACACCTTCGCTGCCACCTGTGCGCCCAGAAAGCTCGCTTCATCATAGCCTACTTCCTTCCATTCCGGGAAGTACTCTGGTATCTTTGCTAGTTTGATGCTGGTCGGTGTTTGCGCGTGGCTGGAATGCATGTGCTGACCGTGCGTGGACTGCCCCATGACCGAGCCTGAGGGATGAAGTTGTGGGTTCTGCGCTGTGGTTGCAGCGAGAAGAAGAGGGTTGACCCCACCATGGTGAGATTGTTGTTGTCCAGGCATCTGCGGCTGAGGCGTGTTGGCACCAGTGGCCATGGGTGTGCTGAGATTCGATGGTAGCTCGGAGGTGAAGATTGTGGCGGACGATGGCGAGATGATGTACTTCTTGTTCAGCGTGTCGAGCAGAGCTTCTTGGAAGCCTCTCACTCTCGAGCCGTTGCCGAGGATAATCAGGCTGTCCCAGAGATCGCCTCTCTTGTTGACGTCTCCGCAAGCTTGGATGGTGCGGTGGATGGCATCTGCAAGCCTGTCGAGGATGCCGCCATCCGCCGCCTTGAAACGCTCAGTGCCGACCTCGATCTCTCTGCGAAACCCTCCCGATGGGCCCTTGTCAACGACACCATCGAAAGCATCATCAGCAGGCTTCTCTGAAACAGCCGATTGTGGTTCGGGCGTCTTCTGTCGTTTGTTCGGGCCGTCTCCAAGCGCGGATTGCATCTCGGTCATGCCTTGACTTGTCACACCAGCCTTTTTCATGGCATCGTGGAGCGCAAAGTCCTCATAAATGAACGTGTTCCGTGTGCGCTTATGATTGGGTAACCGTGGTGGTCGCGCAGCCGCTTGTTGCTGTGCATCACTGCCCTTCTTCTGCTGCTGCTTTGCAACTGCCTTCTCCTGCTTCTCCCGCTCCTTTTGCGCCAGGTACTCGCTCATGTTGCCACCAGTCACGATACTTGCGATATCGAGCACGCCTTCATCGTCCTCCAACTTCTTCTCCTCGCCCACCTCGGTGTTTGGCCCCGGTCCTCGCGGCAGGTCCAACCCAGAGCCTTTCCGCTGTCCCGGCACTGCTCCATCTGCCCCTGTTGAAGCAGCTGCAGCAGGGTTGTCTGCACCGCCAGCACTCGCCGGTTCGTCCCCAGGCATCTCCACATCGGGCGGCAAGATCTCACACACCGGACTCTTCTTCAGCTGCTCGCACACATCCCTCGAGAACCCTTTCCTGCCACTCAACAGCTGCACAAGACGCTGCGTCATCGCCTCGCCACCACAGTCCGGCACCGCAAGACCCCGGCCGACATTCTGCAACATGAATTCGCTGATACACGTGATGTCCGCCTTCTGATACCCAACATCCACCACCGTTGCGTTCGACAGGCCGTAAGCGTACGAGGTCGCCATAGCAGAGTCCATCAATCCAAATGCGGGCACCTTGAACTTCTCGAAGAAGAACTGTGTGACACGTTCGTGGTCTTTAAGCGTCCACACAGGTTGTGCTATGAGCAAGACCGGCGTGTGGAAGGGCGGGTTGACGGTGTTGTAGACGTGTTCCATGAGGGCGTAGAAGCAGGGCCAGTCCGCGATGCGACCACTTTGCATGGGCCATATTGCGCCTTCTTCTGATACGCGGTCCTCTTCCTGAGCGCACAGTAGTCAGACCATGTGCCAATGTTTCCACGAACGCCAAATGTCGTATACGTACCCACTCATTCTCATCGTCCTCCTGCTTCTGCTCACTCTGCTCTACACCATCCGTTCCCTCTCCATCAGTCTCCGGCTTCGACTCCTTGCTCTTCTCCTTTCTCCGGATCTTCACAGCTTCATATTCTCCCCTCTTCTCAGCCGCGAACATGCGCGACCGCAAACGGTACCGCGCGGGCGTGAAAGACTCCGGCAGACCCAGTTGCGCGAGGGTCGTTTGTGAGCCGGGAGAGATGATCTGTATGTCGCGTTAGTCATTAGCAGAGTCGCGTGATAGAGAAGCATACGAGGATCTGGTCATCTCGGAAGGGAGGCATGGTTGGGCAGGTGGCAGGTTGCGGCTACAGTACGTGTTTCGCGCATCTGAGGGAGTCGCGAAGTTCGGTTCGGCGTTTGGTATGGCTTCAAGGGTTGCTTACTCCTAATTGAGCGTTATCACGTGATGCTACAATCAGATGCCAGAATCAAAATACATCAAGCTACGAAGGTGCAGATAACAAGGCGTTTTCATGTGGAAGTTGGCAGTGGCCATGGTAGAATTCGATCACATATGTGCAGCTTTCTTTCTTCATGCTACATGGTTTCGTTACAGTGGTATCTCAACATCAAACATCCGCCGTCGTCACAGGAGCAACAACCGTTCCACATCTCCAGCCCAACTATGCAGATATACTGGCGACCCGCTGGTCATTCCCACCCCTGCGCTTCTTGATGCCCACAAGCTGCAGCATCTCAACCCAGAAGCCCAGAGGCTCATCCGTGAAGGACGCCTCATACGCGTCAAGTGTTGGTCGTTCCCAGACAAAGTCGACCTCGCGAGCGGGTACGAGTCTCGTCCTCTTGATGAGCTTCCAGCCGAGGAACAGGATGGGTGCGAGGATCAACATGGTGTAGTAGCTGAAGAAGCTTTCGACGTCGAACGAGGGCGTGTAGGATTGGTAGCCGTAAACGCAGACTGTTTCGAGGTTAGTCAACGAAAATGGCATGACGGATGGGTTCGTGTGGCAGCATACCAATGGTCGACATCCAGATCAGTCCGATCCAACCGCAGTAAGGCTGGAACTTTCCGTAGTACGGGAAGCTCCTGCGGTCGATGCCCTGCGCCTTGCAAGCGCGGTAGAAGAAGATGTAGGTTATGCTCATGACCTGTGGAGATGTGTCAGCGCTAGTTCTGCAGCGAGCAGATTTTGTCGAACTTACAATGTAGTTGATGACGCCGCCAGCGGTAATGAGAGCAATGAGCCAGTTCAAAACGACCACGGAACCACTGCCAAGCTGCAGGAACGCCAGACACGGGAAGATCATTGTGATCAGGAAGCAATAGACCGGTACGCCGCCCTTGGTGCAGTACCTGAGGAACTTTGGTGCACGTCCCTCAAGCGCGAGACCGTAGAGACCTCGGGTAGAGCAGTAGGTGTAGGTGTTGCCAGCTGAGAAAATGGAGGTCACCAGGAGCGCGTTGACGAAGTGAGGCAGGCCAGTGATACCCAGATTCTGCATCGCAATCACGTATGGCGATGCAGCGGCGGTACCGGCACCATCGGATCCACCCAGAACCTTTTCCAGCTTAGGGTCGTTGTAGGGAATGAGGACACCGACGGTGAGGGAGCCCACGATGAAGAAGAGGCCGAATCTCCAGTAGATGGTCTTGAAAGCGTTCTTGATGTAGATGCGCGGGCGCTTCGCCTCTGCGGAAACCATGGAGATGTATTCCGGGCCGACAACGGTGAAGGAAGCCGACCAGAGACCGCCGAGGAAGCCTTCAAATTGCCCGAGCGAACCTTCACCCACGGTTTGGGTGAACGCACCTGGCTTGTTCCAGTATCGGAAGCCGAACGCGTCGTGTTGTGGGTTGCCGCCAACCATCACGACGAACGTGAAGCAGAAGAGCAAGAAGATCAGGATGACCTTGCCGCCAGAGAGCCAGAATTCAGCTTCACCGTACAGCTTGACCGCGAGCACGTTCAGGATGGCGTAGAGAACGATCGCAACGGCGATGACCGCGGCGAGAGGAATGTCGTCACGCCAGAATCCAAGGACAGTGCATAGAGCTGTAATCTCGAACGGGATCAGAAGGGCTTCGTAGATGTAGAAGTTCCATCCCGCCATGAATCCTAATGCGTCGTCCACGAAGTGACCGGCCAAGCGAATGAAGCCACCCGTGACAGGGAAGAGGGTGGTCATTTCGGCAATGCAGTTGTTGATCAGGGCGAGCATGATCGAGTAGATGGTATAGGCGAGGAACAGGCCACCAGGACCAGCTTTGTTCAAGCCGCTGTTCAGCACAGTCAGTATTCGGTCGCTCCATCCTTTTCTTTCAGGTGAATGCTTACCCTCCGATGGACACGAAGAGAGCAGTACCGATGGTACCGCCAATGGCCAACAGCTGGATCTGCCTGTTGCCGAGGCGTCGTTGGAGGTCATCCTTGTTCTCTGAGCACAATAGTCAGCTACCTGTTGACTGTCGTTGATGCTGGGTAGTTTGCTCACCAGAGACGAAACCCTCCTCGAAATCAACGCCATCTACCACCACGTGCTCGTCATCAGCCTTCTTCTCCGAGTTGGAGTTGAAGCTGAAGCCATTGTCGAAGACACCCATGATTGCTGCTGAACGATGATGCGCGCTGGACTGGACGAAGAGGGGAGCATGACAGGGTGGCCCTTGGGCTCTATATAGGCCGCCGCGCGCATCATGGCGCCGCCTACTGCCACAATAATGGAGTGGACCCTCCTGTGGCCCAGCCTATCTCGTGGGTAGATCCACGATAGCTTAGCGTGGACGCTCGGACGGCAGAGGTGAAGTCCAAGCCAAGGAGCTAGAGTCGACTTTTGGGAGACGTGGTCTAGAACACCTTTAGCATCTCTTTACACCTCACACTTCTCCGGACGCCGGTCATCTCCACAACCCTGCCACTGATATCAACGCATCAGCAAGACCCGTTCGAAAACCATTACCTTGTCGCGATGTTCATACAACTCTCCATCGCCGCACACTCACTACTCGTTGCCTGCAGGATCTCCAAAGATCCCACAGATTGCCTTCCGCGGCGCCCAGCATAACGACAGGAAGATGCCATAGCCGCTGATGGCTAGGCCTGCATTTGCCGAACTCTAGGAGCGAGCCATGGCCCGTCGCAGGCTCGCAGCTCGCCAGCGGCCCAAATCCCATGATCTCGGCTCAAGATAAGCTTACCCTTTGCCTCCCTCCGCAGATGCATGTCAGGCAGAGTTCCGCCTTGCAGCACCAATCCCATCTGGTCGCTGGACGCTCGCTTAATTCCTCCTACTCCCCAACAGTGGTGGGGCGGACCAGGCCCTTCCCTGCCAGTGATCTTTCACAGAGGCGAACTTTTGTTTTCTCGGACCGAGAATCTGGACAGCCACTACGATGCGATCTTCAAGTCGATGATACTCGGAGACCCTTCTGTGTGGATTGACCAAGAAAACTTTCTCCCCGCACAATGGTCCGAGGGCAACTGTTGATATCAGACCGCGGCCGTATTTGACATAGCCTGCATGAGGTGGTAAGATCTCTCACACAGTCAGCCCGTCTTGCATGTAGGGCTGCAGCAGCCACCGGCCAGTCCGTGTGAGCGAGGGACCCGGGGTCGCGTGCATAGTACCCATCTAGGACTACTGCTACCGTCTCGAACGCCTCTTCCTCGCCCACCCGCATGCGCGCAAGGTACCGAATCTCAGGTACTGGGCACCGCATACGCAAAAGAGCAACACTTTGCTGTTTATGGGTAGCCGGAAGAATGTTTACTGATCATGACTGACTGACTCGCTGATCGATGTATCCTCCGCGTGTGTCGACGTTGTACCCTTTCAACATAAGCCCACTACACTGTACGGAATCTCACGCGGAGGATGCTCCTCACGATCTGAAACGTCCTGCACTGGCGCTCTGACAACATCCTTCTGCGCTGACAATAGCAACACAACCTCAAACAACCTTTTCCCCTCATCCTCTTCCTTCATGCACAAAGAACAATTCAAGTCCTCCTAGAAAGATTCCGTATCACTTGGCGGACCTTGCAGCGATCCTGAGGGAACGTCGCGCTATATTCGGAAATAGCATCCACGACAACAATAGATCTCAAGGTACGCTGGCGACGAAACCTGAACCGTCCTGCACTATACGGAAGGATTCAGCAAGTTCTGGGATCATGGCATTTTGGAAGAGTCAAAGAGCTGTCTGCACAACCAGTCGTGTTACGTTATGGCTTGTGTGCTGGAGGACGCATTGGCCCTTCTACCACAGCAAAGCTATCAGACCAGCCACCAAGGTCAGTGCCGACACCGGCAGGCTGTTCGCGGCCTTGCCTTCTGCCGCCTGAGGGACAGAGTTCCGCTGCAGAGTCCAAGCCCCGCCTGTCACATTCCTCGCCATGCCTCCGACAAGCGACACCGACGTGCCGTTCGAACTGGTCAGCGACCCGCTGACGCCTGGAATCCTGACACTGCCCATCGTCCCAGACGGCGTCGTGAATTGCAAGCTGCCGACCGACCCATCGTCCGCCGCCGTGACCTGCGAAGAGAACTCCCCCAGATTGGTGGAGAAGCCAGCATCAACATTCTCCAGACCTCCTAGCGTTGGCGAGATCTCCCACGTCTTCCCGCCAGCGCTCAACAGCTTGATACCGGCGAAGTGAAAAGTCAACGTCGACGTCGGTCCGGTAGCCCAACCATGCGCATGCGAGACTCGCGGGTCATTCGTGTACGGCGCATAGTGCAGCCTACCATCCGATGAGTACCCCTCGATGAACGTTGAGTTGGTCATGCGCGGATCATCCAGCATGAAACCCCACTGCAGCCTCATGAGGTCGAGAGCAGCGCTGGCATTGCCGGCAAGGAGATGCATCTGCAGCTCAAACCCAGAGATGAACGGGGATACAGCATCCGCGGCTTCAACAGCAGGAGCGCCGTATGGGCCCCATCGGGCGGCGAGGCCTTCAGAGATACTCGTCATTTTGGCTGAGGTGTCCGCTACACCAGCCACGACGGCCCAGCTGTTGCCATCTTGTGGATGGAGAGTGGTTGTCTCGTTGTCCCGGTACAGGCCTACCGAACCGTCCCACAGCAGGTTGTTCGCCGAAGACTTGATAGTCGCGGCTTTGCTAGCCCAGGAGTCGATCAGAGTACTGTTCTCGCCCAGAACCTCGCCGAGCATAATACCCTGATTGATGGTGTAGTAGAAGATCGAGTTGGCTTCGATATTGTGGCCTCCCATGCCGAAGCGGAGCCAGTCGTTCGAGCTGGTGACGTTCATCATGCCGCTGTCGTCGATGAAGGAGAGCGAGAAGGTAAGGCCGAGCTTCCATGAATCCCACTTGCCTTGGAGGTATTCCAGGTCTCCAGAGTAGAGGTAGTAGTCAGCTACTCCGATCAGAGAGTACAGGTGCTGCTGACCGTTAGCACAGATACAGCGAAGTGGAGGTCAAGGACAGGACTCACATAAGTCGCAGAATACGTCGGACGAAAGCCAACACCAGCATACGGCAGCTGGCCATTCGCCTTCTGCAGTCCAAACAACGAATCCAAAGCATTCGCAATCGAAATCAAATCGTACGTCGCCACCGTAATAGCCGGCACCGCAATAGCCATATCACCTGCCCACACAAGCCGGTCTCGCTTCGCACCATCTACCAGAGCACTGCTGCCATTGGTGATCGTGGTGTTGCTCCACCAGGTGTCAGGACCAAAGCCGTCGCCCTTCTGGGTCGACTCGATTTCCCCGAGATGGACGAGCGCGTTGCCGTACTCAGGGTTGATGGTGCAGATCTGGTTCGTGTATGCTCCGGCGTACCAGACGCGGTTGATCAGCTCGTCATCGCAGTGGAACCAGCCTGTGTAGTCTCGCAGGGCGTCGTCTTCCCAGTGGGGCATGGGACTGAAGCACTTCAAGTCAGCATTCATTTCTATGACGATGAAAATTGGATATGCTAACGTGAACTCAACAGTGAGCTGCTGGACCTCGATGCTGCCGGTTGTGTTGTGGAGGACGTTCAGGTATCTGAAAGCACCCCGTTCGTGCTTCCGGTCGGGTGTATAGGTGCCAGAGTCGGTTACGTGGAACCACAGCGCCTCATCAATACCGGCGTCTGCTGTGGCATCGCAGCCTTCGCCGGAGATCCAAAGTGAGGACTCGGTGAACGAGATGCCGATGTACTCGTCCTCATCCACATTGCCGATTTGGAGCGAGGCAAGGCCTGCGATATTCTGAAACCGTCATCAGCTCAACTTTGGTGTACGGCTTGAAGGAAGCATACCTTGCCGAAGTCATATGTCACAGCGGACACACCGTCGAAGGTAGCGCTTCCAATAGCATCGCCGGTCAAGCTGGCAGCACCGTTGACCGTGCCATTGACGTTGTACACCGAGACGGGGTGCAACGATCGAGAAGATGGAGCTAGGATGTACTGCTCGTACTGGGCAGCGCTCGCAGCTGTAGCGAGAAGCAAGGGAATGATCTTGGGTAGAAACGAAGCCATGGTAGCTCAACATACGATAGTCACAAGGTCATATACCTACGAAGGTGAAAGGACGAGATGGACGAAGCCTTTTATGCTGTCAATGTCCTCTCCGATACTTTCCTCTTGCCCCATTAAACACTCTTACGGAGACTGCAGCGGCAAATGCTCGTCCCCATATTGATTGCCTCATTGAAAGCGACTGGGTTGTCTGGAGTGCGGAGTGCGGAGATGTGTTAATTCCTGACGATCACATGTGAAAGCACTGCCTTTCGGACGCCATTGACCCGAGCTTGTTCGCACATCTTTGACCCGAGCATCGAGAGCGTCCGGACGTTGACATCTGACGTCGACATTCACTTGGACCTTCCACTTTCGACAATTCGACAACAGAGCACAACCATGTCCGAGCAAGCACAACCAAACGGCGAAGAAATGCACATCAACCCCCAACGCACCCAAACCCTCGCCGAGAACCTCAGCCACGTCGCCCAACGAGTCCAAACCGCCAGCAACGGGCGGAAGGTATGTACCCCTCCCCCTCCCCCTCCCCTACCATCCCACACCTCTCCCTCTAACCTTTCGTCAACCCCAAGGTCCGCCTCATAGCCGTCTCCAAGCTCAAACCCGCCACCGACATCCTCTCCCTTCACAACAGTCCCAGCCAACATCTCGACTTCGGCGAAAACTACGCCCAAGAGCTCACGGAGAAATCTTCCCTCTTGCCTACGGCGATACGATGGCATATGATCGGCGCCCTGCAGACGAACAAGTGCAAACCGCTCGCTGAGCAAGTCGCAAACCTCTACTGCGTCAGCAGCGTCGACACGGCGAAAAAAGCCGATGCGTTGGAGAAAGGCCGCGCAGCTCTGGCCGGGAAGCAGGATTTGGAGGAGAGGAAGTTGAGAGTACTGGTGCAGATCAACACCTCAGGCGAAGAGGAGAAGAGTGGCGTCGAGCCCGGCGAGGCGGCGGGGTTGTGTAGGCATGTGAGGGAGAAGTGTCCCCACCTCCAGCTCGCGGGGCTCATGACGATTGGAGCCATCGCGCGGAGTCAGGAGGCTAGTGGACCGGAGGGCGTGAATGAGGATTTCGTGCGGTTGAGAGAGGTGCGGGGCAGTGTGACGAAGGAGCTTGGGATCGGAGAGGAGGAGTTGGAGCTGAGTATGGGCATGAGTGCGGATTTCGAGGCGGCGATTGCGCAGGGAAGTGATGAGGTGAGGGTGGGGACGACGATTTTTGGGGAACGGCCGGCGAAGAAGGACGCCAAGGTGAAGGAGGAGAGGGCTGATGAGGGGTGAGGTTTGTTGGTAAAAGGATTTGAAATGGATGGCTGGATGTCATGCGTCTCGTGGTGATGAACTACGTCGCTATGGCCTCCCCGATGGCCTTGGCCAGCCGCCGGTATTCCTGCAGCAGCTCGTCCACCTCCGCGATCTTCAGCTCGCCCGCGCTCTGCACCTCCAGAAATCGCTTCCGTGGTGGTTTGAGCTTCCGTAGCTCAGCGAGCGCTTCCCTCGCGTTGAGGTCGTCGCCATCGCCGTCCCTATCCTGCTGGGTCTCCAGCAAAGCCGTGTCGCTGACATTGGCCCGCGCACCAGCTGGAGACTCGACTATATTCGCCAACCTGTCCGGCTTCTCTGTCGCTGGCGATGGTTGAGCAGGTGAGGGCGTCGGAAGGCTTCCCGTCCGTCCAAAGCGACCAAAGCCAGGCACGTTGAAGCGGTTCAGAGGATTGATAGTGTTGATGGTGGCCAGGAGATTTGCCGATGGTGTCTGTGGCTCCTCCTTCTGCTTCGCCGCCCAAGCGACTTGCTTGAAGCTGCCACCCGAACGAGCACTATCGGCGCTTCTGTCTCGCAGCTGTCTCTTGCCGCCTAATAGATCAAGCATCTTTGCATCGTTTCGGGGATTCAAAGGGCCGTCGATCGCCGGGCTGCTGCGTCCGCTGAGGTTGAGGCTGTCATCCTCGTCGCCCGGGTGTGGCGAGCTGACAAGCTTCCTCGCATCTTCCAAAGTCTTAGGTAGTGGCGAGTCTCCAGCAGTGCGGTCCTTGAACCGGCCAAACACGAATTGTAGACTATTCTCCAGTGAACCATGAACCGAATCGTAGATCTTGTCGGCAGTGTCGAGAATATTGTCCCTTCCAGCCTCGATGCGGTCAGTCTGTGCTTTGACTAGAGCAGATATGCGCCGCTGCTGCTGTGCGAGCGCGGCGTTGCCCGTAGGAGTTCGTGGTGCAGAGGGCAGAGCCTTGACCGCTTGGTTTGGGCTGCTGCTCTTGTCGGATGACTCGACTGTGACCTGTGATACTCCGGTGTCGGCAGCTTTGGTGGGGACTGTGCGGTCTGGGAATGCGATCGTCTTCTCCGCTGTCGGTGTAGAAGGATTTGAACCTGACTTTGGTGGGCCTTCAGGTAGTTCATCAGCGCGCAGAGAAGACAGATCGACCGTCTCTAAGAACGAGATGGCGGCTTCCAGATTCACAAGGCAGTACGCAGCTTCGCCGTCCACTTTGCTGGCAGTTCGGAACCGCTGAATGAAGTTTAGGTTGCTGACGACGTTAATGCCTTCTGGTGGTGAGGTAATGAGCGTGTAGATCAGGGTCGGCAGAATCTCGTCTGCTGATGAAGATGATGGGAACAGCTGCGACAGCGTCTCGACGATGCTCTTATGTGCGTCAGTCAAATGCTGGAGCTTTCCAAGCGGATAGTGGTCGTCGTCCATGCGTTGCAGAGCTTCTCTCGCAGGAGCCAACGAGCGATGAATTTCATCCTCTTTCTCCTCGGTGGCCTTGCGGACTTCTTGGTTGGTCGGAGAATCGACATGTAGCTCCTTCAAACCAATGCCCACCAACGCGAGGGCAGCTGTCCTTGAACGGAGCTTGCCATCTCTAGCATCGTCGTCTGAACTTCTGTGCTTGTAAATTCGATCGTACACCTTCTCACACACCGACTTCTCCACCGCCTCCTCCAATGCCAGTCTCTTCAGGTCCAATAATCTCCTCGCTTTTCTTCTGTGTGCCACCTCAGAAGCTGTGAGCATTTCTCCTCCGCTGTTACTGGGCGAACTTTCCGTCCGTTTGGCGCCAGACCCAGCCCGTGCTCGTCCTTTCATTGAAGCCTTGGAGCTGTTCGACGGCGCTGGAGACTTCTCGCGCCCGATGCGAGAGGATAACGAAGCTATGTGCGTCGCGATAGAAGCAGCAGCCCGTTCGTAGAAGTCCTGGAACAGATTCGACAGAGCGTCCGCGGTGAGCGGCGTTGGATGTACTTTCGCCGACAGGCTTTCGATGAATCGCTGCGTCAAGCTTCGGATCTCTACCGGCAACTCATCGAAGGCATTTGGCAGCTGTAGGCCAGGGGTATCTGTCTCTGCCTGCTGTTCCTCGTCATCGTCCTGATTCTCGAATACGTCTGCGACAGGCTTCTTTCCAACCATCTCTGGCGAGCTGCCCTCATAGCGTGCTGGTGACAGAGCTGGTATGCCTTGATCTTGCAGAGTGTTGGCTCGTCTTCGCGGGGACATGGCTGTCTCATCCATGCGTGAGAAGGACTTGATAGTGTTGAGACTGGGTCGCTCGGCCGCCGTGGCTCTTCGTGGTGAGGTGGCCATATCTTGAACTTCAGTGTGAAGAGTCTCTACAGTTCTTTCGACGTGGTAATCACATCAGTCTTGCGTTCTATTCCCGTAGGCTCCCGCGGAGGCTGATGTTGCAAGCAAGATCCTGATCCTGCGGGTGCGCGTCAACAGGGTGGGTCGAACAAAGCGAACGTGAATGACCAGAGCCAGCTCAAAGGTCGTCTACTTCAATCTTCCGCCTGTCATCAAAAGTATGTCGCTCAGTCAGACACTCAACCTCATGAGCACATGTTGTCTCTTTGACCTGGAGATAGCCAAGCCTAGAACTGACCAGGATCATGCGGCTCTCCCATGGCGTTCCCGCTCCGCAAGACTAAATCGATCGCTGATGACGTTCTGTTTGGGCTTGAACTCCGCTGCCTACTGACACTCATCAGTCACGAGGAACAACACGCCTACCTATGCAATGCTCCATCCATCCTGCCGTCGCTCGCTCGAGCAGCAACACCACCTCAGCCATGCTCCGGATCGGTAATGCGCTGCTCGCGTGTCTGCTGTTGGCTGTGGCCTTCAGCGGGCATGCAGTGGCAGCGAGGGCGAACGACCGAGATGTAAACATTGTCTTGCCACCTGGATCACCGCCAGATTCTGGACATGGCGGGCAACCGAAGGACCTAGGGGAGAAGGTGTTTACTCTGAGACACATCTATCATCACGGCACGCACGACTATCCCAACTTACATCGTTATGTCGACATACCCAAGGATGCGCAACTGTACATCAAGGCCGACGATGGAGAGACGAGGTTACCAACGGAGAAGAAGCTACGGGCTAGGGGGATGAGCACCAACGTTGAGCGCATGGTGGACCGAAGTAGAGGGACAGTTGAGGGGCTGTTAGAATATGCTGGTGCATATGGGCATGCGATGTCTCTTCCGTCGTCAGCATGGACAGTCGATGAAATCAGCGGGCCAAACTACACCGACAAGTCATCGGTCATCACATTCGCAAAGATGGCGAACAACGCGTACACGGAGGAGCCGAACACCGGTGGCTGGGAAGATGTCAAAGGCGGCTTCAACTACACAGACGATTTTGGCTGGGAGCAGGATGGTCTGCGAGGGCACATCTTCGCAGACGAGACAAACAAGACTATTGTCATTGGGCTGAAGGGCACGTCGATGGCTGTCTTCGATGGGGCGGAAACAACGGGCAACGACAAATTGAACGACAACCTCTTCGGGTCATGCTGTTGCGCGCAAGGCGGACACTGGACGTGGAAGCAGGTCTGCGATTGCAAAGGCGATGGCTTCACATGCAACTCCACTTGTGTGAGACAGGCGCTCAACAAGAAGAGCCATTACTACTGGGCGGCCAAGGACCTCTACCACAATGTCACCGAGCGGTATCCGACTGCCGACGTTTGGTTCTCTGGTCACTCGCTGGGTGGTGTGGTCGGCACACTGATTGGGTTGACGTTCGGTCTCCCCGTCATTACGTTCGAAGCGTACCCAGATGCATTGGCTGCGTCTCGCCTTGGTCTGCCTACGCCACCTGGCTATCGCATCGGAGCCCACCAAGCTCGACCTGACACAGCTACACACCACTTTGGCCATACAGCCGATCCGGTCTACATGGGCAACTGCGGTAGTGCCGGCTCACTCTGTACAATTGGCGGCTATGCATTTGAGAGCTACTGCCATACTGGCATGACTTGTACCTACGACACGGTGAAAGACTTTGGCTGGAGGTCGAGCGTTATGAACCACAAGATTACCAGCGTCATTCACGACGTGCTGGAGAAGTACGACACGGTCGCCAATTGCACATCGAATCCTGACTGCCAGGATTGCTATGCATGGAACTTTTTTGAAAGCAACGGGACGGAGACGACGACAAGCGCTATGAGTACCTCGACGTCGAGGACCAGGACAAGAACGGAAACGTGTTTGACTCCTGGCTGGTTTGGCTGTCTCGATGAAACGACCACCACGACAATGTCCACCACTAGCACTTCCTCCAGCTCCAGCTCAAGTACGACGTGCGAAACTCCCGGCTGGTTCGGCTGCAAAGACCCGACAACCACCACAACCACCAGCACCGCGACCTCCACAAGCGCTTCCCCCGCGCCTACAATCACGACTACCTCCAGCCTGCCAACCTCGACGTCAACATCCAGCTGCAGAACTCCTGGCTTCTTCGGCTGCAACGATCCTACTTCCACCACACCTACGCCCTCCTCTACGGTTCCATCCTCAGCACCCGCATCAACTTCGCACTCGTGTACATCAAAAGCGTGGTTCGGGCTGATCTGCCTCGACCCTTCGCCCACCGACAAGATGACTCCCAGTCCGACTCGACTTCCGACTACGAGACGGAAATGCGAAGAGAGGAGTTGGCTTGGATGGTGCAACTCGTGGGACGGTGGAGCAGGAGAATGGAAGAACGATCTTTGAGCGACCTCTTGAGTGGTGTTAAGGGAGAGTTAGGATATAAGCGCTGGTTCAGAATGAGTAGCATGATCTTTCACGAACCACTCCATGTTTGTATACCATATCGCCACCCTGGAGCATTTACTGCATAAGTTAATTTGCACGTTTTGTCTCGGTATACATGTATCGTACGCTGCGTCCGCGTAATTCCCATTTGCCGTATCCGAGACCGGCGAACATGACATCAACCTCTCCACAACCCATGTCGACGATCAGCCTTCCAAGCCCTTCCGCGACGCATCCGCGCTCTTAGCGTTGCTTAGTCTTGCGCTTCGAGCGATCAAAATCCGAACGACCGAGATGGCCGAGATGTCCGCAACATGATTCGAAGTTTCTCCATTAGAAATTCAGCAAACGCGCGCTTTGCTCTGGGAAGGGGCGGACGTCATTGATGGATAGGAAGGTAGGGTCGGGAGATGAGTTTCATTGCTATGTGTTCTCCTCTTTCTTTTCGTCTGGTTCTGTGCTTTCGACACTACATCGCAATTCATATCGCAGCGCCACCCATTGTTCGACGGGCAGTATTCGCGTCGCTATCTCTTCTCGCGGGCAATATCATCAGACGACGTTGAGCAGACCAGAAGCAAGGACTTGCAACGACCCGCCACCGCCTGCACCCGGCATGGCACCGGTGATATGGGGTCTTGACCTCGCCGAGATCAAGTGGTCGAAGTTCAAGAGCAGTTACATGTGGAACAGCGAGTACCATATGCGACGGACCAAGTTCATCGTCTACCAATGCGCGCTCATCTTTTGCGTCGTGTCGGAGTCCTTGGGCACGGCGGCGTTGTCTGGTAAGTCGCCATATCTTTCTACAGTTGAGGTGAGATGCAGTGGTTGACGATGGACGATCGAACAGACTACGTGGACATGCAAACACGCATCCAAGGAATCAGCGCTTCGAGAATACACGTCTACAACGATGACTACGTCGGCGCCGCCTCCTTCAATATCTTTGCCGGGGTGTTCGTCGCCTTCATCTTCGGCGCCGCCTTCTTCTTCGACCTGATATGGCCGGAGCGGAAAGAGTCGAAAGGAGTCAGGATCGCATGGAAGGTCTGCGGCGTGCTGGCTGTGGTTATGCACCTCGCCGCTGCCCTGACACTCACAGTCATCACGGCAAGACATCGAGCGTTTATCCGAGGAGATCACGGGCAAACAATCCTCACCGAGCAGGAGCAACGGGTGTGGTGGAGGCAATACTCGAAGCACAGCGAGGCGCCATTGATATACAGACACAACCCGAGAGCCATCGCGGCGGTGGTGTTCTCGTGGATCGGATGGTGCAGCCTACCGCCCAGCTGCGTGTTGTTATATCTGGGCATCGACAACACGGAGAAGGGGCCAGGACCGAAGTCAGCACACGCTCGCGCACGAGATGCTTCTTTCGAGGAAGGACAAGCCGACAGCGACGCCGAAAAGCCCAGAGCATCCAGCGACGATCCTGAAGCCAACGGCGCATCCCCATCCTCAACACATGCCGGAGATGGGACGTACGATGCGCCTGCGCCGGTGGCCGAACAAGCACCCGCACAGTCGGACGCTGCACGGTAGACACCGGTCAAGCAGGCACTGCGTAACAACCGCTTTTCTAGAGTGCTGGAAGGGGAAAGCCCCGGCTGCAGCAGCGAGGTCACGGAGGCTTCGGAGTTCAGCGCGCTCGCGTCGGGGAAGAAGAGGGCGAGGAGCGAGGAGGACAGGAGGAGGACGCTGGGGGAGAGGAGTCTGGCGGCGTTGACGAGTGGGATGGCGGATAGTGGGGTGGATTCGCGGTGAAGGGAGAGGGTTCGGACATTGCTGGGGGTTTGTATATGCATAGCGTGGAATCACGAGCGTTGGAGCGTGGGCGGTATATCGACGATCGCCAAGCGGTATCAGTGGTATTCCCTTGACGGATTTCATGTGAGAAGTGGCGTTCGATGAGCTTCCCCAGCTAATGACGCCGTGGCTCGTCAGCTGGTCCGAGCTTTGGCAAGCGCGGTGGGCATGTTTTTGTTCCTGCCAGCTTTTCTCCAAACAAACCTCCTTCACCCTCCAAATCTCACCTTCCACACCACTACCACCTCCATTTACCCTCCAAAACACCTGACAGAGCCTCGATACAGCAACCATGAGGTTCACCATCGCCTCACTGGCGGTCGTCGCCTTGGCGACACAGACTGTTGTCGGCAGCAATTGGCTCGGTGGTAAGCCAGGTAAGCGTCAATCTGCACCACAGCACTGGATCTCAGACTGACTAACACGAGCCCGCATAGCCTACAACAAGTGGCACGAGACTGAGCTCGAGCGATGGCTGTCCGACCACGACATCCCCTACCCGGCGCCCGCAGACCGCAAGGACCTCGAGGATCTTGTTAAGAACAACTGGGACGACTACGTGGCCAAGCCCTACAACAGCTGGGACACGCAGCGTCTGCAGAACTACCTCGCCTCGCAGGGCAAGGAGGTCAAGAAGGGCACGGAGAAGAACAAGGATAGCTTGATCCAGCAGGTGCAGAGCTACTGGCACGAGGGTGAGAATCAGGCGTCTGATTCCTACCACAGCGTGCAGGACTGGATCTTCGATAGGTGAGTTCGACCATCATTACACAGTGCATTGGAGCTCACTAACGTCACCCAGCTGGACTGAGTCGCAGCTCAAGTCGTTCCTCGACCACCACGGCATTCCCAACCCCACCCCTCGCACTCGCGACTCGCTTCTCCAGACCGCCCGCTCCAACTACCAGTCTGCCGCGAACAAGGCGGGTGAGACTGCCAGCTACCCAGGCAACTGGCTCTACGACTCCTGGTCCGACTCCGACATCAAGTCCTGGCTCGACGAGCGTGGCATCCCAGCCCCGCAACCGTCCAACCGTGACAAGTTGATCGCCTCTCTGCGCCGCAACTCTCGTGTCGCATCCAACAACGCTGCTTCATCTGCTGCCTCCGCTTCTTCCTCTGCCCACACCGCTCAGCAGTCCCTGAGTGACCAGCTCCTCAACAGCTGGAGCGACAGCCAGATCAAGGAGTGGTTCGACAAGAACGGCATCAACGTTCCGCAGGGCAGCAAGCGCAACGAGCTCATCGCTCTCGCGCGCAAGCACTCTTCGTCCCTCACTGGCAACAACGCGCAGGACTCTGCTGCTTCGGCATACGGCGCTGCAACCTCTTCCGCTGGCAACTACTACGCCCAGGCCACCAACGATGCCTACGGCTTCGGAAGGCATTACTACGACTACTTCATGAACCAGTTCGGTATGGCTTCCAAGGATGCTCAAGCCAGCCTCAGCTCTGCCTCCTCTGCCGCCAGTGTCAGCCTCAGCTCGTCTTCCTCCTCTGCCAGCGTCGCGGCCTCCAAGTCTTCCGGTGAGGCGGGTAGCTCCGCATCGAGCGCAAGCAGCATCGCCTCGAAGTCAGCTGCCAGCGCCAGCAATGAGGCGTCCAAGAGCGCCCAGAGCGTGAAGAACGAGTTGTAAGCGGATGGAAGACAACGAACAAAAGCAAAATGATCGAGCGATAAAGCACACAGACATGGGCTGGGGTGGAGTGGCGATGATACCAATTACCTTTACCGGCGCCTGAAATTGACAGAATGGGGCATGATGATGGGTGGTTAACGAACTGTACTACTAGTATTACCATGGCCTCTTGAGTAGCTTTAGTTAGGAATGATACGGTGATATGATAGCGTTGTGCTTTTCTCATGCCTTACTGTCCAAATGCTGTCCATCGGATGCAACCCGAGAAGCAAAGTGCTGGCAGTGCAATTGACCAGCCTCGCAGTGCCACTCATGACACCAATTCTCAGTTGCTCGGGAACTGCGGGTGACTTCCTTGCAGTCCTCACCGAGCAGAGCCTAGTAGGTACTTCCACGCCATCACGAACAATCTACAGCACCTTAAAAATCAAGCAACTGTCACATCTCGATATCGCCTTCGCGGGAAGAACACGATCATCACCACAACCTAACCTCTCCCTCCTCCTCCTCCAACCCCAACCCTAACCCTCAATGCCAAAGTCCGCCACGCTCCGCCCAACGTCGCTGTCCATCGACTACATCAACATCGCTGGTGCAGTAGAGCGGCCATGCGTTTTACTGGGCTTAAGCTTACGGTGCGTGCGATTTCGCAGATCGGGGCCGCATTCGCGCGATCAGTGCAAGTGAGTGAATGGAGCTGGAATCCTTCCTGTCAGCTTTGCGGCCGCCTCGCCTCGATACATAAGGTAAGAGGGTCAAGTATAGCAGCGTGCGTTTCCTTTCAATCTCGTCCTTGTCTCCTTCCGATCCTCACGTAGCGTCTTTCCTACACTTCAAACGGCAAACATGGAGCAAGACACCCAAAACGACAACCCCCTCGACATGACCACCCGCGCCAAAGACTCCCCCTGGTACGCCCACGACGTCGCCGCCGTCCTCCAGCCCCAAACCCGCTCAATGCTACAAACCCACGCCAACATCCTTCCAGACGACATCATCGCCCACATCGAAGTCACACGCAGCAAAGCCTGGGCCCTCGCCCCCTACCCCTCCGTCGGCGCCCTGACCTGGCTAAACCCCTACCTCACGCTGCACCTCTCCCACGACCTGGTGCTGGAGAAGGTGAAGTCCGGCGCCACGATCCTCGACTGCGCATGCATGATCGCGCCGGACCTCCGGTACCTCGCCTCCCGCGGCGCGCCGGCGGAGAGGATGTACGGTTTCGACATCGAGGCGGGTTTCTTCGATATCGGGTTCGATTTCTACCGCGACCGGGAACGGTGGCACGGCAGTTTCTTCGAAGCGGACGGCACGAAACCACTTTCAGAGACGAAACTAGCTGTTCTGAAAGGGAAGATGGATATACTCTGGTGTCCGAAATTCCTCCACCTCTTCGACCGCGCGCAGCAAATCGCCGTCTCCTGTAACCTTGTCGGGCTGCTTCGCTCGGTGACAGGGAGTCTCTTCATCGGCTCGCAGAACGGACGGCCCGTGCCGGAGGAGATGCCGGTGAAAGAAGGCAGTCTCGGGCACGGGCAGAACAGTATCTTCGGCGCGAACGCGGAGGAGATGCAAAGGATGTGGGCGGAGGTGGGGGAGCGGACGGGGACGAAGTGGGAGGTTGAGGCGCGGTTGTTGGATCTGCGGACCGTGGGGTTGCATGTTGAGGATGGGAGTTGGTATAAGCGGGTTACGGGGTATAACCTGCAGTGGACGGCGAGGTTGGTGGAGGCGTAGTGTGTGAACGAGTCATTTTGACGAAGTCTATACACGCCATCTGTATGATACGTCTAAAAACAACCCCGTCGCCTTGCGACCAGCCCTGCAATGCATGCAATGCAACGCCAAACACCACGCTGAAACCCACAAATCACTCCCTCTTTCTCCTTCCATCCCTTTTTGCAATCACACAAGCCTCTCATCAATCATCTCATAAAAAAGCAAATACACCTCCTTCTGCATGCCCAACACATCGCTCGTCTTGCCCTCCTTGACCTTCTCGTCACTAATCCTCCACCAGCGGTCCGGGCCCGCTTTCCGTCTGCCGCGCGATAGAGCGGTTGATAAGCTGGACTGTCGCTTCAGACTACTCGAGTCTGCTGAGCGAGGCGGTGGAGGCGTTGGTAGACCTGGAGTGGGTATGGCGTCTAGGGGAACGCTGGTGGGTGCTTGTTTCTGCCGCTCCTGGCTCAGGTATGGGAAAGAGCGACTTGACGCAGATGAGCTCGTAGGCGAGTCCAACGATGGCGTGGAGAGGAGTTGGGGGTCTGGTGAGGACGTCGGACTGTCCGCTTCTCGCGAGCTTCTCCCGTTCAGACGAGGACTGGGTGCTGCTGACATGCGTGGACTGGGCACGGGGCTCGAGCGCATGCTGAAGATGCCGTCCTTGCCCATCGAAGCCGGGGTGGAGAAGGGTGGGCTCAAGTACTGTCGCCGGAAGGTCTCATAGTGTCCGGAGTTGTGGCCGCCTTTGTGCGTGACTGCGCCGAGGAGGCGGTACGTTTTGCGGTCGAGCAGGCCGCCGAGGGGAAGTGTTTCTGGGAACGAGACCTTCGCGTTGTTCTTTGTGGAGTAAGAGTCTGAGTATACGGAGCGGCTGAGGTGGAGAGCCAAGACTCTGGGAAAGCGCGATATGCGCATGTGCCGTGATATGCGGCGTTTCGGAGCAGTCGCGAGGTCAGGGAGCTTCACATCCTTGGGAGGTGTTTCGGGGTCATCTCGTAAGGCAGTCTCGAGTTTCTGCTTGTCTGCTTCCAGAGCTTGTCGTTCTCCGTCGGATATGCCACGCTTTGCCAGCTGCTTCGCGTTGACCTGTAAAGCATGATCGAGACGACACCTATCGCAGACAAAGTCATCGATCTGCTCCTGTTTGAAAAGAAGATCGAAGCAAGCGTTGAGAGTTGTGGAGCTCGTGTCTGGGGGTACGTTCAGGGTGAGAGTAACGAAGGGAGAGATGGTCGGTCGAGGTTTGAAGCCGCAGTGTGAGCATTCGACGAGCGAGTCCAGCCGGCCTTCGAGTGGAAAGCTGCCTATCTCGTCTTCTTCGTCCGCTGTTTCGTCAGGGTTGGATGGCGGTGTCACCTCAATGCTTGACTTCAGCTGCCCTGCCTCTGCTTCTCCGTTGATGGAAGGTGGTTTGGTGTCTTGTGGTAGTGGCAGTCCTTCAACCGTCGAGTCTTTGTTAGAGACTGTCGCATCTGCCTCTCCTCCCCCATTTGCTGGTGTCTCGTCTGCCTCCCTACTTGTCTCCCCTCGCCCGGGTGCAAGTCCATGCGATCTCGCATACCGTCTCGCTCTCCTGCCCGCATAATGCTCCTCTGCCAATCTCTCCGCAATGACTTGCAGCAACTCTTGAGCATCCTGCTGACTCCTGCTAATCCTCGTCTTGAACGACTGCTCCACCACCCGAATGAACGGCTGCGCACTGATCGTCTTTTTATAAATCGGCCTCTCGTTCAACGCATCCAACACCTCCTTCAACCCCGCCGTAACCAGTCCCTGCTGGAACCCCAGCAACTTCCACTCCGGCACGGGCTTACTATCCTTCTTCCTCGCTTGCTCCTCCAACGCCGCCGTGAGGTCCTCGTACAATTCCGGCCCATCGAGCTTCCGCCTATGCATCTCCCTGATCAAATAGATCCGCAACTCCGGGAGACCAGCCAGAACCTGCAGCACACTGTTGATGAAGCAGTCATTCGCCGGATTCACCAACCCCACCACGCCCTTCTTCCGGCTCGACCGCGAGCTATTGGCCGCTTCGTCGTCGAGGAAGAACGTCGGGCCAAAACAGTAGATCAACGTGACTGCCGCCAGCGACGCGCCGGCGGCATAGCCAGCTATTCGCAGTGGTCGGTCGGGCATCCTCGCTGCGAGTCCGCTGCCTGCTACCAGTCCTATCAGGGTTGTCTGGGGTGAGGGGGGGTAGACATTGTGTTGCTGTTGCCAGTCCTCGACGATCCGGTGGTAGTGGGGGATGTTAGGGTGGACTGGTCCATTGCGCGGCAGCGTGGACGCCAGGACCGAGAAGTGTTTTCTTTCTTGCTTCCCAAGAGCTGAGGGTGGATGCTACTGTAGCAGGCGGCAGGAGTCTGGATTGCTGCAGGTGCAGTCAAGGGTCGAATAAGCCGTGCAGCGAATCCGAGCTGGCGACTGCTGCGAAGGCGGATCGTTTTGCCGCGGCTTTGCTCGAGCGATTCTGGACTTCATCCGAGAATCATCAATTGGAGATTTCCACGTCGTCCACGACATACGATCATGTCAACGCCATTGGGACCTCGGTCGGCACCGCAATGTCTGGCATGTCTACGAAGATGCGCACTGGGATGTTCAGCAGATGGTGTAGCACCTACAACGGCATTCCGACAGCAAGTTAGGGGCAAGAGACGAATGGCCAACAACTCTGCGATGGTCACAGCTCGACTACGCGAAGACGTCAAAGCCTACGGACGAAAAGGTACACACCTCCCTCCCATCCCCTCCCAACCTCTCCCACTTACACTCCCCCCTACAGGCTCCATCGTCCCCGTCGCCCGCGGCGAAATGCGCAACCGCTTCTTCCCCTCGGGCACAGCCGACTACGTCACCCTCCCCGAACTGCGCAAGCTGCGCCTCTCCAACACCGCCGTCGCGCGGGACTTCAACTACGGCCTCGCCTCCACTACCTCGGAGGCCATGGCGCCCTGGCAAAAGGACATCCCGGGGGACATCAAGAAGATGAGCAACGACGAAGTGGTGAATGCTAGCGCGTTCCAGAAGAAAGTGGAGGTGGAGAGGTTGAGTCCGGAACGGGGCGTGGAGTTGCTGGAGGCGTTTGTGCGGCCGCGGTTGGAGTTTTATCGGCAGCCGATTATTGAGGAGAAGAAGGAGGAGGAGATGGTGGAGGAGGTTCCAGAACCGGAGAGGAAGCCGCAGCGGTCGTATGGTGGGGGCGCTGGAGCGGAACTGTTGGCGGCGAGGATGGGAGGGGTTGTGCAGCCAAGGATGGAGAAGGGGAAGGGTGAGGTGGTCGGCCCGCAGGCGATATACGGTTCTGTGTCGCCGTTGGATGTGCTGCAGGCTGTGCGAGCGGCGATGGCGGAGAATGACGAGGCGAAGAGGGTGGTGCTGTCGGAGCAGGATGTGCAGTTCGTGGATCTGCCAGAGACGGAGGGAGAGACTGCGAAGGTGGTCAAGCATGTTGGCGATTTCGCTGTGGAGATTAATTTGAAGGGCGCGGACACGACTGTAAGGCGGGTTGTTAGGGTGATCCCACAGGAACTGTAGTATAGTGTAGATTATTTTACAGTAATAACATTCAACCTCAGCCTCCAACTCCTACTCCATGAAGACCACAGAACCTCAGTCCTCACTCACCTAAACTCGGAAGCAGTGTACGAACACGTGCGATGCAAATCCATACACGCAACTAGCGATAAGTACTATACACCCCATCTCCCCCCTTAACCCAGCCCTGCCCTTTTGTCCTACCCATTCATAGCGATCCTCCCATCCCCCCTTCCTTCCCTATCCATGCGCCCAGTCACCACCCCACAAAGACCTTGAGGCCCCATTCAGTCTCAACAGATCTAAGACCTATTGCGCCCCGAGCGACGCGGCTCCCCCGTCTCCGTCGCCGCCTTCTTCGGCTCCTTCTTCTTCGTCTCCTTCTTCGCGCCACCAGCACCACCACCATTAGCGTTCTTCGCCGGCCGCCCCTTCTTCTTCGGCTGCTGCTCGCCGTTCGCCTTCGGCTCGGCGGAAGTCTTCTGCTTCTTGTTGGCCTTGCTCTCGCCTTCTTCCTCGTCCTTTTTCTCCTCGCTCGTTTCTTCAGCGGAGCGCTTCTCGCCGGTCTTGGCGTCGCCGTTCTCTTCCTTCTCCTCTTCTTCAGCGCCTTCTTCTTTCTCGTCGCCACCCTTATCGCCGTCGCCTTTCTCTTCAATGTCGACTTCCGACGCCTTCTTCACGACGTCATGTCCCTCGTCCCGCGAGATGTACAGCGCAGGGTTCTCCTCGTCCCCGCCCTTCTTGACCTCATTACCACGCTTGGTCTCCATCGTCACGGCGCCCTCGGTCGCCTTGTCCGTCACAGTACCGCCGGGACGGCCACCGGACCATTGGTACGACACTGCGCGTAGCAAACACTGGTCAGCGTTCGTGTTCATGACTAAGCCAGCAGCATGCCTGAGGCAGACACCCATTGCGCGACACAGCAACAACAGTGCGCAGCACCAACACCTTCGTCGCGCGGGAAAATGGACAAGCGTACCTTCGTCGCCTTTCTCGACATTGTTGTTATCCGACATATTATCGTCGGGGAGTTCCTGCTTCGAGCCCTCTTCCGCTTGGCGCAAGTCTGCCTCCTCGCTCTCAGTCACTCTCGCGTACGTTTGATGTGTCAGCAGCGCAGTACCCAAACCAGAGCAAACAGGATCGCGGGACAGAGATAAGCGCTGTCGGATAGGATGGGAGTCGATTTCGCGCTGGGTTGGGGAGTAGAGGAGATGGGGCGGCTTCAGAAGTGAGGTCGGCGTGGAGCAGCTGGCTGGGAGCTGCTGCGAATGCACGGGCGCCAGCGCCGGAGCCTCTTTCCCCGGATCGTCGTCAACACGGAGTGGGTCGTTGTCACGTGGATGGCTGGGGAATGCGACGCCATTGCTGTTGCCGTTACTGAGGGGTGGTGTTAAGGGGGGGTAGATGGGCTCCATGGTGTTTGAGAGTATGAGTGCATGTCGGGAGAAATGATTGTGCTAGCTACTTCAATTCGGTAGAAAGGAATGCAGTAGCACAGTGATGTTCTCCTTGCTTCATTCCAACGGTCAAGCCATGCGCCCCGTCAGTAATTCTAAGCACGACGCAAACGTCTCGATGGGAAATTGCGCCTCTCGACTGCTGACGAGATCAAGGATACCCTGCTCTCAGAACATTGACAGGACGCATCGCGCAACTTCCCCGTCAACGCGTCTTCTTCCAGTCCACCCCATCCGCCTCCAGCTGCATTTCCGCCTTCGACTGAAGCCGATGGGCAAGAGAGTGATACCTCTTCTGCTCAAACTAGGAAGCAGAATTGTACGTCGCACCTGAACTCGGACCCTCCTTGGGAACGATCTTCTTGCTCGCCGGATCCTGCTTGCCCGCCTGCTTCACCAGCCCAATAAACGCCGCTTGATTCGCATTGCCCACGCGCGCTCTAAACACGCGGACGAGTTCCTTCAGGTCGATGCCGGTTGCTGGAATGGCCGCGCGCACTTCTTCAAGAGTGGGGAAAGGCTCGCGACTCGGGCTCTGAGTCCTACTCGCTGGGTGGGAGGGAGAGGCGACGCGGGAGGCGGTGCGTGAGCCTTCGACTGGTGAGCCGACGGCGCCGGATTTGAGGTTGATTTTGGGGCGGCCAGCGCGGGAGGTGTCGGTGTCGCTGCCAGAGCCGTAGCCGGATGCGCGCTTGGGCTTGGTTGTGTCGGCTGTGGATTCGTTAGCATTTGCGTTCTGGTAGTTGGGACATGGCGGTGACATACGTGACAGCGAGCGAGCACCATTCGCAGCACTAGACACCGCGCGGCCATTTACGCCCTTCGCCTTCTTCCGACTCGACTCGTTCCCACTAAGTTCGGACAGGTCGGGCGAGCCTGGCCGCTTGAGCGATGCACCAAGCCTGCTCTGATCTCGCTTCTCCGACCTTCCAGTAGGCGTGTTCGTGCCTTTTGTCGATGCGCCCGACTTCTCGTCATTCAGCTTCCGTGCCTCTTCTGCCTTGCGCTCTTCTTCTAGCCTCTCGCGCTCCTCTTCCGAATCTTCGCTCTCTTCACTCTCGGAGAACTCACCCCGGTCCGAATCGGAGTCGTACTCATTCTTACGCTCCTTCTTGATCAGCTGCTTCCGCATGCGCTTCTGCTTGCGCTTCCTCTCCTGCTCCTTCCTCTTCTCTTCAGCCTCCTCCTCATCGTAGTCCTTGTCGATATCCTTCAGCCCCGAACCAGCAAGATTGGCTGAACGCATCTCCTCCCGGATCCTTCTCTCGATCTCTTTGGCGTCCTCGTCTTGATCACCATAGATCATGCCCTCGTCGTCGTCTTGAAACTCGCCTTCAAACTCGAAGTCGATCTCGTCCACATCGGCTTGGTACTCCTCCCGCTTGATTGGCATCTCCTCATCTTCTGACCCGCGTCTCTTGATACGTTGTTGCTCGCGTGCTTGATACGCAGCCTGTTTCCGCGCCTCATCATTCGCCATCTGAGTGCCCAAGAACCACCGCGGCGCCTTGAGCTTCTGCCCCATGTGCTTCTCCACCGCATCAGAATCCATCACCTCGAACCGATTTGTCTGAGTAAATGTGTACCACTTCTCCACTGGCACCATGCGAAAACCCTCGGTGCCTATCTCAAACATGACGCTTCTGTCTGCCAGTGGCTCCTCGTAGCTCCCAACCCATATATTCTTGCTCTCAAAGTCTTCCAAATGCCATGGGCGTGCTTCTTCGTATCGAAGCTGGGCTCTCGCTCGATGCTTTGGGTTGTTCTCGTCGTAGTAGACATCTTCCACCTTCTTCTGTGGCTTCTTCTTCGTAGACTTCTTCGCATCACCTCCAGTCGGCGCAATAAGTGCCTGGTTGGCCTCCCTCTCCGCTTGACGCTCCGCGCGCTTGGCGCTCATCAACTCACGCTCTTTGTCGTCCACGCCAGATGCAGCCTCCAACTGCTCTCCCAATGCCCTCTTGTCGCGTGCCATGCGACGGTGAAGACGGACAGGACGCGGAAACTGCGAGACATCGTAGGGATTGATGGTCTTGTCCTCTCTGCTCTTGAGCTTCATGGTGTGGTAGTGCAGTCCCTCATCGATCATGTTCTTCGACACGTAGATGGGATACTCCGAGTAGTCCTTAACTGCCGGTTCCTGCTTCACACCATTAGCTGCCTGCTGTTGACCAGTGGCAGCGCCATTTATGGGTTGTGACTGCGTTCCACCACTCTGGCCTGGCGCGGGCTTCTTCACGACGGGTTTCCGCTTGGGCGTGAAGATGCTCACGTTGGGCTTTTTTCGCGCGACAGGTGCTGGACCGCCAGCTGATGGTGTTGTCGAGCTCGGCCCCGTAGGTCCGCCTGCTGGCGAGGCGCTCATAGTGCGCGGTTGTTGCTGACTGTGGTGGTGATATGGATGCTGTTCTGTGTGGTAGGTCCTGAAGTGCAGTCGCTGCTATCGCCTGATGGGATATTCGTTGTCGAAGAGCAGCAACACGCGACACCTGCTGATCACGGACGGCGACAGTGGTGAAGGCGGAGGTGCGTTGGTGAAGAATAGTAGACGAAGAGCTTCCCCAGTCCTTTGTCTGGCCCAAATGACGGAGCGGCGGCAGGCGGCAACCTTAAATGTGCTGATCGAGCAAACAACCGCGACCTGACTTCACCATTTGACATCACGTGAAAAGCAACATGCAATTGACACCTCTTCCAAGGCAGACTGCAACGAACGGAGTGCTGGATGAGCCTCCAACGGCGACTGCTATAAGATAGCCGCTACAATCTATACAACAGTTCGCGGCAACCACGACAATGGACGGCCACACGCCCACTCTTTCTCCAGATATGGAGGAGCAAATACGAGGGATGATCCTGTCTGAGAGCCCATCCACGTCTTCAGGACCATTCGATGCAAGCGCCGGCAACACTGCGCATCCGGCTGTCCGCCTGCCGCCATCGACCATGTACGGCCAACCACCCCCCAAGCAATTCGCTCCACCACCGTATCCGCAAAATCAAGAACAGTTTCATCATCAGCGTCAGCAACCGGATCGCCGCTGGCAAGGTGAGCGCAACTTCAACGCTGCCGGCGGAGTACCTCCTCCCCAGAACCCACCATACGGTAGGCAACAGCAACCCCCGTACGCTCAACGTCCAGCGCGTGGAAACTACAGCCAACAGCATGGCCACTACCCTCCGCCAAATGGCCGCGGCGGACCACCTCCTTCCTTCGCGACTCCACACCAACAACGAGCCAGGCACCAGCAACAAATGCAACTGGATCCCAATGCTTTCCAACGAGGCGGCTTTGCTCCACCACCCAGAGGACGCGGTCAAGGCCCACAACAACTCTTCAACCCACACCAGCCTCGTGCGCCCATGCCCAACCAATGGTGGGAGCCGCCCGCGCGGCAGAAGCAGTACCTAGAGACTCTAGCTGCCGAGCAGATCTCCAAAGTCGAGATGAGCTCTTCCGAATACCGGGAGAAGGAGTCGTTCCGCGCCACCCTCGAGCGCATCTGCCTTGAGGTCTGTGAGAGTAACCCGGATCGCCTACCCAGGATCTCGCTCGAGCCTTTCGGCAGCTTCAAGTCGGGTTTTGCGTCAGCTGGCTCGGACATGGATCTTGTCATAGTAGTCAAGGACCGAAGTTCGACCACTGCCTGCTTCTCTCTACTGGAAGATGACCTGCCGCGAGCGCTAGAGAAGCGACTCCTCGAGCTTGGTATTGGCGCGAGGTTGCTCACGCGCACCAGAGTGCCCATCATCAAAGTCTGCGAGAAGCCGGAAGACGAGTTCCTGGGAAAGCTGAGGGAGGAGCGTGAGAAGTGGGACGTGCTTCCGGAGAAGGAGAAGTATCCTCACCTGCATTCAAGCGATGACGATGACGCTGCAGCTCAGGAGGATCCGCCTATTCAAACTCTTGAGGCAGATGAGGCGGCTGACGTACCAATTGCCACAGTCGTCGATGGTGTCGACGCGGTGCCGCAGCCCAAGAGCAACGGAAAGAATGGGACTACTGGTCATGTAAACGGCCACACAACCAACGTCGTTCATCAACAAGCGAATGGGGTAAAGACTGGTCTTAGCAGCGAACCGACAGGGGCGAACGCAGCACAGAAACAACGCCGGCCTGACAACAAACCATGGACCCGCGAGCGTAAAGCTGGACCACTCGACTTCCCCAGCTCTGGTGTTGGCATACAGTGCGACATCAACTTCTTCAACCCTCTGGGACTGCACAACACCCAACTGCTCCGTTGCTACTCACTTTCGGACCCTCGCGTACGACCAATGGTCCTGTTCGTCAAGGCGTGGGCCAAACACCGTAAGATCAACAGCTCGTACTCGGGCACATTGTCCAGCTACGGGTTCGTGCTGATGGTGCTTCACTATCTCATCAATGTCGCCAACCCGCCGGTTCTACGCAATCTTCAGGCTGGCCCGATGCCTCCAGGTGTCTCGCTTCCAGAAGGTGTGGAGGTTGACGGCTGGCACGTCAGGTTCTGGCGCAATGAAACAGAGATAACCGAGGCGGTCCAGCGCAGACACATGAGCATCAACTCCGAACCAGTCGGGTCCCTACTAGCAGGCTTCTTCCACTACTACTCTTCTCTCGGCGGTGGCAACACTTTTCGCTGGATGAACGAGGTGCTCTCACTACGCTCACCACATGGGATCCTCACAAAAGAAGAGAAAGGCTGGGTCCGCGCTGTGACTGAGGAGGGAGAGGGCAAGAAGATCCAGCACCGGTACCTCTTCTGCATCGAGGATCCGTTTGAGCTCAGCCACAATGTCGCCAGGACTGTGACGCACAAGGGAATTGTGGCGATTAGAGATGAGTTTCGAAGAGCTCATCGCATTTTGCTGAGTGTTGGCTATGGCAATCCATCTCAGGATGGGGAGTTGTTTGATGATCTGGTGGAGGCGGAGGAGCTGCCATCAGCGAATACGGCGACTAAAATGAACGGGACGACGATGGGGCCAGACGAGCGAAACAATACTGCGCATCAGCAGCAGCGAGCTCCCACGCATCAGCTGCCCCATCGTCCTCGCTCAGGAGTCCAGCAGCAGCCGCTACCTTCCCGGCCCAACACCAAGCTCTTCAACCCAGGCGACAACGACGCTTTCCCAGCCCTCAGCACCCCATCCCCCAAAGGACCGCAACCAAAGAAGAAGTCCAGGAAGAGCCCACAAGAGACCAAGGATGTCGGTGATGACTTCAGCGAGATCTCTGGGGACAAGGCCAAGGCGATCCTGGAGGAGGTGAAGCGGAAGAAGGACGAGAAGCAGGCGGAGGATACGGCGACGCTGGCGGCGGAGAGCGTGTTGGATGGGATTGACTGAGCGGGTCATGAAGATACGAGCATGCATGGCGATGGGTTTCGTGATGCGCTCTAACGACGGGAAAGCATAAACGAGATGATCCTGTCGATGAGCTCTGATCATGAGATATGATGTATGATAAGCTCCACTCAACGACTACCTTACGTAGTCCAAACAAAACAAAACAACTCAAACCACATCAACAATCTGTTCATCCTCATCCTCATCCTCATCCACCTCCTCCACCCTCCCCTCCCCATCCCCACCCTCACCCTCACCCTCACTAACCTTCATCCCCTCCTCCCGCATCAAAACCTGCACCAACCGATCACACCCCTCCCGCACCCCCTCATCCTCCACCTGCAAATGACACTCCCTTACAATCGGATACGTCTTCACCGCCCTCAGCCTCGCGCGACTCTCCTTCTCCGTCGTCAGCAACAATAGCGATTCCAGATGTGTAGCCATGATGTCAGGTTGGTTATCGCGCTCCTTATCTGGGGGCAGCAGTTGGCATTCATCCAGCATCCCCTCTGTGTCTTCGTCCGAGAAGGACTCGGAGCCCATGAGGGGGAGGAGGATGTAGGGTAGTAGGCCTATCGGATTCGTCACGTCGTCCGGCGTTTCCAGGTCGGTGTCGGAGTACAGCAAGCGAGGATGAGCAGGGACGTCGAAACAGACATTCTTAATCGTATTCGCCACCCCTCGCCTGCGAATCGCGGACCCGTGTTCAGTGAAGACGATAATCTTCGACAGCGGCACGATCCCCTCGTCCTCTTTTCGGGGAGTGAGGAAGTACTCCCTGCCGGCGGCGTGCTTGGCCAGGTCCGCGAAGAGGTAGGAGAGGTAGTCGTGGTTGGCGTCTTTGTTATAGCTCCCTCCCGACCCTTTGACGAAGCAATCGAGGAGTTGGTCGATGGCGAAGGGGGAGGTGGAGAGGGGGGTGGGGACGGGGCGTTGGAGGGAGAGGAGTTTGGGGATGGAGGGGGACTTGGAGAGGTTGGCTAGGAGCATGCATTGTAAATCTGCGTGGGGTTCTTTGGTGTCCTGGCGTCACCGTTAGTCGATGTGTTTTGGGGAGGGAGGAAGAGGGCAACTGACATACTGTCACCCGCTTGAGCAGCGATTCGAGGAACTCGTCGTCCGAGACGAGTTTTGCGCGGACTTCGCCATCTTCGCCGCTGAGGTTGACGAGGATGGTGAGGACGTTTTTGGCGATTTGGGGGTAGTCGCGGATCAAGAGTTTGAGGTCGTTGATGGGGAGGAGTTGGTGGCGTTTGAAGATGGAGGGTTGGCTGGTTGAGTAAGGGACGAGGTTCTCGACGGCTGTTGATTGATATCGTTAATGGTGGCTTCGGATATGTTTTGTTCATGTGTTGTGGCGTACCGATCTGGCGGACTTGCGTGTTGCCGTGATGGAGGAACTCGACGAGCTGGTTGATCGGTCGATCGATGTTAGCTATGGGTGTTCATTAAAGAGGTTGACCGGACCTACGTCTTCTAGTTCAGATGGCATGGTTGTGCGTGTTTCTGCTATCGAAAATAGAAATGTTCTGGAAAGAAATTGTCTCGAAGCCCGTCAGGCGTCTTGAGAGCACTGACTCGCGGATCTGCAGCTGGGGAGACGGACCAGATGGAGATGGTATTTATGGACCGCCCTCTTCGTCTGTACCTGTCAATGTTTCTCTTCTTCAACCGTTGTAGTATAATATGGGCAGGTGATGTGATGGGTCCACGATAATGACAATTCAACCAACACCATTAATGCGCAACCATGTTCCAGGTAAGGAAGCCTAGCCCGACGTTGGTCGTTCCCCATGAGCTGATGGATGTCGAATAGCGTCTCAAAGGAGGATTCAACCTCGATGCCTTTCTGGATAGCAAAATAGCCGAGGAGCAGGCCAAGCAGGCGCAATCGTCGAAATCGTCGCCAGCCGGGAGGAGAACACCGAGCAATGCTCCGAGCAACACGAGGAGGAGCAGTGCTCGTACGGAGTCGCCCAGCAAGAGGACGGGCAGTCGGCGGCGGGCGCAAGATGGAGAGCAGGAGACGCCCTCGAAGGGCCCTGATCCGGAGGACTTTGTGATCGGGGACGATGCGTCGGACATCTCGAGGGTGGCCACGCCGATGCCGGTTAAGGAGGGCTCGGACGGGCCTATACTGGAGCAGAAGACTGGCGACAAGCTGGAGGAAGCGAAGAGGGATCCATTACAGTCGACTCCGGCGACGGACAAGGGCAAGGAGAAGGAGAAGGCAGCGGACGACCAGGAGCTGCCGGAAGATGTGCGCAAGCGGCTGGCGAAGCTGGAGAGTCTCACGACGAGATATCAAGGTATGCTGACATCGTGCCCTCTGCATAGAGATTGGCACCTTTTGTTTTACTCACAGAACATGCTATGTACAGATCTGTTGCGCAACTACCGAACCGCCCATGCCCGCGTCTCCTCCATTGAGCCTTTCGAAGCCACCCTGCGCGAGCATACTCCTTTGACATCGATCACCGATCCCGGCGCTCTGGCAGAGTTTCTCAATCAGCGGAGTGTACAGAGTGAGATGGTCATGCAAGAGCTGAAGAGGCTGAGCGCGGAGAACAGAGACGTGGTCAAGGAGCGAGATGATCTAAAAGTCAAGCTTGATGAGGCGGAGCAGAAGGCGAAGGATGCATTCGACGAGGCTGCAGGATTGCGAGAACAACGGCAGGCAGCTTCGTCTGCAGCGACTACCCCTGTGAATGCGGAAAGGGCAAGCAAGGAGTCGTCCGAAGCAACTGCAGCGGACGAAGACGACACTTTCTTCTCTTACGATTCCGAACTGCCACGCATGGAAGAAGAAGCACAGAAACACAAGGAAGCGCTCAAGGAACGCGAGGATTACATTAATGAGCTGACCACCGACCTTGCGACGCTTCGCAGCGACTTCGACGTGACGAAGAAGACACTCGATGACCGCAGTCTCGATCTCGACGCCATGGAGAACAAGGTGAATGGTCAGGACCGCAAGATAGCCGGGCTCCAGTCAGAGCTCGATGAAGCCAACGCCGCTTTGAAGTCTGCCGCCGCACGCAACGATTCCAAGGACGATGGAGCCGCCTCTGACGCCCTCACGGAGAGCCAGGCCCACATCGCTGAGCTCAAAGAACAGGTGAAGGGCTTGCAGGACAGTCTGGAGCAGAAGAACAAGGAGCTCGCAGACAAGGCAGCAGCGGCTGAAGAGAACCTCCGGAAGTATGAGAATGAGCACGACAAAAACGTCAAGAACTTCGACTTCTTTCAAAACGCCGAGAGGGCAAAGGTCATTCACCGGGGCGTTCTCGACAAGCTCAAAGGCGAAGTCCAGCAGGCGGTCGAGCTGAAGGAGGTCTCGGAAGGCAAAGTCAAAGACCTCGAGCTTGAGATGAACAGACTCCTGTCTGAGGCTGATGCTTCGGGAAATATCATCACAAGTCTGCGAGGCCACCAAGACGCCGCTGCGAGCTGGAAGAGGAAGCTCGAGGAGGCCGAGCAGGAGCGCGATACTGCCAATCGTCTTGCGGAGAGCAAGAAGGGGCATGAAGCGGCGGCTGCGAGTTTGAGAGCGCAGCTGAAGAATGCTAACAAAGAGCGTGACGATGCCTACCAGATGATTCTCGATTGCAGTCGCTGCCCGCCGGAAGCCAAGGAGAAGGCACGCAATCCTGAAACGCCGGCCGAAGATGTTACGCCCACTCCGCAAACGAGAGAAAGTTCTGAAGCTACAGAGCAAGCCGAAGTGTCGAATCAGCCCACTGAAGCCAGCACACCAGCCGCCTCTGTCGACGTCGCCGACCCGATGGCCAACACCGAGGCCAAGAAGAAGAACAAAAAGAAGAAGTCGAAGGGCAAGAAGAAGGAACCTGCTGCGGAAGAGCCTGCTGCTCCGGCGCAATCGGCACAAGGGGCCTCCGCAGACACTGACGTCGCTCGCACTTCCACTCCTGACCCAAGAATGATGGATGACTTGATCGCGAAACAGCAAGAGTCAATCGACGCGCATGTGAAGACGATCAGTGCGCGGGAGACGGAGCTCAAGGAGAAGGACGAAGAGATCTCCACGCTCAAGAATAAAATCCAAGAGCACGAGCAGAAGATCGAGGAGCAAGACGCTGCGATTGCGAGGTTCGAGAAGCGAGTAAAGGATCAAGAAGGGCTGGAGGAGGAGATCGAGACGTTGCGGGAGAGTCTGATGGAGGCGGGGAGCGAGAGCACGGATGCGAAGCATGAGCTTAAGGAGCTGAAGGACGAGCGCGCAAGGCTACAGGCTGAGATTGAAGAGTTGCAAGCTGTCGATAGCCAAAGGGTGACCGAGCTGAAGAAAGCCCAAGCGGAGCGCAAGACGGCGGAACAAGCGTTCGAGGAGCATCAGTCCTCAGCCACGACAGCCTCGGCTGCCGAGACAGACGCCATGAGGGTGAAGTTTGAGGCCTCGGAGGCAACAGTGCAAGCACTACAGCTCACAAAGGCGGCTTGTGAGAAGCAGATCGAGGAATTGAAGGCGCAGCACACCGCTAACGGCGAAGAACTAGATGCGCGATACGAGTCCTTGAAAGCCGAACATATGCACTTACAACAACGGGCCGCAGGGCTCGAGACGGATCTGGCGGCCGCAGAGTCGTTGGCGCAGGCGCGGTACAAGGACGTCACGGATTTGAAGGAGCATCTGAGCAAGATCCAGCCGGAGCTGAAGCGCTTGAGGCTGGAGAGCGATGAGCTGAAGAGCCTAAGGGCGGAGTTTGGGAAGCAGGTGGAGTCGGTGAAGAGATTGGAGGGGTGGGAGAGGGATTTGAGGAGTGAGATTGCCGAGTACAAGACGCAGGTTAAGAAGAAGGATGCCGAGGTCGCAAGTTTGAGGGAGAAGGCGAAGGCGAGTGATGAGCGGTCGACTGCGTTGGAGGATACTTGCGAGCGTGCACGGAAGGACCTCGAAGCGAACGAATGGACTCGCGACCAAGCTGTTGAGGCACGCGAAAAAGTCAGTACGGAGCTCAAGAAAGCGCAAGAGGAGCTGCGCACTTCCAGGACGAATCTCGACCAGTTGGAGGTGCAGGTCAACAAGTTCCGTGACGAAGCGCGCACGGCGAAGGAAGAGCTGCAGATGAAATCCGCCCAGCACGAAAGCGCGCAGAGTCTGATGTCCAGCATGCAAAGCGAGTCCCGCGAACTGGCGACGCAGATGAAGGAGATCCGTGAGCGTAACGCAGGGCTCGAGGAGGAGTTGGCGGATACGCAGCGCTTGCTGTCTGAGCGAGGGGCGGAAGGGGAGAAGATGCGCAGGTTGCTGGCGGATGTTGAAGATAGAGCTGAAGCGAGGGTGAAGGAGATGAGGGAGCGACTGGATTTGGCGGTTGAGGAGCGTGACCGAGCGGAGGATGATGCGAGTACGGCTGGTAGGAGGAAGGCGAGGGAGATTGAGGACTTGAAAACGCGATTGCGGGATGCTGAGAGCGGTGCTGCCAAAGCCACTGAGGCTCGAGAGGCTGCTGAGAGGCGAGAACGCGACTACCGCGCTCGACAAGACGACCTCCAAAAGCAAACCGAGCGCGCTGGAGAGGACGCCGCAGAAGCCCGCGAAGCCATGAATCAGCTTCAAACCACCATCGACGACTTCGAGCGCCAGGCCAGCCAGCTTGAGAAAGAAAAAGTCGACCTCCGCAAGACCCTCGATGAGCGCGAAGCTAAAGTCGAGCAACTTAAGAAGTCCGGCAAGAGCATGGCGGAGGAACTGCGTAATGCGCAGGCCAAAGCCAGGCAAGGGGGCAGCAGTACGGTGCAGTCTTCCCGCTCGTCGGTCGATTCGTCTTCGACGCGGGTCATGTCGCCTTCTACACGGGTCCTGTCGCCTGCTCCAGCTAGAGGGGCGAGCAACGGCACGCCGGTGGGTGCCCGACAGCAGCAGCCGAGTCAGAGCCAGGAGGTCACGGACACGGAGTACCTGAAGCATGTGCTACTGCAGTTTCTCGAGACGAAGGAGAAGAAGCATCAGATGCAGTTTGTGCCGGTGCTGGGGACGCTGTTGGGGTTTAATGAGTAAGTGGATTCCATCGTGATGATGAAGTGGAGGGGCGTGCTAACTGTTTGGTTTAGGGGTGATATTGATAAGATGAAGAATGCTCTTTCGGCACGGTGAGAGGGCGTCGATTAGCGGAGCAGGACATTCACATGGAAGCATGTGGCTCGTTGGGAGACTCTCAGCGGCATGTGGTAGGAAGCTGGCATGGTATGGCAGCACGCAGGACAGAGCCGCCGAAGACATGAGGTCTCGAATACGACTCGTGCGCTGTACGACAATCGACTGGAAGTGTGGGCGCACACCGGTACCCCTTGATGACCGGTGAAGCCGCCGACGGAGAGCCAGGGGACCCGAGAGCATGGCAAGAGCAGCAAGTATGTACAGCAGATGCATCGGAGGAGGCACGACATGTAGCATAGCACCCACGGCGTCAGCGATAGGGCATATGTAGCATAGGATTAGCATGAAAGCACGGGTCCAGGCTGGGAGGATGAAGGCCAGGCCGTTGTACCTGCATGTCTTGTGCCTGATGAGCGGGAAGAGGCTGCATGACCGCTCCACGTGTGCTCCGCCCGTGTGCCAACATGTCTCGATGGCGAGACCAAGTAGTTGTCGCACTGCCCTGTTCCGGGAGGTGGTAACGCCATCTATCTCATCCTCCATCCATCCCCGCCCCGCCCTGCTTCGAAGCCCTCCCGACGATCTACAGCCGATCTCGTGGTCCATTTGCCGTGCTGAGGAGTGTCTTTCACTTGCGATCATCTGGACGGTCAGAAGTACCATATACCGTACTTCTCGACCTCACCCTGTTCTACACGTGATTGTGGGAGCGATAGAGACTCGTGCTTGTCAGCTTGTGAGAGCGAGCAACATCGCCCGTCCGAGCGTCTCTCGGGACCAGCCCACCAGTTGGAGCAGCAGCCACCTCCCATGAACACGCACAGCTACTGCGCTGCCAGCAAACCACGTCGCACCCTCTGATACGACGACTAATCACCGACCCCATCCACCGCATGCTCGCCACCGCCGAGCACCCCAGCCCGCCGCCGTCGCACCGCCCACAATCCATGCGCCCTCCACCGCTCCGCGGGTAGCTCCGATTGTGAAAATCCCGCTGCATCCCACCCCATCTCCTCCCCTCTCCCTCCCAAGATGAACGGCAGTGAAGGGATCAAAAAAGCCGCCATCAACAAAGCCAAGCAGGTCGCCGGCACCGCCTCGTCCTCCAACGGAAGCAGCAACAGCACCAGCAACAATGGCAAGAAGCGCAGGAAGCAGGATCTGAAGCCCATCATCACCACCGAACAGCAGCAGGTCGCCGGCGGGAACCCTTACAGGTGAGTGATGAGTCGTGTGGCGGGAGTGAACACGTGCATGTCTGGTGAGACGAGTGCGGTTGTACGGGAGAAGCATTTTATTTGCTAGCGATACCTGTTCCTCTTCGCTACAAACTTTGAACCCCTCGTCGATCTCACTGACGCGCTTATCATCCAGTGCGCAATCCCAGCAATCACCTCTCAACCACCAAAAAGCGGCCTACGGCCACGATCTCCACGACTCACCCTCGGCATCAGAGTCCTCCGGCGACGAGGGCACCGAAAACACGGCGGACGAGGAGGATAGCGAAGACTACTGCAAGGGTGGTTACCACCCTGTGCAAGTAGGCGAGCAGTACAAAGATGGCAAGTACACCATCGTGCGCAAGCTGGGCTGGGGCCACTTCTCCACCGTCTGGCTGTCCAAGGACAACACCACCGGCAAGCATGTCGCGCTTAAAGTGGTGAGGTCCGCTGCTCATTATACGGAGACGGCGCTTGATGAGATCAAGTTGCTGAATAAGGTGGTCGAGGCGAACAAGGACCACCCGGGCAGGGCGCATGTTGTCAGTTTGTTGGATTCGTTCAATCACAAGGGGCCGCACGGGATGCATGTCTGCATGGTGTTCGAGGTGTTGGGAGAGAATTTGTTGGGCTTGATCAAACGCTGGCACCATCGAGGCATACCCATGCCGCTGGTGAAGCAGATCACGAAACAGGTGCTTCTTGGACTGGACTACCTACACCGGGAATGCGGCATCATCCACACCGATCTCAAACCCGAGAACGTGCTCATCGAGATTGGTGACGTCGAGCAGATCGTCAAAACTTACGTCAAAGAAGAGGAGAGGGAGAAGGACGACCACAGGAATGGCAGGAGGAGGAGAAGAACTCTGATCACCGGCAGCCAACCTCTACCCAGCCCTCTCAACGCATCCTTCTCATCGAGCGACCTCACAAACTTCCCCGGCAGCACGCAGAGCTTGAACAAGATTGTGAGCGAGAACAGCAGCAGGCCGAACAGCAAGCCCATTAGCGGAGAGTCGCCTAGTGCTTCGAAGGATGGCGCAGAGATGAGCGGTGCAGCTGGGACTATGTCGCCACCACCTTCTAGGTCGATGCTAGAGAGTCTAGGCATCAAGCCGGGCTCATCAGATGGAGGCAGTGTCGAGCCTCAGAAGGAGCGCGAGAAGACTGCGTAAGTTCGGATATCCATTCTGATGTAAGATGACGCCGTTGTGACTGATTTGCAGATTCAGAGATATCCTCGCCAACAACGTCTCGGACATGGATCTCGGCAAGACGACGCACGTCCAGCCGAAGGAGATTGAGAAGGGCGATGGCATCGAGCAGATTTCCGTCAAGATTGCGGATCTGGGGAATGCGTGTTGGGTGGGACACCACTTTACGAATGACATTCAGACACGACAGTACCGATCGCCCGAGGTGATACTTGGTGCGAAGTGGGGTGCGAGTACGGATGTTTGGAGTATGGCGTGCATGGTACGTTCAACTATTTCATAGTGCTGGGAGACGTTGTATTAACGAATCGCAGGTCTTCGAGTTGATAACAGGCGACTACCTCTTCGACCCGCAATCGGGCACCAAATACGGCAAAGACGACGACCACATCGCACAGATCATCGAGCTCCTCGGCACCTTTCCCAAAACCCTCTGCATATCAGGCAAATGGTCGCAGGAAATCTTCAACCGCAAGGGCGAGCTGCGCAACATCCACCGCCTGCGGCACTGGGCGCTGCCGGACGTGCTGCGGGAGAAGTACCATTTCAGCGTGGAGGAGGCGAAGAAGATTGCGGATTTCCTGCTGCCCATGCTGGAGCTGCTGCCGATTGAGCGGGCGAATGCGGGGGGCATGGCGAATCATGCTTTTATGCATGAGACTAAGGGGATGGATGCGGTCAAGTTGGATATCGCGGTGGGTAGTAAGGGGGAGGGGATCGAGGGGTGGAGTACGGAGATTAAGAAGGGGTCGCGGTAGTGCTGCGTGTTGGCGCGGCGGCGGGGGGTTGTGGAGTCCGGGGCGGTGATTCGGTGGTGGTGGAGGATTTTGATGGGGACGAAGAGGCGGCGAGGGAGCAGTATGGAGGAGAAGGAAGTGCAGGTCTGGGTCTAGGGCCAGGGCCAGGGCCAGGGCAGCGGCAGCAGCAGCCGCGGTTTGATGTGGCTACGTTACGAATGGGCGGGATTCATGTATAGTGCATGGCGATCCGATGACTTTTTGGGATGGGTGAGGGATGGATCGGGGGGGTTTTACGGTACACACAGGTTTTTTTGATGTCTGTTCAGTCACTCATTGACTCTCTTGTTTTTGCATATGATATCCGTAGCGGGATGAATGGCGTACAGTATAGTACAGTACCTACCTAGTACTGGCGTAATCCTTTCTATATGAGCGTGTGACGGGTTGTTTGGGTGTGTGTTTGAGCACATTAGGTATTCGGGTACAGTAGAAGGTGGTACGGATCCTGTGGTTACTCTTCATTCCATTGTCAATGTAAAGTCAGAGAGTCTTGTTCAAAATGCTTCATCGCGTCGGAAGGATTGTTGTTGAGCATTTTGATCGACTATCAGTGGGGCTGCTCATTGACATGCACCCGACTATTCTATGTTATCATCGCTATCCACCGCTATCCAACATCTCACTCGGTGTGTGTTAGGCACGATATTCAGTCGTGTTTGACCTGCTGTGGGCTTCGTGAAAAAGTGGCGTGATGTCCAGATTATGGAATATGAATGGTGAATGCAGAAGTGTCGAAAGAGGGTGAGGCTCAGCACGTGAAAAAGAATGGAGCTCAGGGCAAGTTTGAGAAGAGGCTGTGATTGGCTCGGCAGCCTTCACGCCGGCATCTGGCCCTGAAATGATCGACGCAGATGGTTCGATTTTACAAGAGCAGTCGCCATCGCTTGGCCCAAGGGAATAAAGAACATCTTCATGCCGTGACCGCCCATACCTAATTTTCCTCACCACCTTCCTCTCCCAAGATCCTCCCCTGAGCTGTGTCACCTCCACATCTCCACTTAGACACATTCGAAGATGGCGACGACCGTGTCAATGGGTTCGCTCTTCACGAACCCCTCCTACAACATGGGCTTCAACACTTCAGCGCTCGCCTCTCACATGCTGCCGCACACCACCGACACCTACTGGAATGCCTTCGGCGAGATTTCGAAACAGAACATCCAGCTCAATTACTTCGAAAGACTATGGGCGGCGTGGTATGCGTTCATGGGCAACGATGTGCTTGCCACGGGCATCATGAGCTTCGTCATGCATGAGGTGGTGTATTTTGGGCGGAGTCTGCCGTGGATGATTATCGATCGGATACCTGCGTTCAACAAGTACAAGATCCAGAATGTAAGTGTCCTGGCGCAGAGCAGGCGCATGCCTCCAGCGAAAGTGGTCGACGCTGACATCCATCCTCTTTCAGCAAAAGATCCCCTCCGCGAAAGAGCAATGGGACTGCGCGAAACTAGTCCTCATCTCCCACTTCACCGTTGAGCTCCCGCAGATCTGGTTCTTCCACCCCATGGCGCAGTACGTCGGCATGTCCACCTCCGTCCCCTTTCCCTCGATCTGGAGCATGGCATACCAGATCGCCATCTTCTTCGTGCTGGAAGACACATGGCATTACTGGATGCACCGCGCGCTGCACTGGGGTCCGCTGTACAAGAACATCCACAAGATCCACCACCAATACTCCGCTCCCTTCGGTCTGGCTGCAGAATACGCCTCGCCGATTGAAGTCATGATCCTCGGACTCGGGACGGTGTTCTCACCACTGCTGTACTGCGCCATCACGAAGGACATGCACATCTTGACCATGTACATCTGGATCATGCTCCGCTTATTCCAAGCTATTGACGCGCACTCCGGGTACGAGTTCCCCTGGAGCCTGCACCATTTCCTGCCTTTCTGGGCCGGTGCCGACCACCACGACGTGCATCACGAGAAGTTCATCGGGAACTACTCGAGTTCGTTCCGGTGGTGGGATCTTGCGCTGGATACCGAGAACAGCCCTGAGGCCATGAAGAGGCGGCGGGAGCAGAGGTTGGCGAAGGCGCGAAAGGCGCAGTGAGGTGGACGAGCGTGATGATGTTGTTTTTTGAATGCGTAGAGCAGGTTTTGCTTTGGTTCTTCTAGAGGCTCGCAAGAGCTATGGGTGGGTTATGCATTGCTTGTGGTGTTTGGGTAGAGTGGCTGCGAAGCCTGGTGGTTGGGAGCATAGTGTTGCATAGTTTAGCCGTTAGAAGGCGATACTATCAAAAGATATTGATCCTACGTCCCGATATATCTCACAGTATGTGGTGTCTGCCTGGAAGGAGTGCTGGCGGTGGTGGAATTGCTTGTTTTCATCTGATCCGCGCCACGTCATAATGCAAGCTTCCAACATTTGAGAGCTCTATCACACCACACCACCCCCCGCTTGTCGCTCTTCTGCTGTAGCACCCCTGCTGTGCTTAGACACAAACGATGGCTCGATCGACGCAAGGGTAGACATCTCGGTCGATTTGCAAGGGCTGTTCAAGAAACAATGTCCTCCGTCCTGGACCAAATCCGGCGCATCGACGCCCAGCTCGACCATCTCCAGCTGTCCAACCTCTCCGCAACCTCACGACTCTCCACTTCCTCAACAGGCGAAGAACATGGACTCAAACCTCCCCCTCGCACCCTCGCGCTCCAAATCGCCATCCGCAGTCTCTCCCCCAGCAGTTCGGACGCTCGAGCACTGCTTCGACCAGATCAGATCCAGAGCTTCCTCTCCATCCTCTCGAAACAGTCCGATGTCACGCAAGCGATAGGCGAGGGGGCCAGCGCGAGTGCATACGATACCGAGCTCGAATGGCTGCTCACCTCCAAAGCCACGGCGCAGGTTTATGGGATCTGTCTGACTAGTATCCTCGACACGGCCGTGTGGCTGGCGAACGATATATACTACTGGGACGAAGTCCTCTCTTCACGACGGTACACGGCGCTCTATAGCCTGCAAATCTCGCCTCTACGTCTCTACGACTGGGGCAGCGGGGTCTGGACCGAAGTCAAAGCGAAAGGAGGCCAGTTCAGTTTCGCAGGCGCAAGACAGGATGCCCAGGACACGGTCACGCAGAGCTGGAAGGAGTTTTACGGCTTGGTGAGGCAGGTGGTAAGGGAACGGAGCGTGGAGCAGATTCATAAGAGTATGGTGAGTCCGGTGACGAGGATCAGGGGTCAGATCAGGAAGAAGCAGAAGGCGTTGCGGAGGATACGGATGTTGAATGCGAATGCGCTTGGGGTGTTGTTGGGCGAGGGACTGGCGAATGAGAGCGTGCATGGGGAAGGGCTGGCGACGCCGGCTGGGGAGGAGGAGGTGCAGCAGAAGTGGAAGACGGCGGTAGCGAGGAATGTGGGTTTGATGGAGGCGGTGTTGGTGAAGGTTAATGATGAGGAGACGGAGGTGGAGAAGTTTGATGCTGCGATTGCTGAGTTGACGGATGATGATCCGTTGTTCGCGGCGGAGGTCGAGGGCGAGGGGCTGTTGGCACAGCCTCAAGCGGTGGCAGAACGGCTGTCGAGGGTGCTCACGTTCGCATTACCGCAGTACACGAACTCGACGCAACGACTACTCCAACAGCACGGCAAGCCCTCCCGCCTCATCCGCTACTGGCTTCCCATCACCCTCGGCATCCTCTCCTCCAGCACCATCCTCCGCATCCTCCTCAACCGCAAAGCCGAAATCATCCAATGGGTGCAAGACTTCGGCGCTACCATCGTCGACTTCTGGACCAACTGGGTCGTCGAGCCCACCCGGAAGGTGATCAAGACCATCCGCCATGATGAAGGGAGCGAAGTGAGCATCATGTCCAAGCGCAGCCTGGAAGGCGACCGCGCGAGCTTGGAGCGCATGGTTGTTGATTTCGCGATCGATAACCCAGGTACTGCGGATGCGAATAGTTCTGGCTCCCTTAGTGATGCTGAGATCCTGGACATTAGGACGAAAGTCCGGGAAGGTGATCTCACGCCCGTGCTGAAGGCTTACGAGAAAGACTTGACGAAACCTTTCATGGGCACCGTCCGCGGCAACCTCATCCGCGCACTACTGATTCAGATCCAAAAGACGAAGGTCGATGTTGAGGTCGCGATGGGCGGTATCGACTCCCTGCTCAAGTCGCAGGAACTCGTGTTTGGTTTCGTGGGTCTCACGCCGGGGATCCTCGTCACTTACTTCGTCGCACAATCTCTGCGCAGCTCTTTGACGGAGAAGAAGGGCGCGAAGGCTGCGCGAAAGCAAGGGCTGATGCTAAGGCAGTTGAGGAACATCGACCGCATCCTGACCGAGAGCCAGGCAACGGAGTTCGGAGAGCTGTACTACCGCGACCAGGGCTTGTTGCTGTGCGAAGTACATGGACTGCGAGAGGTGGCGGGGAGAGTAATGCCCAAGAGCGTGTGGAGGGAATTTGAAGTCGAGGTGGGCGTGTTGGGAGATGTGAGGAGTGGGGTCGAGAGGCAGAAGAGGGTGGCGGAGAGGGTGAGGTGGGCTTATGGGCGGTGGTTGTAGGGGTATATGCATGCTTGTGAGCGCGAGGGTGATGGGTATAGCGTGGCGTTTTTGGAGAGCATGGTTGTATCTTCTTCACTTTGAGAGGTTGTCGTTGATCGCAGCTTCATACTCGATTCATATGCTAGTCTATACGTGCTATCTATCACGTGTTCCACCGCTCTAGCCCATCTTGGCAGCCAGCAACGGCATCTGCTACCGCCGCCGCCGCCGACCTCATGTCGTACTTCCTCGTCAGTTCCAAGCCACGACCACGACAACCATCTTTCCAATCCCACACGACTCGTCGCATGCTGTCTCGAGCGCAAGCAGCTGTCTCACCTCCGCTCTTTGTGCGCCTCCCGCGCCCCCGGCTGCTCGCTCCTCCGACCCCAGAACTGACAACCAAGATTTGAGATACACCGCAAACAAAGCGATTTCCCTCGACAAGGCACCTCGGGCGGCTCGCGCGAATAGCGGGACTTTGCGAGCGAGGAGAAGAGTGTTGAGCGCGAGAAGGGTATACCGCTGCTGCCAGCCGCGATCATGGGATCTAATCGCAATTACGACTACCTTGTACGTTTTCCCTGTTCTATGGTGCATGATGCGCGTGATGCTGTATACCGCACAAACCCCTTTCCTACAGGGACATGCATATGGCACAGCACATATCATTCCACCCCTCACTAACGCACTCCATGATCCACCAGATCAAACTCCTCCTCATAGGCGACTCAGGCGTGGGTAAATCCTGCTGCCTGCTACGCTTCAGCGAAGACTCCTTCACGCCCTCCTTCATCACCACCATCGGCATCGACTTCAAGATCCGGACGATTGAGTTGGATGGCAAGCGCGTGAAGCTGCAGATATGGGATACCGCGGGCCAGGAGCGCTTCCGGACGATCACGACGGCGTATTATCGCGGCGCGATGGGGATATTGTTGGTGTATGATGTTACGGATGAGAAGAGCTTTAACAGTGGGTCCTTGTCAATATTGTTCAGGATACGGTCGGAATGCTAATGAGATGGGGACAGACATCCGAACATGGTTCTCCAACGTCGAACAACACGCCACCGAAGGCGTCAACAAGATCCTCATCGGCAACAAATGCGACTGGGAAGAGAAGCGCGCGGTTTCCACTGAGCAAGGCCAAGCGCTCGCCGACGAGCTCGGCATCCCCTTCATGGAGGTCTCGGCCAAGAGCAACATCAACGTCGAAAAGGCCTTTTTCAGCCTCGCGAGCGATATCAAGAAACGCATCGTCGACACGCAACAACCGCAGGCGCAGCAGCAACAGAGCGGTGTGCAAGTCGGCCAGGGCGGTGGAGTGGCTGGCGGATTAGGCAAGAACTGTTGTTAAAGTTGGTGGACGGTGAGATTGGTCTGGTTTGGACAGAGTTGGTATCACTGCTCGCTACGGCTGAACGTGGGGCAGAGTGCATATATTGACGACAAGGTAGAGCCTTTTCTTTTTTCTTTGCGCTGGGCGTAGGGCGTTTGATGCGGTCGGTCGTTTTGGGGCTGGGCTTGGCATAGCGGTTGCAGAGCTTTACTTTAGAGGAGGTATTGTACAGCTGGCGAGAGGTCACGATACTCAAATCATTACTGTGCAACTGCCACTTTCAACCCATAAGACGTATCCGAGGTGAGTAGGTGAGGTGAGGCCCAATGCTGACTTGTGCTGGAATCGCTGGAGAACGTTCCAGACGCACTTGCTACGTGGCCGTGCGGATGCCACTACTCTGATGTTGTTGAGTAGAACACATGGGTCCCAGACAACTCTCTATCCCCGAACCACCTCCACATATCACCAGCCAACAGCTTCGGCGTCTGCCACGCGGCAAAGTGCCCTCCTGTGGCATGCACGTACCTCGCCTTCACATTGCCCTGTCTTCGCGCTCAGTCCAACGACTCACCGTACCAGATGTCGTGCGGGAACTCTGAAACCGCGACAGGTTGCCGCACATATGGTGGTCTGCCTTCGACTAAGCCTCTGAAAGCACCCTCCGCGAGCATTTCCTTGTACATCCTCAGCCCACCATACGGGCCTTGGATCGTATACATCAGACTCCAGGTGACAATCTCCCGAGGCGTCCAGGTCGAGATGGTAGGATCGATTGCGATGCGCATGAGGTTGTAGATCCACATCGCAAAGCCCAGCGGGGAGTCGGTGAGCGCGTAGGCGAGGGTGAGTGGGCTCATCTCTTGCACGATGCGGTAGCCGGATTCTTGGGTGATGTAGGCGGTGATGTGCTTGATGTAGGCTGTCTCTTCAGGGGATGTGTGGTTGTTGCGGTATCGTTCGTTGTCTGAGGGTGTTGGCGGGACGACCCAGAAGTTGGAGAGGCCGGATACGAGGTTGTCCGGAAACCGTGTTGCTTGGTAACGGAAGATGGTGCCGGCAAAGTCGCCGCCCTGGTAGACGTACTTGGTGTAGTTGAGTTTGAGCATGAGGGCGTTGAAGGCCTGGCTAGCTTCTCTCGGGCCAAAGCCGTCGTTCACGGGTGCGGGCGAGAAGCCGAAGCCGGGTATAGACGGTGCCACGACGTGGAAAGCTGGGAGAGATGATTTGGGCGGGTGAGTGAGCAGGTCGATGATGTTCTCGACTTCGAGGAAGGAGCCTGGCCAGCCGTGCAAGAAGAGGAGGGGAATGGCGTCTTGCCGGTCGGAGCGATGGTGGACGAAGTGCAATGGGACGGCGAGTGAGTCGTTCGCCGTCTGGGTGTCGATGAGGCCGGTGAACTGGTGTAGCCTGGGAAGCTTCTGTTAGCATTGATGGTAGTCTAGGAGTTATGAACACTTGCCTTTTATTGATGTCAGCCTGCGTAGCAGTCCAATCATACTCATTCATTCAGTAGTCCTGAACCATTGACGGTTCTACAACGGAAGGCCCATCTTCGCCCGAATGACGGAGCCCTTCCTCCGGTGTCGGTAGTCTGGAGTCGTTGACACGCTGGCGAAGGCCCTCGATTAACGCTATGTCAACATCAATGTCAAAGGGTTTTGGGGTGCGTTCGAATGAAGCGCGGACATTGGGAAGGAGCGAGCTGCATTGCACTGCTTTGTAAAGCATGCACAACGTGAGATTTCGCGTTAGCACGTTGATGTTGATGGGATGATACTTGCTGCACAGATGCCTGGAGAATAGATCATCCTAACAATCAACGTGTCTCCAGAAAAGGCCACACTGAATTTCCAGTGCGGTGCCGTGATTACAACGTACCGCCGCCCGCGAACTTCTAGCCGTGAGGAGCATTGAGCCGGCTGCAGGATGACAGTCCGGATCATCACGCAGAGGCGGCCCTGGAGATGATGAATAGTAGACTCACTAATCGTGCTGTGCGTGATCACGGCACCTGAAGTGAGTGCTGGTTCGATGGCCGGGAACCCTTACCATCTGCTTTGGTCGGTCTCCAAGATGAAGGCACCAAAAAAGGGTACATTACAGATCAATGGAGGGTTGACGAGATAAGTCTTCACCCCAAGTTGCTCTCCCAGAGTAATCAGATGAACGTCCACCTTTCTCGTAATCCACGCATCTGCGTTGGCCTTCTCAAAGTCGAACACGGCATCAGTGTCCTTCAGCACTTCAATACTCTCGTGTCCCGTAACACGGCTATCGCCAAAGTTCGAGGTTCCCGACATCTTGTCAAGCAACAGTTAGCGTGGATGCACGTTGCGAAAGAGATGGATATGCCTCTTACGTGGATGTAGTGGACGTCACGACCTGTCTCCGCTCTGCGAGACCCCAATCCTTCTACCAAAGCTCCGCACGATGGCAGATCCATGGCTGAGGCACAACTGATGACAACTGAACGTAGCATCGGTTAGCGGATTGATATGAACATGCAGACCAGCGTTCTTTACCATCGTGTTCGCTTGCGGCTCTCTTAATGACCTCTAGATCCTGCAGGCCCTCGAAATGAATGGGCGTGGCACCCAAGCCTTTCACAGCATCACGAGCTTCGATCGAGCGCACCAGAGCAAACACTTCGATTGTCCCTTTGCTGGAGAGAATCCGCGAGAGCACAGCACCTCCACTAGACATTGTCAGACACGCTGGTGATCCATTGAAGGTTAGGCTGCTTGGTACATGTAGCCCGATGCACCTGTGAGGAGCACTTTTGTCGCTGTCATCTCCAACAAATGGTCAAGTCAGGTCGTCCGATTATGGTGGTGATGGTGATGCGTCCCCCATCTCGAGAACGCCATGGCACGCATGGCTGTATGAAAATATATGTTCGTCGACATCGTGGAACTGGATACGCTGTTGTCCATTTGCTGTTTGTAATTGGGGCTGTGCAGGACTGTCAACAATGGAAGGTGTGATGAGTCGTTGTGTCACGTCTCCCGAGGCCTCTCACTTCAATTTCACCGACCGCAGCATTGACCACCTCCTTAATCCAACCCCATACAACCGTATACCATCCTTCCTGCTTCCACACATACATCCTGGCGGTTTTGTGATCACACTAGCGGTCAATCAACCGTTGAGTCGGACGATGGGATGGCTGACATGACATTGCTGTTCCTAGCCCATCGACCGACTGATTAGTGATTCCAGCACCATGATCTCTCTCAACGCCTACATCCTGCATCTTCGACACCAAGAAAGACTTGATCTTTGCTCAGCTGACAGCGCTTTGCGACACCGTGTTCCATCAGCTCAAGCCAGCGTGCGCATGCAGCGCACGGGAATGTCCAATCCTTCGGATACCACAGCTGCTACGATCACCCTCCTGCTTATGGTCCTTGTACTGATCATCAGCCGCGTTAATGTCATCTGGGTAGGGCTGATGAGTACCGTCTCATTGCATACGCTCAAAAGGAAGTGCTGAAATGCTTTCTTCTGTCCGCATCCTCTGCTCTTTTCTTCTTACTCAAGAATAAACCATTAATTATGGGCGAATCGGTCGCCCGTTCGCAGTCTGCAAAGCCTAGTCGACGCTTGGGGGTAGGTGGAATAATGGTCTCACAGCAAGGTTCCATGAGGCATAGCGTAACTGACCAACGGTATAGATTCTCATTGATAGCTTCAAGCTTAGCACCTGGATATGCGTCTCGATAGTCGGCTATAGCGCGATCTCATGGCTCTTGCCTAGGTTGCAATCTATTCTCCTTTGGGTGCCGACAATTCTGCTTGCCTGGGCCTCCCTGGACGCTCTTTTAATGCATGCAGGCCTCAGGCGGAACATCTGGATGGAAGGGGTGCAGAAAGGAGTCACAAACGCTGTTAGTGGTGGTAAAATTGTCTCTGCAAGCGGTCCCGATGGCCAAATTGTCGTGTTCCTGGTCGGCGCTCAAGTCAACCATGCGCTCGGAATATTCTCGCCGGGTGTTGCTCGGTTTGTGGCGTACTTTGACGACATAGCATCAAACCTCGAGCAGCGGCGCGAGGAGTTCGGCATGCTTGGGGCTTCGTCCTGGATCGCCGATAAGGAGAGATCAGCAAGCAACGACATGCTCTACATATACTACTTTCGCACCATCAAGGGAGTCAACAAGTTTGCACAGGATGCTAGCCACGCCAATGGCTGGAATTGGTATAACAAGTTCTCGAAGCAGCACAAGCATATCGCTCTGCGGCACGAGCTGTATCATGTTCCAGCCGGACATTGGTCCAACGTCTTCCTCAACTCACACCGCACACTGATCGGAGCGACCACCTACAAGGATGAGAGTCTAGGCGAATGGACGACGATGTTGAGATCTGCCAATACAAAGCGGCTTCGGACGCTGTGGGGGAGGATGGGCGAAGGGTCTGAGTCGTTGCGATCAGGTGGACTCTCGCACTGTGTCCGGCGTGCCTGCCTGCGACCACGGCCGAAGAAGCGAGTATAGGGATATCAGGCCGGATTGGATGGGAGGATAGGCGCGAGGGGTGGAACCGTTGCAGATATTCTCCATGTCAGGCTGCTTCTGAGACAGCATGGGTTCTTCATGGACGGTACATCGCCATTGCTACCTTGAGAAGAGATAACGTCCTTAGTAGACCATGAGTCAACCATACGAGAATTCGCAACCACTGTAATTTGTCCTCATCTAACCTTCTCGCGCTTGTTGGCCGTAGTTCTCCATTACGTCCGTAATCAAACGCTCTCGACTTCGGCGAAGGTAGTCACTTCGGCGACGATGACTTGCAGGCGAGCAACATACGATTTCCCACAAGGCAGGTGTCATCTCCGTTGATTCCGATGAATCTGTGTTACAGAAATAATACATTGGACAGGGCAATGTCTGCGAAGGGGAGGAGAGGGTCCATGTCGAAGTATGGGTTGTGTTCGAAGTCACGAAGCCAAAATTATTCGTGGTCACAGTTCCTCTGCTGTGCAGAAGTAATGCAAAGGGTGCACCGGCATCGACAAGAATAATTCCAGGAAGACGGGAAGTTCATCAGACGATTACTCACTCCCCGCTATATGAGCGTCTGCAACTATCGATCTTAATCTTGCAAGCGCTGTATCTAAACCCGAATACGGTGTATCAGCAATATTGCCTCGGGCAAAGGTCACCAGTCTAATCAGTTTGCAGGCATCACTAAGGCATATCAATGATGCCGACGCCTTGCAGTAGGCATTGCTCAGCATGAGGCCCACAGTAGGCGCTCCGAACATGGACAGATGACCATCCACATTGATCGCACTTTCTTGTTATAAACCAGTACTTCGCCGTCTGATTCACCAGTTCGATAGCATCTGATGTACTTATGACTGGAGCAACCTTCGATACCGCAGGATCTTGAGACCCAGCATCGACAATCAACAGCAAGATGCAATCGCTCCTCCAAATTAGACGCATCAGGCATCACGTTCGCAAGCAGACGCAAGCCACTGCTTCCGTCACTCGAGCGCCGCAAAAGGTACGCAGGCCACTGTTGCGATGAACATGCTGTCGATGACTCGTTCACAGGAGAAGATCCCAACATCCAATGAGCCAGCATCCGTTGGCCACCCAGCACTGCACACCACCGTCAGTAAAGAGCTCGACAACACCTCGGAAGACAAAAGTTTCCAGGTTGGCTTTGGAGACCCAAACGATCCAATCGACCCTCAGAACTGGCCTTCATGGATGAAGTTTGGGACCAACATCATGACAGCTAGCGTGGCCTGCATCGCCGGCTTCGCTTCGTCCATCGACTCGCCCCTGATTTCGCAAGCCGCTGCAGAATTCCGTGTCAGCGAAGAGGCAGAATCATTGGCGACAGTATTATTTCTCGTCGGGTTCGGTGTAGGAGCACCGTTCGCGAGCCCTCTCTCCGAGACATTCGGGAGGAACCCCATCTATATCGGCACATTGGCATTGTTCTGCTGCTGGATTCTCGGCTCAGCATTGAGTCCCAACTTTGGAGCTCAGCTGGTCTTCAGGTTCCTCGCAGGCTTCTTCGGCTCTACCGCATTCACCACTGCGGGAGGTACGCTCGGAGACGTATTCAGCCACGAAATGCGTAGCAAGATCTTCCCTTGGTTCGGCGCTGTCGCATTATTTGGACCGATGATTGCACCCGTGGTTGGCGGCTATGTCGGCGAGTCTGTGATGGACTGGAGATGGGCAGATTAGATCACAGCCTGCATCGCCGGCGGGCTGATGACCACAATGATACTCTTCCTGCCTGAGACTTATGGTCCCACGATCCTCGGTTGGAAAGCATCGGCTTTGCGTAGGAGCACCAGGGATTCTCGATACCGTGGTCCATTGGAGTCAGCAACAGCCACGTCCTTTGGCCGAAAGTTGTATGAAGCCCTTCAGCGGCCGACATCGATCTTGGTCACGGAGCCAATCGTCATGGTCCTCACGGCTTACCTGACCTTCGTCTACATCGTCTCCTTCAGCTTTTTCACTGGAGCGCCATTCATCTTCACTGGGTCTTACGGCTTCGATCAAGGGAGTGCCTACCTGATGTTCGTCAGCATGGTCATTGGCCGGTGGGTATACGCCGTGTGTACTCCTCTGTACGGCATCTTGATCGGCCGCGAGTACAAGAAAGCAGCTGCAGAGGGCAAAGCGCATGCTGAGCCAGAGGCCATGCTGTGGTGGGCGATGATAGCGGCTCCGATTCTGCCGACCTGCTTGTTCCGGCTGGCGTGGTCCGATTTTCCTTCTGTCTCATACTGGAGTCCGATTGTTGCGTGAGTCGTACCATCCTCGAGATCGAACATGAAGTGATGTCGTCCTTGCTGACAAACGCCATACAGCTGCGCGTTCTTCGGTTTCAGCCTGCTGTCGGTCTTCCTATCAATTTATGTGTATCTCATCCAGGCGTTCACGCGGTACGCTGCGTCCGCGCTGGTGGCGGTGACACTAGTGAGATATACCCTCGGCGGCTGTATGGTCATTGTCGCTATGCCCACGTACAGAAATCTCGGAGATCATCACGCAACGACGATACTGGCAGCTGTTGCAGCATCTTTCACACCGGTACCGTTCCTGCTGTACTTCAAAGGCCAAAGCATTAGAGGTGCCAGCAGGAGGATCGGTAAGTCGCAAGTATAAGAACGAGAGTTACTGAGAATGCTACCGGAGACTCTGAGATGCGGAAAGTCCGCGAGAATTCGCCATGACCACGAGGTGGACGATGTTGAAGGCTGCTTGAGCTGCGTCGTAATGTTAGTATAGGTGGGGTTTCATGCCTTCGTTCAAGCCGAAGGCTGCTTTTGGCTCTCATATCTCTCGGATCTACTTCTCCTGATACAAGTCGAAGGCGTTCTTGTACTCGAAGAAGGAAGCCTTGTAGTATCGTGGCAGCTTCGGATCGGTGAAGTTCACTAAAAATGTCAGCTCTGTAGCATCTACGAATGGTCATCTGAATACTCACCGTACTGCATCCCGAACTTGACCGCAAACCCAGAAGCCCACTGCGAGCTCGTCAGTTACTCATCCTCCAATGACACTGGAAGAGATCCAACAAACCTCAAAGTTGTCATACAATGACCACGCTAAGCAGCCAACAACGTTGACACCCTCACTCATAGCAATCAAGATCGCTCGCATGTAGTCGTGGTAGTAACTCATCCGGATGGGATCGTAGAGGATGTCCTGCAGCAGGGTCTTCTGCGCCTCGAACGGTTCCGCAAAGCCGAATTCGGTCACCGCGAGTGGCAGGTTGCCAGCCGGATCTGCCCACGTGTCTTTGAGGTAATGCAGGAACTGCGGGACCCAGTCGGTGGCTTTGTGCAGCCACGGCGCAAGCGGGTCAGCTGCGGGTCCGATGAGCCACCCATCTTCGTAGGTGTACTGAGTAGCAGCGCAGGAAGGGTATGCGGCGTTCGAAGAGTCGTTAATGCATGCATCTATGCCACCCGGGGGAGCGAAGTAGAACTGGGATGTGTAGGCGTCGTGAGCGTAGATGTCGGCAGAGCCTCTGATCGATCGCTTTTCAGAGGCGGTGAAGGGGCGCAGGAAGGTGGAAACGTATTGCTTGACACTGGAAGGATAGTCGCCGGTGACTTGGAGCACGGCGGGATGTTGTCAGCAGACGTCTCGCAAGTTTCAGTGAATGCTAAAGGAGTTGCTCCTGCCGCCAGACAGACTTACGATAGATGGGGTCAGAGAACCAGCCCTCGTTGAAATCCCAGGCCCGCTGCACTGCTCTGGCATCCTCAGTGGAATTGGTAAGTGGGATCTTGTAGCCGCCGTTCTATACTGAGGTCAGCTTCCGAAATCTCCTTAATAGCAGGAGTTCATTTCCAAGGTTCTCAACACACTGCATACAACATTAGTATCACCATCATCAACAAAGCCTGTCGGGACAATAACGTACCATTCTTGTATGAGATCATAGAATCCGGCATCATGCTCTTGCCAAGGTGGTACGCCTTCGAATGAGCCAACAGCACGCTCTGCCCACAGTAGAATTGTTGGCGAACGTCCGGGATGTCGATCGTCTTGTAGTAATGTGCAGGGAACGGGTATTGCTGACAGAAGACGATCGCTGTGCACGTCAGTACGCTGAAACGAAAAAGCAATAGTAAACTCACGCTCGTTGACTGTGAACCAATGCTTGACCCTGTCGCCGAATCGTCCATAAGCGATGCGGGCGTATTCGACAAAATCATTAACGATGTCCTCAGAGAGCCAGCCTAAGGAAAATTCGTTAGCTGATGTCTCCGACGACGAACCAGAAGGCCTTGTGATGGTATTCTCCGTATGACAGAGAACGTAGAGCAGGGAATGGAATTCAAACAAGAGGTACTTGCCTCCGTATGTATCTTGCAAAACAAGCGGCGTGTCCCAATGATATAGCGTCGCCATCGGTATGACATTGTACTCGATGCAGGTATCGATCAGATCATTGTAGTGCGCAATTGCCTCTTCGTTGACGGCGCCTCGGCCGAACGGCAGGATCCGACTCCAGGACAATGTGAACGAGTAAGATCTGACGCCCAGTGCCGCAATCCTGGCAATGTCGTCTTTGTACATGTAATAGTTGTTGTTGGTTACGTCAGCTGTGTTGTTGTCCGCGATGAGGCCAGTCCTGTGGCTGTAGACGTCCCAGACGGAGGGTCTGGAAGGACCAGAGGGTTAGCGAAAGTCTCAGACACGGTAGAGTTTTGGCCATTAGTCTGTTACCCTCTTCCGCCGTCTTTGGCTGCACCCTCAATTTGGTAGGCAGCGCCAGCAACTCCCCACCTGCTTTGTGTTAGCACTTATGCTAAGAGCGATTATGAGTCGTGGTATACCAGAAGTCCTTAGGAAACGACCACGACTCATTCTTCGCCTCGACAGGCTGCTGTGGCCCCGTCGGAAAAGCCGGGTAGTACAGCGGCGGAGGAGGAACCAGAGAGCTGGACGGTACAGACGTCGCTGATATGGTCGTGGTATAATACGCCTCTGACACTGGTCCAACCAAGAGATCCCACAGGTCCTGCACGTTTAGTACGAACGGCGAGGCGAACGCCGTTGGATTCTGAGTTCGAGTTCCATTCACCGTAGCGGATGGAGCGATGGATTGAGTGACATTTTGAGCTGCACTTGTGGCAGCGAGGCCGAGAAGAACTGGTGTTGTGTGCCTCATGGTGCGCGGTGGTACGAGATTGAAGAAGAGAAGGAGAAGAGAAGCGGAAGCCGACCTACCTATACCCACACCTCGCAAGTAATGCGAACGTTGTCGGTGGGGAAGTTGTAAGCATTCGGGAGTGAGGTCATGGCAATGCAGAACAGAGCTTAGTTGTGCAGCTGAATTCCTACCTACGTCGTGGTGGAGTGTCTGCATGATTGTGCGGGGTTGGTGATGCCTTAAGGTAGTTTCTCCACCAAAGGGCGAAATGCAAATGCTGGCCAGTCGTAAGCTCATCGTAACACCTGAGAGTGAATAGAGCGGAGAGACTAAGAGTCTGAAAGGGTATCAAACGTTCTCACATGAGGCTCAAATAGCAATACATATCCAGAAATCACCAGTAGATTGGCCGTTCGTGGTCGTGAAGACATGACTCGTGCAGTTCATTCGTAATACACAGGTCGTTCCGCCGGACGCTCTGCACTTCGTGGCAAGCGTGTAGAAGGTCCGACACCGAGGACGCTCGCATCACCGAGGAAGTCGTTCGGAAGGCCGGGCTCGCCATCGTTTTGACCTCCTGATCTCGGTGGTCGTCTTCGTCCAGAGGCTCGTTCGCCTCTCCGCCCCATGTTGGCATCCCCGAAAGCATTCATCACTACATTCGCGGCATTCTGAACAAAGTCGTCGTTCAGAAAGTGTCGAGCAGCATTACCCAGACCCCATGCTTCCTGTTCACCGCGTCGGCGCGGGCGAAGCTCATCCTCGGGCTCCATCAAAGATGCCAGCTGCAGTCGACGAGCCAAGTCAGCGTCGAGACGCTCTTGTCGCCGTCGTTCATCCATCTCGCGCTGATATGTCACCTCTGGCAATGGCCCATTCCGGGGTCGATCACGAGGTGGACGAGGTGGTAAGGGCTCACCTGCCGCCGCAAAGACCCGCCGATACATGACCTGCACCGGCTCGGGTATTCTCATATCGTTCAGCCGGTCTGGATTTGGCAGGCTGCTGTAGTTGAACCACGGACAGTTGCATGACTTCCACTTCAATCCACACACAATGCAGAACTCGGCCATGCATCGACACGTCATGTGATTGCAGCCTTCCTTCCTCTCTACCATTGCGTTGCAGCTGTAGCAGCGCTGCCAGCCCTCTTTCTTCGCTTGCTCGATGATCTCTGCGATTTCAGGATCCTTGGGGCAGTCGCTTGATTTGTGCATCTTGTTGTTGCAAAGCGCACATACTTCTGTCTTACACTTCGGACAGGTAGCGAATTTGCGTCCTCGAGATGTGTGAATGTGGGAAGGCTTGATCCAGTGGCCGCATCTAGGCTTTGGGCAGTACAGTCGGTTCTTTGTGTGGTATTCCTGAAACTTGCGATTCCACATGGTCTTGAACTTGATGTCGAACAGCTTGTCAACGTGATTCAGGGGTATGTGCTGGTCAGTACAGCACTTTGGAGGCATATGCGCTGGATCCTTGACCGACAGTTCGAACAGTCTCTTCAGGCAATCGTGGCACATGCGATGGTCGCAAGCCAATTTGGCAGACTTGTTCGAAGGGACATCGTCAGACCCGCACGTCAAGCACTCCACCAGGCGAGGAGCTTGCAGGACGGATGTGGTTGAGTGTCGACGAAAGACAGAACCAAGCAGCGTTGGCTCTGGTCGGGTTGCTTTCCGCGATGAGGGGGCTGATTTTCCGCTTTCATATGACTCGGCTATCTCCTCGAGCCGTTTATCGATTGCCTTCTCCACCCTGACAGACGTTGTGCTGCTGCGCTTAAGCGATGGACGAGCATACGCAGAGTTGCGCCGCCGCTGTGAAGTGCTTTGCGATCCCACTTGTGAGATGCTGTCATTCGGCATTACCAACTCATCGAGACGATCGGCGGCGCTGCCGACGCTGCGACGCTTCGAGGAGCTGTGGTGATGCTTTGCGCTCGGACGTTTACATCTGCTGGCTTCATTCCCTTCACTACCACCTTCCTCGTCGATACGCTCAAGCTCTGGAGGCGACGGCCCGTAGACATATTCAGCCGTCCTATCGCGCGGTTCGCTCTCCTCCCTACTAGCCTTACTGGAGCGCGACGTCGAGCTACTCCCGTGCTCCTTGCGCTTGTGCCTCGCATCGCCTATCGATGCGCTCTTTCCTTTCAAAGAAGCGGCGGACCTTGGCTTAGCCTTCGGCTTTGCCGCTTCGTTGATCCTTCTTCGTTCGAGTGGAGTGGCAGCGTAGTATGCCAGCCTTCTCTTGCGGAGTTCATCCTCGTCGGGGGTGTTCTTGGGCTCGTCTGTCGCATCCACTCGTCTCTTGGGACGTTCCACGCTGCTCGAGCCACCATAATGCGGTCGTCTACTCTTGGTTGCATGCCTGCTGCGACTGCCCCAGAAGCTGCTCGTCACCATCGCGATGCAGCGAAGTGTGTGAGAAGTTCAAGGCTGTCAAGCCATGCCAGCACTTATACAGCCCTCGAGATCAGCCTTGCGTTTCCGGCTAACCGATTCGGCTCTAGCTTGATTTAATGCCGACCACGGAGCATTTTTCTGAACCGCATTGCATGGGAGACTCATTTGAAGATCCATTAAATAGCGGCTTTACAAGACGAAAAAGACGACCCTGATACCAAGCTGACCGTGGAGTGTGAAGTCGTGCCTGGCATGTGACTGCCCATCACGATACAATTTGAAATTGAAGACCAATCTCGGACTTTACATCAACACAATGGCACTCAACCCGGACGACGTCCGCCCTGATCCAACATCAGACCTACATTGGTCAGACTATCGAGGGGCCATCCACGAGATCTTCGCTGCCAATGCCATCAAGTATCCTGAGCGAGCCTGCGTCATTGAGACAGCATCTTCAGATACACCACGAAGGACGTTCAGCTACCAGCAGATCAACGAGGCCTCCAACGTTCTAGCGCACCACTTGGTCGCCAATGGCGTACAACGCGGCGAAGTTGTCATGGTGTACGCACATCGCGGCGTACATCTCGTCGTGGCAGTCATGGGTGTGCTGAAAGCAGGTGCTACGTTCAGCGTCATTGACCCTGCATACCCACCGGACCGCCAGATCATCTACTTGGACGTGGCGAGACCGAGGGCGCTTGTTGTAATCGACAAGGCAACGAGAGATGCCGGGCCGCTCGATCGAAGCGTTCGACAGTGGATCAAGGAGAACTTGAGCCTTCGCACGGAAGTGCCTGCGCTGAAGCTGCAGGGTGACGGGTCTGTTGTAGGCGGCACTATGGCTCAAGATGGTGATTGCTTGGCCTCATCCTTGGAGAACAGAGCAGACCTCCCAGGCGTTGTTGTTGGCCCGGACAGCACTCCTACCCTGTCCTTCACTTCTGGATCCGAGGGCAAGCCGAAAGGTGTCAAAGGTCGCCATTTCTCGTTGGCGTACTACTTCCCATGGATGCGGAAGCGATTTGGCCTGTCGGAGAATGATCGTTTCTCGATGCTCAGCGGGATTGCCCACGATCCTATCCAGCGAGATATTTTCACGCCGCTGTTTCTTGGGGCCGCGCTCATTGTACCTCCTGCAGAGTACATCACATTTGATCGACTTGCAACCTGGGCCAGCGAGAATCAGATTACAGTCACTCATCTGACCCCGGCCATGGGCCAGATTCTTCTAGGCAGTACTGAACCGAAAGTCACAAGCCTTCACGGCGCATTCTTCGTTGGAGACGTGCTATTGAAGCGCGACTGTCGACGATTGCAACAGCTGGCCCCGAACTGCAGAATTAAGAACATGTACGGAACCACAGAGACCCAACGAGCCGTGTCCTACTACGAGATCCCATCACTGAATCAAGATCAAAACTTCCTCGACAAGATGGGAGATGTCATCCCCGCCGGCATGGGCATGATGGATGTTCAGCTGCTTGTTGTCGACCGTGAGAAGCCAGAGCGGCAATGCGAGGTCGGCGAGATTGGTGAGATCTATGTCCGTGCAGGAGGACTGGCTGAACACTACCTTGGCGACAAGAAGAAGTCGGCGGAGAAGTTTGTGCAGAACTGGTTCGTCGATCCTCAGAAATGGGTAGACGAAGATAAGCAGAGGGTGACCGCCGAAGGTAAGCCTGAACCGTGGCGGGAGTGTTACTTTGGGCCTCGCGATCGTATGTACCGCTCTGGAGATCTAGGGCGCTACATGCCGGATGGCAACGTCGAGTGTGTTGGCCGGGCAGACGATCAGGTCAAGATCCGTGGATTCCGCATCGAGCTCGGCGAGATCGACACGCACCTGTCCCAGCATCCATTGATTCGTGAGAATGTCACGCTGGTGAAGCGAGATCATAACGAAGAGCAGATCTTGGTATCATACTACGTGCCGGACATGAAGAAGTGGCGAGAGTGGTATGGCGAGCAGGAGCAGCAAGAAGCACAGCAACCACAGCAAAACGGCATCAAACGCAGGGTCTCGGCCAAGGAGAGTATGGGCGTCGGCCAGCGGATGAAGATCTTCGAACTTCTCAGCTTGAATGCTAGGGATGCGCTCAAGAAGAAGCTGCCTTCATATGCCGTGCCGACGCTGTTTATCCCGATGCTGAGATTACCCTTGACGCCGAACGGGAAAGTCGATCGACGAGCTCTACCCTTCCCTGAAGATGCTGACCTGCTAGGCGCTATCTCCAAGGCGAGCGATCTGGACGCCAGGACTGAGACCGAGCAAGCTCTGGCAGATATATGGGCATTCCATCTGCCTCGTCACACCACGGATACGCTCCCAAGAGACGCCAAGTTCGAGGACCTTGGTGGGAACAGCATCATGGCGGTACAGATCCTCCCCAAGATCAACAAGCGATGGCATGGTGCAAACGTACCGATGTCAGCCATGACGAGCAAGCAGCCGACATTGAGGAAGCTTGCGAGGTACATCGATCGTTCTCTTGACCCTGTCGGACTGAGAATGGACGTTGCTGAGGCCGAGGACGAGGAAGACCAACCTGAGCAGTACGCTAACGACCTTCAAAATCACGTCACCAATCTGCCGCAGGAGTTCCCGCTCTTTAAAGCCAGAGACCCGAAGGAGGCTTTCGAGGGCGGTACCAGCATCCTACTGACTGGGACGACCGGTTTTCTCGGAGCATATATCCTGCACGAGGCCATTGTGCGCAAGCACCCAAATCACGTCTACGCTCACGTCAGGGCGTCGTCGGCCAAGGAGGGGATGGATCGGATTAGAACCACCTGCACGGCATACGGACTATGGCAGGAATGGTGGGCCACCGAAGGCAATCTCGAAGTCGTCGTTGGAGACCTGGAGAAGCCGCAGCTTGGCTTGAGTGATGCTGACTTCACCAAGGTCACGAAGGGTACGGATCTCATCGTCCATAATGGAGCTCGTGTTCATTGGCTCCTCCCGTATGAGAGTCTCAAGCCTGCCAACGTACAGTCGACGCTGGAGTGCATCAAGCTTTGTGCAACTGGCAAGCCAAAGCGGCTGGCTTTCGTGAGCTCGACCAGTGCGTTGGACACCGAGCATTACGTTCAACAGTCGGAGGGCGGCCAGCCGGTGTTAGAGTCAGACGACCTGGAAGGAAGCCGGCAAGGGCTTGGCACTGGTTACGGTCAGACGAAATGGGTGTCTGAAACACTCATCCGAGAAGCCTGCAAGAGGGGCCTTGACGGTGTCATCGTGCGGCCTGGGTACGTCATGGGAGATGAGAAGACTGGTGTCAGCAACACGGATGACTTCTTGGTCCGGATGTTGAAGGGTTGTGTTCAGATTGGGTCACGGCCCGACGTCAGCAATACGATCAACATGGTGCCTGTCCCGCACGTCGCACAGAAGGTTCTGGCTGTTGCACTCCACGCAGACAAGGGCACTGTTTCACATGTCGAAGCACACCCGCGACTCACTTTCAACCAGTTTCTGGAGACGCTCGAGGAGTATGAATACTCAGCTCCAGTCCAAGGCTACGACACCTGGCGGCAGAAGGTTGAACAGTACGTGGAGTCGTCGAAGAACGACCAGGAAGAGCTGGCGCTGCTGGGTCTGTACCACATGGTCACTGGAAATCTCCCGGCAGCCACGAAAGCACCGAACCTTGATGACAACAACGCGAGCAGCGCGCTGGGAAAAGACGAGGAGCTGACCGGGAAGCAAGCATCTCCTGCTGGAGTGACCAAGGAAGCTGTGGGTGCGTATCTGAGCTATCTTGTCGCACGAGGATTTATGCAGGCTCCCACGGGTTCTACCAAATTACTGCCAAAGGTAGAACTGTCGAAGGAGCAAGTCGCTGCGCTGGATAAGGTGGGTGGCCGGGGTGGAAATGCCCGTTGAGGCAATCGTCCAGCAACGGTCTCGTCAGCTTGCGAAGTTATCGGCCACACTTAGGATGAGGCTGGCCAGCTCAGCAGCGGCACGGCTATGAAAATCAAATTTTGTTTGCCCAGAAAGATGTTTCCCAGAACACGATATCGGAAAGCCTCGTCAATTCAAATACTTCATGCATGTCAAATCCTGGCCAAGAGCAGACTAACAACAGATCTAATTCAGACTTGAGCTGACCAACAACGGCGACAGTGCTTGTCAACGCTCGAGTGAGGTTATCGGGATAATAGCAAGGCCGAACGCGAATGCGTGGCTTATCTTTACGATCTTGCGAAAGTCTTTCCTATAAAACCTTTGATCTACATGCGCGAGAAAACAGCCGCTGAATATCTACACCACAGATTCCCAGCATGCCTCAAACCATCCTCCCACCCGCACACAACGGTTGGCTTCCTTACTGGCTCCTCTTCGTAGGCGACACATCATCCTTCATCTGTTCATAGAAGCTAAACATCAACAGTTGACTAGCTTAGCGGTTCTGAATACAGTCGGCAACTACGCATCCGGCCATGAGCCTTGGAGCAACGCATCGCAACTGTATCCGAACGGGATGTTCACGGCTATGCAGGGTCGCACGTTCGGTAAATGCTCAGTTCTTAGTCTCGTAAACCACGTTTAACGTCCGATCTCACACAGGCACCTGGACTGCAATCACAGCAGCTGTCCGGATCCGAGCCGCCTACGACATCAAGAACAAAGCACTCTACGAGTTGGCGATGTTCACTTTACTGGCTACGATTGTACATTTCGGGCTCGAATGGCTGTGGTTCGAGACGATGTTGATGACGACCTTCCTGCAATGGGCCGGAGTGATCGATATCTTCAGTTTCGGCTGGATGGTGGTCGGGTGGTCGAGAGGATGGTACTTTACTTGAGAGTCTTGTGTTCCGAAGGGCCAAGGTTGAGGACTGATGTCGAAGAGCGATCGAATTTGCATACATCTGATGTGCCATAGAAGGATATTACCGAAAGCAGATCCAACGCTAAGCATGCCCAAGTACCGTCCCAAGATCGTTACCCTGCCCAGCCATGTATGTCCTGTATTCCCAAGCCATTCTCATTATTTAGAAAGTGAAAGTCATCAAAGCCGGGTTCAGCACGATCGGCAGAAGCAAGTGGCTCGCGCACACCGTCGAAAGCGGCAGGATCGCGATGAAGCCGTCGATTCTCCAGTTCCATGGTACGAAAGATGCAGTCGCCATCACCACCATGGTCACTATCCCGAGGATCGCAAAGGCCATTGAGAACTTGAATCGTTTGAGGATTTTGGGAATCTCTGTGAAGAAGTTTGACTGTTCCACTTCCTTGCTCGTCGAACCCCAAGACATGTCGATGCTGAACATGTGGGAGAGCAGAGCGGCGGAGAGATGGAGAGATAGTCCGCCGAGGAAGATGGCGAGCAGAGGCGTCCATTTGAGATTCTCGAAAAGGGAGCCCAACCAGCTTCGTGTGCCGATGCGGTAGCGCATAGTCGCGAGGGAGAAGTTGCCTAGTCCGTTGAACACGATGACGATGGAAAACCAGACCTTCCAGGAGTCGATGTAGTACTTGTCGAGGTAGCCGTTATACCACCCGATGGCGAAGTAGTTTGCGATGGTGAGGATCCACGCAGCGCCTGCGAACAATTAGCAATACGTTTGCATCGGAATGAGAGGAATAGCTTACCAATAGCGTAGTAAGTGCCAATGTACGAGAGGATTGTAATCTTGCTCGTCAGCCGGATGTTGGCAGTCAAGAACTTCCGGAAGAGAGGCGTGAAGGGGCCTTTGTAGAGCCAAGTGTAGATGGGGTTGAAGAGCAGCTCGTTGCATCCGTAAGCATACTTCTCCCAACGGGCGAGTTCGTCGTAGACGGTCAGCGACACGCCTTCCTTGAAGCCGTCGCCGGCCCAGGAGGCCATGCGAATGATGTAGCCACGAGTCTGGAGCTGGAGCGACATCTCGAAGTCTTCAGAGACGTGATGTTCGGACCAGAACTTTTCAAATCCGTCTTCGTCGTAGTAGCCGATTTCTTGAATGGCAGACCAGCGGAGAATGGCGTTATGACCGACGAATGGTGCGATGTCGCCGTTGCTGACGGTGTAATTGATTGCGGTGTAGATGACGTTGGTGAAGAAGGTCTGTCAATGAATGTCAGTCTGCATTCCATCTCTCTTGCTGGTTTTGATGCTTACGATGCCGTTCTCAAAGAAGTCGTGAACTACTTGCATGACGCCGGAAGAGAACTGCATGATGCCGACGTCGGGAGACTGCTCCATCTCGCTTACAGCATCCAAGAGACAGTCGACAGGTACACGGGTGTCAGAGTCGATAAGCAGGATGTAGTCGCCAACACGGATGTTGCCCTCGGACCAGGCTACGCCATTTTCCTGGACAACCTCACGAAGGCAGCGTTCGTACTCAACGGTCTCCTGTGCTTGAGTCCAGAACTCGGATCGCTGGACGTTGAGAAGCTTCTCTTCGACTTTATTTGACAGCATGAGGCCGTAGTTCATGTTGGAGGCCTGATCAAACAGTCAGCAATGGTAGTAGTAGTGGACTTAGCTTTTTCTATTCTCACCTTCTTGAACTTGCCTCTCCGAAGGAAACCATTCTCGCCATGCTTCGGTCGTGCGGTCCAGCCAATGTTGTTGTCCGAGTAGAAGTCGATGCGAGCCTGACGTTCTTCCTCGGAAACGAGCTGAAGGCCATCGTCATTGATAAAGATATTGGCGCTGCCGCCCTGCAATTCGTACGTCGTAATCGCTGCCTTCACAGAGCGGACGGTCGGCTCAATGACGGAATGGAGACCTTCCTTGTACACAGGGCACTGGAAGGTCACGTGGGGCAGAGCGTGGTAGGTTGAGAGCCGGTGAGGAAGCATTGCAGAGTAGAAACGGCTGTTGGTGGTGAGTTGCTTGACGGGACCGAAGAGCTGGGCGATACAGCCAATCAAGACTTGAGCGAAGAACTGACGAAAGATTAGCGGGGGTGGACCGTTCCAATGGAAGTCAGGATGCAGAGCTCACCAGCGTGAAGAAGATCTGGACGGGAGCCAGAGCAATGAAGCCCAGTCGAGCATATTTCTTGTCAACCTTGATCTCGAGCGCAATCTGGCGAAAGCCTGCGCCGAGCATGACCGTGATCAGAGTCAAGGTGAAAGCCACAAGGATGGTGTTCATGAGGTGGGTGGGCCTCTTCTCAGGCAAGACTTCACCGCTTTCATCGTCGACCTCTATGGCGGTCACACGCGGCGGTTTTTTCTCATTACCTTCGCCAGCAGCACTCTCGTCCTCCTTCATGGGGTCGGCGGCCTTCCACACCAGGTCCATCAACTCGGCTTCGATCGCTCGGCCGCGCTCCATGAGCTTGGTGGCGTCTGTCCTCTGTCAGCATTTTTGAAAAATATTGGAGAGGAGATGGGGCACAAGTACCATCATCCCACACCACCAACAGGCCCTCGGCGGCGATGAAAGCTGCTGACTGAGCTTTGCGGGCGTATGGCAGCACATCCATGTTCGGCAGGACCTGGACACGGAGGCCGTTCTTGAGAGGGATGTCGGAGGCATCTGGCGAACTGGCCAGGAGGATCTTGACGACTCTACTGTTGATGGTCATGGCAGAGGGGAGGTTGTGCGCCATCACACCTCTTGCAAAGGTGGACTGCAGCAACGCTGGCGGACAGGCCAGGTATTGTGCCCTCTCTTTCCGGAGGATCACTCCCTCACGAGCTCCGGTCATGTCTTCGATCCACATGGTGGCACCTGAAGGGGAAGTCAGCAGGCCGCCAGCAAGAATGCGTACGCTCTGGAATGAGGCCAACTTACACTGCTGCTGGAAGAGGTAGTTGACCATGACCTCGTGCCGGATCTCGTCCATCATGGAAGACCTCTGTGACTTCTGTGAGGACATCGACTGCCTTGACATGGGCCTGGAATAAGGCGAGTTAGACCCAGATCCCCTCTCCTGTCCGAACGAGCCATTAGGTGGAGCGGTAGGTGGCTTCTCCGTAGGCGGATGGAAGGCATTGTAAGTATCTGAAAGTGGTATCGGTTGGTTGGCCTGCTCTGCCTGCTTAGGGTCTGCTTTGGCATCCGCCTTGAAGTAACTTCGCAATCCCATGGCCGGCCTGTGGTCTGGCGGAGGCGCGTGCGGTCAGGGAATGGGCGGCAGTACGGGAGCTTGGTCGAGAAGGAAGAATGGATGCAAGCTGAAGGGAAGGAAGGGATCAAGCGAAATAAGGGGTTGTTGAAGAATGAAAGTGCTGACACCGACCACAAAACGTGATCCGGTGCGAGATAGCGAGTGAATATACCTGGAGGTATGGGAGTAAGGTAGCAGTGAGGAAGCCATGACTTAGACCGAGGACGTGTTCTCAAATAATCTCGCGCTGGTCCGCGCCTCTCAGGCTGGTCGTTGAGCTATCGTTCTAGGTTGAGATCGTTTGCCGGCCAAGCTTTGTCGTTGTGCACTGGTATAATGATCTTTGGCCGAGGCGCCGTCATGGCTCGTGATGCACGTGGCGGCTGCCCGGCAGAGTGGCACAATGGTGATATCCCGCTGGGCGGGTATGCACAAGGTTCCGCTCCTTGAGTCGAGATTGGGAAAGAGACCGGAGACCTAGCAGGGATTTAGCTTGCCGGCATATAAACAGAGATACTGATATGGATCCATATCGCCCAATGCGGCAAAGGGGCGAGGCGTTTTGCTGGTGATCCACACTAATCTGTGATTGGGAGCATGTTTGGTTCAGGCCCAGTTCTGGTCCGCGACAGATCTTGTACCGTCTTTTGGAATTTGGTTATGCGGTTCCGCGTGCTGTCGTGGATGTGTAGCCGACAGACTATAGCTCATCACGACCGTGTGGTTGACGCCATTTCAGAGACGGCTGACTCAAGGGAGGCCGACACGGAATTTGCGGCCCTGAGACAGTCACGGAGGGGTTCCTACTCCGCCTAGTACGCAGGAGGTCTGGGCCTTCGATGAGGAACAGTATGCAGCTCAGAGGTAGGGCTGTTCTACCATCGGATCGGCGATCCTCTTATCAGCAAACTGTCTCTTTTCGGCGAGCGTAGATGAAAGTGAAGTGTCGTGATGGGGGCTGTATGCAACTCAATTTAGAGCGGCTAAAGTGTAAGAAATGGAGCACTCACTTGCCGTCTTAAAAGGAGGTGCCGCTCTGTGCCGACAGAGGGTGGAGACTGCAATACAGATTCACCATCTTGGCGGCGATAAGGAGGATATGTCGGTGTCTGAACCGCTGTCGTCTGGATGCGCATGCAGCTAGGCCTGACCGGATGCGGCTTCCTTCGTCACGCGGCATTCATCCACAAGCTTGCCATGCAGCTGCAGCAGTGACTATTGAGTCGCATGGCAAAGTCTGCCTCGGTGCAGATGGAAGTTTGGAAAGAGTTACAATAAGGTTCGGATCTTAGCTGTGTGCTACCGCGCTGGATACGCTTGGCAGATCGTGGGTTGGTGGCTTGTGCTTCGGAATCGAGGACTTGGTTGGACGCAGGGGTAAATTCTATCATCAACAAACTCATCTCTCGAGAATGCATGCTCTCTTTGCAAGGGACTAGAAATGCGGTCCGAATTGGTCCAATACTGCAATCCACGCGCTCATATCAGTCCAGGTCGATAGCACTTTCAACCGCATGTGGTTCAATCTACATGCCGTTTCGAGAAACCACCCAGCCATACGCCACAGTATCAGGAACGGCGGCTATCTCTCTCTCCTAGCGCCGATCACTGCATTGCTAGATCCGGCGGAGCGGCTCAGCTGCAAGGAACAGGAAGGCAATTTGACGCATTGACTTTCATACCATGGCGCCCCATACCGTGGCATCTTCAGAAGTCTCGAGGAAGGCCCGGTCTGGAAAGCAACGTGGTATCGTCTGAAGGAGCCATTTCCCCGGCGGCGCCTGCCATGGAGCCTCGAATGCGTTGGGAGCGCCGTTTGCGAGCCAATGGCATGACATATGCAATACCTTTTCGGACGTCCGCAATGAGTCGGAGTGCCTGGCCCTAGAGTTTGCCAGGCAATACTCAACCTGGTAGAGTCTCGTGGTCCGGCCGTCTGTCGCCGTGGCAGAAACCGCGCCCGTGCAGCATCATCGCCACGCTACTTCAATAGCGGGAACGTTATCAAACTGTACATTTCGCTGTTTAGTCCTTCCTCAGTACTGTCATTGAACACTGTTTTCTGTGTGTGGACACTTCCTAACAGGACATCGCCCACGATGGACTACAGCCGCCGTGGCATGACGACCACTACCATGGCCAGCACGACGCGCTCTGAAGCGTCAGATGAAGACCGTATCGACACGCTGTCGAGGCCAGCCAATCCTTTCGCAACGCCCCTGGGTTCCACGCCACAAGCATCCAAGCCGGGGTCTTTCATCGCCTCTTCGAGTTCATTCCAACAGCAGAAACACCAGGAGCAGCCATACTTTCGTTCTCGAAGGGTGGACAAAGAAGCAGCAGAGAAGCCATGGCTCAAGAAGAAGGACTCCAAGGAGAAGTGGGTGACCATTATACCAATCATTGGCGTACTGATTGGCTTGGGCATTTCTGGCTACCTGATATACGACGGCCTCATGTCGGTCAAGAACTTCACGTACTGCTCCGTCTATGAATCCGACTTCAGCCGAGGCCTCGACATGGACGTCTGGACGAAGGAGGTAGAGGTTGGCGGATTCGTAAGACATGTCCCTCTAAGGTTGTGACGCTGTGCTGACGGTAGTTCCTCTTTCTACAGGGCAACGGACAATTCGAGCAGACCACGCAGACCGATGAGAACGCATACATCAAAGACGGAGTCCTTATCATCAAGCCCACGCTGCAAGACAAAGAGCTGATCGAGAACAACAACACCATCAACCTCCTCAAGAGCGGTCTATGTACATCTGACACCTGGGCCAACTGCGTAGCGACTACCAACACGACCAACGGAACGATCGTCAACCCCGTCAAGTCTGCTCGACTCAGCACAAGAGGAGGCGCGAGCATCAAGTATGGCCGTATTGAGGTTGAAGCTAAGCTTCCGTCCGGTGACTGGCTGTGGCCTGCTATCTGGATGATGCCCGTCAAGAATACCTATGGCCCGTGGCCGGCTTCAGGAGAGATTGGTAGGTTCACGTTGATTTGTGCTCGAAAAGACTTTGGTTGAGAGAATAGCTCGCTGACTTTGACGGTCTGCAGACATCGTGGAATCGCGAGGCAACAACCACACCTATAACCCACAGGGCGGGCGGAACATCATGTCCTCTACTCTCCACTGGGGCCCAGACTCGGCAAACGATCAATGGTAGGCAGTCAGTCGCCAACGCACATGACCAATGCTGACCTCTTCCACAGGTGGCAGACCAACGAGAAACTTGCAGCCCTCCACACTACATACGCGGACTCATGGCACACTTTCGGCCTGGAGTGGACTGAGAAGTACATCTTCACTTATGTTGGCTCGCGCTTGCTGCAAGTCCTCTACACGGTGAGTCTGCTTCAATCGAAGCAGGAGATCATCCACTGATCTTCTCAATCTAGGACTTCAACAAACCGTTCTGGCAGAAAGGATCCTTCCCACCGGCCACCGCTAATGGCACCAATATCGTCGATCCTTGGTCGCAGACTGGCCGTGATGCCACGCCGTTTGACCAAGAGTTCTACTTGATCATCAACGTTGCTGTTGGAGGGACCAACAACTGGTTCATGGATGGTGTCGCAGGCAAGCCCTGGGTTAACGACTCGCCGACCGCCAAGCTGGACTTCTGGAAGGCTCGCGATCAATGGTACCCGACCTGGACGCAGCCAATGGAGATTAGGAGTGTCAAGATGATGCAGCAGTCGGGATTCAATGGGTGTTCAGCCGGCGCCCCCTGGAGTGAAGCGTGAGAGGCGGCGTGGGAATTGATTGCTTCAAGTGGGCAGAAGACAGTGCCGGATCACAGGGAAACCGGTATCTTCTCCGGTTGCTCCGTGGTACAATTTTAATGTGTGGTGGGTGTCGGGCAATCCATCAGGATGTCTGCATCGGAGCGGACATGCTTGAGGGGTGTACCTGGCGTTGAGAAACGGAATACATGGGGATCATCGAGGTTATGCTTTGCTCATTAGCCATCGTCTACGACTGATTAGAATCTCAGAAATCGCAAAGGCACGTCCGTCGATCTGATACACGTGAAAGCCCTACTTTTCTTTTCAGAGGTCGAATTGTTTTAGCGACCGGCAGCTGTCCAGAAGCATTACGTATTGAGTCTCGAGTAAGAAGGTGACAGGGCCTACCGGCACATGAAACGACCCAAATTGCCAGGGCCATGCCTGCAAGTCGTCGACGTTGAGGTCTGCAGAAACTTGAATGGAGAGTCATGCTCGACCACGTCTCCACTCGCATCTTGTCCAACAAAGGCTGGGTCGTGCTCCTCTTTCCCAACTAGCGGTCCGGTGGCGGGCCTCAAGGCCTTGCACACTCTCTGGGTTGAGGTACAGTTGGCCGCGCCTGGCTGTTGATTGCTGGTGTCGGCGAGGCGATTGTTGTCTACTCTAAGCGTGCTCGCTGTGCCGAACAAAACTCCGGTACAACACGCTAATGGGTTGATCTGAAGTTTGCTAGGCGGCACGGGAATTGACAGTCGAATCACAATCGTGGGCCATCACGTCTCCTCAGCGTAGCGCGAGCTTCAAACTACATACAGTAACATACTGCGAAGGATTTCAGACGTCAATCTCATTTCAATGCTCAACTACCGGCTCCACATCGCTTCTTCCCCCGCTTTCTCCTCAAGACTTGGGGCCCCGCTGCATCTTTGGATCGATCTTCAGCTTGGCCGTCGATCCAACCCTGCCTTTGTTCCGCTTCACCCCATTGTTAGGCATCAGCATGCGGAAATTTCTAAAAAGGGCGTCATGCACGATCGGCCCGTCGAACCTCACTCTTCCATGAAATGAAGACGGCACGTCCTGAAACGACCAGGTTATGTGGGTGCAGCAAGGTGGTGTCCACCTGCCAAGGAAAGCGGTATGCTTGGCTCCATAACTTGAATCTCATGTTACATGCATATACCCTCCGAAGACTTTGCCGATCACACAGGCTCGGCGCAGGCTTTTGTACACGTAAGAGTAAGCTTTAGATTCGGACATAGACCCGGCCATTATCAGACTCGCTGCAATTTCTCAATCGCCCCAGTCAAGGGTTTCCGGTGTAATGCTCGCCCAATCTATGCTCTGCTCTCCTGCCGTCGTTCACAATGGGCACGAGCGAGTCGCACGTCGGGCCGTTTTATCGAGTCGCAAGCTGGGCTCCTGCGGGTAGGCTGCGACCAAAATGAAAGTCTGAACCAAGGATCGAACGAAGGATCGAACGAAGGATCGAACAGTGAGTGGACATGGCGGGATTCTGGGAAGACTTGAATGTGGAATCACTTTCCTCCTTGATGATCAGACACCACCTACGACTGTACTCTCGGCAACAGGTATATAAAGGCAATGGAAGGATGGGTTCACCTCGCCATACCAGCTTACCATCACACGATCGAATACATTCCAACGAAACGTTCAATCATACATTCCACCTTAGTGCCAGACTAGTAATGTCTCCTACCAAGCTTATCACATATGGCGGCACCATGCTGGCTGCCATGCTGGCTCCCACGATATATGCAAACGACTTCCTCCTCAGTCGCCACGATGAGGTCGTGAGCATATGCGCGGTCCGTGCTCCCTCCGTCACCAAGTCATCCCTGATCCTGACTAACACATCATCTCCACAATGCAGGGGCTGCCCGTGTGCACCACCACGCACCAATATAGCTGGAGCATCTGGCCGGCTGATCAATTCCCAGACGACAGTAAGCACAGCCAACAACGGGCAAAAGTCTTCCGCAGGTGGAATAATTGCTAAACTTTTACTTCACCACAATAGCGTCAGAATGCACCTCTGATGACGGAATTCTCGCCCACTCCGTCATTGGAACAGCCGTAGACCTTTGCGATCAGATTGAAGAGCAGGATACAGAGTCTTTCGACATTACCCTCGACCAAGACGCCCTGACCTGCGGCCTGAACAATGGGGTTAGTGCTATCGTGGGACCTTGAGATACAGTGCGAGACACTTGCTGACCTTCTGTCATCTGAGTTATAAGGATGTGCTGACCTTCCATGTCGACGTCTCGGGAACGTGGTGGGACGTCACCATCAATGGTGCTGTCGACATAGTCGCTAGCTGCACGAACACTTGTCTGGACGAGTCAGCAGACCTTCCAGCAATATCCTGCGTCAATGGAATTGGCGATACTGTCTTAGTAACGTCCGTCTGGGTAAGTGAAGGCATACAGCTGCAGCGAGATGGAACAATTATATGCTGACTGTGTGTAAGAAATGCACCGACGCCCCCTCGGTCACCGACGGTGAATTGCAAGGCGTTCAGTGCTAAGCTTGAAGCCATGGCCTGCGGGTTCTGAGTGCTCAAGATTGGGGGCAAATGGGGGGAGGTTTGAATGGGTGAGGTGGTATATGGATGCTAGGTACACTAAGAAGCGATTAGACCTTCGAGATGGAGCTTGTAATACTGCACCGATAACAACGATCGTTTGAATCTCGAACACACTTGCTACTCTTCTAAATTCCTACGTCGAACGTTGTTCAATTTACAAAGCTGAATTTCACACGTTCCTCCTGCAATCAGTCTCTCCTCAGCCGCAGCTGCGCCAATTCGGTCCATAATCGACATTTGCGTTGATGTTATGTGACACTGTTGTGTTCGGTACAGCCAGAACTTGCGTATATCCGTAACTCTGATTGAAGACTCTATTGGGCTCTATGTTAGGATTTGGGGTTCGGATTCGTGGTAAGATAGAGTAAGGCGGAGAGCTCGAACTGTCGGCCGACATTGTGGCGGCCTATGCCATACTGAGCCTCTCGTTGCGGGGCTGCCAGAAAGATACGGTTGATTTGGCTTTGCTCTGGCACCATTGACAGCGGTCGTCCGTAGAGGCCCGAGGCCGATGTCGTTGAAAGTGGTGTCTTTGGCGCTAATATTTTTAGTCGTGAGATCGAATGTGAAATGAAAGTAAGGCCGGATGTGAGCTTGAATATGAGGTTAAGTGTGAGGTTAAATGTGAGGTTGAATGTGAGGTTAAATGTGAGGTTGAATGTGAGGTTGGATGTGAGGTTGGTTGTGAGGTTGGTTGTGAGGATGAGTGATTAGATGAGAGTGAGGAGAGTCAAAGTAACTTCGAAGTAGAGTCGAAGTAAGATCAACGTGAGCGCAATCAACATCTCTGCACAAATGCGTTCTGTAAGAATGCGCAGCCGAGGGGTGTTCTTCAAAGCTTTCGTCTACAGCGAACGGCAGCTGCTGATCCTACCGCTGTCGCGTCGATCTTCTTCCGCGCTTGCAGTTGCTTTGCAATCAACTCTGTGCTCTTTTCGACATCTGGTTCCCCGTTAAAACGACCAAAAGATCTCATGGTCGCATCATCCTTACAATGAGTATTACGCAGGTAGATGAATTTGAGACTCCATTCAAAAAATCAATGTATCCGACTTTCAGTCGTAGTCGCAAACTTTCAGCCCTGAACCTACCTAGCCTTGCAGATGCATCAAATAATCCCGATGTCTCCCTCCTTCTTAGACGGACGTTGCCATGGTTTGCGCTGAGAGTTGCCCAAACCAGACTGTTGATCCTGACCCCATGCCTCGCACTTCTTCCAAAGAAACTGCAAGTGCCTATGAACATTGTGTCCCAGCCCCTTGAAGCTGAACATCAATCTCGAGACCAGTGTCGCCAGTGATTTGGAATGTTCCACTGCAGCCAGTATGTCAGCATCTGGACCTCAAGAAGTCGACAGAAGTGCCTCACGGATCGAACCTCTCGCCCCCTCCTGAACACTGACTGACAATATCTTGAATGGCGAACGCTGCATCGCTGGCCGCCACATGGGTGTTGTCGAGCAAGAATCTTGAAAATGCAGACCTGGACGTCGCCGAAGGAGACCGAAGAGTCATGCTGAGCTTTAATCTCCAGTGGGAAGGTGAATCCGCTTCTGCCATCTGCGAATGCGTCGGCCATAGCAAAACCGTCCGCCGTAGTCAAGATCCCAGTCCCGTCAGGATCGCTGAAGCAATCAGCAGCGAGGCCGAACCCAGCGGAAACGGTGACGGCTAGAATGGCCTGAGAGAACGTCGGCAGCTGCATGGCGTCGTGAGGGGATGCTGAGATAGAGGGCGTTGTGGAGTAGAGCCCGCGAGTCTGTCTGTGATATTGAAGCTGTTTGTGATTGTCAAAGTTTCCTACGGCAAGACCAGTAGACGTTCTTATCTATCTGCCTGACTCGAGGCAAGGCTGTCGCCGAAGCCATTTCAGGAGATCAAACTAGAGCGGCTCACGTCAGGTCCATGGGAGATCCAACCTCTCCTGGCTACGGAGTAAATTTCGAGTAGAGGCGGCCGCTCATACATGGCCTCAGCCCTACGGCCGCCAAGCTGGAGCTGAACAACTCTTGTCATGACTCGTGCAGAGCCTGGCTGCGGTCTTAGATCATACGTCTTGACGCATGCTAGAAGAGGCCATGGTGCCCTTCGAGTGACGGCTTTAGCGGCCCGACCACTGGCCATTGCGCTGTGGTCCTTAGCAGTCTGGGCAGCTTCGAAGCCACCGTCTAGAATTGAGCTCAAAATAGAGGTTCTAGTCGTTGCGAGAGCCTATGCCAGAAGAATAGTGTTTACATGAGAGGCAGAGAGCACTGGTCGCCTGTTGCTGTCCCATGCGTGGAGCAGGCGACGTGTCATCACCAGCGACGGCCCTCCTTGTGTGTAGGCTTTTGGGGCGCCGCTAGAGAATTCGCCAGTTGTGACCGTAGGGTCTACTGTCCTCAGAAAGACTGAGTATTAGGAGCTTCTTTTACCAACTGTCTTGTGGATGCTGGCGGACTGTCGTGTGTAAAAGCAAACAGCGATGAGCGGTCTGGGGTCCGGGATAAGATGCGCCTTAGCGCCTTCCCAATCGGTCTTAGCTCTTCGCCGCTTATTATCACGACCTTAGTCTCCATTCCGTCCCTCCGTCCACACCTCATGGCTCGCCCACGCACGCTCACCATTTCCGTATAGTCGATGTAGGTACATCTCTCAAAAAAGGACGGAGGCAATAGACTGAGAATTTGGCGTTCAGAGGGAAGCTTTGCAAAGACGCGTTCAAAGGTATGCTACAAATGCCCTTGTCTTAGCTGCCAATCTACACCGCACGCAATGACTTGCTTTGAGTCTCTCGGCGAGTCATCAATACATTCCAAAGCCCGGTGATTAGTTGGTCTGCAACGGCTTGACTCAGGATTTTGGGTGAAATCAAAGAGGCATTCCGAAGCCCAGATGTGGTGCTTCGCCGCGACGGCTGTTCTCAAAACACCTCGACACGCTCGTTGGGCTACCGTCACTGTCCAGGAGAAGGCCCCGGAGGAGGCGGTGGCGGCATGTAATGCATGGTCGGTGGCTGGTTAGGTGGCGGACCGGATGTTCCCGGAGGACGTGGTTGCAGCATGTATGGGCTGTACGGCTGGTTGGGTGGTGGATATGCAGGCGGCGCATATGCATATGGCGTTTGGTTGGGTGGTGCAGGTAATGGATACCCATATGGTTGATGGCTGGGCGGTGGGTTGGTTTGGAAAGATGGTGGGTTGGGAGCCGGGTTGGTTTGAAATGGTGCTGGAAACGGCGATACTCGGTAAGTGTTGACCAGCATTGGGACTGGTGGATGCGGCTGCTCAGCGTTCTGCGGATGTGGCGTTGTCTGACTTGGCGGAGCCTCGTACGAGGGGACACCAAAAAGGTTCGGCATTGTTGGGAAGCCGCCTGAAAAAATGAGGGTCAGTAGGCTTCTCGATCCATCGAAAGAGGCGAGTCTCATATCGCCACAGGCAGTCTGATCGCGTCTCGGAGAAGCTTATCTGAAGGAGGCTGGAAGGCTGGCAGCGCCATCTGGGCTGGGCCCGACGGGTTTGGCGGAACTCCGTAAGTTATTGCTCCAGTTGTGGTAGGTGCGGTCGCTCTGGCAGCTGCTCGATCGTCGCGGTTGAGTCTCCTCTTGATTCTACTCTTGACTGTGTTCTTGTTCTTGCTCAAGTTCTCTTCATTCTGGTGTCTGGTGGCGTTGTTGTCATGCCTGTCCAGGCTGTGGTCTTGCTTCGCTCTCCACTGGTTGATTGTCATTGTGGTCGTTTGGCATTGTGTCCGCTTGTTGGGCCGGTTGATCTGCCTTCGCTCGCACTCGGTGCATGGCAGTAGTCCTCTGGTCAGCATGTCGCACTACCTGGCACGTCAGCTTCCGCGGCTATCATCTCAGAGGTTCCGGACCTACGTTGGCGTTGCCTCGGGTGGTGCAGGCCCAGCAGATGGGTGTCGTGGGTCCTCTGGGCGCCATTGTGCGTGATGATCTGCTGGAGAAGCGTACGGCGCTCTCGACGTGCCTTGTGGCAGTAAGGCTCCTGGCATGTAGTGATGTTGCTGGACACACCGGGTGGTGCCGCTAGCGTGCTTTCAATATGTTCCTCTCCTTTGCTTGAAGCTTCCTCCTCTTCCTCCTCCTCTTCCTCCCCACCACAGTCAGACACTTTTCTCGCTACCACGAGATCACAATGTCTTACTACGGCTACATCAACCCCCCGGGGTACCCCTATCCAAACCAGCAGAACCCACAATACCGTCCGCCCCTAAATCAGAACGGGTGCCAACCGCCACCGCCACAGCAGTGTCAGCAACCGCAGTACTATCAGGCTCAACCACAATACCAACAGGCTCAACCGCGATATCAACAGGCTCAACCACCATACCAACCGCAATACCAGCAGCAGCAGCAGCAATACATGCCGCCGCCGCCTGCCCAACAACAGCTCCAGTAAGTCCTCTCCGAGCGCGCATCTCAACAAGAACACTTTGAGCCACCTCATCGGGGTAGACCCAGTCTTCGAGAAGCCCTCACTCTCTCATTCCCAGTCCAGCTACTAACCCATCCACATAGACTAGTATATCAACGCGCATATCAACCCGCATATCAACGCGCATATCAACCCGCATATCAACCCGCATATCAACCCGCATATCAACCAGCATACCAACCCGCATATCAACCCGCATATCAACCAGCATATCAACCAGCATACCAACCAGCATATCAATCAGATTATCAACCAGCATTTCCACCAGTAGTTCACCCAGCAGTTCAACCAGCATTTCAACCAGCAGTTCAACCAACGCATCAACTAGCATATCAACCCCCTGCTCCACCGCAGCCAACCGCTTACCAGAATGAACACGCTCAAACCACGTACCAGCCCCAATATGCAGCAACTCGGGCGCAATCGTCTGCCGCTCCAGAAGCTCAACCACCTGCGGCACAACTGCTTGCAGTACAAACACCCGCAGCACAGCCACCTGCTGCACAACCGCCTGTACCACTGTACGTGGCAGCAATTGTTGAGTATGGCGGCAGTGAACACCTGGAACTCGAAATCCACGACGACCTAACAAGATCCACGGCGTCTCCCCGCCGACGTCCAAGAAGAACCAAACAAATCCTAGATCCCGATTATCCGGGAAACGAAGGCAAGAACATCCAGCCTGACGGCGAGGGCAATACGTACATCCTGGGCGCTCTTGAGAGCTTCGATACAGGCTGGCATTCAACCGCAATCAAGGCATGGATGGAAGAGCATGGTGATCATGTCGTCTGTGTCGACTGCAAAGCCTGGGGTCGTTCCTGCGACCACATGGTTCCCTGCGCAGAATGCACAGAGCACGGAAACGAATGCAGAGTCTCGTACTGTAGGAAGGACGAATGGGAGTTCTTTGACAGATTTGGCATTCAGACTCACGAGCTGCACAGCTGGAATATGGCCATCATCCTGCATTGCAACCCTGCAGCGAGGCTGATCCAATGGCACTTCCCTCAAGCAACCGATACCTGTGGCAAAGCAGGCATGAACCGCCGCGGGGAGTTCAAGAACAAGTTGCAATTACCAACTGCTGGTATTGCCAAACCTAAGTCTGAGGACAACGATTGGGGATACTCGACCAGGTTCCCATTGGATGAATGGATCGTCGACTGCTTCTTGAAGAAGAACATGGATGAACATGACATCAGAGAATACGAAGATTGGTTGGAGGGTGTGCGGCTCATCTTCAACGATGGAGACCCGAGTGAAACCAAGTTCCCAATTTCAGAGCCACTCGAACCCGGCCCAAACCATCCAATCCATCGAGTGCTGGCTTGGGAGGCCGACAAGTATGGTTCTCCGGGACGAAAGTAATATTAATCACGTAACCGTCGATGCGTCAACCACAGCAACCCGCACCGCAGCTCGAGAAGAGCATAAAGAACGAAACGTACACACCGTTGGCAGGCGAAGGAGGGATGCCGGGTGAGTCACAGCACGCTTGCTATCCATTTGATTGCCTGGTGAATATGACCGTTCGCGCGAGTAGGTACCAGAGCAAACCTTGAGATAACCGCGGATCGCAACGATAGCCATTCGATTGCCTGGTGAATATGAGCGTTCGCGCGAATAAGTGCCAGAGCAAACTTTGAGATAACCTTGTGGGCTTTACGTGACAAGCATTGTATATAACAAATGAAACGTCTTGCGGTTTTCATAGCTGAAACCTTTGCGCACGTGTCATATTTCCCGGAACTTCGAGTGAATGGATTCATTTCAGCCCGGTGTCATGACAAAGTGAGTGACTTCCCCGTCGCTGTACTCTCTCGTGTCCAAAGCAAGAAGTAGTATTGAACAAATGTCAAATGTGACCGTTCTATTGAGCGATACGGACCATTCACGCGTGACGGTGGTTGATAGTTAAAGACTGGTTGATCGCTGTAAGGTGAAGTGAATGTAAGCGGGATGAGCCGGATGACGTACCGACGCGCCCGCGCCCGCCGCAGTATTGCTCTCTCGTCGACCAAACCCTTGCTTGCCAGGCTACCGACTTCTGATAAGGATTGCGACCATCCATATCCCGACACATCGAACAAAACTCCTTCTGCCACTGCTGAACTGCACGACAATGGCCGGCCTGGAAAAGGCGCTCTTCAACCTGAAGGTGTGCCCCACCATCTTGTCCCTCCGCAGGCCCCAGCTAATGTCAGAGTACAGTTCACAGCTAAGCAACTGAATCGACAAGCGGCGAAAGCGAGCAAAGATGAGCAGACCGAGAAGGCGAAGCTGAAGAAGGTGCGGCAAGACTTCATCCGCCGTTTTCCTCAACATACTCGCAGGGCCAGGCGCTGACCTGAACACCAGGCGATCCAACAGAACCACTCCGACATTGCAAAGATCTACGCCCAGAATGCGATACGAAAGAAGAACGAAAACCTAAACTTGCTGCGGCTGGCATCACGAATAGATGCGGTCAGCTCGAAGGTGCAGACAGCGGTCACGATGCGGCAGGTGACGGGGAGTATGGCGAATGTAGTGAAAGGGATGGACAGTGCGATGAAGAGCATGGATCTTGAAAAGGTATGCCATCATATATAGCAGTGTGGAACGTCCTTTTCTTGACGTGGAATGGTGCTGACACCCGTCTAGATATCGGCAGTCATGGACCGATTCGAGACACAGTTTGAAGACCTGGACGTGGCAACAGGCTACTACGAAAACGCCACATCCTCCGCGACAGCCGTGGGCACACCTCAAGAAGACGTGGACAAGCTGATGGGGCAAGTGGCCGACGAGGCGGGCGTGGAGCTGTCGCAAGAGATGCAGGGAGCAACGCCTGCGAATGACATCAGGGCGCAACCGGAGGAGGAGAGGGAGGACAAGCTGGGCGAGAGATTGCGTGCTTTGAGGAGTTGATCATTATACATATCTCGTATCTCTGGCGCGGAGTTGTGGTGTTGGAATAGGGCAAATGCCGAGGTGCTGTCCTGAAGCTTAGGTAACAAGTTTCTCACGTGAATAGGTCAAGAGGTATCAATGAATTATGCCCCATCACATATTAACGAGCCCTCAATCCTTAAGGCGCAACCATTTCCATTCACGTGCATTAAGCAAATGCAAGCTAGGACCAAGGAACAAGCCGAGAATCCTTGCTGCCGATCCCGCCTTGTCTAGCCTTCTCTGCCTTGATTGATACTTTGCTCCAACGGCCAGACCACTTGGCTGGGTGTGACGTTTGCAACGCTTCTTCTCACATCTACACGTCCTCTTCACCTCCCAAGAACCAACGCGATCGGAACGAAGAATACTGCAGAAGAGAGGGGAACATGCGTAAGTCCATTGGGTGCGGTGACGTGACGCGCCTGGAAGCGTCGGTGAAACCGTGGATCCGCTTCTCCGCCTAGGAGGCTGAGCAATCGCTTCTTAACTTCCAGTCGTCACTTGGCCACTTCTTATCTCGCCTCCACCCAGCACCTTGTCTCCTGCATCTCACACACTCAACCACACGCCTTGACTTTGGCCCTGCACGTCGATGGGAGAACGCTCTAACCTTTCCACAGATCGAGTTCGTTCGCAAGCACTGGCAGAGCGGTCTCCAAGCTACCGGAACAGCCCCAAGCCAGCGACTATTCATCCCACATACAAAGATAGCAATCTATCAACACTCCACGAAACTGGCGGGTTGAGCAAGCGAGATGGGCGTGGATCACCGTCTGGATCCTCAGCCAGCAGGCGAAGACAGGGCGGGACAACAGGCAGCAATGGAGGCATCAACGGTGGTACAGCAGACGGAGGATACTTCGACAGCGCCGAGGAAGCCACGAGAAACAACGCTGCAGACTCAACAGCTCAGGCTGCACCGCCTCCCGCCCCGCCTCCGCATAAGTCCGAAGATGCGAGCGCTGGAGATTCCGCCATAGCGTCCGAAGGAGACGACAACGGCAAACCACCAATGACCAAACGCATGGTCGCAGGCATGAAGCGATTCGTGAAGCACATGAAGAACGCCATCTTCCACAGCTGGGTCAACGTCTTGCTGGTCTTCGTGCCGATTGGCATAGTAGTGGAGGCGCTCAAATTGAGCCCAGGCATCATCTTCGGCATGAATGCCATCGCCATCATTCCTCTTGCTGGGCTATTGAGCTTCGCTACCGAAAGCGTGGCCGCCAGGCTGGGTGATACGCTGGGCGCTTTGTTGAACGTGTCTTTTGGCAATGCGGTGGAGCTCATCATCTTCATCATCGCGCTCGTCAAGAACGAAATCGCCATCGTTCAAGCATCGCTACTTGGCTCCATCTTGGCGAACCTCTTGCTCATTCTCGGCATGGCTTTTCTGTTTGGCGGCCTCCGTTTCCGAGAGCAAGTGTACAACAGCACCGTCACGCAGATGAGTGCTTGTCTTCTCAGCTTGAGTGTCATGAGCTTGCTACTGCCGGTGAGTTTATTCGCTTCCTTCCTCTTAACATTGATTTGCTGACATTACAACAGACTGCATTCTACCAATCATTCAAGAGGTCCAACGCGGACCTGGCGGACAGGCAGGTCTTGAAAGTCAGCCGCGGCACCAGCGTCGTGCTCCTCCTGGTCTACATCCTCTACTTGCTCTTCCAGCTCAAGTCTCATGCCTACATGTATGAGAGCACGCCACAAGAGGTGATCGATGAGGAGTCACACCCTGGAGTTCTCGCCGACATCATGAACTCGTCATCGTCTTCGTCATCCGACGATTCTTCATCCTCCGACAGCACGGATTCTGACACTTCCGGTTCTGGATCCATCGCTAATGCCGGCAAGAAAATCAAGCGGGTGTTCAAGAATCGACGTCGTCGCAAGTCGAGTGCTAGCAGCATTACTGGTTCTGGCAAGAACTCAGCTCTCAGCTCTCCATCAATTGTTGCGGAGAACGGAAACGGCTACTTGGAAAGCAATGCAAACGCCACTCAACACACAAGCAACCCGTCAACGCTGACCCCTGTCTTTGGCGGCGATGAAGCGGACGCTGACCAAGAAGACAATGCCAACGGCCCCCGCATCAGGGACTTTGGTGGCGAGCAGCAGAACTCGCTCGCGGAGAGCTCTTCTAAGTCTCCGGAGCGTAAGAAGCCGCGCAAGAAGCATCACAAGAAGCACCACAAAAAGCGCCACCAAGATCCAAAGCCGGAGGAGAACGAGAAGGTTACTGGGATGGAAAACACGATTTTGGATGGTCCAACTGTCGAGACTCCCATGCGCGAAGAGGAGACGAAGGAAGTTGGCTTCGCAGATCAAGTCGATGTCATCGGCAATCCGATCTCGGGGATTGCGCCGACGAAGTCGTCGTTTAACATGCGACAGCTCTCGTCTCGCGCTAATCTGCCGCGTCCGGCTCTACCCAAGATGCTGTCCAACAACGTCTTCGTCACCCCAGCGCCTGCGCTCAGCCAGTCGCCGCGTCCTTCCAGGCAGCCTCGCTCTCAGTCCAGCGGTGGGGGCCGTCTCCGCCGCACAAGCTCGCTCCCAGACCGCCTGAACAGGCCGGTACCAGACGCTTCTACTCGCACTCCGCCTATGTCGACAGTCCTCTCACGCACCGACCCCTTGCCGCCTTACCAGCATCAGCGCTCGCAGCTGCGTAAAGTGCTTTCCGAGAACGCTGAGCAGCCGGGTGGCGAAGCTGGAGGAGAAGCGCCCGCGATGTCTCGCACTGCCGCCGTCGTCCTGCTGCTCTGCTCCACCGGCCTTGTCGCCATTTGCGCTGAGTTCATGGTCGATGCCATTCCCGAGATGATTCAGGACAGCTCCACAATCAGCCAGGCCTTCATCGGGTTGATCATCCTTCCCATTGTCGGCAACGCCGCGGAGCATGTTACGGCGGTCACAGTCGCCACGAAGAACAAGATGGATCTCGCAATCGGCGTTGCGGTTGGCTCCAGCATCCAGATTGCACTGTTCGTGACACCAGTCGTCGTCCTGCTTGGCTGGATCTTGGACACTGATATGAGCCTCTACTTTAACATCTTCGAGACCATCAGCTTGTTCGTCACGGCGTTCGTGGTCAACTTCCTAGTTCTTGATGGGCGGAGCAATTATCTGGAAGGCAGCCTGCTGATTGCGGCGTACGTCATCATCGCTTTGGGCGCATTTTTCTATCCTTCGCGAGATAACCAGAGCGCCGTCGGTTCGGTGGGTGGCTCTGGATAGGATGGGAAGTCGGCGCTGCCACCTTGATGTGTGATCGCGATGAGGAAAGTGGAGGAGGCAATAAGAGTGGTTTACATGGGTATGAGCTTTTGCTTTGCGCTGGATGCGCTATCTGGGAAGGCCATGAACGAAAGCTTCTCAATGAGAACGAGCGATCGTGGGCTGGAGGACGGTAATTATAGATTGTACAACATCACTACGTCTCCGTGTTTGATTCATACTTCATGTTACTTCATTTTGACTTGTCGCCTGCACTGATTGAAGCGCGCAATCGCTGGAACCTCGAAAGTAAGCTGGGGGCAGCAGGCTGCTTCTTCTGCTCTGCCCCTTTGTTCTGCGCCTCCGTCTTGATGACTGGCGCCTCCCCGTCGTCCAGCTCAGCGCTCAACTCCGTCCGATCGTCCTCAACGTCGACATCCTCAACCTCGTCACTAACCTCCGGCTTCACATCGAAGGGATTGGCTGCCTTCCTCACTGTCCCTCCATGGCTCTCAACCGCCTCGGTCACGTCGCCCAGCAGCTTCTCCACGTTGGCATTCATCCGTGACACCTTCGCCTGTGCGTCCCTCTTTACTTGCTCCCGCATCTCCAGCTGCTCGTCGCGACTCTTTTTCTTCATCTCCTCCCCGAACTCTACCACAGCGTTGTCGCGGGACTTCTTGTACGGCTCGAACTGTAGGTCGGTGAGATGCTGCAGCAGGACGTTGTTGTATTCGACCGCTTCGTCCAATTTTGTTTGGAGTGGATCGATGAGCATTGTCTTGGAGTACCCGACCTTGTAGGCAGGGACTTCCGGCAGCAGCTGTACTGTAAGTGGCATCGCGGAGGCGTGTTCTTTGACTTTCTGAACAGTGGATCTGCGATCACGAGCGACGGAAAAGATTTCGAGAAGTTCTGTCTGGTCGGCGGCGCGGAGTTTGCGGTCGAGTTCCTCGCGGCTGAGGGGGGTTCGGTCGTCGTCGAACGTGAGTAGATCTTTGCCGGTGGAGCCGTTGTCGTCGCTGTGGCCGGTGATGGACCGAAGAGACAGTGAGCGCCATTGCGGCCCCAGCGCGCGAGGCGTTCGGAATGCGCGGACTACATTGCCTGGCATCAAGGTGGTATGGCTTACCGTGTTGTCGTCGCCGTTCGAAGGTGAAGTCGAGCGTGACGAAGCTGAGTCATCCGCCAAGAGTTTGCGAATTTCGTGCTTTGGGCGAAGCTGCACCTCATTCCCTGGGCATTACTCACATTCACCGCGAGGCATCCACATTCACCACGGCAGCGACTCACCTCCCGACAGTATAAGAAGGCCACCGCCCCCTCGAGTCCCGGAAGTTACCACAAACACCGCCATCATGTCTCGCTTCTTCCAAGGCAGCGACAGCGAAAGCTCTTCCGACGAGGAGGAGTTCTCCCTCGACGAGGAGGCCGAGGAGGAATCTTCCGAAGAGTCTTCGTCAGAAGAGGAAGAGGGAGATGAGGAGTCAAGCAGCGAAGAAGAGGGTGGCAAGACTGGCGCCAGCCGATTCTTGCGTGAAGCATCAGATGAGGAGTCCGAGAGCGACGAGGACAAGGTCACCGTGGTCAAATCAGCCAAGGACAAGCGGTTTGATGAACTCGAAGGCACCGTCAGACTGATTGAGAACGGGGAGAAGATTGGCGACTGGAACGCTATCAACGACCAGTACGACAAGATGAACCGCCAAGTACCAATCCTGATGCGCGACCTGGATGGCAAGCCGCCGAAGATGTATATCAAGACTATCGCGGGGCTGGAGACGACGGTCATGGAGGCGTTCGAGAAGCAAAAGGTCACGCCAAAGAAGATGAACCCGATTGCACAGAAGGGTTTGAATGCTCTGCGACAGAAGATCCGGAAGAACAACCGCGACTACACTACCGAGATTGAGACTTTCAGGAAAGACCCTGATGAGTACATGAAGGAGGATGTGGTTGAGGAGGTCGCGCCGACCCAGAAGAGGAGCACAAAGAAGCCATTGATGTCTGACGAGAACGCAATGGATGCGAACGATGATGGCTTCACTATGGTGGGTGCGGGTGGCAAGGCGATGGTTTACACCCCGGAGAGCATTCTCAAGCATCTGCGCTCGATCGTCGAGTCGAGAGGAAGGAAGAACACGGACAGGCTGGAGCAGATTCGGGTAATGGAGAGGCTGCTCGACGTTGCCGTCTCGGAGTACCAGCGTATTCGAGTTCTCCTGGTGCTGATCGCGACTCGTTTCGACCTTACCTCTGGTACCGGCTCACAAATGTCTCAAGAGCAGTGGAAGCTTGCGCAACAAGAAATCAACCGCCTTTTGGTCATCCTGGAGGAGAACAGGGATATCGTGGTTGTTGAGGCGGCGGAGGAGTGGGAGGATGACGAGAAGCTCCCAACAATCACCAAAGGAGAGCTCTTCAAGATCCCGGGCAGCGTTGTCTCCTTCGTCGAGCGCCTTGACGACGAGCTCACCAGAGTCCTGCAGCACGTCGATCCCCATACGGCAGAGTACGTCGAGCGGTTGCAGGATGAGGGTGTTCTCTACACAAACGTCGTCCGTGCCATGCTCTACGCCGAGCGTCTCCAAGAAGATGCACGTCTGGAGCGGCCCAAGGACAGCACTAACCGTGTGGTCATGCGCCGTCTCGAACACGTCTACTTCAAGCCCGCCACTGTCATCTCGAAGGTCGAGGACGACACCTGGAAGGCGATTCCGGACCAGCTGGACTCGAAAATCACCCCTCGCTCGGAACACAGTGATGTCGCATCACTCGTACAAAAGCTGGCTGGGTACCTTTTTGGCCACTCCGAAGGCATTATTCGTGCCCGCGCGATGCTTTGCCAAATCTACTACCTCGCACTCCACGACAACTACTTTAAGGCTCGTGACATGATGCTCATGTCGCATCTCCAGGAGACCATCGGCAGCTTCGACGTCAGCACACAGATTCTCTACAACCGCACGCTCACACAAGTCGGCCTCTGTGCGTTCCGCGCCGGACTGGTGTATGAGTGCCAGACTGCTCTGCAGGACATCTGCGGCAGCCAGCGGCAGAAGGAACTCTTGGCTCAAGGTCTCCAGATGCAGCGCTACTCACAGATCACACCCGAGCAGGAGCGCCTGGAGAGGCAACGGCAACTTCCCTTCCACATGCACATCAACCTGGAGTTCCTCGAATGCGTTTACCTCACCTGCAGCATGCTGCTCGAGATCCCGACCCTCGCGCAAGCCGGCAGCTCGCCTGACCTCAAGAAGCGCGTCATCTCGAAATCATACCGCCGCATGCTTGAGTACCATGAGCGTCAGATCTTCACCGGTCCACCAGAGAACACTCGCGACCACGTCATGCAGGCATCGAAGGCGCTGGCAGCTGGCGAGTGGAAGAAGGCGGCTGAGTTCATCACCTCCATCAAGATCTGGGATCTCCTGCCGAAGAGCGCCGAGATCAAGAAGATGCTCGAAGGTCAGATCCAAGAAGAAGGCCTGCGGACATATCTCTTCACCTATGCGCCCTTCTACGACACCCTCGGCGTCGAGACGCTGGCCGGCATGTTCGATCTCCCGGAGACCAAGGTCACCGCTCTCGTCAGCAAGATGATCCACCACGAAGAGCTCGCTGCTGCGCTCGACCAAGTCAACAGCGCCATCATCTTCCGCAAGGGTGTGGAGCTCAGCCGGCTGCAGTCGCTCGCGCTCACGCTGTCGGACAAGGCGCAAGGCCTCATCGAGTCGAACGAGCGGGTGTTGGAGCAGAGGACGCAGGGTACGGCGAATGCGTTTGAGAGGCAGGGTGCTCAGCGTGGTGGTCGTGGCGGAAGAGGCGGAGGACGTGGTGGTGCAAGAGGTGGTTTTAGGGGGAGAGGTGGCGGGAGCGGCTTCACGGGCGGTGCACTGGGCAATGCGATCAGGGCTCAGTGAGCTGGTTTTGTCTCTGGCAATGGCGTTTGAAGGATCATGCATGGGTAAAGTACGGGATCACTGCTAGCTTGCAGACGTGAGCGGAAGCGGACTAAGTAGATTATGAAAGGGAAAGTTCCCGTGATATGCGCTTAATGAGGCTCATTCTTGATTGTATCACTGAGTGATGCAGACTACACTGCATGTAGTCTCCACAGCCGTTGCACCTGAGTACAACTTCAAGTGTGCTTGGTTCGATGAGCGCCCCATATTCTAACAAGCTTCATCAAGGACCCTGCCCTGGCTCATCGTGGCACTTGAGTCGTAAAGGATGACAGCAGAGCACCTTCTTTTCTCGGACGCGACGCGAAGTCCCTCACACCAAGTCGCGCAGTACGCGTACTGGAAACGCCGCGGAGCGCTCTGCGGGAGCATAAGACCTCAGCGAGCTCGGTGTTTGTGCTCAGTCGGGGTGCGGTGATGAGCACTTGAGCTGGTCTGCGCCAGTGTATCTGCAGTCTCCGATGTGCCATTTGATAGTCGTCTTGTAGTTTGATGTGATCACCCGCCTCCATTCAGCCAGGCAGGAGACCAGTACTCTGTTTCTTCAGCTTGAAAGTCAACCCAGACCAAGCTGTCCGCAACGAGGTCCTCCATGATTGCAATAGCTCTCGCCCGCTCCCAGCCTAGATTGTCCCGCAGCATAGACACAGTCACGTAACCCAGCACTTGAATGACCTCAAGCACCGTCGCCTGGTCAGGGTTCAGCTCCTTGGGCACAGATCGAATGTACTTGTTAGAACCCAACATCGTAGTCTTGAACATGCCTCCAAGCGGCTCCAGCGACTCCAACGCACGTTCAATATCATCCTCCGTGACCTCCATGCCGCCACCGACCAAGCCTCTGCCCTTCTCGATCCTCTTCTTCACGTCGGACAGCGCAATCATGCCTCCGTTCTCGTTCCTCGTCTCTCTACACACCTCTACCACCCGCACCGCCAGCTCAAAGTAGAAGTCATTGACACTACTCCCCAGCATCTTCGCCCACACACTCTTCCCGCCCGCGCCAGCCGCGCCCTTGACATTGCTACCCGCTAATGGATCCACGCCAATAGCATTGCACATGCGAGCGAACTCTGCTCGGAACGTAGGATTGCTGCGAATGTCCTTTGCGTGCGTGAGCGAGAAGTTGTGCAGGGCGGCCTGGAATACGGAGAGCTGGTTGGCGAGGGCGTCGGCGTGAGAGGTGCGAAGGGCTGCACCATGGCGAGCATATTGGTCAGAGGAGATGGCGGCGTTGGAGAAGGCGTTCAGACCTACTCCGCGACGGGAATTGGCCATCTCGACGCTCTACTTTAGCAACCTGTATCCCGTCGTAGATGTAGAGCAAAGGCGTCGAGGTTGACGTGCTGGCGGCGAGTCGCCCAATCGGGTAAGCGGCTTGGCGAATCTCAATCCACACGAACGCCATTTCAACCCGCAAAATTTCGAGCTGCACCTCCTCTCAGTCGACCAGCGACGACGACACCCGCCAAACCACTACCACATCACCACTGTCGCCATGGCACCGAACAAGAGGCAAACGAGCGTCAAGATGTATGTCACCACAACACCCGCCGGGTGAAGAACTGCGACTCGGTCGATCTGCTCCAGCTCAAAAGGCTCGCTTCATTGCAGCAACACGCATACAACCGCATGTCTTCATCCTGCACGTTGTCAGCAATGGCTCGCCAGAATGCGAAACAGCGCTACAGCAGACAGCGGCGTCACAGCCATGTCTGATCCTCTCGCCTGGCGAGGTCTTGTCGGCTGAGGCTCGCTTCACGCACCTCACCGATCAAATTCCACTCGATCGAGTACTCAGCGGAGAATGCTTGAGAGCCAGCAGACGCCTGTGCCGCAGTTCTTCGCTCGGAGAGCAACACCAGTATGCTCGCAGATCGACTGACAATGTTCGTGTAGGACCGTCCCCACCAAGGACGAGATCTTAGTGCCCGAGACTCTGCTCAAGAAGCGCAAGAGCCAGGAGAAGGAGCGCGCCGACAAGGCTCAGGAGCGTGAGGCCAAGAAGAAGGTATGCTGCCACTGTTCTCTTTACCTTCCACTTTGTGATGACATCCACACACACTTCGACTAGCTTTGGCGATGTTGTCGATCTCTTTAACCATCTTTCGGGTCTGAAGAAGCAATATCGCATGGGCGTACTTTTCACAGCCGGGTGGACTTGTTGCTAACTTCATCATCAGCAATCCAAGGAGAAGCGCCAGCAGATCTTCAAGCGTGCCGAGTCCTACGTCAAGGAGTACCGCGACGCAGAGCGCGAGAAGATCCGCCTCTCCCGTGTCGCCAAGCAGGAGGGCTCCTACTACGTCCCCGCCCAGCCCCGCCTTGTCTTCGTCGTCCGCATCAAGGGTATCAACAAGATCGACCCAAAGAAGCGCAAAACCCTGCAGCTCCTCCGCCTTCTCCAGATCAACAATGGTGTCTTCATCCGCCTGACCAAGGCCACCGCCGAGATGCTGAAGATCGTCGAGCCCTTCGTCGCTTACGGCTACCCCAACCTCAAGTCCGTCCGTGAGCTCATCTACAAGCGCGGATACGCCAAGTCGACCGACAAGCAGCGCATCCCGCTCACCGACAACGCCATCATCGAGGAGCACCTGGGCAAGTACGGCATCGTCTGTATGGAGGACCTGATCCACGAGATCTACTCTGTCGGCCCCAACTTCAAGCAGGCGAGCAACTTCCTCTGGCCCTTCAAGCTCAGCAACCCGAACAAGGGCGGCTTCAGACCAAGAAAGTTCAAGCACTTTGTCGAGGGTGGTGACTTGGGCAACCGCGAAGAGTATATCAACGCGCTCATTCGTCGCATGAACTGAGCCTGGGCTGTTTGTGCTGCTTGACGATGCGTGAGGGATGTTGTGAGATGGCTCGGTAGTTGCACGGGAGGCTGTCCCCAGAGAGAGTTGCAGAGAGTAGATGCGACATTCAGCTAGCAATGCAATGGAGCACACTGTCCCAATCTCAAAAGCGCCATGCCACTTGACGTCTTCTCCAGTCTCTCTCACCAGTCGTCTTGTTAGATTGTAGAGTCTCTTTGTCTGATCTCTTGTCCGGTCGGTAGTCCAGTTTCCAGCGGACGAAGGCCTACTCAGACCAATCTGCCTCGTTAGATATCCATTGTGCAGTTTAGGGCTTGCAAAGTGCACACAACTTGACGGTAGCTTGGAGAAAGTTGCGTGTGGTCCATATCAGCACCTTACAGGTGGTAGAGATGCTTTCATTGATGCAGCTATTTAAACTTTCACAAATATCTTCCAATCCGCTTGCGCCAACCGGGACAATATGGTGAAGAACGAACCGACCAGAATGAAGGTCGCCCCGAAGATCCAGACTTCGGTGAATGAATACGCCGCCAGTATCGCTCCCGTTATGGGAGTACCGCAAAGTATGCCGAGAGAAACAAATGCGAAACCCATGCCCATCCACGTTCCGATCAACCCTCTTCTCGTCGGCCCTGCTAGATGCACATAGCATGTCGCTGGCAGACTGACCAACGTGCCAGAGAAGAAGCCGTAAAGAGCTAGAATGACGATCACCGCCGCGGAGCTCTTCGCAGAAATAAGACAGTATTGAAGGACAGCGCACATCGTCGCGCACGGCGTGAGGACGTTGAACGGCCCGATGCGGTCGGCGATGATGTTCGGTATCAAGCGGCCGAACGTGCTCGAGCCATTGAGTATGGCGAGGAGGTAGAACGCCAGGTTTGGCTCCATGAGTCCAGTCTGCAGCACGAAGGACTGGATGTAGAAGAAGGGGGCGTAGAGGCCGATGAAGACGAAGAAACTGCCCAAGTTGAAGAACAGAAAGGGTTTGATTTTCCAGGCAGGTAGGTCGAGGAATTTGCGCCGTGAAGCCGGGAGGACGCGGACGCGCAGCGCGAGGTTGGAGATGCCGAGCGTGAAGAGCGCGATGAAGCCCATCACCCGCGTGGCCCAGGCGAAGCCAATGGTGGGTTGGAGCTTGTAGAAGATAATGGGGTATAGCACGCCGCCTATGCTGCTCCCCGACGCGGCGATGCCGGTAGCGGTGGCGAGCTTGGTGCTGAAGTACGTGGAGAGTATCGCTACGCCGGAGGTGAAGATGAGACCCGTGCCGATGCCGATGGCGATGCCTTGGGCCAGTAGGACTTGCCAGTACGTACTGCAAAGGCTCAGCATCATCTGTCCGAGCACGATGAGGAATGATCCGACGCCGAGCAATTCGTGGACGTAGCCTTTGTCGTAGATGGGGCCGGCGACGGAGCCGACGAGCATGAGGAGGAAAGCTTCGATGGAGCCGATCCAGCTGAGGTTGCTCGGGGAGGTGCCGGCGAGGATGCCATTTTCGTAGTACGTCTGGTAGATGCCGAAGGCGTTGATGATTCCCCTGCAGAATGTAAGTCAAGGAAAGCCATGCTTTGCTGCCCAATCAAGACTTACCAGGTATTGAAGAAGACGAAGAAGGAGCAGAGCACCTGAAGCCATGCTGTCGCACCACCGTCAGGAACAGACTTGACATTGTTGACCGAATACTGAGATTGGACTTTGGTGAGGGTTGCTCCGTCGCCGTCCTGTACGGGCTGTTCAGTGGACTTCTCAATGTCATCGTGGGCGGCGAAATTAGGTTGCAGAGCTTCGGCCAGGTCATCGTGTTCGTGCTCTTCGTTGTGTTCGCCGTATCCCGCTTCCTTTCGGACGCCAATATCCTTCTCGCCTTCATCGGAAGTGGAAGAGCGCGACATGGTTCTCTTCTCTCCGTCTGCGGGTCAATGGCGGGTTGACTTTCGAAAGAGGAAGCAGAATTCAGCACATACGGCTTGGACAGAGGGACAAGGAGAAGTACCACCAGGCCAAAAGAACAGTCCAAACCGATGATTAGTATGCCTCAGCCGTAGCAGAACGAAACCGAACACGACCTACCATTTCTGCTGCGAAATCAACCCCATCAAACAGATGGCGCATTTGAGGGGCGGCAGCAAAACCGCCATCGTGCCGCATTGCCGACTTGTAGTCCACACCTCTAGCTGTAGATCTTCGGCGTCGGCAGTCGTGGCCATCCTAGGCCTCCAGCGGACCCTCCAATGCGCCTGTGAAATGAGTGCTTGGATGTTCATTCATCCAGAATCATTGAGTCGCCGCTCTTCTCTGGACTTGTCCAGCTGACTGAAGGCGTGCTGACTGAACAAAATCTTGCTTACTGCTGTTCAGTGTGGCCGTCGGGCGTAGCTCGGACTTTATGCTTTTATGGGTCGATCGAGAACACGACTCATACTGAGATATAGCTCTACACATACTGCTTAAGGTGTAACACCAAATACAACTCCCATCTCACCACCTGAACAGCGCCCAAGCCTTTCCAAAAACCGCTCTCAGTCGTTCACGCAGATACCAGCCTCCAAAGCTCCAACTTTTCCACCGCAGCTCCAGAAACCTCCCCGAAACCAAGCCAAGGAACCAAACCAATCGAGAAACCCAAGCGTCCACAATGCCGTACAACATCGCCCGTAGAAGCATGCCTTGGTATCATCCCACTCCCATAACACATCAATGCCTCAATCACGAAATCCATCGCTAAACGCCACCCGCTCGCTATGCAAGATCTATATAATGGAAGCCGTGAAAGACAAATCGCTTGCTCAAACGCGTGCAGCACCTTTCTCACTTGTTGCTCTCCGAACACGCTCCCGAGCTTGGAGGCGTGTCGATGTCCCTCTTGCGCCTGAACAGCCGGAAGCCCGCCCTATGCTGTGCCGATGGCTCGACGGATTCTTGCCAGAGCAAGTTTTGCACAGCCAAAGGGTCGATTGCGGTGTCGAGCTGGCCGGCTACCCGTGCCTTCTCCGCCTTGACGCGGCGTACCTCGCGCTCCGCGACTACTTGACGCATAATGCTCGCGACGGTGTCGGGTCCAAGTCTAGCTGCAAGGTTGAAGTGCTCGAGCACCCATTTGAGCAGAACGAATGGCAAGGAAAGCAGGATGCTCGAGATGGTGGTCGTAGTGGGTGATGGCCGTTGGTGTTCTTCTTCAACCGGAACCTCGCCAAAGCGGATTTGGGACAACCTGGGATCAGGCTTGGGCTGCTGGCTCTCCTGGCGTGGTGGTACTGAGGGTAGGCGCGAACAACAGTCGAGATGCGGAGCTGATGCATCCAGATAGAAGTCTGTAGGAAACATATGCACAATGTAGTCCAGCATACGCTGAAGCAGGTGCGTCGCGTGCGGATCGTACGTTGGTGCTCCCAAGGTCTCCGATCTGCTGAGCGAGTCGTCGCTAGATGATGTGCTTGCTCTGTCTTCACTGCCATCATCGACAATCCACACATGGCTAAGCCCTCCCTGCAGAGTGAACCCCAGAGCTGGCAACATGCTGTCCCAGTGCAGCAGACTGCTGGCAAACTCCACACCTCGGTTCGCCAACGCTGGCACCTTCAGCCAAGCTCCGATTGAGATGTGCTGAAGTGCGGCATCCATCTTGTGTGCAGAAGAGCCTGGTCGGTGATGGCCAAGCTGTTGCAGCGGACCACCATACAAGTACTTCAGAGCATCCAAGAACGTCGCTATGTGGTTGTAGCGCCCTTGCAGGGTCACCTCGACGTCTTTTACGTTGGGCTCCGCGGCTTTTGCCGACCTAATGAGTTCTAGTAGCATAGGACTGCGGCTCAGGATCATCTTGTGTCCACTGAAAGAAGATGTAAGGCCTCTCGCGGTGTCCGTGATCTGAAGATGGCAATCTGCAAATTCGGTATTAGAGGCTTCAGCGAGAATGTGACTGCGCAAAGCATCCGCATTCTCGAGATCGGCGTTGAAGCCGGGCGCTGGGAAGGGTGGCGGAGGGGGCTGTTGGGGTCTGGGATGGCTGTACGACATAGGGCGGGGTTGAGCATGCCTGGATAATGGAGCTCGTGATTCTTGCGATCCGTTCACGTGGGTAGGTGACTGGACAGATGGCGCAGTATCGGCGCCATCTAGTGCGCCAGCAGAGGCTTGCGAGTCCGACCGCGAAGCACTGCCATTGGGCATGCGTGGCTCAGTAGGCGTGAAGACTTCTCGAGGCGGGTAGCGGAAAGGCGTATGAGCATGAGGATGATGATGTGGCGCATGTGACACTTGCTGTCCGTAAGGGTGACGTTGGTTCCATGGTGGCTGTTGTTGCTGGAACATTCGTTGACCATATGGCTCAGACACATGGTGGGCATGGCCATTGGGAACGAAGTAGGGCTGTTGAGGACCAGGCAGGGGAGGAGGTATGAACGCAGAGCCACCGGAGAGTGGCGGAGCGGGTGACGAAGTTGGCGAATCCTGCGCTCCAAACACAATGCTGCCTACACTTGGGTGGGTAGGATGAGCATGCGATAGGAACTGTGGGCGGTTGGAGTGGGAAGAGGCAGCTGATCTTGGCGTGTGTTGCTCGGCAGAGGGGATGAAAGCGGGTGGTAGCTCAGTCCTGATGTGCCGCATGTCAAACTTGTCCTCATTCTTTTGTGCAGACGGCGGCGTCGTGATATGGCTCGCTGCCTCCTCAGCAGCAGGTGGTGGCGTTAACGAGCGGGTTGATGCCAGCGTCGGCGGGTCCGGCGTATCACCAGGAGATAGTGACATTGCTGCACTCCCTTCTGATCCTGGCCTGGCAGCTGCTGCATCTTTGACCGCATTGACCGCTAGAGGTGCTTCGGCTCCCGCTACCGCCTCCGTTGAAGAGTGGTTTCCACCACCGGTGCTCACAGCCGACGCGGGCGGGACATCCGCAGCAACTGCCTCCTCTGTCTTCCCTGTCACATGCTCATCTTCGATTTTTGCATTCACCTCCGGCTTCGGTCTCGGCTGAGTCTTCGCAGGCCGAGGCCTCGTCAATGCCAATGGTATAGCTGGAACCACACGTTCGGCGGTGGGTCGCCTGCGAGGCGCGCTGGACTGTCCGGATGGTGCGGGTGTGTTGTTCGGCGGCATGCTTCTCGGCTCAGTGCTCTGCGAAGATTCGTTTTCGGGTATACGGGTTACAGTTCTTCCTATAACGCTTCGCCGTTCTTCCAAGATGGGCTTGCGTCTCCAGCAGGCGGTCGAGTTGCTTTCTACACTGCTGGAGCGCGTTGTGGACGTGGAAGGACGGGCAGTATGAGTATGGAGGGAGAGAAGGTGGTGGAACAGGGCAGGATATGATGACAGAGCAGAGCAGAGACCGAGATGAACCTCTTGAGAGTGTGGAGAAAAAACGCTAGACCGAAACGCCTTGACCACGACCCCGCCGACCACTCTGTTATATCCGAACATGCGCCGTCGTCAATCTCTTCTTGCTTCATCAGTCTTCATTGTTGTGGGAGGCAAGGCGATGGAAGTGTCATTCGAATCAGCCGGGCGTAACTGTGTTCTGGTCCAATGGTCGCCTTCCTGGGGTAAGCAGAAGGCAACAGTGAAACCACACTTCATCCAGTTGAGGGACTCGGGGACAACAAGACGTATTCGGTAGGTCGACGAGGGTAGTCGAGTTCCTTGGACGCGACAGCCTGACTGCCACTTCACATCTTCACATGCATGCCCACGGCAGTCGCTGTCCCTGGCCCTCGCCATGCCTGCCGCGACAGAAGCCATCTCCTCAGAAGCATTCGAAGATGCCAGGCCATGTTGGCTTGCACCTGCTCCATCTCATTGCCCTCGGTATGCCGAGCTGTACTTGCATCGAAAGGTCTGTTTTCTTCCGCATCATTGTTCTCTCATTTCTGTCATCTTCCAAAACCTAAGATACTCGCGAGTTGCATCCTACAGTCTATACCTTTCCCTCTCCCGACAGCAGCTTTTTATTCTCCGTATTCATTCCACACCGCGGCCAACCAACACCCTGAACGGACATGACGACTCAGCCAAACAACCCCAGACGCCGCTACAGAGCAGTCAGACAGCAGCAACGCCAGCGAAGCACTGCTTGGTCTGATGCTCACGACTCAGGGTATGAGACGGGGAGCAACCTGAACTTGAGCATGCATCTTCTTCCTCAGCCATATGGTGTGTATTCCAACGAAGATTCTATTGTTCAAGTCTGATGATGCAAGGCAACCGCTTCGACGTCCTCAGATCTCCGACTCCACCACCAGTGTACCACGAGCCGCAGCCGAATCCCTCGCTTGACCGTCGGTCTCGCCACTACCGGAACTCGCGGGAGGAGAGAAGGCGCCGGGCAGCAAGACGTGAACGCAAGAAAGTCAATGCTGCGCAGATGCTGGACGAGCAGTTGTCGAGGGACATTGACCGGACGCTGCAGCAAGCAAACATCCAGCGACCATTGCCGATCAAGATACCACAACGCCCTCTTTTCAACTTTACAGCACCCCCTCAACCCTCGCAGGTGGCTCATATACCTGCGACTCCACCTCAGCTGCCGCTGCTCAACTTCGGCGGCCTTGACTTGATGGACGACTTTCCCCCTCTGACGCCATTGAAGCTGTGTCCTACACCTCCAGCTCCGTCTCCGGTGCTTCCATCAATTCCGAGCTGGTGTCCTCCTCTGCAATCTTTCAACGCCAACAACCTCATGTTTAGCGAGCTGCCACTGTTCTTCGACCTCTCCAAGCTGCCGGAGCCGAAATCAAAGCCAAAGTTCGATGCCACCTACCAGGAGCTGCAGATCTGGCGACCGTTGCGCGGCCCGCAGCCGAAGAAGCACTCACGTTACTTCCCTCCGGCAGATCAGCCAAAGCCGAGCGTCACTGCAGCTTCTGCAACTGCCTGCAGACTCCACGCTTCCGACGAAGGCATCCAAGACTTCCAAGCTGCAACCAGGCAAGTGATCGAAAAGGCCGTCAGCAATCTTCGCGCTCGTCACACCGAGGCCGCTGAAGCGTCGGCCGCTAATCTGTGGCGTATCCTCACCTCGCCTGAGCTCCCACCACGTGACGCCAACAATGAGCCGTACCTTGACAGCTTCGCCTACCGTCCTACGGAAGACGTCTTCACCGCTCCTCACGACCATTACGATCACCGGCTTGAGACCGTGGGTGCAGCACCGCTCGAGCTTGACAGTACCGAGGTGCCATATGTGCACGCAAACAGTCTGACCGGCCATGCCAATGAACGAGGTAATGATGCCGTGCCGGCTTCGGAGCCTGAAATGTTCGTCTTCGATGATCACCAGGAATCCATGCCGTTGGGGTGGTCTTCCTATGGATTGAACGAGCTGATGGTCGATCATGACTACGATGTGAATACCCTGCCTCCACTACCATCCTCTCCGGCTCCCGAGGACGCAGAGACGGGCTCCGTCATCACAACTCCATCCCCCGAGCGAGCCGATCCCTCTGAAGACGAGTACTCCGCAGTTACTTCAGACGCACAGTACACCAGCGAAATGGCCCTCTTCGATCTCTCCTCTGCCACTACTCCTTCCGCTGAAGAAGACCTCATTGACGTCGCTACCTTCCTCGCAACGGGCCATGGCAGCAACTGCTTATGCACCGACTGTGAAGACGAATGGCTGCAGCTCGTCGATCTGGATGATGAGGGCTGGGTAGACTACCCAAACGACGACACTACCACTCTGCCTTCGGATGGCTCAGATTGGGAATGGGAATGGGGCTCGCCCATGTCTGAGGATGAGAGGGAGGTGGGCAGGAACCGGTGTTCGAGCCAGCCGGGGTGGGATGAGTTTTTTTCTTCGCAGCCAAGCTCAGTGGCTCATGGACCTTGGTGAAGGATGCTGTTCGTGAGACTAGGGTAGTGGATGATGGTTGGTAGGGTGTTGGCTTGTGTTTAAGGGGCGATTGGCTGGCCGTTGTGTTACCTAGATTTCTGTGTTTCGCTGCTGTTCGTATGGACCTATGTATGTACAACACACATTGACCTATGTTCGACCGTTAGATATGATGTCTGTAAGGCGGGATGTCGTGCCGCTGTCATAGTGGTTTGCCTCTTGTGGCTTGCACCAGCCGTTGGACATCGCGTCATTGCAATATCGAACAATTGCCGCATATTGAGCGTCTGGCGGATGTACAGAGTAGCAATACACCATTAAGTGCTGTGGATGGTTTCGAGGTGGAATACGACCAGAACCACGGTCAACACGTCTCCTTAATCGCTTCATCTCCCTCGTGACGTTGGTTCACAGGGACAAAGCTGCCGGTCTCTCGGATTGAACCGAACGTGTTGGTGGGGAAGAAGCACGCGGTCCTGCAGGGATCGTGTGAGGCGCGTGCCTCGATACCAAGAATTCATTCACAACCTGGAACTCCTGGATCGTGCATCTGCACTACTATTCCTTGACGTTACCCTTTGTCTTGTGTACATATCTTTTCGGCATGCACACAGTCTTGAAATACGGCGCGGTAATTATCCTTCAGACGTAGCGACAGCATCAAGACCGAGCAGGGGCAGCGCATTCATCCCCTTCTCGTGCCGGATTACACAGCAGGGAAAACCGGTCACCAGGTCGAGACAACTACGTCAGCACCCAACATGGCGACAGTCAACGGCGACAAGAAAACCCGCAAATCCTACCTCCTCTCCGTCACCCCCGTCGACTACTCCCTCACAGCAGGCACCAACATCCCGGCGCCCCCACAGTCTCCTACCAAACACTCACCAGTCGAACCACCCACACCAGGTGGAGGACCCTTGACATCACACCCCTCGCATCCAGTCACACCATCCGGCGAAGACACATCAGAACCAGACTACAGCGTCATGTCCGAAGCAACGAACCCCAACCGAGACCGCACGGATAGCTTGCGCACCACAACCTCCCCCACCTCCGCCGCCCAACACTCCTCATCACCCCAAGATCCGCGCCGAGCAGGAGGCGTGCGCCGACTCTTCAGCCTCACCAACCTCCGCAGCTCCTTCAGCAGCTCACGAACCTCCCTCAGCCTCCCCCGCCAATCCCACGACATCCAACCCCAGCAGAACGGCGTCAAGCGGCCCTCCTCACCCAGCGTGGCCTCTACAATGGCCCCGTCCACCATCGAGCCGAGACCGCAGCTACGGCAGAAGAAGTCAGGCGGGAATTGGTTCAAACGCAAGAGCAGCATGTTTTTGAACGGCGAGCTGGAGGCGGTGAACGAGAGTCCGAGGCAGCAGGAGGCGAGGCAGGAGACGAGGCCGGATACGAGGGAGAGTAAGCGGGTGAAGGAGAATGGGCCACCGCCTCCTTTGCTACCCGAGATCGGGTCGTTGAGGGGTGGGAAGGTTAGTGGGGATATGGGGTGGGATGAGCAGGCTTTCAGGAGATGATTTGGTCTTTTTCTGTTTTGTTTGGCGTTACGGAGCAGTGCATCACGGCTTTGGAGGGCTCAGTCAGTCCAGGACTTGTGCATATGGGAGGACATGGGAAGTCACGGAGCAGGCATCTTGGAATTCTCTCACGCGAGCGAACTGCGCAGGAAGCAGTAACTAATGGCAGAGCCAGAAGCAACGAGGTCAGCGACCCGAGCAGTGTGTACTTGTATCAAAGCATTGTACCTACTAAGATACCACACATGCATATGAGATACCCAGGGACTTTGTACAACAGTTCATTCGCTTCGCTACAGACTCCCTCTCTCACCAAACTCCATCACCGCTCTTGCTCAGTCCAGTGTCCCTCCTTCCTAAAGAACCTCGCCGGGTCCGCAGCCGTGAAACTCCTTCGCCGCCTCCCAGACCCTGGCAGAGCTATCTTGAGCAAGCCGTTGGGATCTGTTTGGCGGAGCTTGTCCTCCTCCCTTTGCTTCTCTTCGCGTCGCCGTAGTCGCTGCTGTTCGGTGTCGCGCGGCTTCTTCTTCCAGACACTTGGTCTGTTCTTCCAGAGGCTGAGGAGTGGCATGGTGTTGGCGATTGGGATTTGGTCGACGATTGGCTGTGCTGGCAGGAATGTTCGGGTTGTCCTTGTTGATTGACACGATCGATTCATACCTGATAGCAAACTCGCCATGCCTCGGGCTCGTGTGGTACTGGTCATGTGTCGTACTAAATAATGCCGAAAGATCGTCAAACAACGCCATTGTCCATTTCGTTCAGTCCACATCCATCGACTCCGGCCACTCGTCACTCTCAGCAGCAACAATCGACCTGCGAACATCACGAGCTTCCTCGTCAGACAGCCCTATCGACTCGAGAGGGTTGCACACTCTCAGCGGCAGTTCGACTGGCGCAACGACACCATCACGTACCGGATGTTCACCAGCAGCCGAGTACATCGTCGCTGCGTCCAGACTGTCAGAGGAGTCGCCGTAGCCTCTGACCGTGGCAGGCTGCTGCACCGCTCCACCTGCCGAGTGACACTGACATCCCGTGCAATGCACTTCCCGCCGCTGCTCAATTTCCACCCTGACCGTCTTGGAGACAGCCATCCGACCATCCGCCTGACTGTCGCCGGAGTCGGGACGTGATCGTTGCACGCCAGCAACCAAGTTTCTCCCCGCATCGACGACGGACTGGCGCAAATCTCCGAGCGTGCCCTTGCGCCGGAGTGGTTGCGCTGCCGGAGAACGCTGAGCGCCCTCCGACCTGCCGAAGCCGAAGTTGTACCATCGGCGGCCTGAAGCGGGCTGGGCGTTCTCCTCGCCAGCGCCGAAGCGGAACATATCAGCACCCGCTGTAGAGGCGGCGCGCGTGTTCTGCTCTTGGAGATCAGGCGCAACGGTGCGTGGCGAGATCGCCTCATCCTCCGCGATCTCTACACCAGCTCTCAAGGCCGGATGTACGACCTCGGGGGCATTCGCACCTCGCGAATACGGCCGTCTGGCCACTCGCCGAGGCGCTGTCACGCTGTCGAAGCGCGACGCATTCCCCGCCGCAGAGCTGGTCGAGGCGGAACTACAGTCGGCGCGGCAGTCCGTCGTGTCGAGTGACATCTCTGAGAAGCGGCTCGTTCGGTAAGGCGTGGACTGTCCACTGCCTCTTCCCCTCGGTAGAGGGGTCGGTTGGCCCATCGCCAGCCAGTATGGTGGCGGCATGCTTGGTGGCGCCATGGAGATGATGTTGTGCGGTTGTGCGTTGGCCATGGTCGATTTTGCAATGTTCTCGAGAGGAATGATAGAAATGATGCAGCTACAGCGGTGGATGTGAAGTTTTGCAGTGATGAAGAGGATGGAGAAGGAATTGAAATAGCAGTGCGAGAGGAAAAACATTCGATCGTACTCACCTTCAACTCCATCTTGGTTGGTGGTAATCTTCAAGAGGTATCCTACCGTGGTACTGGGACAGGTATTGCAATAGACCCACGCTTATAGGTTGGAGGGAGGGGTCAGCATCTGGAGGATAATGTACCATCTTGTGGTGTGTTCTCTCGGGAAATGGCGAATGCGCATATGCACTTTATTGCTTACAACAGCAACCTCGAAGATTGGAAAATGGAGAAGGTGTTTGGGAGAGGCCACGAGAAGAGATGAGGTTGAAAGCTTGCATGTCGACCTCGCGTGGCCGAGCTCGGAGGCGCGTCACTGCGCATCAGAGCTTCGAGCTTTTGAATAAAATCAACAATGCATTCAATCTCTCTCCTTTCCACAAGCGATGGCGCCTTCAAGAGCGCTGCTCAGTAGCACGACAACCTGCACTCGCCAGCTCCGATCTCTCCGCGCCCCAATTAAACCATCCCAACTCCGCTCAATATCGGCCTACGGCTACGAACAAGCAAAATGCCTAGCCTTCGATAAATACGGCGAGCCCAAGGACGTTCTCAGACTACACAGCCATTCTATAAGTCCTCCGCATGGAGATCTCGTAACTGTGCGGTTCCTCGCTTCGCCCATCAATCCTGCAGACATCAACCAGATCCAAGGAGTATACCCTACGAAGCCATCGTTCACGACTTCCTTATCGACAAGTGAGCCCACGGCCGTAGGAGGCAATGAAGGCGTCGCAGAAGTGCTGTCAGCCGGCAACAAGGTCAAAGATGTTCAGAAGGGTGATTGGGTGATCTTGAAGAAGCAGGGGTTTGGGACATGGCGGACGCATGCGCAGACGACGATGGAGAATCTGGTGCCTATTAAGAACAAGGACGGTCTGAAGCCGGAGCAAGTTGGCATGGTGTCTGTCAATCCATGCACAGCATATCGGATGCTCAAGGACTTCGTCGATTTACAGCCTGGGCAATGGTTCGTTCAGAATGGTGCGAATTCCGGCGTAGGACGGGCTGCGATTCAGCTGGGCAAGCTGTGGGGTTACGAAAGCATCAACATTGTTCGAAAACGAGACAGCGGCATGGAGGAACTGAAGCAGGACTTGCAGAGCCTTGGTGCCGACATTGTGGTCACGGACGAGGAGTTCGAGAAGAAGGACTTTCGCGATCGTGTCAAGGAGGCTACCAATGGAGGCCGAGAGCCCATCCGTCTTGGTCTCAACTGCGTCGGCGGCTCTCTGGTTAACTCAATGGCGAAGCATCTGGCTCCCGACTCGCACATGGTGACATATGGCGCGATGTCGAAGCAGCCAGTACAGCTTCCTACTGGCCTGCTCATCTTCAAGAACATCAGCTTCGATGGTTTCTGGGTGAGCAGATGGAGCGAGCAGAAGCCGGACGAGAAGGAGAGATGTGTGCAGGAAGTGCTGGACTTGACCAGGGAAGGGAAGTTCAAGGATATGCCGATGCAGCCTCTGACCTGGAACTGGGAGACGAAACAGGATCAGCTTGTACAGGCAGTGCAGGGTACATTAGAAGGTTTTCGCAGTGGCAAGGGGATCTTTGTGTTTGGTGAGACATAATGACAATCTTCTAGAACACGGATTACTGGTTTACTTCGCAAGCCGCCAGTGCAGTTAAAAAGAGATGTGTACGTATATGTATCATACCGAGCAGGCAACGAGGCATGACGCATCTATGAGCGCAAGAGCATCAGGTATGAATCACCATTGTACCTTTTCTATGCCTTCACGCATCGTGATCAGGCGAAGTAGCTCTTGGGGGATCAAAAAGTGAAGTTGAAGTGAGCAAAAGTGAAGTGGACACTGTGGGACTACCGAGTGAATTAGCATTGGAACCCAGAGAGGGTGAAGTTTCCCCGAAACATTCGCTCTATTCACCAGGAGTAGAACGAAGTGGAGGGAAATTCACGTGGTTTTGTCTTACATTGAACCCACGACCTTTCACAAACACTGAGAAAGTGCGAAGCGAACTTGAAGAGTCGTTAGACGAGTTCGAGCAAGGTCGGTATACAGGATTTCTTACAATCATACCCCTAGACCAAGTGCCCGTGTATATCTGAGCACGTTTGATACATAAATATATAATAGCGAAAACAATGGATTGATTGTTGAAGTAGCACCCCTGACTTCAATCCCTTCAAATGACTGTCAAAAAGGGTGCAAAGACCGGGAACAGGAAGTTAATGCGAGCAGTGACCTCAAAGATACCACTTCATAAGGCGCCCTACTACTGTAGAAGAGCTGCTTCGATCGGTAAGGGACAACGAGAACTACGACGTGACCCGAAAATCACATCACCCAGCTCATCCTAGATTTTCAATCTCTCGACTACGAAGGGAAGAACCATGGAGACCGCAGACTCAGCGGCACTCCTTCTCCTCGACCTCCCACAGGCGGCTCTAGCTGGCATCGATCTCCTCTCGTTCACGACCACGCCACGCTTCAGAGGAGTCAAGAATATCCCACCAAGCTTCCACTTCGCTTTCGTAGGAACCAGCACAGCTTTCTCTGAGCGCCACGGAGTCTGGATAAAGATCACTTCAAGTTCTACACCTCCATTGATAATCGCCAAGTGGGACGCCGCCACTGAGAGCCTGAGCTTAGGAGAAGACGAAGCAGAAGTCCTACGATGGCGGGCGAACCTAGGCAGCATCTGGCGAGAAGGTCTCACGCCGTATCGACAGGTTGCTACCAAAGGTGCCGCTGCCGAGCCAGACGAGGATAGTAGCGACTGGGACATTCTCACATCACGCATCACAGAAACGCTACTCACTCGCATCACTGGTACGAAGTGGCACTTGACTTCAGCCAGCTCCTCGAAGCGCGATTTAGAAGACATTCCTGGCCTCAATGCCAAAGACCTCAACCTGGAAGCCGAGCAGGAACTCTACTTCCTCCCTCTGGACCTCAAGCAGACGTGGCGAGAGGGTGCTACTGGCCGCGAGAGGACAGATGCGGCACAAGACCGCTCTTGGGCACTCAACAATGTCGTTGAACAGCATTGCACGAATGGAGATGCGATGGAGATTGTGGGCGAGATGCAATTTTGCTTCATTATGATTTTGACAATTAACAACTTCTCCTGCCTGGAGCAGTGGAAGCGGATACTATCTCTGCTCTTCACCTGCAAGAGCGCCGTTGCGACAAACCCAGACCTCTTCATCGCAGCTATTGCAGCTTTGCGACTACAGGTCCAGCACTGCAAGGACGCAGAGGGCGGGCTGATCGACCTAGCAGATGAGAGCGGCTCATTACTCAAAGGCCTGCTCGTTCGCTTCCGCAAAGGCGTTGAAACTCTGGGTGGGATCGAAGTGCAGCACGTTGTAGACGAGCTCGATGATCTTGAAGATTACCTCCGAGAGGAGCACAACTGGCGATTCGGCGGTGCGTTTGCAAAGACCGGTGTGCTGGAGTTGGAAGACGGAGAGCAAGTACGCATGGACACCACGGCGTTTGATGAAGACGACGAGACTGGGGAGTTTGCGCCACAGATTGTGGATTTGACCACGGAACAAGCGAGGATGTTGAATTTGCCTGAGACTGAAGATCTACATGTTAGTCTTAGTCGGACGTCGCTGAAGGAGGTGCAATCGGAGGGGGACCACAGCGACGACGATGACGACGATGACACTGAGGACAACGTCAGCGCCGGCGGCAATGACAGCAGCGACGAGTCGGAAGACGAAGCAGACCTGGACGACATGGACACACGGTACTGAGCAACGACAACGATAAGACTTTCTACATTCAGGTCCTGTGATTTCGTACAGCAACGACGGTCACCACCCAGCCCTTGCAACGGGCTTATACCCAAGATCTACCATCCCCAAAACGATCAGTGTACAGGCGCAATCGGACTCGCCGGCGTCACCACATCCTCCTCCTCAGTCCCAGGCTCACCCTTCGCAAACTCCTGCGGAATCTTCTCCGACAGGTTGATCGCCACAAAGCTCTTCGGCAGCTTCACAGTGTGAAATTTCGCTCGCAGTGTCTCCAGCACATCCTTCCAGTTCCCGTGCGGCGTCAGAGTGCGCCTTGGCGCGTTGCCGATGCAGTGTTTGCTGTCCAGCTGCACATCAAGCGGGTCGAAAGTGTGGCAGCCGGGGCTGATGGAGATGCGGATAGAGTAGTTGAAATTGGACTCTGGGTTCGATGGGTCGATGTCTGCTTCGGCGTTCTCGGACTCGTACAGCTCGAAGCAGATTTGCGAGAGGTAGTCGAGCTCAGGGATAGCATTGCGAGCGATCTTCGTTTGGACGCCGCCCTCCAGGATGCAGTTGAGAAGCGTGTAGATGTGCGATTCCTTGGTGAAGTAGATGAATGATTTGGCATCATCAGATGCCTGCACTTCTTCAAGATCTGTGACAATCTCTTTGAGCAGAGGCAAACTGGTCAAGAGGCCAATCTCGAGCTTCTCGGAATCTGTGATGCCGTACTCTTGCGGTCCAATGAAGTCGAACAAGACCTTGCTCAAGCCGTACAGCTCGTTCAGCTTTTCAAGGCGGATGTCGCTCCTCAGCTTGGACTCCGCCGCAGTCCCAGTGCCCTTGTACAGATTGAAGTACGAATCTTCAGCACTCTCTCCAGCCATTGCTGTGCGGGCAGCAGTCTTGATATCAGCAGATCGCCGTTTGATGCCCATTTTGTGCGATAGCGAATGCCGCTCCTTCTCAACGGACGGTCCGAGGTTCGAGGATGCGGTGCTCGCAGTGCCACTCCTCGAAGACTTGTCCGTCTTCTTGATCTCGTGGTCACCCTTGGCGTCGTCTGTCGGCTGAATACCGTTGTGGGTCTGCGCAAACTCCTCTCTAGCAACGACCGATTCCGTGCGTGTGAGTTTCCTCGCATCCCCGCCTTCTTCCTCGAGCAGGATGCTTTGGCTGGGCGTGAAGATCCACTCCAGGAATTGGCGATTGTGCAAAGCGTCGAACTTCATCGTATCATACAGCTCGCTGATCTTGCTGGGGTCCACCTTCTCGGGGTCCGTGAATTCGTTGAAGAGCTTCTCCCAGCGTTCCTTAAACAGCTCGGCGTCTTCGCCCGTGCACCACCTAGATTGGACAGACGAGGCAGAGTTCGGGGGCTGTGGTCCACCATTTGAAAGCGTGAAGTCAGTGTCTGCGCTGCTTGTGGCAGGACTCTTTACTCGCTCGAGAGCACTGACAGCATCCGATGTCTGTAGCTTCGCGAAGTTATTCCGCATGACTCTGCGGTGGAACTTCATCAGATCGACAACATTGCGGACAACAACGTAAGGCTCCGGCGTGTTCTTCGGCCATGCAAACTGCTCCGGTACAGCGTAGCCCTGTCGCAGCAGCCCTTTGAGCTTCTTCTTGACCTTGTCCATCTCATCTTTGGCTGCATTTGAGTCGTCCAGAAGGTCCTTACGAACACGGATGTGATGATCATCCACGTCCTTCTCGTTTCTGAATGTGCCGGCGAAGATTTGAGCGGAAGTGGTGACGCGACGCTCAGAAGAGGTGAAGATTCTGACATCGTTGAGAACATCGCGGTTCATCAGAAGCAGATCGTTGCGCATATTGTCGCCCAGCTCTGCCGCTTGGTATCTAGCAGAGTGTGTTGGCTCACCGCCCCATTTCATAATCAGCTGCAACTTGTCCAGGACCAGATTGTTGTCGGCGGCTGCAGCTCGCGAAAGCGTCACCTCTCCAACCGAGTTACTCCTATGCTGTGATGGCGATGAGCCGCTTTGATCGGTGCCGGTCTGAGACTCTGGTTCAGCGGTAATCTGTTGTTTCCCTGGTTCGACCTCGCTTTGATTCAGGGAGCCAGCTATGGGCTCAGAACCACCGTTTGCGTTTGATTCTTTCTCATGCTTGCTCTTCTTCTGCTCCTTGCCTGCACCATCTTTGCCATCCTTGGGCTTCTTGAACATAGGCTTGATCTGAACCTTCGTGCCGGGCCATGCGCCTTTCTTGGCCAAAGCGTTTTGGAGTATTTTGAGCTTCGAGGCGTCTTCCAGCCCTCCATTGAGTGCCTCTTTGACAGCCACCTGCACTGACTTCAAGGCTGCTTCGCCTACGAGCAGAACCTCTTCTTGGTGACCTTTCAACAAGTCGACGAAAGGCTTCGAGTGGAAAGTGAACTTGAACTTCTGTTTTGGAGTACGATCAGCGTGTCTTACCACTGCCACCATGCCCTTCAGCTTCCACTGCGATTTTGAAGCTGGCGCCGGTAGCACACTCGGCACCTCTACCTCCGTCGGAGGTTCTTCCAATTCACTAGACGATGCTGGTCTCTCCGGCGAGTTGACACCTCTTACATTCAGATGCGAAGCAACTGGGGGTGGAAGAGAGTCGTGCTTCGGGACGGAGGTAGGTGGGATCTTTTGCCAGCTGGAGGCACGTTCAAGCGTGGGCGGCGAGGTTATGGGACTTGTTGTACCGCTCGGACTGCGTGCTGAGGCAGGATGTCCCACCTTGTGCGCAGCGTGACTGACATGATCGCGAAGCTGAGAGATACTGCGAGATCTGAGAACTTGCTTGAGAGTATTTCGATGGTTCCCTCGCTCAACGTCGACCTTGCTAGCCTGGGTCTTCTTCGTGCCGCTGGCGTTGTCTGGAGCGCTGGTAGGAGGGAAGCTGTACTCTTTGTCATCCGTCTCGCTCGGTGTGGGTTGGCCTCCCCAGCGTAGCTTCTCTCGTATGAACATGGCTTTCAGTATGCTGGCACACTTGTCATAATATTCATTGTTGTCTTTCACAAAGCTCCAGCCATTGACATCGATCACGTAGCTCGAGTCGCCAACGCGCAGCAAGTCAAATCCGCAGACTCTCTGGCCGAAGCCAGATGCGATCTTAGCAGCCATGACCTGCTCTTCCTTTGTGAGTGACGTGACATATCGCACTTCCTTTCCATTGGGATTCCGCTTAACCACTCCATCGACGACAGGAGATTTGCGGGTCTCAGCGTGGCAAAAGTCAGGCCCAACCGTATAAGCCTTCACATCTTCTGCATTTTCCACCTTAAGGAACTGCTCGTAAATATAGCTGGACTCCGAGTCGGAAATCACGCAAGGTATTATCAGTGTCGCGTCCTTCTCGCTTGACTTGTTGTTGACCTTGCGGAAGAGTCTTCGACCACCGCCACCTTGCGATTTCGGGTAGTAGATGTTGATGTTGTGATCTTCGCCGCTGACGGGCTTTTCAACAAACGGCTTGGTCAATCGATGACCATCGACGACGAGTGTGTCGTTATCGTCCTCCATGTGGATGTCCCTGGGAGGCGGCAGATCGCCACCACGGCCTTCAGAGCCCGTCATTTTCACCCCGGTCAGCTGGTACATCCGCTGTGAAATGTCCATGGAGAGCGTCACTGGTCCGCCATCACGATTGATTTCGAGTCTGGCTGGTGTTGGAACACCGAGCTGGTCCAGAATCATCAGGCATAGTCTCCGGTCCCACAGCACGGTCTGCATCGGCACGTCGTTCACGCAGAACGGTCGTCTCAGCTTTGCGTAGGCAATAGCTTTCTCAAGTGGGAATCCATCGCTGAAGAAGCTGATCAAGAAGTCGCACACCGGCCAGTTCTCGACGTTCTCATCAAGAATGACTTTGTCGCCAAATATTACCACGTCGAAGTCGTTGTCCTTGCCCATGAGACGATTGAGGATATTGCGCGAGGGCTTACTACGCGCCTTGCTGTCCAGGGCGCAGATGCCGATGGTGCCGATCCTGTTTGGATTCTTCTCTGCAGTTGGCCGCTCCATGGAAGCTGATGTGCTGCTCGGACCGCTTGTAGAAATGCGACGAGATGGAACAGGCATACGACCTCGACTCTGTCGACTCTCCCTGGTGAATCCTGGCGTAGGAGAGGTGGGAGCGGTGACAGATGAGCTGGCTGAGGTAACAGATGGTGCGGTCGTGCTGATGAATTGTGCTTCCTTAAGCGAGCTGTCTAGTGATGGTGATAGAGCGCCGTTCTGGCTCTGCGCTGTAACAGATAGATGCTGTGTAGCAGTGGTGGCTCTGTTGCTGCTGTCTGCTTGCGCTGCTTGCTCGTCAGCTTCGACGGCAGGGGCGTTGACATGGGAAAGCACACCGTCCTGGTCGGAGCTTCCCACGACAGAGCTGGGAGCGCTCTTGCCATGAGGCAGTGAGATCTTCTTGAGATGCATGTCGACGAGCCCCGGATCAGATCGTCTCTTGCTCGTGCTTGCAGTCTGGCTGTCGGGATCTGGCACGAGAGGGCTTAAAATCCCAGAATCTCCAGCTGGATCGCCATGAGTAGTCACACCAGCTCGCGGCAGCTTTGCTTCTTCTTGCTGACCACTGATGGAGCCCATGATTTCTTGATCCACACTCCTGATAGAGTTGGAGCTAACCCCTTGTTGCCGCGGGACGGGCTTGAGAGCGGGCGGTGGCATGGAGAGACTGGCGCGCTCGACATCACCAGATGAAGGCTCTAGGTCAGCATGTCGAGCCTTGTGTTGGGACGATGGAGCCCTCTGTAGAAGCTTGAACGATGACTGGGACCGCTCCGACTCGCCCGAAGTTGTGCGAGACAGCGGTTCGAAGTTCGAGGCCATTAGGACTACGGATCATCTGGTGTTGTACACAGCTGCATCCCCAAGCGTATGGTGTTGTTCTAATAAGGGACCCGTTCTCGAGAAGTTCACTCTCTGGGCCCGGCCATTCACGGCCAAATTCGAGCATGTGATTTTTGCATCTTATCGATAAGCCCAAAATGGTTTAGCGGCTTCGCGAAGTCTAAAAAGTTACGACAGCAGACTCGAATGCGCGAGCTTCTCTGGGAGCGTCGACGGCAGCAATGATGGATGTAGACGGTGAGCACGATGCGCCGGTCGCGAAACGGCAGAAGCTCACCAACGGCACCACCAAAACACACCTCAAACCTGGCGCCTCACGAGTCTTTGCTCCCTACCGAACGGTTGGTCTGGTCTCTCCCACAGCGGTCCCATTCACCAGTGTCCCCTTGGGCAAGACGACCTTCCAGATCACTACCTCTGTCGGCCGGAGCCTGCAAACATACGACATTCGCAAGGGTTTAAATCTCGTCTTTATCACCAGACCGCAGACGCCCGAGACCATCACCGCCAGCGCAGCATGGAAGGAACGAGTGCTTGCGGCATGGGGTGGACATACACCGGGCTCTGGGGTCGGCGTGTGGGTGTTCAAGCGAGGCAAGAAGGACGCTGAGCTTGAGCTACCTAACGGCTGGGATGAGAAGATCAAGTGCTTCGGCATCTTTGGTTCGTGGATTGTGGGTGTCTGCGAAAAGAGAATGCTGGTATGGAAGAGTGCGACGTTCGAATTGTACACCGCACTACAAGGCATATCTCCTGTGCCGCTCACAAAATGCATCGCAAGTCTGCCCACCTTCTTGAACAAGGTTGTGGTTGGGCGTCAGGATGGGAGCGCGGAGATATGGAATGTGTTGAGTGGCAAGCTTGTATACACCATCTTTCCACCTTCATCAACATATGGAGCCGTCACAGCCATCGAGCCGACCCCAGCTCTGTCTCTGGTTGCGATTGCATACGAAAAGGGCGCCCTCCACATCCATGACATCCGGACAGACCAGACAGTGATTCAGCTCAACACATCTGCTGGGGCAGCGGTCACCTGCATCACTTTTCGAACCGACGAGTTAGGCGCCGGCGACGACGGGCAGGAAGCTGGTGTGATGGCTACGGCATCGACAAATTCTGGCGACGTCACGCTGTGGGATCTGAATGAGGGTGGGCGCAAGGCTGGTGTGCTCCGTGCTGCTCATGCTCACCCGACGCCGTCGTCTCCTGGTGGCACCAGCAAAATTGAGTTCCTGGCCGGCCAAGCAGTACTGGTGAGCAGTGGACTTGACAACAGCCTCAAGACGTGGATCTTCGATGAGACACCTTTCAACCCCATACCAAGGATACTGCATTCTAGGAGCGGTCATGGCGCGTCAATCACGAATCTGAAGTTCATTCCCAGCGCTTCCGACGGCTCTGATGATACCGGGAAATGGCTGATGTCTGCCAGTAAAGACCGAAGTCTGTGGGGATGGTCTCTCAGGCGCGATGGACAGAGCACCGAACTCAGCCAAGGCGCTCTTCAAAAGAAGGCTAAGAAGCAAGGTCTTCTCGCTGCTGGAAGTCGCGACAGTCTGGAGGAACTCAAGTGTCCACCAATCACAAGCATAGCCTGTAGCTTGAATCGAGACGGGGGCATAGGTGCAGTGCCCGGGAAGCATCCTGTCTGGCACGCTGCGAAAGGAAAGGGTGTTAGCGCCGAGATCAGTTCCATGACCGGCTGGGAAAGTGTGGTCACCGCGCACGAGAACGACAAAAAAGCGCGCACTTGGTTCTGGGGCCGCAAGAAGGCCGGCCGCTGGGCTTTTGATACCGGTGATGGAAGCAATGTCACCTCCGTGGCGATGTCTCCGTGCGGCACTTTCGCTGTCGTTGGCTCAGAGAAAGGTGGCATAGAAATGTTCAATCTGCAGTCTGGACTTCATCGCCAGCGATATCCGGCTCGATTGACGCCGATGCAAGCCAAGCAGCTGAAGCTGGACATGGTGAAGCACGGTTTAGAGGAAGATGATGATGGCAAGAGAAAGTTCTACCGCGGTCAAGGCAAGCATGGGAGTGTTGTCGTTGGCTTAGCCGTAGATAGTCTGAACAAGACTATGCTTTCTGCCGGAGCTGATGGCAAGATTAAATTCTGGGACTTCGCATCCGGACTGCTGAGCAGCGAAATTGACTGGTCCGCCTTTACGAGTGTCAGCGCCATGCGCTACCACCGCGAGTCCGATCTGGCTGCTTTTGCTTGTGCGGACGGATGCGTCCGAGTGGTCGATATCTCTACCCAGAGACTTATACGTGAGCTGTGGCCTTCTCGGCCCAACATAACAGAGCTGATGGGCGCACGCATCGTCGACTTCTGTTTCTCGAGCGATGGCCACCAAATTGCGGCATGCCTTCAAAATGTCGTCTTGCTGTGGGACCTGCCGACCGGTCACCTGGTGGACGCCTTCAAACTCACGGCTACATGCACAAGTCTGGCTTTCTCTCCCACTGCAGAGTTTCTTGCTACCGCAACAGCTGACTCTGTTGGCGTGGACATCTGGAGCAATCGCTCCTTGTTCACGCACGTGCCGGCCAGACACATCGGTGCAAAGGAGTTGACGGAGATTCTAGCAGCTGACGCCCACGCTCCTACAGTGAGCGGCGACGGAGGTGAAGTACTCGTACAGACCGACCTCGATGAAGAAATCGAAGACGATGATCTCGACTTGGTCAACGGCGGCCCTAACACGGACGTCGACCAACTTGCTTCCGACCTGTTGTCTCTTTCAGTTGTTCCTCGATCTCGATGGCAGAACCTACTGCACCTCGACCTCATTCGACAACGCAATAAACCTGTCGAGCCACCCAAAAAGCCAGAGAAGGCGCCTTTCTTCTTGCCTTCTATTCAGGACCGGCAGACTACTTCGGCCGCTCAGAGGGTTGGCGAAGCAGATGCTTTGGATATTGAGAAAGAAAGAGGACGTGTGCTGCGACAAGCTAAGGAAGGCACGCAAAGTACTTACACAGCATTACTACACGACGCTCGAGACTCAAGCGACTATGCGCCGTTCGTCGACCATTTGAAAAGTCTCGGACCATCTGCAGCGGATATCGAAATTCGGTCCATGCACACCGCTGCTGAAGACGGCGAGATGCTGACTTTTGTTCATGCTTTGGAGTGGTTGATGGCGCAGAGAAGAGATTTCGAGCTGGCGCAGACTTGGATGGCCGTCTTCCTTCGCATTCATGGCGACGTTGTTCTGGCTGATGATAGTCTTCGTGACGCTGTTGAAGAGTGGTCTGCTGTATCGGAACAGGAGAGAAGGAGGGTGCAGCGCTTAGCTGGATACTGCAATGGTCTTGTTGGATACCTTCGAGCTGCTAGAGTGTAAATGAGACAGGAGTGCTACCTTCGACGGAATTGCCGTACTGATCGAGGAGTGCGCTCCAATCGCTGAACGGCGATCACCAGGAACTGCGCTGCCTTCTCACAGCCTTCAGCTGTCCCGGAGAATTCTTCTGATCGACACAACTTCGCCGGTTCTGTGGGATCCTGCCAACCAGCGGTTCCTAAATCGGGCTTTCCGAGAGGGCATTTCTGGCCCCCAACGAGCACCTCACCTTTCGTCACGCAGCCCTCTTCTGTGCCCGCGTCGCAGGTTCCGTACGAGAACCACAACAAGCTTCGAGACTACGCTTTCGTGGATTTCAGCGTGCATGCCGACAGCTGAACGAGGAGCGAGGATTCTTGCGCGACTGGTCAGATCGCTCTTCTGGCTGCCGCAAGGCACACAAGCATCTGCGAGGGATGCGCATGGCTGAAGCTTTTCGTCATCACAGGTTGTTGGACAGTGTGGATCAATGGCTGCTATACTCCGATCATAAACGGTACTGTTCGCTCTGTGCCTATTCCTGTTCCAAAGTTCATCTCCGCTTTCCGTCCCATGATCAAATTTGTCCCTCTGCGCTTCACTGAGTGCGCGCACGTTGAGAGAAGCAGCAGTAGGCAGTTGGAGCCATGGCAGTCAGTCTAGCGCAGTACTCAAGGGAGGTCCAGTCGCGGCCGCGAGCTTCGACGTTACCATCGAGTATGTCAGCCTACGACCCCAGCGAAGTGGTTCCAATGCCCATGCCGGAGCAGTATCATGTCGGACCACGGGCACCTATGAGCCGACCTCACGGCTACAGCTATACATCTATGCCAGCGCAATGGCAGCCACAACGATATCAGTATCAGCCTCTTCCGCAGCTGTATTCTCAGTCAACGCACGCCCAACAATTGCCAGCCTACTACGCATCACCAGCAGAATACGAAGACTGCGAGGAATACCGACCGCCATTACCACCGAGGCACCTCAACCCGATCAACAACCAACAGCCGCCCAGCCCACAAGACTCAAGCCGCTCTAGCTCTAGCGAAGGATCATCGCCATCGTGGAGAACTTCAATCGAGCCAGATCCACTGCCACCGCACAGCAACCCGCAGACCCTCACGCAAAGCCAAAGCGAAGCATTCGCCGATTCGCAGCCCATCTCCGCTGTCCACATAGGCAAAGACGACGTCCGCAACCACTCCACCGGCCTCGCAGATTTCCGCATAACCAGAGAAGCGGCAAAGATGCCATCTTTCCTCTCCACTAAGCCTCTGATCACGGTGACCAAAATCAGCACTTCCAAAACCATAGGCACGATCCGCTTTCACACCCTCACCAGCAACCGCATCGATCTCAACGTCAATGGCCATGAAACCTCGATCTCGCATCAAGGCGTCTTCCACAACCGCTGGGGCTTCCAGGCGACTTCCACCCCCAATGTCGACGAGCGCTGGTACTGGAAGAAAGACCGGAGTACTGGTGGAGCAATGCTGGGGGACACGAAGTGGAATGGCAATCTACTGGCAAGGATGAAAGGCGATCTTCTCACGTTCGAGAAGCCTAGGTTGAGTGATGACAGCTATGAGGAGATTATTGTCAGTGCGGTCGCGATGGCGGAGGCGGCGAGGAGACAGAAGAGGAAGAGCGATGTGGTGGATATTGCTAGTGCGATTGGAGAGTTCACTGGATCAGATGGAGGTAGCGGGGGTGGGGATGGTGGTACCGGGGTGGAGGTAGCTGATTCTCTCAGCGAACAATCGGATAACTGTTAATAAGCGATTGCAATGTCGTGCTGCAGGAGCTCTGGTTCCTCGAGAAGCAATGTCATGCATGTTTACCAACGACTAGTACTTTGTTCATTCCTTGAGAGCAGTCTAGTGACCATCTGTCGTGCCGTTGGTCTTCTCGTGCTCCACTCCATTCACCGCACCACTTGCTTGGCTAGTATAGTCGATCGCAGAGCTGAACTTATCGTCCCAATGCATCTCCCAGTAAGTATCCCAAATCTTCTTCGTTAGCGGGCCAACGTTTCCTCCATTAACCGGCTGTCCATCCATCGTCGTGATGGGCATGACACCCCCCGCCGTCGTACACATGAAGCACTCATCGCATTGATAGGCCATCTCGACCGGCACAACTTCAAGCCGGATCGGAATGTCGTGAGCACGTGCAGCATCGAAGACGCTCTTGCGAGTGATGCCCTCCAGCACGCCTCGATCTGGCGTATATAGCGACCCGTCCTTGATAAAGCATATGTTGTACCCAGAGCCCTCCGTGATATTCGCATCACCGTCAGTCAGGAAAGGGTACGTAGACTTCCGGTCAATAGCCTCCAGTATCCCACGAGTCAAGTCACCCCATTGCAGGTTCTTAATCGTCGGATCAAATGATCCTGGTGGAACCCGTCTGACCGACCTGGCAATGATAGCGTCGCCACCCATGAGCTGCATTTCCGGCGGCATGACCCATACGTAAGGGACCGCGAAGATGTAGAGACTGTTCTTCAAATCTTCGGGTTTCTTGCCTTCAATGATACACTCGCGCATGCCCTCCAAGCCTCTCGTTACAATGATCTCGACGAAAGCATCCTGCATGCCGCCTTTCACGACCATGTCAATCAAGATCCGTCTGACTTCTGACCGAGGGATAGGGAACTTCATGCGCATTTTGGTGCAGCTCCTCTCCACTCGGTCCAGATGGTCGTCTAGTCGAAAGTATCGGCCGTCCCACACGGAGGGTACATCGTAGGTCAGATCGCTGTGCATGAAGCCTTGGTCGATGAGAGGAATGCGGGCTTCCATGAGCGGGACAAATTCGCCCTCAACCCAGGCGATTCCATTCTTGAAGCGGTTCTTGCTTTGCTCCTCAAACGCGGTTAGACGTTCACGGTAGCCGGAGAAGACAGTTCCCATGGAAGACATCGTGCTGAAAGTGTTGAAGATGGAGAAATTAGTGGTTGTTTATTTCTATGAACTCTCGGGACAGCAAGAAGAGAGTTCAGGTCGTGGCTCAGAACATGGGGGACTTAAGTCAGTGATGTGTCCTATGTGAAGTGGCCCATGAAAGCTCACACCTGATAAGATACCTCATACAGGCAATGGTAGACTGCAGCTTACTCGCTTAGGTGAGTGCCCCACCAAGTAGTTTGGCGCTCGTTTCGGCCGTGGTGTTTATTCTGATGATTACTTCTGCTGCCAACCCATTGCACGATTACATGTTTCCAGGCGCACCTGCTAAGGTGTATTGTGTTTCTGAGCAAGCCAGAGCCTCGGAGCAGGTCTGTCGGGAGTGGTGCGGCGCCAAAATGTTGGACCAAAAGCTTCTCAACGCGATGACTGCGAACCCGGGTCAACTTCCAGCACCAAATCGCTGCTGTGCAAGAGTCCGCAGGTACTCCATAGTCTTCTCCTCCTTTTTCCTGTGCTCAGAAAGTCGCTCTTCCCTCTCCGCTTCCCTGGCCCTCAATCTCTCTTCCTTCCTAAGCTCCCGCTCATTCTTCTGCCTCTCTTCCGCCTTCTTCTTAGCTTTGAAGTGATCGACACCACCGTCGCCCATCAGATCGCTCTCCCCAACTTCCTCAGTGCCAGCATCCTTCGACTCGGCAAAAGCACGATTTGACATAGCCGCATCACGCTTCTTCTCCAGCTGCCGTTCGCGCGAGCCTGGCTCTGCACGCGGTGCAAGTTCTTCCAAGCGCTCCTTTTGCGCCTTGCGGTCCTGCTTGCGCTCGTACCGAAGGTCCGCTCGCTGGTTTGCTCGGTCCTCTTCTGCTAATTCTCGCTTGTACTGGAGATCCTGGAAGCCGGGGGCTGAAGGTCCATAGCGTTCTCCCCCAGAAGTCGCAGGAGCTGGGCCTAGATCATCATCACTTTCATCTTCCTTAGAGACGGTACCGTTTCGAGATCCTGATGCGTTAGGCAAGGCGTCAGATACGAATGGTCTCCTTGGTGGACTCGGCCTCCTTGAAACCTTTGCTCTATCATCGGCCTTTCGCTTGGTCTCTGGGTCATACCATCCTTCCGCTAGCTCGCCACGGTTCCATTTATTGAGGAAGCTTTTCCATCTTCCTTGGATCTCGCGGTCGTCCAATGCTGCAAAGTCCAGATCCTTCTGTAGGTCCAGATAGTCTGCGAACAACGCCTTATACGCGTCGAAGTCGTGTCTATGCAGATGGGGACTGCGAAAAGGCAGCTTCTCCTTTTTCTTGTGGTGATGGTGCTTGTGGCGGTGCGGTGACCGCGATCGATAGCGCTTCACATCTCGACCGTCCTTCTCGCTGGCACCGCGCCCCTGGGGTGACCGTGAGCGCTTGTTGCGATTCCTGCTTAGAGCAGAATCGTCCATTGCGAAGTGAATGTGTTGCAAGACTGACGAAGAGAAGTCGTGGAAGATTTCAAGAGCGCTCGGACCACACCCCCGCCAGCCCACTTCACATTACTGTTGCGCCAACACATGCAGTTCACTTGCGCGACAACCTCTTCTCCTCTCACTGCATCCACTGGCACCCGCTTCTCCTGCCCACGTCTAGAGCTTGTACCCGGTCACCGCGCCCAACATGGCAGGTAAGTACTTCCACCGGACAGGCTCAGCACATGGCATACTTCCGAGAGGCTTTCTCTAACAAGCAAATAGACTTCGAGAGCATCGCCAGTATGCCAAACTACCTCCTCTCGTGCACGCGACCGGCCTAACCAAGCCCCAGAGCAATTCGTCGAGTACTACTACAAGACCTTCGACGAGAACCGCAACAACCTCGCACCGCTCTACGTACGTTCTCGGGTATACAGGCTGACAAGAGACCTGGATGTTGACTGGACAATGACAGAGAGATGAGTCTATGCTCACATTCGAAGCCACACCATGTCAAGGCACTTCGGCTATCGTCTCAAAGCTTTCGGTATGATACCTGGCATCGCAATCCACAAGCGTTGAGCTTAAGATAAAAGCTGGTTGGGTGCCTAACACTTTGTTTCTTCCAGGAACTGCCCTTCCAGAGGATCGAGCATCAAGTCGCGACGATTGACGCGCAGCCTAGCAATACGACCGGTGGGATCATCGTGGTAGTGAGCGGGGCGCTGCTGGTGAGCTGTTCCGACTGCCCAGTGCGAGGAGGTGTCGGTCGCTAATTGCGCACGCTAGGTCGAGGAGGAGAGGCGGCCGATGAGCTACACCCAGACGTTCCAGCTCATGCCAAACGACCAGGGCAGCTACTTTGTCTTCAACGACGTCTTCCGGCTGGTGTATCCTGCGGCTTAGGGGGATGAGCGGCATCCATAAGCAAGGAATGCGCCCTCGTCTCTCCAAAGGAGAAGACCGTGTGCATTGTTGATCGCCAGCGGCATGCATCAGGAGTCACTGGATAGTGGGAAAGTGCTGTCTTTGCGCGCAGGTGGCGGCCCAAACTTGCGTGCGGCGGTGCTCGTTGAAGCAGATGGGCCCGCTCTCCGAACAGGATCTCGGAGGGTTGCCGGTCAAGATAGCAGTCCAGAAATGTTGGCATGACCTCACGATCTTAGTGTTCAGCAGTCTCTTTCCCCCTCTCCCGGTAGCATTCTGCCTAGTCCATGCAGCGGTACATCACGAACCCGCCTCGATGCCTGTATTCCACTCAGAAAATACATATCTGAAGAAGTGCAGGTACATGCACTGTGGTACCGGTGGTCGGAGCCCGTCAAAAGATCGTGGCGCTCACGTGTCGCATCAGCCACACTTGGACCCTGACTCTGCCATTTTGAGCTCGCAACATCGTGGAAACGAAAGCGCAAGTCGTCAGATGCGCTACCTCCTAGGCAATCGCATTCTCATATACCCCAGAGGACCGCTATTGCCTGCTGACTCTTGGAGCCCTCCTAACTCTCTTCCTCACCACCGCTACCAACAAGAGCCACGGATCCATCCAACCCGAGCGACAGTCGCAACGATCCTTGTTCATCCCTGACCTTCGGAACAATACAAAGCTGAGAGCTATCAACAAGCTGAACCACTGTTTTGACACTGCGCGGAAGGCATCACGACGAGGAAGAAACTCGAGCACTTGGACATAATACACCCGCAGCTGCAGGCTGCTAGGACAACACCATGACGATCGCAGATGAGTTCAGGTCGCGCAACTTCAGTAAGCATTGAACAGAGATGGACAGACAGCGGGCTACACATGCTGACCAGACGCTTTGCGCAGGTATCTATGGCCAATGGTGAGCGCAGCGGGAATATTGTACAGATGGGCAGGATCTAACAAAATGCTACAGGGCTGGGGTACTCTGCATAGTTCTCTGCTTCGCGCTCGGAATCGCCAACTTCTTCAACTTGGGTCATATCTTGCTTGTCATATTCGCCGTACTATGCCTGTACGTGAAACCGCCTTCGAGCCTACGCAATCTTCCCGGCCACACCAGCTGACTCCATCTCAGAGCCTCCTCCTTCATCATCCTCTTTATCGAAATCCCGCTCCTCCTCCGAATCTGTCCCACCTCCCCGACCTTCGATAACTTCATCCGCCGCTTCGAGACGAACTACATGCGCGCCGGTATCTACGGCGTCATGTCCCTCATCCAGTGGCTTTCGTTGACCATCACCGATAGCTCCCTCATCGCGGCCGCGGTGGTTCTGCTGATTGCGGCGTGCATGTACCTGTTTGCGGGGATCAAGGGGCAGCAGTTCCAGAGTAGCAAGACGCTTGGAGGGCAGGGGGTTGCGCAGATGATTGTATGAGAGGACAGAAGCTAAGAGAGAAGAGAGATTCGGCAGGAGGTCAGTCAAAAGTGGACAATCAAGTCAAACTCCCGCAGGAGCGACTGCATAGTGGATTGCTTTGTGGGACTATGAGGGAAGGTCATCATCAGACGTTTATGTAATGAGCGCGGCGTCGGGCACCAGCGCGTGTAGTTCTAAGTATGGATTGTACGGCATACGAGAAAGTCCAATGCTCCTATTTGTTGTATCGCGAGAGTCGGAGGCTCGCTTTCTCTTGCTTAGTGATATGTGCTATACTTTGCCTTGCGTTTTAGAGATCACGTGATAGGGATTTTCATCTCGAACTACGGAATTAAACGGCGAGGAACAACATTGAAAGCCGCCACAAACACCACCTTGCCGTGCCTGCCATTGTGACAATCTTGTTTCGTGGGCAGTCCTGCTGATAATCATCTCAATACAATAGCTCCGTCATTCTGATATACCCGAAACACGTCCATAACACGAAGACAAGCCGCCGAGTATCACATCTGCGACCCTATACCGACGCATATCGCCCAAGATGGTAGGCAAGAAATCGGGACGCGCCCTGCTCAGGGAAGAAGGTACGTCTCAAAGATGCCGGTCTGCTGCTTCATTCGTTTGAGAGCATGTGCATATCCGCCATTGCACACCGCCATCACGTCTGCGCGCTGGCGGCTTTCTCCCCAACTGGATTCTTGCAGGATGCTGATCGCTCTTGCCAGGCTTACAACGCACGGACAATAATATGGAGTTCACAACTTGGCCTCAGGTGAACATGATCAATCAGAAGAACTATTACACGTATGTGTCTTGAACTTTTTTCGACAACAAGCCTGCCTGCCTTCGCGCCTCTTCCTGGCCCACAGCATTTGCTCTGATTGTAAACGAGTGCCAAGATGGTGGGAAGAAAGATCCTGGACGGACTGCGAAAGGGCAAGAAGGACGTCTATGCGCTCAATGTGCAATATGTCCGGAGGTACTGCTCTATGGTGGCGGTCGCAGTGTAGATGTTGGCTGGGTTTAGGTGAGAGTGCCTCTGCTAACCAATGACTTCAACAGTGAATTCCTCAAACGCGACGACCAAAGCATTTCATACCGGCTGCAGCAGGAAGAACGCCTAAATGCCCGCAAGAAGGCAGCAGTCGACATCGACCGCGCGCGGGCGTACGGCAACCAAGATGGTGTCCCCTACGGAGAACAGGACGTTGACCTCGATGGCGATGTCGCCATGGACGATGAACTGAACGAGAACTACGGCTCGAAAACCATTGTCATCCATGTTGGGAGTCAGAACTTGCGGCTTGGTCTGGCAACTGATGCTCTGCCGAAAACCGTGCCGATGGTGATTGCGAGAAAGGCTGCCAGGAATGAGGCTGAAGACAGTGAGCCACTGCCGAAGAGACTCAAGCTGGACGAGAACGCCACGCCGGAGGAGATGTTTGGAGACGAGGTATTGTTCCTGACTATGGGTTTGGTAGAGTTGTTGCTGACATCGTTGCAGTTCGCGAAAGAGTACAACAGCATGGCCGCAGACTTCAAAGTATCACGGAGAACGAACAAACGTCGAGTGCTGCCGAACTCCCGCGAGCTCGTCACCAAGTGGAACTCGACGAACCCGCCGGATCTCATATCAGAGCACAACGACCCATTGCGAATCGACTGGACCGAGATACCAGTGGATGCCCGTGAAGCACCTGACTTCGTCGTTGGCAACGCTGCCCTTCGCATTCCAGAGAAGACAAAGCCACGATACCGACTCCACTGGCCACTCCAGCATGGGTGGCTCAACGAGAAAGATTATGACAGCAGGAACATGCTCTACCGCGACTTCTTCCTGATACTGGAAGAGAGCATCAAGACCGAGCTGGAGTTGACGCACAAGAAGGACTGGAACCAGTATAGCTGCGTTTTCGTCATCCCTGACCTGTATGAGAAGGTGTTTGTGTCGAAGATCTTGGAAGAGCTGCTCCGTGACTTCAACTTCCAGCGGGTCTGTTTCATGCAGGAGTCCATCGCTGCAAGCTTTGGAGCCGGGTTTAGCACTGCTTGTATCGTGGACATGGGCGCACAGAAGACGAGCATCTGCTGCGTGGAGGATGGCATGTGCATTGAAGACTGTCGCATCAACCTCAAGTATGGAGGCTTCGATGTCACAGATACCTTCGTGAGGATGATGGTGTTTGACAGATTCAACTACATGGACTTCAACTTGATGAAGCGGCACGACTTTTTGCTGGCTGAGGAGTTGAAGGAGAAGTACACCACTCTATCTGACGAGAACATCACGGTCCAGCTCTACGACTTCCACCTCCGCGCACACGGGCAGGAGACGAGGAAGTACTCCTTCAAAATCTACGATGAAGGCATGCTGGCGCCAATGGGCTACTTCCGCCCTGCCATCTTCGACCACTCCTCGAAATTGGTGGGCCGCCGCAAGCTCATCCCGCCCTCCGTCGACCTCTACGACGGCAAGCGCAACGATCCGCTCAGTATCGCCCAGCTATCCGTTATTTCCTACACCGAGAAGAACATTCCGTCCGCCGTGTCCGCACCTCCAGCCAAAACCGCAGCTCCTCTCCTCGGCACTCCCATGCCACCGACAGGCATTCCAAGCAGCAAACCCAAGCTCCCAGCCCACCTTGCGCCCGAAGTCGACGGTACACCGTCCACCTCCGTCGCCGGCTCGCCACCCCCAGAAGACATTGACAACACCACCAACGACCCCTACACCCTCACCGGCGCTCAGCCGGACACCGCCCTCCTCGACCGTACCCTCCCTCTCATGCCTCTGGACCAAGCGATCCTCCTCTCCATCCATCAGGCCTCCGGCGCCGACGAACGCAAACGCCGCGACTTCCTGGGCTCGATAATGCTTATCGGCGGCGCATCCAAGACGCCCAATCTAGGAGCATATGTGGAGTCGAGGCTAAGAGCAGCGATGCCGCAGTACCCCAAGGAGATTCTCGTGGCGCCGCCGCCACGGGAGTTAGACGCGAGTGTGATTGTGTGGAAGGGCGGGAGTGTGTTTGGGAAGTTGCGGATGACGAATGATAGTTGGATTGGGCAGGTGGAGTATGATCGGCTAGGGGCGAGGATTTTGAACTATAAGTGCATGTGGCATTGGTGAGCGCAGTGGTAGGTCATTGACCGTTGCTGAGCGGCTTCGATTGTGGGTTGAGGACACAAAGTAGGGGCACCTTACGATCTCGCCATCACTTTCTTTGCTACGTAATCTGGTCTAGTGAAAGCAGCCCACCGGGCATCATAGCATGTTGGGGCATACAGCGTGAAGAGTACCGGATAATGGCAGGCTTGATAATAGGCGATCGTGTGGAGGAGGTAGAACTACACTCGGCCCGTTACTTCACATCTCCCTGTCCGGCTGCGTTCACTTCACTGTCATCACTCGCTTGTCCTTCTCTTGCATTAGGTTCACATGGAAAGTCGTCGAAGTCTCACGTGCATAGCGCCGGCTTCAGAATAGCAACGGCAGCACCCGATTGGCCGGCTGACGTGGGCTGCGCCTTCCCTCGCTTTGTTTCGAAATTCGGTGGCGCCTCCTTACAGCCAGGTGTCCTTTCAAATAACGGCCGCCTGATCGCTCCCGTCACTTCGACCAGCTGTCCTCAAAGTCTTCCATCCATATGCAGACACCTCCTGCAGTCAAGCCACCATGGAGACCACCTCTATGCCCTCAACCAGCTATTCGCCTCAGATCTTCTTCGAAAACATGGCCGCTTCACCCGACAACAGCAGCTACTTGAAACTCGAGGACGTTCACGCATCCTCTCCTTCCACCTCCACCACCACCACCTCACACCCTCAAGGCTCACCAGATCCCATTGTCGTGCACTCCAAGCCGGCGAAGAAGCGCAAGTCTTGGGGTCAGCAATTACCAGAGCCCACCACCACTCTCCCGCCGCGTAAGCGAGCAAAAACCGAAGACGAAAAGGAGCAGCGGCGGATAGAGCGTATCAAGCGGAACCGCGCCGCTGCACACAACAGCAGGGAGCGCAAGAGACGAGAAACCGACACTCTCGCCGTCCAGCTGGCTCGAGCAAAAGCGGAATTGGCTGCTTACCGCAACCTGCACGGCCCGCTTCCCGACAGCGTGGTTCTGCCTGAAGTGACTTTGAGCACTGGAACAGAGAGGTACCAATCGTCAAGAACTACCAGAAGACTGAACCCGATCACTAACACTATACAGGGCCGACACGCCAGTGCCATCACTCGTCGGATCACGAGGATCAGTCGACTACACCGCTAGCCCACCATCACCCGCAAAGCTCGACGACCTCTTCGAATCCGAGCCAGTCATTAAACAAGAACCAGACTTATCCTACCCAACACCGGCAATGACCACACCCGACTTCACCCTTTTCGATCCCACTAGGAAGCAAAGCCAACCCTCGCTCCTCAACCAGACACAACATTCTGCCGCAATGTTGTGCGACCTGCCGTGTCGGTTGAGGAAGCGCAGCAACCTAACTTCGACTTCTTGGTGGGTGAATCTCTTCCTCCATACGATGGCGTTCCAGCACCAGATGATATGCAAGGCTATCCTTCTGGCATGCTGGAGTCATTCCCCTTCACGAATGGCGCGTTTGATTCAAGCTTCAACGCACCGCTTGACTTCTCGTTCGAGGACTTCCTCCACCAGGACGACCTCTCTGCTTCTGTCCCGGCGGACGGCGGCGTTGGCGCAGCTTAAAGCAGCGACTCGCCAAGCCGTCCACCAACAGGGCGCTTCGGCGCTTCAGCAGCGGTCAACTCTGATGGTTGGCGGTCAGACGGCGGGCAGTTCGGCGAGCGTTGTAACAGAGCATCAACCCACAGACACGAAGGCGTATGAGAAGCAGCATAATGGGGAAGGCGATCATGAGATGGGTGGAATGGGTGATGGCGTTCGGCGTTGATTGAGGCACAGGATAGCGTCTGTACCACCAAACGAAGACATGATGCTTGCCACTTCTGTTGACAATCCTAGACCCTGTTATGTCTCCCACATCACAATTTAGAGCCGTTGCCTTCCGTCCAGTTTGTACCTCAAGCTGATGGATGGCAGGTCTCTCCGAGCCAGCTGTACAAAGACCCCAGGTGTGTCGCTGCTTACAATTGCCACAAAGTCGCATTGCTGCCTTTCGGGGGCATTCTCGACAACGAAAGATGGCTCTCCAACCCCTAGTGACAACGGGATGCTCCAAGACAGTCCTAAGACAACAAATGGTAACCCGGCACTTCAAAGACAAACAAGTCACTCTGTCGCGCGATACTTCCTTGATGCCGCCAGTCATATAGGCTCACCTCCCACCAAAACCGTGCTCTTCTTCACCCTACCTTACCCACAGCAAATCGACCACAACCTGCTCTGTCTAGCAACCTCGAAACTCCCACTTCCTTGTCATCCAAGATGAGGATCACCGACCTCGAAGCGTGCCTTGGGCTCAAGGCTTGTCTCAGGCATCCCAACGACCAGCCTAAAGCTCTGGGAAATCTGTATCGCAACATCGCCAGAATCAGAGGAGCATACGATCCGATCTGGGATGCAGCGAAGCTGCGGCAAGAGTCAGACCGGCTGTTTGAGCTGCTGGGCCCGGATCTTTGGCCGGATCCAACGACGGTCGATACTACCTCGTGGCTCTTCGACCCACAAGTGGACAATCGGAAAGTTCTCTGGCCCGGCTATCTGGTGTATGGGAGAGCACGTGACCACAATCAGTAAGTGTTTGCAAGTCTAGATGGCTCTCGGCTTGACTAACGTGATGAAGATTGCGTGCGCACTTCACCAATATCCTGTACGAGAAGTGCTGCAACTACACCGCCGGTCAGCGCAAAAACAATCAAGACGACAAACAGAAGGCACTCGCGCAGCCCGACCGTGCCTCTAACCACCAAGCGCCTGCGAACGTCACAGGTCAGCCAACGCCACGAAACGAGACAGCGGTCGCAGAGGACTCTGTCGCTGACCTCGCGGACAACGTGTCACTGGCCACTATCTCTCCCAAGCGTGATGCTGGCGTGGTCTATCCCGAGCAGAGTGGTGACGGGCTTGAAATATCCGACTCCCGGTCTCTCTCCCGCACTCTTCGCTCTGATATTGACCGGCAACTGATTGAAGATCGTGTACGCAGAGGCACGTTACCAGCCTTTGTGACACCGCCACAGACCTCGCGTTCCCAGCGTCAATACCCTGCTCCGTCTTCCAGCGCAGCCGACCTCACCCAGAACAAGCGGAAGTACGGCTCCCTTGTTGAACTTGGCGCATCTCCTGAGGCATTGCAAGCAAAGCAGCGCAAGGTGAGTAGCTTGTTATTTAGATCTTGAGTCTCGTCGCTCGAAAGATTACTCCTCATCAGGTCAGCACAGCATCAGACTACACTCCGCTGAAGTGCGAAGACGCCGCAAACGAGACATTCGCTTCGCGCCCCTCGTCAGCAGCTGGTGGTCGAGATGGCCAGACGCTAGGCTCACATGATCGTCCGGCTTACGATGCTACGCCTACCACTGTTTGCAAAGGCCATGCTACCGGCGTCAGGGACCGCTCTGTCCATCTCACGACAAGTGATGTTGGAGTCAGTCACACTCCGCAGTTCCGCTCCCAGGCCAGCACAGGCCCACGTCCCTCAAGCTCCTACTCCAATCATTCCACCGGCGCTGCTCAGCAAAACATGGCTCCAGGTCACAGCGGCGAGAGCGCAAATGTGGTTAGGCAGACGCCACCCATCGCAACTCTGCAGGCCCACCACACAAAGCAATCTGTTTCCGGGCCCTCGCAAACCCGCCTTGAGCACTCTCAAACGAAGCTGCCAGAGTCCACTCCCCGCTCAAACGAAGTACATCATCAGGAGCCAACACCATCGTCCGCCATTACTCCAGCTCCAGCACAGCCCCTTCCGAGGAAGAGACTCAACATCGAAATCCGGACTACCTTGCATCCGGGCACGGAGAGGTCTGTGAAGTTACAATTTCGGTTCGGTCTGAGCACTCACAGCACCGTTCAAGACCTTTTTGCCGCTGTGGATCACAAGATGGGAGGTTTGCTGGCTGATGCTGAAGTGCGCAGTCTGAGTCTGGAAGTTCAGCAGACACAGGCTCGAGATGATCATCTGGGGACGTTCTACATTGTCAGGGACGGTGCGCAGGCATGGCAGCACTGCGTGAGGGGATTGGCAAGGCTGTCTGGGGAGACTGTTGAGCTGCTCGGTCATGTTGGGAGTGTGGCGCGAAGGAGGCAAGGGTGAGGGATTATGAAGTGTGAGTGATGGTACTGAGTGATGGCACTGAGTGATGGTGATCTCCTGCCAGGATCTGTGCAGAGGGTGCTGTCATAACATGACTGCACCGACTGCTCTAGGCTGTTTTGTTCTTGGTCTTTTTAGCTGGGCTCATCTGTACATAGACGGTCCGAATGCATTCGAGGTTGAAGTCTGTATTAACCTTGTCAAGCTTGTCTCTTCTGCTCAGCTTGTCAACACGTGATCAACATATCTGAGTCTTGGCAGAAGCGGAACGTCTAGGTAAGGCACCTCAGTCTTCTCTAGCCCCTAGCCAGCGTACATACCTCCCGCCTCTAGTACTCCGCAGATCTCTCACAGCCAGGCGGATCTCAGAATACATTGGAAGGACCACATCAGTGCCACAGATGCGGCGTCTTGCTCTCGAGCAAGACGCCGTAAATGGATTAAGCACCTTACACGCGCTGTACATCGCCATGCTACTCCCCGTCCTCTCGCCACACGCCCCAGGATGATTTACTTCCAAATGGAAGGCTAGGGAGACTCTCGCTGGATAATTCACCCTCTTCCAGAGCCTCATGAAGCTATAGGCTGCCATCACCGACACTCTGGAAGATAGTGGATGGCCTTACAACGGATTCATCTTCGATACAAAGGTTTGAGACTATTCACCCGTAGTGGTACGGTAAGACACCGTCAAGACAATGCAGTTGTCTTCGCTCCCCCGACACCTCTCTGCTTGTCAAGCCATATAAGAAACCTCCATGTCACCGGCTCTTCGCTCATCTCTACACTCGCTACATTCTGAACGTCTTCTCCCAACTTGCGCCTCTCACACCCTCAAAAGCACGCGACCCCCTTGCCATTTCATTAACATGGGGATCCACGACCTTGAGAGCTCACTTGGTTTGATGCAGTCTGTCGGAAGCTCAAATGTGGATGCAAGAAGCTACAGCCTCACTGCGCTGGCAGATCTGCACACATCCATCAAACGAATGAAGAAGGCCTTCCGGCCACAGCTTTCAGGGTCGTTCTCTGACCCTTCCAAGCTTCGAGCGGAGGCGGATGCGCTCTTCGATAGACTGGGGCCTCAGCTTTGGCCAGATCCGGAGCAGGTCGATACCTCCTCGTGGCTGTCCAACCCCAAGATCGATAACTTGAGTGGCCATTGGCGCCACCACCGTGAGTTCAAAGTTCCGGCAGTTCGGGAGGAGTAGGTATCTCGGCCTTAGCACTTTCGTACTAATGCTGACTGGAACCTAGATTATGTGAGCATCTTGTCCAGCTCATCTATGAGAAGTGCTACTACGAGAGACAGCAGAGCTCACAAGAAAATGCTGTTTCAGCGGCTTCATATGTCCCTGAGAAAGGGGTAGAGACCGACTCTTCACCGTCTCCGGAACGAGGTGCCCCGTCTGAACTAGCTTCACCACGATGCACACCACCAACAGCCTTGATAGGAGGCATCATCAGGAAATTCTCAATAACTTCGCTCTCAGAATTCGGTGATGGCGATAATCTTTCGGCAGAACAAACTTCGCCCAAAGCTCTCGAGCCCGTTCCAGGCTCCGCCACTGGCGTTCTCCCATCTAGCAGCGGCTACCGCGATCGGACTGGACGATCAGAACAAAACCATTCGCCAGAGTCGACCATGCCACCGCCTCCCCAACCTTCCGCTCACCGACCAAGCAAGAGGCCCAAGAGACCTCTGTCACCTTCAAGTCACGACCAAGCTTCAGCTCACGAACCGCCGAAGAAGCAAACGGAATAAGGATATCGGTAATCTTTGAATGATAAGCCCCTGCCTCTATCACTTCCTTCACGCAGCGTCAGCAGCCCAGCACAATTTCAGCAACAGGCTTACGATTCTAACGCTGCTGCTGGGACATCGACACGCGTGCCACAATCATCGTTGTCGACTAAGGGAAAGCACATCACCCCAACAGTCTCGAGTGATTTCGCAGCCAGCAGCCCGGCGGTCACTCTTGCACAAGCTGAAGGCCCGAGAACCTACTCGTCTGGCAACGCAACAGCTGGCCAGGCAGGTGGGAGGACCGCTGCCTCTTCGGGCTACTCCGTCCATGGCCCTTCTCTTCATAAAAGAAGCCAGGTGCCAAGACTCATCGATCGCCATACTCGTACTGCGAAACCACAATCGGGCTCTGATCTGTCTGATCGTCCATCTTTCGGCTCAACGGGTCCTCTCCTAGAACAAGCAGCCTCTACGCGCAGCCAGCCAGCACGCTTGAGCATGAATGCACATGGAGTGCCGCAACAAGCCCCTTCCAGGCCTGATGCCTTCCGAAACACCGCTGAAGCATCTGCCACCTCTTCTGCGGCGAACGCATCGAGACTTACTCCGACGTGTAAGATCATCGACATCAGCGTGAAGTTCAAGCAAGATCATGCCGACGTGTATGTCTTCGTGCAGGTCGACGCCGGCACGACTGTTCAGGATGCCTTCGATGCCATCAACAGGAAGCTGCAAGGACCTCTACCCCGTATCAGAGTCAAAACACTCACGTTCGAAGCACAGGAGGGCTATCACTCCGACTGTAGAAAAGCAGTGTACCACATCGAAGCTGGAGATGCAGCCACCTGGAAAGTGTGCGTTTCGATGTTCGTGGCGTCTGCTGATGAGATCAATCTCCTCGCTCGGCTGAAGGTCTCCGAGTGGGAGGGGCAGAGGTGATTGACTATGATAGAGATTTGGAGAAGGATGGTGAGTTTGGACAGGATACTGGACAGGCATGAAGATGAACAGCTGCCCGATTGGGAGCGCACATTGCTTCTGCGGCTGGTCTCATGGATACCATTTGCAATTGGCCGTGATTTGCTAGTGCAGCTTGATACACCTTCATTCGCCTAGATAGACAGCCAAAGGCCGCTTCCAAAGACCTCCGGCACGTGTCCATACCTTCCAGCGTACTATTCACCTTATTCGCCTGTGCAAGCTAGCCGTTCGCTAGTTTGATGCAGATGTTCGGTGACCACCAAGAGAAAGCAGAGGCATTGCTCACCGCCTTATACTGCCGCTTTTGAGGGCTTCAAGCCAATTAGATCCGAGGCTCGATATCCTTGAACATACCTGACCTCAGTCCATGCTCGAAGAGCAAACGGACAAACACTGTGAGGTCGTATGATGCATTCAATATGGCACACAGCAGGGCGCCTGAGTCTCCTGGCCCAACGAGCTAATTACCGATCTGTCTCTCAAGTAATGGGCCGCTGCGATCAGCTTACTTCCTTTAAATCCACTTGCCAGCATGGACGATATGGCCCTTGCCAACAAACTCTCAGAATACAACCAGAATATAGAGGGCGCAGACATTGACAGCGTCTCACCACCTGAACTGGGTGTAGACCCTGATGAATTGAGACCCGAAGCGTCTGCGCTTGTCCACGACCATGAAGCTGTACTGTGTGAGTCGCGGCTAGCGCTTGAGACGACTTCCAATCCTTGCCACAGCTTGCACAGCTCTGCAAACTCGGGCGCAGATAGCATTGCGCCTCTGGTCCTCGACCTCTAAGCTCTGAAAGATGAAGCCTCAGTTGCACTTGGAGCGAAGTGTTTGAACGTCAGAAGGCTTTGCAACGGCTCATACCACGAGATCTTCGTACTTGATTTCGAGGGCAACGCTTCAAACGCTCCGGGTAGGTCCGCCATTCTCCACTGTGTGATCGAGGGTCAACCGACATTCTAAGAATTGTCTACCATTTTGAGATCTCAAGACACTCACTGACCTCTCTACCCACTATTAGGATCCTGCGTTGCAAGATGCCCACGTACCGTCGAGCACCCCGAGCACATGCAAAGTGCCATTGCCACGATGCAATATGTCAAGGCCCACAGCGCAATACCGGTGCCGACGGTGTTGTTCTCAAACCTGGATCACAACAACGTACCATACGTAATCATGGATCGGCTGCCGGGAAAGCCCCTGAGAAAGCTATGGCAACATCTCAGCCTCGATCATAAGAGAGCTGCGATCAGGCAGACCGCTTGGGTGCTGAGTCAACTGTCCTCCCTGAAGTTCAACCGAATTGGCGGTCTGCACCCTGGCGGCGTTGGATCGTTCTATCCTATGCTGTGGCATGGGCATCCTCCCGCGGTCCATTTCGCGCCACTGCCGATTACCTCGCGAGCTTTGTTGAGTCCATCGAATTTGTAAGTCCAAACATGAACGACTTTTGAGGTATCCGACGTAGTTCTGTGCTGCGCTTGTTGCGGTTTCTGGCTTCTTTTTGTGCTAGAGATCTTCATCAGTCCTGCTCAGCCAGACACGCTCTCTCCGCCGGAGTTAGGTAGCAGGAAACGCTTTGAGGAGCCGTCAGTATGAAGAGAAACCAAGAGGCCTGCTAATTTGTTATGCATATCTGTAGTGGCGCTCGGATATTCATGACCTCCGCCAGCAACCGGACATGATCATTCGTAGTGCGAGCTCTTCACCGCTGCTGCAGCCACCTTTCCGTCTGATCCATGCCGACTTTGATGCCCAGAACTTGCTGTTCGCCCAGCTAGACGAGGATTGCGAACCGCTGCTGGCTGGTGTCATTGACTGGGACCATGCCTTTACAGGGCCGCTGTATTATCTTTTCGAGTACCCCATTTTCATGCAAGACGACGACTCCAATCCTGAACAGTATGCTGAAAATAAAATCCTACGACAAGAGCTCGTACGGTCTCTACAGGAGTGCTCGCAAGAGCTTGGCGAATCACCAGCTCTGGCGAGACAGTGCTTTCAGGAGTAAGTCGATGTTCTCCAGTGTCTGATCGAGTGCTATGTGGTGCCTCCAGGCTACACCGAACTTTCTCTTCGTTGGAAAGGCTCGCTTGTAAGACCATTCGGTGGTGATGATCTCTGTCAGACGCACGGTCGTTCCAGGTGAGCGTGGCATTCACGAACCTCGCTAACGCTTCTATCCGTCGGTATAAGAAGAGTTACCTCTTGAACGAGTTTCACAACCTCTTCATATCGTCTCAGCGCGATGAACGTGTCCGTACCGGTTTTGCATGCGACCTTTTTGAGGATCTGCGGGCTGGTACGGGTATGGCTTACACAGGCAGGTTCGATTACGAACCAGACGAGATCGAGGCGGTGACCTACACTAGTTCCTCCCAGGATGGCAACTCTGAGGATGTGTCTGACTTCTGTCGATGGGGTTTGGTCGATTGCAGTGCTGTATTGTTGATGCCGATTGATACATTTTTAAGGGCGGTGGGAAGTTACGACTCCAAAGCCATCATATCTGCGATATCTAACCATCTGATTTATAAAATCACCTGCTGTTAGAATCGCGAGGAGCACTAGATCTTGACTAATGTAATATTCCGAAAGCACCACTCCCCGGGCAACGCTCAGGTGATAATCTCCCCATAGACGATGACTTCGTCCTCCGGCCTGCCCGCAAGCTCCTTGAAGCACATCCGCCAAGTGACAGGATCGTCTTTTGATACGCCAAAGGGCTCAAAGTCATCCTCACAATTCTCCGGCCGCAGCTCCAGCTCAAGCACTGGCTCAATGAGACGTCGATGCAACCTCTGCGTGACCTTGTCGAAGAGCTCTTCTACCGTAGTCTGGCCGTCCACTTCGATGAACGTGCGGGTCTTCACCTGACTACTCTTGAGCCTGATGATGAAACTCTTCTCCTCTCGCCGATGGCTCAGAGGAGTGTCTGACGGCTGAGGAGCTGTTGGGGTCTGCTCGGTGCCATTGAGATGATACTGCTCGCGCGTGTTTTGCGGGCCATCGTGGTCTGAGCGATTCACAGAGCTTCCCGTAGCAGTCGTCATGCCGCCTCTAAGAATTGGCAGCCCGCCAGCTCGTGGATCTGCTGTCTCGATAGGGGTGTGGGTGGGGGACATTGGTGCGTCAGCCATAGTCAGCTGTCGCTCGACACCACCCGAAGTGGTCGAGTGAAGTGATGTCGGGGCCGCCGCATGCCCATTCTGCGCCATCTGCTGCCGACTGTGTACAACCTTGACGGCAGGAGTGACGGGAGGCTTGAGCTCTGTTGAGGTCCTGTCCGCCATGCTTCCTCTTTGGTCCACGGATTGCTCAGGATGGTCAACGGGTCGAACATCGCCAGGCGTCTTGTCGCCCAAGGTGAAAGAATGCGGATTATCAGGGGCCGCGCTATGGCTTGGAGAGTACACGATGGAATGATGATCCCGAAGGGAGCCGTTTTGGACAAGTCGAAGGAGTTGCTCGCGCTTGGCGGGCGTCGTAACTGCACCATCAAGGAACGCCGGGAGTTGCTCCATCCTCTGTTCTCTCAAAGCCTCAGAAGCCTGCGGATGGAGTGATGCCAATTCCGTTGCACGCCCATGAGAGGACGGCGAACCGTCGGCATTAATTCTCGAAGATTGCTCCTGCTCGTTCTCTGGATGAGCAACGACAGCCGAAGAGCCATCTTGTGCTGCCTGACCAACCAAGTTTTGGTTGGCCACGAGGAGAGAGGTGGTTTCGCGATTGGCGTCCGTCGTCCACTCCGGCGTGCTGGCTCTATTGTCTGTCGGATCCGCACCGCGAGTCTGCTTTGCGCTGTTGAGTTCGAGAGTGGAAACTTCTGCGGTACCATTAGGCTCGTTGGATGTCTCCCAGTTACCGGGCTTTCGCCTGCTGCTTATCACTGAGGCAAGCTTATGTGATGTCAGCTTCAAAACAACAAGAGACGGATGTTGCAACTTGGCTGATTTAGCCACCCTGGGTGGTGACCTGTCTTCCATACTCGGACTTCTGCTGCGTTTCTGCGTTAACACCGAAGTTCCATCAGCAGTAGGGTGTAGCGGCGTCGATGCTCTGCTCGAGCTAGATGAAGTGAGGAACCGTCTTCTCCGCGGAATCCCCAGGCCATCGTAACTCGACGAGCGACTTCGAGCGACAGGACTGGGGTCTTCTATGGGGAACATCGTGTTCAACGACCTGAACATTGTAAGACGGGAATCGGCCTGATCAGCCGACGAAGCCGCAGGTGTTGATACAACTGCATCGGACTTGCGCCGTCGTCGTGAAGTCGTTGCAGGCCGGTTGTACTTTCGGGCGTATGGCTGCTCATGCTGCGCGTCAGGCCTGCTGTTGGTGTTCTTGCCGGAGAGGTTGTTGGCTTCAGATTCTTCTCGTTTTCGTCGTTTCCGCGCCGACTTCTGGTTTTCGTAATGACGAAGGCATTTGCTGTAAATGAGAGCGTGGAAGTGCTCGCGTAGTCTACGTCGAGTAAGCATGGCAGGCAGCGCATATGGAGAGGGTCGCCTTACATTTCCTTGTCGTCCAGATCGTCGAATCGAAGGTACCGAGTCCAGTTGCCGTTCTGCAGTACGCAAGGGTAGAGGGTCAGCCGGTGTCTCAATGCTCAGTCATCTCGATGCCATAGAAGGATTCAAAAGGCCTCAGAGCATCTCTTGCAGTGTGATCGTATCTTGGAGAAGCCTTTCGCCGATCAGTACTTACCCAGTCCTCGACAGCAGGATCACAAAGCCAGCCTGAAGTATCAGTAGGAGGGTTGGGCCAGAGGTCAGGCCCTACCGTCCGAAAGAGCTGCTCGATCTCGTGCTGGAGGTCAGGTAAACCAGGAAGAGGTGTAGGAAGACTATTTTGATGCGCTCGTTTCAGCTCGTCGATACGGGCAAGCAGTATCCGAATAGGTTCTGATTGAGCACTGTCTTTGGTCTCTCGTGACAGTCCTTTGGCCCATTTGAAGCCAAGCTGGCGCTCGAGAGTAGTGATGGAGCCTTTGGATCGCATGTTCGCTGGAGAGTCAAGCTGGTGACAATGAAGTTGGTCGGGCGAATCCAGCAGTTCTCCAAGACCCAACCGCCCCGAAAAAGGCCACCTTACTCCCGTCGAAGGGCTATCGTTGTCTGTGAGAAGACCACCTCCCACCGCGCACTCTGACCTAGTGGGCCAACACCATTGTCGGCAGCTTGAAGGTGACTTTTCAAGGAAAGCGAGGATCAGGCCGGAATCCTCTTTGCTCATCAGAACACTAGACGCATCGAGAGGAGAGGTAACCGTGCCTCAACGCCACCTCACCCCATGAAAGCAATCATCATCTCACTAACCTGAAAGTTGAGCTTTTGGCTTTCTCGGCCTTCTACAGGTGATGGAATCTGCTGTGTTGGCACACGTTACCTTTGCGGAAGAGATGTGCTTCCCAGACGCCCTACATGTTCGCTCCTTTCTATGCTTATTTATTCACTGGACTTCGACCGCGGCCATCACGCCCAGAGGAACGATTACAGCTAGCCCGCCTTGGCAACAATTACCCGCCGTGCTAGATACACCCCTGCTCCTCACTCTAGTCCATCCGCGAGAGACAGCTCGACACCCGACGCGATGGGCATCTCGCGAGGGCTGCCAGACCTCCGGGACATGAGTCAATCCCTGCCATCCATGCCATGCAGTCCGAACGCCGGGCAGACAACATGAACAGTTGACCGAATCACCGTGGAAGCTACAGCTCCTTGCAACACCCGCCGAGTTCATTATACCGCGAGACTGCCCTTATAGGCATCTGTATTCCATTGAATTCTTACTACAGCTAGGATGAGTGCTATGCTACGGATAGTACGTCAATGCATTGTAGGATGCATGGAGCAACATGAAGGGCGTAGCGGATTCTCACAGCACTGGGCCCATACAGAATTACCCTACACACCTCACCAGTGAACACACTGGGTCGTTTGCGGGGGGACGCTTCAACATTTCTTTGAGCATTGGACAGGTAGATCTTGTGCAAACGACTTCAACGCGGATGCTCCGTCCCCAAGCCATATAGCCGGGCTCTGGACGTTACACTAACAAGGGTACCTCAAAAGTTGAAGGCTACCTACCTCCTTAGAAGCATGACAGCTCGAAATCCAAACACCTGCCATCAAATAAACGCCTGCTTCATGTCTAATCGACGACACCAGCCATGTGGATGAACGGCAGTAGGTTCGCAATCCGCCCGCCGCTACCTTGAACCCGATGGCTAGGCCTTGTATGATACCCCATAGCACGGTCAATGTTCGTTCAATCCCAGACCTTATGGCCTTGGAAACCCCGAAAATATTGGTACACGAGCAGAATGTTCGTCGTCGCTCCTCAATCAACAGCATGGGTGGGTCTTGACTACTGCAGCTGTAAGGATGGATCTGGCTGCCCTTGCTCCTGCAACTAGCTGCTGGACAGATGCATGCTGGAACGACCCGACCTGGCTACACCTCCCTCTACCCTGGAAGAGTCCCCGTACCGAGTGTCTGGTCTCATATGAGTGTTCGCGGCGGCGAGCAGCGGATTGAGACCTCCGCCCGACAGGATATAACCAAGCGGGCAGTTAGCCGAAGTCTCAGCCAACCAGTTCTATCGATGTTCTCACGACGTCTTTCTGGGAAGCTCAAAGACACCCTAGCATGTGCTCGCCCGGACCTAGAGCCCCTGTTGCATCGCAGGGTCTGGATGACTGAAGGTGTTTGACGTGCTAGCCTTTTCCTTTCAGGTGGCACCTCCCCAGGGGTAAGCGTAGGTTAGATTGCCTTGTCTCTATGCTCTGTCCTGGTCAAAATCTTGAAATTCATATTCGTATACCTACCCTACTGGACTCTGGCTCACCGACATCCTATCGTCTCAGTCCAGTCTCGCCGGCGGTCCATTATTTCTTTTCCCCACCATTATGCCTCGCAGCGGTCATCGCAATCGTCCCGGACAAGATATTCTTCGTGTCGAGAAGAAGCTCGGATTCAAGTGGGAATGGGGCATCTCCAGGGTGAGCTGGGACAACTTTGAGTTACCAGAGCTCAGACTGCTTATGAAAGAGCTCGAAATCTTGAAGGGTCGGTACCGGACCAGCTTTCCTGCGCAACTAGTCGATATGCCAGAGCTCCGACGCGATGCCAACGAGGTATTTGAGACCATAGGTCCTGCGATCTGGCCTCGTTCAGGGCGCGGTACTTCAGACTGGCTTGTCGTGCCATCCGCCAACAGCTGGGCCGGCCTGTTCCCGCGGTACCTGGAGTTTGATGATCCCGACGACTATCAAACGTAAGCTGCATGATAGCCTTCTTCAATGTATACGACACCGACTGGTGGCAGGCTCTCCGATCTCTTCAAGCAGCTCGTCTACCTCAAGTGTTACCGCTACCATGGCAGTGAAAAGGCAAAAGCTGCGTGGAACGACTTCATTGGGGAGGCCCCGGAGAACTCTGAGATGGACGACGACACTGACCATACTGGAGGCGAAGAGGGAGATGAGGGGGGCGGCGACGACAACATGGTGGTGGTGGCGCATGGGTACAACTCAGACGATGGGGACGATGAGGAATACTATGATGAAGTGAAGAACGAGCCATACAGCGTGATTGCGACCAGGTCGGGCTATCCGTATCGCCGGCCTTACACCTCGACTGCATCATCATCACGGACGACACAAGCTGCAAAGGGGAGTGCGCGAATGATCTCATCGACACTCATGCGCCAAAGAGTCCCGCCTGTTCCACAGATGCTTGCACAGTCGGACTTTGACGAAGCATCATCACCCGCGCCAGAATCATCACAGCATGTCGAGAACGACATGTATTATCCGACAGGCCAGGACTCAGCCGTCTCTGGTCATCGAGATCGACCAATACAGTACTCTGCCAGGGTTTCGTCCCACGACTCTGACGCCGCTACTCATTCAACGACGAGCGCAGCGCCGGCCACGGCCTCTACTGCACCCACGTGGACGCATTCGGGAGGCAAGCGAACAACGTCATCGAGCGGTGGCAGTGGCAGTGGCAGAGCCTCCAAGACGCCAAAGCGGTCAGACTTAGGAGTTCAGTGTGGTGTCGTGACGCTTAAAGTGCCGCGGGACAAGCTCGCAAGGATCATCACAGGAGCAAGCAATCACCATGCCAGCCCGTCAGAGCATTCTGTTTCTGACTATAGCGTCAGCATGGACAATCGGGCAGGATCTAACAGTCTAACCCCCCCCCGATGATGCACTCACCTCACAACACACCGACCCCAGGACCGGCTTTGAGCACTCGTCCACGTCCTGCGCGCCCTGCTGGATCAAGTGAGAATTCCATCGCGGACATCGCAGCTGACACCACTATACGGGTGTCGACGCCCCCCCCAGCAGTCTGGACCTTCGAGTGTGCCTGCTCCTTGCGACGCCCAGTCCAACAGTCGCATCGTCATCGACCTAACCGCCGACTCAGGCGATGAGGAGCTACCTCCTCTCCCGCCATACCAAGGCAAAGGGAAAGGCCGCATGATCGATCAGAAGATGGCTGGCAACAACGAGCACTTCCTACAGGGTGGACGGCTCCCACTGGAACGCCGCAGCTCTGCAGGACCTGGCAATGGAGATGCTGACATTGCTATGAAGATGGAGGTGGAGCAAGACTCGACGTTCGCACCGGATTTGGCTGATACTGTTCATTAAGCCTTCAACAACCTTACCAGTCTCGACAGCCACACTCCGCCTGCAGGCCCGAGCCGCGCTGACGCTGTCTCCGCCGTGCATCCACTGGACTCTCCCAGCGACCGCCAGAAACGCTCTCCAGCCACCCCAAGCGACCGAGACGAATATGGACGCGGCCAAGTCGACCCGTCGCCAGCACATCAAGACGACGCTCGCAACCCGACTCCTGCTGCTCCGTCTGCTCAATAGCCACTTTCAGTCCAAACATCACCTCCGCAAAGAAGTCGTTCGTCATCAAACTGAAGATGGACGCCGCCCGCTTTCGCAAGTACATTCGTGTGACAACGCAGACGACCGTTGAGCAGCTCTTCGACATGGTTCAACAGAACATGAACAAGCGCTTGAGCGACCAGGAAGTTGACGAGATTGAGCTCTGGCCTGAAGGCGAAGAGCAGTTTGAGTCCTTCTTGGTATCGAAGGACGATTCGCTGAATTGGCAGTGGTGTGTTACTGAGCTCGCAAAGGGGCCGGAGGACAATCTCGTTGTGGAGGGAAAGGTGATCCTCTGACCGGACGTCTCCAGGTCGAAGGTCGAAGGCGGAGTAGAGGTCTCCATGGAGCTGTCATCGCTTAGTTTCGGATGTTGCCATGATGGGGGAGTAGCTGTCGACGAGCGATGGATCGGAGGATCTTTCTGTGAGCAGATTGGCGAGGGAGTTATCAGTCTACGTGTTATGCCTCTATCTCGGTTCGGGGAAGCAGTTTGAGGAGAGGGTCTGATAGCAATGTGTGACCAAACGAGCCCGCCCGCTTCAGCGTCCGGGTCTCCAGGAGCAATATAGTTCAAAGAGTATGACACGGTAGAGATGCTCTTAATGCTCGAGATCTTTGTCTGGGAGGTGATCCCGTATCGTGATTCCACTTGGAAGTGTACCAGCGTGCTCAGTGAGGGCTGTACCTGCAGTCCGGTTTTAGCTCCGTTCGAATAGGGAAGGCACGACTAGCGAAGACCAATCAATGAGCGGGACCTACCGCAACTACCTCAAACCAAAGCCTACATACAAACAGCAACCTGAAAGTGCGAACATGGCACCAACGTTACCATGTCAATCACCGGTCGTCAGCACACGCGATAACAACAAAGTCAACATGTCGGTCAGCATCAAGACTCTCGAACACCGCCTTGGCTTCAAGTGGGCCACTGGCTTCTCAAGGCAAACGAGCGAAGTCTTGACCATACCGGTCACGCGAGCTCTCGCAAAAGACGTTGAGGCTCTAAAGACGAACTACCAAGGACTCACCCAAGGCGAACTTCGTAGCAGCAAGGACTTTGCTCAAGACTGTGAAGCAATCTTCCATCACTATGGTCCTCACATCTGGCCAGCGAGAATCACCACCGACACTTCCGACTGGCTTGTAGACGCCACGTCCAATGACTGGCAGGGTCTTTGGCCGCGCAATCTCACCTATTCGGACCTGCGAGATCAAGAGACGTAAGATATTGCTGTTCTTCAGTTCCAAGCCCGTGCTAACGTCGATCAGACTTCGTCACCTGTTCCACAACCTTCTCTTTGGCAAATGCGCTCAATATCACAACAACCACTCCAGAAGCGCCGAGGAGGGCAGAAAGTCTCGCAAGTCCACTCCCTCAGATTCGGCTCGGCCTACACCCGTTCATGATTCTCTTTCCGATGGAGTGCCGGAGAAGAGTGTCCACAGCGGAAAGTCAGCTGTTAATGATACTTCGGGGGCAGAGGATCCTCCAGCCCAGAAAGCCAGAAAGTCGAAGCCGAAACTGCTGCGTTTGAGCTACTCGGGTGCCTCCAGGTCCGCGGCATCTGACGACTCGGATTCAGATGAACCTCTCAGACACAAAGTCGCGCGACACTCGGTCAAGGCAAGCATAGCACCCAAATGTTCATCACGCATGGTTATTCTGAAGCTGCCGGCTGACAAGCTTAAGGCAAAGATGGTTGAGCTGAGCATAGAAGACGCGGACACCGGTGCCGCACATCAACGCCAAGACCCTGTTGCAGCTCGTCCTTCTCCTTCATCGCAACAAGGTGCCATGGCCACGGACGTGACCACCAAAGTGTCGCCAACGATGCCGGAGAACCGTGCTAAGCCGTCAACGGCGTGGAAGCCGATCGATTGGGGTCCAGCTCCCCAGCTTCCAACGCCAGTGGGAAGCCGTAATAGAAGCACTGCGGCGTCGTCCCACACTCACCCGCTGCCAAGCCGCACCTTCACTCAACGAGAGGGCCCTGCAAAGCGGTTCGGTTCTTCGGAGATGCCGGCGACAACCTCCAGAGTCATTAGCACGCCAAAACCGGTCAACATCGAACTCCGCACGAACGAAGAGGACGCACGCTTGTACGTCTGCGTTAACATCCGCACCAGTCTGGATGACCTCTTCGCCAAAGTGCAGAAGCGCATCAACCATCGGGTCGGCGGAAAACGAGTGCGAGGTCTCGTCTTGCGTGATGAGACTGCCTCCGACGCAAAGCAATTCGACGTCAGAAGCGATGACCCGGACACGTGGAAGCTGTGCTTGAGGACGTTTGCGAAAGGTGCAGGCGAGGAGATTGATCTCGTTGGGCGTGTGGAAGTCTAGGGCCGGAGAAGCGTGTAAGAAAGGTTGTGCACTTGCAGGGGGTTCAAGAGGACAATATGACCCCGAATAATCGGCATCTGATTGTACAGTGCATTAGCTCGGGAACGGCGTTACAACATCTTCCATGGCACCGGATTGCACTCAGGGCGACAAACTTACTGTTGACAAGGCTATATATCTACAAGGTCAACACTGCCTCTTCTACCCCAGCTCTGCGGTCTCCGCTTCAGAAAGGCACCGACCGCTCCCAGGTATCCCTCGTGGCGGAGGAAGAATGCTTGCTTGGATCCTTTGCTCCAGAATTTGATGGCGAAGGACAGAGTATGTATGGTCTGCGCATGGCCGCGGATGAAGGAGCCTCCGAAGTATATGCGTTGTAGGTTGTGCTTTTCCGACTGGAGGTATGAGATCTGGCCAATGTTGTTACTGTAGCTTGTCAGTAGGCATTTCACTGGTAGCGGTGTACATTACTCACCTTATAGCATACAGCAGACTCCGCGAGATGTCTTCAGGCTTGAACATCCTCCCATCACCAACCAGATTCACAGCCTCATCATTGGCTGGTGCAGCTGGCGGCTCCTCCGGTCGTGGAACAGCATCCCCATTGCTAAGACCGCTGCCGTCTTCTGCTCTCCGCTCCGCCTCCCTCTTGCGCTTCAATACCTTGCCGAAGCTGCTTGCAATGGTCTTCTCACTTAAGCCAATCTTCTCATAGCCCATCCCCTCGCCGTAGATGTCGCCGACGAGCAGGTCAATAGCATGGTTGTCGCCTTTGTCCGCCATGGCCAGCATGTCGTCAAAAGTGCGAGCACCGGTGAGCAGAGACAGCAAGCCCCAGAGCGTGCCACCTCCCAATGAAGTACCGCCTATCCGCTGATACTGCGATGGCCCCGACACCTTGATCATGGAGACACCACTGCCGATGTTGACCAACAGGTAAGGATAGACTTCAGATCGAGGGTCCTGATAGTCGACGGCATTCTCTGGATCATCGTCGTTGTAGGTGAACACCTCCGTCGGTATCTCGGTGATGAAGAAATCCAGACCCATGATGAGACACTCCATCTCGTCTTCGCGGACAACATCAACGCCCAGCCGCTCCTTGATCCTATCATAGAACTTGAAAGCGCCGCCACCAGTCGCCATGACCATGAGATCCGCTGCTTTGGCATCGCCATTAGTCTTTTGATACTTGTGCTGCAGCAGCCTCAAGTACTCGATGCACTCATCGATCTTGTCCGTCTCGAATGACAGGAAGTTCAGTCGGCCGCCGGACTCCGGGACACCGTTCTCACGGGAGAAGTAGACGACTTTGGCCAGAGATCCTCCGATGTCAGCGGCTACGTGGCTGACTACTGCGGTATGGTTCGGCAGCCGGATGTCCCGGTTGTGGTGCTGGTAGGATTGCTCTTCTCCTTCTGTGTGCGAGGATGGTGAGCTGCCGTGTGAGGAGTCTTCGTCCTCGTGATCTATGATGTAGGCGCCTTCGACGTTGATTTTGATGGATCCCGGTTGTTGGATGGCGGATTGCATATCGATTGCGGAGCTGGAGACTCGCCGTCGCTTAGAGGACGATCTCGTGTAGTCGGCCATGGTTTAGTGTAGTCCTTGTTGTAGACTCTGAGATCAGGATCTGGATACGAAAGGCAATATCGTATGATCACAGGCTTGGAGATAAGCTGGATGTGCCCGCGTCCGATCAGATACTAGCAGCGCATGGCCGGAGAGAGTAGTATCGCAGCCATCGCGCTTGAAGTGATTGCGGAAGACTGGAGCGGTTCGTCTTCACCAGCAGAAATTAGAGAGAAGCCGTTGGGTACTAGCATTCTGATTATTCACTTCAGGTGAGGTCAGATTTGGACAGACCTCGGGCGGTACTCGGCTGACCGGCGGAACTCTAAGCACGAGTCACGTGCACTTAGGCTTTCTCACAGCAGCAAGCTCTCACACTACACTTCGCATTTGTGCCTGGCCATCAGACTCATTGTAAACGGCAAACATGGGCAACGACGGAGGGAGCATTCCAACGCGGCGTGAGTTGGTGAAGGAGGCAGCGAAGAACCCATCCGCCGCTGAGAAGAAGGAATCACAGCACGAACAGCAGGAGTACTACTGGACCACAGATCCCATCTCTCAAAAACCCCTGGCGCAGCCCGTGGTATCAGACTGCAACGGGAAGCTCTACAGCAAAGAGACCATCTTGGAATTTCTGGTCGAAGGCACCCGCAAGGAGGATGCCGAGGCCGCCACCCGAGGGGAGGTGAAGAGCCTGAAGGATGTGGTGGAGGTCAAGTTTGAGGCGGACAGCGACTCTGCTACGACAGTCAATGGAAACGGGAAGCGCGAAAACTGGAAATGTCCCGTTACTGGTGATCGACTTGGTCCTGGGTCGAAGGCGGTGTATCTTGTGCCTTGCGGACATGCTTTCTCCGGCAGTGCTATTAAGGAAGTGTCAGGCGAGAGATGCATCACTTGCGAGACTGAATATGCATCGAACGACATCATTCCAATTTTGCCGACGTCTGAGACCGATCTTGCGCGCCTTTCGCTACGGAGCAAGACTTTGAAGGAGAAAGGGCTGACGCACTCCCTTAAGAAAGCCTCAGGAACGAAGAAACGCAAAAAGAAGGATGTTGAAGCTGCAGATGCCACCGAACCTGCCACTGGCGCCGTTCCTGCTGATGCGAAGTCTGATACCCAACGAACCTCCACCCCTGTCAACGGCGCAGATGGCAAATCCAGCCTCTCTGGTATCAACAACTCGTCCACTGCTTCACTGACTGCAAACGTCATAGCAGAGCAGGATGCCAAGAAGCGCAAGACCGAGAGCGACGTTGTGCGGGGACTGTTCTCAAGCAAAGATCAGTCAAAGCCGAGTGGGAGGAGCGGCGACTTCATGACTAGAGGGTTCAGCATACCGAGTGCAGCCAAGCGATGAGAAGGGCCCTCATTCTTCCCACCGAGCATTTTGAAACACTGGGCCGTTGGCCTTGGAAGCCTTCCAGCATGATCTTCACCGAGGAGGCAGGCCATTCACGGGTTTGGTGCCGCGCTGGAACAATTCTGAACCTTTGGTGTTCATGTGAGACTGTGGCTGCATGTTGTCATTCATCTGCTGGCCGATCGTTGGCGCAGAGAGGGCAACTGAGGTGAGGCCGGTTGATGCTTCAGGGCCATGAGATGGTGGCAGAGATTGCGTGCTTAGGTATAGGATGGCCACATTCCGTCTCGTTCTCTCTGACGTTCTCGCCTTCTGTACGAACGTTTCGCCTTGAAGCGTGCGTTATGGTGCTGGAGGACCGGGAACCAGCAGGTGAACGCCAGAAGAGTGGACAGGCGCAGACACTCGGCTGAGAGTTGAATCTGACGAATGCGGCGGAAGATGATCATGAGGAACGGTTGGCGTAATGGCAATGAGTGACACAAGGTGCAAATGGAGAGCGTACTTATTCTTGGCCAGCTGTTTCACGCCGAACATTGACGGCAGGAGCATTGAGGTAGCAATAGCAGAGACGCAAGAACGAGGAGTTTGCCCTGCTCGGGCCTTCTATTTCCAACGATGTCTAGCTCGAACAGCTGTGGCTTCCTTGTCTTCCAATACATGTACCCAACACCTCGCTCACAACGCTCACAAAATTGCGCAAACCCAAAATGATCGCCAATGCCCTTCCAATTCCAGAACGTTCATACCGAATCCACCTCAAAATCATCCCACATACTCCCCGCCTCATCAATAGCATCAACCACGCTCCCCACAAACCTCGCCCCTGTCGCCGTAGCAGCCGCAACCCACTCCTGTCGACTGGGCCGCACACTCTCAAACGCACTCCGCACCGTGGTCTTCTGCTGCAGTCTCACCGGCTGGGCACCGCACATCGCGGGATGGACTTTGTAACAAGGATTCCCGCCGGCGATGAAGCGTTCAAACACCTCCTCATGCCACCACGCCTCGAGTGCCTGCCAGACGTAATCGTACGTGTCCTCGCCTAGGCCCCACTTGAAGAACGGCCGAAACAGCAGTGTCGGAATGACGAACGGGAAGCGCGGCGCTTTGGGGTCTGGGGTGTATGCTTTTCGAGAGGTGACGAATGGATGAGAGTAGAGGGAGCACATCCAGCATTCAAGGAGGTACCAGAGCAGAGAGGCGATGCAGAGAAGGCCGAGAGACGTGAAACGGATGCGGTAACGGTAGTTGGGGTCCCAGGTGTAGAAGTAGGAGCGGAACTCGTCCCAAAGCGCAGCCCAGACGGAGTGGTAGCAGCCGCCGCACGTGTCGCAGGGTTGAAAGCCGAATCTGCCGGGCTGCTGGTGAACAATGACGGTGGTAGCAGCCGCCGCCGCGGGCGGTGCTGTTGGTGGGGCCGTAGACGGTGCTGTAGGCGGTGCTGCTTGAATAGTGTGTTGACTGGCTTCAATCCTGTTCTCCACCCGCCGTAGGCCTCTGTTGGCGTCTTTCACGTTCGTTCGTGCCGAGCGAAGATGCTTGTTCATGCCTTCGATGGCCAGTGACTCTTGTCTGCGGTCCTTCTCGTCCTGCGTCATGAGTCGATCGTCACCGACTTCTTCGTCCTTTACTTCCACGTCCAACTCTGAAGTAATTGTCGGGTCCGTGGGCTCGAGGTTGGGATCAACAATGTCCTGCAGCGACTGAATGGTACTTTCGCCGTAGCCTTGAAGTCGCTGCTCCTCCTTGCTTTCACGTAGAATATCTCCAAGTGCAGACCTCTGATGCGATGGCTCACTGCTGGTCCGCCGCAGCTCGGCCTCCGCTATGGCCCTCGGTCGAAAGATTGCCGTCGCCTTCGACGCTTCATCGCCTGCGTGCATCGTTGTGTCGACCCATGCGCCTGTGACGACCGGTGTCTTCGGCTCTGTTGACATTTCTTGAGATACAATTGCAGCCTGGCCAGAGTTCCCGGCTGTCGCTTCACCGTCTTCGCCATCTACCTGACGCCCAATGCGAATCGCTTGAGGTTCGGACCGGCGCGATCTTGCCGATGTCTGTGGAGCAGTGGCAGCGTCGTTGGCGCTCTTTGGACGCAAAGCAAGAGTATTTGCGCCATCCGACGATGTCTTCTCATCTGCAATCACATCCTTCTGTTTGTCGTTCGCAGGGCTCGGCGACATGCTAGACACACGAGCAAGCTTCTTAAGCAAGTTCATGGAGTCATTGCGTGAATGCCCCGGCCGCTGTGCATTCCGCGTGGTGAGCTGTTGCGCAGTGCGGTTGACCAAGGTTTCTGCTTCCGTGCGCTTATGACCGGCTACTGTACCGTTTGACTCACCCGATGGTGGAATGTTCTCCTGGTTACGGTCGGGGCTGCGTTGGCGGCGCGGAATGCGACTAGCATTTGCAGAGTGACCCAGTGCTGTTGCCGGACGTGATGACACAGAGTTACCGGGGAGAGTGTCGTCCGCCTTTGTGCGGTCGCGGAGGGTAGAGCCAGATGAACGATGGAGATTGCGGTCCGTTGCAGGTCGTGTCATTTCATTAGTGACGTCCGCAATCATATCCTGGCCTTCGAGATCTTCCAGTTCCCTTCGCGCTAACTCGTCCACCTTTCTAGAAAGGCGGTTTGTTGCAGGAGTCGAAGTCAACAAGGAGGCACTGCTGAAGTCATGGCTCTCAGAGTAGACGTCATGTCTCAGAGTGGTGTTCATGTGTCTCATCGATGAGGGAGGGGTTGATGGCGCATGCTCGCGCGCTGCGGGTGTATGTCTGACATCCTGCACCGCCCCGTCTGACCTTGGCCTCCAGTTTGAATCTCCAGTAAAGGCTGTCCGGCGCGTAAAGATCTCTCCGTCGTGCCCGTTGAGCACAGCATCGCCGTTTTCACTTGGCTCAGACGGTTCCAATATCTTGCGCATCCAGTCTGTCTGCTTCCTCGCCTTCCTACCCCATTCCCTTGGGACTGTCACCGGAGGGTCCGAATCATGGCTGCCACCGCTGCCCGTCCGGTTGTGAACCTGCGCCTCCCGCAACCTATTCTCCCTCTCTTCGCGCGCAAGTACATCCGCAATGCGTGGTTTCGGCCGAGCTTTCCTAAAGGCCTGTTGACTCCCGCTCAATGCTTTCAATCGTGCCGCATCCCGTTGATGCTGTATCAAGCGCCGTCCAAAGTCGTCCGTCTCGTTCTCCAATGCGCTAAGGTCAGAGTATCCAGATCCGCTGCCCGAGCCTTGCGTGTCCTCATCGTTGGCCTGCACCTTGTCCATGCTTCCAAAGACCTCTACCATATTGCTCCCAAACCTTACAGCGTTGTTGTTGTTGCAATGTGATGCTTCCAGTGCCCCTTCATAGTTGCTGCCAGATAGCATTGCTGTGTGTACACGATACGCTGCTCACACCGCGGATGCAAGGAGCATGTTGGGCCTTTGTAGGAGTCGGGAGGAGAAGTTGGTGATCCTAACGTGCGGTGGACAACAACCACTTCGAGAACTTGGACGTGTCGTGCCCTCGATCGCGTCGCAGATCTTCTCGGCCAATCAGAAGCGATCACATGCGCCAAGATCGCGAATGTCAAACGTGGGGAAGGAAGCGCATCGCCAAAGTCCCGCCTCGATACAGATCGATTCTAGACGCCTATTAACCGCCATAGACATCCACAGCTGCTCTGGAGGACCTCCACCATGGCAAACATCAACTGGCGAACGATCAATATCGACGCCCTCGACCCCGAATCCGCGACCAACTTCGACCTCTCCACGCTGACGCCTGCTGTCCAACCTGTCTCGACTAGCGATGTTCAGACGCTATCCGGCCAGATACGACAATTATTACGAGGAGGAGACAGCGAGGGAGCCTTGAAAGGAGCGTTGGAGAATGCGCCGTATGGAGCCGACGAGCAAGGGAAGGTCGGTATCAGAACGATAGCCATGAAATCGGAACAGCAACTAAGACTATGCCCAGGCCATACACCTCACAACAGTCACCGAAATCCTCCAGAACATACGGCAAGCCGAGATGACGCCCATGTTACAACGAATGTACCAGTCGGACGGCGGCTCGGAGATGTGCGACACGCTCATGAAATATCTCTATAAGGGCATGGCGCAAGGTGCACCGTCAGGATCAGAGTCGCGGACAAACGCGGCAGGTGGTAGGAACATTACGCCGCAAGCGACTGGCTTTACCCAGGCGGGAGGCAGGAATTTTGGTGGTGGGGAAGGAGGTGGACAAGCGATGAGTGTGTTGCTGAGTTGGCATGAGAAGGTGAGTACAGGTCCTCAAGATCCACTTCGAAGTGGGTCACGTAAACTGATGTCGTGGTAGCTGGTGGAGCTTGCAGGACCCGGCAGCATTGTCAGAGTAATGTCCGACAGGAGAACAGTATGATCCAGTTAGCAGTCATTGGCTCGCGCTGAGCGAACCCGCCGACTCTGGACTTCGCACGAGTGTATGATCCTGAGGCAGCCTAGCTCGTAGCCTGGCATATTTCAGGACGCAGTATGGGCTTAGCCAGCGCCAAAGGCGCTTTGGTGCGAGTACATGGCAGTCCATCCAAGAAATCCGTGCAATCGCTTCAATGCGGGCCTGGCTTTGCTAGCTATGGCAAATGCACAGAGTAGTACAGACGTGAAAACTGATTTGGACCTTGAAGCCCAACTATGAAACCATTGTCCGTTAACTCATCTATGCTCTGTGCTATATGTTCATTGCCTGCTGTTGGAGGTTGGGTTTTTCATGCAGCCACGAATAATTTGGGAAGGATTTAGGCAACCTCTTCACTTTCGCCGAAGCTCTTCTTGCGAACGAACGGCGACTGGGAAACAATAACTCTCACAAGCAAAGAAAACCGTCCACATGGCGTCGCCAAAGCATAGAATGCAGGACAACAGTGGACTACAGCGTGTAAGACGTGTGGCCTCCACCAATCCAACACCAAGCTCTAACATAGCATGCTCCAGGAATCAGCTCCTCTACGAGATCAAGCCAACTTTTTCTCCGATGTTGCGCAGTCTTCTGCGTTTGCCAAACCACGACGGCGGTCATCCTCTGCCATACCAGCCAGGGCAGCAGTACTCAACACCGCGGAACTTCTCGAGAACATCCTGGTCCACCTGCCAATGCTGGACATCCTGACATCCCGAAGAGTCTCAACCATCTTTCGAGACGTAGTCAACGACTCCATCGCTCTGCAGCGCAAACTCTTCTTCATGGCAGATGCGCCTCCCCAGCTCTGGGGAATAGGTCTGGAGACCATCCCATGTGTCATGCAACAGTACGATCCGGACGTCTACAGATCGTTGGTCTCAAAATCAGATCGATGCGCGCAGGATAGCGGATCAGACCTGGAGTCTCTAGTCACGACTCCTGTCAGATTAAACCCTCTCCTGGAACTTCGCAAGGAGACATCGAGGCCAATCCGTCTTCCGCCTAGAGCTTCGGATCATTACACACTCTGTAAGCTGCGAAGAGACCTGCCTGATCCACTGCGTCAGCCCTCCTGGCGGAAGATGTATCTGAGCGATCCGCCGTGCGATGTGATTCAGGCGTGTGTGGCTTTCGAGTGCGAGGAGAGTAAGAAAGGTGGATGGCCTCAATATTCCGTTGAGGAAATGTTGAAGGAAGATGTGCGTTTTTGCGAAATTGAGAAGAAGAATGGAGAAGAAGTTGACACGAAAATGGACTTGAAGAAATACGGTTGGACCTTTGGTGCCTTGGTCGACACAACACTAAGTGATGGGAAGATGATAGGCAGGGACGGGAAGAAATGGGGTGGAGTAGACCAGGGAATTGAAGAGTATGTGCGAAGTTGGGAGCTCGCTGGTGGTGGCGCAGCGTACGTTGAGCGGAAGTGTTCTGACCTTCAGCTGTGCAACGTCTCGGTGCCGACTGAGGATGAGTGGCGGATGATGGAGGAGGGTGGAGGCGGCTCTTCACAATAGAGCAACCTTATCAAAACTTTCAAGACCACAAATATCGGTGTAGTCTTCCAAACGGTTCCGAAGCCACCTACCTGCACTCTCCACCGCCTATAATTTTACCGTTCTTGTCACGGCGAAAGTAGAGCACCAAGCAGTTGAGCTTCTTGGAGTGGCGGGACAACCTCTCTTCCTCTTGGCCCGCAGGACAGCGAACCGTGTCGTGCTCCATTATGGTGCCTTCTTGCGCATCTTTGGCGCGCCTGACAACACTCGGAATGCATGCACTGCCCTTTACTCTGCCCTCAGACCGGCCATCCCCCATCATCACTTCACGAATCGTCATTGGCGTCGTCGTTACCGTCATCTTGGGACTCATCACCGGTTTCCTCCCCGATCTCCACCTCGGCTCCCTCCTCCTCATCCTCTTTGGTAGTTTCGCCTTTACTATCAACCTCATCCTCTTCCTCTTCCGTGGCTTCGCTTTCACTCGCAACCTCATTCTCATCCCCTTCCGTGGCTTCGCTTCCGCTCTCAACTTCGTAGCAATCCTCATCTGGGTCCTCTCCTTCGTCTGTGTCATCTTCCTCATCCGTGTCATCATCGGCAGAATCTACCACAGCATGATACTTCCACCCCAAGCGTATGCGTTTCGGTGTTTTCGCGGACTTGGACCCCTTGAAGCCTCGAAGCTGTGACGCGTTAACATACCTCTTGAACATGTGTGTGTTGGCTAGCTGCCTTTCACTCTGTGGCTCGAAGTCGAGGACATCGCCTAGGGTGAGACCAGTAGCATTCCAACAGTCGCGCGAAGCTTGGATAGCGTAGTTGTCCGGATGTTCAAGAATTATACTGGAACTGACGTACACATATAGGTTGGCGATAGGAGGCTGAGTGACTAAACTTTTCCGCCATGTTGCTCCCGCGACGTTGAGGCATTTGGGATTGGGCTTGAGCTTTCAATGGTTCTTGGGAGGGCGTATGAGTAGAGGGTGCCTGGAGATCTCCCGCCTTCTTATCTTGGCTGAGAAGACCCATTCAGAGTACCATTCGCCCGCTCCTCTGTACTTTTGGAAGACTATCGGCGGACCGGCTACCGGTTTGAAGAACAATGCTTCCTGCAGCTGGACCGAGTTGTCGATGATAGCCTTCCATTGCTGGCAAGTTTGCTGGACGCCACAGAGTTGATCACGTATCGGTAACTCCAGGAAGATGGCCTCGGCCAGCTCTGCGATATCGAACACCTTGTGACACGCAGTCATGGTGGCTGTGTGGGTGGTCCTGTCTTGTCCGTGGTGGGTTTTGTTCTGATATGTATTGCAGGTGTGGTCGTAGTTCGAAGTTCCGAAACGCTGGCAAGATCCTGGTATGGCTCCATCTTCCAACGACTCAGTGGAAGATGAGCCATTGAGCACCGGGGAGTGAAGGGAATGCGCTCACATGTTTTCACGTGCTTTCACATGTGTAAAGTCAAGGTCCCGGCGTATCTTCCATCACGGCAGGCGTACAGCTGAGATATTCCGCAGCCCAGCCATCGCCAGCCATCTGTTTACTACAACACCAACCACCCCTCATTTACCACGCACAATTAATATCGCATGCGGCAAAACCAGCCATTGCAAAATAAAGATGGCTAGACACGATAAGTATACACTTGGTAAGAGTCTTCCGCGTTCCTGACCATTCCCTTCATCACAAAACATCTCGAGCATCCAACACAACCTCTGCAACTGTCTCGCATACCACTCAACCGGAGAGCAGATACCTCGCCAGACACACAACAGCGACTCTCCAAACCACAGTCACCATGCGCTACTATTTCCGATCCACTCTGATCGCCGCGAGCTTCCTCACCACACACGCATACGCCCTACCACGACCAGCAACGTACTCCGTCGTCAATGTTGACGGCGGCCAAACACAAACCGCCCTCCCGACAACGGTCGTCCATACCGTCACCGACTCCACGAACTCTGAGACGACCATCTCCGTAACAATACACGAGAGCCCCGCGACAGCAACCATCGTCAGCATACCCTCAACAATCGTCCAGACCGTCGCCCACGCGACCGACACCGCGCTCGTGCCGGAAGTCTCGACACTACCACACCACCCCGAAGCTGGCCCGCAAGAGTCGAGCTCGTCATCAATACCTGTCGTCACTCCTGCTACCGTGCCAAATCCGGTTGCTACCGTGCCACATCCGGAAACCGTGACAATTGTTTCGTTGACCACCGCCACACCGACGACATCTTACTACGACAACGGAATGTGGCACACTTCTTATGCGATCAAGCAGTGGCCCGAGGTACCAGCGAGCTCCGCCTCGTCGAGTATGATCAGCAGTGGAGCAATTACGAGTGGTTGGGCGCAGCCGACGGGGTCCTACAGCAGTGGTGGGTGGAACTCTACGACAACCAGATGAGCATTATGAGATGGGGTGATGACGATTTGGCACTATGGGGCATTCGAGAGAAATTGAAGGACGAAGCGACGGAATCAGGAAGAACACGATCATACGATGTTATGTTGGCGACGGGGTTCATGGGTGGGAAGCCAGCTAGTGCAGCATATGGCTGGATCTTGGGATGGTGGAATGGGATAATATGTATACATTAGAGACCATGCAGTACATGAATGTCATGAGTTCAATCAAACGTCGTTGCACCCCACAGCCCCACCACAGGAGGTCCTCTCTCTCAATGCACCTCACCAAAGGACACTGCATACCCGCTCAAGAAAACACCCTTCACCCACTCTGAGAACTTCGCCTCATCCGCCGCAATGATCTCCCGGAACTCCTCGTCCTCAAAGTACGCCCAGTTGGCATCAAAATGCGCCCTATCACGGTACGTCAAGACCGCAACGGCATCGAAGTCAAAGTCCGCTTGCGTGACTATGCCGGGAAGCAGCAGGTCCGCTGGGAATGTGCCGTGGTCACCAGGCATCCGCGAGATGTAGTGTCGCTCGTGCGACAGCGGGAAAGAGTCGCCCGTTAGATTCCTCATGAGTGGGATATGCACGTTCTCGTAATGGTCGCGATACTGTGCCGGCGTTAGGTCCTGGCGGCGGCGGCCGATCATTAGGAGTTGGAAGCCAGTTCTTGTGAGCGCGAGGGCGCCTGGGACGAGCTTCATGATGGGCGGTTCGATGTGGTGTTCTTGCTAGGTAGGCCTCTGGGTGTGGTGGGTGACGTACAGGAAACAGCAGCTACCTACCTGCTTTGAAGACCTTTTCTCGCAATTACTGCCCAAGTCGATGGCCACCACCAAGTCTGAGCGAGACGTCATTCCTGCAGCCACGATACCACCCAAGAAATCCGTTAGGTCTTGACGTGGGAAACGGCTTCTTCTGCCGTTCTCACCGTGCTGCAAGATCGCAACGGGTCTACGCTATGCTGTCCACAGAATCTCGGGTTGCATTTCCCGAGGACCGGGTCAACACATTTGAAGGCTTGGGATCACCCCATGGGCGTCTGGTCTGCAGCGGCTCGAGAGCGGCTGCCAGCACTAGCTTCTTGCCGACTTCAAGGTGTGGAAGCACAGAGCCATCTCTGGAGCTGGAGTGCTTTCAAAAGCCACGCGAACGGGATGCGGCCCGCTCCAACCTTCAACTCGTAAGAGGGCAAATTGTCTCGAACCTCACCTCTAAATTCATCGGAACACTACACCAACCGCTGTCGCTCGTTACAGGCCACGCAGAGACCAACACATTGACAAGAGGACTGAGACACTAGATCGATCCACAATGTCGAAGAACAACAAGTACTCCGTCCTTCTCCCCACCTACAACGAGCGCGACAACCTCCCAATCATAGTATGGCTGCTCCAGCAGATGTTCAATGACAAGTATGTGCATCCCACCCTCGGCCCTAACTCTGGATCACTGACAGTAGTCCTTCAGCAAGCTCGACTGGGAAGTCATAATCATCGACGACGGCTCCCCGGACGGCACCCAGACCATCGCCAAACAACTCATCAAAGCCTACGGCCAGCGCATCAAACTCTACACCCGCACCGGCAAACTCGGCCTCGGCACCGCATATGTCCATGGCTTGCAATACGCGACAGGCAACTTCGTCATCATCATGGACGCCGACTTCTCGCACCACCCCAAGTTCATCCCGCAGATGATCAAGAAGCAGACTGAAGCAGACTACGATATCGTGACGGGGACGAGATATGCAGGAGATGGAGGCGTGTATGGATGGGACTTGAAGAGGAAGCTGGTCTCGAGGGGAGCAAATCTGTTTGCGGACACGGTGCTGCAGCCAGGTGTGTCAGATTTGACGGGTTCGTTCAGGCTGTACAAGAAGGGTGTGTTGGACGATGTGATCCACAGCACTGAGAGTAAGGGGTACAGCTTTCAGATGGAGATGATGGTGCGAGCGAAGGCGAAAGGATACAACGTCGCGGAGGTGCCTATCAGCTTTGTGGATCGAGTATATGGCGATTCCAAGCTCGGAGGCGAAGAAATAGCGCAGTACTTGAAGGGTGTGTTGAGTCTATGGACGTCGGTGTGAGATGTGTCTCCGTTGAAGCAAGGCGTTGGAAAGGTTCAAAACGGCGCTGGGGTGTCACTGGTCAAACTGTGGCAAGGAGAAGGCCAGTCGACATGGCTGTAACGCCCAGTCTACTTCCACAGAGTCCATCAGTTCTATCAATTCGGGGCAGTCCGTCTCCAGTAAAGCCAGGCGTTGAAAAGGTTCGAGACGGCGCAGAGGGTCATCGGGCGTATCGTGAAAAGGAGATGGGCCAGCCTACCTGATCATAGGCTACTAATAGCCGCCATCTGTCTTTCATGGAATCGACCAGATCGGGCAAGTCTCCGCAGTCCATATCTATTAAAGTAAAGCGTTGGAAAGGTTTAAAACAGCGCAGGCGTATGCGGGTAGTTAATGGAAAAGGAGAAGGGGCACTGGTCATAGCCTCCATTTGTCTTCCACAAAGTCGATCAAGTCTATCAAGTCCCGGCAGTCCATCAGCTGCTGTCTCTCCTTCTTCGTCACGCTCGGCATCCGGACAGTCATCTCAGCAAAGTGATGCAGGACCAGTTGAAAAGGTATGGGGTACCGTACAGCATGCTCCAGGAACCTCCGCGCGCAATCTACTGGTGTCGTGTCGTGGCCCACGAACAGCGCAGGGTTCTCCAGCATCCCTCGAGCCGCCATCACGCCGTCCACGCCGGTCATTGATACAATCCGCTTGACGTCTTCCGCAGCGTAGATGTCACCATTCGCGAGCACGGGCACGCAAACACTCTGCTTCAGCGACTTGATCGCGGCAAAGTCCGGCGGAGTGCTCGAGCGTTGCGATCTTGTTCGGCCGTGAACAGTGATGAAGTCTACGCCAGCTTCTTCGAGTACTCGCACCCAGCGGACGGTTTGGCTGAGGTCTTTATGGATCCGTATCTTGCAACTTACGCTTTTGCCAGGTCCAAGGCTAGCTTTTGCCGCTCGGACGAGGCTGGCTACGAGCTCTGGGTCTTCCATCAACGAGCATCCGATGCCCTCCTTAATCGCCCACGATTGTGGGCAGCCACAGTTCAAGTCTACACCGTCGACCCATGGTGCTATGAGCTCTGCTGCTCGGGCGAAATCTTCGGGGTTTGAAGCAGCGAACTGAGCGATCAGGGCATGCTGTCGCCCGTCTGAAGTGGGCTCGCGCTCCGCTGGACATGTGGTAAAGTCGCTGTCACGGGCCACTTGCGAGCGGATGAACTCATGGGCGAGAATCATAGGCGTGTATGTCACATCCACATCGCACTCGCGGAGTAGCATTCGGAAGGGCAGCTTGCTGTAGCGAACCATTGGAGCGCATACTGTGCTACGTTAGTATGGGCCTAAATGACAATCTTTCAGCAAGCTGTTACCTTGCAATGGTCTCCTTTCCGCCTTTGCAGCCTCGAACAGTTGTATGACCCTACGTTGGCGTCAGACTTAGTGTTGATGTGAGAGATTAGTATTTGATGTTTCTTGGCCTACCGCGGCTTCTGCATTACGCCATCAGCGCTAGTTGGCGCAATTCTATGGCCGCTCTCACTTTCGATCGGCTGCATGGTCCGTCGACATATCTGGCTCATGCTGTTGATGATTTGTATGCCAAGCTTTCGACGGGCCAGCTTGAGCCGTATGACGGACCTTCTCACAGGCAATGACCGCCAGTTAACCGGAGCGATGTGACCCTTAACCGCAACCTCGTCTCGAAGAAGACAGCCAGATGTGCCCGGTTGGCTGCTTTCACTAGGTGTCTCCTGCTTGCATGCCAAGCGATGAGCTAGTTTATGCTTATCGTACCTAGGCGCCGGATAAATCTCGGATTGTCACACGCGTGCGTCGTCTGATGATTCTCAAAAAGTATATTGGAGAACGTACACTACCTACACCGCTCCAGATTACAGCCCGCCAGTAACAGCCGGCGCATCCGGTCCAGCCGCGGTATATCTTCGATAACGACAACCGCGACTAATCCGACGACGTGGCCTTGCCCGTATCCAGTGACAGAGCATGGCATCATGAGTTAGTCGCTGCGCAACTCGGTTGCATGACGGAGCATTGAGTTTTTGCGCGTTGGAAGCGACAGATAAGCAGCCATGGGAGGTTACACTTACCCGTCATCGTCCCCATCAAGGTCGTCGGCGAGTCGACATATCAGTGTCAGAGAGCTCCCTGCTCCAATGCTCCCAACTCAGCCAACATCCGCACAACACATTGGACACCTCGGTCAGCAAGAAACACATACAGGCCCTTGTCAGTTCCTTACGTTGACTTCGATCCCGACAATGTTGTATGTGCCTCCAGTACCATCGCCATCGCCGTCAGACGAGCCCCCGAAGCAGTCACCGTTCCTACGGCTGCCAACAGAGATACGGCTCCAGATCTACGGTCTGTTGGTGCTGCCGCGCAAGTCGACAGATCTTCTCCCTTCGCGTGTGAAGGTTTCAAGCTCGGCAGCAGACTCATTCGACTATGAGAAAAAGCAACATGGCACAGATCGGCCTGCGATGGCAGACCCGTGTCGCCCAGTCTTGTGCATTCGAACAATCGACGGAGACTGCTACGAGCAGCGTTATGGAAAGAACATGTCTCGGTCGTCCCACACAAGAAGCGTGTATGCTATCCGAGCAGACCGCTTCCGCGCGCGGTGCATGAATACCACATACCATTGCGTGAATATCCCGCGCATCGAGGATCACATGGGCATCATCCGGACGAATAAGCAGATCCACGCCGAGGTTGCAGAGCTGCTCTACTCGTCGTACACCTTCGACTTCGACACGCACGTGGAAGCTATACGGCCGTTCTTGAACGACCTTACGCCTTTCGCGCGCAGCTGCATCAAGAGCGTCCGATTTGTCAAAAAGGGTCTCGCGTACGACAAGGAGTTTGACCGCGCTGAGTGGACGTCTGCTATGCGATATCTTACCGCATCGAGCTCCGACCTCAGCCTGCGGCGACTCGAGCTAGGCATTGTCGCCGGTCGACCAGGGCCTAACGGCTGGGACCGGATCGCAAAGTATGCGCCGCAGGATTTTGACCTGCTCAAGGACGCAGATGGCATGCAGTGGCTGCAGTATCTCCTTGAGTTCAAGGACCTGGTCGAGCTGGATGTCAATGCGATCGTGGAGCACTGCGCACATGCCACGAATTCGATGGCCATGGCGAACTTCATCCGCTTCTCAGCGAGCATTGAGAGCGGGTTCTCGAAGTATTTGCGGAAGCAGTTATTATGTGTATGAGGATTGGAGAATGCGGTGTCCTATCTCATCTCAGCGAGGCGTTCGGGGGAAGTTTTGGGAGCATAGCAAGACCCTTCCAGGATGAAGTAGTTAGAATAATGTAGTCCCAACTCAGTGGCTCGATTGATATCCACCTACTACTATGACGAACCGCCTGATAGAAGTGCATGTAACATGTGTACTTTGTCTACCACCAGACAGTCATTCGTCAGCTAGGTTCCCACCGTAGCCGCAGCACAGAGATCTGGTATCGTTGATCATTGTAAGGTACTTGATGTGGTCTCTCATCGCGCATGCCTGAGGCTAAGCCGTTCGTCGAGACGACGTCGAACTTCCGCATCCCGCACATCTTCAAGCTCCACCTACAACTCGACGAATGCGACACGACCTCCTGATGATCCAGCGATAGCTAATGTGACTGTTCGGGCGACCTCAACGAATAACACCACCGCCCACCATGGCATCGCCTCCTCCCCCGGTAGAAGACCAGGCGCGGCTGCTGGAGGATGCCTTGGGGATAGTGCGCCAGCAGAGCGTCCTGATGCGACGGTGTCTGGAAACGCCTGGGAAGCTCATGGATGCGCTGAAGTGCAGGTAAGCTCGTCCACGGAATGGCGAGAGCAAATGCGATCATAGAGGGTATCTGACTACGGCCCAGCTCAACACTCGTCTCCGAGCTACGAACCAGCAGCCTTGGGCCTAAACAGTACTACGAGCTGTATATGTCCGTGTTCGATGCGCTACGACACCTCTCCGTCTACCTACGCGAGTCTCATCCCGTCAATCACCTTGCCGATCTCTACGAACTGGTTCAATATGCAGGTAACATCGTGCCAAGGTTATACCTGATGATTACAGTGGGGACCGTGTACATGGGCATTGAAGATGCGCCGGTGAAAGAGATTATGAAGGATATGATGGAGATGAGCAGGGGTGTACAGCACCCGGTGCGCGGCTTGTTCTTGAGGTACTACCTCAGCGGGCAGGCGAGGGACTACTTACCCGAAGGCACTGGGGATGGGCCGGAAGGGAATCTGCAAGACAGCATAAGCTTCATTCTTACAAATTTCGTGGAGATGAACAAGCTCTGGGTCCGGTTGCAGCACCAAGGCCATTCGAGGGAACGAGAACAGAGGACGAAAGAGCGACAGGAGCTACAGCTGTTGGTCGGGAGCAATCTCGTGCGACTGAGCCAGTTGGTGGATCTGGAGACATATAAGAGTGTCATCTTGCAGCCACTACTGGAGCAAGTCGTGCAATGTCGGGATGTACTGGCGCAGGAATACTTGCTGGAGGTCATCACGCAAGTGTTCCCGGATGAGTTCCATCTGCACACTCTGGATCAGCTGCTGGCGGCTACTGCTCGGCTCAATCCTCATGTCAACGTCAAGGCCATCGTTGTAGCACTTATGGATCGGTTGTCGGCCTACGCGCAACGAGAAGCAGAGACGCAGTCGCCCGAAGACAGGCAAAAGCAGGAAGAAGAGTCTGTCGCTGCACTCATGCAAAAGCTGAGCGTGTCAAAGTCGCAGCAGGAATCCGCATCAGCAGCGAAGCCGAGCGAGGATGGCGAGCCAGCCGCAAATGGAGACGCAGAAGACTCCGCAGAACATCCTGCGACCCCAGGGGCACCTGAAGAGCAGCCCGATGCAGAGCCTGCGCAGTCTCACACCAACGGTGAGAGCAACAAGCACCGAGGCATACCAGACAACGTCAAACTGTTTGAGATCTTCTACGAGCAAGTCGTACATCTCGTCGGAATGCAGCGACTGCCCATTCAGGACATCACGGCGCTGCTTGTATCACTCGTTAACCTCGCCCTCAACATCTACCCCGAACGCCTCGACTACGTCGACCAAGTCTTCCACTACGCCACTAAGGAAGTCAGCAGGTTCACAAACTCCGCCGACCTACATTCCCAAGCCTCTCAGACAAACCTCCTCAGCCTACTGCTTGGCCCAGTCAAGGCCTACTTCTCCCTCTTCACCGCCTTGGCACTACCCAACTTTGTACCGCTTTTCCAGCAACAAACATACCCGACGCGACGAGCCGTTGCTGGTGAAGTCGCAAGAAGTCTGTTGCGAAACGAGACCAGAATCACTACGTCAGAGCACCTTGACAGCGTGCTCCAGATCCTATCAGTCCTGGTTAAAGAGGGCATGCAGCCTCCGTCAGGCTACCAAAGTGGCCCCGTCCGCAGACCTGCTGCCGAGACGGAGGAGACCGTTGAAGAGCAGGGCTGGCTTGCGCGGATAGTGCACCTCGTTAAGGGCTCAGACAACGTCGCCCAGTTCAAGCTGCTCCAGCAAGCCAAGAACACCTTCGCAGAGGGCAGCGACAGGATAAAGTACACCACTCCTGCTCTACTGACACAATCACTCAAGCTTGCGAGGTCGTTCAAGCGAAGAGAACACCTTTCCAGCGACGACTACGCTACACAATCCTCCGCCCTGTACAAATTCATGCACACCATGATCTCCTCTCTCTACACACGAGTCTCCGCCTCCGGCGTACCTGACCTCTGTCTCCGGCTGTTCGTATCTTGCGGACAAGTTGCCAGCCAGTGCGAGAATGAGGATATCGCATACGAATACTTTGCGCAGGCATTCACGATCTACGAAGAGTCAATATCAGACTCGCGGTCGCAGTTCCAAGCTATCTGCATCATCTCTGGTGCTTTGGCTGGATGCTCCGACCGGTTTGGCCAAGAAAATTACGATACGCTGATAACGAAGGCTGCGCTGCACGGAAGCAAGCTGCTGAAGAAGCCGGACCAGTGTCGGGCGGTGTATCTCGCAAGTCATTTGTGGTGGGCAGTTGAGAAGGGCGAGCGACCTGAAGGTGGCAAGGAGGTGAGGACCATCCCCAAAAACAAATCTTCAAGATGTGTACTGACGTATTGCTATCAGCCCTACCGCGATGGCAAACGCGTTCTCGAGTGCCTTCAGCGTGCCCTTCGAGTCGCAGACGCATGCATGGACACTGCCGTCTCTGTCGAACTCTTCGTCGAGATCCTGAATCGCTACGTCTACTATTTCGACCAAGAAAACGACGCTGTCACGACCAAGTACTTGAACGGCCTGATCGAGCTGATACATTCTAATCTTAATACTACCGAGAACGCCAGTGGCTTGGAGAACCCAAGGAGGCACTTCGAGCGGACTTTGGAGTATATTCGAAGTCGGGATTATGAGGGTGTCGAGACGAAGCCGAAGTGAAGAGGCTCGGGCAGGTGCAAAGGTGTTGGAGCTGCTACGGCGTGGGAAGTGCTTGTCGTCTGTGAGCGTTCTGTATATATTGGCCAAAAGAACCGACGATTTGTATTAGCTTTCCAATCGTTTCCCGTACGATCTCTCAGACAATGTTCGTGTAGCACAACTTCTCGTCTTGTGACACTGTTTGAAGCGGCACCAGCCGCGTGTCGTTCCTGCCTAATGAGGAGGCAAACGATTTTTTATCGACTTCACGTCCTCTGACACAACAACTCTCTTCATCAACTGAACAACGAACACAACCAGGTCATCGAAGCACCACACAGACGTACTTTCCAAGACAATTGAAACAAATCCAGAGCAGACTGCCAACCACCATGTCGAGTGAAGGGGGCGGCGACGTCTTGGCTCGTCTCAAAGCGAACATCGAGGCCGTCACGAAAGACGCGGGAGAGTCTCTTGACTGGCGCACCTTTGAAGAAGCAGAGCTTGTACTCCCAAAACAGCTGACTGCAGCTGAACAAACACACATCGTGTACTCGCTCGTGGCCATCATTCCAAATCTTCAACAAGACCCGACTCCAGCTGCAAATCTCCTGGTCCGGTTGCTCCAAGACTATAGCTACACCGACGTTCTGAGCCTCGGAAGCAGCAACATACCATGGACGGACGGACTAGCTGTCGGGGAGCACATGGTCAGCTTCAACGGGCTTATGCTGAATTTACTGGAAAAGGCAACTGTCCAACTCACCGATGCTGCTCATGTGGCAAGCATGCTGGATACTATGCTAGCTCTGGTCAGACTTTGGCTCTGCACGCCCGACACGGGCATCGCAAGCCGGGCCTCAAAGCTTCTCCGGAGACTGCTCGAGGTCGATCGAGAGATTCAGTCTGATCCAGGTGCACCTGTTCGCGGCGGACAAGGTCTGGTATGGAAGCGGATCTTCGGTGATCGGAACATCTACGGAACTATTTTCGAAGCTACTACTCTCTCCGGTCCATCGTCGCTCAAGATGAGCAAGAATCAGCGAACGTTGGCTCAGGCGAGGCTGCTAGAGTGGCTGCCCACTATTGGTTCAATGGACTGGAGCGCAATCGCCCGCAGCCATCACGATGACATCGAGTCGACCTACGGAGTTAAGGAGGGTCTGCTGGAGTTTGCTGCTTTGCGAATGGTCGACTACAAGGACGATGTACTTATGCACCGCTGCCTCGTGGACTTCTACTCGGAGCTCCTCCTCTCCAATAGAGCCAGTAGCGCCGGAGTTGCTTCAGCGACTGACTCACCGGCTCTCCGATACATGATCGCGTCTGGATTGCACGCGAGAACAGGGGCAATCTATTTGCAAACGCCCGGCTCGTCTGCCGACCCTCTAGAGGCCATGTTCCTGTACGGGCCCGCTGCGAATTATATCGCTACGTATGCATCGTGCTACTCAGAGCACTTTCTCACTAGCCAGATGCCCAAGCAAGTCACCGACCATCTGCATGGAGCGCTCGACCTATCGCCGGCGAAATGGGCGCATGCGGAGTCTCCGAAGCATGATCTCCATCTTATGGCGAGTCTACCACGACAAGCTTTACTGCCCGCCGGAAGCACCGCTGCGCAATGGAACCAAACGCCACTATCGCTTCTGCCATCACGATCTACCAGTGCGGATGTACTGAACACTCTGGCTACGATCCTCCGTGGACCTGACGAGGAACCCATGATCTTCCCAGGTGGATGGGTGACGGAGGTAGACGACGGCGTAAGACAGACTGAAGCTGCTGCTGCCAGAGCGCTGTACTACAACTACCTCTCACACGATCAGCGGTTCTGGAACAACATTGCAACGCACGCTGATACAGTGGCTCTAAAAGACCTGGCTCTGTCGGCCATCAACTGCCTGGTCGCCGTGACGACTGCAAAGTGGTCCACAAAGCCAGACATGCCTCTACCCACTACCATTGCAACGCCAGACCATGGACACCTCGCCATCCTGAGTCCTCCAGCCCTCGAGTATGCGCTTCCATATCTCCTCAAGCCGGCCCAGTCTTTCGCCAACATAGTCGGAGGGCGGGGTGACACTGAAAGTGCCGCGTACCAAATCGCTACCGCAAAGTTCGATGCTGTCCGCGCTCTACACGACAGAATCCAGTCGCAAGCACAGGAGCAGCCTGAAGAAGGCTTCGAAGAGATCCTCAGGACTCTCAACAAGCGCTTGGCGGAAGGGCCGCTGAGTAGAGAGGGTGAAGTCGGCGGTAGAGTCGGGACGATGGAGCTGTGATGGCTTGTCGAACACAGCGCTTGCTTTCTGCATGCTCTCCCTGCATGCTCTCCCTCAGGTTGCTAAATCCCGGCGGGTCCACGCGGCTGTCAACACCCGGCACCAATCTTCACAATCTGAAGCCCTCCTTCGCGTGCACCAGTCTGCCACCGACCCACACTGCAGTGGTGCTCCGATCGTCACCAGTATACACCCACTTCGCGACCAGATCGTCCCAAGTCTCCTTCCCAAACACCTCCACTGGTCCCGCGCTCTGGTCCAGTTCCGTCGTCTCAGGCCCAACGGCTTCCAATCCAATCATTTGTGCATCCCACATCTTACCGACCTCAAATCCACCTATCCGGTCTTCGAGCCCAACGACTTTGGCTCCCCCGCGGGTGGCAAGATACAGCGCCTCCTCAACGCTCAGCTTCGCCTCGTCTCCTTCGTCCATCGCCACGTGCCGAGACACAAACACAGCCTCCCGCGCTTCGGCAAGAATGGAGGAGGTATAGCCACCGCTCACATCCGTGCCCAAGCCCAAGTTCAAGCCTGCATTGAGCATTTTGCGTACTTTGGCGCGGCCCGAAGTTAGAGCGGTGTTGCTGGCAGGACAGTGGCTGATCTTGGCATCGCGGGCTCTGATCAGTGCTGTCTCCTCTTCAGTCAGATGGATCGCGTGCGCAAGAATCATTTTGGGCGTCAGCAGGCCGGCGGATTCGTACACGTCAGCGTACGACTTGCTCTCCGGGAAGAGGTCGCGGACGAGGTCGCATTCACGAGGATTTTCCGAGATATGCGTTTGCGCCGGCAGATCCAACTCCCGATGCAGCTTCCCCAGAGCGGCGAGAGACTCAGTATTGCACGAAAGTGCGAAGCGTGGCGTAATAATCGGCGTAACAAGGTCGAACTCCGGATCAATCTTCCGCACGTGCTCGATGCAGGCTTTCGAATCCCGAAGCGCAGTCTCAACGCTCTCATCCCGGTAGTACTCCGGGCTCATCTCATGCATACACACCCGCCCGACGAACGCCCGCTGCCCGCGGGTCTGGCAGATGTCGGCCAAGAGGTTCGTGGCCGGGACGTGGACGGTGGCGTAGTAGCAGGCAGTCGTGGTGCCGTGGGATAAGGTGCGGGCGACGACACGGTTGTAGATGCGGGATGCGGTGGCCAGGTCAGCGAAGGAGGATTCGAGCGGGAAGGTGTAGGTGTTGAGCCAGTCGAGGAGGGTGGATTTGCCGAAGATGCCGGCGTTGGGATATTGGGGGGCGTGGATGTGCGTGTCTGGGTCGGTCAATCAGTGGCATTTCGGAGGAGCGGTTGTGTCGTGGATGGAGACGTACCAATGAAGCCAGGGAAGAAGAAACCATGGTCTTGTATACGCACGATCTTTGCATCTTCCCAACCATCGCCTTCTGGGATTTTTCTACCTCGCTCGTCTCGTAGCACAAAAGCAATTCTGCCGCCCTCATCGACGCCGATCATGCCATTGGGACAGATATCTAGATCCGTGAGTGTCTTGCATTGGATAAATGGGCCGATGTAGACGGTCTTTTTTTGAGACATTCTTCTTTGGATTCTTGTAGCGAGACGATTTATATGGGAATACAAACAGCCTCCGAATGACCAGATTCTAACAGAGCATCAGGAGATATCTGGGTATATATCATTGGAAATGAACAAGTATCCACGGATGAGATAAAGCATTGAAGTCAAGAATGGCATCGGCCGGCGCCGACAGCCGATTGTCTTTCAGACTTGACTAGATTAGGAAGTAGCAGACCACTAATGTCAAAAGGGTATATCCCAAGCACCACCACCCGCAACAAGCGCCCAAACACCATCGCTAAGTCCAAACCGCCATCGTCCGTCTTCATACGCAGGTCAGACCTCAATCTTCGCATGCCGAAAATACTTCATCCCCACCCACGCGACCGTAATCCACACCCACGCCACCACGCCCGACAGCACCATCAACGCAGGATAGTACCCCACAACCGGCAGGGTAGGATCGTCCTCGAGATCCGGGGGCGCGTAGGGCGTGTCCCCGACATCCCACGCCCAGCTCCACAGGCCGAGACAGGATCCCATGCCCACGGTGAAGGTGAGCCAGGTGGTGAGGAGCAGGATCCAGCCCCAGGTTTCCGTCTCGGTGTAGTCGTGCGGCGGGACTTCGGTCGGGGGAGGGGATTGGAGGGTCAGGGTGCGGGAGAGTGGGGAACGGCGTTTTTTGGATTTGGAAGTTGGGGGGAAGGAGGTTTGGGAGTCGGTGGGGGAGAGGAGGGGGAAGTAGGATGTGGAGGATGAGGAGATGGGGGCGGGGATGGGTTTGCTGCGCGGGGGGAAGGTGAGGGGGTCGTCGGATTCGGTGCTGGTGTAGCTGAATTGGCTGGTGGGGGATTTGAGGTCGAGGGGGGAGCCGAGGTCGGTGGTTGTGGTGGTGGTGGTGCTGACGGTTGCTGCGCGGGTTCGGTCTTGGTGGCCGGTTAGGAGGGAGAGGCGGGCGGCGGAGACGGCGGCGGGCTTGGTCCAGCTGTTGTCGCTGCTGGTGGAGTAGATGGTGGTCTCGTAGCTTTGTTGTCGTTTCAAGGACCGCGGGCCTGAGAATTTCTCCTCGAGCACAGATAAGTGGCCCCCGTCCGTAGTATCGTGTCTTTCCTGTGGTACGCCGCGACTTAATACCTCGTCATCCCTTCTCAACTCTGGAAGATTGAGCGGTGCCTGCTGTGGACTGAAGCCTGCCTCTCTTTCCCGGCCCTCAGTGACATTCCTTCGCCCACCTAGCAGAGCAGCCTTCCGCAAAGACCCTGTCCTCTTTCTCGTCGTGCTGACCTGCCTGGGCTTGGGACTGATAGTCCCCTCCCTTTCCGTCTCTGAAACCGATGACGGCGCATCCTCGACCGCGAAATCATCCTCGAAGGACTTTTGGTTGGATAGCGCTCTCGTCGGACTGGTAGCCTCCTTCTCACGTGAAGGAGGTCTCAATTCTCGTGAAGGTGGCCTCTCTCCAGATCCGCTACCCCGCCGCAATATGTTAAACTTGTGGAGGATGTTGCTGGAGATGGCGCGCTTTTCCTTGGAATCGCTCTTCGGAGAGACCGTCGTGGGACTTGTCGGCGGTCGCGGCACTTCGAGAGTAGTTGTTCTGTCCTTTGTTTTCGTCTGGATGGGAGGAGGGGTGCCTGTGACTGTCGTCCGTCGGTAACGGACATCACCGCGGGCGACGCTTCGCTTGATGGGAGGGGAGGGGGTGGTCGCGTCGGCCATGACTGCGCTGTGCGGTGGTGAGCATTGCACGCCGGTCTTCTAGGTCGTCCTCATCAGTCCTGGAACCCCACTGTGGGCTGGTTGTAATCTTGTCTCGAGTTGCTATGTCATAGTCATAGTAGAGGGTCTAGGGTGGTGTGACCCTTGGATCACCGCCCTCCCCGCAGACTCCACCGTCATGCAGGAGACTTTGGTTCCTGCAGATCAGAGCCGCTCCCTGCATCCCGACCACGCAGATCAGTGCCATGGTACAATCCAGTCCTTACTGAAGACCCAAACCACCCAACTCCACCCCCGATGGCCCCATCTACCCTCCCGCTCCCTCGACCCCCTGGCACCCCTCCACCCACCGACGACAACGTCGATGGCCGGCCCAAAGGCCTTGGCCTCGACGGCCCAACGATCACGACCGACTACGACTATGACATCCAAAAGGGCATCACAGACTCGCCCAGCAAAGAGCCGGATTCAGGCAGGACCTACGACTCCGGCAGCAGCATGCTCTCGCCTACGCACTCGACCTTCTCCGGGCTGAGCCCCAACCCAGGCTTCTATACCCCTATCACACCACAGACAGCAAGTACGGATGGCGGGTTTCCACAGCATGCTTCACTTGAGCCGTCGGCGGCAGGAGGCCAGCGCAATCCATTCAACTTTACGACCCAACAGTACGAACATGTCGTCCGCAAACCCAGCAACGAAGCGCTGGGAAAACGCCGCGGCCACAAATACAGGCACTCCTCTATCCATGCCTCTGCTATGGACTCCATCATCCAAGCACCAACCCAACGAACTCCCCTGACGGTCCCCTCCTCCCTCCCCATCCCCACCCGCAAAGAGACCTGGCGCTCCCTAACCCCCCACCAAACCCTCCGCCTCGCCTGGTGCGCCTGCCACTTCCTCGTCTCGGCCTTCGTCCAATTCTCCGCCGCGGGCTCCCTCTCCATGACCGCGCTCTCGCGCCTCCTCCTCTTCGACGCCGCCGGCGCCACCGTCTGCGTCGTCGTCGACGTCATGGCCAACTTCGAAGTCTGGCAGCGCAGCAGCATCAAGCACCCGTTCGGGCTCGCGCGCGCCGACGTCCTCGCCGGCTTCGGCATGGCCGTCTTCATCGCCTTCATGGGGCTGGACATCCTGTCCCACGGCATCGAGCACGCGCTCGAGAACCTCGGGACACACGAACCGCACACCTCCCACGCCCACGGGCGCCTGCCCATGTTCCGCGTGGACGTCGCGAGTCTCCTCTCCATCTGCGCCACGCTCACCTCCGCCCTGCTGCTGCAAAACCACAAACGCATCGGCAAAGCGACAAACTTCACTCTAATAGCCAGCTGGGGCCGCATCCTCGGCAACCCCTCGCACATCCTCACGCTCTCGTGCTCGCTGATCCTGCTCATCCTGCCCCTCTTATCCTCCGACGAAAGCCACAGCTACTACACCATTTTCGACACCACCTTCTCCTTCCTCATCGCCTGCCTCATGCTCACCTTGGGCCTGCGGTTGGGAACCTCCCTCGCTGCTCCTCTACTAATGTCCTACAAACCCCCCGCCTCCGGCAAGCACAAAGACGTCAGCGTGCGCGATATCGTGACCGAAATCGAAGGCGAGAGCGGCGTGAGCGGGGTCGAGGAGGCGAAGTTCTGGCAGGTGCATTATGGGCTCTGCATGGCGAATTTGAAGCTGAGATGGCGAGGAGGGGGAGGGGCGGAGGAGATGAGTAAGGTGAGGGGAAGGGTGGTGAGTTTGGTGCGGCAGAGGTTGGGGGGGAAGTGGGAGGTAAGTTTGCAGATGGCGGTGGAGAGGGATTAGATGTGAATTGATGGATATGTGTGTATGTATGTATGATATGAGGTTATGCCTACTATGGCTTCTTCCCCCTCGGCGACGGGTATGCCATTGGACACCTACACGTATTATTCCCTCGCCCCTCCGCTTCCGGCAGGGATGATATGGGGAGCTCGTGCCTTGCCTGTCGATCAGAGCTCGACATTCGTTCCCCCATCTCACCCATCCATACATGTTACCTAGGTCCAGCAGCAGCCTTTCTGCATCTTATCTCAAATTAGCTCAACACTCGCCGCCATGGCAGAAGTAGACCTCCAAGCCATCCACGACCACCTCTCCACTCTCGCCTACCGCGCCGGCGCCAGGATCCTCGCCGCCAACCCTACACAATCCGCCGCCGGAACGAAGAAGAATTCCGCGGATATTGTGACCGCGACCGACCGAGCCGTGGAGGAATTGGTGAGGGAGGAGTTGCGGGGGAGGTGGGGGGAGGGGTTTGATTGTCTGTTTGGACCCTCCACTCTTTCATAAGGTAAATTGAGGAAGGTGGCTGACGGGGGGCTGACGTGTGTGCAGTCATGGGCGAGGAGACCTACAAGGAAGGCGATGTTTTGGGGGAAAGACCGACTTTTATCGTGGATCCGATTGATGGGACGACGAATTTCGTGCATGGGGAGGGGTATGTATGTGTTTCTGTACGTTACTACCCCGTCCCATTCCATTGCCTGAGAAGTGGAGGTGATGGCTAATGGTGATCTGATTACAGCTCGGCCTAGCGGTAGACAGGAAACCAGTGGTGGGTGTGGTCTACAACCCCTTCACCCGCACGCTCTACAGCGCCATCCGCGGGCAAGGCGCCTTTCTCACCTCCCCCTTCTACGACCACGCGCGTCTCCCGCTGCGGGACCCCGAGCCGTTGACGAGTCTGAGTCAGTGTCTTGTCGCGGTGGAGTGGGGGAGTGAGAGGGAGGGGAAGGATTACGAGGTCAAGGTCGAGACTTTTAGACGGCTGGGAGCGAGTAAAAAGGACGGGGGGGCGATGGTGCATGGGTTGCGGAGTTTGGGGAGCGCGGAGTTGAATTTGTGTAAAGTGGCGGAGGGGGCGGTGGATTTGTATTGGGAGAATGGGTGTTATGCGTGAGTTCTCTCCTCGTCCCCTCGCCTCACTTTGCCTCGCCTTTTGTGGTGGAGAGCTAATGTATAAGTGTAGATGGGACGTCTGCGCCGGCTGGGTTATTCTTGAGGAGGCGGGGGGAAAGATGGTGGGGAGTATGCCGGGGGATTGGGAGCCGAAGGTCGAGCAGAGGCGGTACATGGCTGTGCGGGGCGGGGAGGGGCAGAGGGGGGTGATTGAGGAGTTTTGGGGGTGTGTGGTGGGGAGGGTGGAGGTGGGGTTTGATGGGGTGTCGTAGTACTTTTCTCTCTCTCTCTTTGTCGTTCGTTAGTCTTGATCGCCGCTCTGATATGCATACATGTAGATCTACAGGGTGAAGGTTGTCACTCCGGCGTGTCCGGATCCCGGCTGCAGTGTTCGATGATCCTCTCGGGCTTGCAGTGCGATGTCTTGCATGCTCCTCGGAGACCCGTCCTCTTCGTTACGTTAAGTGGACGACACGCCGAGTCTTTGCCTACGCCAGTGGAGCGGGCACTGCCACCCGCCGTCCAAGATGCTCTCCACGTGCCTGCCTTGGCTGCGGGGATTGCTCGAGGCGCTCGATCACGCCGAGAGGTGAAGTTTTCTGCCGGATCTGGCAGGAGGAGGGGTCGTGGTCATGCTGCGATGGGGACAAGATTGTTGGTGTTTGCAAGGCCCACAATGCGTTCGATGGTTGTTTCAGACCTTGACGATTGCGCGATTTGAGACCGTGAGAGCAGAGCAGAAGAGCGAATGGCAAAACCGAGGGCAGCCGACGTTTACACAATAGCTGGGCGATGATTGGTTGTGAAGGCGAAGCGTCGATGGCCTGCAGCTTGGTCTTTACTCGATTCTCGTCATTCAGGAACACCCAAGACTCCCCACTTGACCCTCTCCTACAGTCAACTGACCCTTCGACACTTGTCTTGACGACAACAGCACCATCCTCTATTCCATATCTTTCATTCCAGTCAACCAACCCGTTTCCAGCCTTCCCCAGACACAGGTAAGCCGGCAGCCTCCTACCTACTACACCCTTATCACCTAGCTGCAGGACACATGCAGGCGCCTTCACACTCGCTCAACCGGGCCGAGGGGAGCGGTCAATGCTAGAACTGTGCTCTTTACAAGCCTCGAGAACACCTGATAGCACTGTATAGACATTGTTCTGCGAGCACCCACTCCCACTCCCACTTCAGCATCACCTTCCGCGGCAGCAGCGTCATTGTGAGGCAAGCTCGAGGCTAAAACACTAACCAGCTCCAGCAGATATACTCCACCCAGATCATCTTCAGTGATAGCATCTGACCACCAGCAACCATGGCTACTCCCACCGTCCCACCACGCCCCAGTCGCTCCTCTGCCGCCGCGCCTAGTGGGCCGACTGCGGTCAAGGACAGCATACCACAAGTCCCGCCGCGGCCGGTCCGCAAACTCGACCCTTCCCCGAGCCGAGACCTGCGCTCGCCCTTCAATGAGCCCCCCAATCCCATGGGCAGCGTCAATAAGAAGCAGTCCGCGAGCAACCTCCATCAAGAGGTCCCCGCGCGTCGTCCGAGTGTCACACTGCCGTCAGTAGGCCAGGAGGGCTCCGAATACGCCAGCTTCGACGTCCTGCCTCCTGAAGCACACGGCGTCAAGGTTGACGACAACGGCAGCGAGCCAGTCCAGCCGGAGCAGACCAGAAATGTATCCGCAAACATGCCCCTCCACGCACCCAAGGCCTCTGTCCCTCAGGCCACCGCAAAGAGCAGGATCGAGGGAGTCACACGTACTGATTCGACGCAGGCAGCGGCGGCGGGCATTGGAAAGGCCAGACCGGATGACGACGTGCATTCTCCGCCTGCGGAGTCGAGCTCTGCGCTAGGACGCGTAGTCACCAACAGCGATGATCTGATGCGTGTTCCCTCCGCCGAACAAGCCCTGCGTTCGAAGGGCAGCTTCAGTCGCTCGACTCCCAGTCTGCATCCCACTACGTCCCGCCCCGACAGCATCCAAGAAGGGAACCACGAGCTTGGGATCCCTGAGATTGGCATGCAGATACCGCTGTACCCGAACGCTGGAGATGTGCAAGCTCCTTCGCCGGCGCAGACGCAGTCTCAGTTCGCCCCAGGCATTGGGTTTTACAATGACGGCTCTCAGCGTGCTCACCATAGGAGGAAGAGCTCGCGGAAGGAGTTTGGGCCACCCGGCAGCTACGGCATGCACGGGCACGGCGAACAGCCGCATGACCAGTTCGAAAGAGAGTGGATCAAGAAACATCCCAGTCAGGCTGCCATTGAGGGCTTCAACATGCATGGCCCGCCCAGGCCTGAGACTGCTTTGTCGAGTGCGGAGCTGAACAGGCTTGTGAATCAGGCGAATGATGCTGGGTTTGGTGTGTTATACAATATCTTTTGGACTGCAGAAACGAAGCTAACGTCGAGTAGGCACAAACCCAGATATGGTCGGCACACCAGGTGCAGACGTTGCTTGGGAGGCCACAGAAGAGTATGCATCGCGTAGGACCACGCCCCAGCCGTCGCCTCTGCCGGACCGCAAAAAGCGCGACTCCAGCGGCATGGAGCCCGCCGTCCAGTCTCCTTTGCGCAAGGCCAGCTTTCCGTTCGGCGAACGCCCTGGAGACAGCTCAGCTATTGACGATGACCCTGTGATTCACGTCGAACCGCCAGCGGAAGGCAAGCCCAACAAAGTTACGGGCGGAGGCTACGCGGATAATGCTATGAATTTTGGCCCTTCAGCCGGCAACACGGAAGAGGAAGGTGGCTGGTTTGACGAGCGTGGCGATGGAACACCCATCCTGGCTTCAGACGAGATCATGAAGCGACCCGGAAGTGCTTACATGCAGCCAGCGGTCAGCCCGGAGGTGCCCCATGACGACTATTACTACGAGAGTGATGCCAGTCACAACGAGACCAGTCGCAGGAATAGTGTTCGTGTGCCCAGTCGACCGTCCAGCAGACCCAACAGCATGCATGGAGAATACCAGGGCGGTAACTTGTACCGATTTATGTCGCATGAGGAGCACCATGGTTCTGGCTTGCACACGCCTCTGGAGGAGATTGAGGAGTACGAGCCATTGATTCCCGAAGGCGAGGAGGAGCCCAAACCTAAGCCAAAGGCGATCAAGAAGAGGCCGGGTCTGGAGCATCATCACTTCCCGAGTCAAGATGTCTGGGAAGACACACCGATGTCGCTGCAGTATTCTACCACAGTTGAGACGCCCGAGCCGCCTCGTGAAGCTAGAGCAGAGCCTCCACCGTCTGAAGACACGAGCACTTTCGAGACACCGGAGGAAGAACAGCAGCGCCGGAACAAGAATCCGAACGACATGTGGTCGGACAGCAAGACACTGGTTAATAAGCCGCATGCTCGTGCTCTTGATGAACACAGGCCAGGCGTGCAGCGCTTCCCCAGCCAGGATATTTGGGAAGATACGCCCGACAGCATGCGTCTGGTGACGACGGTCAGCGGCCCTCAGATGGACGAGGCTAAGAGCCCGCCTGATGACCGCCCTAGCACTACTGGGGTTACCAGCTCTGAAGAGGAGGATGTGCGAGCGACCACCGGGTTTTCGAGGCCTTCCGTTCCAGCGCGTCCAACTAGGAGAAGCAAGCTGACTGAGGAAGTCAAACCGGATGAAGTCGACGACGGATCGAAAGACGAGCAGACAGACCGCGAAGCGCCGCAGACATCGCCCGACAAGGCCAAAGCCCCCGCGATCCCAGAGCGCCCGAAGCCTTCCGTGCCCGCCAGACCCGCCCGCACTTCCCGGGGCGAGCACAGCGAGACCAACGAGCTGACGAAATCCACCTCCGCCGAATCCGCCGAAACAGCCAAATCCCCACCCGTCCCCAAAGCCAAACCCGCCATCCCCGCCCGCCCAGCCGGCGAGAAGATCGCCGCGCTGAAAGCGGGTTTCATGAGCGACCTCAACAATCGCCTCAAGCTTGGTCCGCAGGCGCATCAGCCGAAGGCGAGGGAAGTTGAGGAGGAGGTGGTGGAGGAGCAGCAGAAGGCTCCGTTGGCGGATGCGAGGAAGGGGAGGGCTAAGGGGCCGGCGAGGAGGAAACCTGCTTCGTCCCCGTCTTCTGTTGCTGGTGTAGCGGCGGAGGGGGAGGAGGAGGTGAAGGGGTTGGGGTTTTCGATGTCTGAGCCGTTGACGATGTGGCATATCGATGAGAAAGATGAACTCCAAGTCCCCACCACCACCGCCGCCGCACCGGACGCAACAGCGGCAGAGGTATCCCAAGCCATGACCGAAGCAGCCGTTCCGGTACCAGCGGCAGCAGAGCAGGAAGCAGCAGCACCATCCTCCGACCTCCCCGCCCTAGAAAAACAACTCTCCGCCAACGAGGCGCATAATACCGAAGAACCTACCTTAACCCAATCGATGAGTCCGGAAAGGGCGGGCTCGCTGCAGATGGACAACATTGACGATAGACTCGATGAGGCGCGTCGATCTATCGACGAGATGTCGCATGGCGAGGGTAAGGGGGACGTTCCGTCACAGCTCGATGGGACGAATGACGATCTGAAGACTGTAAGCTCGGCGGACGTGGAGGCCAAGGAGATGGCGCCTACGGCTACGGATAAGAAGGAAGAGGGCGAGGTTGAGGAAAAGGGGCTGAAGAGTGTAGTCAGCCAGGCGGGCGCGGATGAGGTTGTGGAGAGTGGAGGGGTTCAACCCAGTTCTTAAATACATGTCGTTTTTTGCTAGGAGGGAATATGGGTGTGGGAAGGGAGGGTTTTGGGATTGGTTCAGGCGTTGGGAACAAAAGCAAATGGGATGGAATGGATGGGATGGGGGGAGTTTGTTGTTGCTGGGGTTGGGATGAGTTTGTTCGTGTTGCAGTGTCCGTATATGAGACGTGAGATGTATTCACTCCTTCACATGACGTCCAACACTATAAGACAGTACCCAAAATGAGGTTCCAACCTGAACGTGACAATGGCATTCATCTCGTCCTAGGTCTACGTCCTTAAGAGGTAACCCTCAGACAACTCCACGCTAACCCACCAACCCACCCCATCATACTTTTTGTCGTCCCATCATCCCACCGTAGCATCATAAACCCCATCCCCTCTAAAGCTCCTTCTTAACCTTCTCATCCGACACATCCCCCTCATCCCGCTCAATAAACAACCGCCCCATCTTCGCCGCCTCCTTCCACCCGCGTTGCCTGTCCCAGAACTTCTCTCGTGGGCTGGCGTCATGCAGACTCCCCTGCCGCGCGTCCTCCTCCAAACTCCGGCGCGTAATCTCATCCGCCTTCTCGCCGGGAGGCGGCACCATGCGCGTCTGCTCCAGACTCTCTTTCATTAGTTTCTGGCGCGTGACGAAGTTCATCCGTCGCTCCTTCTGGCGGCCGGGGGTGTCGATTTTGGAGATGGAGGTGCGGACCAGCCAGCGGGTGGCGAGGTAGAGGTGCTCGGAGACGAAGATGGACAAGAGCAGAGCCCAGCCGGTGATGTCGGAGGGTTTGCCGTCGGGCCCGAGGCCGTCGTTGGAGAACATGTACACCAACGCGGCCATGGTGAGCGAGCCCATCCAGCTCATGAAACCCAGGGCGTCGAGCCAGGGGCCGATGGTGTCTGCTCTCCAAGGCGTGGGACGGCGGCATTCGACGCAGATTTTGACCGCGTCGCTGCGGAGCTCGATCCAGTTGTTGATTAAGAAACTCACCGGGGCCAGAGGCCAGACGACGGAGAACATGGTCAGATAGCCGAACTGCACGACCATTTCCTTGAGGTCGCCGTAGACGTCGTAGACCTCCATCTCGGCCTCGTTACGGACGCGGGCAAGGAAGTCGGATTCGCCTTCCGGGTCGAAGGCGGCGGCGGAGGGGAGCGGGATGCCGGTTTTCTTCTCGGTGCGTTTGGTTTGCATTTGCTTGAACTTGATCAGGCCTTGGCGCTTGAGGTAGGGGACGATGACTTCCATGGCGAAGTTGACGATTTGCGCCGTCACGGTGAAGTAGATGACTTGTTTGCGCAGGCGGGCGGGGTTGATGTCGAACTGGGAGGCGTTGTCGGGGGTTTCGAGCTGTTGGGCGTTGTCGGCGAAGGGTTTGACGGTCACGCTGAAGACGTCGAGGTAGGGGACGATGACGCTGCCGAAGGGCACGTAGACGAAGGACGTCAGGCAGAGGGACAGGTAAGAGGTGATGAAGTTGAGGACGAAGGTCTTGGACGTCAGGCTGCGCTCGTACTGCGCTTCGGTTTCGTAGTTTTCAAAGTCGGTCAGGCTGTTGGCCGCTTTGGTGAGGATGCCGCTGAGGAAGGGTAGGCCGGTGGTGAGGATGAGGGTGGGCAGGAAGGTGAGGACGGATTTCAGGGGACCGGAGTAGACTTCGGAGATGAAGACTTCGATGGCGAAGCAGGTGGAGATGAGCGTGCCGAGGATGAGAACGGCGGCGATCACGAAGGGGATCTGAAGGAGTTGGCGTTGCAGGCGGTCTCGGGCTGGGAAGATGCGCATCTGTTCGCCGGTGATGGGGTCGTCGACGAGGTGCTTTGGCGTGAACTCCTTCCTCTTCTCGTCGATGCCGCTCACATTCTTGACACCCCAGCGAACTGCCAGATCTTGTTCTTGATGCGTCCACCATTCGACAAACACCACAGACCACAGAGACGCGACAATGCCGTACCACGGGCTGAAGTAGCCCAAGAACAGCCAGGAGAAGAGGCCAAATCCAGCAGGCACAGCCAGGAAGGTGAAGTACGCTTGTGTGAACGCAAAGTAGAAAGCAATCTTCTCTCCCATCCGATCCCGTATCTCGTCCAGGTCCTCCGGCTTCAGCAGATACTGTGTGCTCCACTTCTTGATCCACTCTTTGTTATAGGCATGGTCGTGCAGCGCAAACACACTCTCCACATTCTGCCACTTCCCCTTCTGCGGCGTGATACCCGCACCGCCCTCGGACCTGACATGGGTGATGAGGCCGTGAATCGTCCGCAGACGCTCCGCCTCGGTCAGAGGGTCCTGCTCGAGCGACTTCTCGGTGTCCATGGCCGGCTCGACCGACCGCACGCCGTGGATCCAGTCTTTGACGCGGTTGCGGTAGATTTCCGCTTGCATGTGCTCTTTGCTGCCGACTTTGATGAAAACGAGGAGGGAGTGGTCGTCGCCTTTGCGGACTTCGGTTGCGAGGCCTGCACCGGACAGGCGTTCGAGCATCTCTTCGAGACGCTGTTCGGCTTGGGCTTTGTCTGTGGGATTCCAATGGCGTTAGCAGACTGCTATATTGAGTGATGTGCGGATGAGCACTCACCAGTCGTGGCATACTTGAAGACTATGACATAGTCCACGCCCATGTTGTTGTGCAACGCCGGATTCTTAGACATGGCGCCGGGCAAGAACTGGGATATGACCAGCTCGGAGAGGTTTCGAGGGTAGTAGGGTCGGTCTCGGCGAGGTTTGGCTAGGGACGCCAGTGCGGCTTGTGTCGTCAACAGGAGGAGGTGGTATTATTCGTGGTCACACCATAGCAATGTCGGTGAATTGAGTGAGAGGGAGAGGGGTATAGAAGTGTGTTGATATTCCTTGTTTGAACGCGGTGGTAACGGCACGTCATCCTGCTTGCTGGTGGAGTCGTGGCGCACGGCCTCTCGACCAGTTCTGTGGGACGATCACATGCTATCTCACCGCATTGGATAGAACAGTGTCGTATATCATATAAATGTAAACATAATCTAGCATCCCTACGTCTGGATGAACCGATAGCATGATCGAACAATAATGCAACACTTTCTCGCCCCGGCCATAACCTACGACCCCCCATCCCTCCTCTACACCCTCCTAACCCAACCCATCAAAACCCTCATCCGCCTCCTAGACCTAACCTTCAGCACCCTCCGTCCCAAACCCAAACCCAACCAACCACCCATACGAATCGTCTGCATATCCGACACCCACTGTCTCAAAGCCCCCAACATCCCCGACGGCGACCTCCTAATCCACGCCGGCGACCTGGCTAACCTCGGATCCGCAGAGGAGATACAGCCGCAGATCGACTGGCTGGACTCGCTGCCGCATCGGCACAAGGTCGTTATAGCTGGGAACCATGATCGCATGCTTGATCCGAGGAGTCGAGACACTTTGCCGCTGAAGGATCGGTACGATGGTCTGGACTGGAAAGGCCTGGTGTACCTCCAGCACAGCTCTGTGGCCCTGAAGTTCAACAGCGGCAGACGGCTAAACATCTACGGAGCTCCTCAGACGCCGGCGAGCAAAAAGGACGACCACGCGTTTCGCTACCCGCAGGAGTCTGACGCTTGGTCCGAGACCGTCCCGCGAGATGTAGATGTCCTCGTCACGCACACGCCGCCGAAGCACCATCTCGATCTCCCCATAGCGCTGGGGTGCGAGTACCTTCTCAAAGAAGTCTGGGACGTGCAGCCGACGTTACACGTTTTCGGGCACATTCACGCTGGTAAATCTGACTTCGTTGGTCAACTGAAAGGCGGTCAGGAAGTAGTCCGATGGGACGACGGTCAGCGCGCTCTTGAACGGGCACTCGCTCGCCCGGATGGGCTTTTCAGAGGCATCGTCGACCCGCGCAGCTGGCTAGACGTCGCGCGAGTCACGTACTACGGCATCACGAACGTGCTTTGGGAGCAGATCTGGGGCGGCTCGAGCCCGGCGTCCACGCGCATGGTGTTGGCGAGTTTGATGTACTGTAACTCGGGCGAACTCAGGAATCCACCGCAGGTAGTCGGCATCTAGTTTCTATTCATCAACTTCGAAGAAACTCCACAACCCTATCCCCCCAAACGACCTGCCGCTTATAAAACGCCATGTCCGGCACACTCCCCAACCCTAGCCCCTCTACCGCATCCGCCAACTCCTCCCCACTTCCTTCACTCTTCACCTCATCAAGCGTATACTGAAACGTCTTAAACGCAAAAACCAACGCCTTCGTCCTCGGCAACCGATGCAACGTCTGCCGTTCACACCTCAACCTACACTCCTCCACCCTGACCTCCTTCCTCTGCACCTCAATACTCTCCTCCAGATCCTCCGCCTCGACATCCAACGTCTTCTGGTTCCCTCCACTCGCCTCCGTCCTGCCGTCCTCATACATATGACTCCCCCCCATACTAAACAGTTTATCATCAGTAGTGACGCTCCAATTCGCCCTCCGCACCGCTTTCCCCAGCTCCATCTTCGCGAAGAAGCGGTCCATGGATTTCTCTAGCTTGGCTTTATACCCTGGAACGGGCGCGTGGATGGAGGCTAAAGGGAGGCCGAGTTTCTCGTGTGTTTTGAAACCCGAGGGGAAGCAGCAGACGTAGGCTTGGAGGTGGTAGATCGGCATGCCGTCTACGGCGGAAGAGGAGGGGAGGAGGAGCAGGATGTCGGTGTCGATGTGGCGGCCGAGGGTGTAGAGGGCTGAGGATGCTGAGGGGGGAGTGAGGGGGATGTATTCGTTGGCGGGGATGTTGTGGAGGAAGTTGACCTGGCCTGAGGGTGCGTCGGGGTTTGAGCAGAGTCTGTACATCGTTGGAAACCGCCTGGGCAGGTACGTTCCGAACGTCCACTCGTAGATTTCGTACACGGCTTCCGTGCAGGGTTCGTTGCATTGGTAGGTCTCCTTCGTATGGGCGTCGAGGATGGATGTCCGGAGTTTCATGCGGTCGAGGTACGTTTTGTCCATGGCGATGAGTTCGGAAAGTGGACAGTTCTCCAGTGCCATGGTGAGGTGGTATTTTGGTTTGAAGGGGCGGATTTTGATGGGTTCTTCGGTCGTGTAGTCGAAGTTGTATAGTAGATCGATGGCGGTGTATGGGTCTGTTGGAGTTGTCTTTTCATCCTGCAGGAGGTCTACTTTCTGTCTTGTCCGTGGAACTTGTATTAGACGCCATAGTAGGTAGAGGAGCAAGGCGGCTATTGGCGTTAGCCAAGGTAGAGCGCTCATTGTTGATACAGCCATTGAGTGAGAAGTCGGCCGTCAGCGATCCGTTGTCCTGTTGAGACAAAAGTACAGTTGATCGGCTCCCACTGACAGCGATACGGTATTTGGTCGAAGTTGAGTCAATGTTGAAGATACGAGAAGAAGGTATGTACCTTGGTATATCTTGCCCGAGGTGGGTCTGAAGTTAGCTGCGTCTCGAGCTGGGTGGAGCTGCCTTTTCGAGCTCCGTGTTGATTGCTTTGGAATGAGCTGTACAGAGAGTCGACATGAGAATGGAATACTTGCGCTGAGCCGTACATTCTCATAGATGTCCTCAGACTGATTGTCGCATCGATGGCCCATTGCGATCTTCAAACTCAATGCCAATCTTGCATCCTAAACTCACACACTGCTATTCCATCCATGTAAAAACCACCAAATACCGACCGGCCTTCTTGACAGAATCTGTACTCAAGCTCGATGGCGATTGAACGCTGTCCAATATGGTTAGGTGGCACGCTCGAGTCGTGCTTGAGCCGCAGAAGGATGTCGCAGTTGGTGACGGTTTCACTCTACTTTCTCGCCCTTCACGGCTCATGAAAGCTCTTGTCGTTAATATGTAGACGATACTTCGCAAGCGAGGACTGTCTGTTTTATCAGGCCTGCCGCCGAAGCCACGCACCAGCCCTTGGAGTCCTGGGTGCTGCTAGAATGACCCATGCCTGGTCCTGCTCTGATGCAGTTCGGCGAGTAGTGAACGTATCATCACCTCTTCGGCGAGTTATCTAGCCGTTTTTCATTGTATAGAGCAGGCACGAACTCTCACAGACGCTTTCGTGATCACGACAAAGGGTCGTGTGTCGTGACATCGGTCCATGAGGGCGCGCGGCGACATGTCTGACTCGTATCTATCCAACCTCTCTGCGAGAGCAGTTGCTGGTGCTTTCAGAGCGAAGTGGTACCGAGCATGCAAACCGCTAGTAACTCATCCATCCGCAGAGTTCCTGGTGTTTTCAGGCGGCACAATCCAGTCATCGATCATCGTTCCTCCTCCACCCTCTCATAAGCATTCCTTGCCCCCGGCCCCGTCGACCTCCGCTTCGCATGCGTAGTCGACTCCCCACTAGGCCTCAGCTGTGAGACACCAGGAAGACTGATGTGGCGTCTATGGCCATCTGCACGAGCCCGAAGAGATGGTGCTCGCGGCCGTTGTGAGCCTCGATATCTGCCGCCGACATACGGCATCTCGTAGGCTGCGGTCCGCCAGAGATATAGTAGGACGTCGTAGACGAGTATGAGAAACCATGGTCCGAAGATTAGGATGCTAAGGATGAGCTGTACTTGGGTCAGCCTTGGGCCTTAGTGTTCATGACGGAGTGGATGTACGAAGGTTCTTGCAATCAAGGTCTCGATGAAATTCAGATTCTGCGGCAGGATTGAGAAGACGCCCATGTCTGGTTTAGCCAGATGTGTCGTTCACTCGATGCTTGATGGTCGGTGGAATCATGGTCAAGTCGAGGGTTGTGGCTGATGAAGAAGGCAAGCCCAACGTGCCCTCGCTCGCCTCAACCAAACTTCACTTCACTTCAATTCCTCAATTTCTTTCTTTCCACTTCACGGTATTGGCATGCTTGAAGACGGCGAAACCACTAATAAGAAAAACCGAATCTTGTGATATACACGTTGCAAAAGTGCTGTGATCTATCTCGCCATGGCGCTCGATGCTGTTGTGTAACCTCCCCCCAAGTCCTTCTAGAGACACATCACATCTTGATGCAGTACTTCCAACAACCACATCATTCACTACACGTCGCTTCTTTCACCATCACTTGACTCACCCAATGTCGCATACAGTAATGAGAGGACATTGACTGGAGAGTGACCGGTAAGAGTCAGCAGCCTTGCCGCAGATTCATTGGTCGATGCTGTGCAAGAGCTCCATTGACTGCAGGAGGGGCGACTGAAGGTACCACCACCCACCCGTTCCTGCTACCTTTGCACTGCCCAGGCTACAGCCTCATACAAAAACCCATCGACTCATGCGAACCTCCTCCATACTCATCCTTTCAATGTGACTAACCTCTACCACGAAAGCAGCAGGTGGAAAACGAGTCAGTTCAACCTAACAATTGTATCTGCGACTGCAAGCAAGGCACGATGAACGGATTTCAGCATCACGATCTGAATCGCAACGGCGCATGGGACAGGGCTGTCGAGCAATGGGGAGAACACGATCACTCTGATGATCTACCAGAATCGGAGTATCGCCTGCGAGATGAACGGCGCATAGCGCTCAACACGGAGCTCCTGCGCAATGAGCAGGCGAATCTGGGATTTGCTGGCGAGCAGCAGCAGCTTGGTGTCTTCGGCGACGATGCAGCCTTGCCGTACCACGACACTCAAAACCTCGCAGCACGTCGCAGAGCAAGAAGAGACTCATCGGGCTTCAGCCCACAGCTCCAGCCGGCCCAAGAATACATGAGCCAGCCGAGTCCATTCACCCTCGATGCCAATCTCACCGAGTGCAGCTTCATGCTGCAGTATCCAAGCGGAAATGCCACAATCTCCTTTTACAACGACCGCGGCCAGCTCGAAACCATACCAAATGTCAACATCCAGCTCATTGAAGACCGCTGTCCCATCCTCGCCATGGCGTTTGAAGAATCCAGATCGGGACCTCAGCTCTTCCTCGAAACCGTCACGTCACAATCAGCATGGCCATTTTTGCGCTTCCTGTATTCAGGTACCTATGCGCTAAACGGTGGCTTCGCGAGCGACGTCTGGTGGGAAGATGTACCCACCTCCGTCCTTGCGCATTGTCAGCTCTACCGACTCGGCGACATCTACGACTTACCGGAGCTCAAGACGCGAGCGTATGTCAATGTCGTAAGACAGTGCGAGTTCGGCTGCTCGTCACCAAACAAGCCTATCGATCTCTGCGCTGCCATCGAGTACATCTATGAGCACCTTCGGCAGCACGAGTCGGTGGTCGACACACTGATCAACTACTGCATCAGTTGCTTCCTGTCGCACAACCTGGAAAGGGATCCAGATTTCCAGAAGCTTGGATTCGAACTGCGGCCGTTCCATCAGGATTTGTGCAAGAATGTTATGGATCGTGGGTTTGAGGACGAGAGTGAGTTGCATCTTGCTTTCATGCGACCTGTGAAGGTTTGGCTGACAAGAGCATAGCTGCTGCCGCAATCATCCAGATGCCTTTCAAGCCACACAGACCGGACACATATGCTTCAAGAAACGACATTGAAGTGGATGTCGTCTACCAGTTCCACGGCGACGACCGCTTCGAGCGCCAACCGGTCGAGATGAAGAGAAGGAAGCTCGAGCAGCCAGAGAATAACCCAGTGAAGATGCCTCTGCGAGTGATCAATACCACGAGCGAGCCTTGGGAGGATGTCTCGGACAATAATCCCAGGACGGTCGATGGCTCCAAGGGCAAGACGCACGGCGATCACGACTGGAACGCGTTTTCTTCCCAATTCGAGATGGTACGCCATCACCAAGCGATGCTGGCAGACAGGACAGAGTATCTGCGGTTGCGCGGTATAACGGCAGAGCCTAAGGAGGCACAGCCAGACGAGGAAGCCAAGGCCATCGATGACTCCAAGAACAGAGTGTTCGTGGGCGACGACGGCAGCGAGTCCTCTTCTGAGAGGGAGCGGGTACTCCACCAGGCGATTCTGGCAAGCAGAGCGGAGGCTGAAGCATTCCCCACTCGGACGAACGCGGCAGAGTTCGAGACGGTGGACTTGTCAGATCATGACAAAGGATCCGATAGCGATAGCGACTCCAGCGGCTTCATCAAGGTCAAGCGCGAAGACGCCGACGTGAACCAGAACCAGCACCAGCTACCCATCCGCAGTCAAGGACCGGTACCTAGCTCGATCGATGCTCAGGACGAGGGTGGAAGTGGTTCGGATTCTGAATGGACTATGCTGTAGGAGGGAGGCCATTGAAGGCATCTGCTCGGTAAGAGTAAACGCATTCCGTCGCCAGAGAGGGAATGGGATCTGGGATGAGGGCATCATGGCCAGAGGAGACACCAGTGCAGACAGCAGCCAGCATCAAGCAAAGACGAAGACGACACGAAGACACGAAGAATCAAATGAACGACAAAACAAGGGAGGGATCTGGCGGCGTTTTGGAACTATCAGCTCAAGCATTTTTTTTGGAGCGGTTGATCGGCAATGATGGGGCGCCGATCTGATGTCCCGAAGACGAAGTCAATGATAGTACTACCTTAATTTCTGCTTTGTACATTAATGACATCTTAACCAGTTGCTTCAATATCCCTATCCGTTCGCATTATGGGTACAGAATCTGATTCTTCCCTGAGTTCACGACAAGACACATCCACAAAAGACCATCACTCTCGACAGAATGACGCTTCGGTGAATATAGAAAAGCCCGCCGAAACCGGCGATTCATCAGAACAGCAGCTCGACAGCAGCAACGCCTCCAACGACGACGAGCAGAAACACACTACACCATCAACATGGCATCGCATATCCGCCAAAATCTTCTGGGTCCCCCCCAACTGCCGCTGGGACCCCGAAGAACCGCCCAAATTCTCCATGGCCCTGAACATCCTCTTCGCCTTCGCGGGAGCCTTCACAGTGGCGAACCTCTACTACAACCACCCCATCCTCAACATCCTCGCCCGGGACTTTGGCGTCTCCTACGACAAAGTCGCGCAGATCCCCACGGTAGCGCAAGCGGGTTACGCGGTGGGCTTGTTCTTCCTGTGTCCGCTGGGGGATTTGCTGAAGAGGAGGCCTTTTGTGCTGAGTTTGGTGCTGTTTACTGCGACGATGAGTATTGGTTTGTGCGTGACGGATTCGTTGGAGGTGTTTTCAGCGATTCAGTTCATTACTGGTGTTACGACGGTGACGCCGCAGCTTATGCTGCCGTTGGTCGGGGATCTGGCGCCGCCGAATAAGAGGGCCGCGGCGTTGAGTATTGTGGTCAGTGGGTTTGTCCTGGGGATTCTCGTCGCGAGGCTGCTGTCCGGGATCATGACGAACTATACCAGCTGGCGGAACGTTTACTGGATGTCTGTGGGATTGCAATACGCCATCTTCGGCAGCTTGTGGGCGTTTATGCCCGATTACCCGGCTACGAATAAGCGGCTCAACTACTTCAAGATGCTCTGGTCCATGCCGGTTATGCTGACCAAACACCCGATTTTGGTGCAGGCGTGTCTGATCTCCTACTTCACCTCTGCGACTTTTACGAGCTTTTGGACTGTTTTGACGTTCCTCCTCGCTGGGCCGCCGTATCGCTACGATTCGGTCACAATCGGTTTGTTCGCTCTGATAGGAATCGGAACAATGTTCAGCACACCCCTCTACGCCCGCCTGATCATCGACCGCTTCGTGCCCTGGTTCTCCGTCATCCTGGGCATGACATGGTCTATGATCGGCATCTGCGTCGGCGCCTACACAGGAAAAATCACAGTCGCTGGTCCAATCATCCAAGCCTTCTTCCTGGACCTGGGAATGCAGACCGCCCAAATAGCGAACCGCAGCTCCATCTACGCCATCGAGCCGCAAGGTCGCAACCGAGTGAATACCTGCTTCATGGTCTTCACGTTCTTCGGCCAGCTGACGGGGACCTCCGTTGGAGCGCAGCTGTATTCCCGAGGCGGCTGGGTCGGGAGTCAGAGTTTCAGCGTCGGGTGCATTGGGATGGCGTACTTGCTCACGTTCGCACGCGGACCGTTTGAGAAAGGATGGATTGGGTGGCATGGAGGGCTGAGTATTCGGAAGAAGCATCTTGAGAGTGCGGATGGGCATACGGCGGAGGCGAGGAATCCTTTGAGGAGGATGACGACGAAGGAGAAGGATGCGCAGGCTGCAAAGGCGGCGGAGGATGGGGATCTGGAGAAGCAGGTGAGGGAGGAGGATCAGAGGCCTGCGGAGAGGGCTATGGAGGATCTTGGAGGGAGTGGGAATGATGATGGGATGGAGATTAGGGATGATGTTGAGAAAGGGTCGTCGAGAGAAGGGGTGGATGGGGTTGCGAGGTCTGATAAGCAGCCGGGCTGATGTTTTTGTTTATTCTTGCATAGCGATCGGTACTATCGTTGGGTATAGACAGCAGCGAGTCGATACATGTACATTCCAGAATCTGTACATTTGGAACTTTGAAGAGGCTCCCAACATCCTCCCTGCGACATCTGAGGTGCCACCGCGTCCGAGCATACGCTGATCAGAATATGGCAACTGCAGAACAAAAGTCAGCAAACGTCTCAGCACCGTCACCAAGCACAGAAAATCTCCTCACCTCCATTCGGCGGACTAGCCACCCCACCGGGCACATTGGTCGGCACACTCGTAAAAAAGAAACTCCACCGTCCAACCTTCTTACAATACGCCCCCAACTCCTCCAAATCAAACAACTCCCCAATCGGCATCCCCCACCCGGCCAACATGACCTCATGCAACGCCCACTCCTTCTGCGTCGGCCACGCCTCCAAGCTCGGATGGTCCGCCCCAGCGGCCGAGAAGTTCGACCAAAGGAACTCCATCATCTCGTCGCTCTGCTCGATGCCCGTGAACGTGAGCGGTTGCTTTGCACGGAGGGTCTCGATTTCCGCGCGCGAGAGTTTGTTGTACGCGTCCATGTATCCGGAGCGGATGATCAGGATGTCGCCGAATTGGATCTCGGTGCCTTGGGCTTTCGCCACGGCGCGCAGGTCTGAGGCGGTGATGTTGCCGGTTTCGAAGGCTTGGTGGGGACGTCCTTGCTTCTGGCGCCATTCGTGGTAGTCGAGCAGGATGCCGCGGCCGACGATGCCTTGTTGGGCCCAGGCGCCAATGCCGTTGACGTTGGATTTCTCGACGCCGTTGGTGCCGTGGATGTGGTCGAGGGTGACGCCGTTGTAGAAGCGCTGTTCCTTCTGGTAGGCGAAGTGGCGCAGGCCGTCCCATTGGGAGGAGGATTGGGTGTTGAAGGTCCTATGGACAGAGGAGCAAGAGGGTTAGCGGATCCCTTAGACTTAATAGGGCTATGCTCAAGGGTTTGATACCAGACGTCGTCGTTGACGATCCTCGGTGGTTTCTGGTAGACTTCCTTGTGGAACTGCTGGCGGCCGAAGAAGGGCAGGTCGCCTTGGGCGTCGAGGGGCCAGTCGATGTTGATGCGGGTGCCCGTTTGGATTTCGCTGGCGGCGGACTTGACGATGGGGTCGGAGAGGCGGTTGAGGGTGCCTAGTTCGTCGTCTTTGCCGTAGCTGTGTTGTGTTAGTGGTCCGTGTGGTGTATTGTTTGATGTGGGGTGTGCTTACAGGCCCCAAGCGTTGTGATGAGGGCCATTTTTGTCCAACGGTAAGTCGGAGAACTTGGGTATTTTGTCTGCCATTGTCAAAACGATGAGGCCAATTTGTTTTGCTGAGGACACTTTGTTGTTGAGTCGAACAGAGTTATACTGACGTTCAATCATGACCCCTCAGTGGTCTGCGAAGTCGCAACAGGTGGAGTGAGAGCTTGCCCGAGGTGCTATTTCATGTTCGTGGAAAGGCTTCCGTTGATTTCGCAGAATCTACTGAATTGATAGAGCATTCACTGATGTGTCCGTCGAGCTCGCGGAGTGCAGGAGATACTGAAGGTAATGGTCTGATGGAAAAGTTTGAGCACATTTCTCAATTAACAAGCAAGAACGAACAAAGAAGGTCAAGTGTCGTTAGGTATGGACCAATCGTGGCATGTATCCCTTGTGCATGCATTCCTGTGAGCGTTTCTGCGCGGCTTTCTTGAAGTGCAAAGGTCGGTACGGGAGTAAAGGAAATATATTGAAACCTTGGAGTACCCAATATGTGCGACTTCCCGAGACATGGCAGGGTAGATGCAGCGAGCCTTCGAGAAGGAGTTTCCGATGGCGCTGAGGCCAGGTAAGATGCTGGAAGCGGAGTGGTTGTGACTGCTTCAGAGGATGTTGTTATGGGGTCAACATGCTTACCGAAATCTGCTATCCACGAGGAGGCTTTGCAAGGGAAGAGAGAGTAGCAATGAAGGCTTCTTCGGAAAGGCCAAGTCGACCTCAATGGACGATCTGGTTCCAGCCCGACGAAACATGGATCACGAACGTAGATCAACTACCTGTCTTGACAGCCGCATGACTTGTCAGGGCCGACATGATCTTACCCAAGATGTACAGCGGTCCCCAAGAGAGGGCTGAGATGCGTGTGAATGCATGTCCGTGTGTAGGAAAGCTGCTAGCATGGATAGACCGCCGTTGATATCGCCGTGCAGGACTAGGGCTGGAGCGGAGTCTTGCTGCCTTGCTCGTATAGAAAAGGAACGAACGCGTGGTGATCAAAGGATTTCTGAAAGCGTATCCTCACCTAGGCGAAGGCCGTTGAGGCCACTCTTCAGGTGTCAGAGTCCCGGTGCGTCAAGTATGTATCTGGGCAGGGTTTGGTCTTGTCCAAGATGGAGTATACGGCAATACGATGGTGACGGTGTCGATGGAGGTATGTTGGCGCCTGGGAGAAGAGCCTGACTAGCCAGACGGCCGTCCAAACCGTCGTGTCGTAGCCAGATATACATGCCGTACCGTCTTCTCCGGAACGTGAAGTAGAACCAGAGATATAGTGAAGGTATGAGCAGGGGCATATCTGCATCCAGGAGATGGTCCCGTGCTGGACGACCCACCGTCACCAGCGTCGCATATTGACCAGTCGTCCGACTCACACCTTCTTCTCCAAAGAGTGAATCGGAATCCAAAACACGTGAAGTGGAGGTTGAAGATACGTGTATGTTCACGTGTAGGAGAAAGGGGTCGTCGGGATTGGGCTGACTCAAGTCCGAGGCGCGATGGTCATAGCTCGAGAATTGTTTTGAAGTTTGGCTTCACGCTCCAGCCAGCTTCTTCTCGACAACAACAAATTTCGGCACCCAAGCGCACACCAAGTTGATCCATCTTCTATTACAAACCATCACCGAGAACCCATTCAATCCATCACACACCTCCTCCCAGCCACTCACCCACGATGCCACCCAAGAAGGCGGCCGCTGCCTCGGCGGCATCCTCGAAGCCCTCGAGGGCAGGCACCAAGCGCAAGGCCGAAGAGCCCGTCGCTCCCACCGTCGCGAAGAAGGCAAAGGCCACTACACGCGCCGTAAAGACTCCCACCACCGCCGCGACCAAGGAGACGGCGCCGGCCAAAAAGGCCACCACCAAGAAGGCAGCTGCGCCAAAGCAGACCAAGAGCGCCGCTTCTCGAAAGCCGGCAGCCGCCACGAAGACCCAGAGCACTGCTGCTGCGATCAAGAAATCTGCCTCCCCTGCGGAGAAGAAACAGCCGGCCAGCAGGAGGCGCAAGGCCGAGACTGAGGTCACGTCTACACAACCGACCAAGAAGGTCAAGCCTCTCGAGAAGGGGCCAGTCATCAACGAGCCGCCAACCGCGGCGCTCAATGTCTACGTGTTTGGAGAAGGTATGTTTTGTTTGCTCACTGCGACTCGTGTAACATCGGCTAACAGCTTCTAGGATCGTCGGGAGAGCTTGGACTCGGCACCGCGAAGAACGGCATCGACGTGAAACGTCCACGCTTGAACGCGAATCTGGCTGCCGACAAAGCAGGCGTCGTGAAGATCGTCGCTGGTGGCATGCACTGTCTCGCGCTTACACAAGACAACAAGATCCTCTCGTGGGGCGTCAACGATCAAGGCGCGCTGGGGAGAGACACAACATGGGAGGGAGGTCTACGCGACATGGACGCAGAGGAGGACTCGGACAGCGAGAGCGGGGACGACAACGGCATCAATCCAAAAGAGTGCACACCAGAGGCGGTTGACTTCTCGCAGACCGAGCTCGCAGAAGGAATGCGCTTTGCGGACATCGCCGCTGGTGACTCTTGTTCATTCGCGGTCACAGATGACGGTCGCGTGTACGGCTGGGGCACGTTCCGGAAGGGAGACGGTATTTTCGGCTTCACTTCGCCAGGAAACGTGGTCACCAGGCCTGTACTACTGCCCGACCTCAAGAAGATCACCTCTATCGCCACCGGCAGCAACCACGCACTCGCGCTCGACAGCACCGGCGCAGTCTGGGCATGGGGTGCAGGAGAGCAGATGCAGCTCGGACGCAGGATCATAGCAAGGACCCAAGCAGAAGGGCTCATACCACGCCAGTTCGGCCTACCCAAAGGACCAAAGAACGGCATCTCACAGATCGCAAGCGGCTCGGATCACAGTTTCGCCATCTCCAAGAACGGCGCAGTCTACAGCTGGGGCTCCAACAACTTCGGCGAGACGGGCGTCGCAGACGGTGCAGGCGAAGACAACGCCGCGGTCACCAACCCTACTATTGTCGCTTCCCTGAACGGCAAAGTCATCACCACCATCGCCGCCGGCACCCACCACACCATCGCCGCCACAGAAGCAGGCGAGTGTCTCGTCTGGGGCCGCGTCGACAGCGCACAGTCGGGCATCGAAATGGACGACATCGCCAAACTCCCCGACGACGCCATCATCCGCGACCCGAACAAAGGCGAGCCGCGCATCATCATCCTCCCGCAACCCGTCGCCGAGATCGAGGGAGACGTCTCCGCCGTCGCAGCAGCGGGGGATCAGTGCATCGCCGTCACGAAGGAAGGGAAGGCGTGGAGTTGGGGTTTCTCGTCGAACTATCAGACGGGACAGGGCACGGATGAGGATGTCGAGGTCGCGACGTTGATGGATAATACTGCGATTAGGGGGAAGAAGATCACCGGGGCGGAGTGTGGGGGGCAGTTTGGCATGTTGACCGAGCGGGTCCTGCTTGCGAATGGGGTTTGAGAGGGTCGTGGGAAGTGGGATAGGGGGGTTCGGGGATGTGTTCTTGGTCTCGGAGAAGGCGTTCTGGATCAAATGGGTTTCTTTGGTTTCGTAGTAACGGGCCTGGAAATTGCTGCTTTCTCGACGGCACCAGCGAGGGCGCTGTGGGTTTTACTGCCGCTGTGGTGGCGGGGGTTTTCTGTAGTGAAAGTTGGAGAAGGGGGGGTGGTAGCGCTCCCGCCGTTCTCTCTTGAATTCGAACTTTTTTGTTATGCTATTGGTGTCTGTCACTGGCGTAGTCTTCTTTCCGTTGCGAAGAGAGAGCAGTGAGGTAGGAGGTGGGTGGTGAGGTCCCTTCTCCTCGATCGAGATAGAGGTACATTAAGATGGGATGGATGGGTACGAGAGATTTCCGGTGGCTATCGGGCCATGAAGCGTGTCTTGGAGAAGAGTAGGTAGAAGAAGGGAATGAATGGTCTGACGAGTCGGCTTGTTCACTGCTTGCTCTCGGGTTACAAGGACGGCGGATGGCCATGGCCATGACGACCACGGTGTGTTCAGGTTCTTCTGTGCAGCTCGGAGAGGTCGGGAGGCAACTGACCACCTCAGACTCCCGGTCCTCTCTTCTCCTAGACCGGGCAGACAACAAGTTACGAGCTTACGACATTAGTCCATCAACCCTCACAACCGCGTACGGCACGGAGAACACATGGTCATCTCATATCACATATCTAAACGCTCACACAAAAAATAAAAAAGAACAATCCACCACACCTCTTTTCCCAAAAAACCCCCTCCATCCGAAGTCAAAAAAAAGCCCTGGGTATCCAAGAAATCTAAACGCAAACTTTTCCCTCCCTCCTCCCATCCCCCTCACAATTCCCATCAAAACTCAAAGCACCCTCTTCCGCTTCCTCTCCTCCACCCCCTCATCCTCCCCCTCCCTCTCCGCCGTATCCGCCGGATTCAGAAGCGAATGCACATTACTCGCCATACTGCTCCTCCTCGTCGGCGGACCGGGCGTCTCGATCCCGATCCCCTTAAAAGGATACGCGCGCCCGGGAAGCTGCCACCCGGCGTCGTTGGGGTTCGCGTAGCTGCCGCCGAAACTGCTGGTGAAACTGGGCGGACCTGGGTCGTGCGGGGGCGGAGGGGAGGGGTGGCGGGAGGTAGAGGCGATGCCTGCGGCGCGGGGGAGTTCGTATTGCGCCAGCGCGTCGCGGAGCTGTTGGTCCCCTGGTTGGGCCGGCTGGCGCGGGGACGAGGGCCAGGCGGTGGAGGAGTGGCCGGAGGCGTAGGGGGAGCTGTTGTGGGGGTAGGGCTGGGTGGCGGACCAGCCGTGGACGCGGATGTCGGCGGAGGTGTGGCGGCGGGCGAGGCTGGCGGGTGGGGAGGAGGTGTTGGCGAGCGGGTGTTGAGTTTGTTGGGATGGTGGGGGTGGTGGGGGGAGGTGTGGTGGGCGGGTGGAGGAGGGGGAGTAGGCGCCGCTGGCTGCGCCGATGGAGCCGTAGCGGCGGGGGGACATGAGGTGGGGTGGTACGGGGGTGCGGAAGGAGTTTGGTCGGCCGATTGCTTGGAGTGATGGCCGGCGGGATTCGTCGTATGGGCGTTGTCGAGGCGACATTGGCGGGCCCATGTCTGGCGCAAGTCTGTCGTTTTGGAAGTACGATTGCCTGTTTCCGAAGATTGGTTCGGACGTATCTTCCACTGATCGCAGGTGATCGACATGCCGCTGTATGTCCTGGCGCATGGCGTATACTTCGCGGTGGACCGGATTGTCCGGGTCAGGGACCAGTGTGAGCAGATGTGACGACAAGTCGTTATTCCACTGGTGACATCGCGTCAAGCCTTCGAGAAGAGTCTGGCACTTCGCAGTCACCGCCGTGTAGGCCTCTTCCGTCCGTGAGAGCCGGTTAAACATATCCTGCATCTGCCACTCGAGCATCCCGAAGCGCGCCTCTACAGGATCTTGAGGTGCTTCCATCGGCGTACCTGGTTGCTGAGGCACTGGTGGAACTTTTGATTGGTTCGAGAATGAGTCGCGATGTATGAGCGCATGGCGAGAAGCTCTGCGCTTGATCTCGCGCAGGCCGACCAGGTCGCCGCGCTTGAAGTTGCCAGCGCCATGCTTGAACTCCCACAGGGGCGAGTCGGGCTGACCATTGTGGAAGACATCAGAGACTGCGACGTCATCAGTAAGGCCGACGGTCGTTTTGCTGTGCTCGTTTCCCATCATACCTTTATGAAAGCCATACATGTTCAGTTGCCGTACGAAGGAGGAGATGTTGGTATGCTTGAAGTATTGACTTTGATCGTCAGCAACCTTAACCTTGATCGATCCACCACGTGTGAGACTTACGCTAAGACCTTCGAGAACTCCGAAGATGGTGACATGACAAAGCTCTCGTTGGTCTGGGACCAGGAGATCAGATGTTGAATGCTTTGATCTTCGAGCATGCTGCGAGTATGTCAGATGGAATGTCTGACAGTCTTCGCTGTGATACCCACTTGTAGAGCTTGTGTATGAACGCAGTCTGCACCACTTTCGGTTGTTGAGCAGCGGCCGCCGCTCCTGTCGGTTGACTTGAGCCTCCATTGGCAGAAGACTGCTGCTGATCGAAATGGTCGTGTCGTTCGCCATTGGGACTGCTCAAGGGCGGGCCCATTGAAGGTGTGTTGTTATGGCTGGTGTCCATTGGGTCGCCGGGGCTGGTTGAGGTCGTTGCCGAAGATGGCAGGATGGGAATGGTCTTGGAAAAGGGCGGTTGACTGAAGCCAGAAGAGTTGCCCAGAAACGGACTCCTGCTCAGCGGTTGTCCGACAGATGCCATCGATTGTCTCGTGTTCGTGGCCGGAGAGCCTTGAGCTGCAAGAAAGCTGTGGAAAAGAGTCTAGAGAACCCGAGGTTCGACAGAGTCCGCAGCCTGGTCGATATCCTCTTCTTCCAATGCCGTGTATATGCTCAATGCTTGCGCCGTCGAATGCTGAAACAGGTCCCGTCCGTCATCGCCCGCGGTTCCCTTGCGATCATTGAGCAATTGGGGTACCCTATCCCTTCTTATACTGTCGCGACGCTCCGATCTTCAGAAAGGAGACGTGCTCGTCCTTCCTCCCACGCCTTGAATCGCGATCGACGTGCGCGGAACTCGAGGTTGTCCGGGATCTCCTCCGAAGCCGTTGAGTGGTGGCTGTCTGGATGTCGAGTCTGGCGTGTCTTCAATAAGGAGAAGATGTTGAGATGGGACGACAGCGACGGCGAGCAATGCAAAGCAGGACAACAGAGCTGAAAGGGCAAGAGAAGGACAAGAGTACCCGGACTCGAGCTCCTATCAAAGGGTCTGAGGGTCTCTCTCCCCGAGGCCTCGATCGGCGGAGGAGGAGATGGTGAAATCAGCGGGCCGTCGCTTCTCCCATTTTGTGCAGCTGCTAGTGTAACGCCTAGTCGAAGCCTAACGTGCCAACTCGCCGGACGGGCCACCTCTCCAACCTGGAGTCGCCATGTCCAATGTTGCTGCTAATGAAAATGAAATGTCGACCTTGCAGCCATGAAACAGTCCCGACGGAGGTCTGATAGGCCGCGTGAGTCTGGCGCTGCCGACGTTTCCCGGAACACGACCGGAGCACGATACCATGGCATCGGGTCCAGAACCTGAGCCTGCTGTGTTACCGGGCTGAGGACACAGAACGTGGCAGAAACGAGAACACCCCAGCCCGGCCTGATCTGAGACATTGACACCACCCCCGTCGACTACTGCACCTCAACTCCTCCCCGACACCCCTGACTCGCTCCGGCATCTGCGAGCGGGACCATGGCCGACGGTTTTGTGCAATCTTTCGCTGCCATCCCTACCGCGGAGGGGCGCCAGAAGGCGTAAGTGCTACTCTCTCAGACTGCCGAACGTAATACTGAACTCCTTCCAGACTACATCAGCTCGTTCAGAGTCTAGAATATGGCGACCGGCAAGCAGCTTGCGCTTTCATCCATGCCAAGAATGATATTTTACCACGGCTTCCTCTCGAACTCGCGCTCGGGATTTTCGACCATCTGAATCTGTTCGATGCATGGAGGCTTCAGCTTGTCAACAGGAGATGGCGTAACTTACTCTCCTCCGAGCGGTTCATGAGAGCCACTCTGGCTCGATGGGAATCTCACGACCCGAATGACAGTGCGCGCGGTCCTGATGAGGTCGCCCGTGAGTCGATTCGTGACAAGATCCGGCATAGTAAGTGGGGCTAGATGTCTCGTACATTTGAACATCGTGCATACTTTGTATTCAAACATATCAAGGTCATATTTGTACTAACGTTCCACGTTTGTTGTCTAGTGAGGGCCCTCTTGGACGGCAAACCATACACATACACGACGTTCCGCGACACTGGAGTTGCAGACCCTGAACACCCGCCTAGGCAGCCGCACTGTGTCATGGACCTGAAGGGCGACAAGTTGGCGTACATATCGAGCAAGCCAGAAGACGGCGACACCGTTATCATCCGGAACCTCATCACTGGCGCTGCTAGCATGCTGCGCAGTGATGGGAGGGACCAAATCATGACCATCGCGCTCACCACGAAAGCTGTTGCACTGGTGACCTACACTGGTTGCATGTACGTGACAGAGTTCTCTGATCACCTGTTCCTGAAAGAGACCAGGCGTGTACAACTACCATCTTCTCGCATTCAAGCTGTCAGCGGTCACGACAAGACGTTCGTTCTCGCCATGGGACCTAACGGCTCCGCTGGAGACGTCCATGAAGCCTCTGTGCTCGTGTATGACGCAGAGTTGAACCATCTTCAGGGGTTCGCTGTCAAAACGAGCAGACCGCCCCAGGATAAAGAGCTCGATGCGAAGTTGGTGCTTTGCTCTCGTGGGCTCATCGTCGACAGCAATCAGAAGACCATCGACCTGTTCACACTCGCAAGCGATTGCCTGGATGCAGTAAGGGACAAGTATGAGATCAGTTGTCTCGTCATCATGCATCACCGCGTCTCATTCACGGGCTCGTTGATAGATGGGAAGCAGGGCAGAGCATGGTTCCATCGGCTCACTCCAAAGGTGTACAGTCGCGAGCGTGCCTTCATCATGTTCCCACCGCAGCCCAGTGGCAACAAGAATGAATACCTTCTTCGGATTGGCGAGAAGCGGATGACATCTCGAGTCGACTCCCTCCGACTGAGGGCCGGTGTTGCCTTCGACCGGCAAGGTGTGACCTGGCCCTTGCGAGACAACGTCCGGCGACAACGATCTCTCTGGAATTTAACCCTTGATCGCCCAGTTCGTGGCCAGGCGGGGACTGCCGAGAAGTTCCATGCCGAGTGGAAGGGTCTCACGATCGATGGGATTACGAACTTAGAGCGGCACGAGGTGGCAGCGGTGATGAACGATACATTCTTAGCCAATCTGCAAGTCAGTGAGTCTGAGACGCAGGCGACGCGCCTGCAGGTGTTCTGCTTTGATGAGAATGTGTACATGTATGGAGCGCAGGACTTTGGGTCGGGGGATTTTTGAGCCACGATGCTAGAGAGATTACGATGATCGGCTTTCAATGACATGGAATTGACTCGATCCACTCAAAACGAGCCCATACTGTTCCGTGTCTGATTCAATCAGAAGTTGTTTCACAGGTGACTACACGAAGTATCGGAAAGACTTAGATCTTTGCCATGCGAACTCCACGTGCTCTCCCGCTCCTGCCGTTTCTGGCTAGCAGCAAACTCAGTATACCCGCGCTTCAATGACTGTCCTCGATGGAACACCAGCGTACCGTAGAAAGCAGCAAAAGGCAGCAGACAAATCCACTCACAGATTCAAACAGGTCCACCCACCGTCAACTACCTTCAAGTACGCTAACAACAGTCACTCTCCTCAAGCCAACCAAACCTGCACCAACAGTCAAAATGAAGACCGACAACTACCTCACTCTCTGCCTCGAGCAGGCTGCCAAGTCTCCGCTCCACTACCGCCACGGCGCCATCATCGTGCGCGGCGGCAAGGTCATCGGACAAGGCCACAATGACTACCGCCCGGGTTACGACGGCGGCGCTCTCAAGCATGGCCGCATCGCCAAAGGCACCCTCCACGGACCCGCCATCGCCAGCCTGAAGGAGAAGCTGAAGAAACAAAAGGACAAGCCAAAGGAGAGGCAGCAGCAGTATCGAACGTCTCCCACCCCCCCCCGAGCCCACTTTCATCCCCTTCGAAAGCTCCGGCGGCGGTCCTCACGCCAACACCCCGCTCTCCATGCACTCCGAGATGATGGCCATCCACAGCGCCCTCTCCACCTCTTCAACCCTGTCCTCGACGGCGTCCTCGTACGAAGAACCGTGCTTCAAACTACCGGGTGGTTCTAAACGCAAAGCGCGACTACGCCGCGAGCTGCTCGCCGCCTACGTCCACACCGTCTGCGCGACCAGCCCCCGCACCGGCCGGGAGCAGGTTCAAGAGTGTGGTTTTGAAGCTGCCGCATTTGGACCAGACGGTGAGGGAGCGGGGGCGCTGCAACGACAACAAGGGGGAACGGGGGGACGACACCAACGGGGAGGACGAGGAGGAGCTGCGCGAGTTGAAGGAGAAGGGTCGGGCGTTTCACGGGCACGTGGGTGGAGAGAAACATCATCAGAAGGGGAAGAGGAAAGGGACGAAGAAGGGTGGGCGGAATCAGAATGGGTGTCAGTACGAGGGGTACGGCCGGTGTGGACAACAGATACAACAGGATGCGGTACAACAGGTGTCTGCGTCTAGTGGGTCTGCGGAGTATGTGATACGAGGGTATGATCAGCAGGGATATGGTATTGAGGGTATGACTGCGCCGGCAAAGCTTGTGAAGCAGTATGGCAAGGCTGAGAAGGACTATAAGAGGGTCAGTTAATCACCGTTGTCAATTGCTGCCATGGTGAGTATGCTAACCATATTCATAGTCAGGCAAGATGAGGCCGAAGCTTGACGAGACAGGGCAGCCCGCGCCATTGCTTCTACCAAAAGGCAACACCGGAACCACAAGCAGTTCGGTCAATGACCGCAAGAAGAGTCCGAGACTAAAGGGTGCTGATATCTATGTGACTCGGCTGGGCTGGTGCAAAGGACCGGCTCAGACTCCACGGACACGTGCTGCGCCCGCCGTGGCTCCCGTAGAAGCGCACCCTTCTCCTACCGACTCCGAGGATCTGTCTTCCAGCACGTCCTCCCTGACCTCAGGCTCCCTGCACGACGAGCTCATCAACCGCGACCCCTCGCCCAGCCCCTCCACCCAGCCCAAACCTGCCGACACAGCCGGCAACACGCAGCTCGTCCGCGCCTCCCGCCCCTGCTACCGCTGCATCTCATACATGCACTCCGTCGGCATCAAGCGCGTGTTCTGGACAAACGACGCTGGCGAGTGGGAAGGCGGGAAAGTTCGCGACTTGGTCGACGCGCTGGATTGTTCGATGGAGAGCGTGGCGGCTGGTGAGGGGGACAAGGGCGGGCCAATGGGGAATGGGGTGTTCGTTACGAAGCATGAGGTGTTGATGTTGAAGAGGATGATGGGGCAGCAGGGTGGATGAGGCTTTTTGTTTGAGCTGGTGAGGCACGTGGGCCGAATGGCTTCAGAAATAGGTGGTTAGCTCTCTATTGATGGCTTCACCACATGCCCATGTCTGCCATGGCTTCTTCGTCGTCTGCATAATCATGGCTTGTTTCTCCGTTTCGCTGTGGTGGTGCGGGTGTAGCAGTCCGATCATGATTCGAAGCTGATTGCTCGGCCATAAGAGCGTCCAGATCATCGTCGTCGTCATCATCGTCAAACGGCCCTTTCCGCTGCTGTGGTTGTGATGTTGCTGGCTTAGCTGTCGCTGCTGCCGCTTCGTCCGCCATGAGTGCATCGAGCTCGTCGTCATCCGGCGCATCATCTGATCGTTGTGCCTGTCCTGCGCCTTCCTGTGCGCCATCTGCCGGAGATCTACTACCCGACAAGCTCCCCTCTCTCGCACCCCCGTCCTCCGCCGGTACGCTCTCCCTCCCCAACCCACCACTCATCACAACATCCTCCCCCCTCTCCGGACTCAGCTCTCTCGCATCAGCACCCGGCTTCGTCTCATCCAACCACGCGCGCCGCATAACCTGCATCCTCTTACTATGCCCCAACTTCTCCACCATCGCCAGGCCATCCCTGAACTTCACCCTCGGGTACAGCTCGTCCAGCCACAACTGGTACGTGTTTAGAAGCCGGGACATGTCCGAGAACTCATGTCCCTTTCCCTTGAACTTTAGCCGCGTTTTGGTGATTTTGCGTAGGCGTGGTAGGCCTTTTTCGGATTGGAGGAGGGACTCGTCGAGTTTCGGGACGGGTTTGCGTTTCTTCTTGACTGTGATTTCTTCGTCGATGTTTTTGGTGGGCTCGTTTGCGGCGGTAGTGTGGTTTTGGTCTTTGTCGATCGGGAGGTCTTTGAGGAAGTCGTCGACGGCTTTGTCGTAGTTGAAGAGGTTGTCGAGGTCGTCGGGGGTCGCACGATCCTCTGCACCCATTGCTGATGGCATTTGGCTGTGGTGGCTGATGGGAAGCTGTTCGTGGTCTTTTGGATCGCGGTCGACGCGTACGGCTCTCTGGAGACGCGTCGTGGAACTAAAGCTCGGGCCGGAGATCGCCGAGCCTCCCACCAACCTCACTTCTTCATCAGAGGTGAACCAGACAAACCATAAAACCACCGCACGTCGAAGATCACCAACGAACTTGCACAAGCGACAGCAATAGGTCGTGGGTTGGTAACCTGCTCGACTCCGTCTCGAAGCGCCTCGGACCTCAACAAGGCGCATCCTCCGAACGTATCACACACGATGGCTTCGGTCTAGATTCCAGGATCTCCATAGTATCTCCCTCCCCACAAAAGGCCAAGTGTCGTAGCAATGGCTGTGCCTACAGCGAACGACCTTCAGCCCGTGATCGATGTCACGAGCCGGCTGCGAGCGCTCTTACAACAAGCCAACAACCTCAAGCCTGAAGGCACGGTAGACCCGCCACTGCCCGTCGCGGACCTGATCCAGGGAGTCCATGCTTTGCACGATGATTTCACGGAGGACCGTGACCAGTCCTTCAGGAACGCCACCATTGAGACCGCCGCTCGGAACATCTTCTATGCCGTAATCAGCTCAACCGACATCCAGGACCCAGCTTTCGTGGAAGTATGGAATCTCCTCGACGTTCTTCTGGTATGCAGCGACGAAGGCAAATGCACACCAGAGCTTGCATGCTGGCTGATTGAGGAGCTATTGGACAGCCAGACCACGCATGGATGCCGCATCGTCTTTGACTACTTGGAAACTCGCCGTGAGCGGCTAGCCCAGAAAGACTTCCACAAGAAGAACCTGGTCTTCCTGCGGTCTTGTAATGAGCTTCTGCGGCGGCTGTCGCGTGCCGAGGATGCGATCTTCTGCGGTCGAGTGTTCTTCTTCCTCTTCCAGACTTTTCCACTTGGCGACAAAAGCTCTGTGAACCTGCGCGGGGAGTTCCACACCGAGAATACGACGAAATTTGAAGTTGCGAGTGAACAAGCAGATCAAGATGGCGACAAAATGGAGATCGACGCAGAGCCGCCCAGCAGTGACACGGCGACCCCAAAGGCAGGCACTCCACAACCACCCACCAAACCTGGTAGCAAGGCTGTACCCGTGAAGGCGCCACCGAAGAAAGAGGAAGAAGTAGTCCTCTCGAGCGACGCTCTCTACAGCATATTCTGGCGCTTACAGCAAGACTTCTCTGATCCGACTCGACTGTTCTCAGCAAACAACTTCCAGCTCTTCAAGAAAGGGCTGGATCGTACCATCACCAAGTTCAAGAAGACGCCTACCGTTGTGCAGACTCACGCTTCCGGCAACAGCCAGCGCGGGACGAAGCGCAAAGTGGGTGAGGATAATACCCTGAACGACCTTGAGGCAGACGGCAGTCAATTGGTCGATAGCTACAACCCCAAGTACCTGACGAGCCGCGATCTTTTCGACCTTGAGTTGAGTGACTTGGCCTTCCAGAGACACATCCTGGTACAAGCCCTCATCTTGATAGACTTCTTGTTGTCTTTGACAGAGAAAGCTAAGAAGCGACTCGCGGCGCTGGAAACCACCAACAAATCAATGCTTTACAGCTTCACACTGAGCGAAGAAGACAGCAAATGGGCTGTTCAGACACGGTCGAACATCACAAGCTATCTCTCGTCGTCACCAGAGGGCCGACTGTTCAATCGCATGGTCGAAACAGTCCTTGCGAGAGACAAAAACTGGATCAGGTGGAAAGTGGAGAGCTGCCCTTCCATTGTGAAAGATCCAGCATCTACAGAATCAGAGATCGAGGCGCGAAAGCGATTGAGAGACGCCACTAAGATCAGGCGCTTGTCCGAACGACCTCCTGTCGCCATGGACGTCTCATTCCTGGACGAGGGCCAGAACGGCGGACTCGCAGCGCTCAAGAACCCATCTCGCTACACTGTACCCATAGTCGATGACCTCCTCGAGGGCATCCAGACCGATGAACTTGACCTTGACTTCGCAGAGGGCGAGGAGAAGATAGGCCTGCAAAACGCCATGTCAAACAAACGTTGGAAATTACTGAGACAGACGAGGGCGACCCGGCTCAAGTTACTCGACAAAGTCGAGCCTGACGAGGACTTGAGAGATGTATTTCGCTCTTCGGCAGAGTCGCAGAACGCTCCAAAAGGCCTTGACGCGGACGTTGAGCCGGGTGTTGCAGCGCAGGACGAACAGCTTGAGGACAGCCAACCGACGGAGCGAATGTCCACTTTGCTTGACAATGCCGAGCAGCAGGCGACTGACCTTGACCACGCCGAGCAGCGAACAACTGACGTTGACGCTGCTGGCGAGCAAAAAGCGCAACAACCCAGCCCGCTGGAGAACGGTGAGCAGCAAGCTCCCGAAGGTGATGTTGCTGATGCGGAGCAAGTCGGTGAGACTCCTGGTAATGCGGAGCAGCAACCCACGGGTGCAGGGGATAGTGGAGAAAAGTTGGACGTGGAGTAGCGGCAGCCAATCTATGCGGCTATTGTGGCCAGAGCCGGACCTGGCATATTCCCCGATGCTACGCGAAAGCCTTCGTCACGAGTGAGCCCTAGGCTTGCTTCATACCATTCTGCTCATCCTTCGAACCGCTACATGTTCCCTTCGTCCACGCGGCCGATGAAGCATGCTTGGTCAAGCTCCGCCTCGGTAGCGCGCGCTTCAAGCAGCCGTAACGTCCAGAGACCCACCCAGAGTCTATTGATTCATCTGGAACGCTCGCAGCATCTCCGAAAGTTGCCGCTACCAAAGGTCTTCGAGCTGGCCGGCTCTGCCAATGATGAAGGGCGGCGTGGCGACCTCTACATCCAGATCCGGCGCCTGATGAGACGAGGTGGACCACGAGGGTCGAGATCAACGCAACAAGACGGCCGAACACATGATGTTGCGGTACTTTGGGCCGCTGCGTGGAGTTCTGGGCATCGGTGAGACTCTCACTGGCTGCAAATCTTCCGAAGGTGATGCACGACATGGCGCACATGGCCGGTTATTGCGCGGCAGCATCCCGTTGCTGTTTCAGATGCTGTCCTGATCCGGGGAGTGCAAGATGCGTGGCCAGAACGTGCGCTACAATCAGGTTTACGAGAACCAGGACCTATTCGATGCCTTGCTGGGGACATTGTGTCTCCGTGGCCCCATGGTACGGACAACTGGAAGACTTGGCAGGTACATATGTAGAGACAGCGGTCTGGAGAAATTGAGGGACTCTGCACGTGCTACCGTTCGGCGGCTAAATATGAGGTCCATGCAGCGATCTCGACATCTGGCTGAATCCCGAATCATCCGATCGGCATCATGTCGTCTACGATCGGCTCTAGTCTCGCCCGGATGTTGGTCAACGATCGGCCTGAACCGAAGGACGACGATGAAATCATGGCGGCGTTGCTTTGCGAAAGCGCTTGACGATGCATCCTTTGTTGCTGGCTCGCGTCGCACGGGGGAGGAGTTACAGATATGGACAGGCGCCTGGATCCCGTTGGTATTCCAGCTGTCCCGTCTCCTGCGTTGCACAGTGCCCACCACATGGCTGGAGGTGCAGAGCGGGAGGGCGGGTCCTGCACATGGCGATAATGCTCCGATGGAAACCGTCTGTGCTCGATGCCGCTGGGAAAGGGCCGGTATTTTATGCTTACCTTACCTTACTGTGTTGTGGCTACAAAACGTCTCCTGAATGAAAACAATGAGCCTCGGTCGAACGCAAACAGGAGATATATACCTTGCTGCCGTAATCGTAGGATCTCTCGCCGATTGTGAGGACAGTGGAGTCGCTCGAGTCGCTATCGAAAGTAGATCGGCCAAGCCGTTTCAAGCCGTTCGGTTAGAGACGAACGTGATCCTCAAATCTCAAACCGCACTTCCCCTTCTGTCTTCGACACATGCCAAATCTCCGCATCTACCGTGATGAATCAGCCAACACAACGCCATTGACCCTCTGGAACACGCCAGGTGTGCTGGCGCCCGTGGGGGCTTGCTGAGGCATTGCGAAAGAGGGAGGCGGCGTCGGTGAAGCACGAATCGTCCTTCTGGTGCATTGTCTGTAGCAGCGTGTGACGATCAAAGTCTGGTTCACGCCGCACGTGGCGGCCATCTGCCGCATTGACATCCGTCGACGATCTAAAACATGCAGCAACTCAAAGCGGTCAGGCATCTCCTCCCGCTCCACAGCCAGATCTTCAACCAGGGTTCAGGGATGCCATCAAGACCGGTACCTGGCAGTCCACAGTATGTATGACTAGACAACGGCCCACCTCGTACGTCTGCTGGATGGGGTAACTCTGCCATTGACATCCCCGACATGTGCAGTATCAAGTCGCCCGTTGAAGTATCTAGACCTCCGGAAGGGGTAGAGTCGTGCCCTCGATCCGCCCCGTACAGTTTCAGTCCTGTCTTGAGCAGAAGCATACGGCTGTGGAATGGTGTGAGGGGCGTATCAGCTACCAGCATGTATGCGAGTCGCTCGCGTTCGAGCCCCGTGCAACGCCACAGTCAAGGTTTGAAGCGGCAATGCTCGTGGTGATCAACCACTACCGACATCGAGGATCTACGCGAGATTGTGGATGTCTGAGCAAGAGTGCAAGAGAAGCATGCCGACCCGCAAGTTCTGCACGCTCGCGGACATCGTCTCAAAACCGGCAGGGAGAATTCTTCCAAGATTGGAGAGAATTATGCCGGTCAGCATTGAAGGACTTTGGCTTGCAGGAAAGGCCCTACACACTGCAGGTTAATACCTCCGACGCAGAAACCAGTGCCGTACCGTCCCACCCCGCACCACCTCGAAGGTCCATAACGGGCCCCAAAGGCCGCCTCGATAGCCAACCACGAGGCGCCGGTTGCCTCCTCGAACAGGGTGTCTGTCCAGGCTTGTGCTTCGGCCACTAATGCATGTCTAGCCTTGCGGGACGGCCTGAGCTGGCATCAAAGTCGACGACCCCCAAGTCTGTTTCAATAGTCTCGGATGCACTCGCAAGAGCAAGAAGCTCCCTGATCGATTTGACCGATTGAGATCCCAGAAGCTCTCCTCTGGAACTCTCAGATCGAAGAACAACCGAGGAGCCTTTGAGTCCGGCTTCGTCGTGATTCGATCACCTGCTCCTGCGAGGGGACTACTCTAGCTTGTGGGGAGCAGAGGCTTCGGATATCAAGCCATAAGGACGTACCACGCCTGGATATTGCCGCCCGGATCGCCGTAATCTCGTGGAAGAGCAGCTTCCATCTATCTGTTTCAACCAACATCATCACCAGCAAGGTACCTCTACGATTATTCGCGCCTTTCAGCCCTCGCCATCTCCATTCTTGTTATTAGCGAGAAAGTGGGCGTCTTCCCGGGACCTTGAGCCGCCCTCGGAGCGATCAGGAATTGGCAACTTACGCAATTGTTGGACGCTGACTTCATATCTGGTTCCAACCTCCCCGACGCAGGCCTTCCCAAGTGCAAAATCGTCGTTCCCGAAGGCGGCGCTGGATGAACGGAGACGAACTGACAGTCCTTACTGTTCCCACGAGCAGGATTTGACCTCACGCAGAGGCGGGACTATCTCGACCAAGCTTGGGAGGCACCATTACGTCGACAGGATCGACAAGCACATCCATAAACCGCCTTCGCAAGACGTTGGCGTTTCATTGACTACAACCACACCTTCTTCGATCTCGACTTCACACCGGCCAGCAGTCGGCAGAGGTCGTCCACCTCTTACACTTCTAGCAAACGTCTAGCATTACACTCGCTTATTCATTCCGCTAGACGTGGGCTTGGACTCGACAGATTGTGAAGGACGACGATAACCGCGCTCGACCTGTGGGAGATAATCTAGTCTCTCCACGACTCACTTGAAGGACTGGTGGGAATCAAGCGCGCAGGACGCACGCTCGCCCTCTTGTACAGTGTACAAGTCCTAGTGCTGGAGGCTTGGATCGAAGTGACTTGGCTGACGCGAAAGCTTGCGGCCTTGGGAACCGATATAGCCTTCATCAAATGATTGACGACAGAACCGCGGTGCTCCTTTCGCCGCCAACGTCTCCGCATATGTCGGACACGGATGCAAAACTTAACGAGTACCAATGGCAGCCTGCACAGGGTGCGCTGCTTACGACGACGGCATTACCCCAAAATGCCTTTCTTTCCGAAGCCTCCCTGAGCAATGCTTCTGGTGCTCCTCGACCAGCACGTGGAGCACAGGGCCAGCAGGCCGTGCAACAGATGCGCCCACCGTTGAGGTCGCATAAGAGCTTCCCATACTCTTTGGGACCCTCAAGTCGCTCTCAGGATGGCAGCCATCAAGATCCGAAGAACACCAACGCCATGGCAGACTTCAAGGAACGCGTAGTATCTTTTGGTCCACAGCCAACGGGCAACTCAGCGCTGCCGCAACCTTCTTATGGCGGATCAGCACCGACGAGTCCTGTCGGACGTCTGACACCGAACTCCCCGAACGAGGAACAGGATGATGCGCAGATGGAAGATGAGGACATGGAATCTGACGCTGCGGAGGAGGGGGAGGGGGAGGAGAGGCAACCAAGGACAGCTGCGGAGATACGTGCTCAGAAGCGGAAGATGAAACGCTTCCGGTATGTTGTTCGTGAGCACGGCTGTGTCGCTCTTCGCTGACTTATCATCCCGTGTTAGGCTCACGCACAACCAGACGCGCTTCTTGATGAGTGAGTTTGCAAGGCAAGCTCACCCTGACGCTGCTCATCGCGAACGACTTTCACGAGAGATCCCAGGCCTGAGTCCTCGTCAGGTCCAGGTCTGGTTCCAGAACAGGTACGTCCTTTACTGGGTGGTCAAGAAGACAGCAGCACGACTAACCTCGATTTCAGGAGAGCCAAGCTCAAGCGACTCACGACTGACGACCGAGAGAGTATCATGAGATCCAGAGCGCTGCCGGCAGGCTTTGATATGACTCAAGCACTCCACGCTCCTTTCGGAGCACCAACGCCTACGGGGAGTACACCAACGGCATCGCCGCAGACCTTTGCACCGTATGCGCCAGTCGGCAGTGGGTCTACACCTGGACCCCTGACCCTGGATACGATGCGACGTCCTTCCCAGTATCAACCGTACATGCCCCAGTACAGCAGCCCAACTGGCGTCACTCCGGCACTGGGAGGCTTTGCTTTTACGCCTCCGCAATCGGCAACAGAGACACTCTCGCCTGCATCGGCGCAAGGCATTTCCTCTGCCTTCAGCTTCCAGCCGTCGGACACAATGAGACGGTATCCGTACGGTTTGCAGACGGGCGGTCAAGGCGGCTATTCAGGCCATGGACCGCAGGTTCCTCGTTTGCATACGCATGATCGGCTGACAAGACCAACTGGAGAGGCTGCAGGCTCGCCCTTGCGGTCCAGCATCTCTTACTCTGGCTTGAACGCTGGTAGTGTTGCTCAGCAGCCTGGAGAGCGCTCCAGCTCGTTCTCTGAGCATTCGTCGTATACACACGAACGGACAAGACAGCCGAGGCCGTCGATTCACACCGGCGTTGGAGGGTCTGGTCCATACGGTTTAGGCTTCTCATGTGAGTCCACATTCGTTCTGCGCAATGATTCATCGTTGACTATGCTGACGAAATGTACAGACTCCCAGATCCCAAGCTACCAGTCCTCGGGACAACCTCAGCAGTCACCCGTGGAAGCGAGCCCCCAGCTCCCCGCGACTCTGGATCAGTACCGTCGAAATAGCTCCCACGTCGCTGGATCGTCGATATCATACCCACACTACGCATCCACGACCTACGCGCCCGCCCAGATCCCGCAGTACTCGTACTACAACACTGCATACAACAATCCGTCGGACTACCCCAGCTACCAGCAAATGTCCGACCAACGGCTGCAACGAGACAGCGTCACCCAGTCCAGCCGGCATCAGCAGCAGCAGCAGCAGCAGCAATCATACACCCCCATGACGAGCCAATCCCAGCACTTCGGGCCTCTCATGAGCTCAGCGGATCAACCACAATCGATGACGAGCCCGGGCGACAATAGCGATGGCGGCGTGCCCGTCAATCCGCCTTTCTGATCGAGAAGCAAGCGTGTGCGGTTTTGGCATGCTTGACTGTCGTGTATCACCGTTCTGAACCGGGCGATGGAGCATTGAGCACACGCTGGACGACTACAATGACTATTCACCGAACCCTTCGGACCTAATTCACGACATTACTACACCACACCATCAACAAGCTGTTAATCACCAACGGGCCTTCGCCTTCTTCTTCACGGCACAGGGCTAATCTCGGCCAACCCATCGACCGCGCATGGAACGTTTCATTTTGTTGGATTTGCGGCATTGGGGCACAACAATCTCTGCAGAGCATCGAGCAGGACAGGCTGGCAGGGCAGGCTAGGATCAGACCTTACCTTATTCCCTTTTACCCTGACGAGCGTGGCTGGATACCCAACGTGTTCTCCTTCAAATCTCACAAAATCTCGCTGGCAGCATGGCATCATTCTGTACAGTATTCACCTTACTACGTACGTACTAGCTGGATCTTGTGTATAATACTACCTTATCATCAACATCAACCGATCCGAGGTGCGGTGCGCGTGTGGATCGATCATACTCATTCAAGTATGCAGGCATCCTGCCTGGAAGAATACGGGTGACTTCCTTATTCAGGCGCTTGCACGTTTGCGCCAAATGCCTTGCGCGATTCAGCCTGTGGATCCAGCATGTCTGTCGTCGGGCAGCAAGCACGTGGGTAGACAGGAGTTTATAACGGTGGTGTTGGAGTTTGTTTGAGGTGAGTTGCAATGGTGTGTCTCAGACTTCTTTGCCGATGTGGTGTTCGGGGGGAAAGTGCCGGGTAGTTGTTCTAGCGGGCTTCCAGAAGGATGGATTGAGTTTGCGGCGGGTTCTTCACGGGAGCTTTGGTGTAACGGCTGCGCGTTTGACATCGGCTATATCGAAGCTGCTACTTGATGATGAGGAGAGCCAAAGAGCGTTTTTCATCGTGTGGGATTGCGGGTGCTCTTCGCCACGGCATGAGTGGTTCGTGAGGTTGTTAAAGCGATTGCAAAAGATGAGATGCATCTGAATCTGCAGCTGGAAGCACTGCTGAGAGCGCTAGAAAAGAACTTTGGAGGAGGCCGACAAAACCGACGGCCTGGCTGCTCTTTAATGACGATACATCCCATTCCTGTAGCACGCGACACCAACCGCATCTTCAAGGTCTGGTCCGTTCCAGGCCAGCTGTCTGAATTGATCTCGCTGCAAGCAACGGCAGCCTCCTGGAAGCCTTGAAGGCGTTCAATACTAGGAGGTAATGAAGATGAGTGGCGAGGTGACGAGCTCCAGGCGGAACGTGAATGCAGGTAACCTTCTCGGCCAATCGGCCTGTGCAACCATCGTCGAACTTATGCATGTTACTGCAGTCGACCGCAGCAGATAGCGTCATGTTCTGCATCGCGCGAACGATTGATCTTTGCTGCTACCGTTGACGGCCAGTGACGAATCTTTCAACCGGCACAGCCAAAGGCAACGGCTGCGACTCGTCACGATGCGGCTCCCTCGCTGGACCAGTCAATACGCTCAACACACAGCACAGTCGTACGGATGACAGCTCGTTTGTAGCTGATGAGCCGCACCCATCGTGTACACCCGACCGGTCTTAAGGCGACGACTTCTCCGCTTCTGAGAGCTGCTGCTGCTGCCGTAGCCGTAGCGGCCCAAGCAAACGCTGCTCTGCCGTTTGGTCACACTGGGGGAGACGCAGCTAGCATTTGACTCATCGATTGTCGCCCGCTGTCATGATCGCAGTGTAGCATGTGACTCCAACCGCGGTAGACCTGGCAGAAGTGATCGTTTGCGGTACATTTGGAGGCTAACGAAATGTGCTGTTGAAGTGCCTCTGGTGCGGAGTATCGTGCTGACTGTCTCTTCGTGAATACATGTGGTATAATACGGTGAGACTCATATGCTCCTCAACGCTGGGTCATACAGGTCAGCAGTGAAGAACTCGAAGGATTGGGCGCACAGTGGGAGTAATCGGTGTCGTGTGAGAGGAGCGTGACGGGTTATTTCCAGCGGGCGCCAAGCCTCAGGGATCCGACTTTGTCTTCGAAGTCCGCCCAAAAATCTTTGCTTCTTCCCCAACTCCTCACCATCGAGGAAGAAGACGAGCACTCTTCTTCTGTCGCGTGTCTGTACCTTAGCGGACAGATACATTCTTACCACCCCGTTTCTCGTGTCCTCCGCAGAGACTTCTCCCTTCGCGGCCGGCCGAGTGAACTTCGCAGTTCACCCTCCCCCCAAGCCGCCCTTTTCTGGCACCACCTGCGACACCGCAGCGACATCACCAGCGAGTCCCATCTCCGCTCCACAGCAGCATCCTGCACCCTCCGGCGGCGACTTCACAGTTGATATCTGTCAGCGCCATCCACGGTCACTTCCAGTCGCCTTACAGCCTCGAGTGACACCAACCTCGCACGACCTCACATTTCACCTCCTACCATCCTCTAATGACAAGCGCAATCCCGCCCACCGTCCAGCACGAAACCGCCTCCCAGCAGACCAGCGCACCGAACGCCGCGTCCGACACGAACACATCGCTTTCAGGAGCTGTGCCGGCGCAGCTGCCTGGGCGCTCCTACGCATCCGCCACCAAGACGGCTTCTCCAGCTTCCACCACTCCGGCAGGAGCCCCCGCGCCATCACAGAATGCAAAGCCCAGCACCGAGTCTCCCGTAAACGGAGCGACCTCGATGGCGCAGGGAGGCCCGCAAGCCGCGAGTGCAGCACCAAACGGCACACCAACTGAACATGGGCGCAAGTCCTCGGTTATCATCAGCGCGCAAGGCGCAAGCGGCTCGACACCGAATGGCGGTCCCGTCGGGCAGAACAATCGTCCACCGATCAGTTTCGGGATGATGAATCAAGGGTCGCCCATGCCGTCAGCGAGCGCACCATATCAGTCTCAGAATCCTTCACTTTCGGCACCACCGAGAGACCCGCGGGTGATCTCACCTGCACACTCACCATCGCCCATCCCGCAGCCACCAGCGAGCGGCGGTCGACCACCGTCTGGCTTCCAAAACCAAAACAACGGCATGACTTTTGGCAGCATGGGTGGCGAAAGCGACCCGGTGAGTTTACTCGACTTCATCCAATCCAAGACAGTGCAGCTGACATTCAACTTTAGATGCGCCAAAACCAGAATGGGCCTCTAGGTCCAGGCATGCCGATGCACGAGCGCCGAGTCTCTTCGCAGGGGATGCACGGTGACCCGAACATGAACAGGAACTTCCAAGCACCAAATGGTCGTGGCCGCGGCTTCCAAGGCCCTTACGCTGCGCAGTCTCCGGGGATGCAGTACCGTCAGATGCCGGGCGGGCCACCTCGTCCTGGCTCAGGCATGCCGCCTCAGTTCCAGACCGGCATGCCTCCGGGCTCCCCTTACAACCGCGGCAGGAACAGTCCTGCCTTGCCACATCAACAGCCTAATATGCAGCCCCAGCACATGAGCAACCCGCAGATGTACGGAGGAGGCTACCAAGGGATGGGCGGACAGGGACATCCCGTAAGTCAAACACTCCCTTTCTTCTTGTCCGAATGTCACTGGCAGGCAGGCGGGCAGCAGACCGAAGCGAACCACATGGACCACTCTGGTCTTGAGCTAGCTTCTTGAGTATTGAGCTATGATATATTGGAAAGTATGTATATCCGTCACGACCACATGCTGACTCAAGGTGCCACTACAGCAAGGCGTGTATAATTACTACGACCCCCAGAGCGGATACTACCCGCCCCAATGGCCGGGTCAGCAGGGCGCCCCGAGTCCTCGTCCAGGGTCGTACCCGAGCCCCTTCCCCAGTGGGCCAACTGGCATGGCGCCGCCTTTCTACCCTCCGAACATGTCTCGCAGTGCTTCACAGGTCTCTGAGCGACCACCCTCGAGCATGGGCCAGCCGGCCACTCCTGCTATGTCGAATGCTCCGCCGTCTGGGCAGCCTGCCGCAGCGCAGCAAGCCTCTTCCTTCGTAAAGCCAAATAAGACTAGCCGTGCCATCAAGATCACAAACCCATTGACTGGAGAAGTGGTGTCTAGCAAGGCTTCAGCTACGCCAACTGCGTCCGCGCAACCACAAAATCCTGTCATTGTCTCGACTCCAAACGCACCGACACCCCCACCACGCACCGCGAGCGCCCAGCACGAGCGAACTGAGAGCAAGAGTACCATGACTGCCGAAGAGAAGAAGCGTGCATTCCAGGAAGAGGTGAATCGTCGGCGGATGGGTGAGCCGGCGAAGGAGGAGCCGGAAGCTGCTAAGCCTACCGAAGCCAAGGCCGTGGCTGAAGTTCCGTCTAAGAAGGACTCTATGGAAGCCACGGAACCGGCGAAGGACGTTGTCAAAGAGGCCACTGCTGAGACAGAGAAAGCTGCGGCCACAGATGCCGGCGATGACGAGGCAAAGAAGGACGCAGACGCTGCTGCCAGCGCTGCAACCAAAGAGCCCGTCGAGGAGACGCCCAAGGAAGAGACCGAAGATGAGCGTCTTGAGAGAGAGATTGCCGAGATGGAGGCTAAAGAGAAGGAAGAGGAAGAGCGTGAGGCAGCGTACCAGGCGAAGAAGAACGCCGAGAAGGCGGCAAACGCAAAGGTCGAAGCTGAGAAGGCAGCGAAGGCAGACGAAGAGCTTAAGCGCCAGGAACGCGAGGCCGAAGAGCGTGAAGAACAGCGCGAGCGTGAACGTGAGACCGGGAAGTCTGCTCCACAAGAGCCTGACAGCCAGTCAAAAGACATGTTCGAGTCCCTCAAGAAGCCTGAGATCGGCCCGGGAGCCTCTGCGCCAGCCAGCGGTACGGAGACACCAGCATCCGAAGACGCCGAAGCATCGTCCATGCCACCCCCATCTCAGCCCGCTTCTACCACCCAACCTCGTGGCCTCGGAGCGCAGAAGCCAAAGCCGGCTCACTTGAAGCTGGAGACTTCCAAGCGCGTCGAGCCTGCCGAACCCACTCCCGGGATGCAAGCTCTCAAGTCTGCTCGCTTCCTCGAAATCAAGGAGGAGGCCAAGTACCCAGACGGCTTCAAGTCGCCCAACCCAGCTCTGAACGTGGCCGGAGCTCGCAAAGGTCGCGCCTACGACAAGGCCTTCTTGCTCCAGTTCCAGCCAGTGTTTAAAGAGAAGCCTTCGGTCGATTGGGACCAGAAGGTCAGAGACACTCTTGGCCCTGGCGACGAGCCAGGCTCTGCTCGCCCTGGATCAGCACGTACGCCCTCTTCCAGCATGGGTCGCCAGCCATCTGGCCGTCCAGGACCATCTTCCATGGCTAGCTTCGGTGGTCCGATGGGCAACTTCGGTGGCAGCAGCGGACCTCGGACTCTTCCTCCTGGTACTACCTCGCAGGAACGATTTCAAGCTTCGCAACAGAGCGGTCGCCCCGGCATGGGCAACATGCCGATGGGCCGCGCTCCCAGTCAATTCGGTGGCATGCAACCTGCAGGCATGAACCGGACAAACTCCAGTCTGGCTATGGGCAACATGGTGCCCGGCTCACCCCGCGTCCCCAGCACTCGTGGTGGCCGAGGTGGCAGCAGCCGCCGTGGCGACCGCACCATGAGCAAGAAGGAGGAAGCCGAAATGGCCAGCAAGATGCCCCTCACTGCTCACATGGACCTCAAGCCACTCGAGAAGTCTGGTTCTGGGTGGAAGCCGACTAGCATTGGCCAGCCCATGCAAGCCTCGCATGACCTCAGCGGCAACATGGCTCCTGATATGGTGCAGAGGAAGGTCAAGGCCGCTCTCAACAAGATGACACCGTCAACCTTCGACAAGATCTCCGATCAAATCCTCGAGATCGCTGGCCAGTCCAAGAACGAGTCTGATGGCCGAACACTACGCCAAGTCATCCAGCTCACGTTCGAGAAGGCTTGCGACGAAGCGCACTGGGCTGAGATGTACGCTCGGTTCTGTAGCAAGATGCTGTCAACCATGAGCCCCGACATCCGCGATGAGACTGTCCTGGACAAGGCCGGCAACCTCGTCGTCGGCGGTGCGCTCTTCCGGAAGTACCTCCTCAACCGTTGTCAGGAAGAGTTCGAACGCGGATGGCAAGTCAACCTCCCCGAGAAGCCAGAGGGCGAGACGCAAGAAGCTGCTCTTCTCTCCGACGAGTACTACGTCGCTGCCGCCGCCAAGCGTCGCGGTCTGGGTTTGATCCAATTCATCGGTCAGCTCTACAAGCTTCGCATGCTTACGCTCCGTATCATGCACGAGTGTGTGATGAAGCTGCTCAACTTCGAGGGTGACCCGGATGAGTCCGCCGTGGAGAACTTGACCACTCTGCTGCGGTCTGTCGGCGCTACCATGGAGAGCGACGAACAGGGCACAGGCTTGCTTTCGACTTACTTTGAGCGGATCGAGAACAACCTGCTCAAGAGCGACGCTCTCCCAAGCAGACCGAAGTTCATGCTTCTCGATCTTGTCGACCTCCGGAAAGCTAACTGGAAGGGCAAGAACGACGGCACGAAAGGACCAAAGACCATTGACCAGATCCACGCCGAAGCTGAAGCCGCGCAGCGAGCGCAAGAAGCAGAGAGGCAGCGGACTGCACAGCGTGGCGGTGGTGGCCGACCTCCGGCGGGTCGTGGCGATGCGCGGAACTTCTCCAGCAACATGCCACCGCCTGACTACAAGTCGAACATGCTTGGTACGGATGACCTCAGGAAACTCCAGAACCGCAATCGTCCGGCTGCCGGCGGTGGTGGTCTTGGTCCAGGCGGCAGCCTGGGACCTGGAGGTGGCCTTGGTGCGCGGGCGGGCAGCAGGCGAGGCAACCTGGGCCCGACGTCGTCCGGCAACACCACAAGGACCAACACGCCGCCTGTTGAAAAGGAGAAGAAGGAGGAGCCAAGCTCACAGAATGCGTTTGGGTAAGCATCTCTCACCAACTCTGCATCCAACCATCTCATGCTAACATCTCACAGCGCCCTCGCCTCCCTCGACTCCGGCGAAGCACCCGAAGAGTCCACCGAAGCATCCCCGCCCTCAGCCCGCAACCGCTCGAAGTCACCACTGCCGGCGGAGAAGGCCGAAGGTCCCACTGCATGAGATACCCCACACCGTTTCTAACAACTTTTTCACGGCTGTATTAACACCAACGCACACACCAACCTGCTTAATACCACACTTGCATGGGACTTTTTTTTCTTCCGGGATAGAGGCAGCGCGAGCGGCATCGGATGGCATTGGAGGCTGAGCATGGATTAGTAAAAGTCCTTTTCCGCGCTGAGAGGAGGGACTTCTGATGGGCGATGGCGTTCCGGCATGGGTGGCTTGCAAGCGAGGGATCGAAGGGACGTTTTCTTCACAGCCTGCTGCTGCCAGCGAGCGGGGTTGGTGGGCGGTGAGCATTTGCTGGTGCTCCTACGTCCACTACGCAAGCGGGCAGCTGGGAAGCATATTTCGCTCCTGCTTCATTGCGAGGCGCGAAATTCGCTCTCGGCTGCCAGCTGCCCTCCCCCTTTCGGACACGGGTGCTTCTTTCCTTGTGCACAGCTTATTTTGGGTCGTGCGTGTGTTTTACTAGATTGCGTGCTACTGCTGCTGCTGCTGCGTGCTTCGAAAGGGGAGACGAAAGAGTGCGCTGCGCGAAAGTGTGGGCTTGATCGGTTCTGGCGTGTGTATATAATTGGAATGGAGGGCTTGTTGCCTAAAGTCTCTATTTGGTGTCCTTTTGATCTGTGAAGTCTTCGTGTTTGATGGTTGTTCGTTGATGTGATGAGTTGTTGAGAGGATCACGTATGGGCTGGGTAATGTTATGTACCCCTTTCCCGACGCGCGTGACGAGGGACAAAGACGGGATGCTCTGATGGTGATCTGCTTTGGAAAACGATCCTGCGGATTTCCATCTCACGTTCTCTTGTAGTCTTCACAAAACGATAAGTGAAAGTCGACATCATCGCACTCCTCCAGCCAACGTCACCCCCTCCTGCCCCTCCCCACCACCCTACCCCTTCCTCCCCGTCACCCACGAAGACGCTGTAGTCGAAATCGAAGGACATCCTGGATCCGTAAACGACGGCGTAGCGCTCGCAGCGCAATAGCAGCCGCCGTACCAGTAGGAGCAGCTGTTGATGTAATCCACGCAGATGCTTCCGCCTGGACAGACGATTGTAGATGACGAGGGAGTCGATGTTGTAGTGCACGGCGGTGTTGTGGTTGGGACGGAGGAAGTATTTGAGGGGCAGCCGGGGTCGGTGAAGGAGGGGGTTGCGTAGGGGGTGCAGGCGGGGAAGCAGCCGCCGTATGTTTCTATCACGAGGTCAGACGGGGAGAACTTGGTTGTTTGGTGGGTGGGGAGAAGTATGAGGGGTGGACGTACGGCCGCAGGAGTTGATGTAGTCGACGCATCTTGTCTTGGTGCAGTGGTGTTTTTTGGTTGTGTGGTGTTTGATGTGGTCCTTGTTGGCGAAGCTGAGGGTGGCCAGGGAGGCGGCAATGACGAGGAGGGTGGTGTGATGCATGATGAAGGTACGTGGATGGGAATCTTGCTGTCTCGGTGAACGGAAGTGGGTTGTGTCTTCCGTCTTCTATGATCAAGGAGTGGGAAACGATATGACGGTTCTGACGGAGGGGAAGCAATGGAAAACTGAGGTGCCTTACCTTTATACCAACACCCAAAATTCCATTAGCTGACGAACGCGCGAATAGAGACAAGCATACTACTGCACCCCAGCTGCCCTCCACAGTTCTCGGAACCGCGACGATTCACCCAGCCTTACCGTGTTGGTGTTCTCTGTGAAACACAGTGAACCAGATCAAGCCCAAATTGTGAGGGAGCTGACAACCAGGCTCGCACAAGCCTCGTATCATGGCGTGAGCCAAGAAGGGTGAAGGAGTCAATCAGTGGTCAGGTGCTCGTGTTGGCGGGAACATATACCAATGAGATTTGTAGGAAAGGGAAGCAAGGTTGAGGATAAGAGGTGAAGTTCGAGTTGGCTTGGCGAGCATTGCTCCAGCTTTGCCTCGATCTGTCACAGGTATTAACCACATGTCCGACCAGAAGACACCACAAACACCATCGCTACCCGCCCACAAACCATCCCACAATGCCAGTCAGTGTGCTAGTTGAACACATTCCCCAACCGATGTTCCCGCATATACTCCCCGCCCATCTCCCTCCACTCCTCCCTCGTCACGCCCCCTCTTCTCCCCTCATCACTACCTGCCCACCTTGCGGCTCCCTTCCAAGCATCCAGCACTGGATCCTTCGCCTTCCTCACGCTTAACGAGACATCGACAGGCAACACCGCCCGCAACTCCTCTTGTAACCTCTCCTCGAAGCCCTTGAATAGAGCGTAACCGCCAGTCAAGAAAACGTCCTTAAGCATTGCATCTCGCGCTTCTGGCATGCCAGCAAGTCGTTGCATCAGGATGTCTTCTGCGATCTCCACGATGCCAGCTTGGTCAACACCAGCGATAGATGGCTGGAACACCACCTCCGGCACCCGGATCCGCTCGACGTTGAGGTGGAACTGATTACTCTCCCTCGCACTTTCAGCGTCAAACGGCCATGGACCTCGCAAGAAAGCATGAACGAGGCTCTTCGTCCAGTCTTTCTGCGCCTCACGTGTGCTCTCTTCCGTGAAGTCGGGGTCATAATCGAGTAACTGCGCCTCCACAGCCTTCAGCTGCGCACCAAAGTCCTCTTCCTCGTCTTCCTCGTCATCTTGTTTGCCAGCCTGGATGTCACGGTAGATCATCCAGTCTGCGTCGTCAGCGCCGAAACCATCATCATCGGCGTTCTGACCGCGCCGGCGCTTGCGTCCCATGGGATTGTCCGAGGCTAGATTGGCGATGTGCTTCATGCGCATCTGTGAAGCCTGCGATTTGCGATTGCCAAGTTCCTGCTTCAGCCGGTCGCGGTCCTTGATGCGCTGTAGAATCTCCTGACGGGCCTGCCGTCGCTCATCGAGCCAGGAGTCGATGTCGGCTTCTCGGCGGGCATCATCAAGTCGCTTGATCTCGGCTTGGCGCGCTTTCTCTGCCTCTTTCTCTGCTTTCGCGCGAGCACGTGCATCATGGTTGCTCTTGAGTAAACGTTGTGCTTTCTTCTGTCGTATCCCAGCTTCGTCCAGCTCGTCGTCCGGGATGTCGAGCAATGGGTACGAGGGCGGCTCTTCGGGCTCTTCTTCGAGGTCACCGACATCCTTGTTGCGCTGCTTGCGAATGCTCTTCTCCATCTCCCTGATCCGCCTGTCCAGTTGATCTTCGTCTTTGAACTCCTCCTCGTCTAGCATAGCCCGCACTTCCTTCTTCGTTGTCGCCTCTTGAATCTGCTCTTGCAGTTGCTTGAAGTACTCCAACTCTTGCTCTTTTCGGACCAGCTTCTCCAACCTCATCTTCGCCGCCTGCTCCTGTAATCGCCTCCCTCCCTCTTTCCTCTTCTCCTCAGCCCGCCGTATCTCCTCCTCCGTCTTCTGCACAACCTCTTTTTCTTGATACGGCAACTGCACCACGCAATCCCGGTCCTCCAAGCCTGTCCAATCCAGCATCTTGGCGGCCTCGTTGTCATAGTCTGTACTCACATAGCAATGCGCTTTCACCAGATCCTCGATTTGAGTGTCTGTCACCTTACCACTAGTAAGCAGACCCGGGTACTTCGCTCTCAACAGTCGCTGCAAGTACTCCGCGCACTGTGACCGTCCCCAGTCTAGCCTCGTCGCATGACTGATCAGCGGCTGCCGATCTACCACTGGTATGAGATGCGTGCTTGTATTTGCCGAACTGACTACCAAGCCAGTGGATCCACCATTGTAGTCGTAGCTGAACAAGCTGTCCACGCCGTACGCCACGCTAGGCACATTGTACAGCTCGAACAGTAGCTCGCTCATCGTTCGCCTTGTGTATCCTAGGTTCGCCAAAGGCTCTGTCATCACCACCGGCCGATCCACTTCCCCATTTCGCCCATCTATGCCTAACTTCACGAAGATGTAGTCCAGCAGGCCTTCCTGCACATCCCAGTTGTTGACTACATTACTCCCTGGTTCATAGATGTTCTTCGCCTGACCTCGCGCCGTACCGTCAAAGTAGATTTCCGACCCGATGAAGGTCAGCTTGCGATTCAGCTTGCGGTCGGTATAGCGTGCCATGAGCGGAGGGAACTGTAGCTGGGGATTCCGGTCTGTAGACCATCCCGCGCGGACATAGGAGGAGCCATTGTCGATGACGATCGCATTGTTGGGAGAGGAGCGGTAAGTGGCGCTGTCGGTGGGTAGTTGGCCGGAGTAGGGTGGCTCGCTGACGGAGTGAATGTTCGTTATCGCGGGTCGAGGCGAGTTGCGACCAGATTGGGGGACGATGTTGTAGGTGTAGTGCGGCATGGTGGGCGTGGTGCTCGGAGGAGCGATGTTATGTTGTCATGTTATTATACGAGTGGTTGTCGCGAGCGGAGGCGTATAGCGGCGTGTGCTGGCAACCTTCGTCCAACACATGGCATGGAGTTGAACTTCCAGCGGCACATGAAGTCAGAAAGGTAACGCACGGACCCTTACGCGAAAACATGTGACAGCTTGACTACTCGCGACTTCACCTTCCTTTCTTCCACCACTCTGCACAACACTTCCTTGAGAAGGTACATTCTTCGAGTCCCTGTGTCTCCATACTGGCCATTAGCAACAATAACATATGGCATGTCTCATCACGATACACAGCCAAACCAGCGGTGATCCTTCGTATTCCTCCTCAGGCCACACGAGTGAGACGAGCTAGGAGGTACTGCAGCGCTGGCCGTGCGACTGGCCTTCTTCGCCCCCAACACACCTTCGGACAAAGATTGTATCAGTCCAGCCCCGGCTGTTACTCCATTCTGTTTGAGCCCGCGCACCACTTGTCAGCATCCTGCGTTTGGTCGTCTTCGGCCGGCTACACCGCTCGACTTTGACCTCGGAGTCAGTCACCGCAGGACACATGGCTTCCCAAAGCCATGGATCCACCGATACAAGTTACCAACCTAGCTCAAGATACGTGACGACGGGTATCCGCTGCTGTAGCCGAGCAAAAGTCCAGCTTGATGGGCTTCCATATGCTGCGCAGCACTAAGCTTCTGATTCCCACGTTACCACGCTACCTCCGGAGGTACCACTAGCACTGCTTCTCCTGGCTTCAGCTCTCTCGCTTGCCCCAGAACAGCTGTACGCACATGCGTTCAGACTAGATCAGCCTGCATATAAGCGAACTGTTCCTAAGGCTGTGCTCGAGTACAGCTTTAAGGTAGGCAGTGATGTTCTCCCGTTGCTTTCTTCTTCTGCTTGCGAGCCCTTCCACTTCATGTATATGATTGAATAGTCGTAAAGACCTGGTCAGGATCCTGCCCAAAGAGTCACCATGTCACGGCGGACCTCATCTTCGCTTTCCTTCCTTCCTTCTCCTCGCTGTAGCCAGCCTTGCGCTCGCACAGCAGCAATGTGTAAGCCTCCACTCAACTCGCCCATCGAGAAGAGCTTCACAGACTAAACGCTCTGCCGCACTGCTCAGTATATCGGCCCAGGCGCTGCACTTCGTGGCCCATCAGATCTTGTGCCATGTCTTGAATCTGGCAGTTCCGTGTGCTGCCTCCTCGGCGATACTTGCTTGTCAGGCAACACTTGCTACGATTACGACACTGGCAATCTGTACCAGTACGGCTGCACAGACATAACCTATAGCGACGCTTCTTGTCCGTACAAGTGTGGATTCAACACCAGTAAGTCCCAAACCACCCCACCCTGCTAAGCACACTGCTTTCGACAGGCCTTGTACTGATGCTGTGGCCTTTCAGCAAAATCTCCATGGACCGCTCGAGAATACTGCAGCGGCGTGAGAGAGGTTGATGATACCTGGATATGCCACGCGCCGGAGAGCTGCGGATGTCAATGGAACGCAACGTACGACCTGCTTACTCTAGCACCAAGAGGCTGCGCAGATATGGGCAAGGAAGCTCGAGTGGCGCTATATGCTCCGTCTGCGTTGGCTCCATACGTGTCGCTGCCGAGCACATTCGGCGGAACTACATTGTACTACTCCGGCACGACCGTCTCGGGCACGAGCACTTGGGTTAGCACGGCACTGAAAGGATGTAAGCCAATGCAATCACCACGAACTGTGGTGGACTGGACTAATTTCTCAACAGACACCCCCAAATCAATCGGTCCTCTAACAACCTACCCCACTCCCGCGCCGACCTCAGCAATCATCTTATTTTCCAACAAAGAGCCCGCTGCCTCAATCTTGGCAGCAGCGGTACCTCTGAATGCAACCGTGACTCCAATTCCCAATGGCGCCTGGAGCGGTTCGGCGTCCACATTCAGCACCTCCACCATTTCCAGCCGCAGCAGTGCCACGCACAGCCATCCAGCCCAAACAATAACCCAGACGCCCACTCCAGCACCCTCCACTGGCCTCTCCACAGGCGCCAAGGCAGGTATAGGCGTCGGCGTCGCAGGTGGGGTGATCGCTGCTGCGGCGCTCACTGCACTCTTCGTGATCCTACGCCGTCGGCGCAATAAAGAGCAACCCACCATCAACAACTACTCAGCCTTTCCCGAAAAATCAGCAGCCTGGACAGCTCCTCTACCCGACTCGCCGCCAAATAGCGGAGAGTACTACCATCACTCAAGTTTCCCCGCGGCGATATACGAGGTCGGTGCGTCACCGGGAGAAGAGGAAGGGGTGCGGAAGGCTATAAGTCCGCCGCAGCCGGGTTGGGAGCTGGATGGGGAGGGCGCGAGTGAGATGGACGGGGAGGGGGTGATTAGTGAGATGGATGGGCGAGAGCCCGCGGGTGGCGAGGGAGGACGGTACGCTACCTAGTGGGCGGGAGGGGCGGCTGTAAGCGAGGAGAGATGATGAATTTCACATGTTTTCGAAATCATTGCAACATGACCTGAATCTGTTTCTCAGGGGACAACTGATGTAAACGGCACCTTGAAGACCAGGGCAATGATCGTTGTCGTGTTTAAGGTGATCATAAGGGATCAACTTCGAGGATGTTGTTCGCGGCAAGCCGCAACATATATCACAGATATCTACACTCTAGCGAGCGGTTCAAATACGATACTCCACCCCAGCGAGTGACCTACGCACTCCGATGCTCCCGGTCGAAGGCCTCCCAGCGCCATGGCAGACAAATGAGATCCTCCCTCACGTAGCATTTCCGCAGACCTCAGATCTGACCCAAAGAAACCTCCCAGCAGCCAGCTCAACGGCGCAACCCCAAAGTACTTGCCCAGCATCGCACAACCCAACAGAACCCCTCAGATCGAATCCTAACCACCACAAGTTCCATCCCCTCAATCATCCCCACTCTCAATCAAAACAACCGTACTCTTCCTCTCCTTCTCCCTACCCCCCATAACCACCACCCTCGGCTTTAAAGGCTGCTTCGTCACCACAGCATGCTGCACCGTCCGCCGTGCCTTGGTGACGGAAACCTGTCGCGCCACGGAAACCTGCACCATCTGCTTCTCCAGATCCTCTGGGCTCTTGACCCGCAGATAAGGCTCCCGCTGCTGTTGCTGTTGACGATACGATTGCGTTCGTGCGGGGAGAGAGGTGAGCATGTCCCAGCTTGGTTCTGCTGTTGGGGCGGGGGCGGAGGCTTTTTTGGCGTTGCTGATTATGGCGACGGAGTCTTTGTCGGAGACCGTGGTGTTGGCGGTGTTGGGGGTTGGGGGGAGGGAGTTTTCGGAGATTTGGGAGAAGGTTGCTGAGGTTGGGGTTGGACCTAATCTGTTGGCTTTGATGAAGGCTGCTGTTCGTGGAGATTGGGCGCCTGGAGGTGCGGTCCTGGAGCGTTGTATGGGTTGTGGGCGGTGGAAGGCGGCAGTTTTCTCGTCTTCCGCTCGGTCTTTCTTGGAGACTTTGACCGAGAGGCGGGATTTCAGCAGGCTGGGCGATGTGAGGCTGCGCTGGGGCACAGCAGGTGCAGTGGGCTGTTCGGCAATCACGGATTGCTCGCTTATACTGCGGGTTGACTCCAGAATCTTGAGCGATTTCTTTCGTGGTAGTTTGCTTTGCCGCCGCTCCAAAATCGACGGTTTCGGCTCTTCAAGCAGTTTCTCAAACATCACGCTGTATCTGTCGAATCCTAGACTCGGCAGATCAAGGTTCAACTGTGGCGTCCTCATAGGGTCAATCTTCTCGGTCGTGGATAGTGGCGAGTCGGTCCGCTCATGGGCAGATGGAGAGAACATTTCGACCGACTCATGCTGTGTACCTAGAGCGCGGAACATTGGCGAAAATCCCTCTTTCTGTATCACTGAAGGCGAGCGCATTCTCTTCGGTTGAGCGCTAGGTTGGAAAGACGCCAGGTCTGCCTCTGCACGAGCTTCTAGCCGTGCCATCCCTCGCGTCATCGAAGGTGTTCGTTGATGGATGCGTGATCTCACAGTGTCTCCCTTCGCCACGGGAGGTGGTGAGGCACTGTACGCAGTAGGCCGATCTGCGCTCTGCGCTTCCGGCACTTTCAGTTTGTAGAATGGTTCCGGCACCTCTGTCTTTGACGGTTTCCGGCCAAACAAGTCTCTTATCGATTTCCAGTTCGACGACTTCTTCTTCAGCTCCGGTCTCTGCGAACGTGAAGTAGTACGCTCGGGCAGAGCTGGTGACGGATGGTCGATTGGTGATGGTGCCTTTCTCCTGCTCCCCAGCTGGTCTGCGGTCTGTGAACGTCCCCACGTAGGCATAGCGGCTTGTGTTGGAGACCCCAAGGCCATGCCAATACCAGGCGATTCTCTGAATGCCAACGGCGACGGCGACGGCGAATGATGGAACGTAGCGCTCTTAGGCGGCACTCGAGGGGACGGTGTCGGGAAGTTGTAGGTGTCGGCGCCAGAGCGGAACTCAATAATTTCTGGCGGCAGCTCTTGTTCCATGTTCCGCTCTGCACCACTGTGTGCCGTCCGTGGGCGGGAAAAGCTGCGATGTCGATCGTCTGCCGTCTTCGGTCGCTCCGGTATCTTCACTGCCCGCTTACGCTCGCCAGCCTGCAACGACGGCCGACCTCGAGCGCTCGCTGCTTCTATTTTCTTTCTATCTTGCTCCTTCGCCTCCCTCGCAGCTGTAGAATGTGAACGACGGAGAGTGGGCATTTTCAATCGTGATCTCGTTCAAAATGAAAGTAGTGGAGGACCTTCGATGACTCGGAAGGCCAGGAGAAGCCCGTATCGATGAGCGGGATGCTGAAACTGCGACGCTGTCGATGGATGTTCCTTGCAACAAAACCAACAATATCTTCCAGAAGAATGGTAACAAATTGAGAACAAATGAATGTATAGAAAGCTGAAATAAGAATGTACCGCTATCGCGCACAGAGTAACGACAGTAAGCTGAAGGAGAGGTGTGAGAAGAAACACCCACGAAACCAAAGATACCACACCGCATCAGGATCCCACGACAACACCATGTCGTGCTTGGCAGCTGATACGAGAAATGCACTCATGAAGGGTCAAGGATTCGCCTCTAAACGCCTTGCTGGAGATGAGTTTCCGTAGCACATTGATGAGACCCCAGGATGGCTTTCGCCACGCTATCGGCGCGCGTGGAGGGCCTCATCTCGACTCGGTCCGTGATTGCGTCGCAGGTCTGGCTTGCATCGTTGGCGGAACATTGATTGCTTCAATCAGGGAGGTAGCCAGTCAGGAGTGGGGAGAAGTGGGAGGGGGGTGTTTCAAGTTGGCGGGTGAAGTCGTGCCTTCCCGCTGCGCTAATTTCGCTGTTGCCGCTGCACTGTTCACGAGTTTAAACCCTGCTTTGATGAACCACCACGGCACACATTTTATTAACAACCACGACAACCTGTATATAAAGTACATTACGCAGCATCCTCATCAACAGACATATACGTCTGGTATGCCCAGCGACTCCGTCTCGATGCATCCCAGACCGGTAATGCCTGGGTGTAGCATCTCATGCTTTCGATCTTCAATCACATCCTCTCCAAGCAACAGCAGGGGCTGATGGTGCAGCTCGATGCCACGCTTCAAGAGTCGAGGCAGCGCCTTCGTCGAGGAGTGGTCAATTTCGTCCATGAAATTCCATATGCACACCTCCTCCAACGCAGAGTATCGAGGATCCTCGACGAAGTCTGCAACCATGCTGAGGACCGCCTCCGCTGTTTTCTCCCCGAACTTCCAGTTGCGTGTCATCTCCAGCCTGAGCTTCTTGATACTGGGAGGTAGGAAGTCGCGCAAATCCAGGATCTTGATGAGCTTGCTTGCTTTTGAGTCCCGAAACGGCATCACGCTCGCTACGGTTTGCGTACCGCGATGTTCCACGACCAAGACGTGCTCGACATCCAAGACGCATCCAGTCAGGTTCTCTAACTTCCTAAAATGCTCAAGTCGCATGCTTTCGACATTGATATCTCTGAGGGCATGTGCATGGGACTCCACGATGGCTTCGTGTATGCCAGGTGGAATCTGTGCATAGTCTAAGACGAGCTTCTTCAACCGCGCAGGGGCTTTCAAGAACTGCTCCAACGTCTTACCCCGAAGCTCACCGGCATGCAACCCAAGCTCTTCAACGCTGGACGTACCGAGCGGAATCTCGTCCTCTGCCATGCTGTCGTAGTCACCAACGAGATTTGAAAGGTTCAGTGTCTTCAGGTTAGGGAGCGAAAAAAGCGGTGCAACAGATTCCCGGGGACAAGAACCCCACGTTCCGATTGGCAACAGAGGGGTTGGATCGGCTACGTCTATCCTTCGAAGAGATGTGAAGCCTGGTGGCCATGCGGCGTGTGACAGTTGGCGGATACGCTGTATTACTTCACCGACGAAGGCCAAAGGTTTGCTGCCGGTCATGTAAGGGAAAGTCCATCTGCAGTCTCTGTTGACGAGTCAGACGATGATTTGTTGTGTGGTAGAAGTACCCACGATATATAGTTGACCCGTCTGAGCCGGGGTAAAAGAGCTATCAGTATGCCCTTGAGCGGCCGATCGGAGCCTTGTCTGAGCTCAGTCATCCAGGCGGCCGTTGCAACCGGAGATAGCTTGAGACATGTCTTCATGATCTCCTCGAACTTGCCCAGTTCTCCTAGGCTCCAAAAGGTCTGGTCCTGGTCTGAGAGGTCTTCTCGCGGCCTCTCGCGAGCACTATTCGGTATGCCTGCCCTCCGAGGTCCTTCAAGAGCCTCTTCAATGGCGTTTTCAAGACGATCGAAGGGCTTCCAGTCCACGAACGTTTTTCGATTGCCCCAGAAGTCGAGTTCACGTACATGCCACGCTGCCTCCGGGTCGTTGATTGCAAGCCGGAGCAGCATTGGCATGGTTGACGGCGCACGATCATTGTTGACACGGCAGAGGCCATGGTACCGGTCGTGGAGCGCAAGTCGATCCCTTGAGTGATAGTGAAGTCGTTTGCAGACGAGGGCGAAATCCAGCAGATCCTCGACTTCGACCAGGTCAGCGATCCAGTCCAGGAGTTCTGCTGGAAGGGCAAGCAATGGGGAGGATGCCATCGTTGAGGTGTCGTCCCGAATCAGATGTGGTTGACATCAAGTCGCGGGCGCTCTGACATTTCGCGCAACCAGTACCGATCCTTAATACCATAGTTCGTCGAGAGCAAAGCGCCAACAAATAACCCAGCAGAACGTGAAGTCTACATGTAGCTCGACGTGCAGCGTTGCGTCATCGTGCATGAGCCCATGTGAAACTTGCCAGCCGCCCGCAAGGCTGGACTCCACTCTACATGTAGTTCCAGTAACTTGCCTTGCTCTCCTCTACTTCTAACATTCAACATCTCCGAACCAAAGAAACAGTCTACAAACAACATAGAGCCAAGACCAAGATGTCAGGAACAGTCCAAGGAATGAAAGACGCCGTGACCAAGGGCGAGGGCGGTAAGCACAACAACCAATTCCCCCACCAAACAATCACGTGCAACACCTTCTCACACTCCGTCCAGGCGGTCTCCAAGGAGTCTCTCAAGCCGCTGGTCAAACCATAGCTGAGAACACCGACACGCGCGGTGGCCAGGGCAAGAAATCGGACGATGCTTCGACGTCGTTGGGCCAGTTTGGGAAAGGTGAGGATGACCATGCCTCACAGCTTGGAACGGACAGCTAACGGCGACTTCGTATACAGGTGGCGGTGGCAACACGACAGAAGGCACCAGCATCAAGGCCAGTGATCAGGTCACCAACATGCAGTACGTCAGACTATTGAGTGGGAGGTTTCTCTGGCAACGCCTCCGAGGTCTCAGGACCATGGAGTGCTTAGAGATTTCTCTACCTTTGTTCCACTTGTCGAGACACCTGCTGACGCTTCCATTTCTCATCCCAGGACGGGTAGTGCGGACCACTTGGAGATGGGATTCGGCAAGGACGCTTGATTTATGTATCCCTGCTCGCGAGCAGTGTCTGCTACGACTTCGAACGTGTTCTGATATATATCGACATTTGAATGACCACCTCATCTATGCGTCCACTCGGGCTTCTTCTTTTCCGCAAACGCCTCCATGCCAATCTTCTGGTCCTCGCTCCCGAACAGGCCATGGAATACCCTCCTCTCAAACTCCACTCCCTCCTTAATCCCAAGATCCTGGCTCTTATTCACAACCTCCTTACACGCCTTGACAGCTATCTTGCTGTACCCCGCGATTGTCTCCGCAGTGTCCAGCGCTCCCTCCACACACTTCTCCGGCGTCTCAAACACCCTCGCCGCCAGACCCCAGTCATACGCCTCCTGCCCGGAAAAGTTCTTGCCGGTCAGGATCAACTCCATAGCCCTGCTCTTTCCAATCGCCCTCGTCAATCGCTGACTCCCGCCAGCTCCAGGAATTACTCCCAGCTTGATCTCCGGCTGACCAAAGTTGGCCTTCTGAGAACAGTACAGGATATCACACATCATCGCCAACTCGCATCCACCTCCCAACGCGTGGCCGTTGACAGCGCTAATGACGGGTTTGCGGATGGTATTGTACAGCTCGCTCCAACTCTCAATGAAGTCGTTGCCGTAGGCGTCAGCGAAGGATTTGTCGCGCATCTCAAGGATATCAGCCCCAGCAGCGAAAGCTTTCTCGGAGCCTGTAAGAACGGTAGCGCCGACGGAGGGGTCCGAGTCGAGCTCGCGGAGGGTGGTGTTGAGTTCGCGGATAAGCGGGGTGAAGAGGGCGTTGAGGGCTTTGGGACGGTGGAGTTGGACTGTTGATACATAAGCACTGTGACAATCCTCTGTCCTGATCAGTGATCCCTACTCAATGCAACTCCCGTCCGTGGTGTCGAGACCTTCAGATACTCGTAGGTCTTCTCTGTCGCCGCAGTGCTGGAGTAGCAGACTTTGAGCGGTTGCATGAATTGGCCATATTGCCGGACACAAGGCCTTGCTATCCGTGAGGCGAGCATGTTGGTCGAGTGTAGTATGAAGACAGCACTTTGGCCTGCTGAGCTACAACTATCATCACCAAAAGCTCCAATGCGTCTCGACAGCTCGACAGCCGAGGAAGTGGAAAAACGGCCCGGGCTCCTCCTTTGAGTATAGTGCCAGTTGATGCCCGTTGATCCCTGACAGCACGCGGTGCACGGCCTCCTTCCGACGGCCGCCACGAATTTGAAGGTTGAGGAAAGTAGACGTGGCTTCCACATTCACTACGCCCACCTCTCCCCTCTCTCTGCCACTATCCCCGAGGACACTCCCGACGATACCGCTCGTACCGCGCGCGACTCTCTTAACACACTCACTGGGCATATCGAAGCGCACTTCCATCATGGATGCGCCAGAGCCAGACACTCCCTTTGCGGCCGTGTCGGCGCAGACGACCAAGATCTCGAGGGTAGGTCAACATCCAAGCAAACGGCAATGCTAGGCGCATGGCGACGCGGTCCTCGAAGAGCGTACAACACCGTAGCTAACGCGCCGCGACCAGATATACCAATCCTACCTTGACAAGGCGACACCCTACGTAACATACCGATGGATAGGCACGGGGGTGCTGTTCGTCATGTTCGCTCTGCGCATCATCTTCGCGCAAGGCTGGTACATCGGTACGTCACTTCTACCACGTCCCCCCCCCGCGCAGTAGAGAATCTCCAGCTAACGGAAATCTGCTCAGTCGCCTACTCCCTCGGCATCTACCTCCTCAATCTCTTCCTTGCCTTCATCAGCCCCAAATTCGACCCCTCCCTCGAATCCGACACCGACATGGAAGACGGCCAGCCCTCCTCACTCCCCACCAAAAACGACCAAGAATTCAAGCCCTTCGTACGACGTCTGCCCGAGTTCAAGTTTTGGCACGCAGCGACACGCGCGATCGCGCTGGGGTTCGTGTGCTGTTGGAGCGAGGTGTTCAATCTGCCGGTGTTCTGGCCGGTGCTGGTGGTGTATTGGTTGATTCTAGTGTTCTTGACCATGAGGAGGCAGATACAGAGTATGATCAAGTATAGGTGAGTCCAAGGTGCCGAGACTCGACTGGAGTCTTGAAGAGAGTGCTAACAACATACTACTAGATATGTGCCATGGGATTTCGGGAAGACGAAGTACTCTGCCAAATGAGCTGCGGTTAGCCTGCGAGCACTTGTAGCAGAGCATGTACTGTACGAATAGTCCACGCATTCTAGACAGCAAGCGAACCATTATTTGCAAATTCAAGCTCGGGTGCAGAGCGCTTGTCGAGGGGTCTTGAGCCGACCGGAAGTCCTCTATCGAGCATTGGAACAGGCTGCATGCAACGAGGCAGGATGTGATGGAAAAGGGCAACGGCAGGCAAGAGTGCGCGTATGCCATCTCTAAAAGGCTCCATGAGGATAAGTCTCCAAGCGCATTAGTTTGGCAGCTTCACGCTGCTCTATAAATGCCGGTGTTACGGGAGGTAGCTCGTTGTCTGTATGTCATGGTAGCATCACGTGATCAATTCTCAACCTCACTCCTTGGCTTCCTCTGTCTACTCTCCACAACGTGCATTGTCCTCCACCATCTAGTAGAAATGTCGTCTCGAGCACTTCCCTTCGTGCGTTCAGTATGGCAATCGTTTCTGAAAGACTCGGGACTGGAACCTAGGTACGCTGCTCGTACCTCGAATACATAACATTGGCGTATCACAGAACTAACACTGTTGTAGATTGCTTAACAGCGTAAGCCAATCTGCCGGCTCTGGGTCTACGGGAGTATTTCACTGAGTACCGATAGCTGCGAGTCACAGCCGCCAAACCAGGTGTAGTCAACTTCGAGCTCGATATCCAGAAAGAACACACGGTCCGTATTGTGGACTCCATTGACCAACCCGTAACCGGACCAATGGTTGACTGATATGTGCTATCACAGAACCGCCTCAACATCCTCCACGGCGGCACCCTAGCATGTATGACCGACCTCGGCGGCTCGCTGGCAGTAGCATCGCGAGGGCTGTCTGCTACAGGCGTGTCTACTGATCTGAGCGGTAAGAACGACATGAACGCTAATGATAGACGCGGGACGGAAGTGCTGATGATTGTGTGCTGTAGTAACTTATCTCGCCTCTGGCGGTAAAGTCGGTGATCTTCTGAGAGCGGAGGTTGTGTGCGATAAGTGTAAGCCAGTTATACCAGAGGCATGTCAAACTATTGGCTGATAGGTAGATGCGGCAGTTGGCAAAACAATGGCGTTCACCTCGATACGCTTCACCAACGTGCGGGACGAGCTGGTGGCGAGAGGGAGTCACACCAAGTCAGTCCATCCGTCTGACTCCTTCACTGACTTCAGGCTGATGACCACAGGTACATTGCCACGGCCTGGAAGGACCCGAACAACATCACCGACGAGCTGAAACCCGAGAAACCTTGACCAGCATGGATGCATCTTCTTGCACATCGTACACTTGTACATATAAACACACAAATACACCGCCATCGAAGCGGCTACTCGGCCATTTCATCTCCATCGCCATCCACCTCCGCATCCTGCATCTCTGCGCCAGCGGCCTCTTCGCCTTCATCCTCCTCCTCCACCCTCCCCTCCTCCTTCACAACCACAGGCGGCAGCATGCCCTTCCCACGCTTAAGATCCTCAACTTTCGCCTTCGTCATCTCAGCCACATACTGCCCCAAATGCTCCACGCCCTCCATCTCCACACTCTCCACCTCATCCTCCACGCCCCTCTGACACGGCCACATTTCGCCGACCACAAGCTTCAACTTCTCCCCTCTCTCCCAGAACCGCGCAAAGCCTTCTCGCAGCTCGAGACTGCCGTCGAAGACCTCCTTCCGTCCGAGCACATACAGCCCCAACCGCGCCCTCGACAACGCGACGGTCAAGCGGCGGAGATCGCGCAAAAAGCCTGGTGACTTAGTCCGGACGAGAGAGAGGATGACGTAATCATTCTGCTCCCCCTGATACTTATCCACCGTGCCCACCCAACCAGGCATCCCGAACAGCCTGTTGCCCTTGCATCGATGCTCCAGCACATCCCTGATCAGCGCCCTCTGGCCCGCATACGCGGTCAAAATGGTGATGCGCTCAGCAGGGTACCCAAGCAAACGCATGTACTGGTACAACGCAACTGCATACTCCGCTTCACCAAGATTCTGCACGAAATGCGGAGTGGGTTCTGTTTCGCCTTGGCCTTTGTAGTCGGGGACGGAGATGAATTGGTATTCGTGCCGTAGGCCAGCGTTCGCGGTCGTGAATTCGGGCGCGGTGGAGGTGAAGGGTAGGTTCGTGAGGCGCGGGTATCGCCATTTGTAAAGCTCCGCGATGCTGGGTCGCGAGCGACCTTGGGCGTCGAGGACGGTGTGCGGGACACCGAGACGGATGAGGCGGTGGAAGAGGGATTGAGCTAGGTTGGCATAGTCGCGGGAGGCGGGGGAGTGGATGACGGGGGCGTTTTGCAGGTGGTCGCCTACTAGGAAAATGCGTTGGAGTGGGTTCGATGGTGGACTATCTGGCGAGGTCTGGCGAGGTTTCTGTAGCATGAAGGGCAGGAAAGCTTCGATTTCGGTGACTTGGGCAGATTCTTCCATGACCACGTTGTCGTAGCGGAACCCCAGGGCAGCGATCTCTTGCCGGCGCATTGCGGCGTGGGTGGAGGTCATCGCGATGACGCGAGCTTCTTTCACTAGGAGGTAGTTGGACTTGTCGCGCTGGCTGCGGAGAATTTCGAAGGGTCGGATGTCCGCTAGTTCGTCGAACATGTGTCTGATGTGCCTTTCGCAGCCTTTCGCAATTTCGATAGCTTCCTCCTTGTTGGTCGCAAGCCGGAACAACGGTGCTGGAGTATCGGAGAAGAAGTCGTGGAGAGGGAACTTCTCTACTACATCTTCCTTCGTCCCATTCTGGGCAACATCGTCCCAGTAGCGTTTCCACAGTGGCCCGACGTAGACTTGGTCGAAGTACTGCGCTGTCTCGCAGCTGCTTCCATGAGCGCCCGGCGCGCCAATAGAAGCTGCCAGTCTTTGCACTTCTGCCAGATACTGTGCGCCCCGTTCCATGAACGAGTCCACTCGTCCGACCTTGCTGAAACTGGTGTCGGTACGGAGGTCCTCCTCACCATGGCCAAGCCGGAGCAGATGTCGCTCGTCGATGTCGAGAGCGGCGATCTTTTGGAAAAGCTGATTGAGCGCTTGATTGGAGTGAGCGATGAGCAGCGTGCGCTGTTGCGGAAAGTTGTGATAGATATTGTTGATGACCTGTGTAGCAACGTCGGTTTTGCCAGTCCCAGGTGGTCCGACAATGAGTGTCAGGCCAGGCTGGGTACCTGAGGTGATGGCCTCAGTTTGTGCTGGGGTGAAGCGGACGGTGTTGACCTTGGGAGCATCTGTCGGATAAGGGCCTGTGTTTGGAGGCTTGTACGTGGAAACTTTGTATGTCTCAACGGCCTGCGCGGGCTCAGGACCGTCTGGCTGATCTCTTCTTCGCTTCTTCCCCGACTTTGACGCTGGCACAGCCGTGGTACCGGTGCTTTCGAGCACATAAGGAGGTGAGAAGCTAGCTTCAGCATCCGCATCTGGCTCCAGGACATTGCCAGCAGTTGACTCTATCAGGTGCTGCCAGTCCAGAAACGTATCGCGGTAGTCTATCCTCTTCGATCGGTTGGGGAGCCGCTTGTATGAAGCTGACGCTGGATCGCCAAAGCCAAGGAAAACATCCTGCAACCAGCTTGGGATAGGTGCATCCGAAAGCACGAGCTGTCGGATACTATCGAGCACAGCCTTGAAGTTATTCTCGCGTGCTCTTCTCCTCACGATCAGGTTGATGCTCTCATACACATCTCCCCTCCCTGCATCTGACCGCGCTTTATCCTTTTTGTACTCTGCTGTGTCGAGCCTCAACATTAAACGCCTCTGTCGCGGACGCGCAAGGCCGTCGACCTCATCCCGCGCCTCTTGATCCCGTCTCAGTACCCTTCCGTTCTCGTCGAGCACATTGATGACTTCAGCGCACCGCAGAGCTTTCAAGCCTACTTTCTCAGCTCCAGGATCATGCTTGTGTCCATTCGTAAGTCTCTTGTTTGTCTCTGCCGGATTAACCGCGAGCAAGAAAACGACGTCATCTGGCCTCAGCGACTCCCATTCCCTTCTCAGACCCGGCTGTAGCCTGCTGACGTCCAGCACAATCTCACTGCGCACTTCAGCAGGATCGTCCTCACCTACCCTCGGGGGTGATGTGTCGATGATGGCAGGTCTGCCAATGGGGATTGCCATCTTCGAAAACCCATCGAATCGGGTATTCCCACCTTGCGATCTTGGCTGTAGTCGCTTGATGGTGTCTTCGACATGTTTCCGTACCTCGAAGAATGCCTCGTTTCTGTAGAGCGTGAAAGATCGCCAAAGCAGATCGCCGAGTGTAAGGTACTGCAGGTTCAGCTTAGGTAGCGCCAGAGGCCGGGAGCCATTGTACTCGTCTGCTCGTAGTAAAGACTGGTCATAGATCGTGTGCTCGGTGGGCAAGACTGGTCGCTCGTGTTGTACTTTGTCGGCATAGAAAGGCTTGCGTTCTATATGTGATGCGAGCACGTCCAGCAGAAACGGCCGGTCCTGCACTACGAGACTCCTGTCTGGGTACGCTGTCCTGATTGCAAGGTGCTGGCACATCTCGGCCAGCTCTAGATCAGTCATAGCCTCCAGATGGCTTACCAGCTCCTCACGCTGCCCCAGCGAGCCGAAATTTGCCAGTACCAGGATTTTCAGCTTTTCCGGGTGGAGTGTCAGAGCAACCTTCTGTAATCGCGATATTCGAGCATTGTGCGCTTCGTCGAACTGCTGCCTGCTGAGCTGCTTTCCAGTGTTGTCATCCACGGGGAAGTATATGTAGTGCGAGAGCAGCTGATACATGTCTCTCACCAGCGCATCCTCGCTGGAGTCGTCATAAAGTGCGGACAGCCGTATCGCAGGAAGCAAATTGAGGTCTTGAAGCAGTGTGTTGACATACCGCCTGGTCGGTAACTGCGACTCCAGATCGCACAAAAACTCAAGAAAGCGCTCACAGTAGAGCATGTTGTCCTGCTTCTGGTCCGCATTCAGATCCTGCTCGTATAGCTTGTCCAGGAAATTCAGCAGTAGCGTATACAGCCAGCTTCTCTCAAATCGCAGCCTGCCCTGTCCCGCCGAATCTGCGTTGTCGTACTTCTTCCCTGCCGCCCGCCATGCCTTTTGAGGTTGCGCGCTCTTAGCTAGGTGTTGCTCCCTTGCACTGGCACTGTGCAGATTATGCCATATGCCAATTGACACCAGCGGCGCGCACTCCTTTCGCACCAGTCCGCTATCAAGGCTCTGGAACGCGCCAATGAGGAAGACCAGAAGCTGCATCCGCACCCTGGTTGACAGCGACTTGTCCACACTGAGTGACAAGACCCGCCTGAAGAAGCTCGAGAACTCATCCGGCTTCTCAGCGAACAACTGCCATACAGGGAGGTGCTCCTGGCGCTTCACATTCACCAGCAGCGCAAGAAGCAAGACGTGATGATTCGAGGCATCGTCGGTGTATCCAGGCCAAAGATATCGTTCCAAGGTCTGCAACTGCTCAAGGAGTAGGAGTGAGAAGTATGAGAAGTCCTCGCCCTCCAGGTGGTCCCATATCTCGCGCTCGACAACCTCCGGAAGGACTTTCTGAGGTGCTGCAGTCAACCAGTTCGCTCGTGCTACGCTCGCATAGTGATTGTCGCCGGTGAGGTCTGCTATCGTCGGTCGCCCACTCGGGCCAGCTTCGCGATCCATTTCCGCACCATCGAGTCGTTCTCGTGGTTATTTTGTGTCGTGAAGTCCGTCCACTCTCGAGGTCCAGTCGCGTTGCGTTTCAACTTTTCTGAAGCTCTCGTCTCCAGATTGTGGCTGGTGGCTGGTGCCGTGGCTTCACCGAGAGCTCCGCTCCGCAACACCACCTCCACCAAGACGAGCCCAGGAACGAAGATACCACCTGCTTCTACAGCCATTGGCCAGCCTCACGCCCAACATGGCCACCGAACGCCCAGCAGAAGTCACGAGCGTCACCGAATACTCCGAGCTGGGCCAGACGAACAAGCCCTACGTGCCAGCCAAAGGCCTCAACACAGACTATCCCGTATGTCACTTCATAATGCTATACCCACCCAGTGCACAAGCTGACGTAGCATATTACACCAGCTCATCGACTCCGACCCTCACTTCAAGCGCGTCATCTCCTATGCCCGCCCCTCCGACTACCTAGCGGGCGGCGCCTGCCTCGCCGCCGGCCCCTCCTTCATGCTCTGGTTAGAGAAGGTCTCACCCTCCGAAGTCTCCCGCCCTGGCTTCAGCAGCATCATGCGTCTCTCCGGCGGCGTGGGCCTGGCTGCCGGCTTCCTGCTCATGTACCAGCGCAGCACCATGCGCTTCTACGGCGTCTCTGAGAACCGAAGGGAGATTGATATGGATATGCGCGAGATGACGGATAAGGTGAAGAGGGGAGAGCCGCTGTATGGTGTGAGCACAATGACGGAGTATATGCAGGGGGTGGCGAGTCGGCAGAGCAGGTATAGTGGGTTCTGGCTGCATGTGGTGCCGTGGTTCAATTTTGTGAATCACAGCCAGCACGGCGTGGACACGGCAAAGTACTACCGGAATGCGGAGAGGGAGCTGGAGGCGGAGAAGACCGGTGCGTAGGTGCGCAAAGGTGGCAAATGCGTGTATACATTTATCTGACAGTGTCCAATTGACCACCAAAAAAAATCCTACAGCTGAGTACAGGTCTAAGTGACTACCTTCTGTTGTCGTTACCAGTGCTCCTCCTAGCCGTCGAGAGGAAGGCATCGCAAAAGAGAACCACGTAGAATGAAAACGCTCACTGGAGAGCTTTATACTGTTATTGGTATACTGTACAATCTAAACTGTAGTCCTTTCCAGGTCCGTGATGCCTCACAACGTCTCAATGCGAGCAAGGGAGGCTCTTCGAAGCCTAACAACACCTACCCTGCTTCACACCCTTTGCAGCATCGTCATTAACCTCCGTATCATCGCTGTAGCTCGTCAACGCCCCAGGCGTAATGGCCCCAAGCCAGCTTCTCCTCTTATCGCCGTAGCCCACTCTAAAGGACCCATTCCCACCCTTGGGCAGATCAAAGTAGCCATCTCCGCCCTCAACACCGGGAGTTTTGCCTCGCATGTTCAAGTTCTCGAGCAACTTCAAATGCTCCAGCTTCCGATGGTGCTGCTCAACCAACTTCCGCGTGATGATCCTGAAAACCTCTTCAATGCCCTCCCCATCCTTCGCGCTGACCTCATGCGCACAATCCCAGATATGCTCCTGTCCCCAGTACTCCGAAGACCGATTGCTCGTCGGGCTCATCTGAGTCGCAGCCGTGCTCTGCGGACCCCAGGATCCAGCCACTACAGGCGCCGCTGTAGCCGTCCTCCCGTCGAGATGTTCCGCGACATAGTTCATTGACCATTCGAAGGGGACTTCCCTCCTCTCCGGCTGCGCGGTAGCCACATCCGCCTTCGTGCCCACGACCTGTACAATGATATCCCCGCCGCAGTTGTCCTTCAATTCCTTCATCCAAACACCGACATCATCGAAGCTCTTCTTGGAAGTCACGTCGTAGCAGAGGATCGCGGCCTGCGCGCCTCTATAGTACAATCTCGAGATCGAGCGGAAGCGCTCTTGGCCTGCTGTATCCCATATCTGCAAGCGGATTTGTGATCCAGTCTCCGGGTCTTTCAAGGTGGAGATCGTGAAGGACGCGCCGACGGTGGACTGGGCTTTACTGGGTGGTATGAAGGCACTCTTGACATGCCGGTGCACAAGCGATGTCTTGCCTACGCCTTGCGAGCCGAGGACCACGAGCTTCGCTTCCAGTGATTCGGGTGATGTGGAGGTCATCGCTTGGAATGTTTAGTTTGGGTCATGGCTGGCCTTTCATGGCGTTTTGAGGTCGTGGTTTCTCTGCGGATGTGGACAAAGCGAATGACTGTTGTTGATGAAGGAAGAGACTCATGGAGGAGTCGTCACGGTGATGTGATTGCAGGTAGGTAGCCGACAACAAGATACGACGCCCACCACTGCCTCCACCCCACGACAACTGAAAAAAGCAAAAGCAAAGCAAATATCGATCAAGTGATACAGAATCAGCGGACTAAGTAGGATATGGGGCGGGTTATATGCACCCCAGCAGAAATGTTACGCCACCGGCATCACAACATTGAAGCTTCTGGCTGGCTGAACGACGGACTTGGATTCTCGATCGCATGGGCGCTGAATGATTGTGAGAAGTTGAATTTTGTACTAGCAGACTCACAGAACGGATCATCTGGCCGACGGCATTGCAATGAATTCAGATGCGTACGCCCACTAATTACAATCTAGCCCTGCTCAACTCCTTCGCTATTGCCTCCTTCACCCGTTGCACAGGCAGATCTTCAAGACTTCTTCCAGTCCAACACCTCGCCTGCTCAAAGCCTTGATATATCATGGCTTCAGTACCCAGGATAACTTCCCACCCAGCCTTCTTCGACAGTTCGGCAATCTCTGTCCACACGACAGGGTGATAGCACATCTCCAACATCGCTCCTTGATGAGGCTTGCTGAGGAAGCACTCCAATATTCGCCTCGCCTCCCATTCAGCGTCGGTAACAGGTGGGAAGTTTGGCACGCACGCCACGGCAGCACCAGGGCCTTCAAGTGCCTCCGCCTGCGCTACGGTCGACACGTGGATGAGACCGTCGCCATAGCCTTGCGATTTGCACCAGGACATCACGGCTTCGACTTCGCTTGCGTCGCGGTTCACGAGGTAGACAGTCTTGCAGCCAAGATATTCGACAAGTGCATAGACAGCTGACCGTGCGGCTCCGCCTCCGCCCACGACAAGGCCTGGTCGATTTCGAAATCTGCTTTCGGGTACGTTCTGTAGGAAGCTTTCACGTACGCCAGCTATGTCGGTGTTGGTCCCGATGAGTTTGGAGTCGCGCCAGTAGACGGTGTTGCACGCTCCCACGGCTCGACATTCAGGAGTTAGATCGTCGAGATGTGGTATTATGGCTATCTTGTTTGGCATGGTGACTCCGGAGCCTAAGATCTATTAGCATTGGCTGTTCGTGAGGGGTGGATTGTCACCTACCATAACATCTTGAGTTTCGGATTAAAGAAAGGAACTGCTGGACGTCTGTGGAAGGAAGAAGGAAGTAGTCCCAGTTCAGGCTTAATGATTCAAAGATGGTTTGATGCAGCAACGGTGATAGTGAATGTGCGATCGGGTAGCCAAATAGGTAGCCCTGGCCGTCGAGATGGTCTGTCTTTGGTGGCTGGCATGTGATGATGCCGTTGGTGGTAGCCGTGGCCATGTCCAACGAGTGGGCTATGCTTTCTTTGAGAGGTAATAATTGGGTCTTGAGCCGAAGGCAAAGGCAATAAGAGTATGTTGTGTTTGCAAGTGAGTGAAAGTTTCACTAAATTGGTATTGTTGAAGGGGTGAGGGAGAGCAGACGAAAAGTACTTGCTAATGCTGAGCGGCAGGTTGTCATAGGAGGTAGCATACTTCTGCACATACAATCACTTGGTCGGCTCAATGAAGGCAGCACGCACAAGCACCTAGCACGAGGTGTGGATGAGATGGGCCTGTCCGTCATCGAGCGCGTTGTGTCTTTCTCCGCGAAAACGAGACAACCAGGATGAGAGAAGGCGAGCGAGCTTCGACCGGAAGAACGCTCTTCCACGCTTTGACGGCGCTGCACTACACCCCCTCATTCGCCGTAGCGATCTACAGAAACCTTGCTGGAACATCCACATGCCTTTGAGTTCATCTCGCTACGCCGTGGAAGCACCGGCACGTTCTGGGCATGGCTGATGCTCGTCTGATCTCGAGGCAGAGTCTTCCTCCGGGGTACGTACTGTAGCTCCTTCTCGTACCCCATGGAGTGGTTGTGGGATAGATCATTATAAGACCTGCTCTCCGCATCGTCATTGTCTGCGTTCTCGAGACTCTAGACTGGTGTTCTCTGTCCACTACTCGACGAGCACCTCAACAGATACCCCAATACCATGGGCCTCTTCACGCTTGTCGAGGACAGGCCGACGCCGAAGGCGGTATACAACTGGAGAGTATGGGCCTGCGCGTCCATCGCCTCCTTCGCATCATGCATGGTACGTGGGCTCAGAGATATTTCGATGTATCTATACTGACAGCCACAGATTGGATATGACTCCGCCTTCATTGGAACCACTCTGGCCCTGCCCTCCTTCACGGAAGAATTCAGATTCGATGAGATGACCGACAGCCACCTTGCTCTGACGAAAGCGAACATCGTCTCCGTCTACCAAGCAGGTGCTTTCTTCGGCGCCCTTTCAGCTTACGTTTCGGCATACTTTGTCGGCCGCAAGAAGTCGCTATGGGTCTTTGTTGCCGTATTCACCCTCGGTGCTGGTATGATGCTGGGCGCGAATGGTGACCGAGGGCTCGGCCTTATCTACGGCGGCAGAGTTCTAGCTGGCATGGGAGTGGGCGGCTGCTCGATGGTTGTCCCGATTTACATCTCTGAGATCTCCCCACCAGCTGTGAGGGGTGCTTTGGTCGGCATATACGAGTTGGGATGGCAGGTTGGTGGTCTTGTCGGTTTCTGGGTGAGTATCCGCATGGACACGCTAGTTTCTGGTCGTAGCTGACGGAATCTAGATCAACTATGGACTCGATTCGACCATGGCGCCAAGTCATAAGCAATGGATCATACCTTTTGCTGTCCAACTCATCCCGGCTGGTCTCCTCTTTATCGGCAGTTTTTGGATTAGAGAGTCGCCCAGGTGGCTCATGTCCAAGGGCAAGCGCGATCGAGCAGTCAAGAACCTCTGCTGGATACGGAACCTATCTTCAGACGACATATACATTGTGGAGGAGGTTGCTTTCCTCGACGCCGCCCTTGAGGAGCAAGCTGGAGCGATTGGGAGCGGGTTCTGGAAACCGTTCAAGGCTGTGGGAAAGAGCAGGCAGGTGCAATGGCGTCTCTTCTTGGGTACCATGCTGTTCCTGTGGCAGAATGGCAGCGGGATCAACGCGTGAGTCACACCAATTCGGCCTGTATCGAAGTCTTGCTGACAGCCGCTTGCAGCATCAACTACTACTCGCCCACTGTCTTTGCTTCCATCGGCATCACAGGCACCAACACCTCGTTCCTGACGACTGGTCTGTTTGGTGTGGTCAAGACATGTCTCACCTTCGTCTGGCTGTTCGTCCTGATCGACCGACTGGGACGGAGAAAGCTACTGATGATTGGGTCTGCTGGCGGTTCCGTTTGCATGTGGATCATTGTGAGTCTGAGCAGCCCGTGCTCTCCTTTCTGTTGCTGACAATATGTCAGGGCGGCTACCTTGCATCCATCAAGCTCAGGACCGACACAGACGTCAGCAAGCCTCTGAGCTCCGGCGGTATCGCCGCAGTGTTCTTCTTCTATCTCTGGACTGCCGTAAGTTCCCCTTTTCGCCATCATTTCAACCACATAACTGACGACTGTAGTTCTACACTCCTTCTTGGAATGGTACACCCTGGGTCTTGAACTCCGAGATGTTTGACCAGAGCGTCAGAGCCCTTGGACAATGCTCGGCCGCCGCTTCGAACTGGTTCTGGAACTTCATCATCTCTCGCTTTACGCCGCAAATGTTTTTGAACATGGGCAAGAACGGATGCGGTGTTTACTTCTTCTTCGCCTCGATGATGCTGGGATCGATTGTCTTCGTGTATTTCCTAATTCCAGAAACCAAAGGCATCCCTCTGGAATCCATGGACCGACTGTTCGAAGTCAAGCCGGTCCGGAAGGCACATTCCACGATCCACGCGGAGGACGCTGCGAGAGACGAAGAGTTCAGACACGATGCCGACGGTGCTGGCTTGAGCGTCACCAAGGATAAGTCGGCGCACCTTGAAGAAAAAAGGATGGAAGTATGAAGTACTCTATACTAGGTTGATGAGGCTTTGGAGGAACTGAATGACACAGTTCGGCGAAAGTGTAATATCGTACGTAGCAAGAGTCGATCAGTTGAACTGGCTTTGTTGAGGAATTTGCCGTCAGACCAGAGCACTTCCGATTATCCAAGCATAATCAAGCATAATCTTTCCAAGGTAAAGTGTCAAAAGCTGTCGGTGACATGCTAAGCTACAATATCGACCGGCATAGCCTCAGCCATCGACCTCTTAATCGCTTCGCAGACGCTCAAGGCTCGAAGACCGTCAGCACCACTACACCTTGGTCGGGCTCCGCCCCTAATAACATCCACAAAATGTAGCATCTGATCGTCAAACGGGACAATATCCTCGACAGGCAGTACTGCATCCGACAATGGACTGGTCCAACTCTTCTGAGCCGACGATGTATGCCTCGAAAGAGTCATGTCGCCAACGCTAAGACTGCCTTCCGTCCCGAAGATACGATAGCAGTCTGCTCCTGCTCGAGGAATGATTGGGTTCTCTCCGGTGGAGCTCTCGAAGTTGTGTTTTGATGCCGTTGAATCACACATCACGAATGTGCCTACGACCCCGGAAGCAAAGCGTAGTACGATAGCTGCACCTTCCTCGGCCTCGTGTCCTCGTTGAGAAAGTGTTTGCTCGGCGTGGACTCTTATGATGGGTCCGAGGAGATATTGGAGGGTGTCTACTTCGTGGATCATATTCTGCTATGTAGTTAGCGGTCTTCTATGGAGGGCATTCAAACAGCCATGGATCACTTACTATGAGGATCACTCCTCCGCCTGCAGCGCTTGCTCTCCAATCTGTCGGAGGCTCAAAGTACCCTGCTGGCTTACGCAACATCCACAGACCCGAAACCGCTACAGGCATTCCAGTATGCCCTCTATCCAGTGCTCGCTTCGTAGCAGTAACGTATGCGTTAAAGCGGCGATGATGGCCAACGAGCAACCGCCTACCGCACGCTTCCGCATGGTTGACAAGGCCCTGTCCTGACGACGAATCCACCGAGATGGGCTTCTCAACCAGCACATGCACACCAGCGGACAACAACTCCTTGGCCACGGCCACGTGAGTACTGTTGGGCGTGCTTACGACTGCGCCATCCGGTTTGCATTCTTGGAGCATTGCCGCCACTGATTCGAACAGAGGCACATTGAACGCTTCTGCTTCCTGCCTTGCTACGAAGACCGGGTCAACGAGACACAGGAGGTTTGCCTGTTCACAGGCCACTACGGACTGTGCATGGCGGAGCCCTATGACACCAGCCCCTATAATGGCGATTTTGGCTTTTCGAGATGATTGAGATATAGCCATAATGCGTCGGTATAATTAAGGGTAGTGTAAGTCAGGTAGATATCGAGTCTCGAAGTGGAATCAATCAACCTTGTGAGACCTACCTTCTGTCATTCAGCGGTGGTGGAAGTAGCTCCTTGGATACCGGCGCCGCCGGTATGCTTGCTGTGTGTCACGAAAGCAAGGCAGATGGCTCAGCAGTACGTCGGTTGGAGTCGAGAGGCGAGCACGAAGACGCACATCCGCAGAAGCCGATGATGTGGTAAATGTTCTGCCGACTCCTAAACTTTCATCACTCTTTCCGCATCTGGCAAGACTGACCTCGTCTACATTCTCCAGCTGACGGGTGGTGATGCGGAACCATACGAGTGGCTGTATAAGTCTCAATTTGTCGTGAAACATTCACGAGCAAGTCTCACTTATTACCATCGCCCAAAAACTTCGCCCCTACTCTCACTACCTCGATCGATCAATACATTTTACGTTCGCCAACATGTCGTGCCGCCCTGCGATCTCGTCACACTCTCTGGGCCGGGCCTGGGTGCACAATATAGAGACCAAGCTTGATCAAGCTGCTCGCTATGGTTTTGACATCGAGATGTTCTACGAAGACCTCCAGTACCTCGCCCAAACGCTCGAAGGAGGTCCAACGGCCGACAATCAGCTGCAGGCCGCAACGATGATCCGTGCGATGTGTGACGACCGGAATATTGCAATCGTGTGTCTGCAACCATTCATGCACTACGAAGGCCTCCGCGATCGAGTAGCGCACCAGGACCGTGTCGATGAGATGAAATCGTGGATCAAACTGGCTCAAGCACTCAAAACCAGCATTATCTCGATCCCTTCCACATGTCTATCCTCCGACGATGTCAGCGGAGACATCGAACTCGTCGTAAGCGACATGCGAGAAGTCGCAGATCTTGCGGCGCCGGAAAACATCCAGATCGCATACGAAAGCCTTGCCTGGGGCACGCATGTGGACACGTGGGAGCAGTCGTGGGAAGTGGTTGAGAAGGTTGATCGACCGAACTTTGGTATCTGTCTTGACACCTTCAACATCGCTGCGAGGGTTTACGCAGATCCGACGGCGGCTTCCAGGCGGAATGTAGATGCAGAACAGCGTATGCAAGCTTCGCTTGACAAGATGACTCAGACGATCGATGCTCGGAAGATCACCTATGTTCAAGTGGTGGATGCCGAGTACCTCCAACAGCCTCTCGTCGACGGCCATCCATACTATCGATTCGACCAGCCTGCTCGGATGTCCTGGTCGCGAAACTGCAGACTGTTTTATGGGGAGAAGGATCGAGGTGCATACCTTCCCATCAAGGATATCCTGGGTGTGATACTGAACGATCTTGGCTTTCGAGGATGGATCAGTGCTGAAATGTTCAATGAGAGTCTCACTGATCCCAGTGAGCTGGTGCCGGAGCAGCATGCGCAACGAGCAGCAGACTCGTGGCGCATGATCGTGGAAGACTTCGATCTTGGATCATCCATGGTCCACCGTCCTGAAGGCCCGCCAAGAACGACATCTCAGCGGGCATACCTTTAGAGGAATTGTGCCTGAACGGTAAAAATCAGACAGCGTCCAACACCTGCCACGGAGTGTCGTGCAAACGAATTATTGTTCAGTCCATCCCTTGGTGGAAAGGCTCGCATCGGCCGGTCAGATGTACTGAACATGTTCTGTGCTGAGCGTTCATGTGCGACCCGTTTGGTAATCAGGCCCGAAGAACTCGGCCAAATCTAGATCAGGGAAGCCAAGGTTCTGCATGAAGTGCGGGTGATGAGCCGACTCTTGTCGTTCTAGCGTCGCCAGCTCGTCAAACACGTCCATAGCGGCATTCTGACCTCCAGCAGGCGTATTTGATTGCTGAAGTGGGCTTTGGAACATCGGCCAGAACATGTTAGTTTCGGTCTGATCCAGACCGGTCATTGGTTGGTCGCTTTCGTTCGGCATGGTCATGAAAGGGTAGCTCTGCCTAGGGACTGGCTGGAGATTGATATCTTGTGGCTCAGGAGGAAAGTTGTCAGGTAGCGACCAAGCTGGGTTGAGGTCTGGCCGAGTATTCGACGTCCAACCCAAACCCTTTCTCTCCATGGTTTTGTAATAGACTGTCACGATTTCGGATGGCTGCACTCTTCCTTGTTTCGAGGCAGCATTGCGGAGCAGTGTTGTCACGATGCACTCGTCTGTGTTGTCTGTGGCGTTGTTGTGAACTCCAGCCGACTTATCGTCTTCAATCAATCGAGAATAATATCTGACAAGCTCGTTCAGAGTGCTGAATGCTCTTGTTGGGATCTTTGCCTCAGTCCCGAGGCCGGGAGGTACGAGTGGATCAGACCATGGCTCCCATTCATCCAGACCGTCTTCGTCGATCGACCCTATTCCTCTGATGTAGTCAGTCGTGAAGTGTCCGACAGTCTTCAACCGTCGAGCAAGAGCGCTCTCCAAGACAAATGCTGTCAGATGAACGTGTCGACACCATCTTGCTGTCTGTCCCAGATTTTGAAGAAGCCGAAACAGGTGGAGCAAGCGTACGACTGACCCTAGTCGTAGCCAAGCCGATAGAAGCTGGAACCGATGTAAATCATCCACAGCTCTAAGCATGAGTGCCCTGATGTGAGGGACTTCATAAGGAGAATTTCCGCAAGGCAGGAGACTGTCAGCGTTACGGCGTATCTGCTCGATTGCATCTGAGGCAGTGTTGTCGGTTGTCTGGGTTGCTGCAAGAGCCATCACGCTCCACAGTTCGGCGTGATCAGCGCTGTTGATTGGCCCAAGAGGTAGGCCGTCCGATGGGTATGAGTACATGATCTTCAGAAGAGTGGCCTTCTCGGTCATGGGTAGCCATGAGTGGGTAAAAGCAAAGTAGTATTCAAGCAATGAGAACGCATTGTGAGGTAGCTTGTACATAGTTGTACCGGTAGCGATGGTCGCTCTTGAGGTCCCCGGTTGAAGGCAATGAGCGCCGTCCAGATTCCCGTTCTCAATCGCGTGCTGGGGCTGCCGCTGCTCAGGAGGACCTGGGAGTGGTGGAGATGAGAGGGTGGTAAACCCATCTGTGGAGTCTCTGGAGCTTCTGGATGTAGATGCGCCTACACCAGAGATGAGGTTACCCTCTTCGTCCACCGCCGCTCCGGAGAGGACTTGCTCAAGTTGCTTGTTGATCAAGCATTGTCGCCATGAAAGATGGAGCTCCTCCGTAGTGGCGGGATCCTTGCTTCCTATGAGGCATCGTACGCTACTGTCCTCCTTCGGAAGACCGTTCGAGAGCGAATGTTCTGCTTCCGGGAACTGTTGGAAGAGCCATGCTAACGTTACCTCCAGGGTCCGGATATAATTTGGCTGGATTCCACGTTTCCGGGGCTGGTCGTTGTATGAGCACGTCCGCTGTTGTGAGCTACAGGTGTTGCAAACAGGCTGAGCGCCGTCACAGCGTTCTCTGCTCGCCCTACACTGATCGCAAGCACGTGAGACTCGTGAGCGTTTGGCTGGTCGATTGTGATCATCGTCCCCAGCACGTTTGGAGGGCCGTGAAGTGTCGCCGCTCTCCTTCCTGTTCACCATTGGGCCCTTGGTCTGTCATGTCATCGGCGACACCATTTTCGATGGGCAAGATCTTTTCCACAGTCGTCCTGCCTGATGAGTAACACCGCCACGGTCGTTGGGTGAAGTGCGGAGTAACACACGTGGAGACGGGCTTGGGCGGGGCGGCTGAACCTTCTTCCGGCCTTTCCATCCGATCCCCGGGAGACGTCACGTCCTGCGTCGTTGTCCAACATCGATGTAGATGGTCTTGCTGAGTCGTCACCGGCCTAGACTTGGCCAACAGCAACGAGGATGGCGGCCATACACGCCGGGATGAAGCGCTCTTACCAGGATATGAGCGGGTTGTCTGCGACAAGCGCACGGAAGACTGGTCCAGGTCCGTCTCGGGGAGACTCGCCGTTGATTTCGAGGTCGAATACGCCAAGCGGAGTCGGCAACCCTGAAGCAACAGACAGATTTACGGACAGGTCCAAGAAGTCCAAGTTCGTGCCCCGGAATGCTCCCTTCCACCCCTCTGCCTCCATTGTCCTGATAGGTATTCGTGGAGTCGGCAAGCGTACCCTAGGAGTACTCGCTGCCACAACTTACGGTCGCCGCTTGAGAGACACCGAGAGAGCATTCCAGGAGGCCACAGGAAGCTCATCCAGTTCCTATCGACAATCCCAAGGGCACCAGGTGTACCAGACAAAACGAAACGAAGTGCTGAAGGATCTACTAGATGCGAACAGCAATGGAGCTGTCATCATCTGCTCCTTCGCCGACTTAGAAGGAGCGGGCGTCGGCATTATTCGAGACTTCTCGCGGACCCATCCGGTCGTACATGTTGTTCGAGATGCAGCTGGCATTCACGAGTGCATCACAGCCTTATCTGAGGAGAGGATTAATGACCTGCTGGTGGCCAGCAGCCCTCGGATGCGGGCTTGTTCCAACTACGAGTACTTCAATCTGACCGAACCTCTGCCGGACGTATGGAAGCACTCTCCTTCAGCAACGCAAGAACACGACCAACAAAATCCTGAGCAGCCCAGCGGACGCACTCTGGCCCTCAAAAGTGTCGAACGCGACTTTATGAGGATGCTGCGAAACATCGCTGGCAAGGACGCCAACATTCCGGCTCATAGCTTCAACTATCCTCTATCTCAGGTTTCGCTAGAGCGGAGAACGCAAACGCTTGCGGTCCGTATGAATGTTGCTGATGTTCTAACAAGCGCCTCAGACATTGATCAGATGCAAGTTGGCGCGGACTGCATCGAGCTTGTCTTTGACGGGGACTCCGATAAGTCAAAGTCGGTTTTCCAAGATATTGCTCGGGCTTTCGCCACAGTACGAAGAGCAACGATCCTGCCAATTATGATTCATATCAGACACAAACAGCACGCCTTGGATTCGGCGATGCCAAGGATCTTTGAGCTCGTTGAATTTGCCTTGAGACTGTCACCGGAGCTTTGTGCATTCAACTTCTTTTTGCGCGACGAATACCTTACACCACTTCTTGCCTCCAAAGGGAGCTGCATCGCAGTGGGCGTCATGGAGTTAGAGACCCGCCTAGCGCAAGGGTGGAAAAGCGACCTCTGCAAAGAGCAGCTTCAACGAGCAACCAGACTTGGCTGCTCGAGCTTCAAGATCACGATGCCAGCCACCGCAGTGGGAGACGTCTTTGACATTGACCGTTTTCGACGTGACGAGCAAGTTGTGAAGCAGCCGCTGCCACTGGCTGCGTTCGGCACTGGGACCATGGGACTGTTATCACGATGCTTCAACACCTACCTGACCGCGGTCGACCCAGCCGTGCAGAGACAAGGAGCTTTCGCTGATCGACTAGAACAGCAGCAATGTTCGACTGCAAAAACCTTGACACAATCGCTCTTTGCTAATTCAATCTTTGAGCCACTGCGATACTTCGTCTTCGGAGCAGATGTCAGCTATTCCTTATCGCCAGCCATGCACAACGCTGCATACGAGGCGTGCGGTATGCAGTACACATACGAAGCCCGCTCTACAAACAGCCTAGAAGATCTCAAGGTCGCCTTCAAGCAACCAGACTTTGGTGGAGCCTCCGTCGCCCAGCCATTCAAAACCACGGTCATGCCTATATTGCACGGCGCAAGTCCGCATGCGACGATCATAGGCGCCGTCAATACGGTCATCCCTGTGCGGGAGCTCAGTCGAGACGGCAACATTCCCGATGATCTGACTCTAATTACAAGAAGGCATCAACAGGGAGCGGTCAAAGCATTCTATGGCTTCAATACCGGTGAGCAGTGACTCTTTGGACACAAGTCTCAATACTGACTTCTACAGATTGGATCGGCATCCGTGCCTGCATCCGCCGCGGACTATCGCCCGCAAACACCGTCCGAGCGCACAGCACAGCTGTCGTCTGCGGTGCCGGAGGCATGGCGCGAGCTGCAGTCTATTCCTTGTTATCACTCGGCGTCAAGAACATTTGTATCTGCAACAGGACACTGAACCATGCAACATCTCTTGCCGACCACTACAACGCAATCATCAGCGCCGGCAGCATCCCTGATCTCGAACCTAGCAGCAACGACCAGCCGCGAGTACATGTACTGCCAGCACTATCCAGTCCGTGGCCACAAGACTTACGGCAGCCTACTATGATCGTGAGCGGTATCCCAAGACAGGAAGCTGGACAGCCACCGGTGCAGTATTCTCTGCCGGAGGAATGGTTGAAGAGTACAACTGGAGGAGTAGTGCTTGAGGTGAGCCTTCCCGGGGGATCTCGAACATGACGACTTGCTGACAGACGACTAGTTGGCGTATCGCCAGGCGGCCTCGCCACTGGCGGATCAAATTCGCGCCAAAGCGCGACAGGGCTGGATATTCATGGACGGCATCGACATGTAAGCCATTTTCAACGCCGACCAGAGAAGGAAATCACCAACGCTAACCCTAGTTCTCAGGCTACCCGAGCAAGCATTCGCGCAATTTGAACTCTTCACCGGCCGACGAGCTCCACGTGGTATGATGACAAGGGCAATCTCGAAGCATGGCCTTTATGATGGAGATTGAAGGTTGATATTGAACGCCTATGAACCAAGACCCATCATAAGAACACCCAACAGCGCTCAAATGCTCATATCGGTGCCCCAGCGACCTTGAACGGATGGGCCTCAGTGTTGTACACCCACTCGTTGATGCCATCCTGGTTGACCTGCCATTCTGCGTCGCCGGCGTGGATTAGGTAGCTGTGAGCACGCGGTCAGCTAGCATTCGAGATAAGAAGCGGACGAGCTGCACGTACCTGTATTTTAGCACTTCGGCGAACAAGAAAGAATCCTGGAAATTCTTGAAACCGCCGCCGTTGGGCGCATTCACGTGCTTGATCTCGGAGAACCCAGAGCCAGTGCGGCATGTTGCGTTGATCGCTTTGAAGCCGTTCCATGCCCACTGTGCACTCTGTCAGCCGAACGTCATGGTGAAGCGAGATATTTACTCACATCTTGGTAGACCCTGCTCCCAGTCGCGCGGTAGGCGTAGTAAAAGCTCTCGATCACCTCTGGCCTGAGAATGTAGCTCCCGTCCGTGATGTAGAAACCAGCACGTTCATAGAACTCCTGCTGCGCGGGCGGCACAGAGGACGCATTCCAGGAGAAGCCTTCCGGTCCGATACCAGTCAGAGTTTGATTGTAGGTGTTTTCGCACGCTTCGACAAGCTTGAGGCCAAAGTCGACGTATTTCTGCTTGTTGAGGACAAGACCGCCGAGTATGAAGTTTCCGCCGTCAAAACAGGCGAGATGGCCGGACTCGAAGTCTAGTGTGCGGTTGTGGAATATGGCGAGGTAGGTGAGTTCAGGGCGGGTGGTGGGGTGGGAGGCGAGGTGTTTGATGGTGCTGTCGGCGGCTTTGATCCAGCGGTCTTTGTAGGTCGAGAAGCGATCTGGATCGTAGACATACATCTATGCCCGTCAGTTCGCAGTTGCTGTCTTACTGTTCGATGAAACTGACCTTGATGAGGTATTCGTAGAAGCTGTCGTCGCCGCCGTTCCAGCCACCGGATGCGTCCACAAACAGGCCTGTGTTGATGTCGACGTTGGTACCGACGAGACCTGGCCATGGTTGTGCCCATCTCTGCAACCAGCATGTCAGCACAAAGTCGTTGTCACCACGTAAAGGGTATGCTCACCGGACGCGGCCTCAGAAGATAGCTCTCGCCCTTCTGCGCAAGCTGCCCATACGTCTCATTGCCTGTCAAATCCGACAGATGCGTCCACTCCAACACCAACGTCCCAATCGTAGCCAATCCATTCGTCGTCGATCCATCCGTGCTACGGTTGTTGAAGTAGAGGTTGTTGCTAGGAATACCAGTTGGTGTCTCAAAAGCATAGCTTAGGTTGTTCGCCAGATTCTGCGCCTGCTCCAGCAAGATCGGAATGTTCGCCTTGCTCTCTTCACTCGCCAAATAAGCGAGAGGACCAGTGAGCAAGTCGTAGCCGGACAGGATGCCACCGAGATAGCGAATGGTGGTTTCGAACAAGCTGACGGGCATGTTGTTGATGCTCACGCTCCAGTCGATTGTAGGGATGTAATGAACGATCTCGTTGACGATCGAAGGGATCTCCATCACCAAGGCGGTGGAGAAGGCATCGGCAGCTGAGGCACCCCAGCCATTTCGTGAGTTGGCGAAGGAGTTGTTCTGGGGTCGAAGCTCGTCGTTCGGGAAGGCGTATCTGCTTCAGTCAAACAATGCTCCACCATTGGCCTCGTGTCCGCTCACTTGTAGTATCCATTCCAAGCAAACTGGAACGCCTCTTTCACGGCTGCTGCTCGCTCCGCAGCGAGCGTCGCCGGCTCTCCTTCTCCTCCTTCGATCGGACCCCAACTAGGCGCTAGCGGTGGTGGGCCTTTGTAATGCGGTGGGCCATGCGGAGGACCATGCGGTGGCCCTGATGGTGATGCTGCGGCCAACGAAGCTCCAAGCAAAGCGGACGAAAGAATGGAGAAACGCATGCTGGCTAATGCGATGCAACAAGTACGAAAAGACTGGATGGGTGAGTATGCTGGAGTTGGTATTCCAATGCAAGTAGAGCGAAAGACAAGAAACGAGCGCCTTTAGAGCAGGTCCGCACCAACAGCAGAGGCAACGAGGAAAGACCGCTCAAGGACGGACATGCTTGCCTTACATTCATTCTGCCGGATGTCGGCAGCAGCAACAACCTTCTGACGGAGGACTCCACGATGGTGGCCCATCCACCTCCGCAGCCCCAGTCCTGCACGGTTTATTGAGTGTATGCTGGGGCGGGGCCAATAGCGTGGTTGTACCGAAACCTTTCAGGCACTGGAAGAGACAGAAGGTGGGTTAATGAAAGGGTCATGGCAGCGGGTGATCAGTATTTTAGGGAGGTGTTGCATGAAGCCATGTAGCCAGTAAAAAGCGGTTGTGATCAGGATGTAACCTTGCTGCCGATAGGAACAGGTATCGATCAGCCAGAGGCTCAACTTAGCGTGTTTTCCTGAACGTGGAGCCGAGGATCAGAGTCTCAAGAGGTTGATCAACATTAAAGTGGAAGAGAGCTACGTTTTGCTGGTGCTCGATGGAGGGGTATGACTGAGGCCGGGATTGGCTGTTTGGGAAATAGAGAAGATCATGAAGATATATCGAGTCAATACACACAAGTAGCCTATCTCTGGAAACCGACAAACAAGACCACGAGCCAATATGTCACCCGACAACCTCAAGTTGATATCCATGTACCCGCAGCTTCTCTTCATGCAAGCACAAGCATGCGCCTGTAGCACGCGACCGTCAGTAGCAACGCGCGCACATGTGCGGCATAGGCCAAGACATACACCACCACCATGCAGTCAAGCCGCCAACATGAAATTATCACTCTCTAGCAAGCTGCTGCTGGCCACGAAGCTGAACCCTCCGAAAGCTGAAACAAGTGGTCAGCAGGCGTTAATGGGCCTCCCTAAGCAGTTCAGACTTACGATTGTTCTCCTCTGCGACGACATGCGACTCCTGCATCTGCTCATCAAACACCTTGCTGCTGCGCGTGAGCACCGGACTCAACGGCATGTCCGTGAACTCGGTATCGAAGTTCTCCGCGAGCTCAGGATCCGTAATGACCGGCGTAATGGGAGGCTCCAGCTCTCTCTTTTCCAGTTTCTTCCAGTCAATCTTGCGGAAGAAGCGGTGGCTCTTGAGAGTCTTGAGATCCTTCGTGTTGGCTCCACCCAAACGTTTGTTTGGCTCTTTGCGCAAGAGGCGGGTAAGTAGATCCTTCGCATCAGGTCCGAGGAAGTAGGGCAGCTGAAGCTTTTGTTTGAGGATGTTCGATTGAATCTTGGCGTGGTTGTTGCCCCCAAATGGCGGGCTTCCAGTGAGAAGGTCAAAGCCGATAGCTCCGAGACTCCACCAGTCGACCGCGAAATCATAGCCTTCGCCTTTGATGACTTCCGGCGCCATGTACTCGATCGTGCCCAGAACACTGTTCGCACGCTCGGTCTCGTCTTCGACGGCGACCTTTGACAGGCCGAAGTCAGTGAGTAGGAGGTGTCCCTCGGCGTCCAGCAAGCAGTTTTCGGGCTTGAGGTCGCGGTAGATGACTCGCACATTGTGGTGCAGATGCTCGAGAGCCAGGACCATTTCTGCCATGTAGAAGGAAGCGACCTCTTCTGAGAACATGCGCTCCATCGCCAGGTGATGGAAGAGCTCCCCACCCTGCGCATACTCCAGGATGAGATAGAGCTTCTCCTGGTCCTGGAACGCGTAGAATAGCTTGACCACAAATGGGTGTCGGTTGACAGACTCCAGGATAGTGCGTTCCGTGCGTGTCTGCTCGACAAGTCGCTTGTGCACGGTCAGAGTCGCCTTCTTGAACTGCTTCTGCGCATAGAGTCGACCTGTCGCGTGCTGGCGCACAAGATTCACAACTCCAAACGCGCCCTTTCCGAGACATCGCAGCCCCTCGAAATCGTTGGCGCACATCTTGCGGTGGATTGAGGTCGTGTGAAGTCCACCCTCAACAGCCTGGGAGGCGAAAATAGGAGTGCGTGAGCCGGCATCCTGGCTGACGAAGTCTTCATCCAGAGGGACATCGTAAGTCTCCATTTCAGTCCTGTCGCCGTCGCTGCCTCGAGAAGAAGGCGTGGTCGTACCATTGTAGCCGGCCGAGTCGTTGGACATGACGCGAGCTAAACTTGGCTTGCGCTGGTCGCCGTCGAGCGCCAATGCATCAAGCCTGGAGCGCAGTGCGCTGAGGCCGCCTTGCGAAGGTGAAGGCCTCAATGCCGGACTGCCTGGGCTGTCTCGCATCTTCATGGCCCCCAATCTCGGTGTGCTGACGGCAGAAATGTCAGATTCCTCGCCGCCCGATGTCACTGGCGTATTAAACCCTCGCACGATTTTGGCAGCAGGTGCGCCAGGCGCCATGCCCTTTTTCTTGTTCTTCTTTCGCTTCTTCGCCTTCTCGCGGATCGCTTCGTGGTCGAGCTTAGGCATAGGAATGACGTCTTGGGTAGGCTCAGTACGGACTGGCTGGCGCGCTGGAGATGCGATTCGCATTGGTGGAGTTTGCTCCACATCCAGCATAGTGGCGCTCCTGCTGGTGTGGTCGATGTCCATCGCCGGCATGATGGGCGATGACTAGCGGTGCTTGCTGTGTTCGACTTTAAATTTCCCAGGAAGGTGTGCTTCCACGGTTTTTACCGTCTGCGCAGTGATCTAGAGTTCCTCAAATCCCTCAGGAGGCCGGTGAATGTTGGTGATGGTAAGGCAAGGACGTTCGGAGCACGAGCTGCTAATCTACGAGCCGTGATGTCGCCTTGTCCGATCTCTTTTCGCCCACCGTTCAAGGTGGGCTCACAGCAAGTAGCCACAGGACGTATTTGATCTGCGTGCGCGACAGGGCTGGCTGGTTGGAGGTGTTGGCAGCGAAGCTGTCGCCGTGTGCGCGTGAAGAATCGGAAGGCTTGGTAAGACCCATAGGTTCCCGGGATATGGTGTTGTATGTATGATATGTCGTCAGGTATCCTCCTGACGATTGTGTAGACTGTATGTTGTTCGAGCGCAGGCGGTGGTTGGAGAGTGAGAAAAGCTGGGAATTCATGTGAAAGCCCGGAAACAGCGTTTCGATCTGCGGAGAGCGGCCCGAGCCTCGCCGCTGCTAAGGATAGATCTATGCTTAGACACAACCTACGGTCTTCCGATTTCATTTGAACTCGAGACTCGGGCCATCACGAAAACGCTACCTAGATATCAGAGCTTCTTGGCAATTCGCTGGCTCATGGTAGCTATAATAAGTGGTAACGGAGAAGCTACACAAAAATGTAGGAGCATATCAAATTAAACTCGAAACACTGTCTTTCCAAGCATTCAGTCACTATCTGCATCTTCTTCTTCGCCCAGTTGATGCTCAGCGTCCAGAGCAACAAAGACTTCCTGCGCCTGCCTCTGCATCGCTGGCGCATTTGGATTCGCCGAAAACCGGTCGGGATGAAAGGACCTTCTTAGTTTCTTCAGATCGCTCCCACGGAAGACGTACGCAATCTGATGGCTACAGGCAGCCAGCTCCCGCTCCCTCCTTTGGGCGTCACAGAAGGGGACAGTGCAAGTCCAGGCAGGAGGGCTGGGAAACCTCTCCAGGGTAGCATAGTTCTCAAAAGCGGCGTCGAGGCTGGAGATATACTGGGCAATCTCTTCTGGACCAGGAGGCGTCAGCTCGTAGCTGTTGAGATTCAGCTCAGCCTGGCGGGCCGATTGAGCTTCCTTTTTCGCCTGATCCTCTTCAAACAGCTTCTTCCAGTCGTACTTCGGAATCCAGTACTCGTCAGGCTCCTTTGGTTGCGGCTTGGGGCGTGCCCAGGAAAATCTCTCACTCTTCCGCCGGTCGTGCTCCTCCCGCTCCTTTACCTCTTTCTGCGCTTGCGCTTCGTAATCAGCCCACGCGTAATCGCGAACTCGCTGCGAAGAGTACCTATGCTCGTCGGCATGGACCATTTTGGCCCGAGCTTTGTCTACCATCAACACGACAGCCTCCCAGGCAGCCTTTGCGGCCCTCACGTCCGATCGGTATTGTGCTCCATCCTCAAGGTCTTGCGAAGTGGGTGGATTCGAAGGTTGAGGCGCGCCAGCCTCAATTCCCTTCCAGTGGACAACCGCGCTGTCCAAAACCTTCGTTACCGAGATGTGTTCTCGCACTGCGGTGTTATACAAAGCAAGCGCCCGGTTATAGTATTCGTCCACCTCGTTCCATATATTGTACAGCCCTACGCAGTCTGGGCTGAGACCTGGTTCCCAACGTGGAGACATCTCCTGAGTCTGTTGTGGCGATAGTTGTGTAAGATATTGGGGGTGTATGGAGAGGGTTGGTTGGAGAGGTGAGTGGTTGTAAGTATTTGAGGGTCTTCTGTTCATGTTGATATGCATTCGGCGACCGGCTTTGTCTTCAAAGGTAGCCAAACTCATCCTTTGTCACACACGCCATCCTATTCTGCCCATAACGAACAAAGAATTTGGAAATGACAGACGCCTGGATGTTACGTTTCCCGCCGACCTGAATGAAACGCAGCAGAGGTACGCTTTGTCGTCGACAGGATGAGCTATACAAGACCTGAGAAATTGGTTTTGCAGAAACAGGAAACGGGAGCCGCACTCGAAGAGAGTCGATCTGGTACTTCGAGACGTGGTGATAATGCCAACACGTGCGAGGGGTCAACTTGCGTACCAGAAGTTGCAATTCCCGAAGCTTGGGTAAGTAGCTGAGCATGCTCACGAGCATCAGAGTAGGCCGCAGGCGATGGTCAACGGAGAGAAGGTGCGCAGACGGCAGAGTCATCGGAAACATTAGAGAAGCATCGACTTACCCAGCAGTAGACGCAATTGTAGGAAAGTGTGTCACGGAGTCTAGGAAGGATGTCATGCAGACGTCAATGACTTTCTATGTTGCGAGCTCTAAATCGTGCTATCATTGACGCAGCGAGTTCAACTCAATTCAGCCACCGTTGAACTCAGCTCGTTCTGTTCTGCTCTCACACCTCCCACTCCTCCGTCGAGGCCAGTCCCTTACCCCTCCACCGAGACCACCTTTGTACAAATCCAAGTCGAAGCATACATGTTCACTCGATCCGTACAACTCCCTATCGGCACCCTCGCAGCAACCCTCTTTGGCGCGAACCCATTCTCTTCAAAGGCACGAATGTACCACGGATCCAGGCCCGCAGACCTCAGCAGCACTCGTCCCCCTAACTTCAGGGACCTATTCACAGCTTTGACCTGCGCATCTGCTTCAGGGCCGGTGGGCAAGAACCAGTCCATACTGTCCATTAACACGGCGATGGTAAGAGATTCCGGCTGCATGCGTGCGAAGACTTCGGCGAGCTCGTCGGTATGGATGCGGAGGGTGTCGAGGGCGGTGGGTTGGGAGAGCTTGGTGTGGGACTTGGGGGTGAGGTAGGTGGGGTGGCATTTGCGGGTGTATTTGCCTGTTATTTGTTAGCGAGCGGGCTCTCCATGACGTTTCACGACGGTTTACCTAATAGGCAGAGGAGGTAGTAGTGGTTGTCCTCGCTGACCAGAGTGTTGTTAACCACTGGGTCCAGCGTCTGCACGGCATAGTTCCAGATAGCCTGGCCACTCTTTTTGGCGCCGACCTCTCCTGGCTCACCCAGGCCACTCTTCTTATCCTTGATATCGCTTGATGGTAGGGCATTGCGATCAGTCTCGCGCTTAAAGTCCTCCTCGATCATCGCTCTCTGCTCGCCTGGTACACCAAGGGCCCTCCAAAGAAAACGCTCGGAGCCCACGACAAAGTAGGCAAGAAGCTGCGACAGGAGGACCCGTCGGATTCGTTTAGTCCAAACCTCTCGCTGCTCGTTGAGTGTCTGAGCCTCACACATCTTGCGCATATCGTTTCGAACGCCGAGAAGGCTGCCGAGCCATGCAATCAGTCGCAGCGCATGTCTGCTGCCTCCCGTGAAGTACAAGCCTTTACTCCGTGGACTGAACGTCGAAGGGCCAACGTGTAGCCAGTAGTCGAAAGCCTGACTTGACAGGTGTGGCGACATTTGTTCCAACAGTAGCCTCTGGAAGTCTTCATGCTTGCCTTCTCCGAAGAGCTTCCAAACGTCCTGATATTCCAAGCTCCTGAACGCCGCGACCTTCAGCTCAAGCAGATGGTTCTGAGCTGGATTGAGGTCGACTGCGTGAATGCGCTTCGGTCTCTCCAGGGCGTAGCTTAAGATATTGTCGCCGGCTGATGTGATTGCAAGAATTACATCCACGCCAGTGATCTTGAGCAAGCGCGAGTCAGTCCTTGCGTCTTCCCAGGTAAAAGCGTAAATGTATTCGTCGTTGAATTGGCGGTGCTTCGGAAGTGTCTCGTCGTAGTAGATACGGGTCTTGTTGTTCTGGTAGTATGCCGCCGGAAGAGGTAGGCTCGATGCGAGATTGACCACCGCGGTATCGTAAGCTTTGCTCCTTGAGCTCGATCGCCTCTGCGTTCTCGGGTTGAGGCTTTGTGCATGCACGTCCAACGCCGAGAGGAACGGGCTTTCGGTGACTGCAGCATCTACAGCTTCTACGTGGTCGTGAGGGTTCGCCGTACTCCTGGTGCAGCCCACAAAGATGTAGAATGGTATCCTGAAGCCGAGCAGATGACACCTTCGGTTAGTGGAGAGGATTGTTCCAAACTTGTACTCGATGTAGTCTCGTCGTGCGGATTCGAGATTGACGCGGTCCAGCTCGAACCAGGTCCTCCAGAAAACTCGGCTGATCCACATGCAATGTCTATTGATGGCTCCCCCGATGTAGTTTCTTCCCCGGAATTCGACCTGGTTTTGAACATAGAAGTCGACAACTCCCACAACACCAGTGGGTGAGAGCAGATTGGTGATGCTGTCGATCGCGGAATGGAACTCCGGAATCATGCTAAGGCTATACGACATTGTCAACAGGTCGGCACCCACGAAGTCCCGGGCGTGCTCCTCATACGCAGCATGGCCTATGCTGAACTCCCTCTGCGAGTCATCCACTCCCGCCTCGTAGTCCGAGAGGCGGAAGGTACGGGCGTCCTCGCAGATGACGAACACATTCTTCCAACCTAAACGAGAGAAACGCTGGCGCGCTACTTCGCATAGAGAACTGCTGAGGTCAACCAAGTAGACAGCGTGGAAGAAAGTTGGGACGTCCAACTGGCTCTGCATCTGCTCGATGTTCCTGTGCGCGGGGTGAGAAGAGCCCGTTAGCTGGTGTTTATGGGGGTGCTCTGTATTCTGTACAACCAGGCGGTGTAAGACAAGGGAAGGGGTTCTAGTCGAGGATACTCACCACCCAGTGCCGCCGCCGATGTCAACCCAGATTGGCTTCTGAGCGATCTGACCAGTGTTTCTGCGGTGCTTGATCTGTGCCGCGACTAAAGCAAGCATATCCTGCCGGCCTTGCAGAAGTCTCGCTCTTGTTGCATCGTAAATACCCGCTTGCGAGCTGTAGAAGCTTTCGAGTGCGTCTTGCTGGTTGCCGGTCTTGTCGCCCGAATGCGGTTTGAGGAAACAGGAGTATGCGAAGTTTCCGTAGTGCCAGAGGGCGTTGTAGGTCTTGCGAAGCAGGCTGAGTTCAGTGAAGGACAGGATAACGTATGCGAGCACAATGATGAGGAGGCACCATGTCGCTAAGGTGACTTGAAAAACAGGTTCTGTGATTCGGTGGAAGGCGTCTGCTACCAGCGACGCCATAGTAGCTGGTGAGCGCTATGGCCGTATGGTCAAGAAGAAAGAGGGCCTGGAAGGAAAGGAAGACGAGGGAGGACGGAAAATATGTACTTCCCTCAGCTTCGTCAGGCACTGTGGGAGCCATTGACATCCTCCGGAAGCTGCCTTTAAGCTCGTGATACGCCATGAGCGGCGTCGTGAACGACGGAGTGATGTCTGTCATCCACAGCAGAGTCGTAAACATCCAGACCATTGGGCCCCGCGATAAGACCCCTCAAAAGGCGTGAGGAGGACGCGCTCTGCCGTCGCGTCTCAGCCTATCACGACGAGCACGAGGGAGCGATGGCGGACGAGGGAAGGAAGGATGAAAACGACGGCATCTGTGGCATCGTGGTTGAAGTCAGACCTGCACGACATGCTGATTAGCGCGAACAGAGCGGGACTGCCAATCACCGCTCAGAAGGGTAGGCGTGCCTCGAACTTTGCTATAACTTGTCAATCTTCGCAAGACAAACTTTGAGGTTTGCTCCCGAGTTGCTGACCTGGACAGATCTGGTGAAATGGCCTCTAGTGGTCGAATACACACGTGTGTGCCCTTCATCCCGACAATGGATGGACAATCTAGTGCTGCAATGCTTGTTCAGCCTACATCCTTCGTCTTGTAACCCTTGGCCAGAGTGGGATAACGAATCCGCCTACATAGGATGGAAACCCGCATCAGTCTTGCCAATCAAGACTCCCGCCACAGCATAGGTAGGAACGAAAACAATCAAGCCGAGATGTGTGAAAGGGATGTTGCTCCCATGGCGTAGGGAGGAAGAGATGAAGGCCGGACCATTTCACGTGATCGACGACGACTCCCGCTTTCGTCTCGTCTAGCGGCGGCCGCTGTTTAGTCCGTCGTTCTACACTCATGGGCTCTTTCTCTGCACACCCAAATGAGAGACAGTGAAAGTGGCCCGCCAGGCATACCACGCAGTCTTCTCCCATACCTAAACGCACCGGAAAGGGCCGCATCACTTCAGTCGGTGGGCTATCGTTTTCTCGGAGAAGATCGATTACACGGCTCACTCTGACCCAGTGTGCCGCTTTCAGTGTGTGTCGCTTGACACCTTCCAACGTCCCGCTGTATACCAGCATTCCTCACCTATATGGAGTGTTTTACATTCGTACCCGAAAACTTGGGTCGGGAACGACGGCTTCAGAAAGGCAGGAAGGCAGACAGGATGGAGGGCAGGCAGGAGGCAGGAAGGATCGGGAACCTCCATTCAACGCGGACGTTCTCACACAGCGTAACAACTCGCACAGCAGCTTAGCACGACTCACAACAGGCGATTGCTCTGAGCGAGAGCTAACCCTCGGCCTCCCAGAAAGGGAGCTGGCTCCTAAGGCGCGAGGCTTCTCGAAGGCAGAGACAGCGCGTAGATATGCTTAGCAAGACGCTGAGCATTCGATCGTGCGCTCGAGAAGCTGATCTTCTGTCAGCGGCTGCAAGCTCCTCCCGGACAGTAATGCATACTGTAGTCGCAACAGCAACAGAACAGCTGCAATGTACGAGCCCGTGCCCTTCTTGCTTCAGCTTTGAACTGACTCCATCCGACCTCTCCACCTCATATCTTCAGCACCTATCGACCTTGTGGGACTGCTATATTAGTGCCGTGAGAAGTATGCCTCTGGTGGCAGCATGCGCCGCGTCGACAGACAACGAGCTGTCTGAAACAGCTTGTCCCAACGAGACGGACACCTGCATGCAAACGAGCAAGCTGCAAGCGACAGCTAAAGTACAGCGAGAACTTGGGAGTTGAGATGGACAGATCGCTCAATGCGTGCTTGAGGAGCCTGGAGGACTACATCAAGGAGGTAGGCACTCGTGCGCGGAAGGAGCTGAGATCTTTGAAGGACCACTGACCTTTCTATCTTTGTTCAACAGCGACTGGCCGTGATCAAGACCACGAAGGCGAATGATGGACTGGAAGCTGCGAAGAAGGAGTATGCGAAGATGACGCCGATGAACTTCAAGATCTTCCTCAAGCAGTACCGCGCGGAGCAGGCAGCGCTGTACGCTGGGAAGGGATGGAACAAGATACTCTGTCCGGTCAAGGTTTCGGGAGACGGTTGCGAGCGCTGTGGCGCGGTGCCTGCTGCTCCTGGTGAAGACGGTCACGGTGGGTCCAGGTTGCTGAGTTGTGGCAAGTGTCGGAAGGTCTTGTACTGCAACCGTGCTTGTCAGAAGGAGGACTGGAAGGCGCACAAGCCATTCTGCAAGTAACGATGAGTGAGACGGGCATGAGGGCTCGGAACTAGAGCGGTACTGGGAGGCGGTCATACTTCTCTGTGGGTGTGGCTAGATAGATGGTGTTCAACGGGCATGAAGGTCGGTCTGTCTATGAGTATTGTCAGGCCACTGGAATATATCCTAGAGATTGAGTCGATTGCGACAATGACGCCACGATTTTAGAGCTCGCAACACAAGATGTTGTTGACTTTGACACATCCAAATGCTTCGACGCTTCACCGTTCCGGTCATGGCGTGCAAGCTGCAATCATCGTGTTCTCGTGGAGAGTTGTGATGCCGAATACTTCGAGAGCAATAATATGGCTTGGAGCGACGAGGCGTGCAGAGCCTATGTTGCCGGGATGTGGAGACAGTGGTCCGATCGAGATGGAAGGCACAAATCAACCTCTTCGAGCTCTTCACTTTCGACAGATGGTTATTCTCTCTATTAGCATTCGAAAGAAAGACGTTGTGCATTGTGGTTGTCCCATTGTTGAGACGAACAACGAGGAAATAGACTGGCGGGTTTCTACAACGTCTTCATTGCAAGATGGAGGTTCCAACCAAGACTTCACTGGCGGAGGTCTACCCGCAAGAGGCTCTAGATAAACAGACGAAACGATGGCAGACTCTTCTCAGTACTTTCCAAGACCGGTACGGCAAGCGACCTGATTTCGTATCTCGAAGTCCAGGTAGAGTCAACATCATCGGCGAGGTACTCAAGACCATTACTCCCGAAGCTAGCAGTACTGACTATGGCACAGCACATCGACTACTCCTTATACGAGGTCATGCCCATGGCAGTAACAGCGGATGTTCTCCTAGCAGTCTCCGTTCACGAAAAGGAAGAAGGACCAAGCACCATCCGACTGACCAACATCCACTCCCAGAAGTTTGAGAGCAGAGAGTTCGACATCCCCAATACTGGTGATGTCCATATCGACTCGTCGACCCTGGAATGGACCAACTACTTCAAGTCTGGACTGGTAGGCGCCACCGAGCTACTACGGGAGAAGTCCAATGGCTTCAAGCAGAGTGTTGGCATGGATATCCTCGCCGATGGTACCGTACCTTCTGGTGGCGGTCTTTCGAGCAGTGCTGCGTTCGTGTGCGCCAGTGCCTTGGCTGTCATGAAGGCAAACGGGGTTGAGAAGGTCGACAAGAAGGAATTGGTTGAGATTGCCATTGTGTCCGAGCGAGCTGTCGGGGTCAACTCAGGCGGTATGGACCAATCTGCCTCCGTCTTCCCGCTGGAAGGATCAGCATTATACGTCTCGTTCGTACCGGAGCTTTCCGCGAAGAACATCGCTTTCCCAGAGATGAAGTCGCCTTTGACGTTCGTCATTGCACAGTCCTTCGTGGCAGCGGACAAGCACGTCACGGCGCCGGTATGCTACAACCTCAGAGTCGTCGAAGTCACGCTCGCAGCTCTAGTCCTGGGCAACGTCTTCGGGCTCAGCAGCATACCATCCGACGCTGGCCCACTAGGAGTGAGCCTACGAGGCTTCCATGACACATACATGCAAGAAAAAGGCGGCATCAAAGACAACCATGCCGTCTCCAAAGCCGACTTCCAAGACCAGCTTCAGGATCTCATCCAGAAAATCGACAACTACCTCCCGCAGGAAGAAGGCTACACTCGACAACAAATCTCCGAAATTTTAGGCGTGAAGATCGAAGACATCGAGCAGAAGTACATGAAGAAATTCCCAATCCGAGCGGAGCGGTTCATGTTGCGGCAGCGGGCTATGCATGTCTTTGGCGAGGCGATCAGAGTGCTGAAGTTTAACGAGCTGTTGTCGGCCCCTGCACCGCAGACGGATGAGGAGAATGAGAAATTGTTGCAGGCGCTGGGGGAGCTGTTGAACGATACGCAGGATTCGTGTCGGGATATTTATGAGAACTCCTGTCCGGAGTTGGATGAGCTGTGTCAGTTGGCGCGGAAAGCTGGATCGTATGGGAGTAGGCTGACTGGGGCTGGATGGGTAGGTCATATGGCTTTCGCCGAGAGGATCACGCTGACATCCATGACAACAGGGCGGCTGCTCAGTACACCTGGTACCCGAGTCGAAGGTCGACAAGGTCAAGCAGTCGTGGATCAACAACTACTACCGGAAGCACTTCCCGGACATCACAGAAGAGAAGCTAGACGAGGCTATAGTGGTCAGTAAGCCTGGCAGTGGAAGCGCTGTTGTGCAGATACCAGGCTGGCAGTTTTCGTAGCCTTGACCACGGTTGGCACAGCATTGCCCCGTCCCTGGGCACTCGCACTTTTTGAAAGGCACCGTTTGGAATTCATGGTCGCATTGATATACCTAGACATGCTTAGTCGAGCTAGAAAGCAACAATCCCTCCTGCTATATACCTCTCAAACTACTCAGTAGGATCCCGACCACCTCTAGCCTCCATCTCCGCGTCGTAATGCTCGTCACTCTCCAAGTCCATCTCGAGTGGCTGCGTCAGCGGAAAGAGCGACAACCCGTTCTGCTCGATGACCTGCAGTCGTTCGGCAGTCTCAGATCGGCTGCGGTTGACGGAGTACACCTTGATACGGTGGCTACATGACTTGTCAGCAGTTGAAAGGTCTCAGAGCTGGAGGTCACTCACCAAGAAGACGTAACGTGTAGATCCCAATTCCTGCGCATGCGTCAGGACCGCTGCCTCAACTCTGAACGTCCGTAATACTCACCAAGCAGACCTCACAAACGTCGGCTGCGTATTCAAGGCATTATCCCACGTCCGACAGCAAAACTCCAGCCATCCCTCGTACTCCACCGGAATCTCCATACTCCACACCCGCCAGCCGAAGAAGTACTTCTTGCTCAGTCGCTGCCATGGAACCTCATACCACACACTCCCACCATCAGCACTGACTTCCACACGCTCTGGCCATCTCCCACCACCACTGTAGGCCCAGCCAGTCAACGTGATCTTGCCGTCGTGCACAACCACTTCCTTGTCGAGCGGCGTCATGATGGCAGAACTGACGGGCATGTCCTGGATGCTGAAGCCGTTGCTGTACTTTACATTCTGCTTCCCGATTTGCTGATTGTAGTACAGATACTCCTTCTTCTGCACCGGTGCCTGGCTGGGTCCTTTGATCGCCTTGATGCGGTAGAGCCACTTGCAGCTTCTTGCGCCGATGTAGCCGAAGACGACCGTGCGGAGCGGGAAGCCGTGGATACGTGGTAGAGGCTCGCCATTCATTTCCCAGGCGAGCAGGACTTCGTCATACTTGACCTTGCGCCATGGGGCAGAGACGACGTAGTTCATTACCTTGCCCTTTTTGAAGTATGTATCTGCGCCGTAAAACTCGAGGTGGATGTCTCCTTCCGAGGTGCCGTCGGAAGTCTTCAGGCCACCGCAGTGTTCGATGACGCTGCGGAGGGAGACGCCGGTCCAGCGTGCCTGATACACTTAGCATTGTCTTGAATCTGGACGTGTTAACTACGACTTACTGTCCCGATCGCTCCCTCGCCCCATGGAGCGTTGATGAGCTCGTCACCTGCATATCGCATAAGTCAGCTATCGTGGCAGAATGGCAAGCTTCCCAGGTTAACGTACCGTCACCAGGATACATATCAATCTGCTCAATTCGCCTGGTCCCGGAGCACTGGATGGTGACAGTGGTGGACTGTCTCGGAAAGATCTTCTCGTTCTTCAGATCGGACATCTTGATAGTCATTGGCTTGTTGACGAGACCGTCCAGCTCCAGCTCGAACGAGTCTTCGTCAATCTCTGGCACACCACCATGGTTGCGGACGAAGTGGTCCTTGTTGGGAGTGATTTCTGTCTCAACCAAACGACGCTATAGGCCTAGTGAGCGTCGAACGGATTGAGACAGTGGGAGATTCTTACTCGTGGCGGCTCGCCATTATACGGGAACTGTAAGACATGGATCATGTCTTCACTCTTCTCCTTCTGCACGTACTTCCAGCTGATATCAGGGATGTCTTTCAGAGTACCACCTGGAGAACGGAAAAGCAGCATCAGCTTTATCTCATATTACGGTGCGAAAATGAACGAGATCTGCAGTGCTTACCCATAGCATAGTGATACTGCTTCCACCTCACACCTTCCAAGACCGGATTGGTCTTTGGCAATGGCTCAAGTTGGAACTCCGGTGGTCCAGGGAACTTGTACCGTGAAAGCACCTCCGCCCCCAGCTTCTTCTTCTCTGGATACTTCTCCCATTCTACATAGCCTTTGTAGCCTTCCTTCTCCTCTTCGAAGAATGGGCCTTCTGTCCTGGTGGGAAACTCGGCCTGATCGCCGCTGTTCTTGAGAGTAGTCACCATTGTGACGGGTCTTTCAAGAGTTTACTGAAGAAGAATCGAAAGAGGAGGAAAGACACCTCTCACTGAAATATCCGCGTGCCTCCGACCAGTATAAGTCTGGAGCTGGCGAACGGACAGTGAGAGGGGAGTGAAAGCAGACGAGACCAACCTGAAACGCCGCACGCTTGCTTATGTACTCGTGTAGCCTACGTGCCTACTACCCGCGATTACCACGCCAGATATGCCGGCAAGCAGAATGCAGGGGAGGTGTTGTAAAAGAACGTCACCATCGGCCACTACCGTCCATTGGGTCCATATTCATCTCGCACCAATCGGCAGTCCTTGCGCTCGATGTTGATACAAGGATGTTCGGCGCCGGGATGCTGCTCGTGGAAGATTACGTTGCGTATATCTCCCGATCTTGAGCAGACAGTTGGGGCAATATGAGGAGCTGCGGGTATGCTGAATCACTCTTAGTAGTTCCGGTGGGTCATCGAGGTGCAGGAGGACGAGAGGAGTGAAGTCTTGGTGGTGGTCAAGCAATTCCGAAGAACTTCCGACGAGAAGCTTAGCGTGGACGTGAGCTCCAAGCTCGACATCACCTCATCATTGAAGACCATCCCATCACCTGATCCAAACACCATGCTACGAACGGCTGCTGCGGGAAGATATCTACTACGCCGACCGGCTTCCTGGAGTGGCCATCATGGCGCATTGCAATACTCCATGGAATCTACAAACGGCGAACGCAAGGTCCAGACGCCGGTACAGTCTCAGAACACGGACGACATCGCCCCGAATCCCTTGAAACCAGAACCGGAGTCGACACAGATGCAGACACCTATGCAATCGCAAGATCCAGCAAGCTTCTCACTACAGCCTGGGCACCCGCCGACTCAGCAGCCGAGTCTACCAACGCAGCAGCAAGGCCGGCCTCGACCAAACAACGCCGGTCCGCTCTATACTCTGCTCGTGTCTCTGATCGTGGCGCCGATGATCACCTACGGGTATTACAACTATCGGAAGGAGCATATGGAACAGAAATGGAAGGGCATGCTGAAGGAAGCGGAGCAGAAGAGACCAAAGAGTTAAGATTGGAAGGAAAGAAGATACGGCAGAAGGCAAATTGATACAAGGATTCCTGCTCGCGGGCCATTTGGATTGTTTGAATCGGTCAGCAGCTATCCCGGAACAGATGTTGGTCGATTGACGAACACCCTTTGCAGCCAAGGCACCGTTGCTACTGTCCACCAACGCCCACTTTCCAAGGAGAAGTCGAACAGCATAAGATTATGACATGTAGAAAGTGGCCCAGAAATCGAACCTACCGAATACCCCAACTCCATCAGAAGCTTACCACGATCGACCGCAAGACAACTACTTCGGTGGTATGGGCTTCTTTAGACGCCGCTCTGTCCCGTCGACAGGATAAGGAGGTCTTGCCCTGCCCGCCTCTTCGACCGGTTCAGGATCATCGGCGGGACCATGCTCTTCATCCACTCCGCCAGCTGGAGGTGCAGGATCCTCCGGCGGAGCTGGGTCATCTTCAGGGATGGCGGGTGCTGGCGCTGGACGGCTTGCCCTTGTGGATCCAGAGCTCATGGTAGCGATGCTGTTGCGCCTATGCCCTTTCGCACGCTCGTCGCTGGCATGACCGCTTTGTACTGAGTCGCGACGGTTACCGCTCTGGAGACTGGTATTTGTACCACTTCTCGAACGACGGTAGGCATGGTGCCCCTCGAAGCGATTCTTTGGCTGATGGGTTTGTGTCTCCAGTGGAGCTGGAGTCAGAAGGGCACTGAGCCTGTTCAATATTAAACCGCCCGGAGTGGGTGGGCCAGATGAGGCTCCACTCTTCCTCTTGCTGCTTGCTGGAGTCTCTGGCCTATCTTCGGCCTTCTTAGTCTTAGGGTCGTCCTTGGTCATATTCTTGAGTCGCTCGGTGTTGAGCTGGCTTCTCTTCAAATTGGAGCACTCAAAAGCTACGGCTTCCTTCACTTCTTCGTGCTTCTCCAACATGTCTCGGCACTCGTAGCATTTCTTGTGGCTGCTTCCTTCCGTGATGATACTAAGCTTGCAGCCACTTGTGCTGACATCCTTACATTCATGCAGGTGAGGTCGTGAGTGCTTACACTTCCCTGCTATATATCAGCACGGTACCCCTCGATCAAAAGCAAGTTTCACTTACAGTGCAGTACTTCGTACAGTTGACACATCGTCGTCTGGAGGTGTCGTTCGTGGAGACGGTAGATACAGGCCCGCTGTTGTTTACTTGATGGTGTTGTTGACTGGTGGTTGAGCTTCCGGTTAGAGTACCAATTCGTAGAATACCTGTTTGGTGTTGGATATGTCGCGGATCCATCGCAAAATCTGCCTGCCGATATATGCTGGCCTCCAATGACTGTACGGCTATGAGGCATGCGTGAGTCCTACATTCCATGTCACTCTGAGATTGCCAAACATCACCAGCGCTGCAGCAAGCAGTGCAGTCAAGACTCCTCGCCAACTTGATGCTCTCCTTCAGCGTACGAGCCTGTCCGCGTCTTCGGCATCAGAGCACTGCGACGCATCGAATTTATTTTCCATGGAAAAGCCAAAGCGGAATCGGGCAGACAATCTTACCATGTGATCTTTGAGCAGTAACTGTGAAATTGTGATATGAGATTGCGCACCTACAGTACCCGCAAATTGGCAGAAGAGTCTTGTCGTAAAACTGATTCTGATGTTCAACCACCTGTTCCGTGACGTGAGCGCGCAACACGTACCTGAGACCGAGCGTACCTGAGACCGGCTGGAAGGATCTCGCGCTGAGGCTGCAGCCACGCCCCAGTGCGCTTGGGGCGACGCTTCGGCTGCAAACTTGCCTGCTGCCCTACGACACGTCCCCGTGTCGTCCTTTAGGACGGTCATGCCTACTATGCTTGCTTCTCGAGCACCGGCGCACGACACCCGGCCAACACCTCTTTCCCGCGCCAACCTTTTCCGTACATCTTATTCCTCCTGCTTCTTCTTCTTCTGCTGCCGGCACAGCTCACAAGATGGGCTTGAGTAAGATCCGTTTCCACTCTGTATCAGCTCGCTGCCCCGGAAGTACTCCCGACAGCGTGTGAAGCGGTTGGGCTCAATGCGCCCGCAGCGAGCTGTATTTGCACATGGCAGTCTGCAGTCCTTCGCCAGGCCTCACGTGCCGTGCCCTCTGCTTTCGGCGAAGTGACGCTCCAGTGAATGTTAATCCAGTGAATGATGTTTCCGAACGCTGTCAAAGAGGAGCAAGGGGGCGCAGGCGTGTCGGTTGAGGGCGCCATCTGTTGCGGCGTCGTTGCAAGAGAAAGGCGAGGGGAAGATGCACGGTGAATCGTTTGCGACTGTGTTTGCTGGGGTCAAATTGAAACCACTGCAAAGCTCTCGTAAGACGTGTCGCGTGTATTTAGCTGAGTCGCCCTCTCCTGAAGCCATGAATAAATGCGCGCGTGTTATGTCGTAGTGTACGTTATCGCGGCGTCGGTTAGCCCCGCAGACACTGGCTACTACTCTCGCTTCATGCTCCCCTGATGTTAACAAGACCGATTGGTGTACCACTGTGAGCATCAGAGCCACTCTAGACCTTCGTTGCCTCTGTCGTCCGCGTCCCTTGAGATCCTGCAAGATGCTCGCCGGTCTGCTAGGATGCTGTCCAGCAGGAGTGTTCTGGGGTCACTGATCAAATATACTGATCCTGTCAACGAACTGAATGAGCCCAGGGCCTACCTGGACGGCTCCGATGGCCCTGCACTCAACATCCCGCCACCCCCGGGGCGCTCGCTGGTGGACGTGGATGGTCTGGAGCAGCTCGAACAAGGTCGTAGTGATGCCCTCCCTCTGTAGCTGCTGGTGTGGTCTGGTCCTGTCGTAGGTGAATGCCCCCGTCGCTCGAGCCTCTGCCAGCTTCACATGGCAACGTGCTCACACCGGGACCCACTCCGCTCAACAAAGGACGTCGCATGTCAATATCACCTCATCGTTGACCAGAGCGTCTTTGTTGAGCCCAATCAGTCGCCAAGGCTTTGTCTTCACATGAATGCACAATGGCCCAATATCCTTTTTTTGGTTCGGTTGAAAGCCAGCTTGCGACAGAGTCCTTGTGTGATTTTCTTTGACCGAGCCTCGACACAACCACACAAATACAGCTGGCTCCGCCGGTCCGAGTCCTCGACCAGACAGACCTTTGCTTGCATACCAGAGTCCTTCCAACTGCTCGCTTCGGAAGACCCACGGCATACAAGCAACCACACTCGTTTGAGACGACGTCCGGCACACCAGCAACCACACTCGTTGAAAGATCTTTTCGGTCTACACAGACCAGACACTCGTTCTACCAGCATCCACCGGCGGTATACCACCACCACCACCACCCACACTCGCTTTTCACCACACACTCCCTTCGAGCCCTCGGAATTTTCCCCCTAGCAGTCCCGAACAACCACAAAGCCGGAACGATCATGGCCCTCTTCCAGGAAGTTGACTCCGTGGCGTTGATCGTCTACGTAGCCTTCTTCATCTTCCGGTATCTCCGCACAGTCGTCGGCATCTACACCTGGCTCACGTACAAGGCGGTGCCAATCCTGGAGAAGCCGACGTTCACCGCCGCAGACGTCTCAGTCGTCTGCCCGACCACCTTCAAGACGCCGGATGAGTTGATCAGTTGTCTCAAGAACATCGCCAAGTGCATGCCGTCCGTCATCTACGTCGTCACCTCCCACGCCAACGTCGGTCCCGCAAAGAACTGCCTCGACGCCAATGGGCTCACGCTCGTCCAGGTTCTGGGTGTCGATAAGCTCAACAAACGGGTTCAAATGCTCAAGGCCCTTGAAGTAGTTGATACTCCGATCACCGTCTTTGCTGACGACGACGTCCAATGGCCATCCCACCTCTTCCTGGACTACCTCCTTGCCCCCTTCGAAGACCCCAACGTCGGCGCTGGCGGTACCAGGCAGCGTGTCATCCGTCGCAGCGGGAACATGTGGAACTGGCTCGGCATTGGGTACCTCGAGCGACGCAATTGGAACAATATCTGCGCCAACGCCATCGACGGTTCCATCTCGACCCTCTCCGGACGCACTGCTGCTTATCGTTCCGAGATCCTCCAGACCGACGAATTCCGCTGGTACTTCCAGAACGACAGCTGGAGGGGCAGGCCGCTCAACTCTGACGACGACAAGTGCCTTACTCGCTATGTCTACTCGCACGGATGGTCCATCAAGATCCAGAGCGATTCGCATGCCATCCTGGAGACCACGCTCGAAGAGGACTCCAAGTTCATCGATCAGTGCATGCGCTGGGCTCGTGCTCACTGGCGTGGCAACTTTACCGTCATGGAGAACGAGAAGTACTGGAAGTCGTCCCGGTACGCCTGGGGTTTCTACGCTATCTATCTTGCGCAGTTCACCACCCCGGCTCTCCTCATGGACCTATTCCAGTTCCTGCTTCTCCAGTTCGCCTTCGGATCATGCAGCCAGTCCAGGAACATTGCCTTTGCCGTTCTTCTCGTCTGGATCGCGTTCACTAAGAACGTGAAGCTGATTCCTCATCTACTCCGCAGTCCGTCCGACATCAAGTTCATCCCGGTCTCGATGGCGTTCAGCTACCTCCACGGCTTCCTGAACGTGTACGCTGCGTTCACCCTCACACACACCGCATGGGGCGGCAAGGACCTGAAGGCACTGGAGACGGCGAAGGCACCCGAGGTTGCGAAGGTTCGGACGGACGAGACTGAGCCGTTGCTGCTGCAGGCGAGGAGGCTGAGCAAGACTGCGTTCGTATCTTCCCGTGATCCTACTCCCGAGCGCCAGCGTGAAGTCACTAACAGGGCATAGATCTATGAGTAGCCCAGAGTCGCTCGTCTAGGTCGGTCGCCAGGATCGCGCGCTCAGCTTGCCGATCGAGGTAGGCGCATGATCATCTTTCGTCCTCGCTTTGGTCGTCCTTTGGGAGCGGCGCACAAGCTTCAGAACTCAGCATCCAACATGAGGGTTCGCCAGTAATGAGTGCATGCATGATGAAGGAATCGAGTCGCGCCTTCCGGATGTGGTGCGCAGAGGCGCGCTGCTGACTCGGGAGGAGCGCAAAGAGGTAAACATAAAAGTACAGCTTGTTGAATTCATTGTCCCCATGACCGCTCCCGTCCCGCGTGAGTTGCACGAGTCACATGTAGTGTAGGCAACTGACCAAAGTAGATGAAAACATGTGAAAAATGAGATGAGCGAGAAGAGATGAAGGAGGTGAGGTTTGGGACGCGAGGTGAAGTCTGAAAGCCATCGTCCCCACGTGCACGTGGCAGCCCAGCCTTACACTCGCCTTTACCTACCTTAATTTCTGAACAAAGCACCACAACGGCTCAGCTGCAGGAACACTGTGATTCGGCAGCGGCAGCAGAGCGGCGAGGTGTGAGAGACGTGCAGTAGCAGCGGCAGCGGCAGGACTCAGCTTGTACCCATGACTCACCTTTATGGAGGCAGCTGAAGTGCACCAGGCGGCCATCGATGTTACCGCCGTCTACCCGAGCCACTGACCAGCGAAATATGGACGGTGTGTGTGTAGCGCGTTAGTACCTCCGGTACATGTACTACCCCAAACCGACACCGTGCAGAGGCAGCTAGTCCCTGCTGCCCACAGCCACCTGTCCCGCTCGCCAGTCATCAGTGGAACGGCGGTAGCAGAGAAAAAGACTGCGGTGAACGCGTATATAGCAGAGCGAGGCTGCTTTGACTCCCTCGCCCGCAACTCTTTGCTCGACCTATTCATCATGGCAAGAGTCACCAGCGAACTCCTGTCGCTGCAAACGCTTCACTATGTCGGCCCAGTGTGCGTACTGCTGTACTTCAGCCTCGCGAAAACCGCTGCAACTTGCTGTAAGTCCTCGCGCGATGACTGGGTACTCAAAAGTCATGCTAATGCGATGCAGTTCTTCATCGACCTTCAAAGGGCACAACAGTTGCTACCAGAAGATATGTCGCCCTGGCACTTCTAACAGCCGTCTGTACGACACTAGTTGGCCAAGCAGTCAGTCGCCTTATTCAATCGATCGCGCAACCCGGCACGTGGGCTCCGCAAGACGAAGTGGTTTACTTCCTCATATCGATCCTGGCATACGGCTCGCTCGTTCTTGGAGTAGCAGAGAATACTCAACCGATATGGCACCCCTACCTTGGATCATTTTTCGTCGGTGGCGCGTTCGAAGTTGCCATCACAACCCTCGAGGCTCTCGTGCATGGCGCCCAGAACGACTTCGAATTTACTCGACTGGCACTACAGTCCGTTCGGACCGTTCTTTTGGTTGTTCTTTGTCTGCTCGGAAGCTGGTATGCGCTGCAGGATCGACTTGACCATTCCAATCATCTAGACGAAGCTGAACCTTTAATCTCGAACGGGGGCCCGACACCCGCAAAGTCCTACGGAGCAGTGCCAGAGCAAGATGACGATGAAGCAACAAGTGACATAGATTCTGACTCGGACGAACCGAACGAGACCCGAGAGCTCAGGAAGAAGCAGCGCAAACGTGTCGAAGAGAAAGGGAGTTGGATCGCATACCTGAAAGAGTTCAAAGTGTTCCTGCCAATGCTGTGGCCTTCAAGAGATAGAATTGTGCAAGCTTGCCTCGCAGCAATTGGAGCTGTCCTCGTCGCCGAACGCTTCCTGAACGTGCTCGTTCCACGGTACCTAGGATTCATCACGGACGATCTCAACGAAGGCAACGGAGTCTTCCCTGCGCACACTGTCGCACTCTGGATGCTATTCTCATATCTCAACTCCTCGGCAGGGCTCAGTGTGGTTAAATCGCTCGCTGAGCTACCAGTACAGCAATTCGCTTACAAGAGCATTGGTGCCACGTCCTTTGCTCACATTATGGGCCTGTCAATGGATTTTCACAACGAGAAGAACAGCGGAGAGCTCATCCGTGCCTGCGACCAAGGACAGAACCTTCAAGGCCTGCTCGAGTTTGCGCTCTTCCAGATTGCACCGATGTTCATCGACTTGCTCATAGCATTCGTCTACGTTTACCTCCTCTTCGACGTGTACATGTCCTGCATCCTGGGCTTCGTCGGCATTGCATACATCTGGGTCGGCGCCAAAACAACAGGCTGGAGTGTGCGTCGGAGGAGGAGGTTTAATACTGCCTGGCGGAACGAATCGAAGGTCCAGAATGAAGCAATCAACAACTGGCAAACAGTCTCACATTTCAACCGGGGAGCGTACGAATGCGACAGGTACAGCAAATCCATTGATGAGTTCAACAAAGCCGAGATGGGCTACTTCATCTCATACTTCATCGGTGGGGGTGTGCAGTCGCTGATAATGGTTATCGGGAGACTTGCTGCATCATTCTGGGCCATCTACAAAGTATCGCGAGGAGAGGTGAAAGTCGGCAATTTCATCACATTGATCACCTACTGGCGATCGATCGAGTCGCCTCTTATGCAGGTCTCATGGAGTATCAGGCGAGTCACGCAGATGCTGACGGATTCCGAACGACTGTTGCAACTCTTCCAAACGGAGCCGAGCGTCAAGGACATCCCGGACGCAGCCGACATTGTCATCAAGAGCGGCGAGGTAGTTTTCGAAGATGTGGACTTTGCATACGACGTTCGAAAGTCAACGCTGAAGAGCGTCACCTTCACAGCAAAACCCGGACAGACTGTCGCTTTGGTCGGCGAGACAGGAGGTGGCAAGTCAACCATCTTGAAGCTGCTTTACCGCTACTACGATGTATCCGCTGGTTCAATTCGGATCGACGGACAAGACATCCGCGAAGTGACGCTCGACAGCTTGCGGGACTCGTTCGGCATGGTCCCACAAGATCCGGCGCTCTTCAACATCTCGATTATGGAGAACGTGCGGTATGCCCGTCTGGACGCTACCGACGAAGAAGTCAAAGATGCTTGCCGAGCAGCTGCGATCCACGACAAGATTGAAGGCTTCCCGGATGGCTACAAGTCGACGGTCGGTGAGCGTGGTGTGAAGCTGTCTGGTGGCGAACTGCAGCGTGTCTCCATTGCTCGCGCCATTCTGCGGCAGCCGAAGATTGTCTTGCTGGATGAGGCCACCTCCATGATCGACGCCGAGACGGAGGCCGTCATCCAGCAGGCCTTTAGAAGATTGACCTCGGACCGCACAACCTTTATCATAGCTCACAGGCTGTCCACCATCCAGCACGCGGATTTGATACTAGTAATCCAGGATGGGAAGGTGATCGAGCGCGGTACACATGATGAGCTCTTCCAAATGGATGGCAAGTATGTGGCGCTGTGGTCGCGGCAACTGAGCAAGGACGTCAAGACTGTTGGAACGACGCTGCATGTGGATCAGGCGGATCCAGCGCAGTTGAATATGGGGTCGGAGTCTACCAGAGGTGGCGCAGACGAATAGAATGAAAAGCGTGTGTTCTTGATACCCTACCGTAGGATAGACAGATGAGGCACCTTCCGATCTGGACCCATCCCGTGTCTGTGGGTCTTCCTCCAGCCGGATATACCAGTATGACCCAGCTTCTCGTAGGTACTGACGATCCTCCCGGTCATCCATGGTACCCTGTTAGCGCCGACTCAACCGTCCGGAGGTGAGTAGAGGGTGTACGATCAGGACTCGTCCGCGACAAAGCTCATCACGCAAATCCCTCCCATACGCTCCGGGCGTCGGCATATGCAAATGAAGCCTTCTTGAGCCCTTTCGGTTTCCGCTCGGGATCGTTAATCTATGCTGGTGACAGACGTGAGGTTGTTTTCTCCGCTGATCACGACCAGACCTCGGCTCAGGATCTGGAGCTCTCCATCCCGAACCCATTCTTGCCCTCTCACCCCGAGGCAGTACAGCGATGCTCACGCTCTTCATGAAGTAGATTCCTCTGTAGCATATCATACTGTAACATCATCAAATATCTCTGACAAACAGCCACCATGAGTGCCCCAGGCGCAGGCCACGAGTTCAAGCCCTATCCCGTAGCATGGAACAAGCGGGACTGTCTCCTCTTCGCCAACAGCATCGGAGGAACAGTCGATGAACTGCAGTTCCTCTACGTGAGTCTCGAATACACCATTCTCCCTCCCTGCTGTCTAACGATGCATAGGAACTCCACCCCAGCTTCTCCGTCTTCCCAACCTACCCCATCCTCCTCCCCTTCAAGCACGAAGAACAAGATGTCATCGACTTCTACGCCGCCCAATCCTCCTCCAGCATGGCGATCCCCGGCGCCCCGAAACTCGACCCCAAACGCGTCGTCGACGGCGAGCGCGCCATGACCTTCTACGAACCCCTTCCCACCACCTCCGCCGGCCGCAAATTCGAGATCCGCGGTAAGTGCATCGGCATCTACGACAAAGGCAAGCCGGGCACGGTCGTGGAGTCCCAGAACGACCTCGTCGACGCCGAGTCCGGGGAGGTATACGCGCGCATGACCGGGTCAGGGTTCTACGTCGCGCAAGGCGGATGGGGAGGGCCGAAGGGACCGAAGGCGCCGAACTACAACCCACCCGAGGGCAAGGAGCCCGATGCGGTGTACGAGCAAGCCACATCGGCGGAGATGGCGCATCTGTACCGGTTGAATGGGGATTACAACCCGTTGCACGCGACGCCGGAGCCGGGGAAGCAGATGGGGTTCGGCGGCGCGATTATGCACGGGTTGTATTCGTGGAATACTTCGTGTCATAGTCTGTTGAAGACGATGGGAGGGAGTGATCCGAAGAATATCAAGGAGTTTGCTGCGAGGTTCGCGTCGCCTGTCCTGCCTGGAGATACGCTTGTGGTGCAGATGTGGAAGATGGGGGAGAAGGACGGAGAGGGGTTTGAGGAGGTGAGGTTTGTGACGACGGTTAAGAAGACGGGCAAGGTGTGTTTGAGCAATGGGAGGGCGAAGGTGAAGGTTGTTGGGCAGAAGGAGAATCGGACTAGTAAACTGTAGAGGGAGGCGTATGAAATTGATGTCCAAATGAGCCTGTACTTGCCTGCGTCCATTGCTTTAATCGATGCAGCAACTTCCACATGTGGATGCGCCTCTGTATGATCTTGAGCAGCACGCCGTCGAACTTTCCGTACACCTGGTAAAGATGGCTCAGAACAGAGACAATCGTCAGTCATAGATGCTTGTGTCCATCCAGATATAGCCTTCTTTGTCCCTCTATCATGCGCCGCGGCTGAGTCTGGACTTCATTGTCCCACTGCAACCACACCTTTGGATATTAGCTGCGTCTCAGCCCTTGTACAAAGGCGTTGAGCCCAAGAATACATCTCGCTGTGGTACCGGTTCATCGGCGAGGCTCAATCTCACTGCTGATCAAGGGACAACATGGAATGAGGGCCATTGTGCTGCCGGAGAACGAGTCTTCGGGTCCGCACCTTGCTTCACCGACTCTCCAAGTTGACGATAAGATCTGGCGAGGCCTTGGGTGCCGATATTCTCGGGTGTCGATGTTCGAGATCAGGTTATCCCCACGTCCGGGAATGTCAAGCCACATGTGCTCCTCCAACCTCTCGCTTCAGTCTTTTTAAGCTTCCAGTGACGTCCTGAAGTCACCAAGTCACCTTTTCACGCACGTCGGCAACTCATCGAGCTCGCCAACAGACTCTTGCTCCTCCGGGAAGTTTTCTTCATTCACCTCACCGGACTCTGTTTCCGGATCACCTTCACCGTGGACTCATTACAACCTTCGCGACAGTCTACGGACCAGCCGCTGCCCTCACTCACCCAGCCAAAACGACGACCTCGCGGACTCGGTCACCTCTCGACCAAGTCGTCCAGCGCCGTACCTACACTCTCCACCTTCTCCGCCGCTGTGCCGGGCTCCATACCGCAGTCGCCGACACGACCGTCATCTAGAGCTTCCTCTCGCTCTGGCCTCGGTGCGCGAAGGGCCAGCGCCATGGCCTCTCCCCAAGATGGCGGCTTCCACCACCCTCATTCAGCAGCCGATCTGTAAGTTCGACAAATGCATGCCTTCAGGAGGTGAAGTTTGCTGACCACGTTACTCAGTCTGCGCAAAACCATTTTCCAGTAAGCAAGCATTCCAATTTTCTTCATTGGCTTTTCCATCCGCGGCATGTGGCGCCCGCATGCGGGCATTTTTTCTGTCGCGTCGGGCTGGAAGCGGCGATCATACCGAGCTGATGGAAATGCATGGCGGGCGATGGGGATCCCGTCATCGATGCGCTCCTCTTGCATGTGCAGCTCGCCTGAAGTTCGGTACTGCCTCTTCCACTGCCGTTCTTCGCCGACGCCGACGACAGCGCTGCGCACTGGGCTGACATTACTCTCTTCCCTTCTACCGTCTTCTGAATTGCAAATGAACTCGGTTGTCCATCATGGCGAGTGCTGATTTCCTTCGACCATATAGCAAGCAGCACGACGACGAGCTACACGACCAGATAGGTTCTGGCGCATCAACACCGCCCGGCGCTGCGACACCACGACCTGACTTCGTCGACAAGCGACTGCCGGGAATCATAAATAGTTACTTTGGACAGGTTCGTGACTCCCTGCTCAAACGCAGCAAGAGCACTTCAAATTCTCCCAACAACCCCGCACCATCCTCAGAGCAAGAGAAAGAGCCCATCGAGCAGAAGGAGCCCGAGGACACCTCATCCCAACACATGGCCTCGGACGCAAACAGGGAGCGCGACGGCGCATCCACGTCGCCACTCAGCGCGAACAGCGGTGCCCACGAATCACCACCACTCTTGCCACACGAGCCAAAGCGCCCGGGCCCACAACACCTGCAGACCGACTACCCTACACCTCCACTCTCCAATTCCTCCTCGTTCATCGCTATGAACCACTCTGGTGCGGGCGGGAATGGCGGCCAGCGAACTCCGTCTCCTCGCAAGCGTTCATGGACGCAGAGAAAGGAGAGCATCGCTGCGCTGACATCCAGCCTTCGCCGGGCGACCTTATCCGACGAGACTACCACCGCTGTCACCCAACCGGATGTCTCTGCTCAGCTGTCCAACCCTTGCACTGCTTCCGAGGCCCCCACAGATGCCAGCAGTTCATTATGTCAAAATGCTCAAGACAGTGATGCTCGGGTGCTGACAAATGGCGCTGAGCGCCCTCAGAATACCCCTCCTCAGACGCCTCGCACACAATCATACTCGCACGATCATAAGCCCCGCGATGACACCTCGAACGTTCGAAGCGTGCCGAAGTCGAGTCGATCGAGCTCTGGTGGGTCGCAAGCAGCGACAATCGGACAGCTGAAAGGGCAGCTGGAGATATGTATCGAGGAGGGCAGAGGACTTCGACCGAGCGTGGAGCCGTACGTTGTATGTGTGTTTCAGCAAAATGAGGACATCTCAGGCGGTCCTAAGGAGGATGCCATGGACACGCGCGAGAACGGCGCCGGCGAGGAGAAGGAGAATCTTGCAAAAGGCGTGGCGATGAAAAGATTGGGCAGTGGGTCAGGGACACCAATCTCGATACCAGGTCTCAGGAGCAGGCAAACTAGCTCCACCAACATTGCTGCCTTGAGGAGAGGCTCCGACCGGCCCGAGCGAAACGAGACCACCGAGCCGCAGTGGCGGCATACCGCGACCTTTGATGTGGTGGGGGAGAAGAACGAAGTTGACATCTCGGTATACGACAAGTCGAACAACGAGACATTCATTGGCCACGTTCGGTTACCGCTCAACCTCGACGACTACCAACACCAGCATGAAGACTGGTTCAATCTCGAAGCGCGAGAGGCCTCGTCGGACCATGTCACAGGCCAGATCCGACTCAAGATCGCTTTCCACGCCAGTGGAAAGAAGGTCTTTGGCCCAGACGACTTCCAGATCTTGAAGCTGATCGGCAAGGGCACATTCGGTCAGGTCTTCCAAGTACGGAAAAAGGACACCAAGCGGATATACGCCATGAAGGTGTTGTCGAAGAAGGTCATCGTCCAAAAGAAGGAGATACAGCATACCATAGGAGAGCGTAACATTCTCGTTCGGACGGCTACCTCGGAGTCCCCCTTCATTGTGGGTCTGAAGTTCTCGTTCCAGACGGCGGCAGATCTGTACCTCGTTACCGACTACATGTCTGGCGGCGAGCTCTTCTGGCACCTGCAGAAAGAGGGCCGCTTCCACGAGGAACGTGCAAAGTTCTACATTGCGGAGCTCATCCTGGCACTGCGGCACTTACACCAGTACGATATCGTATACCGCGACCTCAAGCCCGAGAATATCCTGCTCGATGCGAATGGACACATCGCGCTTTGCGACTTCGGCCTATCGAAAGCGAACCTGGCCAAGAACGACACGACGAATACCTTCTGCGGCACGACTGAGTACCTCGCGCCAGAAGTGCTCCTCGATGAACAAGGCTACACCAAAATGGTCGACTTCTGGTCACTGGGCGTGCTCGTGTTCGAAATGTGCTGCGGCTGGTCGCCCTTCTACGCCGAAGACACCCAACAGATGTACAAGAACATTGCATTTGGCAAGGTGCGGTTCCCTAGAGATGCGCTGTCCCAAGAAGGCCGCAACTTCGTCAAGGGACTGCTCAACCGCAATCCGCAACACCGCTTGGGTGCGAAGCAGGATGCGGAGGAACTGATGGGGCATCCATTCTTCCACGACGTCGACTGGAACGCTCTTAGCAAGAAGCTGACGCAGCCGCCGTTCAAGCCGAAATTGAAGGGCGAGCTCGACACCAGCAATTTTGACCCGGAGTTCACGAATGCGCTTACGGATGGTGGTGCTTCGTCGTTGAACGCGAGGGCTGCAGCGCTGGCGAGCGGTGTTCATGCTGATAGCACACCGCTTAGCCCGACAATGCAGAACCAGTTCAAGGGCTTTACCTTCGTGGACGAGAGCACGCTGGAGCAGCAGTTTGGCGATCGGGACTTTGGCATGGACGGTACGGACGACCGCAATGCGAACAGGGTGTCGACGAATTTCAGCGGTCGAGATGGCGGTGATAGGATGAGCGGCATCGAGCCCAGCAGTGCTCAGAGCGACAGCGAGTTCAATCATGGTATGCTGGACGACATATGATGAGTGTTCCACACACTTTCGACAGGGGCATTGCCTGCGGCTGCTTCGGTACAGGCACGGCTTTGTACATTCTGTACAGCTCTTCATACCCCGACATACAGCAACGTCAAACATCACCTACCGACACTACTTCACACGACCTCGCCGACAGCGCGCAGTCGTGTGCTATCGAGCGGCTGGCAAATACTCAGCAGCAAGCAAGCACGCAAACGAGCGAGTGGGAAAAGGCATCTTCGAAACGGCGTTAATAATGGGCGGGCGGGCGTGGTTGCTGCTTAACGGAATGATTCACAGCGAATGGCGGGTAGGCAGGCGGGCTTCTTGGAATGCGAAGCATGATGAATGAAAAGGGACGGGTTTGATTCAGGCGGTACTTTCTTCCGGCGGCGCAGAGAGCTTTGTGAATAAGTTTAGCGTGGTTTTGTAAGGGATGAATTGATGTGTGTTGATTCTGAGACGTTCACCTAGTGTCTCTTCGTTTATTGAATGCCTTCGATTAATGAATGTAGAGTCCATCTGACCGCTGGTCCAAGGAGAAAGTGATAAAAACGTATTGAACAACGTGAAGGAGAGCACGTGATTTTGAAGTTCTGCCAAGGAATTTGTCGCCGCACCTTCCCGCTGAGGCGCTCTTGCGACAGCAGCTGTGGCAGCTTCTCAGCGTCGCGCAGCGCGTCTCCCACAAATCTCAAAGCCGACACCCCGCCAAGCTAGCAGCCAGCGACGATGCCGTTCCAGAAGGGTCACAGAGGTGCCCGCCGGAGCAGCCGCAAGTCCGACTTCGCCAGTGAGTCCAGCACAGCGACACCGCAAAAGCGCTGCAGACTCAACAGAAACGACGCAGAAGCACCAACACCAGAAGCGCCAGAAGATGCATCCGACCAGGACATGGTTGACGCCGACGGTGATGCGGAAGACTCGCAGAACATCGGCACACCACAGCCCGATGGAAACGAGCAGGACGAGGAGGAGGACGCAGGCACACCGGCGCAGGACGACGATGACGCCGAATCCTCACCCGCCATAACCACCATTCCCCGACGGACGAGAGGCAGAGGAGGACGGAGAGGGCGCTCACGACCCGATATCAGCACGCCCGAGCCTGGTGAAGATGGCAGCGAATCCGGCACTCCCTTCCGGCGGCGCAGAGGCAGACCACCGGGCCCGAACAGCGGCAGAGGCAGAGGCGGCACTCGCGGGCGGAGAGGGAAGGCGGGGCCACCGGAGCAACCGCGGGTGATGGACAAGGACGGCAATACGCTGGAAGTGAAGGACGACGAGGCGCAGGTAGATGACGACCCGGAAGGCAACGAGAAGGTGGATGCGCTGGGCAACCTGCAAGGAGGCCGCGACTATCGCGTGAGGACATTCACCATCGTGGGAAGAGGCGAGAGGCTGTACATGTTGTCGACTGAGCCGGCAAGATGTTGTGGCTTCCGCGACAGCTATCTCTTCTTCACGAAACACCCGAAGCTCTTCAAAGTGCTGGTCAACGAGGAGCAGAAGAAGGATCTGATCGAGCGCGACATCCTACCGAGCAGCTACAAGGGTCGCAACATCGGTGTTGTCACGGCTCGATCGGTTTTCCGGGAGTTTGGTGCGAAAATCATCGTCGGTGGACGGAGGGTGATTGACGATTACAAGGTCGCAGAGGCCAAAGCGAACGGTGAGGTTGAAGGAGAGCTTGCGGATCCGGACGATAGGCTCCCGGACAACAAGGACGACTACAATCGCAACCGCTACGTGGCCTGGTTTGGTGCGAGTGAGGTGTACCGGAATGCTGGACAGGGTGGTGGTGCTGTGCATCCGGGCAAACCAGGGCCTGTGGGTAAGAGGAGGAATAATTTGACTGTGACGAATTGGCAGGTGATGCATGCGAGGGAAGCAAAGTATGTTCGATTTGTCTTTACTGTGTTTTGAGAGGCCCTGCTGACTTACAGTTATAGCCGCTTCAACAGCCACCTAGCAGCTTTCCGACATGGAAATCTGGATGGCGTTTATGACACTCACACCAACATGATGTTCTATCCCAAGATCATGCAGCCGACGCACGCCCGTTGGGAGCAGATCCCACCGCCCTCGACACCTGCTCAAGCCGAACAGAACCTTCTCACCAACGGCCACACCAACGATACCACACCAAACGGCACCCACAACGATTCCATGGACCTCGACCACGCACCTCCCCAAGACACGACCTCATCAACCCTCTTCCACCCCGTCCCGGCCGTCATCACCCGCAACTTCACCGTCATCGACACGACCTACACCGCCCCTCCCCTCTCACACACCGGCTACCCCGGCCCAGACGGGCACACCGCCGACCCGGCCTCCGGCTCCAACGGCCTCAGCAACATTCCGGGCGAGCTCGTCGACGAGCTGCCGGAGGACTGTCGCAGGGCTTTTGAGGAGGCGAGACGTACGGAGGTGCAGTGGAAGAGGGGTTGGGGTACGGAGGGCGAGAGTGGGTTGAGGGGGGGTTTGAGGGTGGGGCTGAGTGGGTATCCTGTTTGATGTTGTGAGGGCGTTGGGCGAATAGGCGTTTCGGGGGTGGCTCAATGGGTGGGAAGGCAGATCAAACTGGGAGGAAGGATTGGTATGGGTCTGAACGAGTGGTGAGAGATGGGGTTGTGGTGGAGTGGTGGATGTGTTTGAGTATGATATGCTAGCTACCTGCTTTAATAGAAGCGGCACCCAGATGGGGTAGCCTACGAGGGTAGCGTAGCCCAAGACTTCTTTGCCATGCATTGCATTTGCATACTACATTCCTCACGGCCAGACCCGGCCACGACCGCATTCCAGCGTCCTTCTTTAGCCGCTTCGGTACCCCCGGTGACGGCTGTCATGGAACAAACAAAGCTCCATTCACTATGGGCCAGATTCGATGCTGTTCATAACCTTCCGTTGACGAGCAGCGTTATGGCGGGTCGCATAGTCGCACCACACTTCCGCTCTGAACAACTGCACCACACAACCTCCCTTACGACACCACAACCCGCTTCGAAGGCACAACCAGGCCGCAGACAAGGCCTCAACGTCGCACCCAGCGGCACAAACCCGCGGCACAAACCCGCAGCACGCGGAGCGATGCCCTCCAACACCATCCTCGACCCCTGCCCCTACCCCTTCCTCCCCCTCATCGACTACCCCCAAACCGGCGGCGTACGTTCCCCTCCTCTCCCCCTCCCTCCCTTCCCTCCACTAACCCATCATTCTTTTCACAGTACCTCCAAGGCCGCTTCTGCGGCCCTGTAACCCCGACGCAAACCTGCTGCCTCCCCTGCCCCCTCCAACAATGGGTCTCCAGCGACAACTTCGAGTACAACGCCGACGTGGCGTACTGGTTCAACGTGCCGGCGCTGGTGTGTCAGGTTTTCCTGCTGGTGACGTTTGCGGTGCTGCCGAAGGAGGTTAGTGGAAGGCATTATTTGAGTATTGGGTTGTGTGTTGCGTTGGTGCTTTTGGAGGTGAGTTGGCATACCTACTCCTGGTAGACTATTTGGTGAGAAGGTAATGTGTGCTGATGGAAAAGGCAGATCAGCTTTATTATCCCGCTGGCGGGGAATCCGGACCAGTGCTATAACATGATCACGCCGCGGGACATGTACTCCAGCATGTCCTGCGCCTGGTCCGGGACGTTGTTGGAAGTCGGGGCCATGTCCGCTGTAATCTGGAGTGCGTCTTTTCCCCCTCCACCCCTTCCAACTCCACATACTGACCTACCCAGTCCTCCTCCGCTCCCTCTGGACCCACCTCCGCGTGTGCTGGAACATCGAACACACCCCCGCCTTCCTCTGGATCGCACACCTCCTCGGCTGGGGCCTCCCCGTCATCTTCCTCGCCATCTCCCTCCCCATCACCGGCGTCTCCTTCCGCGTCGGCGGGACCTGTCTCCCCAACCCCAACGGCGCTTTCGTCACCTGGTTCGGCTGGCTCATCACCTTCGCCGCCGCGGGCGCCATCATCCAGTTCGCCACGACCGGATTCTGTCTCGCGATCTACTTGAAAAGTTTCTTCAAACAGGACCCGCAGTCCTTCAGCAGCACCACCGGCGCCAGCATGGCTTCCGGCCCTAGCGCAGCTGGCAACGCAAACGGCAACGGCCAAACCAAGCACTCCGCGCGCAAAATGGCCAAACGCCTCGCCTGGCGGCGCGTGCGGAAAGTGATGCAGATGCAATGGCGGTCCATCGCGCTCAGCTTATTCGTGATCCTGCAGACGTGCTACTTCGGGTCCATCTACGTGGCGCAGGTGCAGAACTCCAAGGCCAACGCGAAGCCGGAGCACTCGGAGCAGGTGTTCCAGTGGATCTCATGTCTGGTGCAAAGTGGTGGGGATAAGGACCGGTGCATCTATTTGGCCAAGTCGCTGAGTCTGCCGGAGGCGAGCGTGATTACTAACTTTTTTCTCGTTTCGGTGAGGTTGTCTCTCTTGCATCTTGGTGGAGGCACGCAAGCTGACTGTGCTATCCAACAGATCATCGGCATAGTGACTTTCCTCTTGATGGTCCGCTGGTCCATGCTCGTGGCCTGGTGGGAGTTGATCTGCGATCCGGGTCGTGGACGCCGACGACAGAGCAGCGCGGCGGACTGGGTGTCAGCTCCGCCGAAGCGGCTGTCGCTCGGAAGGATCCTGGCATCAGATCGACTGCCCAAGACTACCGCGGGTGGCGAGGAAGAGATGCCAAAGGCTCACACGGGTGTTCTGCCTTCGCCTGAGAAGGACCGAGCGATAAGTGTGCCCGAGGCCGGGGATGTTGCGAAGAGGCATGAGACGACGACTCTGTTTGACGAAGATGGGGATCTTGAGGATGAGAGGAGGATAAGTCGATCTGGGAGATTGAGAGGTGGAGATGATGTGATTTGATGTTTTGATATTGGAAAGGGGTTTCGAGCATAGATTCTCACCTGCTGTTTAGGAGCGTACCTATTAATTATGAAATTGTTCACTTACAATGAGCTCTTCGTGGAGTCTCTCGTCATGTCGTTGAGTGTGCCTTGACAGGGACACCGGATCAAACGCTAAAAAGCGAGGAGGACCTCTGCCAGGATGACCGTCCAGGCTACCAAGCGACGATGTCGACAACTGTGCTCTGGCATCTAGGTGAAGCGTCCGGTGCTAGGACAGAGTGAGTGAGCATCCACAGTACTGTGCTTCAGTCCGAGCCCAGTGCTGAAGTGGGCTGATATGCGCGATGGATATCATGCAGTCGCAGGATCTCAGTCCTGTTGGATAGTCGAGTCGTTGGTTGCCAGTTCGGCCAGAGCGAGCGGCCGCAAGCATCGCCACATGTCAGCAAACTGCATTTCAGGTTCAGCGTCTTGAGGTAGGCAGTCAGTATTGCAAGGCTTCAATCTGGACCGGCGCGTTGCTGCCGCCTGGTACTTGAGAAGTACAGGTAGGCAGTAGGATTGCCCGCCAGTAAATCCGCGACAACTCAAGAGGAGTCAGAGTGTGACATCGATCCAGCACACGAGTGAGGCGTGTGTCCGGCGTGCAGCGCGTTGTCAGATTCGATACCTATATTCTCGTACCGCTGATTCGGGCAAGGCCAGCCCTATTTTTATGACCGGACAGGCACGGCTTCGTTGGCTTCTGTGCTGCAGACTCTGACACACGAGCCACTTACTCCTCCCAAGGCCGAGGAGTGCATCGTGATTCATCATTTTTGGTGAACGAGTGCCGAGAGGTGGTGGAGTTTAGGCGCGACGAGTTCCAACACTTTTCGATTATTGTGGTGGTGGTGTCTGCCGGCTGCTCTGTTCTGTCAAGCGATGCGCAGATGCTGGATGACGCTACTGACAGTGAAAAGTGATGCTAGCATCCACGCGATCGCGAGGCGGGAGGCGTTGGCTGTATCTCAGCGCTGCTCACCCAGCAGTTGATCAGAATAGGTGGTTTGCACGCCCGGGAATTGCACCTGTCGTTCTCGCGGTACGGGATAGATACATACATACCATCAACCGGAGCGCGATCGGATTGGACCGCGTGGGAATTGATGAGGGATGTGGATTTGTAAACGGGCCTTGACGGCGAGGGCGGGCATGCAGCGGAGTAGCACAGCGAATAGCAGAAGTCTTGGTCAAACAAGCAGAATTTCTTCATTCGTGACCACGTGCGGGAATAATATCCTTCCTTCATCAGAGTTCTCTTCACCACCCTCTCGTGCTCCTCGTACATCACGCACCCCCTTCCGTGCCTGTGTCGAGCGTGTCACAAAAAGGAGACTGCTCGCCCAGTGTAATTTCGAAGGCGAACGTGCTATCCATTCATCTCGGCACCTCTGAACCGCTGGGCCGTTTTCGGAAGAAAGGACTGGCCAAATCATCAGCAGGGGAAGCCACCGACCACCTCATCATCACTGCCGTCGAAGTCTTTGCATCGACGTGCAGATTCTTCACAGAGCAGGCGCCAGAAGAAGGAAGACCTCGGGTGTGAGCGTGAGCGTGGACTTTGGGTGGGAACGGAGCATCATCTTTTGGTTCCGCGACTCGACTCGCTTTGCACGCCACGCACGGGCTGAAGTCAAAGCCCTTCGCATCCGTCGGCGAGTCCTCCTCGTCCTGCTCCTTGCCCCTAACAACTCCGCCGCCTCCAACCTCGACACCTTTGGCGGTGACTCGACGTCAAGTTTTCGACCTTGTCGTCTGCTCACCTTCACCAGGTCCATATCCACTGCAGGCTCCAAGTCCGCGTGCCATTCACTACCAGCATTTCAAAACAACCAGCAGCTTCTCCAGCAGGACTCATTCACTTGATCACCCTGCGCATACCATACCTATTTCGCCACTGGATCATCACCGTCCTCGAGCGCAAATATCCTACCGCCTGAGCACGCCTTCGCGTCGACCCGACCTGCGCCTGCCTAACGCGCAACGACTTCACCTACCGACCTCACTTCATCAACTTCTCCCCTGCGCCGCATCGAAGGTCTTGTGCATCCATTTCACAACTGCACCATCAACAGCAAGACACATTGTTAGAAACAATCTGCATGAATAGTCGGCAGTAGGACCTTGCCGCCTCTCACGGAGCAGGTGCTGGGCCTTTGTGGTGTTTCGGTGCAAGAAACGGTTCGTCGACCAGAGAAGTCTGCACGCTTTTCGCCATACTGATTGATTCAGAGTGTGATTACACACCGTTTCTTCACCCGTCGTCGGTTTCGTGGCCATGCCATCCCTCTACCAGCGCTCGGCTGCGAGTCAACTACCACTCACACCGCCAGACTCTGGTTCGGGATATGGGTACAGCAACATGCACTACTCACGCGATCCTTTCGCAGCACACCAGTCGATGATGCCACCGATGCGGCACGACAGCGGGTTCGACTACCAGCAGCCGTACATGCAGCCTCCGGTCGCGCCAGCTCCTCCCACATACCAATACTCACAGAGCAGCTACCAGACTGGCAACAGTCTTCCTCCGCTTCAGAGCTTCTACGAGCCGATGGGCGCACCCCTGCTGCCACCGCTGAGGATCAACGACCATCTCTCATTCACCGACGACTACAACCGACGGCTACAACAAGAGCAGTTGTCGGCCACCCACGAACAGCAACGCCAACCACCCAAGGAGGAAAAGGCGACGGGTGGTGTGTCTGCAAAGCTCGACTACGACATGGATCACATGACGGACTTTGTGGCGGAGGCGACGGGTAAAATGTATGCCTACCACAACTCCCCTGTCTGCCTTGCAGATATTGACGTGACTCGAAGTTTCGGCTACTCGATGCAAAGCCATCCGTCGTTTCGAAAGTGGGTGCACCAGGTGCTCTCGGCGACACGGCTGCCTTCGGCGACGATTCTGCTGAGCTTGCACTACCTGAACGACCGCCTCGCGAACCATCCTCATTCGGTACAGACCAGCGAGAATCAGATTTATCGGTTGCTTGCGGTAGCGCTGATCTTGGGGAGTAAATTCCTCGACGACAATACGTTCATCAACCGGTCGTGGTCGGATGTGACGGCGATCAAGGTTACGGAGCTGAACCAGTTGGAGATGGAGTGGCTCGGCCTGATTCACTATCACTTGCATATTGATCCGGCGTCACAGAACGGTCTGCAATCGTGGCTGGATGGGTGGAAGCAGTATCAAGCGGAGAAGGTCGCGAAGCAGCAGCAGCAGATGCAGGCAGCGAGGCTGTCCCCACTCGATACGACGAATGTGTACAGGCATGCCGGGCATCGAAGTGAGAGGTTCTCGCCGTATCCGTCGCCGTACAGCGCGCGGTCAGCATACGAGACCCCGCACACCGCGCGGTCGTCGAACTTCGGAGCATCGACATACGCGAACGACCCGTGGGCTCGAAACGACCGCCCCCTCGACGACTTCTACAAGCCGCAGCACCGCTACCCGACGTTGAGCGAGATGGACGAAGCGAACCGTCGGGCTTCTGAAGAGCGTGCCCGGGCGTATCAGACGTACTACCAGCCGACGAGCTACGGTTCCGGGTGGGATCAGCAGTGGAGTGGTGTGCATCGGTATGATTGCAATTGTGCGACGTGCAGTTATCAGCAGCATTACCGGCCGTATCCGACGGCGCATAGTTATAATTCGCAGACGGCGGTTATGGGATGAGGTGGAGTTTCGATTCGGGCGGCGATCTCTTCTGCGGATTCCTGACGTTGAAGCGACTTCCAAGGGAGGCTTGGTGTCCTAACACTGGTTTTGGACATTCTTGCTACGCATCGACCTGGAAAAGGCAACGCTCTTGTTCGATTGGCGAGGCGGTCACCTTCATCAAGCTACTTCTCACGCGACTTCACCCCACCTCATCAAGCGACTCCATCCGACCTCATCTGCTCGACAATACCGACCAACACAAACTGCGATCGACCTTCACCATTCCTGCATTTTCTCGGCACTTCAGATCCACAGCAACGGATCACTTCATCACCACCGGAGCACAGTGAGCGGGACCCTTTCACCCTCAGCATTACACATTCAAAAGCTTCAATTTAGCACGGCGTTTCAAGACGGAATAATTCCGGGGGGGCGTTGCGCAGCACTTGCTTTTCTTGCATGGCCTTATACACCGGGAAACCACAGGGACGGGAACGGGGATGGGGAAACTAAAAGGACACCTTTGGATTCTGGGGAGCGTTGATTTTTTTCTTCATGTTCATGTTCTGGCTGTTGAGGCTGGCTGTCGTTATCACATTTTTTGAGCGCGATGGGAGCAAGCGGGCGTTTCTCTTGATTGGGGATGGGGGGTGCATTGCTTTGTGGGTAGAGGATACGTTCGCCCTGTTGCGTGCTGGGCTCTTGCTGGTTTGGAGGCGAGGGCTGGCTGGCTGGGAGGGGAGGGGGTTTTGATAGATTACCTTAGCGTTTTGAGAGAGGGGGGGACGTTTTAATGGCATGCTTGCTGGCCCGGATGGGCTGGTGGGTTGGTTTGATGATCATTCGCCTGTGCTTTTTGTTTCAATGTTGTGGTTGGTACGGTGTCCATGGGGGGTTTAGGGGGTCGTGTTGATGGCGGGTGTCTTGGGCTGCGTTGAAGGGCTGGGTTGATGTGTTGACTGGTTTACTTCGGTGATGCGTTCGTGGTTCGGTATGTTTCATTGACCATATCGATTTTGGGGATGAGGTATTGAAGGGTAGCTGTCGACGGGAGAAGTCGATCGGACGTGTCGTTCGTTGGCTCGACGACTGCATGTGATCGTCGAGCAGACCAAGAATTCAAGCGCATTTTCGATGGTGTAGTGCTGGCTGGGTTGATTTGATCATCATCGTTATTGCCCAACCATACGATCCACTGTAGGTGTCCGTCTGGAGTGGACGGGAGGAAGTGTCGTTCGTTGGTTCAATCGTTGCATGTCGTCGTCAACCACGTTAGCTGCTGGGGGCAGTTTTGACGAGGCGTCAGAATGTCCATCGGCCGACATTTTTAATGTCGATGATGGTGTTGAGTGAACTTGTTGACGGCAAGAGTCGTTCGTTGGATCGATCGTTGCATGTGATCGTCGGCGGCGACCCTTCCATCGATTTCTGTCGACCACTACCAATCCAATGTATTTCCAAAGACACCCGACTGTTGCCTCACAGTTTGTAGACGTCCCTGTGATTCATTTCAGTGCTTGGCTGTGCAAGAGAACGAGTTTTAGGTCCCCGAACTCCACATGTGCATCGGTTGATCCCCGGCTCTATTGTTGCAGCTATAATATTGTATCTTTGGAAAATGTCTGATTAGTCAACAGTTGTTGCACTGCCTGGACTCAGAGTCCGTTAGGTTCCGGTTAGTTTCTATCCTTACCTGCTGTGCCAATCAAAGTTCTAACGAATCTAAAGTGGCCTAATGGTAAGGTATGTCTACCACGCCTGCTCCAGCCTCCTGTCAATCAATGTATTGATTAGAATAGGCGTTGCTTTCCGGCACTGCTATTCAATTTGAAGGCATGTGGGACATGGCAAAGATTGTGGGTAAGTGATTTGGACTCGTGGTGATATTTCCCGATCATTTGTTGACATTCTCGTCTAGGTTCGAGGTATGTTCGACTATTCCACGACTTCGATCATTAATCTGATCATTGTCTCCGCCAGTCCCATCGGGATCGTTTCAAACGGTTCAACTTTTTGCCCATAGAACTTGTAGTGTGGTTGTCAGACCGTCAAAATCCATCCAACGCCGTGGGCAGACTTTTTGGCCATATCGACTGCAGAACCCTATTTTTTTGCAACGACGACGGGCCCACCGTTACGGGCATTTTTCACTGGTTAAGGAACACCCATCGCACTGTTTCTAGACCCTCCAGTGCTGTTGGTGGACATCGAATATTCACAGCGGTGTGTGACTTCCTAGTTGGGCTTAGTACGATTATTTAGCGCGGACACTGTCGCTTCTTCCATTTTGAGCGAATACAGGTTCATACGTGCGAAAACACTTCATCGATACACATCTAAGAGTCTACACTTCCGAGATAGCTCTGCTGGAATGAACATGTCGGCAGGCCACACTGCGGCGGTGACTCGGCAGCCCGCAGCACTACAGGTGAGGGGAAGCTGATGGGCTTCCGAAGCTACAACGGCTATACGGTAGGTCGTTCATCAATCGAAGCGTGTTCTTACTCTACATGTCTTGACTGGCTACGTTTGAACTGTACTTTCCAAAGTCTGCTAGGCCAAGATGACCTCCATCGACTGGGACCTACTCAAAGACCGCTCCGTCCTCATTACCGGGGGTGCATCTGGGCTCGGCGAGGCAACAACTCGAAAGTTTCACAACCATGGAGCGTATGTGACAATAGCTGATGTACAGGACGACCTTGGCGAGAAGTTGACCAAGGAGCTCGGCGACCGGACCACTTTCGTGCACTGCGATACCACGGACTGGGATCAGTCTGCTGCGGCGTTCAAGCATGCTGCTAATTTTCCTCCGGAGAAGACGATTGATATTGTGATCTTGTTTGCTGGGGTTGATGGGGAGAGGAGAGGTGAGTGGAGATAAGATGCTGTTTACGGGCAGTCAATGGTGCACTGGAGCCCAGTGCCAGTTCGAAAGTCATCGAACAATCGCGAGTCGTCACGATGGCATTGGCTTACCAGAAAATTGCATACTGCATCATTCTGTTAGCAGGTTTGAATGATGACCATTATTCGCTGATCTTGCTTCCACGTCGGCAGGCCTCGTCGACCTGGTCCTCGACCAGCCAGCACCTACACTCGACGGCGACCCAACCCCCGCAAGACCAGCGCACAAAGCTCTCGACATCAATCTAATCGGCGTCTACATGTCCACATATCTAGCATTACACTACTTTCGCCTCCCGCCAAAGTCCGGCCAACAGAGCTTCAAGAAATCCCTCGTGCTTATATCCAGTTTGACCGGCTACATGGACCTCCCATACAACACCGGATACGCCACATCGAAATACGCCGTCCGCGGCATGTTCAGAAGCATACGCAAAGCCGTCGAGAAAGTCAACGCAAGAGTCAACAATATCGCTCCGGGCTACGTGCTCACGCCTTTGACGAAGAAGGTGCATCAGATTGATGATCCGAAGCAGCCGAGCAAGGCGACGGGTCATGTTCTGCCGTGGACGCCGATGGAGTATGTGGTGGATGCTTGTGGGAGGTGTGCGGTGGACGAAGGAACGGACGGTATGCTTGCGGCTGGCCAGTGATTGACTGAATGGACCCTTTGGCTAACGCAAAGACAGGCCGTACGTTCGCTATAATGCCATCTGGCGTTATTGACATGGAAGAAGACTTTGACAAAGGATATGGGGGGCCGAAGTCTTGTGAGATATTGGAAAGTGAAGGCATCACTGCTCTGTTCCCGGCTTTGTTCGGGAAGTGAATATCCAAATCTGGTTGATCCGTAACATATTCATGCTAAGGTAGCTGTGCTTCTAGGATCGGTCGAGACAGTGGTGTAAGTACCATTTAGTCTAGACAAAGCTCAAATTTGCCTGAGAAAGTGCACCTCCAGTCTGTTCTAATCGCACCCGACAGAACCCGGCGGACCCACAGCACATTTTGCAACCTGGTCCGCGTCTGCCAACTTTGCCGGAATGCTCTCGGTTCGTCGTCTCAGCCCGTCACCGTGGACGACTTGATCTCTTCGGCAGTCATGTTGGTGGCCTTGAATTTGGAGATGAAGTCGTCGCGTGGGATGTAGCCTCCTGCCATCCTCCGCTTGCCAGTGAAAGCTGCTCGTCCGTGAAGCACCCGCCAGTTGTCGAGGACTAGACTTGATCAGCAGATGGCTCGCTCATAATGCAAGCGTACATACTGAGAAGCCTGCCCGGCTTCAACTGAAACCAGTATTGGTTCTTCGGCTCGCTGATCAGAGCATCGAATTTGCTGCATCTGTCAGTAATATGTCCAAACTCAACGGGCGCCGAACTGCTTACGCTGCTGCATCATACCAGCCCTCCACATTGCCGTATTGGGCGGAGATACCCGCCCGATCAGCATTGTTCCACCGAACCTGAGTCAGATGCCGAACGTGACGAGAGTGAGAAAGCACCGGTTGCGGCTCGGCGGGCTGTATGCTGATCCCGTCGTTGCCGCTTGCATGCGCGTAGACTGGGATGGAACTCAGTCTGGAGTAAGCTCGCACATCTTGCTCGTGAAGTTTCGCCGCGACTTGGAAGCCGTCGACAAGAGAGCTCTCCCCGCCACCTCCGTCGGTGTGCGAGAGGAGGTGCAATGCCTGTAGGCCTGCCGGTTCAGTGAAGTATGTATTGTCAGTATGAGGCTCTAAGCTTTCGCTTGTATACGCAGTGTCTTTCGAAGACAGGTCAGAGGTGAAGTCGTAGAAGCCGCCATAGTGGGTGTTTCTGATCGGCCCAATGCTTTCCAGCAGACCTTGGGTGGCTTCCGGCGTGGGCTCAATGTCGTCAATAAAGCAGAAGCCGAACGTCCTCTAAAGCTAGTTAGATGGTATCACCGCAATCGACGGGTGTGCCGCTCACGATTTTGTGGAGCAATTCGCCCACGCCTGCGGAGGTTACATCGCCATACTGAACCGCAGGCGGCTCTGCAGCAATTTTGGCATCCCACGTCTTGATTCTGGGTCTCGGTTAGAAAAGTGACAGAGAAAGGACGATAAATGACTGACGCGACATTTCCGAGTCGTCGAAGCTCAATAGCAAAGCTTTGCCTTTCCAGAAGAGCTGCCTTTGCAACCACTGTCTTATGACCGTCGCCGACTTGCAACGATGTGTCAGCATTATTCGTCATTCTAATATGGCCGCACTCACAGGTCACATCGAAGCCGTCTCCGCTTGATGTCTGTTGCACTTTGGCAACATCACAATTCACAGTATCCTTGATACATCAGCAACGATCCAAGGATACATCGATCCGGATGGGCAGACCTTGAATACGTTCACTCGACGTTGTCCTGTCTCGGGATGGAGGCATTCGGGGCATGTGCACGTGTCCCTGCAATCGTAAGAACAGTGGCATTGACCACTACTAAAGAGATCGGGTACCTGAGCCAGCGTCCAGGACTGCAGAGGGTCAGCCGCTGTAGACCTGGAGGAGTTGTCCACTTACAAATCGTAGTATTGCTTGTCTGCATCATGCCAATGCTGCAATCTGTTTTCGTGCAACCTCAAGAACGAGTCCTTACGAGACTTCAGATTGCCCGGCGGCACAGGGAACTACACATGTCACTCTCGTCTGATAGCCAAGTTGCTGTGTTCGGGTCTTACCACTGTAGCCTGTTTTTGAAACGAGCGTTTCTCATTTGGAGTGATAATGTCGGTTTTGGACGTCGTAATTTGATGGAACGCTCGATGAAAAGCACATATCCGACCGGCACTTTTCTTAATTGCAAGTACTGGGTGTGCCGGAGGTTGTAGCAACAATCTTCTCCTCCGTCTTGAAAGGCACCTCATAAGCGGCATACAAGACGTGAGGGTGTAGTGTGCTCACCTACGGTAGCAGAGAGCGTCGCGAGAACATGCTAGCCATCACGTTTGATCAACGCGCAAACATGTCTTTCCAACCGACTCTGCTGGGACAAGTTGCAGTCAAAGTGAGGGGTTCTCGAGAGGAGGATGTCTTTCTGATGCTAACAAGCTGTGACGTAGCATCAAATGCTGTGACAGAGAGGAGCCGCGTCTGAGCCAGTGTTTCTCCCTCTCCGCGAGCCCAACAAGTTTCGTGCTGTTGTACAACCGGTGGTCCTCACTAGTGCCTGGCGTGTTTTGGGAGAGAGTGTGGTAGGCGGCTCGCTCGACGGAACGGATCGACCATGCGGCTCAAAAGCTTATGTCACCTACAGCTGCGTCGACCTTTCGTGCCTGATACCCTCTCCATCACCACTTCACACTTATAGCCCAACATCACCTCCCTTGTTACCACCTTCTCATCCGCGAGAACCACGCTAAGCTCAACAACACATACGAGACTCTCATAAGACCAGCCACAATGTCCACCCTCGAAGATCTAGACGACATGGAGCGCGATGGCAAGAAGGAAGATGACCAAGGCGAGAAGGACAAGGACCAGGACGGCAAGAAGTCTGAACAGAACGACGATGCGGAGATGAAGGACGCTGATGGCGAGAAGAAGGAGGAGGAGAAGCAAGAAGAGGAGAACCTCATCGACATGGAGATCCTAAACTCAAGCACACGAGACATCGTTGCGCGGCGGCGGCTCATAGAGAACGACACGCGGATCATGAAGAGCGAATTCAACCGCCTCAATCACGAGAAGCAGACGATGCACGACAAGATCAAGGATAATGTAGACAAGATTGACAACAACAGGTGCGTTTGGTGTATGCCATGGCAGTGGCAACATGCTGACTTGGAGATACAGACAATTACCCTACCTCGTCGGCAATGTTGTGGAGATCCTCGACCTCGATGTCACCGCAGAGGCAGCCGAAGAAGGCGCCAATATCGACCTCGATGCGACACGCGTCGGCAAATCCGCTGTTATTAAGACCAGCACCCGACAGACCATCTTCCTCCCCCTCATCGGCCTTGTCGACCACGAGAAGCTGAAGCCAGGCGATCTGATCGGTGTGAACAAGGACTCATACCTGGTTCTCGACACACTTCCGGCCGAGTACGACAGCAGAGTGAAGGCTATGGAGGTGGATGAGAAGCCAACGGAGAAGTACACGGATGTTGGTGGGCTGGACAAGCAAATTGAAGAGCTGGTCGAGGCTGTGGTGTGGCCAATGAAGGAGGCGGAGCGGTTTACCAAGATCGGCATCAAGGCGCCAAAGGGTAGGTGGACAGCAAAGGTTAAATGCAAACGAATACTAACAACTGTGAATAGGTGCTCTGATGTACGGCCCCCCAGGCACAGGCAAGACGCTTCTCGCCCGTGCATGCGCCGCGCAAACCGAAGCTACCTTCCTCAAGCTCGCCGGTCCCCAACTGGTGCAGATGTTCATCGGTGACGGTGCCAAGCTGGTACGAGACTGCTTCGCGCTGGCAAAGGAGAAGGCACCCGCGATCATCTTCATCGACGAGCTGGATGCTATCGGGACGAAGCGTTTCGACAGTGACAAGAGTGGAGATCGTGAAGTGCAAAGGACTATGCTGGAACTTCTCAACCAATTGGACGGTTTCGCATCCGACGAGCGCATCAAGGTTCTGGCCGCTACGAACCGTGTTGACGTTCTGGATCCCGCTTTGCTCCGCTCTGGACGTCTGGACCGCAAGATCGAGTTCCCTCTACCAAACGAGGAGTCTCGAGCGCAGATCCTGCAGATCCACAGCCGGAAAATGACCGTGGACGAGGGCGTGAATTGGGGTGAGCTGGCGAGGAGTACAGACGAGTTCGGTGGCGCGCAGTTGAAGGCTGTGTGTGTGGAGGCAGGCATGATTGCACTGAGGAGTGGACATTCGAAGATCAGCCACGAGCATTATGTGGATGCTATCGCGGAGGTGCAGGCGAAGAAGAAGGATACGGTCAACTTCTACGCGTAAGGGAGGGTCGGATCAGCGCAGCGTGGCATGGCATGGCGTGGCGTTTGATGTCTCGATAGAGTGTATACTAGCAGGCAGATGAGCGAGAATCAGATCTCGTGCAGCCTCAGCTTCGTCGTGCATCGGAAATGTCTCAATCTCAGCGCTGCGCTGTCCTGCAGCAAATTGACGCCAGCTTATGGCGAGCACCCTCGACGCAACCATTTCCGCCTCGTCGTGATCCCAAAGCTGTGAGGAGCATTTCTTCAAGCTGGATCCTTCAAGCTGTCGGTCGCTGACAGCGCACTATCAGCATCACAGACCTAAGCAATGGGGATTTAACAGCCTACCTTCAAGATGAAACAGTACGTTCGACTGGTAGTTCTTGAACATCTGCGCCACCAGCTCCACGTTCATGTTCTGCACGTTGATCTCCTGGTGACGGCGTAAGCTCAGTGAACCCTAGCAGTGTTTGCGAGAGACGTACTTGTAAACTTTTATTGAGGACCATGACAGCCTCGTTGAGCTTCTCCTAGTTAGATGTTGGTGTGGGGTGCTATCAACAAGGGAGGCGATTGTACGCACTACGTTTGTTATGATTCGCGAAAGCAGCAGGCTCTGCTGGTGTTCGTGTGGGCTCTCCATCTTGTCGTCCACGATGCGCTTCGTTGGGAAGGAGATGGGGAGACTCGTGCTTGTGAAAGACACGTGCACGTCGCGTAGAGAAGCAAGCACTCCGGGCCGACGCGCTAGTCCTACTGTCCGATTGGGACCTTCATATGATTCATCACGAACTTTTTGTTGTTGCTTGAATAATTCAACTTCCGGGAGTGAGATCCTCACGGCGGCTGGACCAGACAATCTTCAAATCCGAGTCGTTCTGGTCATCAACAGAATAGAAGCGTTGCAGGGCGCAACTACCGCCTCCGATCGATAGAGGCCCGACATCTAAGGCTCCCACAATACAATATGGCGCCGGCGCCGGCAGCGGACGATGCGACCGCACGTTTCCTCGAACAGCTTACAGCGATGAGAACGGCGATCGCAGAGTTAAAGCTTCCGCAGACAAACGGAGACGTCGCTGGTTTCGGTACTGAAAGCGATCTTGATGTTGACGAGGAAGACTTGACTCCATCATCCGGCTCAGATGATATTTGGGACCTCATATCCGACGATGAAGAAGACGACTTCAGTGAAGAGAGCTTCGAGCTACCGGGGAAAGATACGTCGGTTGACGGAGCTGCTACTGGAACAAGAGGGTGGTTGCAACAACGATGCTTAGAGATCGCAAGCAGAGGAAGCGGTCTGGAGGCAGAGACGCTACAAGAACAGATCACCGCAGTACTCGCCTCGGACAGCAGCGATGACGAGCTTCAGATGACGTTGGCGGACATCGTTGGGTTCGAAGAGTTGGACTTCGTCTCCGATGTCATCAAATTCAGAGGACAAATACTCTCTGAGCCAGCAAAGGGTCCGCCAGGTCTGCTATCGAAAGCAGAGCGTGATGCACGGCTTCGCCAGCAGGACATCGAACACAAGACGGCCACTGTAGCCGCAGCTCAGAACCGATCTACGGAGGAGTATCCGCACATCTACAGGACGCACAACGCTGGCAACACTCTCTCCGCACACGGCAGGAAGTATGCGTTGCCCATTGGGAGCGAACGCTTCGACCGCGAGAAATATGAAGAATACAGCATACCTGCAGCGAAGGTTGGTGTCTTGGGGACGGGCCAGAAGCTCGTGCAGATCAAGGAAATGGATGGCTTGTGTCGTCGAACCTTCAAGGGGTACAAGACTTTGAACCGAATGCAGAGTTTGGTTTACAATGTCGCATACGAGACAAGCGAGAATATGCTCATCTGTGCTCCTACTGGTGCTGGTAAAACGGACGCTGCTATGCTTACAATTATGAACACGGTTGCGAAGAACATCCACCCCAGTCCAATCGACGAGCCGGACGCCACAGAGTTTGCCGTGCATACCAACGACTTCAAGATCGTCTATGTGGCACCGATGAAAGCACTCGCAGCCGAGATTACGGACAAGCTGGGCAGAAGGCTCGCCTGGCTCGGTATCCAGGTTCGCGAATTGACAGGCGATATGCATCTTACCAAGAAGGAAATCACGCAGACCCAGATTATCGTGACCACGCCTGAGAAGTGGGATGTGGTTACCAGGAAGTCTACCGGCGATACCGAGCTTGTGCAAAAAGTGCGGCTTCTGATCATCGACGAAGTGCATATGCTGCATGACGAGCGAGGAGCTGTGCTTGAGTCGCTGGTCGCCAGAACAGAGCGACAGGTGGAGAGCACCCAATCGCTGATCCGCATTGTTGGCTTGTCAGCAACTCTCCCTAACTACGTTGATGTCTCAGACTTCTTGAAGGTGAACCGGATGGCTGGACTGTTCTACTTCGACCAATCTTTCCGCCCAGTCCCACTGGAGCAGCACTTCCTTGGTGTGAGGGGGAAGGCCGGGTCGAAAGCAAATAGGGACAACATCGACCAGACCGCTTTCGAGAAAGTCAAGGACATGCTAGAGCTTGGGCACCAGGTCATGGTGTTCGTCCACAGCCGCAAGGACACGGTCAAGACAGCAAGGATGCTGTACGACATGGCCGCAGACCAAGGTCTGACAGATCTCTTCGACCCGAGCCAACACGAAGGCTACACAAACGCATTGCGAGAGGTGAAGACCTCCAAAGGCCGCGAGATTAGAGAGCTCGTGACCAAAGGAACGGGGACACATCACGCTGGCATGCCGCGGTCTGACCGCAACATGATTGAGCGACTGTTCGCGGACGGTGTGCTGAAAGTGCTCTGCTGTACGGCTACGTTAGCTTGGGGTGTCAACTTGCCGGCTGCAGCTGTCATCATCAAGGGCACGCAGTTGTACAGCGCAGAAGCTGGCAAGTTCGTGGACCTTGGAATTCTTGACGTTCTGCAGATCTTCGGTCGAGCTGGTCGACCTCAGTTCCAAGATACTGGGATTGGTATGATCTTGACCAGCCAGGACAAGCTGCAGCATTACTTGACCGCGGTCACACAGCAGCAGCCGATCGAGTCGCAGTTCAGCAGGAAGCTGGTCGACAACTTGAATGCTGAGATTTCGCTCGGTACAGTGACCAGCGTTCCAGAGGCTATCACATGGCTTGGTTACTCCTACCTCTACGTCCGCATGCGCCGCAACCCTATCGCGTACGGCATTGAATGGTCGGAGATTCGCGATGATCCAAATCTGGTGCAGCGCAGGCGAGAGCTCATCCTCAAAGCAGCGAGAGTCCTGCAGCAGAGCCAAATGATCATCTTCAACGAGGTTACAGAAGAGCTGAGAGCGAAGGATGTGGGCCGTATTGCGAGCCAGTTCTATGTCCTCCAGACTTCGATCGAGATCTTCAACACGATGATGCGCCCGCAGGCGACCGAAGCAGATGTGCTGAAGATGATCAGTATGTCTGGAGAGTTCGATAACATCCAGTCGAGAGATACGGAGGAGAAGGAACTTATGCGGCTAAAGGAAGAGTCAGCACCGTGCGATATCGAAGGCGGCATCGGCACGCAGCAAGGCAAGACAAACGTTCTGCTGCAGTCTTATATCAGCAAGGCCAACCTCGAAGACTTCACGTTGGTCAGTGATACCGCATACGTTGCACAGAATGCTGCGAGAATTTGCAGGGCACTGTTTATGATAGCGCTTAACAGGCGCTGGGGATATCAGTGCCTGGTTCTGCTCAGCATGTGCAAAAGCATCGAGAAGCGTGTCTGGCCCTACGAGCATCCGTTCCGCCAATTTGATCTACCGCAAGCCGTGCTGCGCAACCTCGACGATAAGGGCTCCACGACATCTGTCGAATCCCTTCGGGACATGGACTCAGCCGAGATCGGGAGCCTTGTCCACAATCAGAGGGCCGGCAGCACCATTTCCAAGCTGCTTGACAACTTCCCCACCCTCTCAGTCGACGCAGAGATTGCGCCTCTCAACAGAGACGTCCTTCGCATCAAGCTGTACCTCACACCCGACTTCAAGTGGAACGACCGCCACCACGGGACGAGCGAGAGCTACTGGATCTGGGTCGAGAACTCAGAGACCAGCGAAATCTACCACCACGAATTCTCCATCCTCAGCAGGAAGAAGATGTACGATGACCACGAGCTCAATTTCACAATACCGCTGTCCGATCCTTTGCCCAGCCAGATCTACGTACGAGCCGTGTCTGATCGCTGGCTTGGGGCAGAGACCGTCCAGCCCGTGTCATTCCAGCATCTCATCCGACCGGACACAGAAAGCGTCTACACAGACCTTCTTAACTTGCAGCCACTGCCGGTCAAGGCTCTAAAGAACCCGCTACTTGAAGAGATCTACGGGCAGCGCTTCCAGTTCTTCAATCCCATGCAGACGCAGCTTTTCCACTGCATGTATCACACTCCTGCCAATGTTCTACTTGGGTCGCCGACGGGATCCGGCAAGACGATTGCAGCGGAGTTGGCTATGTGGTGGGCCTTCCGTGAGCGGCCTGGCAGCAAAGTCGTCTACATTGCACCTATGAAGGCACTCGTCCGTGAGCGTGTACAAGACTGGGGCAAGCGTCTGACAAGACAAATGGGGCTGAAGCTGGTGGAGTTGACTGGTGACAATACACCAGACACTCGCACTATCCGCGATGCAGATATCATCGTAACTACTCCCGAGAAGTGGGATGGTATCAGTCGTAGCTGGCAGACCAGAAGTTACGTCCAGCAAGTCAGCCTTGTCATCATCGACGAGATTCACCTACTGGGCGGCGACCGTGGTCCTATCCTGGAGATCATTGTTAGTCGTATGAACTACATCGCTTCACAGAAGAAGGGCTCTGTGCGTATCGTCGGCATGTCCACTGCATGCGCCAACGCCATGGATCTTGCCAACTGGCTTGGAGTCAAGGAAGGCTTGTTCAACTTCAGACACTCCGTCCGACCTGTGCCCCTCGAGATCTTCATCGACGGCTTTCCAGAACAGCGTGGCTTCTGCCCGCTTATGCAGAGCATGAACAGGCCGACGTTCCTGGCAATCAAGTCCCACTCCCCGGACAAGCCTGTCATTGTCTTCGTTGCATCCCGACGGCAGACCAGGTTGACCGCAAAGGACCTGATCAATTTCTGCGGCATGGAAGACAATCCCAAGCGTTTCGTGAGGATGTCCGAGGATGACCTTGGTGTGAACCTCAGTCGCGTCAAAGATGAAGCACTACGAGAGGCTTTGAGCTTCGGCATCGGCCTCCATCATGCGGGTCTTGTCGAGTCGGACAGACTACTCGCTGAAGAGCTCTTTGCATACAACAAAATACAGATTCTAGTGGCGACAAGCACACTCGCTTGGGGCGTGAACTTGCCAGCTCATCTTGTCGTGGTAAAGGGCACCCAGTTCTTCGACGCTAAGATCGAAGGCTACAAGGACATGGACCTTACCGATGTCCTGCAAATGCTGGGGCGAGCTGGGCGGCCACAGTTCGATACTTCTGGTATTGCCCGCATCTTCACCCAAGATTCGAAGAAGGCTTTCTACAAGCACTTCCTGCATACTGGCTTCCCGGTGGAGTCGTCGCTGCACAACGTGCTCGACAACCATTTTGCTGCCGAGGTTTCTGCAGGCACAGTGGCCACGAAGCAGGATGCTTTGGACTACCTGACCTGGACGTTCTTCTTCCGGCGCTTGCACAAGAACCCGTCCTACTATGGTCTGGAGATCACAGCTGAGGAGAACAATACCATCGCAGCACAGCAGGCAGCCAACGACTTCATGATCGAGATGGTGGACAAGTCTATGGCTGAGCTGGCTGAGTCCGGCTGTATCCAGCTTCACAGCAACGGCGACGTTGACTCAACTGCGATGGGCAAAATCATGAGTTACTACTACTTGTCGCACAAGACCATCCGCGAGCTCACACAGCACGCCAAACCAGAAGCCACGTTCCAGGAGGTCCTGATGTGGATGTGCAGAGCCACTGAGTACGATGAGCTACCAGTACGACACAACGAGGATCTCATCAACGCCGAGCTGTCCGCGAATCTGCCGTTGACGGCAGAGAGCTTCGGTCTGCCGATGTGGGATCCGCATGTCAAGGCCTTCTTGCTGCTGCAAGCACACTTCTCACGCATCGACCTACCAATCAGCGATTACGTCGGTGATCAGAACTCGGTACTTGACCAGAGCATTCGTATCATCCAAGCCAGTGTTGATGTGCTCACCGAGCTTGGCTACCTGCAGAGCTGCAAGATGATGATGACGCTCCTGCAGTGCGTGAAGTCTGCTCGTTGGCCTGAAGACGGTCCGCTTGCGATACTGCCGAATGTCGAAGTCGAAGAGGAGAAGAAGAGGCTCGCTATAGGCAAGAAGCCGCTCAACCTTGTCGAAGCTACGACAGCGCCGCGACCTGACATGGAGAGCGCTCTCAAGCAGCTGAATCTTCCCAATGCGACTCACGACAAGGCTTTCAAGGCTCTAGGCAGACTACCGCAGCTGCGTGTCAATGTGTCGAACGTCAATGCGCTTGGTCTGACAATCAATCTGGCCCGTGTGAATCCAGTGCAAGACCGAGACTACCGCATATACGCGTCAAGATACCCCAAGCCGCAGACGGAAGGCTTCTTTGCTCTCGTTTCGGACGCAGGGAAAGGAGATATCGTCGCGCTGAAGCGGGTCAACTGGCCTTCACCAGACAAGAACAGAGGCGGCAACGTCAGCAAGCCTTCGACGAGAGCCACGATCAAGCTTCCGGATAGCAGTGTGGACAGGAAAGTGACGATATCGATTGTGAGTGATAGCTACATAGGCATGGAGTGGCAGCTCGAGGATGTAGAAGTACCGGCACCTCCAAAGCCGGTCGACGATGGTGGCAAGAAGCCTCAGTAGCTTAGCAGTGCCCTTTAGCTAGCCTCAAAAGCTTCATATGATGCCAGCATCTCTGGTTTGATCGACTTCTTCTGGTGTGCGAGTGCTGTCTCCAGGTCTGCTGTGCACAGTTTGCTTGTGACTGACTTTGTGCCCTCGATTTCACGTGCACTCGCCTGACCGACGGCGGATTCGCAGATCTGTATGATCTCCGCACCTTTAAGAACGGGTCAGTATACTCTCTCCCACTGTAGTGGCATCGCTACTGTTGAGAGTTGTGAGAACATCTCAGGCGGAGTGGGACGTTCTCGACAGCAGGACTGTTGAATCCACCATCGTACCGGCTGATCCAAGGCTCGCACCCCGAGCAGCAGTCGGAGAATATCCGAAATCTAAGTCGGTGTTCTCGATAGTAAGATGGTAGATGCCGCCATCGTAGCGACTGATCCAATGCTCATGGTGTGAGTTAAAATGGGAGAAGGGTTCACTTACCACTAAAACCATCACTCTCATCTACCACCTTGTCCATATCCAGCCCATCCTCCTTCGGCACATCTCTAAGCTTGATCCCAAAAATCTCTCGTCTCGCCGCCGCGTTCGGTGGGCCCAGGTAGATATGGGAGTTGAAGCGTCCAGGACGCATGATTGCCGGGTCGAGAAGATCCGGCTTGTTGGTAGCTGCGAGAACCAGGACACCATTCAAAGTTTCGAAGCCATCCATCTCGGTCAGCAAGGTAGTCAAGACATTCAGTCCTTTGGAGCCTTCGCTCGAGCGCTCGGATGCAATCGAATCGATCTCGTCGAAGAAGATCACGCATGGCGCTGCTGCACGTGCCTTTTTGAAGAGCTCCCGGACTTTGCGCTCTGACTCTCCCACATACATGCTTATCAGCTCGCCGCCTTTGACTGGGAGGAAGTTGAGACCATAATGTGAAGCCACCGCCTGTGCTGTGAGCGTCTTGGAGCACCCTGGTGGCCCGTAGAGCAGGATGCCTTTGTCGGAGCGCTTGCCGTATTTCTTCAGCACCTCTGCATGGCGGATTGGCCAGTCTATGGCTCGGTCGAACCGAGCTTTGATTGCAGTAGAACCTCCGATGTCTTGCCAGCCGATCTTGGGCGGCTCAAAGATAATCTCGCGGAGTGCTGTTGGTCGGACACTCTTCAGAGCAAGCTCGATGTCGTCCATGGTCACAAGTGCTGCATCCTGCTCATTTTCTTCTGATGCTTGAGAAGGCCCATCAGGCAAACCGTTCGTGAGTGTGTCGCTATCGTCACCCACTGGATCAATGCAGCTGTCGAAAGCAATGTTGCCTGCAGTTTCAGTGAGCTGTTCCAAATCCTTCCCAGTAAAACCATGTGTTCGAAGCGCGACCCGAGAAGAGATCCCAGGCTGCGCTGATGTAGTCTTGAACATAACATTCAGGATAGCTTCTCGAGCATCACGATCTGGCACGGGTAGTTCGATGGGTGTCGTAAAGCCTCCCCTACCAAAGAGCTTGCGGTGTATGTCGTTCGGGGCGATGCAAGTGGCAACGACAAGTACACGATCACTTTGAATGCCGTTCATCTCTGTGCGCAGTGTTTCCGCCACGACATCGTCAGATGTTCCCGCAATCTTGTGTATATCATCGATTGAGATGAGACTCGGCTGGCATGACCTGGCTTCATGAAATGCTGATCTGACCTTCTCCTGCGTTTTGATTGCTGTGCCAGCCAAGTAAGCCACATCGAGTCGCACGACTCGCCGGAAAGGTGCATTGCCCAGCTGCTCAAGCAGGAACGATTTGCCCGTCCCTTCGAAGCCGTGCAGAAGGATCCCGTCATGGGTGTTACGTCCGAGCGCAATCTTCAGCGATTCATGTGATGTGGTCAGTACTCGCTGCATGCGTTTGTTGAGAAGTTTTAGCTCGCGAACGAGACCTCCGATGCGTTCGCAGTTCAGTAGCATTCCCTCCTCATGACCGTTCACATCGTTGGTATCTTCTGGTACGCTGCCGTCGTTAAGCAGAAATTCGGTACGATCGTCGGCATAGAACAGCGAACAGCTGGCGTCGGTTGTTTCGATCTTCTCTACTTGAAATCGCCTTTTAGCTTTGGACTTGCCTGCAACGTCGAATGTGACGTCGTGGGTAAAGGCCTCGCAATGTACTATAAAGAATTTAGCTCCAGCGGAAAGCACAACAACAACTAGGCTTACCAAGGTGATATGTGATGTTGGCCTTCCACTTCCCGTCATCAGGATTATTGCCACCCGGAACGTTCTCCGGCATCGTAATGTCCCGTAGCACGACCTTCGTGGCATGCGCTCGGGGCGCTGTGGTTCGGCGTACATGGACGAGGCTGCCTTCCAAGACATTGAAGGCGCTCCTCAGCATCTGGCTCATGGCGACCGGCTTGGCGCCGGTGGTGCTGCTCCTCGCTCTGTCTGCGGCCCGCCATGCGATCGCGTGGCCGACTGTAACGCTGTCATCCTTGGTGATCTCGCAGATTTCTCCGAGCTTCAAGCCGGCTGCGTCAAGGGATTCTTGCGACAAGTGCAGACGGAACGCGCCTGTTCTCGAATTAGCGATCGAAGGCCGAGTGGCAAGATGTGGGCGCGGCAGGCCCTTTGCTCGCAAAGAAAATTTGCTTACCATCGAGTCCCTGGCTTCCTGGCAGTGACTTGACGACCAGAGGCTGCGCCATCGTTTGTTCTCTGCAACTGTCTGAGAATGTCTGTCAAGTCATATACAACGAGTCTTGAGAATTCTCGAATTAGGCATGCTGCCCGCTGTGGGACGGGCCGCGCCGAACCCTATGCTTAATAAGGCTTGGCTTTTCGCTAACACCCAACGGGATAGCACCATGAACTTCGCGCATCGAAGAACATTCGCCAGTATACACCACGCCGCGGTTGCATACTAGGTGTACCTGCCATTAATGCCCCCAACGAGGCTTATTCGACGGCGCATCGACACCAAATTACTCGCGGTGACACCTCAGCGCTGCTGCTACAGCAATGGGAGAACCAGGCGTACCGATGCGACTGGGGCCCAGTTCAAGAAGCGCCGATTGAACAGCGATAGGTCGAAGGAGGCCAGTAAAGGAGCTGATGATGGAGGTCAAGAGCCATCACTGTTCGAGCAGCTTTTCCCAGACCAGCAGACGCCGCCAGATCCGCCCCAGCAGGACCCTCGAGAGGTCCCTCCCCTTCCTACAACAGTGGAACAGAGACCGGCTTCAGACATGCAGAAGCCACGCAAAACTGTGAGACAAGATCAAGATCTTCCACTGTCCTGGCAGCGTGAAGCAGCAGAAGCAGACGCCGGAAAAGAGGCAATAAAAGTGCTCGTCCTACGGAACGCCAGCAAGAACCTGGTGGAGGACGATTTCAGGCGACTAGTCCCTCGAGGTCAGCACATGGAGGGTTGGAAAATGGAGCAGGGAGATATCATCAAGCATATACCCGGTCGTAACTGGAGGACACTGGAGCGTGAGAACCATCACTACCTGCTGTTCTCATCCTTCAGAAGCGCCTTCGCCTATCAAAGCTATGCTACCCGTATCCATAGGTTGGTCGCTCAGCACACCCCGAGGAACCAGCTTTCGCCCATTCTGCCACCTTCGGGAGACATCATACAGGGTTTGGACGCCAACGAAGCCATTGAGTCCTTTACCCTGACCGCACCAAATGCTCCCATGGAGCTACGCATGCTCAAGCCTTCTCTCACGCCTTTCGTGCAACTTCTCGTCGATCATCGCGGCACGCCACCTTTGGTCGAGCGAGACGACAGAATGCCGTATGAAGCCCGACTCACTCTGGAAGGCCCACAGCTGCACGGCTCTTCTATTCGCCACCTCTTCATGTTTAGCGGGAGGGACCGCGGCTTGAGCTGGTCAGGGAACGACGATCCTGCACCAAGAATCACTGACTGGCAACCCGAGCGTCGGAAGATGACACCTTCTGCTGAGAGACATGGTTTTGAGGCCGAGCGCTGGAAAAATTCTCCGCACAAATTTGAATTGAAGCCCATAGAAGATGACATTGGTCCGAATAGTGAACAGCCTGCGGATGGTCTGAAGCAGCGCACGCAGCAGAAGGTCTATGTCGTTGGGTTTCACACAGAGAACGCCATGCAGAGCTTCGTACGCTTCTGGCACAAGCGGCCGATGGAGTGGAAGGGTCTCAATAAGCATTTCGGAGTTGGAGAGGACGGAGACCTGCCAGCTATTGCTCATGTGGAAGCTTTATCGTGACAAACGGCCAGATCGCAGAAGACGGCATCCTCTGTCACAATTGTCACTGCGCCAACTGCGAGCATCCATCTCCACCATCTCATCGCCACAAAGTTCCTGGGACGTACTGATAGCTCCGGTGGAAATGGTCCCGCGAATAAGACCAGCAGCTCATATGGCCTTGCCGACTGGCTTGAGGACTGTGCTCGCTGGGTCCACGGCGACAAGTGGTGGCACTGCCAAAGCACCTCGCGGGGCAATTGATTCCACTTGAGGCTCCAGCGCCTTGCATGACGCTCGATTGCCTTCCACGAAACTCTACGAAACTCCACGAGGCTTTGGGGCGCAAGCCGATTCAACGCTTTTCTTCCAGTCGCTGCTGCCCTTCTTGTGAAAGAAACAATGAATTTGGGCGGTGTTTCAGGCGCTGAGATCTCTGCTACTGCTCATCGTCGCCTTTTTGCAGCGAGCAGCAACTATTTTTCGAAAACGTTTTTCACGTCGGAACCTTTGCATCTCCCACACCTTCGCAGTATCTGGATGGCATAACCAGGGAGCACGATGGCGTAAGTTCGGGCAAAACTTAGATGGGTTGATCTGCTCTGCTGACCCCATCGTGCAGCGTGCCGAACCAGCAAATATCCAGCACAGAGGCGATCGACAATGTCTTCGGCACTGCGGAGCTTGTAGAGTGCATCTTGCTTCACCTCCCGCTCCGTCAGCTTGTGCTCAAGCAGATCGTCTGTCGGTGTTGGAGGGAGGTGGCGCAAGGCTCCCCTAGCGTCCGCCGCGCTCTGTTTCTTGATCCCGCTTGCGCTCTTAGAATCTGGGCATCTCAGGTGGTTCGGTACCCACCTGTATCTCGCTCGCCCCGCGATCCGTTCTCCGAGTTCGTCTGGATGCCCACACCCATCGGCAGGGGCGAACTCCGCTACCCTCCAATCCTGAACCCCTTCATCAACAAGCATACATTCTGCAGTCGAATCGTCTCCGGCAACATCTTCAACCCTTACGCACAGGGCACCTTTGACACCAACAACATTGACGATGCCACCTCGGACGAGGCACTGCTCCAACGCATGCTTCTGCTGCATCCTCCAGCCACGGACATGGTTATGAGTTGTACCGGAGAACGTGCAAGTATGGGCTCTTCGGCGTGGGATCTTCTCCCAAGAGCTGAACGAAACGAAGAACTCATGCGCGTGGAGGATGTTCCGTGGGGCGTCTGGGATCACTGTCAGGAGGGTTGCGAGCATGATATCTGTCCGGAAGAGCCGGACGGTGACGCTCGCTCGTACTGGGGACATGGGGACATTGACTTTCTCGGCGAAGACTACACCGTGGAAGGGTATGAAGCAGAGGACAGGGTCACGGGCTGGGAAGTGCTGTATGAGATGAGGAGGCGTGAGGAGGTGCTGCCTATAGGTGTCGAGCAAGAGAGTGACGGGCAAGGAGAGAACGATGAGGTTGGCGGTGAGGTGGAAGCGGACAACGACAAGGTTGACAGTGAGTCCGAAGTGGGTGCTCAAGACTGGCAGGATGCGGCAGCCGATGCAGATGCAGGGAACCATGGTGCTGGAGTTGCGGGTGAGACAGTGTTCAATGGCGACAAGACCACGGCAGCGGGCTGCGTGGGCTGAAGAACGACGACCTTCTGGGCCACGGAAGGAACAGTTACTGCGCACAAAGCCTCACCGATGTTCTTGTGGAGAACTCAAGCAGGAAGACAGAGTCTGTTGCAGGAATCGGTAGCTATTGATACAGAAGTCTATCAAACCACCATCCCAACCCCAACGCCCAAGCTAATCTCAAACATCGTACCGCAACTCACAACTGCGCACATCGCACCTTCAATGCACCGCCGGCTTGCCATCATACTGCGGCGCCGGCCCGACCTCCACCCCCATACTCCTCAGCGTCTCTGCCGAAACGCACGTTCCTCCACATTGCCTGTTGCACCAGTGCTGATGGAATGTGCCTTGGACCGGTCGAGACGGCTCCTGGTACTGCTGTGATGGGTATGGGTACTGCTCCGCTGATTGTGGTGGGAAAGGCTGGCTGTATTGCTGTTGTTGCTCGGATTGCTTGTCGCCTTTGCGGTTCTCGTAGGCTTGCATGCCTTTCTTTGCGACGAAGAAGATCGCTCCGTACTTAACGCCGGTCTTGATGAGGCCCATCGTGGTGGTGTCTGTGCTTTGATGCTGAGTTGAATCGGAGATGTGCTTTGACCGGCTGTGTCGCTAGAATGCGGTGTTGTTTGGTGTTGTGATGTTGGTGTGTTGCTAAGTGATGAGAGCGATTGGATGTAGAAAGGACCACTTACTTATATCTTCACGATGCACGAAGCCTACAATGTTAACGACGACTATGATACACTTTCGTGTGCAGGATTAGAGCAAGATGAGGCGGAGGAAGGAAGGCTGAGCTCGGTCGCTCTCGCTCTGTGAAAACGGACCAATCGAAAGTCGACTCGTAAGAACGCGAGGCTGGAGCGGTTTTCGGCGACGAAAAGTATGATCGCCCGAAGGATTGCGACGATCCCGAGCAGGCGGAGCTCAATTTACAGCTTTTGGCCGTACGTTGCTGCGCAGGAGCTGGATATGTGTCGAGCCTTTCGGCCGCAACAACGAACCAAGATGCGACCAAGATTAGCAGATCATTGGCTGCCTTGTTAGTTCTGATTTGCGATTATCGGACGGTCAATCGTTCGGAAAACACCCAACTCCAGTCCAGCGTCGTTGCCTGCAGATATTGAAGACTTGTTGCACACCTCGTCCAGGGTGCAGATGAGGCGCTGATTCGAGCAGAGTGTCTTCCGATGAGCGGAGTACTTCACATGAAGACATTGACCACTAGTCTCGGACCACAACTCCTGACTCGATCAGGTCTGCCAACAGCCATTCGTCCCAGAAGATGTCGTGGCAGCTGCTCCGATTCTCGGGCTTCCATTGCAGCATCTTCCTTATGAAAGCGAGGAAGTCTTCTTTCTCCTGTGCCTCAGGCCGGCGCTCTGCGGCGTCCAGACTGTTCTTGGGGATCGGCACATCGCAGACCCAGTTACCTGTGAACTGTCGTGAGTATAATGGGAGATCGAGGCTGAGAGACGCATTACCGTCTCGGTCCGAAAACTTGCCGCTCCTCTCGGACTTTCGTATGAAGTCCAGTGGCGGGGGGCCCAAGATGGCTATCATTTGCGCAAGATGATACTGCTCCGAGTAGTGACCGTCTAGGTTCGTTGCTAGGAACAGAGAGGTGACCTCAAAGAGGTCCCATGTCTAGCTCAAATTCAGCTGATGCCTCTCGTTGGTGTACGAACCTTGAGCCATTCTGAAGAGCAGATAGCGGCCTGCATACTCACCACAATCGCAAGGGCCCAAATATCCACGGGATAGCTCCATGGCAGACCTAAGATCACTTCCGGCGCCCTGTAACGATCTGGCATGATGTCACCGGTGTTCTCGGCATCTCCAAACCTCGCCTCACTCAAGTCGCTCAATGCAGGAGGTCCAGCTGTCAGCGGCAATGGTCGCGACACATGTGATTTGCGATCGCCTGCTTCCTTTTACGGAAAGGGGTGCTTGGCCGCATGGCGCTCGAACTTCTCGAAGACGGACTTCTTTTGTATGCCCATCAATAGGTTGCTCGGTTGGAGGTCTTGAATGGACTGGTCAGTTGAGGTTGAGCACGCGCGTCTCGCCTCCATCGTACCTGTGTGGATGACATGTGCTTCCTCATGCAAGAACTCTAGGCCACGGATGATGTAGCGGAAGAACTCCCTGACGAGGGCAGCCGATAGCACGCCATCGGGCTCATCTTTTTTCACTTCATCCAGAGTGATGCCCAACGGTTCGTGGACAAGACACATGTGTCTCCCATGAGGGCCCTCAACCTTGAAACTTTCGAGCAACTTCCGCACACGATCACGTCCCTCATGCTGTGAACGCAGGCTGTTGATGTGCTCGTATATCGGAAGTTCGCGCTGTACCTTCGAGCGGTTGATGTACACTTTCAGTGGCACGTACTCGCCAGCCTGCTGGAGGTCATTGCAGAGCCAGACAGTGGATGCTGAACCAAAGCCAAGTTTGTCGGTGGTCTTGTAGCGTCCATTGAACGCCTCTCCCGGATGCACAGGGTAGTAGTGCTCCGCTTCGTAGCCTGGTAGACTTTCTTCTTCCACGAGAATGGATGGGTCTATCTTCTCAGTCCATGGGACGTTGATTCAGGCTCGCGTTCTGGAGAATGTGCTGAAGGGTAAAGTCCGGCTTGTGAGACTTTGCTTCAAGGTATTTCGGGCGAGGGCAAAAGCGCAGATATTTGTGGTAAGACGCTGTTTCAGGTAATGTGCCATGAAATGATGGTCGACGAAAGATGCGGCCTCTCAAGCACTCAGCTTGCCTTGAACGCGCTACGTGTCGAGCTCGGACCAAGTCAACCAGGCTGGGAGGTGCACGTATATGAGGAGTGCGAGAATGCAAAAGGCTGACATTTGGCCAGATGAATCGAACAAGTATACTGGTACAGCTACTTTGCCCTACGAACTCAGAGAAGAGGTATCATTGAAAGCATTTTCCAAACTCCACGCTTGCTCCCACAAACCAACCGTTCGCTGAAACGCTAGACTTTCGTCCGCAAGAGGGTGGAATGCCATAACGCCAGCACTGACAGCGAGCAACACCGTTCGCGGACCAGATGGACATGCAGAGCTCCGCGAGAGGCGGGTCCAATACCTGATCCTGGTGAAGAGCCCATTCGAATCACCGACACAAAGCAGTCCACTGCTCAACGAAGAACTTCGCTTCTGCCTCTGGTCAGCACTTCGCATGGTACAGCACGCACGCCGTCAACATACCATTATCACTCGTGAACTGCAACACATACAGCCGCTCCCTGTTCTTCGGCGGCTCATACGGACTCAGAAAAACATAAGGAGGCGGTCTCAGCGCAGCCAAGCTAACAACGCCGTTGCCATCAAACTGCGCCCAAGCATCATCACCCTGATCCGCGAAGCGCGTGACAAAAGCGGTCCACAACGGCACGAACTCCATCGGCCCTCTATGTGGCGAAGCCTCAAGTCGGATGACTCCAGAGCCACGATCCTGGTAGAGCCGTAGAGTGTGCAGCATTCTCCCATCGCGAATCCTTGAAGCATATAAAATCTCTTCTCCCCGACGCCCATTGCTCTCTTCAAGCTCGCACTCGTCGAGCAGCGCGTCATGTTCCACTTGCCGGCTGTCTTGACGTTTCATGGCCACGAAGGTGGAGTAGAAGAGGACCATTCGTTCGTAGAAGACGAAATTGAGCTGCGCCCAAGGTTCGTATGTGCCATCGCGACGCCAGCGACACAATTGGAGCAATGACTCCTCGCGGATCACTTTCAGGGTCGTCAAGGGAGTGCAAGAGTGCTGCGGTCGGCCGAGGTCATCCTTTGTGGTGATCAAGATGCGGGCTCTGCTGTCGTGCGGTCGGAAGTACAAATGTACCCACAGCTGGTCTTGTTCGAAGGAGCTAATGAGGATTCCATTAGCGGCTGCAAGATGTGGGCTTGCGATGTAGTATTCACACACAGTTCAAGAATTTTTATGAAGCCATCTCGCATAACATGCTCGGGCGCGGAGTGCTCAATGGATCCTCTGCAGGAAGAAGGCTTGTTGCTACCTAGGTCAGTACCACGCATTTGAATGCAACTTCACACATACCTTCTGTACGCGGGCTCGAAAGCATGGCTCGGATACTGGCCATCAAACACATTCTGTGCCCAATGCACTAGTTGAGGCTGGACGGGCATGAAAGCTGTGTCGCTCGAATAAGACGTGTGACTGGAATTCAAGGTCTGCGATGAGCTGGAGGTGAATGTGGGTGAAAGCGGAGGTGGAGGGTCGGGTGCAGAAGGAGGAGGCATCGCACCTCTACGGTATGGGTCCTGATAACCTTGTACGGGGCTTGTGGGCGATGCAGGTGTTTCACGCCGTGGCACACGGGGACGTGGAGGGCGTGGTGTGCTGGCTGCTGAGCGAATGTGACTTAGCGCCGCCGAGAAAGGCTTCAGGAAGACAGACTTACCAGACGCATCGATGGCCCGCCGCTGTGCACGCCGGTCCAATGCCTCATGTTGGTCAAGCAGAGCCACCAGCTTCCGCCTCATGGATCCTAGATCCCTAATGCGGTATCCCAGCATAACGTCCTGCTGTGCTTTCAAGAAGTCGTGATACAGTTCCAGTCGCTCAAGCATGCCCAAGCCTTCCTCTCGCTCCATCTGGTCACACAGATCCGCCCACGCAACCTCCAATCGCCGCTCTCTCGAACGAGCGAACATGTCGAATGATCCATCAAGCGTCCGACGGAGCGTCGGGGATACCAGCTCGAGATCATCTTCGACGCGAGACGTAGTTACATATCCTGGATCACTGACAGCCCTCAGCACGGCGCTGACATGAAAGAGCTCAGCGATGATGCTAGTAATCTTGGTGGCACTCCTTGGTAGTCCGTCACGGAAAGCTTTCAACCCCGAGGCGACATCCTCAGCATCGTCTGCAAGTCGGAGAAGCGTGCGTGCAGTGGCCATCACATCTGCAAGTTTGCCGCCGTGCAGGAGCGCTTCCTTCGTCTCATTGGATGCGCGCAGTACCGGCGTGGGAGTCGCAAGCCTGAGGCAAGGTGGCCATCATTGTCTGCCTGGGAGAAGTGGTCTTGGGGAGTGTGGAGAAGTGATTGTGCCGGTGTGATCTTGTCATTCCACCGAACTTTTCGTCCGTACGACGCGTGCTACGTGTTCGAGGGACCAGACACTTCTGTGCAGCAAGGGAAGCCTTTTTCAGCCAATGGTGGGGTGTTCCGCACTCACCGGAGTGCTATATTTGCACTCGATAGATGAAGTTTTCTTTCCTGACAATTCTTCGCTTTCTGAAAAACATAGTTGAGAAGTACTTATCTCTTCGCGAGGCGCGGTATAAGCATACAGGAAGCGTGTTGTGGGCGCCTGTGCAGTCCGCCATCATGAGATTCAAGGCATCAGGATATTGCGACCAGCGCAACAGTCAGATCGCGTACGCGACATCCACGAGACTCAGAAGAGATGAGGTTGGAATGAGGATGAAGGAGAAGCGAGACGAGGAAAGAGCGACCGTCGAGGCATCCCGCTCCAACCTCAGGCCCTCTACCAAGCCAGCACAGCCTCGTCGCCAACCAGACCAGCGAAACAACAGGATGTGGCTGTGTTCAGCGATATCCAGCATTGCGAGCAAGATTCCATATCTCACAGGTAGGAAAAGTGAACAGTCTCTGCTCCCGGTGGTTTAGGAGACCACCAGGTACCAATGTCATTGCGCGTATAGCTAGCAGCTAACCGCTCGCGCACACTAACCTTCAAAGCAAGTCATCAAAAGGGTATCCAGCGCTCATGTCCTCGAGAAACGCCGCATGCGTCCCTCTCATGATGATCTGGCTCGCGCCGGTCCGTATCCCATCATCCATCCATCACGCAGAAGTAAGAATTACAAGAGCTTCCGCTGTCTCCAAGAAGCCAGCGAGCAAGAAAGCAATAGCCAGGACCCAATACCATCATAATGCGTAGGAATTCAGTTCATCTGCGTTCAGACAAACTCGTAATCCTCGTCGGCCTCCTCCTCAGCAGCCGCCTTGACCTTGCCCTTCTTGACCGGCGTCACGCCCACGCTCTCGCCTTCGGTGTCCAGGACCTCGTATTCGTTCTTCACGAGCTTCACGGTCTCCTTCTCTTCGAACCTCTCGACTGCCTTCGCAAGCGCGACGTTCAGGATCTGACTACCGTGGGTTGGGCCTTTGGCGGCGTCGAAGGAGTACATGACTCCGGCGTCTGCTGGAGGCGATGGAGTGGCTTCGTCGTGGTCGGAGCTGGAGCTGGCTGAGTCGTCGGACACGGCGTTGCCCTCGAGCATGTCGTGCTTGCGGGTCATCTTGGCTGTGTGGGCGAGGGAGGCGACGGCACCTTTGGTTTCGCGGCGCTTGATGTTGTATTCACTGGGAGACTGTTGGCGTCTTTACTGCGTATGGACAAGGGAAGGGGATGCTCACGTCTCCGACGGCCGGAACGGACGAGGATTGCCTGGCCCACGCCCAACACGCTCCACGGAGCCGAGCTGCCACTTGTGCTTGCGTGCAGCGGCGCGCTTGTTGTCTTGAGCAATGCTGCGGAGGTCGTTGGTGGTCTGCTCAGAGGACATGGCGATGGATTGCTCGATGGGTGGTGGGTGTTGCTGGAAGAAGCGTGCGTTGGCAGTGCTCATATGGGCGTTGAACAGAGGTCGTTGGTGGTCGGGTTGCTTTGTCTTAGGTGAGCTCAGGTTGTGTCGGGTCTATTGAGACGCAACAAAGGATGATGATTAGAGGCGTGACTATGGGCAGGAGTGACCTTGATGTCAGTGAGCAACGAGAAGCAGCTGGTGTTGCGTCGTGACTCCTCGTAGCTGAGTCAGAGGCAGGAGCTTGGACTGCAGCTGTGTGAAGGTGTTGGGTGTCTGTACTGAGTGTGACTGTGTTACGAGAGGCAAGAGTAAGACAAAGGAAGCACTCCGGAACGTTGGTAAACAACCGCTCTTTGTACTGAACGGCAGCCCTGCTCTAACCCGCGCCGAAGCAAGCTCTTGGTTGAGGAGCTCTCGGCACGGTTGGAGATAAGAGGTTGTGAATGTGATCAGAGCGCCTGCCCGCAATCGCGGAGTCAGGCGCCACCTGGTTGGCGCATCCGGCGACGACACAGTCAGGAACGTGGGTGAATGGTGGCAGCAGAGCTGTGCCTGCTTCCGACCCCGTCATCTCTGCTGGCTGAAACCGGGCCAGCACCAGCTTTGATTGAGGCGACGAAGCAGGCGGTGTTGGAGCTTGGGGATGACGCGAGGCGCGGAGATGCGGATGAGCCCGAGTGCTGCACGACATCTGCACGTGCGAAGAACACTCGTCCGCTTTCATTGCTACATTCCTGTGGCGCCTACCACGCTTTCATTACTCTTCCTCATCATCATCATCATCATCATCGTCCTCCTCCTCATCGCTTGGTAACCGATCCGGAAACCAGCCATAGACGGAGAAGTCGACTGTGCGCTCTCCAAGGCTACCTCTGCCGACCTCGACGCCTTCCGCAAGCAGAGCTGTTTCCTGCCTTGCGGCCCCTCCAGCTCCTCTCCAGGAAGCTCAGCGGTGGCCCGATAAATCCGTAGTGAATGGGGCTGGTACATACCTGGGACTGATAGTACCCTTCGAGTTGATCACGCGCTGCCACGGCACGGTGTCGTTGTTGTAGCGCGCGTCGGGCTGATCAGAGGCGTCGGGAAGGTATTTACAACAGATGCCAACTTGTCTGAACGAAACTCAGAGAGCCATAGTATTCTTCAAATTCTGCTCGCCTACCTTGGTCGTTCCGCTGCAACCATGAGTAAGTGGATTGTTCTCAAATAGTCTGAATAGACAACTCACGGTAGCCCACCAGCGTCGCTATGTGTCCGTAGGAAGTGACTTTGCCATGAGGTATTTGCTGGATTGCCTTGTAGACAACCGAATACCACATAGCAGCCTCGTCTGATCGAGGCATCTTGTCGGCCGTACTACTTCATCTCGTGCGTGGACTGCACTTGTTCAAGTAGCCACGAGAATGGTGGAAGGCGCATCAGCCGCTTAGTCATGCTCGAGCTCGACTTCACATGCGACTGTGCATTTTCCAGATCGAACCAACTCTCAACCACACCTACAAATGGCTTTAGCCGACTACCTCGCAAAGAACTACCTCTCCGCCGACGCCAAACCCTCCAAAAAGCGCAAGCGAAAAGATGCCGCCAGATCAGAAGGCATCACGATAGCAGAAGACGATGTCAACGACTGGACGAAGCCAAAGCAGAACGGCGAGGACGACGATGATGCGCCCACGATGGTCGGTAATTCCCTGTCAGGAGGCCTGAACAAACCAGCGAAGAAGTCGAAGTGGTTGAAAGTTGGCGCCGCTGCACCTTCGAACGCAGAACAAGCGGCCGCAGACGAGATTCTTGCTGGCGCAGAAGCGGAGTCTAAAGCCCGAGCGCAGCAGGATGATGACGCTCCTGCTGTTGTGGGAGAGGATGGGGAGGACATGCAAGGGCCTATGATGGCGTCGGGTGCGATGGCAGGTTTACAGAGCGCGGAGCAGGTCAGCAAAGCGCTGAAGCGGAAGCAAAAGGCGGAAATGAAGGCGATGCAGGACGCTGGGTTAGATCCGGCGGGGAAGTCGCAGGAGACGATATATCGAGACGCTTCAGGTCGGATCATCAACGTGGCTATGAAGCGAGCGGAGATGCGGGCAAAGGCGGAGGAGGAAGAAAAGAAGAAAGAAGAGGAGCTCGAGGCGCGGAAGGGCGATGTACAACGGCGGGAGAAGGAAGAGAGGAAGCAGAATCTGGAGGATGCGAAGGTGATGGGGGTGGCGCGGTATGCGGATGACAAGGACCTGAATGAGGAGATGAAGGACCGGGAGAGGTGGAATGATCCGATGGCGAAGATGGTGACGAGCAAGAAGAGTGGTGGGAAGGGTGGGAAAGCGAGGGATAGTGGGAAGCAGTATCAGGGTGCGTTTGAGCCGAACCGGTACGGGATTAAGCCTGGTTGGAGGTGGGATGGGGTGGATAGAGGGAATGGGTTTGAGAGGAAGTGGTTTGCTGCGAGGAATAAGGCGAAAGATCGGGAGGCGCTGGAGTATGCGTGGCAGATGGATGAATGATTAATTCGGTGTTGAGTCACCGCTTTGAAATGGGACGGAGCACAATGACAGCCAGGATTGGCGGTGGAGATGATTTTGGACGTTGTCTACTTCAGAGTAAAAAAGATACACCTTTTATTGCAGCAGCACAGCACCAAGGATCTGCTTCGTCCAACTTCCTTCCATCCAGCAGTTGTTTCCCCCCGACTGCCATCACCGACGCCCATGCAATTTCTCTGTACACTGCTTGACGACGTCTGCGTTCTGCTCCTTGACGCAGGCCAGACAGAGCCCATCGCAATTCTCTTCCAAGGCCTTGACCACACTAGCGAGCTTTGCTGTGGACAGTTTTTGCCCGAGATTTGTGTTGATGGTGTTCATCTTCTTGACGTAAGAGAGAAGCTGATCGATGCTGTGGGACTCCAGTTTTGGCGGCCAAGTGCTCACATCCACAGCTTTGCATAATTGAGTTATGAATCTGGCGTAGTCGACGTCCGGTTGAGGCAGATACTCAGAGGCCAGATTGTGAAGCAGGTTTCGTTGCGCTTCGCTTCGTTTAGCTTCTAGACCATCTGATGTACAAGTTAGCCATGACGCCATTGAATATATTGAAACATGCTTTCAACTTACAGAGGGCCATTGGCGAGATGTGACAGGCCCATTCCTCCAAGAGAAGTGAAGAGTACGGCGTGGTAACGCCACTGATCAGGCGCCCGGTGGACAATCGAAACGCGCGAGAATTGTCAAGAAGATAGGCTGCAACCATACGCTGGCCGTTCGTGGCGAGGTCGAGATCAGCGTAGAGGTCGAGATTCCCGAGCAGGATGGCATGCGCCTGCATCCGCAGGGCATCGACGCATGCATACTTGTCGATCGTGATGGCGAGTTCCAGGATCGTGGCGGCAGAGGCACCGGTCAGGTACTTGTGGACGGTCTTGCTGTGAAGCATGTGACACATGTCCGACACGGTTTCTGGGTTGTCGTCCGGGAGGTTGATCTCCTTGGGCTGCGCGGTGGATTCGACCTCTTGACCTTCACGGAACTGTGGTCCCAGCATAGCGGCGGATACTGCAGAGGCGTTTTTGAGGACGGCGGACGAGACCATGAGCTTCACCTGTGGCGGCTGGCCGATCACCAGCACGATGTCCGGAGAAGGGCAGATGAGCTCTGTCTTCACCTTCTCGGCCGCCATGGTGTCAGTGTGCAGGTTGCCGGTCGTCGTTTGTCGTTTGTCGGTTGTCGTGTGTCAGAGGTGGTGAAGAGAAGGGAGAATGCGAAGGACTTAAGAGAGGTTGCTGAGCTGAGACACTTGCCGCGCTAGCATGTGACTTTCCTGTGTGGGCAACGCTAGCATTATTTGCTTGCCCGAGACATACGATGCATCGAGGCAAGATGCATGAACGCAAGTCATTGTCTTGTAGCGTCTAAGTGTACGGAACGCAGCACCGTATCACGAGACCTTCGCCCTCTACCAGATACTGCATTTCGTGCCCTTCCTATTTCATCCTCGCCATCAGTCTCAGACCTACTGTCGACCTTCTGCAACCTTGGGCACAGTCTTTGCTTACTGCCGAAGCCAATTCTTGCGGCCCTCGTATGCACAGTATTTTTCCTTGATGTCCAGGTAGTTGTCTTCTTTGACGCACTTCAAACAAAGACCCTGACACATGTCCTCCACTTCTTCTGCGGACTGTTTGAAGTCACCGTCCTTCACTCTTCCGTGTTTCGGTGAGTCAATTGTGCTCAGCTTGCTGGTGGTCTGCACACAGTCCGCCAGGCAGAAGCTGCTGGCGACTGATGTGAGATCGGGTGGCCAAAAGGGGATACCGAATCCCTGCATCAGATGCCTCACGTACACCTCATCGTATTCCTCAACCACAGCAGCGTCTTCCCCAAGGCACATTAAACCGAATTCGACTTTGTGTTGTGCAGCGGTGCGCCTTTCGTTGATTTCGCCTTTCGAGGAGATAAGCGTTGGCTTTGACACATGCTACTCCAAAGAATGTTTGTTGAACTCACGTATGATGTGCTCAGGCATCGGCTCCTCGTACAGATATTCGTCGGTTGCAATGTGCATTCCCTTGAGCAAGCGGCCAGTGAGGATGTGAAAGGCGCGAGCGTCGTCGAACAAGTAGGCAGCCACGACGCAGGAGCTATCTCCAGAGGCGTCGTGCTGGACTTTTGTACGATCCATGTAAGAAAGAAGGATGGCAGCGGTCTGCATGCGCAGTGCTTCCGCGCAAGCATATTTCTGCACAGCAAAGGCGAGGAGGCCGATGGTGGAAGGCTTGCTTTTGCTGACTAGCTCGTGAATGTATTTGCCCTGCAGCAGGCGGCACCTAGTAGGAAGATCAGCTCAGTCACTTTAGAACAGAGAGAAGGTCGACTATGTTGCTTTGCGACTAACATCAACGACATAGATTCAGCCCTGTCTTCTGGCAGATGGATCTCTCTTGGCACAGCTGCGATGTCATGGCCGGGTTCCCGTTTCAGTAACGTGGCGTAGACATCGGAAGCGGCTATGAGAGCCGCCGAAGACACATGCAGCTCGCGCGTGAGTCTCGGGTTCTTCCACCTTCGAGGGGGGCCGACGACCAGCACGACGTCCGCAGACGCTGCAATGACTTCGGCTGTGATGTTTTGGATGTCGGCCATGTTCCGTAGAGGTGATCCGTAGAGGCGAGGATGCGTGGAGAGTGACGGAGGAGTGAGAATGGTTCGCTTTACGGGATCCAACGCCGCGCTAGGCACGTGGCTACGTCATGCCCCGGATCATATGCAGGTATCGGTGGTACAGGGTAACAGGAACGCAAGGCAGAGATGCATGGCGAGCTATGCTTACCTCCGGATATTGTATGTCAGATGTCAACTTTCATGATATCCGATCTGACGACAGTCGCAAGCTATGCAGTGCCTTCGAGAGCTCAAAGATACTGACACAGTCTCCTTCCGCCTCGAGCCAGGATCATTTCGTCACGGCATGTTGCCGTTCCCACCATTCAAGCTCGCATTGGCCGCCGACGGATTAGCCTGATAATAATGACTGAAAGCCCCATACCGATCATCGTCCTCCACTAACCACTGCAAGTCCTCCTGCTCTGGCGGCAGCGTTCTCATCAGACCGTGACCGGGACGAGGGTAATTCGGCGGATGTCCTTCGGGGACGAAGTCGTTGGTCGGCGCACTCATAAAGTTCGACTGGTAGTTTGGAGCACCTGCCGTAGCCTGGAAGCTCTGTCGCGGTGCTGGGTTCGGTGCTGGGTTGGGAGCGCCCATGCTTGAGGTTTGGGTCATCGAGGGCGGATGAGCATGGCCGTTTGAGGCAACTTCTGGCTGTGCTGCTGGGATGGCGGTGTTCTCCGTGGCAGTTGCACGAGCTTGAAAGTCGGGCGCAAAGACTGGTAACTCTGGGTGCAGAGTTGTCGCCTTGGTCAGTAATGTGACCAGCATGCCTGGTGGTAAGCTTCCGAAGTAACGTTGTCTCTGCATGTGTGTCAGCTCACCAATACTAAAGAGCACCGAAACAAGAACACCGACCTGCTCGACGGACGCCCCCGGAGCGCTGACGAAGCTCGAGACCTCAGCCTCCGGCACAGGCACCACACGCTTCTTCTCACACTGCTTGCAATACCATTCCTTATCCACTTCATCCACAACCGCCTGATGTATTGGCGGGTGGTGACAATAGCGATGATAAGGTGTATTGCAGCCATCACAGAAAACGATCATGTTGCTAGCAGGACTCGTGCCTCGCAAGCACACCTTGCAAACAGCGGACTCTGGGTTTCGGCGGTACGGACGCTTGCGTTTGTTCGTACCCGTCGGTGATGGAGGAGGCGGGACGAACGATGTTGGTTTCTGAATAGATCGGCCGGACTTTGTCATTGTAACCGCCGGCGAATATATCTCGCTGTCCTCCGAATCGTCGCCTTCGCCCTCCTCCCGCTTACGCTTGCCGCCTCGACCACCTCCACGCCCTCGGCCTCTTGGCCTCCCACCGCCTCTCCCTCTACCCCGCCCGGTGGTAGTGGGCGTAGTTGTCGCCCCGTTACCCTCCATCTTGACCGCGATTGTGTCTCCATCTGTAAGAAGGCTTGTCCGCTTCCCTCCACGACCTCCTCGCTTGGGCGCTGGTGTCTCCCGCGGCGGCGTGGGAGTTGGGAACTTGTCAGAGGTCGCCATGTCCTTCATGATCTGCTCCTTGGCAGCTTCCCAACCCGGTGTCCCGCTGGCGGCAGCATTGGCAGCGTTGTCGTTGATTCGCTTCAGTATCGATTCGGTGTTGGCCGAGTATTGTGGTTCTTGGAACGATGATGGTGTCGCACTGTCTGTTACACCATCTTTCGGCAGTGAAGCTGAACGGTTAGGTGCTTCCAGGGCATCGGTCATTGGTGCGTCCGAGAGAACAGAGGTCGAGGGCGGGGCTTGTGAGCTGGCGGCTTCCGTCTGAACCACATCTTCTCTCTCGCCGGCAGAAGGTTGGTTCTGTATTGGTTCTTCCATTCCCCTAGTATGGCGATGCTAGCAGAATAGTCTCAAAGACATAGCATGTGAGAAGAGAAGCACTCTAGGATCCGTTCGTCGCAATGGCCTCAAGATGAAGTCGCAGGGTCCATACCCAGGCAGGGGCAGCCGAGCGCTAAGGAAAGCTTGTTCCTGCAGCTTCCTCTTTGGGCGATAGGCGTTTCGCAGCGTGTCCTTCCTGAACATGATGAACACAAGCGAGCGAGGAACACCTGATTGACAGATTTGTAACACCCATCTTGCCTCCTACGCTTGAAGATGAGACTAAGAATTTGCTCTAAACAATCGAAGCTTTTCACACATTGTTGCAGGACCAGACATGTGGGCGACCTCTGCAGAGGAAACTTCCTTCGACTTGGAGTTATCGCTTTGTCGGTGGACAAGACACAGATTTCCACAACAATATCTATATCTACACAGCCAACCTGCCACCGTCTATTGGCAAGTTAACACCGCTGACGAAGCTCGCCTCGTCGCTAGCTAGGTATACTGCAGCATTGGCGATATCCTGCGGCTCCGACATCCTCCCCAGCGGCACGGACTTAGCGAACCTCTCGCGCTCTTCAGGCGTGTCCGCGGTCCCGCTGAACATTTCAAGCAAACCCGTGGCTCCTCTCAATGGGCATATTGAGTTGACTCGAATGCCCTCTGGTCCGTACTCTGCTGCCAAACCTTGCGTTACCTGGGACAACCAGTCAGCCATTGCCAGGTCGTCGAGAACAGGTCACTTACGGTGTTGAGGAATCCCTTCGTTCCACCATAGAATACCTGCCCAGGCCTTGTCCTTGCACCAGCGACGGACGATGTATTGAGATACACTCCCTGCTTCCGCTCAACAAAGTAAGGCATCACCACCGAAACGCTCATGAAGATGCTCTTGCAGTTGACGTTGACTATCCGGTCGAAGTCCTCTTCTGTCACGCGCATCGATGGCTGTTTCTTGTAAGTGGTTCCTGCATTGTTGACAACAATATCAAGCTTCCCGAACTTCGATTTGGCCAGCTCAAGTGCCTTCTCCCAGTCTTCGCGCTTGGTTACGTTGTGTTCGACGAAGACTCCCGAGCCGCCGCCGGGATACGCTTTGGATGCAATGTCGGCTTCAACTCGCTTGCCACCATCGACCGCAATGTCGCTAATCAAGACATTGGCGCCCTCTTTGACAAAAGCATGGGCTATGCTTTCGCCGAAACCACTGCCAGCTCCACTGACCAGTGCCACTTTTCCTTCTAGTCTGCCCATGATGGTCTTGTGAGGATTTTAGATGCCAATAGTGTACTAGGTTTGACCGATTCTGAGTAGCATTCGTTATTTTCGTCGGGTTCGACGCAACAACAGAAGAACAAGAGATCTCTCGAGGAAGTGCGAATGGACCTTCTTTCCAATCAATTCTCGGAATGTTAATAGAGAGGATCGTTTCATCGCGGCAATGCAATAATCATGTTCCAGCATCGGACAGTTGATCCCCTCTCTGCTGGCACTCCGACTTCGGCTTGCTTGTCGTCACTTGCGATCATCCTCAAGGACAAGGATTCGAGTCGACAAAGCAGAACGACGACACCAAACGGAAACTAGCATGCAAAGAGCCTCGAGTATAGAATGCAGACCGACCGTCTCTGTTCAAGTCTTCTTCGGAAAGAAACCCGCTCCGAGACATCATAACCTGGGCCGAAACTTCAAAGGATTTGTCTGGACCCATCGTATATGGCTAAGGCACGAACACTGGCACAGCTGGTATCGGTTTGCTTACGGTCGTCTGTTGACCGCAGGGTGAAGATAGTATGGTTGTGAATCTGTTCTAAGCCACATTACGTGGACTTGCCGTGAGACATGATGACCAAACTTCGTCCTCTACTGGACGCTTGTGCCCAAGCTCTGGACGGCTCGCAACGACAACACCGAACGGTCGTCCGTACTCCTCTATTCTTTGGTGTCGCGGTCTTGCCACACAGAGGAACGCAATCAGTAAAGCCGTTTGGGACGAGAACGTACTGCATCGCATCGACTTACCTCCGTCTGCAACGACTTTGTCGATGATTTCGATGTCCAAGCCTTGCCAGTTCTTCCGGGCCCAAGCGAACCAGCTTACTATAGCCACAATCCATACCTGTCATTGGGAAAGGAGATTAGCGAGTCGGAACGGCAACGAGAGCGTTCAACTTACAAGGGCGTTGATTGGCAACGCGTAATTCATGTAGGCTGCGGTGATGGGAAGGTAATTGGGAAAGACCTGTAAGACGGTGACGTGTCAACAATCTTTGCCAGCTTCCGTGGGTGGTTCTTCGTACCATAAAAATGCCGAGCCAAGCGCTGTATACGATGGCGAACGCATTGATGGCTACTCCGAATCGACCGAGGGACCATGGAGCCTCTCCGATGCGGCCTGACAGCCGCGCAGACAGCATGCATGAGATGGCGATGAAGTACGACTGGTAAAGACCGAATGTCGAGCTGCAGACTGGTCTTAGCAACGTCTCAAACCGAGAGGTCCAGTAAACTCACAGCGAGATGATCACACTAAAGGCAGTGTAGTTGGCAAGGTTGAGGAGTGAAAGCAGCGCAACGACGAGAATCGGTAGCCACACCTGCGAGAAGTGGAGTAAGCAGATGTTTCAGAAGATTACAATGCGTGGTCTTGACGTACGGATCGCAGCGGTATGCGGTGGTAGGGATCCACCTTTGCAAAATAAGCAGGAAGGGCTCCGTCTCTGGCCCAAGCCCAGGTTAAGCGGGAAGCCGATGCAATCGAGCCGATGGAGACGCTGACAACGGTAAGAAGGAAAACTAGCAGGTGTCAGCAGGATCATCCTTGATGAGCAGTCGCATATACGCACATCCCACCATTGCGGAAGCACCAGGCACGGACTTGGTCGCTGTCAGACATATCGCCATGAGCGGGTAGGCTGCGCTCATCACAGTATCAATGTCGCCGAGGCAGGTTAAGAATATGAGAATCATGGCGAAGGCCAGAACGCCGTTCATGCAGATGGACCAGAACCTTTTCGCAACAGGTCAGCGTATGCGTCCGTTATATCGTGTGGAGGCTCGGACTGCTTACATGGCCCGTGGAATCGCAGAGCTAGCCTTCCGTGTCTCCTCCGAGATGTGCGCAGAGGCATCAAAGCCAACGAAGCCCCAGGTTATCAATATGATCCCGAGATTGAAAGAGACGAAGTCGCTGTCCCATCCAGATAGACTCGCCTTTTCGAGGAAGACAAATTCAGCCGAGTGCCGCGGTGCAAGCGTCAGAAGCACAGCGGCGAATACGATCCATAAGATAACATGGAGCAACCCAGCCAGGAATTCGACCCACGGGATGATCCAGAAGACGTACATGTTCATCAGTCCGAGCACGATCAGGTATGCGTACATGACCAGGACTGTATGCCAGCCTTTGAGGATATAGTCTGGATAGTTCGTCGAGACGAGAGTAAGGGTAACGTTTGCTGCTACGTTGACAACACTGGCGAGGATTGAGATCTGGTGGGAGAAGCGCGAGAGTGGTCAGCACGTGTGCCACACATTGTGCAACGAAGAGCGGTCGATGCTGAGATACCCATGAGAACCATGTCATCCTGCCAGGCAAGGAACGGGGGTCAGCGTTTGTTGTACCAAGCACTTGAAGGGTCGCTCTGATATCAAGAGCACTCTTCCCATCGGGACTCACCAGCCTTGCATCCATGTGATGCTTCTGCGGTACTTTGGGGGCGCAAGATGCCATGTCCAGTGGTACTGCGCGCCTGCAATGGGCTGTACCGACGACATCTCGGCCAGGGAAGCAACTTGACACAGCACCCCAGAAAAAACGATGAAGAAGCCCCAGACCTGTTGGACGTCAGGATCGCAAGCCTTTCGCCTGATAATTGACTAGTGTTTACCATTGCTCTTGGCCCACCGTTATAGAAAGCTAGACCGATGTTGCTGTCCCTTGTGAGCAAGTGTTCGATGCTCCCTCTGCAACCGATGCTGTGGACGTACGTAGCCATAGCCTCCCACGACGACATGTAGCTCAGTGCGAAGAAATACATTTGCGTGAAACTGAAGATTCTCTGGCGGAAGGTCAGCGCGGTGGACGACACACGATCATGTTGGATCGAACGAACCCTCACTCCCGTCACCGACCTGCCCGTACCGTGCTCCTGCTGGACTGCACCAACACTCACCGACCCCCCCGGCTTCATCTCATACGGCTTCATCTCGTACGAACTCATGCTGGGCAACGACTTTCAACGAGCCTCCAAGTGCTAGCAACGACAACGACCGTAAAAGCAACGACAGCAGCAGGATGCAACAAGAGGCGGAAAATAGGAAGAGCAATCCACCATTTCTGGCGACGGTCATCTCACCAAATGTAGCGGCTTCCGGAGCTTGGCCGTTCCGCATTAACGCACTCTAGGCCTCGCCTTTGAGCCATGCTGGTGCGGTCGTGTTGTGCTGTGCCTGATAACGTTGCATAAGCGAACTTTTGAGCAGGCCCTCTAGTGGCTCCCCGCTCGTGCCGCCCCATGGCACACCGTTCTAAGGAGTATCCCCAAGGTAGTGTCTCAGCTAGGCTCCCGCTGCCGCTCTCCCCGACTGGCCCTGGCGACGCTATGGCTTGAACACGGATAGTGTGGTATACCCTTGGCTCGTATGCATATGGAAGCTGCGGCGTGGGCGAAAAGAGCACCCCCTCCCATGCAATCTACAGTCCCCCCGTGTCGTGGTGATAAGACCAGGAGAGGCGGCAGAATGGCCAGGCTGTTGATGATGATGGGTTCAATCCCCTTCATGCATCCCAAACCCTCATTTTCAAAAGGTCTGCATCGATCGACCTCGGGCGCAAGAGCATCATGGCCTCCAGTGCCAGCGCCAGCGCTGTTCCAACAGGCCGCCTGTATGAGCCGTTGGCACCGCCCTTTCGTCCAACATCCGACACCAATAGAGGAGCATACGCCCTCCTCACGGCGGTCATCTTGGTTACCATCACGGGGTTGATATGTTCCGTCAAGCTGCAAATGACAATGGTCACTTATCGAAAGTTCCGCACCGATGACATTGCCTTGATGGCCAGTCTTGTAAGCGTGAACCCCTATATCAGACCTGTGAATAGCGGCGAGTCCTGATCAACGTTCCAGGTGTTGACCATTGGATACACGATCGCGATATGCCTAGCAGTCGACAGTGGCCTAGGGAGAATAGCTCAAGATTTGTCAAGCAGTCAAGTTCGTCTGCTGAGTCAAGTAAGGTTGCGATGGATCAACTCGCCAGCGCACTCTAATACAACCACAGAGATACTACGCCTCCAACATCCTGTTATACCTCTCGTTGGCATCCTCCAAAATCTCCGTGGCCCTCCTCGTCCTCGCCATCAAGCCGTCGCGATGGATAGTCATTGCCCTCCATGGTTTGATTGCTGTGTCAGCGACATGGGGTGTTGGTGCTGTCTTGACCGTTGCCCTTCAATGCGGGCCGACGAGGTGGGTGATGGGACCGATGGGCGACAACACATGTATCGATCAGTACAGTGGACTCATCGGCTTGAGGATCATTGATATCATGACGGACCTAGCACTTTCCATCCTCCCGGCGGCAATGGTATGGGACATTCAGATGCCGTTGCCCAAGCGACTGGTGGTTGCCTTCATGTTCGGTCTCCGGCTTGTGTAAGTCTACATCACCCGTGGAACTTGCTGCGACTGATGGTCTTCTCCCAAGCACACCAATCCTCACGGCCGTTGCACTCGCGTCATACCGTGCCTTTTACTCGGCACCTACCGCCGAGCGCCCGTTCGTGGTCGTGAAACCCTCAATCTGGACCTCTGTAGTAATTAATATGTCCGTCATCACGGCCTGCCTCCCATCAATCAAACGTTGGCTCACCGACTGGGCCGCCGGCGTCGCAAACGCTGGCATCATGGAGCCCTACGAGCTCCAACACTCCTCTGGCCACGCCGCTTCCCGGTCAGGGCGGACCTCCGGGCTACGCAGCTTTGGGCAATCGCAACACCGCTCGCATACCACGTCTGCGCAAGGAAAAACAGCACAGATGGACACTGGATATGGGCGGCGGATCGAGCAGGAGCGGGTTGTGGACGATGGAGATAGCAAAAAGGGGTTGACGGATGGCATATTACAGACAGTGGATTATCATGTGGAGTATGAGCATGATTGGGACGAACAAAGGGATGCACAGACGGATGGACGGAGGAGAACGTGACACGGTACGGGGCAGATTGTACGATGGTGGATCCGAAGTCCGAGCAGCTCCCTTGAAGTCGAGATGTACATGTAACCATTTGGAAGCACGATGTAGCTAATTGAAAGGCTGTCAGGAGGTCCAAGCGACCAGTCTAAACCCACGACCTGCATATCATCGTATACCTTGTCGAGGTCTCAACCCGCACAACGAAATGCCAAAAATCCCTTACAAAGCCACAGTAATACTCTTAATCTCGGTGTATTCATCAAGAGCATCCTTGCCGCCCTCCCGACCGACACCAGAGTCCTTGATGCCTCCAAAGGGCTGCTCACAAGCGGAAATCAACCCACACCGAACACCAACCATCCCACTCTGCAATGCTTCAGCGACCTTCCACAGCCGCGAGATGTTCTCGGTGTAGAAATACGACGCGAGTCCGGCGTTCGTCTGGTTGGCCATGGCAATGACCTCCTCGTCGGTCTCAAACGGGACTAAGAATGCCAGAGGGCCGAACGTCTCTTCCTTCATGAATATCATGTCTGGCGAGGCGCCAGTGACGATGGTCGGAGGGAAGAAGTTGGGTCCATGATTGCCAGTAGCTGCATCAGAGCTGACGATCTTCCCCCCCTTCGACTCAGCGTCTTCGATCTGCGCTTTGATCTTGGTAAAGGCCTTCTCGGAGTAAAGCGGACCGAAATTGACCTTCGCGTCCCAGACCGAGCCAAAGGTGAATGTGGAATTCATCTTCTCCTGCAGCACCTTCGCAAAGTCTTGGATAATCGACTTGTGAACGAAGATTCTGTTGGCACAGACACATGTTTGTCCAGACGACCGGAACTTCGAGGCAATCACACCCTCAGCAGCGCCATCCAGCTTCGCATCGTCGAACACAATGAACGGAGCATTGCCGCCCAACTCCATCGATGTCTTGATGAACTTCTTGGCGGCCTCTGCGTGAAGATGCCTTCCCACAGCTGTTGAGCCAGTGAAGCTGAGATGCTTGACGATGTCGTTTTGCGTGAACTCTTGCCCAATCTCCGGCGACCGCTCTACGCTCGAGGTAACGATGTTGAGAACACCAGGAGGCCCGCCGGCTTTTTCGAAGAGCTTGGCCAGAGCAATGGCGCACAGAGGTGTTTCCGGAGCGGGCTTGAGCACAACCGTGTTGCCGGCAGCAATAGCAGCCCCAACCTTCCTGGTGACCATGGCTACTGGTGAGTTCCAAGGCGTGATTGCAGCGACCACTCCCTGCGGCTGCCGGATCGTGAAGATGCGGTTGTTGCCCTTGGCCGCTGGGATCGTCTCCCCATACTGTCGCTCGATCGCACCTTCAAACCAATCCAAGAAATCTGTGCCATACTTCACGGTACCCAACGACTCCGTGAACGGCTTGCCTAGCTCCAGAGTGCAAATGGCGGCTAGATCCTCTTTGCTCGCCTTGATCTCGTCGGCCCATCGTCGGATGAGCGCCCGACGTTCTCGGTTAGTCCATGTCTTGTACGACTCGAAGGCCTTCTGTGCTGCTTCTAGAGCTTTACGAGCGTCTTCTCGACCGAGATCTGCGATGTAGCATAGTTCGGCATTGTCCTCGGGGTCTGTCAATGGAGTCAACAAAACGGAATGAGAATCTGGTCCGACGTGAGATAGTACCATAGACACTAAACTGGCGCTTGGCGCTTGATCCGATCCACTTTCCTCCAATAAAAGAACGATTGTCGAGAAGTGCTGTTGTCGGTTCGTTCAACTGCAATCAGCTTTAGCAAGGCATACCCGTAGTTGAACGTAGCACGATGTCCCGACCTTATTGTAAGGTACCTCTTTGAGCAAGATACCCTTGGACTCTTGAGCGGTCCTCATGTTGTACTACGGTACGATCAATCTTAACAACGGCAATCAATGCAATATGATCTTCAACTGATAATGGAGGTCGAAGGAAATTGTTTGGAGGGACGAACAGTGGTGATGTTCAAGCCTCCGGTCTCGGGAATAGTGAAAGTCATACCCCACCTTTGACATACCTGAATGCCGAGCCGCTGTCACAAGTGGGAGGGCTGGATTTGAAAGGGACGATGTATGACGATGAAATGCTTCGAAGTGCCGACAGAAGGACGCGAAGGAGTTGAAGCACTCTATGCCACCACGCCGTCACTCCGAAGACTGTCTATCTCAGCACTTTCCATTCCCAATCCGGCCAGGATCTCGTTCGTGTTCTGGCCCAGTGTTGGTGGTGGACTGCGTATGCTAGGTTTGGCCTCTGAGAACTTGACGGGCGGACTGATGAGCTTCATCGGCCCGCAAGAAGGATGGTCGACCTCCGTGATCATATTGCGAGCGTTGACTGTGGACTATCAGCATATCTATTAGCCGTACCATTGACCAAACTTACCATGCTCGTGATCAAGTGTCTTTTGGACGTCGTTGATTGCCGAGTAGGGCATGCCGCTACCTTCCAGGATGTCCAGCCATTCCTGTGTGGTCTTGGTGCGAGTCACTGTTTCAATGAGGTCCTCCAGCTCGTCGCGGTGCTTGACCCGGTCTGCGTTGGTCACGAATCTGCTGTCCTTGATCCACTCAGGCTTCCCAAGACGCTCACACAGGACACCGTAGAGCCTGTCGTTACCACCTCCGAGCATGACGTCGCCATCCTTGGTCTTGAAGCCTTTGTACGGTACGATTGACGGGTGTGCTGTGCCCCATCGGCCAGTATCCGGCTTACCGCTGATGAGGCACGAGCTGGCGATGTTCGCGAGACTGGCAACCTGACAGTCCGAAAGTGCGACATCAATATGCTGGCCTCTGCCGGACTTTGCTCGGCTGAGCAGTGCTGCCATGACTGAGTTGCTGGTGTAGAGGCCTGTAGTCAAATCGGTGATTGCCACGCCTACCTTTGCCGGAGGTCCGTCGCGATGGCCAGTGATGTGCATCAAGCCCATCTCGGCTTCTACCATGACATCGTAACCGGCACGCTTGCTGTTGGGTCCATACTGGCCATAGCCCGTGATGCTGGCATAGATGAGCTTCGGGTTGACCTTGGCGAGAGTTTCGTAGTCGATGCCATACTTCTTGAGTGCTCCTGGGAGGTAGTTCTCAACGAGGACATCGCAGTCTTTGGCCAGTTTGTGGAGAATATCCACTCCAGACGAATGTTGAAATGACAGGCCTAACGACTTCTTGTTGCGGTTGACCTAGTGGCATCTTAGCAGCGTTCCCGTGACAAAACCTTACACACATACGGCTAAGAAGTATGCACTCTCCCCAGGACCATCTTTGCCACTGCTTTCGTTGTACGAAGCATACGGCGGGCCCCATGCACGCGTGTCGTCGCCTCGGGTTGGATGCTCGATCTTTATCACTTCGGCTCTGCCAGATATGAGCATTCACACATTGCGAGCCACCAGACCTAGCCGGGAATGGTCGTACTGGGTCACTCTTCATACCCTAAATCACCCAGGATCTGTGTACAATATGGCTGTGACGAAAGTCAGCGATTGTGAGATCGGCATCACGGGGAGGACCAACACCTGCGAGCACCCTCGTCATGTCTAAGACCCGGATTCCGGCCAACGGCAGAGTGGCAGCTTCTGCAGCTCCTACTGGTGTTGCGAGCCATCGTCTTTGTGTCGTCGAGGCGTAGGTTGTGCTCCGGGCTCCCAATGTTCTGCCCAGCAGGCTCAATGGCCTACCGACAGACATGTTATGAGATGAAGGGCACGAACACGAAAGTGTGTGACCAACAAGAGATGTATTGTGTATTATTGCAGCAGCTGCAGTACGCCTCGGCTCAGCGTCAGCGACGTCGGGCTGCGCAGGTTTCGGCGTCGGCACCGATGGCCGATGGAGATGAAGCATTGATCCTTACCAGACCTGTGCATCCCTTCTGACACCTACCTACCGTAATGTTCACAGGCATTGTCGAGGCCGTAGGCAGTACGTCTTGCCTCCATCCCCTCGTACAAGCGCCGCGCTGACGCCCAGCCAGCGGTCACCCGGCTAGACCAGCACGATGCATCCGCCAGCGGTGGTGGGGGCACTTCCTTGACGATATCCAATTGCTCTGAGATCCTGGAGGACGCACATCTGGGCGACAGCATCAGCATCAACGGGACCTGCTTGACGGTCACGGAGTTTACGGAAGATGCCTTCAAAGTCGGAGTGTCTCCAGAGACTCTTCGCTTAACGAACCTGGGCAGCCTCAAGGAAGGCAGCGGAGTCAACCTAGAGCGTGCCGTGAGCGCCACTACTCGCATGGGAGGTCACTTTGTCCAAGGGCATGTGGACACTATCGCCAACATCCTTGAGACAAGACCAGATGGAAACGCCATCACATTTCGCTTCCAGCCAAAGGACAAGAGCATACTGAGGTACATTGTAAAGAAAGGCTATGTCACGCTCGACGGCGCTTCTTTGACAGTAACAGCCGTCGACGATGAAGCGGGCTGGTGGGAGATCATGTTGATCGCATATTCTCAAGAGAAGGTGGTCATGGCGAGGAAGAAGCAGGGCGACGATGTGAATGTGGAGGTGGACATGGTGGGCAAGTACGTCGAGAAGAGCGTGACTGCGTACTTTGAAGGAAGTGCTTGGGATGGTGGCTCCATGATGGAGAAGATGGTGCAACGCATGGTAGACGAGCGGTTGAAGAATAAGTAGGGTAATAACCACCACTTGCGGTATTTCTACTCGCTCGAATGGACATGGGTAGAGAGAGTATGCTGCATTCTCCAGTGGTGTTGTCTAGCAGAGCTTCTGGCTACACCATCTCGATAGGATGGAGATAAGGCATGATGGGCCCAATTCCTACGATGCGTCGTGGCAGTTGGCTCTAAACGATCAGGATTTAGAATCCATTCTGATGGCTCAGATCCATGGCGTGATACGGGCTTGGGTGGTATCCCGGGCTTATCGACTTCGTCTGCCAGCCCTCCAGTGGAAACGAGAAGCCCGGACAGTCGATTCGCTGAGTGCAGGTATTGTTCCATTGTGGCTGGCTGTCAGATCTTTGATCATGACCTGAAGTGCGTTTGTGCATCTGGAGTGAACCCTTCCATTGGCTTGCGTCTTGACCTCACCTCAGTTCCTGCGACGTAAAATCCACACGTCAAGCTCCGGGCAGACAGCATTGACATGACTCTTGACGCCGCTGCTTGTGACCATCTCATTCCTCCACCAGCAGGAGTCGGACACAAGGATCTCGAGCGACATCGTCGCACAGCCGATGGCGAGGGGTGGGGGAGGGTTCGAGGCTTTCGAGCAATGTCCCGCAGTCCAAGACTTCCAAGAAGAGAAGTCACTCTTGGCTTCAGCAGATGAGCGTTCATGGCCTCGACGACATCAAAGGGTGGACTTCAAGGATATGGACCACTGGGAGATGCATCAAAACCAACGAGGGAGAGCATGAGTGATGCATTGGAGTCTCTATGGGACTGGTCTGCGCCTAAATATCCAATGTCCTCCAACGCCTCTCCCAGCTACGTGGCAGCCGAGGATCAGACCTCACACTTGGCTGAACGATAGCCGTCTGCACAACAAGACGCTATATCATGACGGATCCAATTGAGGCCTGGGAAGCTCACGGGATAGCCGTGATGTGCGCCCCAGAGGGTGTCTCGACTCCTTCAGAAGGTGATCTTACTTTTTCTTGTCATCGTCGAAGAAGTTCTAAGCGACGAGGCTTCGCCTCTGCGCACGAGGGCAATATTTTCTTATCTCAGCTGCGGGTTTTAAAATGCGGTGCTATCCTTAGGTAGACTGAAGTTCTACGTTCGCTCTTTCTGTCCGAGATTTTGTAGCAACTACATACACCTGAGCCGACAGTATGGCGTCGAAGCTCTTTGGAGGCGGCAAGTCGCCCTTCACACAAACGACAACGAATGATAGCGATAGCTCTCCTTCGCCTCCTGGGTACGTCAAATCGACGAGTGGAAGTGGTCTCTGAGACGCCACGAAGCATTATACGGCGCTTTAAGACCACTCCAATCCGGGCAGTCACTATTTGGGGACACCTGCTGATCCAGCACCTCAGGTATGATAACGATACCGAGCGAAGAAATTCTGCCGTGGCTACAGTGACCGGCCTCAAGGACACCACCCACCGAGGACTCAAAGCCCGCCACATTCAGCTCATCGGTATCGGCGGAACGATAGGAACGGCGCTCTACGTACAGATCGGTCGGGGCCTCCTGAACGGTGGCCCTGCCAGTCTCTTCATCGCCTTCACGATATGGTGTGCCTTTATCCTCGCCGTGACCATTTGCATGGCGGAAATGGCAACCTACCTCCCCATTTCGTCCCCATTCATTCGGTTCGCAGGACGCTACGTCGACGAGTCCTTCGGCTTCGCGGCTGGCTGGAATTTCTTCCTCTTCGAGGTAAAAAAAACTAGCCAGGCGATCTGAGTGATTCTAACTCTGCTTTCAATAGGCGATCATGGTGCCTTTCGAGATTACTGCCTGTAACTTGATTATCCATTACTGGTCTGAAGCCGTGCCAGCCGGAGGTATCATTGCTATCATTATCTGCCTCTACGCCGTCATCAACGTGACCGCAGTCAAATGGTACGTCAAACTGATGGGTGGAAGTTTTCTTCTAAAACGCCTCAGGGGCCTCAGGACCACTGGGTGCTCGGACCTCACCACTTTTGTTCCACTTGTCGAGACATCTGCTGACCCTTCTTCCCATTACTCTAGGTACGGAGAGACCGAATTCTGGGCTGCCCTGGGCAAAATGCTTCTCATCATTGGCTTAATCATCTACACATTCATCACCATGTTGGGAGGCAACCCGCTTGGGGACCGTTACGGGTTTCGCTACTGGGAAGACCCCGGTGCCTTCAACTGGTTGTACTACGACAATAAACTGGGTTATTTCTTGGGCTTTCTGCAGTGTTTGATCCAAGCGTCATTCACCATTGCCGGACCTGACTATGTCTCTATGGTGAGTGCCGTTTGCACAGTCCAGCGCTGTAACGTTATGTGTCCGGTCGATCACTAATACTTCCCAGGCCGCCGGAGAAGCAGAGAACCCTCGTGTCGTCATGCCCAAGGCCTACAACGCTGTCTTCTACCGCCTGACCGCCTTCTTCGTCCTCGGCAGTCTGGCAGTCGGCATCAACGTCCCCTTCGACGACCCGACCCTCATCAACGCCTTCGAGAAAGGCAAGCCAGGCGCCGCCGCCTCCCCCTACGTCATCGGCATGATCCGCTTGAAGATCCAAGTCCTGCCCGACATCGTGAACGCCCTGGTCCTCACCTCCGCCTTCAGCGCCGGGCTCAGCTACCTCTACTGCTCCTCCCGCTGCCTTCTCGGCTTGGCGCTCGAGGGCAAAGCGCCCAAAATCTTCACCCGCACAACCCGCAACGGTGTCCCGGTCTACGCCGTCGGCGTCGTCCTGGTCATCAGCTTACTAGCTTTCCTGCAAGTCGCCGAAAACACCGCGACGGTCCTGAGCTGGTTCGTCGCCATCATCACCGCCTCCCAGCTCATCAACTTCTCCTGCATGTGCTACACCTACATCCGCTGGTTCAACGCCCTCAGAGCCCAAGGCATCGATCGCCGAACCCTGCCGTACCGGGGGTGGTTCCAGCCGTACGCTGCATACACGGCGATGATCGGATGTATGGTCATGACGCTCGTGGGAGGGTACAATGTCTTCCTTGATGGGTACTGGGATACCGCTAGCGTAAGCTTCCATTCCTTCTCTTCTACGAGTGACACAGCTGATGAGTAGCAGTTCGTCTTCGCCTACTTCTCCGTCGCCCTCTTTCCCGTCCTCTTCATCTCCTGGAAAGTTATCAAGAAGACCAAGTGGCGGAAGCTAGACGAGATCGATCTCAAGGGCGAGGTGTAAGTGTAACCGGTAGAAGGGTACCTCTGGTCTTAGACATTGTCTCAAGACGAGTGGTGCCCTGACAGTACCTGCTCCACATTCCCGATGTCTTGAGACTTGCTAACGCTTATCGTTTTGTTTGGGTAGTGAGGAGATCGAACATTACACACAGAATTTCTTGCCAACTCCGTCAAAGTGAGTGACAGCAATCCTGTCGTAGCTGTTCTGGCTATACTAACCGTCGTGCAGGAATGCGTTCGATAAGTGGTTCAACATCATCTTCGGCGGCGTCAACTACGACAAAGACCTCAAGCGGATGCGCGAGGAGGGCAGGTTGCCGGAGGGCTACCTTGATCGCTTTGACAAGAAGGAGTAGGGACAGCACCCACTGAGATGAGTGGAAGATGTCAAATGCATCTCAACGACACACGGCCTTGGAATTGCAAACGACTATATTTTCGAATGGGGTATATCCTGTTATTCTATCTCTGCATCTACCAATGCATGGCCAACCTGCTGCTCCAGAACTGCTCTTCGCAGCTGCGATGTGCTTGACTCCAACGCAAAAGCCGTACTACTCGTACTCATCGTAAAAGTCGCCGCGCAATGCCACGTCGCTGAACCTGCCCGTGGCGTTGTCAAAGTCGTCTTCACCAATGTCCTCCCGCTCGTCCTCCTGGTCGTAGTACGGGTTCTCCTCGTCGGAATGGTAGTAGTCGTTCGGATCGTCCTCTTCGTCCTCGGCTCCAGCCTGGGCTTGGGTTGGCGAGACTGGTGCGGGCGTTGATTGCGCACTGCCTGCTTCAGGTGCAGTTCTCGTCGGACGCACTGGAGTTGGAGAAAAGCTCGAACGTGCCGATTGCGACGGACTCGCCGTGCCCTCTTGCCGACCTGACGGCGCACCGCCGTCGGATGCGGGCGTACCTGTTCGACTCGAAGAAGCTGGAGTTGCGCTGTCACGAGTGCTCGTTGCATTTGAAGAGTTTTGCTTGCGGCCCCTCAACATCCCGCTCAGTGTTTCGTAGTTCACGTGTTTCGAGAACGTAGGAGCACGCTTTGCAATCATTGCGTTGATTGCATCGGCCGGCGTTTCGATGGGCGTGGTGGCTTCCGCGAGGGTGGTGCCGTCTCCCATCTTGCTCCGCTTCTTCTTGCCATTCTTCCCAACTCTCCTTTTGCCGGCGGGGTTGCGGCCGGACGCTTTGGAAACAGCTTCGATGAGGGCCTTCTCTTGCTGTTGCCGCAGCCAGTCTTCGTTATGGAGCACCCAGATCTGCTCTTTCACCTTCTGCTCAGCTGGAGAAAGGAGGCAGTTCTCCACCTCTGGGTCGTTTTCGAATTCGGCCTCGAGGATGTCAGGCGTGTATTCTTCGTTGACATCGTCCACCCACGTTGTGCCTTCAGCCTCTCGACGAGCTTTGACCTGTTCTGCGGCGATTTGCTTCTGCTGTTCGGCAGTTTGTTTCGCTCGTTCTTCATCCTTGGCCTTCTCAATCTCGTTCCGCAAGTCGATGATGTCTTCGTCATTCAGATTATCGTTGATGTCGTGTTCGAGCTGCTCTTCCTCGGCGAGCTCTTCCTCAGTGATGATGATCGGTTCTGGCGGAGTTTTTCTCGGCCGTCCTCGCTTACGCGCTGGCTCTTCCTCTTGCTCTCCGTCCTGGACCGCTGGCGTCCGAGCTGGTGGTAGCGCTGGGATGGCGAAGCCGTCTGCATCCCGCCGAGGCTCTTGCTGTGTATCTGGAGATGTGGCGGGTCCATCACTCTCCGTGCGAGGTCTTTTGCGCGGTCCTTCGCCATCTTCCTCTGCTGCCACTGATTCCGACCTTTCCCGCTGAGATTCGTCATCTGCGAGCTCAGCAGTTGCCCTCGCCACACTCGCTTCCTGCCTCTTCCTCTTCAGACTGTCGAATCTGTGCTTCTTCAGCTCGCTCTCGTACAGCACAGGTGGGTCGGCTTGGTCTTTGAGCCGTACACCATACTCTCTGAATTGCTCCACCGTGAGTGCCGCCGCTTTCAGTCGTCTGAACTCCGCGACTCTCTTGGCGATGGTAATGTCCGCGACCTTCGCAACGTAGACGACCTCCCGAACCGATCGACGAAAATTGTTCATGCGTGCTGCGAGAATGATACAAGCACCGCAGAGTCCAGCCGGGTGACGTCCAGTCACCATCCAGTCACGCTTCATCCGACGAACGATCTTGATAGCATCCTCCGCCACTGACCGCGTTGCTTCGCCAAACTCGAGCTTCCTGCAGTACTTCATAACCAACGACTCGACCTCGACCAAGTACTGCGTGCCCACTCCACCACCCTCGTTCAAGTGAATGTCCTTGCACATAGCCTTGTAGACTTCGCCAAGACGGAAGACATTCATCTGTAGGAGTTCGGAGATGTCGATGAGCATGACCTGGTTGTCCTTCTGTCGTCGGCAGGCGGCATATAGACTAGCAGCGGCGACTTCGTCCGTCCGTCTTCCTGCAGAAAAGTTGCTCCTGGAGGCGAGGGCGAAGATATTGATGGCCTGGTTCCGGGTAATCTCGGGTATACCGAGAACAGGGCACAATTTGTCGAGTGATTTGCGAGCATTCTTCTCAGTCTCCTGTGCACTGTTGCGTTCGCCGGCGCCGGCAGCACGAGTGACCGCTGCACCTAACGTCGAAGCGTGGCGAGAGTTCTCTCCAATGAAGCCACCTTGGACCGCGGCGGCACCTCTCGAGTCCTCCTGGAAAGTGACGTCGGAGACGATATTAGACTCGCTGATTTGCGTAAAGCAGTTACGGCACACCCGTTGACCGTCTTCTTCTTCGACTTTGGGGTCCTCGCAACATGTGTGCTTCGAGACGGGAGGTTGAGTCGGTGGCGGGGTTGGTGCAGTTCGAGATGGTGGCTTTAGTGGTCCGGTGATAGATGTGCCTTTCAGAGAGCCCAACCGACGGTGCCTTGGAGCAGCTGCAGGGGTAGCCATCTTGGTATATCACGTGGCGGGTCAGCTCGGAGGATGATGCATATATCGTTCTGCGGTGTGTGTGTAATTTAGCTAAGAATCCGTGTAGGCGATGAGAGGCGTCGGTTGTAGGCTGGTCGGCCGGTATGGTTGGTTGGCGGTCGATTGTGCAGTCGTTTGGTGTTGTAATTGAGCAAGGTCGAGCAAGTGTTGTAGAGGTTGGAGAGGTGCCAGAGCCACGCGAATTCAGAGTCATAAAACTAAGTCCGCCGCGGTTCTGCCGTTGTGAAGTGGGATTTAGCTGAGTGGGTCTTGGTGCTTACACCACGAACTCGATAAAAACAGGTTACCTCATTGGTGGTGTGAGCTTGGGTTCGAAACTCACCATATCAATTGACGGAAGAAACGATAGAAGATGCAATTAGATTGTGAGAGGGTCGTACTTCGAGCCAGCTCAGTGGAAGTCTCGGTACGACAAACATCCACATGTCAAATGTCTCAAACGGGCAATACACTTCAGCGTTTTCACATGCACCAGCGTTCCGGAAGTCCTCTATATCTATCGCAATACTATACACTCCCTCACAGCTCATCCTTCACCTCCTCCTTCTTCCCTCCTGCCTGCGTCTCACAAACCGCCGGCGTCCCCACCTCCAATCGATATACACACTTCTCCTCCTCCATGATCTTCCAAATCTCATTCTCCTCCGCACATGCCAACACAATCGTACTCGACCTGTTGGGTCCGTTCCAACAATGCTGTCCATTTTCATGCTTCATCGCGATCCTCTCTCCACTACCCAACCCCTTTCCATTGGCAGGCAAATCCTCATCCACCATAATCCTCTCCATGCGCACGTAGTTGCCCATGTTCGTGTGTCCGCCACCCTTCTTCGGCTTCTGGGTCGTCTTCTCCATGAAGCATAGCTCGTAGGTGTACTCGCCGCTGTCGGTGGAGACGCAGGTGCCCTTGAGCGCCCGGAAGATGTCGTCGGGGCCGAAGTCCTTTTCCAGGTCGTCCTTGCGGGATTGCAGGTCGTTACGGGAGTTGGTGAGTTCGCGTTCGGCGGTGTTGAAGCGGTTGCGGGCGTCGGTGACGGCTTTGCTTTCAGTGGTGCTAAAGGAGGAAGTGTCGGCCAGGATGCCGGAGTCGATGAGCGTTACCCGAAGATCGCGGAGGCGGGTGTCGAGCCAGGTGCGGATGGTTGGTGGGAGGTAGTTTTCGAATGCGTATACTGTTGTTCGTTAGCGCGCCTTGCACCCTGCGAAGACGAGTCAGTACTCACAAACATCCGTGTCACTCCCCTCCTCCCCGCCTTCATACTCCTCCCAATCCAACCCATTCTCCTTATCACTCTTCACCATCTCATCAAAATCCCTCTCCACCGCCGGCTCATCCTCCTCGAACGTATGATCTCTCGCCGCATACTCCTCCCACGCCCTCACGGCCCGCTTAACACCCTCATCATTGAAATTTGGATTATACTCCTCCTTAAAAGTCGTCAAAATCCCCTCCAACTCCTTTACCCTCTCCTTCACCTCATCCCTCTCCTCCCTCACCCTCACCAAACCCTCCCTCAACTCTTCCATCCGCTCCTTCGCCAACCCCACCAACACCCCCATCTTCCCACCACCAGCTGGCCCCTTGGCAACCTTCCCCTTCTCCCTCCTCTCCACCTCCTTCAACTCCGCCTCCAGATTCCTCACCTTAACCTCCGCGCCCTCAATCTCCGTCCGCAAACTCCAAATCCGATCCTCAACCTCCTTCCTCATCCTGCCCGCCTGCAGCACCATCTCCTTCCGCTTCCTCCCCGCATTGCCCAAACTCTTCTGCCTCGCTTCACCCAGCTTCCTCCAATCCTTGCCAATCTCCTGGCACCGATCAGCGCATTTCACACCTCCTACACCGTCCCATTCCTCGCTACCGTCGCAGCAGAGCTCGTAGTCGCAGACGCCGTCGTTGACGTTGGTGAAGGGGACGTAGGCGGGTATGTGACCTTTGTTCTTGCAGTAGAAGCCGGGCAGGGCGTGGGTCAGGTTGGCGTTGGAGGGTGTTTGCGGCGAGTAAGAGGAAAGGTGCGAGCAGGCTGAGGTGCCTGGTTCGTCGGAGCCGTCGGGGCAGTCGCAGTAGTCGTCGTTGACGCGGGCGAAGGGGAGTTGGACGGCGGGGTCGGAGATGCAGGTGAAGGTCGAAGGGTCTTTGTAGTGTTTGGCGACTAATCAACAGTCAGATCAACGTTGGTCTGCTACCAATATTGTAGGCATTGAGGAACTTACACTCCGGGCTTACACCCCTTGGCCTATTCTCAGCATAGGCGAGTGCGGCGGCATTGAGGCATACTAGAGCCCCCCACGCCTTCGTCATGATCGATCAGACATGTGAATGTGCATTCAATGTTCCTGAAGTGCTGGCAGAAAGACACCTTGAACTTTTGTAGATCTACTTGGCATTGGAGCAACGCGTTTCAGAGTCAAGCTTCCAACACCGCGAACGTCTCCTCTACATTTTCATCACAACCCATCAAGCCACGAATGCGCAGGAATACAGCGATCCTTTGAGAACGATCATTCGATATCCCGCTGGCATCAGCGGGCAGCGACGCAGCCTGTGCATCTCTGTCTGGTTACAACGCTCACTGCGGGCTCATTCATCGAGCATGTGACAATATGGCATATTTCCAGTCGACAAATCGCCGACAGCAGGAGCAAAGATCGTCCTCCACGAGCACTCCACGGCTCCTTGTCCAACCCGTCTATCTGGTTCTCCCCCATCTTGCCGCAGGCAACCTGCTGGCAGGGCTGTGTCTGGACCACTTGCCGCCAAACCCAGCCAAGTCGTCTATTTCAGCCCGAAAGGGAATACCTAGGTAGGTTTGGGACTACCGGGGTATGCTGCTAAGTCGACACTCAAGAGAAGACCAAGATGAGCTTGTCATGTCTTGCGATAGTTCTACTGCTCTTCAGGCCAGTGCCGTGAGTATAGCACTCGAGGAAGGCGCGCTCCTCTGCCCTCCTATGCCTGCGGAATGACTCCTGGAAGCCTTGTCAATGCTGTTTATACTTCCAGAACACACCACCTCATGCTAACAATTGACACTTGGCGAGGCTGTGGCGCGAACCTCGAAGCAGATACGGTAGGAGGTCCAACAGCGGGGGCGTGTACAGTACCGGATCACCGTACCGTTCGACAGCTGAACGCCACAGGCGGCCTCAGACCACGACGACTGCCTTCCATGCGCCCGGACAAATGGCCAGCCTCAGCCTGTCCTCGAGGCCATCGAAATCGAATTCAAGACATCGCGCGCTCTCCAAGCCCTTTGATTCACTACTGGTTTGTCGACAGCAAAGATGTACACCTTCAGCGTTGGAACCATCGCTGCAATCATCAACGCTGCCGTTGCGGTCCTACAGTTAGCTTTACCCAATGTCCTCGTCCTTACACTTGTGGCGGCCCTATCGGACACGCACACAGCGGTGACGTGGTCTGTCGTGGAACGCAACATCCAGAGTTCGCTCTGGCATCTTCTGCTACGGTCGGACTCCGCCGCATCGAAACATGTCCAGCTCAGTAGCGAGATCATCACACTGCTTCGGCCCATCGCGTTGGGTTTGGTAGCAGTTGCAGCCATCGTTACTCCACTGGGCCTGTACGAGGACATACAACCTAGCACGAAGCCTCACCTACTCAACTTCGTCCGGCAGCCAGACCAAGGACCGTTTGGCCTACTGACACCTCCACGCTCGGGTCTAGGCTTCTCACGAGGATGTTCAGATGTAGGTGGCGCTTTACCAGCTCAATGTCCGGGAACCACCACCCTCATCACCTACTCCAACGACAGTGTCACCTTCAATGCTACGATTGTACACGATGACTACGACCGATGGATCCCGGCGCAGCTTGCAGAGCTATACCAGAGCGGCTTGATATCTCAGCCCTCCAGCGTATCAAGCTTCTTCGACATTGAATGGCGCTGGTATGAAGAACATACTCGCGATAATATCCGCAACCAATCCTATTCGGTCGATAGCTATCATCCCATCGCCCCTGTGATAGGCGAGAGCGGGATAAAGGTGGTAGAAGGGCTGATAGTCGACACTCGAGACGGAGGAGTTGGATTTCGCAGCCATACAGTCCCAGCCGCCTCCGATGTACCGCACGGTGCTGAATGGGAAGAGGACATCCTGTTCTTCCTCCCTGAAACCGCTTGTGTCGACACAAATCTCACTCTGGAATACTTGGTGCCATCGGAGGACGACCTTTCCGGTCAGGTGAAACAAAACATTGTTGACCAGGGCGGATTTGCTCAGTTCTCACGTCAGAATCCATGGGACGACGGGCGGTATGGCGACACTCAGGAAGACCCAACACTTCGAGATCGTGCGTACCGGGCTGCTTGGACCATGAACGCGCTCAACATGTTCTTCTTCGACACCAGCGCACCCCACACCAATTTCAGCTCCATCAGATCTCACCTCGGAAAGAGATATCCGGTCAACAACACGTTTTCGATAAACTACGAATTAGCCGCTAAGCTCATGTCGCTCGCCATGTTGAGCCTGGACCCTTACAGCGGTTTGGTTGATGTGCCCTTCACGCCATCCACGTACTCGAACGGGAGTCTTGTGTCCAACGAAACGCGCATGTCTGGTCACAGCGAGTCCAGCTGGCCCAACCCCTACGGCATAAGCACAAACAACTATACTCTTGCGAACATAGGCTGCCTGGGTTTTGCCAGCGGCGACTGGGTGAACAAGACGAACATCCAGGTAAAGTGCGGCCTCGTCCTAGGGCCCGCCAACAAGACCAGCGGATCCGACAATATGCTCGTGGAACCAGGCTCGACCTGGACGCGGCCGGTATACATGTGTTCCAGCACCACAAAAGCGATCATCAGAACCGTGCACTTTTCCTTCCGGCAAGCCAGAGGAGCAGGGCTAGAAGCTCTTGCCGTCAACTCCATCGCCGACAAACATTACGTCACCAACTCCTCTCTTCCCCTCTGGGGCGTCGAGACTCCCCACATGTCGCTAATCCAAATGACACCCTTCTGGGGCCTCATAGATCCCGAGATGCAAAACTCAGCCAACCTCTCGACAGTCCGATCCGACCATCTCTACCTCCCCGCCTCCGACAACTCGATTTGGCACAACGCACTTTATACCGATGGCGGCTCCTCCTACATGCCCGCCACCGCCGCGCCGGCCATGCTCTGGGAATCCGCCTACGCGCCGCAGGGACTCTACGACGGTTTGCAGGACTTATCCGGATACACGAGTCTCGCGATCGCGAGCAGGTGGAAGAACATGTCGTCCACCACCACCGGCACGGCGGGGATCATGAACCTGATCTGGACGGACTTTGCCGCCAACGCGCTCATCGGCACCCGCGGATGGCTTTCGGGGAAGGACACTCTGCCGCCGAACCTGAACATGCAAAGTCCGCTGCAAAAGCACGCTGAGCCACACGCACCCCCGCGCAGCGGCAGCGGCAGCGTCCCAGTCCGCATCTACCAACGCACCGTCCACTACCGCTGGATTTACGCCATCCCCGCCTTCCTCTGCCTGTTCGTCGCGGGCCTCATCTGCCTCAGCGCCGTGGTAGCTTTTATCTCCGGCAAAGGCCGCGTGTCGCGGGTCCGACACTATCTCAACCGCTTGTCGGCGGGGCGGCTTCTCGTGGCGTTGAAGTTGGAGGAGCGGGATTGGGAGTCCAGCACGAAGCTCTGGCTCGCTATGCGTGGGGGGAGATCGGTGTCGTTGGCGTATGAGAGTGTGGCGGCGGAGGAGCGGGAGGTGCATGTTGTTAGGACGAAGGGAGTTGAACTGGGCTAGAAGTGATGATACTCACTGCGTTAAAGAAAAAGAAGAAGAAGAAGAAGAAGAAGAAGAAGAAGAAAACTAGCTAAGGAGACTGCATAAAGGAAGGCTTGAAAGCCTGCCACGCTAAGTCATCTGGATCACACACACCCTGTCTCACCTAAACGCGATGTGAGTGCTTCGCCAGCAGGGGCACGCAATAGTCACGGGAGGAGGCGATGACCTTAGATGTAGTGAATGACATGATGGATATTACGAAGTTGTTGCATTCTATATTACCCCCCAAACGCCCGCTCCACTCCCTTGAAGCACACGCCTCCCCTCTCCGAAAAGGCAAGGTAGGTAGCTTCAAGAAGAAAGCGTCCGTCTCAGTCTATACACCAGCTATACAATACAGTACACCCTTCCTCCTGCGCTCGCCTCTTACCCCTTCTCCACACCTCCTTCGCTCCCTCGCTTGCCTCGCTCACCGCCCTCAAAACGACGAAATCGCCACAGCAATAACCTGCGCATCACTATGACTAATACTAACCGTCGTGCTCTTGACCCCAGCCTTGTCGGCCGCAGCCTTCGCGTCGCCGTACAACTGCACACACACACACATTAGCACTTCATCCCAAAACCCCCTTCACCACAAAGTGCACTTACAGTAACAGTAGGCGCCCCCGACCCATCATTCCCAATCTCAATCTCCCGCATCCCCGCTCCCCCACCCCTCGACTCAACCCGCAAACTCTTAAACACCGCCTCCTTCGCGCTCCATTTCCCCGTAAAACTCGCCTGTGCCGAGGGCGCAGCACGACAGTACTCCACTTCCTTCTGCGTAAAGTTGCGCGAGATGAACGTATCGTTGTGGATATCGATCGCGTCTAAGCCCTCGATATCCACGCCGGGGTTCGAGTTGGCGGACGCGTTGACTTTCATCAGATTCTCCACCATCTCTGTCGTGCTCTGCGAAGAGGGCTTCGCGGGAGGTGTGGAGGGGTAGGTGAGGTCGACGGTGCCGAGGTTCTTGTTCGGGGAAGAAGAGACGCGGGCGTCTGGGTTGAGGAAGACGGAGCTCTGCTGCGCGTCTTCGTAGGGCGATTTCGTCTTGGCGCGGAACATGGTGTTGTTGATTAAACCGTCGTGGAAATACCGATAAGCCCTCTTCTGGCGCGCCTCGACTTTCTGCTTGTACGTGGCGAACTGCGCGTGGTCGAGCGCGGCGTAGAGGTATTTCGGGTGGATCCCAATCGCCTGCGCGCCCTTTTGCCCGAAGCCGAAGGAGGTGACGGAGAAGGCTTTGATGCCGTCCGTTTGGATGGATTGTGAGGGGTAGACGATGTAGTCGAACTTCTCCATGACCTTGTCGACGTTGTCGGCGTTGCGGTTGCCGGGCACCAAACCAGAGTTGAGGACTTGCAGCGCGCCGTTGAACATGAAGGCTCCAGCCGCACCCTTCGGGTGGCCCGTGAGGTATTTCTGGAAGATGCCCATGAGCGCGTTGCCCTTTTTGCGGCCGAGGTGCTTCATCTGCTGGCACAGCACGTCGGACTCGTTCTTGTCGTTGGCGACGGTGGACGTGCCGTGGAAGGAGGCAACGTCCAGGTCGTCGATTGTGAGACCCCAAGTAGCCAGCGCGCCACGGAGAGGAGCAATGCGGGAATCCTGCTTCCAGAAGTTGTTGCCCAGGCTGTTGAGCGCATCCTTCTCCTGCCTCCTCGCCTCCCTCTCGATATGCGCAGCGCGATCTTCCATATACTCGCTCTCGCTGAACTCGCCACCCTGCTGCTTCATCGCCTGCACCTCCTCCTGCAAGTACATCAGCTCCGACTCCTGCCAGTTCTTGATCTGCCGCCTCCTCAAATCCATCTGCCGCTTGCGGTACTTGATATCCAACAACGGCGACGGGAACTTCGAAACCTGCTCTCGCGCAGTCGTAAGCACACCCTGCCCAGGCGCCGGCACTGACCGACCAATCTTGTCCGTAGCCGTGGCAGTGAAGCCGAGCACACCGTAAATCGGCACGCCCATATCCAGCGCCAGCTTCGCGTCCATGATGACCTGCATACCGCAGCCCTGGGACTCCATAAAGCCGTTCCTGGTCGTGGTAGTCGGACGGGACATCTCCTTCGGCGTACGGCCATGCGCAAACTCATCCTCGGCGTTGCTCGTCGCCTTCATGTTCGCAAACTCATAACTCCCCTCTTCCTGGAAATCGTCGAAACCACCGACGAAGCACATCCGCGCCTTGCCCTCGACAATACAATCGTACCCAATATCGATACTCTCCACAGCCGTCGCGCAAGCGCCGACCGGCGTCCTGATCGGGCCCGTGGAGGACATCAGCAGCATATTCACCCAAGCGCTCATAGTGTTGATGAACGACTCCTGCAGAATGTCCTTTTGCAGCGGCCTGTCCAAGTATCGATCCTTGTACATGCCACGAAGGGCGGTAGTACCGCCAATACCGGAGCCAATGCAGTTGCCCACTTCCGAAATGTGCACGTACTTGTAGAACTCGTATGGGTCCGTGATGCCCGAGGAGAGCAGGCACTCGGCGGTCGAGACGAGGACGTAGAGGGTGACGGGGTCGACTTGCTCGATGATGTCGTCGGGGACGCCGTAGCGTTTGGCGTCCCAGCCGGTGGGGATCTGGCCGGCGACGAGGCGGTCGAAGCGGAGGGCCTTGGGGATGAGGAGGGTAGCGTTTTTCTTGAGGCGGACCTGGTATTCGCCGGACTCGAGTTCGAACACTTCGACCTTGTCGCCGTGCTCGCGCTTGAACTCGTCGGCGGTCTCCTTGGAGGCCTCGAATGGGTCTAGATCCTCCTCGATCTGGATCTCCTGGAGCAACTGCTTCTTGTTCGGGTCGTAGCCATTGAACAGCTCCGGCTCGATGAGGCGGATGCCAGAGTGCTCGAGAATGAACTTCTCGTACTTGTTCTTGATGTCCTTGTCGTCGACAGGCTCGCCAGACTTGGCATCAACCCAGCCAGAGTAGGTCTTGCCCTTGAGCGGTCCGTTGTGGTTCTTGATGAGACCCATCATCCAGGCCATCTCGATGCAGCCTTCAAGCGAGAACTCGCCATAGGCCTCCATCTCCCATCGCGTCCTGGAGTTACCCAGCGGTCCAACCTCAGCGAAGCCAGTAACGACAACGACCTTCTCAAGATCAACCATGCCCTTGAGATCACCGTTGAGTGGCTCGACCTCAGTCTTCCAGTCAGGGAGCTTAGGGAAGTCGAACTTCAAGTTGGCACGCTTGTCGACCTTGACAGTCTTGTAGAGCGCCTCGCTGTCCTCGCCGTTGATAATCTTGTTCTCGACGGCAGTCTCGCGTGTGACGGCCTTGCGGATTTCGGAGGACTCGGTGATCTCTTTGCGGAGCTTGGTCATCAGATCCTTCAAGTCCGGCAAGAATTGTAGACCACCGTTGAGATCAGCAAATACCGGCTCCTGCTGGCAAAGGTTGGAGATAGAAGGCGACATGAGACCGAGCAAGTTGAAGGCCATCTCCTGCTGCGAGAAGGTGCGCACACCGTACTTCTCAACCCCCTCAGCGACGACGTTGTTGCCGCCCATGAGGCCAGTACCACGAGTCCAGCCAATGACTGCACCACAGATGGTGAGGAAGTTGCCCCAGCTCTCAGAGTGCCACCTGTTGAACAGAGTCTCGAGCGCAAGCTTCGACTCGGAGTACAGACCATCGTTGCCGAACGTACCGTGGTTGGGAGAGAGCGGCAGAATGACTTGAGCAGGACGGGTCTCGAAGCCGCGCGCAGCCTTTTGAGTCTTCACGGCACCGAGCATGCGGAGCAGGTTCGTAAGCATGATGCGGTGGGCAAGCTCAGACTTGCTGTCGATGCTGTCGATCTCGCGGCCGTTCTCGGGGATGGCGGCGAACGGGACAATGTAGTCCAGATCCCAGCCGAGACCCTTCTTGTCATCATAGACGTACTCGATAAGAGCCTGGACGTCCTGTTGGCTGCCCTGGTTGAAAGGCACGACAACAAGCTGCGAGCCACGGGCGCCGTAGCGTGCGTACATCGCCTGGTAGTACTCGGTAACTTCACGAGAGAAGCGCGAAGTAGTGACGAGCACTTTCGCACCACCACTGATCAGGCCTTGAAGCACCTCAGCACCGATCGAGCCAGCACCAGCACCAGTCATGAGGACGTTCTTGTTCTGGAACGTCACACCAGCGCGGGCGGCCTGCTCTAAGCCGTCGAGGTAGATGCCGGTGAGCTTCTTGCTGTACTCCCAGCCATGTGCTTCCTTTCGCTTGAGGTGCAGGAAAGGCACAGTCTCGACCTTGCCTTGCTTAGTCGAGCCGTTCACACGGCCGTTGCGGCCGCCCTTCTTGGGAGCGATGCCGTTCGTCTTGCCGTTCTCCGTCGGCATGATCTGGCCCTCGTTCATGGAGAGCGAGCGGACGATGTTGGAATAGAGCTGCTTGATCTCCAGCTGCGATGACTTTGAAAGCTTGTGTTGCTGGCGGATGAGACGGTAGACACGCTGAAGGTCGTTCTGAACCTTCGTCCGGTTGCCGTACTCGGAAATCTTGCCACCCTCGGCCATCTCTCGCACGTAGTGCTCCAGCTTGCGGATGCTGGAACGAGGCACTTCTTCGTAGTTCATGTTGCCACGAGCATCGATGGTGAGGTGAGGAGCAGTAGGCACGGCTACGTCCTTGTAGACGGGCGACTCGTCAAGAACATCTCTGCAGTTGTCGATGAGTTGTTCACCCAGCATCTTGGCGAGCTGATATGTCTCGCCGCGCTCTGTGGGACAGTGGTCGATGTGATATTGCATAAAGTCCAGAAGGGCTGGGTTTGAGCGGTTCATGATGAGGATGCAGCGGCTGACGATCTCGCGGTCAACAGCCTTGAGACGTCCGAAGATGATGTCGTAGTACATGGTGAGAGCGTCCTGTCGCGCCCAGTTCCAGGAAGAGTCGTAAACGCGAGCCTTGAGAGGGCTGAAGGAAGGTCTGATACCGTCAGCGTAGAATTCGCCGTGCTCGGTTGTCCAGAGATCCAGCTGTGCTTGCAGGGCACTCTCGTTCTGCTTGCTGGCCACAGCAGCTTTGTCGCCAGCTCGGAGGTCCATTTTCAGATATCGCGCAAATAGCTCCAGCTGTTGTTTGAATAGAGCTCGCTGGTCCTTGGTGAGTGCATCGATGGCAGCAGGATCCATCATCATGCCACCACCTCCGGCGCCGGCGTCTCCACCAGCAGCGCCAGAAGACAGCGAGATGCCAGCTTGCGAAGCGTACTTCTGCGAAACGTCGTCCAGGAATGCTTTCGCATCGTTCTCCGATCCCAAACGTGATGCTGGCTCCATGGTCATGGCCAGAAGAAGGACACCGTCTTGCCTGCCAGAGCCTAGACCCCACCTTGTCTCTAGGTGTTTCCTGACTGCGGTGATGTTGAAGCCACCCGGCATCTTCGAAGACACCATGCGTGCGATGAGGGATGTAGATTGCTTGCCCAGCTGACCATTGAAGGTCGCCTGCATTGCTGCTCCAAGCTCATCCAAAGGTGTATCTTCCGGCTTTTCAGGCGTTGAGCCGAATTCCTTCCCAAGGTCTCCGAGGATTTCATTTTGGAGGGTCGATTTGCCTAGCTGTCGTTAGTGTCCATACCTCATGATCTCGTTAAGATGAAGCTCACCTCCGACAAGATCCTTGATGGCCTTGCTAAGCGGAATGTCTTGCAGCGGCTTCTTCAGCTTCTGCGCAACAAGCGATCGTAGAACGTCAACCGCGCCAACCGGTGCATCTGCCACGGCAGCCACCGGTCCTGAACTCGGTGGTGGTGGTGCAGCGGCAGCAGGAGCCGCTGCTGCCGCCGGTGCCGAAGAGGAAGCCGGAGCAGCATTGCCTCCACTGCTCGGTGCTGCCGCCTCGGGCTCGTCTTCTATCGGATCCACGTCGTAGTAGATGTCCTTGGCGTCCTTGTTGTAGCAAAGAATCTGTCGTTGAACAGACCTCGCTGCATCGTAGGCCTCGTATTTGGCAGCCAGTGTCCGCTTGGCCATTCCACCAAGGGTGTCTGCGGGACCGACCTCGACTATGCGCTCGGTGATCTTCTCGCCGAGGATGACATCTTGTGTTTCGATCCATCTGACGGGCGATGCGAATTGGTATGCGAGGAGTTCGACGAGGAGGGTGTGGGCTAGCTCCTGTTCCACTTCGGGGCGCATGGTTGCGGTATTGCCGGTGTATGTGGTCGCGGGAGGGTGTCCGGGGGTATCAAAGAGTGTAAAGACGATGGCCTAGGTGTTCATAAAGTCGTGTGCAGGAAGAGACCACCCAGAGTGTGTATAGTGGTGGTAGTAGAGGTTGTCGCGAGGAGGGATTCCAATGGGAGTAGAGGGATTGAGTGAGTACGAAGGAGAATGGTGGTCAGACGAGGACAATGTCACATCCGCTGCCGCTGAGGAGGGTGTTGTCGGGTGTTGAGTGGGTGGGAAGTTGAAGCTGCTTGCGAGCTGTTGTCTCTGCTGCTCTCCGCAAACTTCGACGTCGGAGGGCACCAACCGAAAAGCTTAACCTTCTTCACCTCGACCTCTTCACGAGCTGGTGCACGACGGACAGGACGATATACCACTGCAATACCCACTGGCGACAACTAATCAATTACCAACGTCCACTATCTACTGGCCAGCTGTCCTTGTTAACGGCAGGCAGACATCGAACGGGCTTCGGTGAAGGGAGTGGATGAATCTCAACCCATGCTCAAGCTATCCCCAGCCCGCATTAGCGAGCGTCAACGTCAGAGCTGCCTCTTCAACCTATGCAGGTACCGCTGTACCCAAGAGCAGACTGTGTGTAGCCATTGTCCTCTCCCAATCCAATAACAACCACCTTCTTCTTTCATACCACCATACCACACTACTACACTCACCCTCCTTTGCTCCTTCCTCACATCGCGCATTCTTCACCTCGCGAAACATTGACATTGGCAAGTCCGAGCTTTTGCTAGGTCCAAGTCGGGGCGGGAGAGCTTGTCGAGAAGATTTCCGAAGCCGCTGCGATACAACGACCCGTATGTGACCACCTTTCCTTGCACCCACACGCCCGTGATCACTCATCCGTTACCAAACGCAACACCGTGCCCTTTCTGCCGCAATTGAAGATCCTGCGGAGGATGCGAACACCCCGCAGCAATGGCCCAAAGACCGTCGCTCCAGCGCTTGAACACAAACAACAGCGTGCACTTTGATTCTGACGACACCACCAGCACTCCCAGCAGAATGTACGGCACCCCCGGCGGCGCCCAGACAGGCGTCAGCACTCCGCGCTCCTCCGCCGTTTCACGGCCCCTCACCCTCCAGCATGGCAGCCTCGACTTCACCTTCTTAATACCCACCGCCCTCCACTTCAACGCCAACCAGCTGCGAGACGCCTTCCTCGCAACCCTCCCAGAACCTACAGACGAGCTCGCACAAGATGATGAGCCCTCGTCAAATACAGAGCTCGTCGCTCGCTATCTCGGCTTCGTTGCTCGGGAGGTGGATGAGGGCGATGAGCCAGATTCATACGCTGAAGTCCTCAAGATCGTCGTGGCCGAGTTCGAGAGAGCTTTCCTACGAGGCAACGAGGTCCACGCGATCGCTGCAGGCCTCCCTGGCATTGTGGAGAAGAAGTTGATCACCGTCAAATCCTACTACGCCGCCCGGGCTGCAGCGCAGCGTCCGATTAGAGCTCACGAATCTGCTCTGCTCCGGGAGGCGTCGGATGAGAACGCCTTTGTCTACGCTGTGTTTGGCGGGCAGGGCAACATCGAGGAGTACTTTGAGGAGCTGAGAGAAATCTACACCACATACCCCTCGCTGGTGGAGGACTTCATTTCGACTGCGGCGGCACACCTGCAGGTCCTGGCTCGCGACTCGCAAGCTGAGAAGCTTTATGCGAAGGGTCTCGACATCCTGCGATGGCTGAATCACCCCGACTCGCAGCCAGACCTCGACTACCTTGTCTCCGCACCGGTCAGCTTCCCTCTGATTGGTCTCACACAGCTTGCCCATTATGTGGTGACTTGCAGAGTACTCGGCACACACCCTGGCCATGTACGAGACAGGCTCGCCGGTACAACTGGTCACTCGCAAGGTGTGGTGACTGCTGCAGCCATTGCAGCCTCTGGCAACTGGGGTGCCTTCGACAAGGCAGCCCGGGATGCCCTCACCATCCTCTTCTGGATCGGTGCCCGTAGCCAGCAGGCCTACCCGCGAACCTCGCTCTCTCCTAAAGTCCTGCAAGACTCGATCGACAATGGTGAGGGCTCACCCACTCCCATGCTTTCCATCCGTGACCTGCCCAGGTCTGCCGTGCAAAAGCACATCGACACTACCAACGAGCACCTCCCCAAAGAGCGACACATCGGCATCTCCCTGATCAACAGCGCGAGAAATTTCGTTGTCACTGGTCCCCCGATGTCTCTTTACGGTCTCAACCTCCAACTCCGCAAGGTCAAGGCCCCGACTGGTCTCGACCAGACCCGCATACCATTCACCGAGCGCAAGGTCCGCTTCGTCAACCGCTTCCTGCCTATCACCGCACCCTTCCACAGCCCTTACCTCTCGGAAGCGATCCACCACCTCGAGACCGATCTCAAGGACATCCTGATAAGAGCAGACGACCTTGGCATGCCCGTGTTCGACACCAACACCGGCGAGGATGTCCGGGAGAAGCATGAGAAGAACATTGTGCCAGCTCTCGTTCGCATGATCTGCAAGGAGCAGGTGAACTGGGAAGAAGCGACTGTCATGCCGAATGCGACGCACATTCTGGACTTTGGCCCAGGTGGCATCTCTGGTCTTGGTGTTCTTACCAACCGCAATAAGGATGGCACTGGCGTAAGAGTCATTCTTGCTGGTACTATGGACGGCACGAACACGGAGGTCGGGTACAAGCCTGAGATCTTCGACCGCGACGCAGATCATGCTGTGAAGTATGCCGTGGACTGGGTAAAAGAGTACGGACCGCGACTTGCGAAGACTTCCGTCGGCCAGACTTTCGTCGACACGAAGATGAGTAGGATGTTGGGTCTCCCTCCGATCATGGTGGCTGGAATGACGCCTTGCACGGTGCCCTGGGACTTTGTCGCTTCTACCATGCAGGCTGGCTACGAGATTGAGCTTGCTGGTGGTGGGTACTACAACGACAAGAGCATGACCGAGGCGATTACCAAGATCGAGAAGGCTATCCCAGCTGGTCGTGGTCTCACCATCAACCTGATCTACGTCAGCCCGAGAGCGATGGCGTGGCAGATCCCTATGATCGCTAGGCTGCGCGGAGAGGGTGTGCCTATCGAGGGCCTGACCATCGGTGCTGGTGTTCCATCGATCGAGGTTGCCAACGAGTACATTGAGACGCTTGGCATCAAGCACATGGGTTTCAAGCCAGGCTCTGTCGAAGCCATCCAGCAAGTCATCAACATTGCCAAGGCCAACCCAGGATTCCCGATCATGCTGCAGTGGACCGGTGGACGTGGTGGTGGGCATCACTCGTTCGAGGACTTCCATCAGCCTATCTTGTCCATGTACAGTCGCCTGAGGAAGTCGCCAAATATCGTCCTCATTGCTGGTTCTGGCTTTGGTGGCGCAGAGGACACCTACCCCTACCTCAACGGAGAGTGGGCGCGCAAGTACGGATACCCGCCCATGCCATTCGATGGTGTACTCTTCGGCAGCCGATGCATGGTTGCGAAGGAAGCGCACACTTCTACCATGGCGAAGCAAGCCATTGTCGATGCTCCAGGTCTTGAGGATGGCGAGTGGGAGAAGACGTACAAGGGCCCAGCAGGCGGCGTCATTACCGTGCGCTCCGAGATGGGCGAGCCGATCCACAAGCTGGCGACTCGTGGTGTCAAGTTCTGGTCTGAGATGGACCAGAAGATCTTCAGCCTCGACAAGGCCAAGCGCATCCCGGAGCTCAAGAAGCAGCGCGAGTACATCATCCAGAAACTCAACGACGACTTTCAGAAGCCATGGTTCGGCCGCAACAAGGCTGGCGAGTCTGTCGATCTCGAAGACATGACTTACATCGAGGTGCTCCGCCGTATGGTCGACCTGATGTACGTCAAGGCCGAGAAGCGATGGATCGACAAGTCGCTGGCGAAGTTGACCGGCGACTTCATCCTTCGTATCGAGGAGCGCTTCGCTTCTGGCGACGGCAAGGCTGCTATTATCCAGAACTACTCGGAGCTCGACGATCCTTTTGGTACTGTTAAGAGGGTCGAGGAGGAATACCCAGAAGCCGACAACCAGCTCATCAATGCCCAGGATTGCCAGCACTTCTTGCTTCTCTGCCAGCGTCGCGGGCAGAAGCCTACGCCGTTCGTGCCATGCTTGGACGATACGTTCGAGTTCTTCTTCAAGAAGGACTCGCTGTGGCAGTCGGAAGACCTTGCTGCGGTCGTCGATCAGGATGTCGGCAGAGTGTGTATCTTGCAAGGTCCCATGGCAGCCAAGTACTCCACCAAGGTCGACGAGCCGATCAAGGAGATCCTGGATGGCGTACATCAAGGCCACATCAGGAGCTTGACGCAGGATATGTATGCTGGTGACGAGAAGCGGATTCCAGTTGTTGAATACTTTGGCGGCAAGCTTGTTGACATCGAAGCCTCCACCGACATCACTAGTGAGGGCCTCACGGTGTCTGAGATCGAGAACAGGACGATCTATCGGGTCTCTGCTTCTTCGACGGCGCCGCCGATTGATCTTGAGAAGTGGATGCAACTTCTTGCTGGAAGAAGCCGGACATGGCGACATGCCTTCTTCACTGCGGATGTTTTCGTGCAAGGTCAGCGGTATCAGACCAACCCGATGCGCCGCATCTTCGCGCCGGTTCCTGGCATGATGGTCGAGATCGGCTACCCCAACGACCCAAAGCGGACGACCATCGCGGTCAAGGAGCCTTCGCAGGGCGCCTCATACGTGCAGACGATCGAGATCGCGCCACTCGCGAAGAACGTGATCGGACTCAAGATGATCGAGCACCGCACCGTCACCGGCAAGCCCGTCGCTCTACCGCTGATGTTCACCTACCACCCCGAGACCGGCTACGCTCCCATCCGCGAGGTCATGGACCAGCGCAACGACCGCATCAAGGAGTTCTACTACCGCATCTGGTTCGGTGACGAGGAGGTTCCGTTCGACAAGCCTGTCACTAGCAGGTTCGACGGCGGCAGGGCGAAGGTGACGAGTGAGGCTATCAACGACTTTGTCCATGCTGTTGGCAACACTGGCGAGGCGTTTGTGGATCGTCCTGGCAAGGAGGTCTTTGCGCCTATGGACTTTGCTATTGTGGTTGGGTGGAAGGCTATCACTAAGCCCATTTTCCCGAGGACGATCGATGGTGATTTGCTGAAGCTGGTGCATCTGTCGAACGGTTTCCGCATGCTGCCTGGTGCTACGCCCATCAAGAAGGACGATGTGCTTGATACTTCTGCCGAGGTCAATGCGGTCATCAACCAGGACTCCGGCAAGATGGTTGAGGTCTGCGGAACCATCACCCGTCAAGGCCAGCCGATCATGGAAGTCGTCAGCCAGTTCCTGTACCGCGGCGCGTACACGGACTTTGAAAACACCTTCCAGCGCAAGGTCGAGACGCCGATGCAGGTGCATATCAGCAGCACGAAGGATATTGCCATCTTGCAGTCCAAGGAGTGGTTCAAGCTCGGTGATACAGAGATTGACCTCCTCGACCAGACACTCGTGTTCAAGCTGCAGACGCTGGTCAGGTACAAGAACAAGGACGTCTACTCCTCGGTGCAGACGATCGGTAAAGTCGAGCTCGAGCTGCCGACCAAGGAGATCATCGAGATCGCCTCCATCGAATACGAAGCCGGTGCATCCTACGGCAACCCAGTCCTCGACTACCTCCAACGCACCGGCGCTGCCATCGACCAGCCCGTCAACTTCGAGAACCCCATCCCGCTCAACGGCAAGACGCCGCTCATCCTCAAGGCTCCGTCGTCGAACGAGACGTACGCTCGGGTGTCGGGGGATTACAACCCCATCCACGTCTCGCGCGTCTTCTCCAAGTACGCCAACCTCCCCGGCACCATTACCCATGGCATGTACTCCAGCGCCGCCGTGCGCTCGCTCGTCGAGACCTGGGCGGCGGAGAACAACGTCGGGCGCGTGCGGAGCTTCCACGCCTCGCTTGTGGGTATGGTGTTGCCGGACGACACGTTGGAGGTGAAGTTGCAGCATGTTGGCATGATTGCGGGCAGGAAGATTGTCAAGATTGAAGCGAGCAAGAGGGAGGGTGAGGATGAGGAGAAGGTGTTGCTCGGGGAGGCGGAGGTCGAGCAGCCAGTGAGCGCGTATGTGTTTACCGGACAGGGCAGTCAGGAGCAGGGGATGGGAATGGATTTGTATAATTCGAGTGAGGTGGCGAAGGAGGTGTGGGATCGGGCGGATAAGCACTTTATGGATAATTATGGTGAGTTCATATCCTATGAGACGGGGTTGATGTGGGGGATGATGGCTAATGATGAGGACAGGCTTCGCGATCACCAACATCGTCAAGAACAACCCCAAGGAGCTGACGATCCACTTCGGCGGACCCCGCGGCAAGGCCATCCGCCAGAACTACATGTCCATGACCTTCGAGACGGTCGCCACCGACGGCTCCATCAAGTCAGAGAAGATCTTCAAGGAAATCACCGACGAGACGACATCTTACACCTACCGCTCCCCGACCGGCCTCTTGTCCGCTACGCAGTTCACGCAGCCCGCACTGACGCTCATGGAAAAGGCCTCCTTCGAGGACATGCGCGTCAAAGGCATCGTGCAGCGCGACTCCAGCTTCGCCGGGCACTCCCTCGGCGAATACTCTGCCCTCGCCGCCCTGGCCGAAGTCATGCCCATCGAATCCCTGGTCTCGGTCGTCTTCTACCGCGGCCTGACGATGCAAGTCGCTGTCGAGCGCGACGCGGCTGGCCGCAGCAACTACAGCATGTGCGCCGTCAACCCCTCGCGCATCAGCAAGACGTTCAACGAGCAAGCCCTGCAATACGTCGTCGAGAACATTGCCGAAACGACCGGCTGGCTGCTGGAAATCGTCAACCTCAACGTGCAGAACATGCAATACGTCTGCGCCGGCGACCTGCGCGCGCTCGACACCCTGACCAACGTGACCAACTACCTCAAAGCGCAGAAGATCGACATCCAGCAGCTGATGCAGACGCTGAGCATGGAGGACGTGAAACAGCACCTTGTCGAAATCATCAAGGAATGCGCCAAGCAAACGGAAGGGAAACCCTCCCCCATCGAACTCCAGCGCGGTTTCGCCACCATCCCGCTGAAAGGCATCGACGTACCGTTCCACTCCACTTTCCTGCGCTCGGGCGTCAAACCTTTCCGCAGCTTCTTACTGAAGAAGATCAACAAGACGTCCATCGACCCGGGCAAGTTGATTGGGAAGTACATCCCCAACGTCACGGCGAAGCCGTTCGAGTTGACCAAGGAGTATTTCGAGGATGTGTATCGACTGACGAATTCTCCGAGGATTGGGAATATTTTGGCGAATTGGGAGAAATATGAGAGTGATGAGGTGATGGCGAGGCCGCGGGCGGGGAGTACGGTTGTTAGGGGGGAGTAGAACTGTCGATGTTGACGAGGGGAGGGGAGGGGATGAGGGGAGAGTGTTTCGAGTACTGTAGCTTTGGCGTTTTTCTGGTCTGAGGGATGGGTTTGGGCGGGTGTAGCGACAGGCCTGGTCGAAAAGGCACATAGAATGTATAGTCTTGTACTTTTTGTACCTTACTTCTCCATCCTACCTTGCCTACCATGACATATCACGTTCCATCACATGGATCTTTCGTCTTGCTGGTCTTTTGATTCTCAAGGCGCCAGTGCGTCGAGAATTTCCGACTCTCGTCACTTAGGTTGTTGTGTAGGAAGAGCTGTGGCTACCATACCTTCTAGCGATTCCGACCATTGCACTTTTCATCACGCTGCTCGAATGATTCCCTCTCACCTTCCATCACACCGCGCTGCTGTCTTCGCCCTGCCATTGGTCTGGTACTCTTGCCGCGAGACTTTCGGCTCCCGTGACTCGGAGGTGATACCCGCCAGATTGGGAACTGCGGGAAGGAATTCAGGGGCAAACTGAGCAATAATCTGGAGGATGCGCGGCAGGGATCAGGCATTGGTAGTCGAAACATTTCACCAACGGTCTACCGTCTGGCCATGTGGAGATGCGCAACGGTTCGCACAGCGTCTTCCTGTCTTTCGTCGACGTAGCCAAAGTCGTTAGTAGAAGGAGTTAAAGTAGAGAATTGCAACAGGAACGGCGTCAAGGCGATGAAGCTACGAGTCGTGGAACCCGCGGAAATTCGAGCATCGCAGTCGTGCCACGGTACAAGTAATCTCACACAGTGTTCGCCACGCTTCCTTTCGCTCGGGTGGCTTGTGTGACTCGGGAGAGGATCGCGTGGACGGGGACATGGTGTGAATGTGATACGAAGGGGCATTGGGATTTGCTTGGAACTTTGGAGGGAGTTGGAGAAGGCGTTCGCTACGGTTATATAGAAGGGCAGTCGCAGTTCTAGGCCTCGCTGTTATTTGAACTGACTCAATGGCATTGGCTTGAGCGTTCTACTGTTCTTTCTACTTTTTGATTTCGGTGTCGGTTGCTTTGACTGCTGTACTTTCATCATTATTATCAGTCTTTGAAAGACGTCGTTCAACAGCGCAACAGCTCAGCAAGCCAGATATCACGCCAGCACCATGAAGCTATCCACCTTTACCTCCCTCGTCACACTGGCAGCTTCTGTCGTCAGTGCAGCACAAACACCTGCCCTGCCAGCATGCGCACAGCTCTGCTTCTTGAGGGTACGAAACTCCTCCCTCGTTGAAGGACGAGAGGACTTCCACTAACCCCAACACCACAGGCCGCCAGCGAGACTAACTGCGGCATCTCCGACTACTACTGCCAATGCACCAGCGGCCTCAAAGCCATCCGCGAAAGCGCCATCCCCTGCATCTGCGAGAACGCGGGGACGGATGGTGGATGCACTTTGTCTGAGATGATGCGTACGATCCCTCCATAAACCCCCCAAGTGTTGAACTGCCGAGCTAATATGTGCAACAGAGGTCCAAGAATACTCCAACGACGTCTGCGTCGCCGCCCTCTCCTCGAGCAGCGAGACGTTCACGGCGACCTTGTCAGGGACGAATGCATGCGCCGCGGCAACGGGAAAGGCGAACCCAGTGACGGCTTCGACGAACGCGAAGACGACGGGCGGAGCAGCTGGGACTACCGGTGGAACAACTGCGAATACTGCGGCATCGAGTGCGAGCGCGTCGGCTGCTGCTGCGTCTTCAGCGACGTCGGGGAATGGTGCGCCGGCGGTGACGGGGATGGCGATGTTGGGGTTTGCGGGGGTGGTGATGGCTGCGTTGTAAGGTGATGTTACATTCTGGCGTTGAGTAAGGTCGCGGATACCCATTTGTCGTGCCAGGAGTTATATGAACATTTGTGCGTACCGGTTGATGGTCAACATTCATCAGTGGCCGCTACTCGTTCAGCCAACTGCTTCGTTCCACTTTCTCAGCCAAGGCGTGAATTCGTCCTCTTGTCCGTTCCAGCCTGCCGACATGCCCTCACTCGCACTCCTCGCCTCCGCGATGACTTCGTCAAGCGATTGCTTCGCCTCATCCATCTGCAACTCGTAGAAGTTGCCAATCAGCTCGTCGACTTGATGCGGCATTCTCCTCAGATGCAGTATCAGCTCATCCAGCCTCACGACTGCTTGTGCTCCAACATCCTGTCCACCCTTAAACGTCTTGATCCGCCTCTTCGCAAAAGCCTGATACAATATCACAACCTTCTTCAACTTCGCTTCTGCCTCATCCACCAATGCCTGCAGCTCCGGTCTATCCTTTGGCATGCTATTTGCAGCATTGAACATATCCTCAATCGAGTCTCGATCGCCAGAGACACCTTCGTCATCGCTGTCCGCTAGAGGGTCAACCTGGCCTTCAGAGTCCAGATCTTCTCCTTCTTTCCATTCACGTAGCTCGTTCAGCGCATCTTTGATCGTTTCCTGATACTGCTGCGCCTTTTGCAACGCCAGTCCGCCAATGCCCAGAGTGTGCAGCTCAACCAGCGCATCGCAACTCTCCCACACCACGCCAGTTGCGCTCAGACTGTCCCTCCTGCCGCCGTTCTGACTCCCGCGTGCGATCGTCTGGACCTCGCCGAGTAGCATCTCCATCTCTCTGAACACTCGCCTGACCCTCAGCTGCACTTCTTTGCTCATCATGCTACCCCAGATCGCCTTCTCCTGCTCGCAGATCTGCGCTGCGCTCATCATGGCTGGAAGACATGTTGCTGTGAGTTCCTGGAGGACCTTGGTGATGGCGGTGGGAGTGAAGGGCTTATTGATAGCCAGAAGGCTGAGTTTGGTCGTGTGTGCTTTGACCAGCTTTGCTGAGTCGCTCAGAACTGTCAATGGGTTTGGTGGGTTGGATATGGCCTCTGTCGTCCTGGTTGTGGCATCGGATTCCGCAAGCGATGCTGTGAACTGACTCAGTAGTGCAAGGGTTGAGGTGATCAAATCGTTGAGCACTCGTGTGTCTGCGTCGGAGGAGGGCGCCATGTTGGCTGAATGTGCGCCTCTTCTGAGCTGGTGTGCAATGCTATATCGTCACCGAGGGACACCAGACTTGGAAGAAGTCGACATACCTCATTTCTATTGGCTGGCAGTGCCCGCCGCTAGCCCACGTTCACTTTTGGACCTCTTTTGCCCTTCCACATGCCCTTCTGATCCGTTTCGATCTTCGAGAAGGACGGATGGCTTCGAAGGCCAGGAGGCCAGGTCCTCTCTGACCTCGCGGTCAATCGAGCTGATGTTGGTGGTGCACCTTCTCCAAGATCCAAAACGCATTTCTCAGCCCTCACTTCAGTAGCATATTCGTTGTGGTCTTCGAGAAGATGTGACGCTTCCAGAGCTGGTTTAATTGGCTGGCTAGGCCCGGCGCTAGCTAATGTTCGTTTTTCGAAGTGCTCTCCGTCTCGCCAGAGGCACATCGTCCGTTGTCATCTTCGAGAAGAGGCTCAGACGACCAGTCGAGACCTCTGGCTTAAGGCTCGAAAGCATTCCGAGATCGTGTCTGCGCTGGCGTCTGGCTTCTCCAGCCATCCTATCTCCGAAAAGTCGGTTGCAGACGCTACAGTAGTAGCACATCACAACTTCACCACCTCGAGAATGGCCTTCAATTCTTTGAAACCTCTGATTGGTTGCTGGGTGTCTGACGCTAGTGCACGTCAACCTTCTCCAGTTTTGAACGTCTCGCCATTTCGTCAGTGGAATCTCCTCGCTTTGCGTCTTCGAGAAGACGTTCGCGACGCTGCTAGACATCTGAGCCGGTGTGGCGGTCATTGGCTGGATGAAGTGACGAACTAGCTGATGTTCAAACTTTCGCCGATTGCTTGTTTCTTCAATCTCTTGGGCTTTTGAGGAGAGGCAAACCTCGTCGCCGCGGTCTTGTGGCTCGACGGTGCCGGTAGCCGCCTTTCACTTGTCAACAAGACCATCCGATTCCGACTTGTAGAACCACACGAACAGCTCATCATGGCCCGCAAACAATCCCTAGCCAAACCACTAACCGGCCCGGACAACCTTCCACAACAGACACTCGTCGTCGACAACGGCGCCCATACCATCAAAGCCGGCTTCTCCTCCACCTCTTTCGATGACAGTGAACCAAAGCCGGAGGACTGCCAGGTCATAGCGAACTGCATCGCACGCTCTACGCGAGATAAACGCACCTATGTCGGCCCGGAACTACTGGACGAATGTTGGGATTTCGGTGAGCTGGCCTTTAGACGACCGGTGGAGAAAGGTTTCGTCGTGAACTGGGAGGGGGAGAAGGCGATTTGGGAGAGGAGTTTTGTTGACGAGAGGGCGAAGTTGAAGGTAAAATTTCCCAGGTCTTGAAGTTTTACATCTCGTGGCAAGTGCTAATATATCCGACAGTGCAATCCGCACGAAACGAACCTCGTCCTCACCGAATCACCAAACGCACCAGCAGCCCTCCAACGAAACGCGGACGAGATGGTCTTCGAAGAGTTCGAATTCGCCAGCTACTACCGCACCACCGCCCCTACACTAAACTCCTACGGCCCCTCACCCTTCCCATCGACTTCCGACTCAGCACCAGGCGTACCGCTTGGGTGCCTCCTAGTCGTAGACGTAGGCCACTCCCACACAACCATCACGCCCCTCTACCACGGCCGACCCTTCCACTCAGCGTGCCGCAGACTAGAGATCGGTGGCAAAACTCTCACCAACCGGATGAAAGAGGTTCTTTCCCGCACTGTGGAGGTGCAGAAGGAGGATTGGATTGTGCAGGAGATCAAGGAAGACGTCGGCTTCATCTCGCAATCCTTCAGCTCGGATCTGGAGCGGGTGTGGAAAGGCGGGCTCAAGGATCCTCGCGAGATTGACACGTCCATTGTCGTGGACTATGTCCTACCAGATTATGAAGCAGTCAAGCGCGGCTTCGCAAGGCCGCACGATCCAACCATCAGCCGGAAGCAGCGTGCTTTGGGTCTGGATGGTGGACCGAGAGAGCACATCGTTACGATCGGCAACGAGCGGTTTACCGTGCCGGAGCTGCTGTTCACACCTTCAGACATCGGGATGCAGCAGGCAGGCTTGCCTGGAACGATTCTGCAGTCCATCTACAGCCTTCCAGAGAACCTCTGGCAGCTCTTCTTAGCGAACATTCTGGTCGTCGGCGGAAGCAGCAAGTTTGCAGGTTTCACTGAGCGGCTGGAGTCTGAGCTGAGAAGCCGCGTGAGCGAAGACTACATCGTCAGAGTCGCGCAAGCTAAAGATCCACTAAAGAATGTCTGGCTCGGCGGTGCCAGACTGGCACAGAATGAAGCTGTGCTCAAGGAGCATGTTGTTACGCGGCAGGAGTACCTTGAGCACGGCGACCTCTGGACGAGACGCAGATTCGCCGGTAAAGTCGGGCGATGATCGTCCGTCCTGATTCAACCCGGCACCTCAGTATTCTGGACCGTTTGAGCATCCCCATCCGCATTCGCAGCCTCAGCGTTAGCCGCAGCCTTTGCAACAGCAGCTTGCGCCAGCTCGGCGAACCGTTGTTGTACGGCGGCGTTGTCTTGTCCCAGCGCCCTGAGGAGCTTGATACCATCCTGCTGGATCTGCTGATTCTCATGCCTGCACAACATATCCAAGGACGATTCGGCCCCTTCGCTGTTCACGATCTCCTCACGCACGCGGGCCGATGGACGAGCAAGTTGCAACAGCAGACCCGCAGCGGAGTGAAGCAGGTCTGGGTTCCGTGACGCATCGTAAATATGTTGGAACAACCCTCTCTGGATTTCTCGCTGTTCTACCAGCCACGAGACGTCCTCCTCAACGCTCCGCATATTGGGTGTCTCGGGCTGGTCCTTTCGGACCCAGAGCATGTTTCCCAATACCTGGCAAGCAGCTGTATACAGTCGATTGTTGAAGCCACGCCACTCTGCAATCCTCTCGATAACATTGGCTTTGACCCAGTCACTGCGTACATCATTGCTGGCAACGAACTCCGGCTTTGCAGAGATATCCGAAAGGATCCACGTCAGACTCGTAGACAGGGGCATGAGCAACTTGATCTCCTCGTCAGGAACTTCTATGGCGCAGAGGACGTCCATATACTCCTCGTTGCAGTACAGCAGGGCCCAAAGATCGCTCGACAAGACGCCGGACTGGCAGATGCCACGCTGCACCTGCTCGTCGCGGAGGAACGTACAGGTCGTCTCGAGCAGCATGCTGTAGTTGTCGATGGACAGCAGGCTGTCTTGTGACTCGCGGGTGGAAGGGCTTTCGAGATCTCCCTGGAGCCGGCGGTAATGTGCCGGAGGGAGGCGGAGGACTTCGAGTAGTGTGTCCGAGCCGATGTGTAGTGGGGAGTCTGGGAGGTTGGGTAGGTGGGCGCTCGTCCAGAATAACAGCTCGATTGCCAGAGGGTCCTCGAGTTTATTGCAAGCGTTCCAGTAGCATAGAGTGATTAGTTTGATAGGTACGCCATCGCGATAGCATTGCTCAGAAGCGGGCGCGAAGTCAAGACAGATATTGTAAAGCACTTTGACCGTCAGATTCGCCAGCCGCCAGCCGTAGAACAGCGAGTGCTCCAGACATCGTACGGCCCATCTGAAGTGCAAGTCAGTGACGTGCTGTCGCACGGTATCGTTGTCGATGCAGGCGTTTCCAATGCAGCGGAGAGCCGCCTCCACGCCTTCGGGGAAGGATTCGAGCTCGTCGTTGATGAAGGCGATTAGTCCCTGCAGAACTCGAGGTCTTCCGATCTTCTCGCGGACTTGGATGTTCTCTCTGCTTACGGCGGCGAGGTTGAGTAGGAATTGTGTCCAGAGGCCCCTCGGTGGGGTCGCATTGGTGGTGAGGTTGCTGAAGGCAGACTCGAGGTCGTCTAGATCTGGGGATGATGATGTGGCAGACATGTTGGGGTGAGTTGGTTTAGATCAGATGTAGGACTCGAGAAACCATCTGCAGTCTTATGTCGCTCGAGCAAACATTCTCCAGTCCCACAAGCCCTCGAAAGCAAATATGTGAAACCTTTAGACTTGAAGTCGAGGAGGACGAGAGAGCATGTGGCGGTGCGGCTGGATTTCAGCCACACGACTTTTCGACCTCGAGGTGCATGTGATTGCAACGTCTCGACAACACTCGGTACACTCCAACACAGTCAACGACAGCAAACATGACACGAGCACAGCAACAACTAGCCCTCCTCGCAACCTTCTCCATCGTACGTCCTCCCACCAACCCGGATCAACACCACACTAACTCCCTCCCAGACCTACTTCATCTGCTTCGCCGGCCTGCTCCCCCTACCAGAGAAGATACAGGATGAGATAATACCCGTCGTACGTTACCCTTAAATCTCTCTCCCTCGACCTCGAGCTGATAAATGGTGGGTTTAGCTCCCCTTCTGGTTCCTCGTCTCCTTCGGCGCATTCCTGCTCTTCAAACTCGGCTACGGGGTCCTGACATTCAACGACGTGCCGGATGCATATGAGGAGCTGATGGGGCAGATCAAGCAGGCGAAAACGGATTTGAGGAAGAAGGGGGTGGATGTTAGTGATTGAGAGGTCGGGGTATGGGAGTTCGGGGGTTATTGGAGTGGTGGGACAAGGGTCACATGGGATGAGTCCAAGTTTCAGAAAAATTGGGAACATAACTCGGAAAATGGAGCCATTGAGTATCCCTGGTATGAGACGGGGATTGAAAAGCCGAAAGGCGTTGTACGAGTAACTAGGTGACTACCATGGACTCTTTCTGCCAGCTCAACACCCCTAGCAACTCTCCTTCCTACTTCACATGCTCCGCCTCATCAACCTCAAACCCCGCCCTCCGACTCCGCTGCTGCTGCATCTGTCCCGCACCCAAAACAGATCTCGCCATCGCCCTCACGCCCGCCGCCCTCCTAGCATCAGGCGGCGAAGCATCAGTAATCGACGAGAGCTCCCGACTCCACGCCGGTCGCACATCCAAGAGAGCCCTTGGGTAGCTCTCCTCAAACTTCGATTTGGTGAGGATCATGCTATCGCGGGCGTTCATGAGGTTGTGGTTGACTTTTGCTTCGTGCTGTTTGCGGTATTGCAGCAGGTCGACGGAGTTGCGGTGGGTGGTGAAGTGTGTCTCCTCTGCTGCTAGATTGGATAATTGTCGTGGAAGGGCTGCGCCAGGTGGTTCGCTGGGTGAGGTTGGCGCGCTTTGGGATCGGGAGACGGGGATGGTGAGGTAGTCGTGTGTAGGGGCTTGTTCGATGGAGCAAGGGCGGGAGTTGGTCGACTTTGATTTCAGCTCAAGCGGTGGCTCCTCGTCGTCTTCTTCGATAATTTCTGAGGCGTTCTTGGAGTGGTTGGCGGGGCTAGGAGACGTCGAGTGCTTCGGCGTTCCCGCATTGTTTGGTGACAGAAACGCAACACTGGTCCGATGCGAGTTTGGCGGCGTGAGCGGTCGTTCATCAGCGTGTGGGCTGTGGTCGGTAGAAGCGTGATAAATCGCCTCTTCATGAGGATCCAGCAGCTCCATCCACTTTGGTTGCCCGTCTTCCGCGTCTAGCCCCTGCTCCCTCGCCCACGACCACACAGCCAGCTTGGTCTTGACCTTCTGCATCGGACTCGGCGGGCCGGGGAAGCTGTTGTCATCTTCAGGCGTCGACAGACCAGGGTTGAGAGGCCGATAAGGCAGAGTCTTCATACCACCGGGAGATGGTGTCGCAGGGTCTTCCTATAGAATCTGAAAAGTGCCAGAGCCAGTGCGCACCGTTTGCGCGGTCCTTGTCGAGCGTGACGGTCCAGTCTCGTGGTGCTCAAGAGTAGCCACCATGCTTACTGGCTCCGAAGCCTTGACGCTGCAAGCTGTTACCGCACATGCGGCTGGAGTAGTCTTGCCAGGAACCTGCAGCATCCTCAATCGTGCAGGAATCTTGCCAGCGTCGCTCATGGACGCCCGGCGCGGGATGAGATTCAGCGCTGCGTCTGGTCCAGCACTTCCTTCTGGCTCTGAGTTGTGGCGTCGAAGACCCCGGCGGGACATGCGGCTGCTCGGTGCCCAAACGGTCTCAGTACTGCTGTTCCTCTCCTCGGGTATGGTGTCAAGGTCCAGCTTTCTGATGTTGCCTTCCGATGTCATGAAGACGACCTCTGGCTTAGGTCGTGCCAGCGGCTGCGCCTCTTCGGCATCGTTCTCTTCATCCTGCTCCTCCGTATCGCACATGCTGATCGACTTACTGCTGTCGTCCATGCAGCTCTCATCGACATCAAGATCTGCCGCACTGCCACGTCTCGGCAGGAAAGCCTCCACGTCTTCGTCTAGATCGGAAATTGTGCGGACACTGCCATGAGATCCGGACCGCCGCTCGAGAACGAAGCCAGCAAGGTCTCTTGCGACGTCACTGAGCTGGCCATGAGCTTCTGCGTGCTCCTCGGCGACTTCCCAAAGCTCCTCGGCCGCCTCTTCGAAAACTCCAAGGGCAGCGGCGAGCTCTGCAGGACCAAAGGCGCTAGTGGGAATGAGGTCCCGGGAGTCAGCGCTCTGGCTTCCAGAACGAGCTTGGTCTACGAGATCTCGTGTGAGACCTGACCGAAGCAACGAGTGATGGGGAGGCGCAGAGTCTGTTGTAGTTCCCCCATCATCGAAGTGTGTTTTCTTCTTGCTGCTACCGTTGGCACTCATTGCTTCTGTCGGAGGCGGCAACACTACCAGAGCGCTTCTCAGCGGCCGCGAGGGCATTGACGTCGATCTGGGTGGACGATCTGGAACTGGGCGGGCGAAGATGCGGCCGGCACCTGCAGTGCGATCCATATCAGGCTCGGACTGGGTCATCTCGGGAGCGAGGTCGCTGTACATGTGTTCGCTTGTTTGGCTTTCATCCTCGTGCTCACTCTCTGCGCCAGGAACTTCGACATGATCCAGAATCTCGTCGCTCGACCTCGAAGCATCCGCCATCTCCTCAACAAAACTCAACTGCAACGCCAACTCTTCAGCCAAGGCATTGTTCTCCGCCACGATCGAATCATTTCTTTGACTTGCGAACGTGTTGGTCGGCGTCAACCCCGCGAATGGTCTCTCCGGTGGCGGCGATGGTGGTGGTGATGGCGATGATCTTCGCGAGGTCGAACTATCACGACTTTCGTGGGAGGCGGCGGTGGGCGCATGCATGCGCGGATGCAGATGAGGCCCGCGAGGAAGGCGGCTATGTGGGCTAGCATTCGGCATTTAGGGGTCCCGAAGGGGAAGATGATGGACGATGCGGCGTATAGCGATAGGGGCCTTAGAGAGATGCTAGCTCTGGATGTCAGCGTAATTATAGGGTGATTGTCGAAGTGACAGCGCAGTCCGAGGTGCAAGTGCTTCGCGAGAGCCATTTTAGACGTACCGCCGCTCTGCATTGTGATGAGGAAGGTTCATGGCATGCCGCGAGAGACAAGGACGGCGCGCTGGGCAGGAAAGCGCAAGCACTGCCAATGCGCCGTTGAAGACCGATACGAAGGAACATTAAGGTAGCGGTCCTTGACTGTTCGGACCAGACATCTGCGAAAAGTCGCCCCAGAATCCAAAGTCGAACAGAAAGTCGTTGCTGTTTCCAAAATGGAACATATCCGTCAGATCATCCACATTAAGTCCTTGAGAAGGCAACGAGGTTTCATCGAACAGCAGACTCGCCGCGTCCGGTCTTTGTTGAAGCTCGAAGCTCTTGGTCCTTCTGATCTGCCTGAGTTGATGGATACAGAAAGGCGTCATCTGCTCAGCCATGGCCTGTCCCTGAGTCTCGACTAACTGCTTCTTTCTCTCGCGCCACGCCTCGAGTGTAAGATCGGCAAGGCCGGCAAAGAAGGAATCTTGGTCGACGGGCTCGTTATCCAGGAATGGCTCAATGTGTTCGTCCCAGAACAGGGCAACCAACTCCCAGGCCTTCACTACGCGTTCGCCGCTCGTGCGTTGCCGTAGCTTGCTGAGCGTATAGATGACCGCGTCCAGATCTGTCGGATTGTTATGCCAGAGAAGCTGCTTGGCGAAATGATTGTCGCCGCAGGCTCTGTCAAGCTCAAGCACTCCGACTGCTTGGTTGAAGATGCTGTCTTCGGACTTGCTACCTTTCGGCATGTCGAAGTGAGATAGTCGGTACCGAATGCCGGCCATGGCATACCGGGCCATCGCTTGTGCTGCCGCATGCACGGGAATGCGAGCATCAGCGTGGCACAGATACTTCTTCTCGAACAGCTGCTCCAGTTCCTCGAACGGAAAGTACTTCATGCCCGCCTGTTTCTGCTTTTGACGCATTTGATGGCCAAATGTGGCGCCTTCGTATCGCATGAGCGCGTAGATCATCTCGGTTGCACGAGGGTACTCAACAGGCGGTTTTACCATGTCCGGGTGCAGCTCCGCGTCATTGACATTATGAGGCAGGCGAATGGTTGGCGTAATGATTGCATCGGTCATAGCGCTGTCTCTTGGAACGAAGAAGTAGAGGGCCATCACGTCTTGGGTGCAGATGTACCACCAGAGCCGGACCCGCATCTCCTGCTCAAAGATGGAAGCGGTCTTGCTTTCTCTGTCCAAGCTCATCTTGAGTGCCAGTCGCACCGAGAGCGCTGAAAGCGTCGTGAAGGCATCGGATTTTGGATCTGAGGACTGGAGTGTCGTTAGCTAGGAACGAATGCGCGAGGCAACACTATCAAGTCGTTGCGTGATACTTCCGTTCCAAGTAAACTTACCACAAATATGACCAGCGCCTGCAACGTATCGAGATCTCGCGTCTCTAACAGACCTGCAGCTAGAAGTGCCTGCCAGGCGCTTGCTCTATAGCGTTGGATGAGCACTAGCCTATCCTCTCCCAGGTGTGTCAGGCACTCAGTTGTTGACATGGTCGTAATCGCAGCCAGATAGATTGCGAACAACAGAGCCTGAAACGACGGCATGCAAGCCTGAAGGTTCCAGCTGACGTCAAGAATACGTTGTTGAACGCTTGGGGTGTGCAAGATCCTGATGATGGCATTGGTACGCTCAGCGAAGATCTGCCAGAGTCTGAAGATGTGGCGGGGCTCTGGGTGTAGCTCGACGAGGCTTGACCCGGGCATCTGCGAGAGAGACGAGGCGGACAGTGGGTTGAAGGATAACTGAGTACCTCTCATCATGAACTTGTGGCATGATGGGTCTCCAAGGGAGAAGCTCGGCAGCTGCGAAGGCCTTGGTCAGCGAAATATGATCTCCTTCTGTCATCATGCCCAGAGTACCTTTGACTTTGCGTATCCACTCAATAGTTCGGTGGCCTCAGATGGAAAGGGCGGCGCTTTCGCTGCGGGCTTTGAACTGAGGATGGGCAGCTGCTTCTCCTCGGTCTTGTACTGCGGCGTAAGCTCGTTGATATCGACACCGGCTCCAGGATCGATGCTGTTCTTGCGCAGTAGTTCTTCCAGCTGCGTGATCCGGGCTATGAGCTCGACGTCTGCCTTTCGTTTGCGGTGGCGTTGGGACGGCTGGGGTTCTTCGTAGCGACATTCTGCTTGGTGTTTGACGCAATTGCCACAGGATGGAAGAGCTCTGTCGCAGCCGACCTAGGCAGGTTCGTTCAGTTGACGTGATAGATAGCCGTGTTGGCGAAGTCATACCTTTCTTCGCGCACATGTAGTGCAGGCGTACTTGGCGGAAATTTGCTCTTGCTGGGACATCGCTGCCTGATGCACGTTGGTACATGAAGGGGCTTGTGTGGTTATAACATGGGTGCAGAGTAGAGAACAAGGAAAGATTAGGGAATACATGTATGTAAAGACAGCTGGAGTACCTCGAGGACGGCTCGGAGCTCTCGGGCCCTACCCGAGCATCTCGCCTCGTAACGGAGCCTACCTTAGTACTACTCCCTACCTGGGTCTGTACACTTCCTGCTCCGGGGTGGGAGCGCCGCCTCGTGACCGTGAAACGTAGCAGAAAGGTTGAGGTGTTGCCGTCGTCTCTGGCAAGTCGTCTCCTCCCTAGACTACATTTCGGAGCAACTGTCCACAGAAGGGTGTGTAGAAGAGCGGAGTCCATGCAGTAGCGAATTCGACGTCAAATACCGAAGACATTGGTGGAAAAGATGGTCTGATGCTACACATATTATGAGTTCAGGTATGCTTTGCTTGACGGTGACTTGGTCATTGGAGGTGTCTGAAGTGAAAGTGAATGCGCGACATGTTTCCGACGCAACGACGGGAGTACCCGTTTATTGACATCCTCAAAACTGGGCTGTAGATCAACCAACATTTCTCCTACCACCGCATTCCCACTTTCTCTTACAGCATCACCACTCAGCATGTCGAGATACACCGGCGAGACGCCTATGGACTTTGAGTGGGGGAATGGAACCGGTGCTGTCGACGCCCGCTCACCCTTCGCTCAAGTGAGCTCAAATGCCCAGCGCTTCCCTGCCAGCCCGCCGAAAAAGAGTGAGCGCAATCCCCGCAAGGGTATCTTTGGGCGGTCGCTGATAGGTATTGAAGGAACGAACAGTGCTTTCGAGTCGTCGCCGTCGAAGCAGCGAACTATGGGAACTTCACCGAGCAAGCCGCTTCCTCCTACGCCAGCGTTCAACTCCCTCTTCAGCACGCCGCGCAGACCCAGACCGGAGATAGATGACTCTTCGGCTGGGGAGACACCGAAGTCGCCGGAGCGGGGGAACGATAGCGATGGCACGCCAGATATTGTGAATACCAGATCAGCGATGACGATGTTCGACAACCTGAGCACTCCTGCAATCGCTGGTGCCGAGCGGAACAGCCCCACAAAGGAGAGGCCACAGGCAGACAGAAGGGATAGCATGCTAGGAAGACTGGTATCAAAAGCTCGTAACAAGATCTACAGCCCCGGCCGAAGCGACTACCCACGCGCAGAACACGTTGGCGCAATCGAGAAGAAGCGCTCAACGAAGCGGAAGCGAGATGTGGACCGCAGAGTCGCTCGACGGAGACGGCATAGTATGTCAGACTCCGGAGAGGAAGCCGATCTACCTCCCAAAAGCCCGCGCAAACGAAGCGGCGGCCACAAGCCCCCTGTCGAGAAGGAACCGCACTGGATCAGCAACCTCTTCACCTTCATCGGCGCACACCCCTCCGTCCCGCATATCCTCTCCTACTACGCCCAATTCCTCTTCAACGTCTTCTTACTAGGATGTTGCGGCTATCTGATCTACTGCTTCTGGTCCGCTGTGCAGGGCGACGTTGACAAGAAGTCATGGGAGGCAATAGCGGACGAAATGGCGATCATGGCGAAATGCGCGAAGGATTACAAGGCGAATCAATGCGCGCCGGATACGCGGACGCCGTATCTGGAGAATACAGGTATTTGCCAGGAGTGGGAAAAATGCATGAATCGGGATCCGAAAAAGGTGGGAAGGGCGAGGGTGTCAGCGCATACGTTTGCGGAGATATTCAATTCTTTCGTGGAGCCGATCAGTTGGAAGGCGATGGCGTTTACGACGATTCTGGTGTTTGGTTGTTTTGGGATCTCGAATATGGTGAGAACGACACTTCCGCACAAGTATTGTCGAGCACTGTGCTAACGAGGTGCTTAATAGGCATTTGGCTTCTTCCGCAACAAGGCACAGCAACACCAGCCGCCCAACTATGGATACGGGTATGGGCCTCCACCGCCAACACCTCAACGGGCTTTTAGCGGACAGGATGGTGCATTTTACGCTGGGACACCGTGGCATATGCCTCCTCCCGGAGTGGGCTTTGAGCCGCAGCCTTCTGGTGGTGGGTATGGGCAGATCGAAGGTGGCGGGAGTCCGGTGAGACGGCTTGTGTATAATTGATGGGGCCATGGAAGCGCAGGCATTGCTGGGCGTTCGGGGACACTGTCGCATGCGATTTGGATTTCACAGGCAAGCCGCACGTGGCATTAACGACAAGTGGAGCAAAGCATCGCTCTCCTGTTGGACAGAACGGGATTGCTACGATATAGGTAGCTGTATCGACTGTGCATATGACAGATGCTTGGGAGGCCTCAGTAGACTATTTGCCTGAGGTCGATGGCTCTTGCCTGATGGAGCAAGGAAGTGACAGTCACGTGACTTGGTAATCAAGTATTCTCCGATTGGTCGAGCCGTCTTGCCTTCAACTCATGATCTGGATCAGATAGCAGAGACCAAGGAAGTTATAACGAAAGCTCCATCGTTGCAAACAACCGTTCCTTTGTTCCTTCGGCTTCATCAACGACAACTTCTTCGATCCGTCACCAACCAAACTGTCCTTCAAGAACATCCAGCCAGTTCCCATCAATCCAACAACCACCGAACAACATCACCATGTCCACCGTTGCAGCAGTCCCAGCAACTTGCTGCGGTCGTGAAGGCGGATGCATCTGTGCTAAGGAGGCAACTTGTTCGTTTCACTCGCCATACTCACTCGCTCATAACTCCCACTGACAACGCATTCACCAGGCTCCTGCGGCAAACAGCCCGCCCTCCACTGCAACTGCGAAAAGGCCCAGACCGAGAACGTTACTCAGGGAGCTCGTTGCTCATGCAGTAAGTCATTCTCCGTCTCTGTTATTCACATGTGATACTGTGATGCTGACGAAGTGGCGAAACAGACCAACGCCCAGCGGGCCAATGCACCTGCACGCGTTCGTCGAAGGAGAACACGGCGCCCGGAGGCTCGACTTGCTCCTGTGGAAAGAGGTCTGCTGGTGAGTCTTCGTTAATCTGAGAGGCGACGAGTAGATGGACTGAATGCTAACGGGTTGGATAGACTCGTGCACCTGTGGCGGCACGGAGGTCGGGAAGGCAAGTGAGTTAGAGACGGACTTCACTACGAAGGCCTCTGGTGCTTAAGAATTAAGTTGATGGGGAGGAATGCCATGAATGAGGCATGATGCTCGACGACTTGTCATGATGATATGCGAGGGGCTGATGAGCAGTATCTGGTTGATCAGATCAGACGGGCCTGCTAGAACGCTGCCTGGATGAGCTCGAAAGATAGTAGATATCAATCATTCAGCCAATGCCTCATCTTCACTGCTCCATGTACCTTACCATCTTGTGTTTCCAAAAGAAACGAGTAGACTTGTGTCTCAAGAATGGTATAAAGAATTCACTGCTCTGATTGGCTGTCGAGACAGCAACTCTCCCTCACCACACCGTTGCCGCATTCGCAACGGCCATTAAGCGATGTACGTTACATGTCTCATTGCCCTGCCTCATCTAATGTTTTCTACCCCCTCAAGCCCGTGGTCTAACCGATGCTGCCCGCGAAGAACACCTCCCGAACCCTGCCGGCTTGAAGATTGAAGCGAACACCTCGAGAGCGGAGGCGCGGAAAGTCACGGAGGCGCGAGTGGACCACCGAATCATCACCTCGCGGCAGCTTCTGCAGATCAAGTCTCTTGGACTGGCCCTGGAGGCGCGATCAATATGGCGTCCGCCGCGGCGGCGATGTTCAACAGGGGAGGCAGTGGGCCGAGCAAAGAGAACACCATGAGAGGGCTGGTCTCCTTCATAGCAGACCTACGAAACGCGCGAGCACGGGAGCTGGAAGAGAAGCGCATCAACAAGGAGCTGGCGAACATACGGCAGAAGTTCAAGCAGGGCAGCTTGACGGGGTACGACAAGAAGAAGTACGTCTGCAAGCTGCTGTACATCTACATCCTGGGCTGGAACGTCGACTTCGGGCATACAGAGGCTGTTAAGTTGATCTCGGCGACCAAGTACTCGGAGAAGCAGATTGGTTATCTGGCGGTTACGCTGTTCTTACACGAGGACCATGAGTTATTACCTTTGGCGATCAACAGCATACGGAAGGACCTTCACGACTACAATGAGCTGAACAACTGCCTTGCGCTGCATGCGATTGCGAATGTTGGGAGCAAGGAGATGGGAGAGTCGTTATGCGCCGACGTCCACCGGTTATTGATCTCTCCAACCTCGAAGCCGTTCGTCAAGAAGAAGGCAGCCCTTACCATGCTGAGACTGTATCGCAAAGTGCCGAGTATCATACAGCCGGAGTGGAGCGAGCGGATAATAGCAATCATGGACGACCCGGACATGGGAGTGGCTCTGTCTGTGACGTCTTTGGTGATGACCATTGCTCAGGATGATCCGGACGGCTACAAAGGATGCTACGTCAAAGCTGCGAGCCGGTTACGGAAGATCGTCGTTGACCACGAATACTCGGGCGACTATGTCTATTACAAAGTGCCTTGTCCCTGGCTGCAGTGTAAACTGCTTCGATTACTACAGTACTTTCCACCTTCAGAAGACTCGCACATCAGACAACTCATGCGGGACTCACTGCAAGCAATTCTTGATGCCGCAATGGAGATGCCCAAGAACGTACAGCAGAATAATGCACAGAATGCTGTGCTGTTTGAAGCCATCAACCTTATCATTCACCTGGATACGGAGCGGGACCTCATGGTGCACATCTCCACCAAGCTCGGGAAATTCATTGCTTCTCGAGAGACAAACGTGCGGTATCTGGGCTTGGAGGCCATGACACATCTCGCAGTACGGACAGAAACACTGGATCCGATCAAGAAGCACCAGGACATTATCATCGGCACGCTGAAGGATAGGGACATCACCGTGCGGCGGCAGGGGCTCGATCTGCTTTACAGCATGTGCGACTCCACCAACTCTCAGAAGATCGTGCAGGAGCTGCTTAAGTATCTGCAAACTGCGGATTATGCCATTCGGGAGGAGATGGTGCTGAAGATCGCTATCCTTACAGAGAAGTACGCAACGGACGTCAAGTGGTATGTCGACATCTCGATGCGATTGATCGCAATGGCTGGAGATCATGTGAGCGACGAAGTATGGCAGCGAGTAATCCAGATTGTTACGAATAACGACGAGCTGCAGATCTATGCTGCACAAACCATCCTGCGATACTGCCAAGCGGACCACTGCCACGAGACGCTGGTCAAGATTGGGAGCTACATCTTGGGCGAGTTTGGACATCTGATAGCCGACAACAAAGGCTGCAGTCCGATCGAGCAATTCATGGCACTGCAAGGGAAGTTCAATGCGTGCTCGCCTAACACACGAGCGATGATACTTTCGGCATTCGTGAAGTTCGTCAACCTCTTCCCAGAGATCAAGCCACAACTACTACAGGCGTTCCGAACATACAGCCATTCTCTCGACTCTGAGCTACAGCAACGAGCATGCGAATACCTTACCATGGCAACGATGCAGACGGACGAACTTCTGCGGACAGTACTGGACGAAATGCCACCATTCCCTGAGCGAGCATCCGCTCTGCTATCACGTCTTGACAAGAAGCAGGGCCCTCTCGGCGACAAGCGGACGTGGTCGGTGACTGGCAAAGACGGCATGCCTAGCACCTTGGACCGAAGTGCGACTCTTAAGCGGAACTTCTCTTCGGCCCGGACTGCTATGACCAATGGCGTGACAAATGGTGCAGTGACTGCCAATGGTGCCAACGGCATGGTCAAATCGCCTATCGACGAGCTCGCAGGCCTGGACCTCATGAGCGGTCCAGTCAACCTCGCAAGCGCATCCCATCTTTCTCCCGACTGGGAACCAGGCTACAACCGCCTCCTCCTCAAACCGGAGGGCACCCTCTACGAAGACGTCCAGATCCAAATCGGCCTGCGCTCCGAATACCGCGCAGACACCGGCTGCCTCATCCTCTACTTCACCAACAAGTCCTCCGCGCCCATTCAATCATTCACCACCACTCTCGATAACCCCTCCCCCGACCAGCTGAAAATCGACATCAAAGACCTGCCCAACACGACCGTCCACTCGAATTCCCAGGCACAGCAGATGATCATGTTCGAAGCTAGAACAGTCTTCACCGAATCCCCTACCATCCGCGTCTCGTACATGGCCGGCTCGCTGCAAGCGCTCACTCTGAAATTGCCCGTGGCTCTGCACAAATACATGGAAGGCGCCGTTCTGAGCTCGGACGACTTCTTCAAGCGGTGGAAGCAGATCGGCGGCGCGCCACGAGAGGTGCAGAAGATTTTCTCTGGGTATGATGTCGGGTACGAGAGCACGAGACGGCTGCTGGAGGGTTTCAAGTGGGGTGTGTTGGCGGGCGTGGATCCGAATCCGAGGAATTTTGTGGGCGCGACGGTGTTGCATACGAGTGGAGGGAAGTTTGGGTGTTTGTTGCGGCTGGAGCCGAATGTGGAGCAGAAGGTGAGTTCTTCGTGGGCTGGTTTGGGTGGGAGAGAAGTGCTAATGGTGTTGGCAGATGTACCGGCTCACGATTCGGGCGACTGATGAAGCTGTACCACCGGTGCTCATGAAGTATATGGAGGAGAGATTGGCGATGCCGTGGCCACTTTGAAAGGGGCAAAGCCAAGAGGCATGAAAGTCTTGCTGCGTTATTGAGCGAACACGGACTGGGAAAGGGACGGCTATGGCGCAGGCGCAAAAGTCTCTGAGGTCTTGATACCATTGTATATCAAGCATTCTGCCCATCGAACTGCCTCCTCGCCACACGACCCGAGATTCAAGTATTGGACTTCTCAAACAACTTGAAGACTGACCTCTTCTCGCAGGCGATCAGAAGCAAGACAGTGGACATGCACTCACATTTCAAAGAACCGTACCGAGCACCTCAGGGATGCACAGTCAACTTCTTACCCGGCTTCCCCGCCGCGTAGTCGTCCAGCTGAGCATTAATCACATCCACACTCTCAAGTCCATCCAGCGTCTTGAACGCCGTCGGCTCCGCAATCCCCTCTTCCACCCACTTCGGCAGCGTCTTCCAGAACTCCACCGCATGCTTCCCCAAATTGAGATTCGTGTTCTGCACCAGCGTCGCCTTACACAACGGCCTGCTCTCCTGAACTTTCGCCTCATCGACACGATGCAACGCCGCCAGTCGACTCGGCCCTGACGGGGAGAGGAGGGCGGCAGCGAGCTCATGCGTCCAAGACGCACAGTCGTTGATGCGGACCACTTTGTCCTGTCCGCCAGCTGCAGCGCGTACGCGCGCCACAAGTTCGTCTTGCGGCAGCTGGCGGTCGAAGACCTGCGATGCGCCGGCGCGGAGGAGCGTAGCGGTGTTAGTGGGGCCGGCGACGGCGATGATGTTCTTGATCCCGAGGACGCGGGTGGCGAGGCGGGTGAAGAAGGTGGCGATGTTGGTGCCGGCGCCGAGGACGACGATGGGTTGGTTCTGCACGATCGGGTCGAGCGATTGGTTCTCCCACGGAGCAGGGAAGGCAAAGCCGAAGTCTGTGAAGAGCGCGATTGCTGATGTGGCCATGTTGATCGGGAGCGTGGATGCTTCGTCGTCGCTGGTGTCTTTGGGGGTATGGGCGATGGAGTCGGCTTAGAGGATGGCGTATTCCTGCAGGCCGGCCTGGTCCGGGGTTGGGTGCTGGAGGTTGCTGGTTCCGAAAACGCGGTCTCCTGAATTGAAGGAGTTTACATCAGGGCCGGCCTCGACGACGGTTCCGGCGATGCTGCTGCCCAGAACGAAGGGCAGTTTGTGCCCGATGAAGATGCCTCGATCGCGGCAGTAGGCGTCGTGGGGAAGCAGCTGGGTGGAGTTCACCTTAACCATGACCTCGCCGGCTTTGGGGGGTGGGATGTCTCGCTCGCCGAGTTCGACGGGACTGCCGACTGAGTCAAGGAAGACTGCTTTTTGTTTGCGAGGAGCCATTGCTGCTGGGGTTGAGGTAGATGCTTCGTGTGGGTAGATGTAAGGTGTTGAAGAATGTGAGAGTTCCCTTTGTACTTCGAGTGCCACCCATTTCCTTATATCAAAGCTCGACTAGGAGATTTTGTTGTTCTACTTAGTACCAGCCAATAGGTGCAGTAGTGCGCTGGCCCTGTAGAACATGGCCTCGAGCTCGAAGACGTCTTGTAATCCTCGCGAGTCGCGTATTGAATATAGCCATCATCGCTGTGCGGTTGAGTAATCATTACCGTGTTAGTCGGTCCTCGATGGCATACACCCCGGTGTATCCAAAGTGTGCTGCTCTGCTTACGCTGCAAGACTTTACATGTAGACTGAAGCGAGGTGTGGTATGCTATACCTGCCTGTTGGAGGCCACGTAGCTTACGAGTGAGCGAGCCTGGACGAGTCTTACTAGGCAATTTGTGTTAGGATACCGTAAGCAAGAATCTCCGTCGGATCGCAACATGAATGGTTTACGCATGCATGAGTGATCACTCATCATCGTCTCTTGTCTGTCACTGATGTGGATGCCTTCACTTCGCAATGCCTGCGTAGGCAGAGGTCGATGTGTTTCCAGTCGCAAGTGCGCCATACTTATCAACGAGAAGCCGAGGGAGCGCTGTTGCACGACTGTATCTTCCAGTGATGTCCCGGTGGTGATCGTCTCTAAGCTTTCCAACCCGCTGTCTCGCAAGCCATTTTGATTTCCTGCCGTCGGTGGCGCCGTGCCCCAGACGCGAGAAACCCACGAAATTGACGCAAAAGGAAATGGAAAAGATGATGTCGGACGGCATGTCGAGATGGTGATGTGTTCAGATGGTCCTTCTTGGTCCATGAGCTGGTGAGAGGGCGCACCGCATGGCACTGCATGTCAGTAGACACAACTGGCAACACCGCAGCTGCGCACAAGAGTAGCACGATCTCGATCATTATTGACCGAAGTGGAACCATGGAACCTCTCCGGTTCTCTCGCTCAGCCCTATGATCGTTTGAAACAGCGAATCAAAGCATTGTGCGGAAGTTCCTTCTTGGGAGCTGGTAGTCTGTCTCAGAGTCATTCCGGCAAGTGGGGTTTGCCATGAATCAATCAGGTCACATTAATCAAAATTTGGCTGACAGCGCGTTGCAACGAGCTTTGTTGGAAACGGTCACCTGTCAGCATTGGTTCGCTTGGTATTCTCCGCACCGTTCCACTTTGAAGGGACGAGCAAGGACGGACCTTTCATCAAGAGTTGCAGGTAAAGCCAACCACTCACAGGACGCCGGAGGATTTTTGTGACAGAGCCAGATGAAACAAGGCCACGCCTGTCGAACAAGAGGAGCGCTGCTGCAAGCATGCTGCAGGGCGCGCCACCGAATCATCTGTTACCGTCTGCTCTTGAGAGTGTTCACCATCATGAGTCGCCCGACAGTTCGGTGTTATAGCTGCTATAGCCCTCTAATTAGACTGACGATCGGATCAGAGCTGAAGTCGGTCAAGCACAAACGATCTGCTGCCCGGTTTGCTGCCGGCGCACTCCCGGCAGCTATCGGGGCTGCTTCCTTGGAGCTGGGTCGGGCTCAAGGGCTGCGATTGGGGTCGCTTCGAGCAGCACTCGTGCCATCCCGGCCCTGCCACGCTGCGGATCAGCATCCCCGCTCGCCGTCACCTCTGGCCTGGATCAGGAGAAGTCCAAGTTCACGACGGCCGACTATCCGCTCGGTACGCGAATCGCGAGGGTCAGAGCAGCCCTTCGTAGTCTTGAGCCGGTGTTGCCAGACGGGGGAGAGCGACGTATAGTAGAGCGATAATTAATGGGAACAGCTGATATCGATATTGCCGTTGCCGACAGCGGACGGCCCCAGGTGGACAGCGCGCGAGTCTCGCGTTTGTGCCTTGCATGTGCCGAGAGCTTATTCTGAACGTCTCCATCACGCTGGAGCTCGGGGGATGTATTGGTGTGTAGTTGTTGCTCTGCGTCCCCGTGGTCGAGTGATATGGCCACTTCGATATTGTTAAGTCCCGCAGGTATAGGAGAGTGTTCTGCTGCTGTGCGACTGTGACTCGATGAGATCGGTGGCAGCATCCTGGTCCTTCGATCGAATCGTGGGAAGGAAATTGACCTTCTCCAAACGTGGACCCCGGTCAGAACTCCTCGATTAGCGCCGACGCATTGGCTTCAGGAGACGACGTGCAAGGCAAGGCAGGTACCGCCACTACGCCTTGCTTTTCTCCTTCACTCCCACGCGCTGCCATACCACTCCTTTACCACTGTACACGGCGCAGGAAAGGGGAAGGGTCAAGAGGGAGGATCAAAGCCATCACGAGGTCAAACAATCAACACACCCGCATTCCGCCAATCGACATTGCACCGAACGGGCACACGCCTTGTACTCCGGACATCCTCTACCACTCATTGCAGCGCCGACTGCACGCAGACACCAACACGCTCTCTCGAGCCACGCACAGCGCCGCGCACGCACGTTTGCACGACACGACGAACCGACGGGAAATGCAGAATCGCCGCACCACGAGCCTCACCACAGCGAGCACGAGAAGTATCTAAGAGAGCGCGCACCACGTCCTGGCGACGAGTGGACGCTCGAACGACAATAGAGACGTCAGGAACAGAAAAGAGGCGGCGCGCGTTTGCGTCGCACAAGTGAAGTTGAAGGAGGCGTACTCCTTTTTGCCTTTCGCATCACCACACATTCGTTCAGTATGTCTTACCTCCCCCTCTGAAGACAATGGCAACATCTTCAGAAACGCCTCTGCGGCGCAAGAGAGGCGTCACTAACTTTGTCAGATTGAGTAAAATGAAGAGCTTTCTTAATCGAAAGAAGACTCCAACGGAGCCGCTGAGCGCGACGGAGGAGGCCTTCCAGGCGCTGTCATCACCACCACCTCCGCCACCGGTTTCGCCTGGACTCAAGAAGACGCAAAGCAGATGGAAGCGAAGCAAGAAGCAGGTCGAGGTGGCTCCTGAAGTCAACATTGCACAAGTGCTGCCTCCTACCGATGACTTTCGAACGAGCCTGTTGATGCCAACATTTGCGGCTCGGTTTAGCATGCTGAGAGAGCAGGATGATCCGAACTCATTACTCGGCAAGGCCAGCGACGACAGCGTGCTTCAGCCTAGGAGGCGTTCGCGAATGGACTTCGGTGGACTTGGTGACATTGCTGAGGTGTCGTCGATCAAGAGCCAAGTGCGACCTCCATTCGCATATGGCCGACAAGACTCTTTTGCTTCGGAGGATGGATACGCGAGCGAGAACGACTCTCACAATGGCAGTGTGCTGAGCAGAGCACGTCCAGGCGAAGGCAACACCATGTTTGGAGGGCGGCAAAAAGTCTACATGATTCCGAAGGCAGGCGCGAGCGCCAGCAGTCGCAGCCTCGGGAAGGTGCGGTATGAGGACGACATTGGCATGTCAGCTTTTCAGAGGTACAAGCGAGAACTCGAGCAACAGGCGATACAAGCGCGAACCTCCGACGAAGGACACAGCTTCGACTTTGGCCTCGATCGCATGGAACATGGAGAAGACTACGGATCACATTCAAATGCTCCCAATGACTCGGCGAAAGATCTTTCACACTCGCCGTCGCTTTCTTCGTATGACAAGAAGCGCTCGACAAGCTCCTCGTCACACTCGGAAGCGCGGTCATCTACGATCGCTACATCTGTTGCATCACAGCCAGGATCAAATCTTGTCACAGCACCCGCACAAACGACCGCTCCTACACCGTCCGCTCCCCCAGCACTCAAGCGCGCAGATACGAAGACACGAAGACTCTACGAACAGGGACTCGACCAGCACATGTACGAACAGCAGGCTTCTGCCATGACTCGACTAAACTCGATCCATCGGCAACGGGGTATGGGCGTTGGCAAGCCGTCTCCTCCAGTTTTGCATAGCACTAGGAGTGCTGGCAACCTCAACGAGAAGGCGCGGCAGCCAGTGTACGCAGTTCGACCGCAAAGCCCAGAAGCTCTGCTCACCAACTTCGGCTCGATCAGAAAGCAGCAGCCATCCAACACATCAAGCCCGAATCTGAGCGGTCCAGTCTCTCCTCTCACACCACATTTCGAAGGCGGCAGTGACATGGCGCTTACCCAAGCTTTGGAGCCCGGTGACCGGGGCAAGGCGACCGCTATGGGCGCATTCAACAAGCCCAAACAGTCGTTCGACGAGAACCAGTATTTGGAGCGCCAGCGACAGCTGCAAAGGTCTGCTTCGAACGCTGCGGTGAAGAAACCGGCGGTGACACCATCTGCAGTCCAACAGCGGATGGATCGCTTCGACTTGGAGAGGCAGCGCTCAGACTCTGACTTATCGGCAAGGTCAAGATCACGTCCAGCTGCGCCAGTCTCCGAAACTTCCAGCGCATACAACGTGTTCCAGAGAGCGGCTCAAATGAACACAACAACCGGTGCTCAGCAGTTCGACAAGTCGACATTGCCAGACACGCATCGGACGTTCTTCGGCAACATCAGTGCTAGTGACAGCGAGGACGAAGAGGACAGTGTGCCACGATACCCTCAACAGTCTCCCTATGCGCAGCAGGACTACGGTTATGGTGGGCACCACGGCAGGTGGCAACCGACGGCTCTTCCTTCCGTCTCTGAACACCCGGCACTGCGATCTAAGAAGTCCAAGGCCAGTTTAGCAGAGGAAGACGAAGATGCCGAGATGATGAACATGGATACCAACCACAACTCCGACTTCAGACTGCCCGAGCACCCAGCGTTCCGAAATCCAGAACCTGACGTCGATTCTCCAACTCTCGGTCCTGGCGCAGGCTCCACGCCACTGACTGGTATGATGCATCATTTGCGCCAGCAGAGCAATGTCTCCTCTATAACACAGGGCGAGGACAAGCGCTCTCTGGACGAATCGCATGAGATGCCTGAATTGCCAGAAGAATGGGCACCGAAGGACCTGGATCTCATTCATCGACCGATACAGCCGCCTGGCGATTCGGACTCACGCGTCGGCTCAGCTTACACCAGCTCCAATCCATTCGATCTGGAGGAGAGGGACAATCCGTCACGAACTGGGGAGCGAGTCAGCCGAGTATCTATCAGTCCAGTGGAAGGCCACCGACCGTACAACAACATCGATTCCCGCGGTCCGTCTAGAGCCGGAGTATTAAGTCGGCAGTCCGAAGTTTCACAGCTGGAGCCTGAAGCGGAGGAGGGCAGCAGTTGGCAGAACGAGCTGCAGCGACAACACACCCGCGATGCCAGCAACGCCACGCAGCTAGAGCGAGATGCTTTCCAGGAAGAACTCGAAGCGAGGAAACTTGCTGCGCAAGAGAAGATTCAGCAAGCAATCAGCAAAAGCAGGAGTGCGAGTCCTGCACCGAGCGCCAGTGATCGTCCAGGCTTCAGAGGATTTGGTATGCTCCGTTCGCGACCAAGCGGAGAGTCAGTCGCAGAGAACGCACAACGCCAGCAAGCTCCTCCCAAGGCGATGAAGATGCTGGGTCTTAGTGGCGGTGCTAGCAGCACCACACTCAACTCCCAGTACGAGCGTAGCGGGTACAGTCTTGACATCAACCGGCAACGAGATATGTCAGCAACGAGGCCTCCATTGCCTGACAATCCACCACGCGCTATGCAGCAGGCTGGACTGGATGCGAGGCGGGAGTGGCAGGCACGCTCTCGCGAGAACAGCGTGACACAAGGGAGGCCGCCTTCAGGCCGTTCACCAGCTTCTTCTGCCGGTGCACGCAGTCGCGCGAACTCCGAAGCCGCTGGCGGACGATCACGCAGCAGGACTGGGCCGTACCGTGATGATCTCGAGAAAGCCATGATGGAGGATACGGGATCGAGTGCAGCGGGCGTGCCGGAGGTTACTCCTATGATTCCTCAGGAGCTCACTCCACGCCCATCTCCAGATGTGCCTCAAGGTGCGTTCGAGCAGGGGCGAGCAAGGAGCAACAGCCGGCCACCAGTTCCAGGCTACTTCGACTCGAAGAACCTGCAACCTCATCTATCCGGTTCTCGCGAGCGACTGTCACCAGGTGTGCCTCCGCCTGTCACTCTGTCGCCCAACGTCTACTTCCCAGGACCACCTTCCGGGCGCCCTGCACCACCGTCGCCTTTCTCCTCACATATGACACCGCCCTTATCCGGTGCCAACACACCCGTGTCCTCGACTTTCACTCCACCCACACCAGCTCCGCCATCTTCTGGCTCGAATCGCCCTAACATCCCACTGCGCAAGAAGACCATCTCGAAAGGCGACATCTCCGAGCCAACCCTCATCACGTCAACCTCCAACTTCGACACCGTCGACCTCCCCGAAGGCGCCTCCCTCAAAAACGGCATGGAAGAACCTCCACCGCTTCCTCCCATCAACCCCCGCCGCCGCGCCACCAAAGCCATGTTCGGGCTCGTCTCGCGCAAGGACTCTGAAGACAGCACGTTAACCTTCGGCGCGCGATCAAAGACGCCGGATCCATGGGTCGGCACCCGGCCGGTCGAATCTGAGTACCAGTTCGAGCCGCCTATGCTCGCGAACCGCAGTGGGAGCGATGGACGATCGCCGCGCATGCCCGCTACGAAGCAGAGCTTCGATCAGAGTGCAAGCATGCGACAGAACGGCTTCGCGCCGAATGCTGGATCGCCTGAGCGGATGGACAGGCCGCCTGTGCCGACTCAGCCAGCGGCCGCGGCGTATGAAGGCGGAATGTTTTAAAGGAGGTTGTTTGTATATGGCATTTCGAAGCAGGAGTTTTGCGACGGCAAGAACCAACAAATCAACGCAACAGCAAATGATATACGGCAGAACAGAAACTTTGAGCGTTGCGGGAGGCTTTACGGCGGTACCTTACTGGGTTGCTTGTTGAGACGGCGGGGTTTGATCTAGATACCACAATAGCACCATGCAGCGATGTAGTGTACTTTAGTCTGTAGTACTACGGTTGAGGACCAGAAGTTCTTCAGGTGTTTTACCATGTTCAGTCATCGTGCTGCACTTGGGGCTGAGAGGCTTGCGCACCTTCCTGTTGTGGTCTCTCGGTCCCAGCGACTCCTGCCATCGACATGCTGATACTTCAAACCCGACTCTCTTCTTGTAGGAGACAAGGCATGTTATAACTCATCACCGATGAACATGAAGCAGTGATAATGGCGAGATCAATAATACAGATACTCAGCATCGCCTGCCTCGCATTTCAAGGATTGGCCCAATTCCCTCCAACACCCGAAGGCATCACAACCCTCCAGTCCCGATTCCACCCAGGCATCACCATCAGCTACAAACAGCCCGGTATCTGCGAGACCACACCCGGCGTCAAATCATACGCCGGCTACGTCCACCTCCCACCAAACAGCATCAACGAGACGCATGAGGACCAGCATTATCCCATCAACACATTCTTCTGGTTTTTCGAGGCCAGGAAGGATCCTCGCAATGCTCCGCTCGCGATATGGCTTAATGGCGGGCCGGGAGGGAGTTCGATGATTGGGGCGCTGGCGGAGAATGGGCCGTGTTTAGTTGGGAGTGACTCGAATGGGACGTATTTGAATGAGTGGGTGAGTCGTCTGAGATGCTATCTATGAGGCGGGATGAGATGTTGATGAAGCGTAGTCATGGAATAACGAAGTCAACGTGCTTTACCTGGACCAACCGGTTCAGGTGGGCTATAGCTATGATGTCCTCACCAATATCACTACGAGCATAGGGGATGAGAGGTTCTTTGGCGTCGATATTCAGGAGGCGGATTTCTCTGATGCAGTACCGGAGCAGAATCTCACGTTCCTGGTCGGCACGACTGGATCTCAGAAGCTCACTCATACGGCCAACTCGACCACGCATGCTGCAGTAGCGCTGTGGCATTTTGCGCAGACGTGGTTTGAGGAGTTTCCGCACTACAAGCCGGAGGATGAGCAGCTGTCGCTGTTCACGGAGAGCTATGGGGGCCATTATGGTCCGGCGTTTGTGTCGCATTTCATGAAGCAGAACGAACTCATTTCTAACGGGACGATCTCGGAGCCTGGGGCGCACTACTTGCACTTCAACACTCTAGGAATAGTGAATGGCTGTATCGACGAAGAGGCGCAGGTCAAGGCGTACGCTACGATGGCCTGGAACAACACCTACGACGTCAAGGCCTTCACTGAGGAGCAGTATAACCATGCTATCCACGGCCTGGAGCGTGAGGGCGGAGTCATTTATCAGCTGCGAAAATGTCGCCGGCTACAGAAGAGGCTCGACCCCAACGACCACGGCGACGTCGAAAGAGTGATCTCACATTGCCAGCAGGCCATCACCGCCGGAGCGAATATCACACAAGAAGTCTATCTGAACAACGCTGAGAGGGGATGGTTTGACATCACCCACCCGGCCACGGACTCCTTCCCACCTCCCTACGCCTTTGGCTTCATGAACCAGCACTGGGTGCAGAAAGCGCTCGGTGTGCCTGTGAATCACAGTTTTGTCTCGCAAGCCGTAGGCGCGAATTTCGATGCTACAGCTGATATGGCTCGTGGTGGGCTACTGGAGGACATTGCGTATATTCTCGATCACGGCGTGCGGGTGACGATGATGTATGGGGATCGGGACTATGCTTGCAACTGGATCGGCGGCGAGGAGGCTTCTGTGCGTGTACCTTGGGGCCATCAGGAGGAGTTTGCGGAGGCTGGATATACGCCGCTGGTCGTCTCGCCGGTGCATTCGGGAGGGTTGACGAGGCAGTATGGGAATCTCTCATTTACGAGGGTGTATCAGGCGGGCCACATGGTACCCTCGTATCAGCCGGAAGTGGCGTACGAGATCTTTATGCGAGCTGTGACAGGAAGGGACATTGCCACTGGAACGGTTGATCTGAGGGAAGTGGAGGGGAGGGGTGAGCATTATTCTACTCAAGGGCCGAAGGATACTTGGTGGAAGAAGAACGATGTGCTGCCTGCTCCAGCGGGTGAGTGCTATCTCTTTGATCTTGGACGGTGTACGGAGGAGGAGATTGGGTGGGTCTTTGACGGTACGGCTATGGTTAAAGATTGGATTGTGGTTGGGAGAGAGGAGCAAGCGTCGTTTGGCAGTGTTATCGAGGGGGACCAGGAGCCTCTGTCGACGGAAAAGGTAACGCAGGCACCAGTCTCCAGGTCAAAGGATGCGGCCACCCAACTTCCATCCTACGTGGAAGCCAGCGGACTCCTGAGTGAATGCCCGAGCATGTGACAAGCAAACAACTCCATTGTCCCAAGGTGGGTCCAGAGGGTTCTAGATTGTCTCTATTCACATCTCATGCAGGTTCGGCTTATATATACTGCCTTTCCTCCCCTTTCAATCTTGACCAGCGACACCAACTCGCTCCACAGAACAGACAACTATACAACTATACCATCACACCATACCACCACCTATACATCACCACCGCTCGCAACACGCCATTCTCCTGCGGCCGGCAGCTGCAATATTGTCGCCGCTTCTCCGATTGGGAAAGGGCATATCGAACGGCTGCTCATGGTTGTTCGCTTCAGCGATGGCGTTATGGAGAAGAGGTGCTTGCTTCAGTGTATGATACCCCAATGCATGTTTCTCTGCTATGGCCTCTCCCTTTGTCCTCCTTCTCCATCGCCAAAACCTGCTCAGGACTGCGGCACCACCGCTGCACCACCGCCTTGGCAGGCTTCGCGCCAGAGAGGCACAAGCAGCAAGACGCCTCCCTTGTCTGGTAGACATCCCTGACAGCCTGAACGGAAGTGGAAGCGGCGACACCCAGCTACGCGAGGAGTCTCAGCCGTTTCTCTATGTGGAAGTGCTAGCACTCACGCACCACCGCTCGCAACACCAGCCACGAGACCGGGTGTTGTCAGAGCGGCAGCACTTCCAGATCAGCTTCAAGCAGGGTCATCTCCATACCGCCTACAACCCTGGATCTGCCGTCATGTCCGGCCAGGAGTTAGGCCAGCCTTTGCAATGGGAGAAGCGCCCGAACCACGACCAGGACCAGATGGGGTATCCCTGTGCCCTGGTGATATTCGAAGCTCAGTTCCGCTTGTCTGAGTTCCTCCGCAACACGATTGATCTCCTGTTGGTCTGTCGAACCCTCCGACTTCTGGGGACGTCATCGATGCCCTGCATGCTTGGGAGAGATCTCTGGATGGAAGGTACCAGCTACAGCAGGTGAGCATTCGCTGCGATGGGGGCATATTCGTGTTGCGGGTGGAGAAGGACGGTGTCCAGGAAGGATGCGGTGCTAAGAGGTGCTTCTCGAGGAGGTGGATATGATGCTGGGCGACAGATGTAGGTGGATGCTTGGGACGCTTCTGCTGAGAGAACTGTGGCACGACACGAGATGCTGTTTGCTTGAGCGATGGCGTTATGGTCTTGGTTCGCTGGTGTGACTCTGCATAGCAAATGTCAATAGTCTTTCCAATACATCTGCATCTCGGACATGTCGTTGTTGATTCGTCCTACAGAAGTAGCTAAACACATCCAATCATCAAATGACTTCTCATCATCCAAATCACCAAATAAACCGATGCTTCTCATGCTCCCCCGTCTCCCTCGCCACACTCGTCTCCTCGAACCCCTGCACCTCCGGCACGCCCTCCTTATCCATCTTCTTATTCTCATGGATAAGCCACAAGCTCAAACCCGTACTGACCGCCGTCACCAACAGACAAAAAGCAGCCGAAATCCACAGGCCCTTCCGGTACCGTGGCTCCTCCGACTCCGGAAACACATTCGTGCCCAGCAACGGACCGCATTGGCCCAGTGTAGCAAGGACAGTATATCCACCAGCCCGCTTACTCTCCGTCGCGTGGATATTCGCCGTCCATGCCAGGAGTAGAGCAACGGAAGCGAAGATCTGGACCGAGAAGAAGATGGAGAAGTACCGGACCCCAGGGGACTCGGAGGAGGCGTTGATGGCGAAGCCGATGAAGGCGATCAAGCCGGACAGAGCGCAGAAGGGCCCGCGCATTTTGAAGTGGTCGGAGCACCAGCAGATGAAGATGATGTAGAAGAAGCAGAGCAGGTAGGGTGGGGCGGAGAGGCCGTTGGATTGGATCGTAGTGAAGATGCCGAGTTGCGAGATGATGGTGGGGACGAAGAGGGGGAGGGAGGCGAAGGAGACGTTGCTGTTCGGCATCTTAGTATGAGCTCAGGATGAGCGTAGGAGATTGGGACGTACCAGCTGAAATACATGATACCTGGCAGGTATGATTTCGGGTCTTTCAAACCCTCGAACATCTCTTTGACGCGGAGGCCCTGGTTCTTGTCGACGTCGAGGCGTTGGTTGCGTGCGACGAAGTGGTATGCAACTTCCTTCTCGCGGTCGTCCAGGAAGGTGGCCTGGGCGATAGAATCCGGGAGAAAGAAGAAGGGTACCAGGGCAAATACGCATGTAGGAAGCCCTTCAATCAAGAACAGGATCCTCCACGGGGCGATGCTTCCGTTGATGTGAGAAATGGCATATGCGAGAGCACCGCCGTAGGCATTAGCTGCTAGGGGTTAGCATTTGTTCAAGTTAGCACGAAGCAGAGTGGATACCTAGTGCGGCAGCTGTAGAGCCAAGTGTTGTCAGCAGAGTCCAGCATCAGACAGAATAATGGCATCTCACCAGCAATGAAGACACCGTGACGGAAGCCGACCATCTCGCGAGGATAGAAGTAAGTCAGATACAGAGGAACGCCGGGTCCGTAGGCAGCCTCAGCTACACCCAGGAAGAATCGACAGGCCATGAGACCAGACCAATTGTATACAGCTGCTTGGATTGAAGCAACGAAGCCCCAGAATAGGACTACAGCAGCACACCAGATATGTCTGCGAGTGGGATGCCGTTAGCATGAATTCACTTATATGGGAGCTTTGTGGGGGTGGCGTACGGTGGGAACTGCTTCCAACCCATCAATAGCCATTGTGAGAAGATGTAGGCAATGTAGAATAGCGTTCCAAGCCAGTTGTATCTGAAGCCTGAGAGATCGATGTCTGTTGATCGTTGAATTAGCATTCTCGTCGGGCACCATTATGAAGGCATCAATCGTACCATCTTCCAGACCAGCCAATCTCGCATTTCCCAGATTGCTACGATCCAGTACCGAAAGCATGTAGAGAATGAACACAATTGGCATGAGCCGCCAGTCCAGCTTCCGGATCACATCTCTCTCCTCCTTCGGCGTTGGAGTGATGAACGCTTCCGCTCTTTCCTTAGCCGCAACATCAGGAACATTGTCATGTCGTTCGGCGTCAAAAGGTGCCTTCTCGACGTCTGTCATCTTGCCCTCGCTATCCGGACTTGGTGCCGGATGTTGAACGTCGCTCATATTGCCAGTAACCCAAGACTGTTACACGATTCAGCTGTTCCAACCGTAAAGCGATGCAAAGAAACAATGAAACGCAACCAAATGGTATGACAAGAAGGAAGAGGCTTGAGAAAGACAAGCCGGGAACAAGACGGCTTACCACCGCTTGACGACTCTTGAACGATCTCTCTGCCGGCAGCTGAGAAGCTTTTCTCGTGCAAAGACCGACCGAAGGATCGACGGGAAGCTTACTGCTGGAGGACTGGTGACGTCCAGGAGGTGTGGAGAAGATGGAGCCGGCGGGGATCGCACGCGCTTGGTGACGCGCTCGCGATGTGATGAACCTTGCCATTTTGCGTCTCCTTTGGGGGTCGGTTTGCAGTTGCTGGGAGAGGAAACGCCGAAGGACGCGAGGGGATGAAGTTCAGACCATGTCCGTGTACTGAAGTTGAGACGAGCACTTGGCACAAGGCTTGAATGATGACTGTCCGCTCAATACCAGCGTTTGAGGGAGAAACGATACCTAGGCTGTACCTCGCATCCACGAAGAGAAAGGAAGGCCACCACCGCAAGTGAGCATGGCCACAGCACAGAGCATTTCAACAGGCCACACAATGGAAGCAGCGTTGTCCAAGATGCCAACGCTCAAGCAAATACCCATGGTCTCTCGCTCCACATCATCCTCGCATGTTCAAGAAGGGACGGGATAGACCATCCATTGTTCTTCTGCCCCCACTCGAGGACACCAACACTCAAGCAGGTCCCACGAACCACGCATCAGCACCCTGTCCGTCTGTTTCGGAGAAGCGAGCAAATATCTGGACACTACCCCCATTCGCGCCTTCTCAAGGACAGCAACAACGGACGATCCACTCATAACACTGCCCTTAGCACTCTATTCGCCTGCTCGAGAAGCGGCGGGTCAAATCAGCTATGGATGTTCTAACTCTTCTCCAAAACGAAAACGGCCTGACATCTGTCCACGAACCTACCTATAGTACCCCCTCCGCCTTTTGGAGAAGGGCCAAATAGACTGTCTTTTGTTCTTCCGCTGCTTCTCGAAGACACCAAATCCCGCCCAGCTGTCCCCGAGCTTCCCCTGAGTACCTCACTAATCTTTCGGAGAAACAGTATCATCTGATCAAGGTACGATTCGGCTATGTGGATATCATCATCAATGAAGCATCGGAGCCATGGCTATGTGAGTGTGGATTTCTTGCCACCATCACCACCATCGCTCTCCTACTTCTTCGGGGTCACCCTCTTCTCCTCTTCAGCCTTGGGCTCTTCGGCCTTCTCGAATTTCAGCTCTCCTGTTGGACAGTCAGCATGCCCGTGAGATGCATTTGCCGTATTGGAGAACTACTCACCAGTCTCGCTTCCTCCGAAGTGCACAGGATGGTCGCAGTTGGCGATACCACAGTCAAGCGGATGCACACGTCCTGTTCAATCAATCAGTCAAAAAAACCACACCAAATCAACTGCTCAAGCAGTACTAACCAGCCTCATAATCAGTCAGCTCCCTCTCCGGCAACCCAGCCGACCTGCCCAAATCACCCTCCATCGCAGCAGCAACCGCGGTCTCAGTCTTATGCCGCTCTTCCTCCGCGCCAGCGACATCGTCAGGGCTCGCGCGGACGAGCTGTCGGATGCCATCATCGCGAGTCTCGATCTTCAGGTCGAAGCCCTGCTGGTCGGTCACGCGGTGGCCTTGTTCGAGGTAGTTGGCGGCTTGTTGACGGTGACAGAGTAGGGTGACGCCGTGGACGTGGGCTCTGACGGGGACATTGGAGCGGTCGATGTTGAGAGTGTTGGATGAGGACATGGCTGGGGAGTGTACGTGTATGTACGAAAGTAGTGGTCTGGTATAGGGTAGATGGGAAGGTGGGTGAGTGGTAGGTGATTCTGAAGACATGTTGGAAGGATGCGATTGAAGATATAGGTGTCGCCAAGCTGAAGTGAATGTAAGAAGAGCTCGGACCTAGTGCGACTGTTCTTGAGATTGGCATGTGATCGAGCATTCACTTACGGAAATAGTCATGGAGTTGAGATGGGAACAGGGAGCGAGATGTACTTGTGCCTTTGGACAGCGCTCCTGCATTACTGTCTCTGACATGGGTAGGATTGTTGTCCCGAGCAAACTCCTGGTGCTTTATTGAGTCCATTGTTAAGCAATGCTCGTACATGCGGGAGCCCACAGCACGCAGGAGGTTGAAAGTCGCAGGAATCTGCAGCAACAGTGCTGGACCAGTTCTCGCGCAGACAAGACAATGAGGGCCATGAATGGGTCTTTGATAGTACCCAGACGCAACAGCACAGCAAAAGGCAATGGCCGCCATGGAAGAGAGGTCCGTGATCAAGAGTGATGAGTGGTATCAAACCAGTCAGATCTTCGTCTTTGTACAAAACGGTCAGCAAGTCCAGAGAACCTACATGGATGGTGTCACAACCTGAGTGTCTCTCTTCCTTCGACTCTTATCTTCCGAGGCCAGTGTTGGAACCAGAAACAGGGAGTGTCGTCGGCATTCATTCTTCTAGATCAAGACCTGAAGTCCAGTAGGGCGGCGTAGAAGACCACGTGACTCCTCCCGACTCCAAGCCATCTTGTCCAAGGAGCCATCCAGCACATTGTCCTTGGACTCTCAAAAAGAACCGGTAAAATCCCACGACATCGCAAATGAGCGAGCGGATGAAGTCGCTGAAGTGTAATCGCAAGACTCAGCTCTCACTCAGCCTGTGCTGTCGGAATGACGCAACCAACGTGGGGCGATTTCATCCCACCTCTAGCACATGTTCTTAGACTTTTCAATCTCTCGCCAAAACAACAACATACAGCCATTGAACGAGAAACAACACTACAAACAAGTGAGTACACAACCCCCTCCCAAGCCCTACGTATTCAAACACTGACTCTACCCCAGCCCACCAAACCCAACAACCTAACCCAACCGACCACCACAATGTCCGCTCCCCAGCAAGGTCGCCAGTAAGCCCTATTTCCCACCTCCGGAACCCCTCCACGCTCCCTACTAACACACACCCAGGTCTCCCGACCCCGAGCGCCAAACCGGCAAGCAGCAGCAAGCACCCCCCGCCACGGACCCGAACAAGCAGGGCCAAGAGCCTTCCGGCGGCGCGGCGGACACGAGCAAGGATGCGTTGAAGAATCTGGAGAGTAACCCGGAGCATGTGTTGAAGGAGGAGGCGGAGAAGAAGACTGCGAAATGAGCGGGGATGATGTGAGGGATGATGAAGGGTAGGGCAGAAGTAGCCGAGATATGGATAGTTGAGGGCTAACGGATTTGTGCTGCCGTAGCAGGGGCATGAACAATTGATGGCAGATGTAGCCGATCCTTCGTCGTGTCTTGATCTCGTAATGTCTATGGCGAAGGCAATCGCCAGTCGGAGAAGGCCAATAGTCTGGTGCAGTACCAAAGCCGGATGACCGCTGACCTCCGAGCTATGTCGTGAGGCTAGTACCCGTATTCCTGTTCTCGAGCCTTCGATGTCAGTCGAGGTGTTGTCGTTGGCATGGGAGCGTAAGGTGAGACCCGTTTCTTGTACAATCGAGCACCGTGCGTGCAGATGACGGGCGGTTGAGGCGTGGCTTGGTCATTCTTGAATGCGTCCCTCACCCCAAACCCCTTCCCCTCCCTCTCGTCGACCCACTCCTCGCAATCCCACTCCCACCCCTCGTCGACGAGCTCGTCCCCGTTGCCCCCCTCCCTCTCCCCGCCTGCCCAGCAACCCTCCCATACCCACTCGAAGCCCCCCTCATCCCTCTCCCCCTTCCAGCCACTTTCCCACTCGCCCCCGTAGCCACACTAGCAGCCCTCCTCCTCTCCTCCTCCTCCGCCCTCCTCACAGCCTCCTCCCTCCGCCTCTCCTCCTCCGCAGCTCTCCGCTCCTGCTCCTGCCGCCTCCTCGCCTCATCCTCCTCCATCTCCTCCAGATCCTTGCTCGCGCCTCCCCAAGCCGGATTCAGGATAAGTCGCTGGTTATGCTCCGTCTGGCTCAGTATCCGCGTCCATGTCGCCAAGAGGGTAGAAGCGTGCTGCACGGTGCTGTGGACAGTAGACATGTTACTCTGCGCTTTATGCAGGGAGGCTGTGACATTTTCAATCACGGTGTTGACTTCTCGGACACGCGCGAGTTCAGCGCGAAGGCGGGCTTCGTGTTCTTCGTGCTGTTGTTGGCGGGCGCGAGAGTCGCCGTGGGGGGGTTTCTGCCCGGACGTAGAGGGTTGGGAGGTCGGGGTATGTTTGGAGGTTGTTGCGCCGCTTTCGGGGCTAGCGAAGAGGTCTTCTGCGTCTTCGTCGTCGGGCTGCTGGTCTTGTAGGGACAATTTCGCGATGGAGGGGGTTCGGGAGTGTTTGTCCATGTTGTGTTGTTCTTGGGGCGCCAATGGGGTTATGTACAGTAGCGATACGTGCAGTTCGTCTTGTTGATCGTTCGGCCGCCAGTTTGCGACCTGATCTGTTTACTAAGTGACGTGTCTGTTGTGGTGGACGCGCCGGGGTGTGCGACTTGAACAGGGTTTCGATGGCGCCTGCATGTCTCACCCAGCCTCCCGTTTGATTTTCCAAGACTCCTCCCACCACCACCACCACCACGCCTATCCCTCAACCTCCCATTGGCATACACTATTACAAGGTCGCCGGCAGGACGAAGCGATAATTGGAATATTGCTGCGACCGAGAAGACGAGCAGAGCGCTGCTTGGAAGACCAGGCGGAGAGGGCTTGTCGAAGCCATCCTGACCTTGACCGCAACGTCACTTCATCCCGACCTATTGTTTCCAGCGACAATGGCGGAAACACCGCCACCCCGCAGCGTGCGCGCAGCTACTCCCCCGACTCCCCTCCACGGCGCGCGATACGACACCTACGAACCATACTCTCCGCGACGATCGACTAGAAGCACGGCACACAGCAACCCATACTCCTCCTTCAACAGCGATCGCTCCCCGAGAGACCATCATCAGCAGGGAAACACTACTCCTCCCGCTACCGTAAAGAAAGCCCGCTTCGCTCGCGCACCCACCCAGCTCTCCTCCCCGCCATCTTCACCTTCTTCGCCTGTCAAACGGCTTCGCACGACACCTGGAACCTCCAGCGCCCACAAAACACCACGAAAGCAATCATTCACCCCACGAAAAGCTGCAAACCACCACTCCGACTCCGACACCTGCGCCCCGTCATCCTCCAAAGCAGCCACCTTGGCACCAAATCCCGTCGACCCAACAACAATGCTCCCCACCCCCTCCAAAACCCCAAACAAAAAGCGCGCCGGTGCCCTGGCCTCTACCGCCCGCATCCTCAGCTTCCAACCCAATCACCCGAACGACGTGATGCCGTCTCCTCACAAGATGAAGAAGCAATCGCGCGCAGCGGAGTTCGATCTCTACGAGGAGGACGCACAGCAGGGTGAGGAGATACCGATCTACACGGATGCGAATGCGCGCGTACCGGAGATGGACGAGAGTATGGACAATCCTTTCGTGGGACCGAAGCAGGGTCGCAGGCCGCAGGGGGGTAGTGGGAGTAGGCGGACGAGGAAAAGCGAGGAGGAGCAGGTGAGGGAGGAGAGGATGCAGGAGGCTGTTGCAAGGGATGAGGGGGTGGTTTATGTGTTGTAAGTGTTTTTCACCTTCAAGGCTGTAGGAGGTTTGCGAGACCAGCTGTGGACAGCATGCTGGTAGCATGCTGATTGCACCCTGTCCGCACCCTCTTCGAGTCCATACTAACACATTGTTTAGCCGCGGCCGCAAGATCTTCCGCCGCTTCACACCACCAAACACGCAGGAAGACGACACCAACGACCCAACTCCTACCCCGAACCGCCAGCTCATGCGATCCGCAGGCGCCACGGCCCAGCGTCCCTTCACCCGCAGCGCAATCAAGCCACGGCTCCTCTTCCCATCTGAAGAGCAGCAGCGTGAACGCGAGCAGGCGGCCAACGAAGTCGACGAGGAGGCCCTAACGGACATCGAGATGGCGGATGCCAGCACCGTGATCACTCCACCACCGACTGCGACCAGCAAGCGCCGCGCGGGGACGCCGAAGAAGCGGAGTCCGAAGGGTATGCAGATCGTGGAGGAAGTAGAGGAGGGTGCGAATGGTGACGAACTTGATGATGTACCGGAGCCCATGTCTGTAGGCAGTGAGCCGTCCTTCGCGAGTGGTGCAGGAGGAAAGGGCAGAGCTAGCGCGATGGGCAAGAGTCCCTTCGACACTTGGGCGCGCACGAAGTCGGGCAAGAAGAGGGGTAGTGAGCAGTTGGACGTTGACGAGGGGATGGGGAAGCGGACGAGGAGTTCGGGGCCAGTGGGTGAGGGAGGGAAGGTGTAATTTTGGGAGGCTACGAGGAAGTGCCTAGAGTGCTTGTTGGTGGTGTGTCTGGGTTGGAAAAGAGATCATGATTGGACTTTGTGGATTGGTTGCAGCGTCATGACTGGGAAATGGATGTTCTGGATATTCTGGGTGCTTGCATCGAGTATGAAGCGAGCATTGATTACATATTGGAGTAGCAGGAAACCTAAGGAAGTTGGTCAACAGGATGGACACGAGCAGCTGCGCACACGACGTCTTTCAACTTTGCAGGAGGGTTACTCTGAAGGACATGGAAGGAAAGCACTTCACACGGTGCAAGGCAGCGTGGTTCTCAGTCGATCGTATAGATTTGATCAACTACGTATGCCAATATCATCACCATCGTCCGGTGCTCTCTCACCCATCATGTCAAATCACGCACCGCACCTCTTCCACCATCCTCCACCATGCTCATCCCCATCCTATATCATATCATGCTCATCCCGTCATCCCCTTACCAGCCGGTTGCTCTCACGGACACGGCGTATCGTATCGTATATCTGGCTTATTTCTATTCATCCCCATTAGCGTGAGATTCCCTAGGCGTGGTACAGAAGAGGAACATACGCCACAAGTGCAGCTCCCAGGTGCGCAAGTGCAAGAGCTGCAAGTGCAGTCGGCGTTTCCGCAGCCACCCATTTTGCTTGTTGTGATGATGATGTTGAGTTGGTTGTGTCGAAGAAATCTCGTGGTTGTCAATTGACTTGTGTTTGGCTTATTGTCGTTCAAAGTTGTTGTGTTGTTGGATGGAGCGAGAGAGGGGTACGGAAGCTCGCTTTATACCCGATACGATACGTACTTGCCACTTGAGTGAATTGTGCGTTGTTCAAAAAGCGCCGAGAGCTCGTTGCTCTTTTCCCGAGAGAGGGTCCACCGCACAATCCACGCAATTGGCAGCCCACGCTTCCTTTCTTGGGGGCCCACTTTGATAGGCAATCGGGATGTTCGAGGTCTTGGGGCACAAATTGCTCGGACGGTGTGGACGGTGGTACATCGTTACATCGTTGCTTGGAATGGCGGCACGCGCGGGTCAAGATAGTATGTATGTACAGTTTCTCGAAGACTCTCTAGCGACGTTAGAAACATCACAAGCAACGAACCAACGCCACTCTACGCCCAACCTCCCCATACACGCATACCTACACGCTATGCACCATCACTTATTACTCCCCTTACTAGCCAAATGACTAACCCCAATCACCAACCCCGCCGTCACCTTCACCCCCGCCTCGAGCAAGAACACCGTCGTCTTGAACGAAAAGCTCAACAGCGCCAACGCTCCCTGCGTCACCATCGGTAGATCAACTTGCTCCCCCATCTCGCCCTTCTTTAGCCGCTTCTTCTCCTTGCGTGAGAGCTTCTTGCCCTTCGTCGTGTCGATGGAAGTGCTCGACGTGCTGCGCGACTTCTGCTTCGGTATTGGCAAAGCCTTCGTTGGTGGAGCGTCGAAGGTGAGTGTTTCCTGCATCAGCGCGTCGTTCTCGATGACCGCGACGGCGAGGAGGGCGCAGACGACTGTGTCGATGATGTAGTCGCCTTCCAAGGAGAGAAGACCGGGTACGTCGAGCACGCAGGCATCGTGGGCGAAGTCGAGGAAGGCTAGAACAAGCGTTTCTGCTTCCACGGCTGCTGGGGTGGCGGAAGGGTGGTGCAGGCTGATCTTCGCTCGCGGGTCGCGGGAGTGGCGGCCAGCGGTGGACTTGGTGATGGTGATGGCGAAGGACGAGAGGAGAGGGTGTTCCAGCTTGTAGGACGCGGTGACGGCGCCGAGACTGTCGCGTTTCCTGGTGGCTCGGACGAGCTCGCATCGATATCGCCGGTGCGCCTCTGATACAGCATCCTGTGCGAGCCGTGCAGCTTCAGGAGATGTAGCCGAAGGGTCGAAGGTGGCGATCTCTGCAGCTACCGGTGAGTTTGCTACCGTCTCGATGGCCTTTACCGCCGCTATCTGCGGGAAGATGGTGACCACATCGTTCTCCCGCTCCTTGCTTGGCTTGACAGCATCGGGCAAACCCAGCTGTGCGACCGGGGAAGGCGGCGCATCACGATACTGAGGGTTGTGTCTGCCAATGAAAAGCTGCTTGAACGACTTCGAGCCTTTCCCTGTCGCTGTCGCCGTCGCTGGTGCTGTGTCCTTGTTCATTGAGTACAGCACTTCGCCGTTGGTCGTCCCGATGGCGAGGGTAGTACCTCTGTTGAGCGGTTGCAGCAGCCCAAGCTGCACCTTGCGGCCATCAACCGGGAAGTTGCAGTGCGAAGCGTTCCAGATGGCGCATAGATCGTGGGTATTGGCGGAAGGAATGTGTTGATAGCCTTCGACCAGTGCGACCCCGGAGTCCAACCGGCGTAGCGTCTGGGCTTTCTGGACTTGGTGTTCGAGCTTGCTGGCGCTCTCATATGCCAACGTCGGAGCCAATGTCGGGGTCGGCGCGCGCGCGCTCGGATAGTAGTCTTGCTCCTGCAGAGGCCTTGTTGGATCGTACTGTGGGAAAATCGACCTTGCGGCAGGCGGGCTGTACGGTGGTACCGCAGTGCTTGATGTGCTGTTGCTGCGGACTAGTGTTGGTGTTGGGCTTCCAGCCCTTGACTTCTTGGTCGCCGGGAACTCGGCCTGTCTGGGCGACGTGTTCGAGAATAGAAGTCTGTCGGGTAGAGGAGAGACTGTGTCGCCGCCTGGGCTCACAAGCGTGTCTGGACCGGGTTGTGGCGGGGTGGATATGCTGGCCGGTATGTGTGAACGCTGCAGCTGCCCTTTTGTCGGTTCGGTCTGGCTCGCGCTCGAGCTGACAGGCAGACCTGCAGTACTGCCCTCGGACGCAGACACCGGCGTGGTCATGTCGATGAGTGGGCTTGCCGAATTGATGCTGCCACCATCACACGACCTCCTTCGAGTCTTCCTGGAAAAGTCCCGTGCAGCGGCTAGCTGTCCATTAGATGATGGCTCGCAGAACAGCGAATGCTTGAATTGATCGGTAGCCGGCTGAACGACGAGCTTGGGCGTTGTCGATGTAGTGTTGACTCGCACCGCGACACCTCTCAGCTCGTTGGAAGCTACTGAGGGAGGCGTATACGTCCTGGGTTTCTTCAAGCTCGACTTGCGAGGTTGAGGCTGCTGGGCAGAAGGAAACAACGTCAAGGGTACAGATGAAGACATGGTGCCAGACCAAAGAAATGAATGAATGGTATAATTGAAACGACACGCAAAGATAGGAAAGATGCAAAACCCGACTACGTCTCTCTCAAAGCGGAGCGGCGAAGTACCTACAAAGATATATGCCAAAGGTGGTGTCCTAGTGTGCGTTCGTTGGTACCGTGCATGCAAGAATTCAATAGTCTCTTCCAAGAGCGCTTCGTGCGGCGCTCACTGAATAACAGAGGAGGTCGACGGCCTGAGTGAGGTGCTGGCGAATCGAGGTGTGCAGGTCGTGCTCGCGTCGAAAGGTGCAGTCGCCTCTGGCACAAGCTGTGTCGCTGGCTAAGCGCCAGCTCTTCGAAGCGCCAGGATTGGTCACAGGCATCACCAAAGGTTCTTGCCACAGCCTGGTGGTCTATTTCCAGAGTGAAGGGCCGGGCCATGGCATTGGACGTGTCTTTGAACCGTTCTGGATGTTGCGGTCTGGTTAAGTGAGCCTTCGTGGTCCTTTAGTCGTGAAGTCGAGGCCAGATCTGGCGGTTACTGGCCTTCGCTGTCGTGTACGCCCGGCGATAGTCGTAGGCTTCTCGTGATCTCCAGAACATGCAGATCTAGCAGCAAAGCCACTGTGATATTCCAGATGGTCGGAGTATCTTGAAGTCGAAGAAGTGAAGTGGTAAGGCAGAGACGTAAGAAGCTCGCGCCTGCCAGAATTCACGACAGCACTTGCTGCCTTTCGCCGAGTCAGCCGACTCAAACCTCATCTTTTAGATGCTCACCTTAATAACAACATGAACCTGGATCGATAACACCGCGACACGATGGTGTCATTCTGGCCCTTCAAGGGCGACGACAGCTCTGCCGCATCCTTCGAGCGAACACTCAGCCAACTCTCCACGAAGATCAACAAGGCCAGCGCACAGAACGACGGCCTACGTCAGCACCAGCGGCGTTTCAAAGTGCTGTGGACCTTGTACACCAGCTTTGCCTATATCCTGGTAGCACTCATCCTCACACTGGTCACGGGTTGGGAGAGATGGGGAGCAGTGGAGTACAGCGCGATTGCTGGAAGCCCGGTGGTGATTTTTGGCGTCCGGACAGCGCTGGATGCCTACTACAACTACCGCCTCTCGAACTCGCAGAACCACCTGAATGAGCTTTACAAGCAGCGGGAAGCTACGATCGAGAAGCTGAAAACCGCAACCAAGTACAACAGCACACAGCAGCTGCTGGACAAGTATGGAGGGACGCCGAAGAAGAGACAGCCTTCGCCTCAGCCTAAGAAGCGGAAGTCGGAGGGTGGGCAAGGCAATCAGACTGCGCCGCAAGGAGGAAGGACTGGGTTCGTGCCGCCGCCTACAGCGAACATACCTGGTAGACAGCCACCGCCAGGACCTATGCTACCTGAAGGTGCACCTGGATCGCGGCCAACATCCGCTGGTATGACCCAGCCCCGACCGCAAACGAGGGAAGGTGATGAGCCAGGCGAAGAGTTCGCGCCGAATGCTTACTCCGCGCCTTCTCGACCTCCCACGCTCCGGCAGCCCTCAGTACAGTCACAATATGCGGCAGACAGCCCGAAATGGTACGATCGCATACTGGATGTTGTGCTGGGCGAGGATGAGACACAGTCGAAGAACCGCATCGCTCTAATTTGCCAAAACTGCAGGCTGGTGAACGGGCAAGCGCCGCCTGGGGTGAGGACGCTCGAAGAGATCGGCAAGTGGAGGTGCAGTGCATGCCACACGATGAACGGCGTGGAGAGCGAGGAGAAGAAGATGCTACAGCAGATATCAGGCGGTCCTGCGTCGCCGACTTCACCCAACGCGGTAGCAGATACAGGGAGCGGGCTGGACGGCGAGTATGAAGAGGTAGACCCAGATGCTGGCGGAAGCGAGGACGAGAGCACACTTCAGGGCACCGCCTCCGCAGAGACCACAATCGCAGGCTCAACACGAAGCAAAGCACGCCAGCGCAAGAAGGCATAGCATAGGCATACACAGGATATCCAACATAATCAAACCAAAAACTCCCAACCATCCCATCTCACAACTTACTCGCCCCTCTCCTCTTCACCCACCCCTCCACCGCCTCCACCCCCGCCCTCGCAACCTCCATATCCTGCGCCGGCGTCCCCGTACTAACCCCAATCGCCCCGACCACCGTCCCGTCAACCTCAATCGGCACGCCCCCGCCAATAATCGAGAACCTGCCCTGGTTCGAATTATGGATCCCGAACGCCGGTCCGCCAGGTAAGAAATTCTTGTTTTGATAAGTGGAGGTTGGAGCCCGGTGGCCGGCGGCCGTGAAGGCCTTGTCGATGGAGATTTGGATCGAGGTGAGTTTGGCGGTCGGCATGCGGGTGAAGTGGAGGAGGTGCGTGGTGCTGTCTACTAGGGCGATGTTGAAGTCTGCGGATACACAGAAGGGGTTAGGATGGGATGGTACTGTGGGTGTAATAAGGGTGGCTGTGGATGGGGACGCACCCATGCCCATTTCTTTGGCTTTGGCTTCTGCTGCTTCGGCGGCGACTTTGGCGGCTTCGAGAGAGAGCATGGGCACTTGACGGGTCGCCATTCTGATGTGTAGATGATTACACGAACCTGAGATGACAAGGTAAAGGCGAGAGGGGGATACTCTTTTATTAATTACCACAGCATCTCGCGTCTCGTCCCCGCGTTTCTCGCGAAGCTCACAGTGTCGCGGCAGTTGTGACATCAGATCGTCCTTCAAGCCGAGGTCGGAACTGCCTCATTCGGACTGAGCTCCATTGCTCCTTCCCGCAGTGTTGGAAGGAAGTGAATGTATCTCGGCCTCACAGCTAACCATAGCCACGAAGTTGATGATGAAATCATGGTAAAAGTCATACGTCAAACTCTATAGACATGCCGGGTATCATACACAGACGCCTGAACCCCCATAGAGTTACAGCAGTGCCGCCCTTCGTCCACGAGTCCGAGACGCCGACGTAGCAAGCAAGCCTGATGCATCCATTCGCATCCATGCGTACCCAAAGCCATCAACGAGGCCTATCCTGCTTCCATGCCGCGCACTCACGGTCATCCGGACCACCCAAAGACGCCGCAGTAGAATCCGACCTCGTAGCGCGCTTCGAAGACGATGCAGACGATCCGCCGGCCTTTGCTGACATACGAGAAGAAGAGCACACAGGTCTCGCGAGCCTTGGTCGCTTGCGCAAGACGTTCGGTGCTCGAGGCGGAATCGCGCAGCCGTAGAGTTTGCGCTTCGTTCCGCAATTGTGCTACAGTCGAGAAGTCCGAGACCTTTCCGCAGAAGAGGGTGTCAGCTTCGACTGCAGCTTGGTTTTGATAGTGGTAATCATGTTGTTGGGAGGTGGATGGTATTCACAGCTCTTCGTCTTCCTCCTCCATCTTCACCTCGGCGTTCTCCTGCTTGACAGGAGCAGCCGCGGTCGATGGTGGTGGTTGCTGTGCGTCCTGAGGTCCGGAAGTAAACGAAGTCGGAGGGTAGATTTCGTTGCTGTTCGAGCCGAGAGGACCCAGCATGCCGCTGTCGAGACCTGGTAGAGAGGCTCTGGCGCGCTTGAAAGGGCTGCCGATGATGGCTGAGTCGGGCGGTGCAGGCGAATTGCCTTCTGGTGGCGTGCCCGCGTTGGCTTGGGTGGAGTTGACGGACTGTGGAGTGCCAGATGGCGAGTCGTCGGTCTTGAGGTACGGTGACTTGCGCGTTACGGCAGACTCGGTGAGTGGCTCGGCGGAGTGCTGGCGCTTGAGCTGTAGTATTTGTTAGCCTCACAGTAGGAGGTCCGGATACAATGAGGTCAACGACCTACCTTGATCTTTTGGACTCCCTCTGCAATCTCGCCTTGCCGCCTCGCATCCTCTGGCGAAAGCATCTTATCGTTGTCTTGCTTTTCATCGCCGTCCTCCTTGCCGTTGGTCACACGCTCATCGTCCTCGTCATCAGCATCGCTGTCCATAGCGTCCGCATCGCCACTCTTCTTGTCCTTGCGCCTCCTCGAATCTGCATCACGGTAGCCGGAGAACCCAACGGTGCCTGTCGACTTCAGCGGGCCAAGCTTGGAGAAGTCTGGACCTGACGCTTTCCGCTTGCTGTTCATCGGAGTCTTCTCGGTCGCCGTAGACTCGAGGATGCCCATTTTACGCAGCTGCTTCTCGCCACGGTAGAAGAATGTGAAGACAGCAAAAGGCGATTCTGGGCCGTCTAGGCCGGTCACCGTCTGCGTGCTGATGCTCTTAGGATCCAGCTGCTTCGGCTTGGCAAAGCTCGTGGTGTGATCGATGTCCTCGTCTCCGCCATCTCCGTTAGCTGCACCGTTCGCATTCATGTCATCGTCGTCGTCGTGTGCGTCGAACTGGGGTGAGTACTCTCCACGCCTAATCTCACCGCTAGCGAGAACGCGAAACAGCGCGACCTTGATCTGGCCGGCTGCTTCTGGTTGTGGCGGTTCGTCCTCGGAATCCGAGTCTGACGAGAAGAGACCATCATCCTGTGCATCCTCGACTAACGACCCTCCATCACTGCCATACCGCAGCACACCGTTCCTTCTTGTGCGTGCCGAGACGTCCTTGGTGTCCTCTTCACTGTCACTGTTAGGTTCCTGCTTGATCTTCTTCTGACGCTTCTTCTCGAGGCGTCTCTGCCTCCTCTCTATCCGCTCAGCCTTGTCCTTTCCGCCTTCGAGATCAAGCCCATTCAGCCAACGCTCCAAGCCCACTTCCCTGAACAAGAACTCTCGCTCTGCCAGCCCGCCGCCCTCAGATTCCGGCACGCTGACCCATCTTGAATTGACCCACGTCTCTTCACCCTTCCGTAGTAGTGTCGCTACCTCCTCCTTCGCTCGACCGTCAAAGTAGATGTACGCTGCTATCGTCTCATTCGGATTGTTGGTCTTGGGAAGGTATGGATGAACCAGTGGACCTCTGCCGACGTCTTCGGGCACTGACCCGGGAAGACCTCCGACGAAGCGCGGTCTCGGGTATGGATCTTCGTTGGTCGGCTGAGGTGTTGAATACGGGATGGTGAGGCCTGGGGTGAGGAGGGTGATTGAGATTGCGAAGGTCGACTGCTCAGGCTTTCCCGACTTCGAAGAGGGTGGTACCTTTGCTGGTGGTACAGGGATGTAGGCTGAGATGCGTGATGCCCGAGTCTGCTTCTGGATTGCGTGTTCGCCGATAGGGCCGTCGGGGGTGTGAATGCTCACTGCGAGCCCTTTGAAGCACGGCATGGTTGCTGGTTCTGCTGGCTGTGGGTGTGGAGGTTAATGCTGCTGCCACTGGCCGCCTGCCGCCTGCCGGTCCGCCTTCACGTCCACTTCCACTGTCCTCCTTTCCGCACTACCCTGACGGACCGCACACGCTCGCTGACTGGTATTAGCCTTGTGAAAGTAGTGCTGGCACAAGACGTGCTCGGGTGAGGTTTGGCGGTCGGTTGTCTGCAGGCCGAACTGCGCTGATCGAGGCCGTGTCGGTGACGGCGAAGTGGGAGGATGGGTGATGGTCGCGCAGGATAGGCTGTGGTCTTGAACGAATGCTCTGACCCAAGCACAGGGTGGTGGGAGAAGTGGTGGTGTGTCGCAAACTTTCCGCGTGGTCGGAGGAGGAGAGCTTCCACAAGTCCTCCTGACTCGTCGTCGGCAACCTCAACCTCATGACGCAGGCGCTTAGTCACTAGCGCGATTACGATATGAGGAGGATGAACGAATGCTGCTACACTAACTCTTACAACGCAGGCGGTATGCTACATGATCCTTCAATAGCTACGGCGTATGCACTGTGAACTTGCATGAGACTTAGCATGCAGGAAGCGCTCCAAGCGCAGCATCGAAACACCAGCCACACGTTCGTACAGGACCTAGGAACAGGACTGGTAGGCACTAAGCAGGATATCCTTGATTCAAGACGGTCATACTCGCATAGCCTGTCCGCTCTGAGCTCATATCATCTCCCTCGATGCAACTGATTTATAGTGCTGGCTGAATCTGAAGACCTAAGACCAGCAGCAGCAACCTTGACACCCCCAGCTCAACCATCAGCCTTCCTCTCTTTGCCCGCTTCCGTATCCTTAAAAGCCACCGTGAGATCAAGAAGGCGAGCAACACGCTCAGTCAATTTGGCGCGGTCGAGGCGCAGGTGGTCCTCAAGAACGTACTGACTTTCAATGCGCCATTTCTACTTTCTGTCAGCGCGGGCACCGAAGCACAACATTCCGGGAGAATTGACCGTACCTCAGTTTCGATTAGTGCTATGGCACGTAGTGAGCGACTGATGTCCTGCAGAACTTGTAGCTGCTCCTGCGATAGGGTAGTGCTATCATCGCTTGAGCCGGAGCTCTTGGTTGGGTTTTTGATGGGACTGTTGCTCATCTTGCTGTGCAATTTTGCTGTGCTGATAATGTTGTGCTGATAATGTTGTAGTAAAGTTTTGGAAAGGAGAACGTCCAGTCAAAAGCAACGACTTAATATGGACAGAGATTGGCTGTGACTGTTTGCTGGCAGCGGAAGACCTACCGTACTCGTCAGCAGGGACAGGAAGTGCGACGTTCTCGTGCTACAGATCTGAATGTGCCTTTAGCATGGTTGAAACAGTGATATCAGGGGCATAGTCGACCAGTCGCCGGCCGCTCGAAAGCACTAGTCGACATCAGGTACCGGCAGCCCATTGTACAGCTTCATTCGCCGGCCGAGCTTCTCCATAGCCTTCATAGCTTCCTTCTCCCGCAGCTTCTTCGATTCCTCCTCCGTCACAAGCACAAAATCGTAGGTAATAAGCTTGCTGCCCTCCTTGACACCATACTGCGAAGCCTGCTCCGCCGACACCGTCCCCAGATCGATCAGCAAGGACTCCTTGACGCCAAAGACAGCGTCCGAAGTCTCGTAAGGGTCACCGCGGAGATATAGCGCGCTGTTTTTAAGTCAGCTCAGCGCCTTGTAGACTTCTCGACGAAACTCACGTTATGAGATGATCATAGCCCTTCTTATCAAACATAAAATGCATATGGCTCGGCCGATAACAATGCCTCTTCAGCAACTTCAACAATTTCCCCACCGGCCCATCGTGCGGAATCGGGTACGGCACCGGCACGATGGCCTTGAACCAGAACACTCCCTCTTTGTCGCTATGCATAACCGCGCGTTGATCCGGTCCTTCTCTCCCAGGATACTGCACATCGTAGAACCCCTTACTATCCGTTTCCCAGATATCGATCTTGACGTCTTCTAACGGTTCGCCGTCTGTATTCTTGATCGTGCAGAGGACGAGACAAGGCTCGCCGTCGGGGTCGTGGGAGATTTGGGAGCCGTTGGGTTCGATCTGGGCTTCGTGTGAGTGGAAGGGGCCGAGGACCGTGCCTTCGGTGCTTTGAGGGGGTTTGGGGTGGTCGATGCTGTCGACGAGGAGGGAGAGGCCGAGGATGTCTGAGAGGAGTATGAATTCCTACAGCCATTCGGTCAGCATTGCGTTGCGTGGGTATAGAACCCCAGGGTGTGCCTACTTGTCGAACATCTGTACATATCTGTCCTACGCTGGTGAGGAATTGAATGCCGGTCATCCATTCGTCTTGACTGAGTCTTGTTTCCCGCGCAAAGTCATGAAGGTGCTGGACGAGTCGCTCCAGGATGTATCTAAGCCGCGGATCGGGACATTGTCCGTTTATGAGCTTGGTGTTGTCGGTGATATTGTCTATGGTCAAGTCCTTGAGAGGAGGAACGTCCACCTGAGATGGATCCATTGTGGTTGAAGTAGCGTTAGTATGCCAGCCCGTTCGTGAGGCAGTACTGTTACGCTACAGTCTGTCGGTAGGAATAGACTGGAAAATCCACAAGAGAGGGAAGAGAACAGACTGAAGTAGTTACCTTGTTACTTGGATAAGTGAAGATGAGGTAAGAAAGTATTGCTTGCAGTTCGATCGACCCGGAATACATCCGCTGGAGACAGCCCCTCCAGACCCCACAATCCCATAGCCGGCAGTTTTGCATGGCTTTGACGGTGTCCGGTATCGAAGAGACCGCATTGCACCGGTTGTGAAGTAGGACTGTAGCATAATGTGTCTCGCAGCGTTGGACGAGTGTCAGTATTCGGAGCCGCAACGAACCTCCAACATCCGCCAAAGCACAAAGGCTTGCTCTTGTTAGCTCAGAAAGCCATCAAGACCCCTTCTGAACATCCAACTTCCGAGCAATAAAGTCAATAGCAGCCGTATAGCCAAACACCCCCAGCCCACAGATCACTGCCACAGCCTTGTCGCTGAAATAGCTATGGTTCCTCCAGGGTTCGCGAGCGTGGATGTTGCTGACGTGCACCTCGATGAATGGTATCTGCACACCCAACAGAGCATCTCGAATAGTAACAGACGTGTGCGTGAGACCTCCTGGGTTGAGAATCACGAAATCGCAGTGGCCTCGAGCTTCCTGGATCCTGTCGACAATTTGGCCTTCGTGATTGGATTGGAAAGTCGACAAAGAGATTCCAAGCTGATCTGTCTGCTTCTTGGCGGAAGTCTCGACGTCTGCGAGGGTATCGCTGCCCTGTGATATTGCTGTTAGACAGCCCTAGGTCTTGCATTCTCTCGTGGGAGCATACATATATGTGAGGCTCCCTGGTACCTAGGAGGTTTAGATTTGGCCCGTTGATGAGGAGAATGGACTTCGACATCTTGCCGGGCAACTAGCAACTGCTGCTGATCTTGTTTTGCAAGGTGAAAAGGAGTGTAAAGATGAATATTATACCTACCTGCTTTACTTACTGTTCGTCCCGGGTGAAGCATCAGCCGGTCGTGAGAACCATTTGGGCGATCTCCGTGTACCTTCGTACTGCTGATGCGCTGCTGCCAGCATGCGCACGCGCTGCCATTCCGACGATATTGTTACCGACATTGTCGAATAGGGAAGGTCGTCCAAGTGAATGTCAAGATGAAATGCAAGTGCATTGGAAGAAGACGCGTTCTCAAGGCAGCGCTTGGCAGGCGCGAGCCGCACTTTCCAACCCTTCGATGTCCCACCACTTCACCTCTCGTCTCTCTGCCCAAGACAAATTGCATCCAGGCTGAACACTACCACGCCAACAACCACTGGGACGCCACCATGCCTGGTGCCGGTCGAAAGACACCGGAGATCCAGCAGCAGATCAAAGAGTTGCTGGAAGCTGGCTTCGATCCGACGACTATTCACCGCAGGCTGAAGGTGGGAAGGAGCTCCATCTATCGCATGAAGAGGTGTTTGCAGCGCCATGGGACTGTGAGTTTGACCAACTTAAGGCTTTCGATGATGTGAATACTGTGCTAATGGCGTTGCGCAGACTTACAGTACGTTGTCGCGATTTATCATGCTCGAGAACCTCAGGTGAAACCGTTTCGGACGGTTGCTGACATTTGTGCAGTGCCAAAAGAGCTCAACAAGAAGAACGGACGACCAAAAGTGTTGACGGCCGAACAAGAACTCGTATGTGAAGCTTCTAAGCAACCCTCTGCAACTCCACAAACACCATACTAATACGGTATAACAGGAAGTCCGCGACTGGCTCCGCAAACCCGACAACCGCAACCGCTACCTCGACGACCTCGTCTGGCTCATCCACGACCGCTTCAACATCGTCTGCAGTACCACTACCATGTCGAAGATGAAGCGCAAATGGACCCGCGTCATCGAGTACGAGGAGACCGGACTCCCGCTCGACAAGATCACGCGCGACTCCCTGCTCGAGACCCATCCCGATCTTCCGATCCTGCAGGACCCAGCGGCGATGCCGGTCGAGGAGACCCAACCTCAGGACGAACAGCAGATGGCGGCACCTACCGCCGCACCAGCACTTGCACCGCCACAGCAATCTCAGATGATCCAACCTGTTCTGCAGGAGATGCCAGTGCAGACGGATCCAGCGCTTGTGGGGATGCAGATGCCGGTCGGTGGTCAGAGGGTGGGACATGACTATCAAAGGGACCCAATCTTTGATTGAGAGAACCCTCGAGCAGCGTGAACTTCGAAGGCGCACGGTTTGCTGTGCATCCCCGAGTTTCGCACGCTTCAGAAGCGGGCGATACTGCAGAGTGTAAGATGCAACGACGCATGAGTTATGAGTTATGATTACGACCTTTCTCTCAAGCATGGATGGTGCAGCGTCGGAGATATGATACATATGGATGTCCAGCGACAACCGAACGTATTGAGTCTTTACACCTCTACATCGTACAAGCTCCTTTCAGATTTCGTCCTCCTCTCGGCTCGGCGTCTGCATTCGATGGAGCAGCCACTGTTCCATCATAGGCAGCTCACTCTCGAAGCGCAGGCAGAGCGGAGAGCGTATGATATCCCCTGAAGTCCCAACTTCTTCCCATGTCGCCGAAAATGCTAGGATGTCCTGAACGCCACGCTATGCTGTATGAGGGAGTCGCAGGTATATACATCGATCGCTTTCGAAATGCGCAGCGCAATGTCAATAGGAGGTAGCGGCCGGTCGTCAACTCGGCGGTGGTGATTGTTGCTGCTGCTGCTGCGCTTGCCGCTTAGCCCGTTGCGCCTACACCACATCCAAGTCAGCACAACATACCACACAACCCCATCTCCATCTCCATTCCCATCTCCTCCACCCGTCATCGATCCCGATAAACCCTCGGTTTCCACCCCTGCCTCAACTCCTCCTCCCTCTCCCTTCTCGCCTCCGCCTGACGTACCTCAAGCTCAATCCTCTCCCTAGCCCTCAACACCTTACTCTGCAAGTAAAAGCTCCCCCCCTTCTTCGGATCATTCATATCAAACAGCCGCTTGAACTGCTCATGCACCCTCCCCAAGTCCGCTTCGCCTCCCTTCGGGGGTGAGACGTTCAGGATGCGGCAGGCTTCGTCGAGGGTCAAGCCGGAGGCGGAGAGGGTGTTGGCGGCGGTGGGGTTGTCGCGCATGGCGGAGGCATATTTCTGCGAGGCGGAGGCTTGTTTGTAGGCTTCGGCGAAGGCGCGGCCGAAGACGCGGGCGCCGGTGACGAAGACTTGGGTTATTATGCGGTGCGCCTGGGAGGGTGGTGTTAGCTAGAGTCGAATATGAATGGTCTATGGAGATTGAGAAGATGAAGCATACCATTCTACGCCCGCCGCGAAGGATTAGGGATGAAGGTAGGATAGATGAGCCTTGATCGAGACATTTGATGAACCGAACGATCGACTTTCTTGAGCCAGGATCATTAGGGCTCGCTGCGGGCCGAGTGACGCGATACCTTCTTCGGGACGATCACATGAAAAGAGGCTTCCTCGGCCCCGCTACCTTACGTCGTCGGCGCAGCACACGACCACAGCAAATAGTAAGTCTAACTTTCCTAAGAGCCATCATGACTTGTGAAACACCTCGAAACACTTGTCCACGTTTGCTGGCTTTCCGCCCTCAGTCATTCAAGCAAGGCAGCCGTGACTGGTGTTCGCATGCTGTCGATTGTTGATGGCAGCTTTTGGTACGTTCTATACCACAGACTCGACATGCAGCGCCTCCCAATGACCGAGCACGATGCCGCTCATAGCCAAAGCCAAATGCACAATCAAGAAGCTGACCAAGAAACGGCGTCGTTCAACAGACATCTTTGGCTCAGACAGATTCGTTCTCATGGGCGACAGCAACAGCACCGGCTACGATCGCCAACAGTACGACGGGCCCAGCGATGGCACGACCCCAGCACCGACCGTCGCCGCCTTCTCGCCGAATCAGCAGACAGCTTCGCGAACGAGGAACCAGAAGAGTGTGTTGATACACCAGAAGTCGCCGTTGTTGGTGTCTACCCCTCCACAAGTGACGAGGACATTGGCGTACAGCCACCCGTTCATAATACCGCTGAACCATTTCGTGGGCTTGGTGTCATGGACGACCGAAGACCCGTGGGAGAGCTTTCTGCTTCTGACGCTATTCTGGTTCGTGGTGCTGTACGGTGACAGCGTGGTGCGATGGGCGGGTCCGGTGGTTCTGGTGGCTGGATTGACCTTTGGGATGTACTCGAGGAGATACAGTCCGCTATCCTCGACAGTATGGAGCGCTTCAAAGCAGAAGCGGAAACGTGCCGAGGACGAACGGCGGAAGAGTTTGGATGAGATTCTGGATACGCTGCAGACCTTCACCGGCCGGTGCGATGTGCTGCTGGATCCTTTTCTACGGCTTACGGAATACCTCAGCACTCAGTCGAGTGCGACATCCGCGACTACACGGCCGGCTTTGACGACTCTGTTCATACGGATACTGGCGTTTACGCCTATTTGGATCGCCCTCACACTTCCTCCCTTTCGGATCATCACCACTCAGCGCGTTGTACTTGTCATGGGGACCACTATTCTCAGCTGGCACAGCCGACCGGCACGAGTTACTCGAACGATCCTCTGGCGAAGTCGGACAGTGCGCGGTACCGTGGCCCTCATCACGGGACTACAACTACCTTCATCAGCTACGCCACCGTCTCTCCCACCGCGACCGCAGGACGCCGCAGCAGTCGCCAAAGCCGGGAAAGCTAAGAGCCCCGGCATCACGTTCACTTTCTCTGTCTACGAGAATGAGAGGAGGTGGTGGGGTCTGGGCTGGACCAAGTCTCTGCTAGCGTACGAGCGACAAGGATACACCGATGATCAGCTGAACGAGTGTCCGGAGCCAGAGAAATACAGCTTGCCGGAGACGGACAACGAAACGACCAAGTGGCGATGGCTGCCCGACAGCGGTTGGAAAGTCGAAGGCGCGCTGACCGATAAGGAGAAATCTGCGAAGCGCGTTGGAGGCGGTGGAGGTGGCGACCGTAGTGGGTGGACGTACTACGACAACAAGTGGGCAGATGCACAGAAAGAGGATGGGTGGGGCCGGTATACAAGACGGCGAAAGTGGATTCGAGATGCTGAGCTGGTCGAGGTTGACCCTGCCGAGACGGTTACTGCAGACGCACCCAGCACGAAGGACTTTGCCGAAACCACATGTATTGACGCCACACCCACGACGCCTACGCGACAACGCAAAGGCTGGTTCGGCGCCGGTAACACGAGCGCAGGAGGGTTCAAGAAGCCGCCTCGGCAGAGCGAGAAGAACAAGTCCGTCGACAGCGTCTCAATCTCCGGTAGTGTCGAGAGTACGAGATCGCGAGGAAGTGCGGCGGAGGAGGATGTGGTCACGCCGCTTGATCGGTTCAAGCAGTATGATTGGGATCGGAGTATTAACGAGGGGTTGACGGAGCAGTTGAGTTGATGAGCAGAAACGACTTGATGTCTTTGTGGGAAGCGATGGCGCTGTGGAGTCTCGGGAAATTGAGTGGCATGTTGGTTGGGTATCTGCATTCTGACGTACTCTACAATGTCTTCCGTGCGGTGTCTACGCGCGGCTGACGCCTGATACTATACAATTTGACGAGCGTGCAAACAGCTCATCTCTCTCACAACAGCTCCCACCTCACGACCCCGTCTTCCGGTACGCCCCACCCCCACCTCCCTGCTGCCCTCCCCCAACTCCACCCTGCACCTCCTTAAACGGAAACTTCACCTCATCATCCTTCCGCATAAAGTGCCGCCTCCTCTTCCGCGTCGTTTGATGCTCCACCACAATCTCCCGCCCCATCTCTGCCATGAACCGCTTAATAAACCGCGGATCCCACAGTTCACTCGCCACCCCTAAATCCTTACAACACCGCATCAGCGCATTGCTCTTGCACCCTTCCGTCGCCATCGGCACCCCCTCAGGGTCGAAGTATACTTGCTCCCCCCTCGCTACGCTTACTAGACGGCCCATACACACCAGCCCGTACTCCCGCGTCACCTGTTTGCCCGTCACGATCGTCTCGCCCCTCGGCGCTAAGCCCCAGCCTCCAGGCCCGAAAGCCCGGTTGAGGATGCGACGGTATTTGATCTCAGGCAGATAAATTATCCCGTCTGGTTTGATCTCAATGTCGTCGAACGGTATGCTCTCCATGAGTATACTCGCTTGTTCTGGTGTGAAGGGAGTAGAAGACAGGCCGGAGAATGAGCGCGTCCAGTCTGTTTGCGTGGAATCGGGTTCGAGGATCGGGGATGGGTTGTCGAGAGAGCGAAGAGGGTCGGAGTCGGAGGTGGGGGTGAGGTTGTTGTGGACGGCGGCGGCGTTTGCGGTGGCTTCGGTGGGGCTGGGTTTGGGGGTGTGCGCGGGTTGGGGTGGGTTGGAGGTCGAGGTGGTGGGTTGGGCTTGTTGGGAGCGTTTGGGGAGGGTGGAGAGGGGGCGGATGGTAGGGACGTGGAAGCGTTGTTTTGGATTCGCACATCTGGATGGTTGTTGGTTGAGGGAGGCGACCAGTCTGGCGCCTATACGCCGTGGTGCTGCCATGGTGGATGTGCAGTGTTATGTAAGATCGCGTTCGAAGACGCAGACCTCGTGGTTGAAGTCGACTTCAGGAGGCCCGTGCGCCAGCTTGTACAGATCTACTTTGACGAGAGCTCTAACATATGAGCACCATACTAGGATCTCAATCAATCGCCGCTTTGATGTAGTCGAGTTCTACAGACTGTGAAAGAGGAGTTCGTTGCTATATTACAATTGCAAACTGCCATTCGTCCCACAAAAACAACAGACAGCTTCTGACCAAGCCATTGGGATCAAGCATCCTTCGAGTCGGTCCTGTCGTCGTTCCCTTGCCGCTTCCAACACTGCTTGAACGCTTCCATCTGGACATACCGGTCAGCAGGAGCTTTCCTCATGTCGATACGTCCTTCCGCTAAAGCGTAGGTAGGTTCGACCGCAAGCCTTGGCGACCGCTCGACGCACCTCGTCTTTGCACGCTCTCCAGTCCTTCTTCTCGCGGAAGCAATCATTCAGCGTTGTGTTCTCATCTGCCACTCTTCAGTCTTGATTCGATTCTGATCTGGACGATCTCGAGGAAGAAGCACCTGCACAACCCGTGCTGAAGATCCGCTTGTCCCTGCTAGACATCAGCTGGAGCTCAACGAACAACACCCGGGAAACCGCCAGACCATTCATCAGGCTCATCATCGTCTTCTTCTTGCTGTGCCGCCGACTGCTGCTCCGCTGAGTTCGACATCTCGAAAAGACCAAGAGATTGTGTGTTGAGTCAAGAAACATCAAGGAAAGTCGTCGCCACCAGAAGACACATCTGGCGCACGTGACGGGATCCCAAAACATGTCGTCGACCAAGAAGTTGAACATCCTCATCTACTCCGGCCCAGGCGCCACTCCGACCTCCATCCGACACATCACCTACACCCTCCGCCGCCTGGTCGGACCAAACTACGCCATTATCACCATCACCGCCGAGCAGCTTCTCAAGGAACCCTGGCCGCCGACCTGCGCCTTGCTCGTGCTTCCTGGCGGAGCTGACATGGCGTACTGCCGCTCGCTGAATGGTGCAGGTAATCGGAGGATCAAGCAGTACGTTCAGCTTGGTGGCAGTTTCCTCGGTCTCTGCGCGGGTGGATACTACGGTTGTTCGAAGTGTGAATTTGAGGTTGGGAAAAGGAGTATGGAGGTCGTCGGAGACAGGGAGCTAGCTTTCTTCCCTGGCACTTGTCGCGGCCTAGCCTTTGGAGGCTTCGTTTACAACAGTGAGGATGGTGCGAGGCCTGTCAAGCTCAAGTCGGCCGAAGGAGTGATGTTCAAGAGCTACTACAATGGTGGTGGTGTCTTTGTCGATGCCGGCAGCTTCAACGAGCGGGGCATTGAGACCATTGCAACGTACGAAGACGAGCTGGCGGTGGATGGCGGAGAGGGCGGCGCTGCTGTGGTGCTGTGCAAGGTTGGAGAGGGCAAGGCAGTCTTGACTGGACCGCACCCTGAGTATGGAGAACCTCCCTTCGTTCATTTCTTGTTCTGTGCTAAAGTCTGTACTCCAGATTCGCACCGATCAACCTCTACTCCGAAAACTACCGCAAACCTCACAACCGGACCATCATTGAGGACTTGAAAGCGGACGAAAATGCCCGGACAGGCTTCTTACGAGAGTGCCTGCGCAAGCTAGGGCTGGAAGTCAGCGAAGACTCTACTCCGGTACCGTCACTCTCTCGTTTGCATCTCTCCTCTTTCCAGCCGAACTACATCGCGGAGCTCGTTCATGGCTGGCACGAAGCCGGCATCGTCTCCGCAGAAGACGGCGAAGAGCTCATTAAAGGCGAGAACGATACCTTCAGACTTGAAGAAGTTGGGCGCTGGAACATGGCTTCGGTGGCGAAAGCTTTCGCAGACGCTGTTCCTCAGCCTGTGAAGGACGCTGTCAAAGACGCCCTTCCTGATGCCGTCACCGCTTCGTCGAGCTCTGCGAATGCTGGCAAAGAGAATCAAGCGCCAGGAGCTGATACATCCTCCGACAGAATCCTCGACTATAACTCCATCACGAAACAACTCGTTGCACACGAAAGAGAGATCCCCGATCCCAAGGAGACGCCATACTTCAACCACCACGCTTTCTTCTCGAACCTCAAATCGTACGCTGTAGACAACTGCCGCGTTTCAGACGGGTCATGGGGTCGCACACTCCTCTACGGCGAGGTTGTCACCAGTACCAACACCCTGCTCGAAAAGAACACTACTCTCCTCTCCCACATCCCGACCGGCCTCACAGCGACTGCCACAACCCAAGTCGCCGGTCGCGGCCGTGGAACCAACGTCTGGGTCTCGCCACCTGGTAGTCTCATGTTCAGCGTCGTACTCAGACACAGTCTTACCCTCTCCAACTCCGCACCAGTCGTCTTCGTGCAATACCTCGCAGCCCTCGCCATCGTCGCCGGCATCCGCGAATACGACAAAGGATACCAGAAGCTGCCGGTGAAGCTCAAATGGCCCAACGACATCTACGCGCTCGACCCAGCGAAAGATCCAAAGGAGAACTCGTACGTCAAAATAGGCGGCATACTAGTCAACTCCAGCTACGCCGGCGGCGACTACACCCTCGTCGTCGGCGTCGGCCTGAACACCAACAACACCGCCCCGTCCGTCTCGCTCTCCCAACTCGCAACCAACGCCGGCCTTCCCGCCTTCACGCTAGAAAAGCTCCTCGCGTCCATCCTCACGCACTTCGAAGAGCTGTACACGTCCTTCTGCCAGACCGGCTTCGATGCCAAGCTCGAGAACCTGTACTACGACTCCTGGCTGCACACGGACCAAGTCGTCACGCTGGAAGCGGAGGGTGGCGCGAAGGCGAAGATCAAGGGTATTACGAGGGATTGGGGCTTGCTGGTGGCGGAAGAGGTGGGTTGGGATGGGAGGGTGAAGGGTGGGAGGTGGGAGTTGCAGAGTGATAGTAATAGTTTTGATTTCTTTAAGGGGTTGTTGAGGAAGAAGGTTTAGGCGGTGGAGGGAAGATGGGTATGGGAGGAAGCATTACCGACGACGATACTAACACAGCATTGCGATCATAGGGGAAACAGAATTGAGTTGCAGAGAGCTAGCAACAGCTTCGACGTTTCGAAGTGTACGTCGAAAAGGAATGTCAAGCCACCGGAGGAGGAAGCGACGCAATGAAGGGAGGCATCACTATCAGCGACATCAACCCAGCATTGAGATCATTAGAATGGTTCCTGCACTTTGTTGAGAAAGCAGCAATCGACAAACAGATGCTTGTCGTGACTCGGCACTCTCAACACTCGAGTACAATGACAAAAGAGCAAACACAGCCAGATAGCAATGTATAACAATATCCATCGTAGGCTCTATCGCCAAATCCTTACACCACCAGACCTTTCACGATCTTCACGAGCACATACTCGTTCCCCTTCCATCGTCGTTCCCCTTCCATCGACCATTCCCAGCACCCACAATGTCCAGACACCCATCCAGCAACCCCAGCCCCCAGCGCTACAGCTACTCCACCCCCTCAACCAGCCCCATCCTACCCTTCCTCTCCCCCAGCGCCCGCCGCCGCTCCGTCATCACCGAGACCCAAGAAGCCAACATCGACGACCAGACCAACAAGCTCCTCGGCAAATGCGTCGACTGGCGCAAACACTACCACGTCTACAAGAGCCCGAAGAAGTTCGGCAAGTCCCGGCTCGAGAAGCTAGAAGAGGAGCGGGAGGGCTTGATTACGCAGGCGAACGGGTATGCTGCTATGCTCTCGAGGCGGAGGGGCCATGAGGTTGCGACGGAGTTGGTGAGGCAGATTAAGGCGAATTTGATCTTGCCGGGGTATGTGCTGAGTAAGGAGGCGGCATGCTTGGTAAGATTCTGGGAGACGGTGACGGGCGATATCAAAGAGCAAGTGCAGCAGCTGAAAGTGATCCGGTACGAACTTGCGCTGGTGATGATCATGGAGAAGTACATCAACGTCGACGACGTGAACATGCTGAATTGCCACCAGCCGATCTACCACCGAGGTGATATGCTCCGCTTCAGCACGCTTGCTTCAGAGCACAGGCGACGCGTGCAGGATCGTTTTGGGTATAGGATCGAATTTCTTGCTGAGCAGGACGCGAAGGAGTTTATCGATCGCCTGGACCAGAGATTCCGGGATGGAGGAAATATGAAAGCGCTGAACGCCTATGAGGAAAGTGGACTGCTGGTGGCTTTTCGCTTGCACATGCGGCGTGGGTTGACGGTGCAGGAGCAACTCGCCAACGACGGGCGAATCCAACCAGCGTCGATGCTGCTGATGACCAAGGCCGCCATCGTGTTGCATGCTGGTGCGACGCTTGGACTGCATGAGCCCGTGGAGACTGCCAGGGCGGTGATCGATGATTTTGTTCGGAAGCAGAACTTCCTCTCCCTAACCGAGATCATGCAGGCTGGGCAGCAGCAGCTTGAGCATGTGATGAGCGAGTATCCGGATCGGAGTATTTGGCCGGATCTGTGAGGTCCGGGTCAGAGTGTGCTTTCGAATGGGTCCGGTCTTGTTTCTGGGTGTCATCTTGGTGTTCTGTTGAGGGCGATGTGTATTTGGGAGGCGATGCTCCTGTCATCTTGGGTGTTTGGCGTCCGTAGGTCCACTGGCTTGAGAGTTCTGTAGGCATTCTGTAGTTCATGTACGAGTGTCCAGCTAAGTTACCTTCATCCAGTGATGCTTTGCCGGAACGAAGAAATGGGCTGTGGTCTTAAGTCTGGTGAGATCGCCGTCGTACGGTAACGGGCCGATTATTTCGACATTCGTTAGCTCGAAAGACCCGGTAGTGCATGGAGATGCGAACCCTGTTCCTGCGTGCTGCAGTGTCCTCGTGAATGAGGAGAATAGTACAGTGTGACAGGTCGACATATGTGACACAAGAGTCCGGTGATGTGCCAATCATGTCAATGGGCAAACCGCACCGCAGCCTTGGTTTAAAAGAAGCATGTTATTCCTGCTTCACTGTCAGTATTCCCACTTCAACATCACCACTTCTCTCAGCAGCCATCAGCCTCAATCACTCCATCATGACTTCTCGAAGGCCACCAAGCAGGTCCATTGAGCTGGATACCTTTGCTTTGACAGGAATGCTGCCAGTACGATCGGCTTCCATAAGCACTGGTACTGCCTTGATGACGAGGCCACCAGGACTCCCAGAGACGCTGTTCGTGAAAGAAGCCAATATGCTCGAGGTCGACTGGCGAGCGTACCTCAAGACTCCTAAGAAGAGGTTTATCTCACCGATAAAAACTCAGATCGCAACACAGCAGCCAGAGATCGTCCTTCCTCAACTGGAGTCCAGGAGAGAGAGAATCTTACAGTTCATGGAGAGCCCGGAGAATGTTGAGCACGACAGTGTCGATCTTGTCACCATCATGAGGCGTATCGATAAAGTCAATGGCAAGTTGGACAAAGACCCTGAGCTCCGTGAGTTCTACCGGCATTGGGAACGCATCGCGGGCTTGCCGGAAGGGGAGCGACCTTTTGCGCAGATTGAGGCTCGCAGCTGGCTGGTCGCCAACAAAGGCGATGAGATTGAGCGAGAGCTAGAGCAGCTGTTCGAGAATTGCCAGAGGTTGAGCTCGAGTTCCCTTTCGCCATCATCGGCAGAAGTTCAACCTCTGATTGTAGTATTCCATGAACTGGGGTGGCGGCTCAAGAAGTTCCAAGCAGAGTATGAGGGTCGAGTCCAAGTGACCAAAGACTTCCTTGGAGAGCCTGAGTTCCAATGTGATTCGATTGAACCTCTCAGCGAGATGGAGTTCACGATACGGCGGACCAGATCAGGCCTTGAAAGAGTGGAAATCCCTGAGGCCTCCGACGATGGCAAAAGCAAGCAATCTGCAGCACAGCACCAGCGGAAGCGATCTCGCGGACTTTCCTTGTCAGGGCTGCTAGGTGCACTGAGGAAACCCAAGGCCATAGAGTATACTGGCCCACCGGACCTTTATGCTGGAGTAGAGAAGCTCATCCAGAGTTGCTCTGATTGGCATGAGGAATGGGAGGGAAGTGCTCAAGAGTTCGAGCAAGACCAAAGTCGCCTGGTTGGAAGCACGTTGGACAGTGATCTTGAGTCCGACAGAAAGGAGCTCGTAGGACAGATTAAAGGGCTGCAGCAAGAGCTCGAACGCGAAGGCGAGTACGTTGCCGGTCAGCGGCTCCTGTACCGCGCCAGCGACTTTCTCCTCCAGACATGGAAGCAGGACAGGCGAAGGTCGTTCGGCACGACCTCTCGACGCTCTTCGGAGGGGCCAAAGAAGCCGTCAGCGGAAGATATTGTGATCCTAAAGTACATTCGCCGTGAGTACACTCAGGCATCGATAGTCAACTTGCTCTGCGACAAGGATCACATGTCTTTACCTGGAGCTGCAGCCGCAGCTAGAGTCTTCCGGAATAAGCTGCATGGCAAACCAGCGATGCAGTCTCACGACCAACGGGTCGCCGCCTATCCGCTGCAGCGGTTCAAGATCCAGGACATGGCAGGCTCAGATGCCGATGCCTTGGATACCCGTATGAAGGAATTGGTGTGCGCTCTTCATCGAGAGTATGACGAGTTAGGCAGGAACATCGATCGTAGCGACCGGATAAGACTCGTCGTAGATCGTCTCCAAATGGCACAGACGCTCGTTGTGAAGAAGATGGCTGAGGGCATCGGGTTAATGGAGGCATTCGATGAGCTCGCGGCGAAGCAAGAGGAGATCCGGGCCAATGCGCCGATACCTATCGAAGGCTTCGGAAAAGCATATGCCAAAGAAGTGCTGGGGGAAATGAAATTCGAGTATCCAGATGGCGATTTCACATTCTGAGCTGGGCCTCTCTGAATGCTTTGGTCGAGGCTGGCTCCCTGTACGGAGGTTGTGATGATTACTGCTTGTTTTATGTGTTTGTCTCTCAAGCCAGTAGGTAGTAAAGTGTATGGTTGTTATTCTTTAATATGACCGGCTAGCACAGGGAGGGTTACATGTGACAAGGTCAAGTAACCGCCATACAGAATGAGCAGATCCGGAGTCGATCGAGCCACACCGGCGTGGATGCGATGACAGAGAACGCACACGCGCGGCCACGCGCAAATATGAGGCGTTGCTGATAGTTTTCGCTTAACGAAAAGCAGGTGAAGTCAGAAAGGTAGGAGCTGAAGTGAATGTAAGAGCTTCGGGCTCTGCCCCGCCGCCCACCTTACTGGACCCTTGCAAACAAAACCTCAGCAGCATCCCACTCATACGCCAGAGAACCCCAAAGAACTCTGCCGCCTTTGCCTACAATCTTTCCTAAACGCCAAAGCTTCCCTTTCGCAACACCTACCACCATACAGGCGCATACCACGACGATAACAACGACCTCACAACCGCAGACATGTCTTGGCAAGGTCCGCTCAACCACCACCCCATCCCACCTCATATCACATGCTAACCGCGCCTCGCAAAACAGCCTACGTAGACCAGAGGTCCCCCTACCACCCTCCCTCCCACACCATGAACCCCTTCTAACCTTTCTCTCCAGCCTGGTCGGCACCGGCAACGTCGACAAGGCCGCCATCTTCAACAGCGACGGCAACAGCGTCTGGGCCACCTCCGCCGGCTTCACCGTCTCGCCGCAGGAGATGCAGGAGGTCGTCACAGCGTACAAGGACCCGGGCAAAGACGGTGTGAAGCAGGTGCAGAGTTCCGGCTTGCATATTGCCGGCGAGCGGTTCGTGGTGTTGAAGGCGGATGATCGGAGTATTTATGGGAAGAAGGTGGGTTATATCACTCGCTGGATGGGGTTGAGGATGGGTAAGGGAGAGGCATATGGCTGACGTTGTGATGGTGTAGGGTCGTGAGGGTGTGTGCATTGTGAAGACGACTCAGGCGATTCTCGTCACGCACTATCCGGAATCCGTACAACCTGGTGCGGCGGCAAATACGGTGGAGCAGCTGGGCGACTATCTGATCAAGGTCGGGTACTAGGCGTGAGATGATGGCAATGTGGAAATGTGAAAAAGGCGATCACGAATGTGCATAGCGATGTGCTGCGACGAGGCTTGAGATAAAATGGCTCTTTTCGGAACACGAATGACGTTCACGGCGTCCCGAAGGCAGCAAGTTTGCATAAAGATCACCTCTGCTCTGATGAAGCGCGGGCAATCTTGGTGGGTACATAGCGCAAAGCATTTGCGAGGCCGCAATGGCAGCGCTGCTTCAACCCAGGCGCAATCTGCCGTCACTGATCATCCATCGCCACGATGCCTTCTGTGACCGAGTTGTCATGATTCGATGGTCCGCAGATGCGGCGCGCCCATGTCTTCTCACTCCCACAACATTCAAGAAGTAGCTGCGCCGATTGGCTTATCCGCACTCGTCCGACAGCAGATGCACACATTTGTCCCAGCTAGCGATGCCATATCCACTTCCGTTTACAGCCAGCGCCATGCCTGCCGCCTTGCCAAAGCATGATGTTGTGCTTCAGGATCACGAGATAGCGCACGACTTACCGACAACCCTCATCGCCTCGCTCTCGCTCTGTCCCGGCTCCCACTGCGGTCCCGGCTGCTGTAACTCGAGTAGCTCGGACTCCGTCTCCTCCTCCCACCACCTCTCGGCGGCGTCGGCTCCCTGCGTCTAGGCGGCGGTGTCCGACTCGGGCTGCGACTGGAAAGACTCCTGCTCCTTCTGCGCCTCGGCGGACTCCTGCTCGGCGAATAGCTCCTCGGCCTGTACGAACGCCTGTCGTCGTACCGATCATCGAAGCGGTCCCTGTACCCTCCTCCTCTTCCACCACCTCTGTACGACCCTCCGTGTGGCGGCGGGGGCGGAGTCCTTCTCCCACCACTCCTGAATCCTGGCGAGCCTCTCCTCCCAAACGCCCTGTCCCCGCCTCTGCCTCCTCCACCTTCCCGGAATCTCCTTGGCTCCCCGAATCGATCCTCTACCACCCGCTTCGGCTTCGGGCTCACGCTCCACCGTCTCCTAGGCAGCACAATACTCACATTAATGCATGTGCCGTCCAGCTGCGCTTCGTGCATGTGCGCGATTGCCGCCTCAGCATGCGCTGGCGTCTCGAAGAGAATGTATGCGATCCCGCGGTTGGTCATGAACTGCGTGTTCATTGGCATTTCGATTGACGTGATGTCGCCGTACGTGCTGAAGATCTCGCGTAGGTGGGGCTGTTGGATGTTGCGTGTGAGTTTCTCGATGACGATTTTGGCGGAGGATGGCAGAGGCGGAGACCGTGAGCGGATGGAGGAGCGGGAGCGAGAGCGAGAGTGTGTGCGCCGGTTTCCGTTGCGCGCGGGCGAGAGGGAGCGCGAAGTTGAGCGCATTGCTGTGTCCGCATCGGCCGCCGGTGGTATCGCTGGTGTGCGCGAGCGTCCGCGCGATGTGCTGCGACGTGGCGGTGGTGAAGACATGTTCGCTGTTGCGGTCGCGACGTACCCGGTGGTTTGACAGCAAGGTCGACGGTGAGTAGCCCAAGTGAATGCGTGTTAGGTTCACGCGATTGCTGGTCGAAGAAATCCTGGAGAGAGCTCCCGCTGGCTTGATTAGGGCTGCCGCCGAAGCTCCGGCCAACGTCATGTCTTGTCAGCCACAGGCGCCAGGAACGCGCCAAACACTCCCGAGGGGGCGGTATATGTATAGCAGATACCCCCTTCCACCTTGAAACAACGCTACAATTCGGCATTACGATGCACTTCTCACGCGTGCTTTATTTGTTCATCTTCACCTACCTCGCCACCGCGAAACAGCCCTCGGCACCATCAGCAGTCGCTGGGCCTCTTCGTGAACTACCCTGGGGACAGCTCAACTTCCTACATACCACAGACACCCACGGCTGGCACGGGGGTCATCTGCAGGAGCCGCAGTACTCGGCCGATTGGGGCGACTACATCTCATTTGCATCTCACCTCAGGAAGCGGGCCGATGACGAAGGATCAGACCTGCTGCTGATCGATACTGGTGATCGAGTCGAAGGCAATGGTCTGTACGATGCCAGTGATCCGAAAGGCAACTACACGGCCGACATCTTCACGCAACAGGACCTTGATGTGATTACCGTCGGCAACCATGAGCTCTACAAGAACACAACGAGCGCACGAGAGTATGCGGACATTGTACCTGCCTACAAGAACAGCTACATTGCTTCTAACCTAAATATCACATCCAAGCATGGCGATTCTGTCCCCTTTGGCCCACGCTACCGCAAGTTCACTACCAAGAACCAGGGCATTCGCGTTCTGGCCATGGGATTCATCTACAACTTCCGTGGCAATGCCAACAATACTCAGATTCAGAAAGTGCAAGACACTGTCAAGGAGCCTTGGTTCCAAGATGCCGTCCGGAGTAAGGACGTTGATCTCTTCCTCATCACCGGCCACGTTGCATTGCGCAACACGAGCGAAGCCGAGTTCGACAAGATATACGATGCCATCCGCCGTGACAACTGGGATACGCCTATCGCCTTCTTCGGCGGCCACACGCATATCCGAGATTTCAAGCGCTTCGGAAGAGGGACCGAGAAGAAGGCGTACGGTATTGAGAGTGGAAGGTACCTGGAATCGTACGGCTTCATGTCCATTTCTGGCTTGAGCACCAAGTCAAACGGCCTATCTACATCCGTTGCGACTCCGAAGTTCGAGCGACTTTACATCGACAACAATCTCTACTCTCTGCACCGCCACTCAGGTACGAACTCTTCAACCTTCGACACCGAGCTTGGACGGAACACCTCCGCCTCCATCGCAGCCGCCCGGAAGTCCCTTGACCTCGACAAAGCGTTCGGCTGCGCTCCGCGAGACTACTGGCTTTACCGCACCCCTTACCCTTCAAAAGACTCTATCCTAAGTCTGCTCGATGAGCATATAATCCCGGACACCTTCACCGATGCCAACTCTTCGGACAATCCGGCTATTGTTTTGGCAAACTCGGGAGCGGTGAGATTCGATGTCTTCAAAGGCCCATTCACGACGGATACAACATACATCGTCTGCCCATTCACGAGCACATTCAGGATGATCAGGAACGTTCCGTTGGATGCTGCAAGTCAGGTGATGAAGAAGTTGAACAGCGGTCCTCCGGTATTTCTCAGCGAGCAGGAAGGCGAAGGTGCGGCCGAGGCGATGTACAGAAACTGGCTTGGTATGAGGCCGCCTGCTCCGGTGCGTGAGGGTGTACTCTTTCAGGTACCCCCTGGCGACAGACTTCAGGGACTGGACGCTCGTATTGGGGAGCAGCGCCCACTCATCAGCGACCATGACAAGCCCGAGATTACGCCAGGCTACACCACTACCGACGACTTTGGCAGCGATGGGGACGATACAGTCCACGAGCCCATTCCGTTGTACAATCCACCAAACATCGTTGGCGCCGAGATTGGCTTCTCATCGGGCGACAACGAGGGCAAGCTCCCCAAGACGGTCGATTTGGTGTTCAACGAGTACATTCAGGGCTTCACGCTGGCAGTGCTGAGGCAGCTTGGTGTCAGCTACGGGCCAGAGAACACCAGGCAGGCGTTAAATGGGATGACGATGACGGATGTTATTAGTGGGTGGGTGAGCAAGAATTGGGAGTGTGAGGAGAATGAATGAGAGCATGTTATGAACCGCGCATATCTGTCGCCTACCTAAGATACAGCGACCGGCGCAACCGAACAGGATACATCCCAGGCCCATTATGCATTGGCCTTGTCAGGGGCCACTCTGGTTACGACTTGGCTTAGTCCAGATCAGGTCTACCACCTCCCGGGTACTTATTAGATCTCCGCCAATCGAATGATAACACCATCTATCTCCAAGCCATCTCAAGTCGTGCCAGACAGACCAGACGGCTTCCGTTCCGCGAGTTGCCGCAGGATCCAGAAACGTGAGATCGAATTCGCCCAGCTCGTCGTTGGCATCGCGCTGAGCTCTTCTGGTATCGAACGTCGCCCGTCCATTCTGGACCGATGCCATCAATTCTGCGCTGCGATCTGCAAGCTGCGGTAGGCCGATGTTCAAGCACAAATAGTTCAGCACCCAGGCTTTCATATGGGCGTATCGGGCTCCACGAACTCCAGGGCTGAGGTGTCTTTAGCGGTGTCATTGGCAAGGAAGAGGTCTGTGTCTCACCGAATGGCTGTCTTGTTTGCATTGACGTGGTTGAAATCCCCCTCGAGACCCGAGATCTGCTTTCTGAACGTGGCGAAGGTCGTCAGCGCAGCAGACTCGATCCTTACGCCGTCCACGGACAGCGAATCGCGGTGACCTCGCACATTGGGCGATTGCTCGATGCGGTCCATGAGGTGTTCTGCTTGCTGCACCCCTTCTGGGATATTCAGCTCATGAGGATGACACAGGTCGCTAATCAAAAGACAGAGCGCGAGAATGAGCTGGGCTTCCATGAGCCGCCGGCGGTTTCTCTCGGGTTCACTGTACAAAATATCAGCCAGATCCCTCCCGAAAGAACACATGTCAACAATCTGTCCGACAGCAGGTTCATACTCACTCCGGCGGATGCCGCCAGATCGCAAGCATACCCTCACGCTCCGCCGACTTCAACGCCAGACAATCACGCACTACACTCGCCATCAGCACAGCATATCGCAAACCACATCTTCTCGAGAGCTCCGTGGCCAGCGCATCGGCCTGAACCAGCAGCTGCCGACGGCCTCCAAGGCTTCTACCCTCGGTGAAACGGCGCACGGGAGTGCGTGAGACGATCGCCCCCGTAATCACCATGTGACGACGCCGCCATGCGGCGCACCGCTTGATGAGTTGGTCTCGCTCGTTTGTGTAGTCGGGCCAGTTGAGTATTGGGGGAAGAGTTCTGGGGCTGGACCAGTTGGTGTTGTTTGACATGTTGATAGGTGAGTTGATTTCGAATGACCTGGTTTGATGGCACGTTAATACAGAGTAGGAGTACGATTTGAAGCTAATGTCTACGGCAGCCGCCGCCACATAGGTCCGATGAACAGTCATTACTTGCTCTTTGTTTGCTAATGTCTTCCTAGTGAGTACAGCTTTGTGCCGTCATTCGAGGCATGTCATTTGACCATGCCTCCAGGCCCATGCGCACTTCTTGCTTGCCAAAGACAAGTTGACTGACACGTGAATGATGCGGACCGTCTCTCCCGGGCTCACTGGACTCGGGGCGAAGCGTCTGGTGCTTCCTGATATGAGCGGTTTGAGATCGAGAAGAAAACTGGGAGGTGCTATCTAAGTACGACAACACTAGGCTTTGTAAATCCAACATCCAGTGAGCTACACCGCACCCCGCTTGAAACACTACTTCTGCTTGGATGAGGACTTCCAGAGTTGCAGTCTGATATCAGCAACCTCTTTCGGCTTCATGGTATCCTTCGCAACCGAGCAAAGGCCCCATTTGTGGCCCAATCGGACAGCGTCACCCAATTCGAACTGCACGTTGCCCGCTGCTTCCAAGGACACGTCGGATCGCGGAAATGTCCTGTTGAAGCTTGCGACGGCGTTGTAGGCGGCAAGGTCGGCGATCTGAACATTGAATGGCGCTTTCTCAACTTTGATTGCGTCTACGATACGCTCGCAACAGTCGTAGAGCGGTGGCAACCTGAGATAGCCACCCAGTCGCATACCAATGCGCGCTTTGATATACATTGAGCGGGAGCCTCGCACCCCGGGACTACGCTCGTGTTAGCAAGAGCCACAGCAAGCAGTGGTTAATTGCGACAAGATCTCGCGCAAACGACCTTGCTGGCCGACCTTTCTGATGCCCATTCAGCATCCGATTTGCTCACTTCGTCACGGTACTGGGCGAAGGAAGTCGATGCGAGATACTCCAGCTTATGCTCTTCCGGCGGGAAACGGGTGCCAACAGAGCGGTTGTACGTCTGCACATCCGGAGAGTACTTGATCCGCTCTCCGAGGAAGTCTGCTAAAGTTACGCTAATAGCAATGTTCAACTCACGGGTCTGGCAAAGATCGCTGACGACCAAGCATAGTGCTAGCACAAACCGAGCTTCACAGATCTGGACAATTCTCACCCCGTCGAACCTGGACTCGTGGTCAGCTGCCATTCCTTGACCCGCTCGCATTGCTCTTCCCATTGGGCGGTGGATACGCACCCTACCGGAGTGTCCCAAAAAGCGAGGAAAGATTTCTGCTCGGCTTTCGTCAGCGCCAAACAGCCGCGCACAGCTTCCACCACACGTGTAGCGTCTTTCTCGCTGCATTCTTTCGAGAGCTTCAACGCAAGTTCATCGGCCTCAACGAGCAGGCGCTTACGCTCTGTCTCCGTTTCGGCCACCCTATCTTGATGTCCGGGGGTATACTTGTACAGAGGATTCAGGTGCTTCTCGTGCCTTTTGCGCCACTTCTCACATATCTGGAGGAACCGGTCTCTCTCGAGAGTATAATGTTGGTCGCGATCAGCCATCTCGGCGACCGCAGGCGGAGGAGTCCATTCTGTGGTGTCCGACATGGTTTCCAGTGATCAGTGGATCCGGGCGTGGCTATATGTTGAGCTGATGTGAGGACTATGAGGAGAACAAAGGAACTCGAGCGGTGTTCACATATCGACATTGGGCCTCCATTCATTGCTTGCTGTTTGCTTTACGGGTCGTCATGGTGAGTGCTCTTCCGTGTTCCAAGTCAGCTAGTGACTGGGAACACCTCTCCAGACACTGCTTGTTTGGAACGGTCACTTGACTAACGTCAAAACTGACACAGAACCTCTTGCGAACAGAGACTTGATGTTGGGCAACGAGTGCTTTGAGATGTGTCGTCCATACTTAACTGGAACAACGCATGATGGCACTGGCTTAAATCGGCTACCTACTGGACAACTCAATTATCTATTTCAACCTAAGCAAAGACGACAACTTCCTACACGAGGTGTAATCACAACCATCACACAAAGTCAGCCATTACCGATGGCTCTGCCAGCTCATTCACCGATCTGAAGCCCCACCGTCTAGCCATGACCGGGACCTCCTCCATCGAGATCGCAATCATGTCAGGGTCCGTGATGTTAGGATCAAGGTCGATGTCTGGGAAGTCAAGTCGGAAACGGCCCAGAGCGGTCACGGCGTCCGACAAGGCCATCTTCGGGTCCGGAATCAGCCATTCATCACGCTTGTCTCCCAGCTTCTTGGTCGCGCTCCTGTTTACGCTGCCGAGCAAGAGACGTCGGCTGAGGCTTTCAAGGACGTGGATCTTGATGTGATTCTTGCGCGAGTTTGCGGTGGACCAGCTATGCGGCCATTAGCCTCATCGTTTCCGACGACTTCGAGGGATACTCACTCGATCCCGCCGTTCCACCATGAACCGGAAGAATACTCCGTGACAAGCATATCCTCGAAACTAGTGGCATCATGTTCGGCACGCCGATACACCGTGTGCTTCATCCACTCAGAATCTTCGCCGAACTCATGTTGGATCCGGTTCCAGTGCTTGTGCACGAGCGGGCACCAACAGAGTCGGTTGATCAGCCTGATGGCGTGCTTTCTTCCAACGTGTATGTCCAGCTGGTTCTTTGCACATAGATTACGCACAACCATGGCCATTGACATCAATACACGAATTTCCATAAGCTGGCGTAATTGTTGCGGCTGGGATCTGTAAGCTGCTTGTCAGTAAGGATCCCATCATTGAACTCTCACAGGATACTTACCCCTGCGGCTTTCTCCACAACGTCAGGTAATACCGAGCGTCGTCTGAGTCTTTGGCCAAGTATTGCCTGACCTGGTCCGCCATCTCCACAGCAAACGGATAACCGCAATGTTGCGAGATAGTAGCCGCCAGAATGTCTGCTTCCATCAACAGCGGATCAAGCTCCCTGTCAAGGTTCTCGAGCCTCTTGTTGCGGCCAGGGGTGTTCCAATGCTGCTCCCGGCGGTAGCTCCTGCGCCAGTTGAAGCACTTGTCGATCATAGCATCTCGTTCTATGGTCATCTGGGCAGCACGATGGCTGTGGGTGACGGGGTCGAGGGGTAAGAGGTTTAGTCTCTGGATTGGGGGCATGGTGGATGGAGTGACGGTGGGTGCATGAGTGGTTGGTGTATGGAGAAAGATTGGTATTTGGATCGGTAGTATTGGAGCTGCGTTCTTATACTACTGGCGCAGTGTTGTGGGAGTACACGTTTGCTCGTCATCAATACATTCAATACTGGCCGGAGGGTCATTCACCAGTCGGTGTTTGCGTTCTTGTGCAACTTCTACTCGACCATATTCACTATTGCGGCAGTGACAACGTCGGTCGTTCTCGTTCTGCAAAGGCTGCAATTCCACGGATGTCCGGCTTTGTCACACTACGTCGAACATCAAGAATAGTGAGTATGTGAAAGCATACTGGTGTTAAAGGGATACCTATGAAGCATTCTGTCCTCTGGCACATGTCACAATCAAATCAACAACTATCTACTGACCATCCACGACCAGATACCCATCCTCCCAATATTAGGACACATAGCCCTCCCGCTCCAGACACACCTTCGCCAACCTATTGTGATCTGCCTTGACGTTAATCGACGGCAATCCCCATCTTCGGCTCATCGCATACATATCTTCGATTGAGAATGCATGGCCGTTCGGTTGCATAGAATTACGGGTCCGTGAGTCTTTGTGCCCCTGGACTCCAGGGTTGAAGGAAGCAAACAGCCTGTCAGCTTCCACGTCCGCGGACCTTACTTCCTCAGGGCTCATCTTTGTGCGCATCTTTCCCAGCATCCTCTCGGTGGTCATAACCAGTGGGCGGAGCAAGAAGATGTCTGCGAACTCGCGGACGATGATGCATCGGATATACTTTGTACGCTGTTCAGACCAGTTGCTTGATTTGGTTGTTTTGATGAACAGATCGTAGAAGGCAGAGGCGTCGTGATTTGCAACGCACTCGATCATGTAGCTATAGTCGATGGTCGGCTTGACAGCCTCCTCCGGCAGATCAGACTGCTGCTCTGGTGTAGGCATCGGTTGATCGGACGCAGCCACGTCCTCACCGCTGTGTTCCTCGTTGTCTTGTTTGTCGCCGGGCCCAGCATCCTTTGCGTTGAGACTTTTTGCCGGGTCTTCTGGCTTTGGTGACTGTGCATGTGGGATGCTATGATACCGCTGGAGGGTGAGAGGACAACACCGGAATCTCTCTCAGCAATACGCGGCGTACTTTCTTCCCATCGCGATGTCAAGGTATTCGTAGATGGAGAAGATCTCAACGACAGCAGCCATCGACATCAGGACTCGAATACCCATGTACTGGTATACTTGCTCTTCTTTCGATCTGAGAGCCTTGTCAGCGCCATGTTACAGTCTAAACATGCAAACTCACCCTTCGATAGCCTTCCACATGGTGAGATAGCTGTCGCCTTCGCCAGGAGTCGTCTCCAAGTACTGTCTGACTTGACAGCCATGTCGAAGGCGGACTGACAGCCATTGGCTCGCGAGAGCTCGCACGCCATCTCGTCGGCGCGGACGAGGAGCACATCACGTTGCTCGGAATGGTCTATCCGCTTTTGTTTGATGTCATTATCCACTGGGGATATCTGCTGTAGCAGGCGGTAGGCTTTACGCCAGTTCGAGCATTCCAATATCATTTTGTCGCGCTCTCTTGTGTGTGACTCTTGGTATGGACCGTTGGTGAGTGGGCTCAGCGGTGGAAGAGTCAGCTCTTCGATGGTTAGATTCCCAATGCTAGCCATGGTGGAAGGTATTGCGGTAATGTACGGGCTCAGCAGGATGAGAGAGATACAACAAGGGGGACAGGAATCTCGCAATCGTGATATCGAACTTATACTGACCTACTTGCCCATATTCACCATTGCTGTGCGCACCCACACCACCATCGCAGGACCATCTGTGAATGAGTCTTCGCTTTCATGGTAACACATCAGTCCTTTCGGGAACCATTCTGAGGGTCAGCAAACTGAGAACAGGATACACCCTGCACTGTCAAGGTCAGGCCGTTACCGTCAGGGAGCACTAAGCGATCATCTTTGCTGCTTCGCTTCTAAAGACGTACTCCGGTCGGTCCACTGGTGAATGAAAAAGAAGGCGTACAGAAAATCACGTGTTGGGCAAGCGTGCTGAAATGAACGCCCAATCGGCTCTATCCGTGATCTCGGTTTCACGCCTCGCTCCGCCAGCTAACAACATCAACTACGCCGTCTACAGTGCAGCATTGCGTTCAATACAGTATATAAGATCTCTTCAGACCCGAATGACCCGTCCTCGAGCGACATGAGACAGTCTACCACTTGATCAATGGTGGATTGGCGGATTAACTTTCAGCAATCCTTGGAACCACCCATGGAACTATGGGCAAAAATCCATTCAAACGCACAGCGTGTTGGCAATAGCAGACGCTCTGGCACTGCGTTGTAGCTGTTTGAAAGCTTCTGAGAACCCTCCGGACTTGGTGTTCTTCGACTCGAAGCGCTCTTACCTTAGGCACCGCGATGGCTATGGTCTGGGTAGATACAAATGTGCAAAAAGAAGACTTTCTCGAGCCAGTTGGAACATTGCCTCCATACGGAGTTGAACCGTAGACCTCGGCATGCCAGGAATCATGTCAAATATCGTTTGATATTGTGACAGATATACTAGTGCCGCGCTCTACCAACTGAGCTATAGAGGCGTGAAACGCCTGCCTGTGGGCTTGAGATGACGGCGAAATTCTCAAAATCTTACATATTCCTTTTAATGATTTGCCGAGAATACAACGAACATCGACCGACATCCGGTACATCAAGACTGGGGTGGGGACATGCTGTTAAAATTGATCGACTAGATCAATCAATGTAATGAATAGCTATCGCCACTGAACGTCTGTAGAGGGCAGATATACTTGTGGTCGAGTTTGAGCCTGTTCATGGCGAAGCAACGCCTTAACGCAATGCAACACAAAGTGAAAGGAATCTCGTCGTTCACAGTAGGTTCTGTTGCTCGTCTCTATGATGGCAACGACTATTCAGCCTCCTCCACCTCCGACAGGTTGTCCTCCTTGGGCACCGCGCCCTTGCTCTTCAAATTGGATTTTGCCGGCCCTCCCTTGTCCGCAGTGACCTCGTCATCGTCGTCGCCCTCGACATCCTCGTCTTGGACTTCGTCGTCCGACTCATCATCTTCGTCGACTTCGACTTCCCCTTCTACTTCCTCCTCATCGTCATCATCGTCGGCTGCTTGCTTCTTGGGCGCTTCGGTTCTTTTGGTCTTCTTCTTGGGCGCTGGACAGTCGTTAATGATCGATCAGATCAACAGTGGATGGTGCGCGACTTACGCTGTGCAGTCTCCTCGTCCTCATCCTCTTCATCGTCTGATCCCTCGCCTTCTACATCGCTCTCTTCGTATTCCTCTTCCCTGGAGACAAGGTCAGCTTATGCTGTCGAGCGCCTAATACAGAGCGATCCCAATTGTTCAAGCGTCGAACGCGACAGTCGCATAACATCCAACCAGTCACTCGTGCTGTCGCTACCAATAAACCAAGCAGGCGCATCAATGCGCAAGCAAAACAGCAATTGCGACACAGTCGGACGACTTACTCTTCCGAATCGTCCTCCGGCAACTCAACCAGCTCCTCCTCCTCCTGCTTTCGCTTTCTTGTAGACATTACGATTGACTAGACTGATTGACAGAGAATAAGAGGGTTTCTTCTAGCTAGCTGCAGGACAACTCGAAAATGAAGAAGATCCAGGAACGCGGAGCTGGGGAAGCTCGAGGGTGGCAGATCGAGCTCGCAATCGCAAGGCTGGGAGGCTGGGAGCTGGGACGGGAGCTTTGGCCCAGTTTCTGTTCGTCATTGCTGCCATTGACTTCATCGTGTCGCACAGAGTACCGCTCACGTGATTGTTAGGGAGGTTGGCATTTCCTGGTTCTCGTCTTCTCGTCAGTTCTCGTGAGGCTGGGGCTCGCTGGGGCCAGTGCGTTGTGCTTGGTGTGGCTGTCGAGATGTGCACAACTTGCACAACTTCCCAATACAGCTCGACCTGGCGCTGTTCGACGAAGACACCTCTGTACATCTTTGTTCTGGCGGAGCGACGTACCTTCATGATAGGCATCTTCAGCACTGGTCAGTAATAATAATAGGTGTTGGTTGGGAGGTAGGCGCGGCCAAAGTGATATAGATTTCTGTCCTCGTCATTGATCCAGCGCAACTTCCATCTCTCATCGAGAACAACAGTCCTTTAGGGAACATCAGTCGTCATGCACATCCTGGTCTTCGGAGGCACAGGTTCGTCCCTATGGTAGCATGGAAAGGCCCCTGCTCACGAGTTGCAGGCGCCTGTGGCAAGGCATTCATTCTAGAAGCACTCCATGCTGGCCACGAGCTGACACTCTATGCTCGCAACCCTTCCAAGTTCTCGAGCGAGACTACGGAGAATTCGGGTGTGCATGTCGTGAAAGGAGAATTCACCGACATCGATGCGCTGAGGAAGGCACTTGACTTTGGTCCAGAAGTGCTCGTCTCCTTTGCTGGACCAATGGTGCCAAGCAAGGGGATGGTGAGAAGAGTCGTGATATGAACGGCTGCAGAGACTGACACCTTCCAGGTCATTACTGAGTTCTACGAGCGGCTCTACTCCCTCCTTCCCGCCAGCTCGATCCGCCGCTGCTTCGTGCTCTCAACAGCATCCTATAAGGTGCCGGAAGATCGACAGAATGTGCTGTAAGTGCCTAGGCATGCGGAACGCACACATTCATTGACCGATCTGACTGAGATGTAGCTTGTTCTTCGGCGTCTGGCTGATATATCTCTTCGCTGGGACCGCCTACCAGGAGATCAATGGTCTGAGTCGAGCCACTGCCTCCCTACCCTCAGACATTGAATACACACTATTCAGGTCGGCTTCCACCCCATAGCCCTCTTTGACCGAGCAGGGCTAACCGATACCACCAGAGTACCCGTACTGACTAACGGTGAAGCCAAACCTGTCCGTGCGAGCTTCCTGGGTGAAAAGACGGATGGGCTGTTCGTGAGTCGCAAAAGCATTGCGATCTGGCTCTTGCATGAGATGGAGGAGAGGAAATGGATTGGAAAGGCTCCGAGTCTGTCGAACTCTGGGTGGCTGTGACTGTGAATACCAAACGGTAGCATGTCATTCGAAGCAAATAGAGTTCATACAGCTTGTTGGATAGACTTAAGAATACACATCCTTGATGTTGCTCCTCATGAGACGCTGGCCATCTCATTGCCCATGACATACCACAGGTATGCTCAGAACCTGATTTTTGTTGGGCGGTCTTTGTGCCCAGAACCTGAACCTGAGGCGTCGGTTGAAAACGCCACTTTCAGTTGAAAAGCGCCACCGATGACGCCACATACCACAATGTTTACTTTTCCCACATTATACTTTTCGTCTGCCGTTCTTCACAAACCCAATTGGCACCTCCTGCAGGTTCTGATCAACATGGCGGCCAATGGTGGCACGATGAAGGACTTCCTTCCTATACCGGACACTCTGTCGCCCGTGACAGAACCAGACAAGGAGGAGGTCTTTCAAACAATGGCCGACTCCCCGACTATGAGCCACACGTTGGCCGCTTCTGACCACGACGAGAAGGGCATCGCACAAGAGGCTCACGATCTGGAGGTCAAGGACGTTGGCTGGCATGAGCCTGAAAAGAATATCCCGACTCCGCTCGTCGGTGGGCTGGCAAACGACGATTTATGGATTCTGGTGCGAAGGTTTAACAAGGTATTCTTCGTCGACATGAATTCGAGAACGGAGCTAACATTTATAAGCAAATGTACCATGTGAAGGAGATGACTGCGCCGGCGCCTGGAAACCTGGATCTCAACGTTGCCGACGAAGACGAGTTTTCGCCCGACAAGTTTCGTGCTACGGTCGAAAGACTGTACATGACCGTGATTATTGGCGTGCTCGGAGCCGTTAAGCATATTGCACGTCTACGCTCATGGAAAGAAGCAAGACGGACGACAGCCTTCGCGGCAGCGTACTTCATTGCGTGGTTGTTCGACTTCTTGGTACCCCTGTTCAGCCTGACATTCATCGCCTTGATCGTCTATCCGCCAAGTCGGGACATGCTCTTCCCACCGGCACCTCTTGCTCTCGTCTCGTCAAGCGAAGGCGGTGTCCAGAAGCCCAAAGCCGGCGTCCTTGGCTCGACCGACTCAGCGACCGGCGCCCCCGAGAACTTCAAGGGTGAAGCGGTGGAAGCAGAAGCGAGCAACTTCGTCAACAGCATCACTTCAGTTGCGCTTGCTTCAGCCACCGGTAAGAACCCTCAGCATGAACCTCCGCACACGGCTGAAAACGAAGGGCCGAGTGCACAGATTCCGGATCCAACGGCCATGGTTGCGGAAGCTGGTGATGCGAGGGTGAGCGCGAATGGTGGTACCTCCAACGCAAAATCAGACAAGACCAAGGAACCTATGGAGAATGCCATGTGGAACAAGATGCGACCTGTCATGCATGGCGTCGCGGATGTGGCAGATACTTGGGAGCGAATGGCGAACGCTTTGTCGCCAACGCCTCCGTTCCCCCACGACATGTACCGGCTCCGCATTGCAGCTGTCATCGTTCCGATGTTAGCCGTCTCGATCTTCGTAACCAGCTACATGTTCATGAAGGGTCTGACATTTGGCGCTGGCTTCGGGTTCTTCGGAGATCCGGTCATCCAGCGTGGTCTGAAATGGCTGAACACTAACTATCCGAACTGGCAAAAGCTGCTCGAGCTGAGGAATACGCTACTCAAAGGCGTACCCACAAATGCTCAGCTAACCCTCACCCTACTGCGTATTGGCGAATCGAATAAGGCTCCTTTGCCACCTCCTCCAACTGCCAACGAGCCACCCCCAGATGAGCCAGTCGATCTGACCGATGACCACATTCGGGCGACCGGCTCGGATTGGCCGCTCAATGCGACAAATGAAGAATTAGAGAAGGCTATGGAGCATGACCCCAACACTCCGTACGAGACAGCAGGGGACGATGTCGCATCTGCAAAGAAGAAGACCCATGGCGGTAAAGCGCATCATATGCTGTCGGCTGTCAAGAAAAGCATCAAAGGTAGTATCGAGACGACTCTTGGCGCCGACCATCTGAAGGCGAAAGCAGGCAGTGAAACCTCTAAGCAAAGGCTAGGTAAAGCACCCCCGTCCCAAGCTTTCAAGTCCAACTCTAACAACTTGTGCTTCAGGCGTTATCCCACGCAACAAAGAGCAGCAACTCAGCGGCCCCATCGAGTTCAAATGCCGCTTTCACGGCAAACGTGGCCATGCCTACATCAGCACCAAAGCGACAATCCCCTGCGTCTCCTTCTCCCAAAACAAATCCATCGCAACAGAAGGCACAGACGCCCGCGGCGACGAGGAGCTCAAACCTATCTGGTCCATCCCCGTAGCCGAAGTTACGGAGATGAAGAAGTTAGGCGGCCTTGGATGGAAAGCGAAGCTTGTCGTTGGGTGGGCGTTGGATCGTGAGATTGCTGATGGCATTGAGATCAAGGACAAGCAGGGGAACAGCTATATTTTGACGGCGATGGTGTTGAGGGACGAGCTGTTCAACCGATTAATTTCTATATCAGGGCAGAAGTGGCAGGCTTGGTGAATGCTTCATCGAATATCTGGGAGGCGTTCAGCATGGAAGGGATCATGGACAACAGCACTTTTGACAAAGATAGGATGAGGGACAGGTTGGGACGATGATGAGTGCATGGGTCCATGGCGCTGGGGCATGATCATGAGCATTAGGCACCAGTGTCTCCGCTGCAAAGCCTTGCACGGACTGGGAGTTGTTTTGATCTAGGTGGTAGCGTATACCACGTTCGGGGCCGTCTTGTGCAAAGGTGTTTTGCCCGCTTGAGGACTAGGTTGGCTCGGCTCGGGAAACTCCGAGCGCTGTGATTGGCCCACCACCTCTTGGCGCTATCCGTCCGCAATTACACAACCACCTAGGCTCAAGCTACTTCTTCCATCACCACGGGTTAAACACTTAGAACGGTCGAAGAATCGTATAATAAGTGTTCTCACAGTCTTTGAGAGGCGGAGAGGGTTGCTACGCACGGAACCTGAGCTCAACGTTCGCTCGCCTGCTGGAGATCGAGACGTGAAGCCTTGCTGTTGGGCCGCGAGCAATTTGAGGAACCCTTGCACCGACTCGCACATTCACACCATATCCACACCATATCCACACAGCATACATCATATTCAAAAGGCAAATTCAGTCCACAACATCGAGCTTGGCAACACTTTCTCATTCACTGCTACAAACTTCTCGGCTTAATCAGGGCTTCTTCCGTTGCTCTTTGAGGCCCTGCCTTTACCTTGGATCAGTCTGGACTCGCACTCCCTTGTGCGTCCCGCTCGTCCCCTAATCTTCCATGGTATCCTCTTGCTGCACGCCAGTGGCCGCGCTATCTTCATCCCCATTCGTCTCCTTCTCCACGCTCTGCTTGACCCCGTTATCATCCCTCCCAACGTCCTGAACCTCTTCACTTACTTCTCCCTCCGCGCTCTCAAATCCTTCAGATCCCTCGCGAGAAGCCAGATTGCTAGCAAGGCCTGGGAACATCATCCGTGGTTTGGCTTCGTCCTTGACAGGAGCACCCCCCGCCTCATCGTCGTCCTCGCCTTCCTCCTCGAGCTCGCTGAGTTCGCTCTCATCGTCTGCGCTGTCGTGTATGCTCCCGGGAGCAGAGGTCTCAGCCGATGCGTCACCTGTGTGGGCAGCGGATGAGTCAATCACGACCTGCACCCTTGGATACGTGGCGGGCAGCTTGGAGGTACTGCTAGATGCGGCTGACGACGCTGCGGTGGGCTTCTGCATAGCCGCCTCGGCGCACATGCGTATCTCCCTTCGGCCGACGCCTGTCTTGCGGCGTACAGGAGCTTGCTCAGTCTGCGGTGGGGCGGTAAGAGTCGACTGCGTGACTTTCGGCATGGCAGGAGTATCCGCGGCACCATCACCATTCATCAGGTAGTTGAGACCCATCGCCGGGTGTCGTGGAGGGCTTGCTGCCGGCGGTGGTGGACGACTTGCTTCCCTCTCACGCTTCACACGCTGCTCTTCGTCCAAAAGCTGACGGCCGACGGTATTGAAAAGGTAGGCATAACTGTCTCCGATAAGGTCGTCGAACGGGCCCGGCTTAATCAGTCCCTGGTTGATCTTCTTGAGCTCTTGCACTTCTCTCAGCGCGTCCAGAGCAGGTGACGTCCCTGACGGTGGCGGCGACGACATCCACTTCTCCAGCAAATCCTTGCGTGCCAGAAAGTCTTCGTATGCAATGTTACTGAACGTCGACGTCTCCAGGCCTTCCTGCACCCCTGAGTGGCCGCGCAGCAATCGCAAATAAGCGAAGCAGATCTCTTGCCAGACCAAGCTGTGTTCGAAGATCTCGTTCGGCCGTCTGCGGACCCTTCTGGCAAGCATCTCAAGGTTGCTTCGGTCTTTGAGCTGCTCCAGTATGCGGACAAAGAGTCGAGTGTACCGTGCAGTGTACACAAAGTGCCGGCCGGCTCGTTCAAAGTCTGGCCGCCAGACTTGCAACACCATGGTCTTCGTGAACATCTGCTTCGTGAGTTCATGTTTCGCACCCATCGCCACCATGCTTTGGCTGTCAGCGCGAGGATCAGACTCGTAGATTATCTGCGCAGCTCGGGCGATCATCCTGTGCTGCCAATTTGCCTTGTCGGCGGTGCGCAGCGTCTGCAGGACAGAGAGAACGTACGGAACCCAGTCTTCCATGGTCGCTGGGAAGTCGGCGCCACGAGCATAAGGCGTGTTCGACAGAGCTTCCTTCGCCTCTTCCAGACTGAGCTCACCTCTGCTGACGAGCTTGTGGACGATGCTGACCAGCTTGTAATGAGGTTCCAGAACGGGCTCGCGTTTCTCTCTGCTGTCTTTCTTCTTCTCGTTGGGAACAAGCTCGATTGCTCTGATGAAGCTAGAAAGCACTTGCGGTGCTGTGGGTGGCACGTCCTTCGGGCTTCTAACGTAGTCAGAGGCGGCGTGCATCTTCCACAGACACTTGCCAAGCATAAAGTGCAGTGTCCACGACTGTGGCTTGCCGGTCAAAGCCCGCTGGTAAAGTACTTTGGCGAGTTTCCAGGCGGTGTAGACTCGCAGCGGCTGGAATGGTTTTCCTTTGCTGACCCCTGAATCATTGAGCAGACTGAAGAACTTCTCCTCGCCTTCCAGCGCGAACGCCTGCATGCTGAATGGCTCACGAGAGGATGCGTAAAGTCTTGTTGCGAACTCAGTGAACATCTCGACTATCTTCTCTGCAATCGTCTCATCCTCGAGGTTTGCCGATCGATATGCCAGCGCAGTGGCCATGGTGAAGCAATGGATTGTAGCCCGTTGCAGTTGTACAATCTCGGGCATGTGGTTATTCGATTTGTCCGCAGTCCATACGCTTTCTTCTACCTTAGTATCATAGGCCTGCGCAAGCCGAAACCAGGTCTCCCAGTTGTCCATGCTGTACTCCAGGTCTTGCAGAAAGAATGCAATGGCGATGTCGACATCTTCAGTCGGAGTCGGCCCATTGCGTTTCGGAGCTCGGAACTTCGCCAGGGCCAGGTGCCCCATGAGAAAGTACCAGCCCTTTGCTGCAAGCACGGCATCTTCTCTGGGAACGTAGTTCACGGTCAGGTAGTTGCCCTCCCCTTTCAAACAATTGAACAGGTCGAGAGGATGAATTGGAGACCGCAGGAATCGCCGATAAACCTCGCGATTGCGTTGTATTGCGTCAGAGGGTTTCTTTCGTGGAGCTACTGCGTGGACTTTTTCAATCGTGTCCTTGATGGGGTGCTTGATGAGTTCCTTCGTAGGCAACTTTGATGCTTGCTGTATCAATAGATCTACCGCCTGGACCGCGATTCCTCTGTCGATAAAGGCGTCGTGTTGGCAGTGGTGTTCTATGAGCTCGTAACTCGGGTTCAGGAAGCAGTTCAGGCCATAGAGGTCGTAGAGCACCTGGGCTTGTTCGCTGTCGTAGCCCTCAATACTTGTCATGTGAACGAACTCGTCCTTCAAGGTGCGAACGAAGAGTTTGTTCATGATGCCACATGTGCCGCGTAGACCCAGGTTGCGATGGACAGTTCGCAAGAAGTCGAACTTGTCGTCGAGTCGTTTGAAAAGGTCGGCGTTCTGATCAATCGCCTCTTGCAATAGTGAGTACAGAATGAGCCAGATCTGCACCTGCATCTCTTGTACTTTCGCATTCATCTTCGCAAATGTGGCAGTTTCGGAGCCATTTGCAAGAACCGGCGGCTGACTCTGCCCAATGCGGATCGAGTCACTCGCGACAATGAAGACCTGGAGCAGCTGCAGAACCTCCCCAAGAGTGCTGACTGCCTTGGGCAGAGCGAACTCGTCGATGAAGAAGAGCGGGGAATCGTCCTTGCGAACAATGTCCCATGTTCTGGAGATCAAGTCTTGCACCAGCCTCAGTGTCTTCAGTGTCTGGAGTTGACGATCCCGCTGTGCCGTGGAAGCCGTCACTTTCGATTTCAGCTCCGTAAGGAGCAGCCTGATCATGTCGAAATGACAACGGACGACCATGCCACTTGAAGGGTAGTCAATATAGGCATCTCGAAGGCGATGCCACAACAGCATTTGGACGGAAATGTCACTGCTCTGCAGGAAGCGGACGAGGTCAGGCGAAACAGTAAGGTCCGGTGTCTGCTCGTCGTTGGTGTCACTTGCTCCCCGCGGTGTGTTACTCGCACGGTCCAGCGCAACAAGCAGAGGCTCGAGATCGTTGATGATAGCGGCCGGGTCCCTTCGGTCTTGAGTTGTCACACGAAGAAAGAAGTCTTTGGTCGTGAGTCTTGAGATCTCTCGATCAAGCGCGGATACGGAGATCTCTGGCATGACAGCATTGTTCTGTAGGTGAATGGAGCATTCGTCCAGCTCAGCCAATGTTGCGCGCAGATCGTTCATGCATTCAATGACATGGTCTTGGCTAGCATCGGACGAAGCGGCAAGACAGAAGGTTGTTGCCCAGAGGAAGCGAATGTTTAGAGTATCGTCCAGACGGCTTTCGATATGTCCAAAGAGCGAACCGAAGTGCATTGCTTCTCGCATCAGCTCCGACCAGCGCTGCAGGCGATCGCGCTGAGCATCTATAGTTTCTGCATCCACGCCACTGTTTGGCTCCTTGATAAGACAGTAGATGTCCAAATGGAGCTCGAAGGTAGCTTGCACCATCTCGGGAAAAGCGCCGTCCTTGGATGCGACGTTCGAATGTTGGGCAGCGTTCAGTTCTGCCTTCGCCTCTCCCCAAAAGCTCTCATCAAAGTTGACCAGCGTCCGCACCACCATCGTCTTCAAGTCTTCCGGCCATGATGCGCCGCAGTAGGTGCTCGCACGTCCAGAGCTATCAGGACGTAGCAACAGGCACATCCACTTCCAGGCAACTTCTTGTGTCAGGAACCAGCCATAATCGACTTCTTCAAGAAAGCTTGCAAGTCCAGTATTGGACAGTGTCGGCTTCTCGATGCCCTGTCGAGATGCTGCGGTGTTTGACATCGGGCCTCCAATACCTGAAGTACTTGCTCCCTGACCAATATCAAGATCATTGTCGCTGATGAGGAAGTTGTTTGCCAAGTTGTCCGAGTATTCTTTCAGAAAGGCGTGCAGGTCGGATTTCGCAAGCTCCAAGCCCTCAACCTGAGCGACGGAACCGTTTGTTGTTGGGGCGTCGCCTTCGTCTAGGCTCTGAAGCTCCTGTCTTACTTGTCTGCCGGCCTCCAAGCCCACAACGCCAATCCGCTCGAACAGGTTTCCAACCGTCTCGAACATCCAGTCGTCGGCCGCCTGAATCTCGTTAATCTGTTGTTCATACTCCCAAAGCGTGTTGGCATCAACCATCGTTTGCCGGCTGTCGTCGACAGCTGTGGACTCCCGCAATCTGGTCCGCTTGCTCTTCGTCCTGCCTTCGTCTGCCCCATCGGTCAGACCTGCGGCATCTCCGGAGCGCTTACGTGTTGGCAGAGAGACACTGGGGCCGTCGACCATCGTCACGTCAGTGGCAGTAGCCTGAGCATCGTTCGCATCCTCGGTCGCATTTGCAGATGCTATCTGTGGTTGCGCCGTGGGTTGACCGCTGTCAAGACCTGGAAACTGCTCGTTGATCGTACTACGCAAAGGGCTTCCTGCAGGTGAGCCACGCTGTCCTTCAAACATTACTTGCAATGGGGATTCCTCTCGCGGAGGCAGTATGCTCAAGGACTTGTTTTGGTCAAAGCTTATCGCGACTGCGGGACTCGCAGTACTCGTCCCATGCCGCTCTGCCATGAGCTGCCGCAACAGAATCTCACCCACTTCTGCCCAGGTGCTGGGTTTCTGGAGCGTGACACGGGAAGGCTGAAGAGGCTCTGGAGAGTCGTGGTACTTCAGCAGCCGTTTGCGGTTTGCGACACTTTGATAAGGATCCAGCCGCTTCTTGAGCGTTTCCGAGATGACACCACGCTTGCTACGCAATTGCGTATTTTGGAGAATTGACAACTCGTCCTCGAGCTGACCAGTAACGCGACGCAACTGCTCGCCTGCTAGACCTTCGTCCAGTCCTGGTAGAGAAAGAATGCTTCCCAAAGCATCATCGTCGCCATCAAGCACAGCTTCCAAGCAGTAACGCGCAACGCGCTCGCTGTCCAGCACTTCTCCCACACTAGCAGCCTGACGCCACAAGCCAGTGTCGCTGTCATCCTTGTCCAGCGCTTGTGTGAAGTGATCCAGTGCGGCTGTCGCATCACTCAATATTTGATTGAGTGTTACGTTCAGGACCTCCAAACGTGATGTCAGATACTCCAGCTTGAACTGAGCGTAGTTCTTGTGACTCAGGTGCAGAATCTGTGGCAGCGAACTGGGACCTGCATCGAACCCTCCATTTGGCACTCCGACACCCAAGGAGAAATCGTCTTGCCATAGATCGTCCGTCTCGATGAGTGGACCGTAGAGCTCGATGCGACGAAGCTCCGTTTGAGATTCCGGGTAGGTGAAGATGTCGGACTGGAAAAGCTCCTGGTAGGCCTCCGCAGCCAGTTCGTAAGACGCGGGACCTTCGGCATGGTATTTGAGTGCTGCTTGGTAGAGCTTGAGCGCGTCCTCTATCTGCAATTCTTTCGTGTCGTCGATCTCGATGTCCGACTCATCGTCCGATTCGATATTGAGCGCCTTGAAGCCGGGCATGTTGGCGTGCTGGAATCATGAGCGGACTGTCCTAGTATGTTGCCTATCAGCGGCTCTCTGCAGTCCTTGCCGTATCTTGCAACGATTGAGCGGCCTCCAAAGCTCTGTTTCTATGTGTCGTTGTGTTGCCCTTTGAAAGGCGGGTCGGGATTCACATGTCGTCGCGTGAACGCGACTGCTGGACTAAGGAAACGCTAGAGCTAGCGGCGGCGGCTAGCGGCCCGTGGAGCTTAATTTGTGACAGTTGGACTCGAGGCATTGAGTTCAGCTATGAATATACCTTGTTACGCCTGCGCTCACAAGAACATCGCTCTCTTCCTCGGCGCAATCCGCCTTCAACATCTGTCTTGAATGCGAGTCCGAGATCGAAGGACTACGGCGCGCATTGAGAAGCAATGGTGCAAACTTCAGTGCCAGAGTAAGCTTAAGAAGAGGGACTTTCACGTGCAATGAAAGGCCTAACCATTCTCATAGGCTTTTCGAAGACGACGCGCACTCGGTGGTCGATATCAGAACCGACAGCCTCCAATCACTCCGCGAATTAGGACCACCCGATCTGGTTCATCTCGTCAAGCAGCCGGTGAAGTCGAGTTCGAAGCAACAGGTATGGCAGACAAAACACGCATGGGACTTAGAGACGTGGAGAGCACGAGATATTGGACGAATGCTGATATGCTGAACCCCTGGTCGACAGACAGGCGTTTACCACCATGTCACGGGCGTCGATGCGTCCTCGTCCGCTAGCTTAGCAGCCTACATCAACACCCTCACCTACTCGCCCAGTGAGAAGCTAAATAAGGTCGTATCCGGCCTATACTGGTAGGTCACAGCACCGCATAAGCGAGGAAGCTCTAACTCGGAAGTATAGCTGCTACAATGCCTTCTCCCGTGTGGACATGCGTGTTCAAGTGCAAATACCAGGCACCGTGGAGTCATACTGCGTGGACGAGCGAAACAACAAGCTGGAGGCGACGGAGGAACACTGGCTCGAAACATATCTTTGCAGCGTCTTGAGAGCGTACAGCTATGCGGACAACGGCAGCGGCGACTCTATCAAACGAATAATTGGTGTGAGACGCTTCAATCCAATCATGAGCACGGAGCAGGAACACAAGTTCTTGGAGGCTGCAGAAAGACTGTTCTTCAGTGGTGAGTGAAGTGTCCCGGACAAGGACCATCGTCCGTGTTAATTTGGTATTCAGGCTGGCAGCTTGGCTCGGATCCTGAAATCCAGGTGCCGAATCTGGTGTCAAATCACCTTACATCTGGTCTGCTAAAGTACATCACGACAACTGGCAGGTACGCATCTGGCATCAATCTGTTCGAAAAGTTGCGGACTCGAGATGCGGAGATCTCATCGCTACTGGCGCGGGTCTACGTGGCTGCCGATGAGGAAGTCAAAGCAGTACGACTACTGCACGAGGCTGTGGAGGAGCTTCCAATGGACTACTCGATCCTCGACTGTCAAGCAGATTTCTGCAGTCGAAAGGGCAGAGGCGACCTGGCTCTCGAGATTGCGAAGCGAGGTGTAGTCTCTGCACCGAGCGAATTTGGCACCTGGGCACGGCTGGCTGAAATATACGTGGCAATGGAGCAATGGGATCTCGCGCTGCTCACGCTCAACTCATGCCCCATGTTCACTTACCAAGACAAGGATGCGCCTCGGTTACCAGAGCCTACTCGTGTTTCGTTGCCTCTGGCGCCGGAGACAATATGTGATGAGATTGACGACGCAGGAGCAGCGCCCGATCATGAGGCAGTTCACCCGACGCTTAGAAGGCTATCGGCTGCGAACTACAAGGGCACCTTCTACAAGGCATACATGCTCTTGACCGAGATCACGAAGAAGATTGGGTGGGATCAGCTACTGAAGATTCGAAGTCAGGTCTTCGTAATGGAAGAAGAGTACCGGAACGAGAAGCAAGCGGTTGGTACCAACAGCAGGAACGCAAGCACCGTGGCACTGCGAGGGACTGATACTCCGCAACCCAATGGCGAAGCCAAGGAGGTCGAAGAAGAAGAGGGCGATGAATCCGACCACCCTTCCAGCTCTCAGCCGAACGGTGAACCAACAGCAGCTGCATCCCACCTTGACCCGGACGTTTCCAAGCCTTCGCATTCCATCACCGTACGCAACGCCACCGACACGCCGCAACCACAACAACCTCCACCGCCCGATCCTTCACACCTGCAGTATACTCAATTCCAGCACAAGCGTCTATGCGAACGATGGCTCGACAATCTCTTCATGGTCCTATACGAAGATCTGCGGATATACACTATCTGGCGAACAGAGTCCACGCAGTACCGACAACAACAACTGGTCTATAAGAAGACCGCTGAGGAGTGGGAAATTCTCGGCGATCTGGCTGAAAGACTGCACCATCGCGATGAAGCAGTGGAGGCCTGGCAGTCCTGTCTCAGTATGCGGTTCAGTCCGAAAGCGATGAGGGGGCTTCTGGGCATGTACGAGCGACAGGCAGAGGCGAGAGGGACTGTCGCCGCGTTAATACGGCTTGTGGCGTGGCAGTTCCGGTGGTACTCTGAGGTAGGCCCTTCAGCCGCGTGCCTTTGTAATGACTTAAACGAACAAGGTGCTAACAGTCTACCAGTTCTCACCTGATCTCCTTCAAGCCATCCGAAGGCTGATCGAGGAGGAAGGCGCGGTCAAGGTTCGGAGTATCATACAAGCCACGCCACTGCCGCAGCATATTCTGGATTTGACGCATCAGTACGCCGCCCTTTGCGCAGCGTTCAGGAGTACTGGTAGCGAGGGTTGATGGCTGAAGCTTTAGTTCTTCGTGGCTACTAGCATTGCGAGGCGCGCTATCTGTAGTATTGGACGGCACTTCACGAACTTACAGGCCCCAGCAATGGCGAAAATTTGATTCTAGCATAACGTAGGCGCAACAGAAACGCTCGAAACCTCCCTTGACAGTAAGCAGAGTGATCACGAGGGTACGCGGCAGAGTACGCTACGGGGGTAGGGAGAATGGCTATCAGAATACGGTCGTCAGTGCGACTCGACAGCGCTTCAGCGCATAACACCCAACTGACTTGATCAATTTGAGGATAGAAAGATGCCGGCTTATACTAACGACGCGTAATTAGCGTGTATCATTGTCTTCTCCATCAATATCATAGTCTTATAAGAACAACAGCAAGTTACAGGCGGATCGCTGTATATAACATATTAAGCCCGCTACAAAACAATAGGTAGGTTGTTATTGGATATAAGAAGCGGCGTTGGAGGGGATAGCTTAAGAATAGCCGCCACGCCTATGCGCCCCTGTCCATCACAACACCTCGAACGCAAGAGCGCCGCCCCTGGCGCCTATGGGTTTCAACATCGTTCTCCGTAAAGATGTCGTTTCTCCGACTTGGTCGAAATGGCACACTCGTCGAGAGGAAGGCCGCCGTACTTCGACATAATACGACGGGCGCCGTACGACCCTCGCCACGACAGTTTGCAACCAAAGCATCGCCGATGGCTTCCCACGAGCCTTTCGAAGAGGAGACTCTACCAGGCTACGAAGCCGAAGAATTCTATCCTGTGCACATCGGTGAGAAGCTCAACGCACGTTATGAGGTATTGGGCAAGCTAGGCTACGGTGCCAGTGCTACTGCTTGGTTATGTCGAGACCTGAAGTGGGGACTCAACCTACCATCCAAGAAATCAACGCACAGCTCACAATGGTAATAGGGCAAAAGAACGTGTGGCTATCAAAATTTACGACAAGATGTCAAGCCAACATGCCAATCGGGAACAGGAGGCGTACGATCTTCTTACGAAAGTCACAAGGGATGGACCACTCCACCACCATGTTCGACAGCTCCTGGACTCATTCAGAGTCACCCGTTCTGATGCAGCAGACCCGCACCTTTGTCTAGTCCATCAACCGCTTCACACTTCGCTCTATTCCTTCCAACGATTTGGCGGTGTCGCCAGACCACTCCCGGAATCTCTTGCCAAGTCCATCATTCGGTATATACTCGAGGCGCTTGACTTCCTGCATACTGACGCCGGGATAACGCATTGCGGTAGGTGCTGTCCGTGCTTAGAAACTTAAGATGCGCCTAACGTATTGCTCGCACGTCAGATATCAAGCTTTCCAACCTCATGCTTCAGATCGAAGATATGAGCGTCCTCGACGACTTCGAACGAGCTGAACAGGAAGCACCGTGCGCTCGAAAAGTCGTGGGTGATACGAGGACTATCTACGCTACCCGCCGGTTCCAAAACGCCAAAGGTCATGCGTATGGTCCGCCGATCCTCTGTGATCTAGGAGAGGCCAGGATCGGCTCGTCGCACCAGTACGAGGAGATACAGCCAGAAGTATACAAGGCGCCGGAAATCCTTATGCAGCTCGATCGGTGGGATCACAGCGTGGACATCTGGAATCTCGCATGTGTCGTAAGCGCTACAACCCTCTGGTCTCTTCTCCACTGACCGTAAAACTGTGTAGGTGTGGGACATGATAGAAGTGGACCACCTTTTTGATGGATACGATGACGAAGGATACCACAACAATGGCGTTCACATGCGAGAGATGGTGAATCTGCTCGGCCGCCCTCCACGGGATTTTCTGAGTCGAAGTCCACACACCTGGAGGCTCTTCGATCAAGAGGGTAAGCTGTCCATCACACATGCGCTGTCAACTCCACTATACGCTCCATAGAACTAACTAAAAGACAGGGAACTGGAAAGGCAGGACGCCCCTTGCGCCTGTGTCTCTGGAAGCTCGAATTCAGTCTCTGAGCGGCGACAGTAAAACTGGGTTTGCCGACTTCCTGAGTTCCATGCTGTGTTGGCTGCCGGACGATAGGAAGACTGCTGGGGCTCTTCTGCGCCATCCTTGGCTTGAAGAAGCATGAAAAGCTACGAGCTGAGAGGATCTCGCCCACTTGGTCGCAACATGCGAGTGACTCTGCGCGGGTAACAGAACAAGCGGTTAGGACGAAGACGCGCCCTGAGCAGCGTCTAGGCACAGGTCTTGTTATCTGCAAACATGCAGCCACGCGGAGCTTTGAAACAGGTCTGAGAGCGTTCGGTCTGGGAGGCCTCGTGGAAAGCAGCAGGAAGCGTGCCAGAAACCACGCAGCTATTCCGACAACCTGAGGAGCAGCGCTTGCCGCCTCTGCATCACCTAGGCCCACAAGTGGCTGCGGGCTCCTTCGTCAGCCTTCGCATGTGTATTCGTGCAACAAGAGCCAGACGACGTGAAAAACCGGACAGAACAGAGGCGTGGGCGACAGCTCGACTGCGAAAGTTGGCGCGTGCGACCATTCAACCTTCGCGAGGAGCTCTGTAGACGCTGGGAAGTATGAACAAGCGCCCTGTGAGGCACAGCTCAAGATGGACCTACACGACCTTTGCCTATATATTCGCCTCAGACTCTGCGAGCTTCGAACTCATCGCACACCAAGAAGCAACGATTACTGTACCTCAGTACCTGCGAACCCTACAGACGCCTTCAGCCTCCATATCCAGACCATGTTCCAGACTGCGCAGAAGAGACTCATCAATTTTGTTGGAAAGACCAAACCGACAGATATCAAGGACTCCACGTTCAGAGCAGGTGTTGAAAGAATTTGCGACACCTTTGAGAAAAGCGTACTTTGCCTCGTGCTCCGCCGTATGTTTTCGTACTGACTTTACCAGAACCAAGACATTGGTGTAGTGAATGCAGAGATACGGTCACTCCTCAGGATGGTACAGAAACCAAAGATTTTCGTGTGCTCATGACAGCGAAGAGGCAACACCCCACACAAGTCCAGAGACGATCCCACCGATCCCAACGATGTCATCTCGGTGCGGTTCACTAATAAGGATGGGAAGAGGGTGGCGTCGGCCCATGTCTACAAGAACGGGGATGGCAAGGCACTTAGGTGGTAAGGCACCTAGGTGGTCTTGAAGAATGACGCCACGCTAGTTGACCAGGAGCGGAGATTGTAGTGATAGCATTGGTAGGAGTTACTGGTCTCTGGTCTTGCAATCAATGTGTCATTTTCCAGGCAGCACTTTGCAGCATTGTCCCATATCCTGTTGATACGTCCCACAGATATGAATTGGAAAACTTGCGGCGTACAAAACGAGCTTGCAACGCATGAGGTCAGAATGAGGACTTGGGCCTGAGCGCAGTGTTCCGAGTTCTTCAAGCGTGGGCACCGTGAAATTGTTGTATCAATGCGGCCCAGGGGAGTAGCGAACACATGCCGGTTGAACATCGACGCAAGCGTAATTACCGACGTTGAACCACAGCCAAACTGATCCTTGCCCATGTTGACCGTCAAGATCGAAGTGTTCCTCTACAGATGTTTGATGAAGTAAGGAAGAGCGTCTTAAATCCATGGAAGTATTGACCTAACAGCCACAAACGAATGCAAGCCGCGAACGCTGGGCCTCGAGCGCGCCATACCTCACCTCGCACAAGCAAAACACGCGCAAGGGTATCCAAAATCAAACATCCTCCAGCCCCATCCCACTTCCCGTCCACTTCCTCGTCTTCAACGTCCTGATCTTCTTACTCGGACTCCTCATCCCCTCATTCTCCCGCTCCATCGTCGCCAGCCGCTCTCTCAACTTCACATTCTCATCCTCCAACTCCTCCATCCTCCCATCCTCGAGACCTACATGCTCAATATTCTCCTTATCCGCCTCCTCATCCTCCCAGATTGTAATTCCTCTCGTCAAGATCTCTACCTTGCGATCTAGATGCTCTTCTTGCGCATCCATCTCCGCGTCCCTCGCAGCTCGCCACCGCTTCTGCTCCAGCGCCATTTTCTCTTCCATCTCTGCCCACACTTCTTCTCGGACTTCTGCTTCGACTTCTTCGATCCTGCTTTCCGCGACTTTCCAGCTCACCTCTGTGGCGAGACGGCGGTGGGTTTCTTCTTCGAGCTTGAACTGCGTGACTTCTAGTTCCTCTCGTAAGCGTGCGACTTCCTGCAGAGCGTGCTCCAGCTCCTCATTGAGTGCTGAAGGTGTGGTACGGCCGCTGCCGGAGAAGTAGGAGCGTGTGGTCGGACCAGCCTGGATCGTGCTAGTGACGGATGGAATGCGTGGAACGGTTACTTCCCGTGCCAGGGCAGAGTACCGCAGTATCTGGCTCGTGGCGTTGAAGTCGCCTAATGGGTCGGCCGTAACAACCATAATGGCTTTCTGCGGTGCCTTGCTCGCTGCTTGGCCTGGTGGGTGGTGCGCGAAGCTGTTGCTGAATAGTAATTCCGTGAGCTTGCACTGCCGGTAGGGCACCAGATTTGGCGTCGTGGCCGTGGCGTTATCAGATTGCATTTGCATGCACTGGCCCAAGTACATCAGACTTTCGTTGATCTTGCCAGCTTCTGCAAGCGTAGCGCCGGCTGTCTTCGCTGTCCTTGCGCGTTCTGAACCAGCCAGGTCGACGATGGTGAGCGTGCTGCTGCTCCACGGGCCTGGAATGGAGCCGCGGTGGCGCTTCTTGACTTCGATGCAGAAGAAGCCGTGGGATCGTGAACTTGCAGCATTGCTGCCGGTACCAGCTACTCTTCGTTCCTGAAGGCCAGTCTCGAGTACGAGCAGGGCTTCTTCGAGGTCGGAGCAGACCACCTTCTTGAGTCCAGCCACAACCTTGCGGTCTGGCGACTGCTCAGTGCTCTTGAACAGCAACGCTCGACGAGGCTTCTGCTGTTGGGTCCTGCCGGGCACGGATGTCGGAGAAGAGAGCAGATCAAAGATGCGATCGTTGTGGACTTCATACATGCTGACGACCAGCGCGTATTCTGCCGTGTCATCGACGTCCACCAGGAGGTCGTCGATCGGCGGGTACGTCGGGAGATTCGACATTCGCGGAGCATTTCGTCGTGGCGCGGAGAGGAAGGATGTTTCCTGTTGAGACGTAAGCAAGACGTGTGACTCTCTTGTTAGGGTATTTGGCTGAGTGTGACGGGGATGAACGATGCGAGACAAGCGAGACTGATAATTTGCAAGCGAGGGGTAGAGACGATCAAACACAGCGCCTGAAGGTCCTCAATCCCCTTGTCTCTATTGGGGTGAGGTGGAAGGAGTAGGAAAGGCGCCAGGCATAGTAGGCAATGGCGATGCGCGTACCAGAGCAGGTGTAGCTCCTCTTGCTGGAGTAGCGCCACGTGGTGCAGGCGTTGCTCCTCTCGACGGAGCACAGTTGTCCGCGTAGAGAGAGTCCAGGAAGGTTGCGGCAGAGAACAGTTGAGACTCTGCAACGTCCGCTGCACACAGTGATTGAAAGGCTGTGAGGCTTGTATCGATGTCGACGAGACGGGGTCCGGTGTGTTGAAACAATAGATCGAGCGTCAGTTGCAGGAGACCTCGCTGTGAGCGAGAACCCAGGACCGTATGGCTCTGTTATGATGATGTCAACATTGCTTCACGTGTTCAACAATGCCTGTTGTATGTACCTTTCCGCTGCCGGTGACACCTAATGTCGCAAGCAGTCCGTCTCTACCTTCTCGTCCCTTGGCTCCCAGCACACCTTCAAGCAGATTCACGGCACCGGTCCGTTCGAACAACTCTCGTTGACCGGCATGCTCTTCGAACACTCTGGTGAAAGCGAACTTCTCGATTGCTCGTTTGCGCTTGTCGTCTGCCGGTGGACGAATGGTGATGTGTGTCGGCGCATAACCCTGTCCGAGCTGTTCGACGTCGAGGAAGCGTTCGCGGTCAAGGGCGTTCGATGGGCGCAAGCGGAGGAAGACGTCGAATAACGCCGAGCTGGATTGTTTGGCCTCCATTCTGTGTTTTCGAATGTACGTTGGATGTTGCGATGGTTCGAAGCTCACATGTGCAATTCATGAAAATGGAAATGTGGTGTTGATCCGAGAGACAGACATCCCTGCCTCATAGCAACGGCTAGCGAGATAAGCAGTGCTTTAGCGGCGCATCGGCGCGATCGCCCGCTACCGGGAAACCTTTCTTGATCGCCACGTCGTGTTCCAGAAGTTCGTCTGGAAGGGCAACGAAAGGAGATCGATATATCCATCACCGCAACCAATGTTGGAGTGCCGCGCGTGCGTTTGGCGCTGCATACGAGCCATTGCAGGAGACAGTCGCCAAGCACAAGCATTGTATCGACGCCCTCTGCTCCTCACGCCACAGATCGAGCAAAACCCCTTCCGCCGACATGCATCGACAGCCGTCGCCACCACACCTCCGGCGGAAGACCTGCTTGTGCCAGGGAGACAGCCGGTTGTGGACAAACCTGAATCGCAGACCGATGGCGACAAGCAACAGAAGACAGTTCCGGTCGCGAACGAGAGACACCTGAAGACGGAATTGAGATACCTGCAGGACAAAGTCAAGCTGGCCGAGCATGTTCATTACACTTTACGGTGCGACAAGCCTGAGAAGGCACTTGATCTGTGTCGGTTGGCCAGCAAGCAGCAGGAGGTCATCGTCAGCTGGAACCATTGCGTCGACTGGTACATCCAGCGTGGAAAGGTGGACGAGGCGATCAAGATCTACAACGAGATGAAGAAGCGAGCACAGTTCCCAGACGGCCATACGTATAGTCTGCTGTTGAGAGGGTTGGCAAAGCCGCCATATTCCGGAGAGCCCGTCAAGGATAGCCATGTCGCAAAGGCGCTCAGCATATACTACAGCATGAGCAGTCCGACGTCGAGAGCGGAGCCGAACATTATACATACCAATGGAGTGCTCAAAGTTTGCAGTGCTGCTCTCGACATGGATGCATTATGGGGTGTCGTCTCGAAGCTTCCGGAGCACGGAGCACGCTCTCCGGATCACATCACATACGCTATACTTCTGGATGGCATCCGACACGGTGCGTTTGGGAAGGATCCAACGAATGTTCCAGCGGAAAGCCTAGCCGCAAATCGTACCAAAGCTGTGCAAGAAGGTCGTGCGATTTGGCGCGACGTGATCAAGAAATGGCGAGGTGCTGAGATACACATCGATGAAAGATTGGTGTGCGCTATGGCGCAATTGCTGTTCATCAGCAGCCGTATCCAGGATTGGGATGATGTCTTGAATTTGGTCCAGCAAACCATGAAGATACCGCGGCAACTCGCACCGCTTGATTCACCCCAGCGTCACATCGAGCATGTGCCGCAAGAGAACGACCTACGGCAGGCGGAGCCTGAGCAGGAAGAAGATAGCGATGGCTACACAGACACGCCAACCACCAAAGCCTTTCTGCCCGTTCAATCAACTTCGCTCAGCTTTGTGCAGCCCGGGAATGCTATCCTCAACATACTCGTTAACGGCTGCACGTTACTTCGCTCGCCGAAGGCTGCGAGCGCCTACTGGGGCCTACTGACAGAGCCATCTGGTCCGTACGCCATCAAGCCAGATCTCAGCAACTTCCACACATATCTGCGGCTACTGGGCAAGAACCGCTCGTCAGCTAGAGCAGTAGCACTTCTCCAGCAGATATCATCATTCAATATCCAGCCTACCGCCATCACCTTCCGGCTTGTCATGGGTATCTGCGACCGGGACAAGAACAACCCCAATATGCTAGAAAACGCCCGCACCATCATCGACCTCATGGAGAGCACTCTTGCCGACCTCGACGTGCGCACACTCATCAAGTATCTCAACCTTGTGCTTCTGAGCGACGACGGACCCAAGATCATCTTCGCTGTAAACCGCCTGGACAGCATAATTCACAACTTGCGCAGCCGTGTGACCTATGGAGCCCACAAAACCGGCACCGCCACGGAACAGCACATGCTTGACAAGGAAGAAACCCTATTCTTCTTCCGTACCCTGGTCGGTGTGATCGACACCCTCAATCGCCGTGAACTCGTCCCGCGTGAAGCCCATTCGCATTGGCAAGGTCGACGCGCACAGCTCGACGCTTTCATCCAGCGCTCCAATACGAAACTCGAACAGCAGAGAGCGAAGCTGGAAGTGACGACGGGGAAGAAAGCGCCTCGAATGCGCGAGCTGGATCCAAAGAAGGGTATGAGCATGAAGGCGGAAGAGTATGCGTTGCGGAAGTTCCGGTGGGGTGAGAGGCAGAAGAGGGAGGAGAAGGAGGAGATGGTGAAGGCGCGAGGTGTGTTGGATTGGAATGTAAGGAAGGCGAGGCCGGATGTGCCGACGAAAGGAGCTGTATTGAAGAAGTGGCGAGCGAACAAGGAGTGGGCGGGGAGGCAAGAGCCGGAGAGGAGTTTCGCTGACAGTCCCATGGAGCTGGGCGAGAGGTGAAGGACGATGGATTGCTTGAGATCTTGGGACACCCGTGAATGAGCCCCGTCCGCTGCTCCGAACAATGCCTCTGATCATGTGCTTCAATCGCTAGACCTCAGTTCACAGGCAACGACTCTACCCATACCCTACTACCTGCCACCAGGGCGATCCTGCACCTTTGTCAGGGTTCTGCGTACGCCTACTCTACTTTGTCGCTGACTGCGAAGCTGTGCCCACGTCAACTGCAGTGGCCAATTGGGACGTCCTTATTCCTGCATCTCACTGGCATGCGTGCAAGCCTCGCTTTGGATCTTCACTTTGCCCGTCCAGGTGCATGGCATGCAAGGTATTTCGATTTCTCGGATTTCCTTCGCCACACAACCGAGTCGCGAGTTGTTCTCGGCTGCCTTCTTCACAATATCGCAATCTTGCCACCTAGTAAAGGTCGATCTAAAGGCCGATTTAGGACAGCTTGCACAGGTCATCTTGACCTGGAAGGTCTCCAGAACCGTTTGCGTGTCCTTGAGCGCGGTAGTTCTCCGCTGCGCGCTCGTAAGGATGTTAGGAGTTCAAAACCTCGCTGAGACTGAACAGATACTCTGCCTTGCTGCAGCAGTTTTGGCCGTGCCGACAGGTCCATGACAAATGAGCTCGGAGTGCCTCTTCCACGCGCCTGGTTATGTACGCATTCCAGTGAAGCCTCATATGCTCCAAGTTTACTGCCAACGTCAGCCCCTGGTCCTTGTTGAATCTGACGTTTTGCTACTCACCGCATAGATCATCCAGTTCTTGTGGGTACTGAAATTCATCTAAAGGCTGGAGGTCTCTTGCCTCGGTGCTCTCAAACACGAACGCTCTGCTGACAAGGCGCCACATCGGCTCGTGGTCGAAGTAGAAGCACGCTGCGATCAACGAATGAAGCTTGGTGTGATCTACCACCTTCTCGAGTTGTTTGATCCACTGTTCTGCTGCACGCCTCATGGCGCGGGTGCAACCATACTTGTCCGGGGGCACAGCTACGTTGAGCAGCTGTTCAGTAGTCAAGGACCGCGGTTCGATATCGTTCCGTCCCCAGAGATGGAGGACTTTGCACATGATCGCCATGGCTTCTGGATCGTCCTCGGGGAGCGCGATCTCTACGCTGCCAGCGCCAGCCAGCTCAGCGCCTTCTTTGAACTGTGGCGATAGGAGGGCTTTGAAGACTTTCGAGCTCACGGTGAGGACGCTTGACCGCACCTGGAGCTTTGTCCTGTCGCTCTGGTCAGTGATCTCCAATGAGAAGACGACAACGAGGTAAACGAACTCTTCATCTTCGCCGCCGCAAACCAGCATTACGTCTCCATCGGTGATGAGCTGGACGATCTTTGGGTTATCCATGTTGCTAGCCCTCTAACCGTGATCAGGTTTTGTCGTGGTTGAGGACAACAAGGCAGCTGTAGATCTGTAAAACATCACAAGGAGCTGCAAAGGCTCACAATGGGGTTTCGAATGAAAAAGAAATGGAAAAAAGTACGTGGCCAGAGGTCACAAATGGAAATTCACAATCTATCTTCACGTGAAATCAGCAGCTGCTTCTTGGCCATTCTTAAGTGCATTACCACCACTCATGAGGCTCCATGCTTGAGTTTTCTTCTTTCTTACCCAGCGTCAGACCCCTAGAGGCTCGCAATGTCGCCGCGACCAGTCTCACCTCTCGAAGACGACCGCTCAGCAAAACGTTCCAAGATCAAGACATCACCACCACCACCACTACCCACGGTCATGATCCCGGAAAAGGTTGCAGAGATCGTACCCGATGGAGACACTATCCTTGTGCTCAGTGTCAGATCTGACGCTGCAGCGACGTCGTACGTCAACACAAGATGAAGCTGTTCAGCTGTGACTAAAGGGCTAACAGGATCGGACTTCGCGTGTCGTCACATGCTTTGAGTCTCGCCTCTTCCGTCTTCAAGGGAGAATTCGCAAAGCTTGAAGCATCCCGGAGCCAATCGCAGGAGGAAACAGACATCCCAGATCTTGTACTCACGCTACCATGCGACGACATGCCCGCCATGCTCCTGCTCTGCAACATCCTTCAACTCCAAAACGACAAGCTTCCAGCGCGCATCCTCCCGTCGTTACTGCTACGCCTGGGTGCACTGGCTGGGAAGTACGAATGCGTGATGGCAGCCGGACGTGCAACCAGTCAGTGGTTCGACAGCCTGTACTCCGCCGAAGAGCCTGGGAACATCTGGGACATTGTCGAAGCGGCGTACCTGTGGGATGAAGCCATCTTCTTCGCACGCTTCACGTCGATTTGGGTGCGTCGTCAGTCTCTGACGTCAAAATCTATGGCGCCAGCGACCACACTTGAGACACAGAAGCTTGCTTGGGTGTTGGCTGAGCGATTGAGTGTGGTATGTTACATCCCGAGCAGACATGCAGTACGACAGCCCACTGATTTCTTCACACAGGTGCAGGTGCTCATCCGCAAAGAAATAGACAAGCTCGTCGAGACTTGCGCTCTCACTTTCTCGGAGGATGCAACACACTACATCGACTACGCCCCAGGACTCTCACCAACTGCATCCGAAACCAAAAGCGGTCGGCCGCCCACACCATGTATCGTCGACAGCGAAGGTGCCAAAGAGTATCTTGGTGCTTTGAGGAACGCTCGGATATGGCCATCGACGTGCTGGACCAAATCAAAGGAGGGACAAGCCATCGACACCAAGGTAGGGGAGTTGATGGAGAAGATCAAGCTGTTCAAGGAGCCACCGTACGATGATACTAATCGCTGTGACGGCTGCGCATACGTCAAGATACAATTCACAGAGGAGCCTGAGCATGTCCAGCAAGCGTATGGCAAGCGATTGTGGGGCCTGTGCCTGGACTGCTACAAGGCTGGAGGAATCAACCCTGGCGAGTGCAGGTACCAGCATTCGAAGTGATGGTGTGGCTATCAGCGTAGAGGGCCAACGAAGCTTGACGGTGGAGTGGTAAGACTGTAGAGATGTAGATCAAACGCTCTGTGGTAGTTGTCTGAAGATTCGTTCCACAACTACCTATTTGGGCTTCCACCCGGCAGGCGTTCTCTCGCTGCCATCGTAACTCCTTCTCAGTCGCCAGAAGCCTACCTCCAAACCCTCCATCCCTTCTAAACCTTTGTGTAGTTCCTTGAGTTGGGAGATATCGTTGGCCTCCACGAGCCTAATATCACTCGGTACCTTCTCCCAACTCCGATTGAACTCGCTCAGCAGACTTCCTTCGCGGACGCTGAAGGCTCTTGATTTGCCGGTCGATGACTTTTCCAACACATTTGCAGCTGCCGTTATCGATGGAGCGCATACACTAAGAAGGAAGGGAGCGGGATCTGAGCCAGCCTTGGAGCTTCCGGAGACGTCGACCTCTTGAGCAAAGCGAGTCACAAAAGCCGTCTGTTCGAACAGCTTCTCCAGCAGCTCCTCGTTTGGCTTCGACTGCCCGTCCAGACCACGGAACGCCTTGCTCTCTCTGAAAGCCAGGTCTGGCATATTGTAGATGGTCAAGAAGTCAGACTCGCAGTGTCGGTTCTCGAGGCTCGCAGCTGTTGGGTCTCGGTGGCGAGAGTGGAAGATCAGACTTTCATATCGCTGTGTCCCGGAGATGCCTCCAGTAGATTGTACCTCTTGAACATGAGTATTCTCATACCAATCGACAAAGTCCAAAGGTTTGAGAGCGTCTGGATGCAGTACAGTTGACGCCACGAATAGGATTCCTGGTTTGCCGGCCTCTGAATCGTTGGTTGTGCTTGACATCTTGTGAAGGTCGATGGGGATTGATTAATGAAGTGGAAATGGTACGGTGTTGAAAGTAGAATACATAGATGGACATAGGAGCTGTAATATCAATCCGGACGTCGTTTTCCGAAGGCGAGCTTACGGCACAGAGGTTTCCTAGACTCACCATGATCTTCTCACATAGAACATCGTTGGCTCAACACTAACGATTCCAATACCTGACAGTCTGCCTGCGATGGGTAGGACTGAACGCTATGGGATGGGCTGGCTACTATCCTGCTGACTTGAGTCACGGCCGTGAGTGGAGCGCAAGGAGAACCTCCCCATACAAATGCATGTGCGTATATTGGTTCCGCTCAAACTGTTTCTGCTTGCTGCATGCCGGACTTGTAGACTGCGGCCCATGCTTGCTGGCACAAGATACGTTGGGTTGGTTACTTGCCTCTTTGCTCAAGTAGCCACCAAAGGTCGGAGATCAGGATGGCCTCGCAGTGTCGCTGTTGCATTCACAGCACAGCGACAATGCTAGTCTGGCTGTCGACTACATCTTGTATTCGTCGTACTCATGCAGACGAAATGTCACATGCGAGCACGTTTGCTCATCTCACCTTGAGGTGGTCAGCTCTTGGCGCCCTCTGAATCCGGCCTAGCTTCGTTTTAGCTCCTTCCAAAAATTCTTTCACGTCGCTGCCACACTGCTCCCTTTCTTCTCTGCTGCCTCATCACACCTACCACCTTCACAACCTTACAAACTCACAACCTCACACTCAACATCAGTCGCTCCCTTCAAACCATCACGCAGCGACTCTCACTCGACCACCACTGAAGCAAACAGTCACTACAAGAAGAGACGTAATCATGTCTTACGGCGGAGGCTACGGCGGCGGCGGTTATGGTGGTGGCGGATACGGAGGCTCAAGAGGCGGCGGAGGAGGCTACGGCGGCGGCCACTCGAACGGGTACGACTACTACGGGAGGCAAGATTATGGCTCGCGCGACTCCTATTCCTATGGGTAAGCCCAAAGGTGTAGCCGTCAAGGCCGCCTACGTCAAGTCCAAACATTTTATTACCACCTTCACTCCTTCTAGTTTTCTGATCAAATATGCTGACACACTTTACGCAGATACAGCAACGGCAACAGCTACGGCGGCAACACGAACGGCTACTCCGGCGGCGGCGGATATGGTGGAGGTGGCAGTTTCGGCGGAGGCGACAAGATGTCCAATCTCGGCGCTGGGCTGAAGGCACAGAACTACGACCTCAACTCGCTGCCAAAATTCGAGAAGTCGTTCTACAAGGAGCACGCAGATGTCGCAGCTCGCCCAAAGCATGAGGTCGACGCGTTCCGCCAGAAGCACCAAATTGCCGTCACCGGCGAGGATGTGCCCAAGCCCGTGCAGTCTTTCGACGAAGCTGGGTTCCCTGCGTACGTCATGTCTGAAGTGAAGGCGCAAGGCTTCTCCAACCCCACCGCAATCCAATCTCAGGGCTGGCCAATGGCTCTTTCTGGTCGCGACGTCGTCGGTATTGCCGAGACCGGTTCTGGAAAGACCCTCACCTACTGCTTGCCTGCGATCGTCCACATCAACGCCCAGCCACTTCTCGCTCCCGGTGACGGACCCATCGTCCTCATCCTCGCTCCTACTCGTGAGCTGGCCGTCCAGATCCAGGAGGAGGTCAGCAAGTTTGGCAAATCGTCGCGGATCCGCAACACCTGTGTTTACGGTGGTGTGCCGAAGGGTGGCCAGATCAGAGATCTCGCTAGGGGCGTTGAGGTCTGCATCGCTACCCCGGGTCGCCTCATCGACATGCTGGAGTCTGGAAAGACTAACCTTCGTCGCGTCACCTACCTGGTTCTTGACGAGGCTGACCGCATGCTAGACATGGGTTTCGAGCCGCAGATTCGCAAGATCATCGGACAGATCCGCCCAGACCGTCAGACGTGCATGTGGTCTGCAACCTGGCCAAAGGAAGTCCGTCAGCTTGCGTCAGACTACCAGCACAAATTCATCCAGGTCAACATCGGCTCCAGCGAACTGGCTGCCAACCATCGCATCACCCAGATCGTGGAGATTGTGTCCGACTTTGAGAAGCGTGACCGCATGCTCAAGCACATGGAGCAGATCATGGAGGACAAGAGCCACAAGGTCCTGGTCTTCACCGGCACCAAGCGTGTTGCGGACGACATCACTCGCTTCCTGCGCCAGGACGGATGGCCAGCACTCTCGATTCACGGCGACAAGGCGCAGAACGAGCGCGACTGGGTGCTCAACGAGTTCAAGACGGGCAAGAGCCCAATCATGGTCGCTACCGATGTGGCCTCGCGTGGTATTGGTATGATTACACGACCCTCCCTCCCCATCCCTCCCCAGCACTGCCCAAAGCTTCCTAACCTGCCGCATCACACTGTGGGATCTGTTCTTTCTAGGTCGCGCTCAATGCGCTCGGCGTGCACATGACCATGTGTGTCCAGGGCTGTTCGTGCACCTTTGTTCTCCAAAGGATCCTTGAAGACGTCTGTTACGGCCCAGCTGAGAAGCTTCGCCGTTGCATCTTCGTTTCTCTGCTTTCGTACTTTGACCGGTAAAGAAGCGAGACACGAGTCTTTTTGAAATGTTGCGTTGGTGTCACCGCTGCGCGCGTTCCAAGGATCCCACCTGAGGATGATCACGGCCTGTGACCGATTGGACGTAGATGTGTGCGTTTGAGCGCAGTAGCACCTGCTTTCGAGCATGGTTGCGCATGAGTGTCGCAGATGAGCGCACCAGACAGATCTCGCATCCGGCAAAGGATTGCTATTGCTCCTCAACTCACATGGCACTCACAGCATGACTTTACTAACTTTGCGCGTTTGAAGACGTCAAGGACATTACCCACGTGCTCAACTACGACTACCCGAACAACTCAGAGGACTACGTCCATCGCATCGGCCGTACTGGTCGTGCTGGTCGCCAGGGCACCGCCATCACCCTCTTCACTACTGACAGTGAGTACATTCCACCCCCTTATCACCGCAACACCGCTGACGTTCTTCCACAGACTCAAAGCAAGCTCGTGACCTCGTCAGTGTTCTCAAGGAAGCCAATCAGCAGATCGATCCTCGTCTCCAGGAGATGACTCGCTACGGCGGAGGCGGAGGAGGTGGCCGTGGGTATGGTGGTCGTGGACGTGGAGGAGGTGGTCGCGGCGGCGGAGGCTGGACCGGCAGCAACACGGCACCCCTCGGAGGAGGTCGTAGCCGCTGGTAAGACGTTGCGACTGTCCCATTCGATTCGATCAGGTCGCTGGCCATCCAGCATCAAGATACCATGCATTTCAGAAGAAGCCGGCGTTAATTAGAAGGGAAGGCGTCGGAGGGTGGGCTCACTGTCACGAGTACGGGAGGATTGAAGCATGATTTTCAGGGAAAAGAGCATTGCAGTTGCTTGCATTGAGCCGCTACCACCGATGCGAATCGAGAGCGGGATAGACTGCATCACTTGATACTGAATGAACGAAGCTGTTCTACGTCGTCAAAGGCTTTCATCCTTGTTCCCCATTCTGCGAACAGCTGTCTGCGCGCATCCTTCCCTACTTCATATGCTCCCATCGCTTCTCATCGGCGGAGGTGCTGCGTAAACGGCAACGCCGAGAGTCTCGCCGACGACCCACTGATCAGCAGATTGCGCGCGACAATGACAATCTTGCTCGTTTGCGGTATCCCACGTCGGTTCGCAGGATGCAGTCCCAACCTCGCCGGGAGGAGTTTCAGTCACTGTTGCCGTCACGTAATGGAGTAGACGTGGCATCAGACCCCATGTAGCCGGATGGATGACCATGAGGAGACCAGGAGGTTCCGCTTCCACGCAATAGATAGCCTATCTTGCCTTGCCTATCTTGACGGCATGTCTGAAAGGAGTCCGTAGCATCCTGGAGTTACATTGAATACATCTCACCCATGCGCGTGTCTGGTGCTCGTGCTCAATAGTGGCGTTTGAGTGCGTTCCATGTGAAAGCGAGATCGGCAGTTTCCGAAGGCGCAAAGACACCTCGTCCAAATATCCGAGGTTGGTTCAGCTATCGTGGCCTTGCCCGTCAATCAGACGCAGGTTATTCTTTGCTTCTCGATTGGGAGATAACCTTCGCCGTATGTACCCGCGAGAACCGCACACTTCCGCAAGAAATGGAGTGGGAACGGAGTGGGAAAAGGAACATGGTCCTTGTCCAATGTGGATTGCTTGCGCCATGGGAGCTGCAGGCAAGTCAAGACTGGCAGCAGATGGACCGCGGTCTGGCCGCTGCCGAGATCACGAGAGCACATGAGCCGGGCAATCATCTTGCATGTGAAGAATGCTGCTTGACTCGCAATGTATTGGAAGTCATCCTCAATTTGTTCTGGCCATCGGTGATCCACGGAAGAACTGCCCACCTCCCGCGGTTATTTTATCGGACATTTGCACAGTGTAGGTTTGCTGCATGTCGGCAAAACTGGGATCCGTGATGTTGTCTTGTAATGTATCTCCACAGTTGTGCGAAGCAAATTGGAACAATCGCAACGTCATGAGTGTCTTGGAGCGTGAAACGAGTTGAGGTCGACATAAGAAAATGGCCAGGCAAAGTAGGTCAGCGCTATGCCACGCTACGACAGACGGCTTGTTGCCTGCCAGTTCCCAGGGCCTTGTACCTAGGAAGTTAAAATCTATGGTCCGCACACGGCGCTTGTGTTGGTCAGATCCTCCCAGTAGTTGACGAAGTATAATCCGACTACATCCGTCTCGAACTTCCGGTCGATGGAGCAACAGTGATGCAGGAAGAACTTCACATATGAGCCGGCGGAGGAGCACGATATGGCAAGATGGATCACAAAACTCGTCGATGTCGAAGATACGGAATCCCTCCAGGTTGGTCTTGCCGGCCTGCTCGGCGAACGCGCCTACAAGCCTTCGGGATGAGGTGGAGGAACCTCTGTACAGCGTAGTGTCTGCTGCCGGCAAATTGCGTTGCAATTCAGAGACCGCTGTCCACTTCCTGTCTCTCATCATTGATTCCACGAATAGCCCAGCAGCCGACAAGGGTGGGGATATCGATATCCCGTTTGCGTTTGCGATGATTGGAACATGCACACCCTCACACCTTCGCCTGGTCATGAGACACACCGCTCAGGCTGTAGACGGATATGCCGAAAGCTCACGAGCGACGGCGAGTGGTTGTGCGGAGGCGAAAGTCTCAGCAGCCACCAACCACCTGTTGGCGGTGGAGGCGAATTACGTAGATGTTGTCTCTCTCTGGGTGGTTCTGCTGGTGAAAACGAGGTTCTTCGCTCTCAGCATTTGGTGGGTTTCATGGACGACATCTTTTGATTGGACAGGACGTCGCGGAAGGCGATATTGATTGTACCTATCCTCATGGTTGCCTGCCCCTGTAGCATGACAGGCGAGCGGCAGGCGGCCGTCAGTGATGAATGAGGATGTATTGCCCGACGATCCGGAGTCGTGGTGTTCCGGGCCACGGTTTTGCCGTGTGGGATGTGTGTTTGGAGAGTGTTTTGATCATTCGTGATGTGAGGTGGCCCTAGCGCCTGCCGTTACTCAATCATCGCGTCCCATCCTCTTCCACGCCAGCCTTTCTTCTTTCGTGCTCTAGCGTCCAGCTTCGCGACTACACCCGCATCTTTGGTGATCGAATCTACGGCTCTGCCACCCATCAAGCACCACCGCCATCACCGCGTTGTCCGCCGGCAGGTCGCGGCGCCGTCGCCATCCCGCTCGGGCGGCCGAGGCGATCTGCTCACCGCGATCCGCGCACCCCCCTCCACCCGCCACCCTCCTCATAGGCGAAACCCACCTTATTCCCACGCTTGGCCGATCGATATCACGGCCGGAGCTAGGATCGCCGCCGTCAATTAGCAACCGAGCTTCCTCCAGACGCGCCACACCTGCTCCTGCGGGCTCAAGCTGCCTGATTCGCACTGGACGACACGCAACAACAGATCCCACGTCGAGGCTCGTGCACGAAGATACGCTCTGAGTGAATTTCATCACGGACATCAGCCGGCTGTCTTTCACCGCCGTCGCCTTTCGTCAACCCACTCGCCTCTGCAATTGGCTGGCCGACCTGGCTGCCAAGCAGCAGAGTTTTCTTCACGCTCGATCACCTGCCAAAGCGCGTCCACACCCCTCGACGAGCTTAATTTGCGAACTCGCATCTGCAATCTAAGCCGACCACGCAGCCGAGTGTCGTGCACGTCCGCGATTCACAGCTTTGCAGTGAAGTGACCATTCAGGGTTGCAGCGTTGTCCGCCTCTCCGGTGGACTCTGTTGGTTTGCTCGTGTCGAAGACCCAGCGCTCTGTCAAAGGTCCACTTCGCCAGCTGTGGGCCCTGCAGCAAGTTGGCTTCGACGCTTCCGCGCTTCTCCCAAAACCGCTTCCCAGCCCGGCCGCTAAAGCGATCAACGAAAGCTCCGCAAAGTTTTAACTCTCCTGGGAGAAGCCTGCTCACCCTTGGCTGCGTTTAGACCTGATATTCAGGGCCAAAAGCCACCAAGCATCTGCCATATCTCGCGCTATCCGCCATTGCACCTAGCTTCACCTTGTCGTCCAGCACGCTTCGTGCTTCGGCAGATCCTAGATTCTACGGGAAGACCTCCGTAGTTCGACCGCTTCCCCAACACACACCCACACGCCCGCCCGACGCTAGGCTCGAGTGAGAAACAGATCAAAACAACACGCTCGCCGTCCGTGCGAATCCTGATCCCTCACCCACCCACGCTAGAGCTTGAAGAGTGGAGCTTGCTCGAGGTTCCTTCTGCACATCATCGCTAGGAGTTGAGAGTACCGAGGAAGGCTGTCCATCAAAACAGCTACCTCTCCCGGCCGCGCCTTGCCGGACACTTGTCACTCGAGCGCGAACCAGTGCCACTTTGTTCGGAGACTCGCGCTACTACGCGCACGACTGTGTCATCCGCAGGACATAGTATGCCCAGTGGTTACACAACAGCACCTACACAAGGCCAAGACGCATCCCTCAGCGCGATCCTCTCATCACACCTTCACGAGAACCATTCGAAGTCAATGGATGGTAGACAACAGGAGTATCCGCAGTCAGGTTTGAGCTCACCATACGCGCCATACAACGAAGCCCAGTCTGAACGGTCATCTGCAGATCAGGCGTCTGCTGTGCAATACCAGCCTAGCTCCGACTACAAGCCTTCAACTTTCTCGTCCTCCGCGACTCCAAACTCAGACTACGGTCTACCCCAGTCTGCGCGCTCAGGCTCGTTCCCAGACTACATTCAACGGTCGTACGCCGACGGCCAGCCCAACCGCTACCCTCCGAGTGCTGCGGGTGGACACGCGGGTATGGCGCAAACCTCAAGTCCGTCCCAATCCATGTCCGATACACAGCAGCCTAACGGGCACGCGTCGAACAACATGAAATCTGACGGAGATGTCCCAATAGATCCCTCGATAGCACAGTCCAGCCCGACCTACCCTCCCCACAACTATTCGCCTTATCCCCAGCAGCAGCATGATATGCAGCAACAGCAATACGCAGGCCAGCCCATCACGTACGGGCGACCTGAATGGGCCGGATACCACCAACAGCCGATGTACGGCCACTCGCCAGCAACGACAGGCGGTGCCGCGCCTAACATGCCGGCGCACACCATGCCTCGTCCCCCACCGGTGGGTAGCGTCTTCGGTGCGGCACCACCATTCCCGGCAACTAATTATTACATGCAGGGCGGCCACCCACTCTCGACAGTGTACTCATTCGTCCCCATTCCGGGCGCGCAACAACACAAGCGACCAAGGAGACGGTATGAGGAGATTGAACGGATGTACAAGTGCGGCTGGAACGGATGTGAGAAGGCGTATGGTACGCTCAATCACTTGAATGCGCACGTGACAATGCAAGGACACGGCTCCAAGCGGACCCCCGAAGGTAAGCTGCTATCATTTCCATACTTCTGTCATGTTTGGCGGTGATGGAAGGAGTCGTAGAGGGCAAACGGCACTGTCGCAGGGTCTATGGGTTTTCCCGACCAGTAGTTCGGTTCAGAACTTTCGCGCGGCGCTAGCATGAACGCCGCATCCATGCTTGATTTTTAGCAGCTTCGACCTTCCCTGCACACTAAACACATGACGACAGAATGCTGACTTGACATTATAGAGTTCAAAGAGTAAGCCGCTAACACGAGTATGCTCTTGTTTTGACATGAGACATTGCTAATAATCATCCCTTCTTGCGTTACAGGATACGAAAGGGTTGGTGCTTCCCTTTACCCTCTAATGATTAATGCTGACTCGTGGCAGAGTGGAAGGCGAAGAAGAAGGAAGACGAGCAGGCCCGGAAGCAGGAGGAAGAACGGCAGCGCCAGGAAGCTGCTCGCAACGGACAAGACCCTGGCCAACCGCAGGGCACACCCAGCCAGTATGGCCAGCCTAACATGATGCCGCATCAGATGGGAGGTCCCCAGCTGCCACCTATCGGGTACCAGCCTGCCGGCCAACCAGCAGCGGGTTACGCGCAGCAGCAGCAGGTCGACGGTGCTCCGCAGTATGCTCCCAGTGGTCAGATGTACGTGCAGTATCGCCACATCATACGCCTTCATCTTTGGGCTTGCTGACATCCACTCGCAGGTATGGTGGGCAAGGGTATCCGCAGAGCCCATACGGACAGGGCGGTCTTCCTTATCAGCAAGCGCCGCCAGGTCAACACTATCAACAACAGCAACAGTAAGGCAAGCGAATGCCAGGTCATCATGGGTTCTTGGACTTCACCGTTTTACGACAACTGCGGGGGAAAACAAACATCATTTGCAACGGTTCATGTATGCTGCATTTTCAACGCATCGGGTGGAGAGCGTTCCTGTTTCTGCGAACTGGACGAGTATGAATGAACGGCTGGCCCTCTCGGCACGCAACATCTTAACGGCCGGTCAGCGATACCACACCTGCGATACCACATTTCTGGGCGGATAGAGATTGAGAGAAGAGTTACGGCGTCTTTCATGTGTTTGCAGGAGGAATCGGGCGGTGTTGTACATTCACTACACTGCTCAAAAACTCCTCTAGTGGGAGACGAGTCGACTTTTTGCTGAGGCATCGCTTGCGTCCTCTGCGCTCTAGCTACCATACCCAATCAACAACGCGATGGTTTTATACCATTCGTTATGTGTCAACTGCGTCGTCGAGCACCTATGCGCCCCAATCATCTCACAGCCATACTAGTTGCCTAGCGTTGACCGAGAACAACCACCCCATCCCTGTCCGCCCACGCGGCAGCAGCAGCGCGCTATTCTAGCAGGATCCTGGAAATAGGCAAGCAGCTAATGTATGCTTAACTATAAGAGTTCCGCGAGACGGTGTTGTGTAACCTTCGGGTAAGCGGTGGCAAAAAGCTGGCTTGCTGGGGGCTTGCAGGTGGATAGCGTGGAGCGGGATGCTTGGCTCAAACTAAGACTACCGACATCAGTGGCAACCACTGTGCCGGCAAGCCGGATACTGCGCCTTGTGAACCACTCCATGTCACCGGCAGCAAATACCACTGCAGCGGGCTGTAGGTCATGGGTGACTCTCCGCCTGCGATGAGCTGAACTGGATCTGCTATGTGAGGTGGTAAGAAAGCGTTGGTGCCTCCCGAAGCCGATCCTCCCGGATCCCAAACCTCCACACCGGCATGACGATCGAAAGGCTTAGCCAGGACCTCAGCTGCCCCGGAATCCGACGGTATGGTCACAACGGTCAAGCTACTGCAAGTCACACTGGGCCGGTAATGACGGGGCTAGTCCGAGAGCGAGCGGGTGCATTGGTGCGGCGCTGCGTGAGATCTGGCAGCTGGCATACAGTAGTGGCGGCAATCTGGTCGCCACGCGTCTGGGTGCCGACAGCCATATCATGCAATGTAGCGACGAAAGTGCCGGCGTTGGGGTCTTGGGTCTTGGTGTGAAGTGCCGAGCGCTGAGGAAGCCTGGGGGTACGATCCCTGTGGTGGCGAATGACTGATGGACGTACCGCAACTTGAGCAGGACAGACAGGGTGCCTCGTCGATATGAGCACGGCATGTGCTTTGCTATCAGCGGGAGGTTGAGCCGACTGGCTGAAGGGATTCCATTGTCGACGCAGAGCCTTCAGTCTGAGCATGCTGCATGCCTGGGTGGCAAAGAAGTCATATTTTGTTGGTGAAGGGTACAACAGTTGCAAGAATCGCAGCCATGCTTGACGGTTATTACAGACGCCGTTGCAGCAGTGCTTTGAGGCTCAATGGTGGCAAGGGTGGTCTCGTCAGCATCTCGGTTGCGCAAGTACCTTGTACCCCTTGCCCTGAGTGGTGGCAACCCGACCTCTTGACACTGTTGGGGAGCCGCTAACAATCTCTTGATTCTACCGCATCATTGACACTATAGGATTTGCCTTCAGCGCGCGTTTCTTTGCTCTTTTCACGTATTGACGATCGTTGTGCTACGAGGCTGCTGACAGTTGATCAACAGGAAACTGTAGGACACCAACCGGAGCCACGCTGAACAGGGGACGCTTCCCAGTCTCGTTGAGAGCAGCGCTATCGTCTCCCTCATATCATGATTGCACGCTGTCGTGTTTGGACGGAGCTCATGCAATAAAGTACACGATGCCAGTCGACGAACGCATCGCTTCAAGGCCACAGTCGACGAGCACAAGCATCCCTCTCCTTCTCCGAGTGTGCGACAGCCCCCTGACGAGAGCTCGAACGCGACTTGTCTTGTTGAGGACATCGGGCATCCGCCAGCAAGCCTTGTCGACGGCCGGTGACGGTAGGAGTCTAGTTGATAAGGGAGAAGACATACGGTTCACGATGAAGCAGCAAGCAAGCGCATAGAGCTCGAGAACAAGTAAACAGACTGTGTCGCAGCCTCATACGATCGAACAACAAGCCGCAGTCATCGACAGCTGACGCGTGTCAAGCTCGACCAACTTCAGTCCTTCAATCTAACATCGTCATAATTAGGAGACCTACCAACACGAGCGCAGCGCGACAGCTCGTCCGAACTTCGACCAACCGTACTGTCACAACCGAAGTCACCGAAGGCTTCTCCAATAGCAGGGTTGAGGTACGTCTAGACGACAAGACCTTGCATCTCCGCAGCCTCCTCGTTCGCATGCGATAGAAAGACAGACCAGAATATGCTCTGCAACACGACTGTTACAATCGCGCGGATCGACTCAGAGCTTCTCTGACACCTACCACGGACCATAGTCTCGGAATCGTTGTACCGAAAGGCAACATATTCTATACAGAATACGCCTCAGAAAAACGAGAACGCGGCAGCATTGCAGCATTGATGCTGATGGCGCCAAAATGGCTGCGGGCATCGGTCGACGTCGTCAGTGACCGAACTTCGGTATCAGCAGACGAGCACACCAAGAGCAAGTCGTGCCTGTACTTAGCACAGTTGAATCCAGGGCACGTGCGTAAACGGGACCATTGAATGCTTAGGAAGGCTCTGAGGATTTACGATGGTCGGATCTGTGGACGATGAAGAGACGGACAAGCCAGCTAGCACCCTTGCTATGCAGCAATGGCATTAGAGAAGATCACTAAAGCTGGAAGGAAGTGGCATCGCTGAAGCAGAAGCAGGAGTACACGGCTGGCGGCGGCGTCGTCTCAACTTGAGACCTGGCATCAACACAGGTTGGGCAGCTTGTGTGCGAGCGTGGCACTTTGTCAAAGTCATCGCTGTGAGTACGTGTTCTTCGCTCTGAAAGCCACGTTGGCCGGCGTTCAGGACCTCCCGACGAAGCTGCTAGCCTCCACTTGTTCGGCGAGTCGGTGCGTGTATTGGTGGCACCCATTCGTAACAATGATGAGGGCCGGCATCGAGCAGGCGGCCATACTTCGATTCCTGACCCAGAGGAATAGAAGCACGAGGCAGTGGTCGTCCAGGGATGGGCGAGGCGATATGAGAAGTGGTGACAGAGCTGGCAGCCGGTCTTGTTTCTGGCGGATCGCAGGGGCTGCAGGAAAGGGATGAGACTGTCGAGCTCAGAGGCGAGAAGAGGTGCTCTGCTTCAGATATCCACACCTTATGGTGGTACAGATTGGGCATAGAAAGACCGCTTCTCAATTTCCAGCTTCAAGGCTTCAAGCCTTCACTGGCGGCCTTGCAGACTCCCTAGTGTGCTGAAAAGCGTTTCTTTGGTACAATGTGATTATCGACAACCCTCCTTCCCTGGTTCTTTATATTGAGAAAGAGTTGAACGCAGAGCAAGGCTTGGAAATCACCAAATCGACGCGTGCCCCACTTCACTCTAGGTTTCGCGTCACGCTCGTCCATCCAACAACGTGAACACCAACCTCACTACAACCACAAGTACATAACCAAGATGTCCGACGACGTAGACGGCGCGTACGACAACACTCACCGCGCCTTCCTCCAAGCCCTCCTCTCACGACAAGTCATCACCTTCAACGAAGCAAAACCGTTACTCGCAGCCATTCAAACTGCCAACGAACCAGAACGACCGACTCTCCAGGAAGACATCTCACACGAAGACTTTGACAACTACGTCTACACGCTCAACTCAGCCATCTCGCCCTTCGATTTTGAGATCAGAAGCACGCTCCATCAGACCACGAAGCAGAAAATCTATGCTCTCGTCAACACGACCAGCGATGCGCTCACGCAGATGGCGACAGTGCATTCGGCGGATGAGATTACGTTTGTGAAGAGAGTGCTGGATGCGATGTTCGACACCAACAATACGCAGCGAGCGGAGGTTATGGCTATTTCGTCTATGCAGGCGCTCAAACTCGCGAAGGACGCCAACCGGAGGGAGTCTGGCAATACTCAGGCGCAGAATGCTGGACTGACGATGAGCCAGGCGGAGAAGGTGCTGCAAAGTATGGTGGACGAAGGATGGTTCGAGCTGTCTACGCAAGGGTTTTACACGCTCACACCACGTGCGCTGCTGGAGTTGAGAGGATGGTTGATGGACACGTACAATGACCAGCCAGCGGAGGACGACGAGGATGAGGAGGAGGTGCATGAAAAGATCAAGTTCTGCCAGGCTTGCAAAGAGATTGTTACGCAGGGTGAGCGGTGTCCGAAGCTGGCGTGTCTGGCGAGGTTACATGCGCATTGCGTGAGAAGCATGTTTAGAGCACAGGGCAACAGGGAGGAGTGTCCTGTTTGCAAGACTGCATGGGTTGATGCGCCGCCGGTGGGTGAGAAGGCTGCGAGGAACGCGAGAAGATCTACGGGTGGTACTGGTGGTAGGAGGTCGAATAGGATGCGCAGGGATGCTGCTGCGGATGAGGATAGCGATGCAAGTGGAGGTGGTGGTGAGTGATCTCGAAAACGGGCGGGACGTATCTTTAATATTAGCGAGGCGTCAGGCGTTAATCTCGAGGCACTCAGAGCAGTGCACCAAGAATGGGTTCGAATGTCATAGCATTGTTCAGCTAGAGTAATTGCTCAGCTCGCCCAGAAGAGCAGCAGCAATACCATAGCCTGCTGCAACCATCCGCCATTCACACGTTTGCCATGAAGTAATCGCTCTCCCATGCTCTCCTGTCCACCGCTGCTCCTTTACCGGTAAGACTTCTGGTACCGCGCACGCGCACCTGGACCGCCGAACTTCTTTGGCTCGCATCGCCTGTTGTCGGCCACGAGCAGGGTACGGTCGTAGGCCACGAGTGCTTGCTTGAGCTGGTTCTTGCTGTGCTCGTCGATGTACTTCTGGTAGTAGGCGATCTAGAAGGGGAGGCAGCGTCAGCACAGTGTACTCACGCGATCGTATCCTGCCCAGAGGCTAAAGTGATGTTCGACTTACGATGCTCTTTGCGATAGCCTGGCGAATGGCGAAGACTTGTGAGACGTGGCCACCACCACGGACTCGCACTCGGATGTCGACGTCGGCTGTACATAAATTGTCAGCGCATTTTCTTCCATTCATAGCTCCCCCGTTCGAGCTCGTCCATGGGCGCAAGTCCATCCGTGCAAGCCTCTCCATCACAGCCATATTTTGCCCTTGCGCCCAGAACACCGCCTCCTTCCACAATCACCAAAGGTATCCGCAAACGTACAGAACTTGTCCAACCCCAAAATCAACAGCGGCTCATACACCTTGAACCTCAGAATCTGCGGCTCGACGAGCGAGAGCGGCTTGCCGTTGACCTTGACGAGGCCCTTTCCTTGCTTGCAGTGCGCCACTGCGGTCGCGGTCTTCTTCTTGCCGAAGCATTGGACGGATTGCACGGCGGCCGACATGTTGGGTAGTGTTGTCGGGTGTGCGGTCGGCTCGAAGGAGTGTGTGGTTGTAGTTGTTGTCAAAGTTCCTTCGGTCGTCTGTATGAAGTGCGGCTTCACGAATTTTGGTGGGCTTGGCAGTTGCTGCCTGAGGTGTGGACGCTAAAGTTCACCTCACTTTCGACTCTCAGTCTTCTACTCCTATGAGATGGCAACGTGCGATACTTTTGAACAGCGAACGTCCCAGCAGCCGTTTACGAGTACGCTGATGTAGATTTCCGTTGAGGCCATACAAACGGGATGAACCACAAATCAGCTACATCTGGGTGAATCGGGACCTAGGCGAACATGCTCTATGCTCTTGGTTCAAATGGCTCGGCTCAGCTAGGCGTCGGGCATACAGACGACCTATCGGTTCCACAGCCCGTGTCAACTAGAGGCAGACAAGTCACCTGGAAGGTCAAACAGTTCGCAGCAGGCGGCAACCACACCATCCTCCTCAGCGACGATGGCAAAGTCCGCGTCACCGGCAACAACGAAGATGGCAGATGCGGCGTCGAGGGCGTTCATCAGCTCAAACAGTTCGAAGAGCTCCAGTTGACTCGTGGCTTGACTGCTCTGCACGTTGCCGCCAACTGGTCTGCAACGACCATCGTTCTCAAGGATGACGCTGTTTGGACCTGCGGTACAGGTCTCAGCGGCGAGCTCGGCCTAGGTCCTGAAGTCAAGACGTCCGCCCACTTGCAGCGCATCGCGAACTTCCCACCGCAAGGCACTCAGGTCAGTCATCTTACCTCAGGCATGAGCCATACGGTTGCTATTCTCGCAAACGGTGAGGCCTACGGCTGGGGCAGAGGACGCAAAGGCCAGCTCGGCGAGCCTGCTCAGGAAGTATGGACGCCACGTAAGATCTCGGGTCTTGATTTCAGGGCTGTCAAAGCTGTCTGCGGTACGGATTTTACTTTAATCGTCGGCGAACCATCAACTGGTCGCATGACTCTCCTCGGCGGACATAGCAACGACCGTTTCGGTCTGAGTAGCAACAGGCCCCTGTCCATCGAAGGCTGGAAGGACATAGCAGCATCTTGGTGCAGCATCGCAGTACTCAGGGCTTCGGGCGAGCTTGTAGCATGGGGCCGGAACGATCACGGGCAGCTACCTCCAGATGGTCTCCTAGAAATCGAAGCAATTGCGGCGGGCAGCGAACACTGTCTTGCGTTGACGAAGACTGGAGGTGTGTTAGCTTGGGGATGGGGTGAGCATGGGAATTGCGGATCGCCTACCAATGAGCGAGGTGATGTGAAAGCGCGATGGAACGAGCTTGAATTCACCGGGCGGGCGAAAATAGTTTTCGCTGGATGTGCGACGAGCTTCATCGAAGTCGAGGAAACTGGGATGGACGGAGGATGAGGAGATCAGTCGAACATGCCATGCAGCTGAACATGTCAGCTTTTGATATGACAGTTTCGGACCTGGACATACCTGCGACAAGCGCTGCGTTGGCTCCAGGCCTTCCTGGCTTGCGTGAGCGGACGGCTGGACACCTCTCGAAGACTGCGCAGCCGAGCCGCTGTCCCGGAATGTCGGATGAAAGTTCGCACTCGGATCCTCGTTATTCGCATCCCATCCGAGCATTTCTTCCTCCTCATCGTAGTTCGGCGGATTCCATACCTGGTCATCACCACCAGGCATGAACAGACTATCAGGATGCGGATCCGTCTCGGGACGCGTAGCCGGCGCCTGTCGCATCGACTCCTTTAAAGAAAGCCTCTGACTTTGGCTGGCAGGCGGAGGCTTGTTCGGCACAGGACGGGCGGGTGGCGGCATCTCAGATGCACTCCGGCTAGGCGCAACGGCTGGTGTGGTAGATGGCTGCCTTGAGGAGCTCCGGTTGGTGACGAAGTTGGGGTTGGGCGTGGAAGAAGCGCCCCTGTAGTCTCCTGTGGTCATCAAAGTAAACTCGCAGTAGATACCGAAGCTCTGGTAGCTGAACTGCAGAGGTCTTGTTGGGAACGAGAAATGTGCATTGATGGTGGTCCGGAGCGTGTCGGCGTGCGTCACGATAGCTTTGAAGTCCTTGACACTGATGACGATGTGCATATTCTCCTGCATGTGGAAGTCTTCAAAGTCTTCCGTGTGAAGCGAGATGGCAGTCTCCAGCGGTTGCTTCAGGACCTCTGTAGGGTCTTAGCTGTGCCGCCAAAACAACATCAGATGGGCTTACCTTTGCCATCTTGAACCTTCTCCGTAAAACTCGTGAAGATAGCCTTCCCTTCCGCTGCCAGGAGGTCCAGCTGCTCAGTCTTCGGTCCAAAGTACTCGATGTACTCGCGGAGGACTCGTGCGGAGATCTTCCAGCCTTGCGATGCTGCTGTTCTGTCGAACAGTGCATGCATGACCTCTACCGGCTCGTACGTCAGACGGTATGTCTTTGTCATGCCTGCTTGATGTTAGTGAAACGGTTGGAGACGTCGTCCCGAAGATGATTGGTCACCATGCTTGCACAGCATCTTCACGACAAGGCGACACTCCGCCTTGTCGGGCTGATCTTGGACGGAGACATCGCACCGCTCCACTGCACTCTCGCGACCACGACTGTCATTTGCCCGACCTTTGAAGACAGACTGCAGCGCCTGCGAAGTCCGATCAGCATGAGAGTCTGGCCAGGGGATGCGTGAGGCTGACCTTGTTGAGGATCTGGCACGTGAACCTGTCTCCGTCCTTTGCAGCACCACTACCCTGGAACTCATAGTTGATGAAGAAACTCCTCGAGTCCAAGGCGAATGACGCGTACGCCGTCCGTGATAGATTCAAGGCCGTGAACGTGAGCTGTACCCTTGTAAGATTACTGTAGACATCGACAGTGGTATTACGCACCTTCTCGCCTCGGGCCTCGATCGCGACTGTTTCTCCGAACTTCGCAAGGCACACCAGCAGCTCGTAGACGCGTCCAGTGGCCTCTGACGAAAGAGAAAAGTTGAGGTTCGCCATGGTCGAGGTCTTGGCAGGCAAAGTTCGAGATCTTTGGAGACGCGCTTTCACGTCTTCGCGTCACAACATCCGAAACCAGGCAGAACATCAACTACGGCTTCAGATCCGTCCCATCTCTCACTTGGTATGACCACCGTCGGACGCCTTCAATCACTTCAGCGATATCGGATATCGTCACGTCGCGATGGCTACTGAGTACAATCAAGCCGCCTTGCCCGGGGACCTACTCCATCTACTAGCGCAACAGCTTTCCGAGGAGAGAGACTTTCCAACTCTATACAACTGCGTTGTGAGCAGCAAGCAGCTTGCGAGTGCTGGCGCCGTCAACGCCCTTTACAGGTCGGTGCAAGTCATGTTCTACTTGGGGAAGCCACTTTAATTGACAGCATGTACAGAATCAGCCACCATGCCCCAGTCCAGTCGGGCGGTAGCGAAGCCGTGTCGCAAGCTGAACAAGAACTCAACGTCCAGAGGTGGTCCATTCTATGGCGTACCATCATCCTCTCCGCCTTGGGCAAGACCCTTTACCCCTATTGCCGCCACCTGCGGATGTTGGACCTTCGCGACCTCAATGCGCTTTTAGAAGACGAGAAGTTTCGAGGCAAGATCTCGAAGGTCTTCTTCGCTAGCGAACTAGCACGCTTCCACTTCACGCGCAATACACCAGCAAAGTCTCGAGCCGCTGTTGGACTTGACCGGATAAAAATCATCAACGCACTCGGAGAGCAAATTATCCAGCAAGCGCCTCTTCTAGAAGTGCTTTCGGAGCCTACACTGTTGCCCATGCTGTCGACGGCTCTTCTCACCTGGACACCGAGGCTGGGCCAGCTACGCAGGCTTGAACTTTTCTCGCAGAAGGCGCTCGCGGACGAGACTATCCGCAACCTCTTGCATTCGCACTGCCCTCATCTGGAAGCGATCACGATCTTCGGTACTAATGAGCCCGAAACCGATCACGCCTTAGCAAGCTTCATTGGAGGCATGCCGGCAGACAAACTTAGCCATTTAGAGATCCTCGGCGACATAGGAGTTGGCACAGAGACCTGTCTGGCTCTGAACAGCCATGGAAAAAGCCTGACCACGCTCAAGCTACGCCTTGGAGACGAAGGCATCCTTGCGCTTGCACTTCTGCAAAGTTGCACCGCGGTCGAGAGTCTTTCAGTGGGAAGCGACAAAGGCTACGCTGTCGACCTAAGGGGTACACAGAACGATGTGTACCTGGAAATAGTGACATGGTTAAAGGGCTGTACCGGCCTCAAGTCCCTAGAGGTCTTCAACATGACCTCGGCGCCACAGCTGTGTACGCCTATCCTTCTCAGCCATAGTGCGAAGCTCGAAGAGATCTCAATCAATGCGAACGACGACTACACCTACGTCGTCAAGGACCACCGCGAGTTCCACGAAGCGCTTTTAGAGCAGCCGTCTCTTCGTCGGCTGCAGCTGAAGGCTGATCCTGAGCCACCAACACGCAAAGACATCGAGCTCTTGGTTACGACTTTCAGTTCTCTCAAAGGGCTACGCCAGCTCACCATGATACGTCTCTCAGACTACTTCACGGACGACCATATCAGCTACGTGGTCGGGAGTCTACCAGAGCTCGAGAGTCTCTACATTGGCGGCTTCGGTGCCACTGACGCTGCACTCGACAGCCTGGCCAACCTCAAGAATCTGACAACCCTCACCATCAGCAGTCTCACCAGGTTTTCGTCGGAAGGCGTATCAAGGTTTATCGAACAGCTCGGACCGGGCAACAAGGGTCTGGGCCTGTCCATTGAGAGCGCAGATCCGGACTACGCAATCACTGAGGAGGAGCAGGAGGTGCTGAGGGAGCTGATCCAGGTCAAGGTTGGCGGACGGTTTGATTACCAACTCTTCAGAGGTAATGATCTCGACTCCTGGCATGCGGCGTTGACAGCTGACACTTTGCGGCAGATCCAAATGTACCAGATTTCGATACTGATGACTCCGACTGATTTCAATCTGCGGGAGGGCCTGAACTGGCCTCGAAGCGACATTTGAGCCTTGTCCGACAGCGTCCGTGGTTAGGATGATGCATGAGACAGTATGCCAATGCTCACATTTGCTGGCTTGAGCAAAGGAAAGCAGGGTATTGCTCTGTTCGACCTGACGTCAAAGTGGGAATTATGGAGAAGAAGACGGCAGAGACTGCTGTGTCAAGCATCAGAGGCTCGTTCAATTAGTTTAGGCTAAGCATCACAAACCACACGCGGCCGTATAAGGTATTCCTGCTCTTGGTAGTCGAAGCTGTGCCATTTCTGCGGAAGTCTACGGCCGTGACCTCGAAATCCAAGCACTCGTCTCAACAAAATCACCTCGATCATGACATCTTCTCTAAATTTGACGTGAAATCATAAAGCGTTATCGCCACCTCACGTCGATGTCAGCGATAATAGGCTGTGGTATCTCGCGATGATGAAACGAATACTGGTGATCGCAGGTACAGATAGCTCAGGCGGAGCGTAGGTGAACACCTATTCCATAACCAGTCCAGGCTGCTCACTGTAAAAGCTAACGACCTTCTTATTTGCAGTGGTCTCGAAGCCGATCAGAAGGTCATCGCGGCGCACGGCTGCTATGCCATGACCGCACAAGCGGCCCTGACTGCCCAGAACACACAAGGAGTCAGGGCCATCCATGAGGTACCAAGTGACTTCGTTCGGCAGCAGATAGAGGCTTGCATCGAGGATGTTGGCGTCGATGTCGTCAAGACTGGTAAGATAGAGCCCTCTTAATGGAGAGGGATATGCTTATGGGAACGCGAACAGGCATGCTGGCTTCTGCGAGCACAATATCAGTCGTTGCGGAGCAGATCGACAGACACAACATTGCCGTGACGGTCGTTGATCCTGTCATGGTAGCTACAACAGGAGCTGAACTGTTGCCGGAGAAAGCTGTCAAGACACTATGCGAAGAACTGCTCCCGAAGACGTACATCTTGACACCAAATATCCCAGAGGCGAACCTCATCCTCAAGGAGGCTGGACAACAGGCTATTGATATACAGGATCTGGAAGGCCTCAAGAAGCTTGCAGCTGCTGTATACAAGCTTGGGCCGAAGCATGTCCTCATCAAGGGCGGCCATGTACCGCTCACGACAGACGATCGAGTTGCAAATTCGGACGATGAGAAACAGATTGTTGCCAACGTGCTTGTTGGCGATGGCATATCGGAGATCTTCAAGTCACGGTACCAGAAGTCGAGGAACACACATGGCACAGGATGTTCGCTTGCATGTAAGGTCAGCCCGCTTAACTTAGTCTTCGAAGAAGTGGTTTACTAACGTCACGCAGCCGCCATTGCCTGCAATCTTGCTGAAGGCCATGGCATAGTACGAGCCGTCCGAGAAGCCTGCAGATACGTAGACGCTGGCATACGTACCAGCAAGGATTTAGGCAAAGGCAACGGGCCCTTGAACCATTTCCACTCGCTGCAGTTTCTACCCTTCTCTCCGTGAGTGTCATGCACACGGCTCTGCTGGCATAGCTGATGGTCTACAGCGGCTCATTCATCGAACATGTTCTCGACCGCGAGGACGTGAAGCCAGCCTGGCATGAGTACACGCATCATGAGTTCGTCCGAAAGATGGGAGATGGAACGCTGCCGGAGGAGAACTTCAAGTACTACATGATCCAGGACTACCTTTATCTTGTATGCTCATGTACGAACATGGGTCCTGGTCTTTGCAGCTGACTCCAAACAGATACACTTCGCAAGAGCAAACGCACTCGCTGGCTACAAGACAAAGTCGCTTGACGATATTGCTGGGGTAAGTCAATACCATATCAATTGGTCATGGCTAAAAAGTACTTACTTGCTTGGACAGGCTGCAACGATCGTAACACATATCCGACAGGAGATCAACCTCCACATCAAAGAGTGCGAAGGTTTTGGCCTCACGCAAGCAGAGATTGAGCAGTATCCGGAGAGTCAAGGTGATGTCTTCCGGTCTCTTACAACCCGTCGTCCACTGCTAACGTTCTATCAGCCTGTACTGCCTACTCCCGCTTCTGCCTCGACATCGGCCAGTCGGAAGACTGGCTCGCACTCCAGATCAGTCTGCTGCCTTGCCTGCTCGGGTATGGCATGATAGCGAAGCGGCTGCACGAGGAGCAGGCGAAGAATCCACCTCAGAAGAACAGGTACAAAACGTGGATCGACAATTACGTTGCAGAAGACTACACTGCGGCGGTGGAGAAAGGATGCGGTGAGCTGATCACTCTAATTCCATGTCTCAATGGCTTCTGCATATGCTGATCCGTCTCCATAGCACTCATTGAGAAGCATGCTGGCAAGCAAAGTCCAAGTCGAATAGAGGAGCTAGTCAAGATTTTTGTGCAAGCAACCAGGGTATGTTGCGTGCTTCTTGCCACGAGTAGACGCCTATGGACCAATGCTAACGTGCAGTCATCAACAGTTGGAGACTGGATTCTGGGACATGGCATCAAAGCCGTGAGACATCAGGTTCATTATATACTTCACATTGCTTCGTGCTCCTAACTGGGATCCGTACGCCAGCCATCGAACGCTATACCCGACCGAAATGTGCTATATGAAATCATTTAAAGCTTCGACGAGCTGCCCTGTCTCGTGACGGTACACTGAATCAGACCGTTGGGATCGCTTTGCGGTGCATACACCTCCGCGTCCTCGCCTGTGTTCTTCAGGCCCTTGAACCAGCTGAGGTCTGTTAAAATCGTTAGCAATCGACGTACAGCAATACATCTGAATAGTTTACAAAGCTTACCAATCTCAAAGTAATGCTTGTTCGGCAATTTGTACTCCACGGAATCCACCATCGGCACCTTCGCCAGTATCTGCTCAGACATCAGATACATCGTATTCTGCACGCTCGGACTGTCCTCCTTCGCGAAGGTCTCCAGCGTGATTGTCCTGGCATCGGTCCACGCCTGGTCAAATACACCTTGCTCCTTTTCCACATCCGCTAATGTCTTGAAGATCCGCCAATTCCAGCCGGCTTCGACTTCGGTGCTCAGTATCCGGTCTCGGGTCTCAGGCAATCGAGTGTACTCGTCCTTGTGGTAGCCCCAGAACTGTGATCCCGTACTCTTAAGCACCAACAGCCCTGTGATTCCACTCCGAATGCTGATGCCCTTCCCTCGCTCAGCGGTACACTCCACCACCCTCTTGTCCTCCCCATCCCTCAAGAAGCTATGGGGATGCGGCTTCCCGTCCACCTCCATCCTCGTCCATCGATGTACTGTCACCCACACATGTGCCTTCGTCATCCACTCGTAGGTATCGATGTAATGTTGAGCCAGGATCGCAGCGAAGAGCTCGGGAGGGTTGACAGGATGTTGCTTCGCCATCACATACGCGGTCTGCTTCTGCGTATCCGTAGCGACGATGCTGGCGTTGTCGGCCTTCGTCCACGAAGCGGCAATGTCGCCTTCGAGCAAGGAGCAGACGGTCATCTCGGTGACGGATTGGGTCTTGTCCGGGTGTCGTTGGACTTTGTAGAGGCGGACATTGTCCTTGCCGTATTGGGCGTGGGAGAGGGTCGCGTTGGACATGGTGGTTGGATGCTGTGGCTGTGTTGATGGTCGATTGTTAGGACGTATCTTGGTGTTGAGACTGATTGTGCCGTTGTCACGGTACGATGAAGAGGTCAATGGGAAGGTCGAGTTGAGCAGAAGAGGAGCAATGGATTGACAGCAGACCTACGAAGTATTTCGGGCGAGATATATGCAAAAGAAAGTCCTTATCTATCGGCCGGCACCCGCAACATCTGATCAACACTCAACAGCAACAGAGGTACGTTCGAGGTCTGCTGTCGGCGAGATGCGAGGTGGACATGCAGCATTCGGTTGTGATTGGCTCTTCAGACTCCGGCGCTAGCTGATGTTCAAAACCCGCCAGACCGTCGTGAAGGCTCACGATTTTCTCGAGAAGAGGCGCCTGCCGACTGAATGCGAGAGGGCTCCTGTTCAGCGGCCGGCAGGCTTGAGCAGGCTGGCAGGAGAAGTGTCATGTTCTCGAGATGCCCAGCAGATGTGATGCCACCTCACTTCCTGCTGAGATATTTTGGCTGCAGCCATGTCTGTCGAGAAGACCGCCGAATTGCTCCCCAACCTTGGACTCAATCAGTGTAACAACAGTCCGTCTGAATGGAGTTGTACTACTCTGCTCCCGACCGGTATATACATCTGTTTTCTCAAATTGAAGAGCACACCTTCTCGCAGTCTATGCCGCAACAGTCTCAAACCCATTCCATGTGTCAAGATACCCTCGAATTTCCGGACCGTAAGCATTCACACCCCCAGCATAACAAGTCATCTCGAACGCCTTGCCGGGCACACTCTGCGTCAGATCGTCAGCTTTCGTTCTCCCTGTCAATGAGTGATTGTGATGCCACTTACACCGCCCATGTACGTGCTTCTGGTCGTCGGGAACAACGTCGGTGCGGCCAAATCGTTGATTCGCTGCTTCCACTTGTCGCTCGCCTCCTTCGTCGGGTTGACATATTTCAAGCCCTGACGATGCGCCTTGGTGATGGCGTCTCTGATCCAGCGAGCCTGAATTTCTACGCTGCTTGGGCCGTTGGACAACAGTGTCGGACCATGAGGGCCGTAGAGATGAAACAAATTAGGGTATCCAGCGATGGTGGTGCCTAGGAAGGTGTTTGCAGCGTCTTTCCACTCGTCCTGGAGATACGTTCCGTTGACGGATTTGAGGCCCACTGGTGGATGGATTAGTTGCGTGAAAGTCGGAGAACGGGCGGGTACTGGCACGTACTGCTGGTCATTCCGCCTGTTACAACATCAAAGCCGGTGGCGAGGCAGATAATGTCGAATTCGCGCTCGACGCCATCAGTGACGATGCCCTTTTCGGTGAACTTTTGGATGGGCGAGCCGTTCTTCTCGTTGATGTCGACTAAATCAACGTTGTCACGGTCGAGGGTTTCGTAGTAGTTCTGGGCCACTGTTAGCAAGAAGGGTGCATGCTCAAGCTTTTGACGTCGACCAACCTGCTCCAAACAAGGCCTCTTCACACCAAACGGATGTGGCTTCTGCTCTGGGAACAGAATCTTCTTCTTCTCCGGATTCTTAACACGTTGTGACTGCTTCTTCCGCCAGAAGTTGTATGCCTCATCGTTGCACTTGTCGACGAACAAATAGTCTTTATAGCCGCCAAGCCACAGAGCAAAACCCTGCTGCTTCCACAGTGTCTCGAAGAATGCCTCGCGCTCCTCGGGCGTATCGTCGTAAGTGTTCTTCTCGTTCAGGTCGTAGTGGAACCCAGCAAAGCATCGCTCTCGCATAGCATGGATCTCGGGATAAAAGGGCTTGAGCTGGTTCTGCTCTTCGGCGGTCAAATCGCGGCGGCCCATAGGCAAGGCGAGATTAGGTGTGCGCTGATAGACTGTGAGCTGGGAGGCTTTGGCGCCCATCTCTTGGATGATCTGGACGCCGGACGCTCCAGTACCAATGACGGCGCATCGCTTGTTCGTGAAGTCGACTCCTTCTTGCGGCCAGAAGGAGGAGTGGTGAATCTCTCCCTTGAAGCTATCGAGTCCAGGCACATCGGGGATATCTGTAGGACATTGTAAGTCGACGCCGCCTTCCAGAAGAGTCGTTGTACTTACATCTTTTGGCCGCAAACCCAGCAGCTACAATCAGATACGTCGCTGTGGCAGACCGACCATCAGCCGTCTTGACCGTCCACTTGCCAGAGTCCTTGTCAAACTCTGCGCTTGTGACCACGGTCTCGAAGGCGCAGTCCTTGCTCAGATTGAGGACTCTGTCCATGTGGTCAAAGTAGCCCTGAAGCTCGCGCCAGTCGGGATAATTGGTCGACCATGTCCAATCTTTGTAGACTTCTGGGATGGCGAGTTCATAGATAGGCACTGGGCTGTCTACGCGAGCACCCGGGTAGCAGTTCTAGCAGAGATGTTAGCGTAAGTGAGTGAGCATACCTGCACGTGTACCCACCCATCTCCATGTCCCGCCGAAGCTCGTGCCAGCGTCGTACAGCACAGTATTGAACCCTTGCTTCCTAAGCTCGTGGAGACTGTAGGCACCACCAAAGCCCGCGCCCACGATCAGGCAGTCAAGATTTAGATTGTCTGCGTAAGGCCCATCTGTTCGCTTTCTTCTGCCGTACTGGTGGAGGTCGGTTTTGATGATGCGTTCGACCTTCGGCTCTTCGCCAATGGAGCCCATGGTTGCTAGGGTATACTGTTCTCGAAAAGAAAAGATCACGAAGGAAATTACAGTTGAGGATCTGCAATCGAGCTGCGAAGGAGAAGCCGGGATATATGAAAGCAAGGACACTACGCCTACCTAGGCTCCGGCTGCGAATACCAACACGCCTCCTCTAGTGATAGTCTCTAGTCCAGTCTCGGGCGGCACACTGCCAGACGCATGGAGTCTCCATTCATCCGTCGTCAGAAAGACTCCACCAAGTCATGACTAGCTCGCAAAGAGCTGCAGAAGGTCTGTTGGTCCCGCATCAAAGAAGCTCACATGCACGGAGTGCGGGGGTGGATGTCCGGAGAAGATGGAGACGAGCGACTTTTGCAGAAGGCGGGGCCAGTCTTGCCACCGAGTAGTGATGAGATCTGGCAATCGCCCGTGTGGCCCAGATGTTGTTCCTCGACAGCTCGGAACTAGCACGGCCGTAAGAGTTAAGTCGCGTTGTCTGCTGCTGGAGGCAGCTCGTTCCATGGTTGCAAGTGTCCGGACCCATCGTGGCGGTTGTTCTCAGCGCGTCAGGTCTGCACGTACTTCTCGCACGCGTAGACCGGTCTGGAAGGATCGTGCGCGGCTTCTGGAGACAGGAAAAGTAGACAGAGGGTGGAGAGGAAGTTCGACAGCTCGACTTGGATGCCAAGACGCATGGCTACATCACGTGGCAGGATGGCTCTCATACTGGCAGACACCGCCTCATGGACCTGTCAAAGCCAACAAGCTTATTTGAACGAGACGGACTCAGAGTAGCTTAGATATACTCTCCTACGTATACAGAGACTGATGATCCCTTGAAACTTTGTATGACGACACCTGATCGAATTCTGCCACGCGGCAGTACATGTACTCCGAGACCAGCTATCCCAGGTTCTCCCAGGTCAAAAGCCTTACACCTAGGCGCTTTCCACTTCATCAGCAGTCGTACGGTATCTACGGCCTCGAGCGGACAGGCCCGGAGAGGAGTGCCGCCCGCAAACACAGTCGAAATGTCCTGCGATGACACCCACGGCACCGCGATCTTCCGCCTGCAAGGTTATGTCGCAGGTCTGAGGCTTCGGTACATCCAGCTTATGGACGACGCCGAATGAGCCCTTGCTACAACGCTGTGATCGCAGGCTGTAGAGATGGCCTCGTCCAATTCCCCTGCGTCGGTGCGAACACCGGCGAGCTAATCGTGCCCACAGCACCTCCCCTGTGGCGATGTCCTCCATGGTGTCCCTTGTGGTGAAGTGGAAAGATTCGAATCGCAGCCACACTTCCAGCCTCATCCGTATAGCCGATCAGCGGTCCGTACAGCAAGCAGCTGTGGTAAAGGTCATCATATGAAGCGGCTGTACATCCAGCCACTGGGTCACAGTGCTGGAGGCACTCAGTGAAGTCCTCCACGTAGGCTCGCTTCTTCATCTGCTTGCCCTCCCGCTTCTTCAGGCCTGGCCAGTACATTACTGCGCCGTCAACACCGGCGTCGCATTTGATTCTGTATTTGACTCCTTGGGCGTCGATGCAGCGGCGGGAGTCCAGAGAGGGGCAGGGGTCGTCGATACAAGCTGGTAGGTGCCCATTGTCTGGACTTGCTGTAGGTAGGGTTGCGTTTCCGAATCGAGTGCTGGTTGATGTAATCGTTGTCGTCCTTTGCGGGACTGCAGGACATGTACCCCCACGCCTGTCGACTGCTATCGTCACTACACTCGCAAGGGGTACATCTGCTGGAGGTGTCAGTGGCTGGCGAGGTACCAGCCTGGGATTAACTCACGCTTGGCCTGGCTTGAGAATGAGACTTGGAGGAGTAGTAGGCAGCATTCAAGCCATCTTCGAGTAACGAAAAGCCGCATCGTAGCCAAGCTGGTGTATTGCGAAGAGCTCGATTGTCCTCTGCAGGTCGAGATGGTACGAAGTTTGCCAAGTGCTCTGGAATGGAATGCTCTTAAGAAACAAAACGTCCATACTCAGGTTTCCTGAGATGCGAGAGTCTGACGATTCAAGAAAACAACGACTATCTTACCGTAGTGACGAATGATGAGACCAGTCTTGATGTTCCGGAGAGATGCCTCTTCATCAAAGCGTTGGGGAAGAGCGCAGCAGGAGAGAGCGCGGCGCATCCGATAGCGCCACTGTCTCTGACAGACCTCACGAACGTGACACTCTGGCATTGCACAACCACCTTGATAGATCAAGATCTATTTGATGTTGTTCGTGAGAGACTGATGAAGCAGTGGAAGGAAGGAAGAGCATCTCTGCTTCTCAGGGAAGCTACCACATCATCGCACGGGGCACCATCATCCCGCGATGTCCACCCCACGAGCGTGCCATCTTTCATCGTTGAAACACTCGATGTCAAACCTCACCCTTTTTACGTGTCGTACATGAGCAGTGGAAATGTCGGTGCCGCTAGAGGAAGAAGACCGCTTCGATGCCGGAAGTGAGGTGGCAGACACGGTCGATGAGATGGAAAGTGTTCGTATTGCACGACGCCAACGCCTCGTACGACACTAATGTAGACTCCAGCTCTGGGATGGCGACTCTGCTCTTGGCTCTGACCGAAGGTAGCTTCCGGCCTTATCTCAAGCCTTCTCGTGGCTACAAGCCTGATGACTGAAAGCTCCATAACAACCTCCCTCGCGCCATCAGTGATGGACTTCCGGCATGAGCACGGCAGGCGGTACCATGCCTTCAGGGACGGAAGTATGTGATCTTAAATCTCAGAACACACACGACCATGCTAAGTCCATGATTGGCAGCATATCTTGTGCCAAACGATGATGTGAGTACACAGACACAAGCATATCCAGCTATAAGAGCACACCGCTCACAGGCATAGGAAGAGCTCAATCGGCTAGGTTCGTTAGCCTTGCTGAGTTCTGCCATCAATGTAGATCTGACGCCTCCTTCTGATAGACCTCCAACACAACCAGTGGCGCCTAACCTTGGACGGCCGCCTCCACATCGCCCCCATACCGGAGACACTCCCGACGGGCTACGAAGTCCTCGACATTGGCACAGGAACCGGCCTTTGGGCAATCGAGTTTGCTGATGAGAATCCCAATGCCAGTATCATTGGTGTGGACCTGTCTCCTGTGCAACCGTCCTTCGTGCCGCCCAACTGCCAGTTCATGGTGGACGACATTGAGTATGACTGGGAGTACAACAAGCGATTCGACTACATTCATGGCCGCTTCCTCTCTATGGGGATCCGAAACTGGGCTCGCGTGTTCCAGCAGAGCTTCGCTCATCTCAAGCCAGGCGGCTGGGCAGAGTACCAGGAAGCGGAACTCATTTTCATCCCTGATCCTGGGTCACCCCAACCGAATCCAGAAATGGCGAGCCTGAGCGACGATGTCCAGGAGTCAGCCCTGAAGATTGGGGTTGATGTCCGGCAGGCGCACGGCTGGAAGGAAAGTATCGAGGCCGCTGGCTTCATCAATCACAAGATGGTGCAACTGCGATGGCCGCTGGGAACGTGGAGTCCGGATCGTAAGGAGCAGGCCATCGGCCGGATGAACCGGCGGAACATGTTGAACGGAATCGAAGGGTTGACTTTGGCGTATTTGGTGAGGATCAGAGGCGATCCGGCTGATGAGGTAAGGGACAGGTTGAAGAGGGTGAAGGCTGAGATGAAGGACGAGGATGTGCATATGTATATGAATCTGTGAGTGGTGGGGATTTCTCTCGGTGGTAGTGACTTGCTGACGACTCCGCAGGTTCATACATTACGCTCAGAAGCCTGAGTAGGAGCTCAGAGAGCAAACGTACTTTCTCGAACATCTACCTTAGTCAAGTGGTGTGCTTGGTGTCCTCCTCAGGTTGTGCTGCTCCGCCCCATGGCGGAAGATGAAGTGACGTCGCACGCATGTGACAGCCCCCGCCGAACACTGGGTCGTGCACTGCAGCATATTAATATTTTTACAAAAGTTCTACATCCAATCAACGGGGTCAAGGCCGGGCGTTTGCTACCGGTCAGCTTCTGGTCAATGGTATACCCTTCCCCGTGGACCGACCGAACCGAACCGATCGATTTCAACCAAATTTCGACCAGGGTTAGGCCGGGCGTTGTCTTACCGATTAAGACTTATGGTCAACTATATCCCTCCTCCTCTGTCATTCTAATCAATCTCCTCACCATAGATATGCTTGGCGTGCCCCTCGAGGGGTTTGGATCAATGGCATAACTGCGACCGTATACGATCCGATTCCTGCACCGAGCCATTAACGCACCGAGCAGATGACCCACCGATACGAGGGTTCGACGATGACGACGAGATGTAGCCTGCCCGGGGGTGAACTCTTTTGATGTTTTGGTGTATCGGTTTTTGGCATTTTGCTGTAAGGCACGTGGTAAGGAGGTTGTTCTTTTGCTGCGCAGCCTGCGCTGGAGGTCATGTCTCGCGGTCTTTGTTTTGTAGCAGAGCAGAGCGACTCCGACAGTTGAGTTTCTCTTCCCCTTAGAATTGCAACTAAGGTCTTCTCTTTTGTTCTTCTCCCATTGGAAATGGAAGTACCTGTGGATAACAACAGCCCGTAGGGTAGGCTGGTTGTGCGTAGCTTTTTGTTTGTCCTGGAGTGATATCGCGTCAGGGGTGTCTGAGCATCATTGCAAGCAATTATGCGTATACCATGAGCGGAGGAAGGGACATAGGTGGTGATCTGGGACAAGCTTGAGCTGGTGTGATAGTTCGACATCGTCTAGAGAATTACATACTGTCCAAGCCGTCTCTTCATCTCACCTACCATTCTATTATCTGCTCCGACTGCCAAAACTCTCCTGTCCGGCCACCAATGTCTTGCAAGGCAAGCATGACAGGCGTTCGTGCACCAGCATCGACAGTCTTGCTTCCTCGCCCCTTGGTCATGTCAGTATTTACGTACCCCGGACAGCAGGCATTCACCAGAACACCACGGTCGCGCTTCGCCTCCTCCATCGCGATAGCTTTCGTGAACGCAGTCTCGCCAGCTTTGCTGACTGCGTAAGCGGCAGACGGGAAGCCAGCATCGTTTTCTTTGCCGGCCTCTACTGATGAATTGAATTGCTCCATGATCGCGGTCACTGCAGGTACATCCTTCTTCGATGCTTGCAAGAACGATTGGCGTATTTCGTCGGAGTACTTGTTCAACTTTCCTGCCATGCTTGAGACGTTGACCATGCGCCCTCCATTTCTGATCAATGGCAGTAGTTCGCGAGTGGCCTCGAGTGTGCCGTAATAGTTGGTCTGTAGCGTCGTCTTCACAACATTCGAATCAAACCCTTCCATCGCAATGCCTGAGCCATAAGTCAGCGATATGTGGCATGGCAGCTTCATGGCTCTTCGTACCAGCATTGTTAATGACGAAATCGATGCCCTGTGGATGCTCCTTCTTTAAAAAATCCCGGAACTTGTGTATTTCCTCTTTCTTGCTGATGTCCAGCTCGTGGTAGGAGACCTCGACGTCTCCTCCATCTTGCTTCAACACCTTTGCCTTCTTGAGCTGCTCATCTTGATTCAACGTCTTCACAGCCTCAGATCCTCTTTCCGGAGATCGAGCAGTCAGGTATATCAACAGTGGTCCGGACTTCAGAGGCGATTTGGGATACTCGAGGGCTAGGTTGCGGACTGTTGCGTACCGGTCAGTTTCGTGATGGCTTTTCGGAAGATTTAAATATCAACCTACCAATGGCCAAACCTATACCCTTATTAGCCCCAGTCACAGCTGCTATCCTTGACTCAACCGCCATTGTATCTTGAAGTGTTCGAGAAGATGGTGGGTGCGGCCATTGTCTGATGGAGTGAACGTCATGACAGAGTGGAGACTCCAGACGTCGATCTCCGTCTTTCGAGCCACAAGACTTCCGTTCTCACTCTGGAAGCATGGATATACATGCTGATGGCATACTTATTAAACTGACAGAGCTGTACGATCTTTGAGATGGCTGTTGGGGTTCTGCGGGCCTTCAGAAGAACTACCGAAAGCTGGTGGACTACCTCTTCCAGCCCGAGGTGCTGCCAGCAGGTAACGGCGGGGGTACCAGGCTCTCACACGTATAGAACGACGATGTAAGCAGACGATTTCAGACTACTTCGTTCAAAAGGTATCTTCAAACCATCGACATGCGCGCGGCACGATTCCACAACAAGGGCGACATCAGGGTCGAGGATGTCGACCAACCAAAGGTGACGGACGGCAAGGTGTTGGTAGAAGTCGAATGGTGTGGCATCTGCGGCAGTGACTTACACGAGTATCTCATGGGACCGGCTCTTCTGCCAGTCACACCACACCCGAGGACCGGGGAGTGTGTTCCTATGGCGTTGGGTCACGAGCTATGTGGAAGAATCAAGAATCCATCTCCTGGATCTCGATTCAAGGAGGGAGAGGCCGTCATGGTGGATCCAAGGTATTGATCTCTTGACGATTCTATGGAATGGAGTCAAGAGACTCACTACCTTACAGGGTGCTCTGTGGGTCCTGCCTTTCCTGCAAAGCAGGGCAGACGCATTGCTGTTCATCTCTTGGATATGTCGGCGGGACGACAACCGGCGGGTATGGTGAGTTCGTTGCCGTCGAAGAGGAGAGGCTCTATCCGTTGGGCTCAATACCACTTGAGCATGCTGCTGTCATCGAGCCTCTCGCAGTCGTGCAACATGCTGTCAAAGAGTCTGGCGTCAAGGATTGGAAAGACAAGACCGTGCTTGTGCTAGGTGGTGGACCCATAGGCTTTGCATTGATGCTCATCTTGAAAGCTCACGGGGCTACAAATGTTATTGTTTCTGAGCCGGCAATAATTCGGCGGGAGCAAGGGTCGGAGTATGCTCAGGCCGTTATCAATCCAGTAAAGGAGAAAGTTGGGGACAGATGTCGGGAGCTCACAGACGGTCGAGGAGTTGACGTGAGTACCGCTCGTCTGTTGTACTTATAACCGACTGATGCGGGTTCAGGTCGTCTTCGATTGCGCTGGAGTCCCCATTGCCCTTGAAGCAGGATTCGACGCTATTTGCAGCTCAGGACTCTATATCATGGTTGCTGTGTGGGAGAAACCGGTAGATCATTCAATGCTTTCTCTGCCGAGTGTCAAGCTGATCCGATCCAGTTGACCTTGCCTTGCTGGACCTTCCTGCAGAAACATGTCACTGTCAAAGGAGTATTGATCTTTTCGACGGAAGACTTTGAGGAAGTCATGGAAATGGTAGCGAAAGGTAAGATCAGCCAGGGCCGATCCCAACTCGCAATAAGACCGCTGACATAGCAACAGGTAAGATACCTGGCTACGAAAAGCTCATCACGGGCCGTATTGGGTTGGACGACATAGTCAAGAAAGGCTTCGAAGAACTGGTCAACAACAAGGACAAGCACATAAAGATACTGGTGAGTCCAAAGAATGCCGTAGCAGCTTAATTCGCAGTCTGCGTGAGGCCTGTACAAGACCCAGTCATCGTTCCAGACCTGCTACATCTCAGCGTGCGTTCGCATCCCCAGTTTCTCGAGCAAGTTATGCCGATGCCAATAGCTGCGGTATCGTTTGCCGTAGATGTACAACGGTATCGTCGTCAACGCCAGAGCGAAGGTCAGACCTCCCCAGACATAGAAGACCTCGCCTGGCCCTTTGGTCGCCGTCCAGTTATTGACAAAGTAGCTGTACCCGAAGAACAGAAAGTTCTTGAACATCATGTTGGCTATGAACATCTCGGAGCTCAGATCTCGATAAGCGTCCACAACGTATGAGTTGGCCGGCGTCAAGATAAAGATGATGCCGAATAAGCCGAGACCCCAGAGGAAGGAGGCGACGTACAGGTTTCCTCTCTCTTGAAGCACGTATGCGTAAGCGACCACGCCGACGCCGCCGATAAGGCCGAAACCGACCGGCAGAAGGCGGAATTCGGGCTCGTAGATACCATTGTTCCGCTTCGTGCACCAGAGGATGAGTCGGTCCATGGTCAAGGCCAGAACGATGCTCCCGAGGAGTCCTCCGAGGAATGGACCAACGAACAAGAAGCCAACGCCTGCTGCGGAGAGCGAGTAGGGCGGGAAGGCGAAAATCTGAGCTGCCACAAAGGATTGTGAGACGTAGAAGGAGCTCAGCATTCCCGTAACTACGACCATCCAGAGAGCTGCGAGGTTCAGATTGACCAGCAACGGCGCTGCGAGTAAGGCGAGTAGATTTTCGTCACTGTGTACGCCCGTCCAGATGGCGAGACTTTGCCAGTAGGTTTTCTTTGCTCGTAATGTGGACGAGTCGGTATTTCTGCGCCCTTCGATCTTCTCAACGTTGACACTGCTCGCTTTCTCCTCGTACGAGTCGACCGCGTTTCGATCAATCTCGAGACTTTCCGACCGTTCATACGCCGTTTCGGGCACGAAGAAGAACACTAGCAGTAGCTGGAATCCAAGGCAGGCGTCCAGAATATGGAAAAGGTACTAGATATTCCCTATCAGCATGGCCCTAGACGCTCGCAGAGACGAATGAAGACTGACCTTCCAGCCCAAGCTATTAGTGATCGGACCGCACACGACAGAGGCCAGATTCGACACCGAAGCCAAAGCAAAGCCAAAGAACGAGATGTACGCTCCTCGCTCATGCACGAAGAACAGATCCGCGACCGTCGAGAAGACCAGAGATTCGTAGGCCGAAAACGCGAAGCCTTGCACCACCCGCCCAGCGCGCAGCGTAGAGTACGAGGTGCCACTGGCAGAGCAGATGATTGTTCCGATTAGGCCGGTGAGCGAGCCGAAGAGGAATCTGCTTTCGATCAGCCCACGTCAACCATACCTACGAGACGGACTTGAACTCACTGCGGCCTCTTCCCGTACTTCCGACCGAACGCACTCACAAACGGTCCCCAAGCCCCAGCGACCAACAACTGATACCCAGACAAGACCGTGACTTCGGTAATACTCACGTCCAACTCCACGGCAACCACAGCGGTGCCGGCGCTCAACAGCGGGCCGAACGTCGACGGCATGATGAAAGCGCCGAACATGAGGATGGCGACGATGGTGAGTTTCTTGCCATAGCTCCAGTTCAACGGGTCGTTGGGATCTGAGGACGGTTGCGGCGCAAGCACGATGCCGCTGGAGCTGCCGGTGCCGTGCTTGAGGTTGCCGGTGGAGCTGGGGTGGGCGGAGGAGTCGACTTCTTCGAGGTGGACGGTGCCAGGGACATGGGGGAGTGCGTGGTCTTCGAGGATGCCTAGAGCCATGGTGGAGAGTCCTGGTGGTGTCGGTTGGTGCTGAGTCAATGGATTTGAGGAGGCATGGAAGGCGTCGCGGCAGAGCTCGAACTTGAAGCAGTCCAGGCCTGGGCAGGTGAGCTAAGTAGGATGCGATGTAAGCTGGCAAGCTGCCTTAGGTCCTTGGTAGTCGGTCACCAGCAACCCCACGGGCAAGTGTCCGATGCGAGTGAAGTGCGGAGTGCATGAAGAGGCGCGTGGAGATCCGTGCAACTCCATGCAGCCTTCGGCAGATATACCTTACTCACTGTCGAGATCGCGGCAGGCGACTTGTGCTCACTTCTTGTATTGTATACAATCGCTAGTTATACAGCTTCAACATCATACATTCGCACGCTCGCATTAGCAAACTCAAATCAAGCCATTACAGTTCCCCTCACGATCCCCTCACATTCCTCCCATCCCTCGCAGTGACAAAACTCTCCAGTTGCGGCCTTTCTCTCGAACCATTCCTCCTTTTCTGGCTCTCGAAGCTAAGCCCGCCGATTACGGGCGGCCTGCCACCTCTGTCCTTCGAGCTCGCCTTTCTTCCGCTGTTCTTCAGAAACATCGGCTTGTCATCCTTCGGCGGCGGCGTGGGCGGCCGATCATCGTCGTAGCTCTTGTTGTCTTTGTCCTTTTCCCGGACCACTGAGCGCGTGTTGCTGACAGTCTCGGGCATGACAACGTTGTTCATGGGCATGCTTTCGTAAGCTGGCGGCGGCATGTCCGTGCCCGTGGAGCTGGCACTAGAGCGGACGACTTCAGGTGCACTGTCGGCGACGCTAAAGCGGGAAGGTCGCGGTTGCTGCTGTGGAGGAGGTGTAGGGACAGCAGGCTCCTCGGCTGGCGAAGTAGAGGCGATGGTCGCAGGATCCAGGGTATGGCGAAGCTTGAAGGGAGCCGATTTGGTGGTTTCCGCAGGTTTAGACGTTTCTGCTGGCGGCGTGTTTTCTGAAGGCTGTATGCTTGGTGCAGGAGCTCTAGCATCGAAGACAGGGTTGCGGACTTTGAAGGGCACTCTCTGCGTGTCCAATGAGTCGCCTCTCAGCGTCGTGCTTGCTGTATCAGCTTCCGACTTCTCCTCAGTCGCTGCAGGATCAACGAGCATATCAGTGCTCCGCGTAGGAAAGTCGTGGTGTGCATTCGGCATCCCATCAGCACCAATACTGCCGAGCATCGACACTCGCGGGTCAAAGATCGTGTTGCGAATCTTGAACGGCTTCGGCTTGGTGGATGAGTCGACCGGACTGACAGCACCTTCATCCCGCACCTCTTTGCCTTCTTCAACTGGGCTGACAACATCTCTTGGCTCCTCCACCCTCTCTTCTGGCGCAGTGGTGGTTTCGCGCGCCTCAACAGCTTCAGGCTCATCATCGGCCCCCACGGCACTCACACTCCTGAGATCCTGCACACTCCTCCTTTCCCCAGACAACTCGCTCGTCTTCGGCGCATCCCCAACAAGCTCACTATGCGGCGTGCTCGTACCCGTCGGCTCCCGACTATCCAGCGTAGCAACGCTAGGATTGCTCCTACTGCTCTCCAGCTTGAACGGATAGGCTCTGACCCCATCATGCGGTCGACTGCTCGTAGGTGCCAGAAACGTATTCTCCGAACCGGGAATCTTCTCGCTATCTGGATGTACGGTGCTCATCGTCGGCACCATAACCTCCGGCGCTCTGCTGGCTCTGCTGCCTTCATATGGGATAGGTGAGTCTGCAGCTGAGCTGATCCGTCGCGAGGATGGAACGGCACTGCTTGTCGAAGGCCGAGGGATAACGTGTGAGAGCGCTGGACTGCTGTAGGAAACATCATCCGCCTGTCCAGTGTCATTCACCCGCGAGTAAGGACTCATAGGCCTATCTCGATCCCGCGCCGCCCAAGGCATCTGTGTGGTAAGCATGCTGACACTGCTGTTCCTCCGCTTCCTCTCCCTGCCGTGTTTCGCCTTCGGCACGGTCAAGAGATCCGGTCTTGAGGCTGACTTGCTTTCGCTGTCAGGTCCCGTGGTGCTCATGCTCATTTTCCTCTCTACGGTCTTCTGCTCCCGCTGCAACGTGTGCTCGTCGTGACTGCTGCCCCAGCCGCTCCACATGGCCAGACCCCATGATTTGCCGCGCTTCTTCTCCTCGGGCGCGACACCCTTTCGCCTTCTGTTGACGATGGCGGTAGGTGGCGGGTTCTCGCCTGGTATCGCGTCATAGCCAGCTGAGATTTCTTTCTCTCTCCGCTTCATGATCTTCTTTCGGTCGTTGGCAAAGCGCGTGTCGTTAGTCGCCTTCACCGCCAGCCACTTCCGCACCGGTCCAGGTTTGATGACGCCGATGGCTGCAGGATCCAGAGCAAGACATGCCATCTCTGATTCAGGCGCAAGCGGGAAGATGTTGCCATGGCGGGTGACGCGTTGCCGAATCATATTATCTTTAAACGAGGGTAGCGGGTCGCCAGCCTTCCCAACCGCTCCAGCGGCATCGTCTTCCTTCTCGGTGGCGGAAGCCTTGGGTTTACGCTCCTTGCGCACCGACTCCACGGTCGACTTCGAGTCGTCTTCATCCTCACCCTCAGAGCTGATGAACGAGACAGCATCGTCATTCGGGATATCTATACCCTTCTGCTGTGCGTGCGCCAGTGCCCAAGCACCAAACTGCGCCACAGAGCGGTACATGTATTTCGCCGGTCTCGTGAAGCTCAGCGTGTGCGGAACATGGCATAGATCGTCCCAGACCTGCAGCTGGACATTAGTAGGTGGATATCTCTCCAGCGTGGTCCGTGATGGGTCGAATTCCTTCATGATCATCTCGCTTGGCGGGTAGGCCTTCGGGTTCGCAGCTTTGTGGGCGACGTAGATCTGCTCGTCTCGAAGAAGCTCTCCACCGCCGACCTGGATGAGCATGGGAGGGAGACCGCCAAGCGAAGGCTGCATGACCGGCGAGACCAGGGGATGCGAGAGTAGCTCGTTGGTGGTGTACATCTGTATCTGATCCCTCAGATCGATCGTTTGGCCGTCCACGACGATGCTCAGAGGGTGGCCGAACTGCGGCATGGGAAGTGCTGTCATGGATTCCTGCTTCCTCTTGCCTTGCGACGGTAGAGCGCTGAGATCCTCGTCGCCCTCATCGTCAACTGACCGCTTCTTGCTTCGGGTCTTCTTCATGTCCATGCCCGCGGTAGCAGGCAGCTCCACCGCATCGTTCTGCTGCCCGTAGCCGGTCTCTGGTCTCTGTACTCCATCACTCGGGGGAGGCGGCCACGCCATCGACGGCTTGTGATGGAACCCATGCGGTGGGATGTAATCACCAGTCCCATCTCCAGCCACCGAAGGAAATGAATGCGTCAAATCGCACCACGGCGACAGAAGAATCGTCCCGGCCGGTAAAGGTTGCCCTTGATCTCGCAACGCCACCAACATCGCCAACACCATCCCGCCACCCGCCGAATCCCCAGCAAACAAAATCTGATTCGGCTCAAAGTGCTCCAGGAGGTAAAAGTAAGTCGCCAGACAATCATACAGCCCACAAGGAAACGGAAACTGCGGCGCAAGTCTATACCGCGGCGCCAGGACCCTCGCTCTCAACTTCCGCGCATGCCGCTGCATCTGGTATCGGTGTTCGTCCACAGAGCCGAAGTAATATGCGCCGCCATGCACGTACAGAATCACGCGCTCGCATTTGTCGCCTGTTCGTTTGCGTTCATGGTACTCTTTCTTCATCTCGATCCATTCGGCGCGCAGGGGCGCGTCTGGTCTGCGCCATTGCCACCACGTCTTCCCACCAATCTTTGCGAGGCCGCGAGTGCCGAGTTGAGCGTGAATGAGGCGGGCGGCGCGTTCGAGGAATTTGGGCGCGACTTCGGCGTCGTTGATGCGGACCCAATGGGGCGCAGGAACCCTGTACACATACTGTCAGCATGCTTTCGTGCAGCACCCCCTCTCCATGCAGCTTTTGCTCGCTTCATCTCCGGTGTAGACCAACCATTGTGCTGTAAAGCTCTGCAAGTCCTCAATGCTATGCTTCGAAGAGTAATCCAAGAACTGCCGGATCAATCGTAAGCCCTCATGGTAGGATATATGAGCCGTCGGCTTCTGGCGCAGAGGCGCGCGGTTGAGGTAGTGGGAGAAGTAGGTCTCAATAACGGACGGCGTGACGGCGGCGCCCACCGAGAGGGTGTTGAACACCATCCTCCGCGTCTTCTCTTTCCTTGGTAGGTGTAGGTGTATACGGGCAGGAGTCGTAGGTAGATTATTCGTGTCCGGCGAAAGCGAAGAGGCTCCTCCTCATATGCGCGCAGCCCTCAGAGCATTCGTATTGGCCATTATATCCCCGTCGATCAATCCTGTCCGTCAAGCCCACAGCAGACTGGTCGCGGTGGTAGTAGTGGTGGTGTTGGTAGTGGTGTACAGCGCGAGATTCCAAATGGCAAGCAACCCTCCAAGATGCAAGGGTGGAGCGCACAATGGCTGTCGAGTGTTGATCACGAGCTGAAACAAAGAGCCTCCAATTCCCCTTGAGAAGAAGTGATTGAGGGCGCGCTGCTGGTGAAACACGCCTTCTCCTCGCCCTCGAGCTCCACCAAACGCGCCTTCGTCTCGCATCCGCTCCATCCAGCTCCCACCCGACCCCTGCCGACGCCATCTCCGGACTTGGCGGAGATCATTTTAATTTTCGATGGGTATTATGTCATCGCCTACAACTACACAACCAAGCCATTGACCCTCAACAACCCATCCACATCCTCCACTATGGCCTCACAAAAGTCGCAGACCGGCCCCATCCCTACATCGAGCGGCGCATCACCAGGCGGCGGCGTTCCCCTCCCCCCAACCCCCGCCCAACTCCAAGCAGCCTTCGAGCACGGAATCTGGTACATCCTCTCCCTCTGGCCGGCGCTTCACACCGCCGTACAAAACTCCTGGGGCGGTCCCTCGTCAGCGGACAAACGGGACTGGTTCGCCGGCGCCACGGCGGACTTGATAACGACGAACCCAAACACCGACCATGACGATTTGGTCGTGTTTCTGCTGCAAGTGATGCAGGATGAATTCGATCTGATGGTCGAGGATGACAGTGAGGAGGAGATTGCGGGTTCGATTTTGGGGTTGAAGAGGCGGTTGGGGGAGGAGAGGGATTCGGCGGTGTTGAGGGAGCTGGAGCAGAGGTGGAAGGGGAGGGGGCAGATGAAGGTTGAGTTCCGCGGGGAGATTGAGGAGGAGGGAGAGTGGGAGGGGATTGAGGATGATGACGAGGATGGGGTTGACGAGATGGAGGGGATAGATGAGGCGCCAGAGTTAGTGCCGGCAGTGAGGAAGGAGAGGGTAGACCCCGAGGTGGACGACGAGGGCTTTACGAAGGTCACGAAGAAGAAGCGATGAAGCATAACTGTGACAATGTTACATGCGATGAAGATGACTCTGCTATCTACACAACGACCTCCACCGAAGGTCTGACCTCTGGCTTCCGCCCGTACAACCCAACGACAGCGCGGAACATGTCTAAGACCGGCGGCAGCGCCCCGCTTCCGCTGTCAAAAATGTCGGCCAACTGTTCGGGTCGGACTACTGGTCGATCATCTTCTCGCTCCTCCGCAACGAAAGGTGCTTCGGCCGAGTCCGCAGCGGGCTGGACTGAACCGACAAGATCAACCATGTCGGTATCCTCTTGCGCCGGCGCAGCTTCGATAGCTGTCGCTCCTTGCTGGGGTATTGAGGCTGCCGGTGCGCTCGACAACGTCCGGACATGTCCTGTGGAAACCGGCGAAAGAGTGCGGATCGTAGCATCAGGAAATAGCAGCGTATATCCTTTTGCCCCTTGCCCGGCGAGTATAGCTTCCAAGTGCCGCAAGAACAAATGCTCGTCCAGACACTCACTTGACTGTGGCGAGAATACTTGCACCTTTGTCGTTTTTTTCGTGTCAGGAGAGACGATCGCAAAGGTGCCATCGCGCTCGCTCACAGCAAGCATTGGTGCCTTAGCTTCGGGATGTGGAGGCTTGAGTGAGAGTCTGTACATGAGCTTGTCGGCGACGAGATCCCACACGTAGACCGCCGGCCTCGTCGTAACGATCAGGTATCGATCTAGGAAGCCGAGGGCCACGATATCGGCGGCAGCGAGGCCGATGCTTGTCGAAACCTCACCGCCAGCTGTGTCGATGAAGTGCACCAGTGGCGTGCTGCTGTCGTCACCCGTTTCTTGTGCCGCAGCCAGCATTGATCCATCTGGAGCATAGGCGAGACATGCCGTGCTCGTCTTCTTAGCACGCGCGAACGCAAGAGGCGAGTCCGCACGCTCCTCGCCACTCTCAAGTTGGATCGTTCGCTTGCAAGTCCACTCCACGAGATCCACGTTCGCTTCATTCTTGACGGCGACACCATGCCTTGTTCGTGTCTTCGGTCTCCAGAGTCTGACGCATTCGTCCTTGCCAACCGTCGCGAAGGCGTTGCTTGCAGGATCTGCCACAAGAGCATGCAACCTTCCCGCTCCAGCTACATGGCCAGGCCCACGCGCGTGTGGCGCATCAACGCGTGTCGTGAGCGTCCAGAGACCTTGTACATCATCCCAGCGCCAGAACTTGAGATAGACCTCCTGGCGGCTGGTTCGTTGCTCCTTTATGTCTCCTCTGCTTGAGCCGAAGCTCTCCAGATCCGACATAGGTGGCGTCCACTCATCAATAGTCGCAAGCCATGATCCGTCGTAGCTGATGGCGATGTGTTTCACGTCCGGAGGAATAATGGGCCTTCCCTCTGGTCCGATGCTTAAGTCCGTGACATTGTTGCGGGTCAGTGCCTGCCTGGTGATGTGGCGCGAGCTGCGGATGTCGAATCCTTGCAGGAAAGGTCGAGTCACAGCTTCTCCTTTCGACTTAGGTTGTGAAGCCGGAACGGAGAGGAGAAGTTGGTTTGGCAGACGTGGGTGTATGGTCGCAGCTGGGAAACCGGGGAGTCGAGTGGTGGTGCGTCCAGAAGTGCGAAGCATCTGCAAGCCGGCAAAGTTTGCGACCGGCTTTAGCTCGCTCGTGTTCAGGACCATGATCGAGTTGTCACCCATCTGAACGGCATAGCGATCGGATGCAGAATTGACCGCAATCCGCTCGATCTCGGAGGTCAGATGGGGCAAGAATTGCTGTTTTCCTGTTTCGAGTTGCCAGATCACGAGCACTGTCTCCTTGCCACCCGTGATGAGATAGTTGCCATCTGTCGAGAACTTGAGCGACGAGACTGCTCGGCGATGCCAGTGCAAGACCCGTGGCGACGGCAGGCCGTGCTGCTCGTTGCGGTAAAAGAGGGGAGCCAGGTCATCGTAGATGTGGATCTTGCCATCGCATTGCCCAACAGCCACCTGCAGTGCCGGCCGCTTGTTCGATGCCTTCTTGACGCTCGCTGGTACGGATGATACGCGAGCATCGACGCAAGAGCTCTTTATTTCTAAGGGTAGCTCGATCCAAGCGAAGTCATGAGGGGTCTTTGGGTCCATACTCCTGGCGCCAATGACAAGTGCTGTCGGACTTTGTGCGAGCACATACATCCCGTTGCCAAGTATGTGGATTGAATGCAGATGGTGAGCTGTGGTGTGCAGCATCTGTTCATCGCTGAGGATAGCGTTTTCAGTCTTCGACTCTCTGCAGATGTAGAAGAGATTTGGAATTGCCTCTTCATCGCCTTGTAAAGTCGAAGCCATCGCTACGATCTTGCTTTTTGTGTTTCTTACTGGTGACGCTTCGTTTTCACCAGTCCATCGCCAGCTCAAGACGGTCGCATCCTTGAGAGTTATGTATACCACATCTTCCAGGACCGTGAAGCATCTGATCGTCTGTCCAACCGGCGCGGGATACGTGCGAACCGCTAGGGAGGTTTCGAGCGATAGTACTTGAACATCTCGCGCAGTGACGGATATGAGGAACGTCTCTCCGTCGTCATCTGTGGCAAAGACCGGATCTTGATTGATGAAGCCACCAGCAGAAGAAGGCGAAAGCATCCAGGTTGGTCCGGACTGATGTGTTGCCCCGTGGCTGTCATCTGTGCCCGTGCTACGCTGAGCAGCTGTCGAGGCATGCGTTGACCGGACTTCGAGCGCAGCAGCGCTTTTGGCTTGCTTCTTGGCTTCTTTTCTAGCCTTCCGTATTGCTTTCTTGCCTGACTCTGAATCGTTGGGTGGAAGTATCTCCTCGTCGTGATCTTGCGTGGCCCCAGCGGTTTGAGCTTGCTCGGCGTCGTCTGACTTCGACACGGCGCGCTGTCTTTCCGCATGCTTGGGCTTCTTCCTATCATTCTTGTGCTTGGGTCGATCTGCCCCACTGCATGGCAATGCCGCAAGGTTCTCTGCTACCAGCGGATCTGGGTCACCTAATGCTTCAACCTGGAGCTGTTCAGCCCGCATACGTTCCTCCTCCACCTCCCGCCGGCGCTGCTCTTCCCGCACGCGCTTCTCCTTCTTTTGCTGCTTACTTGCTCGTTTCTTTCTCGGCTTCTCATGGGGTGATGTTGCATCTCGTGAATGCTGTATCTCCTGCGGACCATTACTCTCGTCGGTCCTGCTTCGTTTCGGTGGTGAAGCGCCATTCTGCGTATCTTCATGCTTCCTCTTTTTGCCAGGGCCCATGCTAGGGCTGTTAAGATTGGACATCGTGGCCAGCTGTACAATTGTGAGGGAAAGATGTAGTATGGTCGAGGCTTCATTGAAGATCTTCAATCTCGAGATTTTTGTGCGCACGGACCATATCAGAAACCCTCAATTCTCGACGAATAAGACAACACACTTCACATCGCACCACCGTCCAACGACACCCTCTTCCTCCACCACATAAGGCGAATCGCCGCGCAGCAGACGTCAACATGATCATCCCAATCCGCTGCTTCTCTTGCGGCAAAGTCATCGCCGACCTCTACGAGAAATACGTCGACCTCATCAGCAACCCGCAAGACGAGGAGGGCAACCCGATGCCAGATGGGTAGGCAGACACCAATTTCAAAGCATGATGCGCAGGACAAAAGGGACTAATAGTTGAGGGACAGCGAGGCCATGGATAAACTGGGCTTGAACAGATACTGCTGCCGGCGCATGATGCTCACGCACGTGGACTTGATTGAGAAGCTGCTACGGTATGTCGCTTCAGGAGGTGCCAGGAAACGGCTTTGCTGACGGCAGACGCAGGTATAACCCAGCGGAGCGCGATATCATCAAAGTCTCGGGACCCAACCGATGAGCGGCGGCATATACTGGCCACGGCACCGCAGCGAAATTTGTCGATTTAGCAAGGAGTTCAGGCGTGGCTTTCGAAGACCACTTGATCATCAATAGAAGATACCCGCGCGGGAGGACAGTAGGAAGAGAAAGTGGCATACGGTGCTGATGAGCTGCTCTACAAGCAAAAAATCATCATTCCAAGACCAAGAAGATTCAACAATGTTTTCACTTTGCTTGATTGCAACTGCTGCAAAAGAACTCCCAGAGAAGGATTCGAACCTCCATCATCCACGAGTCGGTCTTTCGAAAGACGAGCGGATCTGTAATGATGTGTCAGCGGCTTGCATATACCACCGGATCAGGGCGGCTGGGGAGGGAACGCACATTCTAACCAATTGAACTATCCAGGATTTGCTTGGTGGGAGAACAGTAAATGATAGGCATTATGTACTGTTAAGGATATACCTCGGGAGATCCTGGGGGTGGTACATCGATTCATGTATGTTACTCAGGATACACCATCTTCCTCGTCACACCACCATCAACGACCACTTCAGCTCCCGTCACGAAATCAGACTCGGCCAGGTACTCCACAGCCTTCAACACATCCTCGACCTTTCCCACGCGTCCCGTCAAATGCCACCCATGATCCTCCTCCGTCAATCCCTCCTCCCAAGCCTGCCTACTCTCATCCGCCTGCTTACACTCATTCGTAACATTAATCCAGCCTGGCAGAATCGCATTACAACGAATCCCCTGCGGTGCGAGACTCACAGCCATCGACTGCGTCAAGCCCAACAGGCCAGCTTTGGTTGCCGAGTAGGCCTCGTTGTTCGGCTCACTCATGAAGGCTCGTGTGGAGGACATATGGATGATGCAGCTGCCTTTTGATAGCAGTGGTAGACAGGCTTGGCTCACGAGCATGGGACCAGTGAGGTTAGTCTCGATGGACGCGTTCCAGTCTTCTAGGGAGATATCTGCGAGGTTTTGGGCGCCGACGGCGTTGGTGTCTTAGAACACGAAACTTTAGACCGATCGATTCAAAATGCGAGGAGTTAGACCTACTCGCTGCATTATTGATCACACAATCCAGCTTGCCTGCGAAGAGTTGGCTGGCCTTGTCTCGTGCAGACGCGATGTCTTTCGGGTTTCTGAGGTTGCAAATCGAAGAGTCGAAGTCCTTGCCCGCACGATGGGTTTTGGAGAGCAACGAAGTTGTGTTGCTCAGCTCCTCTTCATTATTGTCGAGTAGGAACACTTTGTGGCCTTTTCCAAGAAGAAGGCGGCTGAGACCTCGACCGACTGGTGGAAAGAAGTGGTTAATGACTGTCGTACTCGTGCAGTCCGCATCAGGTTGACTTACTGCCACGGCCGGAGCCTGTGATGAGATAATTGCGCTGAACTGCGGCCGCCATTGTGCTTACGGTTTCTTCGCACAAATGTGCGAGACGGACAGTCTTCAGTGTTTTCAATCAAAGATGAAGCTCGTGTTACGTCATACACATGCTGTTATCCAGTCTTGTGTTGATTGAGACTTACAGGTAGTTGGACTATCTTGTATAATGGGGCGGTGTCGAGAACATAGCGAGCTGCAGCGGCACACAGCGCACTCCCAGAACGTGTATTGATGACAAGGAGCGAAGAGACGAACCCAAGTCGAACTGGCCCACCGTCTTTCATGGCCTTCAAACTTACTCGAGGTACTTTACCGACCATAGTGAAATGACAGACGTGCTACTGACTGCGGTAATACTGAAGCCGAACTGTCGAAGAGGCAAGCGTGATGAAGGCGTATCCAAGCCATGGACGAGGCTTGTCTTCTGCGGCAGTCTTGATGTCTTGGTGAGGCAAGGCTTGAGCATTACCAGCAGATGGCTTACCACTTCTGCTGTTGTAGGCGTTCTTCGATGTATCAAGCGTTCCTCTTTTATTGTCCGTGACAGCAGAACGCAGCCGAGAAGAAGACGAAACAAGTGTCGCCGTTGGACGGTGTTCCGAGTCGAGCAGACAACTGGACTTGTCTTGGCCTCGTGGAATGACCGGTACTACGACCGTCCTATCGTCGAGGAACGAGCAAGAACAAGAGGTAAGCAAGGAGTCTAGAACCAACCTGGGACACTTTTAGGGGCCAAGCGGGCTGTGATGGTCACGATCTGGTGCTTGCCTCCTCAGTTCGCAGCGTAAGCACTGGTGCCCAATAAGAGACCCAATATTAGACCTATTGCGATGCGAGGCAAGGGTAGGGGTCCCATGGGCAGTTGCGGTTGCGGTCGAACAATGGAACCGCAAACCTGGTGAGATCCAGCGTTCTGAGGAGGTGTCTCCGGATACGGTTTCTTTGCCCTGGTCTCGATGAGATTGGAAGGCAGCAGTCTGTCAGACGACCCCAGGCCCCAGGGTCAGCGCAGCCCATTTTAGGTCTTCGAGATCTGCAGTAGGGCCACGTGAACTACGACAAACCCCCAAGACGGCTTCATTTCCTTCAAGACGCGAGCCAAGGTGTTGTGCGTTCGGCGCCCAGCGTCCTTCTACTCGCGTGTTGAGGGCTGGCTGAGGCTGGATACCTGCCAACCACCAAGGGGGTCTTAGCAGAGTAAGCTCGCCACGGCCAGGCATCTTGGCTGTCGCGCGCCTTATCCGACGATCCGTCTGACTGAGATCTAATCAACTCCTTGAGACGTCGCAGTTGGGGCAACATTGTCCCGGATGCCTCGAACACGGTTGTTGTTGTGGAACAAACATCAGGTAAACCGCTGTCTCGTATGAGGGTTCGGCTATACGGCCCATAGTTCGATCAGTGTGAAGATGAGTGGAAAGCATATCTTTATCCCCAGCGCCACAGGTTAGAGTTGAGAGTGGATGTCTCGCATGCGCAACGGCGTTCTGACCCAGCAACAATGCTCAAGCGGATCCGACATAACCGTGGGACCTGGGTGGTGAGAGGGGAGGATTGCCTATACGAAGTCGTCGTCTTAGCATTCCATAGTCAAGATCTGATATTCCCTCTTTCGGCGCAACAATGGGGCCTCTTCGAGAAGATGGATAGAATTAGGACACACGCGATTCGTGCGGTTCCTGCGTAAGCCACCTCCACTGGCCGTTTGATTTGCTGCCGTCAGCAGCACCGCTGCCAGCTAAGCTTCGCTGAAATTGCAGAGGAGGGCCAGGATGTCTCCACTAGTCCCCTCTCCTCGACCGTCTGGGTTAGCTTGCCCTCTCTTCTGCAATTTACGCCCAGCGCAGCCCGCCTCATGTTGACCCCCCCGACCACTCACAGCGCCGGCGATGCGACTGTCGCTGGGGCAAGCGCGGTGCTGGAGCAGCGGCAACACACCTTAGTGCCATCCGAGCGCCGCAACCGAACTCACTCCACCCAGCACCGTTGGCAAGCCGTCTCCTGACGACGATCCGAATGGCCCCAAGGCGCCCAAGGCTGTCTCTGGGGCATAGAGTTCTGTCTTCAAATAAAGGTTGGCGTGTCTTGCTGTTCCCACCTCGCCCGCCTTCTTGTATCTCTTGCTAGCCGAATCGCTACGTCCAGTCTTTTCTTGATTAACTTGCCTGCCAACTTCCTGTGCTTCTGTGCCTTTCAGTCACTCGCTTCATTCCAACCGGCACTCGCACTCTCACTATATTCCAAAGCCACAAAGCCATTAATTCCGCCATAATGCGCTCCTTCGCCATCGCCGCCGGCCTTTTCGCCGTTGCCGCCCTCGCCAACCCGATCAACGTTGCCCGTGGCTCCAAGGAGCCCTGCGACGAAGATGCGGCGCCGTGCATGACCTACGACCAGGCCACCGAGGTTGCTGCCAACTTCCGTCAGAGCATCAAGAACTACAGCAACGCGTCGACGATCGAGCACTTCACCGAGGACTTTGTCGACTACTCTGCCTCCGTCAGCACCTTGATCAACGGTGGCTGCGTGGATGGCCCAGTTGACGTGAGTCCGGGTATATGTCTGGGGGTGGAATGCGCCGCTAACGAGAACATAGCTCAACGCTCCCACTTTCAGCGGCCGTGAGGACTTCATGGCCGGCCAGGGTGCCCAGCCCACGATCCCATTCAAGATCCTGAACCTCTACCACACCTGCGACACCGTCGTCATCCGCTGGCGCTCGCAGGGCCCTGGCCAAGAGCCAGAGCCAGTGACCGGCATCATTGTCATCGAGGCCGAGTACCAGAAGGGCGACAAGCAGAACCCATGGTTGATCAAGACCGTCTACTCTGAGTACGACATCACTGCGCGATGCCTAGGAACGTTGAGGATATCTGCTAACATTAAATCCTTCCTACAGGTTCAACTCCGGCGCATGGCTCGTCAACATTGGCCTGTTCACCCCGACTTGCCCACCCCCGCCACCACCGACCAAGCGCTCCACCCTCCAGGCGCCCGTCCGTATGTTCTAAGCGGACAACAACAATTCGATCGAACGGCCTTGATCTAGCGAAGCAGCGGCAGGTTTATGGTTATTAGTTGCACGACCCGTCAAATACAGCATCTAATGTGTGTCTTCAATGTCAATATTGTGAGGGAAAAGGGGCGGTCGTGTACGAAGAACTTCTTTGTACCTATGTTTGGTATGGAACAATTTTAGTAGCGCGATTCACTGTTCACTTCTACCGTCTCACAATGTGTGTGCATGCAACGTTCTTCTGATCCGTCGCGGTGTCGGACCGAGAGCATGCGAAAGCTCCTATCATACTGCTCCCACCATATGGCCGACCCTGTTGAGCTAGGTAGGTCGCAGTGGCACATTCCAACCTGCTTGCTGACGCCGAATAGGATCATTCTACCACACCAGTCCGCGCGGAGTCCTACACACCTGGTCCAACCTTCGTATCTCACTCCGAAGTCAACACCCTGTCAAAGACCTGAAGCTGCTGAAGCCGAGCCGCCTTCAACCCCGCCTCCGCCTCGCCTCGCATACACGTTCTTGTCGTCTTGTCGTCCCTGAGTGGCGTAGCGCATCGTGCCGCGTAGGGTGCAAGAACGCCCAGTCACGAGAGGAGGAGAAAATGCAAGTGAGGAGAGGAGAGAGCGTCGCTGCCCGCTTTGCATTTTCTTCGTCACCCTTGCACCACCGGTGCGACCACGTGAGCACGTGGCCAAGCAGCAATGGCAAGTCCTTGGGACCTATTTCTTGCTCATACCACGTCCCTTGCAATTTCATATCACTTCACATCACCACACACACATGCCTACTACCATATTATTGAACTGCGAAGGAGAACATGTCGAATACGATTTCTAGGTTTACCAGCAAAGCGGCAGCTGCATTAGTTCGTCCTTGCCACGCGCACCGATTCGCCTCCCCACGTTTTCAGCGGACGGCGTACTCCACTTCCACCGGCAAAGAGACGACTTCATCCTCGTCCTCGCAGAGCGGAAGACCATCTGCGATTGCTCAGCGTATACCGGACACAACTACGCTGCATGCTCCTCATCGGTTCCGGGAGTTTGAGGTATGTTTGTCGAGATTTGGGTTGAGTGGAATGATTATCGTTGACGGAAAACAACAGCTCGATGGCAAAGTCTTCGTTGTGACTGGGGGTGCTCAGGGGCGTATGTCGACTCATAAGGCCTGACCAGAACATGGAGAACGCATGCTGACATTGGCAGGTGGACAGTCGGGTTGACACTCGCAGAAGCCTTGGTCGAGGCAGGAGGTAATGTCTACTGTCTCGACCGCCTGCCAGCGCCGACAGAGGAGTATTACCAAACCCAGGGTTGCGTCGCCGGCAAATTCGAGGGCAGCCTTCATTATCGCCAGGTCGACGTGCAGGATGCCAGCAATCTCGACTCGGTCATTGAGGACATCGCAAGCAAGTATGGCCGCATGGACGGGCTGATCGCGGCTGCCGGTGTTCAGAACGTAACGCCTGCGCTGGAATACCCGCCTCATAAGATCACAGAGGTGCGTTGTTCGAAACCTTAATTCTTCTGACGATTGACGGCTGACTTACCACGCAGATGATGAACATCGTAGGTCAGGTGACAGCACAGGGAGAGTGGGAAGACATGCTGACCGTTTATTCTGCTGTCTCAAAGAACTACGGAGGCGTCTATCTCTCCGCCGTAAGCTGCGCAAGGGCGATGGTAAAGCACCAAACACCGGGCTCCATCCTCCTCGTAGGATCCATGAGCGGTTTGATAGCCAACAAAGGCTTCACTGCCAGCGTCTACAACTCCTCGAAGGCTGCTGTGATCCAACTTGGCCGCAGTCTGGCGATGGAGTGGGGGAAGATTATTGATGGCAAGCCAATCCGCGTGAATGTGTTGTGTCCGGGAAACATCGTGACGCCGGTGAGTCCAAGCATGTTCGCCTCGTGCTATTCTGACCCAGTTCGACTGACTTTGGGCGGTAGATGGTCCGCAAGAACTTCGACGATGATCCGCATCTGCGAGAGCTGTGGGAGCGTGAGAACATGATGGGACGCATCTCAGAGCCTAGAGAGTATCGAGGAGCAGCGCTGTTCATGCTGAGTGATGCTTCATCATTCATGACCGGTAAGTTCTGGCGGACGCAGCCTTCCACCTGTACGGGCCACAGCTGATCCTTCCGCCTTCGTTCTTGTAGGATCACATGTCGTGATTGACGGGGGGTACACAGCCTGGTGATGTACCACGATAGCTTTAGCCTGAAAGATACCCCAGAACCTCCCTGCGTAAGAGTGTGACAGAGTCAGTTTTCATTGGGTTTCGAGTGAGCGCTTCGTCCGGTCACCGCTTGCTGAATTATGTTGCCTCCTCCACATGCTCATGATGATACAAGGGTATGTCGAAAGGTAATTTGCGAAAAGACGTAATCCAGCCATCCGACCTCACTTCAAGACCGTATTGGCTCCTCTCGCCGCCAGATACTCCTGCACCTGTCCCGTCGTCAAGCCCTTGATAACCGTATAGACTTCGGCGTTGACGTAGTTGAGCCCTGTCTTCGGGTCTCTGTACTTTGCTGGCAGCCCAGTGATATCGCAGTACTTCTTCTTCGGCTTCAACGACGGCGCCGCAGCAATACTGGTGTAGGTCACACTCGGCCCCGCGCCAGGAACGGCCAGTCCTCCCGGCGTCGTAGCTCCTCCTTGCGCGCCGTTCTGCTGCTGCTTCATATTCTTCTCCAGAACCAGCCTGCTCAAGTCCTGGCTCGCCTGTGCAGGGTTGGGATGCAATGTCGGTGTCGTGCTGCCGTCTGTTGCTGGTAGAGGTGTACTCGCGCCAGAGTTCTGCTGCGTGTTGATCATGCTCTGCTGCGTGCGCTGCGCTTCGGAGAGGATCTGCTTGAGGTTCTTGTTTCGGCGCTGCGCTGGTCGCCAGTTGGGGTTGCGGAAGGGTTTGTGGATCTTGTGCATGTCCAGGCTGTCGAGCAGCGCGGCGTGGGTTTCTTCATTGCTCGCGGTAGTGATGGGCGCCATATTGGGTGTTTAAAGTGGTGTTGGTGGAATGTTTAGAAGATGAGGTCCAATCGTGGTCGTCCTCTGGGAGCCTGGCCTCAGCGGGCACCCCCGAGAACTCCGCAACCTCCATTCATACCATCACGCATCTTTCCGCATCTTTGCGACTCATTTTAGTCTCTAAAAGCGAGGGCGTTGCGATCATGTCTCAATACGTGGGCAAGGTATGTCACATCCAGCTCGTCACTGATAGCGTCATTCAACTAACCTACCGCCAGACCCGCCTCGCCTACTCGCGCGCCTGGCATCAATGCGACCTCTCATCAGACCCTCGACCCCTCGGCCGCATTGCCAGTCAAATCGCCATCGTACTCATGGGCAAGCACAAACCGATCTACAACCCCAGCACCGACTGCGGCGACTACGTCGTCTGCACCGGCTGCAAGGACCTGCATGTGACGGGCAAGAAGATGCAGCAGAAGAAGTACTACTCGCACACAACAAGACCTGGCTCGCTCAAAGAAATTACGATGGAGAAGATGCAGGAGAAGTGGGGTGGAGGGGAGGTGCTGAGGAGGGCGGTACGAGGGATGCTGCCGAAGAATCGGTTAAGAGACGATCGGATGGCGAGATTGAAGTGTGAGTGGGCTGCTGTCTTTATACAAGGTGGAAGATGGAGAATGTGAAACTGACGACTGATACAGGCTTCGAGGGCCCCTATCATCCTTACAAGCAGAACATCCTAAGACTTGGACGAGAATCACGAATATCTGGGCTCCCGCAGGTTCAGGAGACTTTACGAACGGCATCCCAGCCCGTGGAGCCATCGCAGGCAGCACCGCAATGATCTTGAATCCTCAGCATCGAGTGTGAAAGAGGGCTCTCCGCGGGTTGCAGATCGCGGGTACTGATCGAGGTCCAACTTGCCGGACAAGTCTGCAGTGTGCAGCTTCCGGGTAAAGCGTCTGGGTACAAGTCATCCGAAACCACGAGTCAAGCCGATGACGGGACAGTCGAGGGCTTATCGGAGATGGAATGAAGCCGCCGCCCAGTTGGCGGTCAGCATCCGTCCTATGTTGATATTTTGTACGAGAGCATAGCGCGGCGTTCTTTTCGCCATGGGCGGTGGGGGCTCAGTGTATAGTACGATGCATTTACAGGAGAAGACGGATGGCGAATTTGACGAAACCAGAGACAACCCGCCGAAGCAACAACGAGCATTCGAGGCGAAGCCTCAGTCAAGCTATCACAAACAAGTTTTCGAAGGTACGCCGACTAATCATACCGCCGTTAGTCCCCCACGAAGTCGTAGGTGGTTTGTCATGTAGCTTTTCATTGGAGACTCTCCTTGCACTACCGCTTCAAACCTTCCTGAATTTTCCAAGAAAATGTTCTCCTGAGCAAAACTATGTCTGTATAACTTCCGGCAGTCGACGAAAGGCAGCAAATCCTCATCCGTCGTCAAAGAGGCAGTGAACGCTATATCCACGCCACATTTCAATTGAAACGTCGAATAACGAGCCTGCCCGGTTATATCGACGTCCCGGAGGACGCGTCCCAGCTCCTCGCAGCGGCCTCTGGAGGCAACCTCTTCTCCGCCCGAGAGAGAATTCTCAAGGCTATAGCGCAACGGGCATGCGCATATAAATCCTCGCCGGGGTTCTGGAGAGGAATTCTTCTGGCCTCTGGACGAGGTGGCTTGTTGAGTTCCTTCTCCGCTCTTCCACATCGCTTGCACGGTAACGTTCGGGTCTGTCAGGTTTCGCCAGGCCATGGGAGACTCGACGATAGCTTGCCACAACAGCTCGCCTTGCAATCATACCCTCTCATTTTTGGCTCTTCTATCTGATATCGCCTATGGCTTTCCCGTTCTCCGTCCGTTCGGACATTGCTTCTCCGCCCTTCAGCTTGCAATCTCCGCACGGTTCACTGGGACGTCTGTCATGTGAAACCACGTGATGCTTCCAACCCTCTGTGGCAGTATCCTCACCGCCCTGGGGACGCTAGTTTAGCGCCGTTTGAATAACATAAATCTTCGAACTTCGTCCTGCAACTTTTTGATTGTTCTTGGCATACTTACCTTGTTGTGGTGACGGCGCTCAAGCATGCCACTCACCTAGCACTAGACTCTGTATTGCACAGCGCGGTAGTCTAGTGCTATCGTTCTCCTTCGGGGCCGCGTACGGCGGATTTTTTGGTGGTCAACCTTTTTCATCATGTCGCAGTATGTTCACTGTGGCCTGGAGAGGAAGCTCATGTTCACGTTCACTCACCGTAGGCTCTCAATTCATCGCAATGACGCTTACGCAGTCGAGTACTGAAGGTTTCGGCGGAACTTACAAGCCTTGGGTTTCATGCTCCTGCTCTGACCTGGTAGACTGGCGTGTCCTCTGACGGCTCAGTGTGAGCAACTCACTCGGGACTTCACGCGCTCACTTCCAACTGCCCCAGCCTCATCACTACACCGTGTCGGATACTGTCAACGACGTCCAGCCAACGGAAAGCTCCTAAACGCGAAGAACAGGCAAGCAAAGTGCCGTATCACCTGACAATATCCTACGCAATGCCTGGCTACCAGTTTCACTAGCAGACATCGAGCTTTACGAGAAGTATACGGAGATACCAGACTGCTGCGAGAGGTGCACTTCGACGATCCGCAAGACCTCCAAATCGGACGGTTGAAAGCCCACGACTACTTCGGCGACGGATCTTTCTACCTCCTCGACAGTCCAGGGCACGCGGTCGCCCATCGAGTTCATCTGCGCGCTCAACATCAACCAGACGATCTTGACCTACGATCAAGAGCCGAGCGACATGAATAGATACAGCATGAACAATCCTACGTCGGTGACAGAGACCTCCGGATGTGGCAGATGGACCTTCGTAAGAGCGTTTTGGCGAAGGACCATATCATCAGTAGGGGGGAGCAAAGTTCAGGAGATGGATTGTTCTCAGTAAGCCACAGCCAGATGATAATTCCTGTCTTCTACTGGCCCAGCCAGGAGACCGAAGATGTTCACCGCGAAGAAAGGCTATAGGGTTCTCGACAATAGTCGGCATAAGGATGTGATCAGTAACAAGCTGCTCGGTTGGTTTGCGAGTAGGCTGGTGAAGTACTGGGGATGGATGTAGGTAGATACGCGGTTTCGCTACCTGACGACTAAAAGTCTACATGCAGTAGAAGAAAGGGCGAACATTCCTACAAGTAGTATGGGGCGCAACTGAAGGCACCAGCACTGGGGCCAAAGTCAGAGAAACCTCTCTTCGGTGGTTGGCTCTATCTTCGAATATCGGACCGAGACCTCAACACGAACGACCTGGAATAAGAAAGCTGGCGGCAGAAGCGATCACATCAACGAGTCCTTTCCCCGACTTACGAAGGAGCACGAGAGGAGAAGTACACGCTGGCCTGGATTTCGAACGCTTAGGACGGAGGAGAGGCGCGGTTGCTCACCATGAGGAATGGATTAGCAGGGACATGTGAAGATGTAATGATGAAGCCGCCACTCATGGTATCTCAAAGCACCTGACTCCAATCGCTGTCATGCCTCCCATATCTCATTGGGCTCGTGCCCGTCTCATGCTTCGTTCACCAGCTGTAGCCGCTCCATTCCTCACTTCTTCCCACTCTTCTTAATGCCTTCATTTCCCCGTCAGTACGTTGTTGTCCGTCAGCATGACAGAGACACCGCCTCACCTTGGTTGCCCGAGTTCATGGGTCCCTTGCCTCCGGCCTGTGACATCGTCAGCTCTGTTTCGCGAGCAATGTCCCCAAACGCAGCCTACCTTTTTGGCCATTTCCTCGCGAGCTTTCTTGTCTGTCACACAGCACCATGGTCAGCGCCTTCTCCCTCGTATGAAATAGCACCCCTCTACCGACCTGCAGCCTGCTTCAACTTGTATGCCTTCTCACTCTCGTCCTCTTCATCAGCCGGCTTCTTCTTCGGCTTCTTGTTGTGGATCGGGTTGGTTCCGGCTGCCGTAAGTTAGTCGCAGTGTCCGCGGCAGTATTGAGCAAGACTTGCCTCCTTGACCTGAAGGCATCTTGGCGGTGTTCTTGAGTCTGTGTGCTTAAGAATGAGCCTTTAAGTCTGGCTTGGAGATTGAACGTGAATAATCGTCCAGCGAGATGCTGTGACCAAAACTACGCCTCAGCATGCCATAAGCTTCGAGACCGGAGGCACGTTCGAGACCACGCATATCTGGCCTCACTTCACTTCGACGTCGTGTTACCACCCATCCCTTCATTCAACGACGGCCTCGAGCTTCGAGAAGGCGGAGGCAACACTCCTGCCCATGGATCGCGACAGTATACGACAATATCACGAATAGACCGGCAACAGCGTGCTGCGGCGCATCGAGGCTCCGACTTCCATCACCTTCCGCACCTTGAACGACACACCAACCACGCCTCCTGCCTCATTACTCAACCTGCGCGGCCATGCCGCCGCCATCAGATACCAAACACCTCCCGTCGACACATCCAGCGCGAAAAGAGCGACCCAAGTCACCCAATCGAGTGCTCGCAGAGGCGGAGGCGCAATGGATCTTCTCCGAGGCAGAGCTGGCCAACACGCCTTCAATCCAGGATGGCATGAGCCAGGCCGATGAGAAAGACACTCGTGCAAAGGGCGTCAACTTCATCATTCAAGTTGGCGTCATGCTCAAGCTACCGCAACTCACCCTCTCCACGGCTGCGATATTCTTCCAACGATTCCTTATGCGCGCGAGTCTCAAGAAGGAGCGCAATGGCATACCCAGACTACATCACTTCCAGTCGGCTGCGACTGCACTATTCGTTGCTGCCAAAGTGGAGGAGAGCAGCCGCAAGATGAAGGAACTTATATTGGCGTTTTGCCGCGTGGCACAGAAGAATCCGAACCTCATCATCGACGAGCAGAACAAGGATTGGTGGAAGTGGAAAGACTGTGTACTGTACAACGAGGATGTGCTGATGGAGACAATATGCTTCGATTTTACCGTGGAGAGTCCGCATAGACAGCTATTCGAGATGCTGAAGTACTACGGCATCGAGCACAACAAGCGGTTACGGAACGCAGCGTGGAGCTTCGTGACGGACAGCAGCAATACACAGCTATGCCTACTGTGCAGCAGTCGCACGATCGCCATCGCCGCACTATATGCAGCGTGCAGGTACAGCGATGTTTCATTACCGGACGATTCGAAAGGAAGATCATGGTGGGAAGCACAGCACGTGAGATTAAAAGACCTCCGAAAGGCGATCGAATTCATGTGCACAAACTACGATCCGACATCTAATAAGATCAACGGCGTTTCCGTGGGCGGCAACGCAGAGGGCGATGGGAGCATATATGTAGGTCTCCTGACACCTGGCGATGGTGAAGCCGATCTTGGGGAACGCACCAGGCTGAAAGAAGATCAGGTGCAGGACAACACATCGCCTGCTGCTTCTCAGCCTCCTCCTGGTAGCGAAAGGCGGCTTAGCAATGCCAGTGCTGCTGGTGTGAAGCGTGAGCGAGAGCCGGAGCCAGATGGTCCACCGACTTCGTCTTCATTACAGGCCAATGGCAACCATGCAAATGGCGTCAAATCTGAAGAGCCCGAGAGCAAGCGTCCACGGCTGGAGAATGGAGTCGCGAAGGCCGGAGGTGAAGCGAAAGCTGTGAAAGACGAAGCACCAGGGTCTCGCGACGTCAAGCACGAGGAAGAAGCCAAGCGCGTGGAGACCGGCAACAAGCAGGAAGTCGCAGCCGTCAAAGCCGAGGATCCAACTGTTCAAGACGAGAAGCCTAAGAGCAGCGACAGAGAAGAAGGCGAGCTGGAAGGTTAGAGACGTCCCGGCCTTACCTTTGTATCATGCAACACGATGGCAGCTCTCAGCGCGGGGAAGATGGCTTTGGAGTGGGGCTCGGACAGTTCCGATTATGAGGAAATGCATGTAGTGACAAAGCTTGAATCACCCAAGCCAACAGAGGAGCTGCCGCGATTTGGGAACGGGAAGCTGCTTGAGTGGATCGCTGCTCGGGACCGCGAATCGAAGGCAAAGAGGGAGGCCACCGAGAAAGGCGGCAAAGGCAAGCGGAGTAAGCTTTCCCATTCTCAGCGTCGCGCCATCCACCGACGCCGGCTCCGAATGTCCTCTCCAAACACGTTGCCGCTTCCCACTGCGATGAGACGCCCCAACTGAGCCAGGAGGGCATTTTCCGGGGTTGCCGTCGGATGCTGACGAGCAGGTCTACTGGATGAGAAGGGGATCATTGCTTTGGCGCTGCATTGAGCGGATTGAGAGCATTCGTTGAGGGGCATGGCGTTACGGGGATTGCAAGTATATGAGATACCCCTGGCATTGGATGGGATGGCTATGGAGGCCTGGGATGGAACTTTGAGGGTATCGTAGCATGGCGCTGTATTGGCTTGCTCTTCGTTAGCATATTCTAAGCCGAGTGCTCGCCTCCGTGAACCTCCCTTAAGGTACATGTATGAAAGCTCATTGTGCTCTCATGTCTTCTACTTCTTGCTGTATATCTGGTACTTGTGTATTCTGTGTACCGATCACGTGCCGGTTATCACACTTGAGCTTCAACGACTTGAATCGACAGAGACTGCACCGCAAGCGCAACCTCACTGATACACATCGTCGGCACCTGCTTGCACATCCTCTTTGAACCTGCCCGCCGTCGATATCACGGCGCGCGCGACCACTCGACAAGCCTGCGGGCGACAGAGCAAAACCATCAAACCTGTGAGGAACATCTCCACACTGGGTTCGATGCGAACCACAAGACACACTTGCTGCAGTGACAGATCGGCTAACGCATTTGCAATACTGCAATCTTGAGTAGGGCCTCGTCTTGCGGGCTGCGCCTTCGTTCGGACGGCAAGATGAGCCCGCGCTCGCCATCGCCTCTGTCGGAAGGCGAGATCGTCAGCGGGGACGAGGAGAAGGCAATTAGCACGAGTACAAACGCAGCACGAGACAGCAAGGTTAACAATTCGGCCAGACTTCCACACGGGTCTTCATCTCGGACTTCGCAATCTGCTAGGATGGAAGGGCTGGAGAAAGAGTCGTACTATCATTCGAGGCGGGGTGGGAGCATGGGCAATGACGTGCCAGGCGGAGTGAGAACCAAGAGGGACAGGAGCCGGTCAAGGTCACCTTACCGTGCGGACAGATCGAGCAATGGTGACAAGCGCAAACGGGAAGACGACCACTACGGTCGGAAAGATGTGTCCGATTCGCGACGCTTCAAGACCTACTACGAAGACGAGCCGTTCTCGAAAGATCAAGAACGTCGTTCGCGGCGTCCATACGCAGACCTCGATCGACCTGTCTCGCCGAGACGTCACGTCCCGTACGATGACCCACTCGAATCTGTCGCGCGCGAGCCTCTCTACAGCAACGGACGTGACCGCAGGCGTGGGAGAGACCGCAGTAGATCGCCATTCCGCCACAGCACAGCACAACCGCCCCAGGACTCTATGAAAGACGTCACGGGCAATCATGACAAGCTGGACGCTGGCAAAGGTGCACTTGATGAACGCGAGTCCTTCCCACCATCGTCACATGCGCAGAAAGACACTAAGCTCAAAATGTCACTCTCACAGCACGCAAACACGAAGCGCCAGAGTGGCACACAGCAGAGGTCAGTTGACACTACATATGCTTGTTCAATCAAAGCTGACCTGACTTACAGTGGTAATGGTATCATCAAGCAAGATTCAGAAATGACAGAAGATTCCACAGAGCCCAAGCAAACCCTCAGTGAATCCGAGCTCATCGAGCAACGACGCAAACGCCGGGAGGCCATCAAAGCTCGGCACAAAGGTAACCCACCTCTACTTGTTCAAGCTCTGGAACACACCCAGGCGTCAGCTCCGTCAACACCGCTTCACGACAGCAGCGGTGGCCCTTCAGCACAGCAGTCGCCGCCTTCGTCTATGGATTCGCCAAGCACTACGCAGAAGGATTCGCCGCCTGGCTCTCCAGCCGCTTTCGCCGTCACCAACGATGAAGAGCTTGTCGACCGCCGCAACGCTGACAGTGCCGGGCATGAGGAAGATGGACCATCAGCTGCTGATTACGACCCCAACCTGGACATGCAGGAAGACCGTCCGGATCACAAGCGTCAGGATCTCCAAGACGACGTTGCAAACGGCGTCGATGCTGAGGTAACCGAAGCACCTGCTGCAGTGGCACAGAAGGCAAAGGAGTTCGACATGTTTGCGGAGGACGACGATGACGACGACATGTTCGCACCAGCCGATGCTACAGCGAAGCCTGCTGCCGCGGCGACGACAAAACAAGCGAAGGCACTCGATGCTAGCTTACTTGACAATTGGGATTATCCAGACGGTCACTACCGCATCATTCTTGGCGAGCTGCTGGATGGACGCTATGCTGTGCAGCAACAGATAGGCAAAGGTACGTTCGCAACGGTAGTGCGCGCTCAAGACACGCAGACCGGTGCCACGGTGGCTGTCAAGATCGCTTGCAACAATGAGACGATGTACAAGGCAGGCCAGAAGGAGATGGAGATGCTTGAGCTACTCAACCAGAACGACCAGGACGACAAGAAGCACATCATTCGCCTGCTGCGCCAATTCGAGCACAAGGGCCACCTGTGCCTCGTATTCGAGAATCTGAGTGCAGATCTGCGCGAGGTCCTGAAGAAGTTCGGCCGCAACGTTGGCCTCAATCTCAAAGCCATCAGGTCGTATGCACAGCAGATGTTCCTCGCACTCAGCCACCTGAAGAAATGCCAGATCCTCCACGCCGATCTCAAGCCGGACAACATCCTTGTGAGCGAAAAGCGGAACTTGCTGAAGATTTGCGATCTCGGAACCGCTTCTTTCGCAGAGGATGCAGAAGTCACACCATACCTGGTGTCACGCTTCTACCGCGCGCCTGAAGTGATCCTAGGAATGCCCTTCGACTATTCCATCGACATGTGGTCGATCGGATGCACGCTCTTCGAGCTCTACACAGGACGCATCTTGTTTGCTGGCGCCGACAACAATCAGATGCTCCGTGCTGTGCAAGAATGCCGTGGCAAGTTTCCGATGCGTATGCTCAAGAAGTCGACACTTGCAGACAGGCACTTCGATTTCGACGGCAACTTCTTCTCTCAGGAGCGTGACAAGATCACTGGCAAAGCGACGATGCGTCAGATCAACTTCAACAAGACTGGAGCTGGCAAAGATCTTCGGTCTCGGCTCTCTGGCACAACCAAAGGCATGAAGCCGGAGGAGATTAAGGAGCATGCTGCGTTCGTGGATCTCATGGACAAGTGTCTGCAACTGGATCCGGCTCGAAGAGTAAGTCCAAACGAGGCGCTCAGACACGGCTTCATCACGCACGGCACACAGCAGCCGGAGAAGGCGGCACCTACGGTGAAGGTGGCCATGAATGTTCCGCGGATGAGATGAGGATGGTTTGAGGATACGTCAAGGAGCGACACGGAAGTGGGCATTGACGCATCGACATCGAGGGACGAGAGGGGCACAGCATGAGCCTGTGGACGGTAGAGAGCAGCACAGTGGGATATGGCAGAAGCAGCTTCATCAACGTTCAATTCGACTATGTTGCACAGCAACCGTATCGTAACACTGGTAGGGCTGCAATTCAAGATAGTGGTCCAGTCAACTGTCACCTTGTCTTCGCATCCAAGCTTCCGCGGTGTCACAGGTGTTGCGGCCTTGGTACTCCCCGTTCATCCTGATCGTTCCGTGCGACAGCACCGTCCCAGTTTGTCAGTTACAGCATAGGCTGGCCATTGGAACATTCTTGACACCATAGTGCCGGTAGCCGGCAGTTCACTTCCAGCTTGGTGGTACAAGAAGCGCTGTCTCACTCGCGGTCTCACGTGTCGTTATGCATGCAGCTGGATCCAGACGTGGTCGCACAGGATGCTGTGCCGGGACGCTGCATGGGCGTCTACGGTCTATCTCTCCCTCGGGCTACGAAACGGACACCAGGTTCTCGATCGTTACACAAGTTTTCGATACGATGCTGAAAGATCCACCAACACAGAGGAAAACTGTATCGTGCAGCAAAAGATCGTCGCTTCGCCACCAAACGCTGCATTCATTCGAGACCTTCACGCAAGGGTCCGCTTTGCTTATGCAGCAGAAGGCCGTGGAGCACAATTCCGTCACCCGATCAGCAAGTCTGCGTCGGCGGTGCTGTGCTGTTTGTCGCCGGTGCTGTGCCTCAGTGGAGCATCCAGACGACGAGACGAAAGACAGCTGGAGCAAGAACGTAATGCCGATAAATGCCGCACTGCGCCCAGTGTGCGCGCCGCTTTCCCACGTGCATACTGCAGCAGCTTGCGTCTGCAGATTTTGGGGCTAGTCGGGCGCAAGAGTAGGCGTTGGCTCCGGGGGACGGTTGGCTGCCTCGAATTTTGGTGGTGTTCTGGAGCTAGCTTCTGCCGCCCGCCTCGTCATTCTACCTACTGTGGTGTATGCGAGCTTTGGGGCTTGGCGGGTTAGGGCTGGTATGCCGGATGCGGTGGCTGGATGGTGGGAGGTGGGAGAGTGCTCAACGATGAGTGTAGTGATGTGCGAGGTTGGGAAAGGCCCGACTGCCATACCTCAGTCACGACGGGAATATGGCAATGAGGATGAGTATCATGTAGAGAATGGAAAGATCCATTGGACGGTTACAGCCAAAAGGTAGTCAAAGTATGATACATGATACAGTCGAAGGCGACTGTCCAGCGTCTTGTACAGTTCCATATCCTGAAGGTGTCTGGGGAAGCCAGCACCAATCTATATTCTCCGTCCACCAAACGGCCAATCTCTAATGTAGAACTCCGGATGATCCATCCCGGACATCGTGATTGCGTGCGAAGCACCTGGGTATCGAAACAGCAGAAACTCCAGAGGGCTCGTCACTCATATCCCCCATCCTCGTAGCATCGTAGCGCCTCGCTCAAAAACTTTTCGCAGTACAGATGAACAAGCAAGAAGAAAAGGTCCCAGTAGTCGCAGAACAGATCCAGCTCATGACACCATGACTCCTCTCCAGCAGACCTGGTTGGCCAGATGGGGCACGAAGCTAGTGCATCGTTGCCACGGGAAGGATGGGATGAAGTTGGCCGACCCAGCAAAGGGACCGTGGTAAGCGGGCATTGCTGGTTTGGCTTGGTACGTATAAGGGCTGTGTCGGGGGCTGCCAGCAGTGGAAGCCGGCGGTGTTGGGTCGGGTGTGTAGAGTGCCTGGGCAGCGAAGTGAGGTCTCGCGTACACCGGATACTGCTGCACTGGCAACGGATCCATGTTGGGCACAGGCTCCAGGCCGTTGCCATAGTACGGCAGAGGCGCCTCCACTGGCTTCTCCACCGGTGAGTAGGGAGGAGTTGGTGGCAAGCTTGCAGCCTCGGCCTCCTGGCTCAGCTGTGGGCATTCCAGTATGAGGTGGCGGAGCTCATCAAGGCCTACCCTGTGCTGGGGGTTGATCTCGAATATCCTTTGCAGGATAGCATTGAGGCCTGATGAGATGGACAGAATAGATTGAAGGAAATTCCGATCCCGAACGTATGCTCTGAAGGTCGAGTCCTCAATTGCGGCCCGCTTCCATGGGTTGCGGCCGCAGACAAGGTTGACGAGGATGACGCCAAGGGACCAGACATCGTTGGACTCTGATGAATAGCAAGCAAAGGGCTTAGGGTTGGATTGCTGGCACTCTGCGATCGATTAGCACTGCGATCTGATCAAAGTAGAAGTCAGTGTACATACCTGGCGACATGTAGAAAGTCGATCCGCATCCAAAGTCGGACGTGATGCGATCCTCAGTGGCAAGTCCAAAGTCCGCGAGCTTCACAGTCCATCCGTTGTCCATCACGAGAATGTTCTCAGGCTTGAGATCCCGGTGGTAGATACCCTTTGCATGGCAGTGCTGGACAGCATCCAAGATTTGTAGGAACACTGACTTGGCCATCTGATCTTGCCCGTGGTAGGCACCGTCATCGGTGATCTTCGCGAACAAGTCGCCCTCCGGACAGTACTCAAGAACGACGTAAGTGCAATCCGGAGTATCCACGATCCTTTTCATGGAAACAACGCTGGGGTGCTGGCTGGCCTCCCAGTGCAACCGGATCTCCCGTTCCTGGAACGCCCGTTGCCTTGGGTCGAGACCAAATCGGTTGAGCGCTTTCACGGCGTACTCCGCGCCATCCTTGACGGAACGGGCCTTGTACACGGTACCGTAAGCTCCAACTCCCAGGACGTCAGTCAGCTGATACTCGTAGCCTATGACCTGGCCAAGTCTATCATCCGGACTGCATGATCCCGATGATGTCGGCGATTGAGGCGGAGTGGGAAGCATATCCAAGAGATCCAATGGAGCTCCTCGGTGGGAGTGACCCGTATTAGATCCTAAGAAACGTACGCAAACATGAACAACAGAACCAGGAAAATCCAAAAGGGTTGATGAAGGAGAGTCCTGTGTGGATCGGCCGTTGTAGTCCAAGATGTGTAACAGTCGTAAGGAATGAATGGCCTTGTTGTATTGTTGTCCGGAGAGAGAGGGCGAACTGCGAGGCAATAATATGTCCAAGGTATGGCGTGTTATTAAAAGGCAAGGCGGGGCGAAGAGATGGAAAGGTTGCGAGCTGCAGGCGGACCCTGGTGAACAATGGGCCAGTCGAATCTGTTGTTAGGATGGATCGAGCCACAAAGATGGCGAGGTGCTGGGCGGTTGAAGAATACCTATGTACCTAACGTTTACCACAGCCATCCAGCATGCTGGAGGGTTGGCGCACTCTAGAGACGACACATCTCCATCCTAAACTCGACGTTAGCGGCACAGCATCCCTGAACCACACGGCCCACTGCCAACGCTAGCCTGCGCAGAGGCCATGTCAACTCGCATGGCTAGCGTTGATCGTTGAAGGATGGCAACGATCGCTCCAAGCTTGCACCCAAAGGATGCTAGCCTGCGCGGCGACAGCAGGGTCGCGAAGCATCCTCTCCCGAGCCGCTTGCGTGTCACTGCAAAGGTGTCCGCCACACTTTCGTAACTGGTTGAGCTGGTGTCTGGAGGAGGCGCACGCGACACCTCCGGTACGAACGTCGAACAGCTGGCTTCCCAACGTCATCCCTGCTTCGCGGATACACGCAGGGTTGGCTGGGAAGGGCGAGGGATTGTACGATGCAGAGCGAGATTGACATAGCACTTCCTTCCCAGCGTTAATTGTGCAGCACTGGCATCCAATCAGCAGAGAGCAGGCATGCCGTTGGAAATCGAGGCGGCTTTGCGTTTGGGTCGTGAGAACCACAACGAGACAAGCGCCGGCGCTGCGTGACTCCGTGCATCACGCCAGCAGGCAGTGAGCTTGGACCGGGCGAGAAGAAGGAGGCCATTCCAGAAGATCGATCCAGGGTTAGCTCCAGAGGCGCTCCCATCAGCGCTATCGACTGATCGCCGCCCATGAGACTTTGCGCGTTTGGGAACAGCACCTCTGCGGTGGGTCGGCATCCTGAACTCCAGAGTCCAGAGGAGGGAGCTCTCTGCTGCAGCCTGCATCTACGGCATTCTAGGAAAAGGCCCGCGATATTTCTGGACCAACAGCATGCTCGAGATATCCTCGGAGCAACAGGATGTGGCAGCCACCGCAGCCTTCGGCGCCTCGAGCCTTTCCATCGTCTGCTTTGTGGGAGTCCGCAACGGCAACACGAGGCATCCACGGCATCCACAACGACAAAGGAAGTGCTGGCCCCAGCGCAGGGCTGTCATCGCTTGTAGAGAACCTCTCTGATTCGCTGTATCGAGCGCCTCGCATTTCAAACCCGAGAGCTTGCGTCAGGATTTTCGCGTGCTTTGCTAGGCCGAATTGTCTCGGCCAATTCCTACGCCGTTCATTGGGCAGCGCTGGTTGAGAATGATCGGCCGTTCAGAGTTTGGAGATTGCCAAATGGAAGCGTTGGAAGATCATGTGTTTCAACAAATATTGGGAAAGCCAGCCTGTTCGGTCAATACTCTCGCCATGGTGTAGTCTGGCGCCACGGTTGTTTATCGCAATCAAAGGATGGACGAGGACACCAATCCATCTTGCTCCATGTTGACGGCGAACGCGGAGGATGCGCCGCGTGTTCAAGCTGTTGCGCATCAATCTCCCTTGTCAGCATCAATCGGACGCTTCGAATACAGTAGAAGCGATTATCGAAGTTGATCGTTATTGGTGGTGGACGGTTGTGGAGTCTGGACCAGCCTTTGCTTCGATGCCTTGCATGAGCTCGATAGAGTGACGTCCAGTGCCCCTCCAGAACGACAGCTTCACGAGCTGGCCAGTAACGTCAACGCTGATGCAGATAGCTGTCTTGTCGAAGCGCTCCACCACCACCTACAGGTACCTCTCGGGCGTCCCAATAATGTCATGGGTGTACCGGAAGCGCAGAGGGCTGCTTACTTGGATCGTCGATACGGACTACGGCTCGAGCGAAGGCATCAAAGCACTTTGCCATCCGCAGCCATCCGCGAACCGCACTTCTTCAGGCACGGCGATGTTGATGAGCAGCTCATCAGTGTGCCTTGCTGCCTCGTGCAGATGCTCTACAAAGACGGTAATTGAGCATGCTTGCCGCGTCGTTTCCAGGATTGTCGTTCCAATGGCCGCTCGAGAAGGTCTTCATAAAGCAACGCACAGAATGGGCGGGTATCTTGCCTGCTGAGACTGTTTGGACGGTCCATGGTCCTGCATGGCCGAGTATTGGGTCCTGAGTCGTCCTAGGCTCTTATAGAGTGACGCATTAGAAAGGAGAGCCGTCAAGGTCATGGGTAGACCACCGGTGTATTCGTCAACTACTCCTTCGACAACTTCGTCATCTCACTTCTCACATGCATCAGTGCTTTGCCCAGCAGGTTCTCACCCCATCGCGAACGTGAGACCTTCAACGCCTCTTCTGCCTTGGATCCAATACCCCAAACCGTGTCGAAAGGACTCGCTTCCGCCAACTCCTGATCCTTGGTCGCCAGCAGCAAATCCTTAAGCGGCACAGGCTCGCCCACATCATCCATCTTCATGCTCGCAACATCTGTACTTTGCGTGAACTTCAACCAGTTTCCTCGCTGTACGATCTCGAGTCTCGCTTCGCACCATTTCGCCTCATCGTAGTTCTGTATCTCTCGACCCAGCCCCTTCTGCTTGCGTGCTGAGGTGATGGCCATGATCTTCGCTGCTGTCGCTGGGTCGTCGAATAGCTATGTCCGTTCGGTCAGCATGGGAAATGATGTGGATGCTCATGCGCTCACCATCGCTTTCCTCCACATCATATACTGCTCCGCGCAGTTCAAGATTAAGCCCTCATGCTCTGGTTCGGTGAAGGAGCATCGGTACCATTGACAAAGGAAGCCGTTCTCTTCGTCCTCCTTCCAGAAGAACACTGGCACGCCGTGATGATCTGAAGGCGCTCCAGAGGTGTCAGACTTCTTATGCTTGGGCTTGCGAGGCGTGGGTTCTTGATGTGTCTTCGCAGCCTTCTTGTCGTTCTGCTTTGGCATTGTAACGGAAGGGAAACGAGGCCAATCCTCTGTTGCTTGAATGATAGGGAGGGAAGTTGAATGGATAAACAAATGAGATTGAAGACTTGTTGTCGTAAAGGTTGTAGTCCTCTGATGACCTTTGGCAGTTATTACCTCTTGACTCACTTGTTAGAGTTTAGGAGAAGGCGCGGTGTCCAGATGCGTAGGGGAGTCTCAATCATGGTACTGGCAGTTGGTGACTTCCAGATCTAGAAAATTGTAGTTTTCTCTGCTGTGCAGCGTGAGAGGAAATGATTGATCAGGGGACGATACATGTATGTCGCAGAGGAGGAGATGACTCGAGGACATCTTGTAGAGCACGAAGCAGCCGTTGTTCACTGCGGAGTTCTCCTTCGACCAAGACAATCTCACATGTTGTCACTTCGTCAATTGGAGGCAGAGGGTCATCGGGGAGAAGATGGTGTCCATTCTCCACTTCATACATACAAGCGAGAATTCACATGGCCGCGTTGAATTGATGTGTGTTTGTGTTGTTTCGCAATTGCTCAGCTGCCCGATTGGGAGGCCGCTCACGGACCGTGCCGTGTAAAAGTGGGCCTGCGTGAGAGAAAATATGGCGAACGACAAGGCGTGACTGATCTCCTTTCAATTGGAGGTAAGTGATACAACTTCAGGGCGGCAGTCGAGCACCCTTTGACATCTCCAGTAACAAACAGTCAACGACTTTCAAGATGGTGGAGAAGGTCTACGTTACCTACAGTAAGCGATCGATAACGGTGATTCGAGAAAAGTGAACTAACAACTACCTTTTCGCAGATCAGGTGAGGAGCACACCGATAACGCGAATCGAGATGGCGCCGTGCTGATGAGCGCAAAAAGGTACACAAATTATGTCAGGCCTCAGCCGACCAAATCCTCAATGACTTCAAGCCCAACCTCATGATCGCCATTGGGGGCGGCGGATACGTTCCAGCACGCATCCTCAGGTCCTTCCTCAAGAAGCCCGGCAGCCCGAACATTCCCATCCAAGCAATCGGCCTATCGCTCTACGAGTCACTCGGAACGGATTCTCAGGTCGAGCAACCCGGCACCAAGGTCACCCGAACTCAATGGCTGGATCTCAGCAGTCTGGAGATGGCGAACTTGATCGGCAAGAACGTTCTCATCGTTGACGAGGTCGATGATACTAGGACCACGCTTGAGTACGCGGTCAAGGAACTCGAGAAAGATGTTGCCACAGCTGCCAAGCAAGCTGGTCGGGCCGGCGAGAGCACCAACTTCTCGATCTTCGTTCTACACAACAAGGACAAGCAGAAGAAGGGTCGTCTTTCAGAGGACATGATGAAGAGTGGGATGTACTTGGCTGCGGTGACTGTGGGAGATGTGTGGATCAACTATCCCTGGGAGGCGACGTATGTTTTATCTCCATCGTGTCAATTGTTCGAGTGTATGCTTACACGGGTCCAGGGACATTGAAGAGCACGACAAGATGGCAGAGAATCAGGCCGCTCAGTGATTTGCGCTTACACGATGAATGAGACACGAACGCAGCCCGACAGAATAAAGCTCGGAAGCGGATAGAAGCGGCCAGGATGAGCTCGTCTGCCAATGGTGGCCAGATCATTCAGAGTCTAACAGCAGCTTCAGGAGAAGCCGGTCGAAATCAAAATGCTACGACAACTCTGCTTGCTTCACAATTTGAGGTTTGACATTAAGTATGATTATGCTCACAACTACTTCCAATTAATACATCCTGTGCCACTGATCCATTCAGGACTTTCGCTTACACTGAACGAGTTGCCAGCCACCCTCTAAGCTCGCATCATCCGCCTCGGAATCCTTACCTTTCTCCTTCGCAATGTCGCCCTTCTTCGCGGTTCCTCCGGACTCTGACTGCGCTGCACTGCTCTGGCCGAATTGCCTGTCCACCTGCACCCAAGACTCATCTTCTTGGCATCGACAGATCGGACAAGGACTGCCATGGGGGTTTTGGAAGGATCACTTCCTTAAAATGGGGGCAGGCATCGTACCTAAGCTCGCGGCGGTTTTTGGCATGTGCGCAGGGCTCGGTGGGAATGTACTGCATTTGCTGGGAAGCGAGATGTCAGTCGCTGTTATGCCTGAGCAGCGAAGGGGGCAATGGTACCTTGCATGGTGCCCTGGACTCCAATACGCGTCGACACATGTTGAGGTAAGTCTTTGGCTTTGATGTTGATGTGAGTATCTTCTAGTTGGATGAGGTGGTCTTGTTGGCTGGGTCGAAGGGCTGCGATTGCTGTGCTTCGACTGGGTAGGTGTAAAAGTTCGACGGTGTTGAGAAGGGAAGAAGAACGATGTGCAGCCTCACAGCTACACTTATAAGCAGTCGCAGGTCCTGACCACCGGTCACTACGGCCTTCTAAAGCCTGTGTCATGCGACGGCATATTCAATGCCCTTTGTCTACATTTAATTCGCCACCGACAGCATTCACCGTCTCCTTGTGTGGCCGCAGAGCTGCACTTACACGATCTGGGTTTGGGACAGCCAGTCACCACGGCCACCTACGGCCAGCATGCGTCGTACACACTTACAAAAGGCATGTTCAACGTCTACATACTACTCATGTTCAAGACTCCCATGACCTAATTAATCCTGCACTATCACCCGGCTACCCTCCATCTCGGAGTCATTGCCCCCGGATCCCTGGTCATCCTTCTCTACGAGGACTACGGTTTCCTCCTCAGGCCCAACGCCCGTGTCCTCCAGAAGAGTAGCAAGTTTCTGTGCGGCTGCCTTGGCCTGCACCTTATTACTCTGATGCTTCTGCATATCTGCTGAGCGTTGCTCCTCCAGCTTGGCTTGATGTTGCTCCTTGTCTTTACACTCGGGACAAGGGCCGTCCGAGGGCAGCGCCTTGCGTTCCGCGGTCGCTTTGGAGCAGCCGGCGTAGTTGCGACCCGTTGTTTTTCTGCCGTGCGAACATGGATCCACGTGACAGACGCGCTTGTGCTGTGTTGGTTGATTAGCTGTTACGAAGCAGTCTGGAGATGGGACTTGGTAGCGTACCTTGCACGGATACCAGTATTCGAAGACTCGACGGCACATCTTGCTATCGAAATTTGGTCGTGGTTGAATTTGCTGATGGTGTTGCCAACGTGGTCGGCGTGCAGTCTCTGTGGTCTGGATGTCAATCAACTCTGCCCAGAGTGTAATCGTTATAAGGGAAGAAGAGAGATGCGCAGCGTTATGGCTGCACTTATAAGCTACCCTAGTTGGTGGTACTGGGACCTGCATACGTCGCGCAAAGGCATATTCAACGCCTACAGCCGACCTTCACCTTGCCACCGAGAGCATTCGCCACCGGCTTGGTTGGCAAGGGCGTCAGCTATACCGAGACTTGCCTCAATTCCTTGATGCGTGGATGACGGCCTAATTTGAACACAGCTGACGGCGCAGTACCCTGGATCTTAACCCTCTTCGCCACCCTCTCCTCCTCATCTTCCCCCCTCTCCCTCTTCACCCGAGATATCACCTTCCCGACCACGGCCCCTTCCTCCTTCACCACCGCCTCCCTCTTGCACATCTTCTTCCCTTCCCTCCTCTCTCTGTCCACCTTTCTTGCCATTTCCCGAATATCTCGCCGATTCCTCGCCAGATAATAAGCAACAACATAAGACAACACCCTCCAGGGACTCGTCAGACTGCCAATCATCCGCCCATCTGCACCGAAAATCCATGCTGGAATCATTGGGACTACTTGCTCAATTCCAAGGTTCCTGCTTACACAATATGCTGCGAAGACGGTAGGGTCGAGAGGTGGCGCGGAGACCCTCGAAGGAAATGGGTGATGGGGCGAGCGTGTGCAGGGACATGGTTGGTTCAGAACCCGCTGGGGGTTCGAGAGTAGGGAGGCAGGTATGACTGCGGCCGAAGCGACGGAGACGAGTAATAACCTGCAATTGCATCCAGGGCAAAAGCGACGAGCGACTTCGACGGCGTGGCCGCAGCAGTGCGGTTGGAGGTAGGTGATGCACATGTGGTTTGTTTCTTGTGAACGTTATCTTTGTTGGTGTGATCTGCTGACATTAGTGGTGTCAATATGAAGATCTCGCACTGTTTCGACATGGGCTGTATCTTTGTACAAACATGTCTAGGATACATGCATGCCTCCAACAGCAATTGTTCGGAGTCACTGCTGACTGTGTCAGCTACTCTCAGCTGGCCAGCAGAAGACCAACCGTGAAAGTAGAATTTAAAGCTCGCGGCTTCCAACCGCGAGTACATCTATCATTCCCTCTGCCCCTCCGGCAGCCGGTCCCGTAGATACTTCATCGTCGCCTCCGTGCCCTTGTCCAAAATCCTATGGTTCGGCACTCTGAAGGCGTTCCTCCCAACTTCCAGACTCCGCAAGCCTTCATTCCACAGCAGGCCAATCTCAGCAGGGAGCTGTTCGATGTCGTTGCCGGAGAGATTCACGATCTGCAAACCGCGCAGTGTATCCGCTGTCACAGAGGTGAATTTGTTGTCCTGCGCGATGAGCGTTGCCAGAGCCGGGTAGGTGTGGCGCAGGTTGGGCACGGCGTTGGTAAGCCGATTGATAGCGACATTCAATGTTTGCAGCTTCTCCGCTTGCAGGTGCGTCATCAATGGCTCAAAAGTGACGAGGTTGCAGCGCGTCATGTTCAGTTCCTGGAGGTTGGGGAGGCAAAGTTCATCGTAGAGGTAGTCGGAGCTGAAGGTGTTGCCGGAGAGGTCGAGCGTCTTGAGGTCGTGACCGAGCCAGAGGGCTGGTGGAATGGCTGTGAGTTTGTTGCTGCCGATGTAGAGCTGTTTGACATCTCGCTCCTGGAGGAACGAGCCGAGGTTGTCGTTGATGCTGTCGGTGTAGCCTTTGCTGCTGATTTCGAGTTTTCCGTTGGCTTGGAGGGCCCATGTTTGTTTTGGAGACGATACGGAGGATGAGAAAGAGTCTCGTGCGTCTTGGAAATCATCTTGCTCACCGCCTTCAGCATCTTCGATGACCTCTGGCTCGATGCGGGCCCTGAGATCCCGCTTGAGGTCCGCGGTGCTTATGTTGAGGAATCTCCTCTCTCGTAGTGGGTTCGAAGCCAACACCAGAGACTCAAGGCTTGGCATCCTCGCAATCTCTGGGTCAAGGAGTCGAAGCTCATTGCTAGTGAAGTTGACGTTCTTCAGCTTGCCCAACTTCGTGAAGCCTGATGGCAGCTCAGTGACCTTGTTGTCGCCAGCCATGAGCGTGATAAGCTCCGTCCAGCCAGACATATCGGGTAGGCCAGTGAGATGATTGTTCGTGACATCCAGACTGCGCAAGCTCGGCAGGTCTAGAGCCTCCGCGAATGTCAGTGCTGCCAGGGAGTTGTTCGCAACCTTGAGAGATCGTATCGTGGTGTGAGAACTGTTCGCTCCAGGCGGGAACAGCGAGGCTATCAAAGCATTGTTGCTGGCGTCGAGGTCGACCAGCGGAAGATCGTAAAGCGCTTCGATCGGTAAGGCGGTCAGTTGATTGCCGCAGACGTTCAGCACTCTGAGGCTAACAAGCTCTCGCAAAGCTTCCGGCAATCCGAGTAGACGGTTCGACTGGACATCGAGAGTCTCGAGATGTTTGAGTGAGCACAGTGCCGTTGGAAGGTTGCCGGAGAGGTTGTTGTGCCCTAGCTTGAGATCCTTCAGTGAGCTGATCTGCGATATAACATCAAGCGCATCATTTTCAAGCTTGTTGTGTGACAGGTTGAGCGAAGTCAGCCTCTCAAGCCTTCTCAATCCTAAAGGAGCGGCGCGGATTTTATTGCCATGCAGGTCTAGGGACTCCAATCCGCCAAACTGGTTGCCCGAGGTCTGGTCATCTGCCTCGAAGTCTTCGGCAGACTTGTCTGGAAATATGTCCTCGCCGAGGTCGTCGAAGTCGTTATCGGCAGCCATCAGCCTGGTAAGGTCGACCACCTCAGCCCAGCTGACGTTGCTAGCTTCCATGGCTGCCGAGTCATACATTTTCATGACCTCGTCTGGGATCTGCTTGAGACCCATCGCTGCGATGTTGAGCCGGCCGTCCATGCGAGCAGCGTTGATACGATTCCTGATGATGTGCTTCTCATCTCTGGGAGCCTGGTTGAAAGGGTCATAGTGCATATCAATCGCTGAGTCCACACTACTATTAGTCGCGAGAATTCCATTCGCAGCGTCTGCTTTAGCTTTCTCCTTCCGAGCAGCTGCTTTGGCCGCCGCGATTTGCTGGCGTAGTGCGTTCGACGATGCAGTAGCCGTGGCTGCTTTTGGCGAGGCACTTCCCTGACTTTCTGACAGAGTGCCCTGCAGTTTCGGTTTTGGCTTCGTGGGCACTTTGTCGGCTTCAGCGCCAGCTGTGGCAAGTGGAGCGAAAGCATCTTGGAGCGATGGCTTCGGCTTCGATGGCCTGGCTGCGACTGTTTTACTCTTTGAAGGTAGTTTCAATCCTTTGCTCGGTGTAGCTCCTGGCGTGGGCATGGGTGGCTTCGAAGGCGACGGTGATCGGCGTGAGACTGCCGCAGTAGCGCTGCTAGCTGGAGGCTTGCCAAAGGACGATGAAGTGCTGATACTTCTGCCTGGTGTGAAACCAAAGCCGCCGAGTGACCGCCGAGTTGCCGGCTTCGCACTCGACAGAGCTCTCTTTGTCATTGAGGCTTCAAGGGGTGGTGGTGCGCCGAGACTCCCGTCGCTGGTTCCGGGCCTGCTGCCGTTGCGGCTGACATTCCGACTCATGCTTGAGCTCGGACGAGGAGGCGGACCCATGTTGCCGCTCGGGGAGAAGAAGTCTGACTGGCGTCTCTCCTTTGGCGTGACCGGCAGATTCTGCAGACTTTCCATTGTCCGATCACTGAGAGACGGTCTGGAAGCTTTCCTTGATTTTGGAGCTGTAGCGACGCCATCGAATGCGAGAGCTTCCTGCTGCTCAATGGGCGATTCATCATTCCAGCCTTGACGCGATGCCGAGCGGAAGCTGTCGAGAGAGCTGAGCTGGTCCGCATTCTCCTCGTTGCCATCGACTGACTGGTCTCTGGGTGGGCGAGGAGGTAACCGTTGCTGGTTGCCACGGGACGACGGTCTCACAGTCGGAGCTCGAGTGGTGGCGGATGTCCTCTGAGCCTGCCTCGAGGTGGTGGACGCGCCAGGCTTGCCAATAGACGGTTTTGATGAGGCGACTGTAGCCTTCAAAATCGAAGCGGTGGATCGCGGCAGAGTCGCTATAGACTGTCGCTTCTCTAGTGTAGGTCTTGGAGCAGGCTCCTTTGGCGGCGGCACCTGGTCATGTTGCCTCGAGACAGGTATCTGAGAGGATTTGGTCGTCAAGACAGGTAATCTCGAGGTCTTCGGCAGTGGCCTACTCGGCGCGGACGATCCAGCGTCCATTATTTCGAAAGCCTATACCAACAGAATCGTGATCCGGAGGTATGAATCATGGCCATCGTGGTCCAGGTGCAGGTTGGAAGTCGTTGATGTTGGCGTTAGCATTCGCATGGGCCTGTCGTTCAGATTGGACCCCTGTTCAAGGGTTCGGGAGCTAGTTGCACTGGCCAACCGAAACGGGCCGTAGCGCTTTCCTGCCACTTTGGAACCAGCCGCCGAACATCATGCGGCCGGCGTCTACCAGCCCACTCACTTCCACCACCTCATGCGATCCTCGACTGGCGCATTATTGCTCTCACACTCACTGCACACCCGCAGAACACACATTACTACCACTTGGCTGACAACGACGACGACCTGCCGTACAACTGACGATCACACCAAACGCCGCTGATCTGCGACCGTTGTCCGCGCCTTGGAACCTTGTGTGCGATTGGCGCTCGCGATCAGAAGTACAACATACTGAATCCAGTCGCATTGAAGAGTCGACCAGATCGAGAGACAGCCATGGATCCGACGCTGTCGCAGGACAGCCTGGCGAGGCTCATACCACCACCCGAAGAATCCATGCCGGTAACGCCAGACCCACCACATGCGACGCTACCCGAGAGCGCTGCAGCTGCGTTCGCAAAGTCGCAGTCGAGTGTCCAGGACAATATAAACAACATGACGCCACCACCGTCGACGCAAGTGCCTTCGTCTCAGCGCGGCAAGACTCGCACGCCTACACCTACCGTGTCGCACATATCAACCCCTCCACCGACCATTGAGATGCTGAGCCAGCACAACCAGAGTCGCATGCTTGGTGGATTCGCCGGGACGATGTCTGCTGAGCAGATTGCCAACGCATCTGTCGAGGAGCTGCGCAACAAGATCACGGAGATACAGCCAGCTCTGCAGGAAGCCAAAATGTCTGCGGCGCATCACAAGCTACAGTACCAGATGCTGTCGCAGGAAAGCGCGGCAGCGATTGAGCGTATGAGCGTCGAGGCTCGCATGGCGCAGTACGAGAACGAGGTCATCCACGTTGCAGAGCAAGCCCGAGCTGCCGCGACGCCTTCGCAACCCTCGCACGTCCAGGAGGGAATGGTTCTGGTGCAGAAGGACCTCTATCAGAGGATGTGCAGAGAGATTCAGGAACTCACTGAAGAACGCAGATACCTCCGCGAGGAGGTTTCGTTCAAGGACAGGATGATGAGCCGACAAGACAGCGAAATCGCCAGCCTAACGGACAAGGTCATGCTAATGCGCGAACGAATCCGCGAGAACAGAACACAGCTGGACCGTCAACGGAGATCCGCACAGTTCGACAGCACACCCCGCTCAACATACAACGATCCACTGCGCAACGGCGTTAGCAGCCACGAGCAACCCCAGCCCTTCGCGGCCTTACTCCAAGCCTCCGAAATGGCCAGCCAAGAAGCCCGCCGCCCCACAGCCGCAAAGAAAGGCCACATGCGCAACACGCACAGCATGTCCAGCCTACCCACAACACCTCAGCGCTCTCAGAAGCAGCAGCCACTCTACCACACCCCCTACAATCGCCAACCCCCGCTCAAAGTCCCCTCCACAGCACCCGTCCAACGCACAAGCGCCCTCCGCACCCCAGATGTCTACGCCCAGAACTCCCTCCCCGTCACTAGACCTCCTGGTCCACCGTCCGAAGGCACCGTCTCCGCGCACGAAGACGACAGTGAGGCCGAAACCGACATCATCGACCAAGACGACCAGGATGAGGTCTCAGAGAGCCAAGCTTCGCGCGCAGCGTCGCAGATGCTGAGGTCGAGCCAGGAGCAGCAGGCGAAGCGGGAGAGCTTTTCGGGAAGGGGGATGCTGGGGCAGTCTGGGAGTCAGGGGATGAAGCAGACGAAGTTGTTTGGGGCGGTGAGGAAGGGGGGTGTGGAGAGGGGTGGTGAGAGGCCGGCGAAGAGGGCGAGGGTGGAGGAGGCGCCTGTTGGGTTGGGCATTGCTGGGGTGAGGCAGTGAAAGGATGGGTTGTTTGAGACGCATTGAAGACGCACGATTTGATGACTACGACTTGGGTGAGCAGTCATCAAGGACGGGCTACCGTTGCGAGGGAGGACTTTGGCACGACCTCACTGGACTCCTTCGACCAAGCGACCCGTATACCGTATACGCAACGTCAACCTCACGAAATCACTCTCACTACGGACCCTTCGACGCCTTGCTCCTTCGTCAGTTCCAGCGCAGAGAGGTAAGCCCCAGCTCCTGCCCATTCGAGTGGCAGCAAACATCTCAGGTGAGGTCGACCTTCTCTACAACCTCACCGATCTCGATCACCATTGCGGAGCTCGATGCCCGCTCATTATTAAGCTCTAGGAGAGCTAGAGGTGAGTTTCAGGACATGGTCATGGGGGTGGGAGCAAACAGGTGACCTTGTGAGGTGAGGTTCAGCAGTGGTATAGGTGTCTTCACTTGGTGGTTGACTCTCTTTCACTCTCCCTCGTTCTTCCTTCACTCTTGTTCATTGTTCGACATCTTCGAGTCGGTGCTGCGCTCCTGTTCAGCTATTGTTAAGCTATTGTTTCATTGCTGTGTATCATTGTCGGAACATCAGCTAGGAGAGGCATCGTCATTCACAATGGCAGTGGGTAAGTCAACTTCCCCAGCCAGCAGCACTGAAACCTGTGCAACGTTGCAAACATGTGCTGACTTCACTGGACAATAGTCCCAACATCGAGAAAGCGCAGCAGGCGTGTCAGTCTGGCATTCAAAGTTCTCAAGAAGCGCAACACCTATGCCAATGGCGCGAGCTTCAAACCCGCGCACAGCACCAAGGTACGTCTTCTGAACTCTCGAGCACTAACATCTGCTAACAGCATCAGCGGCGTTCCAACGTGCACAACACCACTCGCGACTACACCCACGGCAAGCTCACTCGCGGGGTCACAACTGCAATGAGCCGCAATGCTGTTCTCAACACCCAAGAGCTGCAGGAGTTGATTCTGTCCCACCTTCCCAGCAAGGACCTGCTCACGTTCCGAGGAGTCAGCAAGCACTGGAACGGTCTCATTACGAAATCCCCCGAGCTCAAGAAGAAGCTGTTCCTCTTCGGCAAAGCCAACGGCAGCTTCTGGTTCCTCAACGCGAAATCTGGGAAAATCGAAGCCTACAGCAAGTACGAGAAGAAGACAGTCTCTGGTAACCTCACTGAGCACCACGAGCCTCTCGCGCCGGCACAGCTCAACACGGACCTCTTCATCAACGTCTCGGCCAAACGCTCTCTGATCCATCGTGCGTACTACCGAGAGGACATCGTCTTCAAAGCGACGCCGGACCTCAGCAAGCACGACTCGATCTTCAACCGCATGCACGTCTGCCGTAAGTCCCCCTCCGTCCTCTCACAACCTCACTTCACTCCGCTGACCTGCCGCACAGAGCCACCAGTCTCCCACGTAAATTTCAAGTTCGTCTTCAGTTCGCAGCCGTTCAAGCGCTACCGCCGCGTGCACGACTTCATCCACGAGATCCGAGCCGAAGTATTCAACACCCGCGGCGTCAAGTATGGCGACATCTTGCGCAAGTTCCGCTCCGAAGTCAAGGCACAGCTTCTCGTTACGGACGCCGAGGTCGACAAGTACGCCATTTCGATCGTTGCGAGTAGGGTGTGGGTCCCGGTGAGGATTTTCGTCACTGATAAGGAGTTCGAGGCTGTTGAGTCGGGTGTGTATGAGCCGAGTCAGACTGATATGTTGGAGTTGTAGCTCGCGCAGGAGAGCGCTGGGCGGTGAGCTTTTGTCCGGCAGTCAAGGGATGTGAGATGTATCGTGGGGAGAGAAGTGCATGATCTTACGGATGGGTATATGTTGGAAGGATATGTTTGCGCGAATGATGGAAGGAAGTGTATATTGGGACCGAGTCATGTCAGGCGAAGATGTTGAAGGGAATGTCATGTATCTACGACGAGCTTGCGGGTTACACTGCGCTCAGCATGTCAGGCAGACGGCATTGTTCAGGTGTCGTCTTCGCTGAGAAACATTACTTCACATCAATCCCTTTCATCACCTTCTGTTTCTTGAGAGGTACATGTACATCGGAGCCCCGCGCGGCTCAAGTGCAGTGGTGCATGCAGGACGGGAATGGTTGCTGCGGGCGATGGGTGGCGTTCGAGGGGACCGTCGACCATTCGTATTGTGTTGTCGTCAACACTTTTCGTCCATTGCAGTTCAGAAGCGGCACCAAAGGCACTTTTGAATCAATCAACAGCATGGCAATGAGGAGGATTGGAAGGGGTAGTTCTTTTTACCATTGTATGGAAGATTGAATAATGGATTAAGTTGAAGGACAACGTTGCCACCGTCGGTTCTTGGGCCAACCTTAGAATAGAGCGGCAGGGATGTTCGATGTGGAGTAACGCCTCCCTGCCTTAGTTTGGTCATCGTCTGTTTCTTACTGTGTCCAAAGCACCATCTCTCGAGACACATCAACACTCTCGCTGTCACATTCAATCGAATCACAATACACTCGCTGGAAACCACCATCACACCAACGCACCTTCCGGATCATTCGCTTCATCACCCGCACTTCAGCACTTCCAGGGAAAGAGCCAGGCGTTTAAACTTTGGGTTGGGGCATTGGGAAAGGACGCGCAACACCAACGTCTAGCATCAGCATATCCATATACCAGCGACTGCGGGCTGAATACCGACTCGAGAGTCGGCAGTCGTTGCCATGCGGCCTAGCAGCTTCGCCTCATCCCTTCTCCTCTTCACAGCTGCCGCCTCAGCATGGCCCTGGCCCCCGTCATGGCAGCCCAGAGAGACAGGAGCAGTAGCAAGACGAGACACAACATGGGCAATAGAACGACGGCAGCAGAGTAGTCTCGCCCTCTCCCTCTCCACCGAGCAAGGCAATACCGCCACCACCGAGAAGTCTACTGAGAAGTCCACCAAAAAGACGACCAAGGGCGACGATGCCACCCAAAGCGCCAGCGCCAGTGCCACCGACACCAAGAGCGGCGATGACAGCAAAACGACGGGCAAAACCACCGGCAAATCAGACGACGACGACAACAAGAAAACCACGAAAAAGACCTCCTACGAAACGACCAAAACCTTCGATAACCGCCTCCCCGCCGGCGGCGTCTCCATGATCACCCCCAACGTCATCGCCGGGCCCCAATACTACAAAATCGCTTCCAAGCCGGGGCAAGAATACATCACCTTTGCCTGGAACTACACCTCGCTCTCCAGGACCCCCTCCGCTATTGACATCCTCGCCTCCTGCTCCCAGAACAGCGCTACCTACACCATCAGCGCCAACGCGTCGGTCACCGGGCCTACGCAGGAGGTTATATGGGACGTGGGGAAGTACCAAGCCACCGCCACCCAGCCGCTGCTGATGGCGACGTATACCCTTGTTATCCATGACGCGCAAGCGGATATCACGGCGAGTCCGCGGGCGGGGTATCTGGGGACCTGGAATCAGTTCTATTTTGGCATGTATCTGCCGCAGGAGTACACGCCCATCGCGGACTACGTGTGTGCGACGTGTAGCGGGGCGATGAGTAGCATGACGCGGCATACGATTTGGGGTATGTTGGGCATGGCGGCGGTGACCGTGTTGAGTTTTGGGTGGTTTGGGGGAGTGGCGGGGTTGTGGTAGGAGATGTTGGGATGAGTGGGATGGTGGTTTGTACAGATTGCATTGCGAGGGTGGTCGGTGTTTGCTGGTTGGGCGGTCTTCTTCGCGGTTACAGGGGAAAGCGATGGGATGGAGTTTTGGATACTGGGGTTCTCGGAAGGGCTGTTGCATTTGTTATGAAAACGAAAGCTGGTGGCTACAATCAGAGTAGTAAATAATGTCAAAAGATTCCAACGTGAGCCTATACATGCCCCTCTAATCGCTATGCCTATGCAGCAGCAGCTACAGCATCCCAAGCAACAGCAACACAACCCCACTCGCGTTCGCAGGACGTATTTCAGGCCAAGACCCTATCGAGAGCTGTGCAGCGCGCCCATGGTGGAAGTCGGAACGTCTTGGGTAGCCACATCCACTGCGAGGGCCGTGAAAACGCACATGTCTTACTAGCGAACAGGGCTAGCTTGTAAGAAAGACGGTCATCCCATCGCTTGACCAGTAGGATGTGATGTTTTCCTGAGCTTCTCTCGGCATAGTTGGATGGCTGAACGTGTCCGCATATGGCGAGCTGCTGCAAGGCTACCTTATGCCATCGCGAAGCCTGACGGGTATGGCAGGTACCAAGCCTTCGACAGCAGTGCTGTTGCTGTGGCTTTTGGTAGGTAGCTTCTGAAATATAAGCACAGTGCATACAGATCCTGCCAAAATGGCATCCTGCCACCACATGGACGAGAGGGTCGAAAGCGATTCGATTCCTTCAGCTTAAGTGTGCGGCAGCACTTCAAAGCCACACAGTACATATCGATTAGCTTCGCTTATCCGGCTTGGGCCAGCTCGAAAAAAGTCCAGGTCCTTCGGTGCCATAGAGCCTTGTGCCAGGTAGATGCGTCTGTAGCCTTGCGCCATGATACTGCCTCAAGGATAGGAGTTGCGTTGCTCCATGGCGAAGGCTATCAGCCTCATCAGAAACACCTGACCAAGGAACTGCTGTGACATATTGTGGGCTGTCGCCAGTGGCCATCGGAAAAGGGTGAGGCCGAGAGGAGGACGTCTTGAAGCATGCAGTGAGTTGCGAGACACGAATCTTACTGGCTGGAATCGAGACGCGCTAGCTCACGTTCGCCAAGATGCATCTGGCGTTGGGCGTCTCGCAAATTCGAAACCACCACTTCCTGACTTCACTTCGAGATGGACGAGGTGTTTTCAGAGACACCGTTAACGATACAAGACTCGTGCTACAAAGGCAAAAGCATACGTGCGTAAGAGACCGACTGCCAACTGACGGCTCGACCTCAACGCCCCCTATACTATGCTGTTGAAGCAAGGCGACACAACGAAGAACGCCTGCGAGTGATAGCTCCATCTCACTGTCCCTGGTCGTCACACCCATGGGCACATCTGGCCGAGCGCAGTACCACTGGACTAGTACCACTGTACGAGTAGGACTTACCCGGAAGACAGCCCGATTCCTTGGGTTGTCACGAGGATGCCGTGTAACGTTAATGGCAAGGCAGCATATCTTACATCTCGCGACACTTTCATGGTCAAGATGGTCCAGAGACCTCAGCAGAATCGCTTAATGGCACGAAGCTGTTCGCGCTCTGTATCAGAAGCAGCCGGACCCTGTTGGATTGTCCCTGTGGCGCAAACATCACTAGGACTCGACACAATGTCAACACTGTGAGTAATAGTCGCACACAGCAAACAACGAGGCTTAGGTATGGTATATGTGCTGTTTAAGATCTGCGAGGCCTCTAAGACTTTTCTCTTCCATTACCTTCTTGTTCCAGTCAAGGCAGCTACCTCCTACAAAGCATCTGTAGTCCACAGAGTACTCGAGACAGCAAGACATACTGTAAAATGCCCAAATCTAACAGGAACAGCAAGGACAGCAAATCATCTGCCGGCCGTCAGGTACCTGGTGCATGGCCGGGTGATGGCTCTAGCAACACTTCTCCCGCCAATGCTCCACCCCACGAAAGGTCGCCATCTCTAGCTGATGAGCTGTACAGCACTACTCCACCGCGACGTAGTACCCCTCAAGTTCCTCCGCGTCCGGCAAGATCATCTGCAATCCCACAGCAAGAGCAGCCACAACCCGCCGGAAAGGTCAAGCGCAAGCCAGTGCCAAAGCAGTCGATTGAGAACCTCCTGAACCCGACTCCAACCCGGCAACCGGATCGCAAGTATTCTATCGACAACCTGCTCAATCCTGTCAGGGACTCGCAACATACTGGTCCAGCGAGTAGTTCCAACCCAATTGGACCCACCCCAGCGCTGAAGAAGTCCACCTTTCTTTCCAAAGAGGAAGGGGCTGCATTGTATAACCGCCAACCCCAAGCACCGCAGCTACTCAACGACTACAATGCCATCGTGAGCCAGCTCCCCGTTCTAGCCGAGCAGTACCGCCACTTCGATGATCGCGAACCAAACGAGTTCACGCCCAACGAGATGCGCGCGAATCTGCAAATTCTGAGCAGGCAGAACATGAACCTCATCGCCCGCGCAAGTCGGTGGAAAGCCGATGCCTCGAATCTGTTTACCCAGGGCAACTACCCTGCCGACACAGACTGGGACCACATGTTCGAGACGATCGAGTTCGCGGCCAAGGAGATGGTGAAAGCTGCTACTGATACTGTTAAACGTGCTGCGAGACTGCCAGAGCAGCGAGAAGTGCCTCGGGAGAGTCCTGAAGCGCCTTCGATGTCGCCAATGTCTGACGTGCGACCAGAGCTCCCACTGCCGTCCCGCGAGGCTGCCGCTACGGTTGGCAACCAATCTGGGCTCGATCTGTATGCTGCGCAGCTTAAAGCTCTGCTAGGAAAGGAGCAGAAGCCTACGAGCGGCGGGCGGGCTGGGGCACCATCCCCCTCCCCTGGTCCATATGGACGGCGCAGCGGCTCACGGCCGCGTAATACCTCGCCCGTTGACCATGACGACGCCGACAGCGACGCCGAAATGCTCGACGAAGAGGACATCCTCGCCGGCATAGGTCCCAATCAAGGTATGCTCGCAGGAATGGGCCATCTCGAGTCCAACCCCATAACCCGCGGCAAGTACTCGCAGCCCTCCCGAGCACCCCGACTACTCCTCCCAAACCCCTACGGCATACAGAGCGATCTCTTCGGCAGTGAAGCGGAGGAAAAGGCTTACGATGCTATCATGGGCGAAGTCGCCTCGGGCTTCAGCGATCGCAGTCCTAACGAGCAGCTCCCCAATTTCAGGAAAGCTTTCGGCATCGGCAGTCCCACTAGGGAGGGAGGGCGAAAAACGAAGTTCATGGAGATCTTCGACACCGGCGAAGAAGACGAGCCAGAGGAGCCAGAGCCGAAGACAGAGTGGATGGAGGGGTTCGGAGATGTTGATATGAAGGAGATTGAGGAGCAGAAGCGGCTGATGGAGAGGTATGCGGCAGAAGCTGAGAAGAGAAGGGCGGGGAAGGAGGAGAAGGAGCTTGAGGAGCAGAAGCGGATGATGCGGTTGTATGAGGTGCAGGCGGAGCAGAGGAGAGGCGAGGAGAAGGAGGGAGAGGAGGAGAGGTTGGTGCCGAAGCGGGAGGCGCCGAAGCCGCCGGAGGGGAACGGATACGAGGGAAAGGGGAAGGGGAGGGCTACGTGAGCTGGGTTGGTGGGTGAGATGGGCAGCAGGCGGTGTTGTTTTTGTGCTTGTGCAGATTGTATGTAGCTCATAAGGGATTCTTGATTAAGCCCACCCACTATACCACGAGGCTCTCGCTTGGTGAGACTCGATTGGTCGAAGTGGTGCGAATGTGAACCAGGTCGTCGGTGACTTTGAGCGCTGGCAAATCGTCATATGTCATATTGACTGCGGTCGTTTGCACCACTCAGTAAGGCATACTGCAAACCTTGCTGTATCGCCTCGAGCACCCAACCAGCCCTTCGAGTCAGGCAGTCGTCATTGACATAGCCGCCTGTATTCCATAGCAACTGCAAACGCCAGGGAACAGTTATAAGCAGCCGAAGTAACATCCTCAGCCATTTCCTCTTCAACAACCCCATCTACTCCTCCTCCAAAATGCCGAAGCCAAAGCGAACTCCAAAGCAAGCCAGCAAATCCAGCTCCAGCCGTCAACCTACAACTCCATCATCAACTTCGAGCAGGTTAGAAAAGCCAGCGTCTCTGGGAACGACTCCTACGAAAGGCGCGGCTCAGAGCAAAGCACCTCAGGGACCACAACAGCCTGTAACGCCGTCGAAGCCGGAGACACCGCAGCGGGTTCCAGAGGGTCCGAGCAGGGTTCCGAGGAAAGTGTTACTTCCGGCGGTCGAGGATGTGCTGAAGCCTGAGTCAGCGCGAGGGAGCGCAAGCAGCAGGACACCGGGTCCGGATCCAGCCAATGCACCCCCCAAATCTCCAACACCACCCACCAATTTCAACACGTGGCTCTCGAAATCGGGACTCCCCGAATCCCGAGTCCGAGCACTTAATCGAGCAGACCCCTACCACGCCACATTCTTCGCCAGAAATCCTTCCAACCCATACCCGGAAAACTGGCGCGACCGTCCCACCCCAGAAAGCCAGATGCCCGAAGAGTACAACAGCCTCATGCAGCGCATCATCAAGCTGACAGTCGACTACTGTACCTTTGACAAAGTCGCTCACGCGGCACCGAATGCGTGGGGGATCTGTGAGGTGGACAATTTCCACCTGGCGCCGCATGTGAAGTACTGGTATGATCGCGCGAGGGAGTTCAATTGGATGGGGAGGGAGATTGATGTGGAGGAGGAGAAGCGGATGTTGAGGAGTATCCGTGAAGGGGTGGAGAGGTTGAGGATAGCTCGGGCGGAGGCTGCGGGGAGGGTTGATGCGCTGGGGCGGGGGGATGAGGTTGACGAGAGGCCGGAGCGGGAAAAGAAGTCGAATTTTCATGCTAGTCTTGTTCCTGAGGTGGAGGAAGAGTCGGAGGAGGAAGAATCGTCGGACGAAGATGAGGCGGCACAAGCCACGGATCCATCCGCAGGTCAGCGTGCTGGACAGTCGCCATCTGAAAGCTCGGATGAAGATGAGGATGAGGATGGTGATGAGCGCGAGGACAATGATCGTAATACCGCCAGTGTGAAGACGCCACGAGAAGAGGTCCTTCGCGACATCGGCGGCGCGCATCCGGAGGCCCTCCTGCGTGGTCCTGCGCCAGACATTGAATCTTCTCCTGGCGGCGTGTTAGATCCAATCATCGTGAGATCTCCTGCCAGTGAGCCAGGTCGTCCAACCATCGCGAGATCGCTAGAGAGCGAGTCAGGTCCGAGTATTGTGAGATCTCCCAGCAGCGAACCTCGTCCAACCATCGTGAGGTCTCCAGAGACGTCAGAACCACACAGTCAGCGTGACGCCGACACAGGCTGGACCGGCGAAGTCCAGCTTCCAGATGCCGCGACGTTGAGGCGGACGTTCGAGCAGTCCAGGAAGAGCACGCAGGCGGCTTTGGACGAGATGATCAGTCAATCCCGGCCGACCCCACCGGCGCCTACCATCCCAGCTCCGTTCGTACCAGCACCGCTGTCTCACGGTATGCCGCTGTACACTGCGGGGACGTACGGGATGCCGTTGTACAATATGCCACAGTACGGTATACCATCATATGGTATGGGCCCCTTCCTCACGCCTCCTGGTCCTTACGGCATGCCGTTCGTGCAAGGAAGTCCGCAGCCGCCCCCTCAGTCACCGCGACAACCGCCGCAAGAGAGACAAAGACGGGATAAAGGAAAGGGAAGAGCTTCGGGGTCTGGAAGAGAAAGGCGGAATGACAGGTAGGTGGATTGTTGTTAGGCTTGACGTAGCGACTGCTGCGTGGAATAGCTTACTCCGTTGTGGCATCTCCTCCGTCTGACATCACATGCTGCATTCGCTATACAGTCTCGTGGTGTCTAAACGGTATATAGTGTCCGTAGTTTAGTCAAGAAGATGTTGTTGTTGAGGTGATGATGATTGAAGACTGTCGTCCTCGCCAAGCACACGCTAGCACGTGGCAGCAAGCTTCAACGGCCCGCAGACCCTTAGTCAGTTGAGGTCCAGGCCTTAGCTTTATCAAAAAACTTGAACCCTCAAGACAACTTCACCACCTCTCCTACCATGTCCTCCACCACCGCCATGGACACCAGCAAAAGCCCCCTCCCCACCGGGGCCGGCAACATCAAATCGGACGACCGACTGGCGGGCATGTCGCACAGCGAAGTGCACTACTTCAACAGCTACAACCACCACGGCATCCACGAGGAGATGCTAAAGGACGAAGTGCGCACGCGCTCCTACCGCGACGCCATCTACCAGAACAAGCACATCTTCAAGGACAAGGTCGTGTTGGACGTGGGATGCGGTACATCCATCCTGAGCATGTACATCACAATTCACTCTTTTTTCCAGAAAACATGTTTTCACATGCTGCGCCGGTTTGAGAGGAGGGTTCGCTGACGAGTGTGTTTGGTGCAGGTTTGCGGTGAAGGCGGGCGCGAAGCATGTGATCGGGGTGGATATGAGCACGATCATCGTCAAGGCGAAGGAGATTGTGGCGGTGAATGGGATGAGTGACAAGATCACTTTGTTGCAGGGGAAGATGGAGGAGGTGGAGCTGCCGTTCCCGGAGGTCGACATTATCATTTCGGAGTGGATGGGCTACTTTTTGCTGTACGAGAGCATGCTGGACACGGTGCTGTGGGCGCGCGATCGGTATCTTCGAAAGGACGGCAACGGGTTGATCTTCCCTGATAAGGCGACCATCTTCATGGCTGGCATCGAAGACGGAGACTACAAGGACGAGAAGATTGGCTGTACGCACCACACCCACGCAAAGCCCCAGCCTCCTTACTAACCTTATGATTCCAGTCTGGGACTCAGTCTACGGCTTCGACTACACGCCCCTGAAAATGACCGCCCTCACCGAACCCCTCGTCGACACCGTCGACCTCAAAGCCGTCGTCACCGACCCCTGCGCCGTCCTCACCCTCGACCTCTACACCTGCACCCCGGGGGACCTCGCCTTCCACCTCCCCTTCAACATGTCCGTGCGCCGCACCGACTACATCCACGCCCTGATCGCCTGGTTCGACATCGAGTTCTCCGCCTGCCACAAGCCGATCCGCTTCTCCACGGGCCCGCACACGAAATACACGCACTGGAAGCAGACGGTCTTCTATCTGAGTGATGTGTTAACGGTCGAGGCCGGGGAGACGGTCAAGGGGAGTTTGGGGTGTAAGCCGAGCGAGGGGAATCGGAGGGATTTGGATGTCGTGGTGGACTACAAGTTGGAGACCGGGGATGAGAAGAGGACGGCCGAGGGGCATTGCGAGTACAAGATGTGTTAGTGAGAGTGGTGGGAAGATGGGGAGGAGAGTGTTCATGTGACGATGTGACGACGTCGACGAACCTTAGCATAGAGATTCCCGGAGCGTGGGTCGCAGCTTTAGCTTCGCTGACCAGTGTACTTGTATAGAGCGGTGAAAAGCATGTCGATACCCTCTCAACTTTCAAACAGGTGCAGTTTCAAGTTTTGCTTTGCGTTGCGTCTTAACTGAGGTATAAAGCTGTATACATTTGTCCCCATTGTTCTCCCAACCCTACGCCATTCGCTCAAAACGCTGTTACAACACCAGAACACAATCCCTAGGTAGCGAGCCCCTACCTCACCACACTAACACTCCCCCTCGGCGCCGCCGTCGGCCACTGCCCCACCGTCGTCTCCCGCTCCATCTGCGGCCTTTTCCCGCCACTCTCCGCACTCGGCCACAGCACCCGCCGCATCTCCTTACACGCGCCAAGATAATGCTCTCGCACCCCGGGCGTGGGTTTCCACGGATTCGGCGCCTTGTCCCAGCCATGCGGCACGCCCTCGACCATTTTGTACCAGACTTTCTTGCCGATGTCGTCGCTTTCCAGGCGCTCGCGGAAAGTCTCGCCTTCGGATAAAAGCATGTCCCATTCGCAGGTGTGCATAATGATTTCCTTTGGCAGCGCGGCGCGCAGGAGGGACGAAGGGGCTACGCCGGGGCTGAGGTAGGGCGAGTCCATGGATATGGTGTCCGGGGGGTGGAGGTAGGATTCGTCGAATAAATCCGTGAAGATGGCGGGGAGTTCTTGGTCCGCGCGGCAGGAGGTGGCGCGGCGTTGGGCGCGGGTGCGGGTGTAGTCTACCGGCGGGTACCAGGGGATGAGGCAGGCGAGTTTGATTTCTTCGGTGGCTTTGGTGGGTTTGACGGTGGAGGTTGGGTGGGTTTTGGAGTGGGAGTGGGAGGAGGTGGGTTTGGCGGTTGGGGTGGAGGGGGAGTCGAGGATTTCGACTTTGGTGGAGGAGTCGCTTGACGAGGGAGTGGAGTGTTCTGACGATGTCGTTGGGGAGGTTGTGAGCGCTTGGCCGTGTAGGGCGCGTTCGTTGGCTTGTCGGTTCGTAGGGGCGGGCGAGTGCACGTCGTCGCGGGGGAAGCCGTGGAGTTCGTCGTAGAGGCGTAGCGGGACTGTGAAGGCCATATTCCCGCCGGAGGAGAATCCAGAGAGAGCAATCTTCGTCTTATCAATCCCCAGCTCCTGCGCATGATTGTGCACATACAACACCGCATCCACGCCATCCTCCACCGCAGTCGGGAAAGGACACTCCGGCGCCAAACGGTAGTCCACGCTGATAACCACAGCATTGACCTCATCCACCACGGTCCCACACCACCTCGCATCGTCCCCCGACGAACCCAGCGTAAACCCTCCGCCATGAAAATTGATCACCACCGGATACCCGCCCCACCGCCTCACACTCCCCTTCCGCCTCAAACTCGTGCTCATCTCCGTGAACCCCCTACTCAACCGCCTCATCTGCCCATTCCACTCCCCCACATCCTCCTCATCCTCCATCGCCCGCCCGGTCCACAAACGCCTCTGCGTCCCGTAATCCTTAGGCACGTAGAAGTTCAGCGTGATATTCCCCGCTTTGCCGTTCGAGATCGTGCTCGGGATGACGCGGGAGAAGTCTGGTTTAGGTGGCCGGGGAGGGGCCATGCGGTGGAAGAACATGCCTAGCGACATGAGGACGCGCCAGAAGACGGCTTGCATGTGGAGGATCCATCGCGGGCGGGCGACGCGGGTGTGGTGGGCGGCGAGGTGGCGGGAGTCGGAGGCGGCTCTGTTGGGGTGGGGGAGGGAGGGGGCGGGGGAGGAGGGCATGGTGGTGGTGGTGGTGGTGGTGGGGGTGGTGGAGGGTGTTGTTGTCGTTAGGTCATGTGGTTGATGTTGAGGCCGGTGGTCGATGGCTTGACTTGAGGTGGAGTTGAAGCCAAATGCGATGGGTGTAAGGTATAGAATAATGATCAAAGAGAGACCAGACGAGCAGATAATGGACCCAGCTGTGTCATGCTGCGAGCTGCTTATGAGGGAATGAGCAATGCTTCCATTGGGAAGTGGTAAGGTACCTGTATAGCACGTGCGCCATGTGGCGTGGTGGGCCACCTGCCAAGTTCCAAGGTCTCAGCGATGGATCGACTGACGGCTACACACTCCACCACCATTCCATCGATCATGATCGGTAGAACTGCGGATCCAAACGACTTGCTTGCATACACATGTACATCCCTACCCGAACGATCGCCTAAGTGCACTATCTCTCAGTTCCCATACCACCCATCAAGTGCCTTTCTCACTCCGTCCCTCAACCAAACGCCATACCAGCAACGCTCAAGACGCTCGTAAAAGATGTGCTCGAACGCTAAAGAAGCATGCTGGCTGAAGAGCTCACAACGCCGTGTAACCATATCCATGCCCAAGCAAGCCAGATATCCCATCTGGCGCGAACGAACGCCGTTATCCCGAGAGGCCGATCCGTCGTGCCCCCAAAACCATGTATCTGTATAATGCAATGGTCGTGAAACGTAATGTCGTGGTGTCGCGGCCGTGTGGTGCGGTGAACACCAGCAAATCCCTCAGAGTGCCGAAACCACTCCCTTTCGCAAAGCACTCAAACGTTCTCCCGCCTCATCAATGGCGTCCTCTCCTCCTCTTCGCTAGCGTACCCACTATCGCTGACGCGAATGTGAACCACACTCCTCTTCCGCCTCACCCTCTGCTCGTCCGTCTCGCCCATAAATCTACAAGGAGCGACCGGTCGGACGTGATGCTGGTCGCCCTTGCTGTTCCTGGCAATCGTCAGGGCCTGGATCGCACCGATAGCGGCAACGAGGGCGCTGCCCCACCACGCGATAGCCGTGAAACCGATCTGAATGCCGATGCCGTACAGCATACCAGCGACAGGCGAAGCGATGGTGCGGCAGGCGGCGCCGGTGGAGGCTGCGAGGCCGTTGATCTTGCCGAGGGAGCTGGGTCCGGGTGATGCTTCTTTGATCAGGATGAGGAGCACCGGGTAGGCGAGAATAGAGAGGCAGTTGCGGACTGCCAAGCAGGCGTAGAGACCAGGCAAGACCAGGTTCGGCGGCAGGAGTGTCAGGAAGGGCACGATGAAGTAAGCGATCGGATGAAGGATCGAGACCACCAGGAAGGTCTTCCAGACGCCCAGCAAACTGGCCATGACGGGGAAGATGACTCCTTGCACGAACAGAGCGATGGCGCCGTTGATAGTCATGATGAAGCCGACGTCCTTGATGCTGAAACCCAGACCGCCAGCGAGAGAACCATTTCTGTTCGCTGTTGATGCGGCAAGCATCGACATCATCTCCTCGCCTCCCGCAGTCGCTCGGTCGTCTTGGCAGAAGATGGGCAGCAAGTGGTCATATGTCATGGAGTGGTAGGTGAAGATCCCCAAAGCAATAGTGAGCATGATAACGCGCTTCGTGAGCCACTTCTGCTGTGTCCCTTCGTCCATGCTCGGAGTTCTGCTCGTGCCGTCCGGCTTGAGATCCCATTCTTCCTCGATGGCGTCTTCGGAGACGGCGTTGAAGGTGCCGTAGCTCTCTTGTGTCAGATTGACGCCTGGAGTCGTGTCTGATGCCTGCATGGTCATGGCAGAGGAGTCTGCTCGGAAGTGGCGGAAGAATTCCTGCTCCTCTTCCTCTTCCTGCTCCGATTCGGACGGTGCGCTTCCTGGCTGCTTGTCTGGGTGCGTCTCCTCGAGACACAGCCAGGCTGAAATGATGGAGATACCCATCAATCCGGCGCAGATCAAGTTCGGCAGGAGGTACGGAAAGCGTCCGAACAGTCCATCTGAAGAGAAAGTGCCCAGGAAGTTGTCGACCGGCGTAGCGAAGTAGCCACCAATTGATGGGCCCACGATCGTTCCTACAGACCACACGAATGGCATTACCGCGTATGCTTTGGCTGTGCACAGTCAGTACCATCAGTGGAACCAGATTTGGGGGGATGAAGTTTGACGTACGTTCGTGCTTCGGATTGACCACCAACTCGCCGACCATTGTCTGAACAACTCCGATGTTGCCATTGAGCGCACCACCTAGCATACGCCCGAACAGTGCCATCCAGAAGTTCATGGAGAAGCCCACAACAAGGAGGGAAGCGATCGTACCGAAGCATCCCATGATCAACACCGGCTTGCGACCTAGCTTATCCGAAAGTCCTCCCCAGTACCTGCAGCCCGGTCAGCCGTCTCTTCTATTTCCGTGTAGTGTTCAGATGTGTTAGACGTACATCCCCGTGATCGACTCCGCCAAGGCGAAAGCCGAGATGAGGATGCCAGCATAGAAGCTGGCCTGGTCTTTGCCGCCGACATGGAAGTTGAGGACGAGCTTCCAGGCGTAGGGGAAGATGGAGGTGAGCGCGATTGGTTCCGCTACTCTTACGAGAGCTGTGCATGTGGTCAGTCGTCCATGTCTATGTCGTTGAATGTTGCTTGCGGTCCAGACTCACCAAGCAGGAACAATTGCGCAGCTGGAAACTTGTCAGGATCTCGGGAGGAGGGTCCTCTTGGTTGTGTAAGTACCATATCCCTTGGTCTCGGTTCCTTTCTTACGTCGACCTCTGCCCAGCTTCGAGTATCAATGGCCTATCTACACCGCTGAGCCGAGGTCGCAGTGTCTCGGCTTAGAATGGAGGTGATGATGTCGGGGAGTGCTGCTGGATAGATTAGAGGGTGAGGTGAAGCAAGGATATGTGCTGGCGGGGTCGGATATCGAAGTGGTAGAGAAGATGGGGGAAGGAGGAAGAGGAATTGAAGGAAAGACGTGGAAGTCGCAAGTGGAAGCAGAAGCAGGGCACGTGAATGTGGAGAGCCTTGGAAGCCACCGATGATCTTTTGCCCGGCTTGTGAGCCGAGTTTTGCCGTCAGCCAAGAGTGCAATTACAGCTTCTCTGCTCACCCTTTCCTCATCGTCCCCAAGGCAAACTTCACTCGTCGCCTTCGTCTTCACAAACACGCATCAACATGATGGACTACGCCTATGTACCCCGGCTTCTACAAGTCACTGTACCTGACGTCCAACCAAGAGGCTAGAGTCGACCCAGGGTCTGGCTAATGCACCTCAGATGGAGCTATCCTCATAGCCCACCGCTTATCTGACGTCGGCAGCGGGATACCGGGGTACTTCATGCACCTTCTTCGGCAGTCGAAGTGACAAGATCCAGGCTCTCCGCGTCTTCAGAAAGGTGCATGGCTAGAATCGCCCTGTGGTATTCTCACTGGTACGCCGCTCGTGCTGCCAGATCTACTGATCACAATAAGGTATTCAGAGTCGTAAGGGCCACGGAGATGTGTACATGAGAGACCAGTCTGCCTGGCACTGCAGTGGCGGTGCGGCGGCACAGCACGCGACCGCAGCTCAAATAGCAAGTCCGCCAGCTCGTGTGTTTTGGCAGCCTTGCACTCCCGTTGTATTTGATCATGTTGTCTGTTCGCTGATATGCAGGCCGGATCGTGAGCTTGACTCAGAGGATACCATCGCAGGATCGAGAATGGCATCACCATCAATTCCGGACAGCGAGGAGAGGTCTCACCTTGAGGCATGGCCAAGGGCTTGCAAGTATTATGACGGACTGACGATGGATGCAGCCCGTGTCGAGCATATACTCACTGATGGCACCGAGTACTGGGATGCGAATCGGCCGGATTACGCTCTGCCGTACTATCTCGAAGACTCGGTGCGATCGATGGTCGACCACCGGATCTGGCTCTACCTTGTGGTAGCCTTGCCTTTGACTGTGGTAATCGCTACATGATACTTCAACTGGTCTCGAGGATGGAGAGCAGCATCGCTGCGGAGCATCACAGGAAGGCAGAGGAAACGAAGGCCTTCAGAAACAAAGCAGTCAATATCAGCATGATGCTTTCAAGGCAACTTCGACTCAGCTACCGGACTCCATCCCCAAGCAATCAACTGCAAATGCTTCTCGGCCACACTCCGATCATCATTCCACAACTCGCTCAACTTCCACACATCCGCATCCTCCTCTCTCCCCTTCGGCACCAGCGCATCAAGCGCCTGATACCGCCTCCGCTCCCAATCCAGATCAGCAGGCTTAATCTCATCCACCAGCACATTCCCCAGCTTCTTGCCTCGCGGCAACTCGCAGTACACTTTCGCAAATTTCTTCGCCTCTCCATCCACCGCCTTGCTTCCTTCAACCTGGTCCAAATACCGCTGCATGACTTTCTTACTGAGCAGCGGCTTGAACCCACCCGCTCGCAGTGCTTCTCGCTCAGCCGGGTACGTCACGTCCAGCCACTCCCTGAACACCTCCATCGCGGCGCGCATGTCGGCTGTGCCCGCGCTGCCTTCGACGGCTTTCTTCATCGCGGGATGGTGTTTGGCGCGGTTGTACATCGTGTTGACGGTCTGGAATTGATAGATGAGGGATCTTCTCTCAATAAGCTTCAATGTCCGCTCCGCGGCCTCTTTGTCCTTGAAGCCGGTGCCTTGGATCGTTGTCGATGGGTTGTCGTCGGTATAGAGATGTGAGTTCTTGGGATCCTTGTCTTTTGGTTTGATCGGGTCCTTGCGGGCTGTTTTGGTGCGGCTGGTGGATTTGACTTTGGGCATGGTTGTTGCTCTCCTTGTCGTGGGTCTGGGAGTTATTGATATGGCGATACTGCCGGATGAATTGATGGCTAGGGACGGGTGATACAGATATCTTCTCAGAATCGTTACACCTGGCATGTATATGTAGAAGTCCGTTATCAAACAGATCCAACTTCCAGCGAGACGAGGTGACGTCGGTGTTGATGGCCCATGCTGAAGATCTGCCCCCTTGCGACGAGAATTAATTCATTCTTTGGCAGCGGGTGGTCTCGCTTATGGGACCAAAGATTGGGCAGGATGTTGCTTGCGGCGTATACCGCGCAGGCGAGCTCGAGCGTGAGTAGTTGTCTGCACAAGTTACACCAAGAAGAGCCAATACACGAAGACAATGTCTATACCTTAAGCTGCGTTCGTTTACGACCTCAACAAGCTTCACACACAACAGATCTTGAATCACTGGGATGTATTGTGCTTGAATCACTGGGATGTATTGTGTTGCGATATGAGTCAGATGCTCAGCCTCACGCCGGTTTGAGACTTGCTTGATAGACAGATCGTTCCACCAAAAGTCCGCCCATCACGTCTAACTACCAGCCCAGCATGGATCAATCCACCGACGGCAAAGCAGAAGCTATAGAGAGAAGGGCACGGATGTTGAAACCGCTGTTGGAGCGATTTGAATCCGATCAGCGGCCGGTTGTATTGTTGGTCTGTGGCTGCGCTGGTGAGTACCCTCGTCAACAACGACATGAACGGTCGCCATCAAGAGAGCGATGCTGAGCTGACGAGCAGGCTCCGGTAAATCGACCCTCGCCAAAGCCATCGTCGACAAACTTCCAACATTCAAACGCGTCTCCTTTGACGGCATAGTCGCATCCAACCACGGCCTCTACGGCATCGATTACCCAGAGGAAGACCACGAGAAACTCTCCGACGAAGCAGACGTCGAGTTCTCTGAGACAGCTAAGCGTCTCCTAGCCAAAGGTGAAGACGACATCGTCCTAGACCGTGCCTTCTACGCCAAAAAGGACCGGGAGGCGTACAAGCAGCTCGCCGAAGACCACGGGGCCAGATGGCTACTCGTGTATCTGACGGCTCCCAAGGATGTGCTCTGGCAGCGGATCCAAGAGAGGAGGGCGGCTGAGATGAATGCGGATTCGGCGAGGATAATAAGTAAAGAGTTGTTGGATGAGTTCTATGATGGATTCGAGGTCCCTGTTAGAGAGGGGGAGCTTGTTATTGATACTACCGCGAGCTTTGCGAGTTTTACCTTTGGTATTTAGTTCGATGTGTTGTTCTGGCGGCACGCTAATCTACGCTGTTGTCGGAATTCGGTGTGCTATGCAAGACAACAATGACCCGGGTGTTGAAGCTGTTGAAGATTAAGGTGAAGGCAACCGCGGGAGCTTTTTGCGTTCAACCTCGGCTCAACTCGACCCCAGATTCGCTCCATCTCGAGCTCCACGCGATCTCACCTTCAACATTCGCAACTCATTGTAAGCCTGGCATCTTCTGGGTCCGCACAAACAACAGGTCTAGATCAAACCACTGTTAGGTTGCCCACCATGTCGACCCCCAAGCTCTTCAGCCAACCGCCCGCAACACCCACCTACATCCTCTCCTACCCAGCACCCTATGTCCTCCTCATCACGATCAACAGGCCCAAAGCCATGAACTCGCTTCCGTACGCCTCTCACTGGGAAGCCGATGCGCTCCTCCAATGGTTTGACGCCGAGCCTTCGCTCCGAGTAGCAGTCATCACGGGAACTGGAAAGGCATTCTGCGCTGGACAGGACTTGATCGAGCAACGAGATCTTGCCAATCTGAGAGAAAAGAAGGCAAGAGGAGAAAAGGTAGAGGTGCCAGATAGGAGGTTATTGGTACACCCAACCAACGGCTTCATGGGCGTGAGCAGACGATCAGGCAAGAAGCCGGTTATCGCGGCTGTCAACGGCTGGGCCATGGGAGGAGGGTTCGAGATATGCCTGGGCTGCGACATGATCGTTGCGTCCCCGAACGCGACTTTCGGTTTACCAGAAGCCATGCGCGGGTTATACGCTGGAGCTGGCGGCCTCTCTCGTCTCGTTCGTTTGGCTGGCATTACTGTTGCAAGCGAGGTTGCGATGGCCGGTCGATTTTTGAGCGCCCAAGAGGCGGCGAAGTACCTCATTGCGAACAAGGTCTCGAAGACGCATGAGAGCTTGGTCGATGAGGCTGTTGAGTTGGCGTCGAAGGTTGCCAATCTCAGCCCGGACTCCATTGTCGTGACGCGCCATGGGTTAAGACAGGCTTGGGAGCAAGCGAGTGTGGAGCGGGCGAGCCAGGAGACTGAGATGCGGTATGGGACCGCATTGAGGGACGGAGATAACCTGGGAATCGGGTTGAGAGCGTTTGCAGATAAGAAACAGCCGCAGTGGGTTCCGTCGAAGTTGTAGAATGTATCGACTGCTGTCCACGTAATCTTCCAGTCATGACTTTATTGTTCATTCGGTATCCACACTGCCCCTTGGTTCCAGCACACCTGTCGGTAGACGCAGTCGCAAGGCACGGATAGTGTATTCGTGTGAAGTGGTGTGGCGGAACGAATGCTGAATTGTTCTGCAAGTTGCATGTGAAAGGTGGTCCGAGCTCAAAGCTAGTCCATCTCGAGATTCAACGTCACTTCTCTTGATCCTCACAAACAAACAACATGCCAGCGGAGCAACGACAGCATGATGGATGCCAAATACCGACGCGAGACGAAGGATGAGCGAGAATATGGTGGCCTCATCGGCTACATCAAGGTAAGAATGGAAAAGCCGCCCGCCATCTACCACGCGTCCGCTAACAGGCCGTAGTACCTCATCCGCAAACCCCTCGACATCGTCCTGTCCACGACAGCCATACGCGCATACCTCACCACCTTCCTCGTCATCTCCTCCGGCCTGCTGCTGTTCGGCTTCGCCGTGCTGGCGTACAGCTTCTTCTACTGGAACTACATCCCTCGCATTGGCTTCGAGCGGACAATCCACTTGCAGTTCGACAACGTATACCACAGTGCCGATAGCAGACATGACCAAGCTGCGAACCCATACGGAAGCGTCACCCTCTCGCCAGATCTTGTCAGCCTGCAGAAATACGATGTAGCCGTGGAGCTGGAAATGCCGCGTACACCAGAGAACCGCGATGCAGGCAACTTCATGCTCGAGGCAACAATGTACGCGGCTGGGACAATAGTGGATCCAGTGAAGGACAGCATCGTGCCGGGAGCTGCAGAAGAAGACAACCGACTCGCAAGATCGCGACGGCCGGCCATACTACCATATCGCTCGATCGCGGTTGAGTACCTCTACCGGCTGACGGAGCTTCACTGGTATATTCTTGGCTTCCGAAGCGAAGCAGACAAGATGCGGATTACGATGTGGGAAGATGTCGAGTTTCCCAGAGGGTGGCGCAACGTGCCCTCGTCAATGCGACTCGACATTCAAAGCACGCATAGGATGCAGATCTACTCCGCCAAGGCACTTTTCAAGGCTCGCTTTACTGGGTTGAGATGGCTAATGTACAATCATCGCATCATCAGTGCTGCAGTCTTCATCACGGGTTTCTGGACTACGGAGATGGTGTTTGCAGGACTGGTCTGGGCTGCCCTTTCCTTCTACCTGCGGGCACCTCCTCAACCTTCCGGAGCCAAAGCAGAGGGATCAGACATTGCTCGTATCAAGGCCGAGGACGATGAGGATGCCATACCTCAGCTCTCCGATACAGAGCGCACTTTCCCGACCCCCAGCAAGCAAGCGCCATTACGCTACCAAAGCCCGAAGATCAAGCAGGAAGAAGACGATGATACTCTGATTGTTCCGGAAGCAGCAATTAGAGCGATAGAAGCAGACGATGAGGACGAAGACGCAGACGTGTTCCTGGACTCTGGCATTGGGACCAGCATGGAGAGCAGTGCCAACCGTAGGGACAGTATGCGGAAGCGGAGAGGAAGATCTCGGCCAGACGATGACGATATGAAGTGAACTACCCAGCGACATGGCCGCAAAGGAATACAGGAATATCGATCTACGAAACGCCATGATACGCGAACATGCCAATCCGATCATAGCATTCTCCCACCACAAGAGCAGCCCCTTTGGAGAGCCTCAAGCACCATTCTGACGCCTCTGCGCCCCTCACTCTGGCCTCTGCGGCTTGCATTGCGGGCAGCACATATCCAGGCGGTCAGGCGGCGTAGTATCCGAACAGACAGCAGGCTTGTGTCCTGCCTCGAAGGACTCCTGCTTCGGAGCGCATCGCTTCATTAACTGGCCACCATACTCGCAGTGACAAGCCCAGACGCACTTCCGGAGAAATTGGCACATTGTCTCTGGGTTCTGGGAATTGGTGTCCGTCAAACAGGTGTTGGTGTGTTGGTGCGTTGGTACGTCGAGGTTAACCAGTTCCGAGAAGAAGATTGATGGTGTAGTGAATGTATGAAGATGTTGCTTTCGAGGATGGCATGACGACACGACGCACAAACTCCGATATATGGGCTCGCGCGCATCGTTTACTTGCATCGAGTCAACGAGCCGTCATTCTAGTCACCAGTGAGTGGAATCAGCAAACGACCATTCAGCAGAAGGGTCACGGGGCTTGAAGTACGGGCGACAGACTTGCAGAAGTGAACAGAAGATCGCTCACACAGCAGCAAAGACTAGTGACCGGGAAGAGCATGCCAGCCCATACCAGTCATCGACATCTCGAGCATCAGTATCCCCTCAACGAGCATTACAGAATTACCCTTGAGACGAACAGCAACAAGCCCGGTACATTGTCAAGTCAATTACTACAGAAACCAAAAGTCCAGCCAATCCACATGACATCCGGAGTCTTCTCACAACTCACAACCACACCTCCAGCCCCCTCACTGGTCAGAAGGCTTCTCCTTCTTCTTGGTAGTGAGAGGAGTGCGTGTGCCCAACACGCGGCACTCGTAACAATGCTGGGGCACTGTCAGGTCTGGTACCGATTGATCCGATGTATCTGGGCATTCGATGTGTCGATTCTCTTGGACAGAGGCTTGCTTGGCTGCCTCGCACTGCCCGACGCACTGCCCGCCGGACAAGTGGCCACAACCGTACTCCAGCGTGGGCGTGTACTTGCACATTGTGGTGTGGGTTTTGGTTGCTGTTAGAAAAGATAGCTCGTTGGTGACAGCTGGTCGGTCGTTGTGGTCGAGGTTTGTTGGTGTAGGGAGGCAGGAGTTGAGAGCTCAGGTAAGTTGAGTTTTTATATGCGTGAGAAAGACGTTGTCCATGTTCTTTATCGACACGTGAGTCGGTTCGGGCACACCACCAGAATTTGTACACGGAATTGAGGAATGATGGTGAACGTAGGGTCACTTTTTGCCACACGACAGCACTAGGAAATGCACCTTTGGAACATTACCTGGCAACGCATTCACTGAGGCTCGCAAGGTTGTGCAGATTTGATCACGCAAGGTCAAAGCTATTCGCCAAACTATCGCATAGAGAAACAAGAAACCACGGCAGTGGACCAGTACTCCAAAGCCTCTTCGGTATCCACAACAATCATGCTCTCTCCTGGTAACTGTACTTCAACGCTTACTCTTGGCCGCGAGTAATGGAGGATCACACACAGGGCACTCGAAGCATCCCGGCGGCGCACTCACGTTAGGATTCGATGGGGATGCAGTGTTCGCACACATAACGTTTCGTCCCTCGCGAACAGAGGCTTCTTTCGCCGCATCACAATGCTCCACGAACTCGCCTCCGTCGGTGTGGCCGCAAGTCCATTTTATGATTTGCGTGTAGAGACACATCTTGTCGTGGGTCCAGACAGCTGTCGCGCAACGTTTGAGGTCGAAGCTGAAGGGTTGCTTGTGGATCTGTATCTGTTCGCGATCGGAAAGTGGCTGGATGAGGTATGTAGGATGGCGAGCAGCAGCAATGGAGGTGGGTCTGCGAGAACTGAAACAGACTGCAACGTTGTTTAGTAACTCATGAATAGCCAAGGAAACATCACATTCACCAGTGTCTACGTTGAGTCATCCTGGCGCCGGCGGACCACATTCGATATCGACGACGCTTGTACAAGCATACTGTTTGCCTCCGCCCGCTTGCTGGACACCTGTTCATCAGTGAACAGTGCCTCGCTTCTGTCAGTCACGAGACAAATATCTCAAGCACGAGCTCCTCAGCTGCTCCAACGCCTACCAGCATGAGGATGTAGAGCATTATGGTGCGTGGAAGCTGAACCTTGAATTATCTCGACGTCCACATGGACCTACATACCTACCATCATTCGAACCTCAAACAGCCCAGGACGGTCAGACCAATCGCTGCAAATCACTGCAAACCGTCAGACCAATCGCTGCAACGCTGTCAGCGGCGAAACCTTCAACATAAAAAGAGAAATCCAGAGCCCTTCAGCCTCACCACGAAGCTATCCATGCGGTCAGAGAACGTCAAGTTTCTTGGATTCAGAACAGTCTGCCTTTGACTACATACGGAGGATAACGCTCTCAGAACCAGATCCAACAGCACAATCAGTATCACCGCCGGACCTCATCCCAGCACCCGTTCCTAGCGGCAAGATCTGCATGGGCGGTTTACAGTGTATCTAACGGAATTGTCCAGGCAATATATTTCTCGTCCCTGCTGATTGCTCTGTTCGAGTTTGGCCATACACTGTTGGATAAGGTGTCCACCTTCCCAATGGCCACAGGAGTAGCGGTAAACTGGCACAAAATCGCACATGGTTAAAGGGATGTCGTGGTTGTGTTGGCTTGGTGGGGATGGCGATCCTTTGCAAGTGTGTTGATTGTTCGAGGGATTGTCGTCGATGGCTTTGAGAGGCAGGAGCTGTGCTCAGAGGAGATTGTGTTTGAGGTTGTGCGATTGCAAGGTAGCTTGGACTTCAGGTGTGGTATGGGAAAGGGCAACGAAGGTAGGTGGGTCTATAACGGGATATATATCTATACATCTGCGGTGTTTGCTAATAGGACTCAGTAGTCAATAGCGGATGGGACACACAACGACCATGCTTCACTGGGACTCATCTTCCGCGTGGAAATACGGCGCTGTTTCACAGAAGCAGTCACACAGAGAGATGTATTCACAAAAGCGTTCGTACATCAAGATGTACGCGCAACAAACTGCCTTCGCAAGAAGTCTCAATTCGAGCCGTTGTGCTATTGACTACATACCGAGGACACCCTCGCTAATAAACGCTCTCAAAACTCCAGATCTTACAGCACAATCAATGTCGCTATCGAAGCCGATCACATCACCGTTCCCGGCTACAACGTGGGCATAGCCCAGGCATGGTGACGTCCGGGGTTCTGTCCCTGCACTGCGACCATCGTCCCCGCCGATTACTCGCATCGATTGCGGCTTGACATCGCTGGATAAGGGCTCCTCCTACCCAACAGCCACACGCGTAGCGATACATTGGTGCGTACGTGCACATGATCGACGTGTGGTGGATGTTGGCCGGCCGGACATGGTGTTCTCTTGTGGATAATTGAATGTTCGAGTTGTTGGGTTCGACGGTTTTCTGAGGCAGGGGTGGGTGTTGTGAGGAGCAAGTCGATTTGGATGGTGTGCAATGTTGCGAGGTAAGTTGCAGATCGGGTGTCGTGTTGTGGGAAAGGGTAATGGAGGAGCGCAGGTCTTCGAGGAGGAATATTAATACCTGCAATGTTTGCTAATATTGTGCCAGTAGTCAATAGTGGACGGTATGACCACCTTTCCATACGACGCATATTCCCTATGGAAGCACGGTGGTGCGTTGCGTGAGCAGGCTTGCGGCTCGACGGACGCTCATTCAAGATTAATTCATTCCACGAGGGAGCGACATGAGGGAGCGGCATCAACAACTTGGTTGCAGCAGGCCTTACGTCTTACAGGAGCACACATGACGGTCTCATTGATCAAAGCTCCGGGAACTCAGGCCATTCCGCTACTATCTAGATACCCTGGACGCTCTGGCTAATTGACTCTGCCTGAACTCCAGCTCCGTCAACACGATCACTCAATTATTGAGTCACAAGATTGCCTCTCAAGTCTCTCCTTCTCAAGCCTCTCCCTCTCAAGTCTCTCCCGTCGGCGCCGGGCGTGGCAATGACGGCAGAGATAGGCATGTCTCACTTCGCGAGGCATGATCAGACAAGGCACGCCATTGTTGGAGTACACTGCCCATCGGCACATTGCGTAACAGTTGCTTCCAGACCTACATCCACAACCGAAACTTTCCAGCACGTTGTACGAACACATCGTGTCAGAGCTGTCGTGGCTGTTTGTCTGGTGGAAATGGCGTCCCTCGCGGAATATTCTTGGCTTTGTCGACTGGCTGCAGAAGTTTGGACGAACCGAAGCAGGTGAAACTCGGAGAGCTGTTGTAGGTGTTGAGGCTGTGTTTGGGATGTTGACTTGAAAGTTGCAGGTGGAGGAAGCGTGCAATGTGGTGGTAAGAAGAGAAGGAAGAGTCGTCCATACAGGCTTTCGAGCCCCCTATTACACGGCGAACGCCCGTATTCAATGCTGCCCGTGTCGACCATCGGAAACTGCAGTGAATACGGCATGTCTCATTCAATGCTTCTTGACCGGTGCTTGGCTATCATACGAACAGACCGATGCGGGAGAAGCGAAATGTGAGACTGAAGACGCCGCGAACACATACATGTACTTCCCCTGAAACCAGTCGAAAATGAAATATTATGAGCATCGACGTAAAGAAGTTCCCACCACCGACGTCGCCAAAGAACAGATACCTACTTGCACCTCGAAGAGAGAACTGGAAGTCAACATCCAGCCAGCACCATCACCAAGACTCAGTATTCTCCACAACACCAACGCCGTCGCAACGAACCACAGGTCCTCATAGCCTGCCCTTCCCACCAGGCGTCCTGGGATCTTGCCTGGCGTGTAATGGGCAACGGGCTGCCGTATGAATGATTGGCGTATTGTTCGGACACACCAGGTACCGCCCTTGTCGATACAGGATCTGCAGTTTTGCCTGGCATTGGCCGAGAAGCTGGCCGCCGACGAGGCAACCGCAGGCGTACAAGATCCTCTGCTGGTAGACACACATTTTGGGGTGTGTGAGGGATAGATGAGTGGTCGGCTGAGAAGATGTACCTGGGTTTGATGAGCGCCGAAGAGGGTGTTGAGTGTGGTTCCAGAGAGGAGAGTGGAGGACCCCATTTTGAAAGGGCTTCTTATACTGCTTCGCTCGCTGTTTGCTGGTATTATGAGCCTGCCAGCATTCACTGTGGTACTCAACGACATGGTCATCAGTAGCCTTTATCTCAACGGCCGTCGGTAGCCGGACTTGATGAAGTAGGAAGGCTGCTCGTAAGATGCGTCTTCATGCCACAGATGGTCGAATCTGGCCGAGCTAGTAGCTGTCGAGGCCGTTGTGGCGGCGGTGAGGAGGCAGGTGCCGGACAGCTACAAAATGGTCTGGGAGATCGATGGAGCTGCGATGCCGAACTTGCCGAGAGAGGGTCGTGAACAGGGCAGTGGTGGTGTGGGACTTGGTGCAGCTCAACCAACCCATTAGAGCGGTTGTGAAGACGAAGAATAAAGGACACGAAGGAAGACTTACCTTGCAACAACTTACCTGCAGCGCAGCACAGAAATTAGCGAAACCTGGACGACATGTCGTGGCTCGACGTCCTCCCCGTTCCAAAACTACCTACACACTACACTAGATCATCCCCAACATAGCAGTCTTCCAAAGAATCGAAGCGTCGAGCCAAAATTCCACGCACTCCCGCCCTCCACGCCTCCAAACCAGTCAGAGCTGCGGTGGACAGGAAAGCACGCTTCGCCGCGGCGCCGCCACGACGGAATCCAGTCTTGTTGTTTTTTCTTGATGTTTTCTTCGTTCGAGAACCATTACGCGGGCAAAGGAGATTGCGAAGGCAGTCGCTTTTGCTGTGTGATGATGTGGTCTGCCATTCGCGTCTGGAAGGAAGGGATGGCAGAGCCACTGCGGTGAGGTGAGACACGCGAGAGATTCGTTCTTGTTCTCTTTGCGTGGTCTCCCAAGAGCAGCAATGGAGATGCGGTCACTCGTGTTGTCTCGATCCTGGAATAACAAGAACGCCGTCGGCTCAGAATGCAGGTTGTCCAGTCTGGGTGTTTATTATTGCTGAGAGGAAGTTCCATTACCCGTACGCCGTGTGAGGTGAGAGCTAAGCTAGCTCGGAGCAGAAATCGCAGAGCAGTCTGGAGCGATTACATTGCTGAAAGAGCGGCAGTCTGTAAAGGAAAGAGGTGAGTGGGTCCGTTTCTCGTTGTTGCAGTTTCGGGTGAGGTGTGCTCCGAGCTGCATTGACCCTTGTTCGATCGGTCTTCCGCGCTCACACCTTGCCGATGGCAGGAGAGCGACCGGGGCCCATCTCCGTGAGATCGTCAATGTGGTTGCAGAGGGCCACGAACAGGTCAAAGAATAACTGCGTGTCGCCTCGCTGCATCTCTTGCTGCATCGTGCCGCTTCGCTTGAAAGTCTTGCGGCTGCGGATGATGAGTGCGAGGTAGTGAGCGCGGAGGCGCGAGTCGCTCGGCGGCGTGTTCGCGTAGGCGAAGCGTGCGCTGCGAAGGATGGTCGCGACGTCGATGCCGGACTGCAGGCCTTGCTTGCGAAGAGCGAGGCGCTGGAGTTCTGGCAGGCCGAAGCGCAACGCAGAGCAGTAGATGACGGTATCCCGGAGGATGAAGTCACCCGCGCCGGCGTGGAAGATTGTCGCGGACTCGTTGAAGCCGACGAATTTCTTCTCGGTGGTGTTTGAGCGGGGAGTCATGGTCACGTCCTCCACGTCCTCGAGAGACCACGTGTCCCGCTTCCGATCGTGGACCAGACGCGGGCTGTAGTCGCCTTTGTAAAGGTACTCGAGGATCGCGGAGAAGGCGATGGGGTCCTCGTCTGGTAGATTGATGCGGCGCTGTCCCGGCGAGGAGAAGAACTGCTCGCGACATGCTTCGCTGAACCATGTCGAGCGAGACAGGACGTCCTCGTCGGCCGCGAACAATCGCTGGTCCGGCCCGACTGAAATAGTCACGATAGCGCTGTTCAGCTTGGGCGACGCCCCGCCGAGTGACGGAGAGGTGTCTGGGGTGATTGTCTGATTGTTGATCGCGGCGCGCATGCGCATCTTAGCATCATCGTTGAATGACCGCTTCGATATCTTTCGCTTGCCAACTCGGTCGTTGGAGGACGACAGAAAGCTGCGTTTGAACATCCTGCCGATCCGTGAGGCGGTGATTCGATCCGTGACTGCTATCTTTCCAAACGAATGATGGTGGTGTCCCGGCTGTGGTGGAAATGAGCGTGGAGTGGTGAGAGGTGGTGGTGTTGGTCAGAGGCGCGCGTGCATTAAGATCAATACGATCTTTACCAAAGGTACGGCCCTTGGTACTGTTGACTGCAGCGGTGACCAAAGGAAGAGAAGAGAGGCCGGACGAGCGAAGTGATGTAGGCAGGCAGGCTAGCGCTAGGCCGCACCCATGGCGCGGCGGTGCTTGTACCGCCAGGGACAGCGCATCGATTGGAGCCCGGTTTGTGGAGAGGTCGACTCTCCTCTCTCGTGTCTCTCCATCTTGCACCTATGCGAGCATGATCCGATATATCCCATGCCATGAGATAGCCCGTATTGTGGTCCTGACAAATTTTCTTCCGTCTCTTCCGGCTTCTTGGTGGTATCGCAAGCCCTCCGTCTTTGAGCTCATGACGCAACGGCTGAACATAAGGGTCGCACGCCAACCGTTGCACCCATTGAAGATAACAGTTGAAATTGATTAAGAATTGATTGGCTTGCGATCAGATCCCAGACACTGTCTCACCCCTCCATGCCGGCAGGAGTCGAGTCCGCCGCGCCACCTTCCAGAAGTACTGTCTCCGAGTCAGCGTGTGATGAAGGTTGCGAAGCATTGCGAGCAACAGCTGACATCGTATGTGTTCTTGAGACTGATGTTAGCATGTTTAGCAATCATCTGAAGTCGATTCGACAAGGTGAGGTCGGAATAAGAATGTCGCGTGGTCAAGTGTAGTCGTTCCTGCCCGTGTTGCCGTGACGTGACTTTAAGTCAGCGACTTCGAACTTGGAAAGTGCAGTGTCCTCGGCCTGACTGTGACTGAACTCATTTCTTTAAACAATCTAACCATTCACCGACGCTTCTGGATATTTACACATTTCACACCCAGGAAGAGGACGGCATCACATATATAACACCCGTCATCCGCGTCAAGCCTCGTCAACCGGCATAGAGACACACCACCCTCAACTTCACTGCCCAACATGGCGGCCAACAAGCGAATCATGAAGGTATGAAGGATAGTGGTGCAGAATGTGATATAGAGTCGCTAACATATGAGCAGGAGCTCGCGGAGATCAACAACAACCCCTTGCAAGGGTGTACGATCAAACTAGCAAAAGAGGATGACCTGAACAACTGGGATGGTACGCTGAAGGAGTCCGCATTGGAGAGACCATATGCTGACGATACATCCTTCCACAGTCACCATGGACGGCCCTCCCGAATCTCCCTACGCCGGCGGAAAATTCAACATCCAAATCGTGCTCCCCAAGGAGTATCCCTTCAAGCCTCCCGTCCTTACTTTCAAGACCAAAATCTACCACCCCAACGTCACCAATGACGACAAGGGAGCGATGTGCTTGGGTATGCTGCGGGCGGACGAGTGGAAGCCGCCGAACAAGATCGTGGATGTGCTGAAGCTGGTGAGGGCGGTACTTGCGGCGCCGCAGCCGGACGATGCGGTAGAGGCCGGGATCGCGAACGAGTTCAAGACGGATCGGAAGGCGTTTGACAAGACGGCGCAGGACTGGGTGAAGAAGTATGCGAAGTGATATGATGGCGAAATGAAGGATGGGAAGACGGCTGGTTGCATGAAGGATGCAGGGAAAGGGGTGCAAGACCTGCCGGGTTGGTACAGACGTGCATTTCGGGCGTCTACTGGCTCTGGTGATTGCTCTGAACATAATGACGGACTGCATAGCGCTGGATGGCGTCTGGAGCATGTGACGAAGGGTGACTGGCTGTAGAAAGCTGATCCAGCGGCTTTGGGGCCATTTGGCATGCATTTACGAACAACAACATAAACCACTCCAGACTTTGACATGAGGTTTCAATATCTGCCGTCTTGATCGCTTATATTCTTCATATCCATGACTCGGTATAATCTCACGTGGTAAGCGCAGCGGCACAAGCAGATCTGTGGACCGCTCGGCTAGATCTCGCAAGGATTATTACATGTTCACCCAAGCAATATCGACAGCCGCATCTCGTCTAGCCAACACCGTGCGTGTCATTAATCTGTTCACCTCAACGTGCATTCGTTTATATCGAACGAGATCCTAAGGAGCAGGATCTCCCAGCAGCCGCCCAGAAGAAACCTGATTCCTCCGTGCACCATCTGCAAGGCACGGGAGTCGATTGGGTACCGACGATGCTCCAACCTACCCTTCCGCCGGGTCTCTCACGGACGACGTGCACAGGCTCTGCTCGCAATTGCTAGCAGCAGATGCAGGAGGAGTTGCCGTCCTACTACTACACATCCACAGACTGGCCGCTCGATCACTACCACGCCGTGGCCGCCGCCCTCCGCGAAGTCATGGAGACTCCTGCCGTCCCGACCTCGTCGAGAACTTTCCCAGAGCCGCATCTTCCGCTCCGGAGAGCTTCGGCTCGGACGCTGCAGCAGCAGCAGCAGGCGAAACAACGGGGAGCGCCTACACCTTTGTGGGTGGAGAGGCAGCAGGGGGTGAGAGGGTTCAGTCCTAGTCCCGTGCAGGCCATGCCGAGGGTTGATAACGTGCAGGCGAGCTCGGAGCATGCGTTTGCAGGGAGGGAAGAGGGGAGGAGGAGGTTTAGACCGCCGCTGGGGGTGGGGAATATGGCGAGGCCGGGGGGTATGGTGGATGGGGGAGAGAGACGGCAGTACATTGAGCGTCCGGCGACGGCAGAGGTGGAGGATGATGGGAGTAAGCCTCCGTCGTCGCCATTGCTTTCGCCGCCTGGAACACCCCGGTCACAGCAGCAGAAGCTGAGGAGCTCGAAATCGTTGGGAGATGGATTACGAGGGTGGAAGAATCGCTTTTCAGCGCCGAACAAGAAGGCACCCCAAGAAGCAGAGAGGGATACAATGTACTCCGTGCCCGTGATGCGACCGAGCAGAACGCCGAACGAGGAGGTTAGGAGCTCGTTTAGGTCGGCGTTGACGAGCAGTTCGAGCTACATGAACACGAGCAGTATCCATACCGACTATAGCAGCATGACCGGGAACAGCTCGCACAGTGATTTTGTCAAGATCTATCCAAACTGGCCTGAAGGCGATCATGAGGACCTAAGGGGTGGCGATCAATATGGAGAGGACGTGGAGGGCATGATGAGCGTCGAGGATGCCATCGGGATGTACGCAGATGGCTTCTCGAGTGCAAAGCACAGCATGGATACGCAGGGCAAGCGATCGCTCCAGACCGCCCGACCGACCTCACAACCTTCAGCAGCTCCTTCTCCGGAGAGGAAGAAGAGGCCAGACTACAGCCATCGTCGTAGCCGGAGTGCCGGTCTACTGACTCGCGTTCAACAATATAAAGATGACCAACTCGCAGTGCCAAGCAGACCCGAGACCTCACATCATGCGAAGACTTTTTCAAAAATCCTCAATGGACCAGCAACCTCCTCCGTCGACCCGACAGCGGCCATGGCCACCTTCACCGCCTCCCGCGACCGCTACGGGTTCAAGAAGGCCTCTCACCACGTCACCGTCGAGGCCTACGACGCCTGGAACGCCACATACACCAAACACCTTGACCGCCGCAGCAAGAAATGGCACGCCCTGATGAAGTCGTACGGGCTCGCCACCGACAAGCCGTACCGCTTCCCACCGAAGAGTGACAAAGTCAAAAGGTACGTTCGTAAAGGTATTCCTCCCGAGTTTCGTGGCGCGGCATGGTTTTGGTACGCAGGCGGGCCGGGCAAATTAGCGAAGGAGCCGGGACTGTACTTTGAGGTGCTGGAGCACGTGAGGAATGGGGCGTTGAGCGAGAATGATCGAGAACATATTGAGAGGGACTTGAATCGGACGTTTCCCGACAATGTGCGCTTCAAGCCGGATCCGACGACTACGCTGGATGCACAGGCTGGAGCCGGGGGTGGCGTGGCGACTACCAACGGCAACAAAAGGAAATCGAATCGCCCTGAACCCGAGACACCTATCGTGCAGGCTCTGCGCCGAGTCCTGCAAGCCTTCGCAGTCAACAACCCAGGCATCGGCTACTGCCAATCGCTCAACTTCATCGCCGGCCTCCTCCTCCTCTTCCTCGACGGCGACGAAGAGAAGTCCTTCGTCCTCCTCACCATCATCACCACCCAACACCTCCCCGGCACCCACGGCGTTGCGCTGGAGGGCGCCAACATCGACATCGCCGTCCTCATGAGCTGCATCAAAGACTCCCTCCCCGCCATCTGGGCCAAGCTCGACGACAAAGGCTCTTCCGCCCTCATTGGCGCCGCCACGCAAGCGCTTCGTCTCCCGACCGTCAGTCTCGCCACTACTGCCTGGTTCATGTCCCTCTTCGTCGGCACCCTCCCGATCGAATCCGTCTTACGAGTCTGGGACTGTCTGTTCTTCGAGGGCTCGAAGACGCTCTTCCGTATCGCGCTGGCGATTTTCAAGCTCGGGGAGAAGAGTATCCTGGGCGTGAGCGATCCGATGGAGATTTTCCAGGTCGTGCAGACGATTCCGAGGAGTATGTTGGATGTGAATGCGTTGATGGAGGTGTGTTTTAAGCGGCGGGGTGGGTTTGGGCATGTGAGTCAGGAGGTTATTGAGGGGAGAAGGGAGGAGAGGCGGAAGGAGGTTAGGGAGGGGGTGGTGGAGGTTGAGGGAAGGAAGGGGTGGAGGAGGTTGGTTGGGAGGGCGAAGACGGTGGGGCCGGAGTGAACAGGCTGGATAGGATGCGGGGCGAGGAAGAGGTTCTCTGAGACAGCAACTGTTCACACAGAAGGCTTGAAATGTACGTCGCTTGGTTTAGCGATTGGAGAAGGTCGCTCGCATTCAACCTATGCATAGTAGAGTACAACACCAGAGGTATAATAAGACACCCCTAGCTTCCAAAATACAATCCTGCCAATTTCTCATGCGTCCCAAGCCATTCCAGATCACTCCCATAGGGTCATGCTACCGTCATCCGCCCACAGCCATCTTAGGTACCGCCCGACACACCACCCCGATCATCTATCCCCAACAGCGTCAGCACATCCCCCTTGTCACATCCTCAAAAAGAGAAGATAGCTACTCACCGCTCCACTGCCCCTTCTCCTTATCCGGCTCCCCGCCCCAAAACCCCTTTCCCACCTTATCATTCCTCACATCCTCATCACTCGCCTTCTCCGCCGGCCGCTCGGCGCGACGATTCATCTCGGCGTTGTGTTTGCGCACCTCGTCGGTCTGCTCGCTCTCGTTGAGGGGAGGGTTGTCGCGCAGGATCTTGGGCTGGGCTTGGTCTTTGCCCTTATTCGATGCGCCGTCGGCGGAGCTGGAGTCGACGGGTGGGGATTTTTGGGTGCTGGCGCTGGAGGCGAGGCGGGTGGGTTGGAGGGTTCGGGGGAGGAGGGAGGGGCGGAGCAGGAGGGGGAGGCGGGTTGTGCGGTGGAACATTGCTGCGGGTGGGTGTGGGAAGGCTGCTGGATGAGTTGTGTTGTTGGTGGTGACAATGTAGGTATTGAGATGTTTGAAGGATGGTATAGGTTCAAGAAGGCTCTCGTCCAGGAGGTTAAGCTTTCACTTTCTATCGATCCTTGTTGCTGATCTACGTTGATGTCATGAGCCGCCACGAGTCGTTTAGATCTGCGTGTTTTCAGGCGATCAAGGCAAAAGGAAATTATGATGTATCTTATCTCGAAGTCGACTTTAGTCACTCGCTTGACATGACGCCGTCGATGGAGATGCGTTGCTCGACAACGAGCGGAGGAATGTCATTGGGCGATTATGTCGGACGCTAACGGGTGTTTCCGCTGTGTTTACCAGATTGATCGTTTCAATGGTCAACTTTTGTTGAACACTGGTCGATTGGGACGGCTCTGAACGGTGTCACGTTGTTGTACGACCGTTTATAGGCGTCGGAGAATGATTACATTGGTTGTAGACCTTGCGAGATCAACCAGAAGATCGTTCCGCGACCACTGTCTTCAACGAGATTGAGCCTAGCGGCATCAGCCAATCACAGTCGCCATTAAACAACCCTTCTCGAGCGACCACCGTCTCCCCTGTGGTCTCCCTTGTCCGGCCGAGCAGTTGCGATAGTCGGGACGGCCGTCGCATGTGAGTATTGTTGCTATAGTAGGTCCTGTATGACCTGAGCTCTTGCAGAAGCTACGTACCTTCCGTTCTTCCTTTCTTCATCTCTCCTTTCCATCTGTGGTAATAAACAATCGAAATGCTGCAGGCCCAGCATGCTCTTCTCCTTCGTGACACTCCTTCCCCTGCTCGTCCTGGAGGCGACAGCAGGCCCTGTGCGGAAAGCGGCCTTCCGGGAGCATGGCTGGGAGCGGAAGTTCATCGCGCCTCGAGACGGACGCATGAAGCTGCACATCGCCCTCCGACAAAGCGATGGCGGTGCTGAAGTCGAGCGACAGCTACTATCCGTCTCTAACCCGGGAAGCGCATCTTTTCGGCAGCACTTGGGTGCTGAGCAAGCGGCTTCGATCTCTACGCCCGCGCACGGCAGTGTCCACGCAGTTGAGTTCTGGCTGTGGAAATATGGCTTGCTGAACGATGCTTCGCTGTTCGGCGGCATCTACGAAATCGACACGACCATACGGAGCGCAGAGAGGCTGCTCAACACAACTTACTTTGCCTGGTCGGACGGCGAGCGGGAGGTAATCCGAACAGAACTGTTCTACCTGCCGGACAGCGTTGATGGGTATATCGACTTCGTTACGCCCACGACGAGTTTTCCGAAACGAAGAGCGATGAAGACCTCATTGCGGCGACCAGCAGGCGATGCTGTTGCTCAAAGAGCAGCTCAGGCTGTAGTGCTTAACGAACAAGCTGAATGTGCAATCAACAGCTTCGCAACGCCGACTTGCATCAGGCAAGCATATAAAATCGACTATCAAGCGCAACCGAACCGTACCACATTCGCCGTCTACGGAACGGAAGCAGCGTCTTTCAACCCTGTGGACCTGCAGACATACCTCCAACGCTACAACTCTCCAGCCGCTGAAGCGAACGCACAATACGGAGTCGTCGGCAACGAAGAATACTCCAGCTTCACAGCCAAATTCGAAACAGCGCTAGACACCCAAACCCTCCTCGGCCTCGCCTGGCCCGCCAGAGGCATCCTCTACAACAACGGCGGCGTCTTTGGACCCAGCCCTGGCACGGTCTATGATCCTTTCGTACAGTTCCTACAAGAACTCATCACGAACAAGACCGTCCCAAGCGTCGTCTCGTTCTCCGAAAGCCTGCCAGAAAACCAGCTTGACCCGGTGTATGCAAGACGGCTTTGCAATATGATGGCGCAAGTCGGTGCTCGAGGCGTGAGCCTGCTGTTCTCGAGTGGGAACAACGGACCCAATGGTGACCAGCCGACTGGCACGCACAAAGAGATTTTTGAGCCCGAGTTTCCTGCAAGTTGTCCTTGGGTCACTGCTGTAGGCGGAACAACCAACCTCAAGGGCGAGACGGCCGCGACGAAGGAGACGATCGGTGTTATTGGAAGGCTTGGTTATACGGCGAGTGGAGGCGGGTTCTCGAACCTCTTCTCTGCACCGGACTACCAGAAGTCGGTGGTTGATGCTTACGTCGCCAACCACGTCCCGGCCAGCTACGCTTCAGTATCTGGCTTCAATGCCCAAGGGCGAGGCATCCCAGATGTGAGCGCCTTCTTCACGAACTTCCCTACAGTCGTCGACTACATCACTTTCCCGGTCGCACGAACGAGCGCTGCAACGCCGGTTTGGGCTGCAGTGGTGACGCTGCTGAATGACTACGAAGCTGGGAAAGGGAGGTCGCCGCTCGGCTTTATCAATCCGTGGCTATACAGTCTTGACAGCGGACTGAAGGACATCACCACAGGTGGTAACAACGCTGGCTCTTGTGACCTGCTGGGAGGATGTACGCTGCCAGAGACGTTGCGGTATGAGGTCACCGAAGGCTGGGATCTGGTCACTGGACTTGGAAGTCCAATGTTCTCTGAGCTTACAAGGGCGCTCGATGCCATAGCTGAGCGTAAGAAGTAGTAATAAGATACCAGGAATGTCTGGAGTTTACGCCAATCGGAAAGAAAAATCTATCACGTCACATGTTCCTTCTCCTCCTCCCTCGGAATCCTCACCCCCACCACCGTCACCCCCGCCCCTACCACCGCCGCGGCCAACCCAAACCACCAAATCGCTCTCAAACCTTCCAACCCCACCTCCCCCTCCTCCGTCAGCGCCACCTGCGCCCCAATCGCATCTGCCACACTCGTCACGATCGCCGCCGACAGATTCTGCACCGTCATCAACAAACTCCCCGCACTGCCCTGATAACTCCTCGCCACGTTCGAGGTGATGAAGATACTCGCCGCCGCGAACGACAAATCCGGACCGAAGGTGCAGAGTGCAATGCCCGGCATGCTGAGGGCCCAGTACGATGTCCCCGCTGTTTGGGGCAGGAAGAACGCCGGACCAGTGGCGAAGGCGAGCATCGCGCAGACGTAGATCCAGTGGCCTGGTACCAAATGCATGATTCTGCTGACGATGTAGGTAGCGATGATACCTGCGATGAGGTTCGGGAGGAGATAGAGTGCTACGGTTAAGGGGCTGGCGTGTTGGATGCGGAGCCAGAATTGGATGGCGTAGAATTGCCAGGAGATGTAGGCGCCGAAGCCGAGGAAGTAGGCGAGCATCAGGGGCGCGAAGCCGGGGGTTTTCCAAAGACGGGTGGGGATTAGTGGGCGCGGGACGCGGGATTCGGCATAGAAGAAGGCGGCGAGGAGGAGGATGCCGGCTACGACGAGGGCGTAGGTGTAGGGTGACCATTGGGTTACTGAGCCTTGGGTGAGGCCGAAGAGGAGGCAGACGGAGCCTGAGACGGCGAGAAGGGCGCCAATGTAGTCGAACTGGCGGAGGGAGGGGGCTTCGGTGCCCGGGATGTCAGCGGCGGGTTTGAGCGCTGGGATGGTGAAGAATGCAGCGATGGCGCAGAGACCGCAGAGCATGGCGTTCGAGCCGAAGACCCAGGGTAGATGGGCAGTCAGAGCGCCGCCTTGGATAGAGCCGATCCAGAAGCCAGAAGGTGCCATAGCAGCCATGGCGCTGAAGACTCTGGTCTTGCGGATGCCTGGGTTGTAGACGCGGCCGAGGATGCTCATGGAGCCAGAGACCAAGGTGCCGACGGCTAATCCTTGCATGGCTCGCACGACGAAGAAGAGAATAGCACGCTGAGGAGTGAGCGAGAACGCTCCGACGGTGTTCCAGATTGTAAGAAAGATAAAGGCGCCAACGATTAAGAATTTTGGTGGAACAAGGTCTGTGAGACTGCCGGACAGCATGACCGACAGCCCGTTGGCGATGTTGAATGCTCCGACCAGCCATGGTAGTTGCGTGTTCTCGATGCCGAGGGCATTTCTGAGCTGCTGCTGGTTGACGTTGACATCGCCCAAGAACCAGCCAAACAGCAGCTGGCCTGCCGAGCAGACGAGGACGAAGATGACTTCGGAGGCAAAGTTGCCGAGTTCTGGTGGGATGCCTTGGGGATCAGACTTTCGTGGCAAAGCTGCTTCCTGCTCGGACAGTGAAGGGAGCGGTCCTTGAGATGGTTGCCGATCTGTGGTGCTGGGACGTCCTCGCAGGCTGACGGTTGGTTGTAGTTCGTATGACTCGCGGGCGGGGTTAGATACTATGCTGGCAGTTAGCACGAGTATGGACTGGCTAGGGTTCTAGACTTACATGTTCAAGCTATGTTCTCCATTGGGGCTCCCAGATGTGCACTGCGCTTGCTGCTCACACGTTCTAACCCCGTCCCTGCATCCGCAACATCCTGCTCAAGTGGCTGAAGTCGCGAATGATCACGAGAAAGCAAGGCCTCTGGCGTCTGTGTTCCCGTCGCTGGGTCTAGAGTTTCGAGCGAGGCTCTCGGTTCTGGTACGGACGAGTGACCTGCGGTCTGGCCGATCGTGGCTCCGAAAGTGCTTCCCACTCCAGCTTGATTGCCGTCTCCGCGATACTGACGATCACGCGGCTGCTCGAGTACAGTCTCTACGGTTGTGGTAGACATCTGTACGGCGAGAGACGAGGTGTGGAATGTGGCGGATGATTGAGAAAACTTTTACATTCGAGACTGGGTCAACAATCGAAAGAACTTTGGGCCTACCTGGACAGCAGCGGATGTTATTATACCATTACCTCTGCGACATGGCGTGCTACCCACAGTAGCATTATCTACACCGTGACGTCGAGCAGTAAATCTTTCAGACTTTGGTAAGCTCGCTGCTCATGCGCCGTTAGTCCGTTCAACAGTTTCCTGATATGGCGGCACCGCCTCCGACATGTTCTTCCGTAGTGTCATCCGTATCATGCCGGGCGGACGTGTCTGCCCCGTTGGTAATAGAGCGCAGGCTGGTGCCTTTCGAGTCCGTCTTCGGCGGCACCTTTCTCCTAGATCACGATCATCGTCCGACACTCTGAGCGGCAGCATCGCCGTTTTGCTTCCGATGTCTCGCGGAGAATCTGTTTCCTTCAGTTGGCGTTGGCGGTGGAACCGTCGGAGTAAACTTCCAAAAAAGTAAATCATGGGCTTCCCAAAACGTGCATGCCGCTACGACGAGCTCGAAGTGGCTTTTTAACGCGCCTTGCTGTGTTCTGCTCGTTCTTTGAGGCCGGCCAGCATTGGCGCAGTGGTTATATGGTCCATAATCCCACCGCCAGTGACCAGTAGCCGCTTCTTCAAGCCTGTTACTGCTATCTTGCCACGAAAGCGGAGATGGAGGAGAGTCTTGACTCTACCACCCTCCGTCATCTCATGGAGGATAAGCGCCCTTGAGGGAAGTTAGAGCGTCATGTCAGTGGTCAGCAGCGGCCTCTTACCATGAAAAGGACGCGCCGTATCTGTCGCTCTTGTAGACGAGGAACTCCTCCGGCTGTACTTCAGAGACAATGAAGTAGTCGTCTGCGCTGAAGCCGTAGTCATCCACTCGGTCTTCTGGCTGCAGATTCTGCCACGCAGGGTTGATGGTACGTGTTGCGTGCCAGCTCTTAGGCATAAACGCCTCAAACGATGCTGGAGTGTACCAGCCGCCACGACCCTTGCCAACTTGCATGACCCAGGGCCAGACGTCGGATGGTGGTGCGTCAATGACACGTCCTTGGGAGTAGACCATGACGGCGTCTGGTATGACATCGTCGCCTGGGTGTGCTATTGCGGGTAGCGCCGGCATGGTGGGCTGGCTGTATGTGAAGAGGAACAGAGAGCCAATTGAGAGGAGAATGGGCGACACCAGGAGCGTTGCGACAGCGCCGAGGGACCTGAGGGAGGCCATACTTCTGGACGACAAGCTTAATGAGTATTTGAAAGCAGCGTGATCCAGACCCAAAGGTATATTGGACTCTGTTGAAAGGTGTAGAAAGGCGGGATGGAGGACAACGCGAGCCTGCCCTCGTGTTCGCGACTTCTCCACTAGCGTGTAGCAAGTCAACACCTTCCCGTATGCCATTGGTCTAGATTCCTTCTCACTCACTCCATCTTCTTCTTCTCAAATGAAGTCTCATATCATCATGCCCAGATACGCGGACATGCACCTGGTCTTCCCGGTGTCAAAAATGGTGCCTTCTTGCACTTGTGAAGGCATCTGGTAGGACAGGCCGTGTCCTGCTATCAGGAAAACATGGTCGAACAATTCATCATTGAGCACAAGGTAGGTGTCATGCAGGTCAACGCGAGAACATGTCCCCTCGAGAAGCGGAACGTCTTCTTCTGGGTGCTTTCTCTCGTCCATGCAGGACCTCACGCCGTCAGTCTGGTTTCCGCCGAAAGGCGCATCGCATCCGGTGCACCACGGCCCTCAGCACACATGCACACTTCTGGCCCACCGCATGCACAATGTTACCACTAGGAGCAACAATAGCGAAGCCTGGCATTCCGTTGTGGTCAGGCAGCGGAATGCTGTCCACCTCAGCCTTCTATTTACGGGGTCGCCTAGCAACACGCTGGTATTCAGCATTGTCTCGGATGGAAGCTCACGAACATGGCCACTCTGGACAATGTACCGGCTCGACGGTGTCACATCTGCCGGAATATCAATGTGCAAGCCCTCGCTGTAGCGACGAGTGGAACTCGAAAGAAGTTCCAAGCGGCCGCTTTGCTGCCATATTGTGCTTGGCCGGAAGCAGCTCTTTGTTTCTCGCATCGCCAGCCGTGGGTGACGCATGCAACAAACCGCCTTGTCAAAGAACCTTTGACGAAAACGGAAGGAAGTTCACGGCACAGCATTTGTTCGTCTTCAGACACCATACGTGGCGTATATTCTTTCTACTTACCTCCCCCAGTCGATTTATTGTTCTTCACTCTTCCCTCCATCTCTTCCTCACGCTGCCTTCTCTTCCTTTTCTTCTGCATTTGTAACGACCGACAAAAATTGGACAGCACAACAATCATGCGTACCACCGGCACCATCCTCCTTGCGGCTCTGGCCTCCGTGGCCATTGCGCACTCGGTCAAGCCAGACTACTACAAGAACCAGCACGACGGCGGCGCTGATGACCATGTGGCCCACCACCAGGGGTCTGGCGAGCGCCCAGGAAAGGGCTTCCTCGATCACATCAAAGGTTCTTGGGGCAAGGACCCGCACGCTCATGGAGGCGCCGCTCATCACGGCCACGGCCACCAGTGGGCAGATGACGACGATGAGAATGACTCTGAGCTGAAGGCTCGCGACGCTCTCTTCGGCTTTGGCAACAAGAACAAGGGCAAGGGCAAGGGCCACGGCGGTCATCAAGGCCACCCAAGCCGCCCAGTCCACGGAGGCCAGGTCGACCGCGATGGCGATCTCCCCAACCAGGGCCCTGACGACGATGACCCATCCAACTTCCTCCCGAACAACATGCACGACGTCACGCCCTTCCCAGCCGAGGAGTACTACGACGACGAGGGCAAGGTCCTCGACCACATCCCATCCCCCAAGAAGCACCACGCCCGTGATGCGGACGCGGAAGCCAAGAAGAGCCATGGTGGACTGTCCTTTCCCAACGAAGAGTGGTACGACGACGAGGGCCGCTTGATCGGTGCAGAGGACGGCTACGACAACGAGGACGAGGAGGACGGCGTCGAGCTCAACCTCCCCGAGGACGACGACTCGCGCCAAATGCGCGCGAACTGGTGGGCCGCCGAACAACGCGACGACTACCCAGACCGCGCACCACCAGGCTGGACTGATAACGAGGATGACGAGGATGACAACACCCCATCGCGCCCATCCGGCCACGGCAATGCCCACGCCCACGCCCACGGCAAGCCAAAGCACCACCACGCCCGCTCCGCGCCCCACATCGAGGATGACGAGGATGAAGATGACGACGACGTCGAGCTCAACCTCCCCAACGACGAGCACTCCCGCAAGCACCGCCAGGCCTGGTGGGACGAGGAGCAGCGCAACGGCCACCAGGGCCACGCTCCAGCGGGTGGGTTCCACGGCCAACATGACAACAAGCCGTCGTACCACCGCCACTACAGCGCGCACCAGATGCGTGGGGTGGATGTCGATCGCGAAGCGGCGACCAACAGTGATCAGTACTACTATGACGTTGGTGATGAGGGGGATGAGGGAGAGTATGACCCTAGCTATGGTGGCGAGGATTATGATGAGGGGTTTGAGAAGAGGGATGCGTAAGTTCTTTCACCTGCCTGCCTACTGTTAAGAGAGGGAATGAATGCTGATAGTTGGACAGGAAGAAGCAGCCCAAGCCACCAAAGGCCCCCAAGGCCCCGAAGCCAAAGAAGGGCAAAGGCTGGAGCATGTTCCCGTGGTAGACGGCCACACGTAATGTCATGGTTAGAATAGTTTCCAATTAGTCTAGATAGACATTATGTAATGCTTCTCATAGTTCTACATCGTTCATCATACAATGTCAGCTCCTCTTCGAACCCATCTCCATACCTATGTCATCGTCATCCCATGCATCATCAGTGTTGCCAACCTTCCTGCCGATCAAGATTCCAGTCGCTGTAAGGCCTACGGCAGCGAGGAACCAGCTCTCGAACCAGCCTTCGACGAATTTCCCTTCCAGCGGCGCGCCGAGGGCTTCGGTGATGACGCTGCTGACTTCGGCCGGGAGATTGCTGCGCAGGAGTAGGGCGGAGGAAATTACGTAGGTGCCTGCGACTTGGCTGATGATCAACGGCAGACTAGTCTGCGCGTGCTGCAGCAAGCCGGGCGCAAAGCGGGCGAAGAGGCGAAAGGTCTGGAGTACGGCGTTGAAGGAGGCGAGCAGCATGACGCCACTGAGCAAGAAGCTGATCTGCCGCGACCAGGCGGCGCGGTTGAGGTTGCTGTCCCAGTGTGTTGTGAGCAAGGCGAGGATGTTGTTGATCGGATCGCTGGTGGCAAAGGAGTGGTTGGGCTGCCACCAGCGGCGGAGACTACTGAGGGAGGTCGCGCAGATGCGATAGGCGCAGTAGACGGCGAAGATGGTGTTGAAGATGTTGAGGAGTCTTCCCGCCTTCGTTCGTGCGCGCTGCTGTTCGCTGTAGCGGAGGCGGAGGTTCGATAGTGAGGTTGAAAGGGAGAAGCGCATGGTTTCGAGACCGGAGACCTCCATTTGCAGCGCTTTCACCTCTTGTAGCTCGGGATTGCCACGAAATGAACCCATGACGCGGCCAACGAAGCCTGCCTGATCTGATGCCGAAGCACTCTCTGACATCTTTCGTTGCAGAGCTCGAAGGCGACTCTGTTTGGCCGCCAGCATCTCCTCAGTGGAGGTCAGTCCCGCCTCCTTCCGCGCAATGTCTGTATCTCTGATCGTGCGGTGGCGGACGCCAAAGTTCTGCCACAAAGAAGACACCGCAGCGAAACCTGATAGTGAAGCCATCAAAGATATCCCGATGATGCCGATACGCTCCAGGCATGCTTCGGTGAAACTCCATTCACTGGTCTGCCCGGCCTCGCCACTGCGCAGTGACTTGCGAAGAAGAGAGGTTTGCGGGATGTACCAGAAGACCAGCAGCCACGCTCCGAACAGCAGTACCTCAGCAGCCAGCCGTAACCGTGGCTTCGTCCTTCCAGTCGAAGTCGCGGTGGAAGAGCCTCCAGAAGTCGCCTTGACTATTCCGTGGATCTCAAGGGCTGGCGTGATCAGGCCGCTCAGAACCAGTAGTAGGCCAAGGGTTACTCGCAGTGCCAGACCGCGAGCCGCCGGGTTGAGCGTATTCGATATTTCACATAACAGTAGTTCCACCAACACCGCCGACAGTCCAATACTCGTTGAAAACACCAGCCCACTCAGACTCTGCGCCGAAGGCTTCCTGACTACATCCCACTTGTCCGTCGCTTGAGCCTTTCCAGCGCTCTTGTTGTACACCGGCAATGCATCCTTCTGCTGTACATCCGAGGACAGGACAGGGTATATCCGGCGCTGTGCAATGACAGCTGTCGCGATCCAGGTCAAGAGGAACGGCAAAGAAGAAAGGACAATGGTCGAAGGCGGGACCGAGTCCAGCTGTCGCTTAAGGTACTGCGGTACACAGTCGTCGCAGTCGTCGGATGGCAGCATTGTGTTGGAGTGCTGGGGTCGTGGGGTCCATTGATGCTGTGGCAGAGTGTGGTGTTGTTCCGTAGCAGTCGTAGAACCTTGCGTCCGTGGACGACGAGTGTTCGACGTGAGACACTGGCACTTTCTGACGTAGCGGTCGGGCGAGCTTCGGCTGAATCTCGGCGAAATTTTGCTGCTATCACGATACATCAGAAGAACCCTGAACGCTGAACGCCAGCTAGCGCCGGCCTGTCTCGACCAATGAGACACGGAACGTTGATGAAGCCCATCAAATATTCAATCAAGGTAATCAATCAATCCTCCTACTGTCCTCCAACGCCCATGGAGGTTTCAGTTTTGCTTCCTCTTTTTGGCTCGCTTCGATACATCTTCAATTCCTCCCTGTGCATTTCAATTGGCATGGGAGTTTGCAGTCTTCGCCGAGCTCATACAGATAGTAGGCCAGCACTTCCTTTTTGCCATGAAACTCGTGCCCTACGCCTTCTGATGGTAGAAAAATAACAATCACTGAGTCGAACAAGTATCGTGAAGGTACAAACAGCATCCTCTGAACCTCGCACCTGAACACTCCTACCACACCACTCACTTCCTCCCCCACCCAATCAACCCAGTCCCGTCCAACCGCAACGGCACTTCAGGATGCTTCTGTCTGACAAACTCCAACATCATTTCCTTCCCCCTCGCCACCTCCTCCTCGCCGAAATCAGCAGTCAACCCCTTCATGAACGGGAACGCCTCAAAAACAAACTGCACCACAGCCTCATGCGTCTCGAACGGCAACCCCATCTTAAACTCCTTGGCCTGTGTGTCGACGAACCCGGCGTTGGCGAGATGTTGCTTGACCCCTTCGATGGACTTCCAATGCGCTCCGGGACCTGGTATGGACAGTCCTGGCCGCACTTGCTCGAGGAAGGTCGGGAGGTGGCCCCATTCGGTGTAGCCCATAGATGTCTCGACGAACAAGCCGCCTGGCTTCAAGATCCGGACGGCTTCTGCTACCGCTGTCTCATCGTCCGCAAAGGCGAAGTAAGCGAAGGTGGATAGTAGATGGCTGACCTCGCCATCTCCAACGGCTTCCTTGAGGTCTCTGGCGTCCCAATTTCGCACCTCGAGCCGCTTCCAGAGTGCATCTTTCTCCGCTTGCTCAGCTTTGCGCTCCTCCAGCTTGTCGAGAAGGCCTTGCGCGATATCTGCTGCGACCAAGCGAGCCGTATCGGGGATCCGAGAAGCTTGGTTCGGAGAGGTTAGGATTTTGCTTATCAAAGGACCAGACCCGGTGCCGATATCCATTATATAGCTGGCTTGGTCAAAAGGGAGAGTTTTGTCCACGACGTCGAATAGTTCGCTGCATGCTGCGCCGACGGGGTTGAGGAGATCATTCTCGTTGATGACTTTGACGTAGGCATCGGCGACACGGGTCCAGTTCTTGCCTGATGGCTTATCGGTGTTGGGGGCACTCATGATGTCTGAGGGAATTCAAGCAGTCGTTGTGGACTGTGTCCGTCTCCAAAGTTTGATTGCTTGAAAGCAAAGGGACCCATCGTTCATGGAAGGCATCTTGCTGATACTTATCTCACATGTTTCCCATCATACTCAGCTCGTTTAGGCTCTTCAAAAGTCTGCGAGAAACTCTCCGCGCGTGTGCCCTACCCGCCTGCGACTGCGAGTTGACCGCTTGGTTACAATCATCGGAATCCTTCCTCGTCGCGTTCGCACTTCTGCGTGCAACCTCTAACTCCGCCGCCAAACCCCAGCGTTGGGCTCGGCCATGATCTGCAGTCTACCAGGACTCTTGCTGGACTGCTCGTTATATCTACATGTAGGTAGCATCGCAACGTTAACCAACCTCACCTCGAACAGACGTCCAAAGAGGTGTTTGCTCTATGTGTCTAAACGTGTACGATACACATTGCAAACGTACCCAACGGAACTTGGTCGTCTTCGCGCTCCTTGATAAGCTGAGTGAGAGGGTAGTACTCCCATAGGATCTTTCAATGAGGTCCATGGCTTAAGCATACGAGTGTGTGGTAAGGAGAAGAAGTCGGTGCGAGAGGGTGAAGTTGAGACTGCCACTCCGTCTCCGCGTATTCCTTAGGCCGCTCGGCGTATATTGTGGCCAGGCTCGATTTGGCCTTGCCCTCGGCGAGATCTTCACATGACAACAGTGGGGGCGGGAGTAGCATCAGATCCGTTTAAGGTGGCCATTCGACGTGAGAACGCTAGCATCCAGGAGCGGACGGAAGTGTAAAGACTTGTAGTACTAAAACTTCTTCTATCGCACCATCGCTGGACCATCTAACCCACTCTTATCAAGCACAGTACACCTCGATGCAATTATACAAGCCCACACTTGCCACTTCTCTCACTCCCTCCACCGTCGATCACCCCTGAATCGACTTGAAATCCCCCTCCTTCGCCTTGCCCGCCTCAACAAGCCTCTTCGCCTCGTCACTAAACACCTCCTTGATCGCACTCTTCTCCTTGCCCTGCAACTTCGAGCTCAACAACGCCACCTCCTCGTTGTCCAACTTCAAAATCACAGCATCGACATCATTCAGACTGCTGTCGATCTGCTTCGCATCCGCCTCGCCGTCGACGAAGTAATTCGCGTCCTTGACCGCCTGGCGAATGACGCGCTTGTTCTTCTTCGCAGCGTTCTTCGCCGCTTCCTTGGCCTTCTTGCCCTCCTCCTTAACAGCCTTATCCGCCTCCGCCTTCTCCTTCGCCAAGCGCTCCTCTTCTGCCTTCTTCGCAGCCGCTTCCTCCTTTGCAGCCTTCTCTGCCGCCTCCTTCTCAGCCTTTTTCCTGTTCTTCTCCTTGTTCCCCTCCTGCTTGAACTTCTTGATCCGCTCATCCATCGCCAGCGCGTCGTCCACCAACTTCCTCAACCGCTGCGTATCCTCCGTCTTCCGCTTCTTCCTCGCATTGTTGTTCTTGCGCTCCATGTGCCTCTTCTGATCGCGGTTCTCGTTGTCATCCGGTACATCCTCGTCCAGATACTCGAACGTCCGCCACGAGTCGAAGTTGTACCAGAAATTGTAGAAGTACTCGACGTGCTCGCGGGTCGCGTCCTCACCTCCAAGCTTCGGTACATTGTCCTTCTTGCTGAACCGGGCCTCGCTCTCAAATACCGGTCCCCACATCTTGTAAAAGTTGCCGGGCTTCTTCTGCACGTCCTTCTTGCTCGGCGGGCTGACATCTGCTTCCTCGTCCACAGAGTCGAACTGCCGCCTCTTGCTCGGGTCAGACAGGATCTCATGTGCGCGCTGAATGCACTTGAAGAACTGATCGTCCTCCGTCTCACCACTCGCGGCCTTCTTGTCCGGGTGATGTTTGAGCACCTTCTTGCGATGAGCCCGCTTGATCTGGTCTTCCGTAGCTCTCCACCTGTGCTTCCCCAGGCCGAGGATGGCGTAGTGGTCCTGCGTCTTCCAGTCCTTGGCTTCGCGTTGCAGCATCATGGGGTCGTCGGTGTCGCTGATGTCGTCGTCCTTGTCGGTGGTGGCGGCCGCGACCGTCTTCTCGGCTTGGATGCGCTCATCCTCGCTGAAGGTGCGCTTGTGACGCTTGCGGCGGGCGTGGGCGAGGAAGTGAGGGCCGACCGGCTCGATGGCTCGGGAGGTTGGGGCGGAGAGGTGGGAGATGGGTTTGAAATCTTTCTCGGCCGACCAGTCCGAGGGGAGCGACGGAAGAGTCGCGGAGAGTTGGATTGTGGCCATGGTGGGTGGTTGAGCAGTTGAAGTTGTCTGGAAGGAAGAAGGAATGGGCAGAGATAATTTTCCAGCTCGATTTCTTGCTGCGAGTAGATGTAGTACTGGATCGGCTTAACTCGTGACAAAAGCTACGCATGCAGCACAGGGCGGAGAGAGCGACGCTCTTCCGGAGATACAACCACAACCCCCTCTGCGACGACATACCATGGAACCACGATAGCACACCCCCCACCAGTCCCACAATGACTTCCAAATACCTATCTCCCGCCGACCTCGCCACCAACCGCCTCGCCGTCCTCTTAACCTATCGCCACCTCCTCCGCGCAACCCGGCTAGCCTTCGGAGGTCCGCTCCCCCCTCCACCATCCACACCTCTCCCACTAACATTTCACAGACGACACACCCACCCTCCTTGCCTCCCGCGCCCAAGCCCGCGCCTCCTTCCTCTCTAACGCCGCACTCGAGCCCGGCGACACCGAAGCCACGACCGCCATCGAGCACGCGCAAGGCGTGACGAAGATTCTGCGGGAGCATGTGGTGCAAGGGCGGAATGTGGGCGGGGAGCAGTATCGGTTGAGGATCCACGAGCATACGCAGAAGTTGAATAATGAGCAGGCGAAGTTGGGGAAGGGGACGACGAAGGGTTTTAAGGAGATTAAGAATTCGCAGTTTTGAGGAGGGTACCCTATATTAGTGGGCGCAGAGCTGCGAGATGTATCCAGCACCCTGTGATGGGTACTCAAGGCCTAGAGCGAAGAGAAGGGTCCTCTTGAAAAAGATGGCTGCCCAGGTGCAGGGTCTAGGTTGAGCTTTCCGGTCCCAGTACCAGCACCAGCAGCACCAAGGTACCTGTATGTGTCAAGGGACGGATCCTAGCGAGTGCCGACCAGTCTATAAAGAACGACGCTGAGCCACACTACAGACGAGACTGGGCAGTCGAGGTGGATGCTGTTGATTTATTGTGAGATGCCAGCTGTGCAGCGGCGATATGTACAATACTCTATGAAGATGCCAGAACCTGCGCCATGCTCAATTCGAGTAAAAGCAAAACACCCACACTCCCTTCCCATCAGTTCTTCTCCGGCTTCCTGCCTACCATCAAGTACATCGGCGTGAACAGCTTCTCCTTTCCACCCGCGACAAGACAGTCGGCGGCCAAAGCAAGCGAGTCGGCGGTCTTCTGCGTGCCCTTCGGCGCCACCTTGATCGTCTCCAACAGACCGACAAACCGATGCGCGAACGCCCGGCCCCAATGCGTCATCCGGACCAGTGTTGGGAAGTCCCAGACCGACTGCATATACTTCAGGTTCCCACTCAACGGCCAGTACCACGGCAGCTCGTCTGGTCGGTCCGCCAAATCCTCATTCAACTCCATCTGGAAGCCTGCCGCCTTCATCGCATCCAGCGCCACCTCAATCTTCTCCATATTGCTGATCCCATCACCCTGCTCAATCCCCAGCCTGATCTCACGGTGGTGCGGGTTCGCATTGTCGTATTGATCCGTCATCAACCACTCATACACCCCAAACACACCACCGGGCTTCAACACCCTAAAGATCTCCGAGTAAATCCCCTCCAAACTCGGCGCGTGCACCGTCGCCTCAATCGCATACACAGCATCGAAGCTGTTGTCCGGGAAATCCATCTGCATGAAATCCCCCTTCACGTAGCTCAACTGCCCGCTCAACCCCTCCTTCGCCGCGTACGTCGTCGCCCGCTCGATCTGGTAGTCGTTATTGTTCAACCCCACGATGTTCGCGCCGGTGAACTTGGCAATCTCCCTCGCGGGCCCGCCGACACCGCATCCCACATCCAGCACTCGCATGCCCTCCTGCATCCCCATCTTCAGCGCGAGGTAGTGCTCATGTCTCGCCAGCGCCTGCTTGAACGCCTCGCCCTTGCTGAAGCGGCAGAAGTGGAAGGACTGCGCCCAGCCGTACTCGTAGAGGTCGGTGGCGAGGTTGTAGTAGTGTCGTGTGAGCGTGGCGTATTCGTCTCGTCGGGCTTTGCGGGTTTCTTCTGTCTCAACGCCGGCGGCTTTGTTGTCCCAGTGCTTGAAGTATTCGGACACGGCTTCGTTTTGGGCAGTGTGGTTCTTGGAGAGCATGGCGCGGAAGGAGTTGGATTCGGTGCCGGAGGTGCCGTGGAGGGCTTGTTTGAAGGCCGCGTCGCGCTCGCGGTCTTGCTTTTCGAGGGGTGTGAGAGGGGGTGAGGTGGCCATGGTGGACATGGTGGTGGTCGGGGTAGGGTCGATTTGTTTCGATGTTGATGGGCGATGAGAGGAGAGGGCTAGTTCAGAGATTGGTTGAAGTAAAAAGAAGGTGCAATGGTCTTGCAAGGCTTTATCAGGTGTTGTGCCGCTTCAATGGCATCGTACGTTCCTGCCGCCCCAACGACAAAAAGTCGTCCGATGAAGAAATTAAGCTTCGTACCTGCATGAGCTAGCTGCGGGATCAGCCGGTGGGTCTGAGCCGAGATTTCAAAGCCGACGACGACGTCGAACTCACGAGAACATCTCCACGCAGGATATCACTCCAAAACCCCTTTCTGTGGACGAGTCTTCCACAAAATCATCAGCGAGTGACCGTGAATTACGAGAGCTGCCTAGCGACTCGAACAACGCAGCCATCATCAGAAGCCTCTAACAGGCCAACGGCCTAAAACTGGGGAGATATTCAGTCTAGGAGCAAGTAACCCCCACTGGTGTTCAGGGACACTCTCCTGGACAGAGTCGGTGTCGAATCGCAGACAGTTCCACCCAAGGGGACGACTTCTAGGAATATCCAGGATTGAACACGGAATATCGCCACCATGCCACCTCAAATCAAGCAGGATATGAACCGGTCGGGCTGGGAGACGACTGACATGCCCTCAGTGTGCGAAAGATGGTATGTGTACTAGCCCTTCTTTCTGAGCGTATCGAGAATGTACTAACACATACAACAGCCTCCCGGACAACCCCTACGTCCAGATGCTCAAAGAAGACTACGGCGAAGCCTGCAAACTATGTACTCGACCCTTCACAGTCTTTCGCTGGAAGGCGGACCGCACAGCACGCCAGAAGCGGACCGGAATATGCTTAACTTGCGCACGCTTAAAGAACTGCTGCCAGTGTTGCATGCTGGACTTAAGCTTCGGGCTTCCGATCACTATTCGAGACGCTGCGCTGAAGATGGTGGCACCAGGACCTCAGAGCGACGTCAATCGGGAGTTTTTTGCTCAGAACAACGAGCGCGAGATCGAGGAGGGCAGAGGGCTGGAAGGGTATGAGAAGACTGACGAGAAGGCGAGGGATCTGTTACGGAGACTTGCGGCGAACGAACCCTACTACAAGAAGCAAAGGCGACTGGAAGCTGAAAGTGAAGAAGGACAGAAGCTGTTAGAGAGCGGCGAAGCAGCACCGCACGAACCAGGACCCATCCGAACCAAGGACGTAAAGGAGAAATCAGCATATGGATCCGCGTATGGTGCGCGACCTGGTGCTAGTAGTAGAGCTACTGGCAAGTCTGCGCCCTCACGGAAACCAGCCAACCAGCCCATCAGGCCTGAAGATATCGCACCGCCGGCCGACAGAAACATCACTTCCCTCTTCGTCACAGGCGTGGAAGACGATCTACCGGAGCATGAGCTGCGGAGCCACTTCTCGCAGTTTGGCCAGCTACGCTCAGTCGTCTGCAGCCACCGTTCGCATTGCGCATTCATGAACTACGTTAACCGCGAAGGCGCCGAGAAAGCCGCAGCGGCATGCCAGGGACGAGCAGTGATCAAGGGCGTACCGTTGCGGGTGCAGTGGGGAAAGCCGAAGCCGCTTGATAGCCTTGACCGCGACCAGAGGCTGGAGAACGCGAAGGCGGGCAGGACAGTTGGTGAGGGTGGCGCTGGGGGGAAGCGGAAGGCCATCGAGAGCGCTGGGGCGGGCACGGTTGGAGAGGACGACCTGGAGCGTCTCGTGGCTGCTCCACCGCCTGGTCAAGGGGAAGTGCAGTATGCTTCCATGGCTGGGGAGTGAAGTTGCCATGACAGGGTACTGACCAGGTCTTTGAATTCGGTTGGAGCGAGGCGTTGGAGCGTTTAACATGAGACACGGCAGACATGAAGTAGCGTCGTCTGGCTTTACGAACATAGCTTATACTTCATCTCCTCACCCATTCTTCCTCTATGTACGGAACTGCCGTAGCACGGTATCACCGCCAAGGGTCGTATTGCCCCACTGCGGCACCCATTGGCACTGCGCCGAGCTATCTTCACCTACAGCACAGCAAACAGGACACAAGACTAACAAGGTACCCGCAGACCGCTCATGCAGCAGAGGAGCATCCATACCGCACATATGGGCGCATAATTTCCTGACGGAGCCGTCCTCGAGCGAAAGGAAACCTCGGCAAGCACTCGCCGGCCTTCATGTGATCCTGCCTGCATACCTACCTTGCCGACGTTTGGCAGACGACTACCAACATGCCGACCTCACCGTCCCCTCGCTATTCACCCGCTCCGCCCTCTCCTCGCTCCAAGCCAGTCGCTCCCTCCATCCTCCCCGACCGCAGCGCCAAACCGCCCGCAACAACCAGCTCATTCGTTCCAGCATGGCGCCGCCCGACCCTCCAACCTGCCGGTGGCGATGGTCGCCGCCCCAGCGTCCAGTTCATTCCTCAGGTCAAGACTGACGCCGCCTCGCCAACGACGTCCCGCTCCTCCAGCGCACAACCGCCCGCAACCCGCACCGCCCGGCCCTCCATCGCAGCCGGCTCAGGGCGGCGCATGTCTTCGCCTCCACCACCAGCACAGTTCCGGCCCAGTGTGAGCTTCGATACGTTCAGCAATCCTTCCGCCAGCGATTTTAGTCTGACGCTGAACCGGAAACATCGGGATTACGAGTATACGCGGCGCAGTCGGACGTTTCTGTGCGGGACGGATACGAATGAGTACTCGGATACTGCACTGGAATGGCTGATTGACGAGCTGGTGGATGATGGGGATGAAGTGGTCTGTCTACGTGTCGTGGAGAAGGACAGCAGAGAAGCGGTGAAGTGGGCTGGTGGACAGGGCGAGAAGGGCTATCGTAAGGAGGCAGAGCGGTTCTTGGAGGCGATCGAGAAGAAGAATACCGATGATCGCGCCATCAGTCTCGTGCTGGAGTTCAGCATAGGTAAGGTGCACGACACCATCCAGCAGATGATCCGGATCTATGAGCCAGTGATGCTGGTGGTTGGCACACGTGGACGAAGTCTTACAGGCTATCAAGGCCTGCTGAGCTCGGGCAGCGTGAGCAAGTACTGCCTCCAGTACTCTCCCGTCCCAGTAATCGTGGTCCGACCAAGCTCGAAGCGCGAAGCGAAGAAGAAGAAGCGCCTCCAAGACCCCAGCCGAACCGGCTACAGAGACATCCTAGACAAATCCGACGACGCCCCTCGAGGCCGCGGCTGGCACCTTCTCGACGCCCAGAACCGCATGTCCATCGTGGGGTCGGACCTCGGAGCACTAGGAAGCTTCGGCCCAGGCGACCAGGACGTCGAAGCGCGCAAAGTCGCCGAAGCAGTCGGATACCGCGCCGGCAGCAGCGGCACTCCCCGCCCAAGCTCAGCCATGGGCCGTGAAGGAGGCCGCAACAGCTCCCTCTCCCGCATCACGTCCACATCCACGGAAGGCGGCGACGCGGATGTCTCCTCCCCACCAGCGCAACTTCTCAAGTCACCACACTTCGCTCCCAGCCCGCCGTCCAGCGACGACGAGCTCGACGACGACGACGAGCTAGAAACATTGGAGGCGAGTACCGTGCGTCGCCCTGAGGATGAGGCCGCGTTGTTGGCGTACGAGCGCGCGCAGAAGATCTTCGAGGAGGAGCTGGAGGAGGAGGAGGTGAGACGAGCAAAGGCGAAGGAGAGGAGTGCGAGTCGAGGGGCGGGGAGTAGGAATGCGAGTCGTAGGCGGGGGAGTGAGAGGGATGAGGAGGGGGCGGGGAGTGGGGTGTTGGGGGTGCTTGCGCAGTTGGATCGGGGGATCAAGTAGAGTTGCGAGACGGGATGGGGAAGGGGAGGGAGGTGTGTGTAGGTAGTTGATGATATGACTGGTTATGATCATGACATTGGAGGATAGTTCATTTTCCACATAACCTTGCTGATCTAGAGAACGCTCGTTGCCCAGTTGTTAATCATTGAGGCTGTGGCTATGGATATATACCTCCGTATGGCATAGTCACGGACATGCTCAACCCCTCCTTGTGATCTAGATCAGCGTCACCTTATAATCTTTCAGTTCACAACACTCACATGCATTGACTTCCAGCATCGCCGCCTCGCAAAAACCTCCGAACTTCACGTCACCAACACCTCTACCTAGAATTAGCCCTAGCTATGCTCCCCCGACGGCCGCCATCATCGATCAAGGATATCCTCACATCTCAGATCCAAACTAGATCTTTCCGAGCAGCACTTCGAAGAATGGTCACTTCAAACGACATCAGACCCTCAGAGGGCGAAGACGCCAACCTCCTTACGGAGCAGACGACGGCCTTGGTCGATCGCGGCCGCTGGACACTCTGCAACAACGGCGCCGGCCTCGAACGAGAATTCAAATTCAAGACCTTCAAAGCGACATGGGTTTGTCTCCTCCCTCTCTCCTCCTCCCCTTCCATCCTCCGCCTCAATGTTGATGTCTAATTGGCACTGCAGGAATTCATGAACAAAGTCGCCGCCGAGTGCAAAACCGCGCGCCACCACCCGGAATGGACGAATGTCTACAATAAGACGCATATCCGGTGGACGACGCATAGTCCCGCCGGGCTGAGCGGGAAGGACACGGGGATGGCGAGGTTTTGCGATGAAGTGGCTGCGGAGAGCGGGGAGGTGGTGGAGGGGGATGGGAAGGCAGGGGGTGGGGTGGAGACGGGGAGGGTGGAGGCGGGGGATTGTTGTGGGAGGAGGGCGGGTTGATGGAGATGAACGGCAGGGAAGGGGGATGTAAGACTATGTTCAACACAGGTATATAGGCAGCAGCGTGCATCGCAGTATCAATACTATACAACAGCTTTTGATCGTTCAGCACCAACAAACACTCAATCTAGGCGTACCGCGCCGCCGTCATCGAATGCGCAGGAGCCGAAGCAGCTCTCCGACCTTCATGGATCATCCCAACAAGAACGCTGAGGTCCACAGCTGCAACACGACCCGAACTCTTCCTGCGCTCGTCAATCGCCTCCAAGCTCGGCTTCGGCATCGGTCGTGATAGGGTCACGTTCGTCAGCGTCGACAAAGCCGGTATGCTTTTGATCACCTCCTCGCTATCAGCAAGCTCGAGGTTCTTCAGCCGTGGACAGAGCAGTGGAAGCGATGCGAGGAAAGGCCGGAAGACCGCTCCTGAGAATGCTGGCTGCTGGCGTCGTGGAGGTGTGACCGTGAGGCTTGATAGGTTGGGCAGGGGACCGAAGCTGTTCTGTAGCTGCTGTAGCTCGTTCTGGCAGAGCGTTGAGACGGCGACCCGCCGGCTGGGCTCGCGGAATGCGCGTGGGTCCATGAGGGGAGCGAGGTCCACGTCTGTCAGAGTCAGGCGTAGGGACTTGACGTAGGCGAGGTTTTTGCTGGAGCTGCGTTCAACCCAGGCGAAGAAGTCGGCCTGGGAGGTGAAGTTGGCGGTCCGCTCATAGATGACTTCTTGCGCCTCGTTGTTGATTGACTGGCATGTTCGGAAGAGATTGAAGGCCTCGTTCGTCTCGAGGTCCAAGGCAGCTTTGTACATTGCTAGTCGGAGTTCGGTTGGTAGTCTAGTGAAGAGTAGGCTTTCTGGCTGGTCGGAAGGGGGCATGAGCTGCCCTTGTATCTGGTGCAGGAGGTACGGTTCTGTTGATGCCCGCTATGCTTAGGGTACTTCTCTGTGGGAGGAGGGAAGGCAGTGTCGTGTATGATATGATCATGCACCAGGAAGAAGCAGTGCAAGTGCTATCGGTGGAAGTGATTGCTGTGGTGATCGTCAGGACTCACCGGCCTCCTCTCGGAGTACATATACTCGCTTCTGAGGTATGGCGTATTCTATCCTGTACCTTCGTCATACGCCCAGCAAACGAGCACACGAGACGCATCTGCCACGATACCCAGGACATGACCGGCTCGGATGGTGTTCAAAACCTTAACAACCACATCTGCCGTTGTGATCGTCATGTACGCTCCCAATGGCGCACAACAATGCCTGCTCGCCATGTGCTCTGGATGCCTCGCAGCGTGGCGGCGACTTTTCGTCTCACTTGGCGGATATAAGCTGGGTTTGTTCGGCCTGCTCTGGGCTAAAAGGGATTGGTCTCAACCAGAGAAGGTCATCAGTTTTGCTGCCACCCAATGGCAGTAGGAGGTGACGAGTGCTAACAACACCAAGGATCTCCGCATCAGTGTGTCTGCAGCGTTGAAGCTCACGGTGGACTGAGATGATGCGGTTAATGGCAAGCCTTGCCATGTCTTGATGCAGTAAAGCTGGAGCCTCCACGAGCGAATCCTGGCACCGCACGTGGGAGTCATGCATCTGACCTGTGTGACGACGCAGATGGCGTTTCGTGGAGATGAACACGGCAAGGTGAAGTAGGTGGTTGGACGAAAGGATGGGACGATGGCCAATGGGAGGAGTAAGAAGAGAACCGTTTTTACCGGGTAACACAGCCGTGAAGACGCACCGAAGCGAGGACAAGCCTGCTAATGAGGTGAGTCAATCTCGGTAGAGTAATATGGCTGTCCCTGCTCGAATGAGATGCGGTATGAGAGAGGTGGAGTCTACCTGCCGAGTCAAACCGCACCGAGCATGTCCGGAAGCGGGCCATTGCATGGAGCGGATCAGAAGTTCTTGCTTGAGCTCTCCTTGGGGCCCCGTTGTGCGGTGGCGCCATGGGCATAGATCGGTGGGATGTGAGGTTGGATGGAGTACATTGGGCTAGAGATGAGATGAGGTTGTTTTGGTGAGACGAGAGCACAAGGGTGACGGACAGCGACTTCCGATCCACGTGTTTGCAAGCCACGCCTCATGGTCGATCGATGCCAAATTCTAGTCGACACATGTGGTGCGACAGAAACAGGTAGACATGGTCCAGATTGCCGACGATACTGGCGAAAGAAATCGCAAGAAGAGGTTCGCGAGAAGCTGTGGCTGCTGCAGCATCGTCCGAATTCTGTCAGGTTTCAGTGTGCTCCTTCCGCATTGGGACGTGCTCAAACTGCTTGTAGCGTGCAAAGCGGTATGCTGCAGAAGAAACGCTAGAAGGAATCGTGAGCAGTCGTACCAAACAATGGCACGGCGTGATCCGCACGTGTCTCCCACGTGGGCTGCCCTACTGCAAATGTACCACGACAGAAGATCTCACATTTGTGGCGTCGGTGTAGCGAGCAGCGCGTAAGGTTTGGATGGTATAGCATAATCGAAAGTATAGAATTCTCACTAGCCCACGCTATGCCTCGCATGGAACTCCTAAATACACATCCGGCTGCCCACTAAAACACAAGAGAAGAAGTGCGCCTCGATAGAAGTACACCGCCCAATAGGTACGAGGACACTGCCATCACTCCTCCTGCGCGCCCGAAACCACGTGTGGGCCACGCGAGTGTGCAAGCGATGGCGTTCCCAGCTTCAGCCTCCTCAACAAACAGATGAAGGCCATCACACCTTGAGAAGCTTCGCGGCGTAGTCGACAATCAGCTGTTCGGTTGGGAAGCTCATCTCCTCGAGCTTCTGCGCGTACGGCGTGGGCACCTCGGCGCCGGTGATGCGAACTGGTGGCGCGTCGAGGTAGTCGAACGCGTATTCGCAGGTCAATGCGATGATTTCTGCGCCGACGCCGAAGCTTGGGAAGCCCGACTCCACCGCCATCATCAGACCAGTCTTCTTGACTGACTTGACAATCGCTTCCACATCCATGGGCTTGACCGATCTCAGGTTGATGACTTCTGCCTCCACGCCGTATTTGCTCTTGAGCTGTTCTGCAGCAACCAAGCATTGTCCGACGGGGCGGGATAGCGTGACCAGGGTGATGTCCTTTCCAGGGCGCTCAATCTTGGCTTTGCCAAACTACATCCATCGTTAGCTTTGCTGCTGGATCGCTCACCCATGGGATTCTACTCACAGGAATGACAAAGTCATCGCTTTGCGCCTCTTCGCTCATCTGGAAGGGAAGACCGTACAGTAGCTCGTTCTCCAGAACGACCACAGGATTGGGGTCTCGTATCGCAGCCTTGAGCAAGCCCTTCGCATCCTCCGACGAGTACGGCGTGACCACCTTCAACCCTGGAACCGATCCGTACCACGCGCTGTAGTCTTGCGAATGCTGTGCTGCCACACCCGCGGCGAATCCGTTTGGTCCTCGGAACGTGATATTGCAGGGTTGTATTCCACCCGACATGTAATGTGTCTTCGCCGCGGAGTTGATGATCTGGTCGATGGCTTGCATGGCGAAGTTGAAGGTCATGAACTCGCAGACGGGGTGGAGGCCAGCGAGCGCAGCGCCGACTGTGAGACCGGCGAAACCGGACTCGGTGATGGGGCTGTCTATCACCCGCTTCTCGCCAAAGCGGTCTAATAAGCCTTTTGTCACCTTGTATCTGTCTCACTGGTCAGTATCTCCATCGGCATTCCACTACTCTCGCGCGCAACTGGAGAATTAAATACTCACGCGCCATTGTACTGTGCAACCTCCTCACCCAGCACGAACACCTTCGAGTTCTTCTCCATCTCCTCCGCCATAGCCTCGTTCAAGGCATCTCTCACCGTCACCTCCTTGCTCCCACTTGCATACGTCCTCCATCGTGATATCGCCGGCGCCGAGACTTTCTGGAAGCTAGATCGGGGGAGGGTCGAGGGGGAGGAGCGGAGGAGTTGCGCAGCGGGACGAAGGAGTCGTGTGGCCACCATGGCTGAAGTCTCAATGGCGCAGGGGTCGATGTAGGGGAGGTAGTAATGGCAGAGGCGTCGCGGAGGTGTAGAGGTGGTCGGGATGCTGGTGCCGTTGAATCTCGAAGCTGTTGAGCTTCAGCTGCGGCTAGACCCGGGACCAGCCGGGATACTTTATTTTAGGACTATTCGAACCTCACTCACTTTTATGAGACGACTTCCTTTCATTATGATCATCGAGATTCATGGCAGTCTATCACATCATGTGCTATCATACAACAGTGTCCGGACTGAGGTTACGGGGCCTCACAGAAACGCGCACCACCCAATGTACATCCGAGTCAAGTTCCACGGACTCGTTGCCTCCCTGATCAATGCATCAACGTATCCTTCCACTCCAAGCGGGACCGTCTCACCGCGCAGCAGACCCTTCAGTTTGCCATTCACACTGTCCAGGATCTCCGGCGGTGTCTCAGGCACGCCATCATGTGACTTCTTGTTCTTCTTCTTGTCCACAAAATCAGTCGTGGGGTCGTACAAGAACGTCTCGAGTATCGTCATCAGCGTGTCCTTGCTCTGCCTGAGCAAGCGAAGGGTGAGCTCGCTGGACTTGCGGAATGGCCCTTCGTATCCATAAGGTCCCATTGCGTCCACCATGTTGTGCGTCAGCCGGAAAGGCACCACCTCTGGCTTCTCGAACGTCAGGCCTTTGTCGAAAAGACAGTTGAAGTCCACATGGAACACGCCGCCGGTGCTTTCCTCAAGCAGGATATTCTCGCCATGTCGATCACCAAGACCAAGAACGTGACCCACGATAGACATGACAGCTGCGGTGCGTGTATATCGCAAGCGAGCGGCGAACCATGCATCAGGTTCAGGGTACACTTCTGTGAACCACTCGTGCAGCACGGCAGGGAAGGTCGGAAGGACTTTGTCGAGAAATATGTGCGCGTTCTGCACGTCGGTAGAGGCATCGTCGAGCATTCTGCGAAGGTCGGGATAGTTAGGCCGCACGCCTTTGCGAGAGTAGATGCCCAATAGTATGTCTCTCATCGGCTTGATCCCTTCCACCCACTCAATGATGCCAGACTCCTCACTCAGTGGTGTGACGGCGTACGTCTTGATGTACAGCCTACGCTTGCTGCTCTCCGCGTCGCGCTTCAGAGCACGGTTGATGATGCCGTTGAACTCCATGAGTCGTTGATCTTTCCTCAAATCGTCCTTCGGCTTGCACAAGAGTCCATACTGCTTGCCGTCCGAGCCACGGACGGTCAGCTTGCGAGGACGCTGGAGAGAGCTCAGCACCAGCACCTGATCAGCAAACGAGCTTATCGTAATCTTATCCTGAACAAATGCTCTGTGCTTCCGAATGGTCTCAGAGGTAGCACCGCCAGGAAGGGTGGCTGCCAAAGTTGTCTCGATTGGGACCACGAGCGGATTCGGTGCTAGCTTATGATTGAAGCCCAGGTCTTTTCCTAGACTCACGCCCGTCACGCGCGGTTCGATATGAGCTTCGCAAGCCTGCAGCAGCCCATCTGAGAGCTTCTGACCCTGGGTGATGAACAAGCGCAAGTCAATGCCGGAAACTTCTGCCTTTGCAGATGCTTTCCGTTCTTTGAGGCGGCTGATGATCTCCATGCCACGGTCGACTCTTGGTTGATCGGATGCCTTGATGACTGCAAGCAGACTCCAGAGCGCCTGACTTGGGTGACTCGCCACAATTCGAGTGAGAATGTTGCAAAGCTGCTTCCAGACTTCCGGGTTGGAGTGAGTAATCCTCGAAATCATTTGCGGCATTGCCTGGTAGAAGACAAATGGCGGCACTCGGTCGAAGTACTTCTGCAGCTGTCTTGTGGCTTGGCTCGAAGCTTTCATGCGTTGTTCGGCAACGCTTCGATCCTCGCCGCGGATGGTCTTGGTCGCATCGAGGCCCAGGTCGAGCCAAAGCGTCAGGACTTTCGGTATAGTTTCGTGCCAATACTTGTTGCCGAAGGGGACTGAGCGCAGCAGGTTCTCAATGACCAGCCTAGTAAGCTCGCCACTCCTACACCTGAGAGTCTGCTTCTCTCTGGGCACCGGCTTCTCAGCTTCAAGAAGCTTCTGGTAGTGTTTGCCCAGGTAGTAATGACCCTTTTCCCATCGTTGGAAGTGCCTAGCCGCGAACTGGTACTTGTCGGTCATGTCTTTCGCCTGACTCTGGCCCAGTGCGTCAAGCCATTTGGCAAGCAACAAGCTCGCTTTGGCAGAGAGCATGTCCTGCTTTGCGCCGTTTACGTTGGAGCTTACACCCGGCTCACCGACAGTGTTACTTGACTCGAAAACACCGGATGCAATGGAGGACTCCAGTGCCTGTATGGCATGTCGTTGATGCCCATCACGCCACAGAAGGCGCGCCTCCTCCAGCTTGGCTGTCTGATCTCCATACTCGTTGGCCCTGAGAACAGCATTGAAGGCTTGCTGTGTGTTTTTTGATTGCCTCGCCAGCTTAGCAGATGTCAGCCATGCAGGCCCAAGATCGCCTGTATTGAACTGGTCGGGTAAGCATTGCATGACCAGTCTGCGGATGCCCAATACGTCCTGTTTGTCCGCAACATAGGATCCGAGCACCGCTAGTCGCCTCTCCAGAATATGAGTGATGGACTCCTTGTTGATGTCGTGGTCACTGCTGAGAGCCTCAATCTCATATAAGACGTGCAGCTTCTTCAGATCATCGTGGGCTGTGTTGATAGAACTCGTGTTCGCCAAAGTGAAACCCTGTGTGACATGCGTCCGCAGTTGCTTGATGGTCTCATTCGGAGTTTTGTCGTTGGTGCCGGACAGAGAGCATAAAAGCTTACCGACGCCGACATTGAAGTCTGTCACTGAGTCCGCCGTCTCGGAGGCCAGCCGTGTCTTCATGCCCTCCAGATCGCACGTCATCCACTGCGCCTCGACACTGACCGGCAGCAACCTCTCTTTGGCCAATTTGAGGTCCCCCGCAGATGCATGGGCAGCAACGAAGCTGTCCACATATCTCAGCAATGGACCGTATTGGCCTTTCACTCGCAGGCAGCGCAGAAGACTGTCCTCCAAGTCGATGTTGCCGGGCTGTTCTGCAAGCTCAGACTCATACCAAGCTTGAGCAGCCGTCCATCTGCCCGACTTCTCATGCTGCATAGCTTGCTGCTCCTCGCTTAGGAAAGGCAGATGAGCTGAGATTCCCTCTAGACCGTCAGGCTCGTCGATCTGAGCATAGATGTCGTGAAGCCTGTTGTAGAGTGCTTCGTCGTCTGATGCCTTCTGCGGAGGCCGGTCTGAAGGTATGATAGGTCGCTTTTGTCTGATGTACTGTTCCCAATGGAAGAGCGCTCGAGCAAATGACCCACACAAAACAGCTTGACTCGCGATGACCTCCGCGGGTATTGAGGCCACAAATTTCTCGACGATGTCGATCTGCGCCATGTCCTTTGCTTCGTCGAAATCGCTTGGTGAATGGCCAGTCCTGTATGCTGCGGAGCGCGTTTCACCGAGCTGCTTCTTCTTTTCCTGCAGCCATGTTGACATGTAATCGAGTACGTTGAAAACACTCTCGCTGCAAAGTTTGACGTTCTCTTGCTGCGCGGTATCCGTAGGTTGAGCACTGAGAACAGCTCTTATCTCGTCAGACATGTCGTTCACCTCTGCGACGGTACCTCCCAGCACTATATTGAGCATAGCATATGGCAGCAAGAAGCCTGCGATGGCTAGGTCATGCCCACGGATGACCCGCGCAAGAAGTGGAAACACCATCTGGGCGTTGTCGCCTTTCGCCTTCCACATCAAATCGAACACCAAGGAACGCAGCCAGTGCGTATGGCCCTGGTCTGCGGAGAAACCGGGATATGATCGATTGGGAGGAGAGGCATCGGCATTGCTGCGGACCACATAGCGCGACTTGACGAAAGGCGTGAGAGTGATCCGCACGTGCTCTGGCATATTGGCCCATTTCTGGTGTGCAGAGGGAGCTTGAGAAGCTCTTGGCCTGAGCACGCTGTTGTCGTTGAAGTTGCAGAATCGCAGCAGCTCCTGGATCACGTACGCAAGGAAACCCTGGGCACGAGCATTGCTGACAGACTTGAATGCTTTGACAAGGACGTCTTCGAGCAAGACCATTACCCAGTCGGTTGTCTCATCAGCTTTGTCGAAGTTCGATAGCACCAGCGCCTTCCTCTTCTTGCGTGTTGCGTCGATTCGATTTGGATCCACACAGCCGATGATGCCGAGGGCCTTTCCCACAAGATTGGCTGCTTCCAGTGAGTCCGCAGAGTACTTCGTTCCAACATCAAATAAAGATCGGAGTAGGTCAGAAAGAACAGTGGTAGGTTGCTCGCTGACGGCCGCCTCGAGGATAAAGTCCTGATTCTGCTCGAGAAAGACGACCAATTCCTTCAGCGCATGCAACACCACGATACCGCTCTCATCTTGGAGTCGCTTTGCAAACACCCTGCAGTGGACCTCGACACCCTCATGTGACTTCAGTCTCTCAATCTCCGCACCAAGTTTCGACAGCAGCGGTATGTCCTTAAGAGATGGCAGGGTCATCACACAGTCTTGAACAACCTGGTTGTGACTCTTGATCATATCGCTGAGCTTCGCGTTTGTGCTGTGTTGTAGCTGAGGCGATAAGCTCTGCCAGTGGCGCAAGATTAGGGCAAATGTTTGGTCCAGTACAAAAGCTATGTCTTCGCCATTGAGGACTGACACAAGATCCAGCCAGACACCGAACGCAGCTTCGCAAAGGTCCTTCTGCTCCATCGCTGACTGGAGAGCAGCACGAATCTGAGGCAACGCAATGTTTGCATGCTGTTTCACCATTGCGAGCATCTCCCCAATAGCCTTGATGCACCGTATCTTCTCCTGCACCGGATAGAAGCCCTGGGCGTTCTCCAGAACCTCGGAGAAATACGTCATGATGCCCAAGATATGGTTGTCGAAGAACTCCATCACGGTTTTGGAGGCCTTCGAATGTGCTCTGGTCTGGCCTGGGCGTCGCTCGGCGATGTTGGCAAACACCTGGAATGTCTGATGGGCCCTTGACTTTGTCCCATCAACTTGGTCGCCGATGTATCTGAGCAGGAAGCATGCGACAAGAGTAGCATCTAGCTTGACGAGGCTCGGGAGATCTGGAAAGTCGGGAGAGACGCTGGAAAGGCATGCCGAAGCAGCCTCCTCAATATCAGAGCCAGATTGGGCAAGCAGAACGGCCAGTGTTGCGGCCAGATTCGTCCGTGGCTTCATGCAGAGGTCAACGATGGTAGTGCCGCTGCCACGTGCAGCCGCTATCCGGGCGAGGATATTGGTCTTCTTTGTTAGCACGAGGCTAGGAATAGTATCCTGCTGCGTCTGCACCAGCCACTGGTTCAGATCCACGCCTAAAAGATCACACAACTGTTGAGCTTTCTGTGGCCGTGACTGTAAATCATGGGCCACCGAGACTGCAATCGAGCTCCAGAACGGCTTGAACATCTCTTCAGCAGACTGCTTCCTGGAAATGGCAAGTTTTTCAAGTTCAGCAAAGGCCAGCCCACAGATGAGTGGATTCGAATGGCCCAGGTAATCCACCAAACGTAGCAGCGCCAGGTTCAATTCTGTGTCGCCACAGGTGAGTGCGACATGACCCCATGCAACAATCAGCGTATCATGCTCACAAGCAATGTCTCGGTCACTCAGCGCTCGCAAGAACTCGAGCGCAGCTCGTCGATTTGAACTTCTCAGCTCCTCAGGTAGATCGGCCCGAAGGAATGCCACAAGCGTTTGCCCAGCAGCATAGCGAAGTTCACGAAGTGAGCTGCGTAGTGAATGCAGGCACGCCTGGCCAACAGTCGACTTTGTGAGGTCAAGATAGATCGGATCTTGCGCTTGAGCGATACAGGCTTTGACGGCCAACATGGAAAGTATCCGGACCTGTTTACTCTGCTGTGTGTCTGGTTGCTCAATCAGGATGGCGACTGCTTCAAGAGCCGCTTTCGTTTTGACAACGGCCATCTCTGCAAGACCTTGCCATACTAGACATTTTTCATCCTCCGAAAGCTGAAGATAGACCGCTGGAGACGTCTGGGCGAGCGTTGCTGGGTCAGGCGACTCAGTGCTAGTCAGCAAGGCCACTGTGTGGCTCGCAGCCATCGAGTTCCCATCTCTGTGCGCTGTATCGATTTTTCGCCGCTTCCGTCGGCGTGGTCCGTCGCAGCCAGTCTGCTGAACAACACTGAGCTGTCTGAAATCGTCCAAGAGCTCGGTGTCTGTCATCACGTTATCTTGTCTCAAAGCATCCTCCAACGCCAGGATGCGCTCTGGCCTGTTGGACCGGTCGAGGAGTCTGCACATTACCGTTGTGATGGCAATTCTGAGGTCTTCATGTAGCTTGTCGAACGACTCCTGCTCAGCAAGAGACGTGAGTGAGGTTAGAAAAGCATCCCGAACCAGGCCGCTGTCACTCCTGAGCATCTTGACTAAGCTCTTCGCCATTGACTGTTGTGTTGAATGCGTTATAGCTATTTTTGAAACATCCTCTATTAGAGCTGATACCAAAGTGGTGCTGGAAGAGACGTTCAGAAGATCCTGCACGGTGGAGTGGTATTGCTTGGAATCTTCCAGCTTCTTGCCAAGTCGAGGTAGCAGTCTTTCGAGTTTGTCGTGCGTTTCATGCTTCCACGCCAGAGGCAATTCTTTGACGGTGGAGACCTTGTTAGCTAATACGAAGGCGGAAGAAGCATGGGACACTGTCGCCTGGCAACCATGCGGCAAGGCAATCTCCCTTTCAGACTGTGGCCACAGCTTTGCGACAATCTTCGCAGGTGGAAGCTTGACCACGACGTCTGGCGCTGTTGCCGTCATAGCCTCCAAGCACGATGCCGCCTCGTCCACGGATTCCTGCAATGCCTCTTGAACCAAACGCACGTATTGCCAGAGATCGATCGAGGCTTTCAGTACCGCAAATATCGAGTTGAGCAATCGAACAATCGGAAGGCTGTCACAGCTCGGCCGCCCGCAGACAGCAAAGAGTCGAGCCAGCAGCGACAGTAGAAGTTGAGGTCCATCTTCAGTGGATAATGCAAAGAGAACTTCCGGTTGCCGCCGTATCGTCGTTTCAATGACTGTAATACTGTCCGTAGCCTGTGAGATCAACGCCTCCCAATCTGCGAACGGGTTGCCATCGACGAGAGGGGCAAGTCCAGCTTCGGCCACCACCGAGATGAGCTTGACGTTGACTCCGACGTCTGTCTCTGGAGTGGCTCCGGGGTTGTTCAGAAGCTCATGAAGGAGTTGAGCAAAGGTCGCCTTCTCACCGTTCGCTTGTGGCGCAGATGACCTGGTCTGGTTCTGGACGATCTGCGCTGCTAGAGTTGAAGGCGGAGGCATGTGACCGTTCGCTGTTGCAGCGAAGGTAGGCGCTGTGCGGCGAGCCATGGCCCAGTCTCATCTTCGTCTGTGTTGTGTTCAGTCTGGTTGACTTCAACGTCGTCCCGCCGTTCTTGACGCAGAGAATGTGCTGAGCGCCTGCCGGCGCCCAGAAGAAAAATGGAGTGCTTCGCGCCGAGTCACTCACGTGACGGGTGGGCCGACGATTGATGTAGTGCGTTTTAAAACAAAAGGTGAAGTCAAGAAACGCGGTCAAACGCGGGCCCACGTGATGCCAAGCCGCCTCCGAAGCTTGTCTCGAAACAACTATGAGCTGGATGGGATGGACATCATTAGGAACCATCTGCCCAGGAACAGTGCCTACAGAACAGCAAATTGCCAGCCATGCCAGTATTCCAAGCAAAAAAGTTCCGCCCATCCTCCTATAACTCCACCATCCCAGCCCGCTATCGAGCAGCACTGGCCAAACACCCTTTTGCCCTCTTCGGCCTACCTTTCATCGCAACCATGGTTCTCGGGTCATTCTTCCTCACACCAGCAACGGCATTACGATATGAGCGACATGACCGAAAAGTCAAACAACTCTCCAAAGACGAGGAATTGGGCATCGGCAAGGAGAAGCGGAAGATTGACATGAGGGAGGAGTACTACAAGCTGGCGGCGAAGGATCTGGACAACTGGGAGCAGAAGCGGGTGAAGCGACTACCTGGAGAGCCTGATGGTGTGCTGTGAGCAGATGATTTTGGCTTCACAGCTTTCTCAGACGAGAGACAATGCAAACATGGAAGCGTACGAGCGGTGGAAAGGTCATGTCATCTTGAAATTCAGTGCAAAGATCTCGGCTCGTCAGCTAGGATCCTAAAGGCCGGCCAGGAATGACTCCTACGATCGAGCGCCCTCAACTTTAACGGCGTCATTGCGTCTACAGCATGCAATCATCGTTGGACGAGCTGTTCAGCACAATTCCCGCTCCTCAGACGGGGGACACCGGCTCCTTTGTCCCCGGTCAACCTCGTGGAGCAGACGTAGGCGGCAACCTTAGCCCACTCAGGCTACCGTTTGAAGCCGGCTGGATAGGCTCCGCTGGCGTACGATGGCCGTCCATGACCGGGCTCCCAGGCATCGGCGTGTGGTCTTGCGGCACGTTCCCCTGCAATGCTGGACTTCCCGGCATAGGTGTCCTGCTCCCCTTCGGTCTCCCACTCAGCGTATCGACGATGTCAATCAAATTCATCCAGAACTCCTCCTTGGGCCGACGGTCCTTCCAGTCAGTCTCTTCGCGCTCGATGCGTTCCATTGGACTGAACTTGACGCGCGAACCACGAACACCGATGATTGCGGCAGACATCGGGTCGTCTGCTATCTCCTGGTGACTCTTTCCAGCAAAGGATTCCAGATGCTGCAGGGACCTCACACCGAAACGGACAGAGCGGACGCGATCCATAGGGCTGGGTATACCACCTTGCTGTACGTGTCCCGGTACTGCGAACTTGGAATCGAACCGCCCACCGCTCTCGTGCTTGATGATGTCCGAGATGATCTCCGTCGTGAAGACTTTGCTGGCTTTCTCGTTCCGGAGTATGATCTTGCCGCTTCGGGCATGGCCAACATCTTTCGCGAATTGCTCCTTGAGAAACTTGATGTCCTCTACGAGCATGTTGAGATGGATACCTTCTTCCGGGGTGTAAACGGCCAGGGCACCGATCGAAAGGCCAGCGATGGTAGCGATGTACCCTGACGCACCACCCTGCGTTTCCACCACAAAGACACGCCTTCTGGACGCCGAAGCAGACTGTCGGATCGCATCGCAATAATCGATGAGAGCATTGAGACAGGTATCCGAGCCGATGGAGTACTCCGTGCCGGGGACATTGTTCGAGATGGTTGCCGGAAGCACGACCATCGGAATCTTGAACGCATCGTACTGCTCTCGTGCCTTGCGAAGCTCCGATACGGCGGTGAAGGCCTCGAACCCTCCGACGACGAACAAGGCATCGATGTTGTACTTGTCGAAGCAATAAGCGGTGGTCTTCATATCTTCGGAGGGCAAGCCTCGATTGGTACCAATCTCCGAGCCGCCTCTGGATGCCCACTGCTCCGCGTCAAGCCAGTTAATGTCACGCACGGAACCGAGCGGCTTGTCGTTGTGATGGCGGCAGAGGCCAGGGAAGCCATTGTGGAGCGCTACTGGTGTGTGACCTTTGGTAAGGCAGTACGCAACCGCAGCGCGCGTAGCTGCGTTCATGCCTCCAGCTGGCGCGCCGACGTGGATGATGCCGACACGCAATCTCTTCTCTGTTGGTAGAAGCATATCTGATTTATCAGTTGCGGTCGTGATGTTGAACGCTTGCCAGTATTCCTCAAACTCGGCGTCTCTACCCTTCATAGCAGCATCGAAATCACAGGCTTCAATGTCTTTGGCCACTTGCTGTGTCATTTGAATCGCTTTTATCAAGTCCTTGCGCACGATCTTGTTCTCGACAATGCAGATCACTGGTGATGGTGTCTCTGGTGTCGCCTCGAGAACTGCCTTGACCGCCTCGACGCCCTGCAGTGTCGACAGCATCCGATCATAAGCGCAAGGTGGCCCACCTCGCTGGACATGTCCCAGAGTAGTGATTCGGGTATCCAGGCCGACCTTATTCGACAGTAGATCCTTCACCATCTTCGGGTTGATGTGATTCAGCTTGCGATCATGAGCGCCTTCTGCGACAATGACAATAGTCTTGCGCTTGCCCATGTCCCGATGCCTCCTCACAATAGTGCACATCTCCTCCTCCCAATTCTCGGTCGGTGGGTTTTCAGGGAGGAAGATAAAGTCCGCTCCACAGCTCACACCAGCCATCAGCGCCAACCAGCCGCAATGTCTTCCCATAACCTCAACTACGAAAGCCCGTTGGTGCGAAAAGGCGGTGGCGTCGATGTAGTCGATCGACTGGCATATCCGTGTCAGCGAGCTATAGCACCCGATCGTCGCATCCGTGCTGCTCAAATCGTTGTCAATCGAGCCAACCAATCCCACAATGTTCAAGTGCATGTGCGGCGCGACATCTTCCTTCGACCTCAAGCCCTTCGTGACCAGCTCCTCCATGAGACTCGGCCACTCGTCCCTGAACTTGTCCGCACCTGTCAGTGACCCATCACCACCACATATCACCAGCGCATCAATCCCCTTCTCAATCATGTTGTTCGCGGCCTGCAATCTCCCCGGCCGCTCCCTGAACTCAGCACATCTTGCCGTACCGATCAGCGTGCCTCCTTCAGACAACCAGCCTCTCACGTCTTCCCAGCCCATCTCTTTGATCATGTCTCCTCCCTTCACTAGCCCGTCGTAGCCCTCGTAGACCGCGAATGCCATGCACCCCGATGCGATCGTCTGCCTCACCACTGCTCGTACTGTGCCGCTCATGCCTGGTGAATCGCCTCCAGAAGTCATGACTGCTATTCTCTTCTTGCCATCCGGCATGGCCGGTGGTTGGAGGTTGATTTGCGCCATGGTGGGTGTGTGAACTTGTCAGATTCCAGGTGACCCAGTGAAGGCGAGGGGTTGGGGCAGGCGGTATGACGGGAGCACCGGAAGCTGACTAGGTTCTGGAGGACTACAAGGCCTCTCTCGTCTTGTTCGGCGGTCAGCACCACAAGCTTGTCTTTGGGTCGCAGTCGGTGAGAGCAACGACGTAATGTTGGAGGATGTGGTATAGTCGGGAAGAAGCCCTCATGAAGACTGGACAGATCAGGTATTGCTTTTCAGGTTTGCTTCTGGACTTTTATGTAGTATATCAGTGTTATCACCGAGTCACGAGCAGAAAAAAAGCATGTGAAAGTTGTTGATCGTGGAGCTTCTGACCTGGAAGAGCTTCCATTCACTGCAGGGATGCCGGGCGATCAGCGGTCTAGCGCCGTTGACCCCACGTGCTGCCAAGCGGTAGCATGTGATCGAGCTGAAGGCATTGATACATAATGCAGCTGAAAATGTGAGGACATGCGCATTGAGTGCGATTCATCTTATGACTAGATCATCTACCCTTCCTAGGTCCAAGCAGCTCAGCAGCCGCCTCAGCAAAGCTTTCCTGTGATTGCTCCCCTCCCAACGTCCAGAAGAATTTCTTCTTCAGCGATTGCAGCGTCAGAGTCTTGCTTTCACTATCCAAGGCGACCCATATAGCTTCACTTTTCTCACCCGCCGCTGTGTCCTTTACCAAGAGTGCTTCGGTCTCCTCGAATACCCAGTGCTTGTCAGTCACAGCAAGTAGTCCTCTGGCTAGATTTGAGGCCACCTTTGCATCAGCAGCGCCGATGAGCCCTTCATGATCATCGAAGTGATGCTTGTCCGCATCTGACGAGGCAAGCGTAATGGCTGATCCGAAGCTGCTGTTGTTCGCCAAGGACGTCTCAATGGTCGAGGTCATGCTCTCGTCTCCTCCTTCGCAATTCTTCACTGTTAGTTGAACGTGAGATGTCCAAGTTTGCATTAGCATCGAGATGAGGCTTTCCGTGGTCGACGACTGAGCGTCTTGTGGGAGTTCGAAGCGAGCATGTTGCGTTTCAAGTTCGCACTTGGCCGTCTTTACTATGCTTGCCACCAGGTCGAGGTACGCGTTGAGGCGTTCCACAGTCCGGTGATGCATAACCAGCGACAGCAACGGTCGTAAGATCGGTAGTAACGGCTTGCTGTCGTTTCGCTTGTCTGACATGGGCGGCGGCACTCCAGACCTCTTCTTCAGACGATCTCGATGTGCTTGACTCAGCAGCAACCTTGCAGCCAGTACTGTCATCTGCGCTAGCCTATCTTGCGGACTCGAAGGATCGTACTGAATGTCGGGAGCCTCGTCTAACGCAATCAGGTCCATTGAAATGTCGAAGCTGTCGTCGAGTTCTGCTTGCCTGTTGAAGTGGATTTCCGACCCGGACATGTGCACACCAAGCGACGTGAGAGTGCGGCTTTCCCGGAGCATCTCATGGTAAAGCTCTTCGTCGTACAAACTGTCTCTAGCGTAGCGAATGCGCGCCGCGAGAGTGGTATCATCGGCGTCAGGACTATCGGGCAATTTCGACGTGCCAACAATCCTGCTCCCCTTCCGCATAACAACACGTAGACTCTTCGGCTTGCTTCCGACACCCCGTTCCAGCGTGATCTTGCCGTCAGAAGTCGAGATTAGCGCAGCCATGCCTCTCCTTGAAAACTCGGGCGAGCTTTCGCTGAAGCCAAATCGCACTGCAAGTCTGTTCGGCTGTCCTGGTATCCGACAGACGTTCCAGCCCTCTTCTGATATCGAAAGCACTTGGTTCCAGTACTCGGTCTCTTTCTGAACGTTGTCCCGGAGTCGATTCGCAGCTCCCAGCAAATTGTCTGCGCTCTGTTGGAGCCCCTCCATCTTGACCTCGGTAGCCAGTAACTCATCTTGAGCCTCCCGAGCCTTGTCTGCGGGCATCCGTTGCCAGAGATCGGTTCCCAGCGTTCCCATAGGAACAGCTTGCTTCAAGAATGGCGACATGGTCGACGCGCCCTGCTTCGGTACGTCTTTGGACACCAAAAGCGACACAAAGTCCAGTGCCATCAGGATCTCCTGCTCTGCCGCCCTCACTTTCCCAAGCATCTCGTACTTTGCCTTGTACAGCTCTTCGCGCGTGGTTGGCCGGACTCCGTCGCTGCTCACTGCTCCTGCCTCCACCTCTTTCTCTTCTTCTTCTTCTTCTTCTTCATCATCGTCCTCGCTCTCACTGAGCTCAAGCGCACCGTCGGTGGCTAGCTCTTCCTGCAAAGTAGCCTCTGAGATGTCGCGAAAGTGACCACGCTCGAAATTGGCGCGTGCGAGGATGTCCATGAGCGCGCCGTCCTCGCCGCCGGTACGCGCCCATGGTTGGATGGAGAGAGATTCTGCGGCCGTAGAGGCCATCTTCGCTCCGTGTATCCGTGTTCATAGCATGTTGTTGAACGATTGCAAGTGATGCCTTGAAGGTCACTCGAATCGTAGCGCCGGACGATGCCGAAGCGGCCCGCCACCACGTGGACACCCCTGTCTTGCCTGCATGTGATCGTGGTTTGCTACAAACATCACTTGTCCTTGGTCAATGCCGCTATGTAGCACAGTACTCAGTCAATGGCCTGAAGGCCAACACTTATAAGTGCCCAGTATGACAACAAGATATCGGGTCGAATGTAAGCATTACCCTTACCCTCACGCACCACATAACGATGTCACGCTCACACCGCCTAGATGCACTCAAGACCCACCGGCGAGATCAGTTCATCGAATGGATTAAAGGACTCCTCGCAGTACCCTTCGTACTGCTCTCACAACCTACAGCGATCCATGGAAATGACAAGTCCAGCGTCGACGCCATGGCGCACAACGCGCACAAGCGCTACTCAGAGATCATGGGAGATGTTGAGGGATTGATTCTCGACCATATACAGCAGCAGAGGGCCGACCCTAGAATCCCGTCAAAACTGAAGCTACTTGTACCTTCCGTTGGAACCTTCTTCACTGCATTGCCACTTCGAGATGCCTTCGCCTTCCAGGATGAGCGGCGATACATCAGCTCAAGGCGCTTCGTGGCGCCATCCTTCAACGACATCCGCTTGATTCTCAACACAGCGCAGGCGATGTCGCTGGTCAGAAATGGCAGACTGGAACTCGTGACCTTCGACGGAGATTTAACACTCTACGACGACGGCGATGTACTGCGACCAGACAATCCTTGTATCTCCAGGATCCTGAATCTACTGCACGGTGGGACCAGGATAGCTATTGTCACAGCGGCTGGGTACACCGAAGCGGAGAAGTATTACGAACGGCTGTATGGGCTACTGGACGCAGTCGCTGCAAGCGACAATAAGGACGAATTCGGGCACAAGCTCGTGGTAATGGGTGGAGAAGCGAATTTCATGTTCGCCTACTCCTCACAAGCACCTCACAAACTCGAGTCCATTCCAGCAAAAGACTGGCAGCTACCGGAAATGCGGGCCTGGACAGAAGAGAACGTGAAAGCGCTACTCGATGTTGCAGAAGCTGCCTTGGAAGACGCCGTGGCGTGCATGAGGTTGCCGGTCAAGGTGCTGCGGAAGGAACGAGCAGTCGGCATCTATCCAGAAAAAGGCGTCAGGTTGAGCCGAGAGCAGCTTGAGGAGACTGTGCTGGTAGTGCAGCGTGTGCTCGAGATGTCTGATGCTGGGAAGAGAATTCCTTTCTGTGCTTTCAATGGCGGGAACGATGTGAGAAGTCTGCCGCTGGAGTTTGTCTGCCTCAGCTGACCAAAATCCCAGATCTTCGTTGACATTGGTGACAAATCACTGGGAGTGATGGCTTGCCAAAGGTTCTTGGGCGGCATTGATGGCAGTAGAACGCTGCACGTCGGCGACCAGTTTTTGAGCGCAGGAGCCAATGATTTCAAGGTATGTCTCCGTAGTTCGGCCGCATTTGAGTCGACGTCGCTGATGAAGCACCCAGGCCCGCCTCGCTTGCACCACAGCCTGGATAGCCAGCCCGGCGGAGACTGTGCAGCTCCTCGATGAGATAGCCCATCTGACAGCAAGCAATTAAGCGTTCCGCTTCCACCTTCATGCTTCCGACCAGCCTTGCTCGAATAGCCTGGCCTTGCGGTTGTGGGCTTATGTATTAGTCTGCTTTGCGGGCTTGGTTCCCTGCGCTTTCCTCATGGGACCCCAGTTCTCCCTTGGATTCTCTTGATACCTCACCAGCCGCTTGCCAGGCTTGTCTCTACCAAGCTTCTCGTCAAACACAACTTTGAGCCTTTTCACGTCTGAAGGATTCGTTGGGCGATGAGGAGGCGTCTGCCCGCCACTGTCCTTGTCTTCTGTGACAATGTCTGGCGTGCCCTCCGCCGTGCCGTTGCCATGTGCTTCAGGTTTGGCCTTCTCATTCCCAGTACTGATACTACGGTCGTCGTCGGATTTGCGCATAGCCTGCAAAATCTTCCAGCCAGGGTGCACCTCCTGCAGAGCCCCTTCTTTGACCGGTGATTTCTGCCTTGCCCACTCTCGGAAGACTTCCCAGATCACCGCCCACGGCGCATCAGTCTTAATACTGCCAGGTTTGCAGTGACTCCGCGTGACTTTATACCCAGCATGCCTAAGAGCGCCCTTGATCAGCGCCTCAGCAGGCGCCTGCGCTTTAATCACCTTGCACAACGCGGAGGGGATGAAGAAGAACGGATGTCGATCGATGAGTTCTGGCGCCATTCTTGGAATGATCTCCCTCTCACCAGTCTTCGTATTCACATTCCTGAAGTCCATGGTTTCGGGATTAACGACCATCTCGTCCAGTGCGGTGTCGAGCATGCCTTCGATGCGTGGCTTCGTCTTGTACACCTCCGCATCCGCGCCTTTCAGATCATCCAATATTTTCTCAATGAATGCTGGATTGTGGAGTGGACCACCCCACATCGGTCCCGCGAGATGCATCTTCGATCCGCAGTGCTCGCAAGTCGAGTCTGCAATAGGCGCTTGTGCGATGGTGTACTTCCAATTTGTATTGCTGTCCTTGTGCTTTACGTGACGACCGATGAACTGCGTCGTCCACGCTCCGCACCCGTGGTCGCAGTCGTAGACGAACATGGTCTTGCCTGCTAGAAATTTGACATCGAGTGGGCTCTTCCGGACGCGAACGAAGACTCGGGCGTAGAAGTCGATGCTGAGAGAAAGGAGAGGCTCGATCGCGAGGCCGTACTTTGAGGCAGTGGTTGCGATGGAGGACAAAATCAACCGCAGCCCGCCTTCGTGGGAATGGATGCCTTTGATGGGCATGCCACCGTAGAGAGAGAAGGTCTTTTCAGAGTATCCGCAAGAAGCGAAAACCCCGGAATCCGTGCAGGTCACACAGAGCAGTCCGCCGTCTTCCAGGGCTTGTAGCGCAGCGTCGATGAATGGTGCCGCGGTTCCGTAGGGATCCAGATCGACGACATCATATCTGCCATTGATGTGTTTAGGTCCGTGGCTTTCTGGTGGTGGATAGGCGACGCTGTACATGTGTCCCAGTGCGTCGCTAGTTGTCGTTGTAATCATCGAGTCCAGCTTGTTGTGCTCTACGTTGAGGTTGATGCTTTTCGTGGCCTTCTTCTCTCTATCATTTGCTACAACCGCGGTTGCATCAGGGATCTCGGTCGCATAGCGCAGCGCCCGTAGACCTGTTGCTGAAAGCGCATCTAAGATCCGGAACCTGGGCTTCCAGGGCTGCTTGCTCTGGCCTTGGGCGGCGTCTCCGTTCTGGTTTGGATCGTTGGTGGGTGTCCCAGTCTGTGCGGCTCCTTCTGAAGCTTGTGCTTCACTTGGGAGGACACCATTGGCCTCCTGGGCAGCCTCTGCCCGCGCCTGATCGCCCTCCACTGTTGCATCTTCCTGCCGTGTCTTCCCACTTGTGTGCTCGACCTGTACATCGTCACCCTCCTGGCCAGCAGCCGTCTCTCTTGACCCGTCCTCGGACCTGCTCACTTTGGTCGGATTCCCATCTTCCTCAGCATGCGCCCCTTCAACTGCAGCCCTCTTGCGCTTATTGTCTTTCTTCCGCTTCGTCTTCCCACCCTGCGCCTCATGCCTCTCCCTCTTCCTCTTACATGAATCCTCCGCAAAGGCCTTGATTGCAAGAACACTCAAGTCGCGATTGAACTGCTGAATAGGGTTGTAGAAGACATCCTGGGCTTGCGAGCCGTCACCTGTCGTTCTTCGGGTCAGTCTTGCGCCAACTCCTGCGGCATGATAGAGTCACTGAACGTGCTCACCTGCCTTGGACTTCGGGTCTACTGATGTGCGCGCCTTAGGAGGTACGAGGATGAATGCCTTGCCCTCTCGTACGGTAGTGTAGACTTTTCCATCGTGCTCTACCGTCTGTCCTGCCTTTGGCTCGGCTGCTATCGCAACAGGTTGGTCTTCTGTAGTCATCGTTCGTCGAATGAAAGGGCTTTGAGGACCGTGGTTGAAGGACTCATTGAGCAACAGCGTATATGTCGCAGGTCTTCGTGCGCAATGTGAACTACTATTGAATGGTCGTAACAGTCGTGTGAACATCCGGCTTCCGTTGGTGAGGACTTGCAAAGCTGTCGTGGATACTTGACTGATGTGGTCGAGGTCAGTCCACGAGGTCAATATCTCGAAGTTTACGTAAGCATCACAAGTCAGAACCACCTCACTATCACACTACAACCTGAAGGCAAAACATCTTCACCATCGCAGACGACGAATTGAAGACAATTGCTTATTGAAGAATCTCAATCCATGATGTCTTATCATTACTATTGCTCTTCTAATATGTACAGATTGTCGTTATGCATTTCGCTGTGCCTATGCACATTCAGCACCCTCCCATCATTCTTCGCCACCTTGGATAGTTCTATCGTACAACGACTGACACACCCCTCTAACCAGCCTGGTAGATGCCCAGCGCCGAGATGTGCGGATTCATCATCGACAGGTTGAATGGCGTGAGGTAAAGATCAGTGTCAGTCAAAGCAATGAACATGGTGCCATTAACAATCTCCTTGCTCTCGTACACCTCACCAGCGGGCTGATAGGTATAGCCCGAGTTCGGACCAGTGACGGTGAGAGGGGTGTATGTCAAGTTCAGCTGAGCGACCCAAGCGACGTACGCAGGCTCGCCGGCAACACCACCTGCTGCGGTGACGTAGCTCATGTTGGGGCCCACAGGCTGACCTGGAGTGTCCCACTCAAGGCGGACCTGCTTGCCGGCGAACGACAGCGGCTCCGAGCGGTTGTGCGAAATGGCGCCGCGGCACGAGTAGCCAGTCTCGTCGGTGTACAAGCAGCTCTCGTTCTTGGGGATGTCGGTGATGGCTGGGTCGGAGGTGCGGTTGCCAACGCGCTCCCAGTCGGCAGTGTCGTTGGGAGAGATGCGGTTGATGTTCGCTTGGTTCGCCACGTGCAGGGCTGGGAAGTTCTGCCATGCGAGACGAGTAGTGCCCTCGGGACAAGAGCTGATGTATGGGGCAAGGAAAGTCCAGGCCCACGACTGCGGAATGCCAGTCTCAAACCAGACGGGCATTGGGTGAAGACCGGACATCTGGCGGAAGATCATCTCCTGCCTAGCCTCGGTGGCGATAGACTGTGCGAGCAGCTGGCCAACCTCGCGAGAGTCGAGGTGGTTAATGAAACCCCACACACCGGACTCGCCGTACCTGGTCAGAATCTGCTGGAAGTCCACGAACTCGCGCACGTTGGTGAAGGGGTAGTTGTAAGTGCACTGTGGGGCGGCAGTCTCGCCGAGCATGTTGGACAGAAGGGTGGCGTGACCCTCCTCTTGCTGTGCCATGAATTGGATCATCGACCTATCCTCTGGAGTTAGGCCGGCCGCGATGAAGTCCTCATCCGAGAAAAGGGCAACACCGTTGTTGAAGCTGTCCAGCTCGATCCACTCCTGGTAAAGTCCCAGCATGATGGACTCATAGTCGAAGTCGCTGTTGACCATGTAGCGCGGCTCGGTGCCGTTGGTGCCGAGGCCGCCGTATGGAGTGTAGGGGATCGGCTGCTGGTGCTGCAGCTCACCGTCGGTGTTGTAGTAGGTCGCAGTTGGATTTGGTGGCAACGCTGGGATGGTGGCGTTGGCTGGGTTGTTCGACACTGCGCCAGTGGTCGTGGGTGTCCCCTTGTACGGGCCATGCGAGGTTGGACCAGTCAAGTCCGAGCCATCGGATCGCAAGGTGTCTGCAGCACCTGGCTGTCCTGGCGATGGCGCTTCGGTCTGGATCGCGGAGATCTGCGAGTCTGTTGTGAAGCTGGAGACCAAGTTCGACAATGGGGTTGGCGAGTAGTCGGCGAACGGGGCATTGGCGTTCGTGTAGCCAGAGACATAGCCAGCCTGGCTCACGGCCGCGGCGGAGGCGCTGCCAGCAGGAGCTGCTAACGATGATGATGCTGAGGCATAGCCTGAGGCGTATCCCGAAGGGGCCTGAGGCGCTGGTGCAGCTGCCACCAGGCCGGTGAGGAGCGTCGAAGCGAAGGTCGTTTTGGTGTACATTTTGACAGCTCTCTGCAGATTGATGCGGACAAGTAAGGAAGCACGAGGGAAGGAGACGCAGAAGGACTATTTGAACGGACAACGACGGCAAACCTGAACCTTAGCGTGCCGGTGTCGCGGTGGCTGCATCATCGACAGATGTGGTTGTCTTTGCAGAATGCGTGGTTGTGATCTCATAGAGACCCGAAAGACCTACCGGCTCAGGTACCGGAAGCACCAGTGCAAGGCATAACAGGCGTTTTTGCTTGCCGAGAACTAAGCACAGAGCATCGAGAGAGCCTCTTCGCTGCCCGATTTCTGCTTTGGTGGCGATGGTGGTGGAAACACTGCAGAATGCGGCTCTTGCGGCGCTTGCAAGGATGATATGGAGTCGAGTGCGATCCCGGTGAACATCATCGTCAGGAGGAGCGATTGGACGGTCAAGCGCGAGAAGCGGAGTAAATCTTCATAGGACGTGAACCAAATCGTCAGATCTTCACTGCAACATCGGATCTGCATCGAGAGGTGGAGCCATGGAAATATCGAGGTCATGATGAAGTAAAATTTCCAAAGCTTCAATTCCACGGAAGCCGAGGTCTTCCAGCATCGAACTCTCGCCAGTTTGGCCATCTCGAACAGCTTTTCGATGAGACCGCTCGTAACATTGAAGTCTCACGGTACGGTATTCTTTCTCTGCACCCAACACTTGCATTATTCATCCGACAAAGACATCCATCCCTCGCGGGTCATCTGGCGATGTGGCGCCAAACAATCGCCCACCAACGTCATCTGTAGCACCGAAGATATCTGACCCCAGTCGCTGTGATGCAACGATTCCGTACACGATATACGATTGCATGGGAGTAATCTCCGACGACCTCTCGGACCGATGCTGCATGGTAGATGCCGGTATACCGCGATGTCGCGTCGCTTCCCTTCCGCCGACAACACCCATGTGCACTGGTTCTGCCATTCCCGGACAGTGAAGAACAAGCAGCACTAGAAGAGCTTAAGGACCGTATCAAGCCTTCGCCATCTTGAAACCCACAATGTTCTCACATTCCCAGCAAACTCACATCGGCACTAGGCGCCTGACGCTCAATCAATTCCGCCATTACCTTGCCTGTTCCGAGGGAGTGACTGATGCCCCACGGTCCATGACCAGCCGCAATAAACACACCACCGTCCGCACCAGGCTTCGTCTCGATGCCATGGCCTAGGTCTTCGTCGGCGATCCTGCTCAGAATCGGAGCACCGTGTGGTGTGACCGGACGGAAGCAGAGGCCCTCTCTCACGACTTCCAAGTCTGAGACGTCCGTTCCGTCCTGGCCGAGTAGCCGCTGCGCAACCTTCTTCAGCTCCTCGATGCTGGCTTGATCGATCTTCGCGTCCGTGGCCGAGTCCGGTAGCCGCAAGCTTGGGTCGTTGAGGCCGGCGATGTATATTTCTCCACCTATTCTGCTGAAAATCTCGGGGCTGAAGCCGGAACTCATGGTCGTGAAGACAGCATCGCAGCCATCGCTTTCATGTTCCTTCGACCACCTCGGGCTCTTGACTGTCAAGCTATGGCCAGCTAATTGAGAAACAGGGATTTGCAGAGAAGAGCTAGGGAACAACTGCTGGAATACCGAAGGCGTCCATGCTCCCGCTGTGATGAGCAGACGAGTGCACGGGATCTTGAACTGTGCGCCAGATTGGTGTTCGACGCGGACAGCGGACAAGTTGCCATCGTGGTCTGTGGAGACTCGAAGCGCCTTGGCTGGGTTGTGCAGCCGCACGCCTTTCAGTATGCTTTCGCGGAGCAGAAATTGGGAGAGTCTCGGCGGGTCGCTGTACAGTTATCAGTACCCATCGCAAGCGATGGTCCGTAGGAAAAGCAATACTCACACTTGCGCAACACCACCATGTTCACTCAGCGTTTCCACTCGATCGCCCTCTCTGCGCGTAAGCCACGCAGGTCCCGTTTTGTCTCCCGCGTACTCATGTGTCGCTGCAGCCCGCGCCCGACTGTCACCTCCCATGCTCTGTGGACCCTCCATCATGCTCGTGCCGGTGCTCGGACTGTATCCCCACTTGTCGCGGCCATTGTGCTGCGCAGCGAGCTCTGAGTGTAGTCGGAACGAGAGCTCGCCGAGCCCGGCTGTGGCAGGACCAAACCAGTCTGGCGCAACAAAACCTGCTGCCTTTCCAGATGCTGAGGTGAAGAGTTCGGGCGAGGATTCGATGAGGTGGATTGTATCTGGTCGTGTGTTCCCGGACTTCGCCAGGTAGTATGCTGTCGCGCATCCCATGATGCCAGCTCCGATTATGACCGTACTTTGACTGTCGACAGAGTCTACGAAGACTGAAAACATTCGCGACGCATCAGGCATGCCATCGGTTGCCATTTTTGCAAGTGTGAGGGGATTGTTTGAGAAGGCTGAACGCGCAAAAGCGTATGAAAGAAGACGAAAAGAGCGACTGGAGAAAACCAAGGATATTCTGTACATGTACTTACTCGGCGCAATTTCGGAAGTGGTGTCTTGATTGCAGGTGTTGTCAACATCGCCACGAGGCCCGCGAGCCGTTTGCATGCGGGGTACAGCAGTTCAGTGGGGCAGCGCTTCACATGAGCACGCTAGACGCGGCTTGGAAGCACACCTTCGGTTCAAAATTGTGCGTTTGAAGCCACTCAGCTATCATGGCGACGAGCCGCGTGGTCCTTCTTACCGGGGCCTCTAGGGGAGTCGGCTTGGCTATTGCGCATTTCCTGCTTAGCCGATCCCACAAGCTTGTTGTAGTAGCACGAACCGAGCAGCCTCTTCGCGAGCTCGAGAAGCAATACAAGGACCAAGTCGCAGTGCTCGCCGGAGACCTAAGCGACCTGTCACTCGGAGCAGCAGCCGTCAACCTTGCGCAGGAGCGCTGGCAGCGATTAGACGGCCTGATCATCAACCATGGCGTTCTTGACCCGGTGAAGCGACTTGCGGATTGCTCGACGGAGGAATGGCGAGCCGCATATGATATCAACTTTTTCTCGGCCGTCGCAATGACCAAGGCAGCACTCCAGCCACTCCGCGAGTCGCACGGCCGAATCATCTTTACATCCTCGGGCGCGGCATCAAATGCATACCCAACCTGGGGTGCTTATGGTTCCGCAAAGGCCGCAATGAACCATCTCGCCATGACCATTGCCAACGAGGAGAAGGACATCATAGCAATCGCGGTTCGACCTGGGACAGTGGATACGGAGATGCAGCGTGACATTCGAGAGAAGCACAGCACGGCGATGGATGCAAGCGATGCGAAGAAGTTTGCGGAGCTGAAATCTTCAGGCAGTCTGCTAAAGCCTGAGCAGCCCGGTCATGTGATGGCAAGGCTGGTGCTCGATGCTCCAAAAGAGCTCAGCGGCAAGTTCGTGCAGTGGAATGGGGAGGAGCTGAAGGCGTTTCAGGAGTGAAGGAGGCAAGATGGGCGAAGGATCTGTAGACACTGTGCTTAGCTAGAGTCATGGAGGCAACGTTGACGGAAGCATAGACGCGGGAGACACAATCAGTTGAAAGATGAAAAGCATACATTTTGTTCAGCAATGGAGGGTATCCTCAGGTTTAGCATGGAATGTGGTGTTGCATCATGTGTGAAGAAAGAGATGAAGAGGAGACTTACTCATGGTGACGGCGGAGCACGCTGGCATGGACCAAACCTGGGCTCAAATGTGTTAGCGAGCGGACTTCACCCACGGGCGCGAGGAAGGTAGGAATTAGGCAGTGAATCAGGTAATCGAACCAAAGATTGTTCGTCATTGAAGAACTTGGTATTTGATAGTACTCTTGTTTGCTCATCATCTAGGGAAAGAATGTCTTGCTCGTCTACATACCTCAGTCAGACGTCCCGTGCCAGTCGTACGGTCAAGCAAGCCTCAAGACCGTCGGGCGCCAGCGTAAGTGAACATCACAAGTATGAGCGCGCGCGACTACCGCTATCACTCAGTACCAGATGGCGACCGGAGATACCTATACTTGTGCACGTTAGCGTGTGGCCAGCGGAATGCACAGGACGTGAAGAGTGAGCGTGTGAGATATCTTTCAGCCAGCGGTTTGGCGCCGCGAGTCAATCATCATGTAAGCTTCCTTGAAGCTTAAGATAGGGGCGACAACTTGTCATCATAGAATGTGGAAAATGAGAAGGGTGATGTACATACCTGGTCGTTGCTCGTGATGAAGATGTTGTGAAGGAAGATGAGGAACCGCAATCTGCAAAATGGTTCTTGCTAGCGCGAGATTGGCCTTGGCATCCCCGAGCCTCACCGCAAGGCCACATCCTGTGAAGACAGTGATATATCAACGAAGCCGATTGTACCTGGCTTGAGACCTGCACAGTTACCAGAATCTTCCTATCGATCCCGACAGCAGGTCCGCATTTCGACAGGAAATCTACCAGCTTTGAGAAAACGAGACCATGTCGGACAAGGAGTTCGGAGGCAAGTGCATCCCCGCCAACCTCAGCTCGACCTCACCTCGACCCGACCAGATCCCATGGAACATATACGGCGTTGCAAATGATCGGCGAGGTTGCTGACACTCAATCACCAGGCAATGAGGACCTCTCGCTACCCAAAGGTACGATCTCAGAGTTTCCAAATCACTGCTGGGAACAGAAAGACAACGCGCGAACGCGCGACCTGAGTCGCAGAGAGGCTTTTGCAGGACGAGGCTAATGGCATACGAACAGCAACGGTGCAGAAGATCATAAACGAGGTGCTCGCGGCGAACCCGCAGGGTATGGGGGATGTCCAGACACAGAACATGGCATTCGCGAAGGAAGCAAGAGATCTGCTCATAGAGTGCTGCGTGGAGTTTATCACGATGCTGTCATCTGAGGCCAACGACATTGCGGAGAAGGATGCGAAGAAGACAATAGCTTGCGAGCATATCACAAAAGCGTTGCAGGATCTTGGTTTTGGAGACTACGTGCCGGAGCTGCTGGCGGTTGCGGATACTTTCAAGACTTCACAAGTGGTGCGTACCCAACGTGTTGCCCTCCACCAGAATGTCACTAAAGTGCGCGCGGCAGCATCGCGAGAAAAAGCAATCCAAGATCGAACAAAGTGGCATGACGAACGAAGAGCTCATACGAGCTCAGGAGGAACTATTCAAGTCTGCCGGGGAGAAGTACAATGCCGCTTCTCCAACAGAGGGATGAGCGTGCCATGTGCCGCCCGGAAGAACCGTAACGAATTTGATGAGGGGAATGGACCAACAGCACATCAGCGAGGCGTTGCAGCGGAGATGAAAGATACCCCCAGTAATGACGTTCTGGAAACGATGCTTGCTATGAAACGAGAGACAATATTTGATGTGAGTGTGTTCTCGTCCAGATGTACAATGCCATGTACTTTTGAACATCATGACTTTGAAGGATCCATGCTCCCCACTATCCGTTTCAACTAACAATTCTCACTCAGCTCGAACTCAGTGCTGACGTCCGGTCTCTGGCTCTGCAGCTCTCGGTGGCTCTACCTGTATGGTTGCCGCCACCACCGCTACAGCGCACATTGAGCGCGAAGCAATCTCCCCGCCTCCTTCAACCTCACTTCATCCCCTGGCAGCCGACTCGACCCCTCGATCGAACGGTCATTTGTTCTTCCGCACCCTATCGTCACCGGCTGGACTTCGGCACGCTGAGCTGAATATTTTAATACCATTATTAAAAAAGCCAAGACTTGATGCGGTCCAACATGTCCCCGGCTTGAGCGGAAAGTCCACATGTTTTATCCTGGCGGGAGTTGGTTGACTAGTCACACCACCCAAAGGGAGTTGGTGGTTGTCCCACAGCGCATCTTCCTGCTTCCCACCACACCTTTGCGGGGGTCGAAGTAGGAATCTCTGTGCTATGGTTGCCACAGCGCAATGCGTCTACGAGCTTCGCACCACACCTTTGTGGTGACCGAAGTACGAGTCTCTGCGCTCTGGTTGTACACGACCTCAGTTGGCCTACGGGTCATGTTTCGGGGGATTGAGGACTCAAACGAAACCTCTGTGACGAATAAGTAGCACAGGAGGGTTTGATGAGGAGCTTTAACCCGATCGCGTGGGAAGTCCTTCAGGACCACACACATGTCGAGGTGATTTGGTCTTTCGGAAGCTCGTTTCGACGCTGAAGGGGATCAGATCACTGATCGTATGATTACCACTGAACTAGGGGTTCCGAATTTTTGCTTTCTTAAGCTGCATCTAAAGGTCGCTCATTCGACTCTGGCTTGCGCTTTTCTTTTGCAGCAGTGAGACCATTATGTAGTGATGTTACCAACGCTCCATACACCTTGCACACAATTGCTTCGCCTTGCTCTGTCATACCTCTCATTCGCGGTGTAGGAACTACTGTGAAGTCACCGTTATCACTGGATTTACACCAGCTACTGATATGGACGGTCTGCCTCCAATGTATGCTACAACTGTCAGAGATATATCCAACCATCTTCGCCTATCGTACATCCAATTTACATGGGTACATCACCGCCAAAACCAACAGGTCGCCGTGGCTGCTGACCTGGCTGTGGCGGAATGTGAGGCACAACAGCCATCACCTGATACAAGCAACCCATGCCCTGAGGGCCCCGGTCTACCAGCCGCTTCCACCCACTCTCCACCCTCTTGACCAGCTCCGTAAGCTCGCCCTTGTCCTGTCCAGTCGATCCTCCACGCTCCTTGTCCACAGCACGCTTTACCAGCTGCGATGCGCGCTCCTCAATGCCCATTGCGGTTAGGAAGCGAGCCTGATCCACCGGCCCATGGACCTCAACACCCGGCGAAGAGTTGATGGCTGATTCGGCAAGGCCCATGAAGTCGACGTCGGCGCTAATGTCTACGACACCGGGAGATTCGAATGGCGAGACACGTTCATGCGATCGGACACCTCGGAGAGAGTTGGCTGGGATTGTGGATGCTGGGCCGTAGTCGATGAAGAGAGCTGCACCAGAGGGCTGTGTTTTTATGACTGGCTCTTCCATTACTGCTGACCCCACTCGTCTACCCGCCGCGGCCGAAGGTGGAGGTGCTGTCGCAGGGGTTGGATTGGAACCGCCTAGCCTGATAGCGAGATCTCGAACATACGACTGGCTCTCCGGACTGACTTCGATCGTTGCTCCATCTGTATTCTTCAGAGCTTGGTATCGGGGCGAGGTCTCAGGCAGGTACATCGAATGTGGCGTGGCCATTCGTGATAGAGACAGTTCGAATTCTGGCTCGCCTTCCTTCAACCGGTGTGGCGGCTTTGGTGAGACAAGAAGCTCCCGCCATTGACTCTGGTCTTGCTGCTGCTTCAGCCTCTGCTTAGGTTCGATGGGTCCGGTCGGCGTCTGGATTGTGGAAGAACCGTCATCCTGTTGCTTGGGCTGTGGCATGGCTTGGAATACGTGAATCGGCAAGGCATCGAAGAACTCGTGAGCGACTATGAAAGGCGTCTTGCTTGCCTCTTTGGGCACGAGTCTCAAGTCTTCCGCCCAGATGATCTTGAGGTCGTCGGAGTGCCTGCTGGTGCTCTCATGACCGAATTCGTTCTCTGTCAAAGGTCTGTCGCCAGATAGGAGCTTGTGCTGAGCCGCGCGTAGCCTCGGGCTGGCTTCCACCATGTAGACTGCCTCGATAGCCTTTGTCATGTCTGGGAAGTTGCGTATTGTCTAAGATGCGTCATCAGCCTGACTTCAGCGGACTCCCTCTGATATCTCAGGACTCACTCGAAGCATGTCGTCCATGAGCGTTCCCCGCCCAGGACCCAGCTCCATGAGGTAGATCCCATCGCCCTTCCTGCCTTGAGCGATCCATTCTGCCACAACCCAGATACCGATGAGCTCGCCGAAGATTTGACTGATCTCTGGCGATGTCACGAAATCTCCTTTGGACCCGAACTGATCATGTTCCGATGGGGCAGATGATGTGTAGTAGCCACCCAGGTCAGAAGTGAGACATTGCCGCATGTAGGATGCTACTGGTATCGGACCGGTTGTCTGACGGAAGTGTTAGCCTCTGTGAAGCCCCGTGAGAGATGGATACTCACTGTAACTGCTTCCGCCAGTTGTTTTGCCAGCGGTGTTGACCACTTGTGGCCTCCTTCGCTCTCCGTCGAACTCCATCTTGCGCCGGAGGCTCGGCAAGATATCGTACTTCTTTTGACGATATTTCGAGAGGCCAGGCGTGAAGCTCGAGTGATAGTGCTCCTCATCACTTACCACCGAAGCCTTTGGCAGTAGAAAAACCTAGATAGGGTGCCTCGAAAGGTTCGCTGGAAGGCGTGAAGACGCGCTTGAAATCCGAGCTTCGTGTCGTCACCAGAGTTTCGAGACCCAAAAAGTTTCGACTTGCGACTTCACAGCAACACAACCGCCGACGATGCCTTCCAGATGGGCTGAGACTGCCGAGGATGCTGCTGAAGATGCCAGACGCAAGGCAGAGAAGGAGGAAAAGAAGCGGTTGAAAGCGGAAAAGCAGCGAAGGGCGGAGGAAGCGCAGAAAGTAGCACAACAGTCCAATGGCCACGGAGAGGACGAAGACGACACACAGCGTCCGGCAAAGCGAAGGCGACTATCAGAGGACGGAGGAAAGGATGTACCAGTCGAGGCGGCGCGTACCCTCCTCCGGTTCGAGACGCCAGGCTGGCAACCGTGTCGGTCTGTAGAGAGATTTGACCTCCTGAACCACATCGAAGAGGGCAGCTATGGCTTCGTGTCTCGCGCGCGAGAGGAGGCTACAGGAGACATCGTCGCCGTGAAGAAGCTCAAGCTGGATCCAGCCAGAGACGGCGGCTTCCCAGTCACCGCACTCCGAGAGATACAATGCCTGAACGCAGCGAAGCATAGGCATGTCGTGGACCTTCGAGAGGTTGTTACGGGACAAGGCGCGGCAAAAGAGGACGTGTACTTGGTCATGGAGTTCGTGGAGCACGACCTCAAAACACTACAGGAGGACATGGATGAGCCATTCGTGCCATCAGAGGTGAAGACACTCCTGCTTCAGCTGGGCAGCGCTATGGAGTTCTTGCACGATCACTGGATCCTGCATCGTGACCTCAAGACCTCGAATATTCTCATGAACAACCGCGGCGAGATCAAGATCGCGGACTTCGGCATGGCTCGACATTGCGGTGACCCGCCTCCCAACAATCTCACCCTGCTCGTGGTAACCCTTTGGTACCGATCGCCAGAACTTCTACTAGGTGCGACTACATACGACTCGACCGTGGACATGTGGAGTCTCGGTTGCATCTTCGGCGAACTTCTCACAAAGCAGCCGCTTCTGCAAGGCAAGAATGAGGTAGATCAGTTGAGTAAGGTGAGTCAGGCCTCCAGCTTCAAAAGCTGGAAAGAACAGATACACTAGGTGTATGCGTTTGTTGACGATGCTTTAGATATTCGAGCTATGTGGTATTCCGAGCGAGGACAACTGGCCTGGCTTCAAGCGTCTTCCCAATGCCCGCACGCTCCGCCTTCCCTCGCAGTCGAAGTCCGCCCAAGGCAGCATCGTTCGATCAAAGTTCTCCACCCTCACCAACGCTGGCGTCAGTCTCCTCAACGGTCTCCTGTCGCTCAACCCGGCGCAGCGGCCAAGTGCAAAGGAGATGTTGGAGCACTCTTACTTCCGTGAAGATCCTCGACCCAAGCCGACAGCGATGTTCCCAACATTCCCTTCAAAGGCTGGACAGGAGAAGCGAAGGCGGCAGGCTACTCCGAACGCACCGGTGCGTGGCGGTGCTGCGCCTGCGCTTGGAGAGATTGACTATAGCTCGATCTTCAAGGGGAGGGAGGCGGAGGAGAAGGGTGGTGGGTTTCAGTTGAAGTTGGTGTAGACAGTCAGACTTCACAGATTATCGGTCACAAGACCATGTTACTGCACTTCATGATTTTACATTCCGTGTTCTTCCTGTAATTCAAGCCTGTGAATGCCACGTTTTAAGCGATGGGTGCGATTGTGGTCCACCACCGCGCTGCAATAAACTTTGAGATCCAACCTCACGCTTCCACCAACATCACTTCATCGACTCATACAACAATAACACCTATTGTTCCTCAATCGTCCTATTGTGAAGCGCTGACAATAGCTTGATTTGCCTATAATTCGAGTTGCAATCATGTCTCGCGGCGGACGAGGCGGCGCACGCGGCGGTAGTATCAGCAACATGAAGACCAACGAAATCCCTTTCGAAATCGACCCGGAGCTCAGCGAAACGGCAGACCGTTGCAACGACGACGATGGCGAGGCGCGCAAGAAGGACAAGGACAGCGCGAGGAAGATCTTTCCCGTGAGTTACCTTTGAGTCTCGAGTCTTCATGCCACTCTGTCTGTGTGAAAATGCTAATGTGATTTTAGAATTTTGGTGAAATGATCTTCCCAGCACCTATTACACGCTTTGAGCGAGCGATTGTACAACTCGACCGTGCAACGACTGCCCGGCGCCGTGCAGGCCCCTTCTGGACCGGCAACAAGGACCAGTGGGCGCAGTACGAGGCTAAGACCGACGGTCCAGTGCGTGGCCACTACAATGCGTTCGAAGACGCTGCGACGTACTCGAGGCGACTCATGAAAAAGCGATGGAGGCCGGCGGATCTTACAGAGATTAAGCTGGGTGAGTGAACTGACTCCTTCATCCTGTGGTAACATTCTAATGCTACGGTGACAGACAAGCGCTTCTTCCCCAAAGAACTCCAGGGCCTCGTCGACAAGGACTACGAACGCAATGCTAAACGACAGAAGACGGGACCAGCCAAGAAATCCGTCACCGACATGCTTTCCAGACTTGACGAGAATGGCGACGAAGACGAAGAGCCCGAGTCTGATGCTGAGGCTGATGCCGACGATGCGAACAAAAGCCAGAAAGGCTCAGATGATGAAGAGGACTTCGACAAGGAGCCCGGCGATACGAATTTCGAAAGCGACGAAGAAGAAATGGGTGGCGACTACAACGCCGAGCGGTACTTTGACGGTGGGGATGAGGACGACGACGAAGGTGGTGGTGGTGGTGGTGGTGGTGGTGAAGGCGAGGATTTTGGTGGTGAATTTTGATGACGTTTCTGAGACAGTTCGACATGTGATATTGCATGTCCATACGGACAGCTACATATGCAGAAAAGTGTGGAGCTGGTTCTTCAGCACACTTCGCAACTGGTAGAATGCTTCGCTCCTTCGTACGTCATGCTCTACGCCAGACGCCTGCCCGCTGCCCATTTTGAAGACCCGCCCATGTTTAGTACGTCCGTGCCAGGTTCCTCAGATACCAGTCCACCAGCTTCCGGCCGACCTTGGCTTCGGACACATGGATGATATCGCCTTGCATCGCGTAGTCAAGATCGCTCGAGTTCACCACATCACCCTCAAGCAGTCCACCCTCGGCGTATCTCACCTGCCTCGACCTTTGCTTGTTGACGAGCAGCCAGCTTCTGAGCGTGTCCGCGTCCACATCAAGGAATCCGGCAAGCTTCGTGAGGTCCATAGTGGTGTAGAGCTTGAGGTAGCTGCGGACGGTGGGCGACCACATGTTGTTCTTCACCTCCTCCATGAAGATAGAGAGCTGGTGTTCGACCGGGTCGATGTTGATCTGCGGGTTCTCGAAGTCTGGTGGGGTGGGAGAGATGAACTTGGGACATGCTTGTCGGAAGAGCTCTTCGAATAGTGGGAGCGACTCAGGTCCTCCTCGCTGCATCCGGGTGAGCTGCTCGCCGTACTTCTCGCGGAGTGCCGTGTGAATCGTGTCGTCAAGTCTAGTGGGCGAGAAAGACACGCAGATGGCGACAAGCGCAAGCATCTGGTCGTTCTTCTTGCTGATGCTGTCGTATTGAGCGTTCTTCTGGAAGTTCTTCGTCCGGCTGACGTAGATGAGGATGTGGTTGAACATGCGCAGCGCATCGGCGTAGCGGTGCATCATCATGTAACTGAAGCCGACGTAGTAGTAGGTTGTGAAGTTGGCCGCCATCACCCGTGCGAACATGGCCCTCTTGTTCAGCTCAATGTCGTCCAGGGTCTTCAATGCCAGGCTGAAGTCTCCAAGCAAGCAGTGCACCCTAAGCAACCCTATGATGGAGAAGTATCCAAGCATCTGGTACAGAGGCCTGCTCCCGTATTCGCCGGCATATTGTTTACCATCTTCACCACGTTTCGTAGCCGCCAGTTGTTCGCTGATTTGTGACTTTTGTATGAGGGAGTAGAGGACGTTGAGGACAGAGTAGCAGCCCCACACGCTGGGGTTCTCGCGGAGGATGGCGACTTCGTCTTCGTTCACGGCGGTGGTGGATTGCTGGAAGGCGATGCGTTGGCGGTAGGAGCAGAAGGAGTTGAATTGGTAGATGAACTCGTCGATGACGTCCCATGCCCAGTAGTGCTGCTGAATGTTAGAGGAGTTCTTTCACGAATGTTTCATGTGCGCTCACCGAGGGCACCTCAATATCCACCGGGCCTTCGCTGTTGAGGATGAAGTGGAAGAGGTTGCAGTAGGAATCGTAGCTCTGGATCTTCGTCTCGAGCGTCGCCTGGTATTCTAATGGTTGTGCTGCTGCCACTAGCTGTGCGTGTAGGTCCTGCGGTCCTCCACCAAGCGACATCTGACGGTCCAGCCCATAGTCTTCACCGTCGTAGTCCACCTGCTCGCGGTAGTCGTTGGCGAGCGCCTCCTCTTCCACATCTGAGTCGTCGCCCATTGAGCGCTCCGGCGCACCTTGTTGGTGGCCTGGTGCTTGTCGTACCGACATGATCTTGGTTGTGCTATTGCAAGGTGTCGTGGGCTTTCGCGAACTTCTTTTCGACGAACATTTGTGCCAAGCGTTTGGATTTCAGCCCCACCCAATAGGGAAGTAGCAGCACATTGTGAACTTCACCTTGGAGTCAACACTCCTTCCGATATCGCGTTGCAAAACGAACTTGCATTCTTGACGAGCGGAAAGATATTGTATACATCAATCGAGCGCGAGAGCATTCTTCTGATCATCCACCATGGCGCCGGTACACAAAGTAGCTGTCATACAGATGCATCCAAAGGTAGACCCTCACTCAGGTATACTTCATAACCTTATTACTGAGCATGCTGCAGCCCATGGCAATGGAGAAGAACTTCCAGAAAGCCGCAGACTTCATCCGAGCAGCCGCATTACAAGGATCGAAACTGGCCGTTCTACCGGAATACCATCTCTTGAACTGGGTACCACACGATCCAAAGTTCAAAGAAGCATGCGGTCACTGGCGGACATATCTTAAGAAGTACCAAGACTTGGCTAAAGAATGCAACATCAACATCGTCCCCGGCACTATCGTGGAGCTCCACGACGAAGGCACCGACAACGAACGACTTCTCAACGTGGCCTACTTTATCGACAACACTGGCGAGATCATCGGCAAGTACGTCAAGAAGAACCTCTGGGCCGACATCGAACGGCGCCACCTTACGTCTTCTTCTATGGACCCGCACCCGGTATTCGATACCCCGCTTGGCAGAGTGGGCTTGCTGATATGCTGGGACCTGGCGTTTCCTGAAGCGTTTCGGGAGATGGTCTGTCAAGGAGCGCAGATTATCATCGTACCGACGTTCTGGACACATAGCGACTGTTCGAAAGAGGGTCTGGCGATTAATCCGACAGCCGAGGGGTTGTTTCTCGATTCGATGCTGACGGCGAGGTGCTTTGAGAACACCTGCGGTGAGTCTCCGTCCCGTGATCAACACCTGAACTATCTGACACGATACCCTTCTACAGCCGTCGTCTTCGCGAACGCAGGCGGCCCACCTGGCAAAGGCTACGCAGGTCTTTCACAAGTGTGTGTCCCATTTGCAGGACCGATCACAAGACTCGGCAGCCACGCCGAAGGCATGGCAGTCGCCGACTTGGACATGGGAATTCTCGACGTGGCCGAGAAGAACTACAACGTGAGATCTGATCTGGCGCGCAGCGATTGGCATTACATGTACAGACACAACAAGAGCGATACGAAACTATAGAGTAAACAGATAGAAAGACTTACCTTTGAATAGAATAACAAATACTTGCCTTACTCCAACCAACCCTCAGAAACGGCTTGTTCCCCTCTTCGGGTTGGTGCACGTACCGCCCGTCTCCTCTGCAAGCCATTGCTACGAGCGACCTGCAGATCGTAGCCGTGGCGATTCTCTATCAGCCCTTGCACGTCCAGCGTATGTCTCTTCTGCGTCCTCGCGCGCCATTGCTCCTCGATCGCCTTTTTCTGTTGCTCAGAGGCAGTGAACGAGTAGTCCGTGCTGTTTCCGACAAACGAGAACTCGGAGTTAGCGATTGAGGCGGAGTCGGAATCCAAAAACGAAGCGGAGCGGGAGATGGGTCGCTCGTCGTATGGAAGTTCGTGGTAGAAGGGCTGGCCGTAGGTGACGGATTGGACCTGGCGCCGGCGGACTCTCTTCGAGGCTTGTTCGGGCACTGGGACTTCGGGAAGGGCGCGCTTGTCGTAGTTGTTTACGTTCTCTTGCGAGGGTGGTGTGAACGGGCGCAGGGTCTGCGGGATGCTTCGCTCGGAGGAGCCGTCGCTGGAGCTGCTGTCGTCCGAGAGGGTGTAGCCGAAGATATCGCGGGTCAGACTGGAGAGCGGCGATAGGGTAGGAAGTGTCGGCGCGTATCTGGAGACGGTGGGCCCGCGAGGAAAGCTGGGTGAGCGCATGGAGGAGGTCAGAGTGGAGGAGTCGGCTCTGCCTAGACCTTGGGTTGACTGCTCGTTAGTGTTCTGTGCGCCAAAGGGAAAGGGAAGGGCGGAGCCATTGACTTGGATCGTGGGAGGAACCATTTTCGGACTTGTCTTGCTGAGTATCACGCCGGGTGAAAGTCTCGTTCCTGCTTGTGAGTAAATGGTGCAGTCTCGTAATCTCGTCGGGTCGGGCCTGATCTGGTCTGCACAGCAGACGCAAGATGGTCCATACTGTATGACTGCAGAGGTGACAAAGAGACCAAATGAAAGAATGATAAAGCCAATTGTACTGGTAAGTATCGTTGTGGTCTTTGTTCGCCTGTCAAAAATAGTCTCCTTGAAAGGGTTATTGCACTGCAGAGATGATCCGGAACTGTAGAATTGCTAGAGACGAAGGCAGCTGAGCACTGATCAACAACAGAGAAGTGGTACTCATTGACGTTACTCTGCATACGTTCGGAGAGGCCCCCACCCTCTACTCTCCATTCTCGAGCATCGTGCGTCGCTCAAGTTCAGCTCGCAGTTCGTCGACCGTCAAAGGAACTTTTCTTTGTCCCCACTTACGCTGCTCATCTTCCGCGAAACCCTCAACACTTCTCAACGCCACAACCAGAAAGCCAAGGTCCTCCCGATCCACGTCGAAGACCTCCCACCATTCTGTCTCGGGCAGGCTGATGTCGGTCTCTCTCGCCGCCAAGTAGATGGCTGCCGTTGCGATCGCAGACGGTTGGTATGTGAGATACAGCATCTGCGGGCTGAACAGCGCGACGTTGAGATGCGCGAAAGCTCGTTTTGCGACCGCGGAGCCGGCAGTAGAGCTGGAAGCATCGAGCGTCTGCAGGTAGTTGATACACAGACTGTAGGGTAGAGCGACATGTGTCTGGAAGCCGAGAACCCGTAGTATGGTTGATTCGACCTTGTACAGCCGGTTTCGCGCTATTTCCAGGTCGCCCTCGGATAGATGCCAGTCTATGTTTTCGGATGGGTTATCCTGCTTGGCGGTGGTCGAATACTCTGGCCTGATACGGCTCAGATAGTGGAAGACCGTCAATGTCTGACTGGGACTGATTGCATGAGCTGAAGGTTTTGCGCACAAATAGAGCGATGCGGCGGCGACGTCCTGTTCCTGAATTAGCTTGTGTCACAGAAGTGGCCAACCCGGGAAACAGATGCAGGTGCATCTGCGGCTCTCCATACCGTGGAGTCATGCTCGACCAAACTTCCTCCGTCGGGGCCTACCCAAAACCGGTACAAGACGACGATCGATTGTGCTACCAACTCCTGTGGCAACCGGAGAAGGATACCAGCTGCTTGGAGCAGTCGTGCGGTCTCGTAGTGGATCGAGGTCTCAAGGTCTTTGGGCACTCCATCTAAACGGCTGTTGGAGGTCTCGAGTTGGATTGGAGAAGCCAGAGAGTTTGTCAGGTGCGACAGACCAGAGTCGGCATAAGTCCGCGCCATGGCCACGTTGCTTGGGGGAATGTGACAGCTCGCTCGATATCACAGCCCCGCGCGTAAATCAAAGGATCAATTGTCGTTTGTTGGGGCTCGTGTTCCAGGCAGCCGGCATTCATTGATTGTTTCTAGATTAAAATTGGCTTGAGCAGTCGGAGTCTCTGTGCAGCCGCAGCCGTGATGTCTCGAAGGGGGAGTGGGCGGGTGGAGAGCGAGTCGCGTACAGCAGGATGGCCGTTGTTGACGCCGGATCAAGTCAAACTGTAGTGGACCAATCAACGCCACCGCCGTCTAAGGCGTTGCTCGTAGTGCCAGGCGTGCGGCGTGCCGCGGACATCAGTAAACATGGAGAGTCAGCGAAAGGGGCAGCTGGGAGGACCCGCGCGCTAGTCGAGGAGAGGCCGATCCCACTTCCGATCGAGACGACATCGCAAACAACTCCAACCTCACCACACAACCAACAGCGACACCGTCTGGATTACAAACAAGCTAAACGTCAAGACTCCGCGCATCATCGTCAGCACAATCTTGGCTGGAGATTGAGTTGTCGGAACTGTTGCACGCCTTGACCCTGCTCCACCGTCTCCCCCGTGGTGGCTTCGATATCCTGGTCCCAGGCTAGTCTTCAACTTGAAACGCTGCGTGCAAGACCCGCCGCACCCATGCTTTCTCCCGCAAAAGGAGATTGAGCAGGACGGCCAGACGCTGGGAGACAGGCTGTGATCAGATCCCACGTTGTCGTGTCGCCTGGCTGAATGCGGGAGGTAGCATTCAATCTACAGGGGCGCTGCATGAATCGTCGCACCGCTTCATGTGACGGCTACGTGGCCGCCGAAACAGACGGACAGATCAATATGGGCTCGGTCTGTTGAGCTGCACTAGTAAGGGTCGTTCATCAGTATCGCCTTGCCTTCCTTTAAGAAAGAATCCCCCATCTCTCTGCTTGCACCTTTCTTCATCCTCATTGCGTGCTTTTTCATCTTGCAACTGCACCCATCCTTCGTTTGGCTCTGTGAGCACCACACTCGCTATCATCCTTGTTTAGTCGCTTCCCGAGCACCGGGTGCTCTGCACAGAAAAACCCTTCAATTGCCTTTTGATTGGCTGTCTTTATCATGAAGCTCACCACCGCAATCGCGGCCTCCAGCGCTGCTGGCTTGGCCTCCGCCCAAAACACCTGCGCCTGCGGGCCTGGTGGCTACCCGGAAACTGTCACTCAAACCGTGACGGTCACCGCCGGCGTTCCCAGCTCGTCTGAGGTCTCGCCCGTCGGCATCAGTAGCTCCGATGTCCCCCATGGGTATCCTGGACAGTCGACCACGGTCATCAAGACCTACGAGACCACCTACCCGGTCACTCGCACTCGCGGCCACGGCAACCACGAGTACACGACGACGATTGATGTGACCAAGACTCTCACGTCCACCATCGTCGTTCCAGTCAGCTACTCCTCTTCCCTTCCACCATATCCCTCTGGAAGCGGCAGCGGGCCATCTGGATGGGGCACCGGCACCGGCTTTTACCCAACCGGCACGGCAGTCTACGGATCGTCTTCGTACAGCTCGTACGTCGCCCCAGTGAGCTCCTCTGGAGTTTCATCGTACCCTCCAGTGTACGGATCTTCTTCGTCGGCGGGATACAGCGGTTCGGTCGTGGCGCCAGTCAGCTCTTCTCAGCCACCGTACTACGGCGGCTCTTCATCTGAAGCCGGCCCTGCATCATCCAGCGGAGTCTTCAGCGGCCCCTACTTCTCGGCGTCCTCCTCGTTCGCCTTCCCATCAAGCTACGGAACTGGGTACAGCTCCTCCGGTGTTGTTCCTGTCGGCACTGGCTCCAGCTCCGCCTACGCATACAGCAGCTATGGCGTCTCCAGCTCGCTCGCTGGCCCGGCCTCGTCCAGCATGCCGATGATCACGACCACCTACAAGACTCCTTGCACCAAGACCCACACTCTGACCACGAGCGGCACCACGATCACGACCACCATCGAGACCAGCAGCTACGTGACCGAGACCTACCCTGCGTCCTCTGCGGGTCCAGTCAGCTCCTCGCACGCTGGAAGCTCCTCGGCGCCATACTACCCATACCCATCCGAGTCGGTTAGCAGCGGCAGCATTGGAAGCGGCACGGGTTACTCCTCTTCTTTCGCCTACTCCACTGGCGTCTGGTCCTCCTCGTCGGCCTCTTATTACCCGTCCAATGGCGGAACCTCGTATGGTCCGTCATCCTCGTCGGCCTCTTATTACCCGTCCAATGGCGGAACCTCATATGGTCCATCATCCTCGTCGGCGCCATACCCGTCCAATGGCGGAACCTCGTCTTCTCTCGCTGGCCCAGCGTCCTCGAGCGGATTCGGCGAGAGCTCAAGCCAAGTGATCCCGGTTTACGGCGGCTCCAGCAGCGAGGCGGGCCCAGCCTCGTCAAGCGGCATCTACGCCAGCTCTTCGGTCTTCGCCTTCCCAAGTTCTTCGTCTGAGTCGGTGTGGTACCCGTACCCCTCGTCGTCCAGCTCTGGCTTCGCCTACCCGACAGGCAGCGGCTCATTCTCGTCCTCTTTCCCGTACGCCACCGGCACTGGTTTCTCTTACAGCAGCTACGGCGCTTCCAGCAGCAGCGAGGCAGGCCCATTCTCCTCGTCCGCTGTCGTGAGCTCATCTGCCGTGCCATCCTACCCGCCCGTGTACGGCGGATCGAGCAGCAGCGAGGTCAGCCCTGTCTCTTCCTCGGCGGCTCCATCTTACCCACCAGTCTACGGCGGTTCAAGCTCCTCGGAAGTCAGCCCGGTGTCGTCAAGCGGCATTGCAAGCTCTTCTAGCGAGTCGGTGTGGTACCCATACCCATCCTCGTCTTCCTCTGGATTTGCCTACCCGACCGGCACTGCCGTCTACTCTTCGAGCTACCCATATGCTACTGGCACCGGCTTTTCGTACTCTAGCTCCTCCTACAGCTCTCACATGGCCTCCAGCAGCAGTGAAGGCGGCCCGATTTCCTCGAGCGCCGTCGTGAGCTCGTCTGCCGCGCCTTCTTACCCACCCGTCTATGGTGGCAGCTCGTCCGAGGTCAGCCCCGTGACCGTTTCCTCTTCCACTGTCGAGGTCCCCTCGGCCACTCCAACCCCTGAGTGCTGGAGCAAGTGCTTCGAGGACAACGGCATCACTGGCAAGCTTGAGCTTTGCGGCAACGACGACGTGAGCAAGTGTATCCACGACACGTGCAGCCCTGCCGATGACAAGACATACTGGGGTTGGTACGACAGCTTCTGCTTTTCTACTAGCAGCTCGGTCGCCTCTACCGTCTACCCATCCTCATCCGGTGCCGCTGTCTCATCATCCGCTGTCGGCAGCTCTGGCTACGCCTACCCAAGCAGCAGCAGCGCCGGTGCCGTCTCGTCGAGCGGTGTTGCGAGCTCCAGCGCCTCATACTACCCTTCGGGATCTAGCTCCTCTGGCTGGGCGTACCCTACCGGAACTGGCGTCTACTCGTCAAGCTACCCATATGCCTCGGGCACTGGATACAGCTACAGCTCATACGTCTACAGCTCCTACGGAGCTTCGTCGAGCAGTGCGGGCGCAGTCTCTTCCTCTGCAGTTGCCTCATCTTCCTACCCAGTTTACCCATCCGCATCGGCCTCCGCCTCTTCTTCGTGGAGCAGCTATGCCGGCCCTGTCTCTTCCTCGGCCGCGCCGTCTTCCTCGGCCGCGCCGAGCTACCCGCCAGTCTACGGCGGCTCTTCCAGCTCCGTGGTCTCGCCAGTGACCTCGTCGGCACCCGCACCACCACCATACGGCTCGCCCTCTTCCGTCGTGGCGCCCGTTTCCTCTTCCGCCGCCCCGGCACCACCAGCTGGATACCCAGACAACAGCCCCCCAGCTTACGGCTCGCCCAAGGGCTACCGCGCCCACCCGCGCGACATCAAGGCCTAGGCACCAAATGTCGTCGACAACCACCCACCGACGCGGTCCAAGTCGAAGCGAAGCGGTTCGCTGTGCAGGACATAGTGTGTAGCATATGATAACAGCCAAACAACAATATGGGGTTCTTTCTTTTCAGGCAGAGCTTATTTTGTAGTTCTAACAACACTGTGTCTCTCCTGACAAGCATTGTATGGAAAACACGCACATTCTCTTCGATCTTGATGAAAGCATTTCTTTTTCGTTTGAGTACTTTTAGGTTACAATGGTTTAATGATGGGATCAATGAATGATACATGAGCTGTTCCCTCACACTTGAAGCCGAATGATCTTTTTGCAAGAGTGCTTCCGAATGGTTGATCTTGACTGCTTGCGAGGAGACGTCGACACAAAGCTATTTCGACTGCCATCCAGCAAGTCCCGGTCTTGGGCATCCGCTCGCCACCAACGAAGTACATGGCATGGCCACGGACAGGCCCAGTACGATCGGCTCTTCGTCCTGTCCGCAGTACTCTCGCGTACAACAGGCACCTACCCACGACGATCCTGAGCACCACAGCAAGAGAATCGATCGGTCGGCGGAGAACAGCACTCAGCCATGCTGTCAAAGCATACGCAGTGGTATCTCAAACGTAGCAACTACATGTAATGCTAATGATGCGGATAAGAGCACAGAAAAGTGTGCAGCCTTCTCGAGAAGCATCCAAACTGCAACCCAGACTCAGCATTGCTTTGGTGAGTCGCCCAGCGATCGTGGTCTTCGAGATGGAGATTCATTTTCGCTCTCGACTACGTGCGCAGTCAGGTCTACAGTCTGCTCCATCAGATGATTGACTTTTCTTTCCTTGGGAGTCCATCAAGACGACAATTCACATGGAAGAACATCAGTCGATCGGAAGAATCCAGTCATACGCGATCATTAAATCCCATTCACACACTTTTCACAATTTACTAAAAGCCGTCGCCACCGTCCCTCCCATCTCCACCAACGTACTCTTATTCCGCACCCAGGCCTCCAGGCCCCTCCGCCCATTCTCCACGCCCAACCCGCTCATCTTCCACCCACCTACACTCATCTCCGCAGGCGACTCGCCCCAGGTATTCACCCACATGATACCGGCCTCCAGCCTGGCAGCAACTTTGTGGCCCCAGTCAATATTGGACGTGAAAACACCGGCCGCCAGACCCATCGGCGTATCGTTCGCCCTTCCAATCAGCGTCTCGAGCCAGTCGGACTTGCTGTCGTCGTAGGGTAGAATGCATAGCACAGGTCCGAAAATCTCTTCGCGCGTGATGAGCATGTCGTCCGTACAGTTGGTGAAAATGGTCGGGTTGACCCAGTAACCCTCACTACTGCTCACGGCTTTGGGCTTGCCGAGCCCACCGTACAGGAGTTTCGCCTTGTCCTCTTTGATGCCGTGGTCGATGTAGCGGGTGACTTTCTCGTGGTGCACTTTACTCACCAACGGGCCGAAATTGGTGTTGGGGTCCATGACATCGCCTGCTCGTACGTCGTCCATTTTCTCCAGGAGTCGGGATTCGAATTTGGAAAGCATGCTTTGCGGGACGAAGACGCGGGTGCCGTTGGTGCAGACCTGGCCGCTGGAGAAGAAATTCGCCATCATAGCTCCGTCGACCGCGTTCTCCACCTTCGCATCCGGTAGGATCACACAAGGACTCTTACCCCCTAGCTCCATGGTGACGTACTTCATAGCCCCCGCCGCCGCGCCAGCGACTTTACACCCCGTCGACACTTGCCCGGTAAAACTCACCTTGGCGATGTCGGGGTGCGACGTTAACACACCGCCTACATCTCCCGAGCCATGCACGACGTTGAACACACCGGGCGGCACACCCGCTTCGGCGTATATTTCCGCCAACTGCAAGGCGTGCAAGGGCGTGAACTCGGATGGTTTGTACACCATACAGTTCCCCGCTGCTAAGCAAGGCGCGGATTTCCACAGCGCGATTTGAGTCGGGTAGTTCCAGGCTCCGATGCCTGCGCAGACGCCGAGAGGGGCTTTGGTGCTGTAGATCCAGGCGTCCGGTCGTAACTGAGTGGTCTCGCCATTGAGGCCGCCAGAGGCGACGAGATGGGCGTAGAATTCGAGGACGTCGGTGCCGGTTACCACGTCTACGGTCGAAGTCTCGGAGAAGGGTTTGCCGGTGTCGTGGGTTTCAATCCTGGCTAGATCATCGTTGCGTTGGCGGAGGAGGGCGACGGCCTTGAGGAGGATGCGGGAGCGTTCGGCTGGAGGTGTGGCGGACCAGGTTGGGAAGGCGGATTTGGCGGAGGAGATGGCGGCGTGGACAGAGGTCTTGTCGGCTTTGCTAATGTCGGCGAGGGGTGTGTTGGTGGAGGGGTCGAAGGTCTGGAAGGTGTCGGTGGTGGTGTGGTGTTTGCCACCGTAGTAGAGGGGTTGCTGGTCGTACTTTATGCTGGTTGAGCCCATGATGGTGGAGGTGTGTCGGTGTCGTCCAATATCGCGGCCAAGGAAGTCCTGCGAGTTGTGTGCAGCGATAAGAGCTATCTGTGTCCAAGCTGGCGTGGGATCAAGGTTCTCAGTCGTCGTCAAGACCTTCTGGATCGGTCGTCAAAGTGAATGCAACGTCAGGAATCTATGCCCAGCAACTGCCTTCAAAAGCCTTCTTCCCCACTCTCTGCTCTACTGCTCTAGCGCGCGGATCAGCCCGGCATACTTTGCAGAATCGTGGCTTGCATCCAGCTCGTGAAGTGCGGTGGTACAACGAGCACGCAAGACCTTGGGTCTGATGAGACATAAAGCGACCGGCACTCGGCATTCGACGCCACTTCATCTGCCTTTCTATCCACATCACGCCGCCCGGGAGCGAAGTTTCAAGTCAAAACGATTAGCAAGATCTAACGGCGATGGCGGGGAGCGAATGAGAGGGCGATCTGTCCGACGACATGCCGCTCACCGACTCCATCTTAGCTTGATGACCCTTCGCAAGGCCTGGAGCGGAGCATGACCTCGCCCTCCTCTCGGCGCCAGTCACGATAACGACCCAACGTGTGTCGCGTGGGCAGGCTCTGGCCATCCAGCCGACCACTGGCATCGCCCGCAATGGCAATGGAACGACGCCGCCCGCTGAAGTGGAGACGACCCGACGACGACCTCGTGAGAATTTGCATTCCTTTCTTTTCTTCTGACTTTTCCTTCGACATCTCAACCACTACGGTAGGTGGGTATATCACAAGGTAGCACTCGACCTCTTCTGTGCCTTCAGTCCCACACGCAAGCTTTGTACACCTCTCGCTACGACAATCATTACTCCTCCATCTGCCCACCATGACTACCACGCAGCTCTCGGCCGCCGACGTGGACAGCTATGACTTCGTGATCGTGGGCGGAGGTACGGCTGGCTGTGTCATTGCCTCCCGCTTGTCCGAGTACTTACCCAACAAGCGTGTCCTCCTCATCGAAGCTGGACCCTCCGACTTTATGGATGACCGAGTCTTGTTGCTCAAGGACTGGCTTAATCTGCTCGGCGGCGAGCTCGACTATGACTACCCGACCACTGAACAACCGATGGGCAACTCCCACATCCGACACTCGCGCGCCAAAGTGCTGGGAGGCTGCTCCAGCCACAACACCCTCATCAGCTTCCGTCCGTTCGAGTACGATGCCAAGCGGTGGGAGGCGAAGGGCTGCAAAGGATGGGACTTCAAGACGTTCACGCGGCTGTTGGACAACCTGAGAAACACGGTGCAGCCGGTACACAAGAATCACAGGAACCAGCTGTGCTTGGACTGGGTCAAGAGCTCCTCAACAGCATTGAATATCCCCATCATCGAGGATTACAACCAGGAGATCAAGCAGGAGGGAGCACTCAAGAAGGGTGTGGGCTTTTTCAGCGTGTCTTACAACCCCGACAGCGGCCACCGCAGCAGTGCTAGCGTGGCGTACATCCATCCTATTCTTCGCGGCGAGGAGAAGCGACCAAACTTGACTATCCTGACCAACACATGGGTCAGCAAGATCAACCTCTCCGGCTCTAAAGTCACCGGCGTCAACATCACCCTCCAAGACGGCACCAAGCACACTCTGCGCGCCAAATGCGAGACTCTCCTCTGCGCAGGTGCAGTTGACACCCCTCGCCTCATGATGTTCTCCGGTCTTGGACCCGCCCAGCAGCTCTCCTCTCTCGGCCTTCCCGTCGTTGCTGACCTCCCAGGCGTAGGCGAGAACCTGATCGACCACCCAGAGAGCCTTATCATGTGGGAGCTCAACCGACCCGTCCCACCGAACATGACCACCATGGACTCCGACGCCGGCGTCTTCATGCGTCGCGAAGCACCCAACGCCGCAGGTGACGACGGCGATATTGCCGACATGATGGCGCATTGCTACCAGATTCCATTCGTCTTCAACACCTCTCGCCTGGGCTACGATTCGCCCAAGGACGCTTTCTGCATGACGCCCAACATCCCTCGCCCGCGATCTCGAGGCAAGCTCTACCTCACCTCCGCGGACCCGAGCGTAAAGCCCGCGTTGGATTTCAAGTACTTCACGGACCCCGAAGGCTACGACGCCGCCACCATCGTCGCCGGCTTCAAAGTCGCTCGCAAGATCGCCCAGGAAGCTCCCTTCTCAGACTGGATCAAGCGCGAAGTCGCTCCTGGACCGAACATTCAGACCGACGAGGCTCTGTCGGAGTACGGACGCAAAGTGGCACATACTGTCTACCACCCCGCCGGCACGACGAAGATGGGCGATGTGAAGAACGACGAGTACGCGGTCGTGGACCCGCAGTTGAAGATCAAGGGTCTACAGGGAGTGAGAATCGCGGACGCGGGTGTTTTCCCGGATATGCCGAGTGTCAACCCCATGTTGACGGTGTTGGCGATTGGGGAGAGGTGTGCGGAGATGGTTGCGAGCGAGTGGGGCTTCAAGGGTATGGAGAGGGAGAAGTTGTAGAGAGAGGGGGAAAATGTGGTGAACGAATTTGTTCGAATGTATGTACGCGGGTGTTTGGAGGGAATGGTTAGATACCCAATGTCTAGATTATGCTAGCGAGTATTGACGCCAGGATGTTTTTGTGCTCTTTCAACAAGCACTGCCTACCTGTACTGAAGATTGATGAGGGTGAGGCATTGACGCCGGCATCACCTGGCGCGCGAGCAATCACACTTTCTATCATCCGTCTAGCGATCGTAGGTAAAAGCTCAGAACCAGCTTCTCGAATATCTGAATGTCGATCTGCCCATCGAATCTTGTAAAGTATTGCCCGCAGCCGTCGACTAATTGCACATGTCCCCTTTTCCCTTCCCGCTCGCAGCCCACCCTCGCTATGCAAGAACCCAGACTATGCCTCCGAGATTACTGTAGACACCGTTGCCTTATTCCCTTCCAGCCCTGCCATGCGCCTTTGCCTCCCGCCTCGTTGGACTGATGGTAAAGTCTGGTAGATAATACATGCTTCCATCCAAAACTTCGATCCGCTCGCGGCCTGCCAGGCTGACTGGCTCGATTACGCCTCCGTCAAGCACTCGAACAAATAGATGACCCCAAACACTAGAAACGCCACTGCACCTCCGATCGTCACTGTTTATCACTGTCAGCATCGTCCAGTCGCTATGCATATAAAAGAAAAGAAAGGTGTCAAACTCACCAACCCTCATACTAACCCTCCCCGCCAACGCCCTGCCCCCCACAACCGCCAAACCCGTACAGCAAGCATGTCCCGTCACCGCCCCGAGCGTGACCCACCAATAATCCTGCCCCGCCGCCATCGCAATCGTGGCAATCTGACTCCTGTCCCCCCACTCGCCGAGAAAAGTCATCACGAACGTCTGCACCCACGCCGGACTCAGTACAAGACCCAGCAGATTCGCCAGCCCCGAGCCGCGTTTCCGATCCGAAGGCGACGGGGAGCGGGAGGAAGGCGGCGAGGGCTCGGAGCGGTTCCGCCCGGATTCGAGGGTGTAGGGGGATGCGGCGGAGGAGGAGCGGCGGGCGCGCGCCATCCGGTGTTCTTTCTCCTCGAGCTCGGCTTCGACTTCCTTCATCTCGTCGCCGACGCCCATGTCGCGGTCCATAGCGAGGCCTTCGCGGAGGGATTTGGCGCCGAAGATGAGGAAGAGGACTGCGGCTGCGAAGGTGGTGAGGCGTTTGGGGAGGAGGGCGGGGAAGGCGTGGCCGAGGACGGCGCTGAGCACGGTCATGAGGATGAGGGCGGAGAATGCGGAGGAGAAGACGAGGACGCGCGGGTGCCGCATGGCCATGAGCGCGGCGACGAGGAAGGTCTTGTCGCCGATTTCGGAGAAGAGGATCATGGTGAGGGAAAGGACGAAGGAGTGGAACCATTCGTGCCAGCTGGAGTCGCCGGAGGTAGGGATCGGAGAGGCGGGGCTGCCGGGTTTGGGAGGAGGTGGAGCGGGGCGCTGGCCTTCGGTGTAGGGCATGGTGTCGACGAGCCATTTGTCCTTTCCCGTGCCCGTGTTTGTGTTGCCGATAGGCGGTTCGTTGGTGCCGGCTCGCACGCCATGCTTCGTTTGTGGTCGGTCGGGAAGATTTTCTGGGAGGTCGATGCCGTAGCCTCCAGCGCCGTATTTGGGATCGTCCTTCGTCCGCTGGTCCACCACTCTTGTGCCACTCCGATCATTCTCCTTTGTGCTACCACCCTTCTCATTAATATACTCCTCCTCACTATGTGGTAGTGGAGGGGCCTCCTTGGGCTCTTGCGGCTTGTTGCCTACCATGTCCGTCCCCTTCAGCCGCCGCTCCTTCTCCTTCTCTGATATCCCGCCTGCCGTACCATCTGTCCCCTTCTTCGGCCCAACTCGAGTCTCGTCGTTCATCACCCCGTCGTTCTTCTCGGGTATCTCCTCCAACCGCCATTCCTGCGCGCCAGCCTGTGTCCATTTGTCCAAATCCGCAGGTCTGTTCTTCGGCGCTTGCTCCGTCGTAGCCTTCACCCCTGGCGCTGCAGCGGCCGCAGTGTCTTCAGGTGTCGTGTCCACGAATGGGCCGAGATGTGGTTTGCCGTCATAGCCATCTACAGGCGCATTCTCCTTGCCTCGGTAGGCACGTGTGGTGGACTCGCGAGGTTTGGCTGCTTCTGCTGCCGCAGGTGCTGGGTCGGCGACGAACTTTGTAGCGCCAGTCGTTTCCTGTAGCTCCGGTTCTGCTTCTCGTTTCCGTAGGCCAGATGTGAGAGTATTTGGATCGCGGGAGAAGAGTTCGAGGGCGTCGATCAGACTCGGAGCGGCGAGGAGAAGAAGGAGTGGTGAGGCTCCTCGCACGCGCATGTTGGGTGGATGGGTCTAAGGATGTCGCACAGAAGGATGGAAACAAAGATTCCAATGGATGTGTTTGCGACTGCGACTCGCTGGCAGGAAGGTGGGAGTAGGGTGGTATATGGCAACGCGACTCCCTTCTCCTGCTGCTGACCACTGACCACTTTTGCTGGCTCCTGGCCCTGTCCTCTGACGATGTGCTCAGCCGCAGGGCACGGCGATTGGTCGGGTGTCTCGTGTCGAAGCGAACAATGCGCCGGTCTAGACTGACTCTGCTCTCTCTTCGACTCGTGGTATACCACAACAACACTGTCTGAAAGGAGCGACGAGAATATGGGAAGAGAGTGACGTGCAAATGTGCTGTCTTCTGTGCTGCATCATAGTTGGCGCACCGTGTCTTTGGACCTCCGCGGATGTTTGCTGCAGGGGCCTTGCCGTTTCTGCAACCTTGCGCCTACTCTTAACTTTCTTTCCCCGGAGGACGGCTTGAACAACCCGGAGTGACCATGAAACAACTGGTTATCGTCGAGACCGATTAAGTCATTCCGTTTAGGGTGACATGGTGAGAAGTGGCACGTAGTTCCAAAAGTCGTTTGATCCCTACTGCAAAAACGTCGATTCTCTGGGACATTGACAAGATGACTTCGACCCAGCACGACCACATAGTCCTTCTCGTCGACACTTCATACTTCGAGAACCTGCCCAGCTGGGTCACGGACAACTTCACCGTGACTCAAGGAGGCTACCACGACGGTCAAGCATCTCGCAACAAGCTAGTCATCTTCGCCGATGGCAGCTATCTGGAATTCTTCAACTGGTACGACACACCACCGTCTCTCGACGATGAGAACTTGCCGATGAGGTTCTGGGGCTCTAAGCGCCCGGGACTCATCGACTTCGCAATCACCGACACTTCTCATTCGGCCGAAGAGTCCGTGGACGCAGTCAATGAACGACTCTCTGAGGAGCCCATCTCGGATGCCGGCCTCGGTATCAAATTCGGGAAACCAGTGGCAGGATCACGCAAGAAAGGCGACGGCGTGGAGATCGCATGGAAAGTCACACGACCGGAATTCTTCCAAGGCGAGAAGACACCCAGCCAAGAGCTCTTCGTCGACGGCAGAGTCGACGTCCCGTTCTTCTGCCACGACACCACCAAGCGAACCGACAGGGTGCCGTTTACCGACGAGAAGAAGACGACGCATCCTTGCGGTGCTACGGGCATTGCTGCTTGCGAGGTTCTCGTACCCGGGGACCTGCTGGCTGAGTACGCTTCCTTGTATTCGAAAATCATCGGCTCAAAGGCCGAGCCTTCTGACGACCAGAGGCCGTACACTTTTGACATCGGAGTGCCTCATGGATCTCAGCGTGCTGCGGTAGTGGTGCGTGCAGCTGAGAGCGAGCGAGATGTCAGACACATGCATTCGCGGGGGATTGGCTTCTCTGATCTTGTCTTAACCACCAGCTCTGCCGGTCCAGGCGGCAATCAGAGACGTCCATTGGGTTCTGAGGGTATCGAGTCCACGATCTGGCTGGAGAGATGAGTCAAGACGACCCTTGTTCTACTGGGAGGGCTGAGGTGTCAGTACTCTCCTTCGCTCTATGTTCGTGAGCGGCCACTTCGACAGTGCGGTGGCGTGTCTCCAATGGCTGTGCTCGATGGGGTTGTAATTACACGACTCTCCTCGCGATGGACAGGACGCAGGATGGGATTGTATGACCATGCTGAAGGCTTGTTCATCACGTTGGTTCGTCCACGTTTCTGAGGACTCCAACCAGCTTTCGAGCGATCAATGGTATCGAGAGGACAACTGGACACTTCAGCGAAGGCTGATGCGCAACCCGACGATGCATCGACTCGTCTAGCTGCCGGAGACGTGTGTCGCCTCCCACGAAGGAGCGTTTAAATCACGTGACCTTGTGTATCATATCCAAAAGTAGTTTAGTTTGCTCCACTAGCGCGTTGCAGCCTCCAACAGCCGCCTCCCTTCTCCGCCGTTTCTGCGTCCTTGCGGTTTTTGGCGTAGAGGGTTGCAGAACCCTAATTTCCATCAACAACACCTCGACACCATCGATCAAGTTGCCTCGTCGTGCTGCAGATATTTCCTAGAGGTGCTCGGCCACCATGGCGAAACTCTCCAGCGTGCCGCCCGAGGAGGGGCGTGCGCAGGAGGGACCGCAGCGGACGACGCGTGCAACGCGGTCAATGAGCAAAGAACCGTCGATGCCACCAACGCTGCAGAAGGCTCGTGGCGGCGCGAAGAAAGGTGGGAGGAAGGCGAAACGTGTTGCGAATAGTGTGGAAAACGCAGACCATGGTAAGTTGTGCTGCTGTTGTGGTTATGTTTCTTCGACGCTGTGCACTGCCTTGGTGAAAAACGATTGACCTCACTTCATCTGATGATACTGCGAAACTTTCAATTGAAATTGCTCCTTCACTACTTTGAAGTCAACACGACGCTGTCATGACACTTCAAGAAGACACATACGTGCGCTTGCACCACACTTCTACTGAATTGTGGCTAACGTCTCTGCCAGACCTGCCGACTGTTGACGAAGATGCTGGACCAGAAGAAGAACTTCCACAGGAACCCACCATCGGCGAAGACATCCCATCAGCCGTTAACACCGATCGCACTCGCCAAGAATCCGTACTTTCAGGCTTCTCTGGCACGACCGTCAATACTACCTTCTCGCAAGAGGAAATTGAAGACATGGACCGCGACACGATACTCTACCACCTCCCAAGGCTACTCACAACTGCAGATGATTTAGTAACGCTGCTAGTCCCAGCAGACCCCAGGTCTCGTCCTGTCGTGCGTCAAGAGATTCGTGACAAAGGCACCAGGCTGAACAAGCTCTACAACAACCGTGTGAGGTCATTGGGAATCGACAAGGAAAGCTTTGGCACAACCGCCTACATTGCGCCCAGTAGAGTGGTGCGTGCCCTCCTGCAAGTACAAGATGTCCAAGACATTCCCGAGGAGTTGTGGCGACCGGACTGCCTCATCTACAAGATCAATCTGTCCACCATGCTTCGCACCCTTCTCGTGGACATCACCGACCAGCAAGCCAACCTCGAGCAACGAAACCAACTGGAAGACCTCCAGACCAGCTTCGACAGCACCATTGCCGGGCCCCGCCTGGGTGATCGGGATCTTCAGTACCTCCTGTCGTTGCTTCGACAAATCGCAATTGTTCAATTGTGCTACCTAAGCCCCGATCAACCCTTCAACCCTCGCAAGCGGATTGAGAATGTCTTCTACGGACCGAACGAGGATGCCACGTGGACATTCAAGCACCAAAGCGCTGTCGACAAGATGGGCCTGTCCGAGGAGGAGAAGATTGGTTGTGCCAACTTCATCCAGAGCGTCGCCAGCGAACTTATCGACCATTTCAAAGGAGGACCAGCCACTTTGAACTCCAACATAGACCAGCTTAAGGCCAAATACCCCTGGGAGCAGTTTGTGGATGAGACCATCGAGTACTTCCTTGGCCGCAAGCAAGAGCTTGATGACCAGATTGCTGACGTGGGAGGTGCCGAACAAGTAGTCACTGCTCTCGGCGCAGAGGTGGAACGCAGGCTGGCCGAGAAGGACGCACAGGCGAAGCGTGAAAGCTTGCCTTACCCTGCACCTGCGCCGAAGTCGACTGCTGCCAAAGACAAGGAAGAGGACGCGAAGAAGAAGAAAGCAATGAAAGCACTGTTCATGCGTAGCAAGGCGCTCAGCAATCACGACGCAGCGATGCAAGACTTGCGAGGCAGTGCCGCTGCTGCGCTAGAAACTGCTGCTGCAACCGCACCTGTGGCCCAAATGACAGATCCGGCACTCATCGAGCACAACGCCCCGGTCGGCGATGACTGGCAGCCGCTTCAATCTAATGACTATGCAGTACCGGCGTCCGAGCCCGCCCAGCCGGCTGCACGATCGTACCTGGCCGATCTAGCCGGTCTAAAGGAAGACCAAAAGCGCAAGTCCACCAAAAGGAAGGGCAAGTCACTGCTTGACCGCCAGGAGGGCGCTCAGAGAGTCGCGTTCAATGATCCCGGCCAGTCCCAGTTCAGTGAATACGCACCGCCACCTAACCTGCAATACACTGCTCCACCCTCACATGCGCAAGGGCCCTACTACCCAAGCTCAAGCCGCGCGTCCAACAAACGTCCGTACGAGGCTGCCGAAGAAGATGAACCAGAAGCGTTCGATCCTTCTCAAGACCAAGGCTTCGAAGTCGACAATCGTAACCTGGCCGCAGCAGACCAACGCCGCCTTGAAGCGCCTCAACCTGCGCATCTCCAGCAGAGGCACCCGGCCCAGCTGCCTGTGCGAGAGCCTTCGATTGCTGCCGCGTCCAGAGCCAGCCACAGCCCGTCAAAGAGCCAGCGCCGTAACCCTGGAAGCAGCATCCCAGCACCGCTCATAATCGATCCTGTCAACTTCGACCAGCAGCTGACTCCAGAGGAAGGCTACCAGCGCGCCAAGATTGCCGCACGCCACAACACCCTTGTCGCAGCACAGAGCAAGTCTAAGGAACCTCAAGCGCGCAGGCCGTGGAACCAGCATGAAGAGGAGGCGCTGATCGACTACATCGTCCTAGGGAGTGATGATGGCATATCGTACTCCAAGATCAAGAGTCTGGACAGGAGCAGACTTGACGGGCCGAGACTGGATGGTAGGAGCGCGGAGGACATACGATTCAAGGCCAGGAACATGAAGGAGGTGTTCATGAGGTGAGTACTCCACTATCTTGGCGTGTGCTGCTTTTTGAGATGCTAACGTAAAATGAGCAGGGCTCGTCAGGAGCTGCCGAAGAACTTCAATTACATCGTGCTGGACAGGAAGGCGATTGATAAGTTGAGGAGGCTTGGTGTCGAATATGAGCAACCAAGAATCCGTGGAGGCAGAGGGGTGGTAGATCTGAACCAGGTGGAAATAGAGGAGCCGGAAGTGGATGGGCGCTTGGAGGAGATGAATGGGTGAAAAAGAAGTGTTCGGATCAGAACTGCACAGTGCGATCTTTCGGTACGTCGGTTATGGGCAGTGTACGATACTCTGATTGCAGGAATTGGGTAGAAAGCTTTCTCCCCCTGTCTCATCGTATCTCGACTGGTCTTAATGAGGCACCTTTCAAGATGGGTCAGAGGTTGAGAAGATTAATCCCGGTAGTTGGAAGTTTTGCGAGCTAAGTGAACACTTCCATTCTCAAAGTCTTTCGAACGACTGCCTTTCTTTCCTTCCCATCCTTGTTGTAGCAAAGTCCGTCCTTCCAAGACGCCTCCGCAGTGAGTGCTACCCTCCATTCGCCACCTAGAAACTCCTTGCGCGCCATTTCCCACTGGTCCAACCTTCCTCGTCTCTTCATCCCATCATCCCATCTCACCCAACTTCCCCCGCCGCACCAGCTACTACCGACGACGACCCGCCGCTCTACTGCGTAGCCTCATGCACCCTCCCATCCCACATCCCCACCTCCCCAACCTTCTCGTCCCCTCCATGCCTCACAACAGTCGGTGCAGGCGTGATCTGATCTCCCTGCGCTTCCGGCGCCTCCACATAGATAGGTGGCGGCGCACTACCGCTTGATTCGCCGCTATCGCCTCTACTACGATTGCCTTCCACAGCCGTGACGCGAGGTGAGCCGGTCGGGCTGGGTTCTTTGAGCTCGGATTCTGCAGCGGTGGGAGGGGCGTGCTCGATGTGCTCGTTCTCGGCGTCGGTCTTCTCGCTGTCATTCTCGGTGCCGTCGTTGCCGATGACGGCGGCGAGGGAGCGGAAGTTGAGCATCGGTTCGTGGCTGGGTGTCGGCGCGGGCGAATCTTGCGGTGTTGTGGAGAGATCGAGACCGGAGGAGGTTGCTGGCAGGCTGTTGGGAGGGGAGTCGGCGTTCGAAGAAGCGATCGACGAGGCGTTGGAGAGTTGGCGCATGTGCTGCGATATGCGCGGAGGGCCGGGAGTGGGGATTGGTGTCGATGCGGCAGGCTGGAGGTTCGCTCGAGATTCCTCTAGATATCGTTGAGAGTCTTCAATGGGTGTTGTTGCGGCATCGCCTGCTAGCGCAGGTGCCAGCGAGTCTTCATGTGATTCCTTCATCTCTGTGTTGAGAGTTGACGAAGGCTCGGAAAGCGGATTCCATCCTCCAAAGTCCTGCGCGGGTGCCTTGCCCTTCCCCTGCACCTGCTCTTCCGGAAGAGTGCCCAAGTTACTGGTTGACCGCGCCATACTCGTGGTCGCAAAGGTGCTGTCGCTGTCGTTGTCGAAGTTTCCAGCAGCGTAAGGACTAGCAGAGCTGCCACCGTTCTTCTTCGCCAGTTTTTCGGCCTGCTTGGCTTCTTTCTTCTGGTCCTTCGCTCGCTTCTTTGCATCCTTCCTGGCGTGCTTCTCTTCTTGCTTCTTACGATCCTCCTCCGCCGCCAGTGATAGTCTGATCGCTTCCATCATCATGAGATCCTCGAGATCATCGACCCGTGACCGACGAGAGCTGCTGCCACGAGCAGGATAGATGTCACTACTGCTGTCCCCATCTTCTCTATTGGCCATACCCGCGCGTATGAGGTGGCCATATGGCGAGATGAGCATGCCGTCTGCACCACGCGGTGTCCCGCTTCCGCTAGCACTCGGGCTGTCGCCAAACAGCGTCCTGCGCCGCCTGCCAAAGCCCGGAAGATTGCCACGCCCAGGGACATCATTCTGGTTTCCAAGCACATATGCTGCGTTATGGAGTGCTGTTGCTGCTGCAGATCTGCGGAGAGCGTGTGCGCGCGCGTCTGCAAGCTTCTTCGCCCAGTCTGGACGGACCCTATCGGTCGTGATCACTTGAGGCGCGTTAGCCGAAAGTGATGTCGCCCTTCGGCGTCCAGGTGGCATTCCAAGAGACGAAGAAGACGACATAGCTGAAGTGGGATTCCTAAGCGGGTTGCTGTGACTTGAGGGGTATGTCAGGCCGCGGCGGAAGGGTGGAGGATCGTAGCTCACGCCAAACTCTGGTGTGACGCAGAACGGACATGATGCGACCTCGGAAACGAGCATCTCAGCTTCTTCTTCCGGCGGCCGCTCCTGTCCAGGCTGCTCGTGCTCTGGGGGGTGAGGATCAGGTCTCTTGATCTGCACGAAGCATTCGGAGCAAATCGGTTGATCGCAGCACCGGGTCTTGTTGAGGTATGGTGGATAGTACATGAAGCAGATCGGACATTCTGAAGCGTCCTTATAGAGATACGCCTCAATCGGTTGGCCGTTAACGAATGGATCTTTCGGCAGCCTCATTTCTTGCGGTGTAAGATCTGGTGAGTGGCTCTTCGACCCTGTAGCGAGGGATGCAAGTGTCTTAGCACGGCCGCGAAACAGCTGAGCGGTAGACTGTGAAGGGCTTGTCGGTGTCGCAGGTCCGGAATTGGAAAAGGCGGGATGTGATGCTGACAAGCGCGCTGATGTGCCAGACTCGTATGATTGAGATCGTGATGAGATCGGGACTGTAAGTCGGTTGATGTTGGTATCGGACGCCTGCGGGCTTATTGAAGCCTGTGATCCGGTCCTCGCCATTTCGGGTGGGACCTCATCAGCTGGCGGGATAGGAAGGCCTCGAGCGGCCGCGACTAGCTGAGCTTCTGTCCATGATTCCGAATGGTCATTCAGACCTTTCCAAAACGGCGCCAATCGTCGCTCAATCTACACATACCATTAGCATCGGGCATCCAAGGCCTTCTGCATCCCAATACTTACCTGCAGCTGCCGTACAACCCCTTTATTAAAGTCCTCCGGCCCAGTATACGTGCCCAATGTCACCAGATATCCACCATCAACGCCCTCCTCCTTGATACTCCGCTCCCGCTCCTTCAACCGTGCTTGTCTCTCCTTCTCCACTTTCCGTGCCTCCCTCTCTTGCTTCGTCTCTCGTGGCCGTTCCGGGGCGGCAGGCGCCTCGCCGCGATCTCGACCCAGGCTCAAGAAAGGCAGATCGGGTCTGCTGCCCCTTCCTGTCCGTGAGCTGTATATCTCCGTGATAAGACGCTCCGCGGGCGCCTGTGGTGCTGGAGCAGATTGCTCCGGCGCCGCTGGCCGTTCGCTCGCATGCCTGGCATTGCTGGGTTGACCAGCCCGGCGCTCTTTACTCGAGCTGTTGCCCATGCTGCAGCTCTCTCAACCAATGTTCGCAAACCAAATCACCGAAGTCGCGGCGCGGGAGAGAGCATCGGAGACGTAGTCCTGCCGCTTTGGAAGGGCGCGGTATCGCCGCTGCTGGTTTGCAGTCCGCGTGATTATCCTCGTACTTTCACAGGCAGTGTTGGCGAGTGTTGGCTTCTTCCGGCGAGGAATCCTGGTGCCGCATTAGACTCCCAGGAAGTCCCTCATTGCCACGGAAGCAGTGTTGGTATCGAACAATTGCAAGAAAGATGGGCTGCGGCACGTCGACCGTTGTCCGCGTGTTTAGCTTGTCAGGTTAAGAGGTGCTAAGCCGGCAGGCAGCGGGTGAGGTCGAGAGGTAGTCGGCGTGTGCGAGATGCAGGACATGGGTAGCTGCGCAAGGTGGTGCGAGCAACTCCACCTTGGATGACGATTCAGCCGTTGAGCAGGGATGGCGCCGCGTGAACTTGGTTTCTCCCGACGACCTGCGGGTCTGGAACATATTTAATAACCATGAAGACAACAAAGCAGTCAAGCTCAGATGGTATTGTTTGACAGCAGACAGGAAAGACGCGGCCGTCGGTTCGTTCTCATCGCAAATCTATAGATCCCAGGATGTCCAAAATGACATATCGCTTTCAACTGAGTATCTCCCAAACATAAATCATCGCTCAATCAATCAGATCCACCCATTCGTTCGTCACCGCAGCGGAAGAGGCGCGATGCCTGGATAAGATACCTCCTCCTCGACTGGCGAAGGACTTGCAGCCGGCGTCATCCATGGCGGTTCCACGGCCTTCGGCTGTTGTGCTGACTTTGACCGCTTGCTGACGAAACCCTTGTCTGGCGAGTCCCAAGTGTAGTCCAGGTACTCGTCGATATGCTCTCGGATGCCATCAGCAAGGATCTGAACCGCTTTCTGCCGGTTCAGACTCCACTCATGGTCGCGGTTCCATCGACCTGCCTTCCGAGCAGTCTCTGCGCCGCCTTCGAGGCCATCAAGAATACTTCGCCAAACCTTCATTGTCTTCTCGAGTTCTTTTCGCTTGCTGACGCCCATAACGCTCACGCCGAGTCTGGCACCGCCAATCATCTTGTTCGACTCGCGAGTCCAAGGTACACCTGAAGCTGGGTCGCCATGAGATCCCACCGATGCGCCGACCTTGAGCCACGTCTCGAGAGCATAGCGTATCGCAATGACTTCCAGCTTTTCATCGTGTCGGTCGCAGAAGTCGCTCGCACGCTTGACTGCTGCTCTGAGCTCGTTACTAGAAGGATGCCAATTACCCATGCTGCCGACCGGAACACCCTCCCGTCGCAGCAGACCCATGCCCAGCGGTGACGCGTTCGGCACGACATCGACGCCAGCTGCCTTCAACTTCTTGATGCCCGTACTCGCAAGTAACTCGTTCTGGAGCGTGAAGTTCGCGTACGACATCACCGCATCCAGCGGCTCTCCAGTCTCGCGCAGCACCCGATGTGCGATTGAACACAGCACCGGCAGTGGATATCCAGAAATACCAATATACTTGATCGTGCCCCCCTCATCTCTTATCCTGCGCAACTCGCGAATCCCCTCCATAACCTCATCTTCCGAGACAAATTCCACGTCATGGCAGTACACCAAGTCCAGGTAGGTGGTCTTTAGTCTCTGCAGACTGCGCTGTATACTCTGATATACCCACTCCGCCGAGAAGTCGGACTCGTCCGCCGCAATCCGCCCGCACTTAGTCAAGAGGAAGAAGTCGCTGCGAGGGAAGTTGGACCGCACGAAATCGGTATCGAGCGCTTCGCCCAGAATCGTCTCAGATGGACCGTAGTAGGGTGAGGTGTCGAAGGCGCGTACGCCGTGCTCGAGCGCCTGGTGGACTAAGCCAGTCGTGTCGAGTTCGTAAGGGTCGGGGTTGTATTGGTAGTTGAAAGTTGCGGTGCCGAAGATGAGCGGTGGAAGGATGGAGGAGAGCGGGACCTTGGCCTGTTTCTCGGTGGCCATGATGCGATCGAGGTAGCGAACGCAGCGAGCGCGTCCCTTTCCTCACAGCTGGATCGCGTCCTCTGGATGCGTGTGCTTGGTGAGGTATAGCCAGATAAGAACTAGTAATCAGTGGTGCTCGCAATGCAAAGTCAGTCGAAACAAAAGATTCAAGCTGCCACAGCGAGCGATGCGCGTAGTCGTCCCATTGTGAAGAAGTGGAACGGTATCCTACAAGAACCGTAGATGCCCGCCGCCGCCGCCGAGAGTGCTCTAAACGACCCAACGTTGAGAGGAAACTGGATCTATGACCGCGAGAAGCTAGAGTCGGACGAACTATCTTGTCGAACAGCCGGCCGTGAGTTTTGCGCCGATGGTCAGTGAAAATCCACTAAGGATGACGACTTGGAGTCTAGCCTTCTAGAAGGGCAAGCGCCAGATCCTGCGATCGGGATCTGATTGGTTTGGGCAAGATGGGCTGAGATCCGCTCCGTTCGTCGGTATCTCAAATTCCTTTGCTCTGCGTAGCGGTACGATTATGATAAGTCATCTTTGATGAGAGCGTGCGCTGCGTGTCCCCAAATCTTACCTAGGTATGCTCGGTACGATCGTTCTTGTTAAAACAGGGCAGGGTCGATCGTATATATGATACTGGCTTTTCGCGCTGAAGCGTACATCTGATACTGAATCAATTGAAAGTGGAGTGACAATGAGTGAATCTACTTGTGTAAGCATTCGGATCATGTTCCTGTCCGGCTACTCAGAGGGAATAATGGTCTCGATTCCAGCCCGTGCAGCCGCTCTAAGCAATTGCCTGCTTACCAGTCGTCGGCCCACCGCCACAGTCGTCTTCGAGGTTGGATCAAGGCGGGCGGCCGACCACGGAGACATTGGCACACGGCATATATACAGCATCGAGAGCTGTACTCACATATTCGCAGGGCGTGTAGCTCAGTGGTAGAGCGCCCGCTTTGCATTTGCTTTCTGCTCATGTGCGGGAGGTCTTGGGTTCGATCCCCAACCCGTCCATCTTTTTGCGCTTCGAACGGGCTATCAATCATGTTTTGGTGCCTTGTGTATGGCTCAGAATCGTCGTTTTAGTGATGAGACGAGAACATTTTAGCAAGTGACGTTAAAAATCACGTGACGGCTTTGGCACCAATGTTGCGGAGTTCGAGCTCACTCACTCCCGAAGCCTGCATTCATCTTGAGACCTTGACGAATATCTTCATCACCGTCCAATGCCTCAATTACACCGCAGCGAGCGGGCATTGAAGCTAGTCGGGGACGCCGCACGCCAGCAGTACATCTGCAGAACCTGTCGAGCCCACCAAGTCCGCGCATTCCACGCCTCATATCCATTCTACGCGGTCAAGTCAGAACGGCCCCTCCTACAGCGGCTGCGAGAATCAGTTTTTGGCGCGTCCGAGACGCCTGAAGAGCGGAAGAGGGAGGAAGCGCGGCAAGAGCGCACGAAGGAGTTGGCAACGAAATTCGATGCTAGCAGGCCATTGGAGAGGAGGAAGCCGTCGGACAGGAATGAATACTATGATGTCGCTGCAGTGATAGAGCCGCCAGTGAAGGGGTATAGGCAAGCACTGTCATGGGCTGGTTTGAAGAGGGTGGGCAGCGAAGAATGGGTTAAGGCGAGGGAGGACAAGGGGGAGGCGTACACTGGGTAAGATTCGATGCAGCATAAAGTGGTCTGCGAGGAAGCTGACATGCTGTGTAGTTTCACACCACAGAAGCAGCTTCAGCTGCTCAACGAAAATTGGTACAGTCTACTGCACAACATTGTCACCGAAGTATCCGTTCTGCAGAAGGCGGATCGTGATGTCAATCAAGTGTGGTATCCACGAGACAGCGCAGCACAGACGTTTTCGCATTCTTCGAAGATGGAAGTACAGCCCATGGAAGGTGGCGTTGAGCTGGTCATACCTCAGGATAGCGAGGAGGTGCAGAAGATATTACAGGCTATCCCAGAACAACCAGACCAGCCAACGGAGCAGACCGGCGCACGCATCAGAAATTTGTCGCGTCTCCTGAGCGATCATCCAGCACCCGAAGATGCCTGGCTGCAGATACCTGTCGACGCAAAAACGAAGCTGGCTGTGAGTCCCGCCTCGAGCCCGCGACTTCATCTCTAAGATTTCGCTGACTTTTTTCAGATTGCCAAGCGCATCACACAGCTCACCGGCCGCCGTATATCTGACCCGGTTATTTCGAACGCGACTACCGTCCAGGACTTGTTCGATGCGATCAAGATTAAGGAGAAGCCCAAGAAGCTTGCACGTACGGAAGAGCTCCAAACGCTACGAATCGAGTTACCGAACGTCGAGGTCCATCCAAAGCGTCGGAGTGTCATCGATAAAGAGAAGCGCGTGGGGCGGTGGAAGGTGATTGAAGCAGAGCTGGAGGCGAGGGACCTGCCTGTCAAGGGAAACAGGTATCCGCAATCGAAGACAATCATCGAGCCACAGCTCAGCAGGCTGCAGCGGAAGCAGAGACGGATGCAGAAGGCATGATTCGATGTCGCTTACATCGCTCTTTGTACAATATCATACAGTCTTCTACAATCAAAGATTCGCCTCGCCATGCATTTCAAAACTCAAAAATCCCAAGACCATGCTATCTTCCAGTTATCCAGCTCGTCCAGCTTTTACTCGAATCCACTATCACGTTGCTGACCTTCTCCGCCTGGCGGTCCAGTGGCCCTCCTAACGGCCGCACCACTTCCTCCACCCTCTCACCACTTCTCCTATTTGCTTCCACCCTCTCCTCCACAGCCTGTAGCACACCCTTATCTTCCTTCTCTCCCAGCAACTCCTCCCCACTTCCTACCTTTGACACTTCCCTCGTCCCACTCCCTAACCGCCCTCCCTTCTGTTCCTCAGTCGACAGGCCTCCAAATAACCACCCCGTCGTCCTCTTGAACACCCCAGGCCTACTCCTCTTCGCCTCTTCCGCCTCCATCGCCGCTCGCTCCCTGTTAATCAACAACACCTGGTCCTCCGTCGCTCTGCCAGCATCCAATGCCAACTTCGCCTCACCCAACTCCTTTGCGCTCTTCGCCCTCTGCTCCGCCATGAACTCGTTCCTCCGTCTTCGATTATGGATAATCATATCCGCCGCCCCAGCACCGAACACCATCGCCGACACCACCGTCAGCCCTATCAGCCCGTACGCTGTAGCGCGGTGCGCGCGGTCGGCCCATGCTCGGCCTATGCGGACTGTCCGGTCAAAGGGCGTTTCTTTGAGAGAAGAGGCTTTGGCTGCGGCGGCGGCGGCGCGGAGGCGGGAAATTTTCTGTTGGGGCGTTTCGTTTGCTGGAGCAGGGCCTGGAGAGAGGTGTATTTGGTTGGTAGGTTGTTGGGGGTTAGAGGAGAAGGAGGGCGAGCTGGAGGCGTAGGGGCCGGTGGCTGTGAAGCGGGTTGCGTCGGTGGAGGAGCGGGCCATGTTGGAGGTCGACTTGGATGTTATCGTTGGCGGAGATATTGAGGTCTGTCCATGGGCTGTTGTGGTATTGTCGACTTGAGATGGGAGATTGCTTGCTCTGGAAAGTTTCCTGGTGATGATGCATCATGCACGAGATCTACGAATGGCTTGGCGATCGGTTTCGCCGACTTCACATGCTCGATGTTTGATGCTATCTCACAAACAAACGCTATTTAACTTTTCTTGCGTGGTCCTTGCCGCACCCTTCAGATTTTAGTCGTCGTACCACGTCGCCTTCTAGACGCCTATCAACTCGCTATGGAAGGTACAACTGCCACGCCTGATCTTCAAGCGATACTGTCGACACTCGCGCAATTCTCCGCCCCTGTACAGAACCAGGAATCCGCTCAGGTAACTCAGAATCATGATGCTCAACCACGCGTAGAAACACCTATACCACGGCACTTCCAGCCTACGCCTCCAGCCGACGTAGAGAAACCCCGCACTCCGGATCCCCGTCTCAGGCCTCAAAGTCGTTCGATTGCTTCTCCTAAGCCCATAGACCCAGCGACAATCACGACCTGGCAAGATGGCCTGAGATGCGTAACCAAGATCGCAGCACAAAACGCTCAATTTGCGGCAACCATCAAAAAGGTAAGCTTTTCTTGGAGAGATCCCCAAAAAGAACCCAGAATTCATTGACATTCTTTCAGATGATGGCAGACCAGCGGAAGCACGAGATGCGCTGGTACTCCGAGCGGCAGGCCCTCAAGCAGAAGCAAGTCAACCGTTCAAGTTCTTCAGCGCAAGCACATTCGATCTTGCAGTCGCTCGGCGGCGCCAACCCGTCAAAGCCCGCTTCGGATGCTGAGAGCAGTTCAAGCAACGAGGCCGAGCTGGCGAGTTTCGATCAAAAGATCTACGCTGCGCAGGTAGAGATGGAGACGGCGATGACGGCTGAGCTGAAGGGTTTGGGCGTGCCGTTTTTTGGTACGGATCAAAGCCTAGTAGTGTTGGAGGACGGGATGGTGAAGGCGCCGCCAGAAAACCAGCCCAAATGGAGCCCGAATATCACAGAGAAGCAGCTCTTAGAGCTGCGGCGGCGGATGGTCGGCCATCTGGAGGACCTATACCGGGACTGAAGAGGCGCTCCCTGTTCTTGTTGCGCGCTTTGAAGTCGTGGCATGATATCGATGTACGGTGGTTGCTCAATGGCGTCGACAAAGCTCCCTCCATGGCAATGATCAAGCGCAGTCACTCCGTGGCTTGTGGGAGCTCTGGACGGCCAGGATGCAATTGTCTGGCTACCTGGTTCGTGACGGAAAGTCTCATGTGAAAGACCTATCGTCTACGGTGCGCTGCCACGCTGAAGCATGTGCAGTATCCTCTATTGTGTAACACGTGTCCGGCGAACAATGAGTACTGTAGGGATGGATCAATGTCAGCGCCATTGACACCTATTGTCCCATGAATTCAGGTCTGTGGTGTTGTCTTCTTATCTCGTCGCTTTTCCTGTGTCTCCTTGTTGTCCACCCTGAACCTACACCACCCTACAAAGGCCAGCGTACCCCATGTTCAACCCGTTGGCAAGAGCAGTTGCGACACAACCCGAAGACTAGTATAAGTATTAGAGTCGGTGAATGATCTCGGTCCCTCAAGTGCTCCCTCATCTTTCCCGGGAACGGCTTGTGGCACCCAGGTATGTTCATATGGCGCCAAGCTCACAACAAAAGTCCAACGTCATTTCATTGTCTGCACCCACCCTCCGCCCGGTATCAACATTGCGACTGACATCAACTTAATCAGCACATCATACCGCTCGTCAAGACGTTCGCTCCAGCAGAATCATCTCCGAACATCAACCACTCCTTCTCCACACCACAGTCGCTACCCACACCACCCAATGCGCGCAGGATTCGCCACCGTCGCGCTCGCGCTCGCGAGTGGCGTCTCAGCAGCCATCGTTGCTGTCGAAGCCAGCTTTCGATCGGCGACCGCCATTGAGCTCGAGCAGCCTAGCTTGCGACATGCCATTGCGCAGACCCAGCCAGAGGATAGCACATCCACGACAACCACGACGAGCACAAGCACCACATGGGAGACCATCACCGTCACGCTCGCGTCGGCCTCTCCCAGCTCTTCGACGTCCAGCTCGAGGTCCGTCGCAACTTCGTCGTCCAGCTCGAGCACCCCCGTGGCCATCACGCGTCCGCCAAAGTTCTTCCAGGACATCGCAGAAGACGAAATCACCTCTACGATTGTCGAGACTGTCGAGGTTACCGTCATCGCGCAGCCAATCATCACGACCTACGCCAACCCATCTGCTGGTGCTGGATGGATCGGTCGTCACGCTGGCGGAACCGATCTCGTCATGGAGCCACCCACCACCCAGCTGGCAGCGCCACCAGCGAACCGTGACGGCGTGATCACTCAGACACTTTCCCAGTTCACCACAAGCACGATTCCTGCGGTAAGCGCTGGTACACTGTCTTGATTTAGAAGAAGTTGCTGACCAAGCGCCACAGAGCATCACGACCACGTTCGTCACACGCGTTCCGCCGCCGGCGGCCACGGGCACGTCGTATCGGACCTTGGCCCCAGGCGAGAAGCGGGTAACCACGAGCCTACCACCTGGCGTAGCAGTTGTGACCTCCACAGCTCTAATAACCGTCACTTCGGGAGGTTCCAGCGGCATCTCCTTGGCTGCAGCGTCCGGTGCAGGCGTCATCTCGTCGTTGATGCCCTCAAATACCACATGCACCACGTCCACGACCTCTTGGCTCAACATTTCGACCTTCGTCGCCACGCCACTAGCCAACTGGACCGCATCCTCTGACTGGAGTTTTGCCAACTCCAACTCGACCACCAGTACCTTGACGAGCACAATCATGTCCACAAGCTCCCCCGCTCAGACGACTACGAAGCCGCCGACAAGCGATGAAGGGCCCTTCAAGGGAGCAGTGACTTCGCCTATTCGCAACGGATCGGGCAAGGCGGCTGAATCCGGCGAGTTTCCGGTGGTGACGACGGTTGCTGCGATGGCTGCTTGTCTTACTTTGGCTTTGATGTTGTAAGCGCGAGCGAACTTGCATCAAAAGGCGAGGCGAGGATGGCCGTGTCTCTCCAAAGGCGTTGCGGCATGAAAGGAGAGAATGACTCGCCTCTGGTAGGCCTGAGCATCTCTACAGATTAGGAGAACAGAAGGATGACGACAGACCTCCGGAGCAGCTGAACGATCGGAGTTCTTGAGGGCGTCTTATGGAGGCTGTCGGGGAAGGCGAAGAGGTACCTGCAGTATCATGTTTACAACCATCCTCTCATGTCCGTTCCCAACACTCTCGGACACGGCGATGCCCTTAAACCCAATGCAAACTTCGCGAGTCCGTACTTATTGACCGCCTCCTCCCTGTGCTCCCCCAACAGGCGCATAAGCGTGCCCTCTCCCACCCCTCCATCTTACAATCCACGGCTTCACCGCCGCCCACGCCAATAACCCAACCGTAGCAAAGATGAAGATGAACACTACCGCCTGATCCTTAGCACTGTCCCGCTGGAAACATGTCGTAAAGACGTCCTCTTCCGTCGCTTTCTCACAGATGGGAAGGTTGAGGTCGAGGCAGAACTGCTTGTTGCAATCGTTGCAGGATTTGTAGAAGGACGTGTGGTTGCTCTTAGTGTCGGTGGAAGCCGAGTTGTTGAGGTCCGGGGAGGAGGGAGTCGAGTCAAGGGGTATGATGGTTGAGTTGGAGAAGCAGGCGCATTTGCAGAAGGTGGTTGGAGCTGGGTATGAAAGTTAGCTTGAAGACGAGGTGGTGTAGGAGTGAGTAGATTTACAAGCTGCAAGGGCGAGGGAGAGATTCAAGAGGAAGAGGATGAGGTATTGGTATACTGGTCGTGCCATTGTCAGTGTCACATGGCTCTATTGCGATCTCATAGTCGTCGTCGAACTGTCCATACCATCCCGAGCGCCTGGGTCTAGACCGGGGAGTCCCGCCGCTTAAAGTAGCCAAATTCGACCGGGATCAAGACTCTTCGCAAGCGCCCACTTGAACACCCACACCCCACCCATTGCGCGGCTCGCTGGACGTTGTGCGACCAACGCAGAATACGATGAGCAGTATAGTATAACCGCCATGGGCAGTGCTGCCGCCGACGAAATCGCTACAGAACGAGTGCGACTCTACATCAACCCGCTCAATCCAGAACTATTAAACAAAATTATCGCACCTTCGATACTGCCGCAAGCGAGTAACATCTCTTTCCACACTGTGCAAACCTTCCCAGAGCGTGGATTCGGATACGTCGAACTGCCCGTCATGGCCGCGCAGAAGGTCAAGCAGAAGCTCAATGGATCGACATTGAAAGGCACAAAGGTGCGCATCGAGGAAGCGAAGCCGGAGAGGAAGCGGAAAGCGGAGGAAGAAGGATACGACGAGGTCGAGGACGACACGGCAAGGAAGGCGAGGAAGTTGGCGAAGAAGGAGAAGAAGCAGAAGCGGGAGGAAGGTGTGCTACCCGGCATGGAGCTCGAGGATGGACGACGGGTCAAACGAGGATGGACTGAAGATGAGGCGAAGGACTCGAAGCGTAGGAAGAAGAGTGACAAGGCTGTTGGTGAAGCCAATGGTGATGGAGAACGACGATTACGCTTTAAGACTTCGCTGCCACCGAACGCTGTCCCATTAGCAGAGGAAGGGAAGGACAAGTCCAAGAAAAAGAAGAAGGATGGCGAGAGCAAAAGGGGGAAGGAAAAGACTGTTGTGCAAGAATTTGGGAGATCTAAGAAGTCGAGGGACGTCTCTTTCAATCTTGGTGATAACAGCAAGAGGGCTGCAAGGTATGAGGACGGCAAGGGTTGGGTGGACGAGGCTGGTGAGGTCGTTGAGGCAGAGCGTCCCTCCAAGAAGCCGAAACGACGAAAGCATACTGAAGACCAGGATACCATCATGGAGGAAAATCAAGCTCCGATTGCAGTCCGGGAGGTGGAAGAATCAAGACAGGATCAAGCGGATCCAGAAGAAGACGAAGACGCAGAGGAGCACGACAGCAATTCACCACACGACGAGTCAGTTGAGAATGAAAAAGATCAGCCTATGACTGCCGACAACGCAACGCCACCGATTGCTAAGGACGAGCAACCACCACCACCTCCAGTGAATGAAGTCCATCCGCTCGAGGCCCTTTTCAAGAAGCCTGCCTCCGGTGGAAACAGCGCTCCAAAACCCAAGCCTGGACCAATCGACACATCTTTCAGTTTCTTCGACGCCGGTGGAGATCAAGACGATGAGGATGTAGGCACGAATCAGCCACCTCAGACACCGCACACGAGGCGCGACCTAGAGTGGCGTAGCCTGCGCTCTGCAGCGCCTACTCCGGATACTGCAGCGATTGGGCGGAAGTTCAGCTTCCCTTTTGCGGGCGATCACGATGAAGACGATGACGGTGAGGACCCCAACGACCATGACGATGACGATGTAGAGTGGCGCAATACACAGCAGGCCAACAGTGGAGCGACTCGCCCTGAGGACGGCGAGCGAGGCGAAGAAAGCGGATTTCGAAAAAGGTTCTACGACGGTCGAGGAGACTTCAACCGGGGCTGGAAGAAGCGAAGGCGAGACGAAAGAAAACAGAAGCGGCAGAGGGACAACCGGAGGTTCAGTCAGAGGGTGGCATGAGGTCTTCAATGTGCTTAATACTCAACGCCCAGGACCAGTAGTGTTACACTCTACATACGAAGTTATCTTACAGACGTCAGGCGCTAACTCGACAAGACCCAACTGTACATATCCTTGCAGACCGTGACGCAAATCCAAGTTCCCAGTCCCACCTAGGCTGTGGGTAGCAAATATATTCGTAAGGTGGCTACTCTGCTCCTCGGTCATTGCCATCGGTCCCTGGGCACTGTAAAGTGTCGGCGTCCTGATTGTTGTCCAAATTCGCGAGATCCTGGGGCCTCAGTAGCTTCATCGTTGCGGTTCTCTACATCCTGTTCCATTCCTTTCTGATGCTTAGAGCTTCTCTGTTGCTCAATGTTGGGAGTAGTTTCTTCAAGTGTTCGCTTCTTGGGGGGCATCATGAGCGTGGACGATTACTTGTACAGAACAAAGATATGAGGCTACACCCAGGACATGAACTTGTTGGTCAGGATCAGAATTTGTTTATCGAGAAGACGTGAGGTCGACCCCGGCCAAACGCGCTAGCGACGCGTGACGTAATGCAATATCGAGAATCACATGCAACAGGATCATTTCGACCTTTTAATCAGAAACAACACAAGCCATCATGCCGGAATCACGATCGACGGAGCCGCTGGTATGGATCGACTGCGAGATGACAGGCCTCGACACCTCCAAGGACAGCATAATGTCATTGGCTTGCTTCATCACCGACTTCGAGCTGAATGTGCTGGATGAGAACGGCTACGAAGCCGTCATTCACCATTCGCAGGAGCAAATGGACGCCATGGGAGACTGGTGCAAAGACCACCATGGTGCCAGTGGACTCACTCAAGCTTGCCTCTCATCTTCCATGACAGCAGAGCAGGCCGCAGAAGAACTGCTTCAATATGTCCAGAAGTATGTGCCTGAGCGAAGGAAAGCACTCCTCGCTGGCAATACAGTTCACGCCGATAAAGCTTTTCTGGCTTTAGAACCCTGGAAGAAAGTCATCAGGTATCTACATCATCGCATCCTTGATGTGAGCGCCATTAAAGAAGCTGCCCGTCGATGGGCGCCGGAAGACGTGTTGAAGAGGAGCCCACAGAAGGCTGGAAAGCATGAAGCGAGAGCTGATATCCTGGAGTCCATCGAGGAAGCCAGATACTATCGGACTATGTTCTTCACTGGACCGTCGGCTTAGCCGACTTTGAAGCTATGCATGCTGTAAAACCCCCGCGGTTGATGGCTCGCCGTTTGAAGGCGGACGCCTTGGTCTCATGGATTTGGTTCAACACTGGGCAGTATCGAAAGATTTGCGGATGTCTTCATCACCATCAACAATGCTGCTGAGGACTGCAGTATCGGCCCACCGGCCCACTGTTGCCGCCCTGAGACACATCGCACCCGAGGCCGAAGAAAGCCAACAGAGAAACGTATCTTCCCACTTGACGACAAACGAGCGTTGGCATCCATCTCGCTCCAAAGCCATTGGTTTCGGCTCTACAGGCTGTTTGAAGTACACCAAGGTTAGGACGAGCTTGGGCTATCGCAGGACACTCCAACACCGGACCTGTGCGGCATGCCATGCGCGTTTGATATATTACGCTATCTCGATACGATGTCGCCTCTGTATCTTGTTCGACAGTGTCCGTATCAGGCCATAGTATCTTCTCGGCCCGGCAAGCCGTCCACAGTCCTCTCGCAGAGACAGGCTGCTAGCTGCGAGCCACGCTCTGCTCAAACGACCGTATCCCCTTCCAAGCTCCTCGTTTTGCAAACGGTCGCACGTCGATTGGAGGAATCTTTTGCTTACGACCGATGATGGGTACGACTAGCAGTTTCGGTGCTCCGAAGGGCGTGCCTGTGGACACCTGTGGTGAATGAGGTGTCAGGTCTGGATGATTTGAGTAGGTGGTGATGAGACTGCTGACAGTCATGACGGGTGCATCGCACGAATCTATACCTTTAGCCCTGAAAGGCATGCGGAGAGTGAGACTGGTCTGGCCGCTGCTAGCTGCTGTTCGACCTAGCTTGGATGAATTGTAATCACGCCTTCTCCATGCTGTCTGCATAAGATTCTCACGTGTACTCCCCATTCCCCGGTTTCGCCCATGGATAGTCTCCTGCATCTGAGGGTGTCAGACGAATCGCTACCGACGCCGACACCTCGCCGGCCATGTCGCAGGTACATGCAGCATTGCGGTCACATGGGCAGCGGGCACTCAATCGACCAATGGCTGCAGATCATTGAGAGCGACAACCGGCCCATGACGAGGAGACAATGACGAGCGATATCGCTTAAGCCAAAAGTGCGTGTGAAAGGAGAGCCGGGCTCCCTTGATGAGAAGCAGTAGAAACTCTCGTTACACACCAAGTGAAGTAACAGCAAGACTGTAGCGAAGTAGTCAAAGAGAGAGGACAGTGTGTCCCACAACTAATCGTCAATGTGATAGAACGAGTAAACAGTAGGCCGCCCCTGTTCCACATCCCCAGGCTCGCGGCCGCGAATGTGCCTTGTCAGAACGCTCGACGCGGCCTTTTTGATGCTGTAATATTTTAGTCACCTTCAGCGTGGTGCTTAACGCCGCGCATAGCTCGTTTGTGAATTCACCGGGGTACGCCCATGGCATTTCGCTGGGGCTGTCGGATCGCATACTATGGGTACCTCAATAATTCAAACGCTGCCGCAGTGTTTGAGGAGGAGGCACCCGCTCTTACGCCGCACCTTTGGGGTTCCCTGGCCATCTAGGTATTTCGAGGCCTGGCTCGCCGCCGTCCACACGCTGAGTAAAGGCATACGGGCTGTTGAAAAGCTTGCCTTTGGGGGAACTGGAATACTCTCATACGATACCGAAGTGCAGCCGGTCTGAACGGTATGAGATTGGACCGGTCCGGAAGGCAAGTTAGACCAGCGTGCGTATGTAGCCATGATTGGTCATCAAACACTATTATTGCTGTACAGAACACCGGGGCCGTCGGACGGAGTGGCTGAAATGCATTCCATACAAGAGGCCCTCTGAGAAGATCGCGTGGGAATCCGGGTTTGGGATGTCGTTGGTAACACCGTACGTGCGGCTTTGTGTACGTAAGATAGCGGCGTACGTCTCACGTGTCCGCGTGTGTTTAGATATGTTGCAGACCCAGCTCGCCAAGTGAGTGAATGTTGATTTGGGAAGGCCGCTTTCGCCCTTTGTCCCCACAGCCCGAAGCATCCGCTGGGTCCCGTACGGTCGCAAGATCTCTCCGAGAACAATTCGCTTCCGCTGAGTCGCAGCGCTGAGTAAGAAACAAACTGACCTCTACAGCTTGCTCGGTAGGCGACCACCCTCCCATACTACGCGCGCATCGTTGCGACAGCGACCATGCCACATGGAGTCGCAGAGCAGCATGGCATTCACAGGATATCGCTGATTCACTTGCGCGCAGGTCGCCTTTGCCGCCGTTGCCACCTCGCCGGAGGCTGGGACCACTACTAATAGCACAGTGCTGAAGGCGACACTTCCCACGACACCGACCAACAAATCCTCATAAATTGTCATACCCAGTCGACAACGGCGGCGCATGGTCTAGAGATCACCAATCGGCCGGGAGACCCCAACAGCGCACGCAGGCGTAAAGTCCGCAAGCAACAACCGCGGCGCCTGCACGCTACTTCCTGTGATATATTTGCTGGGCAACCAGTTGCCGGACTATGCAGCACTCGCCCGTCGCTCAGGTAAGCTCACTGTACGGCTTGGCTCAGCACATCAGGCCCTAATCGCAACCCGTCCATCCGTACATCACCCCGAAAGCAGTACCCACCTTGCTGACTCTGCTGTCTGTACAGGACCGCCCTTTGGAGATGAGTTAGTAATCCTACGCCTTCCCTCCCACTCCTTGACTCTCGATTCCGCTTTTACTGCGGAAACATGGTTCTCCGACCATGCTGACACAGTTCTTGCTTAAAGACTTGCGTGAGCAGCTTCTCGCCGCGGGGGCTTCTGCCTCTGGTCCCTCCCCGTACCCCCCCTCAAACGCTGCGCAGGGCTCACAGGACAATCCATATCACGGATCGGATTCTGCGAGCCCGCATGAACAGTACGACCAAGGTTCTGGAAACCAGCAAGCTTTCGGTATGAGCGGCGACAGTGCAGGCGATGAGGGTCTTAGTCCTGACGCGCGCAACAAAGGCAAGCGTGAGCTATCAACCAGCAAACGAGCTGCTCAGAACAGAGCGGCGCAGGTATGGGTCTCTACTATAGTCCTTCGCTCGGACTGAGCTAACAGCAATGTAGCGTGCCTTCCGGCAACGCAAGGAGGGCTACATCAAGAAGCTCGAGGAGCAGGTCAAGGAGTTCCAGACGATGGAGCAAAACTTCCGCGGCCTGCAGAACGAGAACTACCAACTTCGCGAGTACATCCTCAACCTGCAATCCCGGCTCCTGGAGAACAAGACTGAGCCGCCTCCGGCACCATCTCACCTTGGTCTCCAGCCTGGCTCGCAGCCTCCGCCTAGCGGCTCTACCGACTCTTCTTCCAATGTAGAGCAACAGCTTCGCATGGAGATGCGGAACGAAGGCTCCCACGACGCGATGAGGCACCTGCAAGCCGCTGCAGCGCAGGCAAGCGAAGCTCGGCCGGAATCCTCTCCATATGGCTTGGGTCGACGTAGCGACGACGCTGCAGATGCAAAGCCAGTGTCGTAGGACGTTTCCCGGCATCGCTTTCGGCGCATCACGGAGTTATGGAAGCCACGGGTCATTGTTGTCAGGAAGGTAACGTTCTGGGAAATGGCATTCATGGATGGGTGGAATGCATTGCGATATCCTGTTCGAAAGATGGAAGTGCGTTAAAACTGTGGTAGCATCGCGAGGTGCAGTGTCGGTTGGGAGCTCGTAACAGCGTGCTGACGGAGTCAACGTCACACCATGCGACAGCAGAATGGAGGGTGCAACAGCAACGACAGCGGTATCTCACATGGAAGCAGTTTCTCGCTTAGTATTCAATGGCCAGAGCGCCAAGAGCGATTATTGATACCGATCTTCACATCTTCATCCCATATCTGCCTCCGATCACCAGCCCACTCACGACGAGCTCATCAATGAAGGTGCGTGTATCAACAAATTCGCTGTGTATGTTGACTTCATCAGGGTGGCCAATTTCGGCCCCGAGTGATACGGGTGACACCGACGTACACCAAGATGTGTCAAGATGTCTGTCCGGTAGCTGAGCGAGCCTGTCTGGCGTCGTCAAGACTGTGCTTGGCTTCGTATTGATGTGTCAAGTGTAGAGCGCTGTGGTATCGGGCTCAACGAAGTGGCTGAAGTCGGTTCGAGGCCCATCACGTATCAATTCCCATCAAGACCCATCATACCACCAACGACTCGCAACCTAATGTAGCCGACGCTGCAAGGCCCAACGGACCTCGGGAAGGGCTACCAACGATCGAGAAGAGTTCGAGGAACGACAACCGCATTACGTCGGGCTCATGCGCCTTCGCGTACTTTGCTGCGTGACTGCACTACAGCGTCCCTCCAGACGCCACAAGTACCGCGTGGTCGTCTTCTGTGGAATTTGACACTAATGAGAGCGTTGTGTGGCAGCTTCAACCAAAGTCAAGCCACTCGGACTGTGCCCACGCGAGTCCTCTTGCTCGGTGGTTCACAGTTCCGATTCAGAGAACACCGACGCTTCAACATCTACCTCAGCAATGGCTTTGGTTACACGGATAGTGGGAGAAGGAGGAAATGCGTTCACTATTACGCCGCAAAATGCTTCAAGTTGATTACTCGTACAAGCAGTTCTACAGTTTGTTCACAGGCTCACCGCCCTGTGGGACGCCTTCTCGGGCAACGATCACTCATCCAAGAATACACTCAAGCTCCGAAGAGCCTACTGCTGACACGACCACGCCGCAACCGATCTCCCGATCACTCGGTGACCCCAGCCAACCACGACCTCGCTCCGCAGTACCAGGTGCAGTGGATCGCCTCCGCGGCTCCGAAACCCCTGAGCCATATCAGAACCGCCAGGTCGGTTCGCCGAGGCACCGGATGGTTGCCGTCCATACGAGGGTTGTTTGAACTAATGGTAAGGATGCAAGGCTCGTATGATCCGAGGTCAGGGCCCTTCGGTCCTGTAGCGGACGTTTCGGGGACTGTTACGAGATGCTTAGCAGGTTTTTGTCATGAGTCCTTGGCAGCTTGATCATTGTTGATGTTCAACAAGGCGGCAAGCAGAGGTCAGTGAGCCAGCTATTGGACCAGCAGCATGTTGCTGTGGTGCTGTCTGTGTGAGGGTCGCGTGACTTGCATACAAACATGCTCAACTGATGCTAAACAGGCGGTCATTGATGTTGAGAGCACGAAGAACCACGAACAGTGCTCAGCAGCAGGCAAGGCGCCCGAACGACGGATTCAGCTGCTCGAGTAGCACTGTCAGTTACCTTTGACGACAGACAACGCTTGCACCCTCGATTCAAGGCAACGCAGCCTTCCAAAGCCTCCCAGTACCTATCGACCACATCAGATTACCGGGACATGTCCCTCTCTGAGCCTCTGACACCGCGAGTCGGCTCTCGGTACACCAAGGAAGCTGCAAGGCGTTCCTGGCTCCCGGACCATCAGCAAGCGGCTTTTGCGTTGTCGAGAAACAGAAAATCGATTGCACCATTGCCATGGTCTGACGCATGACAACCATGTCGGACGGTGGAGCCTGACGACTCACTTCGATGACGGCCTGCCTTGATATCGACGATAAGAGCGGTCGAATGGTCCCTTTGAGCAGGAAGACGACATCGTTGCGACAGAAGATCTACGATAGTCCAACACGGGGCAGCCATACTTGACTGGAGTGAACAAGCTTTAAGACTCCAAGGCGCAATCCTAGACCGTAGATCCACTACTCAGCCGCGATCCCCCAATGACAACTTCTGAAGAGGATGGCCCGAAGACTGAGAAGACAAGATTGGGCCTTCAGAAGAGAACAGCCAGAGCGGCCAGGTATGGCGGCAATCCCACCGGTTGGAGAACCCGACATGAAGCAAAGCATAGCCAATTTGAAGAGCCATGACCGAGCAAATATTGCGGGCGAGCTGTGGAAAACAAATGTCTTGGGCATTCACATAGCCTGGAAGGATGGCATTGACGAGCAAAGATGCGATCCCGCACACCCATGGAGCTGGCGGTAGCAGTGGAGTGCCAGCAGAAGAGCCGGTGCGTCCATACTGCATGATTGTTGTTTCTTTGGTGTTATCGACGCCTGAAAAGGCAGGACAAGGCAGCACATCGGTACTTAGCATCATGCTCATGGCCCACGCAGATCAAGGGCTGGACCAATAACTTTATACCAAGTCCTTCGGATATCGACGATAGGTTTCTCCAAGCAGTCAAGTCTCAGCAATGCCAGCCAAAAATTCGGTCACAGGCGCAAACTCGTTTGGCCCAATATTTCATCGAAACAAGAGCATCAAAAGAGTTCACCAGCAGCGAGTCGCGAGGTAGCTACATCTCTCTTAGGTAACGCAATGCGCACCGAGTAAACCATGAAGGGTGCTGTTTTTCAGCTGCACACCGACATGTGAGGCAGACGGAACGTTGCCCTTGAAGCACAAATTTTGAATGTGCAATATAAAGGGGATTGCAAATATGGACAAGCTTACCGTTACCAAGCTTCTCAGAACCACGGCTGCCCGCAGCAACAACGTTGGAACGGGAACAATTAATGCATAGGAGGTAGGACTTGGGAGAGAGTGATGATAAGATAGTCTTCACTACCTACCTCACCCACCATCACCACCTACTGCGCAACATTCCCCGGCTTATACTCCTCCTTGAGCACCCACATCCCCCTCCCCCTCCCGCCTTTCTCCAACGTCGCAATCGCCTTCAACATCTCCTTGAACTCCGCCGTGCGCTGCTCCGTCCGGCAAAAGCGATTGAAGTGATCGATAAGCATCTGCGTGTATGCCTTGCCACCCTGCGCAACCAAGTAATCCCGTATCAGGATCAAGAAGTCTTTGCCCTTGGGGTGGCGATCTGAGCGCGCGTTCGCGGTGCGCGAAGACGAAGCTGCAGGGGACGAGACGGGCTGGCGGGCAGCGAGGTTCGCAAGGACGCTTGCAGAAGAGGGACCGCCGCGGCCGCGAGCGGATGCACCACCCCGGCGAGAAGCAGGTGGTGGGAACTCAGGACGTCCTGCTGAGCCCACGACGCCCGTCCATGTCGGTACACCTGCTGGAATCGTTCGCGCGACTTCGCCGGCTCGCTGGAGCTCCTTGGCGGCTTGGGAGGCGACACGGCGGGCTTCGCGGGCGATTATCTCGGGGTCGGCACGGACGGTCTTGCGGCCGTTGATGATGGCGTCGTGTTCGAGGGCGCTCTGCACGCCGGTGCGGGCGAATATGGAGGAGAGCATGCGGTCGTCTTTGGTGGAGGCCTCGGCTGACGCAGGGCCTTCGGCGGTGTCGTCTTCGTCGCCGGTGCGGAACTCTTCTTGTCGTGAGATGCCGGTGACATCGTCGAATTGTGGTCTGTTCGATGCAGTCTGATCCTCGGGTGGTGTGGGCAGGCCACGCTCTTCTCGGCCTTTTGAAAGCTGGACTTCTGTGCCTTTGAAGACCATGCCGGTCTCAGTCTGTCCGTCAGGCATAGCGTCGCCGAGTGTGAAGAGGTCGTGCAGATCTTTCAACTGGAATGTCTGCCTCTGCTTCGGATCCCGCAAGATCTTGTTTGTCAAGAATTGCTTGAAGATCTGTCGATGGTAGATCTTCTCCTCAATTGTACCAGCAGTCATGAGCCGGTAGATCTCGACCTCACGCTTTTGGCCAAGCCGCCAGGCTCGCTCACGGGCTTGTACATCTGTGGAAGGGTTCCAATCCGGGTCATAGATAATCACACGGTCCGCACCAGTCAAGTTGACACCAAGACCACCGACTTTGGTAGTGAGCAGAAAAACATGCAGGTCTGGATCACGGTTGAAGTCGTCCACCAGGTCTTGTCGATCCTTGATATTGGTGCTGCCGTCCATGCGCACATAACGAAAGCCATCCATGTTCTGGATGAACTTCTCCAAGATATCGAGCATGATGCGGTGCTGTGCGAACAGCAGCGTCTTATGGCCACGCTTCTTCCAAGTCTCGAGCAAGGCTTTGACGACTTGCATCTTCCCGCTCTTGTGACCGCTGCCGTAGACATAACCGCTCTTCTTAGACAATGTCCGGTGCTCGACCAGATCCGGATGGTTGCAGATCTTGCGTAGGATGTCGACACCGTAGAGCGCTTGTCGTTTGCCGGCCATGATGGACTTCATCTCTTCAGAGGCGAGGAACCACTCGTAGGCATCACGCTGCAGCTTCGTGAGCTTGCAGAAGAGTACCCGTTCGCTCTTCTTTGGCAGGTCAGTGGCGACATCGACCTTGAATCGCTGCAGCAGGTACGGCGAGATAGTGTCTTTCAGCGTTTCCGCGCACTTCATCGCCGTCTCGACCTGCAGGTTTGAAGCATTGGCATATCCGCCCTGCTTGATGGGTATCTCGAACTGGTTCCGAAAGTTCACCAACGTACCAAGTCGCATCGGGAAGATGAAGTCGAACAGACTCCACAGCTCAGTCAAGTTGTTCTGCATTGGCGTACCGGACAGAATGATACGGTTGTGAGTGCGGAGCTCCTTGCAGTAGATAGTGATTGCTGTGTTGGGATTCCGGATCTTGTGACCTTCGTCCAGCACAGCATATTCCCAATCCGTTGGTATCAGTAGCTCAGCATATGTCTGAAGGCCGGAGTAAGTGGTCACCAGCACGTGGCCGTCTCGGGCGACTCTGTCCAAAATGCGCTTCGCAGACTTGTGGCCTTTGCTCTGTGTGCTGCGCCGACTGTAGTTGTCATCCTCGAGCTCATCCTCGATCCGCGCTTCTCGCTTCACATCAAGCATGCCGCTACCAGACGTGTGCAGGATCGAAACACGCAGAGGTGGCCACCAGCGATGGAACTCATTGACCCACTGCTTCATCACTGTGGCCGGACAGACGATGATGATCGGCTTCTTGAGCTTTCCCGAATAGTGTAAGCCGGCAAGGAAGGCTATCACCTGGATGGTCTTGCCTAGTCCCATCTCGTCGCCGATGATGCCGCCGACTTGCTGCGAGTATAGCTCCCACAGCCATTGCACGCCGGTCTTCTGGTAGTCGAAAAGCGAGGGGTAGATGTCGCCCGGTATCCGGTATCCACCCTCAAACTCCGCATCTGTCCGGCTCGGGTGCGGCATAGTCCACTCTTCTCCATCATCTTCCGTTTCAGGAACAGCTTCGTCTGGTTCAGCGCTACCCTGGCGGCCTTTGGCCTTCCGCCGCGCAGCGCTTCGCCGTCTCACCCAGCTCTGCAGGCGCGCTTGGTATACCTGCTCGTTTCCATCATCTATACCAGCGAGATCTTCCTGATCTTCTTCCTCGTACTCTGCAGCTGCTCGCTTCGTCGCCGACCGCTTACCCTTGCCTTTGCGCCTGATGCCCGGCGTTGTAGCGATGACTTCTTCGCCGTCTGGCATCGCATCTTCGTCACTCGCTGGTCCAGCGTCCACGGGGTCAGGTTCGAACGTATCGGACTCATCAGCGGCCGGCGTGCTTGTGTCTTCCGATGCAGCTCGCGCTTGCCGCGTTGACTGCAGCCTCCTTCGCTTGGTAGGCCGACCTGAAGTGGCAAACTCTTCATCCTGCAACTTCCGTGCTAGTTCTGCATCACCATCGGTGTCACCAGCGGTATTGACGGCCGCGGAAGAGTCGTCCTGCTCAAACCCAGGCGCAAGTAGATTGCGATGCGACACAGGACCAGGCTTTCCAGCCTCTTCCTGCTCCGCAGCCTCAACATCTTCCTCCGGCTGATCGCCCTCCTCTTCAGCGTCCAGCAGCACGTCTCCTAAACTCGATGAGGTCTTCAATAACTGCCGGCCCATCTTTGAGAAGGGCGTGATCTTGCCCGTGCGGATGAGAAACTCACGCTGGCTCTCGCCAGGTAGCCTCTTGTTGGCAGCATCTTCCGTGTTGTGCTGCTCTGCCTCCTCTCCGTTCTTCGCGCGCTCCGCCATGCGTCGCTGTATTTGCTCCAAGTCTACATCCAGTGTCTTGATCTGTGCTGTGTAATGCTCGATCTCCTCCTTGTGCTTCTTCCTGGCGATGGCACCCACGCCGAAATCGCCCACCTTCTTCTCAAGAGCCTTCACCTGCCCGAGTAGACGATCTCTGTCCTTCTGCGTCTTCTCGAGACGCTTCTTGTCGCGCTCGTCTGCCTGCTCGATCAACAGCTGATCCGCTTGCTGTCCGATGGCTCTTTCGAGGTCATCTTGATCGCGTACGCCGGCACCGAGATCGGCAAGCTGTGCTGCTTCGTCGCTGTCGTTTACGGCGTCGTCTTCGGTAGCGGCAGGCTTTTCGTCGGGTCGACTCGCATCGATTGCTTCCATTGCGGTGCTGTCGTTGGCCGGTGGTGGCGAGACGGCTTCTTCGTGGACCACACTGTCCGGTGCTGCTTCTCCAGGTGAAGCCATGACGGTGACCGTGTCAAAGGACTAGCGCAAGAGCACAAAGCCGGTGAATGCTAGGCAGCGCTGTTACTCATCGCCTTAATCGTTTCGAAGCCTGCATGTCCGGTGAGGTGAGAGGTGAGATGTCGGTGTGTTGGACTCAGTGTCCCCCTTTGTTGTTTCCCCGTTGTTCGTCACACTCCCCGTACGTCGATGTGGAAGTAGCCGCAAGCGTGAGGTGAAGTTGCAATTGTCTTGTCTGGTATGACGCGCTTCCAGAGTGTTTCGAGACGCACGTGCCTGATCGGCGGGTGAACTCTATCTGCCTGCCGAGATCCGAGAAAGCTTGGCGCTATGCGTCGACGTTCGATTGGCGTCTCTCCATGAAAGCAGACAGCGACAGCGACATCACGACGAACTTCGGAGGCTGCTCACACACACACACACAGTATACACGGCGCTTTCTGGTACCGTGTTGTCAACTCCGCCTGAAAGTGGGGATGCGATAACAAAGACACCACCACCTCAGCCTGACAGCAGCTCACCATGGCCTCACTTCCACCACGTCAAGCCTCACAAACGCGCCGAGCCTCGCCCGATCAGCCATCCGACGCACAGCAGCAGCATCAACCTTCTCCATCGCCAGTTCGGACACGTTCGGAGGACTCCCAAACACTCTTCCTCAACAAGCCCGGGGAAGCTGCTGCCTCGCAACCGGCTCAAGACTCAGAGCAGCCTCAGAATCCACAGGCCTCAGAAGGGGAGCCAGAAGAGAAGCAATGCTGGATCTGTTTCTCCGACAGCTCAGAGGACACGCCGGAAACATCGCCATGGCGGAATCCCTGCCCATGTGCCCTGGTCGCTCACGAGGCTTGTCTGTTGGACTGGATAGCTGACATGGAGGCCCCCAACAACCGGCGGCACAACGACTCACTGTCCGCCCCGAAGATAGAGTGTCCACAGTGCAAGACGGAGATCAAGCTGGCAAGGCCACGCAATTTGGTCGTCGATGCGGTGCGCGGAGTAGAGAGGCTGGGTGGACAGATGGTCACGCCTGCTGCTCTGTCGATACTGCTTGGAACGGTCTACCATTCTTCCATGGCATGGGGTGTCCAGAGCATCTACGCAGTCTTTGGCGCAGCAGATGGCTACCGGATACTGCGCCCGCTCGTCCTGAACAACGTCCGGGCACCCATCGAGATTACGAGGTTTATGACTCGCAGACAGATCCTCGAACGAGTGGGCGAGGCCCTTCTCGTGCACTTCCAGCACTGGCGTCTATACGTCGGTGTTCCTCTCATCACACCCATACTCGTGCTTTCGAGAACATCGCTTGCCGACACAGTGCTGCCTGTATTACCGATCGTCTTCTTTGCGTCACAGGCCAACTCGATGCAAGACACGGGCGACTTCGCCGTTTGGCCACCTTCTGCCAGCATGGCATTCGCAACACTTCCCTACATTCGCTCAGCGTACAACTACTTCTATCGGCGGGTATTGATGCCGAAGCAAATACAGTGGTTGAAGGAGATACAGCCTCGGCTTACTCAAGAAGCGGGAAATGCAGAGGGTGGCAATGGCGAGCAAGGAGCGGAAGGTGGACAGCAGGGAAACATGGGACCTAGAGAAGACGACGACAATGTCTTTGAGGTGAGGATTGATGGTGGGATATGGGACGACTGGGAAGATGAAGACGAGGTTGAGGATGCGGCGGCTGCACGACAAGCCGTTGAAGAGGCTATCCAACAAGCCCAACCACCTCCTCAAGACCAGCCACAGCAGGGTGGTAACGACAACGCCAATGCAGCCGAACAACCTCAGCAAAACCCTGATCAACAGCAACAACCACCGCAACAGGCCCAGCAACAGCAACCCCAGCAGCAAGAGCAACAACCCCAACAACCCCAACAACAACAACAGCAGCAGCAGCCCATCGGTGAACGCCGACTCTCCTTCTCTCCCACCGCCATCGCAGAAACCGTCCTCGGCGCCCTCATGTTCCCCGCCATCGCTGGCGTCAGCGGCGAACTGCTCAAATTCTGGCTCCCCAGCTCCTGGACCACCCCCAAGGTCGTGCGCAGTTGGAGTGGAGGTCGAAGCGTGGCGAAAGGTCTGCTGCAGGAGAAGTGGGGGAGGAGTTTGGTGGGAGGTTGTTTGTTCGTGGTGTTCAAGGACGCCGTGATGTTGTATGTGCGCTGGAAGATGGCGGAGATGCATCGGAAGAGGCGGGTGGTGAATTGGAAGGGGCCGAGGAGGGGGAGGGCTTGATTTCTCGTCCTCGAATGTCCTGAGAACTCATCGCCTCTGACCTTTACCGTCGCGACCCCGAACACAGAGAGGCCGGGCCAATTCACCGCTTCTTCTTCTTCCCTTTTGGACGATCCTCGCTCGGCTCCTTCGCGGTGGAAGCTTCAGCTGCTGCTGCTGCTGCTCCTGTGCCGCCCTCGCCAGCTCCTCGCTCCCTGCCAAAGTGCTCCGCAAGCCCTCGCCTCAGATACTCCATATCCAGCCGCGCGGTGTCACCCTCCTCAGTCCGGCCATTCCGCGTCTTCTTCGCCCTCCGCCTATCCTTCGCGCTTATGACCACGGTAAACACACATTCGAGCGCTTCTACTGCTTCCTGCTGCCTCGGTGGCGAGCGGTCTAAGTTCTGGGCACGAAGGTGGTTGATGAATTTCGGGAAGGTGACTTCGCTACAGGACTTGTAGTGTGGGATCACCAGGCCGGAGGAGGTGTAGACTTTCTTCGGTTTCGGCTGCGGTTGGAATCCTTTGTCGCTGTTCTTTCTGCCTCGCCGTTGCTAGGCGGCAGGGCTGGATGGTGTGCGAGCAGATGTGTTAGAGGCGAGGCCGAGGGCTTTGAGGCCCTGGAGAAGGATGCGGGACATGTTGGGACGATGGAGGACGATGCATCATTTACTTTCCGAGCCATGCTATATACCTATAGGCAAACCAGCTCGTGCTGCGCTCGATGCATTACCCAATTTGCTGGAACGCTGTGACTGCGCCTACGGCTGAGACTCCCTTGCTTTGTCGGTGATCTATACTGGCGCGCGAGAAGGCAGCAGAACAGCACCAGTGGAGCCGCATACTTCAACGGGGGTTCCATGGTTTCACGACAGCAGGAGGAACGACGGCCGGGTGCGTTAGGTAGTGGACAGGGTGATACGTAAGGCGGATTCCACGGGTTAACAGCTCGGTCTTTGCGACAGATCACTTTACCTACATGTATCCAGCTTGCCCAGCGCCGTTGATAACACTGTAGGACAGCTCTTCTGATAGAGATGATCAACTTACGCCTATGCACACAATTTTCCTCGAGGGAGCAGACCTTCGTGAAGTAATCCAACCGTGATATTGCTGCCCGCTCAACGCTGCAGTAAAGTCGTACTACGTCGCCCACAACCTCTTCATTCATCACCACCAGCTTCCATCATCCACAACTCCAACATGGAGACCAGCCCGACCAATCTGTTCAGCGTGAAGGGGATGGTCGTCTGCATCACAGGCGGCGGCACCGGTGACTCCATCTCCCTTATCACAACGACAGCCCAGACTACTAACACCCATCCCAGGCATCGGCCGCATGATGACAGAAGCCTTCGCCGCCAACGGCGCAGCAAAAGTCTACGTCGTCGGCCGGCGGAAGGAGAAGCTAGACGAGACTGCTAAGCTTTCACCAAATATCGTGCCCTTAGTTGGCGATGTTACGTCTAAGGAGTCTTTGTGTGAGGTCGCAGAGCAGATCAAGCAGGAGACTGGATTCGTGAACCTGCTGTGCTGTAACAGCGGGACGATGCCGCCGCCGATTGGGGTTAAGAGTACGGAGGTTAGCGTGCAGGAGTATGCGAGGAAGGCGCTTGAGCAGTGAGTACTGTCTCTCTCTCTCTGCCCAGTAGTGAGGGTGTTATATGTGTGCTGACAGGCCACTCTTGTCTGTAAAAGGAAGACGGAAGACTGGACCACGACCTTCCAGACAAACAGCGTGGCGGTGGTCTTCAACACCTTTGCCTTCCTGGAACTACTGGACGCTGGAAACAAGAAAGGAAACTGTCCGGGACGAAAGAGTCAAGTCATCGTTACGAGTAGTATTGCCGGCTACTTGAGGGTGCCTGGAAACTTCGGGGCGTATCCTGCTTCCAAGGCCGGTACGTCTCTGTCTCCTCCATAATCCGTCTCTGAAAAGCAGAATGAGAGCTAACTTCAACAGCAACAACACACATCGTCAAACACCTCTCCGGCACCCTAGCGCCCTACTCCATCCGCGTCAACGCCATCGCACCCGGTCTCTTCCCGTCCGAGCTGGCAGCAGGTCTGATCGCCCAGGGTGGCAAGACGGACAAGGACGTCACGGAGGAGGGAGCTTTTGACAAGAGCTTCATTCCTGCTGAGAGATTGGGTAGGACGGACGATATTGTGGGAACGATGTTGTACATGGCGAGTGCGGCGGGGAGTTATCTGAATGGGAATATTCAGGTTCTGGATGGGGGGAGGATTTCGCAGTTGAATGGGACGTACTGATCTTAGGATGCAGGATAATTTCGAGAGCATAGTGAGTGGGCAGTGGATAGATGAACGGACGATAGATACATGAATACAGGGCTACGAACAGGAAGATTTTCTCGCTGCCCTTCGACGTAGGAGGTAGTGTCGTGCTTCAAAGACATGGTGCCAATTCTTCTTGTAATCATCGATATAACACTGCCAAGGCCAATGGCAGCTGCAAAATGACTGCCATCCACCCGACTGCTTCAGCAAAAGCTCGCAATGCCAACGGCGGAGTCAGAGGCATACCGGCTCACGACGACGACAGACCGGAGGAATTCAACCGCCGCCGTCTCCACACAAAGATTGATCCCCATCCAACAAAGTATGAATCACACACAGTGACTCTTCACGAGACGAGAAAGAACAACATATAAGGCATTTTACAAGACGTCCCGACTGTACATCTACAAACACGAGCATCAGCCGCGACCATGCCCGTCACCATCTCCCCACTCCAGCGCTCAGACATCCCGCTCTTCGTCCGCATCGAGCTCGAAGCCTTCCGCTCTCACCCACGGATCCCCATGCTATGGCCACGAGGCTACACCGACGACCTCTACGCCTACTACGAGTCCAACAAGAATAGAACCTTCGACGATCCAGAATGCCAGTTCCTGAAAGCCGTGGATGATGAGACCGGGAAGATGGTCGCTGTCTCCGAGTGGACGTTCTCGCTTGACACCAAGAAGCAAGCAGAGAATGAAGCTGTTGATCCCAACGGCGCACCGCCAGCGAACTGGCCAATCGATGGGAATTGGGAGTTGAAGAGGTTCTTTAGCGTGAATTCGGAGAAGTGGAACAGGGAGTGGCTGAAGGGGCAGCCGTATATTGGTATGCTGGTCCACTAAAGTGAGACGGAGATGCTAACGCTGTAGCAGAGCTCAACTTCCTAGTTACAGATCCGGAGTACCAAGGCAAAGGCGCGGGGACAGCTTTGCTCTCCTGGGGCGTGCAGCAGGCCGACAAGCTGGGAGCACGGATGGCGCTCGAGTCGACTCCGGCCGGCCTTTCCCTGTACAAGCGTGTCGGATTCCGACAGGCGGATGTCATCAAGGCGGACATGAAGGAGTTCGGGTGGACGCAGCCATATGACCCAGAGGCGGCCAAGAGGGTTTGGATGGTGCGGGACCCATCGCCTGGTAGCGCTTGAGCGCTATTCAGTGTTCGTGAGCCATGTGGGTGGAAAAGGAAGCGAGTAGATCAAGCCAGAACTTCCAGCTCATATTGTCAAGGACTGGTAGCGTCCATACGCTCAGCAGCTTTCAATTCCCCAAGAGCCCGGTGTTCCTCGCTCCTTGTGTCGAACCGCAGCGTTTCGGCGAGTCGGTCGTGCAGTCGTGAGAGATCGCGCTTTGATAGCGTAGCCTCAAGCTCTTCCATGACATCGGGCTCTTTCACGCCCAATGACAGCAGTTTGCGAGCAGCCCAAACGATGGTCTCGAGCGCGGACGGCTCAAGAGCTGCAGACGCTTCAAGTCCTTGAGACTGCACACTGTCTTGACCGTGCGCCTCTATCCCCTCCATAGGCGAAGATTGTGCAGGTGCATTGGAGCGGACACGCTGTTGTCTTTGCGCATCCTTGATCTCGTCGAGCGCGGACCTGAGCACCAGGCGAATTGTCGTCAAGTCCGGCTGAAGTCCGCCGTAGACGACAAGCTCGCTTTGTGGGTTTGTCGGAAGGGTAACGACATTCCGGATAGCCGCCTCCTCGGCAAGAAAAGGCTCGAATCTAGCCATCTGAACTTCTCCAACGTCCTCGTCGTGAGCTGGCATATCTCCGCTTTGTGCTTCCTGGATGGGGCCGGACCAGAAGGCATCTATCACACTACGACCTCTCGCAGCCCCAAAAGCCCCAATGATACCTTTCAGCATTTCGTTGAATGCTCTGGTACTGATGTAGCACCTGTAATACGCCTGTTGTGGCATGAGCGCCTTGCAGAACCCAGCCCAGTAGTTGTCAGCACGAGACAATACTATCAGCAGAGTAGCCACTTGATCCCGGAAGTCTTGACTTTGCTCATAAGTGATCTGAATCGCCGTAGTGAATAAGTCTCTGGCCTGGCTGAAGTCTTGGAAAGGTTGCTTGTTCTGGGCGACCGTCTGTTCTCGACGAGCTTCACTGTCCTGGTGGCCTTTCTTCTTTCGGTAGGTTGTCTTGTCCTCGCGAACTTCCTCGCTGTTGAGAGTCTTGGGATCTTGATCGACAGTCCTTTCGCTGTCCTTCCTGGCGATTCCATACTCTTGTAACATGGCACGAGTGACATGAGCGATACTGCCTATGTCCAACCCATATGCTGACATCTCGTGTACGTGTGTCAAAATCTTGCCCGCTGCGGCCCAGTTTTTTCGTTCGACTTGACTCCTGAAGAACGCTCGGAGGTAGTCCGGCGGTAGAGAGGGGTGCTCATAACTGGCCAAAGCCTTGCGTGCATTCACGATCTTGGACAGCAGCGACCTGTCGTCCGTTTCGGAAGCAAATCGAATGAGTGCTGGGGCTACAGCAGGATCCGTATACAAGTGCGCCGGAATTACGGGCCCGTCGATTTCCGTACTGTAGACCATCCAGGTCGCGAATTGATATGCGCCAGCATCAATGACAAGATCAAGGAAGGGGCCAAGGATAGTAGGCGGTATCTGCATCTCGAATGCAGGGTATGCGATGCCGGGAAAATTGCTGGTGAACGTCTCGGATTCTGCTCTGTCCTGATTCCTGGGAGCCCGGTCTTTGGTGAAGTCCCAGACCGACCGTTCCTTGTTGATGTCCGCGAATTCTTGAAGTGATCTGAATACTTCAAAGGCGCCACGCACGTCTCCGGCGTGCATTCGCGAGCGAAGTGCTCGATGGTGAAGTCCGACGATCGCAGCGCTGCCGTCGAAGACGTACTCTGGTACGTCTCGTCCGAACGGTAAGCTTAGCTCAGCGCCCATCCTGGGTGATAGCTTGCTCAACGATTTGAATGTTTCGACACCATGATCTATGCGTTCACCATGGAGATCCGCAAGCCGAAGGAGGACAGCATCCCAGGAGCCAGCTCCAAGCGACAGTCGTCCACGCCGGAGGAGCTTTTGCAAGGTCAGGATGCGTTCAATCACGTAGCTGGCGGCCAACCCTCGCTCACCAACGCCCTGCCGTGTGGAACTGGCCAACGCATCAATATAAGCATTGATGACCTCGCTACTAATTGTCCTGTGCACTGGAGCTTCTATTGGAACGTCCGGCTCATCCATGGCTGAGGGTGGACGAGTGTTAAAGGCATACTCCAATTTGTCCCAATCTGGAGTGCTGCCATTGTCTTCTGGCACCATAGACCGCCACGCAAATGGCTTCCAGCCCGCTGTATATGATGCATCGAGCAGCTCGGCACCCTCCTTGATCCACCCGCCGTGCAGACATGCCCACAAAATCAGCTCTAGCCATACCTCCGGCCTCAGCCCAGCGACGTTGACTTTGTACCGTGAACCGGGTTTGGCGGGCCGTGATGAGTCGTCGGGGCTACTGTTTAGACGAGCCGTCCGGTTGTTCGACCTCTCGTGTGCTCTCCAGGCTGCGTCCGAGAGAGATATCAATATCCGAGACGAAAGCAGGTTCAGTGTGGGAGGCTGCTGAATGCTTGTCGAATCCGTGGATGGCTTCTGGTTGTAGATAGATGCAGGCATAATGCCCATGTGGTGCAAATGGGCAATGATTTCGAGGATCTCAGCCTTGATTCCTGTGTCGGCGCAGGCTGTCACCATGTGTCCCAGACTCCGCCAGATTTGACCAAGTGCGTTGTGAGCAAGTCGTTCACCTCGGCTGAGGTTATCGGGCTTGTCGCCTGTAAGCTGGTCCAAAGTAGCTTGGCCGGGCGCCGAAGGGATAAGACTTGCTTCAGGGCCAGGGGCATCCTCAACAGCGATCTTATCTTCAGTGAGTGCGTCTAGAGAAGACTCACTCTCCCACTGCCCAACAACGTGATGCAGGCGGCCATCTCTCAGCACTTCAGGTCCGAAGGCTTCGACAAGCCGCTTGACCAGCCATATAACGGCGTCCCATCTTTCCTTTTCTACCGCCAGGTAGTACAGCAAGTCGACGTCTGCGTAGACAGGCTCTTGTGCAGCCAATAGGATCTCTGCGACGTCCTCAATATTGGGAGTCAGATCGGCACGCGGTCCAGTATGGTCACGAAGGTGCGGTGGCAAGCCACCCTCTAGCAAGCTCGCCCAACGTTCTGGATCGCGCCGTCCTCTGATCTGTGGAAACCGTAGTCGTTGTGCAGTGGAGGATGGGTCAACTCGATGCCTGAGTCGTGCAACTCGAGCACGCCTCTCGCTTCTGGACTCCACGTGATCGGAGGCATGTCTCGTAGGAGCGTGTTGAAGATGGACGCTGGCTAGACATCGCGCGCCCGGCGCATGCAGTCGCCGCCATGCTTTCAAGCATGTCTGTCGGGGAACATATCGCAGCATACAATGTCTTGGGTGGTGTTCAGCGAAGAAGGTGGTGTGTATGACGGTCTCGAATTGAAGTCGGAACTAAAATATAGGCGTCGGCGAAGCTACAACGAAGACGGCCGAACTTCCGATTTGCTCCACGTACGCCACAACTCGTCTCAGCAACCCGAGCATAAACTTTACTCTCCCTGCAACTCCGCCACCTTAGCGTCCACTTCTGCCTCTGCAGCTTGCGTTTGAAGCTTATGGACGTTTTCAAAGTGACGCAATGCTCGCCAACGGTTCGTGTGCTTCGTGCTGCATCCTTCTCTCCAGCAAGTGATCGTCGTCGGCCATGCCCTCTTTCGTTGGGACTGGGTTTTCTGGCCACCAAGGGGCGTCCCCCCCGCGGTCGTTGGGGGCCGGTGGGCGTCTGTAGAATCGGATCGCTGCTCACCGCTGAGACGCCTGCGCTGGTCCGATTTCACATGCGCCGACTTGGGGGGGTAATACTGAAGCCTAGCGTCGCCTTGGATCTGGTGTACTGACAGCATATGATGGTCTAGCCGGTACGCGGAGGAGAATAGCTCAGTCTCCCGACAGTCCGGGACGCGGCACGCCGTAGGCCACCGACCACTATGGTCCTTCCGGCGATGATGCGCTAACGAGTCGCGGGTCTGGTACACTTTTGTCGAGCTTGGACATTGTGGGCATGTCTTCGGGATGAACTTCGAGTTGTGGGAGCGGTCGAGGTGACTTCGTAGGCGGCCAGTAAGGCGTGTCGGCCCGTCGTAGACAGTAGGGCCCGGGTCCGTGTCGACATAATCGCATTCGGCATGGTCGCACTGTCGGGCAGCCCGCTCATCAACGTCCATGTTTGACCACCGTAAAGACCATGCCGCTGCAATGTCATTCTTGAGCTTCTGGCGGCCCTCGCCGTTGCAGTGAATAGCGTGGTGCGTAAGCTCTGATTTCGTCAAGAACTCGTCGCGGCACTGTGAGATCGTGCACCGGAACATGAATGGAGCTGGCTTATCTCGAGAGTTGCCCTTATCGAAGGCGGTTGTGTCCCCGGTGGCCCACATCTTCGCAAAAGGGGTGTAGCAAATGATGTTGTACCGCGAATATTGGTCGATGAACGTCACCAAAGAGTCGTCTGGGCGCTGGGACGATTGCCTGTCGTCTAGCAGCTCGCCAAGCAGTAGCCTCGCGCTTTCATCTTGCTGATCATCCTGTACCGTCGTTCCGTTGTCGTCGATAGGCGTACCATCTCCGTGTAGGAAGATTTGTGTAGCTAGTCGGTCAAGGTCGGCTTGCTGAACGGTAGTCGTGTCGAGGGAGTCTTCATCGAGCAACTGTCGGTTAGTCGTCGTCTCGTCAGCGTTGTCTCGAACGCTCGGCAAGTCGGTCAAAGGGCCGGCTTTACGAGTCCTTGGGGCATTGGTCGAAAGTTCGGCGAGAGGCATCGATGACCCAAGCGTGTTTGCTGGTAATAACTCGGGTGGTAGCTCGTCCGCCTTGCGCTTGTGCCCGCTGCGTGGCTCGGGGGTCGCGCTCGCCACAATATCCCCGAAGCGCTGTTGTCGGAGTCGGGCGACCGCCGCCTTTCTACTCCTTTGCTGTCCGGTATCGTCGTCGTAAAGGTGCGGCGCGAGCTCGGAAGATGTCGGGCGAGCGCGTACAGTATGGTACACGTCGATAGTCCCAGGCGCAACGAACTTGGGCTCTCGAGGATAAACCGGCTTCTCGTGAGCGCGTAGTGAGTAGAGGTCGAAGTTTGTGTCGCCGATATATTCGTCGGTGTGGCCGTGGAATGCAGTCGTGAAAGAATGGCCGAATGAGCGGCGGACGTCCTCAGCAGTAAGACTGCCGGCGGCTGGGTCTGGGAGAGAACGTAGATCTCTTCCAGCGCCGCGGCGAAGTGCGTGAGTGTAAGCGCGGGTTAGCATGCCGGAGATCAGACCCATCGCCTTGATAGTCTGTAGTGGGCGCCAGGTGGCTACTGGTACATCAAGGTCGCATGCCCACCCGTCGGCGGCCTTGCCGACTAGAACAGGCCGCTTGGGAAACTTCCAAGTTAGACGACGGCCGGGTGTTGTGCTGGCGTGGTCGAGAACCGCTTGAATCGTGTCTCCACCGTCAAGTAGGCCGTGCCTGAGGGCATGGATCAGGAGGAGCGTGACCGGGCAGACGTGGTGGCATTCACTCTCCAGTAGAGGTTGTAGGTGCTTGAACATCGAGGTGTTGTGCTGCATCTTGTGACCCTTGGCATATGCTATCTCGACCGTCGCCCTCAGGTCCGCCAAAGTCACCTCCCCCGCCATTGTAGGAGCGTCGCCTACAAGGTAGAGCTCAACATGCTCATATCGCATCGCCTCCTGGTTGCTGTACCCAGAGGTACGGGCGACGTCGCCTACCCGGCAGCCCAGCGCCGCTTGAAGTACTATCGCTAAGCAGTCGGAGACGACAAGGTCGAAGTTGTTACATCCGTAATCGAGCCAGTGTTGGAAGTAGTCACGGACGAGGCGAGAAAGCGTTACGAAGCCGATCCAGGTCTTCTCGTGCCACGTACCCGTCATCAGGCGTTGGTCGGCGATTAGCTGGTCCATGAAAGTCCGGAAACGTTGCGTGTCGTGAGAGTCCCATGAGAAGTCCCGCCATTGCCATCTGCCGTATCTGATAATCGTAGCACACCCGGCCCACATGGAGCTAGCGCTGGGTGCAGGCTTGCCGGCGCTCAGTGTGAGTTTGCCTAGAAGGCTAGAAGTCAGCCGAGTGTCGTGGTAGCGTCTCATGTAGTAACCTACCGAGAGTTGATTCAACGAAGCGAATCAACTGGACGTAATTGAATGGTCGCTCGGCCGTCTGGCCAAGGGTGTTCTCACGGAAGTACGTGAAGCGATTGTACTACAACGCTTCATGGTCCCGCGTGCTAGGAGCGCCTCCTCCGCCGAACTGGAGGTTTCTGATCGTCGTCTTGGAGGTGTTGCGGTCATGTTCGGCCTCGGCGGCGTAGCGTTCGATCGATGCTTGACCAGCGGATTTCTTCAGTCGTGGCGGCGGCGGCGGGTCGTCGGGCTCTACGTCGGACGAGTTGTAGTTGGCAGCGTCGAACGGCATGGTGCCTGTGTAGCGGGCTGCTGATGGTGATGTACCTAGTCAGAGTGGAATGTCCCTGAGGATGCGGAGTGAAGGGGAAGGAGTAGAGCTGAGCTGCAAAAGTAAAGACGCGGTCTGAAATCAACATTGTGAGGAAGGTGCTATTCAATCCACCGCCCCGCAGCACGTCGCATCATCGTTGTTGCCGCGACCTCGCCGTTTGTCGGCTTCTCGCCGTCGTGCTACGGTCTGGTTCATACCGTCTGCCGCGGGCGGTGTTTTAATCTTTGAGAGTCGCAACACCGTTGTCGGTACGAAGGCGTACGGTACCTCTACCTCCTAGCCGGCGTCGTGAGAAACGCCTTTCCCTTCTCTGAAATCGTCACTCGGTGTTCTGCTATTGTCAAGTGTACCCGATGGAAGCAGCTCCTGCAGTCGCTACAACGTCGCCTAGCAGTACTTGTAGTCTTATGGAAGTGGGAGAGGCATTTATAATACAAGTTTCTGACATTGTCTAAATGAGTGTGGCGCAGAAGCCATAAGGGCTCTGCCTAAGTGCTGGAGGTAAAATGCTAGAGGTAAAATGCAGGGGTCAAAATGCAAGGGTTAAAATGCTCCGATGTGGTCGCCGTCGTCCCGCCGTCGCTGATGTTGTGAATTGCCTTTTCCTCCTAACGCCCAAGCAGATAAGTCAATAAAAGCATAAGTATGTTCGCCGTTGTCCCGCCGTTGTCCCACCGTTGTTCGCTGGCCTGATTAATCAATCATCATAGGGGCTTCACCATTCTCGCTATGCTCGGACGGAGTGGTATAGCCGCCAGTAGCCTCCTGTGCCGTAGAGGAAGTATGCTCCGGCTGGCTGGTCACCGTCGTGTCGGCGTTGCCCAAGTCCCCCTCCTTGCTCTCAGCTGTCGGATCCTTGCGAACCTGAGGAGTCTCTACCGTCGTGTCGGCGTTGCCCAAGTTCCCCTCCTTGCTCTCAGCTGTCGTCTCCTTGCCACCCTGGGGAGTCTGGACAGTCGCGCCAGATTCGCCCTGCTCCTTGACCTGGGTCTCGGCTGTCATGTCCTTGCCATCATGAGCATCCTTCACCGTCGCGCCAGCGTTGTCCTTCTCCCCAGCCTTATTCTCGGCTGTCATGTCCTTGCCGTCTTGAGCAGTCTGCGCCGTCGCGCCAGCGTTGTCCTCTTCCCCAGCCTTATTCTCGGCTGTCTTGTCCTCGCCAACTTGAGTAGTCTTCACCGTCGGCCCAGCGGCGTTCTTCTCAGGAGAGCCCATCGCGGGAGTCGTGGGCGTGTCATGCTGGGGGGAAGTGACAGTCGCCTGAGGGTCGCCGGCGTTCTGAGAGGTCTTGGACTTGTCCTCGCCTGACCCTTCCGCCGTCGTGGTAGCGTTGGTCTCGGTCTTGTCGTCCGCCTGAGACCTACGAGGAGTAGCCTTCAAGAGCTGGTCCATCGTCGTAGCACCGGCGTGCTGAGTGGAGGATTTCATCTCCGCGGCCTCCTTGGCCTGGCGCTCTTGGTAGTCTTTGGCGGCGGCCGCATTCCTAGCGGCGATGGCTGCTTTCTGGTCAGCCGCCAACGTCGCGCCAGCGTCGGCCCCGGCAGCATTGTCAGCTGGGACCACTGCTGGAGTCTGGAATGCCATCGTCGAGGTGGCAGACGCCGAGGCATTCTGCATCTGCTTTTGAACGTGCCGGACCGCCTTATTAATGGTGGCCCGCTGGCTGGGAGTGTAGCACATGGTCTTAGGAAAGTCGTGAAGGTCGTAGGTGTCGCAGAGACGTGTCATCTCCCGGTGAAAGTCCGCCTTTGCCACAGGATCGTTCTGGCAGAGCTTGTATACGCGCATCGCCAGCTCGGCGCCCGATTCCTTGAAACTCGCCATCGGCGGGATAGCGTCGTCGTCGCCGCCCACTTCGGTCTCTGTCTTGATCTTCTTCGCGCTATTGCCAGCGTCGTCGGAGCCGTCCGCAAGGTCTGCAGCAGCGGCGCCACGCTTCCTGGGAGTCCCGTCGTCGCTCTCTCCGCCGCCCCCAAAGTGCATCGCAGGAAAGGGGCTGCGCTTGTTGGGAGTCGCGCCCTCGTCCTCGTCAACGTCGTCCGAGCCGTGCGGCAAGTACTCGGAGGGATGCTGGTACTGAGGATTGAAGTCGAGGATGGTCTCGGGGGCCGCCTTCTTGCCCTTCGTGCGAGCGCGTGGTGGTGCGGCCGGCGTCGTGCTAGCGTCGGCCAGGCGCCTCGCGGCCGCCGCCTCCCTCTTCTCCTTGTTCTGGAAAAACTTGATGAGGAAGTTGGAGAGGTCGTTGTAATAGGGCTTGGCCGTGTTGATCGTCGTCGTGTCCCAGGAAGTGCCCGACTTCTTCACCGCCTGCCGCAGCGAGCCCTTGCGGTCGTCGTGGTTCTGCAGATAGTCCCAGAGCTCGTCCTGAAGGTTGAGCACCGTCTTGTGGAGCTCATTCGTCCGGGTCGTGCCGGTGAGGACGTTGGGAATGACGGTGTGCTCGCGCATGGTCGTGCCGGTACCGTTGGCGAAGTCCATGATGTCCTCGTTGCGCTTCCGCACCGTCTTCATAGCGTCGCGACCCTGCTTGCTGAAGGGCTGGGCGGATTTGTCAGCGAATTGCCCGCGGATGCTGTTGTGGTCGGCCGCCCGCGTGAGCATCTGCTGCACCACATTCGGGACGGCTGCCGGTGCCATGTCGTCGTCGGTTGAGCGTCGTGTGTTTGGGGGGCAAGGGTCTTGAGTGTGGGTAGAGAGAAGGTTGGAGGGAGGTTCGGAGGTCGTGCGGAAGTCGTGGGGAAGTCGGGGTGGTGGATGGTATGGTGGTTGCCGAAAGGTCTGCTGGAGATCTCGAAGGTGGTGTTGGTGGTTCTGGTCGTTGCTGGAAGGTTTGCTGGTGGTTTGGAAGAGTCGTGTTGTGTCGTTGTGGTAGGTTGTAGAGTGAAAAAGAGCTGGTGATATACCGTTGTGAGCACGTCTGCTGACGGCTTCTTGAAGCGGAAAGAGGCATGTTTGAGGGCGCAGAGTGAAGGACTTGTGGACGCGCTCTCACCAGCGTCCCGCTGGCATGTGAAGGACTCGTGAACGCGCTCTCACCAAGCAAGTGAAGTCAGTTTGGTGGGGGCCGAACGTCGTGCTAGCGTCGGGAGTGAAGATCCCCGGCGGCCAGAATCTGGGGTTTGATTGACATTCTAATCAAACCTAGACGTCCTATTCGTTGAGCCTTGGCGTCTACCACCGTTCTCCTCATCGTCGGAGAACGTCGTCTATACGTGGGCATGATATCTCTCACGAAGCCTACTGGGAACTCGGAGTCTGTAGTTGCTACGAAATCATCCTTTTCAATGTCGTCCCGCCGTCTTGATCTAGTTGCTGAGCGCCTTCGGCGCAGAAATGGAGCGCTTCGCGCCGAGCACGTGACCATATGGAAGTCGACTTTTCGCCTTCGGCGAAAAGCCGTATGACGGTCTCGAAAGTGAACCTTGAGTCGGAACTAGAATAAAAGCGTCACGTGCTAGCGCGATTTGAAGCTTTGGCCACATGTCGCTGCCTGAGATATGTCTCTCACACCCAACTGCTTTTATCCTCACCCTTTCCATCTTTCTCTCCCTCCTCAACCGCTTGAATGCTTGAGCGACATCACACGCTGTAGACCAGACCACGCAGCTGTACTCACGTTGCATAGCAAACGCACAGAAAGATGTCATCCGCTTCCGCGGTGTATCGCGTCGGTACGTACAAGCGCTTATCCATGGCTTCATGACCTCGATCAACGCTGACATCCTCGCAGAAATCGCTAAAACCGGCCGCGCTGGTTGCCAGGCCACGCAGTGTAAGAAGGAATCCGAGAAGATCCCGAAAGGCGAGCTGCGGCACGGTGTGCAGGTGACGATCCGAGAACACACCTCGTTCATGTGGCGCCACTGGTATGAGTGCCTCCCGCTTCACCGACCGAGCATATCACTAACTGGTACAGGGGATGTGTCACACCTCGCATCATTCACAACTGGGCGGAGATCTCTGACATGGACATGGAGATGATTGACGGCTACGAGGTCCTGCCTCCCGATTGCCAGGAGAAGGTGAAGCGGGCGCTGGAGCAGGGGCATGTCGACGATGACGACTGGAAGGGGGTAAGTGTAGTTCCTTTCGACTATGGATTGATCTCCGCTGACGCAGTCAGGACATCGAGTGCAATCGTCTCGATCCGGCCAAACCGCAGCAAGGCATGTTCGTCAAGACGCCAAAGAAGAAGAAGGCCAAGGTATGGTGGATTGCACCCGCTCAACGGAACTTCTGCTGACGTGTGTGACAGAAGGATGAGAGCGATCCAGAGGAGGACTACCCCGAGGACTCTCCAATCAAGAAGAAGGCTTCTAAGAAGCGTGGCCGCGCGCAGGACGATGAAGACGATGAGGAAGAAGCGGAGACCAAACCTGCGCCAAAGAAGGCGAAGGGCAGAGGCAAGAAGGCAGCTGCAGAGACTGTCAAACAGGAGGACGATGAAGCAGCACCGGCCAAGAAGACCAGAGCGCCCAGGAAGGCCGCTAAACCAGTGGAAAAGGCCTCGTCTGAAACAGAGGCGGGCGACGACCCTCCTCCCACCAAGAAGTCCAAAGCAAAGAAGGCGGCACCAAAGGCGGCACCTGCGAGGGACGAGGATGTCGAGGAGAAGCCCAAGAAGCGCAGGGGCAGGCCGAAGAAGGCTGTCAGCGAAGACGACTGAGCGACGGAACCGGACCACCCTCACGACATTCTACTGTGTCGACTGCACACTGTCGTCCCAATCATTGCTGGTTCTCACTACGCCGCTGCTGTCGGATATTGCTTGTAACACTAGTCACGATGCCACTATTATCGTTGTCTTAGGAAGAGGAGGAGGAGGCGTACAGACTAATTGCGCGCCATGGGCAGACCGAGCGCGTCCCTGCGCAGAAGTAAGCCACGCGCGGCAACACGTGAGCATCTTCACAACACTTGCTTGACGCATGTTCATTAGATACCCGAATGTATTGCGATTTCCCAGTGCTGACGAGCTCACTTTCTCTCCCGCATGCGTCACTTTGGCATCACGAGCTTCATCAACACGGTTCACGAATCGACGCGTCACCCACATCAGCCGTGTCCATCGCCATCCCATTTCAAGTGCTTGCATTAGCCCAAGATACCCGACTCCTTCCCTCAGATCGGATCTCAACTTCCCCGGCTTTTGGCTGCGTTGGCGTCGATTCGATGTGTCTGTGCCCACCGGTGCCTGCGTTAGCCTCAAGTCGTGACGTTCCTGACACTTCTCTCCCAGCCAAGCGCATCTCTGTTCAGCCTCCGAAATCTGGTATTGTCGTCGATCGATGGATGTGTCGCAAACTCAATGCTGGAAGTGGCCTGTCAACAGCTGTGAAACCACGGCTGCGCCTGAGACCGTAAGCGGGATGGTTGCGGGAGTCTTTGGCATCAGCATGATATCGCGTCTCCCGCCTTTGAGATGATGGTGACGACGGTGGATTGGCTCAGGGGAGGTGGAGAGTGTATATAGAGCGTGACGAAGGCCCACCAGCAACCACTTTCTCTACACTAGGCCTTCAGCATCAACACGAATCTACCACCACTATCCACATCTACAGCAACAATGGCCGACACCGACCCCAACGCACCCTCTGGCCAGGGCATTAGCGATGACGAGTACACCAGCCGCACTGGCCAGAAGCAGGCCGAAATTCCTGTGCAGAAGGACAGCGATGCGATTGAGACCGGGGTTGACGGCGCTAAAGAGGATTCGGACGAGCAGCTCGGTATGCCCGCTGTCTACAACCACATTTGCTGTAGTGTATACTTACATTGCCCGTACAGAGAGAGATGAGAAAGACGCGATTGATAAGTCCAACATTGTCAATGGTCGGACACGAGGCGCTGCGAAGTCCAGTGGGACGTACCAGGAGCCTGGGGATGAGGAGAACATGCCGAAGGAGTAGCTTCGCTGTTTTACGGATGATCTGTATATTTACTGTATCAATACCCGACTGTCATGACATGCGTTTACACCGTCAATCTTTCTTTCATGGCCTCCTTCAGCCTGCCTCCCGTCCCAAGACCGATGTCGATCAAGGTAGATCAATGGCCTTCAGTCGAGCCAGGCTTGTAATTCGTTCACTCCGGCTCGTGATCAGGCCGCCTGTCCCAGCATACTTCACAACACTTCACCGACTCATGACATTCGACCGACGGATATGATGAATGGGAAGGCATAGACCTTTTCAAGTTTCCTACGACTCAGAGCGCGGATTTGGGTGTCCTCTTGTCGCCCCGTTCATACGCCTCGATCCTCCTCTCCCTCACCTTCCCCATCAACCCCTTGGCCTCCGTAACTGTAATCTGCGTCGCGCCTTCCACCTCCACACTCTTCTCCTCCAACGTCTTGGCTGCCGTCCACTTCCCTTCCGTCTTCAAACTCTCTGGCTCCTCAACACATCTCCTACACCACTCACCCCAACTCTTCAAACACCTATCCGCGCTCTCGAGCCCGGGTAGCAACTGTGCGAAACAGTGTGGCATCGCCTCGTATACCTGCAACTGCACTTTCACGCCGTCCTGCGCGGCGCGAGAAGCAACGACTAAGTCTTCGTCGGACAGCATTTCCTGCCCTGTACTCATCCAAAGTGGCGGGGCTCCGGCCCAGCTTTCAGCACCGAGAACAGAAGTGAGCGGGTGATCCAGCAGGCTGAGGTCGCAGAAGATGTCGCCGCGAGGAGGGTTGGAGGGCCATGCATCGTCGGATGGGAAGCGGCCATCTATAGTGTCGTCGTGAGATGCGCCGGGCAGGTAATCGTATTGGGCGTTGTTGGTTATGGAGGGCATGGAGCGGGTGATGTCGAACCAGCCGGAGTTGGCGGAGACGCCGGCCGGTAAGGGTAGCTCGATGTTACGGCCGTGGAACAGGACTGTGGGTGGTTTGTTGGGAGAGGCGCGGTGGAGTTGAAGGAGGAGTTGGAGAAGGGCGAAGGTTAGGTTGCCGCCTGCGCTGTCGCCACCGAGGACGATGTTTTTGGCTGGGACAGGTTCGTGCAGTGAGTCCGGGGGTGGATAGAGAAGGCTAAGGTAGACCATTAATGCGTCTAAGAGTTGGCCTGGAAATGCTGTCTGCGGAGCTAGTCGGTATTTTACGTTGCAGACTCGGCCATTGGACTCCTTTGCCAGTCGGCTACAGAGTGCGCGATGAGTGGCGGGTGCGCAGAGGTAGTAAGCACCACCATGGAAATATAGAATCGTCGTTTCGCTCGTTCTTGTGGGCTCCGCCATGAGTCGCTTGTACTTCTCGGCTTCCGAAATGTCAGGCAGCTTGTCGGTCTTCGCGGCGTCAGGTCGGAAGCCAGTCCACTCGACTTCTATCTCCTCTAGGTCAGGCTTCGTGTAGTTTGGCGCTGGCGCATCGGGTAGCTTCATGTCGTCAATGGCCTTGAATACTGCCTCTCTCAAACCTTCGTCTTCGCATGCTGGTGCTGGGATAGTAGCTTTAGCCACCCATGTTTTCCCTTGAACTCCTGGGTCCTTCAAAGTCGTAGCTTGCACTTTCCCAATGGGCGTGGGCTTCTTGTTGGGGCCGCCCATCATCTCGCGCAGAACCTGCACCGTGAGCTCCGTCTTGAGATCCCATTTCGATGATGTTGGTGTTCGTCCGAGAGTATGCCATACTGCTGTGTTTGCCAGGGATGGGATCTGAGGAAACAGGAATTTGAGGAGGCCATAGCCGCTATCCATTTTGGCGCGCGAAGTAGCAAGAAGAGATGTCACGGCGAGTCCTGAGCAGAAGGGATGGAGTTGAGGTGGCGGAGAGAAAAAAGAAAAGACAACGGAAAGTTGAAGGAACAAGAAAAGAAGTCGAGAAACCACCAACCAGAGCATATGATAATCGCGATCACATGCACTCCATAGAAACCCTTGCTACCGCGATAGGCAGGTTGGCAGACGTGGAAGGCCGTGTCCTTGGGTTGGTGCGGAAGTGAAAGATGTCATGCCTCGGCTTGCAGGTGTCGAGACCCACAGCAAAATTGATTCTTCGAGCTCTTCCAGACCGCGCTCGTCTAGCCGTATACATTTCAATGATATATTATTTTTGACCGACCCTTAGCTTTTGTGGCCGTACGCCAGTCAACCCGTTCGCATCATCTCAACAACCGAATGACCTTGATCAGATCCCCAGTAACACCCATCGCAGTCACCTCACCACCCGCACCAGCGCCCTGAACGATGAGCGGATTTGCACCATAACGCTTGGTATAGAAGTTGATGATGTTGTCGCTCCCTTTCAGTGCCGCGATCGGGTGACTCGCATCGAACTGCTCCAGCCCGACCTTGACACTGTTCGACTTAACATCGATACTCCCGACGAATCGCAACACCTTCCGCTTCTTGATCGCATCGCTCTTGAGTTTCTCCATCTCGTCATCGTGCTCGGGTAGCTTCTGCATGAACTCATCGCCGGAGCTGCAGGATTCGAGGGCTTGGGGGATGAGGCTTTGTACTGGGAATGCGGTTGGGCTCTCGACTTTCAGGCCGGCTATCCGTGCGAGGATCGTAAGCTTTCTGGCGACATCGAGGCCGTTGAGATCGTCTCGAGGATCGGGTTCGGTGTAGCCCAAGTCCTTTGCCTTCTTGACCTCTGCGCTGAACTTTCCTCCTTCTGCTCCGACGGGCATGAACGAGTTGAACAAGAAGGACATCGTCCCGCTGAACACACCCTCTATCCTCACGACTTCATCGCCTGTCTCGATCAGCTCTGTCAAGGTGCTGATGACCGGCAGTCCAGCGCCCACTGTGCTTTCGTGAAAAACATGGCTCCCTCCCTTCGCCGCTGCCTCAAAGATGCTATCCCATAGCTTGATATCATCCGAGAAAGCCTTCTTATTCGGGGTCACGACCGAAATGCCCTTGCTCAGCACCGCGGGATAGTTCTTCGCTAGGTCCAGGTCCGACGTATTGTCCACCAACACCACCTTGCCAGGCGCATTCTGCAGGAACTCTAGTATCGCGTCGAACGGTAGGTACGGCTTCTTGCTCTCGTCAAGCATCTGCATGATCTTTGTAGCGTCGAGCCCGCCATATCGCTCGGAGAGGACTTGGGTCTTGCTGCGGCGTGCAAGGATGAGAGCGAGATTGGTAGGGTTGGGTTGGGAGGCTAGGCGTTGGCGGAGCTGTTCGTATTGCTCGAGGAAGGCTTGACCGACGCCGCCGAGGCCGATGATGGCGAGGAAGATAGGGGGGTTGGACATGGTGGTCGTGTTGTAGAGGTGGTTTGGAGCAGAGTGTGTTTTGTTTCCAACGGCTTGTCCAAGAATCTAAGAACGCGGGGCAATGTGGGGGATGACATGACGCCGCAGGTGGCTTTTGCTGAGTTTCACATGCCTCCAAGTGCTTCTACCTTACCTTTCTTCTTTGACATTGCATCTTCGTGTTGGACCCTGCCGGCGTTATGTAATTGCACTTCTGGTAGAAACGTCCAATGCCAGACGAGACCAGAAACCACATCCAAGGCCAATACATCCCAAGCCAGTTGATATTTGACGAAGCGATCTGTACAACGTGTCTATATCTTAGACGTCTCTCTCGGGACGGAACTAGAGATGAGACCGGAAACCACTCAGTACAAGAAGTCGTCTCTCCCACCATCACCACACCGCTCGCAGGGATCCATGTTATGCCACATGTCGCTGACGCCTTCGCACTTCTGGCAGGGAATCGAGAGACCGTACTGGCATTTATTGCATCCACCACAATGCCACTCACGCCAGTCGTTGCACTCCTTGCAGATCTTGCAGTGCCACGTGCAATTGTCCTCCGCCCAAGATCCTTGACACCATGAGTAGTACCAAGGCGCGTACTCGTCATCCGAGTGGCCGAACAGCGCGTACTTGAGGAGTTTCTTACGATGCTCTACTAGGGCTTCGTCAGACATCCCATCGGCCTGATCTTTCCACTATTGAAGGAAGGGGTCGAACTCGAAGGCGTCGCTGCGATCGCATTCGAGTTGCTTCCTGATCTCTTCCAAGTCAACTGCGTCCTTTTGTATCTCACGGTGGGTTATGAAGCAGGGCATGGCTGGTTTGCCTTCCATCCCAAGCTCTTTGGCGACTTGGTTGATCTTATTGAGACAACGCTTCTCCTGCCCACTGGACTTCTGCTGGCAACCGCATGAGGCGCTACATCCGACGCCAGCTCGAAAGCATCCGCATCCCCCTGCTTTGCAACCTGTCTTGCATTTGCATTTGAGAGTATTGGGGTCTTTTTCCCCTTGGGTACGGCTTTCTGGACTCGAATTTAGTTCAGTTCTATACGCGGTTCAAGAGAGCAGGCGGATGGTATCTCTGTCACGGGTTTCTCTGCGGCCGTTCTCTTTCGCTTGCGACTGCGGTCCAGGTTGACGTCGGGAGACTCGTCGTCCGTAGTCGATGTAAAGTCGATGAACGACGCTGTCGCTTCGCAGGAGGCCTTTCTAGAGGGCTTGTTGTAGACTGAAGCTGGCACGGCCCCTCTCGGTCAATGGTGTTGCTTGGGCCCGGTATAACAGGCGATGCTGCCATTCTCGACGTTGAGTGTGGATCAGAAAACAGAAACACCTTGTTACTAGAAAAGCGAGGCTCCATGCCTGTTGGACAACGAAAGACAGGATAAGTCTTCCTCCCGAATCAACTGTCGCGTCCTCTAATCAAAGCGCGTGGAAAGCCAGACGCACGGATCGCATCTTCGGCCTCACTCAACTTCGACTCAACTGTGTCTCCACTCAGTCTCATCCCATTCTCAACATCGCCAACGTTGCTGGACTTGAATGCCGGAGGATCCCGTCTAGACCTGGAAGGCAACCTCCGATTCCAAGACACGCTTCTGCCCGCTGTATGAAGTCACGGTTCTGTCTACCCAGCTACCACCTCACAGTCTCCTTGCATAGAGTCCTGCCTCAGCGTCCTGGAGGGGTCTTCAGCTCTACCACCGCCAACACTCACGGGAATTCATAGCAGTATGAGGTGGAGCATTCCTTTCAAGTTGCGATAGATGGTTGTTGAACGGTTCAATCTGCCCACAAACAAGATCGCACACCGCATTCGATGGACCATTCACCTTCTCGATAGGTCGAAGGACGCAGATGCGGGATGCAGAGGACTTGAAGACTTTCTACATAAGCTATTACCAGCAATCACATCCACCGCTTCGTTCCATTATGGCTGAGGAAGGATCCTCCGGAGCCCCCTTGCAATGACGAACGCTCGATGGCTGCCAGGCACTTTTGAGCCGCGTCCGTTGGCGAGGTGGCTTTGAAGCCGGGAGCGTACTTCTCAAACCTTGCTGTGATATTCTGGAAGCGTAGCAGATCGCCTTCGGATACTGCGGCACGTGTCAGCAGAGTCTTGTGACAGCAGCGTTAATGGCAGCCTACAAGATGGCGGGCCAATTGCGGTATCCACCAAGCCCGGGCAGAGCGACATGAACAAGATTCCTTCGTCTTCGTACGCCGTTCCTAGCTTCGCGAAGAGGGTGCTAAGGGCTGCTTTACTGGTTGCATACGGCGCTGCATTGGAGATGCGGGCCTCGTTGATGAAATCTGGCACACCGTCAGCTAACGAAGACTGTCTCTCTGCCGGAGGATTCTATCTTTGCGTACCGATGTCTCCCATGCCGCTCGAGACCGCGACGACTTTTTTGAGTCCGCCCTTTCTAATGTGTGGCAGAAACGCATTGACCGCTTTCAGCGACCCGACTACATTGACGTCGATGCTGGCCCGTGTGTCAGCGATTGCAGCCTGTATGTCGTGTTCGCTGTTTAGATGTCAGCAGTCTACACGAGGTGTTGGAGTTGCTGCGATCCTAGCTGGGCTCTCATACTCGTCTCGTAACGATTTCAGGGCAGTACTCGCGCTCACATACGCGGCATTGCAAATCAAGACGTCCAGACCAGCCGCGCCAACGATCTCCTGTACCCGCTCCGCCGCGAGCTTAAGGGCTTTGGTGTCGACAATGTCTGCTTCTACAAAATACACGTTGTTGAACTCGGTGGGTAGGACCTGTTCTTCGGCCGCTTTCTGGTCTCGGACAAGTCCGATGACGGTGTTCGACTGGTCCTTCGCAAGGGTTGTGATAAAGCCCAACTACAGCGTCAAATGTCAGCCGGTGCTACGACTTTCAATTGAACTGGTAAACGTACACCAAGTCCTCTGTTGGCTCCAGTAATCAGGTAGTTGGGCATTCTGACAAGCCAGATGAAAGGTATGCAGTTGATTGTTGATCATGCAAGCAGAGTGGTTGTCCTTGTTTCTTATACCACTACTCCCAGTACCCTGCGTACGATTCGCGAGCGACATCACTGCTCACACTATCACAGGACTTGCATTTCTAAGCTGCTTTCTCCATCATCGCAATGCAGAGTTGTCATCTTTGGTTGAGAGCCACGACCTCGAATCAATACACGGAACTCCGAGTTCCGAAGGTCACCTCAGCTTGTGCTGCCGTCTCGCAGCTGCACATCAATCTCGTCTTCTCTCTGCTTCGGTTCTTCTTTTTGCAAAGCATTTCGCAATACGAAGGGAATTGGTATGGCAGAACCAGACCAGCTGACATGCCCTCGCTGCTCGTTGCGGCTCTCACAAAGTGAGCAGTCGCTTCCTGCACAGCATCGCGACATACGGTCGGACTGACAGTGATCCAGAATCAGCCTTAACGAGGCACGTAAAGAGATGCGGACAGCAGTCACTCAGCAAACCCAGACGGAGAGCGTGCGATGCCTGTTCGAATGCAAAACTGCGATGCATACCAGATTTGCCACAATGCGAGCGGTGTCGTTCACGGTCGATCACATGCCGGTATGACAGGGCCGAAACGGTGGGTTTGCCCACACCTGTGCCTTCAAAAGCAACCTCAGTGGCCGATGTGTCGACAAGTCCGCCTTCCAGAAGTTCTACTGGATTTGGAACTGTCGCGATCCAACTTCACCTCTCTGATAAACGACGGCGGGAGCTCTTGGGTACGGCACCTGGTACTCCGAACAGTAGTCCGGTCGTGTGGCATGCTGTGCGCTTAGTGAAACAAATCCTCAAGGCCTGGGTGCGGATCATGGCCAGCTCTGACGGCATACATCTCCCGCCGATGGTACATCAGCTCCAAGTCGTGGATGGCTTACCAATGCCGCTTGCCAGATGCTCGACATTGGCTAGGATGTGGATCGATCACGACAAAAGTAGTGCTGACTTAGTCCGGCAAACACTTTTGCAGGAGGTTGAGAGGCTTTTGAATCAGGTACGCGATGCAGTGACGGAGGACACGGAAGCTGCTGAGGTATCGATCTTAGTACCGTTCCTGCACCGAAACCGAGCTCGTAGCGACTGCACAATCCGTTCTGCTCCTGCTGACGGCTCTACTGTTCGGCTTTGGCGAAGACGCCACGTTACCGCATAGCGACACCGCTAAGCTTCTCATCGAGGTCTGGGGCGTGAAGCAAGCATTAGCAGCAACTGGGCTCTTCGCCGAAGCCGAAACCCACAGTGCAGCAATCTCGTGGCACAACTGGGCTTGTGTCCAGGCCAAGCGCAGGACACTCCTCAGCCTCAACCATCTGGAATGGGCTTGGTCCGTCCAAGCCGGCTATCCAGTGTTGACCTGCTTCGAGCTCGGTCCCTTGTACGCTCCTGCGGCTGGCTATCTATGGCGAGCGACCAAACAGAGTACCTGGGAAGCGTCATATATCGACTGGCTGCGAAAGTGGAGCGGCGAGGGCTACCGTATGGCCGAGTTCTTCCATCTCGACCCTGCAAAGCCGTTGGACAGGAGGTCCGAGATGTGGCTTGCGGAGGCCGATGAGTTCGGCATGGTTTTGATGGCTGAGGGTACGTCTAAGCAAGCGAGAGTGGATTTGACTGTTTACTGACTCCCTTAGCAAATGCTGTCGTGCCAGCTGGCTAGACGATGGACCGGTTGAGATCGCTGGTCCCCACCGCGGAGAAGGGTTTATGATGTACGAGAACAATGTCAGTCTGCGAAGGATATAACTACGGCTCGTTGTAACTTGTTACGGCTCCTTTCACTTGAATCTCCATTGACTTGCTTACAAGAATGGCCGACCTGATGATTTATGGAGCCACTGGCTACACCGGCCGTCTAATATGCGAACAAGCAAAGAAAACCGGACTGCGCTTCACGATAGCCGGGCGCTCAGAAGACAAGCTTCGGGACCTCGCAAGGACCCTTGAAGTCCCCTATGAAGCATTCGACCTCGCCGCTACGTCTCCCAATGGACACCTCGCCAGTCTGATCGTCCTACTCAACTGTGCGGGTCCGTTCTCTCGTACTGCTTCCGTCTTAATGGACGCATGCATCCGCTGCAAGGTGCACTATCTTGACGTCTCGGCGGAATTGGACAGTTACCTCCTCGCCCGCGAAAGAGGCGAGCTGGCGGAGAAAGCTGGAATCATGCTTGTGCCTGGCTGCGGTGGCAGCGTAGCCATGCTCGGAGGTCTGGTGGCGCATGCTACACGGACGTCGATGAATCCTGCCTCTATCGACATCGCACTCCACGTGTCTGGGCCAATGTCCCGGGGCTCGGCAGTCAGTGCCGCGGAGAGCGTGACCGCAGGATGCTTGAAACTGGACGGAGCGGCACTGGTGCCGCAAGATGCGACGAAGAACGCTTGGTTCGACTTTGGCGATGGAAGAGGCCTGGTATCATGCTTCCCTGCAACGCTTCCAGACCTCATCACTTTGCACAAACAGACCGGCGCGGGCAACATTCACACCTTCGTCAACGCTTCTGCTGATGCCTTTCCGACTGGCGACGTGGCTCTGCTCCCAGACGGGCCAGACTCTGCGCAAAGAGCGGCAAGCCCTTACCATGCTGCGGTTCGGGTTGTTGACAAGGACGGTAGTAGCCGGCAGGCGAGATTGCACATGGTCAACGGGTATACTTTCACTGCGATTGCAGCTGTGGAGGCTGCCCGCAGGATATTGTCTGGAGAGGCTAGCGCTGGATGGCAGACTCCGGTGGGGTTGTTTGGGAATGACTACATCCATGCAGTACCTGGGTCCTACATTCGGCATGAAGAGGGAAGTCAGGGAGCGATGAATGCTTCATGTCGAGAAGGATAGAGATATGGCATGGCCTTCTACAATGCAACATAGAACATGTCCCAGCGAAGTGGGGCGCGGCGTGGCCCGTGCTTGACAACTTCCAAACTCGGCTTTCACATGCGTCTTGACCCTTGTCTATCAATGCCACCACACTACACATCGCCGTCGATTACACCTCCACCATGTCCTCCTCCAAAGACACCCACCTTTACCAACCTCGCTCCCACAACCTCTCCAACGGTAAACCGATCAACACCTCCACCTCCCTCGCCTTCAGCAGCCAACTATCCTCCCTCATCTCCGCCCCATCCACCACAAAATCCAAACCCACCTCCTCCCGCCTGAAACCAACGAAAGACGACATCTTCACCCGCCCCAACCGCAACACCGCCAAACGCGCGAAGCGCGACGCCGAAGACTCCCCGCACTTCGAGCAGAAGCACACCACCGATGGCGAAGGACTGGATAGCAAGATCTGGGAGCGCAGCAAGCGGAAGATGGAGGAGAAGGCGCGGTTGTATGCGGCGATGAGGCGAGGGGATGTGGAGGACGCGGAGGGGAAGTTTGGGGTGGATTTTGATCGGAAGTGGGCTGAGGAGGGGGAGAAGGAGGACGAGGAGGTTGAGGATGAGGACGAGGATGAAGAAGGGGAGGGGCAGGAGGAGGTGGAATATACGGATGAGTTTGGTCGGGTGCGGACGGGTACACGCGCGCAGGCTGAGCGGGTGCAGCGAGCAGTGCAGGGTAGGAGTGCTGCTGAGAGGCCGAGCGACCGCTTTACAGCTCGTCCGCTTGCGCCGTCACATATTATTCATGGCGACACGATTCAGCACTCGGCCTTCGACCCCGACGCGCCCATAGCAGCGCAAATGGCTGAGCTGGCGCGGAAACGGGACAAGAGCCTCACGCCCCCGCCGGACGAGCATTTCGACGCTTCGAAGGAGGTTAGGAGTAAAGGCACAGGGTTCTATCAGTTCTCAGAGGACGTGGAGGAGAGGAAGCGGCAGATGGCGGGACTGGAGAGTGAGAGGAAGGAGACGGAGAGGAAGCGCGCAGAGCGGCAGGAGAAGCTGGAAGAGCGGAAGAGATTGGTTGAGGAGAGGAGGAAGGAGGTGCAGGGACGGAGGGCGAAGAGGAAGGCGGATGAGTTTTTGGAGGAGCTTGGGGCGGAGATGGGGCAGAAAGGGGTTGAGGAGGAAGAGAGGGTGGAGGGTGAAACTGCGGCAGAAGGAGATGATGCTGGCTGAAGGAGCTCAAGATTGATGTATTATGGCTCTCTACGTTGAGGTGTGCCAGACGCCAAATTCGTGACTGGCCTATGCGGCATCCTCTATGCAACATTTCCCGCTCCAATTGTGTGAGCATCTTCCGTCCCGAACGCCTGCCCATCACATCATGCACATCGTAACGACATCACTTCATTCCACATGTCCAGCCATCTACTCGTCTTTCCGCGGATCAACAGCACTGTCCTTCTCCCCATAGCTGCCCCAGATCCAGTTGCTCCATCCTGCTTGACCACCACCCCCTCCTTTCCTTCGACTAGAGGGCCGCTTCTCCGGCTGTGGACGATAGTGCTCTGGGTCCGGCATCGGCTCATACGCTAAATCCTCAAACTCGCTCTCGCTCCGGCTTTTGTGCATGTTTGGCGAGTCCGTGGCCGCGAGGTAGGACTTCCGCGACGATGGCTGTCTTGGCATGGAAGAGCGGGATGATGAATATGCGGCATCTCTCGCTCCGTAGCCTGCCATGTCCGCTGCTGGTGCTCCAGCCTCATGGTCGAATGCTCTCAAAAGCGTGTTCAACCTCTCCCTCTGCGTTGCAATGAAGTCTGTCCTCTCGTCGCCGCGCAACGAAGGTGGGATGAGATTCCCACTCCGCGTGAGATCATCCGCCTGCGCCTCCCTGCTCGTAGAATCCGGGTATGTTGTCTGTTGAAGCGCTTTCCCGATCAACCCAAACAGATCTCCGCCCGCTGCCACCCCTGCCGCTTGCCGTGCACTCGGCATCGCGAACCTATCCATCAAGTACGAACTGTAGCTGGCATTCCTGCTTGGCACCGGACTCGGCTGCTTCGCTTCTTGCCCAAGCAACTGCGTCCGCACGTACTCCCAGCCCTGCTTTACCACGTCCCCGCCCGCTGCCTTAGCTTTCGCGTGTAAGTCCGAGATCAGGCGGTCAATCTGCCGCTCGTGTTCTTCGAGGAAGGGGTGGATGTAGGCTTTGTAGATGAAGACGCTGCCTTGTTGGCCTGGCAGGACGAGGTAGAGATGGAGGCCGAGGCGGGCCCAGGCGTAGAAGGGGAACCAGGAGATTAGGAAGCCGAATTGTGATTCCACGAGGAGGAGCAGGGAGAGGGTGGTCCAGTACATGAGCCATGGGGCGAGGTTCTGGGGAAGAGGTCAGTGTTTGTGGTGATCAGGTTGGGGAGGGTGCTCACGGCAGGGTCGCTGGAGCGGAGGGCTTTGTAGGAGGCGAAGACGGGGAAGAGGATGGAGATGATGCCGGTGAGGAAGTCGGCTATGAAGGAGAACATGGCGGCGGTGTCTGAGGGTGGTGGTCGTGGTGGTGAAGCTCTAGGTTGTGCTGGTCATGGGAAGGCGGCTTAATGGAGGTAAGAGGATAGTGGAGCGAATGTGATGTCTCATGTGAAGACAAGCTGGCTTCAAGAGATTCGGGGCCTCACTATCAGAAGCTTGCGGACAAGTGAATGTACTGAGGTTGGTCAGACAGCTCGCGTGGCGTCAAGCCTCAAGGTGGGGGTCCTTTGGGTGGATGCAGGGACCTGCCTGCCGTTCGGCGAGTCTCGGGTCCATCTCAACCTTACCTCTTCTTGATGTTGGCAATAGGTCTACGGGGAACCGTATAAAGATCCACTTCGATCACAAGGTTGTACGAGAATGGACGAAACAAACACATCTACTAGGCTCTTATAGCATCTGACCGACCTGAGGCCGAGGATTCACTGGCCACATCTTTTCATCTGGACTATTCACGATCTATATCATCCCTCCTGGATTAGACTCCACGGATCAACATGTGCATTGCCCTGATCTCCACGGCCCATCCAGCCTACCCCCTTATCCTCCTCTCCAACCGTGACGAATTCCTTAACCGGCCCACCGCCCCGGCACAATGGTGGTCTTCCCCCCACTCTCACGTCCTAGGCGGCCGTGATCTCCAGCGGGCGGAACAGGGCACCTGGCTAGCCATCACCAAACAAGGCCGGATCGCTGTTCTAACGAATTTTCGCGAGGAAGGCGATACTTACCACACTGCGGACAAGAGTCGCGGTGCTATCCCGAACGCTTATGTTACCCAGCCACCGGAGAGGAAGGAAGGGAGTGAAGACTTCGCAAGGAGGCTGATTGAGGAGGTTGGAGTAGGCGATGTAGGGGGGTTCAGTCTGGTGTTTGGGGAGCTGAGGCCGTGGGAGCTAAAGGATGGTGCGAGGGAGTTTCCAGGGTTGAGCATCGTTTCGAATCGGTCTGTGAAGGCAGACGATCTGGTGACGATCGCCACCGCGGAGGGAGAGACTCACGGGCTGAGCAACAGCCATTTCGGGGACCGTAGTTGGCCGAAGGTTGTGCACGGGGAGGAATTATTGAACGCGGCAATCGAGGACGATTTCAAGGACGGCAACAGAGACCAAAGCGGATTCGCGGAGAGGTTGTTCGAGATCTTGTCTATCGACAAGCTGCCTAAACGGAAGCAAGGCGAGGCCTGGGACACGTATGTAAGACAGATGCGGAACTCGATCCTGATTCCTCCCGTTGGTGGCATAAGCGCAGAGAGCAAGCCAGCGGATAGCATGGCGTCCGGTAAAGATGGTGTCGACACACCCGACCGTGGGAATGTGGAAGTGCGCGAGTTTGGGTATGGGACGCAGAAGCAGACGGTCGTTCTTGTGGATAATACGGGCCGGGTGAAGTTTATTGAGCGGACGTTGTATGATCAAGAGGGGAGGACGGTGCGGGTCAAGGATGGCCAGAGAGAATTTACGTTCGAGATTGAGGGCTGGCAAGATCCGTGAAAGAAGACGAGGGACAGCTCCTCATATGACTTACCGCTGGCTATCATGCATGCCATGATCCGAACGAGACTCAAGATGCTACTGGAACCAGGAGAATAAGTCGATCCGCGGTGGGACTGTGGACAGAGAGATGCGACTGCCCGACCCTCCCACCGACGCTCTTCTCCGCCACCCAAAACTCTTTCACGCTGCTGTACTGCCGCTCATTCGTCAAGACGCCTGGCCCGAACATCAGCAACCGGCCCAGTCTCGGCAGACCCGGAGCCATGTGGAAAGATTTATATTACAGGTCGAAGATATGTCCTTCACCGAATCAGCCAAAGCAACAACCCAACACTCCACTTCCACTTCAGTATCCTCAAGCAACCCGTGACATGTATCGTACCGTGGTGGTGGACCCACCTTAAAGATTCCAATTGAAAGAGTTCCAACAAGCAAGAAAACGCAAACCATTGAATGCGGAGTTTTCTCGCCTCTTCGGAGGTTTCTTTTGGTGTTTTCTTTGGTCTAAATTCATACTGATGCAGAGGGACTGTTGCTGGTTGCTCTGAACAGAAACGAAAGTTGAAGAGTCCTGAGCTCTTTGGCATGTTTCTTTTGCATCTTTCCCAACTTCACTGTGCTTGCGTTGCTACTAGGTATCGTGGATTCTTTTTGCGTCAAGATGGAGGACTGCACGAAAAACAACGCTCGCAGGGGCCACATACCGCGAATGCGGCATCGGGAAAAAACGTACATTTGTGGGCCAAAACCACGACGACCATGGGGTTGACCAGGACGCCAACTTGCACCTACATCAGCACAATCTCGAACGGGAGGCACGAGTAAGAACATAATATCGAACGTTGGCACCGAAGCACGGCGCATGCTCTACTCGACGACCAAGGTCAGACACCAACCCAGTCCAGGCCCGAAACCTCCGTTGACACTTTGGTCGACTGCGTCAAGCGGCCGTTGTCAAATCGAAGGACCTGGAACTCCGACTTCAAACCCGTCCCTAATTGCTGGAGTCGCGAGCGCCGTCCGACAAACGACAATCTGTCAGCAACCGGCTCGGCGTAGGCCTCGGTGGCGGCTCAGTTGGGCTGCTGCCGGGTTCTTCATTTGGAGGAACAGTTGGCAACCTTCACGCCCGCGCCAACACAAGGCTCTCGAGCAGGTTGGGGGCCCATTCATCGCGGAATCTTGGTATGCTGGGTCGGAAATGCGGCATTGTGCACCGCAGGAAGGCGCAGAGTTACTCGGAGATGGGGTGGGAGTCTCGAGAGCCACAGCAGCTGGATGGAACTCTAATGTGGTGGGGGCGATGGCATTACAGGCTGTATTGAGGTCTGGCGTGTCTTGAGCTGAGTTGTTAAGTTTGTTGAGTGGTGGGAGGGTACGCAGGCTCGTCGGGAAAGAAGCAAGATGCGAGCAAGGGATCTGTGTACAGGAATACTGCTGCTTCATCTGGTCTCCTATCGTTTCCTCGTTCGACAGCAAAGACACGTCCTCGCACTCTCAGCCATGCCTTTTCCTCGTCCTGAATAAACTTCCCGGCAATGCTAATCTAGCCAGTTCACCTCGTGATGGTGTCCAGCTGACATTCGTTCCTGCAATACTCCCTGTTGCAGCGTGCAAGAGCCGATTAAGACGACCTCACCGCTGCGTCGTTGTGAAGGAGGGCGCAGAGAACCTGGGAAAGCTGGACATTGATCATGCAGCTGCGAGGACCTTGGCTCGTGCAAGCTTGTTTGGAGATAGACCTTCCTTCATGTGCCAGTTTGCCTCACGATGTTCACAATAGTCTGGGTGTACTCAGTTGAGTATCAGACTGCTGTCGAAGCACGATCAGAGCATGTGAATGAAGTGAAGTGAAGTGTCGATGGAATGCGTGACGTCTAAGCGGTTTGTTGTGGCTCGGGCGCAGCCGCGCGCTAGCAAGCTGGCCCAGCGTGGGGCAGGCGCGCTCTCGTAGTCGAAGCCCTTCGCCCACCTGTTTTGCTGTGGCCGCCTTCACCTCTTCCCTCACAGTGAGAGAACCAGCGACTTTTGGTGAGTGACGCCCATACTAACTCCCAACCCATATCTTCACCCTCCTACACCTTTGCACCCCTCCAAAGACATTGGCGACCAACTTTCCAGACAATTGTGACGCGTTTGCTCGTTGTTTTGTCGCGTCTACCGTGTTCTACGCATCTCTCGTCGCAATGCCTCATCCATCGGTCGTCGTCGACTTCATCAGTACGGGCAGCTGACATCTTCTTGCACGACAGCACCCCGATCACGAACATCACCGACACTTTGCATACAACTTCAGTGAGTGAACCCCCGTCATCTGACCGCTTCTTCACGCTCTCCTGTGATGTCTCGCTTGCGACCGCGTCAAGCTGGAGGTGTCTCATCAAAACAACTGAAGCCGCCACCACTACGCGCACCGCATCAACCTCAACCTCATTTTGCCTCACAAGGACTTTCTTCGTGGTCGCGTGAACGCGCCAAAGCCCACCTCGCTGACCATTCTTTCGCGCGCGCAGCCTTGACCGCCAAAACAACACCAACGCGACTTCATTACCATGCCCAAGGAGAAGACCACCACTCGCAAGGCCGCAGCCAAGGGCAAGGCCGACGGCGGCAAGAAGAAGAAGGGTTAGCACCACCTTCTGACCATCGCGCCATTCGATTCAGCTGCTGACATCCACCCAGACCCAAACATGCCAAAGCGTGGTCTTTCTGCATACATGTTCTTCGCCAACGACCAGCGTGACAAGGTCCGCGAAGACAACCCAGGCATCAAGTTCGGTACGTTCCATTCATTCTCTTACGATCTTGGCCTCAAGCTAACGTTCCGTAGGCGAGGTTGGCAAGATTCTCGGAGAGAAGTGGAAGGCCCTCAACGAGAAGCAGAAGGCACCGTACGAAGCAAAGGCTGCGGCCGACAAGAAGCGCTATGAGGAGGAGAAGGCTGCCTACACGGCTGTGCGTGTATCACCTCATTGCCTTCGCCATTTGATCATACTGACAACCGTCCAGCAAGGCGTCGATGATGACGAAGACGAGGAGTAAATGCGGTCTCCTGACAACCTCACCAACAACTCTCGACAGCCACCACGACCTTCCTCCCGACATTGCTGGCTCCCTCCAGACATGCCGTTGCTTCTTCCTCTGACTGGCCGGGGTACGGATGCGATTGTGATGCGCAGCTGAATGGATTCTGATGACGATTGCTGCATTGTGTTTCATGGGCTGGGCTGGGATGATACCAAGGGACTCTCAACGGAGCGATCTAATGGCCAGCTTTCAGCTCAAGTAACTGTCGGAAGCGGCTTTTTATGTGTGTACCATTAGTGTGGACTGGGAAGCTTTTCTACCAAGTCTTCAGTGCCTTTACTTCCACCCTGGCTTTGACCCAGTAAGCCGCAGACGATGTCAAGTCTAGTGTCCCCAGTGGCGAGCAAATACATATCAGCTTGCCGAAGGCGGATGTATTATTCATGTGAAAAGCACGTGAAAGCTGAAGGTGGTCTTCTGCCACACCATCCCTTCCTTCACAACCGCCACGTGGCCTCGACGGCTTCTCGAAGCAAGCGCGTCGCCAGCTGTGCGCCTGAGGGGAGTTGACACCTTTATCAAGTCGCAAGGATGTCGTGAGGATGACTGGAAACGTTCTTTGAAACACCAAAATACGGCAAGGCCGCGTAATGCGAGCGCGTGATTGGCTCGACTTTTTAAGCTTCGATGATCCAACGGTCGTTCGTCTAGAAATCCAGGGAACCCCAACGTTCCTCAATCGCTGCTCGTGTTCCAACAAGACAGCTCTGATCTTTTCTTTGTCTTCCATACTCTGTTCCCTTGTTTCATTGACATTTCCTTTTCTCATCTGCAGTCGACACGGCACACGAAGCTCCGCTCTAGGAACAAGGAGCAGCACACACAGTCGTTACGGTACGGGAGCCATCTGAATCGGCGTCCGGAGCTGCATGTGACAGTATTTCGATCGCGCTCGTGGCGAAGAGCCTGCGACTGACTATAATCACAATGGCTGCGGCATTGCCATCGCCGGCACGACTACTGTTCCCTCGTCAAACAGACAGCTCTTCGGGCAGCAGTGGCGGCACCACAGACAGCAATGGCAATCCCAGCACTGGCGACCAATTCCTGGACCTGATATCTTCTCCTTTCGACAGCGAGGTACGATGCGACCCAAGGACCGCATTTTCTACTACAGACCCCCTTGCTAAAGTCAGAGCAGTTTTATTCAAAATCTTTCGTCTCCGCCGTCATCTTCTCCTTCGCTCTCGGCGCCATCGTCCTTCTCGGCTTCTGCTTCGTCCGTCCCTATAATAACGTCGTCTACGCTCCACGCGCGAAACATGCAGACAGTAAGCATGCACCACCTCCCATCGGCAAGGGCTTGTTTGGATGGATCAAGCCGCTATACCAGGTCAAAGAGCAGGAGCTGGTGGAGAGATGCGGGCTGGACGCGGCAGTGTTCATGCGGTTCAGCAGGATGATGCGCAATATGTTCCTGGCATTGGCTGTGGTGGGATGCGGGATATTGATCCCTACAACCCTTGTCTCATCCGACGGCGACTTGTCAACCGGGGCTGGGTTCTTGCAGCGCTTGACGCCCACCTACGGCACATCGTACTGGGCTTATGTGGTGGTGGCGTACATTTTCGATGCCATTATTTTCTTCTTCCTGTGGAGAAATTACGGCGCGATCCTGAGGCTTAGGAGGCAATACTTTGAAAGCAAGGATTATCAGCGCAGTCTCCACTCTCGGACACTGCTGCTCACGGACATTCCTAGCGAGCTGCGGTCTGATGACGGGATTGTGAAGATCACGGAACAAGCGAAAGCAACGGGCGATACGCCTCGCGCTGCTATCGCAAGGAACGTGAAAGAGCTGCCGGACATGATTGAAGACCACGAAGAGGCTGTGAAGGATCTTGAAAAGGTGCTTGCCAAGTACTTGAGCAACCCGGACAAACTCCCAGCAACTCGGCCTACGTGCAAGGCGAAGAAGAACGATATGGGCTTCACGAAGGGTCAGCAGGTGGATGCGATCGAGTACCTCTCGGCGCGCATCAAGACCCTCGAAACACAGATCAAGGAAGTGCGATTGACTATCGACAAGCGCAATGCATTGTCTTACGGCTTCGCCACCTATGAGAACATCCCGGCAGCACACGATGTAGCATATGTGACGCGCAAGAAGAGCCCGCAAGGCACGAGCATCATCCTGGCACCAAAGCCGAACGATCTGATCTGGAAGAACCTGCCGATGCTGAAGAAGGAACGCAACTGGCAGAACTTCATCAACAACCTCTGGGTTGCTCTACTCACAGTAGCCTGGATCGTGCCCAACGTCCTTATTTCCGTGTTCTTATCGAACCTTTCGCATTTGGGAACGGTCTGGCCTGCGTTCCAACGATCGCTATACGCTCACCAGACGGCGTGGTCAATTGCACAGGGTATCATTGCCCCGGCGATCACGACTCTGTTTTACTACTTTCTGCCGGCCATCTTCCGGCGACTTGTTACCAATGCTGGCGATAAGACGAAGACGGGCAGAGAGCGACATGTAATGCACAAGCTTTTCTCATTCTTCTTGATCAACAATTTGATTGTCTTCTCGCTTTTCTCTGCTGCGTGGGGCTTCGCAACCGCAGCCATTTGGAATAGTGACAATGGCGAGGGCGGATGGGATGCGATCGTGCAGGGCAACTTAGTTGGGCAGATTGTGACGACTATGATCACGGTCACGCCCTACTGGTGCAGTTGGCTGCTTCAGAGGAATTTGGGAGCCGCCCTCGACTTGAGCCAGCTTGCTCGGCTGACATGGGGCTCGTTTTCACGCCGCTTCAGGAACCCAACGCCTCGGGAGCTGATCGAACTCACGGCTCCTCAGCCCTTCGACTATGCTGGGTACTACAACTACTTCTGTTTCTACGCCGCCGTGGCTCTTGCCTTCGGCGCACTGCAACCGCTTGCTCTCGCGATTACGGCGCTGTACTTCTGGATGGACTCTTTCAGCAAGAAGTACATGATTCTCTACATCTTTATCACAAAGTACGAGTCTGGTGGTATGTTCTGGCGGACTTTGTACAACCGGATACTGGTCTGTGCTGTCCTCGGGAACATCGTCATCGGATTTCTGGTTGGCGCGCAAGGCACGAGTTGGTACCTGCTCGCCGCCATGGCGCCTCTCATCTTCTTATTCCTTGGCTTCAAGTGGTACTGCCTGAGAACCTTCGACGACCCGATCCATTTCTACAGCCAAGGGAAGCAGATTAGCGAAGAGGCACATGTGGAGGGCAAGCGTCGCAAGGGTGACCGCATTGGCACCCGCTTTGGACACCCCGCATTGTTCAAGCCGCTCATTACTCCCATGGTGTCGGCCAAGTCTCAGCACTTGCTCAAGCAGGTGTACAGCGGGCGTACGTCGATGGACAACACCGGCCAAGAAGCGGGCTACAGCGACGTCTACCTGGACGCCATGGACGCCAGCAACCCCGGCAAGAGCTCAGGCGCCAACGCACCGTTCGAGATCGTCGGCGAGCACGAAATGGATTATGAGCACTGGAAGAACAACCCTGAGTTCCGCGAGGAGCACGGCGGAGAGGGCGAGCTCTTCGGTCGGCCTGGCGACATGACTCGCTCGAGCACGCCGAACAGCATGATGACTGGCTTCACGCGCACTGGCACTTTCGACTCTACATACAGCCAGGATCGCAGCCGCAGCCAGTCTGCCGACCCTCACGCGCACACTCGCGCCAGCTCTAGGGATTCGGACAGGACCAAGGTAGCAGGAGACGTCGGCGTCGACTACCCCCGCGGCTACCACCGCACGCCCACCACCGACACTTTCTCCCGCCCAACCACGCGACACCAAGAGAGCAGGGAAGGGCTCGTGACGCACGCGGCGCGCATGGCGCAGTCTCCGCCGCCTCAGCTTCCTACGCCTGCTGCGCCTACGCCTGGTGGGTATGGCGATATCAGGTTGGGATCGAACAGCGGGACGCCGTATGAGGATGATACTAGCTATGATTACTTCCGGAGAGGGAGGATGTAGGTGAGATGTAAGAATGCTGTGGGTTGCTGGGCGTTTGAATTTGGGAGCGATTTTGAAGGGTTGAGCGAGATGATTCTGCTCCCTAACTGATGTTGATGATGTGGTATGATAGAAGGATAGATGGCGTAATTTTGCTTTCCTGGAGATGGGGAGGGGTGTGTGTGTATGTAGAGGAGAAAAGCGAAAGCAATGACTGCTTTTTACACTTGATCTGCTCCGATTCACATCTCCCAAAGAGGCAGTTGCAGATGTCCGTGCGGCTGTCTTGGTTCTGGCTACTTTCTGTTCTGCTACTTCGCTTCCAACCCACCAACACCCAACACGTCAACACTTCTAGCAGGACTGATCAAAATACACAACAAATAGTCGTATCGCACCGAAAATGAGTGCCTCGGATCTCCAAGCACTCCTCCGCTTCCTCTCCCAAGATGCAAAGGTACCTCTGGCGTCCGCTATGGGCAAAGTCAAGCAACTACAAACAGCAAACCTGGACACCCCTGAAAAGATCTCAAAGGCCAAACCAAACGACATCAAATCCATCTTCGAAGATGAAAAAGTAGCAAAACAAATCCTCGCGGCAGCTAAACGAGTCACCAAGAAACGAGCAACCGGTGGCGAAGACACAACAACCTCATCTCCAGCAAAGAAACGCAAAAAGGACGGACCGCTCTTGTTCAGCGACCCCGATGCTTCGCCCGCGGATATCGAAGCTTCCCTCGCCCTCCCCTCATCTTCCGCCACAGAAGAGGAGTTGAAAGAAACAGTCCTCTTCACCAACCGCGCCCCCTTAGCGCTAGCGTTCGTCTTCACGCTCCTGAAGTTCTCAATGCCAGAGCAGCCTCTGTCCAGCCGTCTGAGTTTAGCGCAAGGGTATATTGGCGTCACGAGTAAGGCGAGAGCGCTGAGTTTGGGGATTGAGAAGGGCAGGAGTGCAGAGGAGGAGGGGTTTGGGGAAGGGCAGCCTGTTGTGCGGATTACGGGAAAGGAGGTTAGGGTGTTGAGGAGGTGGGGGTATGAGTGGAAGAAGGATTCAAAGGAGCATGGTGGGGATGAGGTGGCGAAGGGAGATGAGGGTGGTGAGGAGCAGCCGCCGCTTTGGGCGTTGGATCTCGAGGCGCTGAAGAAGTCGAATACGCTTGATTCTGCGCCGGCGCTGGGACGGGCGAGTGGTGGTGATGGTGGGTTGACGAATTTGCCGATTCATACGCCGCAGGCGGCGAGAGCGTATATGCTTAAGGCTTTTGATACTGCGCCCAGTGAGCAGGTGGAGACGGGGAAGAAGCGATCTGGTGCGGCGAAAGTGGCAGAGAAGGAGAGAAATTTAGGAAAGTTGCTTCAGGCGCTTGATATTCTGTATCGGTCTTGGGCTACTGCACTCAGTCCAGAAGACCTCGACAAAAGGACATGGGGATGGTATGTCCGGGTACGCCCAGCGGTGGCAGAGGGTGCGCAAGGCTGGGGAGGCAAGAATACTGTCAAGTTGGCGGACATACTGGCATTGCGGAGGGAGGCGACATGAAGACCGCTCGATTGATGCTACCGCAGCCACTCCGCCAGCCTACTCAGGCTACTAAAACCGACAGCTCTCGACGCACGGAACAGCTCCTGCAGGCTTCCGGGCTTCTCACCGTCACACCATTCGACCTTCGCATCCTGAGAATCGTTGATCAGGACCGCCTTCCAGCCCGCATCAACAGCGCCAACGACATCCTTGTCGTATTCATCGCCCACATACACCTTCTCCCACCCATCGCCCTCCGCCGAGGCTGCTGCGCCAGCTCCTCGAACAACATCCAGCATCCCTTCAGCAGCCTCAAAGATCCTCCGATCCGGCTTCTCATGCCCAACATCATACGACATGACCGTAAAATCGACGTCCCAGTTGCCACCTTCAGCCTTCGAGTCTCCGTACCTAAGCGGACTCACTTTCAGCCCCAACGAAGTCAGCACATCCGGTACCCTATCATCAGAGTTCGTGATGACGCCAACGACCACACGGTCGTAGCGGAGCGATTGCAGATTCCGAGCGCCGCGAAGGACAAGAGGGACGTCTGGGAGGAGCATGTAGCCTTCGTCGGACCAGAAGCGGTGCAGGAGCTTGGGAATGAGTTCTGATGGAAGTTGCTCATTTGGTCGGAGGAGTGGTTGGAAAGTGTTGTGGATGATCTTCAGTTGGTTTAGATAGGCAGAGATATAAGAGGGCGAGAGGACGTACGTTTGTCCACCATTTCTCAGCATTCATGCCATTTGCTTTTCCGTAATTTGGGTTTTGCTTTGATTCGTCCTTGAACGCTGTACGGTTGCAGGTCAGCTGCAACAATATCGCTGTGCATCTTGAGATTGGCAATACCGGTCTTGAACGACGACTGTACCGCCTCCTCCGTTACATGCCGCAAGCCTAGCGCGTTCGCAACTTCAGCATACTGCTGCGCTACCAGCCTGCGTGGCTTGAACAGTGTCCCGAATGCATCGAAACAGATGAGTAGGTTCTTTCTCGACATTGGTCTATTGGAGATGGCAGAAAGATGGGGGATGGATGTCGAAGTCGAGATCTCGAACGCACGGACCCACTTGGAGGAAGCAGCGGCAAGCCTACACCGTACAGTGAATGCGGTCTGCTCGGAACATTTAAGGACTATACACAATCTAAACGCAATAGGGTATCACATCTATTCTTCCCCATCTCCATGCGCCTTCGTCCCTGGACTTTTCGCACTCTTCGGCGAACTCCCAACCTGCTCCTCCACCGTCTTCCTCAAACCCAGTTCCGCCGTACTCCCCATCGCCTCCGGCTCCTCAACAATCCTACTCGCGACCACCGGATCCACACTCGCGCTATCAAACGTCGACTTCGTGGACGCTCCGCTCTTAGCCGAGCTGGGCGTCTTCGGCGCCGTAGGCGATGTAGGCGCAAGTCCGCGGTGGCCGTCTGTATACTGCGCCGAAGGCGTTCTTGGACTCACGGGAGCGCCGTTGCTCTTCGCTGACCCAGGCCGTTGGTACGCTTGCTCAGGTTTCTTGACAGACATTGGGTTGATGATTTTGGCCACGAGGTTGCGCTCGTCGATGTCGCTGTCGTCGCCATCGGAGCCTTCGAAGAAGGAGTCGTCCCAGACGCCGCTGCTTTGTCGCGAGAGGGCTTTGATCGTGGTCGAAGTGAAGCTCCCAGCTGCGCCGTCTTGAGCGATCTGTAAAGTAGCGAGTTCGTCCTTCGCTTCTCGCGTCTCGCTTTGCGTGCGCTCCGGTACTTGCTTGTCGGTTTGCTCAGCAACTTCCTCTCCACTTTCGGGCAATGGTGCGTCCATTGCCTTTGCGCGCTCGCGGGCTGGTTCGTACTCGTCTCGAGTCTTTGCGGCGTAGCTGTCACTAAAGTGGGTGTCGCATAGATGCTTGACGACAGGCCAGCCGTGGGCATTGGCGAACATGCGCCGGACAATCATGTTGTTGTGCGCATCCGGCTCCAGTCGGACAAGAACCTTTCTCCAGCTGAGGTCGCGATGGTAGGCACGCGCAATCTTCTCCTCGACCTTCATGCCGCTCAAATCTACGGACTCCTGGCTGTTGGCTGACAGTGTCGACGATTGGCTGCTCCTCTGGCTAGTCTCGCCAGTGAAAGTGCGTGTGAAACGAGAGGTGGGCCTCTTCATCGGCGGTGGAGGAATGTCTTCCGGATGGTAGACTCGGTCGTGAAAGATGGTGCGGGCTCGACAGCTCGGGTCGTTGATCCACTGCTTGCCAGGAAGCGGTGGGTGCAGGATGTCGCCTGCAGACTCGAAGATAGACGTCTTTGGAGGAGCTTGCGCATTGCCAGATTCGTTGTTGATGAGACTGTCGCCACGCGAAGCTTTTGGTCGCTTGCTCTCATCAACGTGAGAGTGCAAATGTGGCCGCATCATCGGGTTGCTGGTCGTTCCTGACTGATCCTGGCCGCCTTCTTCCGCATCTACCTCTTCTTGGCTCACTGTCTGGCCTCGCTGGATGGCCTTCGTGGTCTTCTTCGACCTCCCAGGCTGCTTTGGACTTGTCGACTGTTGTTGCATATTTGGCCGGAAGAAGCTCCAGAAGTTGTCCCACATCCCACTGTCCTGCGGAGGCTGCTTCTGCGTCCCACTCGACATCGAGCTTCCCTCTGGAGCATTCTCTTCATCGTAGCTCGGCCGAGTGGTCAGCTGCTTCGCGTCGGCGACCGTCTCATCTTCAGCCGGCTGCGGAACAGCATCACCCTCGCCCTTGCGAACATGCTCGTTATCAGCATCGGCGTCGTCTAGGTTCTGCTCCTCAAGAGCCCTCTCAGGTTGACTGCTCTGGTTCTGCCCAGTAAGCTCAGCCCAACCCCATTCGGCTACTGTTCCAATCAGACCGTTCTCACGACGTGCTTTGTCTACCTTCCCTAAGCCTCTCCAGTCCAAGAACAACAGGCAGCTCGTTCTTAGCGGCACGATGCCGTCATTGACCACGTTCGAGTACACAGTCCGATTCCTGAACATCCGAAGCACTTGGTGAGCAGGCCCGGTGGGCAGGATCCGAAGCAGAGGCTTGGACGATGGATCATCATCTTTGCCGCTATCCTTCTGTCCAGACCCTAAGCCACCGATCATAGCGTTCCAGCCTCCTCGTGCGAGCGTCGGTGCCCGCCACGTAAGGCCGAGATCCTGCCCTGTCCGTCCTACAAGTCCAAAGTCGAGCGCGAACTTGACGTACATGGGATTCTCATTGCTTAAGCCTAGCATCGGCGACGCCATGGCAATGAAGTTGATCGGCTTGATGTGGGTGAAGAACGTGGGGCTGTGCTTGTGGATGTAGGCCATGGCATAAGTCTGGATGAGGCCGCCCAGACTGTGACCGACGAAGGATATGCTGGTGAACTGATACGGCAGCTCCTCTGCGACTTTGCTCAAGCCTGGGTGGTGGATGCTGCTTCCGGCATGAGAGGGCACGCCATCCCGTTTCGCTTTGTTCTCTTGGCTTTTAAACGTGTCTGTCAGCTGGCGGGTAAGAGGCTTCTTGACAGGCATGAACGGCTGGTCCGGATAGGTGAAGCGCAGAATGTACTTAGCAAGGCGCTTTCCAAGGTACTGTATGCCGTTCTCAGTTCGTACAGCGTTGCCGGGGAAGCCTCTGACTATGACTTCTTCATCGTCATCCGAGTCGTAGTCGGTATCCTGCATCTCCTCCTGGCCGCCTGACAGAGGTGCAGTAGCTGTCTCACCTTGCGTGTCCGCATCGTCGTTCTGCTGCGCGTGCGCACTGTCCTGCCCTGGCGACTGCTTCTGCTTGTCTCGCTTCTCCCGGTAGCTTGCCTTGCGTTTCTGCGAGTCGATGCGGGCCTGCGCCACCGTAGCATCGATGCTCTCCTTCAAAAACAGCATGTCTGCCCCGATATTGCTGTGCATTCCGTGCGTGACGACCACAAGATGCACCTTCTTCCTTTTCCGTGGCTTCTTCTCCTGGTAGTCTGCATCTTCGCTCTTTCGTTTCGCATCCACAGACTTCCTCTTGCTGTCCTCATCGTCCCACGTTGGCAAGGCGGGCTTATCCCACAGCGTTTCTGTATCTTCCACAGCCAGCCTCACAGCCTTCGAATACACTCCAGCCGTCTGCAAATGACCCCGTTGCCTTGCCCTCTTACGCTCCTTATCTGTCGCATAGTAAGGTGTCTGCCCAGGCCCTCCGTGTCCATGCCCTGCCACAGCCGCAAACCCAAGATCTAGACTTCGCTCATCCCGCCCAACCAACACCTCAAAGTTCACAGAAGCACTATTCGAGAAGAGAATCTGCGATGCAATCTCAATAATCCAGGTTACACTACCCTTCTCTTCGTCCCCGTCGTTGTCGCGTGACTGCATGCTCTGCCTCTTCTTGCCGAGATCTGCTCCCGTTTCTCTGATGTCGTCCGGGACCAGTAGTTTCGCCTGCCAGCTCCCACCCGCCTTAAGCATCGGCTCAAACTGCGGCGCGCCATGGTGTTCCGGGTCCTCATTCTTGCTGTATGGATTGAACGATTCCGGATAAGCGGATACATGCAGAGCGTATGGGCCATGCACCCAAGCTGCACGCAGAGGTATTGCCGAGCTGTTTTTGATCTTGACGAAGAGGTTCGAGGGTGTCGGTAGTATGCGATCGTTTGTCGGAGTGTATGTAAGGGTATAGCGGACCACTTCGCCTACTTTGACATGGCCTGCCTGGTGTACGAGCAGCATCTTGTCCGTTATCTTCTACTGTCCTGGACCATGGGGCTCCTGAAGCTGCTGCGTCGGACCAGCGTATTTTATCGGCCTGTCCTGTGCGTTATACTCGTCAGGCTACGAGAAGTGGTAATCCGAGGCAACAGTAGGATTCGCTCTAGCTCGTGTTGGTCGAAGTATAACCACGTACCACCACGACCCTGCAAGATATGGTGAAGCCAATAGTCACTGCGGTCTTCATGGTGTTCAGTGTCGTGTGGTAGAGTGTACACCGCAGCTCGCCGGCGCTGCGGCGGAAAGTCAGAAAGTCCAAGTGACGTTGGACCCGGAGCTTCGAGATCCGAGGTGATCACCACCACGTGCTTGACATGCATTAAACACGGAACCGACAGCACCAGCAAGACATGGCAGGCTGGCACAACGACCAGATGACACTCGAATCCTCATAATGCTGTGGTATAGACACAATAGACAATCCTGCCACTAACCCGCGCTGTCCCATAGCACTTTTCAAACATTCACATACAATGCACTTTCCTCACACGTCCTCCCGGAACATACTCCTCCGCTCAGTCGGAGAATCATCGCTCCCAGTCGTGTTCAAGCTGCTTTGCCCTCGCTTATGGCTTGGTGCTCTCGGGGCACTCGTCGGCATATCCGGCCTTGGGCTCACACTCCGCAAGCTCATGTTGCTCGCTTCAGCCTGCTCGCCGAATGGATTTAACCTCGCGCCGCCGTTGTGTACCTCCTCATCGTACCGGTTGTCGAGTTCGCGCTGTCGGCTCCTACTCCGACCTCTGCCCTCCTCGATCCCGCCTACACCTACACCAACGTCGCCGTAGCCTCCGCCGCCGTACGGACCGTGGCTGGGATCCTGTAGACCAAGCTCCTGCTCTTCGTAATACCCTCCAGTCTCGTTGTCCACCCGCGCATCCCAAGCTTCGTCCGGATCTAGCGGTCCAAAGCCTCTCCTATCGGTCCCACTCCTTCCGCCGGCTCCGTACCCTGTGCTCTCATATGCGCCCGTCGTGGTTCGGCCGCTGCGCAATGAGCTAAACTTGTCGGTCACCCATCCAATGACACCCGATGGTGCAGGTGCTGGCGCGCGATATAATGGCGACTCTCTCGGTTTCCGGTTGAATGGGTTGAAGTTTGGTGCTGGTAAGCCTAGCTTGCGCGCTCGGTAGTGGGCGTATCTGGGTAGTGTCAGTTTGCACTTCACTGAAGTCTCAGCGGAGTCACTCACAATACGTAACCTCCTCCTGCTGCAACCAGGACAAGCACTAGAATGATGAGGAACACTCCCCAGCCGGAGATAGCCATTGCGCGAGGCTACCGCATGTGGTGTTAGATGCTGTCTTCTATGGTCGCATGTGGCAGCGCCGAAAGCGCCGTGGACGTTCTTGTGGTCGCGCCGTCCTCTGCTCGACAAAAATAAGGGGCGGTCGGTGTCAGAGGTGCTGCTGACGAGAGCGCAACGATGGGAGTGTTGGTATACCTGAGGCTAGGTTTTGCCAAGAGCTCGAGCTCGGGGCAAGTGGAAGCTTGTCTCACCGCGCTAAGGAAATGGCTAAAGATGGCATCGCGCAAGGATGAAGAATGCCTTAACTTTCGCACGATGGAGCCGCAGGCGTTGTTGTACGTGATCCGGACAAGCCATGTCTTCGCAGGGCGACATGGACGCTGCATCGATCAGTGGCTCGGAGGGTGAAGGCTGGTTGACTGTCGTCGATGAGAAGGGTATGTCAGCAAGCCATATCACGAAGCAGGCCCGTGAGACCAAGCGAGGCGGCCGCTGAAGGTGCGTGCAGGTACCAAGGTGTCAGTCGCCTACGAAAGGGTAATCGCGATACTGTCCGACAAGGCCTCTTCCGCAAACACAGAGAGTTCTATCCGAACAGTCCTGTGTGTCAAGCCGGACAAGGATGGACTGGAGGCACTCACCTCTGGCGCTCTGGATCAGTTAAAGGTCTCGCTCCAGCCGACTGAACAATGCCACTGGTATAGAGATGGAGCAGTTGAGGGTGTTGAACGCCATGTTGTTGTCTCTACTGGCTCAGGCACTGGTACCGCTTCAACAGTCTGGCAGAACCTGGTCCAACCGTTGCTCGCTCGTCTGAGCGTGAGAGAGAACGAACATTACCACCTCAATTTCACGACCTCTGGAGGAAGCGTCGCCGAATTTGCACGGATGGTCTTGCTCCCTAAAGCCAACCAAGGTGTAGCTCTGGCCGTGCTGCTCTTGAGCGGTGATGGCGGCATAGTAGACATTGTCAACAGCTTGCTTTCTGAAGACCGATCAGCGGCATACGAAAACCCAACGATGAGTCTTCTTCCGCTTGGTACAGGAAATGCTCTAGCCCACAGCTCAGGCATCACAGGCGATGCCACTCTTGGACTGAGGGCTATGCTGCAAGGCACGCCAAAAGCATTGCCATTGTTCCGCGCGACTTTCTCTCCAGGGACGAAGCTGCTCGTGAATGAAGGGCAGCAGGAGCAGCATCTCCACAGCATTGTCGGCGGCAATCCTGTCGCACACGGAGCGGTCGTATGCTCTTGGGGCCACCACGCAAGCCTAGTTGCAGACAGCGACACTACGGACTATCGCAAGTTCGGCTCTAAACGCTTCCAAATGGCTGCAAAGGAGGCGCTCTTCCCTGCTGACGGCTCGCCACCTCACGCCTACAAAGGTCGTGTCTCGGTCCGTCGACCAGGCCAAGCAGGCTGGGAAGACATACCACCGAGTAAACATGGATATGTCCTTGCAACTTTTGCTAGTCAACTCGAGGCCGGCTTCACTATTAGTCCGCAGTCTAAACCACTGGATGGGAAGCTGAGGCTGATACACTTTGGTGATCTTGGAGGTCAGGAAGCCATGGATGTGATGACCAAAGCTTTTCAAGGCGGCAAGCACGTTGAGGATGACAGAGTCCGGTATGAGGTTATCGATAGGCTCAGTATTGAGTTTCAAGAAGAGGACGCGAGGTGGAGACGGGTCTGCATTGATGGCAAGATCATCCGTGTTGAGAAAGGTGGATGGGTTGAAGTAAGCACTGATGTTGACAGTGTTGTGGATTTGGTTTGCACGGAGTCGTGAGGGCTGGTTGGTGTGATCTGGCTCGTACGTTAAACTTCGCGCAGAGTGGCACTTGTTATCACCCGGCTACCCTACGCCTGAAACAAATGAACGGCTCTTAAGATCGAGAAGATGACAGCATATTTACAGCGATTCCATCGATTTAGCTTACCGCTCCAAACATACCAACATCAACGCAAAAACATCAAGTCTAAGCCAACCATCCTCTCGGGCACACTCTATGCTGCGGCCGCCGGTGGTTGCGTCGTAAAGCCCTCGAATCCGTTATTCAACACCTCCCTCGTCTTCTCCTCATACAGCGGGAACCCACCTGGCCAGTTCAGCTGTTCCCTGACCTTTCCAGGAATATTGGCGCCTGCAATCAAATCAGCCACTGCTCGCTTCTCCGAAAGGAATACCAGCAACCACTTACCCATATACCAGCTGTTCGTATGAGGGAACAACGTCTTATCGTTAATCTCCTTGATGTAGTTGAACCACCTATCCTCGCCCTCTTTCGTCGCATCAAGATACTGGATGTTCTCCTTCCTCAGCTTCGCGATCGCATCAACGATCCACTCGCCCTGCAATTCAACGCAGCTGGGTCCGTTCGAGAAGGCCGTCGGGCCCTGAGCGCCGTACAGGAAGAAGTGGTTCGGGTGGCCGGAGAGGGTCATGCCAAGGTACGTCTTTGTTCCCTCAGCCCACTTCTCGTTGATATCGATCCCGTTGATGTCCTTCAAGCCCATGTTCTTCATCCCACCCGTCACAGCATCGAACCCAGTCGCCAGAGCAATGATGTCGAATTCCCGGAACTGTCCGTCCTCAGTCACCAGCCCGTTCTCCTTGACCTCGACGACGTTGTTGTTTTTGATATCTACCACGTCGTTGTTGGGCTGGTCCATGACCTCGTAGAAGTTCTGCTCGAGCGAAGGGCGCTTCGTGCCCCAGGCGTGAGGGGCCTTGGTGGGTGCGAGGATGTCGCGCTTCCGTGGGTCCTTGATGCGCTCGCGGGTCTTCTTGAGCCAGAAATTCCAGGTCTCAGCGTTGGCGTCCCAGTCGAAGAGCATGTCTTTGTAGGTCGCAAGCCAGAACTCGAAGCCGCCTGGTGGAGGTCAGTATCTCACGGAGATGGGTGGCAATAGTAGGTGGCGTGGGACTTACCGTTCTGCCACCGCTCTTCGAAGAACTTCTCGCGCTCCTCGGGGCTGTCGTCGAAGGTGTTCTTATCCGCGAAGTCGTAGGGAAAGCCAGCGAAGGTTGTCATGCGGTGCTTGAAGTATCTGGACGGATGGTTAGCTCTCGTCGGCAGCGCAGGCTGAGACAGCATACTCAGGGTAAGTATCCTTAGCAGCGTTTTGCTCTTCCGCAGTCAACTTGCGCTGTCTCATTGGCAAGCAAAGGTTTGGTGTACGCTGGAAGACTGTCGTCGACGCTGCCTGTTGGCCGATCTCTTGGGATAACTGGATACCTGTGGCTCCGGTACCAACAACAGCGACCTTCTTGCCCTTGACATCGACACTGTGCTTCGTCAGCTCTTACAACACTCCTTGACGGTACCCTATCAACTCACCCTCCCTCAGGCCAAAAAGAACTATGATGGATCTCGCCCTTAAAGTTCTCCATACCCTTCCAGTCTGGAAAACTTCTCTTTGCTGCGAAGCCAAGTGCGTTGATGAGGTAGTGGCAGCGTGCCGTCCGGCCATCTTCAGTCTTCGCTACCCATTTGTTCGCCTTTGGGTCGTACTCGGAGCTGATAACTCTGCTCTCGAATGCAACGTCCTTCTTGATGTCTAGCTTTTGATCGACGAACTTGAAGTATTCTCTGAGCTCTTTCCAGCTCGGGTACTTCTCTTTCCATGTCCATTCCTGCAACAGGTGTCAGTCTAGGCTGCGAGTGGATCGTTGAGGAGGCGATCGTACCTTCCAGATCGATGGGAAGGAGTACTCGTAGCAAGGTACGGGAGTGTCGACGCGGGCACCTGGATAGCAGTTCTGACACTGTATCAGCATGCGGAAGTCGTTCATCCATGTGCGATTCTCACCCAATGCCAAATGCCTCCCAGCTCAGTCCCAGCCTCGTACACCTTGACATTCAGGCCCAGCTCATCTCTCAGACGATGCAGCAGGTAGACACCCGCAAAGCCGGCGCCAACGATCAAGACATCAACATCGAGGTTATCCTGGTAGCTATCAGTGGTCCCAGCGACCCTAGGCTGCTGCGCCGAGATATCGGTTCGGAGAGGCATCGTTCTTCGATAGCAATAAAATGATATGGACGAAGAGATCAAATGATCAACAGCGAGACTGCACACCTAAGAACAGAAACAACCCAACTTATACGCACCACACGCCTACCTCTACCCACACGCGTAAACGACAAGTCAACCGAGGACCACTTCCGCCGAAGCGACGACCGCAGTGACGATTGGCGCGGACGACGTCCCCTTCGACCGCCCTGGCGATCAAGGTTTCCTCTGCGACGGGACTGCCAATCATGTGGACATGTCTATCGTTTCCCGTCGAAAGCCACTCAGGTCTAGCGGGACCACCGTGGGCCACCGTGGGAAGGAGGTAAAGAACTGCTGCGAGATGATGCAGTGTGGAAGGGGTTCCGCTGTGGGACGTGGCGAGGAGGGGAGGTGGGGTTTGAGATATGCTTCGCGGAGATCTGGAGCGAGAGTCCGGGGCTGTCCGAGATGTTTGCGAAGGAAGGTTTTGCGAGCGCTACTTCCTAGTTGGGCAGTCCGAATGAGGCAATTTTTGTTTCCATGATTCAGGCGGGAGTTGTTTGCGCCGCTTCTCGAACGCAGCGACGGCTTTCGAGGTCTCAGGATTCTGAAGTCATCCTGGTGGGCAGATTGACAAACGGAGAAGCAGGAAGCTTCCAGCAAACGAAAAGTATGAATGAGAGGAAGTAGAAGCATAAGCATAGACTTTTAGTAGTCGATGAGTACAACCAGGAAACATACCTAGCCAGACTCATGGAGTTTTCCCAGTCCCACGGTTCAGCTTCTCCGCCACGAGGGTAAAGCTCCCGCCACCGTAGTACCCCTGGGACTGCTCCCAGCTTGTTCGCTTCTGGGAGAACATGCTTCTGTCCACGCCAGACGCCGGTGCGCCCATTGCCCGTCCTCCGAGCCAACAAACGCCATAGAACACAACAACCATCTCTACAGCATCATGGCCACCCTCAGAACAAAGGAGAACTTGCCTTGACAATGATCACACCACAACACAATCCACCTCTTGTCCTTCACCTTTCCGCCCCTGCTCCGTCTACGCATCAACCAGGAGGGAAGCGTACTCACCCTTGTACCCTTCATACTGCTCCTTGAACTCGGGATCCGTCACCTTCACACCCCTCTTGCCAGCAGCAGAATTGGCGGCGTCCGCTTCCTCGAGACGCTGGATGCGCTTCGCAATACTCCCCTTGTGCGTCATGAAGTGCTTGGCAAGGAGATCGTTCACCTCGTCGTTATCGAGAATATCGTCGTCTGCCGCGAGCCTCGCAATGACTTCGGGATGGGTTTCGTCGTGGCCGCGACGCGGGAGCTTGCGCTCGTGGAGCAGGTCGGCGAGCTCGGAGTCGGTCATGATGCTGCGGGGGTTGAGGAGGGTGGCTTTGGTGACTTCGACCATTTGGCTGGGGTGGACGGAGACGCTGCGGCCGCGGGAAGCGCTGCGGCGGCGGTTGCTGATCCTCTCCGACTGCGTGAGAACTGGTGGAGGTACGTCGCCATCCGAGCTGGCGTCGGAGTCGTCGCTGTCCGCGAGATAGTCCGCGCGTTCGTCTTCGTCGGAGTCCGGATCTCCGCCCTGCTTGTTGCCATGCTTGCGGTTGATGTTGTAGCCGGTGTAGTAACGGTAGACCGCCGCCTCTGCATCCTTGTTGCGACGCTTGGCTTCGACCTCCTCTCTCAACTTCTGCAGCCCTGCCTTCCTGGCCTTGCGCTCCGCCTCCTTGCCGAGCCTCTTCTCTTCCCTCAGACGCCTCTCCTCGCGCTCGCGCGCCATCTTCTCCTGCTTCCAGTTCACATTCTCGAGCTGGATGCCTAGTTTGCGCTCCTTCGCAGCCGCAATTTTGCGCTTCTTGTCCTCTTCCGCATCGCGAATCGCCTGCTTGGCCGCCGCACGACGACGCTTGTTCTCTGCGATGCGCTCGTCGCGCTTGTTCATGCGACCGACTGGGTCGGGATCGAGCTCGAACGCCACATCAGCGGTTCCGTTCTGCATAGCCTCGTAGCGCTCCTTGCAGGCCTTCGCAGTGTACTTCTTCTTGTTCATGCTGACATTGAGGCCGATGGAGATGGTCTTCCATTTCGCCTGTTCGAGCTTGATGACTTCTTGCCTGAACCTCTTCTCCGCGTTGTTGAACGCTTCTTGCAGTAGATCATCCTGCAGTACGTTAGCATGAGAATTTATGGACGCATGGAGAAACTTGCCTCGCCCAGGTGCCAGTCGCTCAGATTGTCGTCCAGCTCCTCTTCCTCAGCCTTCTCGATGTCGCCGCGGATCTTGCGCCAGCGGCCTGCGACGGTCTTCTCGCCATAGTTGATGAATCCTTCCTTCGCGAGCTGGCGAGCGACATGTACGTCGTTGTAGTCCTGCTGCTTCAGAGTCATGATACGGGCGTCGGCCACTGTGTGGTCCCTCCTTCCTTGGATTGCGACGGCTGGTGAGGCGAACCGGACCTTGCGGGGCGCTTGCTTGGTGGGCTGCTTCTCCTGCTGCGAAAGATAAGTTGGAGCCCACAGCAGCGCAGTCGCATGCATATTGGGAGGCGGAGAACATACAACTTCTTCATCATCGGAGTCGCAGTTGTCGGAATTGTCGTCGTTGCCGGAGTCCACGCCGGAGTCGATAGGGTCTGATGATTGTTAGCTAACCTGCTTCTGGGGCGGTTCTCGAAAACCACTCAGCTGCGGCAGAGCATCGACAGGTCGTGCAGCGGGGTGAAAACATTATCGCAAACGGAGACATACCGAGGTGCTCAAGCTCTTCAGTCCCTCCTAAATACAGCCCAGTCTTGATGGGCGGCATGGTGGGTGGATGTGCGGGTAAAGTTGTTGGTCGCTTGTCGCGATTGGGTGTTCAGGGGGGTGGCACGTCGCGCGCAGTCTTTGAGAAGGGGGTCGTTGGTATCCTGATAGCCTGACTATAGTCGTATGGAATGTCAGAAGATTTACAACAACGCGAGGTCGTTGTTCCTTACCGACCTCAGGTGGTGTGAAAACTTTTTGGTGTCGAGGTTAAAGAAGTTTCTGTCGGCGCAGAAAGATGTACGTCCGGGAAATGATGTTTTGAACGTGTTGATATGGTAACAGAAAGTCCCATGACTCACCGTTTAGGAAGGAACCGCGTGATCACAGCGTGAATGGGAGCTTGTGGAACGTTTGTCCCCGGTCGAAAGTAATGTGAAGTCGTTGTTCCGTCGTCGCCCTACTGTCGTCCGTCGTCGGTACAACCGCTATTACTAGCTTCCAAGCATTGTTTCACCTCATTCCAGTACTGCTCCAAGATACGCTCCGTCCGGTAATGCTGATGGGTGGTGGGTGATTGGCCGGCTTGTGGTGGCGACTGATAGCGCGTTCGGTTCATGCGAAGAAGACGCAGGGTACCATCACAGGAAGGAAGAGCAGAGCGAAGAGGAAGCAATTGAATAGGGAAGATCTTTGGGATAGAGTAAAGTACTTAACTTGCAGCAGGTCTCCCGTGCTCAAGGCCTGACGCGCTCCATGAGCCTTCCTCCCAGCACACCGACCTGTGCCGATATAGACCCAGGCACCACTCGCAACGACTTACATGATCACTACTGCTCATAGTCCGTCCCCACAGGTACCATGATGCATATGTTCGTCTTTGTGCTCAGTGCACCAGTACGCGCCGCTGCCCAGGGCGACAGCTGGCCTCTCCGCTCGAATGTCGAGGTTCCGTGAGCGACGATACTCTCACAAATGCCCGACCTCAGTGGTGAGGTTGCCGTAGTGCTGCATTGGTGATGTTGGTACATAAAGTAGAAGCAGAGTCAAGCAGAGTCAAGATGAAGTCGAAGTCGGGATTCACTCCCCACGTGAGATGTCTGCACAGACCATCTCGACCTCACCACCCCTGCAACACACATCCAAGAACCAGGATCTGTCCCTCAGTCCACGATCGTCACAGCCACACCTCAAGCACTGTGACGTCGACGTGGGCAGCGAGGTCGCCATTACGCCACCATCTAGAACCACCAAAGCACGGCAGAGGGAGGTAGTTCTAGTACAAGGCTGTTGCGATACTAGTACAAGGCTGTTGCGATACGGTAGGTTCTTTGCTCTCTCAATCCTACAACTCTTACCATTTTCGTAAAAACAAGTGCAGACATGGCATCCTCCTACTTCACGCTCCCCTCATTCGCCCGAGCAAAGAAGAACAAGGAAGATCTCGAGAAGACGAACCCACAAGAGCCTGTTCTGAAGGATGAAGATGAGAAGTTTCTGGAGAAGCAGATATCGACCGACGATGCCGCGAAACCCCAGCAAAGCGACGAAGCGCCCGCTACGCAGATAACGGATGACGGAGAGGAGAAGGAGGTCTCGAAGGAAGAAGCTGGTGGGGACGTTGTTGTGCCGGAAACGCAGCCTGAAATTAATGTCGCAGGCGGAGACGGGGCGACCGAGGGTGATGCTGGGCAATCGGCGGACAAGGAAGAATCGCAGACCACTGAGCAGAGTACCGAGGGCGCAACAGGGGACCAACAGTCAGCGGGACAAGGCGACGACGGAGCTACAGATGATGCAACGTACGACGATAAGATGAAAGAGGAAGCTGCGGAGGCGAAGAAGGCTCGTAAAGCAAAGAAAGACGACATGGATCTACCCAGCCAGGAGGACGCCGAAGCAGCTACTCGTGGCTTCAACGCGCAGGCGAACCAAGAAGTAGAGCAGCCGCAGAGCGAGAAGCGGACCTGGACGTCATACATACCATCCGTGCGGCCCAGCTCTCGCAAGGCGGCCGATACCAGCACAGATCAGCCCTCTGCGCAGCCAGATCAACCATCCTCCGAAGCCACCACCACCGAAGGCGAATCCTCCGCCACCCCCCAACGCACCTGGACCCAATACGCCACCTCCATCGTCCCCTCCCTCCCCGCCTCCTGGAAGAAATCCAGCAAACCCGACCCGGACGCCGACCCCCAACCCGTCTACAACGAAGACGGCACCATCAACGAATCCGAAACGGCCGCGCAGCAAGAACGTGAAGTCTCCGTCCTCCTCGACAACCTCAACCTCAGCAGCATCAACAACCGCGTCTTCCCCCTCACGGCCGAGACGCAGAAGTACTACGACCGCTTCGCGCAGTGCCTCAAAGACTCTATCAATGGCGCGCCGACGGCGTATGATGATATGGATAAGTTGATGCGGGAGGCGGGGCCGAGGTTGGAGGAGCAATTTAAGTCTATGCCGCCTTTCGTGCAGACGCTGGTGAAGAGTTTGCCGGCGAAGATGGGGAGTGTGGTTGGGCCGGAGCTGTTGGCGGCGGCGAGCGAGAAGCCGGGAAATGATATGAAGACGAGGATGGAGGCGGCGAGTCGGCCGGATAGTGGGGTGAATATTCCTGATGCTCCGGCGGCGTCTTCAGAGGTGAAGGAGGCGGATGAAGGAGACGGGAAGAAAAAGAAACGCACGATCCCTGGCCTGAAGAGTCTGGTCGGGGAGAAGAGCGCGGTGGCGTCGATGCTGCGGAGTGCGGTCACGTTCATTCAGACGAGATTTCCGTTCCTGGCGAGTATGACGAATGTGGTTATGAGTCTTGCTGTGTTCAGTAAGCGGTTTTTGCCCCTCCCGTCTCAACTTAGTTGCTAATGAGTGCTCGCAGTCCTCATGTTCGTCTTCTGGTACTGCCACAAGCGCGGCAAAGAAGTGCGGCTCGCCCGTGAAGCCGCGGATGCTGAAGGTGGTGATGAAGGAGATCTCGAGGAGATCGAGACGAGCGATGAGGATGAGGATGTTGAGAAGGTCATTGATGAGCTGGAGAGGGGCGACGCGGACGTTGAGAAGGAGGTTGATGAGAAGGCCAATGTGCTTAGCCAGCCTAATCCGACGGAGGTGCCCGTACCCGCAGATGAGAAGGATACCGCAGCAGCTGGGGAACAGAGGACGGAGACTTAGAAATCTGAAGGACCACGTAATGACCTTATGACCTTGTTATGATGGCTAAGAATGATATCCCGGGTCGCGAAGGCGTTCGGAAAGACAACAACGGTTTAGGATAGCAAAATTTCAGTCCTTTGCATCGCTCATTACTCATACATCATACCATGCCCTCCCCTTCATAAGAATAACACCTCATTTCCACCCATCCTTCAACTCCTCACTCAACCCCGAGAAGGGCGGCCTCGCCTCCTTCGCCTTCTCCTGATCAAACACCCATATCCCATTCGTCTGATCCTGCTCCAGACTCCCACCCGGCACCTCCTTAATCAACTTTTCAAAAACGGGCAAACTCTTCACCCGCGAGAAGAACCTCCGCTCCCACTCCCTGCTTTCCCCGGCCTCCTTTCTCCGCAACGCCCGCTGAGACTCTTCTATGATGCTCTTCTCGTGCGATACGGCGTTCATGTCACCTTTCTCAATCGCCGCGGCGACTTTCCGCCATGCTCGGCGCGTTTCTAACGCGTCTTGGGATTCGATGGCGGCGACTTGGAGAGTGGCTTTGGATTCTTTTTTCGCGTTGTATGTTTCGAGGGTGGACTTTGATCTCGCGTCCTTAATGGTAAAAGTGTCGGTCCAGGAGCCTTCGGCGGTGTAGAGGACGTCGGACTTGGACTTTTCTTTGCCGTGTGGGTATATCACCGCGGAAAGTGTGTTCTTGCTCCCGCTCATCCAGCCGCGCCCGCTGTAGTCGATTCGCGCGGTCAGGCCCGAGGAGGAGATGATGTAGCTGGACTTGTTAAGTTCGACGAATGGGGAGCCGGTGATTAGGCCTTCAATGTGCAGGGAAGGGAGGGTGATGAGGTAGTCTTCGTCGTACTGGTCGATGTGGAAGACGGCGTGGCCGACCTGGCGCACGTTGATGGTGCGGCCGAAGGACGCCTTCTGCGCGTTGTAGCCTTGCAGGCGCACGCCGTGCTTGTTGTTCCAGATGCTGTACGCGGTGACGGGTGGGTGGTGGGAGACTTGTTCGCTGACGAGTTGGGTTGTGCCGGCTTCATCCTCCCATTTGCCTAGGAAGAGCTCGCCGAGGAAGGGGTTGAGTGGCTTCTTCTCGCTGCCGAGCTTCTCGTTGCGACTGGCGTATTGTTGTTTGAGTGTGCTGAGGAACCATTTAAGCACGGCGACCATGCGCTTCTCTTTGTCTTTCTCTGCTGCTGGTGCAGTGAGTATGCGAGGCATTTCTGACCAGTAAGCGCTGAACTCGGTGAGCGAGGTTGTGGACAGGATGAAGGCGGGCGCTGTCATGGTTGAGAGGTCGCCGTTGAAGGATGCCATTGACTGTTCCTGTTAGTCGTGCTTCTACCTGTCGCTGTACATTGCATATGCTTACCTTCAAGAACGACGACCATGTCCCTTTGCTGCCCTGCGGCACATTGGCCGCCTCTTGCTCGCTACCCATCTTTGCTGCTCAGTATACCTCGCAATGTCCCTTCGAAGCACTCGGACTGCTGTCTGCTCAAGGGATGTAGTAGGTTCCGAGCGAAGGTATCGAATAACCAGATCGTCGCTTCAATCGAAGGTGAATCGAATAGTCGGGGGAGGTGTAGGAGAGCTTGTTAGACAGAACTACAGAAGGAAAGTGGGATGATGCCTTCAACCAGAAACGAACCATCTGTCCCGCATCTATCGCCCCTCCACGATCATACCATACAGCCACACTCGCTACGTCACTACAACCCCCGAATCAAAACCAACCCCAGCACGTGGCGTTTCATTCATCCAACGGACGGAGCAAAGATGGAGTTTGGTTGTACAGTCAGAAGGATTAGGTACTATTCTACACATTCAACTGTAATCTACCCTTCCCTTCTTTCTCATCAACCCATGAAAAACAACACCTCCCAAATGCCGCTGAACCTTCATCGACAAGAGCATCCATCGTCTCAGCTAAGAATACAGCCCGCTCATGCCTTGGTCTTTGATTCCTCCCATAGTCCTCGTTCATGCCCTTGTGAAAGAACACCATGTCCAAACGCCTCGCTCCTTGCTTCTTTCATCCTCACGAAGCCCCCTCCTCATTCCCCTTCTCTCTCTCAGGACAATTCTCACATCTCCCCACACCCTACCCCCTTCCCCCCAACCCCTGCACCACCCTCTCCGAGTTCTGCACCAAACTCATCAACATATCCTCCACCTGCTTCGCCTCCTTCATCCACCCGAGCTCAAAAACATTCACCGCCGGATTCTTCACCAGCTCCAACACCATCACGATCAAACCCCACGGGTGCGGCCTAGGCACCCCCAACCGCTCGCAGATCGCGCGCATGATCGCTTGTTGGACGTCTTCGTTGCCGGAGGTGAAGAAGTGCTGCAAAGCGGTGCTGAAATAGTGCGTGTGTGCGTTGACGTAGCGGACTTGGTTGAGCATGGCGGTGATGAGGTAGTAGCGGTTTTCCGGTTGGAGCTCTTTGAGCAGGCGTGCGAGGAGGAGGGCGGGCGGCGCGGCGGCGGAGAAGGAGGACGAAGTAGAGGTGGCTTTGGTGCCGACGTAGGCGGAGATGGTGTTGAAGAGGAGGATTTTGCCTGTCGTCCCGGGTGTGCGATCGATGGCTGTCAGGATCGTCTCTATCTCCTCACTAGCGACCTCGCTGCCGCAGCATCGCTGCACGGCGTCTTTGATACCAGCCTCGGCGAGCGTCTTCTCGAAGCTCATGTTGATAGAAGGCTGCTGCCGGATCTGTTCAAGCCTGTTGACCTTGAGACCCGGCATGAATGGATCAGGCTGGTCGGCGATGATCGCCCTCGTGACCGCGCTGTTGATGATGTTATGCAACTGGAAGCAGAACGGTGGTATACTGCTGTTGAGCTGCACATGATGTTCGAGCAGAAACTCCGCAAAGTCATGGTGCAGGACCAGCACCAGACGCGTCACTCCTCGATAGAAGTCTGGCAATATCGCCGGTGCTTCTTGCTGGTTCATAAAGTCGCCCAACGTGACAAAGAGCACGTTCAAGAGCTTCGCGTAGCTTTCCCATCCGCCATTGCTTCGTCCGTTGCCAGCCAGCATGTGTGGGATGAAGAGTCGATGACCGAGCAGCGTCAGCCAGCTGAAAGTGAAGCCCGAGAAGTACTTCGGCTGCATCACCATCAAAGACAGCGCGAACACCTGCATCAGATCCTGCACCTGCTGTGGACCAAGATGCTGCCTCGCATCATGCAGTTCGCAAAGCAAACTCGAGAAGAAGCGGAAGTATAGCCGTCCGTTCCAGCGCTCCTGCTGCTTGTTGTGGTGGTCGTTCATAATAAGCACGACCAAGCGGATGATGGCATCGAGCGACTTGCCCTTGTGAGCCTGCGGCTCGCCGTCCACTGGACTCTGGAAGACCACCATAAACGCCGCCAGCTTCGCTAACGCATCGATGTAGACGTACGGAGCATCCTGAGTGACCCAAGGCTGGTTGGAAGCTCGGTTGAACTGGGTCGAGGACATCTCCAGACACGTGCGGATGAACATCGCAGCGTCGTTAGGGTCGTCGAGGACACGATGATCATGCATCTGGCGCACGAAAGCGATATAAGACTTGAGGGTCGTGTCGCGGCGCTGCATGGAGATCCACTCCTCGAACATGTACTCGAGCTGTTCCTGCTTCTCAAGGCCAGGCGGGCTGGGCATGCCGTTGACCTCTTCGACCGGCGTCTGCAACTTCGACATGATCTGGCGCCCAATCTCCAGTCCATGGTCCTCTGACAGCCACTGGCCTAGTGCCTCGTAGGTGTAGACGAAGTCTGCTCTCAGCGCGATTGGCTTGTCTCCCAGCAGCACCTCATCCAAGAGATCATTGAGGTAAGGCAACACGATTGGCCTCCTCAAGCGCAGATTCCTGGCCGTGAAGTTGTCAACATGCTGCATGTCCCAGATATGCTCGGTCAGCAACGTCGCAGTGACACTGGCATTCCTAAAAACCAGGTCGCTAACGAGCGGGTTTTGGAGATCATTGCCGAGCATCGCAAGCTGCACCGCAAACTGTCTTCCAGCGCCCGGCGACAAGTCAGAAAGGTGCTTGAGCAAGCGCACGAACACCTCCATCTCTAGCCGTGTCTGGAAGTCGTCGAAGATGGGGAAGAAGCACTTCTGACCCGTCAGGTTGGCCAGACTTTCTTTATCGTTCTCGAATCCTGAGCTGTTGATCAGGGCGTAGAGCTGGGAGAAGATGCGGCGAATGGGGGAGTCATCACCGATGTCACCAACGTGTTCTGCAGGACTCTCGCGTGCAGCTGCCTGCAGCTCTGTGAGCAGTCCTACGATTCGACCTTCCATTAAGGCATGGTCGGTGTAGCCATTCATCTGCTGGGCCTGTGGCGCTTGGCCTGCGTACATGCGCTGCTGTTGCGGAGTCTGTCTGGGCATAGCAGGCTGCTCAGCCGGCGTCGTAAGGCTCGGAAGATAACTGTCTGTCAACACATCCGGGATCTGGCGGTTGTTGTCCTGAGACTGGCTGTTGGCGTGCTGCGCAGGTGTGATGCGGGCCTGTCTGCCGAAGTCTTCGTAGAGCGCCAATTGTTGCCTATTAAGGCCATTGAGATCCATTCTGAACGGCTCCGGAATGAGCTGAGCCCACCGACTGATGGGCGGGTTGTTGAAAGGCTCATTTGGTCTCTCGGTCGTGTGACGCCGACGGGCCTCAACGTATTCAGCCATTTGCGCATCGATTTCGGCCTTCGAGTGTTCCTCCGCTGCCCGCTCGACGAGGCCACAGACAGTGTCAATGTTGTCGTTCACGAACATGATTATCTGTCCTTCGGGCAGCTGCTCCGGCAGGGTTCGCGATGCCAGAATGCGGATGTTGTTCATAATGCTCATCCGGAGAGGCTCCTTGCAAGTAACAAGGGCGAGGCTACCGGACAAGGACTTGACCATAGTATACGCACTTGATCGCAACTTGTCGCTGTCGGTCTCTGCGGAAAAGTCCTTCTGGATGAGCTCTGCGGCAGAGATGGCCGCGATGGTAACGGACCGCTCGACCACCGGAGCGATGATCTCAAAGATGGCTTGCTGCGCAGCATTCACGAAGATGGTCCGGAGTTGCGGCTGCGTAACGTTACCAGCGGCTTGCGGGATCTGCAGCAGCCCACCAAGATCTGGAATGGCTTGGATGACCGCCTCTGGCGAAAACCGCTCGTTCGGCGCGCGCTTTGAGAGACCCATGATGTGGACATCGCCAAAGCCGTCGGGACCGTCTGCGGTGAATTGCTGCAACATGCTATTCTCCTGAACCAGTCGACGGTTTCGAATGATGTCAGCAGGCTCGATGTCCTTGATGTCGAGCTTGAGGTCCTTGCACAGCACTTCGATCTCAAACTTCAGATTGAGCTTCAACTCGAAGTAGTGGTACAGCTCGCTGAGCATCGAGAGCAGCTCCATCATCCACGGATTCGGTGGCCTGAATACCTTCGAGTCCTTTGCGTGGAACAGTGCTTTGCAGGTGAACGGGATGGCGACAATGAGCCGCTGGGTATCCTGTCCCTCGAACAGCAGATCCTTGAAGGAGAGGTTGCGATGCAAGATCGGCTGTTCTCTCGCCAGAGTCATTGATCCAAGCCAGCCCGCCAGATTCTTCAGGTTGTTCCTGTCGACGGATGAGTTCATGGTCGACTCGGCATTGAGCATCTTCGCACAGCTGGCGTAGGTCTCGCGGAGTACCTCTTGCCACAGGATCTTCTTGTTGAAATTCTCGAGCAGCTGGAGGTAGAGGCTCTGAAAATTTGGCTGTGTCCTGGCTAGCTCTTCGACGAGATAGTGAGCGAACCATTGATGGTGCTTTTCCTGCAGAGCTCCTTTGAGGTCCTTGAACTTCTCCTCGAGGTTGCGCTTGGAAACGTTGTTGAGCACGAACATGACTTTGTCAGACGCATCGTCACTCGGATCCTCATAAACATCCGGACGTAGAGGAGGATCCACCTGTATGCTGGAGAAAGGCGGGTTTGGTGCATCGACGGGGAACTCCTCGTCAAGTGCGCCGTTAGTGAGGCCATTGACTGTATCACCATTCGTTGCCGCGGCTTCCTGCTGTTGTTCTGCAAGCACAGCCTGCGCAGCGGTGACCGCTTGTGTTCCTTCTAAGCTCGGTGTCGCAATGATCTTCTCCGAAACGCCAGGCCAATCCCTCAGCCTTCCAAGAAGATGTATCAGCGCTTGCAGTCCGAAGCGATACATCTGGTCGTTGGGCTCCCATCCTTGGACGGCTTCGAAGATCATGAAGATTGCAGCCTGCTCGGCGACGGTGGAGAGAACATGGAACTGCACCAAACCACCAAACAGTACCGCGGTCGTTGCGAGAGCCTCGTTGGGGTATTCTCCAAAGCAGTTGTACTCATCAAACAAGCCATGCATCATCGCAGCAAACAAGTCCTGGTCTGCTGGGTTCTCCGACTGCTTCATCTGCTTGAGCTGCTTGATCAAGTCATCTGGGCTGGTCGTTCCACCGTACATGGCCTTGTACTGCTCTTCCATCCTACCGGCGGTCTCCTCGGGAAGAGTGTGACCCAGCTCGGTATTACCGTTGGCCTCGATGATGTCGTCAATCTTCTCGTCATCGCCGTAGTTGAACAGCCTTGGGTAGATACCCAAGCATTGTCGGAAGAAAGGTCCGCTGTCATCATCGGGTAGCGAATCGTTGATGAGCAATAGAAGCAGGTAGATGGTCTTGATTGCCAAAGGCTGCGTTGTTGGTGCCACCTGTTCGTGCGGCGGGCCGGAACGTGCCCGTTGCACGATGGCCTCGTCTTCAATTTTCTTCGACAGAAAGTCGAGGATGGCGCGAGCAAACTGTGGAGGAGTCATCGTCTCGATGTGAGGGCGTGCCCAGTCTTCCAAGTTGCAATGCCCTTTGCCATGTGCGTACGTGGCCAGATCGACGGCGAAACTGCTCTGGATCGTAAGCAGAAGTTCAAGCCAACCCTGTTCCTGGGCATGCTCGAAGATCAGGTGGAGCAGCATCTGGTCCTGCTGGTAGAACTCGACCATGCGGCCCGCTACCCAGGACTTGTCGTGTAGCCACAGTGAGTGCATGACGAAGTCGTAGTTCTGGTGTTGCTTCAGCAGAAACGGGTAGAAGAGCTGTTTCAGCGCCTGATCCTGCAACGCTGCCCACGGCTTCGGAACTGCTGAGGCTGCACACACGAAGATTGTCATGTTCGGATTGATGATGGAGTCGGGTATACCGAGCATCTGGGCATGATTGTAGGTGTCCTGCGACCTAAAGATCATGGAGAACAGTGCCTCTGTCGCATCCCGAGAGACCAATGGATGTTTTACTGCTTCCGCCGCGAATGCCTTCACGCTGGCGGAACCGTCTTCGAAATCTTCGATAGTGAACGCTTGTCTGAGGTTCGGGATTTGCGTGACATCCAGCTCTTGCGTGATGGTTGACAAGAATGCAACCACGAAGCTCAGCTGCGTTTCCGGGAACTGCCATTGCCCGCTCCATAGACTTTGGACGTCGAATTTGGAATCTCCCCTTGCGAGCGGGAGTAATGCATTGTACAGGGCCAGAAACTGCCGCTTGGATACCCGAAGCTGGTCCTTGTCGAAGCCTTGCACAACGTCCGTCCAGTCGATATTGCTCCCTGCGCGATGTTGTCGCAGTGCGTTGACAAAGACTCCAGCATCGTACGACTCTCCGTTTTGTACGCACACGATGAATAGGAGCGCATTGGCGATCTGCGGGTAGGAGATATCCCGTGTCTCCACTCCAGCAAGCATCTCTTTGCAGGCATCTAGGCTGCTCGTGCCTCTCGGTCCTGTCCGCTGCAACAGTCGAGCCAGCCTGCTGTCTTGCGATTCGAGCAACTCCATCACGAACATCGCCGATTCTAGCGCTGGAGGTATCCGTGCGCCCAGTCGGTTGTACCTCACTTTCACCGCGTAAATGAGATTTTCACGCTGCTCCTCAGTCCAGTTTCTAGGCGGCTCTTGCATGAGGCGTTCGAGTAATGCCGCGAGGACGGAAGGTGAGGCGTCTTCGGGGTATTCGTTGCTCGGAGGGGGCGGTGAGGATGCGGCTTGTAAGAAGGGGTGAAGATTGTTGGTGAGGATCGCATCGGCTATACTTCACAGTCAGTCTAATCTGATCGCGTTTCTGACACGACAAGTGATGAATGGTGTACCTTTAGAACGGAGATCTGGCTTTGAGACAGAGCGGATGGGTAGAACCAAAGCGACTTTGGCAATGGGACTCAGCCTGAAATATTCGATGAAAGTCGAAAGGTCGAAGTCGCGAAAAAGTTCACTTTCACTTGTATCCAGTGATTGAGCAATTTTCTCTGCTTGCTGTGGTTCCCTTGATATCTTGGCCATTTCGTCTGCTAGGAGTTTGAACTGTCCATTACTGTCAGCCGTCGCCGGCGGACGTCCCGCGCCGGGAAAGATTGTCGACGCGTTGCTCTGTAGCAAGCGCCGGAAAAAGGTGGTAAAGACTTCCATGCCGTTCTCATCGACGAGGCTTCTGATCCTCTCCGCTTGTGTGTCGAAATTGTTCTCTCTGAGTGTGCTCAAGAGAATGTTCAGTTGAGTGATGACCAAGCTGGTCAGCTGGCTCAAGCCACCAGCGCTCTGTGGTGCGGTGGATGAAATCGGTGAACCAGCGGTCGAGTGTGAAAGGGACGGTGAATGCCTGGCGAGTCGATTGCTACCTGAGCCCGCGCCCACACCGCTAGTACTAGGATGCGATGTCGATGGCAAGCTAGCAAGAGAGGAGGCAAGCCGAGGACTGCTGGTAGAGGTGACAGCCCTCGAGCGACTCCCGCTCTGGAACGGGCCTGTCGCGTAGTTCGACCCTGTCGGAGATGCGAAGGAAGTGGTCGAGGAGTTTGAAGACTGCCTGCTGCTCGCGTGCCGATTCGCGCCAACGGCAGCGGGGTTGAAGGTGAGGCTCGTCGGAGATCCGAAGACTGCACGTGAAGGGCTGTCGCTCGAGCTTCCCGGCCTCACGTCGCCTGCGCCGCCGGTGGTAATGGGTGTGATGCCTCGACGGGAAGCTTGGCGACTGTTCGCAGTGCTCCACGCGGTGCCTTGTGGTCTCGTGCTTCGTGAGCTCGAAGGTGCGGCGGTGGGGTTGGTATTAGAGACGGGGTCGTTGGGGGTGGAGGAGGAGCTCATGGATACAGCGCCGTGAGCGCACGCATTGAGGATGTCTGCCGCAGCCTATACCATGGGAGAGCCAGCGAGGAATAGAATGGGGCGAGGGGTGGATGTGGTGGTGTGTATGTGGTATTAAAGAGATGTCGTTCAATTGCTTGGGCTTGGGCCTTCTTCCAGGTCCCAATTCGGCAGCTTCGGCGAACGGGAATCCCCGGCTAAACTTGGCTCGAGGGCTTGACTGCACCTACAAAACATACCTATACCTCTTCCTTCAACGACAACCTCCGACAAAGTACGAATGGTGATTGATATTGCATTCGTCGTCTATAAATCGAGGTCGGCATCACCCTAACAAATATTGGTCAAGACAGCGTGCATATCTCGACCGAAGCTACGCTTGGTCCGGCAACTCGAGAAACTGTAGGCTGGTTCCATTCTTCTTCTACTCCCCATCGACTTGACACGGACGCAGCATGTTCGCAACACTCTGCTTATTCCCATTCACGTCGACAAAATGGGAGTCCCGGGTCTAGCCTCACAAATCCACAAATACGGCAGCTACACCTCAATCCCCCAAACCAAAAGCCGCCGCAACGATCGTATTGCAGCGGTCATAGACGGCCCTTCTCTCGCCCACTCGCTGTACCGACATGGTAATTACCAAAGTGGCAAAGACGGCATCGTTGCTCAATGCGACCATAGAGCAATCGGCAAAGCCGCCGTAGCCTGGCTGGACAGATTGCGCTCATATGGCTTCGAAATGTACGTCTTACGCACAAGCAAGTGGCGGAGAAAGTCTTCTCCCACATCCAATTGCACCGAAAAGGCCACTTCGCCCTCGTTGGTGGGCTGTCGTTGTCCGCGAGAAGATTCGTCCCACAGCTCGGCCTTTGTCCTAGTGGGCCTGTTTCCCTGTCGGCTGGGTGTTACACTAAATACCTCCCCCAACTAGCTGACCCAACTGCAGAGAAGGCATCTACTTCGACGCCGCCCTGCCCGCCTACAAAACCCAGATCCGCCTGGACCGCATGCAAGGCTACGTCAACCGTCTTATCAATTTCAAACAGAACCACGACCAGATTTCTAAATCCCGCCAGGTCCCAGGTTTCAGCCATCTCGATAGTCGTGCATATCGTGCCCTAGAGAAAGCCAGGGACGGATTGCCGCCACCGCCTTTTTTGGTCTTTGCGGTCGTTGAAGCGCTTTTGAGGAGTAGATATGCCGAGCGAACGTGGTGTGTTGACGGGGAGGCGGATGGGTATTGCGCAGCTGCTGCGGAGGAAGCCGGTGGGAAGAAGGGTGGGAGGGGAAGTGTGGTGTTTACAAATGATTCGGATCTGGTCCTTTTCAACTTCCAGGCTGAGGTGAAGGTCGCTTTGATTAACGAGATGAAGGAGACGGGTGGTCCGGAAGGCAATAGGCTGGAGCTTTATCAGTTCGATCCTGCCGCTTTCAAGGTCAACGGACAGGCGCCTGATTTGGTCGCATGTGCTTTCTACATGAAAGAGCAACAGGGCACGTTGGCGGAAGCTCTCCGGCAGAGTGACCTGGCTGAACTGGTTTCAGAGGAGTATGCTGCTTTTCGAGATCTGTACGACATAAGGAGATGGAGCGCGAAGCTGAACGAGCAGCGAGCCCGCAGACAGGAAGGTCGAGATGTCCTACCAATGGACTCGCGGATCTCGGAGCCGATATGTCAGGCCAGAAGTCGTCATACGAGGGACGACCACCTGGCGATGTACCTACCCGTCCTTTTCGAAGATCCCACCCGCTCAACAGCATGGAAGATTGGGTCTTCTTTCCGTGAAGCTGCACAGATGATCATCTTGAGCGCATCGAGAGCAACGTCGCTGCTCGAGTACCGGAGAAGTGGTATACGAACCGTTCCAGCCAGGGTCGAGAAAGTGTCTATCCAAGCGATCGACAAGCATCTACGAAACCTGGAAGCGTTCTTGGGTGGCTGCAGTGCGGTGGCACTGACGGGCTTCGAGCGATGGAGATACCTTGTGATGCAGCTGGCATTACAGGACATGCTTGAGCAGGACATCGCGCTGCCGGCCAAGAACGACATCGCAGAAGTGCTTGCTGGCGAGCCGCAGAGGACGTGGCAGCTGGTGCATCTTTCCGCTCAGTTCCAAGCGCAGTATTACTCTGTTCGTATGTTGCAGCAGGTCTGGCGCTGGTGGGAGGGCGAGACGAGTCCGGACGACCAGATCGTGGTTTCGGACAGACTCAAGGACGTTCTTGAGGGCCTGCCAGTTATCGTTGACTTCTCCTCCAGCAGCGTGAGTGCTGGCTCGGACGTATCACGGATCCAATGGCAACAACTGGCCGATGAGCTGTTGGAGAGCTTGTCTCTTGGCAGCGATACATCGATGCTGGAGGATGGCGAGGACGGTGATCGGGATACGGCGGAAGTGCCCGATGCAAGCATGGCCAACAACCCGTTTGCTGCTCTAAGGGAATCGACATGAGCACCGAGCGGAGTTTGGCAACGAGGCTGTGCGGCATCCGTGCCTTACATCGATGCGAGGGACATAGGCATATCTGGCAATCTTCTCCCGGACCTGAATGCATCCGAAAAGGCCACATCACTCTCGTGGGCGAGCTTATCTTGTCTCTGAGGCGATCAAGCACACACCTCGCTTTGATTTTGTGGGCTGCTCTCACGGTCCCACGCTTACGACTGCGTCTTTTGACCCTCGTGAACAGTGCCGGAACCAAAGTCGCACTGTTACAGTCCGGCCTGTTGAGGGCCTCCGGCACGACCGGAACGGCAGTCTTCGACAACTTCGTCCATACGTTGCCCAGACGGACGAACGAGTCGAAGAGGTCTGAACTCACGTCGTTTGCAACATCCGTTGAGAGACATACAGTCACACTGCCCGAACTTGACAGCTTCGCTTGCAGCAGAGCGTACGTGCTTCTGTCCTCGGCTGCCGTCCTCCACATTCTCGCCATGTGTTCGCACAGAAGCTGGTGCGGTGGCTTGTATCGGAACATCATCGTTGATGGTCAGGGCACATGTCCTGAGTCGGAGCGGCCCAAGCGAGTACCTTGCGTAGCCGATCTTCCAAGCACGTAAATGGTGCTGAATGTACAGGGTATCAGCGTCGATCAAGGATATCTAGAACGCGGACACAGACAAGGATGAATTTTGCTATAGCTCAACAATTACTGCGAGAGAACACGAATGTACGTGGAGCGTGTGTCGATCGCAATCCGCTCGAGCTTCTCGTAGCAAAACCACGAGGTGGAAGTGACAAGAGAAGTCGTGATTGGATCCCCATAGAATGGTATTATGGAGAACACATAGAAACCGCGCGCGTCGAAGGACACGGCGGGCCGGCGAGTGGCTCAAACTGACAGGCAAGCGAGGTGGATCTTGAGACCGAGTAGAGCAAGCCACCGATGCAGCCGATGGAGTTCAGACTCGTTCTTCCGTGGAAGAGACGGCTGCTATTTTGAGGCTTTCTTGACTCTTGCTGTTGACAGCCAACCGGCGGATAGACTTGGACAATCAGGCCTCGTATGGAGGTGATCACATGTCTAACTCATCCTTCACCATTCTAAACACATGCAATAGCAGTCAACACCTATTCAAACGCCCGACATCGCAGGCAAAAGAACGGTAGGCCACCGGAAGATGCGCCACCACGATGTGAAACAGGGGAGACCGACCACTAAAACCTATAGCTTCTTGTTCCTGCGTTAGCGCGGCCAGATCTAGCGGCCCACGTTTGACTCTGCAACACGCACGTTCCAGGAGACTCTCGACCTCAACACACCCAGCGCGTGTTCTCCGTCTGGTCAACACTTCACGGCACTCCGACTGGTGGAGCGCAAGACTCATGGGCCATGGTTTCGGTGGAGAACCTCCTTCTCGCTGCACGGCCGCGACGGGGCAGACGGCGACGAGACGTGTAACAAAAGGTGAACAGCATCTCCTCTACAGTCCTCTTCCTTCTCTCCTCATATCGACGGTTCCTTCGTCCTCATCAGTCTTCTTTCCTTACCAAAAAGACCACTCCTTGAGCCAGCAGAGTCACTCGCTTCCTCTGCCCTCGTCCATCGTTTAGTTACTTAATACTCGTTCTCTGTTGAAACTGCCATCATGCAGTACAAGAACTCCGCGGCTATCCTCGTCGCAGGTCTCGCGGCACAGCAGGTCTCTGCCACATTCGGCTCCTGGTCTGATGCCGGCTCCTACTCCTGCCCCGGCAACACCGACAATCACTGCTCCCCTTCTCAATCGTCGGGCTACGACTGGTCGGGCCTAAGCGACGGCTCCTTCAGCTCGTACGGCAGCAACCAGTTCCAGGGCTTCTCATGCTCTTCCAACGCCTACGGCAAGCGCGATGTCCTGAGCAAGCGCACCTTCCAGTCCAAGTGCATTCAGGGCAACTTGGATGACTCCCCTTCGATGTCTTGCGGGGATGACGACTCCATGTCCATCAGCGAGATGCAGATCTCTTCCTCGCACGATGCCGACGTCGACTGCGAGTACAGCATGCCTGACGGCAGCACCTGTACCGAGACGCACCAGGCTCAGACCGGTGGATGCATCTTCCAGAACACTCAGTGCGGCGGTGCGAAGAGCGTGACCTTCAAGCCAGGCAAGGGCGCGCCATCTGGCTGCTCTATCGGCGTGCACTCTGTTGGCTTCCACTGCGGCTCGGCTTCTTCGTCCGTCCCCGCTCCGTCCTCGACATCCCCGACTGGATACAGCCAGACCCCCGGCAGCCTCAGCGGCTACCCATCGGCCAGCGTGTCTACCGCGCCTGTCAGCTCCTACGCTATTTCCAGCTCTTCTGCGCCTTGCTACGGAAGCGGCTGCGTCAGCTCCGCCATCCCAAGCTCCACCGGCGCTGTTTCGAGCTCCGCGTCTGTGCCTTGCTACGGCGAGTCGTGCTCCAGCGCCACTTCTCCGGTTTCGTCGGTCCCAGTCGAGAGCTCTTCCACGAAATGCTACGGCAAGGACTGCTCCTCTTCTACCCAAGGAATCCCAGGATATGGTCAGGGGTCCTCCTCATCGGCCGGTCCTATCTCGTCTTCCTACGTCCACAGCTCTTCTGCCCCGGCGCCATCGTGCTACGGCAAGGACTGCGAGTCCAGCACTCAAGGCATCCCAGGATATGGATCGTCATCCTCTGCTGGCGCCATCTCATCTAGCTACGTGTACAGCTCTTCTGCCCCGGCACCATCGTGCTACGGCAAGGACTGCGAGTCCAGCGTTCCGGCATACGGCTCCTCTTCGTCGGTTGTGCCGGTTTCTTACAGCATCGTTCCCAGCTCGTCTGCTTCTGTGCCTTGCTACGGCAAAGACTGCGAGTCCTCGTCTCAGGGCGTGCCAGGATACGGCGGCTCTGCATCTTCCGGCTCTCCGGTCACCAGCTCTGCTCCTGCTTACACCACGAGCACGATCTACAGCACCACCGAGCGCACCATCACTTCTTGCGCCGCTACTGTCACCGATTGCCCGGCTGACCACTCTACCGTCGTCACCGAGACTGTCGCCATCTCGACCACCGTCTGCCCGGTGACCGAGACTGAGACCCCCAAGACCACCCCAGCCTCCAGCGAGACCGCACCTACCACTGCCTCCGCCAGCGAGACTGCCTATCCAACCCCCGAGTGCCCAGAGACCCTCCCCAAGTGCTTGAACACCTGGATGTGGATCTCCGACTGCCAGGACAACACCGACTCTAACTGCTTCTGCAAGAGCGAGAAGTTCATCAAGAACGCCATGGGCTGCCTTTCCTCCTGGGGCAAGTCTGAAGAGGACACTCAGGCCGCCGCCTCCTACTTGATGGGTCTCTGCGCGCCGCATGTACCGGAAAACCCAGCCATTATCACTGCTTGCCCTTCGACTGTTACGCCAGTGGCAACCCCGGTTCACACCAAGCCTGCCCCGGTCCCATCTGAGGTCGCCTCTGAGGTCCCATCTGGCTACTCCAGTGTTGAGAGCAGCCCAGCTACCTCGTCCACCGTCGTTGTGCCCAAGCCATCTGGCTACTCTGGCGTTCCGTCTGGCAGCGAAGGCAGCCCGGTCGTCTCCTCCACCGTCGTCGTGCCCAAGCCGTCTGGCTACTCAGGTGTCCCGTCTGGCTACCCCAGCGCCGTCGAGAGCAGCCCGGTGACCACCGCACCTGGCGTGCCAAAGCCATCTGGCTACTCCGCTCCAGTGGAGAGCAGCCCGGTGACCACCACCCCAGCGGCCGGCACACCAGCAGGCCCAACTGCGCCCTGCACGACCATCACCTACTCCCACTCTGTCGTCGTCCCCGCTACCCACAGCACTGGCGTCTCGATTGGCATGACCGTGCCCGGCAGCAGCTACACCACCAACCTCATCACGACCGTCACCGTTCCACAGGTCCAGCTCACCACCGCTGTGGTCACGCAAGCCGGTACGACCTCCAAGAGCGTCGGCCTCGGCGCCGGTGCCCCGAGCAGCGCTCCAGCCTACCCAACCGCTTCCTCCGCAGGCGCAGTCGGCGGCTCCGCACCCCCAGCCTACGGCACCACCTTCGGCACCTCGTGGGCCGCAAAGCCTACTTCTCCTAGCGCCTCTGGCATCGTCCCTGCCACTGGTGCAGGTGCGAAGGTTGGCTCGAGCCTTGCTGGTCTGGCTCTCGGTGCCATCGCTGCCATCGCTGCGTTGTAAAAGCTTGGAGAATTGAGAGGTTTGTTTGCATTTGAAGGTGGGAAACATGACCTGGTATGGGATGTAATGAACAGCATCAACCATGGCTTGGGGCATAATGCTGGCGTTCCGCATTGGAAAATTTCTTGACTATCCTTAACGGTCATTGAGAGGGGGGGATGTAATGATTAGAGTGCATATAGATGCAGTGTAAATGCAGCAGAAAGGAAGAACGTTGAAAGTTCGCACTATTCGTGTCTCATGTGATGTCTCTTCTCCGTGGTCGAATCTGTTCTCGTGCTCACATCCTGGTCTCCGTGGCCATTGAGACTCTCTTCCGCTTGATGAGAACCTTACCTTTCATTGACTCTGGCTCGATTGACCTCCCGCTCCCCATCTTCCATATCAAAATCAATCTCAAGCTCATGCCTCAACCTCCGTAACCACCTATGCATCCCTCCCCACTTGGAGAACCCTTCACCATCCTCAGCTTCCCATCTCCCTCTCCCTTTTCTCCCGATACAGCGGCAGCCGATCAACAACCGTTTCCCTGAAATCCCTATACTCTCTCAAAATCCGATCCATAGCCAGCGAATTCAGCTTGTAAAGCTCAAAGAACCGCTCCGCAACCTGATCGACGAGCCAGTGATGCAGGTCGCCTCGGGACTGGTACTCGTCGTCATGCTCGCGCTCGTGCTTGTAGACCATCTCGCTGTATCTGATGAGCAACATGAGAGATTGTCCGCTGAGAGGGTGCATCGCTTTGATCTTGCGGACGCAGAGGGTCTGCAGACCGTCCAGTTGGAGTTTGGCGGCGTCGACGTAGATGGTGGCGATGATTTGGGCGGCGGTATCTTTGGTCTCCTCGCTGAAGACGCCTTCGATTTGCGGAGTCTTGCGGTCGAGGAAGTAGGGAGCGCAGTCCTTAGTGATGAGGAATTCGTGGATTGGAGCAAAGGCTGGGGACTTGATGCTCGAGTTCTCGTAGAGTTTGATGTGGTTGCCGAGCTCGGGAGAGTGTTGGACGCTTTTTGAGAAGTAGTGGTAATGAGAGATCTTGTCTCTCGGAAGGAAGAAGGGCTTGTGCTCTTCGCCGACGAAGATCGTGCATTCCCTGTAGCTGGAGGCTATTAGCATTGTGCCGATGAAAGGATGGGGATGACATACTCATGCTTTCTAGCAACCACCTCCCGACGATACTTCTCCCTCTGTTCTTCAACCGAACCCTGAGCGCTGTCCACTCGTCGATCTCGAACGAACAGCTCTTCTCCATCAGAGGAATCATCGTCCAGGTTGTCCTTCTTCTTCTTCTTCTCTTGAGATGGTCGCGGGATCTGAAGGTCTCCGTCTCCGAGAGCGTCCAGCTGCTCATGTCGCCTATCGCGTGATGATGCTATGGCATCGTTAATCCGAGAACGGATTCTTCTGGCGCCAGACGTGCTGCTATCGTGCTCATCGTCTTCACTCCATCTCCGTTTTCCGCTCGAGTGCCTGCCTTGCTTCTCCAAGCGCCTTACCTCGGCTTCATTCAGAAGATAGTTGGACCAGAACTCATCATCTCCCCAGAATCCCAAGTCTTTTTCGAAAGCATTGCACCGCAGCTGCTCATCTGCGTCAGTTGCAGTCCATTCTCCTTGTTGGTGGTACCATGATCCGCTAGAATAGTCTTGACTGGGATCAACTTCCTGTAGCCCGTTGACAACCACCCAGATGCTGTTCATTCATTAGTTATATGGCCCATCAGAAGTGATCGGAAGCCTCACAACTTATGCTTGCCAAGCAAGATCGCAGGGAGAGCGTATTCCTTGGCTCTGTGCTCAAGGAATTCTGTAGGCACCTTTTCGTCTCGGCAAATGACCACTGGCCATAGCTTGCCGTCCAGTGGCCAGATCCAGGTGCTTCCGTAGGCTTTTGATGGTGCCATTGTGTCGCACGATTCGTTGGGATGTTGAGTATATTGTTCCAGGTATGTTGGTGTGAGGTAGCTAACTCGGCGGTGCTCTGTCGTCGAGGGTGGTGGTGAAAGTCAATCCTGTCAACATGAAGGCGCAGAAGATCAAAGGCCACCGCTTCTTGGGTAGCTCATGCCGGAAGAGAGGGAAGGAGCGACCACGCGGTAGATCAGGGAAATGAGCGTGAAACTGACTAGGAGCACACAACCCTGGGGGGCCATGTCTGAGAGACTAGTAGCTTCGAATGATCTGCATATGAGTGAGACAATCACGGAGGCCGGCGATGAGGTGATGGTGGAGTGAACCGCATAATCCACGAAGTTATGGCGGAAATTGATGAAGCAGTGAACCGAATAACCACAAATGTGAACGATAAAGTGAATTTTCCGTGAAAAGACATTTGAAACTCTGAAGGTGTTTAGTGACGACAAAGTGAACAGACGATCATACAACAAGTGAAGGACATGTGAAGGAAAACGTAACGAGATGGGCGCGAAGAGTGATGGGGAAGTGAAGCAAAGAGAGTGACCAGTCGAGTCTATAGTGATAAGCATGTGATCTGAAAGTAAGCCGAACGGCTATACAGTACCAAAATCACATGAGAGGATTCTGAAGCCATCGAACTGCACTCTGCATCAGTCAAGCAGCCGGGAAGTGAATGAGCGATGCATGGTCACTGGAAGCAATCCGCGATAACACAAGCGGACGAGTACCTACCACCGCCTCTCCGCGTTTGACGGAGTTGAATATAGCATCGACGAATCGTTGAGATGCTCTCCCGAAGGCGGAGAAGAGCAAGTGTGCTTCGAATAGGACAGGTTGTTGTGAGGTCCGAGAACAGGTTAGTATAGCTCGATCAAGTAAGACGACTTGAGTTCGCCTCTCCAAAACAGCGAGAGTGGATATAGTGCTGCTAGGAGGGTCGTGATTATACCATCGCGAAGACGGAGAAGAAGGCATCGACGAGCTTACTGTCCTGCCTCTCTGAGCTAGAGAGCATTGCTGATGCTACTACGATGTGCGTGAGATGGTCTTGCGAAGACAGAGAAGCGACGAAGCTACTACGCTGGTCGCTGGCTTCCTCAGTTCAAGAGAGATCCTCAATGCTGTTGGGAGATACCTGGGTATACTTAGCATGCTTGAGACGATGGTGTTAATGGAGTTTGTCCGAGGATTCGATGGTGAACACCTTAAGCATGTGACTGCACAGGCACTGCTCGAGCTGGACAGATATGGCATACCGGGGTGAATCCATCCGAGGGGGCTACAAGCAGCATGCTGATAATCGCACTGCTGTTGGGTTGTTGTGGCTGTGTAGAGTCGGAGAAGTGTGCTGCGAGGCTGCTCGAGAATGAAGTCCAACCCAAAGTGGTCCGAGCTCAGACCCGAACAACATCTGGCCTTCAATGCTTACAGTACTCTACGAACAACCCAGGTCTACACACCCCGTCCTGGAAGGACGACACAACACGGCCCCGACTACAACCGCCTGTCTGGAACGCTCGTCAACACCACCACCATGTTCTCCGCCCTCTCCTCCCTCCAACCCCGCCAACTCGCCGCCCAAGTCCTCAACTTCGCCCTCGTCCTCAGCACCGCCTTCATGCTCTGGAAAGGCCTCTCCGTCTTCACCGCCTCCTCCTCGCCCATCGTCGTCGTGCTCTCCGGTTCCATGGAGCCGGCGTTCGAAAGGGGGGATCTGTTGTTCTTGTGGAATAGAGGCATGAACACCCAGGTGGGGGAGATTGTGGTGTATAATGTAAGAGGAAAGGATATACCGATTGTGCATAGGGTTATTAGGCGGTTTGGTGGGGGGTGAGTTGCTAATAATCCTATCCTGTTGTTTTGTGGGAGGGGATGGTTGTGCTGACGAGGGTTTAGGGATGCGCCGTTGCAGTTACTGACGAAGGGGGACAACAACGCGGCGGACGACACGGAGCTGTACGCTCGCGGGCAGAGTTATTTGGAAAGGGAGAAGGATGTCGTGGGGAGTGTGGTCGGTTTCGTGCCCTTTGTGGGCTACGTGACGATTTTGCTCAGCGAGTATCCGTGGTTGAAGACGGCGATGTTGGGGTTTATGGCGTTGACGGTTGTTCTACAACGGGAATGACACCGGCCGCTTATCCTGCTGTCGAGCGAGGTGTTCTGGGGAGGGAAAAGCAGTTACTACGAAAGCATGCTATACCCAGATCATCTGCCCTCCTCCCTCAACTTCTGCCTGACATTCATGATCGCTTTCCCAAGTCGATTCTCCCCCCATTGCTCGCGATTATCCCCAGCGTTTGCCGCAGCAAAACCGACGCCCCATATCCGATCCGTCGGGGACGCCTGCAACAACCGTCAGTGCCACCGTGCCAACACGAGACCTCATCCCTTAGACTCACCTCAACCAACTCCCTCTCACCAGTCGCAAGCAACAACCTCGCCATCTCCGTACTCTCCTTGCCCTTGGTGAACTTGTGATAATTCCCCTCCTCGACGATTCGACTCTTGTCTACACTACTCATCAACCCCTCCCCTTCACTAGAGCTTTGTGTGGAGGTAGATACGTACGCTCATCCCACTTCCCCCGATCAAACCCCCTAGCCTTTCTCCCAAGCGCCTGATGCTCACTCGGCACCGTCGTCTTCATCATCGCCTGCGCCGTTTCCTGTCCACCCCCCAGCCAGTTAGCCCTAGTCTTTGCCCAATGTCTCACAACCCCGGTCAACCGCCTCTGTAGACTACACTCTCAACCGAACGCACACTCTCACCCAAAGACATTGTGACTGGCCTCAAGCAGCACTCCCCACCCCTACCCTCCCACCCACCAAGAAAAGATGAAGTTGAAAAGGACGTACCTCATCCCCAAACAACCCCGCCTTCTGCACCATCATCCACATCTCCGCCGTCACATATGTCACGCCGTCCACCTCAAAAGCCGACTCATACCATTGGCTTAGAAAACCGTAGGGTTGTTCGAATTCGCGCCAGAAATAAACTGGACCTAATGCCGCATCACCGGCTATGATCGGGGTCGTCATGGTTGATATTCTTCAGCTGAACGAACTATGTCGGGTTCAATCGCGGGGGATGGAAGATTGGTTTAAAAGGGGGGGTTGTAGTGGTTGATGATGGGTACATTTGTATATACAAGTGGGCCGCCGTAGTCCCCGAACGCCCGAGTCGACCTCGTTCAATAACGCCGGTATCAGTATTCACAACGACCAGCAAAGACCACTTTAGACCCTCGCAACCCCCAGATCTCGTCATCCAGTCTTGCCGTCCACCAGCCATCCGCCTACCTCACCGTCCCCCACCCCATCCCACCACACCCCCCCTCCCCAACCCTCAACCCCCTCGGCAATTTCTCATGATAAAGCTCCTAACACTCCTTCAAATAATTACTCGGCACCAACCCCACCCTTACCATTCCCCCGCTCTTACCCCCCACGACCTCCGCCTCCCACCACCCATCATCTTGATGCCGCGTAACCGCCAGGACATCCCCTTTCGCAAACGAAAGTTCCTCCGGGATGGCGGCCGCGTACATGTACATTGCGCGAGCTAGGATATCGTCAGTAAGTATGCGTAAGTAGAAAGATGTGAGGGGTCTGAGGGGGTAAGTGCTTACAGTAGTGAAGAATCGGTTGACCGCTCTTAGTAACCTGCCTCTGCGCCCCGACGCTCTGGCTCCGCGTCCGCGCAGCAACTTGACTGTTCCCATAGGCGCTCTGGTCGTAGTACTGGCTCTGCGGCCTGCCCCCCCTCTGCCCGCTTCCATACGGGTCGTGCCCACCTGCTGGAGCGAGCTGTAACGCCATCCCCCCTCCACCAACGTCAGAGCCGCGACTGGAAGGTGGTCTACTGCCTCCACCCTGTGCCTGTGGAGGACGGCTGTACGCTGGATTCGGGGACGCGGCGCGCGGGACGGCTTGGTAGCCCGGAGAATTGCCGCGGGAAGCGTAGCCGGAGTAGCTGGGTTGGTGCTGTTGCTGCTTGATCGGGCTGGAAGACTGGGCGCGTGGGCGGGCGGCTGGTTGGCCGCCGGCGTAGGGGTTGGGGGAGGGGGCGCGGTATTGTTGCTGCTGTTGGCGGAGGTCTTCATTGTGGAACGGACGCGGACTGGCGGAGCGAGGGGGTGCGGGGGAGGTGGAGCGCGGGGCCATGGCGCTGTTGGGGCGGCCGGAGTTGAACATGTCGCGTTTCTGGTTGACGAAGCGTTCGGTGGTCTTTTGCATTTCGCGGCTGGTGTGGGCGGGCTTGGGGGCTCCGAGGCGGCTGACGGGTTGGTCGTAGGCGGGTGGTGGTGTGCCGCGACTGTTCTGGGCGAAGGGCGTTGGGACGGCGCCGGCTGGCATACCACGGCTGTCCATCCCTGGTGAAGCTGGTGGCGCTGGCGAGGCCATGCCATAGTGACGGTCTGCGGATTGTCGTACGGACGCTTGCTTCGTCACGCCCTTCAGCTCGGCAAGTGCCTGCGCGATAGGATCAAGGTCCTTGCGGTTGTCCTTCGCTGGTGGTGGAGGCTTCTTGTTGTTTGGTGAAGTCACGTCAAACACGCTGTCGCCGATACCAAGCTGATAGTCCGCCCTTGGATCTACCGGCTCTGCACCAGGACTGGGCTGCTTCTGCCACGTGTTGGCTCGATTTCCGGCTCCAAATGGTTGCTTCGTCGGGCTAGTCTGGGCGCTGCGTGTAGTAGCTGGCGTCCAGGTGTTCCTAGCTGTTGGGGTCACAGCTGCGGACTGTGGTCCTGGATTCTTCATCTTCTGGCTTCGTCTTCGTCCAAACGGACTGTGAGACTGGAAGAAGCCGCTCTTCTTCTTTTGGATCTGCCTGTTGTCCTCGCCGGCTGAAGACATTCCAGACATTCCAGACATCGCGGACATCCCAGACATGTCCGATCCATTGTACTGCTTCGTCGGCGAAGACTGTCCGCTCATCGGGTCAAAGTTCGAGAATGATGTCGGCGCAGAGTAGTCGCTGTGATCCTGGCTGTCCCTGCTGTCTGGCCGAGTCGGAGAGGGGTTCGAGCTACGCTCTGAAGGCGCATCCAGACGACAGAACTGGGTCATGCCGTCAGTTGGATACGGATTATGTGGTACCTGTGGTGCATCCGCGTAAGGGTTTCTGCTGACGGAAGACGCGTTGCTCGGTGCAAGAGGCGGTGGTGCAGCGCTTCCATGCGAGCTGCGTGCGTTGAACGCGTCGTCTCCCTGCAGCGATTGGCGACCAGCTGGAATGCCCATCTCGTCCCGCAGGCTGGAGTCGGGGTCATTGTGGGAGTCAAACGTGCTCGGCTGAGGCGAAGACGACCTGAACGTCGGATTCATAGTCCGCGGGAACTGGGCCACAGAGTAGTCGCCGTTCTCCGACTCCTCATGTAGCGAAGCGGTATCTTCAAAGTCGCCACGGCAGAAGTTGATGTACTTTGGCGGGTCGGGAATCTCCTGGCCAGTCCCGCGGTCCTTGATGAACTGCGTGATGTCCTTTTCCACGTCGCAGTCTTCCAGCGATAGGCGAACCTTCTCGCAGGAGGCGTCGTCACTAACGCAGACAGTCGAAGCAATGTTCGCAAAGCTCCACAGACTGCTCTTGAAGAAGTCGATGCGCTCCTCCTCCAGATCCTGGAACTTGTCGCATGCAGCCTTCCACTCTCTGTTCCACTTGCCGGTCGTTTCCTCCAACACCTTGACTGCCGCTTCATACTCGTTGCTGTTGCTCGACATCTGTATCTGCGTCTTCTCCAGCTTCGCCTTATTCTTGCGCTCTTCCTGCCCCATCACCATGTGTCCTTGCGCCAGGTATCCTTTGATCTTGAGACAGTCCTGCTCGAAGCGATCGCGCGACTTGTACACAGTAGCCGTCTGCTGATTCTTCGACTTGAGCAGCTTCTCAATTCCGCCTTGGACAATTTTCCTTCGCTCCTTCATGGCGCCAGTGAACGCTACAAGCGGCTCGTCGAGCTCACTCTTCATCTGTCCAGCAATGACCTGGTGCTGCTTCGCCATCGCTTCCACCTCGCCTCGCACTACGTCCAAAGACATACGCAGAGTGCCGGACTCCAGCGACCCGAGCGGCTTGCGCGCCAGGTTGGCGAGTTTGCGCGCGTATTCATCTTCAATTTGCGCGCGGGCGGTGTAGAAGGCTTTCAGTTCGTCGCCGGTGACTTTTGCGGCGTTCATGCGATCGAGGAGGGGGCTGACGCCGGCATCTTCTTTGCCCCAGAAGTTGTTTGCAACTGTGTGCCGTTAGTATTCGCGGAGGGATGATGGTGTTTGGATGCGTACACGACAGTGAGACCGACGGCCGCTCGCTGGCCGCGAGGCCCGGCATTGTATCGGTCGTTTCCTGATTGCTTCCTTGCGATTGTCTTGGAGTATGCTTATAGCAATGAACGAGTGCTTTCGTGTGAATGCGATCAGAAAGTTTGCGATACTGGACTTATCCTTGAGCTGAGCTTCGAGGACGAAATCGGGCGCCAAACGCAAACAGCGCTAGCAGTCGACGAGGCAACCACGGGCGTCACTCATCACGTGATCGTGCGCCTCGCTTTCCTAACGCCGACGAAGCCCCGATGATCTATCATCTCGATTCCTAAGCCTTTCTATCCAACAACATCCACTCCCACACGACCATGGCGACTTCAACCCCATGGAGAAGCGGTCTGCGCAGACTTGGGACTACGAAGAACATCGCAAATGCACCGCGATCCCACCACGGGCGGACAGTAGTCCAACAGCGAAGCCTCCATACCCCAGCGCCACTATACCTACCTTTCCTTGCTCCATCATGGCAATCCTCCGGTCGACAAGCCTCCCAGCTAGCCCAGAGTAAACCGGCACCACAACCACAGCAACCACAACGGCGACACATATCCACAACACCCCGCCGACACGCAACAGCAATCACCAACCCTCGCAAAAACGACTCTGGCGACCCCATGACCATCACAATCACCCCCCGCGCCGCCTCCCGCCTCCAGTCCCTCGCCTCCACCGACTCCAACCCCGACCTCGCCCTCCGCGTCGCCGTAGAAAGCGGCGGCTGCCACGGCTTCCAATACCTGATGTCCCTCATCAGCACCAAGGAGATTGACCCAGGGGAGGACACGATCTTCGAGAACGAGGAGATTGTCAGCGGAAAGGGCGATGGGGTGTATAAAGCGAAGATTGTGATGGACGAGCCGAGTCTGGAGCTGTTGCAGGGGAGTAGTGTGGATTATACGATGGAGTTGATTGGGAGTCAGTTTAAGGTGGTGGGGATTCCCGGGGCGACGAGTTCGTGTGGGTGTGGGACTAGTTTTGATGTTGCTGCGTGAGACACTATGGTACGACGAGATATGAGTATATGGGATGGATGGGAGCGTGGTGTTGGGAGGGTTGTCTAGTAAGTAGATTTCTGAGGCATTGCAAAATGGCTACGCCGAATTTTCACACAGCCTATCCACAGCATCGCCTGGTCCAGAAGAAGCCCATGGCCCAACGTCTGCTATCAGTCTCTCATCTCTTCTCCGTGGATTGCGATTGCAGTAAGAGGCGGTGTCTGATGGTGAATGGTCATTCGCCACTTCCCTGCGCTGGGGTCAACCAACTTGCCCCACGGAGGGGTCCATCGTGCCAACACGTGCCTGCAGCATGAGCTCACTCCCGAGCAATAAATTTCAAGACGACTGTTTGTTTGCACTTCCACTTCCCATTGACCTCTTCTTTCCTTTACTCCTCACTCCTCATACACCAATACACCACTTCGACTTCATTTGAAATACAAGAAACCATCATGAGCGTCAAAACAGTCGAGACGAAGCCTTTCCAGGACCAGAAGCCGGGAACGTGAGTGCAAACACCTCAACCATTCAAGCCATTGGCAGTACTAACACTCTCTCACAGCTCGGGCCTCCGTAAAAAGGTCAAGGTCTTCCAACAGCCCAACTACTCCGAGAACTTCGTCGCCTCCATCCTCCTCTCCATCCCCGAAGGCGTCGATGGCTCCGTCCTGGTCATCGGCGGTGACGGCCGCTACTACAACCCCGAAGTCATGCAGATGATTGCAAAGATTGGTGCTGCATACGGCGTGAAGAAGCTGTTGATCGGACAGGATGGCATCATGTCGACACCCGCAGCCAGCCATCTGATCCGCATCAAGAAGGCCACAGGCGGCATCCTCCTCACCGCCAGCCACAACCCCGGCGGCCCAACAGAAGACTTCGGAATCAAATACAACCTCGCTAACGGCGCTCCTGCCCCCGAAGGCGTCACCAACAAAATCTACGACTATTCCAAAACCATCACCTCCTACAAAACCATGGACATCCCCGACGTCGACCTCTCCACCATCGGCACGCAGAAAGTCGGCCCTCTCGAGGTCGAAATCGTGCACAGCACCGCCGACTACGTCGACATGCTCAAGTCCATCTTCGACTTCGACCTCATCAAGTCCTTCCTGCAGCAACACTCCGACTTCAAAGTCCTCTTCGACGGCCTCTCCGGCGTGACGGGCAACTACGGCGTCGACATCTTCGAGAAAGAGCTCGGCCTGAAAAACGCCACGCAAAACTGTGTCCCCAAACCAGACTTCGGCGGCCACCATCCCGACCCCAACCTCGTCTACGCCCACTCCCTCGTCGAAGCCGTCGACAAGAACGGCATCCACTTCGGCGCCGCCTCGGACGGCGACGGCGACCGCAACATGATCTACGGCGCCAACTCGTTCGTCTCCCCCGGCGACTCCCTGGCCATCATCGCCCACCACGCCGACCTCATCCCGTACTTCAAGAAGCAAGGCGTCTACGGCCTCGCGCGCAGCATGCCCACTTCGGGAGCCGTCGACCTCGTCGCGCAGAAGAAGGGCTTGAAGAGCTACGAAGTCCCCACCGGCTGGAAATTCTTCTGCGGCCTCTTCGACGCGGACAAGATGAACATCTGCGGCGAGGAATCTTTCGGGACAGGATCCAACCACATCCGCGAGAAAGATGGCTTGTGGGCGATTGTGGCGTGGTTGAACATCATCGCCGGCGTGGGCCAGAAGTCCGGCACAACGCCCAGTATCAAGTCCATCCAGCAGGATTTCTGGCAGATCTACGGCCGCACGTTCTTCACGCGCTACGATTACGAGGGCTGTGAAAGCGAAGGCGCGAACAAAATGGTCGCGCACATGAAGGAGCTCATCACCACCAAGAAGGACTCCTTTGTCAACTCCACCGTTTCCGGCCGCAAAGTCCTCGAGGCGGACGATTTCTCCTACACGGACTTGGATGGCAGCGTGAGCAAAGGCCAGGGCATCTACGTCAAATTCGACGATGGGAGTCGGATCGTGGTGAGATTGAGCGGGACGGGCAGTTCGGGGGCGACGATCCGGTTGTATGTGGAGAAGCATGAAACCGACCCCAAGACGTACCAGATGGATGCGCAGGACTACCTCAAAGATAATGTGAAGATGGCTGTTGAGCTGCTGGGTCTGAAGGAGTATATTGGGCGGACGGAGCCGGATGTTAAGACTTGAGCTTATTACATTCACGAGTGTTGCGGCGTGGGATGTGAGGGCAGACCTTGGTGGGAGTGTTTGTGAACAACCTGCTGGAGGAAACCAGGCAGGGTAGAAGGGAGATTATGATCACGACATGCATGAAGGAAGCTACTCGAGTATATAGATGAGCAAACCCCATTCAACACTTAACCACTCATGCTACCCCATCTCCCTCGCTTCCACTCCCATCTCGCCCCCTGTCCAAGGTATCGCTCATACATGTAGGTTCTTTCCTACTTCCCACCCCCCTTACTAGGACTCGGACTCTCAACCCTAAACTCGGCACTCCACAGACTCTCCCACCGCTCCTTCTGCTGCTTTCCCTTTACTGGCGTCTGCGTTTGCGTTTGCCCCTTCGCGGCCGACTGTCCATTCCCTCCTTGCCCACCACCCTGCTTCTGCGATTGCGACTGTGAAGCTGGATTCAGATGTCGTTGCAGCGACCTTATGCTCTTACTTGGCGACTTTGATCGCTGCCGTGCTTGGGCTTTACTCGGCGAGGCGCTGCGGGTTTCGTGTCTGGAGGCTGAGGGGTAGCGGATCTGCAGACGCGAAGGGGAGTTAGAGGTGGATCAAGGGCCAAAGAGTTGCTCATAGCGCACCTGATCAGCGGGCGGAGGGCGAGCAGCCTCGCCGCTATCGCCGGTGTTGGTATGGGCGTCCTGGATGATGCCCAGACCCGCACCACCTCCGCTACCTCCGCCGATGGCGGGTGCGGGTGGTGGACGCAGCGATGTCTGACTTTCACTGCGCACCCTTGCCCCTCCACCACCGATACCGCCACCGCTCGCTGCTGAAGGATCAGGGAACGACGAAACCGTCGGACTCCCCGCCGCCGACTGCCCGCTCTGCGCCAAACTTGGCACAACCGCCCCTGCCACGCCTTTCTTGCTCGTACTACTGCTCCTCCGACTATCCAGACTCTTATTCAGATGCTTCGTAGCATCCTCCCCCTTACTCCCCCGCTTAATCCGGATACTGCCCTTGGCATCCACATTCGCCGCCGCAACCGTGCTTTTCCCAAGCCCAGGAGTCGTGGGAGCACCACCGGCTCCTCGCTCCTCCGTAGCATGCACGAGGAACCATTTCAGCCCGTCGGAGAGGTCGAAGGGGTTCTCGTCTTCCGCTTCTCCTTCGCCTACCCCGCCGGCGGAAGAGGAGGGCACGGTGTCAACGGAGGAGCGGCCCAGATTCACCACCCTCTCCTCCACCTTCGAGATCCTCGCGACGATGAAGTCGCGTGTGCCTAGACCCATCCCCTCCCTCTCAGCCAAAAAATAATGCGGACACCCCACATTAAACGCCGCCCACGCGCCCTTCGCCTGCCCCCTCGTCGGCAAGAACAACGCCAAATCCCCCTCTTTGAAATCCTTCACGGCGATTTTCCCCTGCGCTTCAGTCTTGAGTTTGAGCGAGCGCTCTTTGTACGCGTCCGCGCGTTTGGAGGACTCTTTCGCTTCTTTGTTGTACTTGCGCGCCGTGTACTCGAAGTCGCGCACGCGCTTGACGACGGCTTCGCTGAAGGTGTCGGTGTTGAAGCGTGTTATCTGGGCCAGGAAGGCAGAGAACTGCGTGGTTTCGTCTTCGAGGGTCTGGGAGTCGGGCCAGCGGAGGGAGGAGAGGTCGGAGGGTTCGTCGGTGGTGGACGACTTGCGGGTAGGCGGTGGAGAGGTCAGGGTGCCGGTGCGGGAGAGGTTGGACGGGTCCATGACGGTGCTGGCGGCGAGTTTGGAGGCGCGCTCGAGGACCATGGTGTCGTCTTGGTAGGTTATTGCGAAGCCGAGGCGTTCGAGCAGGCGGGTGAGGCGGGAGTTTTGCGCGAAGAGGCGTTGGGAGACTTCTTTGGCGTGTTCGGCTCGTTTTTCCAAGCGGGCTGTGGAGGTCTCGGCGGTGGTGTGGTAAGTTTTGTGCTTCTTTTGCAGGCGCATCAGCTCGACGTCGAGGCTGTTGATGTGTGACTTTGACTCTGCAAGCTCGGCAGATAATTTGCCAGCTCTTGCCTCTTCTTCCGCGACGCGCTGTCGAAGTACTTCAGAGCCCGTCTCGCCATCCGCAAACTTATTGCGAAGCATACGCAGCTGCTCTTGCTCTTCTCCAAGCTGCTCTTCGAGTGATTGAGCTTTGGCTTCTTCGGTAGCAAGGCGTTCTGTGATCTGGCGTGCTTCATCTTCAGCTTCAGACTGTTTCTGCGTAGCAGCTGAGAGCTCAGTCTTCTGCCTCTCGTTGCTCGCCCACAGCGATTCGTTCTCAGACTTCGCGAACGCGATAGCTTCTTCCAAATCCTTCGCATGAGCGGCGGACTTTCGCGACAGCTCCTCAAGAGCGGACGAAAGTGCCACAAGACCGCTGGGCGCATCCGCATTCGACGATAGCTGAGCGTGAGCCGTAGCCAGCGACTGCATCTGCTCGTTCTCTGCCTCGCGTCTCTGCTCCTGCTCTGAGCGCATCTCCTGCAACTGCGTCTCCGCCTCAGCTCGGGCTCTTTCTGCAACATCCAGCTTCCGCTCCATAGACGCTCTGGCATCTTGAGCAGTAGCAGCCCGTGCAGCATGGCCGGAAGCGTCTTCTTTCAATCGCGCGATCTCAGCTTCGTAAGTCGCAGCCCGAGCATCAGTCCCAGTTCGTTCATCATCTCGCGAGCCGACCAGTCGTTCGATCTCGTTCTCCAGCTCTTCCGCCCGCTCTTTGACCTCAGCCAAGTCTTTCTCGAGATTCCTACGCTCGGTCGCAAATTCTCGCTGCTGCGCTTCCATGTTCTCCATAAGATCTTTCTTCGTCGACATAGCCTCTTCAACCTGCTTCTGCGCTTCCGCATCAGAGTTGTTCCGGGTCGTCGCTTCCTCCCTCGCGGCCTGTAGCTCATTCTCCAAGTCTACAACCCGCCGTGCGAGCTTCTTCTCCTCTGCGCCTTGGACAGAAACTTTGCGCTGGTGCCGGAATGAATCGCCACGTGCAGAGTCCTCTGATTGCTGGGAGGGCATGGAGATAGGCAGCGTCATGTTGCGATCCAGGTTGGAAGCACTTTGGGGCGTGAACATGTCACCAGTGCTCGCTCGTCCGATGTGCGAGGATCGGTGCAATAGGTCTTCAAGCTTCCGCACTCGGCTCTTCTGCCCTTTCAGCTCGTCCTCTAGCCTCGTATTGGCGTCTTTCAGACTCTTGTACTGGTCGTCGCCGCGAAGCAGCAGAGAAGTATCGCCAAACGCAGCCTCGTGCATGCTACCGTTTTTGAAAGCTTTGGCGTGCTTGATCTGCTTGCGCGTCGGCTTGTCGAGATCCACGATAGCATGCTGGATCTCTTCAACGACAGCACACTCGCCGTAGACGTTGAACAAGACATCGTGGTAGGACTGAAGATCGTCTCGTGTCACCATCGGCCAGCTGTTGCCCTCGTTAATGAGGCTCAGCTCGATACCAAGCACGTTGCTACGCAGAGCGTCCGTCCTCACAACATCCTCTACACTCCTCACCCACTTCTTGCGTCGCTTGTCCTCCTCATCCTGGTATGTCGCGACCTCTTCTTGAAGTGTGGCGGCATCTCTCCGCATCTTTGCAACCCACTCACGCCTCCTGACGGACTCCACGAGCAGAGCACCATACACAGAAGGCAGCCTGGAGATGACGTTCAACGTCGCAGACACTTCTTCGTTGTCTTGCGGCTGTTCCAGCTCCTTCGCATCGTTGTATACCGACCGCATAATTCCCTCCATGCGAGATACTGTCCGCATGTGCTCCAAATTGTCGTCTGCGGCGCCTCTTCTCTGCTCATACGCTCGCTGAGCGAGCTCGTTCATTTCTGCGCATAACTCGCTCAGGTTTGGCAGGTAGTTTCGTGTGTGCAGGAGAGCCATCTTGGAGGCTTGCGAGATCGACGATTGTGTTCGAGGGAGTGCTTGGACGTGCTCAAGGTCCGAGGACATCTTCTTGACCACGAGCTCAATCTCTTCGAGAAGTTGTGCAGGTTCGGAGGAGCTGCTGGCGCTCGAGTTGGCACTGATCTGCTCGACAGCTTGGGAGAGCTCGTCGGTGCCTTTGGTCGCAGCGGCCAGGTCCTCTCGTAGCTTTTGAACTTTGTCTGCGAACCCTCCCATCGACGATTTTACACTACCGGCAGCCTTGCGGACGCTGGAAAGGTCGACGAAGCTTTGCAGAGTGACTGCATTGCCAGCTTGTGAGAGTCGTCGGCTCGTGGAGGATGAGCTCCCCAAGAATCTTGCGAACTCCGGCTTCGCTGGTATATCTCGCAAGCTCTCCAAGTTGGCTTCCCAGTTGCCGACGGCATACTCTTGGTCCTGCAGGACCTCTTCCGAGCGTGCCTCGATTGCGCCAGACCTCTGCTCACACGTCTTGATATGAGCGTGGAGACTCGACACCACCGCGCCCAGCCCTCGCTCGATCACAGCCTGCTCGTCCTGGTATCGCTGCGCCAGCTTCGCCTTTGTCTCACAGCCACGGAGCAGCCCATCTGCCCAGCTTTTCCGGGCCTTGAACAGACCCTGCCATGCTTGCAGGTCATTCTGGTTGCTGATAGTATCAGGCGGGTGTCCAGGGTCGAAGTCCTCGTCCGGTCCGTCTGACCCAGCAGACGCTGAGCCCTTTGATGTTACCCGACTCGCATCGAATACAAAGAGCTCATTCTCCGTCAACAGCGTCTGCGCTCTGACTTGCTTCCCTTGCGAAGTAAGCAAGACGACGTTCCGCGGTGCTATGCCGGTCTGCGTCTGCAGCCATGACTTGAAGGCGTCGATGGAGTCCACTCTACTCGGGTCGAAGTCGAGACGTTGGCCGGTGTATGCTAGGTAGACCGTAATCGACATCCGCGCCACAGCACGGCGGGATCTCGAAGAAGAGGAGAGGTGGTCGGAGTCAGTCGTAGGGAGTAAGGATGCTGAGGAGGTCGAGAGTGGAGGAGGAGCCCAGTCAACAGCTTGACTCTCTTTCGATGGAGCTTGTCCCATCTTGTCTCCGAGCATGCAGCCTGACAGTTGAGGCTAACCCGATTGGTTTGGAAGCGAATGACACTTTCTGCTGATCACATTCCTCCTATCCTCCTCTTCCTTTCCAACTGCTGACCCTCTCTGGTCCTATACCTCCACCTTGAGGATCCTTGGGATTGAGTGGAGTTGGAGTGGAATGCGAGTACCCGGAGTCGTGCAGATCCAGGTTGTGGATCGTGGCACTGGCTAGTCGCAGTACCTCCTCATGCATGCGATGACTTCTTGACGCGGTTGCACAACGTAAAGGCACTGTATCTTCGAGGAAGTCAGTCTATGCGCTTTCAATGGTGAACGGTGAACAGGGCAAGGCAGCGAGCTTTTGGCAATGTTGTGGTGTATTATCCTCCAGTCATGTCGCAGCGAAGAGAGGTGCTGCAGGTACCCGCTTCTTCGAGTCCAACCTCACTTCATCCATCGCCAACGATGACTCCTTCAATCACTACCACAATCACATGATATATGAAACAAGCCATTTGTAGCCCGTATGCGTGACTATGTATCCTGACTATCAATAGCAAGACCATATAAACCGTGCTCGCGAGACACGCCACTGCCAACCATGGACATCACCACCCTCGACTACGCCACCCAACAGGACTCCTCTGATCCCCTCCACCACCTCCGCGACCTCTTCACCATCCCAACCAAAGCCGACCTATCCCGTAAAACTCTCCAACAAGACTCCAATCCCAGTGACCAGACACAACAATCAACCTACCTCTGCGGCAACTCCCTCGGCCTCCAACCCGCTTCCACCGGCGCCTATTTCCAGCAATATCTCTCCACCTGGGCCTCCAAAGGCGTCTACGGGCACTTCAAACCCATTTCCGACTCCAATCTCGCACCATGGATGAACGTCGACGACGACGTCACAGAGGACATGGCGAAGCTTGTGGGAGCAAAGGGGAGCGAGGTGGCGGTGATGCAGACGCTGACGACGAATCTGCATCTGATGATGTTGAGTTTCTTCCGGCCGACGGAGGAGAGGTGGAAGATTATCTTGGAGGGGAAGGCGTTTCCTTCTGATCATGTGAGTCGCTATCCGCGTACTACGAGGCAGCGGAATACAAAGCTGATAGCTGTGGCAGTACGCGGTAGAATCCCAACTCCACCACCACAACCTCTCACCGTCGGACGCCATGATCCTTATCGAACCCCCCTCCACCGACACACTAATCCTCCCCACCGAGCACATCCTCTCCATCATCGACGCACACGCCTCCGAAACCGCTCTCCTCCTCCTCCCCGGCATCCAATTCTACACCGGCCAGCTCTTCGACATCCCCTGCATCACCGCCCACGCGCACTCCAAAGGCATCGTCGTGGGCTGGGACCTCGCGCACGCCGTCGGGAACGTGCCACTGCGGATGCACGACTGGAATGTCGATTTCGCCGTGTGGTGTACGTATAAGTACATGAACTGCGGGCCGGGCTCTATCGGCGGATGCTTCGTTCACGAGCGGCATAGTCAGGTCACCAGCTCCGATGGAACGACGCCAGAGTATCGCCCGCGGATGGCAGGTTGGTGGGGCTCGTCCAAGTCCTCGCGGTTCGCTATGACGAATCACTTCGAGCCGATACCTGGTGCAGCCGGGTTTCAGATCAGTAATCCTTCGGTGGCGGATCTGACGGCTGTGAGGGCGAGTTTGGATGTTTTCAAACAGACTTCCATGGAGGAGTTGAGAAAGAAGAGTTTGGGGCTGACGAAGTATCTGGAAGATCTGCTCGCGCATCTTGCTAGCGAGCAGCAGAGGTCCTTCGGAACATGCTTTAGCATCATCACGCCTACGGATCCGGCGCAGCGAGGTGCGCAGCTGAGTGTGCTGTTGAAACCTGGATTACTCGATTCGGTCATGGAGACGCTGGAAGAGGAAGGCGTGGTGGTGGATGAGCGACGGCCGGATGTCATTCGTGTTGCTCCTGCGCCGCTATACAACACCTTCACCGACGTCTTCAACTTCATCAACGTCTTCCGGCGCGCTTGCGAGAAGGCTGTTTCGAGCAAGGACAGTGGCGGAGAGAGTACGATTGCCGATGCTGGAAAGGAGAATAAGGGGTGGAGTGAGGTGAAATAGCGCTGCTATCTAGCCATTCGTACATCTTAGAGCTGATCTCTAGTGCGCATTGAACGGCCAAGAAGGCTTGATATTGTCCGAATGGAACTTGCAGTCCTTCGCATGCGCCGTGTTCCCAATCCGCTTAATCTCAGCATGCGAGCACAAGCACAGCCAGCAGAACTGATGTCTGCACTTCCGACAAGTCATGTGCTCGCAGCCGCTAGTCTTCTGGATACGCCTATCTCATCGTCAGCACGAGCAAGAAACCTGTCACGCTCTTGGAGAAGAGACAACTCACCACCCACAAGCCCGATTCGGACACTTTTTCGACACCTTGTCCAGCATCGCCACCGTCTTCCTCTTCTCGTCCCGCTTCTTCTGCCCGCTTGAGCGATACTCGTACTGCTCGCACGTCTCACCAGTATGCCAGGGGACTTTATGCGTCAGACACTGCTTGAAGCCGCAACTCGCACAGTCCATGAAGGCGTTGTTGTCGATGTTCATTTGTCCGGATCCGCAGCCGGGTTTCAAACACCATCCGAACTCGTCGAGGCTGCCGAGAGCATTGCGCGTTGCTAGGCGGTCGTAGGCTTCGAAGGTTGCGAGAGAAGCGGAAGTCTGGATGTCGGCGTATTCGAGGGTCAGAGGGCAATCGGGACACTTGATGCCGTGGGTGCCTTTAGTGGAGAATTCGCTCGCAACCCAGGTCTGCAGGCATTCGATGCAGGTCTGCGGTGGGTGGGTGCACATGGTTGTTGGCGCCGTAGCAAACACCTCCCAAGGTTCCTTGATATCGCCACACACCGTACATTCAGTCAATCGAGCTTGCGCAGCTGCAAGACCAGCTGCTAAAGTCGCCTTGTTCCGCTCCTCGAGCCGATTGTGGATGGACTTGCAAGCGGCGGAGCTGGACGCCATCCCTGACTGGCTTGTGCCCCCTTCCGAAGCTGCTGAGCAGGCCGCGTGTTCTTCTACTCTGGCTGCGTGCTCCAGTCTTCCCAGCTCGTCCATAAGCTGGAGCATACGTTGTTCCTCCCTCTCCGCATACCGTTCAGCTTGGAGTGTCTTGAGCTCGGTCTTGAGACTTTCGTATTGAGTCCCGCTGATGTCTTGGTTGTTCATCCATCGCTTGAGCGTGGGACATCCATCCAATTTCCTCACAGCCGTCCGATCTTGTGGGTTTGATCTTTCCTGTAGCTTCTTCGAAGAGTTACCGGGTGATTTATTGCTTACGATTGGGCGATCAGGTAGATGGATACCTAAAGTGTGTGCCCAGTAGGCTAGGTTGATGTCGATCGCCACAGAGTCGCCGTACTGGTTCCAGCCGAGGTCACGGAAAGGCGGCATCTGCTTCTTCCTGTCTGCCCTTGAGTCTTTTGACCGGTATTGCTCAGGAGCCGGCTTGCTTTGTTCAGTCAGCGCCAATGGCGCGGTAACGAAGTTCTTACTGCCAGCGGCCGACCGCTCGCTGCGTCCGTTTGAACCGCTCTGCCCGGACACTGCTTTCGGGGATGAGTTGCTGGCAATTACGCTAGAACTCTCATCCGGTATAGCTTTTTGAGGACTCTTCAATCGGCGAGCTCTCGGGCCCGACGCTCTGTAGTTCATATCAACCACAGATAGACGCTTTGGGATCAAGGCCCCTTCGCGTTGCGGCCACGCAGCTGACCCGCTGAGTGCTATCTCGGGATCCAGCGCCGACTGAGCAGGATGAACGGCCTTCGGATGCGGCTCATGTCCAAAGTGCGGAACTCCTTGATGCAAGCCAAGAGGCTGGCCGCCGTAGCTATCGGTGCTCCCCTTCGCAAGCGTGGCATATCTTTTACGCAGCCTCGATGGTTCTGCCGCTGGTTTGGCGTTGTCGCTGTCTCTTTTTGGCAGACGTACGCCGGAGAAGATATCCTTGAGAGCTGGCATGCTTGCCTGCCTATGCTGTCATAGCATATTGTAGACGTAGCTTGTCTGCCGGGTTGAAGTAGATGTACTTGTGGATTAGGGGCAGTGCAGGGTCGCGCAGCGAAGCTCTTGACGAGGCTGTAGGTAGAACATACCATGCAGTACGCGCGAACGACGACAGCCACAGACCAGATGGAAATATGGATTTAGAAATGGGGATGGTGCGCGAGACGGACGCACGAGTAAACTTACCTACCTTTGCGAGGCTGAGGTATCCCCATTTTGGTGGTCATGCGTGTCTTAGACAGACCATACCCATGGGTCTGCAGGTCCTGCCGTGGTAAGGCTGAGCATATGGTGGTAAGGCAGGCCACTCGTCGTGAGCCAGATGGTCAGCGCCAATGCGTGATCTCCATTTGCTGACCCCGTCGTGCTTCTCCATCGATGAAGCCAAGCGCTTTGCCTCTGGAAGCTTTCATCGTAATCTGCTTCCGGTCAACCTTTCGAGATGTAGTTATTGCGGAAGGGAAGCAAGGAGCAAGGCTCGAGATGGAGTGAAGTGCTGCGCTAGCGTGTGGCCCGTGCAGGTTTCTCGATATCTTGGGCAACAACACTGAACATTCTTCCATCTGTTGGTGTTAGCAATGTGAACTTCTCAGTGCTTCGACTGCTATGAGCTTTGATGCCGGCAGGCGTCCCGAATCCACTGTCCAGCGGCGAAAGTTAATGCAAAGACCTGAGCTTCTTGAAGCACAAACACCCACACGATTCGAGGAAGCGTGGTTCGCCTCTAGAGAGCAAAGAGGATGTCGCAGGAGCTCTCCGCCTTGCAAGATGCTCACAATGGTGCGGACGGGCTGTTCGCAAATGCAAAGGCGCTCGGAAAAAGGGTGCATGGTAGGAAAGCGATTTCTCCCTTCTCCAGAGTGGCGAAGTACTCAGATAGTGGGCGAGCAGCTGTTTGAAGGGCTTTGCACGGCGGAAAAGGTTTGGGGTCAAAGTAGCAAGACGTTCTCTTGGGTGAATTTCTACATGTCGGGTGCCGTTGAAGTCGACGAGAGAGCTCTGTTAGCGTGAGGTGGAGCTGTTGATGATCGGTCTTGCATCATGGCCTTTGAAGGAAGAGAGAACATCACTTGAATGATACCTACCTTGTTAATTTGCTTCACAGACTGTACATACGCATAATAAGGATTCATCACCAGGGCTCGCAAGAATATGGCGACCAACGGCAAGAACGTTTTCCTTATAGGACCAGGCTACATCGGCCTAGAGATCATCGACCGCCTACTAGAAAATGGCTACAAAGTCTCAGCAATGACACGCCGGGACGATGCTGCGAAAGAGCTCCAACAATCTGGCGTCAAACCAGTGATGGGCAGTCTCTCAGACAGCTCCACCGTCCAACAAAACACCGCAGCGAACGACATCGTCATCCACTCCGCCACAGCAGACGACCTCCCCTCTGTCGAAGCAGTCATCGCAGGCATCGACCAGCGAGCAAACGAAGGGAAGCACACGATCTACATCCACACATCCGGCTGCTCCTTCCTAAGCGACGACTCCAATGGCGAGTACCAGTCCGACATGATCTACTCCGACAAGGAGCCGAGAAAAATGGACGCCCGTCCAGACAGTGCCTCTCACCGCGGCATCGATCTGGCCATTATCAAAGCCCGCAACCGTCTAGGTACCAGAGCCAAAATCTTCCTCATGCTCCCACCCCTCATCTACGGCGCAACGAAACACAACCGCTTGTCGATTCAGATGATCACCATGGCCCGCTTCGCCATCAAACACAAATACGCTGGCTATGCTGGACAAGGAAAGTCGGTTTGGGCGCCTATCCACGTCGCCGATTTGTCTCGCGGGTACCTGACGTTGCTGCAATGGCTTGAAAACTCTCCACCACAGACAGCACTAGAGCACCCGTACTTCTTCTGCGAGAACGGACAAGAGCTCTCCTGGTCCGAGATCGCAGCCATCATCGGGGACGAGCTAAAAGCAAAGGGCATCATCTCTGATCCCACACCAAAGCAGATTCCAGAGAGCCAGTATGAAGACTTATTCGGCATGTACACGAACGTGGTCATCGCGCAGAACTCCCGGAACAGAGCCGAGAGACTGAGGGAACTGGGGTGGAAGCCGGAGCATTTTAGTGTGAGGGATGCGTTCAGGGACGAGGAGTTGCCGATTATTTTGAAGGATGAGGGGGAGTTTAGGGGGTATGCGAAGCCGGCGGCTTCGGGGTCGGGATGAGTGATGAGGCGATAGGGGCAGTGATGTACACGTGCGTATAGCATCACAATCGACAGATAAATGTCTTGTCGAGTGAAAACTTGGCCATCCATGCCGCCGATTGCCTGAAGTGTACAAAATTGCCTCCCGTGCAGTAGTCAGAAGAGGATAGCAATTCACGCAGCAGAGATAGCAAGTTGCACCAAAAAGGCCATCTCGGCAACGAAGCCGAGAAATAGCCGTTGATTGTTGTTGATTTCACTCATGCCTAACGAACGCAACCTCCATCGCTAAGGTCGAGTAGTGAGTAGAAGAAACATCCCACTCAATCCTCCAGTGAAAGTGCCTCGTCCCTCTCAAAGCCCATTGCATCCTTCTTCTCCTTTGCCTCCGCACCAAAGAACCTTGAGCTCGTCCTCCCCCAGACCTCCGTGGTGCTCCCCTAAAACCCAGAAGGACTCCCCACGGCGCCAAGGCTACCGAAACCTGCTTGCGCTCTGCCCATACCTGGCGCGCCGAAGCCTGCTGAAGGAGAAGCGCGCTGGGGCATCGGACTCCCGATCTCGCCCAGCGTACCACCCCTGGCTTGATCCGGCGTAGTAGCGTCAGGAGCCCACTTGACGGCTCGCAGGGCTCCGCCGTCATCCTTGCGCACGTCCAGCTCGCCGCCGCCGTTCTGACTATCGCCCTCCGTCTCGCAGATATCCTCGATCTCGCGCAGCGAAGGCGGAGGGTCGAGCTTCGGGCCGTTGGACTCGATCTGCCGCATCAGGGTGTCGACGGGGTGGAAGCCGTCGCCTTCGCCTTGCTTGGCCGAGGTGAGCTGCTTGCAGGCCTGGCAGACGCGGACGCGGATCGTGAGGGGGCGGTTGAGGCTGCCGCCGGCAGGGCGAGGCATGGTTGGGCCGCCGAGAGGGCCGAAGGAGCTGTTGGCGGCGAAAGCGGTGTTGTTGCTTGCCCAAGTGTTGCTGATGCCGGAGTTTGGTAGAGGCGCGCCCCAGCCTGGTGTTGCAAGGCCAGGCGCTTGACCGAAGGGCCCGAGGCCTGGTGCGGGTGCATTCCAGCCTGTGGGACCGCCTGGGAAGCCTTGTGTGGGAGCGCCGAACGCACCGCCCAGTGCACCCATGCCGCCTGGCTGACCGTCTCGGGGTTGGGGTGGTGGAAAATTGGATGGGCGCCGTACGTTCTCGTTCTGAGCGACCGGATCATCGGCGTCGTCGATCAAAGCAGAACTACCGAGATGCTTCGACAGATCGTCCACGTCCGTAGGCTCCTGGCTTGGTGGCTTGACGCTGCTCGGTCGCTGGATCGGGGCTGGCCGCGCAATGGGCTGGTTCGCCGCCGACTCAAAGCGGTCCTTGTCACTGGCAGACTGCTGGCGCGAATGGGTCTGCAGACCAGCACGCGGAGCTTCGCCGCCAGGTGCAGCTGACACGGGTGGCTGAGTTGGCGGCGTGAAGGTTCCTCGCTGAGCTTGCTGCTGAGGTCCGAAACCTGGCGGAGGTTGACCAGCTCCAGGTCCTTCGAATGGGAAGCCCATCGGTTGTGGCCGCGGCTGCTGCATCATCCCTGGTGGGGGTGATTGAAGCATGCCGTTGATACTGCCGTTCATGCCAGGCAGGCCGAATCTGTTGTTTGGCCCACCAAGTGGCGCACCGGGATGAGGCTGCGGGTACATGGGCGCCATCGGGTTGCGTTGACCGAGGTTGCCGTGCATCATCGGTCCTTGGAACTGGTTGTAGCCCGGATGCGGTTGCGGCATGCCGTTGAAGCCAACAGGTGGGTGCTGAAGATGAGGCATGCCTTGCGGCCCCTGCATCGGCTGCTGATGGGGCGGCGATGTCCTCTGCATCACTTGTGGAGGTCCCTGGGCTTGGCCTGCTTGCTGGTTGCCGGCCTTCTGTAGGATGGTTCTCTGTGGGGCTGCAGGTTGTTGCGGCTGTTGTTGCTGGGCAGCCGGCACACTTCCTGGTGAAGAAGCCTTGCTGGGCACGCTCGAGGGTTGCGCTTGCGATTGCTTCGGCGATGACGCGTGCGAGCCTTGCGCAGAAGTTTGACGTGGCCTCGCTGGTGTCGGCGCCTTCGGTATGGCTGGCGTGGCGATCGACGGGTGGGGGGAGGAGATCGCGGAGCTCGCTTGCTTCTGGAGTACCGGAGGGACTGCGACCATTCCGGCTTGCGAAGGGCGCTTGGTGATCTGGGGAGGCTGCAAAGGCGGCTGCGCTGCTTGCTGTGCGGTCTTCTCGCGTTGCTTCGCCTCCATGTCGGCCTTCGCTTTGGCCTCGCGCTCTTTCTTCTCCTTCTCTTCTTGAGCCTTGCGCTCTCTGACCTCCTTCTCACGAGCTTCACGCTCCTCTCGCTCCTTCTTGCGGGCTTCCTCCTTCTTGGCTTTCTCCGCTGCTCTCTGTTCCCGTGCCTTGCGCTCAGCATCTTCGCGCCGTTGCTGCTCCTCCTGCAAGCGACGAGCCTTGTCTGCCTCTTTCTTTGCCCGCTCTTCGTCCTGCTTCCGCTTGCCCTCTTCCTTCTTCTTCCGCTGCTCGTCCTTCTTGCGCCTCTGCTCTTCCAGCTTCTTCTCCTCGACCTCCCGCAACTTTGCCTCTTCTGCAGCCTTCTCAGCGTCCCTCTTCGCTTTCTCCTCTGCTTTCGCCGCCTGTTGCTGCTTCTTCTTGGCTCTCTTCTTCTCCGCATCGCGCTGCTTCTTCGCCTCCTTCTCTGCCTCCAGCTTGCCTTCGTCCTCTAACTCCTCAAGAAGCTTCTGCTGTCGCTCGCGCGCAACCTTGTCCTTGTACGCATTGAGAACGCGCTGTTCGAACATCCTCGCCGCGAATATTTGAAACATGCGTCTCCCTTCCTGAACACGCTGTTCCTCGGTCAAGCCGCCCTGTTTGAAGTCAGCGTCACATCCCGCAAAAACACCAGTTCCATTCCTTGTGCGTACCATTGGCTCTTCCTCATCCATATCATCATCGTACTCGTCTTGACTATCGTACGACGCCTCATCGTCGTCGTCGAACTCGTCATTCGCTGCAAGAGGATCCTCATGATGATAGCCAGGATCTCCGCGTGGATATGCGCCTGGATGGCTCGGATTCGCCGCCTCGTACTCTGCCTGGTTTTCGCGCGCCATGCGCCGCTCGGCCAACTGCTCCATCATCTCGATGAACTTGCGGCCGTCGTTCTTAAGCAGGTCGTCAGCAACGGTGAGGAGGTTGTCTGCGTTACCCTTTAGTCCACTTTGTAACTTCTCAAGCCAGGGTGTGAGCGCGAGGATACCTTTCACGGTCAAGTTCTGCCCGAAATTGAAGAACTCAGTAACGCCACTGCGCAGCGGCTCCGGCTCTTCATCAGTGTAGTCTTCGTCAGAATACTCTTCTTCATCTTCTTCTTCCTCGTCATCACTGAACTCATCCTCGCCGAAATCCTCCTGCAACCGACTCGTCTTGTGATGAGGAAGAGGTGGTGGCGGCGCAAGCGCTAATGGATGCGGCATGCGATGCTGCAAAGGATCCGGCAGCAGGCCGTGTGCGGATGGAACGGGTGGTTGGTCGTGGTGTGCATACTGTTCCAACTCCTCATAATAGCCTTCATATAGCACCTCAAGCTCCTCCTCGATCGCCGTTCGCTTCCTTCCACACACAGTGCACGAGCAAGAGTGCTTCTGTTGCTGCTTCATCTTCTTGAGCACCGCCTCTTTCTCGACTCTCAACAAGGACTTGCGTTCGTCCTCACTAAGGCTGAGCCAGAAATCTTTGATGTTCTGCCGCTCCTGCTGCGTGCTGGTATTCCAGACATTCTTGTCCGCATGCGCTCTCTGCATTGCGCCTGCTGGCGGAGGTGGTGGTGCGGGTAGAGGCGGCACATGATTGCTGAGCAGCGCGGGGTTGTAGGGCGAGTGGGAGTGGTGCGCGCCGACCTTTTTCTTCTTATTACTACTCGCGCCCGGTGCTGGTGGTGGCGGCATGCTGAAACCGTTCGGACCGGCGTGAGGTGGGAGGTAGCCGTCGTCGTAGCCGTTCCCATCGTAGGAATCGTACCCATCATCCTCATAGCCCAGCGGGTCTTCGTCGTAGTCCACATCTGAAGGACGACGGCCGACGGCCGGAGGTGGATGAGTTTGAGTGCTAGCCTTCGCAGCCTGCTTTGCCCGTCGCTTCTGCTTCTTGCGGTTGCCGCCCACCACACCCTTCGGTGGGCCAGTTATGACGTGGTTGGCAGACGGTGGAGGCGGCAGTTTCGCGTTGCTCGCCATGCTGGGTGGTTGTGAAGGATCAAGTGCTGAGGGGAGTCTGTCTACGGTTGAGGCAGCCGATCAGCAAGTGACGGGGTAGTGAAGAATAGCCAGCGTAGGATTTGGCCGAAGAAAGTCACTGCTTCGGCCCCTCCAGAGGGTGGTGTTGAAGTACCTGCTTGTGCTCGTTGGTGAATCGCTCCTACCGCCTCGGGAGTGGTGAGACGGAGGCGTCGATCAGGAAGGAGTGAGTGGGTGCGAGCATGTGGGTGGTGGTGGAGGATTTGGAGTGGTGTCCGTTTGTTCGTGGGCCATCACCTATGGCACGCCGGAGGTTCGTTCAGTCCAAGCATGGTGACGCGGGCCGTTGCGAGATCCGCAAACTCTAAGCAGTCTGCGCCACTTCGACGTCGAAGAAAGCCAGCCGGCAAAGACCAGCCCATCCCCCATCCCTGCTGCATCGCTCCACAGTCTTAGGCCGGCAGGATCGCATATCTCACGGGCATCAGCTGAGCCTGTTCTTCGATCGCTTGAGTCCCACCAGTTTCAGAGGGAGGGAAGAGTAGGAGAAGTTGTTTGCGAACGCAAGACGGTACAACGAGGCAACCTCTCAACGACACTAAGCACTGTACCACGCCGGCACACCTGGGCTGAGAGCAGTGTCACCCAGCAGGCCATCTCTATTTCAACTGCAACGCCCGTGTCCCGTTCTCAGACATTTTTCCAACCGGCGAGACCGACAGCATCATTTACGCTCCTTCCTGAGCTGGGCATTGGTAGCCATTCGAGCACCGGCAGAGTACTTCCTCCAACTAGGTTGGTAGCTTGGTTCCACGAAACGCTTTTGGACGGCCACTGGAGCCTTGAGACCACTGCCGGAGGAAGAGAAGAAGAGTAGCACGTCACAATGGCTACCAACGACAACTCGGTTATGCGGAGGTATGGATATACGATATGAGTATGTCTGGGGTAGCGGCTGACAGGATGCTATCAGGAAGCTGGTCATCATCGGCGACGGTGCATGCGGCAAGACCTCGTTACTGAGTGTCTTCACACTCGGCTACTTCCCAACAGTATGCCTTCCATCTGCTCTCCGACCACCAAATCCATATGAAGATGCTGACCCATACCCCAGCGATACGTCCCCACGGTCTTTGAAAACTACGTAACCGACTGCCGCGTCGACGGCAAATCCGTCCAGCTCGCACTCTGGGATACCGCGGGACAAGAAGACTACGAGCGCCTGCGACCTCTCGCCTACAGCCAAGCGCACGTCATCCTTATCGCATTTTCCGTGAACAGTCGAGATAGCTTGTCCAACATCACAACAAAATGGTAAGGCCTGATCATCCCTCCCCCCTCTCCCAAACTTTAATAACACATCGCAGGCACCCGGAAGTCCTAGAACGCTGCCCCGGCGTCCCTATCATCCTCGTCGGCCTCAAAAAAGACCTCCGCGAAGACCCCGTCGCAATGGAAGAGATGCGGAAGCGCAGCGATAGCTTCTTGACACCCGAAGAAGGCGAGGATACGAGAAGACGGATAGGCGCGAAGAAATACCTTGAATGCTCAAGTCTGACAGGCGAGGGCGTGGACGATGTGTTCGAGGCTTCCACGCGGCAAAGTCTGCTGAGCGGTGATCGGAAGGAGAGGGGCGGATGCTGTGTCGTCCTGTAAGAACTTTGAGGGCAGGCTGGCATGGAGTAGAATTGTGTACACGACCACAAGGCATGGATGGATGGACGGATGGATGGGTTTGTCAGCGTCTCAGCGAGCGATGCATGGGTCATCTATGGGGAAGGCATCGCGTTTCGGGAGGCGTACATATGCTGGGGGTTGGTTGCCCGAAGGGCTGCCGGCGTTCCTGGCGAAAGGAAATGGCATGGCGGAAGACTCAGACCGCTTTCTCGTCTGATAATGAGGCATTGTCTGCGTTCAGCGATATCACGATCGTTAATTCAAGATATAATGAGCGATTCACCAGCGATTCGATCATATCACAGTTCTAGCTTTCATACGCGAGATCAGGAAGAGTTGGATAAGGCAAAAGTCACGTGATCTTCAATAGTAAGGCCTTCTTGCGGCACTCCTCACTTCCAAGCTATGAAACGGATCTCGACAGTAGGAAAAGCAGATCAGAGCACGCACATAGTCAAGTCATCCACTGCGACCCGGACGAAGAGTCTCCCAACCCACCACTCACCGGCCATTGGCACATCTAAGTCATCTTTCATCTCTCAATCATTGCTTTCACCTGTATATATACTACTTATACACCTCTCCACCACCCATCTCATCTTCCCCCCAATGGTTCTAATGGTGCGCCTCAGCCTCATCATCCTCCTCGGGCTCCTCGAACCAATCCTGCTCCACCCCCTTCGCCGTCGTTCCCGTCGGCGCCTGTCCCTCTACCTCGGGCACCTGCTGCTCGTACGCCTGCAAGTCGTTCTGGATATCCGCTTCCTCGGGCGAAGCGGGCGCTTTCGGCATGCTGAATTTGGCGACTTGGCCTTCGGCGTCGGAGGCTTTGGCCGGGGTGGGTTTGTAGGCTTTCAGTTCGCGGAGGTACATGTCTTGGACGAGATCGGCTGGGAGGGGACGTTAGTGGGGGATGATGGGTTGGAAGGGGGTTGTGGTGTACCCTGGCGGACTGTGGTGGGTGTTATGAGGGTCCGGCGGAGGGAGGCGGTTTGGGGTCGGAGGGCGGCTCTTGCGAGCGATTGGCGCTGTTGCTGTTAATCGTATGCCATGTCAGGTATTATGGATGACATACCGAAGCTCTCAATGAGTTGGCGAGCATGATTGCAGTGTCTAGGGTGAATGAGGAGGTCGCTATTCACAATCGCAAGGGAGCTCGCTGAAGCTGCAGTCAGTATCCATTAGAGTTCACGGCTCCTCCCGGGCTTGGCAAACCACTTGTTCAAAGCCTTCACGCCAGCACCAGCCTTCTCTTCCTCACCTCTCCACCTCACCACCACACCTGCTTGTCACCGAACACGCTCGCCATACGCTCAAACCGTCAGAAACGAACGAAGAAGTTGCTGGCAACTCTTTGACGGACGACGCGCGCGCTCAAACGGCCTCTAGTCTACGAGACACGTCTCTGGACGCCTTCACTGGTTTTGACGGCCGTGGCACTGCAGACTCTACACACCACCACCACCCTCTCCACCTCCGCCACGCTCTCTTTCGCTCCGACTCATCAAACGGTCGCTTCCGGCATCTGAACAGGTGCTACAGCTGGTTACAGGAGTGAGGGTGAGTCTGCGTGCTTCTGCCTGATTGCGCTTTGTGCGCCGGAGGACAAAGCGGTCATTGTGGACCCAGAACCGTCAAGCAGAGACTTCATACCTCCACTGCAACTCTACACGGGTGGTATATCTCAGCGAAGCGGCTGCTAACCACTGTCTGATCACTTAGTTGCGATCACTCAGCGAGGCGCCTACTTCACACACTACCCCCACACCACCGCCAAGACGTATTCGCCACTCTTCATCCGCTGCTACTCAAAGCAACACAAACTCGACAAGACCGCCAAGGGCATCAAGAAGCGCATATCTCGTCGATTTGAGGTCGCCCACAAGATCTCGACTCGCAAGCCGCTCACAGTAATGGCCCAAGTGCTGTCGCCGGGCGCACTTCCCGAGCCCGAACCGCAGATGAAGAAAGAAGAAGAATGGCGTGAGAACCTGAACGTGAGGATGATATGCAAGGACTGTCGCGAGGATCCACCGAACCTGTACGAAGATCATGCTAGTGGAGATCTGATCTGTGCGGACTGTGGGCTTGTTCTGCAGCAGCGCACGATCGACCAGAGTTCGGAGTGGCGTACGTTCTCCAACGACGATCAGGGCAACGATGACCCGTCGCGTGTCGGAGATGGTCCCAACTCCCTGCTCAACGGCGCACAGCTTGGCACTGGTATTGCGTTCGGCGATGGTGGTCAGCGCAGCCGGGAGCTCAGCCGTGCTCAAAACAAGTCCAATCTTGACAAAGGCAACAAGGTCCTGTTGCAGGCCTACAAGCAGATCGGCGCTCTCTGCGATGGGTGGCAGCTTCCTGGTGCGGTGTCTGACACTGCCAAGCACATCTTCAAGGACGCCGACGAGAGCAAACTGTTCAAAGGCAAGAGCCAGGAAGCACTGATCGCCGGATGCGTCTTCCTCGCCTGCCGTCGCAACGGAGTCCCTCGTTCGTTCCGCGAGGTCATGGAGTTGACGAAAGTTAGCAAGAAGGAGATTGGCCGTACATTCAAGTTGTTGGAAAACTTCTTGATGAAGAGGGAGAAGTCGCACGAGGGCCAGTCACGTATGGTGGCAGGTGGTGAGTACTCTCCCTCTCTCTCGTCTTTTGACTTGATGTTAATCACAATTACATTCAGGCGTCGTCGTCGGTGGAGATGGCTACACGGGCAGCAGCAATGCCAACCCCGCCGAGCTTTGCCGCCGCTACTGCAGCATGCTCGACATGTCTCAGAAGGCGACCTACCTCTCCGAAGCCCTGGCGACCAGGACCGGCACCACCGGCGCCCTGGCCGGTCGCTCTCCGCTCTCCGCCGCCGCCGCGTGCATCTACATGGCCGGCCATCTTCTGGGTGAACCGAAGAACGCCAAGGAGATCCAGGGAGTCGCTGGAGTGAGCGACAGCACGATCCGCCACGCGTACAAGTTGATGTACGCGGACAAGGACAAGATCATCGACGAGGATATGAAGAGACGGGGTGCGGATCCATCGCGGCTCCCGGTTCCTGCTTAGGCAGCAGGGCCAGGTCACCGGCGTGGTAACGCTACTCGTTCGTCTTCGCCTCCGACGCCTTCGCGTCTGAGGAACTCTGTCGTTGTTTGAGGGATGTCGCTCTTTGGACGGCTCCCTCGGTCGGTCACTCCTTGATGGCGCTCGTCAACGTCCGGCATTCCATTGGGTGATTCCTTGGATGCGATAGGCCACGGCGAGCCAAAACCAAATACCAAAATACCAAAAACATACTCAGCTACCAATCGGGGGCACACGGGACTCTGGTCTGCTGCGAGATCCATTCTCGCGACGACAATGCGTCTCGGCGTCCTCTCTATGGTCAGCGACACACTGCCGGCACTGCTCCGATGCGAGAACTCCATCCATCCCGACTGCTTTCGTGCGACTCCATCCAGGCGTTTTGCATCTAGAGACTGATATCGATGCCTGGACGACTCCGTTCTCACAAAAGTCGTCTTCTATGCGAATGCTTTACTATCAAAATGCTTTTATCACCAGACTGCGCTGCGGACTGCTTTTATCAGACTGAACTGCACATTGCTTGCTTCATGCTATGGATTTCTACTACCAGATTGGCATCGCGAGAGGGAAAGGATGGAAATGATACCCAGATTGGTTGTTCGATAGATGATGGAATGAAAATGATGAAAACCTGTGCTGATTCGCTTCTGTGCTCTTACTGTCATAGATAGTTGCAAGCTTACAAGCCTGCACCCTTTGTGTCTGGTGCACTTCCTTTCGCTTTGCAGCACACGTCCTGGACACGGTTGGCTCTCGAATGGGATCGCTATACAGAATCTTGGGCACAAGCCATTGTGGACCTACTCCGTCTGGCCTAGCAGGATCGAGCGAACACAAAGAGGCTCGAATGATCGACTGCATAAGGTACGCGCCAGCTTAACTCTGTTTCTCGATTACACCTACCCATCTAAGCAGATACGACTTACATGTAGCCAGACGACGACCATCATCTGCCTCGGTACTTTGCAGCATCCACCCCGAGTGACAACTTGGGATGTCGTTGACTTCCCTAATGGAGCTTCGGTCCGTGATTTCGGACGGTAATACCACGGCTCTACACCACACGATGCCGCTAGCAAGTGCTTCATGCATAAGGACAACACCTTGCGAACTCAGGTGCGGATTCATTGCCGGCGATAGCTCCACAATGGTCACCGCACGCGACAGAGGTGGCGAACAGCCTCATCTCGTGGCCGCACTGATGACAAGGGTGTTTGTGTTTTGGCTCTGAGGTTCTGCGTGGCTGTTGAAGCCTTGCAATATGGACGGCTAAACCCTACATATATTCGGTGTCTGAGATGAACATCGACCTTGGACTCTACAGCACATGCCACTCTGCTCTTCTCGCCGGCTCTACGAGCTCCCAGTGGAGTCGACATTTACCTTTCCGACTTACATCCCACCACCTCTCCCACCAAGCACGAAAACCACCTCATCTTGGCTGTGGAGCTTGCATGCATGACTATGCAGTACCACCCCAACCCGACAACTCGGAAGACCATCCACCACACCTCGTCCGGCCAAGCAGATGCCGCAAAGCCGCGTTGGCCTTACTACCCACGCATGCTACTGGCCTTCTACCAGCTATTACTCCTCCAGAGTAGGCTTGGCCAAGCGAGCTCGCGAGGCTGCTGGTGATAACGTGCATACGTTTGCATGGACGACTTCTGCCGATTCCCTATCGCCGCGGAAGCACGACGGCAGTACGTTTACCAGTGGGTGTATCGTGTCGAGACGTGGGGATTGACAGCGTCATTGCCTGGAAGCGGGTTGAGCACACGAGTCGGGTGGTGGCATGGTAGGATGGGTCTGAACTCTGTCAAGTGTGCTGGGGTGGTATAAGAGGTGTTGAGCCGCCTGGTAGGTCAGTTGCCAATTTTCTTGACAGAGGGAGTCGGTTTTCATTCATTCATACTTTCGCTTTCGACCTGTCGCTTGTCAAGGCCTTCTCTCCTCGTCCGCTGCAACCAAAAACTATCTCCTCAACCGTCATCATGCAGTTCACCATCATCCTCACCGCACTTTTCGCCTCTCTCGCTGCAGCAGCCCCGGTCGGCACCCGCACGGCTTCTGCTCTTGAACGCCGCCAAAGCGACGGTGCAGGCTCGACCTCCACCTCCACCTCTGACTGCAACGGCTTGCTCTGCGGCCTCACTGGCGGTTCGTCTCTCCATCCACACCTAACTCCTCGATGACGAAGGGCTAACACAGAGTTCCAGGTGCCGCAGCCGCAGCCGATGATGGCAACAGCACCAGCTCCACGAGCACTTCTGAGTGCTGTAAGCTACCCCTTTAAGTATTTTGACCAGTGTGGTATTGGATGCTGACGTTTCGTAGCGGCTCTAGGTACATGCTCAAGCGGCTCCAGTGGCGCGGGGCCTACTGGGTCAAGCAGCGCAGCCGACGGCAGTGGGCTCCTGGATGGCGCGTTGGACGGCGTGGACGGTCTGGTCGAGGGGTTGCTTCCGGCGTAGTAGGTGCGTCATGGGGCGAAGAGGCAGATTGGTACCCAGCGAGGCAACATTGCATAAAAGACTCGGTGAACGAAAGATGGTTCGGAGAACGGGTATCTGAGAGAAAAATGAGACATGATGGATTTATGAGTTACGGTAAATGCTTGATGTAGAGAAGACATAGCTCCTACACCACTCGAGTCGAGAGCAGAGTATACAACAGAGACAATATTGCTCGCGCCTACCTGTACGACCGTCCTGTACTTGAACTTTGCCAGTCTTCGATGTTTCGGTGCAAGTCAGAAATCTCCTCTACTCAATTTGAACGGTTCCGCCAACCCTAGAGGCGACGGCACCCGGCGGTTGCTCTCCAGCACTTGCAGGCAGCTGATCCGAGCAAGTGGCAGTCGAAGTAGGCCAAGTTCTCCAAAAGGCGGACAGTCCAGCATGCTGACCCGTGGCTACCTCAACGCCGAATGCCACGGCGGAGAGATGCCACGTTTGAGGTTCTCCAGAACCTTGGTTCTCTCTTCCCCCAAGCCCAATGCGTCCCGGGATTTACTGCCACCTGTCTCGATAGTATGCTTGCTGGCACTTGAAGCTGTAGATCCATACGGCCAGGCCTCTACCTGCCCCTCTGGGAGGGTCCGGCGTCATTGGCCGTCACTTGCTGCATGTTGCTCTAGGTTGCATCTCGGGTGCGCGCCGGCCATCTGCAACCCTCCAAACGTTTGGTGCTGTGAGTGGATACAAAGTAATCTTCGATGCAGGTAGTAGGACAGACGCTATTTTCATGCAAGCTTATGTGATTGGTGGCTTGTAGTTTTTCTGTTGTGGTCAAGGTTTTTGAAGCCGATTTCAATGGCCTTCCAGCAGGCCGGACAACGTAGCAGATACACGTCCTTGGTGATGATATGCTATCTGGTCGTGAAGACGTTGCGAGGGATACATGATATTCTCGTTGTAAAGAGGTAAAGACGAAGAATAGAAGTCGCGTGACGTTGCACGCTCACCGCCAAACCTAAAGTTCGCGCTAGTCCAGAACTTTTCGAAAAGTGAATAGCACTGCACGACATCTCCCCTTCCTTCCCCTCTACAACAACCACCACATACAACCAAAAGACAACGAAGTCGCACTACCTAAGGGATATCATACAGCACACACCATATACACTTCGTCGTCACCATGCCTCAGGCGATCGTTGAGCACTAAAGCCACCGCTGGAGGAGGGGCCCTCGTGCTCCCCCTCCAGTCCGGTCACTGCTCTTCGAGACTTTCAACTACCACCGACGAACAGCAAAATCGCTTGCTCGCAGCTTCACAAGCCGGCGAGATCGAGGCCCCGTGCATTCACCGGCCGCGAAGATCTAAGGTCACGCGACCATTGACCACTTTCAAGCGATCCACGACGAAGTATAGGCCTGATCCCAATCGAGAGTCAGGTCCAGTCTACTTTACAAACGCGCAGCGAGTTGCCTTGAAGGCGACATACCGCGAACGAAAACCCTTTCCACCCCCCTCAGGACTACAGCGCTCCTATATTCTTCTCCCTGACGCCGTTCAGTGGGCGCCAGACCTTTTCCCTAACTTTCACCTACAGTCGGTCCGGACGACATTCACTCCCCACGATTCCAACAATTTCCAACGATGTCGAAACACAACGTCCCTTCTGTTGTCGGTGGTGGCATGCACCACCCGCACAAGACTGGCGGCAGTGCTCATGGCTCTCCCCACAAGATGAACAAGACGCCTTTGAAGAGCAACATCACGAACAAAATCAAACCAAGGCACGCGACTGATGCTGATATTAGCGACGATGAGAGTGGTGGAGAAGGCGGTGGTAGTAGTGCTACAGAGGACGCAACCACCACCAGCGAGGATCCAGATGATTTTGCCCTGTCAAGCGCAACGCAGTCCCAGTCCCTTCGCGGAGCTGGGCAGCGTTTGGCAGGGCTGAAGTCCGGGCACGGTGAGCTCAGCGACACCGACATGGACGATGCAGCACAGGCTGTTGGCGGAGCAGAAGACGACGAAGCTGGAGTGAGCGATGATGATGACTATGCCGGCGTTGACAATGTCAGCGACAGCGGCGAAGAGGATCTTGGACTGAGCGGGAATCAGATACTACGGTCTGCAGAGCAGGATCTAATTCAAGAGTTCGAGAAGGCGGAGCAGCGCCGCAGTGCAAGCACTGTGACGAGAGATCTCGATGTGTTGGGTCTGGACGACTTCGACATGGATGCAAGGAGCCTCGGACTGCTTCAAAGCTCACCTGCACTTAGTGCCATGCTATTCGCCCCTGAGATGCCCAGCATCGACTTGAATCAGGATCCCTTCCTTGGACTTTCGCAAGATGCCGACGAATACCAACAGATGTGGGGAGCGGCAGAATCTTTGATGTGGCGCATGCCGGAGACGGCACGCAGCCGGGAGGGCAGCGATCCGGCTAGTGGCACGCAGAAGCGTGTACGCTTTGAGAAGACACCCTCCAGCACTCCCAGCATCAGCGAAGATGAGGATCCTAATGAAGCATTCCCTGACCTCTTCACCCCGGCGGACGACCCCATCGTGAGCCAGCAAATCGCTTTTGGTGTAAATCACGACACATTGCTCTCGCAGGGAGATTGCAATGACACTGACTCCTTTTATGACTTTGATGACGAGGAGGATAAGCTCGCCTTCCAGATAGACGAAGACAGCAACTCCAGTGATGAAACAAGCACTTATGACTGTAGGTTCAGCTGTCGTTCGTTCTTGAATGACACCACTGACAGTAGCCAAAGCTGAGGACGAAGGAGATACGACTGATGAAGAGACGGCCGAAGAGCAGCTCGCCAAATTAGACGAGAGAAGGCGTGCAGCTCGCAAGTCGGCGGGCCAGGATCCAGCCACGCCTGCGCCTGTCAAGCAAGCAACGCCGAAGACACCGCGACCAGCAACACCACGTACCGCAAATACACGATCATCCAACACACCACGTCCGCCTACTCCAGGCAGTGGTAGGGGCCCAAGAAGCGGCACCTTCCAGGCAGACCCAACCCGAGCTGCCGTCACCACAGATCCAGCTGGTGGCAAGCTTAGAGTACAACCGCCTACCAAGCCCATCGGTAAGGACAAAGAATTCTGGGACCGTGCTAGAAGTGCGATCGATAGCCGGGAAGGCAGCCGTCGCAACTCCATTCAGATCATGCGCAGCAACAGCAGCGATAGCATGCCGTCTCGCCCATTCACCGCCAAGTCCACACTTGGGTCCATGTTCGGTGGCAACCTCGAGTTCCTCCGGAACAATGACGCGCACGGTATTGGCCAGGACCTCTTCCCTCAAGCCATGAGCCGACCCCAGAGCTCATTCTCGTCTCTCACCGAGACTGATGACAGTGCCATGAACCCCCCTCATCTGGACCTGGACATGCAGGACCTAGTCAACATGGACGACTCCGATACTGAAGACAATGGCATGGACACTGGTGCCCTCGCCTCCCCCATTGAGATGTCCGACTCCTTCCACTCCGGCCGCGGACTCGAACGCCGTAGCTCGGACCTACTGGAGCACTTCAACCAGCACCGCGGCATCATCGGCTCTTTCCGTCAGAACCAGCATTTCGTCAAGCAGGTCAGTTCGCAAGCTCTGCACCCTGCACAGCGCGCTTCTACCCACGAGTTCAACGCTCTCCAGAAAGGCCGCCGCGGTGCTGCGAACACGCCCATCACACCTGTTCGCAAGAAGAAGCGGGCCAGCCAGGACGTCACGCCCAGCCATGGTGGAGTGAGGAAGAGCGTCAACAGTCCGCTATCCTCTCGTCGCCCACGCAGTCGCGGCAACTCGACCGCTAACGCGAACCTGCTGCAGACCTTCGCTCGGAACCCTTTCGACCCTTTCGATGAATAAACGAGCACATTTTCCCTTTCCCTCCCTCTCCTCATACTAGCATTTGGACACGGTGTTCCGGATCTTTCTTCTCTTTCACAACGAAAAGCAACACTTCGAAAGCACACAATCATGGCGCAACAACAAGCACCGGTCGACTTGAGCGCGGCGTTGGAGGCGCAACAAACGTATCGCTATTGCAAACATGGATTAGATGGCAGCAATATGGACTTGCGCGGAGATACCCCTTGTGGTTTCGAAAAGTGTATTACATTGCGTTTTGGCGGGATAAGGATCAAGGCGCTCAAGAAGTGGGAGAAACCAGGCGCTGGTAGTGAGGTTGATAGTTTGGTATGATGAAACTTTTCACGTGAATGTGCTTGGTGTGTTTCAGTATCGATTTTGGCGAGACTTCACGTACGCAAGTTAAACCTTCAGAGCAGATTCTTTTCGCTTTTTCACAGACAACAAGTCAGTGCCGCGCCTTGCCAAACAGTCTTTATCGTTTATCGTATCTTTGCGCAAAGCACAAAGCTGATCACAAAGCCCTGTACAGCCTTGGCGGCCTCAACCACCACCACGTCCGCCGCAGACACCGAGCAGGACACGACGCAACAGCCCCCGCCACCACTACCAGAAGACTCCTCCGGCAACCTCATCATGCACCACGACTGTCAGTACCTCCCGTCCCCCGAAACCGACCCCGACCCACCACCCATCGCCACCCCAAACTACAACATCCCCAGCGACGCCACCACAACCACGACCGAAACCTACACCTCCACCGCCCACGGCCTCATCCAGCGCCACCGCGTCCACCTCGCCCAGCTCGTCGCCCACCACTTTTCGCAAGGCAATTTCCTCGACTGCCAGACGCTGTGCTACGAAGTCCTCGGCGCCCAGCCCTCGGAAGCCATCGCCGCGCGCTGCCATACGCTGTTGGCGCGGAAGGAGCTTCTGCCGGATAGTGTGGAGGGCAGGGCGTGGCATGCAAAGAAGGCGGTGCAGGCTTGGAGGACGGTGGTGGAGCGGACGGGGTTGTCGAGGTTTCCGGTCAAGGAGGCGAGGGTGGGGTACGGGGTTGCACAGGAGTTGAAGGTGGAAGCGGATATGGAGATGGCGGAGATGAAGGCGGCGAAGGTGAAGGGGGTTGGAGAGGGTGAGGATGAGGAGTTGTGAGTGGGGTGGGGGTTAGAGCTTGAATTCGAAGGTCAGGCGTTCCCAGCCGCCTGTTGAGGGGGTTGCAGTGTTGGAAGATGTGCGCTCGGCGAGGGTGGTTTTCAGGGAGGGGGCGCGGTCGCTGCAGAGCTCGTAGATGGTACCGATGTTAAAGAGGAGGCCTGGGAATGCTGGTGATCGCATGGCGAGATCTTCGAGCGCTTGGCGCGCTTCTGTCAGTTTGCCGGTGTACAGGAGTCCGACGGCTAAATTGGAGGCAAACGAAGCGTCTTCTGGATGCTGCTCGGCTAGGCTTCGCCATTTGTCCATAGCTGATGGAATATCACCATTCGCAGCGTCCATCAGAGCTAGAAGGGTCTCCTTCCGATCGTCGTTCAGCTTCTCCAGAGTTTGCTGTGCACCTGCGACATCACCGATCCGAAGCCGCAGCAAGGCTTTTCGATACGCCAGCTCAGCAGTATTGGTGTCTCTGAGCGTGTCGAGGTGTCGTGTTGCCGTCTCAAGCTCGCCCATCTCGACCAGAGTGTCTGCTACCCTCAGTCCAAGATCGCGTAACCGGCCAGCCCACAGACCGAGATCTTGGTCATTCCCGTCTGACCTAGCATCTCTGACATGCGCACGAACCTCAGCTGACAAGGCATACAGTGCCATGATGCCTCTTCTACCGCCATCAGCAGCGGCGATAGACTGCAGCCTCACCAGTAGGATCCTCAGTTCCCAGGGAATCAGCGGCGTAACAGTCTCCGCCCCATGAGCATTTCGAGCAAGAAAGTCGGTCAATGAAGCTGCCTCGACGGCCGCCAGGTCTGCTCGTGAGAAGAGGACCAAGCAGGCAAGGCGGACGTATAGCAGCTGGAAGATCTGCACCGCATCGTCGGCGGGACATCTAGACAGCTGGATCAGGGCTGTGCCTGCTGCTCGTCTGAAGTGGCCATGCTGCAGTAGATCTTCCAGAGGAGTATCCTGGGGCGGTTGATTCTCTGAGTCCAAGAAGGCAGAAGGGATGTCCTCGGTGCCGAGCTGGTGGTAGTTTGATGGGTCCTTCAGGAAATGTAGGTCCACATCAACGGTGGGTTTCGTCTGGACTGGCGGCTGAGGTGGTGGTGGTACTTCTTGCTTGCTTTGGGCAACACTGGGCGGCGGTGTTTCTGGAGGAGCCTTCTCGGGGCTTACCAGTAGACTGCATCGCCTTAGCCACTGTTTATGGGCTTTCAGGAGCTTTCAAGCATACTCGTCTGGAGCGTCCAAAGGTCCTCGGGTGGATCGCCGGGGCAATGGATGGGATATGTTTCTGCTCTGGCGCTTCGTGCTGCCTGTGGGGGACTTGGTTGTGGCCATCCTCGACAAGTCAACCCTAACTGCAGCCAAGCTGCTGTTATTGTATCAACAGGGTGCTGTAATGCAGAAAGACTGACTGTACTCTCTTCTCGACGGAGTGAGGTGAGATGGTCCAGACCCCCTGCACGATTCAATGGTGTGGCGAAAGCTTCGAGATCCCCGCAAATTTGACATTGCAGTCACGGCGAGGTCGGCAGTGACTCTTAACTTTTTGAACCACCGCCACTGATCTCTCCTCTTCCGACTCTTTGCACGAGACATCCACAGCTGTCGACGCATGAATCCCGCGACGATGCTGCAAGCCAACACGGCCAAGCGAGCCGTGCAGTGCCTCCCCAAGGCGCGCCGCTTCTCCTCGACTCCCGCCCCGGCGGCGATATCACCACACCGAAGAACCACGCAAAAATCATCACAGCAGCAAACACAGACGCCCTCGAAACGAAGTGTGTCCGATACGGCGACGCGATCAGCACAAGCGGCGGCGATATCACAGCAACGACCCGTGCCCAGTCCTGCATTCAACCGCAACGATGAGCGACTACGGGATGTGCAGCCTCTGCAGCCATACAGGCAGCCGGAGATGGACCATAGCTTTGTGGGCATGAAGGGCGGAGAGATCTTTCACGAGATGATGAAGAGGCAAGGGGTGAAGCATATCTGTATGTCTGGCGCAGAACGTGGTTTCATATGCATATTTGACTAACACGAGATGTAGTCGGCTACCCTGGCGGCGCTATCCTACCCTGTTTCGACGCCATCTACAATAGCAAGGAATTCGAGTTCATCCTTCCACGGCATGAGCAGGGCGCTGGACATATGGCGGAAGGTTATGCGCGCGCCACTGGCAAGCCTGGTGTCGTCCTCGTCACTTCGGGTCCAGGAGGCACCAACACCGTGACACCTATGCAGGATGCCCTCATGGATGGCACTCCCTTGGTTGTCTTCACTGGACAGGTGGTGACCTCCGCGATCGGCTCCGATGCTTTCCAGGAAGCCGACATGATCGGCATTTCAAGAGCGTGCACCAAGTGGAACGTGATGGTCAAGAACGTAGCAGAGCTTCCGAGACGCATCAATGAGGCGTTCGAGATTGCCACTTCTGGTCGACCTGGACCGGTGTTGGTGGACCTCCCTAAGGATGTCACTGCTGGAACTCTCACACGACCTATTCCTGTCACCTCTACTCTCCCGGTACATCCGTCAGCGGCAACGGTAGCTGCACGAGAAATGGCCATGAAGCATCTTGATGGCACTCTCCAGCGCACCGCCAAGCTGATCAATGTGGCGAAGAAGCCGGTCATTCTCGCTGGACACGGTATTCTCGGCTCTTCTGACGGTCCAAAGATGCTGAAGGAACTTTCAGAGAAGGCGCAGATTCCCGTAACGACTACTCTTCACGGACTTGGTGGATACGACGAGCTGGACCCGAAGTCTCTGCACATGCTTGGAATGCACGGTTCGGCCTACGCTAACTTCACCATTCAAGAGGCTGATCTGGTCATTGCGCTCGGCGCTCGGTTTGACGACCGTATCACTGGCTCTGTGGCGAGGTTTGCACCTGCAGCTCGCCAGGCAGAGGTCGAGGGCAGAGGCGGCATTGTGCATTTCGATGTGCTTCCTAAGAACATCAACAAGGTCATCCAGGCTACCGAGGCTGTCGAGGGCGACGTCACATCGAACATCGACATGCTGCTCCCTTACGTCGAGCAACGAACAGAGCAAGACCGAGGAGAGTGGTTCAAGCAGATTGCCACCTGGAAAGAGCGCTTCCCTTGGGCCTACGAGAAGGAGACAGGCCCTGACTCTATGATCAAGCCTCAAACCGTCATCGGCATGCTCTCCGACCTCACCGCCCACCGCAACCAAGACACCATCATCACTACCGGCGTCGGCCAGCACCAAATGTGGGCGGCCCAGCACTACCGCTGGCGAACCCCGCGCAGCATGATCACCTCCGGCGGTCTCGGCACCATGGGCTACGGCCTCCCCGCCGCCATCGGCGCCAAAGTCGCTCAGCCCGACAAACTCGTCGTCGACATCGACGGCGACGCCTCCTTCCTCATGACCCAGACCGAGCTCGGCACGGCCGCGCAGTTCAACATCGGCGTCAAAGTGCTCGTGCTGAACAACGAGGAGCAAGGCATGGTGACGCAATGGCAGAGCCTGTTCTACGAAGACCGCTTCTCGCACACGCACCAGCGCAACCCGGACTTCGTCAAGCTGGCGGAGGCGATGCATGTCCCCGCGCGCCGGACGAGTAAGTTTGCGAACTTGGAGGAGGATCTGAAGTGGCTTGTGGAGGGCAGTGGGGAAGGCCCGGCGTTCTTGGAGGTGGTGACGGATCAGAAGGTGCCGGTGTTGCCGATGGTGCCGGGCGGGAGTGCTTTGCATGAGTTGTTGGTGTATGATGAGGCTAAGGAGAAGGCTCGGAGGAAGCAGACGAGAGAGAGGACGGGGCGGTAAAATATGGTTCGGTGGGTTTGAATGTTAGATGTTTTTTTTTTGAGGGCTTTGTGAGGCGTTGTCAGCGAGTGTTGCTTTTGGGTGGCAGCAAAAGTTGGGGTGGGGCTGTTTGAGCTGCTTACATGTTCCGTTTACCTTAATGTAGCGGTGTGCTACAGTATAACAAATCTTCGAAAATGATCTTACCACATGTCCTGTTCAAGCGAGGGACAGTGAAAGTAGCCCACCAGGTCAGAGCGAGCTGTCTGATTGATCTTCTCACAGACAAGGAGAGCCCGCTCACGAGGGGGGTGTCGCCTTTTCGGGTTGATTTGAGATCTGAGAGAAGGCCGTTGGATGTGGCCGATTTCACTGTCTCTCCGCTTTGCTGTCTTATCTGCCAGTTCTTTTCTTTCTTGATAACACGTGCCCAGTGTTCTGGTCATATCTTCGCCCCTAACGACAAAGGCGGTGACGGATAACGAAGGTGAAGTCGATCACTCGGAACCTTCCATTGCTTCCCCGGCGCAGTCGTTGGAACTGTGAAACCGCACGACTGACTAGCGTGGCTGTTTTAGCGTCTTCGCGTGGCTTTGGATCCCGGATATTGGGCATTACGACTCCAAAGAAAAGAAATGTACGACATCTCCTTATCAATACCATACCACGAGCGCGCCACGTCGAGCAATCCGAGTAGCACGGTACAGGCGAATCTCTATCGTCCCACCACACCTTGCCGACGTGGCAGGCGCATCTTGGGAAAACATGCGAGGCACGTGGAACGAATGCTTGGAATCCTCGGACTGTTGCGCTAATGCCGGCTGTTGTGCCTTGGGACTGAAGCGGCGGGGGGAACGACCAGCGCGATGGTAATCCCTGTATATCTGCCTGTTGGAAGGATTCTGACAGGTCCGCGGAAGATGGGATTGGAACGTTTGCGAGCAGGCCTGGGCCTTGGACGCGAGATGTCGAGAAAGGAGGTGTTCTTTTTTTGCTGATCGTGACGGAGGGGAGGCCTGTCATCCCTGCGGAACGTGGAGGGCGTGGGCTAGATAAGGACTCTGTGGACTTGTGAGACGGATGTGGAATTCTTTTTATTGTTGCCTGGGTCCTCGCTGTTTGGAGAGGGAATCTGAAGTTCTTGTGCTTCTGCAGTGTCTCGTTTTGTTATTACATGATCTCGGGCTGAGTCTGTCAGAGCTACGACGGCGCGCATCACGGCCTCCAGACGTCTTTTCGACCCATTCAAGCCGGAGCACTTACGCAACAAGTACCACCCAAACCACCACACTTGCCAGACTTCGAGGCGTGGCATCTGTCGCGCGCATTAGCCTGGCCTCCTCACAACAGCCCTTATGTGCATCGCAAGACCATCGCATCCACGAAACCAGCGCCCACCTAAGCTCAAGTGATTTGAGAGCGTCTTCTTCAACACAAAAGGCCAGAGCCTCAAAACCAAAACTCACCAGCCGCCGACATGTGCGTCGCCGGCCTAAACGTCTCGACCCAACCCTGCGCGCACCGCTGGTACGACCTCCGCCGCGCCTGTACCTCGTCCAACAACCTCTCCAATTGCTCCGAGCGCCTTCAACTCGAGGGCTGGGAAACCCGGAACACCACCTGCCCTTGGTGCGACGAGACTCTCGATCCTGTCCTGCAGGAATCCACACATCGCCTAATTGGCAGCAGCACGTCCTCCGCAACTTCCTCACCCACCATCTCCGGCCTGGGCAAGACCCGCTCTCGCGGCGGGAGTCTAAGTACGTTGTGCGAAGAGTCGCTGTCCCGCGTCAGCAGTATTGCGAGCGTGGAGACAGATAGAGCCACAAGAGAACGGAGCAGGAACGACCGGTTGGATGTTTACCTTTGCTCGCCGCCACATGAGGTGCTCCCGAGCGCGATGAAGAACTATCCGACGTACTCGCCGTGCTCGTCGGCTTCTGCTTCGGGGGAGGAGACGGAGCGGCCGTTGGTTAGAAGGACGAGCAGTGGATTGTCGAAGTGGAAGAGGGGTTTGCGGTTGAGTCGGGATATGTTTCGGACTTGATAAGATGGTCTAGAGGGTTCGATTGAGCGGCGCTGAGGGTTACGAGCAAGCGATGTCTTGAAGTTTTGCATTTTGGTGTTTGTTCTGAGCGTATATGCAGAGATACCCGGGTCGAGGCCCATTTCATGTCATTCGCTGATGGAGACTTCATGGCGAAGGTAATAGCATGTATGATTAGTGATTAGATGGATCTGAAGGACATAGCTTGTGCTACTGAAGAGATCAACGTCTTGTCTTCTTCCATTGCGCGCTTCATTGCGGTTGCTCGTAGAGCAAGTGGAAATCCGTGTCACAGATTTGATCGTTTGACGTCTTGCCAGTCGTTGAAGGGTCAAGCCATCGACAGTAAAAGCGGCCCACTAGATCCGAATGGGCCGTGTAAAGGACCTTCTCACAGACAATGACGACGCGCTAACGAGAGTGATGTGGCATTTTTGGTCGCGTCGTCGTCTCGGAGAAGACTGCCAGATGCGACCGCGTGGCTCCTTTCACTGTCTCTTGCTTGAAGGTATCGTTCGAACTGGATTCAATTTTGGCTTTTCTGAGGCTGATGCCTTTTCCAACCTCACCTCTTGACTCAACCTCATACTTCTACGTTCACCCTCCCAATGCAATACCTCTTCTCAAGGCGTACCTTAAAGGCCATACCATACCGCCCAGGCGACCGGATGTATTCTCTTGATGGCCCAAGATGCTCGTGCTACAACACAGCAAGCAGAATTCATATTCAATGGCCTCCTATCACGCTGTACGAGAGCAGTCCAGACCATTCACAGACGCGACTGGAACTATACGGCGCAAGCTTCTCCTTCGACCAACTCTGTAGCACATGCATCCTGCTGAGCTGTCAGCACCTCCCGCGAGTCTTCCTTACGGAAGAGTTTGCCTTGACCGTGTGATGCACAAGGATACATTCCTGCCCGCTGCAGTGGCAAACGATGCCGCGCTGAAGTGTCAACGAATACCGCCGGCTGACTCCAATTACCATCATAACTCTGGTCCGGCAAACAATGCAGTCCTCGACCGTATATATCATCGTGCTGCACTGGAACCTATTCTGCTCCCCAATTTACCACAACTTGATCCGAACGCCACCACGATCTTCCGAAGAACTATCCCTGGATCTTGAATCCCACCCGAGCAACATTAGTCACTAAAAAAACCGACGACACTTCTTGTTCTGTTAGGCTGGGAATGGAGAGTCCTATGGAAAGTCCTTATAAGGCATACTGGAAGAAGGTGGCCGAGGACGAGAAGCGAATACTTGGGGAGGAGAAGTATCAAGAAATTCAAGAGCGTTACGCGGCGCTAAAAGACGAATCTGGCCTGGACAGGCAAGTACGAGAGGAGGAGGAGAGACGAGAGCAGGAGGCGGAGAAACGAAAGCAGGATGAGGAAAAGGTCAAGGGAGACCGAGGAAAGGCCAAAGCTGTCGAAAGAGACTCGAGTCCTCCCCGGTCGCGGAGCAAGCAGAGACTCAACTGTCCACCAGCAGCTGACCCCGACAATCCGAAAGCCTGGGGAGTCCCGGTACCGGATGCGATGACTCCAAAGGAAAGGTATCTAGACCAGCAATTCCGGCAGTTGCCTCCCAACCTTAAAATCCAGGCTATCAGGACAGAGCGGGCCCGCCTTGAAGGGCTATTGAAGGACTTGTGCGACAGTTACCACGGGCTAATGGAGAATAAGCTCAAGTTTGGCATCGGAACCATTCAAGCCCAGATCAGAGAGCTTGCCAAGGAAAGAACCGAAATTGACTGGCAGACGATGATACTACGACGCCGCTACGATACCATCACCAAAGATGTCGTCGACGTCAGTTGGCGAGACTGGGATAGGGAGCAGAGCGCTTTTGAGTCGTATGCGGTGTTCGGCGTTTGCGGGTATGAGATCAGGGTCAAGGATGCGATACTCCAGAAGCACCTTGGCATATCCTGGGGAGATTACGTTCGGGGGGAGGTGCAGGCGCTCAGAAAGAACTACCCTCCAAGTGCTCCCCCGTTCGTGCCGCTACGGCCAAGTCAGCCTTTCATCGAGCCTACCACTGAGAAAGCTTGGGTCAAACATGGCGATAATGTCAAGCTTCGCCATGACTCGACGATCGAAGACATGGAGGAATACGAGGACCTGTACAGCATCGACCTGTGTTTCAACCCAAGAGGTCAGGTTCCTCTAGGAGCTCAACATGCGACGCTCCAGAGCCTTCACTCGGGCAAGGACAAGTTGCTCGACGATGTTGCAGTATATCGCCGCGATCTTGAAGCGATGATCGGTTGGGAGCGCGATCGCGAGGAACGCAAGTGGTATAAGAAGATGTTGAAGAAGGTGAACAAATGGATATGGAGAGTCGAGGGGACTGCCGATGCGGCTGCAATACAGTTCTACACGGACCTCTACGAACGTGGGTTTGCTTTGGACACCTCTTCGGGCACAAGAGCAGTACCGAGCGATGGACGTCCCTCATTCTCCCCCACTGTGGTTGCGCATCCTCGGTCCACTGCTACGGTGGTCCAAGTAGAAGAGAAGGACTCTGAGACGAGTTCTGACAGGGGCGGACTACTGGCCGATTATGAGAAGCCTCCGAGCGAAGCGATGTCAATGGTGCCACCAGATTCTGATTCAGATAGCGAGTCGAGCACTGAGTCGAGCGACGACGATGCGGAGAGCCAGCCGGGCACGCTAATCCCACCTCCCGTAGCTCCAGGAGACAGACGTGCCCATTGTGAGCCGCCGCAATTCGTGGATGCGAAAAGGCAGGAGTCCAACATGGATCAGCGCAAAGGAGCCAACGCTCTCCTGGGACAGGTCGCTGCTGGCAGCCAGCAGAGTACCCGTCGTAAGTTCAACGGGCAGCCTGTGGCCGTTGCGGGACCCTCAAAGCAGACTCCTTGGAGACGCCAGCAGGAGAATAAGGGCGACTATGTTAGTGAGGACGACATGCCGAAAATTCTGGCCATGATTGCGGAGCAGGAGGCTCGAGAGCAAGAGCGGAACAGGCAGATGGGTCAGTGAGTGCGTGGCTGTTCGTGGTAAGTGGGCTGAGGTTTGGCTATCTTTTCTGCTTGGTACTCGATTCGCTTTTTACCTGCGAGGCGCTCAGTAAGTGTTATCTTCCAAACTATCTTGTATTGAAGCTCTCCTTCTTATAAAAGTCCGCTTCAATATGTCTCTACTGCCAGTCTTCCGTGAGGACACGCCGGATTCCACGCCTAGTATCCAAGGGCGATTATCAATTAGAGAAGCGGCCTGGATAAAGCCTCTCGAACGACATCTCCAAGGCAGTAATGGCATCAAGCGGCCTTTCGAACCACCCTCGGGTCCGTCGCCGGCCTGGAGAATAACACCGGGCTCAGAGTCCAAGGCTGCTTCTCCGTCCCAAGATCGAGTACTATGCAGCGCCATAAGACCTCTCAGGTCGGTTCGATTTTGGAGAAGCCTCCCAGAGACCAGGCCGATTAGCCTGTCTCCCAGACGACATCAACTGCTGTGAGGTATCTCAGGACCTCTTCAGCTCCATCACTAGCACGGGGAAGCCACAAAAGCCAGGCGCTATTTGTTCCTCCTGCAAACTCTGGTTGCACTCATGTCAGGGTTGGGTTGGTCGATCGACTGACTCGGAAACCACTCTCTGTGTGCTTAGGGGCATTCAATACGCTATCTATGAGGCTCGTTGTTGTCCGGTGGAGACACAGCATTCTACCAGCAAACACGAGGCTTGCCGGAGCGATCCTGACAATTGCTGAAGATATACGGTTGCCCTGGTCATACCAAGTTGCGCCACTGCGAGTCGCTGGAACACAGGAGAAGCCGGCCTGCTGATACAGGACAATATTGACAGTAGAACTGAGAAGTTGAAGCACCACTGCCTGCGCTTGCCGCTTGCCAACCTACCGCGGTGCATCTCGAGCTTTGTGAAAGGCATTAGGACCGCTTGGACACCGAATAATCGTTTGAGTTGAATTCCGCTCAAGAGAAGCCTGGAGATGCCCGCCCGGACAGTGCCTGATCGGACTGCAAGTCGTCGGCTACTGCCATTGCCAGCCGCTGGACAACCGTGGACATATCGACTGCATCGACATCGGTCTCTGACTCGAACGTGTACTGTTCATCCTGCAGAGTAGAGCCTTCGCTGGCAGACTCGGAGTCCATATAGGTATCTGGACTTTTGCCTCTCTCCTGCCGAAGAGGAGAAATGGGACTCGAAGGGTACTTCACGCCCAGCTCAAGGCTGAGCGCACGATGGAGCACCCTTTCTTTCTGCTTTGCGCGGGCTTCTCTGCCACGGACACTGCCAGGTGTCGCAATTTCACCACGAACTTGTCGTACCCGAGAGGGTGCCTTTGCAGGAGACAGGTCGGCCGGTTTGTTGCGCATCGATCTCATGAATAATCTCTCGCTTCGGAGTAGAAGCCGATCGAGGGCTGCACGCATTCGAGATGCTGCGTCTTGGAGGTCATCGCGAAACCACACCCAGTCTGTCCCGTCGCTAGATCCGGTTGCCTTTGCAAAGAGGCAGGCGTCATGCCATGCGCCATGGTGAAGACAAGCAGCGACGGCGGCTTTGGAGACAGCCTGGACTTGATCGTTCCATTCCTTCGTCCCGATGAGCTTAGCAGTGGCAAGCCGGTCGTACTGATCCTCCAGCTTCTCCAAGCGAAGGGAAATTCGCCCGCGTTCCCACCTCAAGTACGCACTCATGATCTCTATGCGCTGGCTGGGGGGGAGCTTTCGTCGCCAGGCGTTGAGCTCATGCTTGTTGAGACCTGGCTTGACAATGAAACGAGTAGCGCTTACCCATCGTACGCCGGGGACCACAGGCTCTTCAGAGGGCTGGGTAGGACCCGGGTCTACTTTCTCTTGGGTGGCAGATCTTGCAGAGTCCTTCAGATCAAGATCGATGCGCAATCTAGCACTCGTGGGTGGTCGTGCCGAAGATCGAATGGATGGAGATCTGGAGAGACCTCTTGGTACGTCTTGCCAAATGTCCACGGGCTCAGAGAGCATAGAAGCTCCGAATATACGTGGAGAACTTGTCGATGGCTTCAAAAGGTCGGACAGCCCCTGCAATATATCTTGGGAGTCATCCGATTGGCCTGGGTTGAGGTCGAGTTCCATTGGCGAACCGGCGCCTTGAATGCATTCCTCCACAGGATCGTAAGCGCTCAGGTCTTCGCTCGATGGTCGGTGGTGTGGGTCGTCAGATCCTGAACGGGTGCCGGCACGCTGAATCTCCTTGTCTTTCTGCATATTGAAGGGTTATCCGGCTCAAATATAGGCGTTTGTACAAATGCAGCGCTTGCTGGCCCGCTCGTAGCAAGACATATAAATTGGAATATTGACATTGATTGCTACATGGAACATCGCCAGCAGTCACAGCCTTGCAAGAGTCACTTCGATCAGGTTCGTGTTTGAGCAACCAAAGCATGCCGTGCAACGTCGTATGCCTACGTGGTCTCGATGCCGTAGAACCATCAGCCAATGTTGGCAAATCTCTCTGTATCGTCCTTGTTGGCTGCGACGGTGAATGTAGATAGGAACAGGACTTCCAGCCACAATCCCTCCCAGATAGATGGGAAGAAGGGTCCGTAGATGTCTCGACAGCCAGAACATATATAACAAGGTCTTAGGGCGGCTCGCAGTCCTTGAACATTGATACTGTCTCGGAGAACCCTTCCACCGATCGGTGTGTGCCCTGGTCTTTGGGAATGAAATACAGAGTGCTACATAAAACAACCCGAAACATCAATAGGAGTTTCGGGGCCAGACCTAGAACTAAATGCCGGAAAACCATGTCAAGTTATATGCCAGTATTGACCTCCACAAAGAGACCTCCGTTTACGAGATCTCCAGCATAGAAAGTCGGTCCATAACATGCCCTGTGTCGACACTATCTTCGGCTCCCAAGATCTCAAAGGTGTACTTCGCAGGGTCGAATTGCGTGCTGCTGCCAGACAATGGCGGGCTCTGAGGAACAACATCAGGACTATCCCCTCTCTCCTGTCGAAGTGGGCTACCGGCGAAAGAATCTTAATGGTTCATGTTCTCATTAGGCCTCCTAGGCTAAGCTAGCTAGATCGTGCAGGGGTATCATGTCTGGGTATGAACTCCACTGTTCCCCCTCGACTCTGCACGTCTGCTGCTGGTATTAAACGCCCCCAAGTAATCAAATAACTCCGACATGTCGACTGTCCACCGAGCAGCCTTACCACCTTTGTGTGTGTCGCCAGTGCAGGCTCCACTCAAGCCGGTACTGCCTCCCCCGCAGCGTTTCCGAAATCGAAGTTCGGCGGCCCTTCGTCATCGCTCTCCTCCTTCGGCCCCTTCCCATTGATCTTGTCCACTCCATCACCTAGGTCTCTCGCTTCTCCACCATCCTCATTGATACCCTCAATACTGCGATTCTTCTTCGCACCACACCCCTTCGTCTTCCCACCACGCCCCGCCGTCCCCGCTCCACCAGCCTTACTCTTCTTCGCCGGCGTCGCGTTGGTGGAACCCGCAGCAGCACGCTTCTTGCCACCACCAGCCTTAGTCGGGATATCACCTCCTTCAGTCTTGATAGTAATCGCTGCAACCTGATCCGGCCCAGCCCACTTCTGAACCGTATCGTTGATGATGCGCGACTTCGAGATGACTTTGGTGTACCGCTGTCTGAGAAGGATTAGCAAAAGTCTAGCTTATACTTTGTGCAGTGCAGTCCATACTCGATCGCTTTGTGCTTGCCCTCGTACTCCGGGCCCATAGCTGTAGCGAGCTCCTCCCAGTTTGGCTTCGGCGACATGGCCACCATTGTCTGAAGCGTGTACAGGTCGAGCTCTTGAGTCCACGCAATCTTGGGGGGCTTGGGCGGGGTGTTGTTGTTGTTGGACTGATCTCCGTCGCCGTTTGGTGGGTTTGGTGGGGCGTCCATTGTGGAGAGTGGAGGGTGGACTTTGTGAAGTGGTGTGTGGATGGTGGTGCTTATATTTGAACTGGTGGAGGCTGGAGGATCTTGTTTGAAAGAGGAGGTTGTGTCGTAGAAGAGGAATTATTTGGGGGGGAAGACGCCTTATATACCTGTGAATCACCTACCTGTGTACGTGCAGCGCTCCTTCCTCATGTGATAACGTCTACTGAAGTGAGCGAAGTAGTGAAGAGTTCATACCACTGAAGTGAGCTGTGAGTCGGTGGCAGAAATCGTGGTAGTGAAGAGTTCGTCGGTGGCAGAAGTCATGGTAGTGAAGGAGTTTCTCCAGTCGAAGCTCAAGTGGTCCGAGCTCAAGCTCTGGATTTCTTCCGCAAAAGACCATCTCATCGACGACCAGCTTTTACTCTACGACAACCACACACCCCTAAATGAACGATCCCTGCGCGATGTATTTGCCGGTTTGACGCGTCCTCGACCCTCCCAAGTGGTGTCTAGACACAGAACAGTCCACTCCCGACTCAAATCCATCCAACCGATACGCGACGAACGCGTGCCAACTCGACCTCGCAGAGTACGACCGGCACTTCGTCCGGTCTACGCTGCACCACGGATTTATCATGGACTGACTACCTCTTGGAAGAAAAAGCATTTCTTTTCGACATTCTATTTGCTGGGGTTATTGACAAGTTTGCTGCCGAGGTTTCTGAGGATTGCTCGGACTTCTGGGCGACTTTCCTGGTCAGCGAACTGTTTGCGCAATACCAGGACCTTGTTTCTGATGACTCCGACGTCGACATCGACCAGTTGATGCACCACGCTCGACTGTACAACGGCCCCCATGGCAGTCTTCACAGCACCGTTCATATTGTGGCACACTGGTGTCCGCTTCGCAAGCCAAAGGGGACTGTGGACCCAGAGTACGCCGACGAAGACGAGAGTAAGTGCTGACTCCACTATGAGTTGTTCTAAGCTAACTCCATGGTCAGATGGGAAACGGAAGCGCGCCAGTGGTGACGAGCCGTCAAGGCGTAGAGCACCGACGGAACCAAGTGCGGAGGAGGATTACACCAGTACTTACAACACGGATTTCCTTTCGATCCGAGTGCTCCAGAAGATCTTCCCTCGCCTGCGCGACGACTGTCTTCTCCAGGATCTTGTGAAGAAGAAGTACGCCATGAACGACAGCAAAGGAAACAGGTTGAACGGAAGACTGCCTTACGCCCACGATGCGGCGTCTGTTGTCCGCCAATTCGCGTCTACCTTCCACCTTCTCGAGCTCTCCACTGCACCCTTCGTCGTCTTGCTTAGAACGCCAGTCCGCGAGGAGTTTGTGAAGCGCTATCATGACTTCGAGAATGGTCAGTACTCGTTCGACTGTATTTTGTGGAGCTCACACTTATCTTCATCGCAGGCGATCAAATTATGATTGGAGGCATACTTCGCACAGTCTTCCACATACGCCATCCGGAGCATACCTCTCGCCACGCCACCCCTGCCCAACTTGGAGAACTGCTGGATGTGCTCAAGCAAATGCAGCTGCACTCTCTACCTACCGAGATCGACTTGGAGTGGGTCAAAGGTCTTGTGCAGCGCCGACGCAGTGCGCCCCCAACAGAGAAAGCTCCAGCCTCGACTGCCCCAAGTCCTTGCGCGACCGAGCAGCTCCGCGAAGCGTGTGATGCATTCACGTGGCATGCAGTTCGCATCACAGCACGACCTTTGAAATCCTCTGGAGAGCCTGACGCTACGTGGCAGCAGGAGGTGCAGAAGTCTGGATCGCACAGCACAGAGTGGCGGGCGGAGATGATAGCGGCTATGCGCAACGAAGCTCGTTCACAGAGGGTAAAGTCGTATCACGCTCTCGGAGAGTCCGGCCCATACGGCAGCTCGTGGAAGGCAAAGCTCTCTGCTGGATTCACCGACGAACATAAGTCCGCCGCTGCCGAGAATACGTCGAAGCTGCACGCTCTCGGAGAGTCCGGTCCATACGGCAGCTCGTGCGTGGAGAAACAGCGAGAGTCTATGTTGAAGCTACATTCTCTTGGAGAGTCTGGTCTATACGGTAGCTCGTGGAAGGCAAAAATCTCTGCTTCATTCACCGACGAACGTCGGTCCGCCACTGCCGAGAATAAGTCGGAGCTGCACGCTCTCGGAGAGTCCGGTCCATACGGCAGCTCGTGGCGGGAGAAGTCGCAGGCTGGTCATTTAGGACAGATCAGGGTTGCGAGAAACCGTGCTGTCGTCGCACAAGACGGAAAGTTCAAGCGCGGCGATCTCAATCAGCTCTCCATCCTGCCTCCTCTGGCCTCCACTCTGCCTCGTGCAGAGTTGCATTTTCACCTTCGTGGTGCAATGGGATTTCTGGGGCTCGACATACCGAACAACCTCGAGCGTCCACCAGATACCGTCGCCAGACCAGTTTCTGCGTCCTTCGGCACTCCCAAGGAGTACACAACGCCGTGGCATCACCGGGACAAATTCTCCAAGAATGACCGTATCAAGTCCAACTTCGCCGAGTTGCTGTACTCCCGCGACAGTCCACATTTGACACACAAGGAACGAAAGGATGAGGCCGAGCAATCCGGGCGTACTGAAATAAGCGTTGCTGACGTCAAGGTGTGGGTGAAGACAATGCTCTTTGCGGAGGATTTGTATCTCACAGCACAGTCGTACGGTATTGCTGGTACTGAAGCACAGTATACGAAGAAGACGGGACTGTGGGATGTGAAGAAAATGTAGCAAGGGCTAGACTGTGAAACCTTCGCGGTGGATCTGGGAGATATGTTGTTTGCTTTCGCTGTGCAGGGATGGAACTGAAGAGGGTGGTTCCGTCCGAAGGTTGCAGTGGCGTGCGTCGTAATGAAAAATCCCAGCTGACCTAAGTTCTTCGTGCACATTGAACTTGTGAGGTACCTGTACGTCGTGTCCATCAGAAAGGGAACTGAAGGTGCGGGTGACAGAATATGTGAACGGCCAAAGCCTGCCCAAAAGTCCAAAAGCCGGCAGCCCATCGTGAAACCCTTGGATCAGCCCGTCCACATCCTTGCCCTGCTCTATAAACCCAATCGGTGCTCCAAACCCAATCTCGCTAATAATATCATAAGCCATAAACACCGCCCAAGGCGCAAAGTCGAACTTCTTGCCCGTGTCTGCAAAGTTCTCTTCCATTTTGTCCATCCAGTCCTTCATGCGGGCGTCGACGAGCGGCTCCATCTTCTTGATGTTGGAGAAGGCGTAGGGACCGGCTGCGATCTTGCGGTAATGCGCGTGCACACGGTGTTCCTGCATGTTGAACAGCGATTCGGTCTTGCCGAAGCTGCCCGTCACGTAGTACTTGGACTTGTTGGCGTTGCGGGCGTAGACTTCCGGGAGCTTGGTGGCGTCGCTAACGAGGAGCATGGTTGGTGTTATGCGGAGAACGGGGCCTGCAGAACCTGTTAGGCCGGACGAGGCTCTCGTGGGTCTCTCAACATACCATATTTCTTATGCAGCGCAAGCTCGGTCTCGCACTCGTCCTCTTTAAGGTTATGGTAAGCGATCCATAGCCGAGTCACTGAGGCCCAGAAAGGACCGGGAAAGTCGCGGATGGGTGAGAAGAAGCGGTAGCGGATGATTTGTCCTGCCCAAGACAATACGAAGTATGCGATGATACTAAAGAATACATTGCGCACTGTGAGGAGCGAGAGGGCGGTTTGCGTCGTGGAAGCGGCCATTTTGCTCCAGATGGCTAAGGGATCATGTATAGATGCATGGATGGGAGATGGGACTGCGATACTTACGCTTTACTTACGATGAACCTCTGATGCTGTCTCAAGCTTTACTCCCGAGCTTCATGATAGACGTCTCATTGCTGGCGGATAAGCTCTCCCGCTACAGCTGAGGTCGAAGTAGTCTTCGAATGTTATTCCCAGGGCTGCGGTTGCTGCTTCTGCACCCCACATTGGGAACCCCGCAGAGTTGGAGATTATGGAGGTCGGTCAATCACATCCCCAATATTTAAGCGAACAGTCGCGTACCATGTCGCTGGTACGGCAAGCGAGGGACGGAGAAAGCGGCCGACTAGGTGTCCAGGTCAGAGCGGCCCAGTTGACAATCTTCTCACAGACAGGGAAAACCCGCCCATGGAAGTAACATTGACTTTCCAGGTCAATTGGGGTCTCGGAGAAGACTGCACGACATGCTAGGTGGGCCTCTTTCACTGTCCATCGCTTGTACGGATATGGCGCTCAACAATGTCTCGACACACTCATTCTCGAGGCCTGCACTCACACTGTCCACTATGGCACATCGGTAGCCGGCAGACTTGCTGCCTCGCAGAGGTCCCTCGTGAAAGAACCCGAGGACAGATGATCACCGGCCTAGGAGTAGAAAAGTAAGAACAGTCGAAGTGAACACCGGGTTTGGGGACGCTACTGCCTTTTCCTCCTTGCCAGTATTGGTCCACCAGAGAAGCAGCCGTATTCGCGGAGGTTAGATCGAGAGAGGTGTCGATGACAGACAGTAGGACGTAGTCGACTTTTGATGTTGTTCCAAACGCCTTTCTTTCGCTTAGTCCTTGGACTGCCTGATACCTCCCCGTGCTCCTTCGCTCTGCCCAGTCCTAACAAGGATGGAGATACGGGCTGCAATCTTGCTGACGGCATATGGCCAATCTCTAATCGAGCCGATGTAACAGCTGTGTCCAAGAACGAGGATTTGGACGTTGTAGGCGCATTGTAGCCTTCCTCGAGCCTTTGCGGTGTGGGTTGATGCCCCCATCCTACCCGGAGATGTTGTATCGCGGTGGCATGGACCCCCAAGTGGTGGTCCTAGAGCAATGCAAAGTAAGTGTCCATGGACATGACCTGCATCGGCCGATGGATCCGCTAGTCTGAGTCTTCATGCATGATGAGCTGGTGAGGTAAGGGGGTACGGTATATCGTGTCCAGCGGCAAGCAGCAGACAGTGAAAGAGGCCACCCGACCATATCTGGCAGTCTTCTCCGAGACGAGGATGCGGTCAAAAGGCCATATCAGTCTCACCATCGAGCGGCCATTGTCTGTGAGGTCCCTCATACGGCTCACTTCGACCCCCGTGGGCCGCTTTCACTGTCGACAGCTTGAGCGGAAGAGCGGAAAGGAAGCTGAAGGTGGTTGACACTCGTGGCGGTGCAGACTCAACGCCACACGAGTCGGGGTCGCGGGCATCCATCAAATGCTTATTAGAGTTGGCTGGATCGCCCTGCATGAAGCCACCAAGTCGTATCCAAGGTGTTTGTCCAGGATCCAAGGCAGAGTAGCTCTTATTAGCATATCGTATGACCGAGTCAATCTCGAGTTGTATCGAGTGTCGACCGTCTTATCGAATAGATGACATGCTTCACGCGGAGTATTGTTTTCTTTTGCAGCAGCTGAGCACAGTCGGTGACGGCGAGACAAATGAGACATAGCAAGTGAAGCTAGCATCGTGATAGGATAGGGCAAGGGCAGACTTGGTCAACACCACCACCCGCCCCTTCCTTCAGCATCAATATTAGGCATCTGTTGTCGTCGACGGATCAAACAGTGACCGTCGTACTCGACGATGGTCCCCCGAGACCCAAGCGGGATGGACAACACGAGCAACACCAGCAGGTCGCCAGCGCCGCCCGAAACGCAAGACTTCGGCGCCATGCAACAACAAGATGGCGGAACACAACAGACCACCGGCACGACGACGCGACGAACAAGCAACAGCTCCGCGGGAGGGCAGAGCAATCCAAGCCGGGTGGAGAATCCGAGCATGCAGGCCAGCCAAGGCAGCCTGCAACAACAAGCAGACGCTCCACGCAACAGCCGTCCTCGACCGCAGCGCCTGGACTACGGTTCTATGCGGAGTGAGTTGCGGATACCGCAGGTCATGTCGCCGCCAGGCATGCAGACACCGCAGCAGCGCCGGCCTGCTATCGGGAGGCGGACGCCGAGTTCGGCTGCGCCGCATCGAGGGGATGTGTTCTCGGTGGACGACGATGTGAATGAGATTGAGAGGGAGCTGCGGCTGGCGCGCACGCAGTCAAGACAGCAGGAGGGAGGTAGGGAGAGGGAGAGGGGACAGCAGCAGTCGTTGCGGAGGCAGCAGAGTACGTTGCGTAGACGGGCTACGACTGCGCAGCCGCCAGCGCTGCAGACGGTGGAGAGTAGCGAGGAGTATGAGGATCGGGCGGAGACTACGGGCAACGATGCGAATGGGAAGAGTGCTGCGCAGGTGGATGGCGGCGAGCCGAGTTCGGAAGAGACGTTGCACGGTGAGGAAGAGGAGGAAGAGGAGATACCTTCGCCGGATGACGAGGACGACGACGATGACGACGATGATAGTGATGCGGAGAGCTTCACGCTCAAGGACAGACAAGAGGCGATCAACGAGACGCATCCTTTCGGTATACGGATCTGGAAACCGGCGTTGTACAAGAAGAGCCGGTCGGTTCAACGCAATGCTGAGGGCGATATTCACAGTACTCCTGGTGGATTTGTGAGCAACTGGCTGTTCGTGTTCAACATTCTCTGGACGATCATCTTTGGCTGGTGGCTGGCTCTCGTCGCGGCAGCTGGTGGTGTCATTTGCATGCTCTTCAGCCTGGTGCAGGCGCCGGGATGCTATGAGTATGGGCGGGTACTGATCAACTTAAGTCATTACTTATTCTACCCGTTTGGGAAGTACGTCAAGCTGGATCGAGACGAAGACTATCTGGACGAAGACGAGGGTGAAGGCAGGAGTATCACTGAGTACGAGCGCTGGCAGACTGGTGACCTGGAGGAGGGACGCCTCTTTTTCGGACCACGAGACCTGAACCGCTCAATCATCGGCCGCAGACGAGATGAAGTTGTTGACGAGACTGAAAGCCTCCTCGGACGCCAACGTCGCTCAAGCAGCCATGAAGATGTGGACGGCGCGCGAGCGAAGGCGAAGAAACGCCTGTTTGGCCGTGGAAAGTGGAATGCTGGAAGGGTGATATTCTTCCTCTCCTTCTACTTTCTGATCACGCCATGTCTGTTCTTGGTCAGCGGCATCTGCTGGTTCCTCGTCTTCTGGATTCCAATGGGCAAGGTGACGCTGCTGGTGTTCTACCATCTGCGTCGTCACCCGCTCGCCATGAGTTTCCACACCGACAGCCACTACTCCCGCATCCCGAGCGTCGAGCGCGGATCCAGCGGAAGCAGCATTCTACTATGCACATATCGCGCGGTCGGCCTGAAGTACTGGAAATACACCATCGACGGCACGAATATCTTCCTCATCAACCTCCTCGGTCTGGTCGTGTTTGTCATCTTCGACTACTTCGTCCTCCTGGAAGCCCTCGGCATCGAAATCTTCCTCACATCTCAAGGCCTCATCTTCATCCTCGCCATCGCCTCCATCATCCCGCTCGCCTACTTCATCGGCCAAGCCGTGGCTTCCATCTCCGCACAAAGCAGTATGGGTGTTGGCGCGACCATCAATGCCTTCTTCAGCACTGTGGTCGAAGTCTTCCTGTACTGCGTTGCGCTCAAGGAAGGCAAAGCGGCGCTCGTGGAAGGCAGTATCATTGGCTCCATCTTCGCTGGTATTCTCTTCCTACCTGGACTGAGTATGTGCTTTGGTGCCATCAAGCGAAAGACGCAGCGCTTCAACGTCAAGTCAGCTGGTGTCACGAGCACGATGCTGCTGTTCGCGGTCATTGGCGCTTTCGGGCCTACGCTGTTCTACCAGATGTATGGGAGCCACGAGATGAGGTGCCACCAATGCACGGATACGGACCCGAGCATGCTTCAGCATGGACTGGACAGTGTCAAGGGCGCGGACCGAGACTGCCGGAGATGCTTCTTCGCGCAGACGCCTGCTCTTCATGACCGCTTCTACAATGAGGCCGTGCGGCCTTACATCATCTTCGCTACCATCTGTCTGTTCTTGTCGTATGTTGTCGGCTTGCTCTTCACCCTCCGTACTCATGCCGCTGTCATCTGGAACAACGAGCCGGATGAGAAGAGGGAAGCGAAGGTCGAGCAGATGGCTCATCGCGGTGAGGACAGGTACATTTCCGTGCCCGGAACTGCTGGACTGGTTGAGAATCCGAAGCATCCGAAAGCATCGCTGCACGGCACAGTCAACAGCGACGGCGTTCGAGACTCGCAGATGTACAAGCGCATATTGAACCAGAGTCTGAAGCAGGCTGGCTACGGTACCGGCAGCACCATGACTATCCCGCAGGTGTCCAAGAAGGATGATATGTCAAACACATTCAACCCACCCCACGTCGTCCCACCAAAGACGCCGGAAGACGACGGCAAGCACTCGCAGCGGATATCCGGCCTTAGCACGGAAGACAACCGCATGCTCGTCCAGGAAATCGCGGAAATCGCAGCAACCGCCGCCACCGTCGCCGCCCGCGACGCAACCAAAGCCCCCCGCCGCGCCTCCATCATGGCCACTACCTCCACCACCAACGCCATTCCCAAACTCTCCGGCTCCGGCTCCAGCAAAGACCCCAGCAGCAAAGACCAAACCACCCCTACCCGCCACACCGCCACGAACCCCGAACGCGGCAGCCTGCACGACAACGAACCGCTCCCCTCCGAATCCGCCCCAGCTCCCGCTCCCGCCGCTGATGCAGCGCCAGAGGCAGGTGGCCACGATGCGCCCAACTGGTCTCGCGCGAAATCCGCCATCATCCTCCTCACCGCCACCGTCGCCTACGCCATCATCGCGGAAATCCTCGTCGACACCGTCGACTCCGTGCTCTCCAACGTCGACATCCCGGAGAAATTCCTCGGCATCACGCTCTTCGCTTTGGTCCCCAACACGACCGAATTCCTCAACGCCATCTCCTTCGCTATGAACGGCAACGTCGCTCTCTCCATGGAAATCGGGAGTTCGTACGCATTGCAGGTGATGCTGCTGCAGACGCCGGCGCTGGTGCTGTTCAGTAACGTGTACAACGCGTATTTTGTCGGGGACGACGGGGAGTTGATGAGCAGGACGTTCACGCTGATCTTCCCGCAGTGGGATATGGTGACGGTGATTCTCGGGGTGTTTTTGATGGGCTGGGTGGTGGGCGAGGGGAAGAGCAATTATTTCAAAGGGAGTATTTTGATCTTTACGTATTTGGTTATTGTGGTCGGGTTTTGGTTTAGTGGGTGGGATAGTATGCAGGTGAGTTCCGCTCTTCATGGGAGAACGGTGTAGCGTGTGGGAGGCTGACTGTTATGATTAGGCTCAGGGGATGGACGCTTCGGATACGCTGGCGTTGGGCTCGAGTCCGACGTTTCAGACGTTCAGGACGCAGGGGTGGCAGGGGAAGAGTGGGTTTGCGTATTGAGTGAGACGGCTTCAACAGCATGAGTGGTTAGGAATTGCATCGGGTTGGCGAGCAATGGTAATTGTGGTTTGATGGATACCCACGGGAGCGTTTGAATATGGCGTTCGGCTTGTAGCATTCTCTTCCTGGGGGGTCTTGGGGTAGCATTTGGAGCAGCGTTCTGTTTCTGTGAGCAGGCATTGAAGGCTCATTCTATAGTTGAGCTACAATTTCGCTTCAACGCCTTGTGGAATCAGCACCATCCGACTCTTCACCCTCCCCTCGTGCAAGTCGTTGAGGACCTTTGGGAAATCCTTCATCCGCGCCGTCTCAACTTGAGGCGTCAACGTGCCATCAGCGATCATCTTCATGCCCGCAACAATGTCCGCCGAATGCCCGCCAAAGGTGTAGAGCACGGTGATGGCTTTGATAAGATTCATCACATGGCTCGTCTTGTGCGAGTGCTCGAGCAGTCCAACATTGAGGATTGTGCCGCCACGACGTACTGTATCCGTTAGCAACCCGTACTCCACTTAAAATACATAGGAAGGAGGGTAGAACGTACCAATCACCTCAGCATCCGAAAACGTCTGCTGCGCCCCAGCAAAATCCACCACCACATCAATCTTCCCCTCCCACCCCTTTCCCCTCACCCACTCCTGCACCCCCTTTCCCACCGGCACGACATTCTCCCTCGGCACACCCAACCGCACCGCCTCCTCAATCGGCCCCTCCCTAACATCGGTCACGAACAAACGACATCCCACCCCCAGCAGAATCTGCACGGCGTTCATACCCAATCCTCCTAACCCGAACACAAACACCGTCTGCTCCTTCCGAATCTTCGCGCGCGAGATGATGGCGTGGTGGCTCGTCATCACCGCATCGGTCGCCACAGCAGCAGCGGCGGGGCTGACGCCATCCGGGACTTTGAGCGCGGCGCGGTGGTGGATAGCGATGAACTCTGCGAACGACCCGTCCTGCCCAAGACCGTGATGCGTGCCCTCTTCAGTCTGACAGAGCTGCGGGAGCCCATTGCCGCACTCCGGACAAGACGTATCGGAGCAGCCAGCGACGGGGTTGATGGCCACGCGATTCCCGACCTTCAGCTGCGAAGCCTCCGGACCAGAAGGGACAGACGAGCCGATAGCGACGATTTCGCCGCACCCCTCGTGCCCGATAGTGAAAGGGTCGCGGTAGTAGGGCAGCCGAGTCTCGTCGTTTGCGAGGATGGTGACGTCGGAATGGCAGACGCCTGCGGCGAGGATTTTGACTAAGAAGCCATCATCGGGGACGGAGGGGACGGGGATGGTGTCGAGTTGTGGTTCTGGGTTGCCGTTGTGTTTGCGCCAGGCTTGCATTGTTTTGGGAATCGAAGACATTGCGGTGGTGGGTATGAGAGGAAGGAAATTGAGCTGTTTTGTTTTCTGAGGAAGGTAGGCAAGACGAAAGTTTGATGAGGACTAAGAGATTGGGAGAACTGTGACTATACCTTGAGACCTTCTATATATTTGCCGTTGCCGCGGTTGCTGGTAGAGCTGAGGTGTTAGCTGAAGGAGGAAGCGGAGTACGAGCATGGACGTTGTACGAAAGCGACGAAAGCCCTAGGTGCCTCCGACGATCATCCGGGGCGAGCGCAACAATGCCTTTGTTTGGAGAAAGCCAAGTGCCTGGCCTCGATTCTTGTGTCTCCAAAGGGATTATTGGTTAATGGGCCATAGTGCGGAGAAGTGAGAAGTTCTGGTGCGGTGCAGCGAGACGCTCAATTCGGCCTCCAGAGCTCCAGCCTCGGCCAGGAAACCATGCTTGGGACTGTTAATTTGATAGTCTCTATGTCCTGCCTTGCCCTGCCAGATTATCGCACGCTATGCAGTAGCACAGAGAAGTACAAAGAAACAAGGCCCACCGAACAATGCTAGACAACGCTCACTTCCACAGCTTGCTCAAGCTCGTCTCCTTGTCCTCGTGCCTGTTCAGCACCTTCGCAGTCGCCAGGTCGAAGTCCTCTTGCGTTACGTGCACTCGCCTCTCTCGCAGCGCATACATTCCCGCTTCCGTGCACACACCTTTGAGCTCTGCACCGGAGCACCCGTTCATCTTCTCGGCAATCTTCATCAGGTTGATGCCGCGTGTCAAGTTCATCGATCGGGAATGAATGCGCAGGATGTCGGCTCGCGCTTCTGCCGTTGGCGGAGGGAACTCGATCTTACGGTCGATGCGGCCAGGTCGGAGGAGGGCTGGATCGAGGATGTCGAGACGATTGGTAGCCATGACTACTTTGATGCCTTTCGTGGGTTCGAAGCCGTCGAGCTGGTTGAGCAGTTCAAGCATAGTCCGCTGGACCTCAGAGTCACCACCAGAGCTGCCCTCCACACGTGAAGATCCAATGCTGTCGATTTCATCCATGAAGATGATGCTGGGTGCGTGCTCTCGTGCCATGACGAACAGCTCTCGCACCATTCGTGACCCTTCGCCGATGTACTTCTGCACCAACTCACTGCCGCTGACTCGGATGAACTTGCAGTCTGTGTGATGCGCAACCGCTCTTGCCAGAAGTGTCTTTCCAGTTCCAGGTGGTCCATAAAGCAGCACGCCCTTCGGCTGCGCGATACCAAGCGATTCGAAGAGTTCCGGATGCTTCAGGCCCAGCTCGATGACCTCCTTGATCTGCTTCACCTGCTCGTCCAGCCCACCGATCATGTCGTAAGTGCTGTCTGGCACCTTTTCCACCATCATGAGCGACACAAGAGGGTCCACTGAAGAAGGCAAAAGCGACGAGAGTTTGTAGCTGTCCGACAGGAGCGTGACCCGTTTGCCAGCCGTGAGTTTCGCAATGTCGATGTTATCAGCGATGTCGACCACGTATTTGCCCTCAGGATGCACTTTCACCAGCACCTTCTTCGTCCCCATCACCTTCACCACTTCTCCCACATAGCTGCCGGGTTGCTGGAGAAGGCCCAGCTCTTCCCGTAGTAATCGGACTCTGCTGTTGTATTCGTTGCGCTGCGCTTCTAGTCGTCGGAGGACCGCTTGCCCTTGGATCATCTCCAGCTTCATCGACTCGATCTTGTTGTTGAAGAAGGTGTCGAGCGCCATGGTTGCGGTGTTGTCGGTGGATGCAGTATGCGAGGAGGAAGAGGCGTTGGAGATGTGGTAGAGTGGTTGTTTTCCTGAGCTCACTTCGAGGCAAACGCGATGGCGTCTCGAACATGCGGCGGACTTCGGAGGACGGGCCGTGCCGCTCGGACAACTGCACCTTCTCAGAGTAACGAGAGAAGACCAGACGACCACAACATCAGCACCTTTGCGCCTTCACACACCTCACCTCACACGCCCATAAACCACTCACGATGCCGCCCAAAGGAGCAATCAGAGGCACAGCTGTCGGCCGACCACAGCAGCAACGAGGAGGCTTCGCATCGCAAGTCTACAATGAGATCACAAGCTCGGAGAACAGGAGCGTAGTGACGAGCCTGGCCTTCTTCGCGGTATGTCTCAATCGTGGCGCGTAGCAGTACACGGCTCGTGGAGGCTGCACGTGGAGGCTGCACGAGGGTGACGAAGAGACGGAGCACCGGCTGACAACTTGGACAGGCCGGCGTGGCTTTCTTGCACAGCAGCTGGAGTGATCTACTACTACCTCCGTACGCACAACTCCAACGACTGCATCACTTCATAGACTGATTGTGGCTATAGGATCTAAGCAGATCCAACACCTGTTTTCCAGAGGCCGGATCGAAGCGAAGTCGGAGCATCGATGCTCACAAGAAACAGGATCAAGAAGCTCTGCGTGTACGATATCGAGAGGACGATGTAAGCATAGCGAGGCGTTGGCGGTGGAAAGCTGGACGATTGGGGCCATAACACCAACACGCGATGTACAATTCAACTCAAATCCGATATGCCGGCACAGAGGAGTTCCACTCTTCGTCCCATTTCTCTCACACACGTTACGGACATTGTTAAACCGCGCCTTGGCATCAGCTCTTCGCGAGTCTGAAACTGTCCGCTCTTCATCCTCTATGAGCCTACGGTACCCTGCCATACAGGCGCAGAACAACCGAGATCGCAAATAAGCCGGAGCGTCTTCCTGAGCCTGCTTCGAGAGGAGTACGGTGGGTGGATGGGGCTTGACTTAGCACGGTCTGACAGACTGAAAATGTTCGTAAGTTTGTCCTCTACTAATGCATACTATGATCGAGCCAAGCATGACGCCGAAACGGAAGACCAACTTCTACCCTCGCCCACTGAACACAGGCCATCAGTTTCGCGTTGCCTTGAGTATCCACCAGCTTGGACAAGTCTTCGACCACTCGCGAGCCGATGCCTTCCGCCCACCAAACCCCATGGCTTGTCTGCTCCAGTAGTACGCCCCATACCATCATCGTCAGCAGTGCGACTGGCTCCTTGTCGTTCAACGCTACGGCGTATTCATGACCAGCTCGGAGCGGCCAACCCAAACTATACGAACGCGTGCTGACATCCCTGCACTTCGCAAAGTCTTCTTCGAGGTAGAACATCGCCCGCCGACAAGCAGCATGATATGACATCGCTTGCAACTCTGGCGTGTCCAGGTCAACCTGCGATGCCCCATGCATTTCCTCGTTCAAGATCGATAACCGCTGAAAAAGCTCCAGCAGCTCAGGCTCCAGGACTTGCGCTGGCAGTGCGTTCCAGACCTTGAAGTTTGCCACCAACGGCTCTTTCTTCCGATAGTCTGCCTCAGTGTCTGCGATCGTTCTCAAGCCTTTGAGCAAAGCGAGGTATGTCATCATGTAATCCAGCATATTACCCTGCTCTCCTCGCTGCAGTACGAAGCGTGGTAATGCGAGGCCAAGTATGAGAAGGATGGACGACAATGCGAAGAGAGCCTGCCGGTTCGCTGGCGTGATGTTCGACAGCTCCCTTCGCAGTCCGCTGCTGGCTAGGTTGTGGTACTCGAGAGCAGTGTTGACATAGTCGTCGACCCGAGACTCATCGTCCTTGGTGAAGGCCGCAATCTCCAGCGCAGACATGGCGAGCATGCCGTGCAAGAGGTAGTCATGCTGCAGAGCTACGCGAGGCACGACGACTTGCCAATTGTGGTATTCGCTGGCCATAGTGCCGCAGTAGCTTTTATATCTGCTCAACAATCAGCAAGAGGTTAGTCGACCATCACGTCTAAAAAAGCCCAACATACGTAACAGTGGTCCACTGATGCAACAACTCCAACTCCAGCAACCTCCGCTGGCCCGTCCACTCTATCGCATCAGGTACACTACAAGGCGTCGCACCTTTGCTCGAAGGACTCCTCTCTGGCGTGGGTTGCTGCAGTCGCGACGTATCGGCGTATCCACAGTCGATCCCTCGCAGCGCACAAGGTCCGCAGGGCAACCCGTTCTCGTCGCATTTCACTCGTCTTCGTTTGCAGGTTTTGCAGCCGGTTCGGGATTTTCGATGGGGGCGGCGGGCTGGTGGGGTCATTGTTTCGTTTGAAGTGATGCCAGTAAGATGATCATATTGACTTCTAACGCGCGCAATGGCGCCTTCTTCAATACATCAACGCCTACAGCTGCGCACCCAGACGAGCTGCCCTGCCCCACGAGCTGAGCAGGCTGGGCGCAATGAGCCATCTTGTCGAGCTTGTGTCTTTCGTGCGTTAGTCGTACAGTAACCTTGGAAGCCTCTGCCTACAAGTCTCGGCATACAACTAAAGTAAGCAAGATATGTCACTCGGAGATGTCCACGGCTTTCCGAGAGCGATTTCCGGGGAATCACTTGCGCCGGCTTGCGCTGCTATGCCGTTTGCAGTCCGATGCGCCGCTAGGCTTTTCAGCTGCCCAGACGAGGTCAGAATGGCTCAGACCGTCTAATGCCGATCTATGGAATTCGGGGTGGATGCGAATATCGCAATGATGGATGGAAATGGTAATTTTGCTATTTGTGTGTCTGTCTTAGGCCTTTCCCAATTGCGAACAACGCGGCGACGAACGCCAGCAGGGCGAATGCTGTTGAGGCTGCGAAGGCGTAGCGTATGCCTTCGTAGTATACCATGCGGGCGGCGAGTTGGATGGAGGGTGAGAGGTGTTCGAGGGCCGTTACTGAATGGCGGATCTCGTCGCTGATCTGGTTCTTAATGCGTCAGCTGCTGATTGTTGTGGAACAGGGTGGTGTGGAAACGTACCTGCGCTTTGTCTTTGACACCTTCCAGCACGGTTGGTAGCTTGGCTGTCAAGACGCTTTGGACGATTGCTGAAGTGATTGCGACACCCCAGACACACCCCATGTTGCGGATGAGGTAGACGGTTGATGCTGAGACTGCGTGATCTGTTGCGTAAAGGTTAGTCACATACACGTAGTTCCGCGTGACGTCCAGACATACCAGAATGCTCGAAAGTTGCGATGTTCGTAAACAATGTCGAAGGATAAGTGACCCCTTGCCGAAGATTGGCAGGGAAGATGAACAAGTAGTACTTCCAGGTCGAGTCAGAGAAACCAAGAGACGTCACGAGAGCGTTGCCCAAAGCCATGCAGAGCGTCCCAGCGCGTGAATTGATATGAGCTTGCCGTAGCGGGACATGATGAAGCCCGCTATGAGCCCTCCAATGGGAGTGGCTAACGCAGGTATTGCTAGACGACCGCCGGCTTGCTAAGGAGAGTCCAGAAGGACGACCTGAAAGAAGAGGGGAAGCATGAAGAGGTACTACTGGAAAGTCAGGTTCATGTCTCAAAGTCGTTGCGACAATGCTTACCGCGTACGCAGCGAGTCCAGCGCAGACGTTCGCCGCCTGTACCGAGACGGGAAGTCTCCCTGACAGCATGCGAAGAGGTATGATGGGCATCGCACGAGTGCGAGCTTCCACCCAGAAGAAAACCGCGAGAAGGGCCACACTTCCCACCAGACAGCCGACGACCCATCCAGAGCCCCCAGGGAAGCTCGTTCCCGCCCAGGCTAAGAGCCACCAGTTGCATCGAAAGCGCTATCACAAGGATGAGCGAGCCCGAGATGTCGATCTTCGCTCAAATGCCTTTGAGCAGGCCGTCGGAACCTTCACGTCGTGGCTGATCCGAAACGAAGAAGTAGCCAACTATCAGGCCCAGTGCCGAGATTGGAACCTGTAGGGTAAAGCACCATCGCCATCCTATCGTGTCTGCGATCAGTCCACCGAACGATGCACCTGCCATCCACGGTCACCACGTAATCTTCATCGACGCAGCTTGTTCTCATGACTGACCTGAGATTGCGCCAAAGCCCCAGACTGAGTTCTGCAAGGCCTGATACATGCCTCGTCGTCGGAATGGAATCATATCAGAGTTAATGATCGTAGCCATAGTCATTAACCCTCCTCCACCAAACCCCGTCACCGCTCGCATAATGTTGACGGTCACGACATCCTGAGCTAGACCACAGCCTAAACATCCGACAGCAAAGGTACTGGTCGAGACAAAGAAGCATATCCGTCTACCGAAGATGTCTGAAAAGCGGCCATAGAGCGGTTGGAATGCCGTGCTTGTAACAAGGTAGGAGGTAGTCAGCCAGGAAGCAGCGTTTGCGGCATCGAACTCGGAGCTGATGACGGCGTACGTGGCTGCTGTGATCGTGTTATCGAATCCATAGAGGTAGACGTTGGCGAAGATGGCCAGTTCGATCCAGAAGAAGAATTTAGGAGGCTTCCAGTCTTCCTCCTCAGGAGCTTTGAGGAGTGGAGTGTCTTCTGCGTACGCGTCTGCGATGGGTCATTCGTCGTTGGCCGACATCTCGATTGCAAGGGACTGGCGACCAAAGTGCGTGGAGACCGTAACAAGCCTCTTCGGCAAGATGCTTTAAACTGCTTTCTCACCGTTTCGTCCTCTTCATGCGTCTCAATCTACCTGCCTTAGCACTTTACCATGTCCCGACACCGGTTGGGACAGCTCCAGTGGAGGAGTCATCATCTCTCGGTGATTTTCGATGGCGTGAAAAAGTCCATGTGACACCACCGGCTTGTGGCCGCTCCACTTCCGCGTGAGCCCGCTATGGCAGCTCTCGGCTCATCGCTACTAGCTCATCGTAGGCGACGGAGCATCTTATGAAGGGGTGGAAGGTGGTGAGAGGTATGGTACCTATTCATTTGGCCGTGGTTTAAGGGGTTGCCATCAAGCACTATCTCCTCTGGTCTCAATCATATGAGCAACACCCTTGTCATGAAGGCGGTCGCTCCGGCTATTCTTCATCGCAGACTGGCAGGCTCATAGCAAATCCGGAAGACAGATCTGGCACCATCGGTATTTATTACAATCATACTAACCTGGGAAGATGTTGCGAAGGGACATCTTTTTGTGGCCCCTTTCCTGGGAGACGACTGACGAACAGCACGGACCATGACAATCAGGATCCTATATCCTTCGCGACCACGGCGATCTTTCCTCACTCATGCTATCTGGGAACTAGTATTACAGCATCTGGTGCGGCGCAACTTTTTAATTATAAGGGGAGGGGCTAGGCTAGTGCTTGTATGTCGCGAAGGCGATGACAACCCTGAGTATGTCCAAGGACACCGCCATGCTACGTTCCTGGATCAAAACCACGGGAGAGAGCTACGCGCTGGTCGCCACAAGGTCAGCGTCAAGCATGAGTCCTGAGAGCGGATGGCAAGAATGCTTTGATCGAGATCTCCCAGCCAATACCTTCCATCGAACGGACAGTTGCTTCGAGCTGAGGGTTCATGCTGCGCTTGATCTCGAGGGTGCAATTCTTGCAAGCACACGCCCACCGGCTGTATGGCCTAAATATACTTCCTTCCAGTGCGGGAGCACTCGTGTGGATCAATATTGCAGCTGCCAAAGCTGGGCGACAAAAAGCGGTCGGACCTCTGATGCTGACTGAATTCCATTGTAGTGAGAAGCGATTCCATGGCGCCGGAATGCTCGATCTGTCAAGTCCTCAAGCGACCGAATCTTCAAAAGCTCTCCTTCTTCGCTACCATCTCCAAAGCCTCCTTGAATCCAGCCATGGCCTTATGGTACAACTCCGGCCCGACATTGATGCGAGCCACACCCAGCTCCGCCAGCTCTCTAGCATTCAGATACCCAGGCCGGAGGTTCATCTTCATATTCACCATCCCACCTAGTTCTGGCACAAGCTCCTTGACTTCGTCCGTACTCACCCCTCGACCGCCCGGTCTACCCCACACGAACACCGTAACAGCCCCGGCGTCGAGATATGCTCGTCCTCGAGCGATGGCGTCTTGGATTGAGCCTCCGAATGCAAGGGCGTCGGTCCTGGCGTTGACGCAGAAGTCTGGCACTGCATTTGCAGCAGCTGCTGACATGGCGGTCTTGATTCTGTACACGGCGTCATCAACGGTCCGAAGTTTTCCAGTACTGTTATCGACGTCCTCGATATTGCACCCAACCGCCCCAGCATCGATGGCCTGTCCTATCGTCGATGCTACATCGTCGTAGCCGTCCTGGAGATCAACCGTCAACGGCAGTCCTTTCTTCTTCGCGACAGCTGCAATTTCGCGGACAGCGATCAAGTTGTCTTCGAGTCTCAAGTCGTTGTCTTCGACACCATTCGCGGCAGCTGTGGCAAAGCTTGCTGTTGCCATTGCTCTGGTGGAAGGATGCGAGGCAACCACGCCGGCTGTTGCAGCATCGTAGACATTTGTTAGAATCACAGGGTCGCCGGGCTTACAGAGCTGGCGGATTGTTGTCGCTTGTTCATTGAGGAGGGCTCTAGCTGCCATGTTGAAGGACTCCTCTGAGTAGGCCGTAGTAGTCGTATGCCTCTCGAACGACGGCTGTGCTGAAGGCTGGTGGGCCACATCTCGGTGCCATATATATTGTCCGACGCGAGAGGTCATAAGAGAGATCATAACGCGCTCGTCACATAGGCCCTATGAGTCAAAGTATACCTCTCAGCTCGAGGTCGCTTCTGCACGTCCTTCCTGCCGTCTGTCGCTCCCATGCTCGTGCTCATGGCATTAGACGCAGCCTCTTCCTCGTGGCAAGTGCGCTACGAGAATCATGGACGCTCGACCGGAAGCTGGCGTACAAACACTTCGACGTGTCCGAACCGAATCCGTGGATCTACCAACACAACGCAGAGGCATCTTTAACAGATCCACCTCTCGACAAGCGACCTTCTGAAACCAGTGAAATGGTAACAATGACGCCCGTAGTCCTCAACCCAGTTCTCTCCCGTGTCGCAGGACCATGGCATCAAGCTCGACAAGTCTGGATGAGGAGCCCACTAAACACCCTCAGTGAACACACCTTTGTTACTATCAAGAGACCGTTACGAGGAGTACTTGACAAAAAGACGCCATGGTATGAGATGTACCTGTGCGATCCTCCTTGCACCAGGGCGTACGTCTCGATGTTCTTCGAGACTTCAAAGCATCAAGGCCACATGGCGGAGCTGCGGCCATTGCAGAAGATTCGAATGGCCTGACTATTGGCGGTTTGGTTGACGCCGTTATGAGACAGCCGGACGACGCTTATATGTTCAACGCCAATGGCACCTCTTCTGGGCGTGCAAATCCCGGCATATCTGTCAAAGATGCAGTGGGGAGACTGGAGAGAGCGACGGGCCGTGAAGCATATATTGTCTGGGACTTCCCTGTCCCAACAATCAAGCTCGAGGGTATCGTCGTTCCAACTGGTGATAATTGGCAAAAGCAGTGGTCAGAGGTGACGGACGATTGGAGGTGGCACGGGTTCGGGGCTGCAGACGCTGGATAGCTACGGCGAAGGTCAGCATTGAATATGTACAGTTTATATAAAGTTGCTATTTGCAACAACATTCTGCAACTTGCATCCAACCCAATCAGAGCTTTCAGAGCTTCGCCTTAGGAATCGGCCCGGACAGAGGCATGTAGACATTGTGACCCAGCACGTCCTGCGGCACAGTGGTGTTGTGCATGTTCAGTGCCCTGGTATCAATGAACTCCGGTCCAAGCTGGTCAACGCTGGTGCAGCCAATCAATCTCATGTTCATTTCCATCTCGTCCTTCAGAAGCTGCATTGCTCGCTCCACGCCCTCTTGTCCATAGGCACTCATGGCGTACAAGAACGGTCGTCCGATGCCAACGCCCTTAGCCCCCAAGCACAGAGCCTTGATGATGTCGGTCGCGCGCCTGACACCTCCATCGATGTAGATCTCAATCTGGTCTTGGAGGCCCATACGGCGGAGCTCGGGCATGACCTCAGAGAGGACCTCAATACCTGATCGTGCGAAGTCGAGTTGACGGCCGCCGTGGTTGGAAAGGACGACGCCTTGCACGCCGTGTTGGATCGCAAGCATGACGTCTTCCACTCTCTGCACGCCCTTAAGTATGATTGGCATCTTGGTAATAGACTTGAACCAGGCAATATCGCTCCACTGTAGCGAAGGGTCGATGAAGGATGAGATGGCTCGAGCAGCACCCTGCGAGCGGTCGACGTTGTCTCCGCTGGAACTCTGCACGTTGGATCCTGAGTCTGCGAACTTGGACCGCATGTCCTTCTCTCGTCGACCAAGCTGGGGCGCATCAACCGTGATGAAAAGGCCTTTGATGCCACGCCTCTCAGCGTGCTGGACAATACCCTTGGTGATTTCGCGGTTGGAATTAACGTAGAGCTGCATCCACTGTGTTTGAGGGTCTCGGCGAGCGTCCACGATCTCGTCGAAAGAGCAAGAGGCTAGCGTAGGGATCATCTGGATAACGTCGTGGGTGTGGGCGCTACGGGTGAGATTGACTTCACCTTCTGCATGGCCAAGCTTTCCGAGGGCAGTAGCGGTGACATAGAAGGGAATCGAGACTTTCGTGCCGAGCATGGTCGTAGAGAAATCGATGTTCTTGACGTCCTGCAGTATTCGCGGGCGGAACCAGATCTTGTGGTATGCAGAATGGTTCTCACGCATCGTCTGGCCCTAGGTCAGCTTTTCGCCACATCCAATGCTAGTATGATATAGCTCACAATCTCATCGTCTGCACCACTGGAATAGTATGCCCATGCGGTTCTCTTCATCACTGTCCTCGCCACCGCCTCGAAGTCCATCAAGTTGAAGCATTGGTCGAGGACGGGCATATGCTTGATTCGCTCCTGCCTTTCAGCTTCATCCGGATCTTCATCTTTCTGCTCTTGCTGGACGGTGCTCATATCCACCTCTCCCAAATGCCTGTTCTTGTCCAAATACTTGTCGAGCGTGTCGGGAGGATGGATCGGGTCGTACTCTTCGGTGGCATCTTTGCCAGCGTACTTCAAGATGATCTTGGGGCCGCCAGGATGTTCGGGCAGGAACTGGTCGAGTCCTGTTAGGGCCATCATCGAACCATTGTTGTCTCACGGGTACGCACCTCAGTCACATCGTACGCCCGACCATGGATGATCACCCAACAAGACTCTCTCGAGTTGTGCTTTGCGATCTCCTCGCCCGAGAGCTTCTGCTCCGGCGGCTGCTGCTGGTCTCGATTCATCTTGTCCAACTAAACCCTCTTGCGATTCCAATGCTAGTCCAAGCAACCGAATGGCACCAATAGAAACGAACGTACAACAATCTGCTACAGTCAACTGTTCGATGGAAGTTGAAGGAAGTTGTGCGGCTCTACCACGACATCAAAGACATCAGACAGCCTTCCTACTCGAGCCAGTAGTTGGCCGCGCTCGACCGCGGTATCTCCACCTTTGGAGTCTCCGTTCCTCATCCCCGCGAACAACCAGCGGAAATATCGATTGCCGCGAAGAAGAGCCGGCAGGTCAGACGAACCAATTGAGTGCGATGGAAAGTCAGCTGTCGGGCCGTGTCAGCGCCGATTGACGCGTGCCGGTATTCCACGAGATGTTTGTCTTCCAAGCGAGAGACAGTGAAAGCGGCCATCTAACGGCCTTCTCTCAGATCCAAATCAACCCAAAAAGGCCACACCACCCTCGTGAGCGGGCTTTCTATGTCTGTGAGAAGATCAACCAGACGGCTCGCTCTGACCTGGTGGGCCGCTTTCACTGTCCCTCGTTTGTTTTCTTGCAATCATTCACAAGAAGTGTCTGCAGTCGAACACATGATGACTGCCATCCCTCGACGATGCTGTAACTGATTCAGTGCAAGTCTGCAAGGTCGGGTCCTCGTAGGTGCTGGCGCTCATGACCGGTGAGCAGGCTGTCGAAGTTTGATGCGACAAAGCTACCACGCGAAGGATTCGAACGACCTACACCAGCACGGCCTGGTGAAGTGCCTGGTGCTGCTTTAGACGTTTTGGTATGCTGTTGCCAAGGTTCTGGGCTTCACTCAGGCGTATATCGGGCGAGCCCCTTCTCCAAGCGTGGTTAGTATTATTGGAAGTAGTACAACGCTTGAGCTACCATCACACCACCTGCATGCTAGGAGATATTCAAAGAGGTGGGTCGCTCCAATTGCCTACTTTGCCGTACTTCCACAAGCTCTGTCGACTTTCCAACACATCACTGTCACGCTGTTTAATCTACAAAGCGACATTCAGCTCAACAACAGCAATGAGGGCATCAATCGCTGCAGCATGGGTTGCCAGCCTGACGCTAATCAGCCCTGCAATGGCTGAAGATGTCTCCGCGCTTCTGTACCAAGCCGCTGGAATGGCAGGGTCGGTCGTTGACGCAAATGGATGCAGAATCACCTACGCTCTGTCATGTACCGACCAGAAAGTTTGCGGTTCCTCTAGCGATCTGACGGTAAGACCTCTGCCAGGTCTCTTCTGAAGCGGCCATGCTTACATGTCTCTCCGTAGAAAACAATAACGCAGAATGGAGCATCATCGTACACAATGCAGTATACGTCGTTCGGTCCGGCAAGCTCCTTCTCGAGCAAGCTCTTCCAGAGCATGGAGGAGAGGTGCCGCTTGTTCGGCACGACTGTCGCAGCTTGCACTGCCACGGCTGCCATCGGATTGGGCAGCATCTCAGTCTCGTCGACGAACACGTACGCCGTCACCCAGGAGGCGCTGTTGAGTTATGCGCAGGTTCCGATCACTGCTGGACCTGCTGCCGCGAGCGCATCTGTGTCGAGTTGCTCGGCCTCGGGAAATGTGGCGGTCGCCGGCTCGAGTTCAGTTTCATCGACATCTGCTTCACCCACCGAAGAACGGACGACAGTTGCTTCAGTAAGCAGCACTGCGCCGACGGAGACTGGTAGCTCTGGGGCTTCTGGGTTATCGACCGGTGCGAAGGCGGGCATTGGGGCTGGTGTTGGCGTTGGCGTGGCTGCCTTACTTGGGATCGGAGCCGCTTTCTGGTTCGTTCGGCGCCGTCGGGCAGGCAAAGCGAAGCAGCAGCCGCCGCCAACTCCGTCTTACGATGAGGTGCCCAAGCCAGAGATGGACGGCAACGATGGACGGCATGAGATGTATCAGCCGCATGTACAACACGAGTTGGCAGGCGCCAAACAGGCGCATGAAATGTCGGCAGCTTACGATGGCTATGCTGTATCTCCAAATGGGCCGCGATATGAGCTGCACTGATGAGGCTCCGTCAGTAGCTTGCAAGACTGGACTTGACACAGTCCCATTCGGACTGGAGACCTCGTGCTCAACGCTCAATGATCCACGATCAACTGAGTGGTTTTGAGGTGGTCAAAGAGGCTCTCGGTTGCTCAATGAAACTCAAATCCAGGGCTAAAAGAGTCCTAACATCCGGTTGCCACCACCGCATATCACCACATTAACCGCTCGGACAACAGTTGAGGCTTGAGCAAGACGTGGTCCATAATGAGCCATCACTTCAGCTCTACAATACTGTCTGATTGTCACGGTCTGCGTTGCCGGTCGAAAGCATCGCAGTGATGGCCCTCGGACGGGAAGCCGCGTGAAGGAACCGGGTTGCCTTTTAGTGCCCTGGAGAGCAGAGTGGTCATTTGCTCGACCATACAAGGCGTTGCTTCTCCAGAAAAGCAACATATGGTGTACGGTTAGAAGGCTTATTGGATGGGTTGAGCATGGCGTGCGAGCCAGAGAAGGAGAGGGCATGTGATGATATTTGGCTGAGCCACCAGTCACGTGAATCGCAGCCGATGGGGTATTAAGTGCTGTATATATTGTATTTCTAAAATTGTTAACTCATGGCAAGATCCGTTCTGCCTGGGCGCGGCCTGCCTCCGGGTAGCGCTGTGGCTGAAAAAGCCTACCGGCCTCTGTGCTAGTGTGGTCCCTAAGTGTAATCCACTGGTTCGAAGCCTATGGTGAGACTTTTGCTGTTTTCAATTCCAGTCTCAATCAAAGTGGTCCCTTTTTGCTCAAAAGCCTCACAGCTTGCTAGGTGTACTTGGTTGATGACCGAAAGGGTATGTACTGGTTGGGGGTTTGCATGTGATCTCACATGTCTCTGCGCTCGCCAGTATCACTTCCGGCCAATCTCACATCACACCCCCGTTGTTCCGCGTGGAAGGAATTTGCAGGTCCTCGGACAGGAAGTCGTAGTTGATTTCAACGTTCGTGAAGTCCTCGAAGATGTTTGCATCAGCGTCCTGAACCCCTTGGACCATCTCCGAGATCATCCACTCAGACTCTGGAGGCAGATCCATTCCGTCGAAGCCATTGGACCAGTCCTGAGCTGCGAGAACTGGCTCTGGACCTGCTGCGTCGTCATGAGTAGCTGTGGCAGTTCCTGTGGCAGTTCCTGGCGTCGCTTCCTGATCCAGATCACCAGACATCATGCTGATGGTCCGCTCTGACAACGTCTCGAACAAGTCCCGATAAGAGGCGGCGAGCTTCCATCGCTCAGCAAGGACGACCAGTACAGTCTGACAAGCATTCAGTGTATTGAACACATCCCGCTGTTTTGCTGCGTCTCGGATCGACTTCGATCGCCAAAGGCAATAGAGATAGGTCAGCCCGCTGTAAAAGGTCATGTGCAGGCTGCTCCATGTAAATTTGATGCAAGGGTTCTGATAGAGTCGCCGATAGATCAGGCATAAGTCTCTTGCTTTAGAGTGAGATTCTTGATACGCTCGGTCGACGATCTCGGGTGTACGAGGTAAAGGCCTGCTGCACTTGTATGGCTTCGTGTCCATGAGGTAATGCCTGTACAAGAGCAGTATCGAATGGTTGTATGCCACGTGGAACCAGCCGCGAGAGGCAAATACGGACAGAGGTGTATCCGATGGTTGATCGAAGATGGTTGGCGCTGATGCTCGCCATTGCTCCAGTTGCTCCCGCAGCTCTTCTATGGTTGGGCTACTGTCAACGTGGTCACCGTGGCTGCAGAGTGAGGACGTTGGGAACAGGTGCGTGCTAAACTTCGACCAGATCTGTCGCAGCTTGATTAGATGAATGGTACCTGTCATCGTCGTTGGCGAGCGCTGCGGTACGGCTGGAAGAATACCGGCTGGTGTGATCTGTTCGTCGTCTACGTCTAGAGGGAGCTGGAATATGGTAGTCAGTACCCATCAATTGCAGAGCTTGGGGAGGTAACATCATCGAAGCCTACCTCAACATCAATTGACTGGTCAGATATCGCTCCGGGCAGCCCGAGAATAGAGCCTGTATAGCGATCGAAGTCATATGCTACCCAGAAACACCTCTTCGACATCTCTTTGGTCAACGAATCTCCAGAGCGACGATACTTCTCGGTGGATCTATGATAGCCCAGCTGAACACATAGCCGCATCGCCATACCAGAGATCTTCCAAAGGCTTACGCCGTATGGTGATCGGGCAGAGAAAACTCCGATCGCCAGCAGCGCCTGGATTGATTCGAGCCCGTCAATTTCCAGAATCGGCTCCAGGTATTGCATTGCTATAGTATAGTAGCCTTCTGCTGACGCGTGGTCATCCACGGCTGATGACTGAGATCCGATAGCGTACACCATGAAGACGAAGAAGGTCGGGACGTAGGTTGAATCCATGCAAGCGGGCGATAGGCTACTGTACCTTGAAGTACGACATTCTTGCTCCCATCTCTTCAACGTGGGCCAGTGAAGGAATGGGAATTGGACATGAACGCTGCAATGATAAGCCTCGGTGAACATCTCTGCTTGTTGGACAGACGGCCAGTTTGAGGACGCCACTGGCAGGAGGCGGGGGGCAGAAGGTTGCGATGTCCGCGATCCCTGAGCTGATGGATGACTGGATGGCTTCTTTAACCCCATGGTTTGGCTTGCAATGTGCGAGAAAGACACAGCCGAGGATGGTCCGAAGTATCGCGGTTCTTGTCCAGCTGCACCTAGACAGAGCAAGGCCACTTCTGAGGAAAGGTGGTCTACGCTCGCAGCATCACTCAACTGAGCATCTGTGCCGGGACCTGTAAGATGTGTCGGAGAGGCATTGCTGAACGTTTGTGCGTCCCCGTGTTGGGCTCTAGTGCCATCGAAGTCACTATGTCCATGGCCGTTGCTTGGTAGGTTTTGGATGTCGAGTTCGGGATGAAGCCGGTGTAGTAGGTCTTCTAGACATCTCACTCGAGCTTCCAAGTGCTGCATGTGGTTCCGGGGCCGGTGGAGGCCAGTGGCAGGATCTTCTACCAGGCATTCTATCAACTGTTGGCGTTGTGCTCGTGTTTATAGAAATCGGCTGGTGATCAGGTACCTCTCGAATTCCTAGCACAATTTTGACAACGAGGTTCGACGCCATCACACTGCAATGCTTTATCAGTCGGGTGCTACATAAGAGTTCGAGAAAGGAGTGCTACCTTCAGTTTCTTTGACTTGCAAGGCATACAAGCGAGGGTTGTTCGCTCGCCAATACGAGATCTCTTTGCGGGTCGCGGATCTGCGTTGTTGCTGGAACCATGACCGCTGTCAAGTGTCTCGCTCATCGCAACAGTCGCACATAGTATCAGTATCAAAGCACAGCTTTTCAGATAAAATCATTCTAGTTGCAGGAAATGTATGGATCGAGGATGCAGGCCGGAAGAAGCCATGGTCGTGGCCGGAAGAATCCGAGGTCTTCCAGACTCCTCGTCACTTCCAGCCGCTTTTCTGCTGTCCAAGGCCTTCGCCATTGGATCTTAGACCGGAAGGATGCGAGTATCGAGTAGTTGAAGGCTGCATTGGTAGGAGACTATTTCATCTCTCCATCTTCAAAAGTTTCTTTCCCCCATTCTACCGCCAGCTCAAGACTTCCACATCTTCTCTCGCCATTGCCCAGACGCAAAGATCTACGGATGCGGACGTATGACCTTCACCTTCTTCTGTAAACGACGATGCAACAGAAGAATGTCGTTGTCCTTGGGTAGGCAGGCCCAACGCCCCCATGATAGACGCTGTACTGATTGACTACAGTGCTGGAGTCTCCGGGCTGACGACCGCTCTGCTTCTCTGCAAGACGAGGAAGTACAGCATCACGATCATCGCGAAGCACATGCCAGGAGACTATGACATCGAATATGCCTCTCCATGGGCAGGGGTCAGTGACGAGAAGCCATTCCCTATATACCGCTGACTCTCCCTGCTGTAGGCGGATTTTGTGCCACCGCACGTCGGCATGGGAGTCTCGATGAAGGAGCCGCTTGAGCTCGCAACCTGGCCGGAGCTGGAGAGGTTGGCACGAGAGCAGCCGGAAGCTGGTATTCACTTGCAAGGTATATTCTTCTCCATGCGGACAACGAAGAACGTGCTGACACAAAGCAGAATCGATCTTCTACCGAAGGACCAAAGATCGAGACAACGAGAAAGGAAAGTACGTCGAAGATTTGATGAGAGACGACAATCCTTTCAGAAGGATGCTGCCGAACGTGAGCCGCCTTCTAAGCCATGACTGCCGTTGTAAGCTGCTGATTCTGCCAAAGTTCCGGATTCTACATAGGAATAAGCTACCACAAGGCATGGATGCGGCCGTGTCGTATACCAGTGTGTGCATCAATACCTCTTTGTACCTACCGTGGCTGGCTTCGCAATGCTTGAAGGCCGGCGTTGTCATGAAGAGAGGCATTCTTAACCACATCTCGGACGCAGCAGCCCTGCACCATTCCAGCAGTCCCGCGGAGCTTGTCGTCAACTGCACTGGCCTCTCTTCCCTAAGGCTGGGTGGCGTCGAAGACCTTACCTTGTACCCGTCTCGCGGCCAGACAGCCATTGTGCGCAACGAGCCAGGTGTGATCATGGCCTCAACCGGAACCGACGAGGAAACGGAGTCGACATATATCATGGACCGCGCTGCTGGCGGTGGGTGCGTTCTCGGCGGGTGCTCAGTAAAGAACAGCTGGGACAGCCAACCAGATCCGAATCTTGCCATCCGCATCATGAAGCGAGCCGTGGAGTTGTGTCCGAGCCTGGTGCCTCCAGGTCAGGGTATTGAAGCGTTGAGTGTCGTTCGCCATGCCGTTGGTCTGAGACCGATGAGGAAAGATGGCATCAGGATTGAGAAGGAGACCGTCCGACATCCGGATAGGAGGCCAGTGACTGTCGTCCACAACTACGGCCACGGAGGCGCTGGGTACCAGACGTCGTATGGTGCTGCGAAGAAGGCGGTTGCGCTGGTCGAGGACCGTTGGACGACACAAGCCAGGTTATGAGCTTGTGGACGTCGAAGTAGAGCAATGTTCAGATCTCTATCACGTGCGTCTCAGGGACACGAGCGCTCCTTCCGCTTTTGCTGGAAATTGCTGTTGCTGTCTTGGCAGCCTCACCCTTTTTTGCAAAATCTGCTTCGACTTTCTTCACGACTCGACGTCTATCATCAACGATAACAACAATCAGATATAACGACAATCATGGCCAGCGCGAAGGGAACTGCTGGTCCTCGTGACGCAGCTCGCTACTAGGAGGGTGAGCTTAGTGTTCATGAGGGTCAGCCAGAGTTCCTTGAGACCATGCAAGTCGCGTTCAATCACGTTCAGGCCATGCGGCCATCTTGGTGCTCAGAAGGGACATGGAACCTGCTTGTGATGGGTCATTTGGCGATGCCCAAAGCACACGCGCGATGTAAGTGCTCGATCATCCTTCTCTACATCACGAAGACTGACATGCATTGCAGCTGTGTACGAGGGCTACACGGGCATCTCCACCGAAGCGTCTCTGCTTAAGCCCGATGCTCCTCTTTCGACACCGTCACTTCCCAACAATGTGGCAGCGCCTTCGCTCACTACGAACGCCTCTGAGCGACCCCTGACCGACTGCAAGCCTCAGAAGGAGAATGCTGCAGCCCCGAAGCAGGAGACAGCCTCTCGCCACGCTCAGTAAGTTACTATTGCCATGTCAAACGCGATATCAAGCATTCCGCTGACTTACTATTCAGTCCAAGCAATGCTACATCGACATCGACACCTTCTCAGGTCTTGCAGCGAAGCCTCCCACAGCGCTCTCGACCAATGTACGTCACTTCATGCATCAGCACATCAGTCGCAATGTCTCAGCCTCGGCGAAGCATCTCGCTGACCTCTTTCATAGCCAATACCTACCTCACGTCGGACCAACGTCAACGGCGACGCCTGTACCGTCATCCGCCCCAGCACTGCCGCCGCCGCCACCACTTGCTCCAGCACCAGCAGCACCAAGATCCTCGGTCCAGACCATCACCAACATCGCTAGACAACTCTCCGACACCTGCAGGGTGGACGTCAGTTGCGGCGCCAAGTGGCCCGATCCCAACGCCCTCTATGGCGTTCGAGGCTGCAACAAGCTGCACCTATGCAAGGCGTTTTGGCGTGGTGCGAAGTACGGGTCGATGCAGGGCTGCAGGCGCGGTGGTGAGAACGTGCAGCACTACGATCATGCCACGGGGCGGCTGGTCTGGCACGGCCGTCCAAACTGTCAGCGGGAATTTCCGAGGACTGGTCGTGTGCGTCACTGTGCGCCAGGTTGTTCGTACGGCCACTCTCACCAGCAGATCCGGCAATCGATGGCACGAAAGAGGTAGTGTGGGCAGGAGTGATGTGAGAGACTGAGTTGGCTGAAAGTTGATTCACGTTTGAGAGTAGCTGGGTGGTGGGCGAAGCCCCAAGTGTGGTGTTGTCGTAGCTGAGAACGATTTCCCTACAAATGGAAGGCTTGTTGCACTGTTCTTGACCTCATCTCTCTCATCGTCTGTCTGTGTTTGAAGCCTGTGACAGCTATTCAATCATTCACACTCTCCATGCCAGGACGCAGTCGGTATACTCGCTCGGCAACATTACGAGCATGGAATACTGAGGAGGACACTCGCTTCAAGGACATGGATTTGTGAAACGCATCTTGTACTTGCCCGACTCCAGTTCTTTGACTTTGACTCCGACTTCACTCCACTCTGGCAAAGGTACACCACATCAGCATTTGCCATATCTTTGGACAGCAGCGAGACTCGCTGTCTCAGACATCCCAGCTCTTCCCAGCATCATGACTCTCTTGTGATGAGTTTCTGAGACCAGTGAAGTCCAAAAGAAAAGGACTGGACGCTGGTAGAACTAAGGTATACCAAAATATACAACCACCTTTCTACGTCCTCCCGTCCGATCCTGCGACTAAATGACACGCTGTAACAGCAAAAGTACATGCCCACACCCCGAATCGAACGAGGGATCTTGTCATAACGTGCTGCAAACTGGGGCGCCAGTTTTATACGAGTGACTGCAGGAACATTAGCATGGTGTTCAAATGTTCGAAAGGGAGCATGAGGACTCGATCCCACAGCTCAATCTTCGACAAAGGAGCAGTAGAACTTAAGGCCAAAGCCCGATTTTCCGAAAGAGAGCAGTAGAACTTACCACGCTGTACCACTAAGCCATGCGGGCTGCGTATAACACAGCACGGCTACCCAATATATGTTATAGATGTTGATATTGAGGCTTCCGAGCCGCGGATGAAGTCAAGGAACACTATCGACTGACCAGGTGGAACAAATGAAGCGGGTCACGTTGATGGGTAGTAACATCCTTTGCTTCTTCTTAGGACACTCACAATCTAATCCATGCCCAGCACGACCCATTACTTCTACCCCCAGACCCAAAAGAACCACGCTATGCAACCTCCCCAACCCGCTCATGCTCCTCCCCAAAACCCGATCGATGACCCCTTTACAAACGCCAACACCCACCCTCATCCCTCTATTGCGAGCCTCTACTCTCCACCCACCCTCATCTCATCTGATGCTGCTCCACCAACCACTCCATCACGCTCTCATAACACAACACGTACTGCCGCAGACTCTGCACCATGCTGATTCGCTGGCGACGGAAATCCTCCACCGTCTTCTCCACGAGATCGAGATCGTCGCGTTGCACCCAGGCGCCGTCGATGCCGTCGTCCCAGGAGGGTTCGGGGGCGGTGGTTGTGGAGGTGAAGAAGTCGAAACCACCAGATGCTTTTTCATTCTTGGAAGCGGCGAGTGTTCTGGCGACGGTGGTGGATTTGGGTGGAGGACTGTCGATATCCATTGGCGTGCCACCTCTTCTCGCAACTTTGGATTTCTCCTTGGCATCCTCTTCTCGCGATATCCGTTGTCGCTTCAGCATGTCGATGACTGAGTCGACGGTACAGAACGTCCCTGTCCGACCACACCCAGCCGAACAATGCACGAGCACAGGCCTCACATCCGCGCCAACGGGCTCAGAAGCACTTCCTGTACCTCCATTCGCTCTCCCGCCGTTCCCAGTGCTGCTGTCACTCCCTCGCGGTGTCCCCGTCTGCCGGACCACATTATCGCACTGCTCGACCAAACCCAACAGATCCGCAGGGTGCGCTGGTGCGCCAAAGTCAGGCCAGCTGGAATACTGCAGCTGCGTGATCTCCCGGATGGGTTCGAATGGGAAGCGTTCGTGGCTGAGCGTGAAGCGGCGGACAATGACGTGGGGCTCATCCGAGCGCTCTGGATTGTACGATGAGTCAAGCTGGGTATGCGGGATCTGAGGGCCAGACGCACGGGACTGCATCGATGGGCGTTGGGTCGTAGTGCTACTGGGGTGGCGATGCCGATGGATGCGTGCCAGATCGATGGAGGCGCGCTTCTCGGACAGGAAATCCAGCTTCAATCCGCCGTAGCTCTTGGGCGTCCAGTAGTTGTGCGCTTTCACCTGCGCACCCTCCTTCTCTGCCGTCAGCATGACGATGACGCGGACGTCCTGCTGCCAGACGACATTCCAGAAGTCGTTGAAAGTCGCCGGTATAGGCGCCTGAGTGGATATGTACCGCTTCCTGCTCCACGCCGCTTTCACGAAGCTCGCGTTGAAGTAGTCGCATGTGTGGGTCGGTACACCCTGCAGCTTCACCCTACAGTGCTCAAACGGCCAGATGTTGTTGTATCGGTTCTTCGCGCCTTTCTCAATGCCTGCAATTTGCAGTGCTGGCCCGCCCGGTGACTGCTTCTTCGGCGTTTGTGATCCGACATACGACACCTTCCCGGATAGCGCGTCCTCCATCCGCTTCTTCTCTCGCCGTTCGATGTGCTCGAACTTGCTGGCGACTTTCTTGCCTTGGTCTGCATCCTCGGCAGCCTGACGAAGCCATTCCGGAAAGTCTTTCTCGACGGATTTGGAAGACTGGTTGGGGTGTTTGAGAGCGATCTGGCCCACGCCACCGATGAGATCCATGTTCTGGCGAATGTTGCCAAAGAAAGGATTTGCAGGCTTGTCAGTAGATGGCATAGGGCAGCCGCCCATAACAGGAGCAATCTCAGGACCTTCGCTGTCGACGCCGTCGCTCTGATCAGAGTCGAATGAAGTCTCAATGTATGATGGGAAGCGGCGAGAGAATTCAGTGAAGCCGCCTTTTATAATGTAAAGCGTGCCGTCGTAGCCTTCACTCTTGAACTTCTTGATCGTGTTAAGACAGATGGTCGCGTCCTTCATCAAAGAGGATGATCCGTCATACACAATGATGTAGCCGCTGCTTCGCCACCGCTGGAACTGCCGCTTTTGTTCTTCGTCTTTGAAGGCATCTGCAAGCTTCTGGACGTTGAAAGAAGGTCGTTTCAGAAGTGTCGTTGGTATGCAGAGATTCAGCGCACCCGCAATGTGCGACCTTGCATACTGAGTCTGCACTCTCAGGTCCAAAAGTAAGACTTGCTTTGCCTCCAGCAGATTGACGACGTGTTGCGCGGTGACCATCGGCTGCGCATCTACAGACCCTGTCGATGCCGGCAATGTCTCTGCTCTGGGCTTGACATCACTGCTCATAGGCGTCTGCGGCTTCTTGTCCAGCGGCAGCGCGAACCTTGGCTGACTGTCCAGCGTGGCATCCTTGATCTCTCCAGACTCGCTATGCGTAAAGCTGGCCGGCGATGCGCGCCTAACTTCCTCCGGCAGAATCATGGAACCTGGCGACAGCACCCTCTTAGGACTCCGCCCCAGCTCCGCCACGCCGGGCTCTAGATTTCTCCTGTGCGCTGTCGTCTCTTTCTCCTTCGGCTGTTGAACCTTACTCGATGTGCGTCTGTGACTGTCCGGCTTAGGCGGCGCAGGCATGCTCATGCTGAAGTTGCTGCCCAAACCGCCCAAGTTGAACGCCTTACCCTCCGACTGGCGTCTGAAGGCATCGTAATCGGGATTCTGGTCAAGTGGCAATACACTCGGAGAGGCGGCGGCTGTTGAGCGTACCTTGGAGGATGGCGGGCTCCAGTTGCCGTTGGAATGTTGGGCAGACTTGGTTGGGAAAGAGGCATCTTCGGTCTGGAAGCCGAAGTAGTTCGGACTCGGCGTGTTGACGCTCGGGATGGAGGGTTGGCGGGGTGTTCGTGGGGAGAGAAGAGGAGGCATCGTCTGGCCTACAGAGCCAGGATGGTTGTTCGGCGGTCGTGCGGCGGGAGTGGTGGTCGGCCTCGAGGAGCGCGAGTTGGAGTGTAGTCGAGATGAGGTCGCCGTTTCAGTCATGCCGCGCAGGTTGACTAAGAAGGTTGTACAGGTAGGGGTCGTAGGCCGCTCTATCTACTCCATCATGGAGGAGGCTGTGGAGAGAAAGGTCGAGATGCTGACTCCCGAAGGTGGCACAAGAACGCACACGGGGGATGACGTCAAATGGTGAAGCACGAGGAGCGTTTGGGGCGGGTTGCTTGTTCTTTCTCAAGCGCTCACAAAGCCATTTTGCTTGCTCTTACCACAATCATCACATGTAGTGGTCCGTTGGGAGACAATAATCAAGAAAAGCTGGGTGCGCAGTGGAATCCACTGCTTTGCAACTGACAAACCCGCGGCGATTAGGTGGATTATCGCTCGACACACCGACCCTGCATACATCCCTGCACGTATGAACGCACATGGCTCGACAAGGTGTACCACTCCTGTCTACGAAGCTAATGATTATTCTATCATACCATCCGAAGAAGACACGGAGCACATCGAGACAGATCAACGGATCGTCAGAAAGTCTTCAGACACCTTCAGCATGTTGTAGACAACGGGAACAAACGTCTGGTGCCAGGTGATTGCATCAGTGGACCCCTTTTGCTGGGGAAAGCCTGGACTCCAACCGACCCAGACAAAGAGCGCTGAATTTAGCTATCAGCACGTGATACAGCCGCATCGTGCACCACCGCCTCAACCGCCTCAACGACAGATATTGTCAGAATATTCGAGACTAGTCTCAAGAGCACAGAATGCACAAATGCTCCTCCATAAGGCGACAGGTGTGTCTCTTCCCGCTGCAGCTCGCGGAGAAGGATCCGGCTTGAAAGTGCTAGTTATGCATCTACCATGCCCTGGCCGAAGCCACCAGCGGAGCAGCGGAATCCACTGAGGCCGGTCTTGAGATAGTGAATGGTCATGGGACTGGTCCACAATCACTGTTGGACCTTTGGGAGAGATTCGTCTAGTCACACCGGACACCACAGTTGCCATAGGCATAACGCCCCAATACTGCCTTTACCGCAAGAAGATGAATACATCTCACTGTGATCTTTGATCTCCCTCCCTGATCCTCCTCCACTCCCCTTCCAACATCCCATAACTAAACCCATCCCACCACCTTCCCCTATACCACAATTCCTCCCTCGCCCTCCCCTCAAACGTAAACCCAATCTTCTCATACAGCCTCCTCGCCCCTTTATTCCACTCAAAAGTCCTTACAACCACCCTATGCAAACCCGCAGCATCAAAAGCCCAGTCCAAACACCACCGTATCGCCTCCGTCCCGTAGCCCTTCCCTTGGTTTTCATGCACGATATCTATCCCGATCTCGCTGAAGCGATGCTGTGGCATGTTCGGGCCTAGTTTGCTGAGGTGTATGCATCCGATGGCTGTGGTGGTCTGGGCGGGAGTCGCTGGAGGGAGGCAGATTACGACGCCGAGGAGGGAGTCGGAGACGCTTTTCTGGTAGGCGGCGGCGTCGGCGCGGGTCTGGGGTCGGAGGAGGCGGGCGTTGGAGTTGGCGAAGTCGGCGTGGCGGAGTTGGATGGCTTGGAAGAGCGTGTCGTGGTCTGGAGACTCCGGGGCGACGTAGAGGAGGTTGGCGGAGCGGAATGGGTTGGCGGGATTGGCCATGGTGGCGGTGAGGCGCGTTGGTAACAAAAAGGCAGGGAAGGAGAGCAGACGGGCTGAAAGCTACACCTACCGTAGATACATGTAGTAGCAAGTAGAAGAGTATGCGACTTACAGATAGGACCAAACCCAGCTCGGACACCGCCATCGCTATCGCATTTCCAGCCGTTCTGCTTGGGCTATGAGTTACATCTTCTCGCACTTGAGAAGCAACAATCTACTCGCGATGGCCATAAGCGCAACGTTTTCGACAGCACCCTGTCTTGGAGACGGCAGGTGATCAGGCTGATGAGACGTGATGGAGGTGGAAGAAGATGAGGAGGCGAAGCGGAGTCGCTGCTGAAGCTCGGTTTGCTCGGTTTGGACGTCATGTCGTCGTTACATTGAATCTAAAGTGGAACTGAGCATTGATTTCGGACATTCAAATCTTTGTCAAGGATAATATCGACGATTTGTTACAGGTGAGGTTACAGTGATTGCATGATAACACACAATGGCGGAAGAGTGCCTCACAACTCCCCAAACACCACCACCTCTCAATGTCCCGAAGTCGGACAATGTTGTGAAGTTATCAGTCATCGACAGGTAACAAAAGATCAAATTCTGAGAATTCCATTGTTATTGCTAAGGTATCGACAGTACGTCTCGCGTGAACATCCCAATCGGACGTCTCCTCCAACCAGAATATACTGGGAAAGATAGGCTCACCGGACCATGCCTCAGCTTCTTCATAGAGCACCCGTCTAACAAACCAATTTTATTCGATCTGGGTATCCGCAAGGATTGGGAGAAACTGCCCATGTACCCCATGTGGAAGGAAAACAAGTGGGGCATTGACGTCGAAAAGGACGTTGCGACGATTTTGAAGGAGAATGGGGTGGATGTCGATGGAGGCGCGGTTGAGAGTATCATCTGGAGCCGTCAGTGGTCCCTCCCTCCTGACATCTCGAAGCATCGATCGTTGACAGACATGTAGACCACCACTGGGACCACGTAGGCGACGCCTCAACCTTCCCCGGCTCTACCGAACTCGTCGTCGGCCCAGGCTTCAAGGACGCACACCTCCCCGGCTACCCAGGGCGAAAAGAAGCTACCCTTATGGAGACCGACTTCGAAGGCCGCTCCCTCCGCGAAGTCAGCTTCGACCAGAAGAACAAGATCGGTCGCTTCAATGCCCACGACTACTTCGGCGACGGCTCCTTCTATCTCCTCGACACACCCGGTCATACTGTCGGCCATATCTGCGGCCTTGCGCGCGTGTCGACGAACCCGGATACCTTCGTCTTCATGGGCGGTGACGCTTCGCATCATGGCGGCGAGTTCAGACCAACGAAATGGTCGCCGATCCCGAAGGAGATCAAGCCCTCGCCATTCAAGCGCCGAACAGCGCATATCTGCCCCGGCGACCTGCTGCAGCATATCCACCGCAAAGGCGCCGCAGACGAGCCGTTCTACCTCGTGACGAAGAACTTCGCGCACGATAAGGCGGTCGCGGACTGGACGATCGAGGGTCTAGGCGAGTTTGACGCGCATGAGAATGTGCTCATGTTGATGGCGCATGATGATGTTACTGTTGGTCCGGCGCAGTTGGACTTTTATCCGAAGACGATTAATGATTGGTATGAGAAGAGTGTTGGGAAGAAGATAAAGTGGATGTTTTTGGGAGATTTTGAGGAGGCGACGGAGGCGAAGGAGAAGGGTGGGGAGGCCTTTGCTTGGGGTGAGTTTAAGGTCGAATGAAGGTGATGAAGTAGCAATAAGATGCGTTCGATCACCTGTACTGTACCTGTCTGCGTGTTGTCATATCTGGAAGTCTTCTCCCAGACCCAACTGCACTCAAGGAGGTCATATCGCTCTTATCGGCAGGCTGTCGTTATCTGTGAGAAGATTCTTTACACAGCTCACTCTGAGCTAGTGGGGCGATGCCACCTTCGACAGCCTGGCCATGTTAGAAGAGAAGCAGGACGTCTTGGAGCACTGCTGGCTGTCAAGTCCATTACCCTCCACCAACCGAGCGCAGGGCTGAATGTTGCACGACCAGCTCTAGGCTGTGCTACAGCCCGTAAGCTGAGATCTCGGTGGGCATTGTCGTTCCTGGCGTGCCTGGATGCTTACCCGCGTTACTCCCATGCTCTCCGCGGTCTCCATGGTGCACAGGCATGTCAAACAACCATCCAACCACGTGTTGCAGGGGGTGTAGCAGCGAGAAGCCATGTTCAATTCAGCCCTACTGTCTTATACGAGCAGTTCCATCGAATGAGATGCATGGACAGCGGTCCGAGTACTCGAGCCTGCTTACCACGACTAAGCCCACGTGTTATACCTGGTCGACAACGAGGTCCATTGTATCCTCAGCACACAGACGTCTCACGAGAGCCCCGGAGCTCGTTCGGTTGCACGTTCGACGTTCTAGACGCACAACATCCTGCAAGAAATAGCACACCGCTCACCTGAGCACAACACCTGCAGATAGGATAGCGACTCCGCCATTGTACCGTAAGCCTGGTGGCTTGCTGAGAAAACGACCAGCGGCCTGGCGTCCTGCTCGCCGACTTCGGTTACTCTCCCGCTCGTACTGCGGGCGCTGCTCGCCAATCTGCTTGCACATCTGACAAGATGGGGAGGAGCGCGCTGGCGGACTCGGTGTACACGAGGCCATGCGAGCGTCAGCCTGCTTGCGCACCCTTGGCGGGGCTTTAGGTGGATTGGGAAGCGATACGTGCGGAAGAGAGAACGAGTCTTTGGCAGCCAGATGCAAAGGCATGAGATCGACGATCAAACGCGCCTTGTGTTGAACATGTGTCCTGGCGGAAGATGCGGAAGCGGGACAACAATCAAGATTGATAATGTTAGGACTGATCAAGCACGTCACGAGCGCGAGTTGGCAGGAAGAGAAACCGGCCGGTGGTTGTTTGCGCTCCTCGGGCTCGGAGAGAAGTTGGTTCCATCCGCAGCAGCAGGATTCGTAAGGTTGGATCAGGGCTTGCAGGGATGTCGTAAGGCTCATCGCTCGTCGGGCCTTGGAGATGTAGATCTCCGAAGGCGGTGAACAACTTTTTGGACCAGTGGTGACGCTAAGGTGCCAGCAGTGTAGTTGTTGCGGCGGAGAAGACTGAGGAGACTGTTACTGAAGGAATGAAATGAGATTGAAGCGTGGTGGTTGTTTTGAATTGTTTTCGATTGTTTTGATGTGATTATATAGTAATGCCCAACTGTTGGCGTCCTCAACCTCGAACCCTGTAGCGACGAGGGAGGACTGCCCTGCTCCGTGTGTGTCCTCCGCCGAGCCAATGTCTTGTGAATATCATGAGATGAGTCCTCCGTAAATGTCCAATCCCCAAAAACTCCTTGCTCTGAATCGCTTATATCGCTCGCTTAAACGCTTGACAACAGCAGATGGAAGACGGAGATGACCAGTAGCTTAGCAAGCTGCTATAGGCCCTGAGAGGTAGTCTTCCATGCCGTTCTGCGACTTCAGGTCGTAGAGTGCTGCTGTCGCGATATCTTGTCGCTCCTTCTCGCTCATCTCCAGGGCGACGTTGCCAGGCGATGGGCATTCGTCCTCGTCCGAGCTGTACTCATCCTCCTCCATGGTGAGCTCAGGAGGGCTGGATTGCTTGTGGGATGGGGTTCGGGTGAGCGTCAGCTCTTGGTTGTCCCAGTCGAGATCGTCATTGTCGTCGAAGACGGGTACGAAGGAAGATGGGCTGTTCTCGAACTCCTCATCGTCTTCCATATCACTGTCGTCAGAGTCGCTGTCATCTGCCTCGTCGATCTGGTCGAGCCATTGGATGTGCTTTGGCTCTTCTGGCTTGGAAGCTGCCCGCACGCTCTGGTTGAACCAGTTCTCTTGTTCTCGCTCAGCCGATTGTAGCTCCTCCATAAGGTTGTCGAGAAGGTTGGCGTGGCCAACAAGCCGTCTCAAATTGTGGTCGGCAGCGCTGGCTTCCTTCCCCAACTGACGGCGTGCAGTGCTGGCGATGTAGTAGGTCTGAGTGAGGCTCATCTTTTGTTTCTTCCTTGGAGGCAGGGTGGGAGATGTTTGATGAACAGCCTGAGCGTCGATGGGGTCGAAGGTCGACTGAAGTCGGAGGTTGGAAGGCATTGTGATATAATGTCCTGAGGTATGACTCTGAAGGTCCGTGTTGTCGAACGGCAGAATTCTGGATGCCTGAGTCACGACTGATGATTATGTCGAAGCTTTGTCGTCTTCTCCTGTGTCGTGATTGTTCTGAAGTGGTGTTGGAAGAGTGTGATTGTGTTTGCTTGTTGTAGAGATCTGGAGAGTTGAAAGATATGTCGAGATCGAGGGCGCAGAGGCTGATATTTGTGTACGTTGACAAAGCCTTGATGATTGCAAACTCCGATGAGCCCGGGCGGACGTTGCTCACAAGGCCACCGCTTCCGCACGCTTTCACTCCGACCCGGATCCCTGCTCGGGCTTAGAAGTGTCCTTACGCTCGTAGCTGCAGCGACCAATCGCAACTTTGCATGGCTCGGGCTGTGTAAGCACTCGTCCGTCAGCCTGGCGGTCGAGAAACCCGCAGGGTTCGTTCTCTCATCTCGAGCCCTGCTTTCCCTTTTCGGTGTGCTTGCTGTCAAACTTCGTGGCTTGCTTTACAAGCACCAGCGAGGAGTCATCCCACGAGAAGGTCGTTCGGCGCCGCAGGACCGTAACAACGCGATCTCTCAATGATTCACACACACGTCCATCTCGCTTGGTCCATCTGAGTAAAGCCAATGCGTTGTGGATTCCTGCCAAGTGCAGGCTGCTACATTCTTGAGTAGGTTTGGCCGTGGCTTCGACGCGTACGATACACCGCGTATGCTCTCCGCCGTCGTTACCGGAAACATTGATGCTCCTTCTCCAGGCAACGGTCAAAGCAAATAGGCTTCTGCATAACGATAGTCAAAGGTCCCGTCTATCGTTACTGCGAGACAATGTCACCCGCATGACAATACAGTATGATGTTGCTGCACAGCGGAAGCGGTCTGTCCGTTGCAACCGCACAACGACCGCAATCGTGGCTGCATATCGTATGAGCAATGTAACAGCCAGGCATGCGAGGTGGTTCGACCGAATGATGCTAGGACTCAGGGCTGGCTGTGCTGCATAGCGTCCCAAGATTTGCGATACGACCATTTGCGATGCATCCTTCGTGGTAGCCTCTGCGTGGAGTCAAACACAAATCTACCCGAAACGGTGTGAATGCGACGATGCAGCATGCTGGCGGAATTCCGTAAGCTCCAGCTCCGGAATTTGGGCTACGGCCGCTACAAAGTGCGCTTACTTGCGTCTCCAGAATGTCTCCGCCCGACTGCTGGGCTCGCATTCGTTCGGCATGGGAGCTTCTACCACCCGAGCATTAAAGGCAGCTGTCGCTCGTTTCCATCAGCTGTCGCTGTCGCGGATGCTGGTGGCCCGAGTCTTTCTCGTGGTCTAACAGCACGTGGACCGTTCTCTCTTCTCGGACACTTGTCTCGACGGTCATGAGTGTATTGACTTCACCATACTCTTCTTCGCACTCTTGGACTTGGAGAGGCTTGCGGACCATGGGATCGTCCAGTTCGATCAAAGGTTCGATGCGGTGTTGTGTAAGCAAGATCCCGCCAATGTCCGCGCCCGCAGCTCTGAGCTCCGAAGGAATTGCTGATCAGTTTTGCTTAAGAATCGAATTCTCCCCGCTCCTGCTGTCGCGCCCGTCTTGTGTGATTGCTAAGAGACATAGGGTTGCTTTCGGGCTGCTAGTTTCTCCAGAATCGTGTCTTGAGACAATGTACTACAAGTCCTGATGCCACGACAGGTCAGGAACGAGGTCGCGGAGAATGTAGGTTGGCTGTTGGCGACCGGTAGTGACTCGTAGCACACGAAGAACAGACCATGAGTACCAGACAGGTCTGTATCCTTTCTTAGCCATCCGCAGCGGCGTCCATATCTTCATCTCCAACAGCGGATGCTGGGGGACGTGTTTCCCTGAATCCTTTCGTGCCTTCAGGATCGACGGGCCAGTCCGAGAGTGTGCATGGCGACCTGGACAACCATCTTCGAGTGACACCAAAAGGTATCTGCACGGGCATCCCAATCGCCATAATTGATTTGGATGATCAGCAGGTGAGGTCAAACCAAGGTTACCGGACGGGACGTCTCCCGCTGAAGACGTCGTGCCTTCCTCATATATGCGAGCACGCCGGGCCACGTGAAGAGCTAAATCTGGATATACCCTAAGAACGAATGCACGCAGTATGGAGAAGATATTTGAAACAAGAAGCCTCAGCGATGTCGAGATGGAAGTACAGCTACTTTAAGAAATGGATGAGACGCGAGCATGTGGAACAAGTCCATTCTGGCTACATGTATCGGATGAGCATCGTCATCGACACGAGGAGATGCGTCGCTCCCCTAGCAATGCTATTCGAGCATCACGCAGCGGACTGGTGGAGCATCGTCCATCGGCAGTGCCATCTCCACAGCGTCCTGGCCATCTATCGCACAACCCTCTTGAACGCACGCTCCTTCTCGACCCGGATCTGAGCATGATCGTGTCCGAATGGACATGGTGGAGCGCATGACCTCCATCGCCCTACGCCAGGGAACGCCTTGTTGCAGTTGGGCCTCACATGCACGACTGTATGCCCGGCGACGTCGTCGAAGTGCTGGACACCATCGCCACCAGCGGGACACGCCTCCCCCGACTTTGACTTGATGCTATTCCAGAAGACTTTGCAAATATGGCTCTCGTTGCAGCCTTGCACTCGGCATGGGGCTGTACAATCAGACCATCTGGCCTTGCAGCTGACGTCTTCCATGCAGGTGTTCACAAGCTGCGTCGCCGGATCTTGTAGAGTGGGCTGGACAGTGGGCACCGAGACAGATACTGGAAGCTTGGAGCTGGTCTTCAAACTCAAGCCGCTTCTTACTTTGAATACGCTGCTGACCGGAGTGACACGAGGTTTGAAAGAGAATGCTGCTTACTTGTGAATGACATTGCGCGGTGCTACTGCCAGCGTCTCTGTGTGCGGGGCAGAGGAGGAGGATGCTGGACTGCCGGCCGCGGGAGTGACGTGAGAACGCAGACGCAGATGAGGTGGCACCCAAGCTGGAGGAGTAGTGCTGTGTGCAGTCTTGTCGAAGGCTGACGGCTCCTGAGCAGTGATGGGGTGGGAGAATGATTGATGTGCATCGACATCGCCGAACTCGACGTTGCTGGGGGAGCTCCTGTGCATCGACAGTGAGCAAATCGGCGTTCTTCAGAGGCGACGTCTCTTTCTGCGCATCGGCATGTGGCTGCTGCTCAGCGGCAGTCGACACGTACCGGTCGTACACGGCTGAGTTCTTGTCAGCTCTGATAGGCGGGTGAGTGATTTGAAGACTTACAACGTGCGTTTAGGCTCACAACGGCCAGCTGACTTGACACAGCATGATGCCAGGCGGGCGAAGACCACTGCGATGGCCGAAGGTTCTGAACGTGATGGAAGGCCTCACGGAGCTGATACTCGCCTCCGTGGTGACCGGGCCAGAGACCGCGATCTTCGAGCACCCGGTGCCAGTGCAGTGCTGTATCGAGCTCCGGACAGTCAGACGGCTGGACGCCGTCCATGACTGCTGCAACGAGAGGTGTGACAAGATGAGTTTAGTAGGTGTGGTGAGTGTTTGGTATAGCGATTATGGTTACGTGTTGGTTGCGACGGAAGGTTGGAAAGCAGAAGCTGAAGGTTGGAGGAAAAGGTGAGGTTGACAAGGCGGCAGCATCACCCTCATACAGAATGGGAAGGAGCGGCCTCACGCTGGCCAGGCTCGATGCATGTGATTCTAGTGGAGAGACGAACGGTGGCTGTCAAAGACAGCAATTCTCTTCTCAAGGCCGCGACGATCTACGGTCATCTAAGGGTCCGTGAAGCGGCGGATAGTAGCTTGGTGAGCTACACTTCAACTACGGCAGAGGCATCGAGATCAAGAAAGGATGGTGATCGCATGATCGCATGGTGATGAACATTGGCTTTGCAATAGCTATGTAGTTTTGCAAGTTGCTATCGCTAGCTTTCCTCTCAGTATCAGCGACGAGCTGTCCTTCACTGCAACTGCGGCTCATAGGCCTTCCGGGGTCCCAGACACAGATCTACCCGCCTCCTGCGCACATATCCTGCTTCCTCTACATCCGCGAGAGCGCCATCCTGATGTCCGCGTGGTCGTGGCCGAAGGGACATGATTGCTTGTCGGGTGGAATCTGGCAGACTCGGGCTCGACCGGACCTTGGCGACTGCTTCTGACCGTTCGGCCTTCCGTGCCACACGATCTGCCCCGTCACACGGTGCCGGTGCTGAACATTCTTTCCACCGAAGGGACAGCCGGTCGGAGAGCCAGCCTTCACCGAACGCCAGAAAGCCTTGCAGAAGTGGAGTTTGTGGCATCGATTGATCCCGCAGGGAGTCCCATCAGACCACCTTGCGTAGTTGCTCACGTGGACCTTGCAGGTATTCGACAGTTGTGCCCTGACGTTGAAAACGAACTGCCCTTGGGCCAGTGGGGCGGGCTGTGCCGGTGGTGGTGCTTGCGCTGGCAATGGTGCTGGCCTTGCGGCAGGGTAGCTAAAGTAGAGATCAGCCTTGTGTTCAATGAATGGTGCGCTGCAGTGAGGTTTGCAGCAGACAGGGGTGTGGTCTGACAGACTTCTGCTGATAAAGCACAGAGGCTTGCGGTGGTGCTGGTGCTGGTGCTGATGGATGGAGGTTCTGACTGCAAGAAGGTTGAGAGTCAGCAAGAGTGGTAAAGGGCAAACATAAGAGCATGTTCTTACCTGGCTTGACTGCTGGTGGTGAGGCTTTGCTCCGATGATGCTGCAGTGCCCTTCAGGCCTCGGGCGTTGCCGTTCTGGGAGGAGCGGGTTGACTGTCGCAAAGCCAACGGACCGCTCATAGGCGAGGTCGACGGGCGCGGATCATAGTCCAAGAGATGCTGGTTGGTCTTGCTACACACAGAGGCGTTGTACGAGCCTTAGATCACGATCAGCTTTTGCGGCGTTTGAGATATCTGCTATACAACTTACTGCGAGCTTGTGGGTTGAGCGCAGCCAGATGGTGTAGCACGAGGTGGTCCCATGTATTTTGCGAGGTACGCGAGAATGGACGTAGAGCCTGGACGTGGGCGAAGGCATTTGCCATGGCTGGAGAGCTGCATGACTGTCCCGCTCGATTGCTGGACTCGCTCTCCTAGTAGCGAGCCGCAACGAGTGAAGCGTCATCAGCAACCGTGTTCGCCATGGTGGTCGTGATGGGTGATTGTTGTTGTTGATGAAAGTCGAGTCGTGAAGCTGAGAGTGGAAGCAAAATTTGCGAAAAGGAGTGTGGCCGCCAAGCCAAGCCCGGCCACTGCTCACAAGGACGGAAGGAGCGACACGATGCATGTGACCAGCGACCTCACCTCTCGAATTTGCTTCATAGACACCTGCCGGTAGAGTTGTACAACCGTCAGCGACTGCCAGAGCATCGTCGCGGTGGCTGTTGCAGACTCGCTCGAACGTATACCGCCGTTCATCTTAGTTTCTCGCATACCAGCACCTAGGGACACCCTATGGTCACTCGCCGCAGTGGCAGCAGTTTCCATGCTCTCTCGGAGAACCAGCGGACACGATCTTCCTGCAGAGCCTCTTCTCACAGCTCTCTCAGAATGCCATGTTCTCTTGTCCTCGACTGCAGTGCCGGCTCAAACGTACACCACCCGGAGACCTCCCCTCGGACAGCTGCGTGTTCCAACGACTCCCACGGCGAGCATGATAGACTTCAACTGAAGAACAGAGCCATGAGAAGAAATGGCATGGACTGAGCATGCGCAGAACGACTTGCTAATGCATTGGTACTTACGAATATGATGGTGCCCTCGACACCCGAACAGACGCGATCGGGCTCTCACTGCTACCTGTTCCATGGCACCCTCTTCCCTTTTCCGCAGATGGTCTCTCTCGAGAGGAATCTCATACTAAGGAACGCCTGGTCCCTACGTGCTACCAACCGTGCTTTTGGAGATGCGCTTTGCACTGGCGCTGCCCTCGTCCGCCGATATCTTGGATGCGATCTCATGGCCGTGTACAGTCATGTTGAACGCCTCGAAGAGCCCCGCAAAGCGTACCGTTGAAGGATGCAAAACTTGCGTCCGGGTAACCTGCTCTCCTGCGGCCTGGTGTAATGGCGTTGAAGCTCGAAGTTCCGTTCTCATCGGGGAGAACTGCAAGAGACCGCGAAATCTCGCAGCAGCATTTCGATCGGGCGCTTCTCTGCGCCAGATTTACTCTTGGAAGAACCTTCGCTCATCCCGTTGAAGGCTTGATGGATCGGATGGGAGGGGAGAAGTCAGGAAGCGAAAGAGGTGAAGTTCCTGGGCGAGCCTAATCCCGAAATGGCAGGAAAAAGTCAAGCATCACGTGATTTGAAAGAGCGCAAGAGGCTGGCTGTCTCAGACAGCCGGGCTCTTTCTCTCCCCCCAGGAAACACAATCGCTGTCATTGACAGCCGCTTCGAATTACGATTGAGCTTCGCTATCTCGGAGAACGTGCTTGCTGGGGGACTTTGCTACTCGTACACGTATCGAGTCAGATGAATGCATTCATTATACATCTCACGATGCATGCAACGATCTCTATATCAGAAAGGCCAAAGTGCCGTCATACGTTCATGCATTAATGCAAAATGCTTCATGATCTCTCCTGCACCCACAGCTCCATCTTGCCCATATCCGCCTTCTCCTTGGCCGCCGCACTCTTACATATCGACAAAGCCATGTCGAGATCGTCTTGATCTCCGAGAACAACCAGATCGCCTGCGATAAAGTCAGCACAGTTTCTTGCCACTAGAAGTGTGGAAAAGGCAGAACTCACCATCCTCATCCTTCATCTTCAACTTAAACTCCACCCCTAACCCAAACTTGCCCCGTATCTGCTCCGCGAGCTGCGGATACGTCACATCCGGCGTCGTCATCACATACCGCATATCCTCCGCATGCACCTTAATCCGCACCTTCTTCAGCTCCGGGGCCCGTCGCGCATACGACCGCTGTCGCTGATGCAGCGCCGGTCGTGGCGGGATGATCTCGAATGCTAGAGGCGGCTCCGCGGGGTCGGAACTATCATCTTCCTCTTCTTCCTCTTCGGAGATTGTGAGGGGTTGGTTGACGGGTTGCGGTTTGTAGGTGTTGGCGCTGGAGCGGGAGCGGTGGTGTGTTCGTTGTTGTGGGGGGCTGGAGGCGAAGTCGGTAGCGGAGATGGGGTCTTCGACGACTCGGACTTCGGGGATGAGGTGGTCGGGTCGTCGGTCGGAGGGTTGGCGGAGGCTGTCGTAGGTGCGGTTGGATGTGTTGGAGTATTCTCTGCGGAAGGCGGGGCGTTCGGATTCGGAGCGTTTGGGTGCTATTCGTGGTTTGTCCAAGGCATGTTGGGATTGCTGTGGTTGTGTTGGTGGTTGGGGTTGTGTTCTCTGCTCGAAAGCAGCGGCGCCGAGTTCGAGTCGCAGCGACTTGGCGGCAGGCCGAGACTGTAGTAAGCTATTGGAGGAGTGTCCGCTATCGTTCGACCTTCGTCTTGTATGACCGTGCGATGACTCTGTCTGTTGCTGTGGTTGTTGTTCAGGCTCTGGTGGCGGTGTAGGCGGGAAGACGTGTCGATTTAACGGCGGCTCCGACTGCTGTCGTGATCTACTCCTCAGATCAGGCCGGACCAAGTTCAGCGCAGCATACGACAGCTTGTCTCCTGGCCGGTCATCAATCGCCATTGCTGCAAGCGCAGCTTGTCTTCGTGGGTCCAGATTCTGCTGATGTTCCTGCTGCGCGACAAGCCTTGCCTTGCCCAGGTAGTCCTTCGTCTTCAAGTTCTTCACCTTGGCTTCATTCGGCCGATATACCACACCCACGGGTATCGAGAATACGGTATATCCCTCCGCCTGCTCCTTGATCGCCTCATCAATCACATCATGGTCCGGCACTCGCTTCTCCCTCGCCGCAACAATCAGATCATTCATCCCGGCATCTTTCTGTTGCAGATATATGTAGCACAACCCTCGGTTAAAGACCACTTCGCACGAGTACAGCTTGAACTTCAGCCCGAGCTGTTCGTAGTCGATGTTGTTGTTGCCGCGCAGGTATAGCAGAGTATCGTTGAAGTTTGCGAGTGCTTCTTCGAAGTCGCCCATCAAGAAGTTGCTGACGCCCTGCTGGAAGTATGCCACTGCCAGGTACTGGTCCAGGTGGACTGCGCGCTGGTAGCTTTCCACTGCCCTCGCATGTTCGCCCAGAGTCGCATTGATCACCCCAACGTTGAACAATATCTTTGACGTATCCGCGATTTGCTCGAAGTGTCTCAGCGCATGGTCGAATTCGTTATTGTCGTAGGCCTCGAGCGCAGTCACCCAAGTCTGGATTTCCTGCTTGAGCGACATCCCGACGGCCCTGACCACACCTCCTCTTCCGATATACTACAGATGCTGCCGCTGAAGATACGGTAATAGCCTTTCCTAAGGTTCTCTTCTCAGCTACCAACAGACCCCTCGTCTTACTGCATTGGCGCGTGAAGTGGTACCTCGGTGGGTCCTGGTCGCACAGAAGGGTTGAGATGGAACGCCTGCTCGCTCGAAGAAATGGTATAGATACAGCACTCAACTCTGCAGGAAAGAACACACCGAACCTACCTCCGGGACTCCGTGCCTCTATATCGCCAACCAACACCACGAAACCAGCTCGCCGTGGGTGTCCAGCGCGTAACGAATGGTGCTCGAAGAGTGGACCTTTCACATTGGCGGGCACGGCGTGCGCCGAGCCTTAGATCACCTTCCAGGAACGGGTTCCAGCCTCTCGGGAAGCGAGATCGCAGTGCCGCGATGCCTGAGGTGGCTTGTCAAGGCGTGTGCAACGTCGGCTCTGCTGCAGCGTGTGGTGACCCGGCGGCGCTTACTCGCAGCTGGCGATTTGCGGCTGCTGGATACGTTTGGGGAAGCGAGGCGATGTCGACGTGCTCTTTGGTTGGTGATGATGTTGGTACACGAGTCAAGGAGAGAATGTCTTGGAATGTGGACGAGTCTTGACGGCCGCAATCAGCACGATGGGCCCTTGATTGAATGCCAGCGATCTCGGCGTCCATCGAATGGGAGACATTACACCGGTGACTGCGTGCGAGCAGCGTTCGTTGGTGACAGTGGCTTTATTCGGTGGCTTTAGCGTTTGTGCGAGACAGCAGCACGAGCAGAGCGAACAGATTGGCGAGCGAACGCTGATTGTGTGTGACCAACGTGCCCGAGGTTGATCTGAATGTCCCCGTCAGGCTGTATATGTCTCTCCAGTCTAGACTATAAGAAAAGTATACCCAGGAGTCTCTAGGTAGGAGGACGTTGAGCGGAGTAGAGGTGAGGAAGAGTAAGCGGACGGTATTGTGATATGGCTCTCCGAGGAAGCAAGAACAGTATCGCCCAGCAGGAGACTTCATAGCAGGCGATAGCGTCACGGAGAAGCCAGAACCTGACCACCCGCTTATAATATATCGCCTGCCGTCTTCGTCACATGCAAAGACCAGCACATGCAAAGACCAGCACGAATGGAAGGTTGAGATCGCTGTCGTCACAATCGAACATTCAATACACATCATCATCAACCGTCATACCTAAACCCTCAAACCCCCTCTCCTTCCCTCGCGGAGACCTTTCAGCCCATCCTCCAACCCGTCACTCAGAAAATTCATATCATGCCACACAAAAAACGCTGATGCACCCACCCTCTCCATCCCTCACTCAAACCCCAACGCCATGCTGCCATCCAAAAACAGAATACCAATTCTCAGCCAAACGGGGATGCCAAATGCCACCAAGTAGTGAAAGTATGTGCAGTGCATGCACCTCAAGTCTTCCACCAACTAAACAAGATTGCAAAGACGACAATCAGACCAGGCGTGAAGTAGTGTACGGCTAGTCAGAATATCTGACACGCGCTACTCTGGTACCTGATTATGTTCGTGTTAGTCCGCGTTCTTTCGTGGGTCAATGTGCGGCGGAGCCTTGCTCAGCGGAGTGCTCAGCAGTGTCATCCCTTTGGAAGAAAGGTCGAAGTCAGCCCACCCACGTCGACTGACATTGCAAGATATGCTGATGCGTTGCGGGGCAGGTGGGAGGAACGGGACATACTTGGGCAAGGCATGGGGTAAAGAAATGGACTCACCATCGCTGAGACTCGATCCGTTTGATCCACGCGGCTGTGATCTTCAACCTATCGCGCACCGTCCGCGTATCGAGCAGCTTGTACTTCTCCTCTTCACTGATGGGCAGCACGCTCGCGAACCAGTACGGAAACAGTCGCGCGTCGTCTGGAGGCTGACCGTGGATATCCAGGACTCGTTGCTGCAGCCAATTCGCACTTCGGCCTTGCATGCGCCGCACGAACTCTTGGCCGAATCGGAGAAGGTCGACTGTTGGCATGCGCGCAATCTGCGCGTGGACATCTTCCTCGTCGGCTGGTGGCGGCTGAGAGGTCTCGGCTGCTTCTATCCGCTCCTCTTCGGCCAGGTTGACGTCGTGGATGAGTTCGACGTTGCCGATGGCGTAACCGTCCGCAACACCGTGTCTAGTGACGCGGAACCGCTCGGTGCCTACTGTCTCGACAAGACTTGTGCCGTCGGCAAGGAGTTGCGCGCGGACGATGCGGAGCATGGTCCCGATTTGGTAGAAGTGCACTGGTCCCAGATCTCCTTGCGGCTCGCTGTACCGGTTGTACATCAAGATGCCGAACTCTCGTGAGCCTTCGAGACATCGCCGCAGCATCAGCCGGTATCGAGGCTCGAAGATCCGTAGGAATGTAGGCTGTTCGGGAAAGCCAAGAGTGCAGACGAACAGCGGCGTGTTCATATCGCCTTGAGCGATCTCCTGTTCTTCTGCAGCGACAGTTTCTCTTCTCGCCTTGACCATGTCCGGCCATAGCGTGTTGGACAAGTCGACCAGCGTCTTGTTGTTGGGATGCAGTCCGATCGTGGGTGGAAGAGCCAGCACCCTCCTGCAGATCGGGCAGTGCAGCGAGTGATCCAGCACTCGGCTCATGCATACCCTGCACAATGTGTGGCCGCAGAAGGTGGTGACTGGGTCTAGCATCAAGTTGTAGCAGACCTGACAATCTACCTGTGGAAGTGCCGTATCCGAGATGTCGTGCATCATTGTAAAATCTGCAGAGCGCTCGCTTTCTGCTGCCGTGCCCGAGTCGTACTTGATAGTATCACTATCCAGCGACAGCTGTCCTTGCATAGCCAATATGTATGCTGCCAGCAGCCGTCCCCGTGGTAGTGATGTCTCCGATTCGGCCTTCTCATCAAGCACCTCTCCCAACACCTGCTCTTGCATCTGCACGTCCGTGTCTCCCTGTGCTCTTAACTTGTTCGAAATAATATTCTCATATCTTGCAAACACCTCCGCAATCACCTCCATGACCTTGTTCAGCGCCACGTCGACATTGCAATCCGACGCCGAGTGCTCTCGCTCGCAGCTCGGGAACGGACACTGAATGCCCTTCCGTCGATTGGGTATGTCTGGATACGATATGCCTTCCCGCTCATGTGCCTCCGGCAGGCACTCTCGACACAGCGAGTTGCCGCATGGTAATGTGACCGGCGAGCGATAAGGCCTCGCGCACTGCGAGCACTGCAGCAGTCGCACGAACTTCCTCGCCTCCCCGTGCGCGTCTAAGCCAAGGCGTCTGCTTTCCACCGTCCCAGCATCTTGATTCATCAAGACGGACTGACGCGAGCGCCAGTATCCTTCCGCCTTCACCGTGCGATGAAAGCCAGGTGTTATGGCGCTGTCGCCAGGTTTATATTCTGGTGCTATATTGCGAACGCCAGGCGTCCATTCGATCCGAGTTGAAGTGTTTCGCGAATTGATCGTAGACTAGACTTGGGGATGTCCGGTCCCGCGGTACTGGGTGTCTTCAGGTAGTTGTCCCTTCGATGACGTATGATCCGGGGGTTTGCTCGCGGCGAACAATGAAGAGAATCGAGGGTGAACTCCCAGAAGTATTAGCCGGTCAATCAGGACGACGTGTACGGACAGGGTAAGGAAGAAGATATGTGCAACGTGAAGATTGCTTGTTGCGTAGAAGGCATAGAAGGGGAGAAAACGACGACATGGAAGACGCAATAGAGAGCAAGCAATGAGAAGGCATCGGACCTCAGTCCGCTGCCGGCAAGGACGCGGCAGGCCGTGTTGGAGCCGTCAGAGACTTTCCAGTTGGTCGGCGAAAGGCTGCATGACGGTTACATCTGATCTGGTCTGCAGAGCGTGATCATCCGGCCTGAGGTGTGAGCAGGAGGGTGCGCTAAGCACGAGCTGTGGTCGTCGAGATCGCGCACGCGCGCCACAGCTGCCACGTTAGGCCATTGTCTGGCGCTGGACTCCGGACTGCCCACACATCTCAACCAGGGGCGGTCGAGGCAGGGAAGGATGTGTCTGGGAGATCTCGACATCAAGCATTCTAGACCGTCAGTTGCCACAAAGCATTTGGAAATGTGCCATCGATCACTCGTCAAAGATGCATGAACCCGATCTGAGTGAGATATTGTTCGAACGGAGATCGAGAATCTCAAGGCAATTCCTCCACACGGCGGAAAGCCGCCGACGCCACCTTGTTAGCCTGCCTCCAGCTACATACCCGGCACATGCCCGGACGGACGCCTTCGTATAAGCAACCTCGCGGACAATATAACTGCATGATCAAACTGCCAAGCAAGAGACAGTGAAATCGACCACCCGGCCACATCTGGCGGTCTTCTCCAAGACGAGGTTGCAGGCAAAGGCCATATCACTCTCGTCAGCGGGTGGCCACTGTCTGTGAGAAGGTCCACTACACGGCTCATTCTGACCTGGCCAAGCTGGCGTGCCGATTTTACGATCGACAGCTTGACTGCCACCGATACAATTTGGGCACCGCAAGAACAGCACGTTGTGCGAGCTTAAGCACGTGTCGAACAGGTAGCAAATGCGAGGAGAATGGATTTAGCTCGTCGACTTGTTCTTGGTTGGAGCTTCCACTCAATACCATCTATTCATCATGTTCACTAATCGTACCATAGCATCCATCGTCAGCACCACGCGAAAATGCACAATGCCCTTCTCCGCCTCAGACAGTCCCGCAGATCTGTGTTGAGCTCATATCTCCCTCACGAGTTTGGTCCATGCACTGGAGCGTAGGTCTGGACCCCATCCACGGCCAGCCCTCTGCGCGGTATGCTTGGCGTTCTGGCCTACTTCTCGGCTACACCGACACTCCGTGGGGCGTTCAGAAAGCCGGACTGTCGGCGTACGTTCGCCGCGTCTAGGCTGGGAACATGGCGATCACCAACTGCAGGCTCCACAAAGTTCGGGGAGTCACGCTCGGCTCATCGTCCGGGTCCGCCGTGCAGCAAGAATCACCGCTGTGCCCCCGTGGTCTGTGGAGGCTCATTAATCGGCCGCTGTTCGAAGCCGGCATGAGTTATATGTGCATTTCCGGCATCTCCTGCGATGGTCGTGTTTCGAAATAGTCTCCTCTTTCGCATCCGTTGGTCCTAGGCGGTTTTGTTCCAGGAGAAGACCGCCCCCTCTTAGCCATCTAGTCCGATGTGCTCGAAAGTCCACGAGATTCAAGAGCACCTCAAGTCCCACTCCTCGTCCTCTCCATCCCTCCCGCCTCATCCTCACTCCCCTCACTCTCCTCGTCGTCACTCTCCTCCTCCTCCAGCACAATCTTCCTTAACACCTCCTTCTCAAACAGATCAATCACAAACCTCCACTGCGGAATCCCATACCCATGCCCCGCCAGCACCAACATCGCCTTCTTGAACAGCCGCACCGACCGGAACCCAGGCACCTTCTTATGCTTGAAAGCGCTCAGCTCCGCTAGCGCCTTGTTCGTCAGCACCGTGTTACCGAGCTTGACGATGGACGCCAGGATGCCCGCATTCGTGGGGTCGGCGTCCGTGACGGTGCCGGCGGGTCGGGTGCGGATGAGGGAGGTGCGGCGGTCTTTGCCGGCTTGCGCGAAGGGGCGGAGGGAGAAGAGTTTGTTGAAGTCGAGCGGGAGGGTGTAGCCCAGGCCTTCGCCCATGACGTTGATGGTGCCGTCCCAGCCGTAGTCGGCGAGGATTTCTTGCCCATGGAGGCTGCGGGAGATGAGGCCGAGGACGAAGAAGGCCGTGCCGCGGAGGGTCATGACTTGGGATTCTTCGGCGACGAGGACGATGTACTTGATCACGTCTGTTTGTTCGAGGAAGGGGGCGCCGAGTTCCATGGAGCCGACATTGCCGACGGCCCAGAGGCAGCCTTTGACTTTGAGGATGGTTTCCGGGTCTTCATCCTCCATAGCGAAGTCCTGGATCGTGGCGGCGAATTCTTCGAAGTGTCGTTTCGCCTTGAGCAGCTCGCAGCCCTCGGCTGTCCGGGTGAGCTCGCGGTAGAAGTGCGGCGGTACACTGCTGTAGTACGAAGTCGGCTCCAGCTGATCGTCGTTCAAGCCGCCACTGATTGGCTTCTCAGTAGGAACGTCCGTGGCCAGGGCTCTTGCGAGAGATGCTTCGACAAGCGTGACGTAGGTGTCGTTTCTGCCCAAAAACCAATCGTCCATCTCCTTAGTGATGTAGTCCAGGCCGTCGAGATAATGGTATCCCACACTCGTGCTCAAGAACCTGAGCAGCAGCGGTGCACCAATCTCGCCGAGATGGTCGAGCGCAGGCCGGCATTTGACCACATACTCCAGCGAGGTCAAGCTATTACAAGCTTCCTCCAAGATCTTGATCGCAACCTCGCAAACCTCGATCTCTGGATCGTACAGCTGGCCCACCAAAAGTCGAATCGACCACTCCGCAGCTCCGCCTCCAACGACCGTCTGGGTCTGTATTGGCATGAGAGCATACTTCCGCAACATGCGTGTGGCCGTGATGCGCATCACTTTGCTACCCGCAATCATCGCCTTGGACACGATGATGCGTGGGTGCGAGTCAAGAGTGTAGTCCAGATTCGTCAGCAGCGCCCTGATTAGATCATCCCGATCTTTAAGCTCGACGATGTGGTAGAACATGTTGATGATCCTCCATCGGATCAGGATGTGGATGCCTCGTTGGTCGCGGCACATGACACCGAGCATGGTGAAGTAGCCACCTACAAGCTTTTCTGATAGCTTTTGCGGGTCGAAGATATTGGTCTGCGATGTGATACCACTCGCTGGATCAAGCTGAGCAAGGCACTCTGCAAGCTGAGGCATGACCTTCGAACTGGACAGGTACTGATATCCCTCCTGATGCTGAAGCATGCATTTGACAAGACTGCAGGCGGTCCGGACATACCGCTGATTCGATTTCGTGTTCGCCTCGTGAGAGAAGCGGAACTTGAACGGTCGAAGAAAGCCAAGCAGACGATGGATGAACTTCTCTTGCTTCAAAGCCTCCAAGAAACGCTGTGGGTTCACCATTGGACCTTCAACCAGCTCCTGGATCAGTGGCCAATCCCACTTAAGGAAGTTGACACCGGCCAGGACTCCTGTGTCCGTCATCTTCTGCTTGAAGAGGGCTGCGTCCATAGTGGCGTTGACTTGAGTCTTACTCGTGGCGCGAGCTCGCGCTGTGCTGCCGTCGTCGCCAAAAGGTGGTGGTGTCTGCGTGGTGCTTGCCTGGCCGTTGAGAGATCTGTATAGGGTGCGATTGATGCTGTCGACCTGGTACACGGTTGCCAGCGCTTGGAACCGCTCTTCTTGTCCAAAGCGTGTTGCAGCGTCCAGCAAGCCGGGCATGGCCTGCAAGCCTTGACTCCAGTTCGTCGGCAGCAGCTCGGATGACATTCGTAGTACTTCAGCAATAAGCAGTGTCGTCTGCCGTTTCAGCCCTTGAGTTGGCGAGTCACTTTCAGCATACATCAGGCCTTTCAACAAACCATGGCGGAGCAAGACCGCCAAGGCAACGGCTGTGAAGTGCTCAACCAGGTTCCGCTTCTGCTCATCGTTCTGAGCCTCGGGCTGATGCTTTTCAGATTCCAGGTGGTCCAGCTTGAGATTGCCCACTCTATTGTACGTAGTCAATCTTCTGCCGCCGATGAAAGTGGCTGACCAAGACGGCGACTTTATGCGCAAGATATCGATGAGAAGACCCAGGGTAGCTGCCCGGACAGATTCGTGAGAAATGAACAGCGATGATACCACTGACCGCACCGGCAGGAAATCATGTAGGCTCAGCGTCATCAAGCCCGGCCAAGACTTGAACATGGCGGCAATGACTCTCGAGCTGGCCTGGAGTCGTTCCTCAAAGTGGCTGCCATGTGGTTCGGTGAAAGTGGCAAACGCAGAGCTGAACTCGAAGCCAGATCTCAACATACTTCGCCGTGCCGGTAGGTCCATCAGGTGCAGAAGCGGATGGATCAATGCCTCGGGAGCATGATAGACGCCGCTACCCATTGCATCGGCGAGCACACTGACCCCGCCAGCATTAATGACGAGCTGTGCGTCTTTCAGCAGCATCTCTGCAAGGGTCAAGATAGCAATACTTCTCAGCGAGTCATCTGAGTGGTCAGCGACTGCTACAATTACTCGAACGACCGCTGGGTGGATCTCAGAGCAGCCGTCCTTGACGTCCAGAAAGGCCCGGATGAACTTCAATGCTTGCTCTCGCTCGACTCTTGCTTTGCCCTCTTTTACCAGTGACAGAATGACCAGGTAGTCCGTTTGTAGCGCTCGAATTGTTTGTAACGATTTGCGATCCGTAATCGCATACCTCATAACTCGATACCCGGCCGCGACCACTTCTCTGCTGTCGCTCAGCAGAAGCATCTGCATCCGCAGTCCAAAAATGGACCACGCCAGATCGTACTTCAGATTCGAGTGCCGTCTGAACAGTTCGACAAGATCATTCGCCTGCCCGACGTAATAGTCAGGCCGCAAGTCCTCAACCTCCAGTGCCTGAAGAATCTCCGCAAGGATGTACGTCGGACTCTCCAGCTCCGGATCCTGTTGCCGTTCAGCAACATCACCCAGCTGCACTCCTAACCCCTCTGGTGCCCGCGCTGGCGCCGACCGGAATAGCTGCGACAGCCTCGCTTTGGGACTCAATGGCTGCTGCTCCCTCGCCCGGCGTATCTCAGCCTCCAAGTCCAACTTCAGCTGCGCGATCTTGCGGTTCGAAGTATTCAGCTCACTCTCCACCACCTTTCGCTGCTCCCGCGCCTGCTTCTCCTTCTTCGAATTGAGCGCCTCTAGCAGATTCTCCGTGCCAATCTTGATCTTCGTCTCCTTGTCAATCCGACTCCGGTAGTCCGCCTGCCGCTGCTCGGATGAAGTAGAGTCACTGCCATCGTTGTAGCTTGTGTAATTGCTCACATCGAGTCGTGAAAGGTCGCCCGTCCTCGAGTATGGCAAGGTCGTGACGTTCGAGGCAAAGCTTCCCGGCGGCCCAGCTGACCTGCCATACATGCTGCCCTTGACCGTCGAGAAGCTCGTGGCGGCGGACATGGAGCGTCCATCCTTGCCCCCACCAGGTTGAAGGAGTGCATCATTGCGCTGAGTCGGTGGTGGGCCTTGGGAGCCCGTCGAGGGTGCGGACGGTCGCGCTGTTGGCGTCATCTAAGCCCGGCGCCCCTCCTGCTACGGCGGGCATGGGTATGTGATGCGCTGCTCGGTGCTATCGGCAGCGCTTTCGTGCATGAGTCGTGCGGTCTCGCGATGTGGGCGGCATTGGTGTGACCATGGGCGGCTCGGTGCTTGTAGGGCCGCTTTACGAGGTGGAGTTACTGCGAATCTGTATGCCAGACCTTGGGTGAAGTGATGACGGCGCGCTGGACTTGGAAGAGGTCATGGCACGGTGAATCTGCGATCTTCAGGCACGGGTCAAGAACGATTGGCCGCAACCGCCCCGCGTTCTGGTAATTTGGTGGAGCGAATGTAGACGTCGATACATATTACCTCCTCCTCCACCGCGTCTCCATCATCACAACAACCACAATCATCCTCACCTTACCCTCCAGGATGCCTCGAGTCAAGATCCCCCTGGAGCCCTACAGAGACCAAATCACCAGCTGGCGCCATGAAGGCTTCACCCGCAAAGAGATCCTCGAGAAGCTCAAGAATGAAGAGAACTTCTCCATCAGCATGGGCCTCCTGTGCAGACACCTGCTAGATTGGAAAGTCCGCGTCACATGCCCCCGATACGTAGGCGACGATGAGTTGGCGCTTCAGAACCGCATCGTGCATTACTGGCAGCACAACTTCGCGGACAAGGGTATTGCTGCTGAGCTGAAGAAGGATGGGTTTGAGATCAGTGTGCTTACCGTGGGGAGGCGGAGGAGGGAAATGGGGTTGTTGAAGCGGCGAGAGCGCATTGGAGGGAAGAAGCATCCCCCGAAGGCGGAGATGACGGGGTCGTCGGCGGCAGACGTTGATGATGAGGCCCGACCGACAGCGTCGGGTGACGATGAAGAAGCTATAGTGTACGATTACGACTGAAGGACGCCCCCATGCGTGAGAAGCTCTTAACCCAGCTGGAACGCATTCTCGTGGCACCATGGACAATAGCCAGCCTGGTTCGGCCCCAGCACGAGCACATGGAAGCCCGCGAAGACCGGAGAATGCTCAGGTAAGGTGAGACGCGAGCTCAGGTGTGAACGGCCTTTGATCTGACATTCAGAAGGTCTTGCAACCCTATATACTCTAGGACATGGTCAGCAGTCTGCGAGTAGAAACGGGAACGGAGACACGATGTCCGAGAAGACCACTGTAAAAGGACGTGGGGTGGTAGCGTCGACTTCATCCACATGCTACAGGCAGCGAAGCTCAAAGCAGGTAAGCTGCGAAAGATGTAGCGCATCTAGACGTGCCATACCTTCGCAAGCTGAATCATCTTTCCATCGACCACATCAATAGAGCTTCGCCCATGGCAGGCTTCCTCCGCACCGTTCTCCGAGGTCTTTGTTCGTGTGAGCCTGTTCACAGACGAGATGCGGTGCCCGTCTTCGAGGACACCATCAGAGACGTCATCAGCTCCTCAACACTCAGCCCCTTCGGCTTCGCCATACCACGCGCATGCTTGGCAGCCCGAGACATAAACCCATCCTTCACGCCATCCTTCAAAACCCTCTTGAGCTCCGCCTCGCCGCCCCAAGCTCCATTCTCTTCAACGTCCATGCGGCTGCTGTGGGCGTTGGTCGTGGGATCCCTTTTCCTGCACTGGCAACAGACGGTGGCACCGCAGCGACAGGAAGAGAAGTACATCCTACGCTTGTGGCCATGCTTTCATTTGTCAGAGATTCTCCACAAGCATTCGACAGGCTCTTGATCGGTAGCTTTGATTTGATCTTGGCGGCATTGATGGGTGCACTTCAGCTGGTACGAGTTGAACTGGCCCTGGCGCTGGAGTGTTATGGACGCAATATTTTCCTGCCTGTTGGGCTCTTCAGAGTCGTATGTTTTGTCAATGTTCAATGCCGGTATCAGCTCGGGGGTTTTGGCGGGCTGCTTCTCGATCGCAGCGGGAGCAGTTGGGTGCAAAGACGAAAAGCGGCAGTCTGATCTCGAGGAAGGAGATTCACGCTGCGTCGACCCGGTACCTAACGTAACCTCCGCGAAGGAGCGCCTGATGGGGTCCGATGGTGGTCCGGAGGTCGCTTGAGCCTGCTTGGAAAGCATGGGCGATGATGCCGTGGCAGCGACTTTGTGACTTGGTGGAAGAGTTGCCAGGTCGGAAGGCTTGGGTCCCGACGGAGTAGCAGCAGCACACTGCCTTGCAACCTTCGCACATGGTTTCGAAGACTGCTCTGGTTTCGCGACCGAAGATGTTAGAGCGGCAACCGGAAGCGCTTGCTCAAGCTGTATAAGGGTGTCATTCTCAGCAGTATGAGGAAGCGACTTCTACGCGCCAGCCGACACCGAATGGAGTGAGGTCAAGCCGGACTCAGTTGAGCTGGCTTCGAGGGAGACAGAAGTCACGTAGCGGTCGTATGCGGCTGGATTTTGAATCAGCTTCTCGCACATCGACATACGTTATATGAGCCCTGACCCTGTGCGTGAATGTGCATCATCTCCAACTGGCTTGCCACCAGCTTATCCCATTCTTGTGAAGAGAACTGCGGTGGCGGTGCTGCCTGGATGTGGTAGAAGGTCCCCATAACCTCACACATCGCTTCGTGGTAAGAGGGTCGAGCGGTGAGCAGGCCATGCCAGTATCGAGCGCCCTCCAGGATTCGAGGGTCCGTCGGCTCAGGCATGTTGTCTCCTCTGTGGTGATGTGTTGTGTGAGCGAGTGCTGAGAAGCGATGTGTAGGTATGGACGTCAAGTCATGTTAGAGAAGGAGCTAAGGCACCGCTAGCGTGCGAAGGTATGAGGAAGGAACGAGCGACAGGTAATGGAATAAGACAAATTCTCTGATCTCAGCACAGATGTCCAGTCCTCGAAAGAATCTTGAGAGCACTCGCACCCAAGACAATGCTTCGGATTATATCTGCGCCGTGGGAAATGTAGCCCACATACCGCTTGTACCCTCTACTTCTTCCCATGGCTCTTGGAGCTTTGCCGCTGCAGCACCTCATCCCCTCAAGTGCAAAACAAAGGCACATCCACAGTAGCTCCAACATCACACTTCCACCCCAGCACAGGACGCAGCCAAGTCGGTTCGCGGTAGGTCTCATCCGTCCAAGGACCATATTCGTACGGACCATCGAGAGGCCCATCTATCTGGGCGGCTTCCCGCTTTGCAGTTGGTGGCAGTAGGTTCTCAGCGTTGTTGTATGCTTCGCGTGGCGCGGCATCCGGGCCAGAGCCGAGTGGTTTGACGTGGTGTGGTGGGGAGTCGGGGAGGCTTCGAGGCTCGGGCTCGTTCATGGCATCTTCAAGGACTTCTCCAGGGTGATCTGATACGGTGGCGGTGACGGCGTCATCCCAACCGATCTTCAACAGCTTGTGGAAGATGTTGTCTCTCGTCTCGACAGTCGAACGACGGGGTGACTTGGTTACGATGTCGTCGCATAGGTCAGGAATAGGATTGTGGTAGCAGATCTTCGCGAGGGCATCATCATGGCCCTTGAAAGGTGGCTCTGCGAGCACAGCCCTAGGCTCGAGTTCCGAAGTTGGCACCAATCCTTCATCAGTTGGTTCCGGCTGGTGATCATCGCAGAATCCAGGAATCCAGGGATGCTCGAGACATATTTTCCCCACGACATCCTCCCAGTCCTCGTCAGGTGGCGGCTGTGGGGCCCTAGCCTCGAGCTCTGAAGAAGGAGCTGCCCCTTCATTTTTCGTTGCGCCTTGTGCTGCGGTATCTTGTCCGGAGCCTTGTGGCTTGAAGTTGGGACGTTCCCAGAGCTCAATGCAATGCGGCGCACCGTACGTTCTCATGCATTTAGCAAGGCCGGTCGGATTGGTTGGGCCTGGGACGAGTGGTGCCGGAATGAGTGAGAAGATTGGTGGAACAGGCGCTGCTGTAGTCGACGTGACAATGACTAGGCCGACCCCAGCGATGCGCACAAGAGACGCCATGTTCGATGTTGTCGCGGCGGTTGGATTTTGGACTCGGGAAGACCAGTGAAAATCATTTCTTGATTTCGAATGCGAATGACAAGAAGAAAACCAAAAGTGCTGGTGCACGACTTACGCATTTTCGCAAGAAGAGTTTTCTCGAGTGTGTGCTTACCTTGCCTCTCGCTGTGGAGGTCTCATGGATTCTGTGGGACATTGAAAATGCGTGCTCCCAGTCCAATCGCTGCTTCGACGGTGGTCATCAAACCCAGCTTGTTCCAGCGTCTCCCCGGCGGTGCCACGGATGATAAAACTCAGTTCTAATGATATCTGGCTGTACCATCTTGAGTCCTGCTGGAGCCATGGTCATCGTGGCTTCATCGGTAGAAAACGTGCGCCCGCGCTTGTCGTGTTGAAGACAGCGACGGGGTATACATCGGATCATCTGCATCGTACAGGTGTTAAAATTGAATGTGAAGTCGAATGCCGATGTTACGATCGAAGTGAAGATGAAGTCGAGGGAAGCAGACGGCACTTCTGACGTCTGACGTCGCCTCGGCCTAGATTTCAAAGCAATGCCGAAGACCAATTCAATGCCGACCAAGAAGACATGATTTTGCCTTCGACTGGACACAGAATAGTCTACACATCTGCAGAACCTCTCGAGCCATGATCCCACCATTTGAGACGACCTTCGCGGTCCCCTTGAGTTGCGAGAGCTGCATCAAGGATGTCTCTTCCTCGCTATACCAGCTGGAAGGTAGGGCATATCTCCCTCCCATCATAAGTATCCTCCATTCTCACAAAGTCAAGGGATCAACAACGTCTCCGCCTCCCTCAAAGACCAACTAATATCCATCACCGGCACTGCCGCCCCCTCCCAAATCGTCAGCGCCATCGAATCGACCGGCCGCGATGCCATCCTCCGCGGTTCAGGCAAGGCCGAGAGCGCTGCTGTCTGCATCCTCGAGACGCATGCGAGTACTGTGCGCGAGCAGGTGAAGGGGCTCATACGAATGGTGCAGGTGTCGCCGACTATGACGATTATTGATATGACCCTCAAGGGCGCGAGTCCAGGGACATACGACGTTAGTGTGCGGGAGCGGGGAGATATCAGTGAGGGCGCGGCGAGCACAGGTGGGGTCTGGGACGCTGTGCAAGCTGCGCAGGAGAAGCAGCCACGGGTAGCGAAGGGGGTGTGGGGCACGATTGAGGTCGGGCAGAGCGGGCTGGGGAGCGTGTTTCTGGATAAGCCGATACAGATATGGGAGATGATCGGACGGTCTATCGTGGTCAGCAGGAGGGCGGAGAATGGGAAGCAGAGGGAGAAGCTGGAAAGGGAGGATGCAGATACTTTTGTTGGTGTCGTGGCGAGGAGCGCTGGGGTGTGGGACAACGACAAGACGGTATGCAGCTGTTCGGGCAAGACGGTGTGGGAGGAGAGGAAGGAGCAGACGTCGAAAGGCATGTTATGACACTGTGATATGGGTATGATTGATGCATGTATACGCTACAAGATGGAGGAATTCGCCGAACGATGCTTCACCTCAATGCCTTTCAATGCATGATCGGTTGACGATCAACGCGCCACTCAATGATCGCTTGCTCATGACAGCTTTCGAGGCAACCTCACTACATCGCTTTTGGAGCCGCGATCGGTCAGGACCGACAGCACGCTAGCTGGCGTTCATCTGCATGTGACAGAAAAGGTGAGTGTCGAACTCCAAAATAATCAATTTCAGGGAGCCTGCACCGCAGTCCCGTTCGTCATCACCTGCGCCTTCTCCTCTCCCTTCTGGCCATTCGGCCCCTGCTCAGCTTGAACTCCCTCATCTCTCACCTTCTCATACGCTGCATCCAAGTCTTCCTCCCAAACCCATTTCATTCTTTCTCTTGTCCGCTCAGCGATCAAGTCACAGCAGTCCTCGAAGCTTCTGTCGATCATGTCGGGCGCTTGCATTTCGTATGTGTCTCCGGCTGCTCGACTGGTTGCTTGCGTCTTCTGAGCTCGAGGAAGCCGGACCGCTTGGTATAACGCCGCTGTTGATTCGAGAGACTGGAAATGGCAGCTGCTAGACTTGTCGGTCTTGAGGTAGTCGCCCAGCGCTTTGCCTAGCACCCATCCGTCCTCCAGACTCTGGCCTGCTCCTGCGCCTAAATGTGGCAGCATGGCATGCGCTGCATCACCAAGCAACACCACCTTACCACCCATGTAATGCCACCGGTCCAAGGGCTCTCGATCGTTAATACTCCATTTGCTCGGATTCTGCGGCATCGCATCGATCAAACTCCTCACATGGCCGTCGAAGCCCTCGAAGTCCTTCTCAACATCGGCCTTATCACACACACTCGCCCAACTCTCCTTGACATCCTTGACATCAGGACTATCCTTCCCCTTAGTCACAAAAGCCACAATGTTCAGCGTCTCGTTCCTTCTAATAGGAAAGACCAGATAATGCCGATGCTTCGCTACCCAGCAGACGCTATAACTCGGGAACGGCCACTCTTTGATATCTTTGATAGGTACTAGTCCTCGGTACGCAATCTGTCCGCTGAAAATCGGCCGGTCCACGACGAACTGCCCTCTGACTGTCGAGTGTATTCCATCGCACCCAACGAGCATCTCTACCTCCGTGTCCGTCCCGTCCGCGAAGCGCACCTTCACTGTCTCACCTTGATCTTCGACTCCAGATACAGCTTTTTTCGTGTACAGTTTAGCAGCCCCTCTCTCCTCTACCACACTCTTCAACAAATCCAACAAATCTGTCCGCGCACACGGCGCCTGCCGGACTTTCGTATCATCATTCACCGGCACCGTGACCACTTCCTCGCTATTATCGAATCTGCGAAAGGAGATCCAGACGCCTGTCCTGTGTCCCGCGATCGCATTCAACTGGTCGCCGAAGCCTAGCTTGTGTACCAGCCGGGCAGCGTTGATTCCTAACCCGACCCCGGCGCCGATTTCTTTGTATTGAGAGGCTTGTTCATAGACGGAGATTTCGATGGGGCGGGTGGTGGGGTTGGAGGTGCAGTGGTGATGGAGGGAGATTGCGGTAAAGAGCCCCCCTATCCCTCCTCCGGCCACGGCTATGCGGAAGGGACGGGCGTTTGTAGACATCTTTCTGGCTGGTGGGACGTTTCCGACGGATAATGGTAAAGAGAAACACCTACAGTTCGCTTCGCGTCTTGAGGTTGCAGGCGCACGCGTTGGTGCCGCCCAAGACGTCCCCTCCACTTACAGTCACCGGTGCCCTCGGTCGTCGATAGATAGAAACGGCTAAAGGACGAATGACTGCTGCTACTGACGGCAGTTCTGCTCTGGTCGATCAGAAGGAACAGCAGTCGGAGTTGACGGCGAAATCGGCATCTCACAGCTTCCTATTTGGGACCGCTGTCAATGCCCCGCAGACGTCACCGCCACCACAAATCTCCTTCTCTCCCTCCACCAACACTCCACGAGAGCTCCGATGTCAAGCTCATTACCCGGCGAATTGGCATCAAAGGGAGAGCGTTCAAGCGGCTGATTGAATGCTGTGTGGGTCGGAGGAAGTCTGACGACAGGTGGGCAAAAAGTGCAAGCCATTGGCAATCTCTTTTATGCTTCGTCTCATCACGAGAAAGGTTATTTCTTCTCACTCTCTTCCTGTCTTTCATACCTCTTCCTTCCGCTATTCGACGTCTTCTGCCATGTCTAAGTATCAATTGAAATGGGGCATCCTCGCCACAGGCGGGATCGCAGAAAGCTTTGGACGCGACCTGAGCGTGAATCCGGAAACACGAGACCGCAAAGACATTGAGCATGTCATTGTCGCAGCAGCCTCGTCCTCTTCCTCCGACCGGGCGAAGAAGTACCTGAAAGCGGTCAACGCGCCTGACTCCGCGAAAGCGTACGGCTCGTACAAGGAGCTTGTGGAGGACTCCAATGTGGACATCATCTACGTTGCTACACCGCACAGCCATCACTACCAGAACACGATGCAGTGTTTGGAGGCTGGCAAGAACGTGCTGTGCGAGAAGAGCTTGACGGTGAATGCGGCGCAGGCTGAGGCGTTGATCAAGAAGGCCAAGGAGAAGAACCTGTTCTTGATGGAGGCTGTAAGTAGTCCATGTGCACTGCTTACAAGATCCCATACTGATGGTATGCGCAGCTCTGGACTCGCTACTTCCCACTCTCAATCTACGCCCGCGAAATGGTGACCTCCGGCAAACTCGGTACGGTCGAGCGCACCTTCGCAGACCTGAGCTTCGGCTCAGCACCCGAAACGAGCTTTGAAGACAGCCACCGCATGGTCAACCCCGATCTCGCCGGCGGCGCACTTCTCGACTTAGGTATTTACGCCCTAACATGGGTCTTTCAAACCCTCTACACCACCCAGAAGAACCCACAGCCACCCACAGTCCAGAGCAGCATGCGCAAGTACGAGAAGACAGGCGTCGACCAACAGACAACCATGCTCCTCTCGTTCCCACGCAAAGAGCAAGGTGACGCGCACGGCATCGCAACAACCGGCATGCGCGTCGCCAGCGACCCCAACGGCAATATGGAGGCTCCTGCCATCCGTATCCAAGGCAGCGAGGGCGAGTTGATGGTCTTCCCACCTGCGTTTCGACCTACTCGTACGAAGTTGGTGCTCAAAGACGGCACCGTTGACCAGAAAGAATGGCCGCACCCTGGTCCCGGCCCTGGCTCTGGTTTTAAGAACGGCTTTGGAGGGAATTTCATGCCAGAGGGAGAGGGATTCGGTATGTTCTGGGAGGCGGACGAATGTGCGTACGCTTTGAAGGAGGGGAGGAAGGAGGGCAAGTATGAGAGCTTGGATGAGAGTTTGGTGATCATGAAAGTGATGGACGAGGTACGAAAGCAGCATGGGTTTACGCTGCCGGAGAAGATTGAGACGACGAAATACCCGGTGGATTTGTAGAGTAGTAGTCAAGAGACAGCGAAAGCGGCCTACAGGGCATACCAGGCAGTCTTCTCCGAGAGAATATTGTTGCTCAAAAGGCCACATCAGTCTCGTTAGCGGGCGGTCATTGTCAATGAGAACGTCTTGTGACGACTCACGCTGACCTACTGGGCCGCTTTCGTTGTCGACAGGTTGAGTTAGTGATAGAACAACAGTACATGTAGCTATATCAAACTGCCGTCATAACCTTTAGCTAAGCTCTGTCTCTCCTCACTTCAAGGCCTATCATTTGGAGCTTCTTATCGTGTTCTTGCAACAAGAAAATATACATATGGAATGCCGCGTTCAAGGTCCTGCATACGTATACACGGGAACAAGAATCTGTCTTAGTGCTCAACACTAAACAACCGTGAGGCCTCAACTCAACTGGAAGGCGAACCATCGAGTGTCAGTCGTATATAAGCAATCCAGCATTAAAGCAACAACAATCGCCACCATGGACGTCAAATGCCAATGCGGCGCCATCTCATTCAAAACACCTACTCCGGAGCCCATCAAACTCTTCCACTGCCACTGCCTCGAATGCCGCAAACAATCGGGCTCAGCTTTCGTAAGCCTAATCAACAGACGCCACCCAATATGCGTGGTCTGCTAACCCAATCTACCTCTCCTTAACACAGGGCACCTCAGCAATCTTCACAGCCGAAGGCCTAATCCCCCTCCCAGAAGACCTGGAGTCCAAGATGTCCGTCTGGACACGACCAACGGACGCAGGGGGTATGATGGACTGCTACTTCTGCAAGCGCTGCGGGAACCGCATCCTGCATCGCGCGAGGGACGAGAGTGGCAGTGAGCGCGGGACGGTGAGTATTAAGGCGGGCGTGGTGGAGGGGTTGAAGTGGGAGGGGGCGGGGCATATTTATACGCGGAGTGCGGTGGTGGACGTGCCTGAGGGGGGATGCGAGGGGGCGCCTGAGTGAGGGAGTTGGGAACGAGGGGGCTAGGGATGGATGGAGAGGTGTAGAGCGTCGAGGGGCGTTCGTTCTATGTAGTGATGCTGATGTAGCGGGTCATGTTCTACAGCATTGGCATGTGCACTCCAAAACGCAAAGCATTTCTCAGCAGGTCCTCCTCCGCTATAGCAGCATGTTATATATCACGCTCTTCGAGAAGCGGTCATTTCTTCGACAATATTGACACGCCTTCTCCGAAATCGAAGGCAGTCGCCGGCGCGCCACCATCCGGTATAGTAGCATGATATTTATCAGGTAGTCGAGAATAGTCATATCAATCGCGTTATCGACAGTGTCTCTCCAGCGACTTGTATCTGGGTTTAGTTTATCTACAGTTTGCTTTGCTTCGAGTCGCAACAATCGCCGTTCGCCAGTTGGGATGCTTCGTTCTTGCTCGAAGGCACATCGATCGATGGGTTGGCATTGAAGAAGTCCGACGGAAAGATATTCACCTGCGACACCTCGACCGGCCTGTGTCAAAGTCAGCACGAACATCCCCAGCATCTCTAGAAAGTAATCGGGGCAATACTCACATAACAGGCCAATCCTCCACCCGCGGATTATGCGTCAATGTGAAAACATTCCACACCACCACATCCTCCTGCACCGTCCCCTCGTTCCTCTTCACCATATCGCTCACGCCGCCCTTCTCCTTTCGACTCTGCAATGTATACCGCCCCGCAGCATACAACTCATGATCCCGGTACTTCGTCACCCAGATATGATGCTGCGCGAACAAAGCGCGGTTATACTGGATACTGTTCGGTGCAGCCAGCAACTTCTGCGTGGCGGGCGGCTGGATCTTATAGCCGACTGGCTTGCCGCTGATGGGGTTTTTGATATCTAGGTTCTGGATTTTGAACGTGCGACCGGCAAGCGGGTCGATGTCGAGGCCTGTAGAGGTGGTGATGGGGGTTTTGCGGACTTCGTAGCGGTTGCCGTTGGGGTTGGTTTGGGGGTTGATCTGCATGGGCAGGCTCTCTTCGTAGGAGACTGTGTTTTTATGGCCGTCGATAGCGGGGTCGATGCGTAGGCAGAAGGAGTGCTGGTGGTTTTGGGCTAGGACGCCGGGGCCGACTACGTTGCCCCAGTCTGCTGTCTTGCCTGGGTCGATGTTGACGACGGAGACGATGCCGGTGGCGCGGGCTTCGACGCAGATTCCGCCCGCTTGGTCGAATTTGAAAGCGAAGACATATTCGTAGTTTGCCAATGTAATAATGAACTGGACGACCAATTCACGTCTCCGGGTCACGACGGCACGGCCGGTTCGCCAGTTCGTATGTTTCCAATTGATGCCGTTGTCCTGTTCGTGGATGCAGATAACATTGGGTGCTTTCTCGCCTTTGCCATCTGCATTGACGATCACGCCGTCGAGGTATTTGATCACGCCGAGACAGTCACAGCCGAGTTGGAGGTTGTTGGCGCAGTGACCGAGACCGCCGTCGCCGAAGTCGAATGCTTGCTTGCGGTGGAAGGGCGGTCGGGGGTCGGCGTAGGGTACGGACTGTGATGGTCAGCTTCTATTGTCTTGCATGTGCTCGAGTACCATTGCATCTTACCATCTCGCTGAAGGCCAACCGGTACAGTATACTCCTGCCATCGTAATGAACATCATGAATGACAGCACCCTCTCTCGCGTTAAACGTTACTCTGAACCGCCACTTCTGCCACTCGATCAGGTTATCGCCGGACACTGCAAAGCTAGGACCCTCTGGCTGTGTGACATTCAGAGGCTTCAGATCCTTCCTCGTGCCACCTTTCAACAGTTCTGGCACATACTCGCTGCTTTGACAGTGATCAAGGACCCCAGCTTTGTGCGTCTTAGAGGTGAATCCGTCGTTGGTCCCGCCAGTGGCAAGCTCGTCAATACGGATGATCTCCTTGTTCGCCCAGTCCATGATCGGGATGATGGGGAGAGGAAACGAGTAAAAGTTGGTGTCCTTGTTGTCTTTACTCGCATCCGCCGCGAAAATTAAGCCTTGAAAGAAGCGGCGGTTCTCGTCTGCAGCGTCTAGTCCTCCATATGGCCATGGCTCGATGATCACTTCAAATCCGGGCGGAAGCTGGAACTCCTTGATCTTCTGCTGGAAGACTGGCGACTTCTCGCAGACCTCGACGAAGGTATTGAACTCGGGACTGTCACAAAACATCAGCGATGCTCGTCCGGAGAATGGAGAAGAATCTTACAATGTCAAGCTAGCATGGAACTCCGTATCTATCAACTCATGCTGGACAACCTTCTTCCCGTCGATGTCGACCCATGCTTCCTGGTAGACTGGCACCTTGCTCCCGCGCTCAATGGCATCGTACTTGACCTCTGCTAGCCGCGCCGGCCGTGGTGTGCTCGAGGTCAGTCGGCCGGAGTGCTCAGCGTCCAGGAAGGCGGTCAACTCCGCCTTTGGTGGCTCGAGGAGGGAGACGATTCGGAAGTAGATGGAGGCTCCTGGGTGGGCGTCTAAGATGATGTCGCGAGCCTGGGTTGTCTCGTCGATGCTCAAGGACATCAGAGGGTGGGGAGTGGGAGCCATAGTAGGCAGATATGTCTCCAGCTAATCGACAGATGGGAAAAGCTATTCAATGGACATATGAGGCTGACGGCTTCTTTCTCGACGGCGAAGAAGGGAATGGCCGAAGAGTTCTGGGGAGATCGAAACAGCAGGCAAAGGAGGAGGTGAGATGACAGTCTTACGCTATGAATACCTGATACCTGTGGTTGTCCATTAGATAAGACGGAGAACGCGCGAAGTCCAGAATGCATCCCATCTCCACTCTTCTCCTCCCATGTTAGGCAGGTCCTTCCTGGTCGCGGGCAAGGTGCTCTCGTTGGCGGCACTTTAAAGGATCACGAGCCGGAACATCGGCTTCGTGTTGTGTTCTCCAGGGCGTTGGCGGTATCGTGAGCGCATCTTGAGCATCCATTAGTGTATGTTCATGCGGGATGTAGAAGGAAAAAGATGGCCAACGGGATGTGGTGGGATTTGTCGCAACACGTGACAGTGCCGAATCAGGTTAGTTGTTGCTAGGTCGGCTTCATGTTTGTATTTTGTCGACCTCGCGCATAAGATTCAAGACTCAACATCAAGACAAACATACGCCAACATGGACTCCCCATCTGCACAGCTAATGGATCAGAGCATTCTAATCGACGGACCTCCAAGCTCACCATTCATCACCGAAGTCGAGACGCACAGCCGGACACCGAGTAAACAATGGCGGGTGCCGTCGAACAGTGTTTTCGAAGGAGTACCGAAGGAGGAAGATGTACAGGACAAGATAGATTTCCAAAGTCTGTATGATGGTGAAGACAAGGAAAACGAGCCTCAGCAGGAGAATGACTCAACACTGGCAAAGATGTTTGCATCGCCACAGAAGAAGAGCACAACACCCGAGCCCACGCCAGCATCAACAAAGAAGAACACATTGCGCGGCAGCACCACAGATGCAGATCTCATGCCTCCTCCTTCCACCCGCAAGGTCTCCGGCTCGCCAAAAAAGACACCATTGAAATCGAGCGGGACCACTGGCAACAGGACACCCAAATCGCTAAGTCGCGGGAATTCATCCGAGCGAACACCCCTACAGAGTGTCTCCAATTTTCAAGCCGGTCTTGATTTTCGTAATGCAACAGCACCAGCAGAAGAATCCCGAGGCGACGGAGACGAGACCTGCTTCAGCGCGTTCTCTGAGATGCCAGACATCGCCAACTTCACCAAAATGGCCCAGAGTCCCACAAAGCGCGGCGACCTTCTCACGACACCACGTCCCAACGCGGATCCAACCCCTCGCACCTCCCGCAAACGCGCCTCCCCTTCTTCTCGCTCACCCTCACCAACCCTACGACGCTCGAAAACACCCGCCTTCGGTAGCAAAGACGAAACCACAAGCTTCCTAATCGACTTCACCCAACAAATCGAAGGCGTCCAAACCCACCGAAACACCTCCCCAACCAAATCAGCCACCGAATCTAACCTCCTCCAATACATCAACAACCAGCGCTCCCCCACCAAAGCCTCGCCGTCAAAACATCTGACCACGCCCAGCAAGCCCAATAACCTACTCAACCTCCTGGACTTCGAGCTCCCTCCCGCACCAACCCCGCGCTCCGTTCCTACCATCACGGTCCGGGAACTAGAATCCCTCAAATCATCCTACCTCTCCCAAATCTCCTCCCTCAAAGCCACACTCTCCGGGCGTGAAGCAGAAGTCGACAGCCTTAAAAAGGCGGTAGGCGACGCTGAGCGCCGTGTTGGCGAAGCACAGGAAGCGTTGCGCGAGGAGAAGTGCAAGCGCGAGTACGCGGAGCAGGAGATTGGGGACTGGAAGAAGCGCGGGCAGGAGTTTGAGGTCGTGCTGAAGAGCGTAAAAGAGGAAGTCATGAAGAGCGAAGCCGATAAGGAAGAAATGGCGCGGCGGTTCGAGGAGATGGAGCGGCGGGCGGAGGATGCTGAAGGCCGAGCAATTAAGGCTGAAGAACGGTTTGCGGACGCGCTGGCGGCGAGGGCGAGTAATGCCGAAGGCGGGGATGTGGAGGAGCAGGTGCAGCGGTTGGTCGCCGGCCAGATTGATGCGAAGATTGAGGCGGTGAGTCGGGAGTTGCATGCGGTGTATAAGGAGAAGCATGAGCGGAAGGTGGCGACGTTGAAGAAGAGCTATGAGGCGCGGAATGAGAAGAAGACTGCGGAGCTGGCTGGTCGGGTCGCGGAGCTGGAGAAAGTGAATGAGGAGTTGCAGGTCGCTAAAGATGCTACTTTCTCTGGTCCTGTCAGTGACAGCATGTTGGCTGGCGCAGAGACTGGGGAATTAAAGGCCCAAGTGGAGGAGCAGAAAGCCGCGCTCGCCCGGATCGAATCGGAGATGGAAGCGAGTCGCACTCAACAAGGCCAGTTGATGCGAGAGCTGCAGCAGGAGCGGATCGAAAAGGGCGATCTGGTGGCGGCGGTGGACGAGATGTTGGCGCTGCAGGCTGAGGCGCCGCCGACGCCGGGGGGGGCGAGGGCGATGAGCGTGGTGGAGGATTTTAGGAAGAGTATTAGTCGTGCGCCGCCTTCGGGGCTGAGGGCTCCTGGTGGTGGGGAGAGTAAGATTGGGAGGGGCATCCCTGCGCCTGGGGGTGGAAGGATTGGCAGTGGAGGGGCGGGGAAGAGTCGGATGTTGGCGAATATTGAGAGGATGGGCAGGACGGGGAGTAACAGCGGGCAGGAGTGAGGTGGTTGATTGGGTGGATCTGTGGAATAGTAGGGCGTTGGCTAGGCGTTTACAGGTCCGCTAGGTGTATGCTAGATCGACTATGTGGATAGATCGATCAATGTCGGGATGATGTGTTACACAGCTTCAAACCCTCTCCAATGTCGCCCTCTTCCTAGGTTCCGGCGCGGACGTCTGCTCAGTACGTCAGACTGACGGTCGGTAGAGCTCTCGAAGACACGTCCAAGTATCAAGGCCCTGCCTGGCGCTTCAAGACCTCTCCCTCTTCGCTTCGATTGTCGAGATATTCGCTGACTCTGCCATCCAGCGCTTAAGGAGGTCAGACCGAAGGGTGCAAAGGTCCTCCGAGACACGCTCCAGACCCAAGGAACGCGCGGCGCTATGAGGCCTTTTCGTCTTGTTTCCGACCGTCGAGAGACTCTGCTGACCCTTCCACCCATCGTTTGAGGGATCTGATGGTCATATGGTTGACCAATCTTTCACTGGATGTGAAAACACTCCATCCTCTCCTCCAATTTCCCAAAAGCATCTTGCTCGCAGTAGTATTTCCCCTGTACGACAAACAAAAAGTCAGCCCATCATCTCTCCGCTCCCATGTCGTTTCTGAGGTCTTACTCACATCCATCAACCCATCTACATACGCGTCCCCCACGAGATTCCAGAATACTCCCATCTGTCGCAATACCAACGGCACCCCTGACCCGGGAATAATGCACACCTTATCTTCCTCCCTCATCTCTAGCGGCCCTATCCCTATCCTCCCTTCCCTCGTAACGAAGAACGCTCGGTTCTGGCACGCGTTTACGAGGGCTTTATGATAGACTTCCCGATCCGCTTCGACGGCTGAAAGACCTGGACCGGAGTCTTTCCGCCGGTAAAGGTGCTTGGTGATGCGATCACCGAGGTTCTGGAGGTTACTGTGAGGGGAGGACTGGAAGAAGGCAGCGCCGTGGGAGAGGAAATCGGAGTTATTGGTTATGCAGGCGTAAGAGGAGTCTTGGCCTGCGCAGAGGCTTCTTGCGAAGGAGAGGTCGAGGGGGCTGTTGAGTTTGCTAGAGTGGTGGTGGGAAGCGAGGAGGTAGGCTTGTTGGACGGTGTCCTGGGTTCCTCCGTTTGTGGAACTGGAGGATGAAGTTGGAAGGTTGAACGTGTGGGTGTGCCTGACCTCGTCTACTACAAGACCTTCGACCGTCAAGACGTCTTCTAGCCCTTCGATGTAGCTTAGGCGAACGGGACTGCCGTTGCTTGCTCCTCGCATTGGCGGCTGGATGTGGCAAGTTGAGCCCTTGAAGCGGTCGATCGTCCAGTCAAATCTCGGGCACCACGAAGGCATGCCTGGATCTCTTTTTGCCTTGGTAGGATTTGGGTCGACTGCGCGACTCGTAATGCTCAATATGGCAAGATTGCCAGCGTCCAAGATCGCAGCTCGAGTGGCGAGAGCGTACAGCTCCGCCTGCGACACGTCGTAGTCAGGCCGCAGATTGGTCTCCGGTATCTGCTGCAGCCAGAGCTCGATCAGGCCGTACATGCCGTATATCTTGTCTCGAGGGTCGGTGGTCTCGAATTCCATGCCCATCGCCAGGATGGTCCAAAGCAATTTCGGCGTCGCATAAGCATGCGGCATACAATCCCAGATCTCAGTCGCGTTTCTGATGCCTTTGACATGGCTGCCAGTGCCTGGATCGTATGCTGATAGCTTACCACGACCTCGATACCACATCCACTGCGCCGCTAGTCCTACATCGTAGAGCGGGATGGTGTGGGTTCCTTTGAGGCAGATAGCGTGCTTCGCGAGACAGGCTTCCTGGATCACCCAGAGGCGGGTGAACCAGCGGGAGGAGTAGAAGCTGCGCAGCGCTGCTAGATTGCATGATGGTGGCAGTTCATCGCTCGAGCTTTTGATCGACAGTCTGCGTGCGCTCGTGTCCCAAAGGCGCTTGAACAGGCCATCCAGATCGTTGGTCTCTGCCTTGCATTGGCCGACTACGTCCCAGACGGAGCGTACGGCTTCCTCGGCCAGATCATCCTCATCCTCGCCCAGCCATATCATGACGGTCTTCGCTTCGGAGTAGATAGCGTTCATCAATGAAAGCTGAGAGCTCTTCTCTCTTGCATCCCCATGGTTCAGACACACAGCGTCTATCCAGACATAGAACCTCCTAGGCCGGATATCCTGGCTGATTCCTTGACGATGGAGTTCGTTGATGCATCTCCGCAAAGCTACTTCGGCGTTCCTGGGTACCCTGATCTTGTTGTTACCCACAAGGATAGTGCTTTGCTTCGAGACATCGCCCCAGGTGTACGAAACCGCGTAGAAGTTCGGCAGTAGAGCAGCCCTTCGCATGGATTCATGTTGGACGTGACATTTGAGCAGCTCGTCAGATCCGAGATTTTCGGTATTCTCAAACACCAGCAGTCGAAATTCGTCTTCTCTAATGTTAAGGGCTCGATACCCTAGTCCAGAAGCCATTGTGTCCACTTCGTGTTCATCAGGATCTGCTGGAGGGGTTGTAGTCCTTGATTACATTCTCCACCACGACAGACCCGGCGAGACCGCCTTTGTCCGTTTCACGGTACGAAGATGCGGTCGCCCGGTGGTGTGACGGCCCTATCTAGCCCCGGGGCCATTTTCAGCCCCGGGCCAACACGATCGACCCATGGAGTGCGAATGGATGCGACGGCACCCAGCCTCCGATAGCAAAGGTTGATTTAGGGTTCCGGAGTACGTTGGGCCTACCTTGGTACGTACGAAATTCCGCAACGCTGGCTTTGTGAACCATTCGTCGTTGATGGAAAGGTCGCCGTGAGCCTCCGGCTGAGATACGGTTGGTTGCATCAGCTGCGCGTTGTAGCGCATTCGCTGGATCCTTTGGAGCGAGGATGGTGGTCATGCGTCTGCAACATTTGAGATCTGAGCCTCGTTAAAACGGTCTATCAAGAAAAACAAAGGACGAGTGGCAACGTTCGAAGTTGAAGTTTGGCCTCGAACCGCACAGACCAACAGTCAGATTCAACAGCAGCAGTGTACTGTCTGCCTCCCTAGGTTCAAAATTGGCATACCCCTCTGACGGTCAGACGAGACTTGTGAAAGATGGCTATCACGGAGGCTCCAAAGAACGACGACCGGCCTCGAAGAGACAACACAACGCCCTCCTGCTCAGTGTGCCAACACCGCAAAGTCAAGTGTGACCGTGTGTTTCCTTGCGCACCATGCATCAAATCCGCACGCCAATGCACTTACCGACCTCGCGTCCGGACGGCGGTATCGAGCGCAACGGAAGCGCCGCAAGACCACGTCTCTGCCGACCGCAACTACGAGGCGGCGGCAGCTGAAGGCTTGGAGACTCATCAGGAGGGACAGCCAACGCCCGAAACTCTTCCTATAAAGCCATCCCACCCGCCTGGCTATATTGGACTCTGGGAAACTACGCTGCGTTTTGGCTCGAGACCACACGATGCGTGTCTGCCTTCGGTGAGCTCTGGAGACTGGCCGGAGATTCCCAACGAATTAGGAGACATGGAGCGGACGGGCGCCGGATTTGGGGTGTCCTCGTCGACTGGACTGATTGGCAGCGGTGCTCAACCAGCTCTGTGGCCATCGGGCTTGCTGCCAGTGCCTGATATGCTGCAGCCGAGATGAAAGGGAAGTGCACACGAAACAGAAGCCTCTCCGTTGTCCTGTAAACCATGAGCCCTCGACGGACCACCTACTGCGAACACTGCTAAGCGAAGGACAGTGAAAGCGGCCCGGGCAGATCACGCAGTCTTCTCCCAGAACCAAGTGCACCCGAAAAGACCACATCGCTCTCGTGGGCGGGCGTTGCCAGCCTGTGAGAAGATCCATCCAAGCCACCACCCGGCTTGTTCTGACCTGGCATGCCTGGTAGGCCGCTTTCACAGTCTCTCACTTGGCAGCCAGGAAATCATCGTTCGCCAGGCCGTCGAACGCACATCGTCGGACGGATCCTCGGCGTTTGCGGAGCACCCGAAATTGCTGTATCAGCCGGAAGGACGGTCAGATTGTCAATACTGTGAACAGGTGTCATCGCTGTTTGGCCGCAGTCGTAGGCATCGAGTATGCCAAGGCGACGCAACACCCTCTGTCTGCGCCGCCTTGCCGTCTTGCGCGTCCATGGCATTCCCAACAAGTTCCGCTGCAATATCTGTATTTACACGAGAAGACAGTAGAAGACACGAGCACAAGTTCGCTTTCACATGCATCGAAATGCGCGACACAGCCACAAAGAACTTGAAGAAAGCAAGAACGCCACTGAGGATGACGTGTGGGCGGCGCTAGCGCTAAGGGTCTGATCTGATCTGCGTAGAAGGCGCAACTCATAAACACAACCCCTCCACCATTACAATCTTCTTACACAAACTTCTTCAACACACGAACAACACCGCAACCAAAGACAACACACACAGTTACAGCGAACATGTCGTCCACCGTCCACGTCAAGAACATCGCTGGAAGCACATCCGAGAAGGAAGTGCGCGACTTCTTCAGCTTCTGGTAAGTCCTTGCTTGACAACATCCACTGACGACCAAGCACAATACTAATGAGAGTACAGCGGCAAGATCCAAACCCTCTCCGTGACGCCCGACTCCAACGAGCCCGACGCTAGCCAATCCGCCTCGGTCACCTTCGAGAAAGAAACCGCCGCCAAAACCGCGCTCCTCCTCGACAACACCCAGCTCGGCCCCGCCCAAGTCTCCGTCTCCTCCGCCTCCTCCCTCTCCGACATAGCCGGCGACAAGACCACCTCCGCCGAGGACGCCGAGAAGGGCGAGAACATCGCGCAAGAAGACAAGCCCCGCTCCCGCATCGTCGCCGAATACCTCGCCCACGGCTACGTCATCAGCGACAAAGCGATCGAACGTGCTTTGGCGCTCGACCAACAGCATGGCATGAGCAACCGCTTCATGAGCGCGCTCAAGAACTTCGACTCCAACTACAAGGTCTCCGAGCGCTCGGCGCAAATGGACCAGCGCTACGGCGCCTCGACCCGCGTGCAGCAGGCCTGGGGCGGGCTGAACAGCTACTTTGAGAAGGCCGCGAACACACCCACCGGACAGAGGTTGCGCGGGTTCTACGAGCAGGGCAGCAAGCAGGTGTTGGATGTGCACAACGAGGCGAGGCATCTTGCGAGCTTGCAGAGCGGGAAGGGTGAGGGTGATGTGATGAACCCTAACCAGCAGGGTGGACCGAGCGGGGCGGGTTTGCCGACGCCCGAGCAGGCGGAGATGGAGAAGGTGACGGTGGATGGCCAGGAGAAGACGAAGTGTAACTGCGGCGGTGCGGATGGGAAGTGTCCGTGTCCGCCGGGGCAGTGCGCTTGCAGTGGGTGTAGCAAGGCTTCGTGAGATATCCATGGGAGGTGTGACGTGCTGGGAGAGATGAGTTCTATGTTTCTGTCGCACTGATGGACGAGGATGAGTTATGGATTGCAGCTGGCGTTTGACAGAAAAAGCACGAGATACGATTCCCTTAGCTACAGTGATGGCTAATGCACGATTTCATGATTCACATTTCCTCTCAACTTGCTCTCGTTCTCAGTCATGCTTCTCATGTCTCTATCTAATGTACACATATCCTACGCTATCCTCACCCTCACTGCCTGTGCAGATATACGAGCTGGCTGTCGTAGTCTCCTTCGAAATACAAATTAATTCCCCCATTCATCAATGACTTACCCGAATAAGTTCCATTAAGACTGTCGCTGTTCACCAGGTATCTCGCTTCTGTTTCCAACCCCAACAACCGCAACGGAGGCGGCGCAGGCTTAATCGCAGCCTTCTGCTGGAACGCAAACACCACCCCCGTCCCGCCATCCTCACTCATCACCTGCACAGCCGGCCAGTTGCTGTTCTGCGGCTCGGCGATGCGGTAGAAGGACCCGTAGATGACTATCGGGTTTATCACGCTGTGGGCTTCGAGGATCCCTGGGATGGCATCGCGTTCTTCGGACGAGAGTTCAGAGGGGTTGAGCTCGAAGCCGAAGGAGCCGCACATTAGCGCCACATGCGCGCGATAGGTTATACTGATGTTCCGGCCGGTGTTGCCGTTGGGGATGGCGCTGACGTGACATCCCATCGCGCTCGGGGGGTAGGCGTACGAAGTGCCGATTTGGATGTTGAGACGGTCAGCAGCGTCGGTGTTATCGCTCGTCCAGTGCTGCGGCCAGTAATACAGCAGTCCTGGATCGAACCTCCCGCCTCCTGACGCGCAGCCTTCGAATAGGATGGACGGGAAAGTGGTGGTCAGGTTGTCGATGACGCGGTAGATGCCCAGCATGTACGCGTGCGCGGCGGCGGGGGAGGGGAGCTCGTGCATCCCGCGGTTGTTGTCCCATTTCACGTAGTCGATTGAGGCGGAGGAGAAGATGTTGGTCATGGCGGCGATGACGTAGTCTTGGACTTCGGGGAGTCCGAGGTTGAGGACTAGTTGGTTGCGCGTGAGGGTGCGCGGGTAGCGGCGGTCGTGGAGGACCCAGTCCGGGTGGGTGTGGTAGAGGGTCGAGTTGGGGTTGACCATTTCGGGCTCAACCCAGATGCCGAATTTGAGGTCTTGACCGCCGGACTGCGCGACGGTTTGGTTCTCGACGTTGGCGACGTACGGGCGCAGGCCGTTGGGGAAGCGGTCGGGGTTGGGTGTCCAGTCGCCTAAGCCTGCGTCGTCGGATGTGCGTGGGTATTCGTCGCCGAACCAGCCGTCGTCCATTACGAATAAGCTGAGGCCGAGACCGGCGGTTTCGTCGGCGAGGTGTTCCATGGTGGTTTGGTTGTAGTCGAACCCCAAGCCCTCCCAGGAGTTCAATAGGATTGGGCGGGTTTGAGCTGTATAGTCCGAGCGGGATAGATGATTGCGGTAGAGGTCGTGGAAGGACTGGGACATGCCGTTCAGGCCCTCGGAGGAGTACACGGCGATGGCTTCGGGGGAGGTGAAGGTTTCGCCAGGTTGGAGGGGCCAGGAGAAGTGCAGGGGGTTCATGCCCATCAATACGCGCACGTAGCCATGGCTGAAGCGTTCGACGTTGGTGGCGTGGGAGCCGGTGTAGACGAGGTTGAAGCCCCAGGCCTCGCCGGATGATTCGGTGGTGCTGGGGGGAACGAGGGCGAAGAAGGGATTGAAGACGTGGGAAGAATAGCCTTCTGTGCTTCGGAAGCTGCAACATACATATTAGCAACCAACCAAGGCAGTTGGGTATACGTAAGACTCACCCAGTCTCGCCATACTGCACCTTCCTCCTAACCCTGTTCCTCTCATGCGCCCAATCTCCCTGCAACTCAATCAACTCCAGATCTAGATTCGGCAGATCAGTGCTGAAGCTCGCTCCTCTCTCAATCGAGATCTCGTTCGATCCATTGTTGGAGATCTGAAAACTCCTCGCAATGGCGTTGTACTTCGGGAAGATGGAATACGACAGCACAGCCGCAACATCGGAGTAGTTGTCGTAAAGGTGCACCCTCAAAGTCGTCACATCGCCCTCACCTCCGTAGGTAGCTGGCAGACCGTCAAGGCCGGGTTTACCAGCGCTAATCTCATGGTTTTGATAGTTAAATTCCGACACTGTGTCGCCACCTGAGTGCAGGATGTGGATTGCTGGCAGGCGGAAGTCGCTTCGTCCGACGTCTGGGAACTCACGGCGGACATTTGTCAGACCATCAGACCAGCCGGATGGGTTGATGTACGCTGGTGGAATGAAGTCGTCGGTCGGGCCGCCGAAGTGGTCGGATATGAGTTCGAGGGTTGATGGGTCGACGTGGAAGAGGTAGGACATGGAGTCGCCGGTGAGAGTGAAGTTGGTGCCGGTGGCGGTAATGGCTGTGGTGGTGTTAATTTGTTGTCTCTGGATTGAGTGTCCCGAGTTATCGCATCGTCTGCAGAATGATGTCTGTACTCACCACTACTGTTCGCCGCCGCCCTCGCCAAAGCGGCCATACAGGCCAAGCTGAATGCAGATCTCATCATGTCGTTGCCGCTGACCGATTTCGATATTGAGTCGGACGTCGTCGACACGTTTTAACTGAACACTCACCGACTCGAAAGTCTGTCAGACCGTCGAATGCCGAAGCTGACTTTGTTCAACCCAAGTGGAGCCGAGAGGTGTTGTCGTCGTTCGTAGATCGCCAAGATACTAGCGCCGGTGGATGAAGGCTTCGAGCTGGAGTCAAATGAGGGGGACCATTTTCCCCACCACTCAGAGTGGAGCGAAATCGAGAGGTGGTTGGTTGCAGTCGTGAACTCTTCGAAGATTGTGTCCACCAGTGGGCGGTCGCTCGAGCTCCTCCACGTTGGAGATCTGCTTTTCCATGCGGTTGAGATGCTGGCAACGCTGAGGTTGACGAAGGCACAATCTAAGAAAGCAACAAGTCTCAGCGTCGTAGACTGCTTGAATGGCAATCAACGCCTGGGTGTGGCACTAAATCTTCGAGCCTAAAGGTAAAAGTGGCTTCCTCCGTAGGATGGCAACAGGGTGGACGGTCAATGATAGTTTACAAAAGGACAGATGTGCTCGTAGGACAGGTGAAGCTTTCACTTACGGACCTATCCACCAGTATGCCATTCCACCATTCCGCCAGAGCACGGAAGGGCATCTGGAAGAGATGGCGCTATGAGAAAGCTTACACAGAAGAACAAGATATACCTACCTTACCGGTCAGGGCTTGAACGGCCACACGAGCATTGCCCTTGCCCGCCGCAGATGCGATATTCCACTGAGACTCTCAGTCGGCCATCAAATCCACTGGTGGCTGTGGTAAAAGCTTAACAGTCGCTAAATGGTTCTCTGTGCTCGTTTTCGTTCTCGATACCCTTCGCGCCAAGCAACTGTGGCAGTGATGCCGGATACCTTATGCAAGACATTGGAGCAGCAACAGTAGGTAGAAACTCGAGTTCACAGCGCCAAAAGATCTTGCAGCAATGTCCTCGGCATGTCCTGGGCCGCAGAAGAAAACATGCCCGCCATGGAGTCTTCTAAAGGTCGGTAATGTAGGTGCATGAGCTCTGTGAGTTATACGGATGGCGGGTGATCAGGCAGTCCGCGACCATTTGACGGGCAGGGAATCAAGAGTTCGACGACTGTCTCATTATCTCCACAGGTAGTTGCGACCGTGACCGTGGATGTTAGAAGCTGTGCTGCGATATCCGGAGCATGGTAATAGGCACAGCGACTGCGCAATCCGCAACTCGCTTAAGGTCATGCCCGCGGATAACGCATCAGCTCCATGGAAGTAGTAGGACCCAGCATCATCGTCCTGCAGGGTAGGCCATCGCATAGCTCGCAATTGCATACCCGGGTCGCTTGCAGGTAGATGCTGCTGCAGGCTCGTAGAAGGTGAGGGTAAGCACGCCAGAACATTGGCGCAGTTGTCGTGGCGCGGGATGGTTGCTTTTGTGGGAGAGCAGTGCGACGAGCGGTGATGGCTAGGTCCTTCAACTGGCGGTCATGAAATTTGCAAGCCTTCGAGGCTACATGCTGCCTACAGGCGTGCGTCCGTGTATGCCTTTGAAGGTATGGTGTAGAAGGTAGAAAGAGAGAAATGTAGTTCTATCCGCGGTCCCGACATCCCGGTTGCTAGCAGTGCTGCCGACCCGACGTTCGGCCGGTGATAAGCAAGCACGTGTTCCGCAAACGGTTGAGAGAGATGCGCGTCCGTTGGAAATTGCTCGCCACTGACAGGAGGCCTCACCACCTTACCCTCCGCTGCCCTCGGAGACGACGAGGGTCATCACAGAGGCTGAGCGTGCTGACCTGTCCAAAGTTCCACGTTGGTTGCAAGATGTTTGTCTGCTGCCAAGTTATATTACCGTCGCCCCTGGCTTTGATGGGACTAGCCGCGTGAACTCTCCAGAGAGCAGTGGAAGCCACCCAAGAACGTCGTCTTTCTGTGCCGACGTTCTAGTCTTCTAGTCCTACCTTATCTATAGCGCCGCTGCTTCTCCTCCCGACCATGCTTGTGCTACTCTGCTGATACTTCCACGACTGCTGCCGGACGACGCTCGTTTTTCCATGCTGCCGCTGTACCACCCTCGGCGGAAATGCGCTCGCTCCGCCCCCTCGGCCAATGGCTCACGTCCCCACGTGTGAGAGCTGTCGCGCGCATCGCAGCTTTCGCCATCCTCGCCATCGCTGGAATACTGCTGGCTGTGCTCTTCATACATCGCGGCCTGCTACCGGTCGTCGCATGGCTGATTCCAGCGTTGCGACTGCCCTTCCTCGACTTCGCAGTCTACGGGCCATATCCTACGCAGCAATTCGTGTCCTTTGACCTTCATGCGCCCAAGCCATGGCGAACGCTCTGGGACAAATCATGCGACGGCGGCCAGATATTCATTGGCCCCAATGGCCCTTCAGTGACAGACTCGGGGCCAGTGATCACGGACACCAATGGCGAGCTCATCTGGATGACCCACGAGTACAACACGGTCATGAACTTTGATATGCAGAGTTACCGAGGCAAGGACTACCTCACCTTCTGGACTGGCAACAAGACTGGTAGTAACGGTCGAGGGGAGATGCTGATGCTGGATTCGAATTACAAAGTCGCCTACCGAATACAGGCTGTCGGCGGAGAGAATCGAGGCGACATCCACGAATTCCGCTTAACGGACGACAACACCGCACTCATCGCTGTGTATAATCACACCCAAGCCGATCTGCGAAGTTGGCCCGGCTTCCGACCATCAGATGGATGGCTGGTAGACGGGTTGTTCCAAGAAATCGACGTCGAGACCAACGAGCTCCTCTTCGAGTGGCGAGCAATCAACCACTTCGACCCCATCAACAACTATTACTTCGACCCCTTTGGTGGCTACTTCGAATCGCATCCCTACGACTACTACCACCTCAACAGCATCGCGAAGGATTCCAAAGGCAACTACCTCATCTCCTCCCGCCACTTCCACCACATCGCCTACATCGAAGGCAAAACTGGAAACGTCCTCTGGACTCTTGGCGGCCACTCCAAGGACTTCAAGGACCTCTCCCATGGCAAAGCCACCGAGCACCAATGGCAGCACAACGCCCGCTGGGTCGATGAAGAAAAGGGCATCCTGAGTTTCATGGATAACGGCGCTGCCGGACCTCTCCATGTAGACGCGCCTTGCAGCAAAGGCACGATGGTCCAGCTCGATACCGAAAACATGACGGCCACTTTACTCCACTCCTACGTCTCGCCGAACAAAGTCCGCGCAGCTTCGCAGGGAAATCTGCAAGTCATCAACGACGACCAAGTGCTCGTCGGCTGGGGCGCTACGGCCGCGTACACGGAGTTCACCATGGACGGCACCCCGCTGTGCGAAGTGCATTACTCCGCCGGATTGCTTTTCTGGTTTGAGCGATGGAAGAGTTATCGAGTGCATAGGCATTTTGGGTGGGTCGGTAAGCCGGATTGGCCGCCGAGCGCGAGGGTGAAGGGGGGAAGAGTCTATGTTAGCTGGAACGGGGCTACGGAGGTGAAGTTCTGGGAGTTGCAGGGGGTGAAGAAAGAGGGTGGGAAGTGGGAAAGTGTCGAGACGACGGAGAAGCAGGGGTTTGAGGACTCGTTTGCTCTGCCTTCGAAGGCGGAGTTCGTCCACTACCGAATCGCGGCGCTGGACAGTGAGAAGAACGTTCTTCACCACTCAGAGCCAGCTCAACCGGAGGGTGGTCTTGGATGGGCTGCCGGCGTGGCGATCGGCGTCGCTGTCGTTGCGGTCCTCTCGATTTGCGCGTGGTATGGCGTGAGGCATTGGGCACGACGAAGACGAGAGGGGAGGAACCTGTTTACCTGGGAATATAAGGAGTTATTTGGGCAGGACTATCAGTATAGCAGGTTATAGGCGAGGAGACGTGAGACGTGGACACCTGGGTTGTACATAGCAGAGACACCTGAAGACGCCTGGGATTGGGCGTGTTTGAACGCGATCTTGTCCCGCTCGTGGTTGTTGACTGTGCAGCCCTGATACCTTAGTCCTTCAATGGCTGAGCACGTGAAATTCGCAATTTAACCAGCCGAGGCCTCCTCCACCTCCACACCTGCCATTCCCAATCGGGCACCTTGCGACGAGAACCTCAGCTCAGCAACAACAACATCACCACCACGATCTGCTCCTCCCCCTTACACACAATGCGCACCTAAACAACCCACCCACCACGTGTAAGCGCACCACCATGTCCTCTTCCTCCTCCTCCTCCTCCTCAAATGGCAGCGGCAGCCCCTACCCGCGCAAACCGCTCGACCCCATCTCCCGCACAGCCCTCCGCTACAGCCTCTCGCCCAAAGAATACGAACTGCTACACCAATACCTCATCTCGCGCGCCCCGTCGCAAGTCCAAAAGCGCACGCCTAAGCCAAAGCGCTTTGAAAAACTCACCTCCACGACCGAGAGCAAGAATAGCGATGACCCCGACTCCAACGTCGTCGCGCTGCGCACCGCGCTGAGAGTGTTTGCGGGCGTGTATGTAGGGTTTAAGGGCTATGAAGTCGTGATGCGCAAGCTCGCTAAGCGGCGAGGGAAGGCGGTGGGAAAGAGTGCAGGGATGAGCGGAGAGAATGTGAGGTGGGCGGGGAGTTTGGCTGGGATATTGTTGGCGCATAAACTGCTTTTTCGGTTTTTGAGGAGGTTAAGGACATATTTGCTCGAAGGCGAGGAGGAGGTGGAGAGGTTTAAGAGGCGCAATCCGAGGGTCGCCGGGGTGTTGACTTCGAAGTACACGCCTGCGATCGGGGCGGCGGCGGCGGGGTTGGGGTTAGGTGTTGCGCCGAAAGGGCAGTTGAGGGTGACGATTGCGATTTACATGTTCACGAGGAGTCTGGAGTTCGCCTTCAACTTCCTCGAATCCGCCGGTCACCTCTGGAAATCCGGCAAATCCGGCCGTCCCAGCTGGTTCGGCAGCTGGCTCCTCATGCCTTTTGCCTGCGGCCAGCTCCTCCACGCCTTCGTCTTCGACCGCGACTGCTTCCCCGCTGCCTACGGGGACTTCATCATCCAGCGCTCACCGGAGTACATCCAGCTGCGCCCCAAAGACTACCCTGCCGCGAAACCGTGGCCGGGGACGTTCGATATCGTCGACGCGCTTGCTGGGCTGAGTAAACTCCACTGGCCGCCTTTCATCTCTCCCATCCTCTTCCCCGCTGCGAAGGACGCTCTACCCAGCCAACTGGCGAAAGTCGCACCACTCACCAGCCCCGCCCATCCCGGAATCAAACACACCTCCTGCGCCATCCTGCACCCGCACGACCCCAGCTGCACGCGCACGTTCATCCGCTACTTCGTCCGCAACTTTCCCGGCGTGGCGCGGTTCTTCGCGCTTATCTACGGCGCTTTCGCGCTGCTGGGTTATAAGAGTCTGCGCAAGGATCCGATGGCTTTTTTGAATAAGCTTAGTGCGAGGATTTTGCGGATGGCGGTTTTTGTTACGGCGGCGGTTGGCACGAGTTGGGGGAGTATTTGCGCGTTTAATAGCGTGCTGCCTCGTGGAGTGCTGCCGACGCAGCGGTGGTTTCTGGGTGGGTTCGCCGGGGGGATGTGGGCTTATGTTGCTCGCAAGGGCGAGAGGGGGAATTTCCTCTACTCCGCCCGTCTGAGCATTGATAGTTTATGGAAGGTCGGCAAAAAGCGAGGTTGGTGGCGCGGGGTAAAGGGTGGTGATGTGCTAGTTTTCGCGGCGAGTTTGGCCCTGTTGGATGTGGTGTATGAGGTTAAACCGGACGCTGTGCAGGGTGCGGTTTTGCGGAAGGGGGTGGGTGTTTTGAGGGGGGAGGGGTGGAGGGATGGGGCTGCGTCTACTGATGGGACGGGGGAGGGGGAGAAGGAGGGGGTGCAGAGGAGGGAGGAGCAGGAGGTGGTGCTTGGCGAGACTGTCGAGAGCGAGAAGAAGGAGCTTTAAGTCGATGTGGCTGGATACGATGATGGCACGGCCGCCTTGGGAGGCGCTGAGGATCGGGATGCTGTATGTTTGTATAGGTAGTATTTGTTGATACCCAGTTGATATATGATATGCTCTTATGTACTCTCTGCTCGCAACGCATCTTTAAGAATCTACTGTACGTACTTCCTCACATGTCTCGTGTTTGATAGCCAAGATATGTAGCCTATCTGGCAGGCATCTGAGCCACATGCATCTCCACTTGATATCGAATCTTTCGACTGACTTCACACCACCTCGTCAGCCTTCTCGACGGACGTGAAGAGGTCCATGTGGCCACGACGCTATGCATGAGACACCCCAGTGAATGTGGTTCCAGAGATCACTGTCCATCATGCTTTGACCTCAATTCTCAGTGCGCCTCGGGCAATGTCTTCCAGGCCAACAACCAGCCCGCAATGTCGCAGAGCCTTGATACGAGCCAGATTCGGGAGTGGAGATCGATTGTTACGTTGATCGTGTTTGTGGTTACGAGTGAGTACTATTGGACTTCTTCGCCGAACAACAAGAAGAGGACTGATGTTTTGGATGCAGATGTTGTCGTGCTGTTCCCCTTTTACGTGCCGATTCCTGTTCCATCGGTGGTATGCCATGGGTTCAAGACTACGTTGAGCGTACTACGGATCAGAGACTTCGAAGAACCCAAGTCAAACGCTACTGACACGGCATCCATCACCAATAGCCCAATGCATGAGAAACCGATCATCTGGAAGCGCTTCCCACTCAACTTCATCACCGCCCCCCTCATTGCCGACCTCTTCCTCCTCGCCATCCAAGCCATAGGAAGGGAAGAAGTCCACGATGGCACCGTGGGCGCCGACCACATCTACCCGATCGACATCATGGTCTTCTTCATCACTCTGGCCTACATCGCCATATCAATCGACGCTTCGGGCTTGATCAGATGGCTAGCCCACAAAGTCTTGCTGGTTGGCGGCAAGAATGGGAAAAGGCTCTACCTGTATCTATACACCTTCTTCTTCGCCCTAGCTACATTCATCGGTAACGACCCGATCATCCTCTCCGGCACGCCGTTCCTGGCGTACATGACGAAAGCAGCGAGCAACATCGAGAAACCGAAGGCATGGATCTTTACGCAGTTTGCTGTCGCCAACATCGCTTCGGCGATTCTGGTGTCTTCGAATCCGACGAACTTGGTTCTGGCTGGTGCTTTCGATATCAAGTACATCACTTATACGGCCAATATGATCGTTCCGGTCGTCGTGACCGCGATCGTGCTGTTCCCGTTCTTGCTATGGGCGGTGTTTCGAGACGAGTCGCTGGTTCCTGGGTCGATTGAGATGCACACTCTCTCTGATGAGTTGAAGTCAAAGCAGCCTGCAAACCCAAACATCCCGTCCCCGAAGCACGTCGAGGACGGCGGTAAGCTCACCCGCACATCGACCTTGGAGGAGATCATGAACCCTTACCTCGATAAAATCAGCGCTGTCTTTGGTAGTATCGTTATGGCGGCTACGCTTGTCACGATCTTGGCTCTCAATGCTTCGAGCGAGGATGGCGATGCGATTCCAGCGTACTGGGTAACGTTGCCGGCGGCTTTTGTCGTATTTTCTTTTGATATGTCGAATGGGTGGATGTGTAGGCATGCTACTCGTGCGGTTGTCCAAGGTCGTCGGCAACAGACGGAGAATTCGGAAGGCGAACGGCGAGCCGAAGTGGATGGGCGAGAGAATGATGCTGTTTTTAATGGCGATTATGACGGCACCAGGATAGACCAAGGAGTCGGCAATAAGCAGCCAGCACTTGAACCCGCAGACAAGGCGCAGCCGTTCGACCCTTCAGTCCTTGCGTCAGGCGATCCTCTTATGCCTGGGCCGGAGACAACAATGCACGACTCAACCTCCAGCAATGAGACAAACGCCATCCTCAAACGACTTACATCCAGCACCAAGAGACGCACTCTCTTCTCCGTCGCCCAATCCACCTGGCACTGGTCCCGCGCCACGTTCCCAACGACCACCACAGTCCTCTCTCTCCTCCCCCTTCCCCTCGTACCCTTCGCCCTCTGCATCTTCGTCCTCGTCCAAGCCCTCGTAAGCAAAGGCTGGATCGCCGTCTTCGCCTACGGCTGGTCCCACTGGATCACATCCACCGGAACAGTAGGCGCGATAGGCGGCATGGCTTTCCTCTCTGTCATCCTCTGCAATTTCAGCGGGACCAACATCGGCACCACGATCTTGCTATGCCGGGTTGTGCAGGCATGGGTCCAGATTCATCAGCTTGAGGGAGCGGAGCCGATCTCGCAAAGGACGTTTTGGGCGGCGGTGTATAGTATGGCGATTGGAGTGAACTACGGGGCGTTTAGTACGGCTTTCAGCGCGAGCTTGGCTGGGATGCTGTGGCGGAATATTTTGGATAGGAAGGGGATTCGGGTTGGTGCGAGAGAGTTTGCGTGGGTCAATTTGCCGATCATTGTGTTCACCATGGTTGTGGCGTGTGCGGTGCTGGTTGGAGAGGTGTATATAGTGAGAAGCGAAAAGGCGTATCAAGGATGATTTGCTGGCGATAGTGTTCCCGTCCGCAGTCGAGTTTACCGTGTGCCTATGTAGGCAAGCGAAGGGCAGTGAAAGCGGCACACTGGGTCAGAGTGAGCCTTATTATCGATCTTCTCCGAGAAAACGATAGCCCACCGACTGTAGTGATGTGGCCTTTTCCAGTGCGTTTAGGTATGGGAAAGGACTGCGTGATATGCAGGTGAGCCGATGTTTTCACGGTCCCCTGCTCGGCGGCGGAGGCGAAGTGCAATCCACCGTCGTCCGATACTCGCTGTCCCCGACTGCTGCGAGACAATTACGACAACTGTCCTTCTATGCAACGGGCCAACAAAGCATATTTGGCAGCTACGAGGTTAGGTACACTGAAAGCATACACATCCAGCATCGACCTTCCATCAACGAAGGACCGAGTTCAAGAACCGTACCAGTGTACGCATGGGCTCCAACACAGGTCGCGTGACCCCGAACTCCTCCGACTGATCCGTGCTGACCACCCTCGCAGCACTAGGATCCGTCCACTCGTCGAACGCCCAACCGCCAGGATCGTGGTGTCGATCCCGACTGCGTGCGAGCGCAGCGCGGAAGTCCGCTGCCACTTTGCCATCGCGCGACTGAGCGGCGATTTGCGCAATGTCGTTGAATAGGTTGCTCCGGCGCAGCACTGCAGCCGCTCCGAGAAGACCGATTGGCTCCTCGTAGAGTATGGACTGTCTGTTCGATGTGTAGATGTATATCCACACGAGAAAGCCGAGTATCACGGCAAGGATTCCTATTATCGTACCCGCCACGGGGACGACGACACGAACCCTCGTCCTTGGCTGGTAATACGTGGCTCGCGCGGTCTCTGGCGGTCCGTCTGAGATAAGAAATGTGTTGGCCATGATGGCAAATGTTGTAGGGAAAAGATCTTGCATGGCGGTTTGCAGAATGTCGCCGTCAAGGTATGGGAGATTGGATAAGGTTTTGCCGTAGTGGAAGATGACACGCCCGAAGTTGGTGGAGTAGATCGGGAGAAAGGGGTCGACGTTTTCCGCCTGGTTGATCCCTCGCTCGAATAGAACGGCGAACAGGGGTCTCTCCGGGAGCGGCGTGATGGAGTGGTGACTAGTGTGTCGAACTTCACTCTGGGTGACATCCGATGTATCGAGTGTTGCGTTCGTAGCATACTGAAAGTATATCGGAATGCAAGAGACTCCAAAGATGTTCGTGATTATGTGGTCACTTTCGTTGCCGTTGTGTGCCGAGATTGCGACAATGCGACTGCGATTGTAGGCCGAAGGACAGGTAGAGTAGGTGTATGTCCGTATGTAGTCCCGCACTCGCGGGTAGACTTCCGGGGTGAAGAACTGCGAGGTTACAGAACAACCACGGTCGGTCAGGGAGAACTCCAGTCCATTGCCCGAGTTAACCATCTTGAACTGGTCCGGCCCCAAGAGGACACAGTCCGCCGCAGCACTCATTGCTCTTGTCTCGACGGTAAGACTTGCGGTTTCCACTAGCTGCTCCGATGGGAATGGTAGCAAGCTTTCGTTCAACGTGGTCCATGGAATTGGTCGACCCCCGTACACCCTCGTCGCTGCAACAATGTCCAATACTGGGGTCATGCTTGAGCCGCTGCCGTAGCCTGAGTAATCGAAGATGCTGGTTTGCCGAAGATCAGTGCCCTTCGATACTGTGGTGGAACTTGTAAAGAAGAGGTGCGAGGCTATTGGTGAGAGCACGACCTTCACAACCAGCGACAGGCACATGCAGCCAAACAAGGTATAGTGGTTGAGCTGCAGCGCTTTGTACATGCCGGCTGGAACCCAATGCGAGCGGTATTCGAGACAGACCGACTTTTCCGCGGGCGCGCCAATGGAGCTCTTTTCGCGGTTGAGTTCAACGTAGGGCTGCCGATCTAAGGCAGCATTGATGACGCTGTCAACGAGAAGCCCGTACAGCTGGAAGATGAGTACTGGGACAAAAGTCCACAACAGCCCAATGCCAATACGAAGATCCGGAACCAACTGAGGGCCTTTGCGCTGCTCCAGGTTGACGAAGGCAATGCCATCATTGCGCTCGTTCCCAACAATCAGGCCGACAATTGCTGCAATAATGGCGAGCGTCAGAAGGCCGAGAGGCAGCAATGTTTGTGTCTTCAGCCATGTCGAAATCCATTCTCGAAGATCGGGGTGGACTTGGTGAGGCACGCTAAAGGCGTATGCTGCATTGATCGGCTGTTGCGGGCCATGCTGAGGAGACGAGAGGTTTCCATGGTGCTGGTGACTGACTTGGCCAAAGGCTCCAGACGTTGGGTGCCCAAAATGGTCCAACTCTTCATCATAAGAGCTTTGCGCTAGATTTTCGTTGTTCGGTGGGCTCGACTGATGCTGCGAGAGGGTGTGACTCGTATTTGAAGGCGAGTGGTTGCTGCTTTGCTCGATGGGCAATTGTTGAGTCGGGACGGGGATCAATGGTATGCTGGCGCGTGATTGTCCTTCTGCCATGGCGCAGATCAAGGCAAGAAGAGATCTCAATTGATGGCAGCAATCCAGAAGACAAGATTTAACTGTCTGGTCCTTACACCGCTGTTTTCGGCAACAAGGAGCAGAAATGATTCACAAGAGGTGGCAGCTCTTGAGAGCCGCCGTAGCACGATATGAATTTGCCGTTGTCAGCGACAGCGCCTGCTTGTGGCAAAGTTGTCCTGCCATGGACATCCGATGTACCAGGAGAAGCAGCGGAGGGGTGAGACGTAGAGCTCTAGAACAGCCCATCTGGCGATCGGGCTGCATCGGCAACGATATGAGCGTCTCCATATGGTCGACGGACAGCCGCAACAACGTCCAGTAACGGTAGAAACGTTTCTTCCATGTGCCCGAAAGGCTCGCACGATCCCGAAGAGTTCTCTGATAAGCCACAATGCGCCGCGGCGCAGAGGTGGTGTGACCGCCAAGAGGGACATGCCTCCTTCTCCAGCAGTGATCGAAGGTACATGTTCCTCGCATGTCAACGAGCTTTAAGCGAGTTGCCGTATCGGGTTGTCGTTGGTCCCGAGCAACCCGAGCTGGATAGGCAAGGCTGTCACGAGGCTTGCCACCGCCGGCAAGAGCGCTTCCATAGAGACTTCTATTGGCCCCAACGCCACAGTCCGGCGAAGATGCTGGCTTCATCAGAGGCGATCGGCTGAAGACCCGGTGTCTAGCCCTGATATGTGCTCGACGAGGTTGTGTCAGGCAGGGCAAGCATCTGCAAGAATATGCAAGCCTTCGCTTCTTCGACGAAAATGGCTGTGGTACCACCGTTTGCTATGTTGTCGAGCACTCGGTCTTGCTCCAAAGTCGAGAAGCTGTAAAAGCCCACGAGCGCTCTCGCAACACCTTTGTGGTCTTGCCTTCGTCCACGAGCGCTCTCGCAAACTCTTTGTCGTGTTGCCTTCGCTCACATTCTCGTGCCCGTCGTAGCCCTTTCCAACAGCAACATGTCGTCCTCCGGCCGAATCGGTCTGGTCACAAACCCCGGGTACTGTTCGAACGTCCAATCAAGTTGCCTGATAGGATACAACGCTGGGAGGACCTGCTTGGACGCGTACCCATCGACAACGCAGCGCGCACCCTTCCTGCGTTGTCTGTGTCAAGAGCCCATCATCTCAGCGGCTTCGGTGTGCGAGTATGATGGCAACATCACCTGCCTCGGCCTCCCTGCCGCACTGACCAATATTGATGTGTGGAGGAACTGTCCAGTAAGTGCCGTCGTACAGATAAGAGTCGAGTGTCCCTCGTTGACGTATCGAAAGGCCGAAGCGTCTTCCTTCTACGATGCACAGCAGAGTTTGAATGCCACTTCCACAGCGGCGACGGTGTCCGCGACGCCATCAAGTGCTTTTCCAAGCATGACGATGTCGTCCGCGCTTCCAGGTCCAATGACTCCTGCGCCGTCGAGCGGACCAACAAGCTCAGGGAGCGGTGGTGGACAGTCCATGCCGAACGGTAGTATTCGGACGAGAGGAGATAAACATGTGAGGCAGTGGCTCCTGCTTGCTTTATCACTTGCTGCAGTGTTGGCTGGCGAGTTGTCATAAGGAAAAGCGTACGCTCGCACGTACTCGGATCGGCCTGCGGTAGAAGACAGTAACGGCACGAGTTGGAGTCCTGCTGCTAGTATAGCGCCGAGCTGTATGGAGTCCTTCTGCTAGTACAGCGCCGAGCTCTATGAGCCAATGACCACACTCACTGGGTTGTTTAAATAAGTCGGAAGATAGTACCCTTTTGCTTCCCTCTGTTTCGCGACTCCAGTTTCGCTTCACGGTAGTGCTGAAGGTTCAGAAGTTGACTCGACGACTTAGCTTTTCCAGTGACGCCCTTTCCCTGTTCGTAGCGCAACGCTGTCCTTTTGAGCAAAAGGTATGACAAATTGCCGAAGGTATTGATTGCGGTACGGTTCCAGGTCGAGGGAGGAGGGCGGTATGGCAGTCCGGTCATACCTTCTTCCACAGCTTGCGATCCAACGACAGCCGAGCCAGCAGTACAAACAGACTCGAGACCAGTGCCGTTACCCCGGAATAGAATATTGCCGGCCGGTAAGCGTCAATGGAGCCGGACTGGTCAGCACCAGTGGCCGTTAGCAGATATCCGGCAATGGGGGAGCCCAAGAGATACCCGATCGTCCAGCCAGTAATGCTTTGACCCATGGCGAGCGCTGCACGGCCGGGGAACATGTTGGCAACCACTGTCGGCATCGCGACGAAGAACGAGCCGTTTGCCACGCCGTTGAGCATGGCGAAGACCACTAGCAGCCCCAAGTTGTTCGCAAAAGGCCATATGGCGAGCATGCTGAGAGTGCTCAACGCCATGGTCATGAGGAAAGTATTGGCAGCTCCCAGCTTGTCGCAAAGTGGTCCAGAGGCAAGACGACCGACCGCCGTACAACCGTTGAACCCCGCAACAAGCGCAGCCCCGGTGCCAGAGGACAGCCCTACCGAGCGTGCAACTAGTGGCAAGAAGTAGGGTGGGACGAACAAGGTGAATGTACCCAGTGCTGCAGCGATAGACACCGAGGTATACGCCACGTTGCGGAACATCCTCAGGTCAAGGAAAGGAACATTATGGGTCGGAGCTCGTTCCTTGATCAGCCAGGCGGCCGGCAGTCCTGTGGACAGTGTGATGAAGCCCAGTATGCGAAACGTCCAGGGGATGCCGACCTTCTGTATGAGAGCCTCGAGTGCAACTGCGAGGACGGTCGCTCCTACGCCACCACCAAGCTTGACCAGTCCATTAGCAGTGCCGAGTTTGGAGCTAAAGTATTGCGTTGGGAGGCTGTTGCTGATCGCGTACAACAGGCACATTCCGAGGCCAGCCATCACGCCGGATGCGCCTGTCAGACAATACGAGCGTTAGCGTGCCTTCTCAAATACCTCTCTGAACAGTATATCGCACCGAACAGCCCGCCGATGTTGGATGTGGTGAAGCCAGAGAAGACTTCGGCCAGACCTAGGATCGTGACTCCGGCAAGCGCGCTACCTCGTGCCCCTATCCATCGCGAAAGTCGGATGCTGAACACACCCAGTGCCACAACGAGTGCTACGCATAGCGATCCCACGAATGTAACAGTCGAAGTAGGCACTCCGGTCAGAGGGTCTTCGAGTAGATGGGCTTGTAGCACGCCCCAACTTCCTGTTAGTCCGTTGAAATGGAAGGTGAGTGTTGAGCAAGACAGAACTATGATCCAGCCGTAGCCTCCATCGGGGATTGCAGTCGTTACGTTTGCCGCGTCTGCAGATGGCTGGACGTCGCGTTCGCTGAGCTGAGGATCTCTATTTGTCTGGATATTGGAATCGTTGCCGTTGCGCTCCTCCGCCCCGGGGATGGTCTGGAGCTCGGTCGCTGTGGTAGTGATCGTGGCCATGGTAAAGCCAAAGGAGGAGCACACATCGAGATGAGAAATATGTTCAGAAGGATGGCACATTCAACTTGTCTCGAAAGAAACATGACGTTCACGTAAGCATCGACAGTCTAGCCTTTAACGGCAAGGCGTAAATTGCCTTTGCGCCCTTCAACATCTTCACCAACGTTCACCTTCCATCTCTCCTTCAGCACCGGTATCGCCTTCAGCCTTCCATGCCATAGGCACCCTCCCGATGAGCTCCTTGGCCAGAGGCACCCGGCGACAAAAGCAACCCCACCTATCGCAGCTCTCTGCTCAGGACTACCTTTTCCGTCACCCCTCGGAGCGGTTCTGGCGCGGCGCGTCGAGAGCTGTCAGGTACCGCGTCGAGCTTGTGTTAAATGATTCAGTTGTAGGTTGGTATACCGCATGCCATTCTTCTTCAATCCCGTCTTTCCTCCTACAATTCAGTCCTGTAATCGCGTTCTCTCATACTTCCTCTACAACACAGCAAAATGTCTGCATCAGTAGAAGAGGCCGCTTCCGCCCACTCACATCTTTCACCAAGTCAAGGCAAGACGCAAATCAAGGCTGCTGAAGGCTATGGAACTATGCGTGCTGGTGCCTTCGATCCAGTGGGTGGCCCTCAGTACTGTGCATGGCCGAGGCATACTAACACTGCAATGTTCAGGAACAAAAGAAGGTGATGATCAACGATGTGCCCGTCCCTGAACCCGGGCCCAACCAGTTCCTGGTCAAGATGGCATGCGCGAGTCTCTGCCATTCCGATATTATGGCGATAGAAGCTGGCCAAACAGCAACTCTTGGCCACGAAGGCGCCGGCTACATTGAGAAGATTCATCCTTCTGTTGAGGACAAGGGCTACAAGAAGGGCGACAAAGTTGGATTTCTCTACATCATTGGTTGCTGCTTCGAATGCGAAGGGTACGTATGTTCGGAGCAACTACGAGCAACGGTAATGTTCTGACGACTACAGCTGCATGAATCACAATCTCCACTGCCAAACTGGCAAGCAACTTCTCCAGGGCTTCACAACAGACGGGTTCTTCGCAGAGTACGCAGTGGTCGATTATCCGAATTGCATCCATTTGCCCGAAGCGATAGACGTCAAGACTGCCGCTCCCATCTTCTGCGCTGGTGTGACCGCTTTCCACGCCGTAGACAGCTCGGAGCTCAAAGAGGGTGATTGGCTTGCTGTTGTTGGTGCAGGTGGCTTAGGTACGTCTTGTGTTCTGTGTCAATTCGCAGACTCTGACATCTTCGACAGGTCAAATAGCTACGCAGATAGCGAAAGCTAGAGGCTGCAAGGTTGTGGCGATCGATATTAATGATGCAACGCTCGATGTGTGCAAGAAGCAAGGAGCAGATGCGGTCTTCAATTCCAAAGATAACAAGGACTACGTGAGCCAGCTGAAAGAGTTGACGAATGGAGGAGCAAAGGCAGCTTGTGTCTTCAGCAACGCCCAGGCTGTACGTACACCCCCGTCTGACCCTGCTCTGACCTGCCTCTGACCGTGACACAGGCCTATGCTGGCGTCCCTCCAATTCTCCGACTGGGCGGTGTCATGATGGTTATTGGGCTCCCACACGACCCAATCCCAGTTTCGACAATGGACCTGGCATTGGGGAAGTACAAGATCAAGAGCGAAAGCACTAGCATTCCGCAGCGGATGCCGAAGGCTGTAGAGTTTCTTGCGAAGCATAAGATCGTGCCTGAAGTGCAGCATCGGAAACTCGACGAGCTGAACGATATGGTGAACGAGATGCAGGCTGGAAAGGCTACGAAGAGGATGTTGGTTACGTTCTAGATAGAGATGTCTTGGTAGGCAGCGATATCAAGGACCCGAGTTGCGAGCCATTCGTTATGTATCACCCAAAGCTTCTCCTAGGGAACAAGCGCGTCGAAAATCACCAGGGCAAGGAAATGGGTACGACTGCGACACTCGGAGAAACATCTGCTGAGCCGTGAGCAGCTACCTAATTACCCCTCAAAGACTTTGGGCATATGTACATTGATCGCCTTGAACGCAAAGTCAAGTGCTATCAAAAGTCCTTTACCACTGATTGTTCCAATTTGGTATCAACAGGAACAATTGTACAACAACCGTCAAGATGGTACACCAAAAGATCGATCACGACTTCAAAAACGACCAGCTCTCCTACGATGCAAAGCCAAACTACCAACCCTGCGTCAAACTATCCTTCTGGTTCAACAAATTGCCCGAAGTCTCCTACGAGCAGTTTCACCGGCATTGGGAGACAGTGCACGCTGATCTGACAATCGCTACGAAGGACTTTGGTGTGTGCAAAGTCCAACGATATGTGTATGTTCTCGATCAGACGATCGATTCTCATTGTCACTGACACGCGGACGTGGATCGAACAGTCAGTTCCATCAAACTCCAGAGATGAAGGAGCGAGCGAAAAGCCTAGGCCTTGAGCACCTGGACTTCGACGGCTGTTCGGAGATCTGGGTGAAGAGTTGGGAGGACTGGGAGCGTTTCTACAAGGTACTTCGACCTCTGACCGTCGTTCTCCCGAGCCAGACCACAGATACTGATCAGATCGAACAGAGCGAAGACTATGCGAAGACGCTAGGGCCAGACTGCAAGCACTTCATGAAGATGCCCATCCATGTTGCTGTCGGCTGCGAGAATCTGATATTTGGAGAAGCACTGCCGGGTATGGGAGGGAAGGACGGAGTGACGGCGGAGAATGTGAAGGTTAGGTCTTGATAGAACTAGCCAAGCTGCCCACAAACATCCAACTGGACTAGATTCTAAAGTGAGTCGTGTCATGGATCTTCTCACAAACAATGATAGCCCGTCGAAGAGAGCAATGGCCCATTTGCGAGTTGAGTCGGGTCTGAGAGAGACTGCCAGATACGTCTAGTTCGTCGCACCTACGGTCGCTTGCTGGATAGCTTCGGACACATTGCCATAATCTGGATTGTTCTGAGATCGCCAACGAGCATCTCTTCCCAAAGCCATGTCGATCCTTGCAAGAAGAATGGAACATGCCGACGAATCTGGGCTGCGAGTCGCCGGATATCGTTTCCCGGACGTCCCTCGACTCCAACAAGCTTCCAGGCAAACTGGAGCAGGAAAGGCTATTGCTGTGGGATAGCCAGCGAGAGCATTTCCAGTCCATACTCCAGGAGCCTAGCCGTCTCTCCGCAGGGTTGGGGTTTCTGGGGGCTCCACAAAAGCATGGAAGTGGTGCCGAAAGTCTGTTCGCATCCTGGAGATATCGTATATCCTGGGAACCTGGAGACTGGAATGTGGTGAGGTCTGGTTCTGTTCCTTTTTACCTTTGTCTTCCACTCAGAACAATACCGATCCAACAGCTCTGGGGCCCTCGTTTACTAAGACGGCCGTCGACATGGACACCAACCACAACGCCTCCGATGAGAAGGCACAGATCGAGTTGCGAGAGGATGGAGAACTGACGCCTTCGGAAACGAACCACATACATGTCGGCGCTGGTACAGAGGCGCCGATGACATGGAAGACATGGCTGGTCATCTTCATTCTGTCGTCCTGCTTCGGTCTTTCGTTCTGGTGAGTCCGCGATCAATTAGCTGCCGACCGACTCAGTGCGTCTCTAACAGTCGACAGGCCAGTCCCGACCACGGGAGCCATCCAAGCGAAGCTGGTCGTACTCCTCGGTGACGAAACGGGGGTCAGCTCGTACTGGTTCGTTCCGGCGTACACAACGGGAAGTGCTCTGGGCTTCTTGATCGCTGGTGCCAATTCCGACTTGTTTGGGAGGAGATGGTTTTTGTAGGCGGCAACGCCCCCTGAGTAGCAATGAAACGGAAGGGCTGACAGCAGACAGACTCCACGGCGAAGTCATGGCAGCTCTTGGTATGCTCATCTCGGCGACCGCGAAGGAGTCGATGCAGTTCACTGCTGGTCTGGCCATTGCTGGTTGGGGAGGAGGTTTTTGTCAGGTAGGCGCATATCCCTTCGAAGGCCTTCCTCGGTCTGAAGCGTTGCTGACAATTTTGTTCTCTAGATGGCCATGTGCAGCATCCCCGAGCTCATGCCAAACCGGTACCGCCATATCGGCATCTGCCTCTCGGACGGCTTCGTCTTCGTGATCGTAATCTTCGGCCCAGTGGTCGGTCGCTACGCCATCGACGACGGCGATTCCTGGAAGTACATCTACTACGGCGGCTTCGTTGCCCAACTCATCTCGCTCGTCGCACTGGCCTGCCTCTACTTCCCACCACAACACCCCAAGGGCGTCCCATGGAAAGAAGCCGTCCGCGGCCTCGACTACATCGGAACTCTGCTGGTCGTCCCAGGCGTCTGTCTCGCTCTGGTCGGCATCATCAACACCACGTACATGTCCGCTTCCTCAACCATGGTGATCGCTCCTCTGGTCGTTGGCATCGTCCTCCTGATTCTCTTCGGCTTCTGGGAGAACTTCGGATGGGTAACCTATCCACTGTGTCCACCAAGGATCTTCCGCTCCCACAAGGGCCGCGAGTTCACCGTCCCCTTCATCATCGCGTTCATTGTGACGATGTTCTACTACGGCATCAACGTGATCTATCCAACAATGGTAAGCGAAACAAGTAAGATGCCAAGAATCCAAGGCATTAACTAACCTCCTTCCCTCTGCAGGTCAACGTCTTCTACATCACCCCCACCACCTCCCGCGGCTACGAACTCGCCCTCTCCCTCCCGGGCAACATCGGCCTCGTCTTCGGTGCCTGCCTCCTGATAGCCTTCGGCGACCTCTTCCGCAACTACCGCACCACCCTCTCCATCTCCTGGGCCGGCATGGTGCTCTTCGGCGGGCTCATGGCGCTCGTGACGCCCTACAACAAGGGACTCATGATCGCTTTCGCCTTTCTGGAGCAGACGTGTTTCGGCTGGGCGCAGTACTTGTCTATTGCGTTCACGCAGCTAGGCGTGCATCAGCATGATCTAGGCATGTCCGGTGGACTGGCGGGAGTGGCGAGGTATGCAGGTGGTTCGTTGGCGCAGGCGATTTACGTGTCGATTCTCGCGAATACGCAGGCTTCGCGGGCGGCTATCACGGTGCCGGAGGCTGCGATCCGGGCTGGTGCTAATTCAGAGACGGCGAGTGCGTTATTGGCGGCCCTGCCACTAGGAAGCGCGGCGATTGCAAAGGTGCCTGGAATCACGGATGAGATTGTTGCGGCGGCGAGCACGGCTTTCCAGTGGTCCTATGCGCATGGGTTGAAGATTACTGCGTTGAGCTCGTTGTCCTTTGGAGGGGTGGGCCTGATCTTGTGTTTGATGACGGAGAATATTGACAAGAAGGTGAGTTCATTCTTCCTGCAGCCTGACAGAAGCCTCAGTATACTGACAGGGTTGCAGATGACGCAAGAGACCAACGTCTTCCTCGAGAACGACATCCATGCATCGAAGAACGAGTACCACTGAGCAGCTGCTGTGACATGATTTTAATCCACAGCGACCCCAGGACGGAATAGTCATATACTCAATCCATAGCAACGCTCAAAACGCCATAGACTTTTCCGCTGATGGCACTCCTGGTCGTGTTGACGTGATGTGCTCCAAAGAAGTCTTCGCAATTCGAGAGTGGCATCGGCTCGAGGTTGGACGAGGTACTAAGAGGCGTCCTGAGTTCATGAAGGATGATCGCGGCGCGGCGAATGTTCCATGTCTGCTTACGCCAGATACATTCCTCCTGGGCCGTATGAGTCGTTGAGAGGCATGCCGTGGCCTTGAGAAAGGTCTGCAGCGCGGACAACATCGAACCTCTGTTTGCGCAACGTGGTGTTCTCCCAGGCCAAATGAAGCGCTAAGCGGCATCACAAGCCCTTGAGCGTGACGCTGCTGGCTCCGAGATGGCTTGTCTAAATCTGAGATGACCCCAAAGACTGGACAGTCGAGAAGGACATGCAAACATCTCCAAAGCTCGCAGCCGATTGAGGGCATCACAGCACCTGCTATAGCACCAGTTGTCGCCTTGGAGAAGCTTATGCGGTCGCGACATAGGTCTTGAAGTCGCGCGTGCCAACAGACTTAACTCGCGTATGCTACTGCCAATGCGGAGTTCTCCCCCAAGATCTTCCGCTGTGATATGTTTGTTGTTAACCTTCGGCACCGTTAAAGCAAAGCGGTAGATGCATGTCTACTCGTGTTGCCTGTGTAGATTCCTGATATCCGCAGGAACATGGCGGGCGTCCCCCCCGGGAAGATTGCGCGACAGAAACCACAGCGTAGATGGGTTTCATAGTGGTGCCCTTTCGGCATATGACCTTCCCATTCGCAGCCTGGGTAGTGAGGACAGCGATATCTGCAGACCGATGCTTTCACAGTAGAGAGTTTGCCGTGTCTGGCTTTTTGCACTCGCTCAACAACCTTGTCGACAGAAGTCTTGAACTTCTTGAAGTAGTGCGTCTGGCAAGAGGCCTTGGATGCTCTGTGTAGAGCGAGTCCTTCCGGCAGCGTCGCAACGAAGCCACAGTCGTTGCACGCGGTGAGGCTAGCTGCAATGCTAGCTGCCGTCCTCTCATGGTGCCTCACATGTCGATAGAACGGCCCATGCACAGAGAACCGTTTTGGGCAGTCTTCGCAGTTTAACGCTCGCTGTCGTTTGGAACAAGAACTTGCTGGTGGCGTTCGAATACCAGGCGGGTTTCGAACGAAGGTTCATCGCAAACGTCGCATGTATACGGTCGTTCCGTGGTGTGCTCCCAGAGATAGTGTCCGTTGAAAGAGAGCAGCTCGATGGCCGCGTAGTCGCCCGAAACCTCAGGACACTGGTGTTTCTGGCAGCGCCACATCTACGTGCAAGTAGAACCTGGTATGTGCCTAACTTGTCACGCTAACTTCGGATCCGTGTCCTCGACTATGAATGGCTTCCCACACTTGTGTCACCCGAAACGAGGGTCGTGATCGCTCTGATCGCGCTGGAGGTGCTTGGTCTGTTCGTGGAAATGGCCCATCCTTCCGAGAACACTCGAGCTGGTCTTCGTCGTCCCGGGGCCCTACTCTTGATCGGAGACGAGGCGGCCATCTCCAAGATTGAAGCCGGACGAGAGGATCATAGCACACGCCATAGCACCAGATATCGTCCTGGAGAAGGCGTTCTTGGCCAGAGAGGAGGTATGCAGTAGTTTGCAAGATTGGACCAGCATTGTGGTCGTCTCCGCGACTAGAACCACTCGAAACCGCTCTAGCACGCTCCATAGGACCAGATATCATCTCGGAGAGGGCGGCTTTGGCCAAATGAGAACTACTCGGTCGTCTGCAAGATGGAACCGGTATGTAGTCCTCTCCCAGACGCAAGCCAGTCGACAGCACCTCAGCACACGCCAAAGCACCAGAGCTCGTCTCGGAGAACCCGAATACCCATCACTTCGACCCCGAAAAGCTTTCGTCTTGTCTGAATCGACCTCGTTCTGCAGCAGTCGCTGAACATCCTCCGCGTACTCACGTTTGCGTTTGAAATGGCTGGAAAGGAGCCTGAGAGTAGACGTCTCGTCGTACACTCATCTATGGGTCAATCTATCTCTATCATTGCCTTCATCACATATGGCCCGAACAGCCTTTCCCTTAGCAGCTATATTTTCGCACTCTCGCACCATCCCGACCTCACTTCTTTCCCCACCCCTCACACACCTCATCAACATCCTTCCGCCACTCTTGCTGCCTCTTGCATTGTTCCAAGAAGACACGGTACTTCGCATTAAGAAGCTTCTTCTCTCCTTGGTCTTTACCAGGGTAAACAGCCTTCCCCGGCTTACTCATTCGATCCATAATGTCCCACAACGCCTCGCTCTTCCCCTCCTTATCCGTGCTCGCCGCCTTGGCCCCCAGCATCGCCGCCCCGTGCACCACCGCAGCATGCACGTACCGCGGAATCAGCACCGGCATGTCGCAGGCGGTCGCCATCAGCGACATGAGCACGTTGTTCTGGCACTGCGAGCCGGACATGAAGATGGAGCTGATGATGTGGCCGGAGGCGTTCATGGCCTCGATGATCTGGTGCGTCTGCAGCGCGATGAACTCCATCGTCGCGTAGTAGTACAGCGCCAGGCCGTCGATGCTCTTGTCGGACGACAGCCCGACGACGGAGCCGCGCATGTCGGGGTCGGCGACGGGCGAGCGGTTGCCGAACAAGTCGCCGTAGAAGAAGAAGTGCCGACCGAGGTAGGAGATGGTGGGCGCGTCGACGCGTTCTTGCATCTCCCGTAAGTGCTCGTTGAGGTAGTCGTAGATGTTGGCGTTGAAGGTCTCGGCGACGGACATGGCTTCTTGCCAGGCCGGGTGCGTTTCGATGACGTGCTTGAGCAGTTCGCCCGTAGCGCTCTGACCGCCTTCCGCGAGCCAGTAGTCGGGGATCAGGACGTCGCGGTACGGGCCCCAGACGCCGTTGACGAAGACGGGTTTCTCGCTCATGGCGAGGTGGCAGGTGCTGGTGCCTGCGACGGCGGCGAGACGGGTGAAGGCTTGCGAGACGTCGTTCTTGGGGTGGGTGTTGGAGAGCTCGTTTTCGGAGAGCTTGACTTTGGCGCCGACGGTGCCGATCCAGCCGGCGTAGGCATCGATGACACCGCTGCCAACTGCGATGCCTGCAGGGAGGCCCATGTCGGACGCGGCTTTCTCGGAGAGGGTGCCGATGAGCTCGCCGGCGGTTAGATAGCGGCCGTTCTAAGGAATAGGTTAGCTATCGTCGTTCTTGCAAAGGATCGCACTGGAAAGGTAGTACCACCCCGTTGACTCCGCCCATGCGCTTGAAGTTGTCTTCACACAGATCTGGCAGGCCAATTTCCGACAGGAAATCCTCCTGCCATCCCTTCACACTTCCATCAACACCCACGGGAACATATCCCTGCTTGCAGACCACGGAGCAGAACGACCTGGTCTCGCTCCCAGTAGCCATATGCGTAAGAGCATCCGTCAAATCGTAGAACTTGCACCGATCGAACAGCTCCTTCGGCATGTTGTTCTTCAACCACAGCACTTTTGGGATCTCCATCTCGATGCTCATCTGCCCTCCCACGTACCTCAAGAGGTTGTGGTTCGTAGCATTGATCTTCTTCGTCTCCTCCACCGGCCTGTGGTCCAGCCAGAGGATGATATTCCTGTCATTACCATCGTGATTATCAAACTTCGGCCCGGTCACAGACACAGGCTCATCAGTATCATGGCTGAACACCGCCAACGAGCACGTAGCATCGAACCCCAACCCCCGGATCGTGCCGGGATCGACGTTGTGCTGTGACATGGCCCGCTGGATCGACGAGCAGATGCACTTCCAGATGTTGGTGGTGGACTGCTCGTAGTATCCCGTCTCTGGCTGCCAGAGGCCGATGTTCTCGCTTGCTAGGCCGACAATGTCGCCCTTGTCGTTCATGATGCATGCTCGTGCGCTGCCGGTGCCGACGTCGATGCCGATGTAGTGGTTCAGCTCGGGGCGGAGCTCGTTGTGGGGGTCGATGGACATTTGGCGGGATTGTTGGCGGGAGGGGGTGCCGCCGCGGTAGGGGAGTGAGGCTGTTTGTGCGGCCATGGTGGGTGGTTGTTCTGGTCGTTCTCGGGTCAACCAATGGAATGGGCAGTGTGTTCTTCTTGATCAGTAGAAGAGTAGTGGTAGTGTTTCAGGTGAGGAAGGAGCAATGGACCAGATTGACTGAGTAAAGAACTTCTCATCAATGCAGCATTGGAGACATGCAGCAGCTTCGAAATTTCGTGGAGCTCCTCAGTCCCTGTGACTTCATCCTACCTCTCAACGGAGAAGGGCAGCGTGGGGTTGCTCCACCGCCTGTCAATCCTCGCAACCATCTTCACCGCATCGGAGTCGGCTCCTGGAGATCCGAGTTTGCATTCACAACGGCTCAATTGGGGAGGAAGTTGAAGGACACCATCAGCAAGTCGGGAGGTGGCATTGCATGTGATCGTTTCTGAGCTTGGACCAACACCAATATCGGAAGCGGACCACATCTTGCAACCACTACAATACCTCCACTACAACACCACCACCACCATTATGCATCTCATCACCCTCGCCCTGGCCCTTCTAGCCCCTCTGGCCTTTGCCGACCGCACCGCAGACATCTTCGCCTGGCCCTTGTCCGCTTCCTCTTCCCAATCCCTAGCCTCCTGCACCTACAACTCCACCCATGCAACAGTAAAGAACTACAAACCTCCGACCATCCCGACAGGAGACGAAGTCGTCCGCATAGGTTTCCACCACCCTGACAAGCAATGGTCTGGTGTGGCGACTGCTGCATCCAACTTCGGGCCTGGGAAAGATAGGACGTTGCTGCTACATGTGGATGCGAAGGGAGAGCTATATCATGTTGGTTTCAAAGCCACATTGCGAGAAGGAGGGAGCAGCAGCGCGTCGGGAAGTGGAAAAGATGGGCTAGACGTGGAAGTTGTGAGAGCAAAGGAGGGGCAAGGGCCGGTGTTGAATAAACCTGTGGTGTTGACTGCGGAGGGTAAGGTGGAGGGGAAGGAGCCTGAGAAGTCTTTCTTCCAGAAGTGAGTTCTACCTTATCATGCATTGGAAAGAGAGTCGTGGGGCTAACGTGTATTTTCCAGGTACTGGTGGGTCATTGGAGGCTTCATACTGTTCCAGGTGGTCATGTCAGGGGGTGGGAAAGAATGAGACAGGAAGCCAAACAGCTCTGAGGGTATTGAAATTGCATGCAAACAGCTGTGCCCATCGGCGAAGCCCTGTGGCGACAATCGCAGGCATTGGTTCGAGCCGCCCTTATCTTGGAGCTGCACGTGATCGCCAGTCAGAGCTTGGCTCGTGCACGCGTCAACAGAGGCACCTTCCAATGCCGGCCCGCGCATCGAAGCCCATATTCGAGCTCTGCCACGCTCAATTGGCTGGTACGCAACACAGCATACTGCCTCAGATCTTCGCAACATGATGTGCAGCCCTCCTAAACCCAGCACTCCGAAACTGCTTCATCCCACCGACAACCTTCTTCGTCCACTCGCTACCACCGGCCTTCTGCATGTCCTCCATTGGTACCTCGTCGCCATCGAGGAAAAACTACAATCGTTAGTCTAGCCACCAAGAACACCTTCGAGCAAACGCGAGACACGACTCACCAGAACCAAAAACCTCGGCGCATCGTCCACCCTCAGCGCTTGCAACAACTCATACCGCTCCGTCCGCCGCCACCCTCGCACCTTCGAGCCGTCTTGGAGATGCTCTCCGCGGTACCAGCGATCGTAGTCCTCGACGTCGCCGGGCGTCATCTCAGTCGAGAGGACGATGGAGGGTTGGTCTGGGACTTTGTTACTCGATGCAAAAGTGGAATCAAGGCGAGTGGGGAGCTGAGCGTACCTTTACCGGAGTCCTTGCTCTCGTATCGTTGCACGAGCTTGTAGAAGCGGGTGTCGAAATGGGCGTTCTGGAAAATGGCTGGGTCTTGGGGCACAGCTACACAAACCCTCGCGACTCAGCCTCTGTTCCCTCCAACAACTTTTCATGTGATACATCCAACGACTTACGTTTCAACTTCTCCCCCAGCCCGTCCATGTCCTCGACACTGTAGATTGCCAGGTGGTACTTGTCTTCTATGGGATCGATGGCTTCGTATCGATATGCTTCGGTCACGGCACCAGTCTTGAGGACGTCAGGGATATGCACGTCATTGTACCATTTGCTGAAGGCGTCTGGGGTCAGAGTCTCGGGATTGGTTGGTTTGGAGTTGGCCCAGATGAGGCCGGCGTTGGAGGTGTTGGGGGGTGTGGTGTCCATGTTGCTGATCTTATGTCGAGACCGTCTCAGCACTTGTTAGATCAGCTGGGAAGGCTTTTTCGTCAAGTGACATTATCGAAATACAACTCCTCTCTTCAATTTTGTCGTTTGGCGTTATCTGCAATGGTATCGGTGGAGCCCCGGCACCACCCTCCACGGCTTCGTTCCAGACTCTCCACTGGAGAACCTTCTCCCTGAACCGAGCCGATAGACTCCAATCCATTCCAGACCACAACGACTGAGCCAAGTTTTTGCTCGACTCTTCACGTCTCACTTCGCATCGCAACGGCAGAACCGCGTAGGCTTGCTTGAGGCTCCTCGCTCATTTATACAGCATTTTGTCCTTGATCTCCCAGTGGAACCAGAAGAAGACTCCCATAACCCGAAATCATGTCCGACGACGACGCTTTGAGAGAAGAATACCTCGCCGTAACCCCCACCTCTCCCCCAAAACCCATCTCCGTCCTACTAACCCCCCCTCCAGTTCGGCGACGAACTCGGCTTCCTCCCCAAACTCCACGGCCCCTCCTACGAGGACCTCGTCGCCCAGGACACCGAGAATACCATGGCCCTACTAGCGAAATACACTTTCCCTGGTCCGGACGCCTCGGTCGAGAGGTCGGAGCATAAGACTTCTTCTGGTATTCGGTTGAAGGCTTATAGACCTGATACGCTAAAGCCAGGCCAGCCGCTGGTGTATTATATCCATGGTGGCGGGTTTGCGATGGGTTCCGTGGATCTGGACGATCGGTTTTGCGATTTATTATCCAAAGCTACTGGTTGTATCTTCGTCTCGGTAGAGTACCGACTCGCGCCGGCGTTCAAGCATCCAGTGCCGTTGGATGATTGCGTGGAGGGGGCGAAGTGGTGTGTAGAGAACGCTGCTTCGCTTGGGGCAAAGGCTGGTGGGATTGTGATTGCTGGGAAGAGCGCAGGAGGGGGGTTGGTGTTTGGGACGGCGCTGAGGTTGGTGGATGAGGGGAGGGGAGGGGATGTGGCGGGCTTGGTGCCTTGTCAGCCGTTGACGGTGCATCCGGATGCGGTGCCCGAGGAGGATAGGGGGAGGTATGGGAGTTATGACGAGAATGGTAAGTGGTGGCAGGAGTCCATACTGCGGAAGAAGGTACTGATCGAGTGGTGCTACAGCTGAGAACACTGTAAACACTAAGAAGGCCATGCTGGCCTTCTACGGCAAGTGATCTATCTCCTACATCTACGGATCCCGTTCTGACCATAAGCAGAACTCCACGCAGCACCCCTAGACGACCCCTACATCTGGCCCCTTCAACACAAGAACCTCGCAGCCCTCCCAAAGACATACATGAACGGCTGTGGTGCAGATACATTACGAGACGATGCACGCCTGATGAAGGATCTGCTGGATTTGAACGGGTGAGTCTTCTCCTCGTCCAATCTCCCGGCTGTCCGCTGATCGTAAATTATGTCAGTGTACCGAACCAATACGAGGAGTACGAGAAGCTTCCTCATTACTTTTTCGTTTTTCCGTCGTCGCACTTGGACAAGCTGCGGGATGAGTACTTTGATAAGACGGCGAAGGGGATTCTGTGGGTCATGGAGGAGTGATGTAGATATTACGAGAGATAGAGATGCAGAGACAATATCAAATGCTCCTGCAATCCTGCCAAAAGAATCTACCGACCTCCCGGTCAACGTATACGATGTCATTAATCGAGATAACTCGGCACTAGCTGATGTTCTCCCTGGCATACCGCTGGTCGGGCATGGCTTCTAGTAGCGAGGAGGACGAGGAAGAGCTTTTGGGGTCATGAAGGTTTCAACTTCTTTCTTGGTAATGAATCGGTCCAGCCAACCGACGCTAAGGTATAATCTTAGCCTCCCTAAACCGCTTGAACGCCGTCCACCAAGCCCCCTGGATATCGATCTCTTCCGCCTTCCCACCACCGGAGTTCCACGCCTTGTGCATTTTGCTAAGATCCAGCTGCCGGTCGAAAGAGAGAAGTGTCATGATGAAGAACTGAAAGATCCCGAGACTGCGATCATTGCCGACTCGTCCAGTTGCGAGACCGTGCTGCTGCTCCAGCTTCTTCCAATCCTGAAGGTGGTCGGAGAGGTACTGACCAGGCGCCGGACCGCTGCCGCCGCTTGGTGGTGGTGTACCCTTCAGCCCGAAGAATTCGCAGAGGACTGGCCACTTCTGGCTCCAGGTAGTGGGTGTGCTGTGGTCCGCGACGTTGAACGCCTGGCCCTGTCCGCACGTATCAGGGTTCAGAGCGCAGTGGATGGAGAAGCGAGCGATGATGTCTTGCGAGGAGTCGTTGCTGAGGTTCTTCCAGCTAGTCTCTGTGCCGGGAAAAGCGCACTCAGCGCCCTCTCCCTCCATTTCGCGGTAGCAGGCCAGATATGTTGCGAGCACCTGGGCGAGGCAGTAGACATTGTTGTTTGGTACGAACCCGACGATCATGTCTGGACGTATCTCGCACCATGTCCAGCTTTTACCTTTGGATTCGGTTTCCAGCCAGTCGCACATGTTGTAGTAGAAGTTCTGGCTCTGCCATGGCTCTGGTATTCGGGGCAGGTCTTCGGATAGAGGGAGCTTGTCTGCGAACGGAAACTGATCTAGACACTGTACGCCATAGGCTTTGGTGCCTGTCGGAAGGAGCACGAACTTCAGTTCTTTGGCAAGGTGTTGGCTGGCATTGACTGCTCGCTCGAGGAGCTGGATGTTGATGGTGATTTCTTTGGGCGGGTCTTCGTTGAATATGTAGGCTGGATGCTATTAGTCCTGCCGGCAGATCATTGATTTGGATCCAGCATACCGAAGAAGAACATGTGCGTGACCGACTCCACGTCCGGTATCCTCTCCTTCATCTCTTCCTCCAACCCGTCTTGGCCTTTATCTGTGAGGAGATTGATGCCAGACACGACCTCCAGCTTCTTGCTCTCCGGCCATAGCATCTTCTCCGTTATTGGGCGGTTGGTCAGAGCAGTCACTTTGTCAAAGGCATTGGCAGACGGGTAGCCTTCCAGGATCTGGTTGACTACAGCCCATCCTTGGATGCCCGTTGCTCCGAAGACCAGAGCATGGTTGCCGCCCATCTTGTTGTCTGCTGTTCTTCGAGTGTTGCGTTCGTATATAAAAGATGACACGCGAACAAGACGAGAGCGCACGTAGAGGAGGGTTAGAGAACAGTACGAAAGCTTACTGAATATTGTCTACTTGAGAGCTCCCCAGCTGACTACATGGAGCACATGCTCACCTCCGTGAACAGCTACCGATGGCCGTCGATGGCCGCCCGCTGCAAACATGGTAACGGATGAAGTCTGGTTGGAGAGGCTCGAGCTCCGCAAAACGATATCCCCGCGACGCGACTTGCACGTGATCGTCTTCACGGGCTGGGGGATCGACACTGAGTCTTCCTCCTTCACCTCGGTTCAGACGAAAGCTGGTCAGTGTAGGCCGGCTTCGCGGTTGTTTGGCGATGTAGGTGAAGCTTTCTCTATCTTGGACTCACTCTGTGTCCCAATGGCTAGACGTACTGATTGAGACTCCTCTCTTGTCCGTTCTACCCTTTCTTCGTTCATCACAGCGGTTGCCGCAATGGCTGGGCAGGTGAGGCAGCAGATAGACCAGGCCTCGCTGGAACGATATCTCGAGAAGAATGTCCCAGAGGTCAAGCCGCCGCTGCAGTTGAAGCAGGTGCGAACATGTTCAAACAAGCGTCAGTTCACGCAGCTGCTGACAATCTCTAGTTCGGCTTCGGACAATCAAACCCCACGTACCAAGTCACCGATGCGACAGGCCAGCGATTCGTCCTTCGAAAGAAGCCGCCTGGCGAGCTTCTGTCGAAGACTGCCCACAAAGTCGATCGCGAGTATCGAGTAATACACGCGCTCGAGCAGACCGATGTCCCCGTGCCCAAAGCGATCTGTATGTGCAAAGATGAGAGTGTCATTGGCACAGAGTTCTACATCATGGAATTCTTGGACGGCAGGATGGTCGAGAACCCTTCGTTCCCAGGCGTGAGCGCGGAAGAGCGGACGGAAATGTGGAAGGATGCCATTCGGACGCTTGGGAAGCTCCATCGTGTGCGGCCGAAGGATGTAGGACTCGAAACTTTTGGGAAGCCGAACGGATTCTACGACAGGCAGATCAAGACATTTGGGAGTCTGGCGAAGTCGCAAGCTGCTGCGAAGGACAAGGAGAGTGGACAGCCTGTCGGTCAGCTGCCGCATTTCGAGGACTTTGTGCAGTTCTTCGCGGATTCGAAGAGTCAGCCGAAGGATCGAGGTGTGCTGGTGCATGGCGATTTCAAGATTGATAATCTGGTTTTTCACAAAACCGAGCCGAAGGTGATTGGGATTTTGGATTGGGAGATGAGTGCGTACAGCTACTGTCGTGGTGAAAGTACCGAGCTGACGAGTCGTTGCAGGCACTGTTGGACATCCGCTCGCTGATTTGACCAACCTCATTCAGCCTTGGACAATCTGTACGCTTGAAGATCCTAAAGGATGTTTAGACAGAGGTGCTGATTGTACTTGCAGCAAACGCAACACCCAACTGGCCTCGAATACATGCCGATCGGGCTTTCGTACACCCCAGTCGATCAGATTCCACCAACAAAGAGTTTCCTGGTCTTCCGACCCGACAGCAGGCGGTGCAATGGTATGGCGAGACAGCAGGCTATGCCATACCGGATGCGGAGTTGACATGGGCGGCTTCCTTTGCGCTGTTCAGAGACAGCATTATCTTCCAGGGCATTGCTGCACGGTACGTCTGATAGAACCTCGCCGTTAATGAAACAGGCACTGACGTTGGAGCCTTAGGTACGCTGTACGGCAGGCCAGTAACGAGAAGGCGAAGCAGTACGGCGATGAACGGGTACCCTTCGCTAAGATGGGTTGGACCATGGTCAAGGATGCGAAGGCGAAACAGGGTAGTCAGTCGAAGTTGTGAGCGTTGACATATAGATACCTGTACATCTTCATTGTAGACTTCCAGTCTAGACCATCTTATCACTGCATAAAATCCCTCTTCCTTGTGCGATCCTGACCATCCGCTCGTCTGGAGTGCGGATCTAGATCTGGTCGACAGGAGTCATTAGCGGCGCGCAAGTGCATGAACACGATTCACTCGACTCTTCCCCTCCCACATCTCCGGCCTTTTTCTCCACCATCGCCACCCTCTCCACCTCCATCTTCGAGTCAACAGACACCACACTCCGCGGCTGCATGACTTTTGCTATCCACTTCTCAGAGCTGGTTTCTTAGTGACACACGAAAGCGTGACAGCTGGGTAGGATTTTGGGAGAGCTGTGCCGCTTGTTTTGTCCTCCAGGAAGCTGGGCTAGTCCTTCGGCCTTCCTGTCCCAGATCCAACGCGTCCGCAGGGCTGTTGATTGCCGAAGTCGAGTATTTAGAAGACGTAGGCGTATTCTCTCGTGCTCTGTTGTTATCTGCTCTCCTGCATCTTCACTCTCTGTCTAGCACTTGAGACTTTCTCTCACGAACCTTTCATTCGTTCACCAACTCCGTAAAGATGGCGGACTTTCCTGTAAAAGAAGCAATGAAGATGCCTACACAGGGCAAGCGAAAGAGCAGAGGGGATGAAGACGCATACCGTCGGCTCGGAGGACCTATTCACCAGGAACGGCATGTCAAGATTGTATGCGTCGGAGCGGGCGCATCTGGTCTGCTGTTCGCCTACAAGATTCAGCGACATTTCGAGAACGTCGATCTCACCATCTATGAGAAGAACTCCGAGGTCAGCGGGACGTGGTGGGAGAACAAGTATCCTGGATGTGCTTGTGACGTTCCATCGCACAACTACACTTGGTCATTCGAGCCCAAGCAAGACTGGTCGGCTGTGTACGCTGGCTCGGGCGAGATCTTCGACTACTTCAACAGCTTCGCTCACAAGTATCGGTTGCATAAGTACATCAAGACTGGGCATCAGGTTGTTTCAGCGACTTGGGACGACGACCACTGTGGCTACAAGGTCACCGCTAAGGACCTGTCCTCTGGTAACGAAGTGCACGATACCTGCGACATCCTGATCAATGCCAGCGGGATCTTGAACAACTGGCGGTGGCCTGCGATCCCCGGCCTGCACGACTACAATGGCCCGCTTCTCCACACCGCAAATTGGGACAGCAGCGTTGAGCTCGAAGGCAAACATGTCGGCCTCATCGGAAACGGCTCATCCGGTATCCAGGTCCTACCAACTATCCAACCCAAAGTGAAGCATGTGACCACCTTCATCCGAGAGCCGACTTGGGTGTCACCAGTCCAAGGTCTCGAGCAGCACGTCTACACTCCTCAGGAACGCCAGGATTTCGTCAACAAACCCGGTGCGCTGACTGAATACCGCAAGGGAATCGAGACCGGGCTCAATGGCCAGTTCGGCTTGTTCTTGAAGAACACTACTGTCAACAACGCCACGCACGACTACATGGTTGGGCAGATGAAAGAGAAGATCAACGACGAGCGACTCATTTCCAAGCTCATCCCAGAGTGGAGCGTCGGCTGCAGGCGTCTCACGCCTGGTGTCAATTACCTCGAATCTTTGACCAAGCCTAACGTCTCGGTTGTCTATGGTGAGATCGACAAGATCACCGAGCGTGGCTGCGTCTGCGACGATGGCAACGAATACCCCATCGACGTTCTGATCTGTGCTACCGGCTTCGACACCACTTTCAAGCCTCGCTTCCCGCTGATCGCACCCAACGGGAAGAACTTGCAAGACGAATGGGCTAAGGAGCCTCGGTCGTACCTTGGTATCGCCGCTTCAGAGTTCCCGAACTATCTCGTCTTCCTTGGACCCAACTGTCCGATCGGCAACGGGCCTGTGCTGTCCGCCATCGAGCTCCAGGCGGACTACATGTGCAAGCTCATCGATCACTGGCAGACGCACAACATCAAGAAGTTCTCTCCGAAGAAGGAGGCTGTTGACGACTTCATCGATCACAAGAACACCTTCATGCAACAGACTGTCTGGAACGACCCCTGCCGCTCATGGTACAAGAGCGGTCAGATCGATGCTCCGATCACTGCGCTGTGGCCTGGCTCAACGCTGCACTACATCGAGGCTCTGGCCGACCTTCGAATGGAAGACTTTGATGTGGAGTACTCTGGCAACCGCTTCAGCTGGTTGGGCAACGGGTACAGCCAGACTGAGTTGGATCAGACTGCGGACTGGGCTTACTACATTCGCGAGTATGATGACGGGGAGTGGTTGAGCAGGGGTAAGCGGAGAAAGGATCTGACGAAGAGTGGGACTGTGAAGGGGAGGGAGCAGGTTAACTTTTCGGGGAAGGATGCTGAGCAACAGAGCAAGCTGTAGTTGGATGTAGAGGGTTGGACAGGAAGGCGTGTGCACAAGTCTGGCGTTTGAGCGAGATGGTTCGTAATTTTTGGTAGACATATATTGATGCTAAAGAGTTCTACAATCGTCATCTATCATTGTAATGGTACCGCTTGTCAAGCCACCAAGTGACAGTGAAAGCAGGCGACCAGGTCGGAGCGAGCCTTGTGAGTGGCCTTCTCGCAGAAAGCAACAGCCTACCGACGAGAGTAGTGTGATCTTTTCGGGCACGATTTGGTCTAGAAGAAGACAGCAATGTTTCCGGGGGCCGCTTTCACTGTCACCTGCTTGTCGAGGAACGAGGCTCGCATACCTCCATTATAGATACAAGCCGCTTTACTCAGTAGCATCCAGCTGTAAAGCCACCATCGACGACCAGCCCGGAGCCAGTCATGAAGCTGGACATTGGACTTGCCAGGAAAACAATCGAGTCCGCAATCTCCTCCATTTCTCCCAGTCTGCCCTGCGGGACCTTGGCTATTTCGCCGTCCATGACCCCGGTCTCCTACATTGCAAGTCAGCGGATCACGAGAATGATGGCACCTTTCAACATACCGTAGCTTGCTGTAGCAGAGGCGTTCCAACGTAGCCGGGACATATAGCATTGATACGGATGCCCTGGGCAGCATATGCTACTGCATCTGTCTTCGTCAGGCCCATGACAGCTGGCATGAGGCTCATCGTTAGCGGAGGTCCAGTTTTGAGAGGCAGATCGACCCTCACCGTGCTTGCTCGTGGTATAAGCGACAGCTGCCGATATTGGCGTCGAAGCAACGAGTCCCAGCATCGATGCAGTATTGACGATGACGCCTCTGTTCCCTCGCGGCGGCGCCGTCAGCGGTTCCTGCTTCAGCATCTGTCGTATTTGTGCTCGTTGACACATCCACACTCCATTGACATTGACGTCCATTACGCGCTGCCAGTCCGCAAGTTCCTGATCAGCTGTCTGCTTCCCAGCACCGCCTATGCCGGCGTTGTTGAGAGCGATGTCCAAGCGGCCAAAGTGCTTGACTGTCTGGTCGACCGCAGAGTTGACGGAGTCTTCTTTGGCGGTGTCCATTTCGATGTTCAGGGTTTCGACATCGGGATGTTGTTTCTTCAGTTGCTCGCTGGTCGTCTTGAGGTTGTCCGGGCGGATGTCACACAGGGCTATTTGGCGGACGCCATGTCTTGCCAGGGCGTATGCTGCGCATTGCCCGATGCCTTCGGTATGTCAGTATTACTGTTCTCTTGATTGATTATGCGATGGAAACGTACCTGATCCTGCTCCCGTAATAAATGTTACGCCCTTCAATAGCGATGTCATCTCGCTGCCTGTTGTTGTCTTCCTACGCTGTTTGAAACTCCTTGTCTGCCCTCCAGGATGTCGACACGTGATCTCGAATAGGATGTAGTTGTTCCTTCTGCAACATGTGATGGGAATGGTCCTGAATCTAGACCGGCTCGATCTTCAAACCTTCGGGCTTCGCTGGCGAGCCGGTCGGAGTTGCTTATCCATTTCCACCCAGACGTTGGTACTTGGTAGTATAACCTTACACTAGAGACTGTTTGGACAATCGATGCATCGAACTGGATGTTGCAAGATCATTGAGGAGGACTGTAGACCCTCTCGCCCTGCAACGACATAAGAATCTGCGGAGAAATCTTACTAAGGCGGTCGATAAATGGAAGACGTTTTGCATCATCCTGGTGAAACAGACAGTCAAGAACTACAAAAGGGTGACGCCTGTGACACCGTAGTTGCTGTATCTGCTATAGAGTCTCTTTTTAATACTGTTCACACGAGATTGGTGTTGGGGCTTTTTCGAAGAAGCTCAAGTCTACGGGGCCAATGCAACTTTGCAGGCGGTGCGAATCGATTATGGAGGTTTGCACTCAAGACGGATTTCGGAGACAGTTGCAGACAAAGCGACGCCGCTGTAGGTCTCTTACTGCCAACCCGTCTGCCTCGTTGTTTTCGAAACAGGGCCGAATGGTATGTCAGAGCGAGTCCGTGCGCAGGTTTGCCTTGTGAGCCTTGCTGCACGGACGACAACAGTGCCCACGACGCCGCTCCATCTCATCTCCACCAACACTCGTGTCGTGCGTCGAACGCTGATAATAACTGACCAGATCAATACCGTGCCGCGCGTGCCTCTCAAAACTCGAGAAGAAATCTCGCTGGATTGACGGGAATCGTGACAGCTCCACCCTGCCGAGGACCCGAGGGAGCCGGACGCCTGCTCGCGTGGTCGCCAAAGCCACCAGACCCCCGGGAGGATCCAGCGAGTCATGAAGATGGCAAACGCCGTCGTTCTCGACGCGTCCCCGCACGACAGCTCTCCACCTCTTCACGGCCTTTCCCTCTTGGGGTGCGTCCACGTCTCGGTCGTCCGCTGGGCAGGGGTCTGGAGGCGTTCGAATGGTCTGTTGTGACGAGCCGCATGGCCAGAGCCCTTCACTGGACCGTACTAGACGGTACTGATTGAGTCTGCGGTCCGTTGAAGCTCTCATTAGGCCGTCTTCCAGAGGCCTCATCATCAAAAATGTCCTGACCTGGTCCCGCGGGGAATGCCAACCATCACGAGTCAAGCATCCTTCCAACCGTGCTCGCCGTGGATCTGGCCGACGTGCTGCCCCCGGGAGAGGAGGTCTCTGTCTGGTGAGCAAGAGAGCTACTGCGGGGTCCCCGTGGTCTTGGTCTATTGGGCGGCTGTCAACAAGACTGATTGTGACGAACGCCAATGGCCACGCCCACACGCCGCACCCTGTGATCAACGCAGGGAGGGTCTGGGCTTGGACTTTCGCGAGCAATGAACCTACCGGAGTTCATGCGTCAGAGCATAACCTCCACAATCTCTTTTGCCCACTTCCCTCTTGATCTTGCATTGTAGATGTCTGTTGCGGGTGTCACTACCGTGCTTCCTCCCAGGAGTTGCTAAGATGCAGGTCGGCGTCAACTCGATCACGATGCCCTCGACAGATTCACCACCTTCAAACAACGAGGGCCAAAGTCAGCCAGAGAACGAGCAACCGAACGGTCCAAAGCGCCAGAAGTCCCGGCACAGAGCTTCAGTGGCGTGCGCGACTTGTAGAGAGCGACGTATTAGATGCGTGGTTCCCCAAGGCGATTCAGAATGCGTTCAGTGCAGACGAGCTGGGACTGAGTGCATTATCAAGAACGACGATGAGCGGAGGCGGCCCATATCGCGAGCTTACATGAGCACTCTGACGGATCGAGTTGCTTTGCTGGAAGGGATGCTCAAGGACCATGGTTCTGAGCCGCCTCCTGTGGTTTATCCTCCGAAGACTACAAGAGGCACTTTAACTGGCGATGGCGAAAGCTCTCCGAGCCGCCAGTCATACCACCCGCGGCAGAGCTCGACTAATCGTGAACCTGCCATACCGGAGAACACGAGTCCCAGTAGCCTACATGTGATGGAAGATGCTGGGGAGGGATCACACGGTGGCTCTAATGCCAGCGTGGACGGACAGCGAGACCGGGGCGAGCAGGATGCCACTCAGGGAACGCCCATCGACGACAAGAAGGTCGGCATTCTCAGTAGACTCCTCTCAACACGCGGACATCTCTCCTTCGACCAGATATCTGGCAGATTGCGCTACTACGGTCCGACTGTCAACAGTCACATCTACTCCGAGCTGGAAGTCGACGATACGAAGAGCAATCGTGATAACCTGGAGCAAGCGAGGCGAGCAGAGAAGGTCATCCGGACACTACCGATGGAGACGCACGAGTACCTCATGTCCTTGTTTTGGCAACATTACAACGGCGTGCTGCACGTTGTTCACGAAGAGGCGTTCAACGAGGATAGAGAGGCCGGTAGGACAGGCTATTACAGTGGCTTCTTACACATCTGTATCCTTGCCATGGGCTATCGATTTGCGGACAAGTCAAGAGCAGATATGCAGCGTATCGCACTGCCGGATCGAGAGAGCACTTTGCACCGAGAAGCGAAATATATGCTAGATTTGGAATTGGAACGGCCAGGCGGCATGCCTTCAGTCGCCGCTCTACTGATACTGGGAGATTCTGAAGTCGGGGTCGGTCGGGACAACGTGGGTTGGATGTACGCCGGAATGGCTATGCGATTGTGCTACGACATTGGTCTACATCTGGACAGTCGACAGAGCGGCATGACACAACGAGAGATTGATATTCGCAAGATGACGATGTGGGCTTGTGTGATCTATGACCGGTACTGGTCTCTGTTCCTGGGCAGGCCGACTACGATGAAGAGTGCGGATTTGGAGATTTATTCGCTCTCGGACCACTTCGAGCGACTTGGGACATGCATGCCGGCCACCTCAGAAAGGAGTCTTAACACCCGCATCTACGAGGCGTTGATCGACCTGATGGAGATTGCCGGCAAGATTGTCGAGAACACGGAGCACAGGAAAATGTACAATGAGCAGACCCCTGATCAATCGGCATACTTCAGGATGGCTGCTCTCGATCGAGAGATCCATAATTGGGCTGCTCGACTGCCAGCAGATCTCCGCTACACTGAAGAAAACCGTGCAACGGCGCCATTCTCATTCTATCTATTGCACCAGCAGTACCACGCAGTGCTGATATTGCTCCACCGACCCTTCGCCCGCTACGACGATCCCAACAACCAGGAATCCGAAGAGGTCAGCGCCCTAGACAGTCACTTCTCACGAGCAAGCCGCGGCATATGCACCAAATCTGCTGTGGCCATCGCTCGTATTTTCTGGCACCACCGCCAACGCTTCGACGGCAAGCAAATTTTCTGCATTGGCATGCAGCACGCCGGCGCCGCAGCAACCGCTCTCATCGCAGCACTGGCCTATATCCCAGACGCCACAGACAGAACCAATAACATGTCTTATCTTGAGGTCCTACACCACGCTCTCCAAGACATGGCCCACGCTTACCAGCCCGCTGAACGTATGGCCCAAGTTCTCAACGCCGTCATGATCGAGCTCCGTGGCGGGCCCATCAGCCCAGGCAAACACATAAGCTCAACCTCCTCTACCATCCCAGCAAGACGGGGCAGCACTGTGATGGACTTCGCCGAGCGTCCAACGATGAAACGCCGCCAAACAGACACCACCCGTAAATCCAAACCCATGCCCCCTCCAACCTCCTCTCGCAACCACCGCACCAGCGACGCCAGCGCTGCTTCCCAGCCCCTACAACATGGGAACGACTTCGTCATGGTAACTCCCCGAACCGAAGGCTCCGGCTCCGGCTGGCCTGACGTTCACACCATGGACACGTTCCAAGACCAAGCACTGTTACCCACCCCCGATACAACGAACATGATCTCTCCCGGGCGACGGACAGACTGGCTGAACGGTGGGCTTGCGCCAGGAGATTTCCCGACCATGCCTTCGATGGGGATGATGCCTGGACTGGACACGGATACTTTTCCTGAATTCTTGACGCTGCCTAATGATGATGACTGGAGTCGGTGGCATAATGGGCCGGATGTAACGCCGCATGATTTGGATGGGATGCAGTTTGGGAAGTTTACTTGAGATGACGGGGAGGATGTTTTAATATGGACTTGTTAGCGAGCGCATGGCGTACTGGAAGGGGAAAAATGGGCCAGCTATGATCATGACAGATGCCGTCTTCTGGGCTGCGGCACTTGATGAGGCAGTGGTCAGCGTGTTATGAATAGGACGGCAGTCTTCTTAGTATCCTTCTTCTACTCGGCAAGTAACGAGATTGTCTAGACTCCAGGCTGTCCAGACTTCCAGTACACATGTCAATCGCCTTTATATGGTATGCTAATGGGTATTGCTACCTATCCAATGGATCCAAACAATCTCCTGAGCGCCGACGCCGCCGCCTTGTGCAGCGCAATACACCTCGCTTCGTGCTGCATAATACTGGCAAAGAGTGCATGAGCGCAACGGCTTACTCGACCGACCATTCATGATCGCTATTTCGCATATAAGTGCTCAAGCCTCGGACGTCTTGACTGAGGGTGGCTTTGATGTCTCCGTTGCCGAGGAAGGCGAAGCGGTTGCGGTATCGCCATCTGGTAGAAGAAAGTTAGCAACGACGGAGGAGAAGGTGATAGTAGCGGGATCACTGACCTAATGTTGTAGTCTTCCATTCTCGGGTCCTTGATCGACTTTAGGAAATGGATCGTTGGGCCGGGCCAGAGATAGATGCGATCTGAGAACACGTCAGCAGCGTCCCACCCTTTTCAGCATGAATGTTACCCACTCTTGACCTTGCCATCCTTGAACCACGACCGACACTCTTCCTTCCAGACAGTCTCCTTGTGGAACTCATCAAAGTGCGCATAGATGTCATCCAACGCCTCCTGCTGTACCTCGATAGCTTTGATGTGCTCGGTGCTAATCTTCTTCATCATCTTCACGGAGTACTCGATGGTCGTCTCGATCGAAGGTAGAAGGGTGCCGTTGCTCCAGGTAGCTCCAGGACCGACTATGGTGTAGAAGTTCGGGAATCGAGGCGCGGAGACGCCCATGTAGAGGTTGATGCTGTCGCCCCAGTCTTCGTGGAGCGAGACACCGGCGCCGTTGATGACGCGGAAGGCGGGTTTGAAGGCGACTTTAAAGCCGGTGGCGCAGACAAGGACGTCGAATTTGTGCTCTACGCCGTCGGTGGTGAGGATGCCGTCTGGGGTGATTCTCTCGATGCCCTTCAATATTGGATCCACGTTCGGCTGCACGAGGGCTTCTAGGTAGCCGTCTCCTGGCGAGATACGCCTACAGCCGGGTGCCCAGGTTGGAATGATGAAATCTTTCAGCTCTTGGTGGCCGGGACCCATCCTCCTGTTCATCTCCTCCGTGATGACTTTGCGGAACTGGTCTGAGAGCTCTGAGCCTTGCCTGTACATGCCGAACAGCCCGTTGATCTCCGCTTCAATACCCTTGCGGAAGTCGAGGTGGTAGTCCGGGTCCTCCTTAAACTGCTTCTTATCTTCATCTGTGAATTCATACTGCCTCATGCCCGGATCAACATCTTTGCCTTTCCGGACTTTGTTGAGCGCGCTGCCTCCGAATGGCGGGCTGATCCAGGTTGATGAGCGGATGTAGCACTGTACTTGATTCGCGATCTTCTGGATCTGGGGCACGATTTGCACGGCACTGCTTCCGTTTCCTACCACGCCGATGACCTTGTTGTCGAGATCGACTCCATGATCCCAGCTGGCGCTGTGCATGCGCGGCCCCTTGAAGTCATCTATGCCTGGGATATTGGGCCATTGCCAGTTGTTGAGGATGCCGGTGCCGTTGACCCAGACATGGCACCAGTCCTTCCATAGCTCTTTGGTGTTTTGGTCTTCAAGGGTGCTATACTAAATCAGCGGAGCTCTTATGGCTTTCAGATCAACACTCACAGATTCCAGATGCCCTGCTCTTCATCCCACCTGCCTTCAACCACCTTGGTACTTAGTTTCATATATTTCTCGCTGCCGTGTCTCTTCGCAAAATCTACGAAATACTGCTGAATCTCAGGGCCGTATGCGAAGAAGTGTGACCAGTCTGGTTTGGGGTCCCACGAGAAGGTGTAGTTGTGCGACTACAAGGGTCAGCCAAACTCCAATATCGACTCTGGAAGCACTTACAGGAATATCACAGGCCACTCCCGGATATGTGTTCTCTGCCTTGAGCTCAGCCACTGGCGCCTCACTGGTAACTATTAAAACATACCAAGCCACGTCCCACCAAACTGACTGTTCTTCTCAAACAGCGTGAGCTCCCAACTTCCAGCCTCGAGCATCTTGTTCATCTTGTAAGCAAGGCATAGTCCCGATGCTCCTGCGCCAACACATGCTACACGTAGCTTGCGCGGCTTGCTGTGGTATTGGTTAAGCACTCGATAAGGCTGTTCGGGCACTATCTCGGGGTAGTTGTATGTTTGGCCAGCTTCGTTCCCTCCTCCGGCTGTTGAGCGGTCTTGCTCAGTGTGTACTCCGTTGGTTTCGCCATTGGTCGCGCCATTGGCCGTGCCGTTGGTCACTGGGCCGCCGTCGCCGGAAGGCATGTTGAAGACAAATTTCCAGAGTAGAGTACGAGAGGCAGTGTGGATGGAACGATATTCGGGATAGTCGAAGGAATACACAAACAGAGAACAACCACTCAAACAGTCATGACAGAAGGGTGTAGGAAACCAAATACCTTAGAAAGCTCCGAGTGTTGACATGCTCTCCCGAGTACCTCTCGTGCAAACATCTCCGAGCAGACGAGCGTGCTGGCGCAGCACGCCTCGGCCTTTGTCCTTGCAGCCGTCGATTGAGGCTGCATGTGCCTAGACGGCTGTCTACTGGGCCTTCTTGCGCCGAACTGCTTGACTCGGTAGCAAACGCGGTTGATGGATGTTCTCCAGACCCCACGCACGCGAGTCGCGTCTCAGTCCAGATGGCTGTGGAGTCGTGCGATTGGCTGCAGTGTTGTTGGCGGCTAAAGGTTTCCGGCGTTTGAACCACTCTTACTGTATTGTAGCACTGCCTTACAATGAAAGGACATTTGAAGGAGTTCGCGATGGAGACCAAGTTGGCTGGCACAAGGTGCAGAACGTGCACGGAGAGCGAGATTCAGCTTGGACCAGGTCATATCGGTCATGACAGTGCAATGGTTATATACAGGGCAAGGCATATCTAAAAGTTCGACTTGTCCGTGACACCCATCGTCTTCGCCATAGACGCATCGCAGAACTCAATCTGGTCACGATAGTAATGGTTCGTGCCACTGAGCTCAACAGCTTCGCCGTTAAGCTTGCCCTTGGTCGAGCCATTTGCCAACGGCTTGCCATCACCAATAGTCGAGCCACCAACATCGTGGCCGTCGATCAACATAAGCACGGTCGAAGCAATCTTCTCAATAGGCACGAAGACATTCTCTTTGCCAAAAGCGTCCCACGCACCTGACTCAAGCAGTCCTGTTCGAACGGTACCGGGGCAGATCGCGTTGACACGAACCCCGTCGTCGCGATAGAAGTTGCCGGCTATCGAGCGCATAAGGGCGACAACGCCATGCTTTGCCGCTCCATAGGATGGTGATGCGGGTACACGGTAGAAGGCTCCGCAGCTTGCTGTCATGACGAGGTTCTTGTTCTCGCTCTGTGTTGATTGTCGGAAGTAGTGTTGGGCCAGCCAGCTTGTGTTAACGACAGATTTTAGATTGATGTCGATCACAGTGAGATCCGGTGGTGGCGGAGGCTTGCCGCTTGGGTGTTTCTCGAAGAACGAGTAGCGCTCGACGATACCTGCGTTGGCGAAGACGAAGTCAAATCGACCTTCGCTGTCGAAGACCTTTTGGAAGACGCCGGCGAGGCTGTCGTAGTCGGTCACATTGGTCTTGTGGAAGGTGGCGTTAGAAACTTCTTTTGCCGCCTTCTCGCCGTTCTCTGCGTTTAGGTCGAGCAGGTGAAGATGCCAGCCACCTCGCTCTGCTAGGGCTTTGGCAACCGCCAGCCCCATGCCACTGGCACCGCCTTCGATCTATTAGCAGCTATCAAACTGACGGCACAAAGACTGTCTTACCAGTGATTAGAGCGACCTGAGTCTGCGCCATGGTACTCTAGCCCCAGCCCTCAGCAGACGATGGTAGTTGTAAGGACCGACAGTGTTGTGCTGGAATGGAAGCTTCAAAGCAATAGCACCAGCAACAAGGGCGGTCGATGTTGCGTAGACTGCTGCTCCTCTGTACAGCAACTGGGAGCCAACCATCTTGATCTGAGCCACACAGACCAGCTGCTGCTGGTTGTTGAACCTTGGTAAAAGGAAAAGCACGTGCAGAGTACGAACCACGGTACAACGGGTACTTGAGAGGAGTGGAGAGTTGGGATGGAAAGGAAGACGTTCTCAGAGGAAACGGAAGAGCGAGGTACTTACGCACACGGCGGAATTGAGTGAGGGGCAAGGTCACGCTGACGAAGATGCGAAACCCCGCTCGATCTGCTGGTCAAGCTGGTGAGGAGGTGTCAGAGGTCGGGACGCGTGAGTGGTCAAAACACCTCCTTGAGCTCGGGCCAACGTGGAGAGGTTTGCGGGGGTTTTATTTTGGGCGCCACTCCAGACTGCTTCACATCTTCGTCTTGGAAAGAAAGCTCTCTGGAAAAATGCTTCCTTGACTACATGAGTCGGCTTTGAGCTCTAGGGCCCTCCCAAACGACTCAAGATATGGCCGCCGCGGTACTCGTAGCCGCTGTACCTGCGGCAATGCACGACCAACGGCCAGGTCAAGAGCCATGAGAAATTATTGTTGCTGAGTACTCGCTTTCATCTGATCTTCTACTGCCTTTCGCCTATCTCATTGTACTCTCACGGCCTTCTACTACGTTCCACGAGCATCAGATCTCTACAATGGCATCCTTCCAGTTCAGCAAGGACAAGCTCCCCAAGCAGCTCGTCATCAACAACGAATACGTCGACTCTAAGAACAGCAAAAAACTGACTGTCAACAACCCCAAGGATGGCTCGCTAGTCGCCGACGACGTCCCTCTCGCCGGCGAAGCAGACGTTGACGCCGCCGTAGCAGCAGCAGAAGCTGCCTTCCCAGCATGGAAAGCTACTACTCCCACCAAGAGACGCGACATGCTCAACAAGCTCGCTGACCTTATCGACGCGCACGCTAAGCCCCTGGCGGAGTTAACGAGGATCACTTTGGGTGCACCTTGGGGCAGTTTCGGTTCCTTCGAGATGACTCTCTGTGCTGAGACTTTTCGCTACAATGCCGGCTGGACGGACAAGTTTGCGGGCGAGTCTCATCCACAGGAGGATGGGTGAGCAGATTCTCTTCTCCTACTGAGAAACATCGCACCCACATGAAACTTGTGCTGACTGGCCCTCCTTGCGTCCACAGGTTCATGAAGATTGTCCGGAACGAGCCTTTGGGCGTTACTGCAGGCATCATCCCGTGGAACGGGCCGGTTGGCAGTATCGGTCTCAAAGCTGGCCCTGCTCTTGCGACGGGCAACTGCTTCATCCTCAAGCCCAGCGAGAAGACTCCTTTCGCAGCTTTGGCGTTTCTGCCGTTGATCAAAGAGGCCGGTTTCCCGCCAGGCGTCTTCCAGGTCTTATCTGGTGATGGCTCTACCGGCGCCCTGCTGGCCAGCCACATGCGTGTGCGCAAAGTCTCGTTTACTGGCTCCATCCCGACAGGCAAGAAGATCCAAGAGATGGCCGCCAAATCCAACCTCAAGCGAGTGACCTTGGAGCTCGGCGGCAAGAGTCCAGCAGTCGTCTTCGACGACGCTAACCTGGAGAACGCCGTCACGTGGACCGTCAACGCCATCACTGGCCACAGCGGCCAAGTCTGCTTCGCCGCCTCGCGAGTCTACGTACAAGAAGGCATCTACGAGAAGTTCATCGAGAAGTACAAGACTATGTTCATGGAAAGGACGAAGACGGCCGGTGATCCAGACGCCGAGAGCACTATCTTTGGACCTCTGGTCGATCAGGCACAGTTCGACCGGGTGACTGGATTCATCCAGCGTGGGAAGGAGCAAAACCAGGGCACGCTTCTCACGGGAGGAGCGAGGATTGGTGACAAAGGTTACTTCGTTGAGCCAACCATCTTTACCGACGTCAAGGAGGACGCGGAGATTCATAGGGACGAGATCTTCGGCCCAGTGTCGGTTGTGAGGACGTTCAAGACCGAAGAGGAGGTGATGAAGATCTCGAACGATACTGAGTATGGGTTGATGGCTGGCGTGTTTACGCAGGATATCAACAAGGCAAGTCTGGCAGTGCCACGCATATCAGGTTTCCGGCTGACTCTCTTTAGGCTATGCGTATTGCCAGCAACTTTGACTCGGGCATGGTCGGCATTAACTGCATCTCACTGATGGTAAGTCCACAGCTGTGCTTGGATGTTTTCACTTGCTGACAGCGAAATAGATGACTCAAGCTCCTTTCGGTGGTTCGAAACAGAGCGGTATTGGAAGGGAAGCCGGCATTGCCGCTCTCCGGGCATTCACCGACACGAAGACCATTATGGTTAATCTTACGTACTAGGAGGTAGAAGTTGTTGCAAACAGGGTGCGATTGATGTAAACGAGCATTCAGTTGGATTCAATATATGTGTACTAGATTGCAAGGCTTAGCATCATAAATCAACATGCGCTGTTTGACACCACGAACTGTTCTCTGTCTCATTCAGACATCAATCGAGTAGCTCATCTACAGACTAATGTTCACCCATCACTAAATCGTCCGTGCCATGATCCTCGCCTTCTTTTCGTAGCCGTTATCCTCATCTCCGCACCTCACGCACCTTTGCGTTGAGGTCGGGTTTCTCCCAGGTCATGTATGCTCTGTAATGCTCGTCAGCAAGATCATCGGTGGCAAGAATCAGACCGTACTCACCTCATATTCTTCATCTCATCTGTGGGATCCCACTGCCACGCCCCGTCCGTCGAAACCACATCAAAGTTCCAAAGGAGACGACCAAGAATCAACCGCATCTCCATATAACTCAAGTGCTTGCCGATACAGCCTCTCGGCCCCAGCGAGAACGGCTGCATGCCCTTCTTGAAATCCGCCTCGTACTCCTTAGATGTCCATCGCTCTGGAACAAAGATATCGCAGTCTGAAAAATTCTTTGGGTTGTGTGCTGCTGCCCAGCTGCTCACGGCCACTGATGTGCCGCCTGGAACCCACATACCGTCGATGGTGTCGCCGTCTTTGGGTACGGTTCGGAGAAGGCCAGTTGGGACGGGAGGATGGATGCGGAGGCCTTCTTCGATGCAGGCGTTCATGTAGGGAAGCTTCATCAGATTCTCATTGGTCATCTCGGACTCATTTGTGAAGCTGCTGCGGATCTCGTCCTTGAGCTTTTGGTACTTATCCGTGTTCCAGAGAAGCCGAGCAAAGAGTCCTGAGAGGAGGTTTGCTGTGGTTTCCGAGCCGGCTACGATGAAGAGCGCGCTGTTGACGACGACTTCGTCTTGCTTGAGGTCATGCTTCTCCTGCTGCTTCAAGATGTACCAGATGAAGTCTCGGTGGTTCGAGTTGCCGTTTTCCAGTCGCTCGTAACACTTCTCCCTGCTGCGGCGGAGATGCTCGGTACGGTACCATCGCTTCTTGGCCGGGATCAGCTTGAGGAGCCATCGCTGTGTTAAGGACCCAGCTGGAGCGAAGCGGCGAGTTGCCTGCTCGTAGGCGCCCGCTTTGACGGTCTCGTAGATCATCGAGACCCATTCGTGGAACCGCCCGAGGTCGAGACATCCGAACGGCTCGCCGAAGGCAAGATCTCCAATAATGTCAAAAGTCCTGTGCGCACGTAAGGAGACGCGTCAGCAGATGTCTCAGATAACGAAGTAGAAAGGCCGCATAAGAGTGCTCTGTGCCTAATCGAGACGGTTGAGGGCGTTAGGCTCAAACCTCGTGGTCGACCGACAAGCACATAATGTGCAGGCATATCCGCAGACACTCTGGCCCATCGGCTATGAGAACTCTCTCTAGCACCCTCAAGTGAAAGATGAGGGAGGGTTCTCTCACGTGTAGTTTAACCAATTAACCTATGAGAATCAGTAACGATCCCAACAATCTCGCTCATTGATACTCACCAAGTTGAACTCCTCATCCTTGCCAGCCATCCGGTGCATGTTCTCAATCAGCTGGTCAACGTAGCGCTTGACGATGTACTCTTGCTCCGACAGAGCTTTCTGGGAGAACGAGTGAGACAACGCCCTTCGCTGCCGGGCGTGGTTGTCATCATCGGCCATGGTCAGAGTCGTGACGCCTTGAACCGCCTCTACTGAGCCGACATGGATGGGGTCTGAGCCACTCGTTAGACGACCGTCGTAGGATACGGGAAGTGGGTTCAGGCTTGCCTTTATGCATATTAGGATGCCCAGGTCGGTGCCCGTAGATATCCTCCCAAGCGCCAACAGAGTTGAATGCCAGTTCATTCGGCGAGACACGCACGACGCTGCCATACTTGTCGTGCAGTTTCTTGTTCTCGAGAGGAAGCCGGCCACGCATGAGAGCTAGGATACCAGGCACAGGGCTCATGGCATTGAGCTTCGGTCCTGGGAACTTGGCCAAGGGATGGAAGAAGAGGTTGTAGATCCATTCTGATACGACGTATCCGACCAGCTGCGAGCGTCAGTGACTACTCTGTTTGGGGGCTTTGGTGGACTTACCCCGAGGACTACGACGACCGGTGCGATCGTGGAGAGTGAATACATGTTGTCGTCGAATAGTGGAAGATGAGAAAGGAATGGGTTGATGATGGAGAGTATTTGCGCAGAAGCTGAAATAGTGAACCTCAAAGCATCTCTCTCAAGAATTGCCTACCTACTCCCACCAGAGCCCGTGGCCTGGGGGCAATATTCGGTTGACTACGAAGGTGTATCACCGACAGAGCCGAGCACTACGCAGGTACCCCGGACTACGAGGGGCAAGGTCCAAGGTTGTGCTGTGGTGAAGCTGGAGCTTCAGAGGAGTGGGAGGTGTGGGCATGGAAAAGGATTGCCGCCCAAAAGCACTCTGAACGACTTGCCGAAACGGGACATTGCACGTGATTGTCGTGACAATTTGGCGTTCATGTAGCGGTACCCTCTGGTCAATGTCTATATCGTTCTCATTCACAGGAATTTGCATACAACTACATCTACAACTTAGCACGCACACTCCCCATCTCCTTCTCTACCCCCGGAGCATCCCTCTTCGCCCAGTCCCTCATCAACTTCCGTTGAATCTTCCCACTGGCCAACTTCGGCACCTCATCCACGAAAGCGATACCGCCGACGAGTTGTTTGTGTTTGGCCACTTTGCCCTTCATCCAGTCTTGTATCTGCTTTTGGGTGATTCCTTTGGCTTTACTCTCGTCCTTGAGCGCAACGTACGCTCGCGGGAACTCTTCGCCAAAGATCTGGACACCGACGGCGGCGGCGTCTGCTATGTCGTCGTGCTCTAACAGGACCGCTTCGAGCTCTGCTGGAGCGACTTGGAGGGCGTTCACTTTGATTAACTGCATGTTGTCAGCAGATTCTTCATGCTAGATTGCAAGACCACATTCTTACCTCCTTCTTCCGGTCAACGATCCAGAGGATATGCTCCTTGTTCACGACAGCCACATCTCCTGTCTTGAGCCAACCATCGTTCGAGATCGTCTCCCTCGTAGCAGCTTCGTTCTTCCAGTACCGCAAGCACACGTTCGGTGCCCTGATGTACATCTCGCCTGGCGTATCGAACCCAACCTCCTTACCATCGTCGTCAACGAGCTTGCACTCCGTATTGGGTATCAGCTGGCCCACGTTCCCATTGTCAGATGGCTTAATCTGTAGGATGGAGCCGCAAGTCACTTCCGTCATTCCCCAGCCTTGCTTGATATCTACGTTGAAGTCCCTCTGCACGGCATTCTGCAGCTCCTTGGCTAGAGGTGCTGCACCGCACAGTATACCCTTCAAGCTGGTCAGATCGTAGTCCTTGGTCTCCGGTCGCTTGTTCATCATGATCAAGATTGGCGGCGCGACTTGAAGATGTGTAATTTTGTATTCCTGTATGCAGCGCAAGAACTCAGAATAGACGAATTGCTTCATGATGTAGATCGGTACGCGGACTTTGGCTGCCATGAGATTGACGTAGAGCTGGCCGTAAGCGTGGTATAGCGGTAGGAAGCCAACCCATCTCTCCTGCGGCAGCTCGCCGGGTTTGAGTCCAGGGTACCACCTCATGTAGATAGTTTGTTCGACGTTCGCGATAAGAGCGTGGTGACTGATACAGACGCCTTTCGGCAGACCTGTCGTGCCGGAGCTGTAGTTGATTGTTGCAACTGTGTTTACCGACTCCTCCGGGCTGAGTTTTCTCCATTGATATTTGTCTGCATCCTCTGGACTTGCGATCATCTCCCGCCAATCTCTTATGCCGTTCTGCGGTTGACAGGGCTCGTCGTTGAACAAGAAGATCCGCTCTTTCGACATTCCCACCTTCTGAGCCGCTGCTAAAGCGTTCTCCAGCATCGTAGGATGCGCCAGTATACATTTCGCTTCGGTGTTCTTAAGCTGATGGACGACTTCGTTGACCGTGTATATCGGGTTCGCAGCGCTGAACGAGCGTACTGAACCGACGATGCCGAGATATGCGACTGGGATGAAGAGGTGATTGGGCGAGTAGATCATACAGACGTCGCCTTGGGCGATGCCCAGACGATCAAGTCCCAGGCATAACCGCTTCACCCATTGCAGCATCTGTCGCGGGCTAAGGTTCTTCTGCGGTTGTACGGCATCGTGCCATACTGGCTGATCTGAAGGTGTCTGGCCATCGGGGAAGAGGTAATCGAGGACGTTGACCTGCCAGTCTGTCAAGGAAGGCCATATATTAATGAACTCCAATGCCTACCTTGGGTATGTCGAGATCCGGGAAATCAGATTTCAACATCTTGCTTGAATGCTATCTGTAAGGACGTGACGAGCGGTGTGCAGGCGGTTGGTATGCAGTGTAAGATGGATACCACCAGCACTCCATCGTGAGTAAACCGAGACCGCCTTCCATCTCGACTCAGGCCTCCGACAGTGCCGAGGGTACTGATCGATAGACTCGTCCTGCAAGCTATCCACTGGCTCCACAGAGGGAACAGCCTTTTGCGGAGAGCAACGATCCGAGACACCGGGGAGAGGTTGGCGCGTGGTGGAAAAGGAAAGCCCGAGGTGGAAATCTAGAGCACGACTCATGCAGTCGACATGGGTGGTGGCAGACTTCCCTGGGACTCCGTCTCGAAGTTCTTTTGCCTTTGATTGTGGAAAGCTGACGAGAGGGCAGATTCAAGGATGTCTGACATTAGTTTGAACGGGTTCTTCTCGCTGGACGGCAAGGTCGCGCTGGTTACAGGAGGTCAGTGAGAAGGACCATCATCAAGCCAGCAACGAGACGATGTCTAACACCACAACCAGGCTCACGAGGCCTCGGTCTCCACGCAGCAACCGCAATCCTCCTTGCAGGCGCCAAAACCGTCTTCATCACCGCCCGCAAATCCGGCGGCGAACAAGGCATCGACCAAGCAGTAGACCGACTCAACAAACTCGCATCTCAAAAAGGCCTCAAAGGCAGAGCTATCGGCATCGCGGCCAACGTCGCCCAAGTCGAGGATATCGAGCGACTGGTCAAGGAAGTCAAGTCTCACGAATCGAAGCTCGACATCCTTATCGCCAATGCAGGCGCGACATGGGGAGGCCCGTTCGAACCGACGCCAGACTGGTCGAGTCAGAAGGTGCTTGACTTGAATGTCCGCGGTGTCTTTAACATGGCACGTTTGTTCACGCCCATGCTGGCAGCGGCTGGGACGGCTGAGGATCCGAGCAGGATCATTGTGGTCTCCAGTACAGCTGGGACGCAAGTACCGCATGTCGGCGACCACGGCACGATCATGTACAGCGCTTCGAAGGCAGCGGCGCACCATCTTGCACGAAATCTCGCGGTGGAGCTGGGACCGCGAAACATCACTACCAACACGATTGCGCCTGGCTTCTTCCCGTCGAAACTGGCGAATGGTCTAATTGAGATTTTGGGTGGACAGGACGAATTGGAACGGGACAATCCTCGCAAGCGTCTAGGAGTGCCGGATGACATTGCAGGGGTGACACTGTTCTTGTGCTCGAGAATGAGCAGCTACGTGAATGGAGAGTACATATCAGTGGATGGTGGACAGCGCCTGGCATCTGGACGGCAGACGAAGTTGTAGGATATCAAACGATAAATACCAAAGCAAGTGATCTCAAGTTGCCTTCGAATCTTGTGGTATCAGCTTTCCTCCGCGCATTCGATCGAACACCAGGCCCCAAGCGTGCTCTGTACTTCGCTCTTCCGTGAACGGGTTGCTCTTTGGCGTTGAGTACATCTTCGTCATATCGTATTGCCGGTCGAAGTCGAATTGGACCATGAGGAAGTACTGCGCAAGCATCAGCAATTGGAAGTACAGGATCATCTGAGCATTTCGACTCACCTCAAACCCTTTGAACGTTAGATCAGAGTCCGCAACCCCCTTCTTGAGACCATATAGCCCCTCCAACTTCTTCCAATCCTCAATATGTTCATTGATATACTTTCTGACCTCTTGGCTCTCCTTACCAGGTCCCGTCCCCTTAAGCCCAAAGTAAGCACACAGTGTAGGCCATTTCGTGCTCCAAGACTCCGGCTCTTTAGCATCAGCAACATTGAAGCCTTCCCCATTCTTCTCCTTAGGCAGGTTCAGGGACAAGTGGATGGTCTGCCTGGCAATCATATCCGAAGAGCTGTCGTTGGACTTTGCCGCCCAGGACTTCTCTGTCCCAGGGAAGGGACACTCCTTTCCTTCGCCCTCAACACTTGCGTAAAGGCTTAAGAAGATGCCGAGAACAGTGGCTAAACTATAAAAGTTCTGATTGGGAACAAAGCCAATGATGATGTCCGGCCGGGTCTCGCACCAGCTCCATTTCTTGTCCTTTGCGTATTCGATAATCCAATCTAGCTGTGGGTGGTAGAAGAGCCTGTCATGGTATGGTTGCTTCAGTCGAGGCTGATCTTCTGACAGCGGGACGTGGATGTAGTCTGTAGGGTGGTTCTCAAGGAGATGGCATCCGTACATCTTCGCGCCGGTCTGTAGGACGACGAGTTCGAGAGCTGGGCTGAGTTTGTCCATGGCTATCGTGGAACGCTTGAACATATCGACTGCGTCTTCGAGCTCTTGTTGCATTTCCGCGTTTGCTTTGTAGGCTGCGTGAAGGATCAGTCTGAGGCTCGCGAAATGACACCATTGGGTCCGGTAGTACCTAAATAGTAGACGTGAGTGATCTTGTCAACGTCCTTGACATTTTGCTGTAGCGATTGCTCAATCTCCTGCTGGCTCCCCAGTAAATTGATCCCAGAGACAATCTGGAGTCGAGGATCTGCCGGCCACAGCGAATCTTCTTGCTTAAGCGGCCTGTTGGTCATGGCAACCACACCTTCCCAGATGTCCTTCTTTGGGTAGTCATTGAGAAACTCATTGATGAATGACCACCCGGTCACACCGCTGGCGCCGAAAACAAGCGCTCTTTTGCCCATGTTGATAATTTTGAGTACGGAAGCGCGGGGGAGGAAGCAACCTGATGGTATGGATCATGGACGAATACTGAAGCTCTGACTGAATAGAGACGAGACCAACCTGACCTTGCCTACATGTAGCTACTACGCGTGCCGAGCTCGCGTTTTACTCTGCCATTGCATTGAGTACCGCTCTGTGAGAGAGCAGCAACACGAACGACAGCTTGCTCCGTCGCCAGCGATTCTGGACGTGGTCCAAGCGTTTGCCTGTTCCTCTCACGTCGGCTACGTTCATCCCAGCGACCCCAGCCTTCTGATCTCTAACCATCCCTCGGCCTGCACCAAGGGACCAGACCGTCGGCCCACGGACGCATACTACATGAGTCGTTTGACCATAGCATCGTAGGTCTTCCGATACTCTCTACCGTAAGTCTGTAGATTCCATTCCATCATATTCGTTCCTCCAATCTACCAACATGCCTCCCTCAGAATCTGATCTCGAGCACCCGGCCTTTGCCCGCATACCGCCATGGGTCCAACAGAAGCTCTCCGCGAAAGCAGTAGAGACGATCAAGAAGGTCCACCATTGGATGGAAACAGAAGTCATACCCGCTGAGCCCATCCTCAAAGCACAGATCTCGCAACCAGAGAAGAGATGGAAGACACCGCCGATCATGAAGGAGCTGAGGGAGAAGGCGAAGAAGGAGGGCTTGTTCAACCTGTTTTTGCCCAAGAGCTTTGGAGATCTGAGCCCGGGCTTGACGAATCTGGAGTACAGCTGTTGTGCGGAGATAATGGGCAAGGTGTATTGGGGCGCTATGGTAGGCAACATTCGTAAGTCGGTCTGAGGTACAGGAGCTGACAATATCAGACGATGAACTGCCACGCCCCGGACACTGGCAACATGGAGCTCATGGCCAAGTACTGCAACGAGGAACAAAAAGAGAAATGGCTCATGCCGGTCCTCAGAGGCGAGAAGTTCTCCGCCTACAGCATGACAGAGCCCGACAGAGCAACCTCAGACGCCACCAACATCAACTGCAGAATCACCCGCGACCCCAAAGACCCCAACTGGCTCGTCATCAACGGCCGCAAGTTCTACGGCAACTGCATCTGGGGCGAAGATCTCGGCTTCTACATCCTCATGGCCTGCTCTGACCCCGAGAACCCGAATCCGTGGAAGCGACATACCACCGTCATCGTCCCAAAGGACACTCCAGGTCTGAAGATGGTGCGCAATCTGACGGTAATGGGTTACGACTGGGCCCCAGAAGGCCACGGCGAATACCTCTACACCAACGCCCGCATCCCTGCCGAAAACATCATTCTCGGCGAAGGCCGCGCCTTCGAAATCGCACAAGGGCGCCTTGGACCAGGCCGAATACACCACTGCATGCGTCTCCTCGGCCAAACCGAGCGCGCCTACGAACTCGCCCTCATCCGCGCCACCGACCAGCGCAAGAAGCCGCGAGGCAAGCTGATCGGCGAGTTCGACTCCAACATAGAACGTCTAGCCTCCATGCGTCTGCAACTCGACTCAATGCGTCTCGTTGTCATGAACGCCGCAGATACTATGGACCTCAAAGGCAACAAAGCCGGCCGCTACGCTATCGCGCAGTCGAAGATCCTGGTCCCGCAGGCCTGCGCGGATATCATTGACGAGTGCATGCAGATGCATGGTGGAGCTGGGGTGACGCAGCTGTATCCGCTGCCGGAGATGTGGACGTATGCGCGGTTTGTGCGGTTGGCGGATGGGCCGGATGCGGCGCATAGACATCAGGTCGGTAGGGATGAGTTGAAGAAGGCGGGGAAGGTTAAGGAGCAGCATGATGCTTATCAGAGGAGATACAAAGAGCTGTGTCAGAAGTGGGGTGTGGATGAGGAGACGTTTTTGTAGGATACGATTTACTTTTGATGTAGTAAAGATTTTTCGAGCTCAGCCTGCTTCGCTGCCAGGCCATGCCTTTGGCCGAACTCCTTCAATCCAGTTTCAAGCGCGTGAGTGACGCTTTCATTTCGTCTGATGGAGTCTTCGCCATAGCTCAGTCGATGGGTCCAAAACTCCAGCCATGACTCCGCGCGAGCTCCTTCAGGTGCATCCATGAGCCCGACAGCAACATCGATATGGTCAGTCCTCGCGTCGCTCGTGAAGAAGACCGAAGCACCGCATGTACCGCAGTGATATCTCACCACACTCCCCGACTGCTCCTCGGCCTTGGTGGACATGTAGCCCTTCAGCGTACCCCAGCCCTTCAAACTCCCGAAAGGCAGATTCCAAGGCTTCTCACCCTCTGCGTCTAGCGAGATGTCCACGGTCGGTACGAAAGCCCACTCCAACCACTCCTGCCCAGAGTCAAGCCTGCAGCTGTCGCAAGCGCAGACGCCGGCGAGGAATTTCTTCCCGTCGTCCATGAGCCACCAAGCTGCATCTGGTCCGGACTTGTTCAGATGATCTGGGATGATGACATCAGGCCACGGACTTGCAGCATTCTTGGACTTCTCAGAAGGACGAGCGATCCAGAACTCGACGCCGTTGCATTTGCAGTGGCAATGCAGTCGGTCTGTCGGAGATGGCTGGACGTTTGGACGGTCTGTTGCTTTCCAGTCAAGCGGAAGTACTTGGTCTGCACGAGGCTCCAACACGTTTTTGTCCGGCGTCTGTGGCCAGCGAGGTAAGTCTTTGCCATGAATAGAAGGCAGAAAGTTCGCAAAGCCTCCGTCAAGCGTATCCTCGATCTGCTCGTGGGCCAGGTACTCGTACACACCGTCGGCCTTTTCCAGCGTACCGCACATGACATCCCAGGTAGCGTCTTTATTGTGGTTTTCGGCATCGACCCAGCAACGACAGAGCATCTTCGATCCGCAAGTCTTGCATCTGTAGCTGGTGAGTCTTTTCGAGAAGTCGTATGCCTGAAGACTGTCTATGAGCTTTTGCTCGGGTTGATACGATACTGGCATATTGGCTTCTGTGAGACATAGTGTGCCGGTATAATGGCGGCATGAGTTGCAGTGACAGAGGTAGCCCTTTAGTGGGAATTCTGAGGAGGGTAGTGTAATCTCGTGCGCGGCAGCGCCGCAGAGGCAGGTTGCTTTGACTGTCCGTGTGTCGGTGGTCATTGTGGTGGGAGGTTGACTGCAGGTAGACTGTATCTTTCTGCGGGAAGATAGATTTGCGCTGACTTTTCTTATCAGTGGCCCAACTGGCGATGTCACGGTATATGCAGGCACTGGATGGTCACGCCCTGCGGTGCTACATGTACAACTGTACCTCGCGCTGGATTTTGATTAGAAAGATCAAGTAACACGATCCGTCCGCTAATCGAGGCGTGGTGGTCTGATCAAGCTTTCAGAAGTCACAGCTGTCGTAGCAACGTGCTTGTTCTGATGTCGTTTGACTCGTGAAATCGAGAAGATGGAAGTGAAGTGAAGTGAAGTGACTCGTCTTCGAGAGATGTAGGCACGTGACTTTAATGTTATAATTCCCGGCTTGGCGTTCCGCGCTAAGGAAGGGACAACAAGGGAAATTTCGGCTTGGAGAACGTCACCTCAACACGATCGCGACTACTTCAGTTCACAGCACAAGAAGGCCCGTTTTCTTCACGACATTCACAAGTTAACACTCTATTCATCCAAGCCCTCACCGCGTACGAGATGAATGATTGGCGTCAGTGAGTGGATATTGTGAAGATGGGTGACAGCTACCATCCGCAGCGTGAGCGTGGGTACGGCCAGCCTACTCGCTATGAGGCATACCCCGACCGCTCCCGTGGGTATGGTGGCGGCGATCGCTATGACCCACGATACGACAACTACTCCAGATATGACCCGCGTCCGCGCTCGCGCTCGCCGTCAAGGTATGACCCCTATGCGCGCCAGGCTTACGCACCTCCGCCACGCGCCCCCTGGCACAACGAGTACGAGCCATATGACGACCACCGGAACGCGAACCCACCGAACAGTGGTTACTCGTTTCGCGGTGTTGCCGCCAATGGCGATACGTACCAGCCGACCCGCGCCGAAGAGAACTTCTCTTTCCGAGCACCTACTGGTCCATCGGCACCACGCTTTCCGCCACAGCAAGCTCCTTTGCCGCAGCGGCCCACGAAAGCGCAGCGGAAAGTTGATGGGCCGAAGGTTCAGAGCCAACTTTACCCGCCACCTCAGCAGCGGTGGAAGACTGGAGGGTTTAGGAAACCACCAGCTCCCCACCAGCGCGACATCTTGAAGCATGCAAAACGGGGTGGCACGCCAGAGCAGCTGGAAGGTATGACTTCCGGAGGTGCCCGCTTTGCCGAAGTCATTTCAGACGACGAGAGTGATGAAGATGATGCGGCCGATGACAGCGATGCTCCTCGCAAACGCCAGAAGGTGACGTCAGAGCCAGCCGGACAAGAAGCAAGCGCTCCAAAATGGTCGAATCCGGAGTACTTCACTGCTTTGCCGCCACCAGAGACTGCAGGTGCACCAAAGAAAGACATCGTACAAGTGATCCGCAAGGCAAAGCGAGAGGCTTCCTCAAACCAGACGTCATCGAACGCTGTGAAGAGCAACGTTGACTACATCTCCTTCAACTTCGACGATGACGTATCTATGGATGGGTCAGATGATATGCAGATTGTGGATCCCCCTACTGGTGCTTCTAAGGCTGCCTTCGACCAGAGCTCCAGAAAGCATTCGAACGGCGGAAGGCTCTCGAATGACAATTCTCTCGATCAGATTCATTCTGCTTTCGATCCTCAACCGCTTGCGGCGCGCATCACAAAGGCGGATGATGCAACTGGCTCTCCACCCAAACCTCCACACGGATTGATCATGCCTTCGGATCAGGAATTGGCCGCCACTCGAAGCAACACTTTCAAGGGCAAGAAGCGCAAGCATGCGGAGCAATCAACTGAACTCGGCAGCATCATACCTGCCTGGCAAGCTTCTGGACCTAGTGCAACGCCCTGGTTCAACCCCGAGAATGTCAAGACAAGTAGTTCTGCACTACGGTGAGTTTTGAGTGGCTTCTTCTTTTAGTTTGTACTGACCTCCTCTTGAGCAGCCTCCACATGGAGATCTGTGACTTCTACGACTTCGTTCGACCGTTCGAATTCGAAGAGACCGTTCGCCAGGATCTCATCGAGCGGACGCAACGAGCGGTGCGCAGCTCTCACATTCAGCCGCAAACTCATAAGGTCGAGATCAAGTGCTTTGGTAGCTTCGCATCCGGCCTGTATCTTCCGACAGCTGATATGGACCTCGTCGCGGTGTCGCCTGACTTCCTTCGGTCTGGAATGAAAACTTTCTGCGGAAGTGGAGGTCAAATACACAGGCTTGCGCGGTATCTCGAGAACACTGGTCTTGCTGCCCCTGGCACCGTCTCGCCTGTCCCGAAAGCTAGAGTGCCGATCGTCAAATTCGTCGAAAGCTTGACTGGCATCAAAGTTGACATCTCGTTCGAGAATGACTCCGGACTGAAGGCGAACGAGACATTTGCCAAATGGAAGGAGGCATATCCCGCCATGCCGATCATTGTTGTACTAATCAAGCAGATGCTCGCGATGCGTGATCTGAACGAGGTCTTCAGCGGCGGTCTTGGAGGCTTTTCGATCATCTGTCTGGTCGTGAACATGATGCAGCTGATGCCTCAGATGCAGTCTGACAGCATGGACCCACAACAGCACTACGGCCAGCTCCTCTTGGAGTTCCTTCACCTGTATGGCACAAACTTCGACACCACCGCGACTGGCATCCAGATGCGCCCTCCGTACCAGTTTCAGAAGCTGAAGCAAAAAGGCGTGAAGACCTTCTCCGGAGACAATCAGCGCCTCACCATCATCGACCCGAACAACCCTAGCAACGATATCTCTGGTGGTACCCGCCACATCCCTGTCATTCTTGATGTCTTCAAAAAGGCGCATGCGGACATCCAGCGCCGTCTGGCCGAGATCAGCAGCGGCAAGAATGTTGAGGAGAGCATTCTGGGCTGTGTTCTAGGTGGGAACTACGACAACTTCATTCAGCAGCGCGAGAGGCTTCGCAACGTCTCCCAAGGTCGTACTTTCGGCGCCATGCCGAGCGGACCGAAGTACGAGCCTACTGCGGCAAAGAAGAACAAGGCACCGCAGCCGCCCAGACGCCCGATCGCTGTGCCGCACAGTAAGCGTCAGAACGGCAATGCTCCGAATCAGCACCCACCTCCACCCAAGCCAGGCAAAGGTGCTCCTGGTGGCAACGCTAACGCCGGTGCGAATGTCGCTGGAGGAAAGAAGGGGTAGGTCCTGACACACTCGTCGATTACGCAGCTGTACTGTCCGAGATGCTTACCCTTTGTAAGCCGCAAGAAGAAGCAGAAGCAGAAGTAAGGTCAGCGATCCTGTTCGGCAGCCGCAGAGACACCACGAGCACGATATGACGGGCCAGCAACCTCTCCGACGGCGACGAGAATATGACCGGGCTACTGAACGAACATCTTTTACGCCCAGGACGAGGAACGGAGAGATCAGGAGCATGGATACGATATGAAGGGAGAAGGATGCTTTGACGCCCTTGCTGGCGACTGTTCGCATCGCATTGGTAAAGTGGACTTCTCCAGTGCTGATGATTGCTTCACATGATACCCCTGTACTACTAAGTAGCTTGCTTTTAGGGCAGACCAATCTTGACGGAAGTCACGAGCACCGAGGGCAGTATGGACACTTGTCTGCTACTGCCACGCGCCTGCGATACGACGGTCTGCCTGCTTGTTCAATTCTTGAAGATACTTTTACTACTCTTCCCACCCTTTCTGCTGCTTGGCCTTCATGGTCACTGCGACGCTCTACTGACTTACTTCATCTACTGACTACCAAAGCATATCTTACCTCAACAACAGCGCCTTGCGCACAAGCAGCTGGCTGCCTTTGCCGACGACGCTTTTATCAGCAAACCTGCTCAAATGCCCTAGTGGCTTCAAGCTCTGCTTTTGCAGGCTTGGATGAGCGACCAACGCTCCCTCGCTGCTTCGGCAGGTTCACGTGGGAGTCTTTTCTCATCGGCGCGCTGGCGGTGCAGGGGCTGCTGGTGGTCGGAGAGGAGGGAAATGACTACCCGCCACAACGGGGGCTGCCAGTTCATGGCGGCGGGGCGGGAGCTGATAGCAGGGCATATGGTTGAGGAAGTGACTCAGTGGCTGACTCGAGTAGCAAACGATGTTGAAGGATGACCGGAGGATGCGATGCAGAGGTAAATAAGTCCCATCACGTCGATTTGGAGCAAACTGACGGCCTCGGAGGTATTAGTAAATGCTTCGTGTCGAATCTCTTCGACACAACTTTCGAAGCGCCTATCAATACAACCTAAACACACACCATGTCATCCATTCCACCACCCTTTGCGCCCTTTGACGCTGCACGCCACACAGAAGCGAACGGGCTCGAAAAAGACGTCGCGGACTTCAACCGCCAGTACGAGCTCATCGGAGCTCCCTGGGACGAAAAGCCACCGGAGCGACTCGACTCAATAAGCTCACAAGCCTCCCAGCTACGGCGTCGAATCGACGACTTCGTTAACACAAGCTTAGGGAGTTGGGAGCCGGCGTTTGAGGTGTTCATCGACCACAGTTTGGCGCTGACGTGGAAGATGAAAGTCATGAATGACATGCTATCCAACCTCAAAACCTCCGGAAAGCTGGCTTCAAGCAAGTACTCTTACCCCCTCGTCCTCTCCCGCTCTCGTGCCAAGGCTCGCCTCCGCGCCGGCTACTCCACCCCTTCGTACCTGCACCAGGACATACCAGTCACTTCGAAGAAGCAAGTCTTCGAGCAAATCCAGTCCTGCGCGCAGTGGCGCGAGCGGTCCCAAGGCGCCATCGCTCGCGCAAAGCAATTCTCGAATGTCTCGCCGATCCACTTGCGGGACGAGCGAAGGAGTCTGGAGCTGTCGCAGTCGAATTGCCGGTTGCGGTTGCAGATTGCGTGTGGGGATTGTTAGGGATATGATTTGGAGGTGGTACGGGAGCGGTGTGAGGAGTTTTTGGATGAGGGGAGAGATACGGTTGCGGTTGCTGTTGAGGCGATTACTCAGGGTCAGAGGGGCGTGAAGAGAAGGTGAGTACAGAAATTCTTGTGTAGCACTGATATGGAGTTTCATATCTTGGAGGCACTGACGTTGACGATAGGCCTTCTCACGATGCTGAGGTACGGGAGCTTACGCTGCTTCGGGTCCTTGTGGGCAAGGCGAAGGCAATCGAGAAGCTTTGCAATGGCAACAATCTTCGCATAGCGTCGGCGTGCTGCGAGGCTGGCTGGCTGGCGGCGAAGTTGGCTGACAGCGATGCCTTGAAGAACCATTCTGAGGTTCCTCTCTACGCTGTTGACACAATTGAAGCACACTGACCTGCTACACAGTGCCGCAGGTCATCCAGATCCAGAATCACTCAAGCTCGCAGGCTCCAAAATGATGAATTTCATTCTTGTCGAATTGCTTGCTCACGATTTGGGGCTCGCTGCTGTAAGGGAGGCGCAAGCTTTGCAGGACATCATAATGGCTGAGAACGGTGTTCCTCTCTCTGGTGAGGCCCAGGCACATGCTCTCGAGTTGTACAACTTGTACCCGCTGGAGTTTTTGAAGGACGATCTCATGAACGAAGCGGATGCCGTAACGGAGACTGAGCAGCGGGGGTTGAAAGTTACAGTGGAGGATGCGGATGAGGATGACGCGGAGGACGACTTGGGGGACGAGGTGGAGGAGAAGTGCTTTATCTAGCGATGAGTGCTTGAGCTCGACTTTAGAACGTCGACTAATCGAGTGTGTGTCCTACAGTACATTTGCTGAATACCACATCAAGTCTGAAACAAATCGTTCAACCACTGAGATGATGTACCCACCACGGTCGTGGTCCGGAAGAAGTCTTATCCGCTTCAACGAGATTCTTTTGATATCGTTGCAGGTCCTTCGAACGCGCGAATGTAACCCGCGCACAACCAATATGGACGCCACTGATCTAGACCTCGACGACATCCACGCCTTCGCCATCCAATTGGGCAAAGATGCAGGATCGATGCTGCAGCGTGCCGCCGAGGCCAGGTTCGCTGGTGGTCCGAATGCTTCGATTGAGAAGGACAGTGCTGTTGATATCGTCACGCAGACGGATGAAGGTGAGTAGTGTTCATACGTCTGCGTTAATTGGTTTGACTGATGGGGAAAGACTTTCGTTTATGAGGACTTAGTGGGATGGAACATGAGCTGACCGGGCTTTGTTGAAGATGTTGAAGCGTTCATCAAGCAGGAGATCTTTACGAGATATCCCAGTCATAAGTACGAACACATTCTGGAAAGAATCCAGGTTATGGAATTGTCTTAACAAGCTGAACAGATTCGTCGGCGAAGAGTCCTACTCCAAAGGCTCATCCAAAGAGTACCTGATCACAGACGAGCCGACATGGTGGTAAGCCTACACGTCCCTGACCCCATATCTCCCACCATGAAACTGACAGCCTCCAGCATAGATCCCTTAGATGGTGCCACCTCCCTCCCAACCACCCAAACCACCGCCAACCGCTAACCCGACCCGTCTCACCGCAGGCACAGTAAACTTCACCCACCTCTTCCCCATGTTCTGCGTCTCCATCGCCTTCGTGCGTTCCCCTTCCCCTCCTCCCCTTCTCATCCCACCTGACCCCCTCTAACCCTCCCCAGCTCCTCAACGGCCAACCAATAATCGGCATAATCTCCGCCCCCCTCCTCCACCAATTCTTCTCCGCCCGCGCCGGCCACGGCGCCTGGCTCAACCAAACCCAACGCCTCCCTTTGGTTCGCGATCCAGTGCCGCCGATGCCGAAGGAAGCGCCGAATCGCTGTATCTTTAGCTGTGAATGGGGAAAAGATAGACGGGATGTGCAGGATGGGAACCTCCAGAGGAAGGTGGAGAGTTTCGTATGTTCCTTTCTTCCCTTTTGTGTGGAAGGGACGTGATGCTGACAGTGAGATTGTAGGTCAACATGGCCACCGAACTGGGCGGCCGCGACGGCAAGGGCGGAATGGTGCACGGCGTCCGCTCGCTCGGCTCCGCGACACTCGACCTCGCGTACTGCGCCATGGGCGCTTTCGTAAGCCTTCCTCTTCTGCTGCCTCGAAAGACCTCCGACGTGGCTGACTGGTATCAAGGATATCTGGTGGGAAGCCGGCTGCTGGGAATGGGACGTCGCGGCCGGCATCTGTCTGCTCAACGAAGCCGGCGGGTTGGTCACGACCGCCAATCCCCCTCCCACCTCATCCTCCACTTATGCTGATGTCGCTATACCTGAGGCTCATCTAGGAGGTCGTCTCTACCTTGCCATCCGACCCGCTGGCCCTTCGACAGATGGCGAGGGGGAGAGGGAGAGCGGAAGGCAGGGGCAGGAGAGGGTGGTGAGGGAGGTGTGGAGACGAGTTAGGGGGTTGGAGTATAGCCGGCCTGGGGTGTGAATCGGCACTGCTAGGAGCTGGCAGGAGGGAGTAGTGGTGAGAAGGAGAGTGCTCAGGAGGAAGGGGTGCTGGTTTTTGAAATTTGATTTGGTATCGGTTCTGATTCGCATCACCGTCTTCGTCTACGTGGGAGCATGACCCACGTCTACTCCCACAACCCGCAGTCAAACGCTGAAACGCTGTCAGCCACCATCCACAAGACGCCTTTTCCGATGTTGTTTCCGAGACGCCAGAGCCCCAGCTCCTCCGATGCGATGCATGCATGCATGTGACCGTTTCGTCATTACCACACCCCCCCCCAGCGAAACACTTTTCCATTCTACTCCTTTTGCTTTCCCATTGCAATCCAAGAACACCGAACGCAATGCTCGCAACCAACACCCCAGTCTCCCACCCTTCCAGTCTCTAGACCCCCGAGTAAGGTCTCAAATCCCTCTCCTCCTCCTCCGCGCTATCCAACACACCCGCATTCGGCACCCCATGCCCCAACCCCTGCCCGGGAACCTCATACCCCTGCCCCACCGGCCGCCTGCTCACGCTCTCCCCTCTCTGACGGTAAGGATTCGACGGACTGCGGGTAGGCTGGCGCGGGAGATGCGACGCTTGCTGCGAAGATGGAGGCGAGGAAGGCTGCTGCTGCTGGGGGACTTGGCTCATTTCGATCGGGCTGGAAGGGGTTTGTTGGTACGGTCCCGTCTGCGCTGGCCGCGTGGGCGAGCGCGTGGGGAAGCCGTACGAGGGCGGGTAGTTCTCATCACCCCTTCCGGAGGTGGGGGAGGTGGCCTGATAATTCGAATACCGCACTTCGCCCGGCCTCTGCACGCCATACCCTCCGTACCCTCCGTACCCATACCCCTGCCCAGGCTCGTTGATAGTCGGGACAGAAGGTCTGTAGACATCACTACTGACCTTGCGCTTCCCGCGCGTGCTTTCGCGGCGTAACAGGCCGCGCACCTCGTCCAAGTCGCTGCGATCGACGCTGGGACGTTCGCCGAGCGTGCTGCTGTCTTCGCGGGAGGAGGTCCAAGCCTCGTTCTCCGCTGGGTTGCGCGAGGTCAGGTCGTCGACTGTACGCGCCTCGCCCTGCGTCATGCCCGCACCGGGTGCGGCGGTAGTGCGGGAAGCTTGCGGAGAGAGACGTTGTTTCGCCTCCTCGATCTTCTTCGTCGGGACCAACCGCGCCTTCTCACGGTCCTGCGCAGCAGAGTCGGCGTGTTCTTTCACAGCGCCCTCGTCGATGGCGACGGAGTAGTTGGGGTTTGCAGCCGAGCCTGCAGCGTCCACGCCACCACCAGGCGGGTAGATAGGCACGGCTTTGAGGGCGGAGACAAGCGCGCACATGAATTTGCTGCGGCGGGAGCGGCGGACGGTCTCGTTGGCCCAGTTGGATTTGTGCTTGACTTCGGCCATGATGGTGAGTTTGCTCTGGTCGCTGGTGCCGATGATGTCGACGTCGACGGAGCTCTGGAAGTCGCGCGAGTTGTCCTTGTCGGTGACGAAAGTCGCGAGTTCGTTCTTCAGGATCTGCAGGTCCTCGAAGGAGGTGTCGAAGGAGACGTCGATCATGATCTGTTCCGTCATGGCTTTGCTGCGCGACACGTTCTCGACCCAGAGCGTGTTGAGGACGATGTTGGGGATCTGGCAGATGCGGCCGACGCCGGCACCTTGGACATGGCGGAAGACGGTGAACAACAAGCTAATGTGTTCGACGACGAATTGTTCTTGGTTCAAACATCCTGCCGTACCGATATCGACGCGGTCGCCGATGTCGAAGGGGTGCTTGACGAAGAGGAAGATGCAGGATCCCAGCACTTCCTGCGCGGTAGCGGCGAAGACGAAGGAGAGGGATAAGAGCGCTGTGCCGGTGGTAGCGAGGGTAGTGACGAAGCTCTCGTTCAAGAAGGCCACGAAGATGAGAATGATGATGATGAAGACGACGGTCGCCAGCATGCGGTCCAGGACGTTAATGGCTTGGTCCACGTCGTGCATGCTGCTGGAGATGGCCTTGCGCTCGCGGCCGAACTCGGTGACGGTGAGGATCATTTCGTCGAGGGAGATGTCGCCGTTGCCGTCGCGGTCGAGGGCGGCGAAGGCTTCTTCGGCGGCTTCTTGCTGGTTGGGACCGAGGACGTCTTGGATGTCGTCGAAGAAGAGCGATTCTCTGCCTTCGACCACGAAAGACATCCAGAGCCGCCGAGCCAGAGCCTCTGCGGTACGGTTCTTCTCGAGAGCTTCGATGACGACCGAGTGGGCGCTGTTGGGGTTGAACAGGTTGGACTTGCCAGTAACTTCGCCTGCAACGTGGCCGAATACTGATGTGATCTTGTCGACACCCACCCCAGCCTTCTGAATGATGCGCATTGGAGTGGCCGAGCCAGATTTGCGGTGGCCGGGAGTCTTGTTGCCGCGAGACAAGTTCAGCTGGTCCGCGATGGTGTAGTCCTCTTCTGCAAACTCCTGACAGTACATTGGGAAGAGGTAGCGAGACGCATCGTAGAGCAATCCCAAGATCCAGATGTTGCGCTTCGAATCTCTGATCCGAGCATTGAACTGCTTGCGGTGGTAGTTGATAGAGATCAACTGAATCAAAGCCTTCTCCGCCAGATAGATCAACGTGCCAATCAACGCCGCCGCCAAAATCTTCTGCAGAATGCTCATCCAGTGCTGCGTAGCGCAAGGACTGTTCGAGTAGTCATCCGAAGAGTACCCGGGGTGGTTGTCCTTCCACCGACTGCACTGGTTCACCGTATCCGGATTCCTCTTCATCAGCGGCAAGAACGTCGCCAGCGAAGAAACCGCCCAACCCACCAGCGAAAGCGGAATCTCCAGGCTCTTGATGACCAGCGAGTACTTCCTAACCCCACTCGACACCGTCCCAGCCAGCACCCGGAAGACAAACGGCAAATAATGCGCCACCGTCTTCGACCCCCACAGACTCAACCACACAATCTCGATCCACGTGAATAGCCACAGCATCCGGACACCGCCAATGTTCGTCTCGTTGCCAGAGTACACGCCGATGATGATCGGCACCGCGATCAACAACCCCAATGGCACAGTGTACAGAAAGTACCGCGTGATGACGGAGAAGTTTGCAATCTTGCGATAGATCTTACCCATCGTGTTGACCGTGTCTTCCTCCCCATCATACCCCACCTTGCCCGTCTTCTGCTGCGCGCTGGCGTCCGGCTTCCTCCTCCTGCCGCGGAAGTTCCAGTGTCCATGCTTCTCGCTCCCGTTTGTGGTCTCCTTCTGTTGAAGGGCCGTGGTGCTGCCTTGACTCCTCAGCCCTTGGCCGTTGGACTGGACTTGCTCGAGCGGGATGTCGATGGTCGCGTCGTTGTTGTTGGCGGCCATGTTGTTCGGCTCGTTGTCGCCAGGAATGGGGGAGAAGCCTTCCCTACTGAAGCGTTTGGATTGCTGGCGGTAGGGGGCGTGGAGGCTGTTCGACATTGGGGGAGATTAACAGTAGGGACAAACAATGCCAGCTGAAGGGATCGGCGGTGAAGTCGATCGAGTGAATGTGACGGGTGTTTCGAACCGAGCGGTGCCAGCTCCTCGCACGTCGTCGTGTTGAAGAAAACGAATGTGAAAGCTCCCCTTCGCAATGCAGTGTTGAAGCAAGCCTATTCGCCGAACAGATAATGAAAAGGGAGAACGACAGTGTCCGTGATCAAGAGGGCAAAGACTTTACATGGCGGAATGTCCTCCTTCTCAAGGCATATGCGGTCCAGCAACACTTTTCCTGTCGTCGTCACTCGCGGTCCGTGAAACGCCCAAACGCGCCGGCAGCTGTCCCGAGAACGTGCATCCAAAACAGGGCGCCAATCAGCGTGCTGGCCGTTAGAGCGCCACCCGGATTCGTTAACCAAAGGCGGAATTCGTGACAAAGTCGTTGGGGTAAAGTGTACAGAAATATCTGGCTTCCAAAAGCTTCTGGAAGCATTATCAACGCATGGGATGTTGAGTACGATGTACAATAACGTGGAAGCGTGGAACATGTGATACAATGAACAATGTGTTCCTACATCTCGGTACCTAAATTCAGATCTTGTAGATCAATGCCAGGATACCTAGATGGTGATCTGCGAGCTTGACGAACACCCCTGGAGGCGACATGAGTGGTGTCGAAACAATATGGTATCATCGTTAACATGCGTGTCGACAGTCTCTGGACCAGTTGAGCCAGCCCACCAGCTGAACAAACCAACGCACAAGCGTAGCAACCCAAATGCCCGAATCTATGCCAAACACCATCGCTACCTAATCCCAACACCACTCATATCTCAAACCCCAACCGCGTCCCTCCCCTCCTCATGCACCAGCGTCCCAAACTTCCACACCTGCTCGACCTTCAATCTCTTCCCTCCCTCCCCATCTTCATGTGCATCAAGTACAAGCAAATCCGCATCCCCGTCCGGACTCAGCGTCCCCTTCACCTTTTCGATCCCCAACATCCTCGCCGGCGTCCCCGTCACCGCCCCAATAACCTGCGGAATCGTCGCATTCGACCACGTCCAAAAGTTGTTCACACACTCAATCAACGTCGCCGAGCTCCCAGCAATCTTATCCGTGCCTTCACGGGTAAGGAGAGGACCCTTCTTAACCCACCGATCCCCATTCGTCCAGTCATACACCCCATCCGGCAACCCGACCGTCTTCATCGCGTCTGTGACGAGGATGAAACCCTCCGGATAAGCGTTCCAGGCGATTTTCACCGTGGTGGGGTGGAGGTGTATGCCGTCCGATATGATGCCGAAGTATGGACGATCTTTTCCCTCCGCTTTGCCTAGGACGCCGAAGATCCCTGGATTCCGGTGGTGGAGCGGGCGCATCGCGTTGAACAAATGCGTTATCATCGTCGCCCCGGCGTGGATAGCGGCGCTGGCTTCCTCGAACGTGGCTTCCGTGTGTCCGATGCTGGAGCGGATGCCCAGCTGAGCTATCTGCGGGATCGCGGCAGAGACGCCGGGGACTTCGGGGGCGGCGGTGATCATGGAGATGGGGGAGCGGAGGCCGCTACCCAAGTAAGGCAGGTTTTCTGGGCCGTAGCAGGCTTCGAAGTCTGGGAAGCCGTTGGGCGCTGTTTGGAGGACTTCGGGGCTGTGGATGCCATTTTTGGAGGGGGAGATGAAGGGCCCTTCGCAGTGGGCGCCGAGGGATTCGGAGCCTTCGAGAGGGTTGCGTGCTGCGCCGGAGGGTCCGAGGTAGGGGAGGGCGTTGTGATAGACTTCTGGCTTTTGGCTGGGGAGGGTGGGTAGATATGAAGTCACTCCCGTCCGCACCAGGTGTCGGTTCAGTCTCTTGAGCCCTTTGTGGTAGGTAGCCATGTCATCAGGAATGGTGCTGAAGTCGAAGCCGAATGCGCCGTTGAACTGGACGTCGACGAAGCCGGGACACAATATCTTGCCTTTGAGGTCCACAACCTCGTCTGGGACAATGTGGTGCTCGTAGAAGACTTGCTGGCTGTGCAGGATCTTTCCTGTAACCGAGCTGATCCATAAGTCTTCCTCGACAAGTTCATTGCCTCGAACAAGCCTTCCGCCTGTGAAGCGCGTCACGCCCGTCCGTGGGCGCTCTGGGGATATGGCCATGGGCATCGTGAGGATGGCCCCGGTGGCCGGCTTTACGCGGGAAGCGCGTTGCTGCTGTAAGAGACTGAGGGATCGTCTCTAGAATGCTGTGATCACGCCGTAGGAAATATTGTCATAGGGTGTATAAGATATCAGATGGTATACGAGAAGGATAGTAGGAAACACGAAAAGAGCTCCAACCTGTCCGTCAACAATCTTTCCACAATCGGACGTCACCTCTCAAGTCAGCAGCACGCAGGAACGACGCACCCAGCTCCTCGCCGTCTTCGGCGTCTGGCGGCCATCCATCACAGCAGAGGGCAAGAGAAGAGTAGCAATCAGCCAATCGACCATCCACGGGCGCTGGGTTGCAGCGAGAGAGTGTGATGTTGCATTGTCAGAAATCTGGAGAGCGCGCGGGAAAGGCCGGCACCTCAGGGCTGGCTGGGAGATGGACGCCGAGCCGACGAGGAGGCAGGTCTGGACTTCGTGAGACGAAGAACGACCAGGAGATACGCTGTACATCACTCATGCCTCGTTTGGTTTCATATCGCAGATACGATACCAAGCAAGCGGCTAACAAGGCGAATGCGCGTGTCATCCATACAGCGCGCGGCTCACCCGCGAAGCGACCCTCGGGCGGAGTGAGATGGTAGCAGGAGGCAGCTCCACCTCGAATACTACTCTGCCAGCTGCACGTGTCTGCGTCTGCAGACGACATGGCAGCGAGCGGACTTGATCCCGTTTTGGATGACATGGACAAGTAAGGCTGAGCTCTACAGTACTGCGGCCCGTTGGCTAATCAAGGCTGGTATGCAGGACGCTGGGGCAGTTGTTTATGGTTCGCAATTTGCGTCTTCTGCATGAGGTATAGGGTGCTGACTCGGGAGGAACGTAGATGGGCTTTGAGGGGTCGACGGTGACACCACAGATACGGAAGCTGATATCGGAGCACCATATTGGCTCTATACTGCTGACCGCCAAGAACCTCAAGTGTACGCCTACGCCCCCTTATCGCATGACAAGCATGGCTGACAGGACTCCAGCCGCCGAGCAGACGACCCAGCTCTGCCTCGAACTCCAGCAGATAGCCCACGATGCAGGCCACCCGGTCCCCCTGGCCATTGGCCTCGACCAGGAAAATGGCGGCGTCAACAGCTTATTCGACGAGATCTACATCCGCCAGTATCCCTCGGCCATGGGCCTTGCAGCGACCGGATCCAAGGAGCTGGCCTACGAGGTTGCTAAAGCGACGGCAGAGGAAATTGCCGCTTGCGGGATCAATCTGATGATGGGGCCATGTCTGGATGTACTAACGAATGCTCGGAATCAGCCATTGGGCGTACGGACGTTTGGTGATGACCCTCAGGAGGTTTCGGGGTATGGTATTGCGTTCATGAAGGGGTTCAAAGATGCGGGTCTGGCGACTATGGGAAAGCACTTCCCTTCGTACGGAAGTCTGGAATTTCTGGGGTCAGCGCTGGATGTGCCCACGATCACTGAGTCCTTGGAGAGCTTGAGTCTAAACGCCCTGGTTCCCTTTCGCAATGGCATTAGGGAAGGCCTTGATGCGATGATGGTGGGCGGATGCGCCATGTCTTCCGCAGGGCTGAACGTCATGCACGCCTGTCTGTCAGAGCAGGTCGTGAATGACCTCCTTCGCAGCGACCTCCAATTCGAAGGCGTAACTATCTCAGACTGCCTAGAGATGGAGGCACTCAGCCACAACATCGGCGTGGGAGGCGGAACTGTGATGGCAATCAATGCTGGTTGCGACATTGTGCTGCTCTGCCGCTCATTCCAGCATCAGCAAGAAGCTATCGAGGGCTTCAGGCTTGGGCTGGAGAATACGATGATCACCAAGGAGCGGCTACAGACCTCACTGAAGCGGGTTTTGAAGCTGAAGGCCAAGTGCACGACGTGGGAGAGAGCGCTCAATCCACCTGGACTCAGCCTGTTATCGCAGCTTCAACCGTCACATACGACGCTGTCGACGAAGGCGTACAACTCGTCCATTACGGTGGTGAGGGACAAGAACCGCCTACTGCCACTGACGAACATCATGGAGCCTGAGGATGAGCTGCTTCTGCTTACTCCACTGGTGAAACCTCTGGCAGCATCCGCAGCATCGCAAGCTCTGAGCGAGCAAGCCACCAATGGCTCACCCGAACCGCAGATTTGGGAGCGGAGTGCTTCCGTCATGAGCGGCGAGCGAGTATTCCGAGAGCTCGGAAGGTCTCTCGCCCGACAAAGAAGTGGCAGAGTGCTGCACACCTCATACACCGCCAACGGCGTCCGGCCTCAGCACGAAAACCTGATCAACCGGGCCAGCGCTATCATCATCGTCACAGCAGATGCGAATCGCAACCTATACCAACATGGCTTCACGAAGCACGTCTCGATGATCTGCAATATGCAGTACTCGTCTGGCGGTGAGAAACGAGAGAAGCCGCTTGTAGTTGTGTCCGTGAGCTCGCCATACGACTTCGCCATGGACCAGAGCATTGGGACATACGTTTGCACTTACGACTTTACCGAGACCGCTCTGACATCCCTGGTCAAGGTTCTATACGGCGAGTTCACACCAGCCGGCGCATTGCCGGGCACAATCAGCCAAAGCCAAAAACTCTCCCAATCAAAGCAACACTGGCTCGTCGAGACCTTCAACGAAGAGCGCGACTCCAACGGCCTCGACAACCTCATCAAATCCTGCATCGAAAACAACACCCCCGGCCTGCACTCCGAGCTCTCCAGCGCCACCTCCAACTCCTTCCTCCTCCGCAACCCGGACGTCCTGGAATCCCACTTCGTCGTCCGCAATAGCAGCACCCAGGCCCTCTACGGCTTCTGCTCGACCTACTTCTTCAAAATCACCGGCGTCGGCGTCATTGGCGCCATCTTCGTCGACCCGGGCAGGAGAAAACTTTCAATAGGCCACTCCCTGCATAACCGCGCCATTCGCACTCTGTTACAGCGGGAGGGAGCCAAACGCTTCCAGCTCGGCTCCCGCCTTCCCAGCATGTACCTCGGCATCCCCACCGGCCACGGCGGCGAGCGCAAACGTTTACGCTCATGGTTCGCGAACTTGGGCTGGAACACCGCCCTCTCCCGCTCCGTCTGTAGCATGGTCGCGCGTAACCTCGCGACCTGGGCGCCGCCGGAGGGGATGGCGAAGAGTCTCCAATCTGCCGGCGCGGACTTTGATTTGGTGTACGGCTGGGATTACGCTGGTCCGGTGTTGGACCACATCAAGACGAACAACCGACAAGGCCTCGCCGCCGTCTATAAGATGGCTCTCGCGGACCCTTCGGCGTGCGGGATTATAAGGGCGAAGCGACCAGAGGATGGCGCGATCTTGGGGACGGTGGTGTTGTATAACATGCACTCTCGGCTAGCGGAATATGTGCCTGCGATGAAGGATGTTGGCGAACTGGCGGGTGGCATTTCATCCCCCGTGATCAGTCCGTCGGCAGGAGAGTTTTCCACATTGTTGCAGGGGTTGATTCTGCTAGGGGTGAGGCAGATTAAGGGGCAGGGGTGTGGGGCTTGTGTGCTTGATTATGTGAGTTTTGACCTATTTGCACTTCTGGGTGGGTGAGGGTGACATGCTCACTTGTGACAGATGGATGGCGATGGTAACTTTGATGGTTTGAGCGCGATGGGTTTTACGGTGCTGCATACTTTCGAGGAGGTTTCGTGTGATGCTGAGACTTGGACTATGATTCCGCCTTCGTGAGGCAACTCCTGTACGCTACCTGGACGGCTCGATCGACTGGGACTTTCTTCTCGGCACGACCAAAGATACCAGTGAGTTAGTAGGATCCACTGGCGGCCTCCCAATGTCTGAGCTACTTGCGAGACCTTTGGGAACTCTCGCGACTTGATGCTTCGCCTTTCAATGCCTTTGCGAGTCCTTGGATCTCACGCTGGTCTCTGCCAGGCCATACTCGGTATCACGACGGGCAAACGACACTTTCGAGGGACGTTCGGTGACAAACGGCATCATCGCCAAGTCCTGTGATAAACAGGAGGACCCGATGGAGAACTTCACCTTCGCAGATCTTGTTCGTTTTGATGTCGTTTTGACTTTCACGTGCAATCGGGATGGCCAGCTTCCGAGCGTCAGCGAGCGTGGGGGTTGGGGGACCTGTCCGGGGCGCCCGTCTAATCTTTACGACACCTCTTTTCAATCTCAGGCCTTTTGAGCTAGGTACAATATTCTCGAAGTTCAGTTCGACAGACCAGTTGCATATCATATCCTTCCACACCCCATCGTACCTTGGAAACGTACTTCGACCCGGTACTGAATGTATGGTCTTCGGCAGCCATCCGAGCCACCAACAACCACCAAACCTTCTCCACTCTCTCGCGCCATCCGAACCGGGATGCTGGCTCGCGTTTCCCAAATGCGTTTAGCACGTGTCCGGCTCCACCCCGATAAGGGTCGAAGTCGAAGCGCTCACGCCGAGGATGGCCTGTCGATCATGTTGGCTCTTCAGCCGTGCTCGTCTCGGCTTAACCCTCGTCACTGTTCGATATTAGAGCTGTGTGCTTCTCTCGAGACAATGGGCCTGGCTGTGCGCGAGGACTCTGTGGTACTGCGCGTGTACGGACGAGATCGCGGATTGTAAGCGCGGCTGTGCGAGCTGCGGTGTGAGGATCTCGCGCAATTGGAAGACGGACAAGAGCGCGGTTGCCTGGCTGTGGATGGGTGGACTCGACCACGAGTTTGGTGGGCTTTGAGGAGCTGAAGGCGACACTGCAATATTGGAACATCCGGTTGGTGTAGGCATTGCACGTTGAGGGCCCTGATGAGACGAAGTGGAAGACGGCTGTCAACCTACATGCTTCGAGCTCGAAGACGAACACCAAGTCGCAATCATGGACAACCTAGGAGGCTTCGATCCTTCGACCATGACATATTTCTCTACTCAGATAGCGCATCCAGGCGCCGGTGGAAACGATCTTTTCCACGACATGATGATACCCATGGAAATGCCCGACCACCACGCGACCTACGGCTACGGAGGGTACGTCAGTCCCATGCTGGCGCGCACAGAAGCGCCTTCTGATGTCGGAGGGAACAGGAGCGAGGACATGAACTTGCACAATATACACGCGCAAACAACGCCTCAGCTCAAGCGGTTCCCGAGCACATACGAAGACCCATTTTCGGATGTTGTCAGCGCGTTCGATCCCAATATTGGCGCTGAGCAACATGATTCTGAGACACCTTCGATTGATCGAGATAACAAGCTGTTGAGCTTCTCGCTGCCGCATTTCGACCATACATTGTTGGATTATACATACCGAAGAACAACCATCTCGCTGTCAGCGCAGCTGCATGGGATGTTCTTCCTTGCCGAGTCGCCATGGGCATCGGCTGAGAACGCACAGCCCGCGCCGAATGAGTTGACATGCTATAGGAGGAACCTATTTCAGATTACGGGAGAGATCACAATACCTCGGACGCTGCGGTACATCATGACAGAGCAAGGGGAGCAGATACCAATTCTTGGGCAGGAACTCATGATCAGTGCTACGGAGTCAACAGAAGGCAATCCAGTGAAGATCATATCAGTGCCGTGGAAGACACCCGTGAATCCTGCTGCGTCTGCGCCTGAAGATAAGGCGGAGAGAGAGCCTCCATCGATACCTTTGGATCTGATGAATGTGCAGGACATGGACTCTGACTATGCTAGCTTCCCGTTTCAATGGAAGAGGCTGCAATTCCGAATAGCTACCGCAAACAACGGCCGGCGGAAAGAGCTACAACAGCACTTCGTGGTACGCCTGAGAGTGATGGCGACACTAGCCACAGGAGCAAAGATACCCATCTGCGAGATCCGCTCAGGAGCCATCATCGTGCGCGGACGAAGTCCTCGAAACTTCCAATCTCGCAAAGACCTCCCCTTGAGTGGCGCCGGTACGCACACCCGGAAAGGCTCGAACATGCCGGGAAGCCAGGCCGGTCGCAGCACGTCCAACGACTCTGCCGGCGGCGGCATGGCTAAGATTCCAGAAAACGGCCCAACGTCCGCTCCCATCAAAGCCGAAGGCCCAGCGCAAGCTCAAGTACAATCCTATTTCGAGGCGCCAAACGGCGGCAACCTCGACTTCTTCGACTGGCACGCCATCTCCCAAACACAACCGGGCGCCATGACCGCCCTCCCACCCGCCGTCGCTCCACATCAACCCGACAACATCTACGCCGAATCCTCCCCCGAACTCACCCGTTCCTCCAAACCCCCGGCGCCGCCGCAGGCACCTATAAGCCTCTCCCTCGTCGAAGAGGAAACCCCTCACACGCGCAGATCCAACTCCCCCTCCGACTCAGCACCGCCAGCGAAGCGCATCCATCTCCCGCCGCGCCCGCCTTCGTTCTCGATCAACACGATCAACAGCCCTGATGAAAGCGCGGATCTGCTATATGAGTATTTTCCATTGGGGCTGGATGACTGGATGCCGCCGGTCGACGCGGTTTATAGGCCGCATGTGGTGCATCATACGAAGTTGCCGAGTGATCCAAGGGATCCCAAGGGCGCGGGGAGGGGGGCGAGGAGTAAGCGGTATTTTGTTGAGGATGTGACTTAGTGTTGTTGCTTGAGGTTGATGGTGTGAGTGCGGACGCTCTCATGGATCGCGCAGAGTAGACGCTGGGTACTCGTTGTGCTCGGGAAGCAGATCTGAATTTTGGCTCCGCTCCACACGCCACGAAGCGGACTGCAGCAAGGCACCCTGGGTCCATCTCTCCGTTGCTCGCTGCGCAAGGGTCGAGAGGATCGGAAGCACGAATCGACAGGGGCGCCATCTCAGGTGTTGCACTGCTACGAACCGGTTGCTTACCAGCTCATGGCCAAAAGCACCCAGAGACAGACGACAGTACGTCCTGATAGCGATGGTAACAGCAGCACCGGGCGCAGCAATATCCCGCTTGCCGTGCTTGAGCTGCCAAGTGTGTTTGCTCTAGGAGCTACGAACACAGTACGGTAGCATTGCAAGCTGCTGGACATCCTCTGGTGCATTGCATACGACCATGCAACGGTCAAATCTTCCTTACGACCAGGAAGCCATTCAGCCAGCCCAGGGTGTGGAAGGAGGCGAAGTGAAGAGACCAAGAGACGATTTCCACGTTGCATAAGACGATCAGAGCTGTTGGAAAGCTTGCTGTGGTATCTAAAACCATCAGAGGTACATCTACCCCAGCCCTCCCCTCCATAAGGGAGCAATCTACATGCAAGCTGCGATGCTAGATGCTAGCTGCGATGCTACCTTACCCATCCACCACCTCCATCTCTCCATCTCTCGATCCCTTATTATCATACCTCGTGCGCCGTCCAATGCAAAGTCCCATTCGACCGACAAGCCGTAGCCAGCGTTCGTTCTATGCTGTACCGATCCTCCCTCCAAATCCAAACAAATCCTCCGCAGTAAGAAACACCACAGCGCCATAAGAGTTCATCGTAATGTAATTCGTCGTCTCGCATCGCCGCCGTGACCGTGAGCTCACACGCCGTCGCTGTCCTGCCATACCAAGCCATGCCGCCCCCAAGTTTCATACACAAAGTGCGTCCACGTGCAATCATTCCATGCCGAATCCGCGCAATCGCCTAGGCCCCTCATGCATCAACTCCCCTCCCCCTCCTCCTCCCCCATACACCCCACAGCCACCCCCGCCCCAAAGATACTCCCCTCCTTCACCACCTCCAACCTCACCGTCCCCGCTTCCGCCCCAGACTGCACGCAAAGCTCATCCAGAAACCCCTGCGTCCGCTGCCGGAAGCCGGGGTACTTCTCTACCATGCTTCCGTCACAGGCGATCGTTACGTGGCTAGCCTCGCCGGGGGAAAGGCCCTCGGCAGCGGTGCGCACGGCCCAGAGAGCGTGGAGGGCGGTGCCGAGGTAAGCGGCGGCGCGGGTGGAGGCGACTTGCGTGGCGGAGCGGATGAACTTGAGCTCGGGAAGGGTTGGTGGGGAGGGCAAGGGGTGAGCGGTTGCAAAAGCCGCACTGGCGACGGAGAGGTCGGGGGTGGTGTCCTGTTCGAAATGGGCTAGGAGGCGGGTTTCGAGGGTGTAGGGTTCGTCTAGTTTTTCCGGTATGTAGCCTGAGAACAAATTCGTAGTGGGAATTGCTTCGAGGAGTATGAGACGGAGGATCTCGCCCAAGTAACGGCCAGTTATAAGGTATTCGAGGGGTTGATAGTCCGGCAGGCGATGAGAGCTGTTGAGCTGATCATCCCATTTCGTCGTGGGGAAGACGTGTTTGCCGAACATGCTGATCTCGGTATTCACCACGACCCGCGAGGCGGCGGCGAACCAGCTGTCCGAGCGGGGGCCGAATTTGGACGGACCCAAGGCGGTGGTGGGCAGGAAGACGGCGGCGTTCATGCCGGTGCCTAAGATGAGTGACATGCGGGTGGCGGGGTCGCGGTAGGCTTGAGAGAGCAGGGTTGCCGCGCCGTCATTGACGATGGCGCAGAGCTCAACGTTGAGGTTGCGGGCGCGGCAGGCGTCCATGACGAGGTCGGCGAGGTCTTCGCCTTCGACGCCGTGGCCTGCTGTGAAGCCTTTGCCCATTGTGAGGAGTTTGCCTGTTCGAGGTGAGGTCTGTTCGACTGGAAAGGACCATGCCATGCCCATCTTCAACCTTGCGTCTGTGGTACCCTTGATGTGGTTGTACTCTGCCAACATCTCGCCAATCTTGCTCGCCATCCAGTCGAAGAATTCTCTCCCCTTCAACCGCCGTATATCCTCATTAATCACAAAACTCCTCATCCTCCTCACCTGCAACCCCTCCCGCTCCCCCTTCCTCCCAGCCAACCGTATCAACGCCGCCCTAAACGTCGAACCCCCCACATCCAATGCCAAATACTCCCCTTTCTCCCCCCCATTCGGCAGCGTATGCTGAAACGACGGCAACATCGAAATCTCCGATTTCCCCAACTTCTCCCTATACTCCTCCTGCAGCCGCAGCGACATCTCCAGCATCCGCTCCGTCTGCGCCGGCGCCTCGAACCGCGCCTGGACCTCCGCGGCGAGGTCGTCCATGCTCTTCTTTTGCTGCGGCCGCCGCTCGGGTGCTACATCGTCGCTGCAGCTGCGCCGGCGTTTGCGAGAGTAGGGGGGGTTGACGACCTGGATGAGTGCCGGGAGAATCACGCTCATGACTCTGCCTAGGCGCGAGCGTTCCCAGAAGTCGAGGAGAAGGGATAGACAGTAGCGGAGGAGGGAGGTCATGCCAGATGCGATTGCTCCAGTACGCGGTTGTCCTGTAGCGTCCCGTGGGAGCGGTCGTCTTTATGAGGCGTGCTTGCGGGCCCCAGGTCGATGTTGTGTAGGCTTCTTGAATGATTCCTCAATAGAGCAAACGAGCACTCTTCCGTATAGCAAACCACGCCTCATCAGCAAACCGCGTGGCAGCCCAGGTTGTTCACTCTCACTCAGCCTCCAGCAACAGCAGGGCCAACACGTGGACTCTGCCTGCCCGTCCCGCCGAACCCACTGCAACGTAGCGGTAGTAGCCTCGCGCACAGCAACAGCAACAGCAGAAGCCGGCGTAGCAGATCCCAGATCCAGTCTCAGATCCAATCGCAGCAACACCAGTCGTCACCCTGCCGCTCGGCTTCATTGCCACATACAGGTAGCATACACACCAGCCCGGATCCAGCAGGAGCCCCAGAACAGCCAGCTCCCTACCCACTCATGTGCGGGTACAGGATATTACGGCCAAAGGCACAGTAGCAGTCGTCGTATAAGACTCCGGCCCGTCGTAGCAGTAGTGGCAGCGTGCATTGCGTGGAGACGTGCGAAAGAGAACGTTTCATCCGTAGTCAAAGGCCACACGCGCGCGACGATCGCAGAACGCAGCGCAGAAGAACTCCCGACGACGCCCGCCGGTCCCGGCGGCCACCATTGGGGAACTTTGCCCTTCCCAGATTGCCTCGTCTCGCCTACTTGCTTCTCTGGCTCTGGGTCTCGCGCCGACGACTGGCTGTGGGTGGATGCAAGGCGCCGATTCTTCTTCGTGAGAGGGAGACGAGGCGGGAGGGGAGGTTGCATCGGAGGGTGACAGTCAGCATGTGAGCTGCCCGCGTCCCCGTCCTTTCGGTGCTGGGATGCCACGTGAGATATCTAAGGGGCCGGTTTCGCTCTGCCGTCCGGTGGGTTTTCTTTTTGGCCCCCCGATCGCTGGGAAGGGAGGCCATGGGTTCGGGATCGTTTGACTCGCGTGGTCATGTCTTGGTAGTAGTATCTTACACGGGAGATATGGAGGGCTGACGATACAACGCTGGGTTACGAAGAGTCGCCGGTCAGCACCGACCATCCCGAGAGTACGTTGCAACCTGTGTACACTTCCCAGGTCCTGGAAGATGCACAAGAAGTGGGACTCGAAGCAGTTCGAACGACGGATATTTCCATCGCCAACAACGGAGTGATGATGAGCGTGTCACCGCCCGAGATTGAGATCAACGGGTCGTACTCACACCACAATCCAAACACCGCATAGCTGGAACAACATCCGCCGGATACAGCAGTAACTTATCACTCGTGGCATTCGAGGTGAAACGGTCGAGAAAAGCTGGCTGACATACGACATCTTCATTAACTCATCGAAGGTGTCACGAAGCACAAATGACACAGGCAATTTCAAGCAGTGGTGCATCTCTCGATTCGCTACCTATCACCAGTACTACAACCCTCGAACTCCCAGAGCCCTACTCCGTAGTCGCACCCGCACTCGCACATCAAGCATGGGAAATCTTCCATAATTGGGGGGGTATCTCCTGACGCCTTCGAGTAAAAAAGCAGCAGCAGCTGTAGCACAAGCTCCATCATCGCTTTACAATCGCTCCAGACAGTTCGCCCTGTTCAAACACGTCAAGTCATCTCCCGCTTCGGGCCAAGAGACCCAACACAGCTCCTGAAGATCCGAGGTGAGATGGGAATGAGCATCCTCAGACGCCCGCACGGACAGCCGTCGGATACTTTCCCAACTCAATATCCTCAAACTCCCCCTCACTCCCCCCAGCAGTCGTGCCCCTGCTCCCCGACCGCCCAGCCTCGCTGCCAGCAACGTCACCCGCCGTCGTCCGGTTTATCGCACTCTACGCGACCCCGTCGACCTTGGTGTGCGCATAGACATCGTCGACCGTCTCGTCGGAGAACTTGAGGTCCTCTTCCACCGGGACTGTGTCCTTGATCTTCAAGAGAATGACCGGGAGTGCGAAGAGTAAAGAGCCGGCGAGCAGGCCCCAGCAGGACGCGAACATGTTGACGTACGGCGTGCCGAGGCCGTCGAGACGCCACATGATCGCGCCGCCGGCGGATTGGATGCCCTTGTAGAAGCCGGCGAAGTTGGCGAGTTTGCGGCCGTTGTTGGTGATGGCGCCCATGTACCTGTTCCTTTCGTGTCAGCTGAGTGGTGGTGTGAGGGGGTGGGAGGGATGTTTACCAATAAACACAAGTCTGCCAGATGGCGTCGTACATGCCGTAGAAGATGTACAAGAACATCGGGCCAATGTATCCTCCGTCCGTCCAGTCGTACGTTTGGTAGTCGTCGGCCAGCGTCTCCGTGTCGAGGCCAGCCGTCACCTCGGCGCGGGTGTAGGTCTTCTGGAAAGCCCATCCGCCGCCCCAGATGACCATCGTCAGCACCATCAACGCGCCCCAGGCAGCTTTGGCACGAGTCGTGCGGCGGAACGCGCTAGCGTCGAGGAGGAAGCCGAAAATTGCCGCGCCGACCATCTGCGCGAGCCAGTAGAGCACACTGTTCAACGCGCGGGTGCGGGTATTGAACTTGGCGCCGTTGACGTCGTTGAAATGGTAGGTGTAGAACCAGTTGGAGGCGAAGAACATAGGGAAGAGGAGAAGAATGTACGGATCTGTGAAGAAAGTCTCCCACAAGCCGACCAGCTCACTCTTCCAGGTTGGGTTCTTCATGAGGATGACTTTGGTGCCGTCGGAGCGGATGACTTTGTCTCCTGGCACGAGGCTGAGAGCCAGGACAGCGCCGAGGGTGGTGAGGACCAGGAAGCCGACGTAGGTGCCATCGCTGACGTCGGTGTTGGCCGTGGTGTGGATGTTCTGACCGAGTGGGACCTAAAAAATCATTAGCTTGAAGTCACGTGTGATAGGCATGTGAGTACGCACCAATCCGCCAATGACGCCACCGAGGTTGAAGATGACCCAGAACCAGCCAATGTAGCGACCTTTGTTCTTCTCGGTGGGATAGGACATCATGATCACACCTTGCGCAGACCAAAGAACACCGGCGCAGCATCCGAGCAAGAACCCAGCGAAGACGACGAAGCCGAGGTTAGCGGTATGCTTGTACACGAGGTAGGAAGCAACGTAGATCGCGTAGCCGAGACCGCTGATGCCGATGGCCCAGTTGACGCCGATCCTGTTGGTGATGGTGCCGGCGAAGAAACCGACGACTGCGAAAGTCGAATAGAGGGCCACGTTCGAGTCGTTGCCGGCTTTGTGGTTGAGCAGGCCGCCGCCGCCGAGGCCGTTGAGCGCGTTGAACATGCCGGGACACATGAAACAAACGAAGGCGACGAGGGTGACTTGGATTTGCGGGCTGGCTGTAGAAACATCAGCCAATGGCTCGAAGGGTGAAGTTTGAGCATCCATTACTTACCATACCACAAGCGATACTTGCCGATCTTGGTGATCTTGTAGCGCCAGCCTTGCGGGAGAGAGATGTTGCCATCGGCGTCGACGAAGTGCTCCGGCTCGTTGTGTTGGTGCTCTGGTGTGTCCACACCAGATGTCGGCGAGGTCTTCTCAGCGGGCGCCATGGCGGTGTCGTATGCGCTCCTTCCTGTTTGAGTAAGAGTGTGGTTGTGGTTGTCGCGGAACCTCAACGAGGACGCCGGATGGGTGAAGACGTGCACGCCGTCACTTGGAGTGATGGAGAAATGTCCTTGTCTTGAGCGGAGGTGAACTGGCGAAACATCAAAGGGTCGTCGGATAGTTATAGGCTAGTGGGCGCTAGCGCGGTGCGGCGGACGAGGCTTGAAAGTGGAGAGGCCGGGGGTCGAAGATAGCAGGGTCTTAGAGCAAGCTGCCAACGAAGACACCTCTTCCCTCTTCCTATCTTGCGATACAGACGTTACATGCGCGCACAAGATACGATACAAACACGACCAGCAGACATGTCCAGCCCCGGTGCGCCTGCTTATCGCCATCTCCTGATAAGGAGGACAGTCACAGTGTCAGACGGTGGCTTACTCGATGCTACATCCTCGCCTTCTCCAATACGACCAAAGGACTCGACCAGAGCAAGCGCCTAGACCCATGTCCTGTACACCTCCAACGCCTGATACCAGTCTGGCGGTCGTGACACGCGACACACACATCACCTCACCCGTTCATGGAGATCCGTATCGGGATGTGTCTAATGTGGTGCAGGAGCGCGCATCCATATGCCGCCACGTTCTCTGTAACATGCCCCACCTCAAGCTTCGTCCGGTGCTACCTTGCCCCTTATGTCCCTTCGCCAGCTCGAAGCTCCAGTCAGTGAGCTGCAACGATACCACATGTTCGAGCTTTGCTTGCTGGATGCTACATCTCGTGCCTCGAGTCGACGTAATCACCACCTCAGGTTGCTCGTGCGAGTTGCGACTTCGGCTTCGTCGGAGGTGGCTTGCCTGTGATGGCATGGTGAGTCTGAATAATTGTAGGTAGATACTACCGTAGGTATTCCCTGTTTTCCTCAGTCTACTCTTCCTGCGTCGGTATACCTCATAGCATTCCTTCCCTATCCATCTCTTATCACAGCGGCAATACTGCAAAGATGTGAGCAGAAAGCCCAAGGAAAGTGCAACAGCCCACCTAGCTAAATGAATACAGGAGACTCATCATCCGCGACGACAAGGCCGTAGCCGCCAAATACATCGCAGACTACATCATCCGTACGCTCACCATCCACCCTCTCAACCACAACACCACTAACCCTCCCCAGACCGCATCAAATCCTTCGCCCCAACCCCATCCAAACCCTTCGTCCTCGGCCTCCCCACCGGCTCCTCGCCCGAAGGCATCTACAAATGCCTCGTCGCTGCGTACAAGGCCGGCGAGATCTCGTTTAGAGATGTCGTTACGTTCAACATGGTACCTTCCCTTCCCTCCTTTCACCACCCAGCACCGCCAAGCCAAGCCACCTCTAACATGGGGGGCAGGACGAATACGTCTCCCTCCCCCGCGACCACCCCGAATCCTACCACTCCTTCATGTACACGCACTTCTTCTCGCACGTCGACATCCCGCCCTCCTCGATCAACATCCTCAACGGCAACGCCGTGGACCTGGAGGAAGAATGCATCGCGTACGAGGAGAAGATCCGTCGCGCGGGAGGGATCGAGTTGTTTCTGGGAGGGATCGGACCGGATGGGCATATTGCTTTTAATGAACCGGGGAGTAGTTTGAGGTCTAGGACGAGGGTGAAGACGCTGGCTTATGAGACGATTTTGGCGAATTCGCGGTTTTTTGGCGGGGATTTGGGGAAGGTGCCGAAGATGGCTTTGACGGTTGGGGTGGGGACAGTTATGGATGTGAGTTTTCTAATTCACTTACTACTGACTTGCGAATGGTGTGGTGCGGTGTTGTGGGAGACTGGGTGGCTGATTTAACAGCAGGCACGCGAAGTGGTCATCATCATCACCGGCGCGCATAAAGCCCTCGCCCTGCAGAAGACGATCGAGGGCGGTGTGAATCACATGTGGACCCTCTCTGCTCTGCAGATGCACTCGCACGCCATGATCGTTGTAGACGAGGACGCCACGTTGGAACTGCAGGTCAAAACCGTCAAGGTGCGCTCTCTCATCCCCTCCCCTGTCTTTCCCTCCCTTTTCGCGAAATACCCTATGATACTGACTAGTGAACGCGAGCAGTACTTCAAATCCATCGAATCCGTCGCCCTCTCCCTCGGCTTCGGCCAAACCCTCCCGTCCGCCGAACTCACGCTGCGCAAACGCGACTCCGTGCTCGAGAAGCTCGACTCCCCGCGCTCACCCAAACATCACAATTTCTTGGTCCCAGCACCGGCGGAGGCGAAGAAGCCCGAGCTGGCGAGGAGTGTGACGCCTGAGTTGGTCAATGAGGCGATGCATGAGCGGTGAGTAGGCCTCCGTGCCGTCGGCATAGCCTGCCGAATCACTGGTGGTGGTGATGGCAGGGAGGATTTGAGCTGACTAGTGAGCAGGTTACCGACACCCCCGAGCGCGGAGGGTTTGAAGTTGGATGCGAATGGGGTTGGGGGGAGGGATGTGCCGGTGCAGGCGATGCATGAGAGGGTGCAGGCGGCGGCGGAGGCGAGTGCCTGAGGGTGGCGCTCGTTGATGCTGTGAGTGCAGTTGGGGTGCTGGGGACAACGATGGGCATGATAGAGGCTCTGGGCGGCTTTGGATGGGAGATTGTTTGATTGTGGTCTAGAATATCGCTACGCGGCAAGCCTATATCAAGCGTCGGTGCTTTGGCGTTCGAACCATAGATCTGTGATATACACTGCTATTCTATACATGTGTTGAGTGTGTTCGTTGTCTCTCGCGTGTGTCTTATCACTGCTCTATCTCCAATGCTGAAATCGAGCCTAGCCCGGCAATAGCCGAATTACCCGGCGGGCGTATCATGACCAGATCGAGTCCAAGATTCCAGCGATCGAATAATGCCACGAGGTGCGGCTCAGATCAACACAAAAGAAGTCAATGGTGGCGATCAACCAACTGACATTCATCTAATATCGTTTCACGGCCGGCATGTGAAATCCCCTCCCTTCCCTCTCTGTTGAAGTTTCTTTCTCAGTACAACGACATCCCTCGCCTCACCAACGATGTCGTCAACATCAGCCATGAGGCACTCGAGCGCCGTGCTACGCCTACGTGCTACATGGCTCTCCACCAGACGACCATTATCACCACATTGCCAGCTCTTCAACCACACAACAACACGCGCACAGCCCTCTGCAGTGAAAGAATTAGGACGAAGACCCTTCTACTCCAGCACCACCGCCGACACCCACTCCTCACAACCTGCCGACAATGCCTCCATCTTCGAACCCCTCGACACCTTCCCCCGCCGCCACATTGGCCCCTCCGCCCGCTCCGCAGAGCAAATGCTCTCCGCCCTCGATCCGCCCGTCGCCAGCCTGGACGACTTCGTCAAGCAAGTCCTGCCCGCCGACATCCTCTCTTCTACCCCTCTCAAAGTCGAAGGACCCATTCCGGAAGCCGGGTCTGAACCGTCGAGCGAGGGAGGGTACTCGGAATCTCAGCTCATCGCCCGCTTAAAGGAGATCGCGAGCGAGAATAAAGTGTATAAGAGTTACATCGGCTGCGGCTACGCGGGCACACGCGTGCCGGAGGTTATCAAACGCAATATTCTCGAGAACCCGGCGTGGTATACGAGCTATACTCCCTACCAGCCGGAAATCTCGCAGGGAAGGCTGGAGAGTCTGCTGAATTTCCAGACGATGTGCTCGGATCTCACGGGGCTGGAGATGTCGAATGCGAGTGTGCTGGACGAACCGACGGCGGCAGCCGAGGCGATGACGTTGAGTATGAATGCGCTGCCTGCGGCACGGCAGAGATGGGCGAAAAAGGTTTTTCTGGTGTCGCATTTGTGCCATCCGCAGACTATTGCTGTGTTGGAGAGCAGAGCGCAGGGATTTGGGATTACGATTGAGGTTGGGGATGTTTTGGAAGGGGAAAGCAAGAGGGTGGATGAGATTGGGGAGGATTTGATTGGTGTGCTGGCGCAGTATCCGGATACGCTGGGAGGGGTGGCGGATTTCAGGCACTTGTCGGAGAAGATCCATAAGCTGCAGGGCACGTTTTCTGTGGCAACTGACCTTCTAGCACTGACGCTGCTCACGCCGCCGGGAGAGTTTGGCGCGGACGTGGCGTTTGGCAATGCGCAACGGTTCGGCGTGCCGTTTGGCTTTGGAGGACCGCACGCGGCGTTCTTCTCGGTGAGCGAGAAGCATCGCAGGAAGATCCCTGGACGGTTGATCGGGCTTTCGAAAGATCGACTGGGTGATCCCGCCGCGCGTTTGGCGCTGCAGACGCGGGAGCAGCATATTCGACGCGAGAAGGCCACGAGTAACATCTGCACTGCGCAGGCGCTGCTGGCCAACATGAGCGCGATGTATGCGGTCTACCACGGTCCGGACGGGTTGAAGAAGATTGCGGAGAAGGTGGCGAAGATGACGCAGGTGCTTGCGAGGGGGTTGGAGCAGGTTGGATGTGAGGTGAGGCAGCCGGTGGCTTTTGATACGGTGGTGATTAAGAAGCACGATGCGCCTGCGTTTGCGGCCAAGTCGGCGCAGTTGTTCCATGTCAACTTTCGAGTTGTGGATGACAGCCATATCGGCATTACGCTGGATGAGACGGTGGGGAAGAGGCAGATTGACGAGATCTTCAAGGCTTTCACTACTGAGTCGGTGGATGTCAAGGCGATTGCGAAGGAGGTCAGCGCGACGTCGAGCATTCCCGAGGCTCTTCGAAGGACGTCAGAGTACATGACACATCCGGTCTTCAACTCCCATCACTCGGAGACGGAGATTATGCGATACATGAACCACCTCCAGTCGAAGGACCTGTCGCTCGTGCATTCAATGATCCCGCTGGGTTCGTGCACGATGAAGCTGAACGCCGCTACCGAGATGGCACCCATCTCCTGGCCCGAATTCTCCTCCATCCACCCCTTCGCACCGAAAGATCAAACCAAGGGATACGCGGTGTTGATAGACGAACTCGAAAAGGACCTCGCAGCCATCACCGGCTTCCACTCCGTCTCCCTGCAGCCCAACTCGGGTGCCCAAGGCGAGTTCACTGGCCTCCGCACCATTCGCAAGTTCCTCGAGTCCCAGCCTAGTGAAAAGAAACGCGACATCTGCCTCATCCCCGTCTCCGCCCACGGCACCAACCCGGCTAGTGCAGCCATGGCCGGCATGCGCGTCGTCACCATCAAATGCGAGACCTCGACAGGCAATCTCGACATGGCGGATCTCAAAGCGAAATGCGAGAAACACTCCGCCGAGCTCGGGGCGATTATGGTCACGTACCCATCCACTTTCGGCGTCTTCGAACCCAAGATCCGTGAGGTCTGCTCTCTGGTGCATGAGCATGGCGGACAAGTCTACATGGACGGCGCCAACCTGAACGCACAGATCGGCCTCTGCTCCCCCGGCGAAATCGGCGCGGACGTCTGCCACCTCAACCTCCACAAAACCTTCTGCATCCCGCACGGCGGCGGCGGGCCAGGCGTCGGACCGATCGGCGTCGCGGAGCACTTGTCCCCATACCTCCCCGGGCACCCTCTCGTCGAGGGCGTGGGCGGGCGTAAAGCCATCGCCCCCGTCTCCGGAGCACCGTGGGGTTCCGCCTCCATCCTCCCGATCTCCTGGTCCTACATCAAAATGATGGGCGCGCGCGGCCTCACGCACGCGACCAAAATCACCCTGCTCAACGCAAACTACATCCTCTCCCGCCTCAAACCCCACTACCCCATCCTCTACACCAACAGCGCGGGCCGGTGCGCGCACGAATTCATCCTCGACGTGCGCGGCTTCAAGGACTCCTGCGGCGTCGAAGCTATCGACATCGCGAAACGCCTTCAAGACTACGGCTTTCATGCGCCGACGATGAGTTGGCCGGTGGCGAATACGCTAATGATCGAGCCGACGGAGAGCGAGAGTAAAGCGGAACTCGACCGGTTCTGCGACGCCCTCATCTCCATTCGCGGAGAGATTCAGGAGGTGGAGCAGGGACGGCAGCCTAAAGAGGGGAATGTGCTGAAGATGGCTCCACACACTGTCAAGGATTTGCTGAGGGGGGATTGGGAGAGGTCTTACGACCGCGAGACCGCTGCTTACCCGCTTGCTTGGCTTAAGGAGAAGAAGTTTTGGCCGAGTTGTGGGAGGGTGGATGATGCTTTTGGGGATTTGAATTTGTTTTGCTCGTGAGTCTTTCTTCCTCTTCGTACCCCTTTTGACGAGGTGGGGATGGGGATGGTGAGGGATGTGTGCTGACATGGGAGCAGTTGCCCGCCGGTGCAGGATACGCCCGAGGGGATCACGGGGACGGAGGCGCCGGCGCCTACTTGAGCTGTGAGATGAGATGTGGCGTGATGAAGATGGGGGAGCAGGTGGAATGTGGAATGGATTACTTCAACAACGACGGTCCAGCGTTCTTAGCAAGGCGTTTAACCTAAGATACAGGGTCGGCTTGGCGGCGGATTCAACGTGCTCAAGGCATCAACTGCATAGTCGTCTTTTAGACGGGAAATACTTTTCGCTCCTTGTTTTGGTCCGATGCTGTCGTGGTGTGTCTTATGAGGTTCTTCCGTTCGACAAGACATGGACCGGAGATCTAGACTTGCCGTCAACGTGCGATAGACGCGCATCACTGTTCCTCACCTGCTGATCTAGAACAACGACCCTCGTCCACCTCACGCCGCAGTCCCCCCGCGAAGAAGCTCCAAACCACCCTCCCAGTCCCGCTTCATGCCGCCCACCCGCCTTCACCGCAACTACAGCCCTCTCCGCTCAAAGCCTCATCCACCTTTTCCCGCCCCCTCAACCCTCACCTCCTCCACCACCACCCCCTCGCCGTCGACAGCAGCCCATTCCTCCCGATCCCGCCTAAATACCGCCAAATTCCCGCGCGCAACCTCCATCGCCACAGGAAAGCACAGCAAAACCGCGCTCAAGACGAGCGGGAAGCGCAGCTCGTGCGTGGCGTTCTGCAGCGGGGCGGAGGCGACGTAGTTGAGCCAGACGGTACCGCACGAGAGGACAACTTGGAGCGTGAGCCAGCGGATCTCGGCGCCGGGGGGGGATGAGCTCGGAGAAGAGGACTTTCCAGGCGGTGTTGGCGGGGGCTTGGGAGAGTTGGGTGAGGAGGGGGGTGGTGTAGAATTCCTAGCGGGTCTGTGTCGTTGATGGATTTTGTTAGCTGAGGGTACAGGATTCGTTTGTGTGGATGTTTGGGGGAATGAAAACGTTACCTTCCACCCGAACCTGACGTCCGCGAAGCCAATGATGCCCCAAAGCGGAAGCAGCAGGCTCAGCGCATAGCCCGTGATAAGCCAGGTCTCGAGGCGGATCTTGACGAGCGGACGGATGTAGAGGAACAGGATCTGGCAGCCGATGATGCACAGCACTTGTGCGAGCGAGTAGAGTGAGTACTCGAGCGCTCCCGGCCGGATCTCCGCGACGAACAGCTGGCTGGAGACGGAGGAGACGGCGAAGAGGGTGTCGACGTAGATGGTGTAGGCGGCGAGGAGGAGGCCCATGTTTTTGCGGAGGAGGAGTTCTTGCAGGGGTCGGAGGACTGGGAGATTCTCGTGTTAGTGGTCGAGATGAGCGTTTGGGGAGGAAGCGGGTCTTACATTCGACAAGTGGCTGATACCAGGCTGTGGTGAGAGAGACTTTTCTAGAGGGCAGAGGGGGTAGCCAGAGGTATGCGCCGAAGGAGCCGGCGATGGTGAGGAAGCCGACGACGGTGGTGATGAGGAGGCCGCTGTGGGGTGTTAGCGGGTTGACGGAGAAGGCTGGATGGGGTGGGTGGGGTGATATCCGTACGCAGATTGTGCTGCTGTGCCTGAAAGCGTCTCGGAGAGGATAATGACGACGAGGAGCAAAACGACGCTGCCGATTTGATTCGAGATTTGACCGAAGACGGCTATTGCAACGCCGTACTTTCGGACGTTGCTTTTTCTTGTCGTGGTCATCTCTTCTGTAGCACCGTCCGGTTAGCTCGAAGCAGGTTGGACGGCAGAGAAGGAATACCAGCCATAGTGTCTCCCTGCTCACTCGCGGTGCTATTTCGCATGCAGAAAGGTATGTACATATTCAGCACGGCGATGATGATGAACGTCAGAATGGCGAAGATGATCCAGAGTGCTGTCAGTGTGTCGAAGTGCGCCAGGGTATAATTCTGGAGCCAGTAGCATGGAATACTACACGCTCCGTACGCGATGATGCTGATGGTGACTAGAAGGTGTTTCTTTGCTGGTGGGTTGTAAGCACAGGACACTTGACGACGCACTGGCTCGGCCAACATACACCATAGATCCGAGTAGGCCGACAGTGCCAGCGTGACTACTCCGCCCACGCCGAAGCCGATGGCGTTGAGGTAGAGGATGATGCTCTGAAAGTCGAAGAGATTCAGCCACATCTTCGACATGAGCAATCTTTTCCTCCTTGACTTACATTCAGATCCCTGTCGACACCCGCCCAAGGCACGATACAGAACGTAGTGCATGGTCCACCATTACCCTATACGTGGTTATTTACCACCTCCCTCCCCTCGACGTCCACCGACGCGGACTAACATCGGTGCCCAGTACGAAGCCGACCGTCTGCAGCTGGTAAATGGTGTAGGTATTGAAGACGGTGAAGGGGAGACCAATGACGAAATTGGCAAACACGAAGCCGTGTAGCGCCGTGTCACACTTCCACCAGCTTTGCACGCGAGACAACATCATTGTCAGCCTGCTTACCGGTGCAACGGATCTGCACTTCTGAGGAGGTATCAAGCGAGTTGTCGAAGTTGGACGGGACGGATGAGGCTGAGGAGACATAGTCCATGGCACATGGCGCGACGTGCAGAAAAGTGCTCAAACTGTCTTGCTCTAGAACGAAGGAGAAGATAGGCAGAGCTCGAGCCCTACTCACGCTGCACCAACCATGTCTCTTGTATGCTATCCACCTTGACCTTCTCCTAAGCCGTCGAAGTCTGGACAGGGTCCGACAAGGCATCGCGGCCACGGCAAAGGCAGATGGATGGGGATGGATGAAGAAGTACAGTGCAGTGAGTTGAAGTGCAGTTGGCGAACACAAGCGTCTTGGCAGCCAGTGGCTTCTCGATACGAGACGACCTCATTACCTACCTCAACACCTCAATGATGCTCAGTGTTCCGGCACTATTCTCAGAGCGACACTGAAGGTTGTCGTATTGAGTCTGCCCGCACTCAAGCCAGGACCCCTGATTGTCGACGTGTCCAAAGATGCCATATATACCATGACTGGCTTGCTGCTTTCGACATCTCGTGAGTTACTTTCCGTTCTCTAGCTTCCCCCCTTCGCTCGTTTCTGTATTCTTGGTACTCTCTAACCAAGGCGATGGTCCCGTGGTCGTCACTCACACAAACACGATATACACCACCATTTGCCCGACCTCCGCCCCCCTCCAAGATGCCCCGGCTCCAACCACGAAATTCATCGATATCACTCGGGTCTACACGACCAAGTACCCTACAAGCTCTGTTAGTATCTGCGACGGACAGACCACGACGGTCGTCTTCACGACCACTCGTACTGTGATGAGTGTATACATCTGGACGAAGCCGTACTCGACCATCACTTCCCCCATTGCCCCAGTACCCCCTATCGCAGGCTACAGCTCTAGCTCATCGTCGGGTCTGCCTCCGAATCAACCTTCGATGGCACTGAAAAGCCTTCGGAGTCGTCTAGTTCTATACCAATGGCCAGCTACCCTGTGAAGCCGTCTTTGTCATATCCGGCGTACGGCAACAGCAGCAGCATTTACAGATCGAGCACCTCCTCTTCACCTGCCTGGTCAATGTCTACGTCTCCATCGGCATCGGCATCAGCACACCCCGCTGCATCATCCTCATCCTCAGAAATCCCCGCAGGCCCGCGTCCAAGCTGTCCAGCGATCTGGAAACAAATCGTCAGCGAAATGAAACAAGTCTTCGCCGGCTGTACCGAGCCCGCCCGATCATCCATCAGATTCGCGTTCCACGACTCGGGTACGAGCACCAAGTCTTCTACCCTCAGACTTAGGCTAACCAATCACGACAGCCGGCTACTCCAGCGTGACCAAGCCCTACGGTCCCGCAAGCGGCGGCGCAGACGGCTCCCTCCTCCTCAACGACGACGAAATCGCCCGCACCGGCAACGCGCCCATGCCCTTCGCGCGCACGCAGCTCAAGACGCAGTGGGAGGGTTTCAAAGACCAGAACGTCACCGCGGCCGACTTCGTGCAGATATCCAGCCTCATCGCCGTCCGCAGCTGCGGCGGTCCGGCGTACAAGATGGTCAGTCCCGTGGGACACAACGGCACAAAAGAGACCGCACTAACCTTCTCCGTAGCTCGTGGGTAGGGAAGACGACGACAACGCATGTCCCCAAGGCACCCTCCCCGCCGCCTTCGGTCAGGATTCCTCTTACGACGTCCTCGTGCAGCTCTGGGCGGAGAAGGGCATCGATGAGCGCGAACTGGCTGCCCTCATGGGCGCGCACACCGTCTCTCGCGCCTTCGCGCAGCAGAGCAACGGTATTCCTCCGCCGGGTAAGTCGGCACTTCACGGAAGGCCCTGGCTTCCGAGTCTACTGCAGTCGCGGACGACTGCTCGGCGTCAGAGGGGCCCAAGACAGCTCCTTCACCGCCTGAGACACGAAGTATTTCAAGGACACGCAGGCACGCGTCGCTCCACGGGGCGTGTACCGCTTCGACTCGGACGTCAATTTGGGCATGGCGAATACGATGGTCGGGCAGGCTTTTCCGGAGCTTGGGAACAGTCTGAGTGAGTCAATTCGTACTGCAGCTGATGTGGTGCTGATGGGGTCTAGATGTCTGGAATACCGCGTACGATGCTGCGGCGTTTAAGCTTAGTTTGTTGGGGGTGTCGCGGGCGAAGATTGAGGGGATGGCGGATCGCTCGGGACTGGAGCTGTGATGTTGCTGCGGGTTTCAATCTTAATTGCAGGGAATACAGATGATAGTAAGGGGTACGGGGGAATGGTTGCGTACAGTACCTTTGTAGTGGTGTGTCTCAGGGATGCGAGCCGTGTCATTCGCAGTACACGTTTGCAGTGTTTCGATCCCCTCGCATGCGACCGTCACGCTCACCTTGAATTGGATCTGGACTCCACGTTGCTCTGTTGTCACCCATTCTCCGGCAACCCCGCTCTCTGTGCAGCTTTCACGTAAAAGCCAAAACAATCATCGTCAGGCTCGGTAGGCATGAACTCCACACCAGGAAGTCGTTGAAGGTCGCGTTGCCTCTAGCCCTCAGTATCCTATATGGATAACATATGGCAAGCACGTGCATCCTGATCTTGATGATGAAGTCGAACATGCAAGCTCCACCTCGCGTGAAAGATCAACAGGAACCAAGACAACGCCTCGCTTACGGTCGCTGCTCTAGGTTTAGCCCGTCGTCCCCGCACAACGTCAGAGCAACCCCAGACTGACCGATTGAAGACGCCATACCGACTCGGGTCGTTGGTTGAAGAGAGCGGAACGCCTGGTTGTTGTGCCGATGCATCTAAACGAGCTGGCCAAGACGGTGGGCTGGGAGAGCTGGGAGCTGTATAAAGGTTGGAGAGCGCGCTGACTGCAGGTGTGGTGCTTCTTGTTGTTTTGTTCGTGTGGTGTGTGCCATTGGATTTTTGAGTTTCCAGAACGAAGGGCAGGAAGAGCACGAAAGCTATATCCGGTGTAGGCCGATGGGAAGAGTATCCAGAAGCATATAGGTATGTGTGAATGCCAGAATGGGAAGCTGTGGAGTGAATGTGCACATGACAGTGATTGCAAGGAGTCACAGCATGAGGAAGAAGCTTGAGCCTTGAGGAAGGCCGACGACAGCCGGTCTTGCTGTTGCCACGAGACCGCCTTAAAGTGAACTTCATGTACGAACCACAGGCTGATATATCTTCTTCGCAGACAACATGTTTCTCCATAGTATTCTCGCCTTTATGGCGGGCCTCCAGCTCGCCGCCGGGAAGGTCTATGATACCCGATTCAAGGGCACGACATGGGACGATGAGAAATGGATTTTGAAGACTACAAATCTGGATCAAGGACACTATCAGTCGCGGATGTCGCTGGCGAATGGGTATATGGGGATCAACGTTGCTGCTGGTAGGCGCAAAGCATGGCGAGCACGTGGCTAAAGCAGCAGCTAACATGTGTGACCTCAATAGTGGGCCCCTTCTTCGAAGTAGACACTCCAGTAGACGGCGACATGATCGGTGGCTGGCCTCTCTTCAACCGGCGGCAGACCTTTGCAACCATTGCGGGCTTCTACGATTCGCAGCCTACTACCAACGGCACAAACTTCGAGTGGCTCTACCAATACGGCGGCGAAAGCGTAATCAGCGGTGTACCGCACTGGTCTGGGCTTCATGTGGCAGTTGGCGACGACCTTCTAGATGCCAGCGTTCCGTCAGATCAGATCTCGGACTTTAGCTCGGCACTCAACATTCGTCATGGCTTGATGACATGGAGCTATACCTGGACGCCCAGCAGCGGCTCTGCGATCGATATCGAGTACTCCATGTTCGTGCACAAGCTGAATGTCAACCAAGCGGCCGTACAGCTCAAGATGACTGCAAAGGAAGACATCAAGGTCTCGGTGATTGACCTCCACGACGGCGACTGCGCGGTCCGCACGGATTTCGTCGGCAAAGGCTTCATGGACGATATGCCAGTGATCTGGTCCGCTGTGAGCCCCAATGGTCTCAGCGACATCCATGCGTACATCTACTCGGCCATGATCGGAGACGACTCTTGCGACTCGAGCAGCCGGACGCAATACACAGACAAGTCAGTCATTGGGCAGAACAAATCATCCATCGCGCAAGCTGTGGCTGTCAATCTGTCGGCAGGCAAGACTAGCACAGTGACGAAGTACATCGGCGGTGCTTCTAGCGATGCTTTCGATGACCCCCAGTCGACTGCAATGGCAGCTTTGCTGGCGGCATCGAACGCAGGGTGGAACAAGCTCTACGCAAGTCACTGCAACGAGTGGCAGAGTATCATGTCTACGGAGACTGTTGACGACTACCGGGATCCGGATTCTGGTCTGCTTCCTGACGATGACAACATTGTCGAGCTCGCCATTACCGCGGTCACCAATCCGTTCCACATGCTCCAGAACACTGTCGGTGCTCGAGCAATAGAAGCAGCCGATGGCAACAACAAGCTCGACCTCAACAGCATCGCGGTCGGCGGCCTTGGGAGCGATGCTTACGCTGGTTGGATCTTCTGGGATGCCGAAGTCTGGATGGCACCTGGCCTCGTAGTCACCTACCCCGATGCTGCTCGACAGATTGCGGAGTACAGAGTCGATAAGTTCGCTCAAGCTCAGAGGAACATGAAAACTGCATACCAGTCCAGCCAGAACGAGACTGGGAAGTTCTCCTCTAATAGCGCAGTCTTCCCCTGGATTTCTGGTAGGTTTGGAAACTGCACAGCTGCCGGCCCTTGCTTCGACTATGAGTACCATCTCAATGGTGACATCGGCTTGGAGTTTTACAACTATTACGCTGTGACGGGAGATTCGCCCTTCTTCAAGAAAGAGCTGCTTCCAATCTACGATGCAGTTGCGCAGTTGTACGCGGAGGTGGTGACATACAACGAGACGTCCGGAAAATATGACCTCTACAACGCCACAGACCCAGATGAGTACGCCAATTTCCAGACGAATGTCGGCTTCACGATGGTCTTGATGCATACTCACCTAAACACGGCGAACACTCTTCGAGCTCGCTTCGACATGCCCGAAAATGAGACTTGGGCGGACATCGCATCGAAGATCAACATTCCCGTGAACGAAAAGGCAGGCATCATTCTCGAATACGCCGCCATGAACGGTAGCATTGAAGTGAAGCAGGCGGATGTGGTGCTCGTTGACGACTTCCTGGACTACCCGAACCCATACTCGCTGAACAACCTTGACTACTACGCCGGCAAGCAATCTCTCAACGGCCCCGGGATGACCTATGGCGTATTCAGCATCAACGCCAACCAGATCAGCCCGTCCGGCTGCTCTGCTTATACCTACGAGCTCTATGGCTCCCAGCCATACACCCGCGGCCCATGGTTCCAATACTCCGAGCAGCTGCTAGACAACTACGAGGCCAACGGCGGCACGCATCCAGCCTACCCCTTTCTGACCGGCATGGGTGGTGCCAACCGTGTCGCAGTCTTCGGCTACCTAGGCCTAAAGCTGACGCTCGAATCTCTCAACGTCGACCCTAACCTACCGCCTCAGATCCTTAACCTCAACTATCGCACCATCTACTGGCAAGGCCACCCCATCTCCGCCGTCTCCAACCAGACCCACACCACACTCACCCGCACCGGCAAACCACTGGAGAACGCCAACAGCACCTTCACCGACTCCCCGATTCCAGTCACCCGCGACGTCGACGACGCTTCCCGCTCCGGCAACAGCACAGTCTGGCACCTTCCACCCGGAGGCAGCATCACCATCAAGAATCGCCAGATTGGCGAGATCAAAACAGTCCCAGGCAACATCGCGCAATGCCGCCCCGTCACCTCGAACCGCAACTACGAAATCGGGCAATTCCCTCTTGCGGCCGTCGACGGCGCCGTCTCCACCAAATGGCAACCCACCCACCTCAACGTCCCCTCCTCCCTCACAGTCTCCCTCCCGGAGCCGTTCGTCCCCGTCACAACCCTCAAATTCGACTGGGCTCAATCCCCACCCTCCTCCTACCGCGTCACCTTCTCCAACTCCTCCTCCGGCTCCGACAGCGTGGAAGTCGCGAGCGACGACGACGTGGAGATCAGCGATGCATACGTGGCAGCTCGAGCGGCGGATATCGTGCCCTACGCGAGTAATACGACGAATGTGACGCTGGAGACGCCAGTGTGGAGCGGGAGGTTCGCGACGTTGACGATCAAGGGGAATAGGGCTTTGGAGGGGACGGGGGAGGAGAGGAATGGAACGGGGGCTAGTGTGGCGGAGTTTGCGATTGTGGGGGAGGGAGGGGAGGATCTGGTTGGGAGGAGTACGGGGGTTTGGTAGGCGAATTGGGTGGGGATGTGATGGCTACGATTTGAATATGGTATGAATTGAACGTGATGTGTCGCTGACTGCTGTGTTTGATGTTGTTGTTCTGGCTCTGCTACTCTGTCGAGTAGTGCAAGCGGCTAGTTGACGAGATGCGCTTTCTGTTGAGGAAGGTCTCTGTACGTCTACTCGTTCTTGCTCACATGTCGAAACGATGTTTGGCAACGCACCCAAGAGTGATGAAATGCGAATGCGAGGACGGCCGTGAATTAGGCTTGCATCCTTTCCAGCGGCAACGGCGGCAACAGCGGATACGTCGGTAGGTGATCGTTGTTCATCATCAAGTGGGAGTATAGTCCGACTCATTTCTCTCAACCCCTTGCCAATTTCCTGATTCACAACGTTCTCGTACGCTCACGTGCCCGTCATACGGCCGTACCCCACGGTCCTGACTCCTCCGCCGATCATTGAAATCCTTCAGCATCCTTCACTTCAGCCCTGCTAGCCTTGTTGAGCCTGCGGAACCTTGCTCGCCGGGAACGACATGGAAATATTATACGCTTGATGAAAATCTTGACACGACGTCGACTCCACGTGCCGATCTGATGAGGCTTAGTGGTGGTGTTGTTGGCTTCGAGAGGAGATGATGAGAATGAGTGGGAATAAGGTATAGTGAATGAGCGCCTTTACAGTCACGGCTGCGAGGAAGAATGGAAAGGCAATTCAATCATCAAGATGCCACTGGATGTAGATGCCTACGATATCAACTTCTTGCCTGCCTATCTCGGACGCTCTAGAGATAGGAGTTGGCGCCAACGACAAGGCCGATGTGGAGGTGGAACTTGCAAAATCTCCACCTACGTTACGCCTCAACGTCACGTTATTAAGCGTCTATACCGATCTGGTGGCACAATCTGCGAGACCTTGGAGGGCTACCAGAGCCGAGTTGCAACACGAGCTGTGCAAGTCGTCGTCCCTGATTATTAGTCAACCCTCGTGGACCACACCTTCAATTCCCCGATTGCTTGGCGAAGGCCTGAACCTGGAACGTCCTGGCGCCTCCTGGCGAAGGCCTGATGATCGTCATGCCCTACACTGGGGGTCTGAGGGGTCTCCAAACAACTCCACCTCTGTCCCTCCCATCTACGAGATGTCACTGAGAGCTTCCCATCGCTGGAGATGCATCTATCGCTGCGCTACCTTCTAGCAGGTCTGAGACACAGGCGACGCCTCTCTAGATGCCAGGATGCCACGCCTTGTCATGTGTTCCTATGTCCTCGCAGCCATGTGAGTTTTGCAAGGGTGGTCCTTGCGTGAGATGAACTGTCTGGATGTGTCCCTGACGCCGGTGCTGTTCTCGGGATCGTCTTCGTCAGTGCCTACAACGGCTGCACTAATCTTACATGGTCTCGAGCTGGTTTTGCTGGTCTCTCTGCACACGCGCCTCATTCTCCTTCACGTTGGTCCTTCGTAACCAGGTTTGCGTTTCGCAAGGGTGGTCCTGGCGCGAGATGAACTGTCTCGCTGTGTCGTTGACGCCGGTGGTGTTGTCGGGACCATCTTCATCAGTGCGTTCAACATCTGCATTAGCTTGACCTGGTCTCCTGGTTACTCTGCAGACACTGGCCTCCACTTTGATCCTTCAATTGATCCTTCAACTGTGGACTCCTCACGATCTTCGAGCGGGAAGCTCGATGTTGATGGCAGTTTCTGGGTCGGAAACGGGTCTGAGGGGTGACCAAAGCTAACGGCGCCTGATGATCATGCCGTATAGTAGAAAGCCACGACAGGTACGCATGTCGCACGAGCGAAGCATGCTGCCACTGATCAGGTTGAACAAATTCCTTTTACCGGGGGGAGTGATACTCCATCTCAGAGTAGGTATAAAACCTCCCCACACTGCCTTGTATTGATTGCTAAACCATCCTTCCCATCCTCTTAAAATCCTCTCCTCTTCCCCAACCGACGTCTGCAATCATGCTTTCCAAGACCCTTCCGCTGGCGCTTTACGCTGCCGCCGCCAGTACTTTGGTAACGGCCTCCCCCGTCAGCATCAATGCACGTTCCCTGCAGAAGCGTACTGCAGTCACCGAGCTGAAATGCGGACTGTGGGCTACGGCCGACGAGGCAGATACGGAGCAGAACTGGGAGAACTTCGTAATAAGCGTCGAAGGTGAATCGGCCGGACCTGTGGCTGTCCCGGCTAACTCCTGCTCCCGCATTGGGTGCTCCAACACTTCCGGTGTCTACGTCTGCAATGACCAAGACTCCGACATCGAGCTCGACATGGGAGACATCACGCCGGTCATGAAAGGGCTCATGGACACTTGCGGCTACCATGACGACAAAACGTACGAGGTCCCGATTTCGGGTCAAATATTTGTGGACGCGAACGGAGGTTACAACCTCAACATCGCTTACTGCAATGGCAACGACGCGACCAACATTGGACCGAGTGCATACAGCGCTCCAGGCCCGAATGGTGATCCAGTAAGCTCCGTATTCCTTGACGAGTGACATACTTCAAGCTCATAGCATCAGAACACCTCGTGCGGAGTTGGCGGGGCTCCATGCTCTTACGGTACATGCGACGCCGACTCGATTACTGTGGAGTCGCAGGAGTCTGTTACCTGCGATGAATACCTTGGTAAGTACTGCGCACTACGGAGACTCTCACCACAGATTGGAAGCTAATGATGGTCACAGCCCCAACATACATCGGTGCCGGTGCAAGTAAGTTGGTGTCCTACGCAATAAGGCTCCAGTATCAAGACCATCGCTGACCGCGCTGTCTCCAGCCTACACCTACTCGACTACCCGCACAATCAGTTACGCCTGGTCAGTAGGCGGCTTCCTAGGAATCAACATCGGCGACCTCTCCGGCCCAGTTGGCGTCGCTGGTTTCAGCGCCACGTTCACCGAGACAACGACCGTCGGCACCATCTCAGGGACGTCTGACCAATGCGGCTCGTACATCGGCCAGAACGGACAACCTGGCAACTGGACCTGCGCGCTGTAAGCTTTACGTTCCAACCTCATTCTCTAGAACGTCATTGACATAATGGTATTTAGTGACATTAAACCCAAATGCTGGCAAATGACTGGTACGTGTGAGGCAGACTTCGGCGATCTAGGCTCCGGCACGGCGCCATGGGCTGTCAGCGCGCCGCAGATTGAACCAGGTGACGGCCAGAGCGTCTGGGTACCAAACCTCTGCGTGTGCTACGACTGCGAGGGCTGGGCTGAGGGTGGTGCGCCGCAGGATGCTTGTCCGTTGGATTGCAGGTGAGCATACTCAGAAAGTCACGGACAACGTGAAAGAGATTCTAACGAGTGTTATAGGACCTGCGCTACCCCGGGCAGTGACTCTACTGCGGGAAAGTTGAGATTCTAAGGGTGTGAGCAGAGGCCAAGAGTCATGGGTGAGAGGCAGAGAGCTGCGAGCTGAGGAAAAGCATTGCGAGGGCAGAGCAAAAGAGGACATGGAAACCATGATGCAGTCACGGCCGACTTTGTGACTGGGTCTTTCGCCTTGTTGCAGTTTGACACATTACTCTCGTATTCCCAATGCCATCAATTTACTCCTACTTGCTGTGACGAGACCTCCTACATATAAGTACATCCGCAGTTCCATCGCTGTGACCAGCAGCCCACTGAAGTCGTGGCTACTCCAGGGTAACGTGCAAGCTCTTCAGCACCGTCGTCCCTGTCGAAAAGAGGAAGTCGTCTGCCTTGCGCTATGATTGGCCCATCCACCAGGCGGCCTAGCGTATGTGCCTTCTAAGGGATTCCTGGAGCCGCCCGATTCTATCCTTGCATATTACATTCTTGAAGGCCTTCGAGACATAGAGCACCGTGAGCTTGCGAAGCACCAGCTCCTCTCGCCTGTTCGTCGAATGGCAGAGAACACAGCTACTGGTCAACATCTCCGATATCTCGCACTCTGTCCCGAAGCAGGGATTCTCTGAAGCGATGTCCGAGCTCCGATGCGATGTCCGGTGAAACCACACATAGCCAGACACCTTATGATGCCCGACAGCTGTGCTTCCTCCCGCATGCTCGTGCGAGAGGATTCATATAAAGGCATCAAGATGCCCTCTTCTCCGACCGTCAAGCTATTTGATCCGGGACAATCTTCAGAACAGCAACAAAAGAACAACCATGTCGTCCATACCACCCGAACTCCAAACAGCCGTCTCCAAGTCCGAACAAGCCCAACACGACCTCGTCAAATCGACACCACAGCTCGACAACGCCCTCTCGAACTCCAAGTCCAATGGCCTACCCAATATCGCCATCGGTCCAGCACAAGGATCCTACCTCTCCATCCTCTGCCAAATGACGAAAGCAAAATCCGTTCTCGAAATCGGCACACTTGGCGGCTACTCCACCATCTGGTTCGCAACTTCCGTTCCAGGGATAAAAGTTACCAGCATCGAGTACAACGAGAAGCACCGGGATGTTGCGGCCGAGAATACGAAAGACCTTGACAACGTCGAGATCATCCTCGCCGCTGCACTGGACGTCCTGCCTCAGCTGGCGGAGAAAGGCGAGAAGTTTGATTTCATCTTCATCGATGCGGACTGGGAGGAGCAGGAGAAGTACTTTGATTGGGCTGTCAAGCTGTCGTCAAAAGGGAGCTGTATCTTCGTTGATAATGCAGTTCGGCAGTTGACGGAGAGTAATGGGGATGAAGGGAAAGCCTTGGTAGACTATGTGAGCAAGGACGAAAGGGTGCAGGCGACGTTGATCCCGATGTTGAATACGTATAAGAGGACACTGAGTGAGTTGGCGGATGGGTTTGTGATGGCTATTGTCAAGTGAAAGAGTAGCTGCCGGTGTGGGCGAATGGGCGAAGTGAATGGGGTCATATGAGTGTGCTTAGAATCCTAAGATTAGGTACAGTTATGAATGAACGATCATACCCTTATGTTTCGCCCCACACCTAGAATGACAGCAAACCTGCCACCGCCGCCGCCAAGTAGACAACCCCTGATCCAGCCCCAGCGATAGACGCCGCACCTCCTGTAGAGCCTGTCGCACTTGGGGCCGGGGCGCTGGGAGCGCCAGAGCTTGGCATAGAACTTGGAGAAGCAGACGACGAATTCGACAAACCACCCTTCAGAGCTCCAGGGTACGACCAAGTGATGTCCGCTCCGAAGAAGTTCTTCGCAGTGTCCGGCGGCGAAGCGTTGATGTAGCTCGTGTCAAAGCCGCTCGTAGCTGAGGGCTGGTTAGAAGATCCGGGGACACAGGTTGCGTTACCCCATCTGAGATTGTAGGTCTGCTGCCAGACTAGCTGTTGGGAGAAGATCATCTCTGCTGTGTAGAAGAAGCTGAGGTGAAGCATAATGTTAGTTACAGCGGTTTTGGGTGATCTGCGTTGGAGAACATACCGGCAATCAGAGGCCTCGTAGACGAACCTGTAGGAGGGAATGAAACATTAGCAGATGCATTCGGTACGTCATAGTGTTTCGTGACAGCTTACTGCAGCGGGGTGTAGGTGTCGTCCCCTTTGCGCAAACTGTTCTGGAAATTGACATTGCCTACTGGGTTGAGGGAGGAGCGCCGATTGAGCTGTGTGCAGGTGTTGTCAGCATCTTCCTCCTGCATGATACACGAGATCGCTGCCTTACCACTTGCTGAGCTGATACCTGCAATCCGTCTTTGAGGTATGGCTCGAAAAGGGCACGTTGCTCCTTGTCAGCTTCCTCGTAAGTCGTTTGGGTAAGGTCCACGAGTGTCTGAAGCTGCTGGTCATTGGAGCCCTTGGAGCCACCGACTGCCTGCATTGGCCCGTTCTGCTTCCGTCCGCCGACTGTGACAAACTTGATTCCAGCTTGTGTCTTGAGGAGCTCGGCGAAGACAGCGCAAGTGGAGCCGCAGAAGCCGTCAGACAGCACGACCACGTTCTCCCACTCGAACGTCTGCAGTTGCGGGTTGGTGTCATTGATATATCCATAAATAGGAGGGCCGAGAATATTGTTCGGACTCGAGAAGTTGTATCGGCGGACGTTTGTGAAATCACCTCCATGGTGCTGGACGGGACCGTAGAAATCCTCCCACCTGCAATTTGTCAGTCCGTATCTCTCGAGCCTAAGTGAATGTGTGGCTCACCAGTCATAGTCGTCATTGGTCACAGTGAGATCCTCTTCGTAAGAGGCCTTGCTGAGAAGTCCATGGATGTCCGGCTCAGAAGCGACCTGTCCGAGTGCGTCCAAGAGGGGCCACGCTGCGAGATTGCTGGCACCGAATGGCTGCGATTTTAGTTAGCTGCTTGCAGGCGGATGGATAGGAACACGCTGACTGACCACTTTTGAGGGGAAGAGCATCTTGAAGAGACTGAACCCATTCGCAACGCTCCCACCGCCATTTGCCCTGCTCTCGGTCAGCACATAATCACAAGTAAAGCGGCTAGCCTCACCTCAGATCCAAAATGAGCCTTGTTTTACCGAGAGCTTTTGCCGTGGCGAGGAAGGTTCTGAACTTGTTCTGAAAGATGTATTTGCCTGACGCTGGGGCAAAGGTCGGAATGGTAGCAACAGCTAGATCCTTCTGCTCCTCAGGGAAGTAGCTAGCGATCGAGTAATCGGGAGCAAGGACAGCAGGCTGCGGATAAAATGATGGGATCGGTGGTAGAGAGGCCGAGCTCGCCAAGGGCGTATAAATGTTGTTGGTTGTAACAGCGCTGCTTGCGGCAAAGGTCACACTCGCGATGGCAGGCTCACTCGAAGCAGGAGCAATGCTCAAGCTGGCAAAAGGCGTCGAGCTGGGAAGGCGACTGGCCACTGCACTAGAGCTTGGTGCAGGCCCGGAGCAGAACTTGTTGAAGAAGCTTTTACCGTGCGTGACGTTGGTGAAGTCGAGCCCGTCTGTCAGGGTGGCATACGAGTTGATGGTCTTGCTCGTGCCGTTGGCGAAAGTTAAGACGGTTTGACTGCCGGGGAAACGGTACAGATACTGCGAGAAGGATGCGCCAAGGCCGGTCTGTCGGTTGCCTGTTGCCGGCACGTTGAAGAACGCAGCATTGTAGTTCGCATCTGCATCGTGGTCCCACGGGTTGAACGCAGCACACTCGTTCAGCCACGTTTCAACGTTGCTGGAATGAAAGACGTGCTGTTAGCTGAAAAGTTATGTGTGCAGGTAGTACAAACAACCAGGAGTACATAAGTATCGTTGATCTTGACAATCGGGAAAGCCCTGCAGCAAGACACGTTTTGCCCGGCCAGAGCGCGACCATCAGACAGGTCGTAACACCTAGGACCGTCAGTAAATGAGTTGAGCAACTTGACAGAAGACGGACTGACGTTTGGAAGTTTTGAACCATCCGTTGAGACGCTGACGAGAAACGCATTCCTAAACCACCTGAAGACGTTGAGAATGTCAAGTATGTAGATCAGATGGAAGTCGTATCTGCTGGAAGGTTAACGATGTAATCTCCAATCTTGTCAAGGGTAAAGGCCGGACGTACGCCGATGTCATCAAATTGTAAATATCCAATTGTAAGGCGTATTCATTCTCGTATCCCCCAGAGTACACATTGGCCGACATGGCCTCCAAGCTAGCAAGGAGGTCTACTCTGTTGTAGAGCCATCCCGCTGGTGGCTTGCTCCTGGATAGTAGACAAGATGTGTCAGCTACTGCTCGAGACCATCTTACTCTCTCGCGCATGGCTGTGCTGACAAGTAGACGAGATCGGAGTGGAAGTTGAGGAGGGTTTTGAGGCCGGAGAGCTGAGAAGCGGCGCCTTCGGTGTCCAGTGGTACGGATGTCAGACAAGCCTGATTCAATAAGCATGGTATGCAAACGATGCGACCAGAGGCCCGCTTACATGTGCCGTATCGACATCAATCTTGGTGCTCCCTGCGAGATCCGTCGTGCCATTCCTCGCAAGCGCAGCGCCGACCTGAGCACATGCCGTGGATGGTGCAGACAGTACACGAGATGCTTGTGCCGCAAGTGCAGCCAGGAAAACGATTGAACGCATGCTGATAAGGAACGAGGTAGAATGAGAGGTAGTCTAGTCACAGGACATGTGTGCGTGGAGAGGGAGGACCAGCGCTTCTTAAGACGACATATTGCTATTGCACTGGCCATCTCAATATCCAGCTAATGGCTCTGCTCCAGTGGCGGCGGTAGGCCTAAGGAGCTGGGCGATTATTGTTAGATCTCCGAGGTCAAGAGCCGCATTCGATCCACATGGCCCGGCATGGTCGTCGATATACCCTTGTAGAAGGAGCCCCATGTACAGCCCGGTGAGCCTTATACCAGATTTGTATCGTGGAGAGCTGAGTCATGGTTCGAGGTCGAATTAAGGCGTCCAGTCCAGCCCTGCACCATTGGCGCTTGTGGTTGGGGCCAAAATGTTAGGCAGCAGAATTGTGGTCAGTATGGGTCTTGTTTTGATCACGCATCACTGGCCGCTGTGGCTCTTGAATTTTGATCCGGCCTCCCAGCGTCCTTGGAGTGACGCTTAGATCTGTCCTGATCTTCGCGTGCTGGAAGGAGCTATGCAGCTGGAGATGGAAAGGCTCATAGGTGCCCTGTCCTGCAGCCCAAACGCTGCTGTGCATCTTCAGTAGGCGGACCATAAGTGGCAAGGTGGAGTGAGCGGGGACGGTGCTCGTTGGTACCGCTCTCGATCAGGGGGATGGACGGAAAATTTTGAGCGCAACCCGCTGCTGTCTGTGCCTCCTTCACTCCAGCAGAAGTTGACGTGCGGGAAAAGATCGATGGACCAGACTTGCTGAGAGGAGAGTGTGAGAGCGAGCGATGAAGGTCAAGCATTGGCCCACAACTTCCTTCTTTGGTTAGACCCTTTTTCTCGACCATGACGACGACACTCCAACGTTCAATTAATGATTGTTGTTGCCATCAACCAATTCCGACAACTACATGTTCAAACGCGCAATGTCATCCGCATCGAAACAGAAGCTGAACCCGCGCACCTTCCCACGTCCGCCTTTACTGGAAAAGACACCCCGCCACCTGCAAGTCAAATGGAACGACCAGCTCATAGCCGACACAACAGAAGGCTACTGGGTCCTTGAAACATACCATCCCCCAACGTACTACTTACCTACCTCCTCTCTGAAAGTGCCTCTCGAGAAGAACAGCCGCTCGACAATGTGCGAGTGGAAAGGCGCCGCAAGCTATTACAACATCTCGAACCCGAACAAGCCGAGCGAGGTTGTCAAGAATTTGATCTGGAGTTATGACAAGCCTACTCCGGGCTTCAAGCCTATTCAGGGTTACTTGTGCTTCTATGCTGCGGAGCCGTTTGATTGTTTCGTGGATGGGGAGAGGGTTGAGCCGCAGCCGGGGGACTTTTACGGAGGTGGGTTGAATTCTTTCACATTATTGTTACGGTGCTGACGCTTTCACTCTTCTGTGATGCAGGGTGGATGACAAGTGAGATCGAGCGAAGTAGTGTAAAAGGCGGACCAGGCACTTGGGGCTGGTAGCGCAGCCTTGATATCACGCTTCACCCGTTAACAGGTGCAATGTTGAAAGCTCCTAGATCAGAACCCTCACGTCACTTCACACACAGTGGGCCGCCATGTGAAGTGAAGTCTTACGTCATAAGCCACGTGTTAATTTGACTTAGTGCGCTTGCCAGATAGCTTCTCGATCATCTCTGTTCACACCTCCAACCTCGACCCCACGCACCATCATGGCTGGTGCTATGAAGCGGAAGCTGGGCGACGACGACGACGGTCCACCAGCCTGGTCAGATCAGCAGCGCGAGGCTGATTATCCTAGAAGCAAGCGTCCACAGTAAGATTCACCTCACATCCATGTCCTTGTTCCAGCTGACCACAAACAGTACTGCCATCGAGCCACGCGATACGACGGAGAGCGAAAGCCCACTCATGAAGCTACTTGGCGAACTACGCAACGGAATCTTTGAGCTCGCCTTGCTCTCCAACAACACGACCGGCATGCTCACCATCAACGGCCGTGTCCGCGTTACCAAACGTGACCCCAAACGAGCCCTGAGCTGTCGACCGTGGCGGGAGCCCGCACTCCTCCGAACGTCAAAGCAAATTCGCCACGAAGCAATTTCCATCTACTACCTAGGCCATCACCTCGATGTTCGCACTCGCTCGAACGAAATCGACAAGCCCAACCTCTGGCTGCGCCGAATTGTGGAACAGCTAGGTGGGAGGTGTCCATCATTCCACCTCCGCGTTGTTTCATGCACGTGGGATGATGTGGCGGCCTGGCTGCACCTTGCCAAATTTGCTTACGAATCATCCGGCTGGAAGATCGACCTGGGCGAAATGGCTGCACGATACAGACATATCTTATTCACCGTCGCTGACGGTAATCGCTACTACCAGTCGGCCCTGAGTGAAGTCGTGGAGCTCGGCTTGACTTCTGGGAAGTTGGGTCTATCAGCCGAAAAGCTGGAAGAAGAGTTCTACTTCTGGGCTCAAACTGCTGCCATGTCATTGAGCAAAGGCCATGGACGGAAACGCTTGTTTGCAAGCCCTCCGGGAAGCGAGTTGAAGGACGCCAACTTGGAGTTCATGCCGAAGCGCAGAGTGGCGCCTGGATACTTGGCTGATGAGTTCGAGCAAGTGCCTTTCATCGCGGATGAAGCCGGGAACGTGTACAGCGCTTGATGGCGAGCACAATGAATACTTTGAGGGCAGGTCCTGGTGGCGAGCATCACGATTTGAGCCTGACATGGCACACTGGACGGCGTGGCTGCGACTGCTATTCGCTTGGACGGTCAGCTGCTCACAACTCCTTGGTGACGGAGTCCAGAGGTCAGTTATGAGGTGCATGAGATATGCATAACACAATCAAGGCTCGGCAGCAAATCTAAAACCATGCAACTTCATGCCTTCCCATGTCCCCGTAGCATCCCTATCAACCACTTCCATCCGCTGACTCGCCCGTGTCAGGAACTTCTGCAGCCCATTGCACTCACGTCCCCATCACATCGCAAGTAACAGCTGGCCAAAATGCCGCCCACTCGCCAACACCCTACACAGCAAACTTGACGCAGTGTGTTTTCCCCTCCTTTTGAGGCTTTTACTTCTGCTTTCTCGCTGAGGGTTGTGGTGCAAGTAGGTTGGCGTATGGGGTACTTACCAGTATCAGAGTAACTTTGGGCACTGTTGAATAGAGAGTAGAAAGCGAATAAGAAGGTATCTCCAGACTTTTTGGCAGCTCATCCAACATGCTCCTTCCTCAACCTATCCCCATCCAACCTCTCAAACCCAAAATTCCAAATGTTCTCCACATTAGTCCTCCCCCACTGCGCCGCATTCATCGGCTTCGTGCTCTTCCCGCCCACATGCTGGAAAACACTGGGCGTCAATGCCCACCGCCCTAACCCTTTCTCCTCCGCCCACACCTCCGTTAACGAATCCACCTGCGTCTGTTCGGTATGCGTCACAGGATCTATGTATGGTTTTTCGAAGTGCTGTTCGTACCAGGTCAGGAGGTCGGGGATCTGGGGACGGGGGAAGACGAAGGCTTGGGAGCAGCAGCCGTAGGCTTCCATGCGGTTGAGGCCGGTGGAGGGGCCGGCGACTGTGAGCCGACCAGCGAGGAAGAAGAGAATTATCAGCATGGGACAAATGAGGAGGGTGATTGTGGCGATTGTAAGCGGGGTGCAGATGTCTCTTCCGGAAGGGAGGTGGCGAGATGCCAGGGTCAAGGCTGCGAAGATGGAGGCGATGAAGAGCACGGTGCGGATGGTGTAGGAAAGCCATTCCTCGCCGTTCCAGCCGAGAAGGCGCTCGTTGTAAAATAGGCGGAGATAGAGCGCCTTGTCGAAGTCAGAATTGTGCTCAAGCTGGCGAAGAGCGTTACTAGTTCGTTGGTACCAGCCGTCCGCGGCTACTGTGTCGTCTTCCAGGATCAGCGTCCAGGCCGTGTTTATCTCATAGCAAGTCCGGAGCAAGTGCGTGTAGTCGAACAACGCCTTCTTCTTGTTGTCTACATCGGTAGCCATCAACTCCTTCACCCTTCCCACCGCTTCGTCCCCAGCATCTTTGTACGTCAGAACCTGATCCACCAGCTTCTCCAGCCACGGCTCGTTATACGCCTCATGCTGCTCGGGATCCACATTGACAATAAACGGCATCACGAACAAATCCTCCCTCTCCTGCACTGTCAACCCTTCCAACACCGACCCCAGCGCCCGCCGGAAGTACCTCGTCCCATCCCGCTGCACAGTCGGGACACCCACGCACAAAGATGGACTCGGCCCTGCTTTGGCGACGTGGTGGTTGCCGGCGCCCGTCGCAGAGGATGCGGTGATGTAGTTCTCAGCCTCAGTCTCCCGCCTCAGGGAGTACACCCGGTCGAAGGCATGTTCGGGGTTGAAGAAGTAGGAGCCAGGATCTCGCCAGGACCAGTGACGTACGTCGCAGATGAGGATGAGGTAGAAGGCGAGGAAGGTCAGGAGAGCGATGCGGTGGGGTGTTAGGTGGAAGACGAGGCGCATTGGGGGTCGTCTGTGGTGGTCGAGAGGGACGTGGGAGTGTTCTGGGATATAGGCAAATGCTCGTCTCTACCGATGCCGCATGTTGAAGTGTATGTGTACGAGCAAACAACGTAGTGTTGCTGCCTCAGAGTCTCGTATTCAAGTCATGTTGGTTAGACGTACCCAGCGGTTGTTGTTCCTTCGCCTTTGAACCCCTGCCAAAACCGCCGGATCTAGAACTGGCAGGGATCGGCAGTGAATGCAGCTTTAAATCAACCTCTTAAGGTCTTCCATTGAAGAATCCTCAACATCATTTTTGCATTCGAGCAACACTTGAGCACGTGTGGGATGAATAATGGAGGCATCGTGGTAGCATGTACACTACTTGACTATCGCCCAGAAAGGAAGTATAGCAGAGGGCGTGGGATACAGTGGCTAATTCAGTGTCATTTCGGAGATGTTCATGCACAGCTTTGGCTTCAGAGCTCAAAAGTCCGCTGGAAGATGGCCTGATACCATGTCAGACCACCACCACTGTCCCATCCCATTGAAAAGCTGGGGTCCAGCTCCGTTGAATTGCAACAGTGGGTCCATATTCCAAGGTCCCGGCTCGAACGCAGCCGCAGTATCGGGCTCGCCGCTTCCTGGCATGTTCTGAGACGCGTGCTGCCCGAAATCTGCCTCGTGTCTGGCAGCTTGCTGTTGCGAACCCTGCGACAGAGGGTTGTTGCTTCTGGCTGTCCGCCTTGGAGGCTCTGGGGGAGGGTTCATGACCTCTTCCCATTGGCAACAGAGCTCCGGGCCGAAGACGGAGAAGAATTTGCGCTCCCGCATCGAGATGGTCTCGCTGCTGGTCGCATCGGAAGGTACTTGTACGGTGAACGCACTGACGTATTGGATGACTCGCTCGGCTCCAATCGCAGTTGGGAACCGTGTCTTCAGCGCATCTACGGCTTGTCTTGTAATGTCAAACTCTTTCTCTCGGTGCCTGGCAAAGGCCGCAAAGCGGTAAGCTGATGCTTGGACGAGAGAGGCGACCATGAGATAGAATATCGAGGCTGGTGATACCACCGCAATGTCGCCCCAGTCGAGGTACTCCTCGAAAATGCCGATGATGAAGCTTGCAGCAAGCAAAGCCACGGGCGGAGGACATTTCTCTGGGGATCTTTGTCGAGAGAGTATGATGAGTGCGACGAAGTAAGGAACGTGGAGTTGTCTGCTGCGAAAGGAGTAGGAGTTCAGCCTGCCGTTTGTCCGATCGTGGAGGTGGAATTCTGCAGGGAGATCATCGAGCCAACGTAGGAGCGCGGTCTCCAAGTCAAGTCTTTTCTTGTGAGTGAGATCACCTCTAAGACACTTTTGTGTCAAGTCTCCCACGATGCAGGTTATCTGTACAAAGCTGGAAAAGACTTGGCCGTCTGGGTCGCTGACACTGCTGTCATGGCCGTCAATGAAGATGAAGTCTTCGGGTTCGAGAGGTCGTACACTGGAGTCGCCTACATGCAGGGCCCGTGGTCGACCATGGCTAGTCGCAATTTGGTTGTCCCGGGACTGTGCATGTTAGAAATGTCCTGTCCGCCACCGAGCTGGTACAAGCTTACAACCAATGTCCATCATGTGCGGCGTCGGAGCGTTCTCTGTGGGTCATTCTCGCGAGGCTCATTGTGAAGTCCAACTTGGTGGGCCAGTGCAACTCCGACACGAAGCCAAAAACTGCTGTTGTCTATGGACACATGCTCGGGGCCTGTCTGGTTCCACCATTGCAGGAAGATGCTTCCTATGATGACATCCAGAGTTGTAGTCTCAGTGGCTGCATAGAAACGAGCTTTCGCAAGATCATAGCAACGTTGGCCATGCACGCTTGCTCGCGGTGCGGTACACACTTTACTGCCGGCCACAAGTATTGAAAGCGATAGGAAGGTAGCTTTCTGGCCAGATCTGAATAACTTCGTGACTTTCTCCGCGGTGACAAGGGGCATCCATGGTCGACATCGCCGCATAAAGCTGGAAACAAGGCTTTCGCGGGTCGAGCGCGGCACAAGAGCGTCGATCAGAAGGTCCAGGGCGTCGGCACTTGGAAGTGCGGCATTGAGCTTTGGATATGAACTACGGTACTGGGACACGTGTTCCTCATCTATCGGAATATGAGTGTTAAGGTAGTCGGCTCGCCCGAGATAGCTGGGCTCGTGTGGGCTCTCTACCGAGCCCACGAGAGTTTCGGCGTGACTTGCCGGTCCCTGCTGTGGCTCATCTGGTCCTTGAGGAGGAGTGTCGTCTCGTTTCCGCTTGCGGATATGCGGCCTTGGTCCGGTCAGCGGTCGTGGGATGCCCGGGAGGTTGGCCAAGTTACTGACTGGCATGCTGCACCCATACTTTGGCAACCATCGCAGGGTCCGTCATGCTGTGCGTCAGCCAAAGTTTTGCTGCACTTGATCTTGCGTGCATGGCAGTTCGCACAAGCCTGACCTTGTCGTACCGATCGTGGTGGCATAGGGGAGATATACAGTCTGACAAGTGGTGCAAACCACTCGTGCTGGCAAAAATCTCTTGTATCGAAAGACCGTGGTGGCACAAGGTCAACAAGGTCAACAAGGATGGAGAAGCAAGACACATTGGGGTGGAGGAGAGGGTTATGCGGAGATTAATTCCGGCAAGTCGGCGGCATGACTCGTGCATTGCTGCAAGATCTATTTCATTGACGTTCAAAACTTCGGGCGTGTCACTATGGTGCCATCGAGTTCGCATTCAAGTACGACGATCCATCCTATCAACCTCATCGGCCTAGAGCTTTGCGCCCTTCACACCCTGACTATTTGCTATACCAGTCATCTGCTCAGCAAGGACATCGGCTTTGAGAGCCGGTCTGTCAGCCTTTCCTGCAGTCGTACCCCCATCGACTGGCATTATCAGTCCTGTTATCCATTTGGCCTCTTTGCTGCACAAGAAGAGGATTGCTGCAAACTATGTCAACGCGGTACACCAACCAGACAAAAAGACCGACTCACCATAGCCGACGTCCCACCCTGTCCCTTCCTGTTTGAGGAGATTCTGATTGATCCTGGCTTGCCTAAGCTCATCGGTCAAGCCTCTACCTCTGACCATCGGCGTATACACCATGCCCGGGCAAACACAGTTGACTCTGATGTTTTCCGGCCCATGCTGGGCAGCCATCGCACGGGTCATCTGGACAATTGCACCTTTGGTCGTTGGATAAAGAAGACTAGGATTGCCACCAAGCAGACCGGAAACGGAGGACATGTTGACCACTGCACCTCGTCCTATCTTCCGCATCTCTGGGATAGCGTGCCGGCTCATCAAGACCATGCTCGTCAGATTAATCCGTAGGTCACGCTCCCAGGCTGAGAGGTCGAGGGTGGTGGCATCCCCCATGGCGCCACCGACGCCGACGATGTTGACGAGGACTGAGACGAAGCCGAACAGTTGAACGGTCCTTTGCACAGCTTGGCGGCAGGACTCTTCGTCCGTAACATCCGTCTGAATGACCTCGGAGCGACCGCCTTCGGCCTCTATCATGCGTTGGGTGTCGGCAGCCCAGTCGGTATTGGTGTCCAGAAGTGCAACTTTTGCGCCTTGCCTGGCGAGCAAGATCGCTGTTGCTCTTCCATTTCCAATTTCACCTACCGTTCCTGATGAGTACCCGACTTGTGAAGCTGTGGAAGCTGTACTTACCGGGAAGCCGTGATCCTGCTCCAGTCACCAGGGCTACTTCGCCATCGAAGTTGAATGCTTGTGGTAGTTTTGCGGATGCCATTGTTGGTAGTGTCCCTATTGTTTCACGTTATGAAGTGAACAGCAACGCATGAGGACCTACTTTCCTTTGCCAAGTTGGTGCTCTTGTAGCGGCACTTGATCTCGATCCCAAGAAGAACGGGACTACAGCAGTAAACCGGACTGTGGATGTGGTTGCGTGAGGCACGGCGATCGAGAAAGCCTTTCGGCGATTTGGTTCTCCAAAGTTCGCCGTCGGACCACACGGCTCCTCTGCCTCCACACGATAAAAACGCCGGTTGTCTGAGAATATTAGCGCCGGCGCAATTGTGATAGATGCTGCCAACGGTGAGGGTCTGCTCGGTGGACAACGCCCGCATCAGAAGAGTTACTGAACGCGACTCTGCTGGCCCACGATAAGGCGACATGCTGGCCGATAGCGCTCTCCTCAACAGAACCTACACTTTGAGAACGAGAAATGGATGCGTACAGCCCAGCAGAGTATCTGACGCTGCAAGTGTGTGTCGGGTAAGTACCTAATCATGCCAGCCAGTAGTCGAACCACCGCACGATACCCGCAAGACTTTCCTCTTTGACGTAACCTACAACCAGTCAGTTCATCATATGGAAAGCAGTCCGTCAGATCACGCACGCTGGTAAGGATCCTTCATATCCCCTCGGAGCGCAAAACCGTGTTCGACGCCAGAGAAAAGCTGCAGTTGGTATGTCTTGGACCCATCTTGAAGCAGCTCAAGTGCTCGCCGTCTGCCATTGCGATCAAAGGTGTGATCAACTTCAGAACAGGACAAAAACAGTGGCTCTGCCGAAGTAAGTGGTTGCACTTTGCGAACATCGCCGCCGACCTACTTTTCAGCTGTTCAAAATGGTGATCCTTGAGCAACGCTGGGTGAGCGAACGCTCCTGCTGTCACGGTACCACCAGCAAGCTCGTTACACACGTATGGTGCACCAAAGCAGTATCTGTTGAAATCATCAGAGAGGGTCGAGATGATCATCGTGGAAGACGACATACCCGACACAGGCATACTTTGTCTCGTCTCTGCCGTAAAGCTTTTTGACAGCATCAACCCACGGAGGCACCGCTTCGTCTGCGAAGGCGATGTGTTTGCGCTTCCATGCCTCGTAGTCGAATATCGGATCTGTCGTCGTATCGTGTCTATTCTTCCGATGCTTCCACACTGGGTCCTACAATTCTTTGTGAGTAAGTATGAATCCCATGAGAAGGAATATATTCACCCCCCGGAAGTAGTCCAAGCCCAGCACGAAGTAGCCAGCATCTGCGAAACCATCCATGATCAACAGACCATTTGGGAACATGCCCCAGACGTCCGGGAAGTAGAGGAGTATGTTGTCGTTGGCTTTGGCCTCAGGAGGTCGGACAATGTAGGTCTCGACGCCCGCAATGGTTTCGAAGGTCCCCCTGGACTCGCCTTCGTGGATGGTACCCTTGAGGCAACAGATATCCGAGGGCTTCGCGACATACGCATTCTTGTCTTCCATATTGGGTACACAGTGGATGAAACAGCATGTTGCCTTCTGTGTCTCCGTGTTGTCTCCTTCCTCAAATTATCATCAGCCGGCGCCTTCGCTTCGCTCTTTCTGATCCTGCTACGAAGTGGCCCGGCGATTCCGGCGTTCTGTCTCGGCGATTTTGAAGGCTTCCACAGAGGACGCCACGAGTCAGAACGCCGAAACCAACGTCAAGCTTGGTCCTGGAGCGAATGACGGGAGAGTACGAATGTACCACTTCCTCCGCGCTACGTAGGTGGTGGATGGGGTAGACACTGGGGTCGAGACGATATCTATGTCTCCCGCCTTTCGACTGTCCCCGTGTCGTAAGTTTCCGTTATAGGCAGCCTGGAAGTGAAACTTGCGATGCCAGAATCAAAATCTCAGGCAGGCCACGACGAGATGGACCAAGCCACTCATGGACAGGATGCGCGGAACGACATAGAACGACTGGAGTCGAAGGAGCACACATACGGCGAGGACCTCAAGAACTTTGACCACGTGAGGAACGGTCATGCCCTCTGAGTTGCAGCTGCTAACATTGCAACCTACAGAGCAACGATGTCGGCTACGAACAGTACCGACAAGGCCTCGACATCGTCGCTACGCACAAAGAAGTGAGCATCCTCTCAAGCATACCTGTCCGATTCCAACTCACATCCTACAGGAAAGCTGGATCCGCTGGAAGATCGACCTGATAATCCTCCCAATCTTCCTGGTCACGCAGTGTCTGCAGTTCATCGACAAAACGGCTCTCAACTATGCGAACCTGTTCGGGTACCAAGAGGCGCTGAACTTGCAGGGAAAGGAGTTTAACTATCTGTCCGCCATGGTGTACGCGGGATATTTCTTCGGACAATATCCATGCGGTTGGCTCATCGGTCGCTTCCCTGCGCAGAGGGTACTGGGCATAAGTTGTAAGTCGGCGACACTCTCGCACGATCACCTTAGCATCCACTGACTGACGCTGGAATTCTAGGCTTGCTGTGGGGCTTCACGGTCCTCATCTTGACCGAATGTCACACCTTCTCTTCCGCACTCGCTGTCCGCTTCCTCATGGGCATTTTCGAGGCTGCCGTCACGCCCGGCTTGACACTGATGACCGGGTTTTGGTACAAGCGAAGCGAGATCCCTCTGCGACAGTGCATCTGGTACAGCGCCCTTGGCTTCGGCGGCATCATCGGCTCCTACATCTCCCGGGGCGTTGCTGGCCTCTCTGAAGATACTCAGCCGGCGCGATGGAAGATCATCTTCTACATCCTCGGAGGAGCGACTATGCTGTGGTCTTTCGTGCTGTATTTTGGTCTGTCGGATACGCCATCCAACGCCGGCTTCCTGTCTGAGCGCGAGCGCATCATCGCGGTCACCAGAGTCTCCGGCAATGAGACGGGCATCAAGAACAAGGCTTTCGATAAGAAGCAGGCGCTCCTGGCCTTATACGACCCAAAGGCCATCTTAATCTTCATCTCCGTCTTCGCCGCCGCCATCCCCAACGGCGTCGTCAACTCCTTCTCCACCATCATCATCGAAGACCTAGGCTTCTCGACCACCAAAACCACCGAGCTCAAATCCGTCGGCGACGCCGTCCAAATCATCGCCCTCCTCATCGGCGGCACCATCACCCTCACCGTCCCCAACTCCCGCCTCCTCACCGCCTCCGCCGCCAACATCCTCTGCACCATCTGCGCGGCGCTCATGGCCTACCTCCCGCGCAGCAATACCTGGGGCCGTCTGGTCTGCTTCTGGCTCGTGAATAGTCAGAGCGTGGGGTTTACGATCAGTCTGGTCACGATTAGTAGCAATATGGCCGGATACACGCACCGGAGCCTCGCGAGCGCGTTTGTGTTTACTGCGTACTGCTGGGGGAATTTCACGGGGCCGTTTGTGGTTAAGCAGAGTGAGGCTCCGAATTATCCTACGGCGACGGCGGGGCTGTTGGCGGGGTATGCGATTAAGACGGGCTGTCATGCGCTGTTGTTGGGTAAGTCGATTGGAAGTTGGTTGGAGGGACTTCTTCGTGCTGACAGACGAGCAGTGTACCTGTTCATGAGCAATCGTCGGCGAGACAAGAAGTACGGACCCGCGGACAAGCAAAGGAGTAACGAGCTGGGTATGCAGGATGCGACGGAGTATGAGAACAAGGACTTCCGATATGTCCTGTAATCGATGTGCTGTTCCTCCGGAGACATAGCGATTTCACACGACGACACCGAGAAGATTCGAGCAAACAAAGATGATTGTAACAGCCGAAAGGCATTCCTTCATATGTCAATGCGAGCACTAAGGGTATCTTCTGAGCCATACTCCAACCCCATCCCATTACCCACAACCCAGCAATGTTCCTGATCTCTGATTGCGCCATCCAAACACCCCGCTAGAAGCGCTCAAGCACAATATTCATCGATCCTCATAAAAGCAGTGTCAAAAGCAATAGCAGCCTGCCAATGAAAGTCGCAAGCGTAGCGATGCGACAAGAAAAAAGCACCATCAAGAGTCCAAGAACCCCAGACTGACACCCGCGCCAGCACCATCGTCCGACTTGTCGATAGATTCGTCGTTTGAAGGAGCACGATTCTCCTCGTCACTGCTGCCGCCTTCGAGCTCAGAGCAGACCGCATCAGCGAAGATTCTGCAACTTGGCGTTACGCTCTGCGTTCTGCCGAAAGAACTCACCAGCCTCAGCCAAATCCAACATCCTGTAGCGATTGGCCATCGTCGGCTTCTTCTCCTCCACCACAGGCGCGGGCATCGTGTACTTCCTCTGCGTGCGCGGCGGAAGCGGAACGTCGCACTCGTCCGGGTAGAACTCGACCTTACACCCCTTGTACGTCGTGCGGCTCATCATGCAGGTGCGCGCGAAGAGGGCGGTGTGGATCGAGTTAGTCGAGACGAAGGCGTCGTTGCCGCGGAAGTCGACGGAGATGATGACGAGGTTGTGGATGTGCTCCATATCGTCGCGGATCTTGGCTTCAGTGTGGCCTTTGGCGACGGCGTTGCGGATGAAGAGGTTGCGGGTGGCGCCGTGGATGACTTTGTCGTTGGTGAAGGGTTTGAGCTGGAATTGACGGTCGGCCCACTTCACCTCGATCTGGGGAGGGTCAGTACTTGATGCGAGAATCGAGGTCGGAGGGGTGCAAGCGGTGGCTTTCAGGCTTACTCTCTTGGTCTGCACATAGATGTCGTTGCGCTTGCTCCACGCCAGGAACTCCTCGGCCACCCCCTGGTCGACGAACGACACAACAGCACTCTTCTTGTCGAGGAGAATGACGCTCAGAACCTTCCCTCCCTTGATGACAGACAGCAGATCGCGGTAGGTCGTACGATCGGACAAGCCGCTAAAGAAGAGTGAACGATGCTCGTTACTAGAAGTGCGGCCGAGGTCAGTATTCATCAGTTGCGCGTCCTCCATCATGTCAATATCGTCATCAGCGGCGAGGCAATTAGCATCAGCAACGGCTGGCATTCTGTAGCTGACTTGGCGCGGGTACTCGGATCCTGGAGCCTGAGCCTGGTCCGGATGAGTCCTGGGATTGGTGAAGATTGCCGTTCCCGGTGCTGCGGCCAGTTCGTAGGCAGGTGATCCAGTCCTCCATGGGATGTGCTTGTAGGCTGGCTGGACTCCGGTTGCGTACCCTTGAGAACCGGGCTGTTGCGGGACCATGACGAAGCCGTCGTTGTCCGTGTCCACGCCCGAGTCCTTGCGCTGGCAACCCGGATTGGAGATTAGGATGTTGATGGTCTCCTCCGTGGTGCCACCTGCGATCAGAGCGCCTTTGAGAGCTTGAAACGCGCGATGGGTGCGAACCTGGTGTCTCGGGTTAGTGGGAATTTCCAACGACAAGGCCACGTGATACTCGCTAGGTTCTGATACTCCACCTTGGAGACGGTGATGTTCAAGCCGGAGTTGGAGTTGGTGTTGAAGTCGGCGCTGGGTTGTCACGTTAGCGTTCGGTCTTTCCGTTGTATCGACGGGCTGCCGCTTCAGAATGCTGCTGAGCCTGGTGTCGCACTTCGTGACAATCCCGGAGGTTGCACCTTCGAAGCAGACAGCAGCCGGCGGCAAACAGGCATTGGGCGACAGCGAGGACGTACCGTCTAAGCAATGTCTCGAAATACGACCGCTCGACGGTCACGCGATCTGAGTCGTCCATCGCGGCGGATTGACGTGTGATGTCGAATGTGTGGGAGAGGTTGTTGCACCAGCAGAAGAAAGAGAAGGCTGTCGCATAGGTGCTTCGCCTTATCGAAGCTGGCAGGTCGGACCCTGCGCCGGCAGAAGACGGGAGCGGTCCGCCGAGCTAGCCACAACTGGGGGTGTCCAGATTCGACCAGCACTCCGTCTTTACTTCCGCGCATTGATGGACCAGCATGACTCCAAGACCACGGCGCTCAAGACGATAGCAGAAGGACAATCAGGAAAGCAAGATGTGATCAAACAGCTCGCCGACCGAAGCAGTAGCGACGGCGGCACCTTTGGACAACTCCTCAACAACCCATTCTTCACAGCGGGTTTCGGCCTTGCAGCATTGGGAGCAGCGGCGCGGTATGGCACACTCGGGCTGAGAAGAGGCGGGGAGCTGCTACGGCGGCGGATGCTCGTCGACTTGGAAATTACGAGACACGATGAATCGTACAGCTGGGTCTTGAACTGGATGACGGCGCATTATCAACAGCAACTGGCGCCTGTGCCTGGTCGAAAAGATGTTGGGATGATCGAGTATATGGTCCGCAAGCTCACGCCGGGTCTACATCACCTGCAGATGAAGACTGCAGTGTCGAAGACGGCTAGTGGGTCCGAGCAGACGGCGTTCTCACTTGTGCCTGGGCATGGGAAGCATGTATTGAGGTATAGGAATGCCTTCATCCTGGTCAATCGGGAACGAGTGGGCAAGAGTTTCGATGTCAATGGGCAACCGTTCGAGACGATATCGTTGACGACGTTGTACTCGTTCCGTAACATTTTCGAGGACATCTTCCGCGAGGCACATGAGATGGCATTGCAGAGTACGGAAGGTAAAACCGTCATCTACACAAGCCGCAACATGTCGTGGGAGCAGTCTGGTCAGCCGAAGCGGAGGAGGCCTTTCGATTCGGTGGTTCTGGAAGAAGGGCTGTCGGACAAAATACTGGGTGATGTACGAGAGTTCTTGGACGCCAGGACATGGTATCTTGATCGAGGCATACCGTATCGGAGAGGTTACTTGTTGCATGGTCCACCAGGAACAGGCAAGACATCGTTCGTGCAAGCTTTGGCAGGACGACTGGACTTCAACATTGCCATGCTCAGCCTCAGCCAGCGAGGCTTGACGGACGATTTGCTCAATCACTTACTACTAAACATCCCACCTCGGACCATTGTTCTGCTTGAAGACGCCGACGCCGCCTTCAGCAATCGTAAGCAGCGAGACGCAGACGGTTACAGCGGCGCCAACGTTACTTACTCCGGTCTGCTCAATGCGCTAGACGGCGTAGCAAGCGCGGAAGAGCGCATCATCTTCATGACCACGAACCACATAGACCGACTAGACGACGCTCTGATCCGGCCGGGAAGGGTCGACATGACGGTTCACCTGGGCAACGCTACAGAGTGGCAGATGGAGCAGCTGTGGGATCGCTTCTATGCCCAGCAGGATCAGGATGGCGATGGGAAGCGGAGGTTCATGGAGAAGGCAAGGGGGTTTGGACTGGTCGACAACGTCAGTACTGCGGCACTGCAAGGACTGTTTCTATACTCGAAGGAAGAACCAGAGGGTGCGATCGCGATGGTAGACCAGTTGGCGGCGAGTATGCAGGCTCAGAGGCCGGCGAGCTCTGTCTCGCAATGAGATACATGTGCGACGTTTATAAAATGTAGCCCTAGTGTAACAACATATGAACAGAGAGCATCTATTTCTCCCATAATCCTTCTTTCTGTTCTCTTCCATCTGCACATGCTCGACTCGAGGTGGATGGCATGACTCGAGCTCTCACATGACGTACCCCACACGTCATCTTCTGTCGAAATTCACAAGCCATTGTCAATTCCCTCAAGTGCAGTCATTGCATGCAATATCGCCACTACGAACAAATCCTCAAAGCATCAGCCCTCACAACCGTAATCGCCTACGAATACAACCGCCGACACCACATTTTCACCATGCCTCGTGACGGATCTGGAGCCTCCGACAACGTCGTTGAGCCAGGCGAGACGCTCATCCACGGCGCGGGGAAGGGGGAGAACGATGTACGTCTACCCTCCCATCATCCTCTAGACCCGTAGCACGATGTGTTGGACAGGAAGGAGCGACTGCTAACACGATCCAGGCACCGGCGTCTTCAGGCGTAGACCGATCGAACAAGGCGGCACCGCCGCCTGACCACGAGGCTGGGGATGCTATGAAGGGGATGAATGCTTCGGGAGGTGGGAATGATGTTAAGGGGAGTGGGAAGGGACCTATTGAGAGCAGTGTGGACAAGGAGGCGGAGAAGCATTGACGCTGAGCAGGACGACGTGGCGGGTCGAGCGGAGGGGAAGAAAAGACACAAGGACGGAAGGTCATGAGCCATGACAATATATGCACATGGAGGGCGGTTATATGGACACCAAAATGACGATGATGACTCCAAGACTAAGTTGTTATCTTGATGTGTCTCGGCTTGGTACACAGCAAAAGCATTGCTTGAGTATAGGCTAGATGGAAGCTCATGTCTCAAGAACATTGGGTGATTCGAACATGGTCAGTAGTAAGATCACACCTTCCCAATCATTTAGCCCATACGCACCCACTGCAGCATTATGGCTATGTTCTCCAACGACCGAGGAGCCCCGCAGTAGGTACCGAGATACATTTGTATCTGCTGTGGATGCCGTAGATTCATTCAGCGACGAGACGTAAATGCAAGTGGCCGTCTCAACTCTTCTGAAGGGTGGCAGGTCAATATGGCTCCAAGATACGGCTTCATCGGTATGTCCCTCCGCTACCATTGAGTGATCAAGACTGCTTACAAAATCCATAGGGCTGGGCTCGATGGGGTTTGGAATGTGCTTGAACATTCATTCGAAGATCCCCTCGGACTCTGAGCTGTATATATGCGATATCAATCGATCAGCGTTGGAGAAGTTCGTCGAAGAGACCACCGGCAAAGCTAAGGTGACGATACTTGACACGCCTAAGGAGATCACTGAGCACTGCGTACGTCCACCTTTCCTGTCTTAATGCCATCGATGAATGGTTGATAGATGAACCAGGACATCATCATAACCATGCTCCCCAAATCCGAGCACGTCCAACATGTCTACCACGCCAGCGCCAACAATCTCCTCTCCGCCTCCGTCCAACCCACCGGCCAACCAAAACTCTTCATCGAATGCAGCACCATCGACCCGGTCGTCTCCCGCGAAGTCGGCCAAAAGGTGCAGGACTCCAGTCTCGGCAACTACGCCGACGCAGCAGTATCCGGCGGCCCCTTCGGCGCCCGCTCAGGCACTCTATCCCATATGATCGGCTGCGATGACGCTATCCTCGACCAAGTCAAATCCGTCGTGGGCATGACAGGGAAATCGGACGGGCTCTTCCACTGCGGACCCGTCGGAGCCGGAGTAACGGTTAAGGTAATCAACAACTACATCTCCGTCACCAACATGCTCGTCGCCTCCGAGGGCCTGAACATGGGCGTGAAAATGGGCATTGATCCGAAGAAACTCACCGATATCATCAACGCTTCATCCGGGATGAATTGGTGTACGAAGAATAATAACCCCGTCCCTGGGGTTCAACTGGATAGTGTGGCTTCAAGAGGGTATAAGGGTGGTTTTGCCATCGAGCTCGCGGCGGGGTGTATTGATTTAGCGGTGAAAGGGGCGGAGGACGTGGGAGCGAAGTTGACGCTGGGCAAGCCGATGCAGGCGACATGGCATGAGGCGATGGAGGATCCAAGGTGTAAGGGTTTGGACGCTAGGTCCATATACAGGTGGCTTGGTGGTGAGGAGGCTTGATATTGTGTAGGTGGAGCTATGTGAGTTGTGGTATGGCTATCCGACTTTCAGCTTCCCTTCGTCTTCTCCACGGGATGTTTGTTGAGGCTCTCGAACCATTGGATCGTGCTGCCGATCAGGAGAGCGAAGGACCTTTGGCTTAGAAGTCAGCATCTCATCTTTTAGAGGTTGGCGGAGGTACATACCCCTAGAAGAAACTACAGTTTGCCTGATACGCCGCCCAGTGCTTATCCTCCGCCCAAAGACCAAAGGTTGGACCGATGGTAAACCCAACACCGCCGACCAAGCTCCAGAAGCCGATATGCCACCCCAGTACACCCGGAGCAGGCAGCCACCACCGCCTCTGCGTCTCGATCGTGAACAGCAAGCCTCCAATTGCGAACCCCGACCCGCCGATGATCTGGGGGATCCAGTATGCTCCATTGACCTTGGCCGGCGTGTCGAGATGCGAGTAAATGCCTGGTAGACCCAAGAGGCCAGCGATGCAGAAGACATTCATGCCCACAAATAAACACGGACATGCCAGAAAGCCGAGATCACGAAAGTAGTGCGAGCGCAACTCCCGTCTCGACGGAAACCAGATCCACGACTTCTCCCCGTCCAGCCTCGTATCAAATTGAACGGACATCCCACTCGTCCGCGTCCTCGCAAGCTCTGGCGGCAGACCAAGGAAGTTCTTCCGGTTCTGCTGATGGTGGAAACAATGCGCTATGCTCGGGAACACATGCGTCGAATCCCGCCTGTTCCCAGGACTCCAGTAATCATCGTAGACCTGTTCTAAAGCCCATCCGAAGCAGCCAACGCGATTCTCGTTGATGGCCTCGAGCATGAGCAGGGCACAGCCGATTTCGAAGACAAGGCAGCCGATGAAGGCTGTGATGCCGCCGCCGTAGACGATCTCGCCGGGAAATTGGGAGGAGGGGTTAGTGTAGGGGAGGAAGGTGAAGAGGGCGTTGAGGATCCAGATTAGGGAGCCGAAGGTGAAGATTATGGCGACGAGGTAGGATATGTCCCTGAAGAAGCTGTGAGCCGGTATTCGTTGGCTGGAGGTGAGGATGCAGCTTACCAGACGGGGAAGTAGGTGAACATGCGAAACATGACTTTGAGGACTTCTTTGATACTGTTCGTGGCGCGCGGAATGGTGTAGACCGCATCGCTGTCGTCTGATTGGTTGTAGACGAGGGTATGTCGTCCTTTTCGGTTGTTGCGTGAGGTCCACTGGTATCCAGCATTGGCAACCTGGGCTTCTCCAGGTCTCTGCGTCTGAGTACGAGGAACAACATCTGATGGTCTTGCTGTTTGGCTGTCTTCGGACGGATTTACTGGATTGAAACGAGCTTGGGTAGGATTCAGGAACGAGACGGGACCGTGGACTTTGCGATCGTTCAGCTGAAGTGTGTCTGTATGTTGGAGAGGTTCGCGCTCAGGTTTGAAGGTATTGCTGCGGTTCATAATAATAGGTGAGTGTTTTGCTTGTAATGAGAAAAGTCGGGAAAAGACGGCTTGGAGCACGAAGAAGCAAGAGGCTGCATCAACGTGGCACGCTCTGACCGCCGGGATACTGCTGATTGATGGAAGGTAAGAGATATGCAACTCGGCATGCCGAAGAGGCTTTTGCTCAAGCCAAGGTCGTTGGTATTCTTTGAAGGGCAGGAAGGGGGCGACTGAACCGAACTCCGTGGGTATGATACTCACAAAGAAGCAAGATCGACTCAGCAGTCGGGCATTCAAGCTGTGGCAAGCGCCACCATGCATTGCGTCTGATCTGAGTTGTACTTCCCTGCCGAATCCCCTCCCGAAACCCTCCTTCACCCCTACACCGGCTCCTTCGCCCTCACCCTAAAAGGATGCGCCTCCGTATTATACACAAACGAATTCTCATTCCCCTTCCCAAACTCCACATCATACATCCCCCCAAACGGCTTCTGAATCAGATACTCATACTTCAGCACCTCCGCCAACATATAGCTCGCCATGAAATTCTGCGTCCCATTCCCGCTCTCCACCAACACATCATTGACGCTCGAGAACCCACTTCCCACCCTCTCCGTCCGATTCTGCGCGAGTGTATAGGCCCATGCTACGTCCCGCCAGTACTGATCGCCTGTTACTTGGTAGGCGTAGTACCAGCTTTCGACCGCTTCGGGCGCTTGGCCGTTGTGGTAGGCGGTGTTGTCTGGGATGAACCAGCCAGCGTTTTCGTACAGGGAAGTCTGATTCGTGAAATTGGACGCGAGAAGGGTGGTGTTCCAGCTATACTCGATCGGACCAATGCCGGAGGCGGCGTAGCGGTAACCGTTGGCGCAGAACTCGGAGAAAGCGAGGCCGTAGTCCATATAGTCGGAGCGGTCAAGGACGGTGGCGCCGAGGATAAAGTTGCCGCCAATGAAGCAGGCTAACTGCTCGGTGTAGTTCTCCACCATGTTTCCGTCAAAAGCGCCCGCCATAGTGAGGTCTGGCCGGGAAGAGGGGTGACCGATGAGATGTGCGATAGTGCTATCTGCTGCTGCTTGCCACCGCTCGCTGTAGTTCTGATAGCGTTCTGGGTCGTAGACGTACATTTTGATCAGGTACTCGTAGGCACTGTCGTTGCCGGATGTCCAGCCTCCGTACTGATCTTGAATCTCACCAGTCTGAACGCTGAAGTTGCCGCCGGTCAAACCAGGCCAGATCTCGTCTCCATTGAACCAGTACGACTCAGCTTTCTGTGCGAGGTCACCGTACTCCGGATTGCCAGTCAAATCGGAGAGATGCTGCCTGTGAATCCGTCAGTACCTCATCACACTTCCTTGCGACGCCAGACTCACCACTCCAAACACAATGTCCCCAACTCCGCCAACCCAGCCCAATACGACCCATCTGCTTCCTGGTTGGAGTCCGCAAAAGTCTGATTATCGACGTAGATCCTGGGACATGATAAGCGAGTTCCCCGAAGTTCATAGGATCAACTTACAGATTCACCGGTATCCCGGTCGGCGTATCAAAAGCAGACTTCACCGCGTCCGCCAGACTCCCAGCCTGGCTCAACAGTGCATCTACCTTCCCCTCCTCCACTCCCAAATGCCCAAACGGTCCCTTGAGCAAATCATACGCCCCCAACATCCCGCCCAAATACCTAATCGTCGTCTCAAACAAACTAGTACTAACAGCATTCTCCACCCCATCCTCCTGAACCGGCTCGGCGTTATTCCTGCTGAAATCCACCGTCGGGATGAAGTCGAGGATTATATCGACGATGTCCTTTTGTTCCATGATAATAGCCGTATCGAGGGCGTCGAACATGAGGAGGCCCCAGCCGTTGCGGGAGTCAGAGAAGCTGTTGTTTTTTGGTAAGAGGTCGTCGTGAGGGTAGGCGTGGGTGTAGTAGCCGGACCAGGCGAAGCGGAATTGGGCGATTATGGCGTCCGCGCGGGATTGTTGGTCTTGTGTGAAAGAGGTGTAGTCGTAGTCTGGGCCGCGTTGGCGGGGGTAGGCGAGTTCGTCATCGTGGTGGTGATGGTTGCCGTGCTGTTGCCAGGTAGGTGGTGGTCCATGGGGGTGTGGTGACCAGGAGGGTGGAGGCCAGGCGAAGGAAAGTGCACTCGCTGTCAGCAGAGCGAGTGTTGTTGGGATTGATTGAAACATGTTTGATGTGCTTGAAGGCAAACGAGAAAGTCGAAATACCTAACTTACATCTGATATTAGCAGAGATGCACGGCACAATGCTAAAGCGGGGTTGGTAGCATCTCCAGCAGTGCAACTCGATCACATTGATAAGTGGGCAACCTGCAAAAGGTCCTCCATCGGGAGGATGCAGAATGGCTGAGGTCAGTGAAGATCAAAGGTGGGGTACCTGACCTCGTCCTCGTCAAAGTTGGGTACACATCATCATGCAGAAACGACCGCTTGCCGGGGAGCCCCATCACAACTGAAGTGCTTTGGTAAGGTATGCTGATTCCATTTGTTAGCTTCGTACACTTACAGCTGTGCTCTCCTGATGTCGTCCATCATCGCCTGATATGCAGCTCGCACTGATCCCAAACACATTCCCAACGCCGCGCTCGCTGTGACCGACCGCTATGCACCCAGAAATCAGATCAACCTCACGACACAGCCCAAACCATCTCTCTTGCTTCCTTCCCCAACCCAAAACCGCCGCCACCACCACCTCCCTCTCCCCCACCTCAACTAGTCACCCTCCTAACCCAAAGCGTCGCCCCCTCCCACCCATTCTCCTCCTCCTCCTTCCTCCTTGCCCTCGTAACCGCAATCCCCACCTCCCGCTCCTCCAACATCACCTCCGCCAACCGCTTCCTGTACTCCTCGAGCTTCTTCTTCGCATCCCTTACCGTAGCAAAAGGCACCTCCAATGGCGAAGCCGTCTCGATCTTCTCGAGCTCGGAGAGACCTTTCTCCACGTTCCGGCGCTGGAGGGCGAGGGATTGTTCTTGTGCGAGTAGGGATTCGAGGTGCGTGAGGTTGACGGAGCGGGGAGGTGGCGGAAGGGCTTTTCCTGAGGAGGGGGTGGTGGTTGGGCTGGCGCGCATGTAGGAGATTGGAGTGGTAGTTCTGTCTTTTGGGAGGGGGAGTGGACGGGCTGAGGTGGCGGATGTGGGTGTGGTGTAGCCCCTTGGTGTTGTTGTGCCTTCGGGCCGGGAGGACTTGCGTGGTGGAGGAGTCCATTCTTCCTTCTCTAGCCGCTTGATGGGGCGCTGGCGGGATAGGATTGACTGGACTGGGTGGCCGGAGTACTTCGTTGGAACTGGTGGCGGCGGACTTGGTGGTGATTCTGGTCGTGCGCGGTTGGTGACGGTAGTGTTCACGGTGCTCCAACTGAAGTGGCTCTTCTTTGGTTCATTGGCCGAAGAGTAGTGTGCTGGGTTCTTCGACTGTCGCGACGCCATTGTGTCCATGGATGGGCGACCTTGCGCGACGGAAGGGGCGTAGGTGTCTGTTGACTGCCGGCCAGGCGCGACTGACGGAGCATAAGTGGTCCAGCTGAAGTGAGAGTTCGGATGTCTTTGATCTGAAGAACCCCTGTTGTCGATCAAACCAGGATCCGGATCGCTTGTTTCAGATGAGCTTCGTTGGTGTGGCGAGGTCGGTGGGATGTTCTCGATTGTAGAGACTGCTCGTGATACCGGCTTACGCTTGATCTGAGTGCTGCTTGCTGGTGTTTGTGGTAGCTGTGGGAGACGTTGGATGTTGGGTGAGAGCGGATCCGGCATCATCTCTGGCACAAATTCGAAAGCGTCATCCGAGCCTGAGCCATGTATGGCCGTGGGGACAGGCGACACGACCGAGACCGGTGAGACGGGCGAGATGTCTTCGATGCTATGCCGGGAAGCCTCCAACGGCGGTCTGGCGTGAGCCTCGTCGTCGCGAAGTACTGATACCGGCGACTGATTCCTGCGCGACTTGGCTGGTCGATCTGGCGAGCGCTTTCGACTTGCTTTGAAAGCAGTCTCGTACGTGGAGGGCTTCACATGGGATGCCTTACCATCGTCGCTGAGCTCGCCTGTATACTCATCCCACTTGGCATTGCCGGGAGTCGTCAGAGGTGGCGGTTTGTGCAGCATCGACCGGACTTGCTTGAAGAGTGGCAACCTAGACTGTCTGATCTGGGGACCATGGTCTTTGACCTGCTGTTGCGGGTGGGCATGATACGAGGGGTGGTAGCTGTCTTTGTTGCCGGCAGTAACTCCGCAGGCGTTGTTTCCAGGATTTGTGTTGGCGTAGTCGTCGCTGTATGCTGAAGAGACAGTGGGCACCGCCGACACGCGACCCTGCGCTGGTGCCGGTGGCAAGTCCTTCTGAACCGAATACGCTCCCATTGCGATGGCGCGTCTGGTTCAATATAGTAGAAGGGCGTCGTGAGTGCTGGTGTTGTAGTCCTTCTTGATTAATGCTGCCGCATAGCCTTCAGCTTGACCATGCAGATTGAAGGTCCCGTGATCGCGCGGTCATAGAATCTAGGAACCGTAAAGTATGCGTGTTCTGGGTCTGTATCGCTTCCTTCACCACTGCCCCACGAACTCAGTGCCTTCTCCAGCCGCCGTTGTCGTTGTCCAAGGTCGTGAATGTAGATGAGGAAGTCCAGGTCAGAATCCGAAATCAACGTGCCTCTCCCTAGGCCCTCCTCCCAAGATAGTCCTTCCTCCTTCACAGACTCACATTCAGTAAATGCGTTGGCGCGAGATTGAAAGTGTTTCAGCTTCACAACGGTCGCGCAGCATCCCCGCGATTGGATCATCGGCTACCGTTGTTTGGCTCGGCAACGGCTTCCTTTAGCGCCCGAAAAATGGAGCTCCGAGCGCCGAAGGCAACTTCACATGCGTGTCGAACGATACCTTTGTTTCGAGCGGGTACAAGGCAGCATGTGAACTTCAAAACGGAGCTGCGAGAAAGCAGCACTTGGACTACTACCTCAAACATCAAGAACACCGCCGACAAACGTCTCACCATGGCAAGCCACACTGAAGGGGTCCATGTCCGCCCGGACGGCCAAAAAGTCTTCGTGCCATTGGAGAACAACCCAGAAGTCTTCACCGAGCTCATCCACCGCCTCGGCGTCTCCCAATCCCTCCGCTTCCACGACGTCTACTCCATCACGGACCCAGACCTCCTCGCCTTCCTCCCCCGCCCCTGCCACGCCTTAATCTTCATCTCCCCCGGCGACGTCTACAACCGCGTGCACGGCCGCACGGAACCGCGGGAAATCATCCACGATGGGACGGGTGACGACGAGCCTGTTGTGTGGTTTAAACAGACGATCGGGAATGCGTGCGGATTGATTGCTTTGCTGCACGCTGTCTCCAACGGGCCGGCGCGGGAGTTTATTCAGTCAGGCTCGATTCTGGATGACTTGTTGAAGCAGGGGATGCCGCTCAAGCCGGACGAGAGGGCGAAGGTGTTGTATGATTCTGTCGAGTTGGAGAGGGCGCATATGGCGTCTGCGGTCCGCGGGGACAGTCGAGCGCCGCCGGCGGAGGAGGACCCGGGGTATCATTTCCTTGCGTTTGTGAAGGGGAAGGATGGGCACTTGTATGAGTTGGAGGGGGGATTTAATGGGCCAGTGGATTTGGGCGAGGTGAAGGAGGGGGACGATTGTTTGAGTGAGCGGGCGTTGGCGCAGGGGGTGAGGAGGTTTGTGGAGAAGGCGGAGGGGAATATGGAGTTTAGTATCATTGCGCTGTGTGAGGAGGCAGTGGATGAGTAGTGGTGGGGGCAGCTTGGAAAAGTGATGGTGAAGAAGCGGTGGATGTAGGAGTTGCAGCCATGGCAAGTCGTGGTATTGACGAACGACGAAGTGCTCCTTGATTCGAACACTGCATATTCACTCACCTACACTTACATGTGCGTCTTGACAACTTGGCCGTGCACATGAGGCCAAGGATCCCAGCCCGATGCTCCTGCTCCGTGACCCATTGAGCCCTCCCCTGCAAGCGACGGACAGTGAAAGCGGCCCAGCGAGGTAGTAGACATGCCTGGCAGCCTTCTCCCAACCCAATCAGCCCGAAAAGGCTACATCACTCTTGTGGGCGGGCTTTTCTTGTCTGTGAGAGGATTCATCAGATGGCTCGCTCTGGCCCGGTAGGCCTCTTTCACTGTCCCTCGCTTATCAAGTAACAGATAGTGCAACCGGGCCACTGGGAGATATCTGGAAGTCTTCTCCGAGACGAGGTTGTGGTCAAAAAGGCCACATCACTCTCGTCAGCGGGCAGTCATTGTCTGTGAGAAGGACCCTTCCGCGGCTTATTTTGACCTGGTGGGCCGATTTCACTGTCTGCCGCCTGCCCTGCTCCGCTCATATCTTACACTCGCACCACAACAACAGTACTCTCCTGGGTATCTCAAAAATCCAAGCCACAGCCCCCCGTCCCCCCTCATTCATCGTCAACGAAACTACTCGCCAACCGCCCAAAAAACGGCACCTCCACCCGATCCAACGTCTCCGCGTTCCGAAACGCACACAGCGTCAAATACCCAATCCCCACCACATCCCCCACAAACAACAGCCAGCTCACCACGCTCGTCCAGCTGAAAACAATATGCAGCACAAACATCGCGCTAAACAGCATCGCGCTCTGCCACGCGTGGAAGCGGACGTAATCGCTTTGGTGCTCGAAGAGCAGCAGTACCACCCCGCCAGCTGGTGGGAGGAGGAGGTACGCTAGGCACGCTTCGATCCGCAGCGGTATTCCAAGGCTCGTTTCGAAGACGCTCCCGCTGCCGGTGTACGTGGGTCCGGCGCCTTGGAGGGCCGTGTTGCCGATGTAGTCGTTTTGGCGCGGGGCGCCGCTTTCGAGGTCCGAGTAGCCGCCTGGTGCGTCGTCGTCTGCGAATTGGGAGGGGGAGGGCAGGCGTTGGGCGCGGGCGGCAGCCCAGGGGTCGGTGTTGGCTATGGAGGAGATGTTTCGTTGGGGGCGGGGGGATTGGGGTTTTGGGGAGGCGGTTGGGGAGCGGAGGGGTGGTGATTTGGCGCGGTCGGATTCTGGGGGGGAGGATTGGTCTGAGAGCAATGGTCAGCTAGGGTTTGGTAGAGGATGGTGCGGGTGGTCCGGACAGGGAGCGAAGTTCATGGCCATTGTTGCGTAATTACGAGGTTGGAGAGATTGGGAGGTGTAATCAAGGATTGGCAATCATTGAGTGTTGTACAATGGTATCTCGCTGCCTTGGACATGAGACGAAGCACGTGAAGTCCGAAGATCTCACATGGCAGCGCACGAGCGTTCACCTGGCAAAGCTTGTTTTCTCCAACACCTTCTCCAACCATGGCATTAAACGATTATAACACTTCTTCTAACGCCAAACCCCGTTATCACCAGAGATCTCGAAGACTGTCTGACTGCGTTGTCTTCGTGCTGACAGATAACCTCCCCGCAATGCCCTCCGAGAGCAAGTCGGCAATAGAAGGGCTATCTGCGAGCCAATGACACCATCTACCACCGAAGAACAATGTCGATCGCGGCAGAATCGGTGACATCAGATCTGGGTAAAACACCATTGCAGAACAACGGTAGATGGATCGAAAACTTCAGGCTCCACATCTTCTCGCGCATACATAAGTCGTCTCGTCTCTTCTCGTGTTCCCTCTCAGCAACCTTCAGACCCATAACACCCAGCTGCACATCCACTTCTCTTTCACCAACCCAGAGAACCCACTCCTTCCACACCACACACGCCAACATGACCCGCGTCCTCCTCACCGGCGGCTCCGGCTTTATCGCCGCCCACGTGCTGGACATCCTCCTCCAACGCGGCCACTCCGTCGTCACCACCGTCCGCACGCAAGAAAAAGCCAACAAGATCCGCGAAGCGCACCCCAAAGCCAGCGAAAAGGACCTCTCTTTCGCCATCGTCGAGGACATTGCGCAAGAAGGCGCCTTCGACAAGGCAGTCGTCAGCGACCCGCCGTTTGAGGTGGTGATCCACACTGCCTCGCCTTTCCATTTCAATGTCACGGATGTGCAGAAAGATCTTCTAGACCCGGCGATCATTGGGACCACGGGCGTGTTAAAGAGTATAAAGAAGAGCGCTCCCAGCGTGAAGCGAGTAGTCGTCACGAGCAGCTTCGCCAGCATCATCAACCCTGAAAAGGGCAGCTGGCCGGAACATACCTACACCGAAGCGGACTGGAACCCGGTCACGCAGGAACAAGCAAAGCAGGACGCCGCGACCGGGTATCGCGCGAGCAAGACCTTCGCCGAGCGCGCGGCATGGGACTTCGTGGAGCAGGAGAAGCCGAACTTCACGCTCGCGACCCTGTGTCCGCCGCTCGTGTTAGGGCCGATCGTGCACTACTTGAACAGCTTGGACGCTCTCAATACATCCAACCAGCGCATTCGCGATACGATCCAGGGCAAGTTCAAAGATGACTACCCGCCTGGCGGACCGTACATCTGGGTGGACGTGCGCGATCTTGCGGACCAGCACGTCAAGGCTGCCGAAGAGCAAGGGGCGGGCAACCAGCGATTCTTTGTTACGGAGGGGTATTTCAATGGCAAGTTGATCGTGGACGCCGTGAGGAAGAATTTCCCGGAGTACAAGGACAACTTGCCAAAGGAGGATTTGCAGGGCGGTGGGTTCCCCGAGGGGGGCGTGTATAAGCCGGATAACAGCAGGAGTAAGAAGGTGCTTGGGGCGAAGTATAGGAGTTTGGAGGAGAGCATTGTGGATACTGTGAAGAGCTTGAAGGCTGTTGGTGCGTAGATGGAATCCTCTATGAAAGTAGATCAATATGCATTATACATCCGTACTGCCAACTGCTGTTCACTCCTGATAGAATCGAATTATCTGCACAGAGCGAAATGTTAGCTCAGAGATAGCCAAGGCCTGAGCTCAGGCCGTGAACGTAGTTTGTGTGCGGTAAGAAGTGGTCAGAAAAGGTGTATATTAAGACAGCATCTTGGAAGAATCCAATCTGAAGTTATCGTTTTTATGTTGCTCATCATTTGGAGATATTCGCACGGGTGGGAATGGGGCTTCCTTACCAGCAGTGGTATTCAGAGCGTCGGTTCAAGAGACTATTGGCGCCCTGTGGGACACTGTCAGTTTAGTCCCCGTACATGTTGTCGTGGAAGGAGAAGAGCATGGGAATGTAGCGGTCAGAAGGAACAACTGAATAGTTTTGATTTGTAACAGCATCTTGGACGGTGTCCAATCTGAGATTTTCCCTTTGAAGTGATCATCATACGGAGAGTGTGCGGGAGGGTGGAAAAGAAGGATCACGTACCGTTTGCGACCGTGCCAAGCGAGGGACAGTGAAAGCGGCCCACCAGAGCGAGCCCTTTGATTGATCTTCTCGCAGACAAGGAAAGCCCGCTCACGAGGGTGGTGTGGCCTTTCCGAGTTGATTTGGATCTGTGAGAAGGCCGTCAGATATGGCCGCTTTCACTGCCTCTCGCTTGCGTGTACAGCGCTTCGAGCCGACTTATATGGTCTTTCTAGAACTCTCGTCAGCTTCCACTTCTTGGATCTTGTCGCGGAAGAGGAGAGATGTGTTGGAGGAGGTCAGACTGTTGAGCTTGAATTGATAGTGCCTTCATTGTACTTGGACTCGGCGTAAAATGGTTGAAGAGAGATCATCTTTCCAGTGTGTAGGGAGAATATTGAGATCGGAGAACGTACCTTGAGCGGACCAGCGCGCCTGTGTTTTCTTGGTGACAAAAGAAGCGTGACAGCTCTCTCGTAAGATCCCGCACCCGCTTTTCTTGTCACCAAGGAATGTGTGAGCGCGCTTTTGGTGGTCAAACGGTGAAGTTGAAGGAGGAGAATTATTAGCGGAAATGGAAGGCTCTTGCCTTCTCCGCGATATGACTTGGCATTCCCGAGGTCGGTCTTGTCTGATTGGCTGGCTTTTGTCAGCGACTTCAACAGACGGCATGGTTGATGAAGGACAGTTGTACGTTCTCACATTGTTCGGCTACACAACTGCATACTCCTGAATCAGCAGTATAACACAGGCGGGAGGCAAATCCGCTGAGCCATCCAGTAAACGACATCGGATTAACTCCTACCAACCACGAACCCAAACAACCCGAACGACTGGTAAACTTCCATCCCAAGCCCGCCCATCAAGGGCGGCACAACCTACCAAACCATGGGCGGAGCACTCTCCCTCTTCTCCAAACTCCTCTGGACCAAGAAAGAAATCCGCATCCTCATTCTCGGCCTCGACAACGCCGGCAAAACCACGCTCCTCTACCGCCTCAAAATCGGTGAAGTCGTCACCACCATCCCCACCATCGGCTTCAACGTCGAGAGCGTCACGTACAAGAACCTCAACTTCAACGTCTGGGATCTGGGTGGACAGACGAGTATAAGGCCTTATTGGCGGTGTTACTATGCGAACACTGCGGCGGTGGTGTTTGTGATTGACTCGACGGATATTGAGCGGTTGGAGACGGCGGCGGGGGAGTTGCGGGCGATGTTGGAGGAGGAGGAGTTGAGGGATGCGGCGTTGTTGGTCTTTGCGAATAAGCAGGATCAGCCTGGGGCGAAGGGGGCGGGGGATATCAGTGAGGCGTGAGTTGCACCCATTGCGGAGACACTGCTATGCACGATGCGGCACCTGGAGGGCTACGAGAGGCGATGGGATTAAAGACATGTTCTGACATTCAGTGGCGCAGATTACGGTTAGGAGACCTGAAAGACCGGAATTGGAGTATCATGGCATGTTCAGCCATAGACGGCAGGGGTGTCAACGAGGGCATGGATTGGTTGGTGGTGAGTATACCCTCCTTGACCGAGAGCGCGCACACGTGTGCTGATCAGAGGGTAGCAAACGGTCGGCGAGACATCATGACCTAACGGTGGCGGGCATTGTTTGCATGTTAGGCGTTCTGGTGTATGGAGGCTTGCACGACGCAATGCAATGCAAGGTCGACTTTTCGAGACAGCACTAGCTTTTGCGCAGCGCTCTGGCGTCTCCTGAGCTTGACTGGGAGCGCAAGAAGCTTGCTAGCTGCAGACGCATCACGCAAGAGATGAGACACTGTTTCTTTGTCTGGCCACGTCTCCGACTTGAGAGGCTGCTTTAACTTCTCGACTTTCTTCAACATCATCCACATCCTTCTCTTCTACATCATTACTCAATACTCAATTTCATTCCTCCCTTGCGTTGTCAACATTTCCTTCTTTCCTTCTTCATTATACAAAATCGCACCAACCAAGTATATACACCATCATGGGATCGATGTTCGCAGCTCCAAACGACAGAGCGGTCGTAATCGGACCCGGCGGCCAGGTCTTCTCCAGCCTTTCCGCCACCCAGCTTCCGGCCGCCACGCATTGCTAGGTGCCGGAGCTTGAGCGCCGCATGTACAACTTCTGTGCCCGGCACTCTATCAGCGCGCACTCTCTGCCCTCCAACCCGCCCGAATTCCTTGCTATACTTCGTGCTATCGGCTTCAACCACGATGATCCTCAGGTCGTCCAGGCCGGCGCGAAGCACGTCATTGCCTGGATTACGAACCATCTCATGACGAAGAAGATGCACCCCGCTACGACGGAGCGCTTCGGAGAAGCGATCGTATCAACTTTCCCTCTGGCGATCGCCAACTTGCGTCGTAAGACCGCTCTGGATGTCCACGCTGCCTACGACAGGCCGGAGCAGAGCACCCTCCAGCAGCGTTTGGCGTTCTCTCTCTAAGGAAGGAGCAAACACTGTGACCAATGCAATCAGCGTGGTATGAAGCGTGGCACGACAGAGTCTCACCATCAGGGCCCACCAACAAAGCGACACCAGGGCGAGCGAGGCGATGACGAAGTCGGAATGGAGTCAGCCTCAGGTATTAGCGGTCCGGACGACGGAGGAGTGACCCAGGAAGCGGAGGTGATGATAGCGGGACAGACTTGGGCGCCGACAGTTGTAGGGATTTGGAGACTGAATCTGAGTATGCTGACGATTCGGATGAGGACAACTCGGCAGATGATGAGGTAGGCTCTGACGAAGAGGCCGGTGAGAACGGTCTCTCGATCGACATGGGGGGGAGAGGGAGGAAGGGGAGTCGCTCGCTAAAGTCCGGCACGCACTGCAGGAGCTTGGCTGGTCAACGTGTCAGACTCGGGACACTCAGGCCGGGTATTCGGACTGTCGAAAGCTCGCGACGCTGGCAGAGGACATCCCGGGACAGCATGATCACCAGACCACCACGGAACGCTCAAGCGTGGAGCATGCGAAGGCCACCATGAAGCTCTGCCTGCGTCGACATCCGAAGATCGACGTCAAGCTAACTTGGCTCCGCCTCTCCTGGCCATGACGCCGCTCAGTCAGTCACCATGGGCACTGCAGGCCTCACATCGCCACGTCGTTGTCCAATTTGGCGAAGTGAAGGCGGTATCGCACGGCCATATTGCTAATACGCCGGTCCTTCAAGCCTTCGTCCTCTCTGGAATCGAGCTTGACGTTGTGAAAGCGGTATACAAGAAGAGGCCGTACCTTTTTGACATAAAGGAAGTGAAGGCGCTAATAGCGTCATTAGGCTTGTAACCTACATGTACTCACCGTCGTCGCGGCAGCTTCTACGTGTGAGCGGGGCAACGCATCTGGATGCCCGCTAGGCGGTTTGAAGTTTCTTCTCGCGAGCGATCCACTCGCCAGTTCTGATCTGCTTTTAGTGCGGGCGGCAGGCTCTTCGGCCTGCACATCTAAGGCGGAGTACGGAAAGGGGGTGGAGGGGAGAGGGGTGAGGAGTAGACAGGCGACAGTGATTAGGAGAGGCTAGCTTACTGAAGAGGTGTATAGAAGGCGGAGAGTAGGGAGGGGCGAGATGATGGGAGGTTTGCTTGCTGAAGAGCGCGGGAGTAAGAGCGTCACAGAGGGAGGAAATAGGAGCATCACCTACGCCAGCTCTCGGAAATTCGGCTTTACTGCAACGCTGCTCGCAACAGACGCCAGCATCCAATGGACCAATGTATGACCCGACCTACTTCGTATGGCCGTCTACACTTGCCATACATCGAGTTAATATGTAACCATGGTTACCGAGGTGCGTCAACACCATACTCTACGTCCTTGGTCCATGAGTCTACCACTACGCCAAGGAGCGATAGCTTCGCCACCATCGGGGCTCGACGGAGTCATTGCTTTGTTGCTCACGCATAAGATCGAGTCCGGATCTTTGTTCAACGACAATGGCCTTGTATGGTTCGTTCACTCTTCTTTATGCCAGTACACTTCACGCTCAGTGGTACAAAGCCATCGTTGTCAAAGGTTGAGCAGTATATACTGCTGCGGGAGGCGAAATGGTTGTGCTTCTGCAGAAACAACAACGAATACGGACGAGGCGTACATCCCTCGTTAAAATATACCTCACGAACAGAACCAGCGCCAAATCCAACAAGCGAAGTCATCCAAGATTCCAACGGCATCAATCATGGAGGGTATTACCAGGGATTTGGAACGGGCGCAGCTGAGCAGCCAGGCACGGCCAACGAAAAGCAGTGGGGCAGTCAAACTGGTTCACACCCTGCTGTTCAAATACCCAGATGCTGACCTACTCGAGGATGGGGTTCAGCCATATCTGGCCCCACCCACGAGCGCCGACATCAGACGTGCGCCCAGCGAAGTGGCTTGCCATGCTGAGCGACTCGGCACGCAGTTCTTTGCTTTCCTCTTCCTGCGACCTCATTCGCCTTTCAACATCTATTACCCCCAACAGGGCGAAGGCAAGCAGCTCCGTGAGAGAATCGAGCTCCTCCGCGGAAGGCCTGGTCGATCGCAGCTCAACATGGTCTCCTACCTGCGCGAAGAATACGGAGGCAGCCACGTATGGCATCGCTTTCTTCTGACCAATTTAGAAGACGATCATGCGCTAGATTTACAGTTCGACCTCAGTGCTGCCCAGTACAGGCACATTGTAATGAACCGGGATGCCGAGCAGGAAGAATGGGTCGACATCCTCGCCGATCTTGTCAGTCGTGCTTCTGACCGCGCTTTCTTCGAAGTGCGCAAGAACTTGATGAGTACGCATAGCTTCGTGGCTATGCAGGAGGCTGCGGAGTGGAACGATGTCTGGGAGCGATCTTTGCCGAAGCCGATCATAGAGCTGTTCTTATCACGACTTCAGCAAGTCACCGAGGCGGACGCAGAGCGCTTGTTCGGCGCAGCAGACGGCCGAATGGACCTGCAGCTACCATGCGGTCACCAAATCGGCATACGGAAGATCGAGATCGCTGGACTGATCGACCACGCAATGCTCACGAAGAAGTGTCCAATCTGTCATCAATCTATCCTCCAGCCGGCTGATGAGCCGGATATTTAGCGCAGACAGAGGGTCGAGGAAGTGGATTCCTACAAGGCCCGCAACGCAAGCTGGGTCTGCCGTGACAATGGACTGACAGCCAATGGCGAGGTGGTCAAGTTCAAGCCCGGTCAGCTCATCGAGGCACTTGAGAGTGCTCTGAACAGTTTCGATGCTCCAGCTACAATCACACCTGTACCCCTCAACCCAGTCCACTGGAGCGAAACCCGAGCGGTCATGGCTCACTTGGAAACAATCATCGGGAACTCTGACGATGTGTTGGAAAGCCGGCCAGCCGACCTGCTGTTCCAGCTCATCGACACAGCAAAACAAGCAACGCGGGTTGATCCCGACGAGAGGGGCCTCAAGCTCTCTGAGACAGTCGTACCGCCGGAGTACTCGAGCTTTGAGCGTCTTTGGTTCACTAGAGCGGTGAGCTTTCTTGCCCAGCGTCTCGAACTTGAGGAAACAACAGAAGACTGGGACGAGTTAGAGGAGCAGATGGAGCTTTCAAAGACCATGCTGGAGTTCGAGCTTATGACTGTTGATTGAGAGAAGGGAGACGCCTTCACAATCAGCCCATTGCTGAGAATCTAATGTAAGCTTGGGTGTTGGTATTAGCATCTTATCCTTACGAAACAACACTGATCATCAACTACGGTATAGGACTTCACATTGCCTCACTCACATCCATCACTCGGATACCTTGGAGGCCTTGTGCCGCGTCCACCACCACGTGGCCACATCCGTCGAGACGGTACTGCAGGGAGGGTTCGAGCGCAGCAAGTGTTTGGCCAGACGATGAAAATGCCTCTCTGTTGTTAAAACTGGGCTGCTTTGTCCGGATATAATGATGTTGAACGATTCATTGACAAGCTCGAGAACAAGGCAACGGTTTGAAACTTGTCACGACAAAGCCATTGTCCTTGATTCCCACGCATATACTGGTTCGCTCCGGCTGGCGCGATGCGTGCTTGCTCTAGATAAACGCCGCAACAGACTCAGGTCAAATCTCTCGCACAGCGCACGGTCACATCCTAGACAACCCGGAGAATATCAGCTATGGCTTCACTAGCAGAAGTTACCGATCAGCTGGGCAGCTACCAAGTCGGCGAAAGCAACGCACTCAGCGTCCGTGCTGCCGGCAACGCCCATTTCCTGTCCTTCAAATACCCAGCCACCAGCCTAATACCAGAGAGCACTTTGCCATACATCCACGCCACCAGCCAACGCCGAGCTGAGAAGGCAACCGCATGAAATGGCATGCCACAGTACCACCATCGGCACAACGTTCTTCGCACAGCTGTCCGTGCAGCCCCCAACGACGTTCGTGGTTCCTATCCACCAGCAAAACGCTGCGCAACGTCTTCACTACGCCATCGATCAAGTGCGCACCCAGCCCGGCCATTCACGCCTCAGCGTTGTTTCTTACGCTCAGGAAGATGATTCAGGTAAAGCTATCTTGTATCGCTTCAGACTTGAGAACCCTGCTGACCTGTCCAGCGAGCCACCTACTCAGAACTTCGAGCTTACAGTGACAGAGTATCGACAGATGGTGACTGCGGACACTGGAAGCGAATGGATCGCCAACCTCGACGAGCTGATAACAAGAAGCTCTGAAAGAGCCTTTCTCGAAGTCAAAAAGACCTACTCCGCCGGCAACGGCATCGATACCATCTTCGAGGCAGCACGATGGGACGACGACTGGGCAAGGATGCTGCCTCGCCCGGTCGAACAGCTCTTCATGGCCCGCTTGGACCCCGTCACTATGGAGGATTTGGAACAAATGGAAGGAACGGCTGGATCAGCAGATGCTTTAATCCAGGTCCGTCTGCCATGCAAGCATCTCATTGGCACGAGTAAGGCTGAGCTGGACTCTCTCTCCTCCCAGATGATGCTGGATCACATCTGTCCGCAATGCGGCAGTCGGACTTTGCAAGATGAAGAGCAGCCGGAGATTATGTTGAGAACTGCCATCGAGCGAGCTGACGAGTACAAGCACCTTAATGAGAGCTGGACTTCTTTGGATAACGACGAGCCAGTCGAAGGCGCGCACCAGATCTCCTTCTCACCCGCGACGTTGCTCGAATCTTTGGACACTGCGTTGCACAGCCTCAACACTCCTCCTCTCACAATGACTCCGCCAAATCTGAACCCAGTGAGCTTTAGCGAGACACGGGCAGTGAACGCGCATTTCGAGAGTGTGATTAGAGCCGCAGGTGACGAAATCAAAACAACTCCCGCTGAACTACTACGCCAGCTTCATGACACTGCAGACGGCGCGCATCGGATCGATATCGAGGAACAGCATCTGCTCGTCTCGCAAACAATGGTGCCTCCGACGTTCGACGAATTCAAGAACATTTGGTTCCGGAGGACTGTGGGCCATCTCGTTGACCTGCTGGCGCTAGACGGCACTAGAGACGACTCCGACAGTGAAAGTGATGGGGTCGACGCAACACTGATGGAGATCGAGGTGAGAATGGATGAACAACTCGATCTTGATGGCACAGGGAACGTGCAACAGCTACTCGAGTTTGGCGCTGCTGAAAACGACGTTGGGGATGCTGAGAACGACGTCGAAGAGGCACTGTTGGAGGCCCAGGAACGAACGGAGGGAATCCAACTTTAGATCAAGTTTGTATACATACTGTAAGCGAAATCCATGCAGGACATGGAGGCCGGTCGTGATAGCCAGCCCATCTTTTCAGTGCCGTATCTTTCCGTGTCATGTCGCAAATCGTCATTGTCTCAAAGAGTAGCGTGGTGCGAAAAGCTCGTGCATTAATCTTCACAAGATAACTGTCTCACCCCTCATCTGCGTCCATACCCTCTCTATCCCTCTTCCCACCCTTCTTGATCCTTCCACCACCAATGCCACCCTTTCCACCTCCACGACCTCCCTTCCCTCTTTCCTTCTCATTGAGCGCCTTCATCTCTTGTATCGCAACCCTCTGAGCCTCACCGACCCGCTCTGAGAACACCATAGCCTCATCCCGGTCCGCGGAGAACTCGTCCAGCTTCTTGCCCAAAGCCTTCTCTATCCGTAGGTAGATCTCCACGTCGTACTGCGTCACGATGGAGATGGCCACACCGCTCTTTCCTGCTCTAGCAGTTCGACCGACACGATGCACGTAAGTTTTGCTGTCAGGCGGTAAATCGTAATTCAGCACCAGGTCAACGCTGGGTATATCCAGACCTCTCGCAGCGACATCAGTAGCGACCAAGATGTCTTTGCTACCTGCGCGGAACTTGTTGAGCGCACCAAGTCGTGCTGATTGACCGAGTTGGCCATGCAGAGGGATCGAGCTGCGACCCAGAGCTCGAAGGAGGAAAGCCAGGCGCTGTGTCTCGTGGATGGTGCGGGTGAAGAGAATGCATGTTTGGCCGGCGAATGTGTTGAGGAGGAAGATGAGGTAGACGTCTTTGAACTTGTGAGGGATGAATATGTATTTCTGCTTCAGGTTCTTGACTGTCTGGTAGGAAGAAGTGCTGATGCTGACGCGAACCGGGTTGTGCAAGGCTGCGCGGGTGAGATTGTCAAGTTTTGTATTCATGGTTGCGGAGAAGAGCATCGTGTGGCGCTCTTTTGGCAGGACTTGTAAGATCTTGTCCAGAATGGGCCCGAAGTCCAGGTCAAGCAGTCGGTCTGCCTCGTCCATGACCAGGTACTTCAGTCGTGCCAACGAGAAGCCCTTCGTGTTCTCCAAATGATCCAGAAGACGGCCCGGTGTCGCAACAATGATGTGCGGCTTCTTCGCCAGCGCTATCGACTGCGGCACCATGTCCATCCCACCGACGATGACCGCACATCGTACGTTAATGAGACTGCCCAGAGCTTCGAACTGCTGGCTGATCTGGTACGCCAACTCTCTTGTCGGCGCTAAAACAAGTCCAAACATCGGCTGAGGCTTGTCGAGCAGTTCCTGGAGGATTGGCAGAGCGAAAGCAGCCGTCTTGCCACTGCCCGTCTCGGCAAGTCCAATGATGTCGCGGCCAGAGAGCGCTATGGGTATTGATTCTGCCTGTATGGCCGTAGGTGATTTGAAGTCAAGGTTGGCGCATGCATCGCATAGAGACTCTGTTACACCCAAGTCTGCGAATGTCTTGTTCTCCAGCGCAGCGTCCGAAGTGGCGGCATTTTCCTCGTTGTCCGGAGCGGCATCCTTGGCTGGTGAGGCTTCTTTTGTGGTCGGCAATGTGGGAGCGCTCTTTTCGTTGGAGCCATTGAGCTTTCGTTTCTTCATGGACGGCGACATGTTGATGGTCTTGTAGAGGAGTTGTGCAAGTTGCTTTCATGAAGTCGAAAAAAGATGCTCTGTTATCAGATCTCTAGCCTCGGATCTAGCCGAAGCGAAGCTTGTCTTGAGGACTCCACAGAAAAGTTGAGACTGCACGGAAGAAGCTCGACTCAAGGACTTCTACCACAACATCACCCGCAATGGCGAAACGACGGGTGAAGAAGCGAACGCACATACCGAACCAGAATGGCCGCTCAGCAGCTCCTGGCAACACGGCCAGCAAGCCCGGCTCTCGCACTCCAAAGTCGATGGTCATCCGCATAGGCGCATCTTCTGTCGGTCCCGCTGTCTCGCAACTTGTGCGCGATGTACGATCTGTACTGGAACCCCAGACCGCTTCTAGGCTCAAGGAAAGACGAGGGAACAAGCTGCGGGACTTCACGACGATGGCTGGACCTCTAGGCGTCACACATCTGCTGCTGTTCTCTAGAAGTGAAGGAAAAGCCGGGAAGGCTGGAGGCAATGTCAATATGCGGTTGGCAGTCACACCTCGAGGTCCAACCATGCACTTCCGAGTGGAGAGCTACAGCTTGTGCAAGGATGTTGCTAAGGTGCAGAAGAGGCCGAAGGGGAAGCCGCAGGGGGAGTTTCTGGCGCCGCCGTTACTGGTCATGAACAATTTCAGCACAAAGGAGCAAGAACAAAACGGAGAGCTTGACGGCGAGACTGGCAAGAAGGCGAAGGAGAATGCAGTGCCGAAGCACCTCGAATCGCTGGCCACTACAGTATTTCAATCTTTGTTTCCACCTATTAACCCGGTCCAGACCCCACTGAGCTCGATAAAGCGGGTGCTCATGCTCGATCGAAAACCACAGACCTCCAGCGCAACTTCGGATTCAGACTCGATACATCCCTACGTTCTCAACCTCCGCCACTACGCCATTACCACCCGCACTGCTAAGTCTGTTGCGAAACCTCTGCGGCGACTGGATGCGGCGGAGAAGGTCTCGCATGCAGGCGAGAAGCGCAAGCGAGGCGGCGTACCTAATCTTGGCAAGTTGCATGACGTTGCCGACTACCTACTGGATCCCCAGGCGGCGGACGGCTTCACATCTGCCAGCGACTCAGAGCCAGATACTGATGCTGAAGTTGAAGTGCTGGCGCCGGCGCAGCAGAAGGTTCGGGATCGACGCGAGAAGAAGAAGGCGGCGGAGGAGGCAGACGGAGAAGGCGCCGCACGAACTTCAGACCGTCGCGACCCAGCGTATCGGGCGCAGGCGAGAGTAGAGAGGAAAGGTATCAAGTTGCAGGAGCTGGGGCCGCGGTTACGGTTGCGATTGACGAAGGTGGAGGAGGGCATGTGTGGTGGCAAAGTCATGTGGCACGAGTACATCCACAAGTCGGATGCTGAAGTCCGGCAGATGGAGAAGGTGCATCAGCAGAAGAGGCAGGAGAGGGAGCGGAGGCGAGAGGAGCAGAAGGAGAATGTAGAGAGGAAGCGAGAGGAGAGGAAAGCGGATGACAAGGAGGCGAATGGTGAAGATGAGGAGGATCTCGATGAGGATGAAGATATGTGGGATGATTATGAGCATGATGAGGAGATGGATGACGTTGAGGATGAGGATAGTGAGGGTGGCGTGGAGCTTGGTGCTGCAGACAGTGGGAGTGACGACAATGGAGAGTGAGTAGGGCAGTTTCGCGGCGGAACATACCCTCGAGGGGACTGAGAGTCCTCATTTTTCGACCTTGAAAGACTCACTGGCAGCGATTCTGGCCGTGTTGGAGCCTTTACTTCATCATCGCTATGTTTCACTCTCGGGGCTCTGCTTTCGTCATGGCGCTTCACTTCCTGCTCCGCACGTGCACACCCGCCACCGGTGTGCTTCTTGATTCTCGCTATCTACGCTCGGACCACAACGATCTCATATGGTCACATGGCCTCATGACTCGTGCTCCGTGCCGCAGTGACCTATATCTATACCTTCACGACCAAGCTTCAGTACTCACACTTACAACTTCCAATAATCACAACGAATTCACTACTTCCTCAACCATGGTCTCTTCAAGGAAGCGCAAGGCCGATCCCGACTACGTCGACGACAACAATGACAAGCACAACACTGTCCCAGACGGTGAACTGGGTATTGCACAATCCGTTGCCTCAAGGTAGGACATTCATGCCTTCGACATAATGCAAGCTGGCTAACAGTGCGCTCTCCAGGAACCAGCAGAAACGCTTGAAGCTCGCTGAAGAACAACGTCAGAAGTTGGCCGAAGAAGCTGCAGAGAAGCATCTCCAGGTCCCGGACAAGCCGCGCGAGGACCTTATGCAGAAACTACCCGGCGAGATCAGAAACAACATCTATGAAATGGCTCTCGTTCGTGACGAAATAATCTACCTCCATTGCCACCGTCGAAGCAGCGGAGTCAAGCATTGGCGCCGTACGAAGTTCCATGGGCCCGGCCTCTTCCTCGTCTCGAAGCAAGTTCGCAAAGAAGCTATGAGCGTCTACTTCCTTACCAACGAGTTCAGGATCGTCTGCTCTGGGCTCGAGCTTCCATCAGCCATCACATTCCTCGAGAAAGTGTTCGAAGTCTGTGGCAAGGTTCCTTTCCACGAGATGGCTCTCAGGACGCTTCCGCGCGGCTGGCAACAGGTCGTGTCTTGGTGGTACATCGCACGCCTCATCTCCAAGAGTCCGGCTGGCACAGATGCTCAGTGGAAGGCATTCTTCTGGTGCAGTGCAAGTCAGCATCTTGAGATGTCTTTGGACGCTATGATTTCGTTCGCACTGGCAGCAAGAAGCCGTGGGGACGCCGAGGTCAAGGTTAAGGCCGATTTCAAGGTGTAGGCGATGGAGCAGTTTCTGTGGTTGGACCGCAACAGGAACGGCCCGGCGAAGACGCGGAGGGGACAGGCTGCGCTGCGGGACATCGACTAGCTCGTCTGCTTCTAAGGTAGGTATGCTGGCACCCAGAATCAGGCTTGCAAAGCATGTGCAGAGCTAACAAGAGAGCAGGGTGTGCTAAGGGCGGCTCTCCGGCGAACCGTGGCATGAGGTATGACGGTTTAATGAGGCAGCGGTCTGTCGGATGAGATCACTGATTCGAGTGGGTGAGCTGCATCGAGCAGTGGAATGGAGAACATGCGGTGCTCAAGGTAGCAGACAGATGCTCGGCTGGATACTTCCGCTAAAGTTCGGTGCAGTGCGAGCTGGCCGTCATGATTTGGTAGGTCTATGCGCTGCAACAAGCCGACGAGGACAACAGAAGGGACCAGACAGGCCGGAAAAGTTATGCTTCAGACTGCTTTCATACGGCCCTCTTGCCTTCAGTCTGTTTCAAGTTCTTCCGCCTCTGAAAACACCGTGCCGGTGCTGTTGCTTTCAATTTCGTCTCTCCTCTCCTCTTATTTCTCGGTTGTTTCCTATTTGGAGGTGTGTCGTGATTAAAGCTGGACATCCGCAATTGAATTGCCGTTATCACTTCACTATTCACGTTCGCCGACACCGCACCCATACATCAAGCGACCATTCACACACAAATCGAAGTGCTCAAAGGGCCTTGTTCTCCCACAACCCGTCCTTAGTTTCTTCTCACCAACAACGCTTCTCGGAAACACCACACCAAACAAGATGGCGCTCGTTCGGAAGCGGAAGGCCGAGGCCGTCCACGATCCAGAGGACAAGACCATCGGAGACCATGTCGCTTCACGGTGAGTGCCCCTGTCGCACTGCTTGCTGGGCCTGGCGTCTGCTAACCCCTCTCCCATCTAGGCACAAGCACAAGCGCGAGAAGTACACCGGCAACCTCTTCGAGAAGCTCCCCGGTGAGCTGCGGAATCGTATCTGGATGTTCTCACTCGTGGACGAATGTCCACTCGTCGTCAAAGCTCTTCGCCGCAAGACCACGCCGAAGTCCTGGCGTCGCATCAAGTTCCGCGGGCCCAGCTTATTCCTTGCGAACAAGCAGATCCGACAGGAAGCGCCGAGCATCTACTACTAGTGCAACAACATCACGTTCGAAATCGACAACGATGCGAAGAAAGCGGTGGCTACCTTCAAACATATCTACGAAACCTGCGGCAGGATGCCTTTCAGCAACGTCTCGATCGAGCTACGTATGCCTGAGCACTTCAAAGTGGCAGACATGGCGTCCTTGGCTCGCTTCGTTTACGAAAACCCTCACGGAACACTTCATCAGTGGCAGGCGATGCTCAAGCTGGCGTTCTGCATCACGCTGTTGGTTGCAGTGCAATACAGAGATCTTGACCAATCTACAGACCGGCTGAAGGCTGCGCTGGGAGATGCCGCTGACTGGTTTCTGGATCTGTTCCGTGGGGGTTAACAGAGCGCAAGAGAAGGAGGACCTCCACTTGGGTGATGTGAGCCCGAATGGGTTGGTGGCAACGTGCGGGGCGATGGCAAGATGGCAGATTTTGTCCATTCCGTGATTGGCAGGCCCATGTGAATAAGGGCATGATGTAGGGCATCTGATGGGTCGCGGTATGCTCTCTCCGACAGGGAGTTGTCTCGAAAAGTATTTGGTCTGCTGCGGCATCAGTTCTGTTCGAGCAATATCGGCGAGAAGTACCACAGAAATACAACTAGGTCTTCCATGGTGAGTCTCGCTATCCCATTGCCGCCTTGTGTGCCTTTATATGCCGCTCGCTCACCGCAGACGCTACACTCATAGGTCAGCCCAGGCCATTCGAACAAGAGACTAGCAATCTTCTCACGACAAATAGTCTCGCCCACGATCCATCGCAGAGTTTGAACATACTACAGTCACCCAAAATGGGCAATAAAAAACTGCTACTCCGTGGTGGCCCTGACCATAAGTACAACCCCAACAATTTCTTTCAATCTTCTCTTCATAACGTGCTTGTTGTTGCTCTTCTCTCCCAACTACTACGTGAGGATTGACGCTTATTGCTGAGGGTCTGTATAAAGCGGCGGATCAGGTAAAATGGGTTTGATTCCATTAAGCAAGATTTGTGCTGTGAACACCCGTTCCCTCAATGGGAACTAGAGATGGAAGGACTTTTTGGTAAAGCAATATAATAGGTTGTGATCTTCAGGGAACCGAGATTGGGCCGGTTGTCACATGCTTGCGGGAGACGACGTCACTTCATTTGCATTACGCGGATACGGCGGGCACGAGGAGAGGCACCAGGACTTGCAGCGCAGCATACTCGGCGGCCATTGACAACACTGCATAATGGCGATGCCGTGGCGACGTGGCAGGACGCTCAAGGCCACGTCGACTTAACCCACGAGGCCCAACGTGGCAACGACTGCATCCCGAGGAAGACGACCGGCGGAGAGGCAGTCGGGGCGGCGGAAGAGGGTCGGCTGGCCCTCAACACCGGGATCCCAGCAGACTATTGGCAGGCCATCCACGACAGCGCTGATTCGAGGGACATGAGCACAACATCATCTGAAGCATCTGGTGGCCTGGTCTACTGCTTCATACATTCTACCAACATGCCGGGCCCTCGAGCAGAGCAGCAGGAAACACGAGCCAACGGACCCCCACCAGACCGAGAGCGTCGTCATGAGGTTTGATTGCGATCTGAGACTCCTCATATCCGAGTCCACGGTCGTAGGCGATTCGATCATCATAAACTACTGCCACATACTGGAGATGTCCTATCTGAGTCTGCGTCTGACAACGACATGCAAACCTGTTCAGGGAGAGCTGCCTACGGCGTACTGCCGTGGCTGAGCTGATATCCCCTGTTCTCGAAGAATTGTGTCCGCAGGCATTGGAGATGTATGAATGGTTGAAGAATGAATGTACTCAGAGACTTGGACCAGCCGTTGTTGCTACCTTCTTGCTGTGACATGTAGGGACATATAGCGAGCACTTGGGCAGATTCCTTCGCTACATTCCGAGGGCACGAAAGGCCAGGGTACGTCTGTAGGCGTGTCATTGTTTTTTCGTAGAGTTTGAGTTCGGCACCTGTGCCAGGAGAGGTAATAAGTTGGCGTTAGGCGCAAGGGAGAGAGTTGAACTGTGTGCCCCAGACACCCACAAAGACGGGTAGCAAACCATATGTAGGGCTATATGTAGCCACTTACCTTCCATAGGGACCGAATCAAGCAGTTTCAACTGTATAGTAGTTTTCACATGCTTCGGACCATCCCGCGCGGACACTGCCGGTGGCCTTATACGTCATAACTCTCGCGCTAGTGTAGCGTTAAGCTGTCCCTCGGCCAAGCGGATGCCTCCCGCATTTCTTGACAACAAACACCTCGAGTGATTCTGCGTCTACATCTGCCCATCTTCATCAAACCACCACATCACCGCGTGGTCGCACCCCTGCGAATACTCACGACACTGCGCGCCATGATCCTACCGCACAAGCGCAAAGCCGCCATCAAGGCCGGAGAGTATGAAGACACCGCGAACGACGAGAAAGTGGTGAAGAAAGCCAGGCGCGCCGGGTAAGTCCAGGTTTTGTTGTCAAGGGCCATTGTCCGAGAGCCAGTCTGTTCCAGCAGCCGCAAGAAGGGTTCGAAAGCGACGAAGAAGTGTCCGCTCATGGAGCTGCCAGGTGAACTTCGAAACCGCATCTATGAGGAGGCACTTCGTGATGAGGGCGGACCGAAGACGAGCGACGACACTGCCATGCTCATTGGTCCTCGTTCTGGTCCTGAATGGCCCTTACTACGGAGGCTTGCAGGCAAGGCGAACAAAGGTGGACGGGAAATGCCCAGGACTCGACCCAAGTGGCGCGAACCGAGTCTACTGATGGCTTCGAAGCAGATCCGCCAGGAAGCCATAGGCATCTACCTCGAGGTCAACAGGTTCAAGGCGTATATCTCCAAAGGAGTGATCGCCGGTGCGGTTCAATGGATGATGCGGTACCACAAACTCTGTGGTGCCAGGATGTTTGAGCAGGTTGACGTTGAGAGCTATGCTCTTTCCTGGAAAGATTGGGAGCAGGATACTGGAGAGTTGTTCTCGTTCGCAAAGCTGATATTCGTTCTCCCCGTCGACTGCGACAGCCAAGCTGCAGAATGTGCATTGTGGAACAAATTCCTCGATACCGACCACTAAGGACTCGAAGAAGCCGTTGACGCAAAGAGGCTGATCAAGGTGTCGGTCAAGGTGAAGAGGGACCAGTTGTCGTACGGAGACCTGCAGAATTTCTTTTTGCAGTGGGCTTCTGACGTTCGGTGGTGGGGAGCCTGGAGACTGGAGGACGCCGCTGAGGTTCGGAAAGTAGGAACATTGGTGATCAAGTACTGGGAAGAGAACCATCGGGGAATGCAGCGGGTGGATCCGAGCATCGTATCGAAGACCTGGCTGGTCGATGAGATTGTCGTTCTGCTGGCAAAGGGCATGCAGGCGGCAGGAAAGGACTCCAGGAAGTTTAGGGGTAGGATTCGGATGGCGGTGTAGATTGTGAGCGGGTGAGTAGCTACTCAGGTGCAAGCGATGTTGCAAGCATTGAAGCAGGAAGGAGCCTCTCGTGTGGCCGGCGTGTGGGTGGTGTTCAGGCGGAAGCACAGCTGTAATGTACTGCTCCATCATCGAGACATTCCAAGAGCCTTCATAGTCTTTCACATGCCTCAACCCCGTTTCATTTGCTTCAGCGCTTTCACTGCTCTTCAGAAGGCTAGGTGTGACGTCAGGCATTGCCGCTGTTCAGGCGAGAAGATCACAGCATCAATGTCACAATCCTGTTGACTGGCCACGTGAGAGCTTTCACTCGAACCATCTAGTTTCTTCCGTTCTTCTGAACTTCTCGACGAGCTCTTCACCCTCTCGACGCAACAACAGCATCTGTTATGGGGACCAGGAGAGCCTTTAGGTTGGCTGGCGGCCGAAGCCTTTTACAACCCACCGACCGCAGGCCAGCGCTAAGAGTGATGGCTTCGTCCAAGAAGAGAAAGGCAGAAGCTGCAGTCGACGAAGCCGGCGAGGACGGTATCGATGCTGGAGGTGAAGACAAGGTTGTGAAGAAGCGGCGGTGAGTGCAATCACCCCATGCTCTTCTCCATCTATCCCGAGAGCTGACAATACGTAGCGTTCGCAGGAAGCCGAGGAAGAAGACCCCGAGCTTGATCATGAGCCTGCCCGGAGAGCTGAGAAACAAGATCTACGCGCTGGCGCTCGACGGTCCAGTGAGGCCCATTGAGACCTTCAGAAAGGGCAACCGCATCAGGGTTGGATCCGACTGGTTTTCCCACGAGCCTCCACTAAACGTAATCCGGCTCGGGAGACCAACCAGCATCGTCGAGAGCACGCCGCCAAATGCCTACGGTGAAACGTTCGAGAATAGGTCTCGCGTGACACCTCTTTGGCGCCAACCAGGGCTGCTCCAGGCATCCAAGCAGGTCCGTGAAGAGAGTATGTATGTCTACTACAGCATCAATACCTTTCGACTTGTGGTGGATCCGACAAGGATACCGCAGGCAGTGGAGTGGTTGCGATGCTTCTATGCCCGTTACGGAACTGAGCTGTTCGAGCGGGTCTCCTTCGCGATGATCGTTAGGGATTGGCGATCGAACATCGAGTTCTGGTTTTCGATTGCGAGACTCGTCTACGACGCAACGGCACGGAGTCCAAGCCAGACCGCCGAGCGTAGGCTTTGGGCTGACTTCTTCGGGGATCTGAAGGGAAGTTCAGAGTTCGCTGTCAGCATCCGGACCGTGGTGGCGTCGGCCGTGAAGGCGAAGTGGAGGAAGACGCCGTATTCTTCTTTCCAGGAAGATTATATCGACTGGGCCTTTGAGAAGCTGAGGACAGAGAACAACTTGGGCTCGAGATTTTGGAGTCAGGCGAATCAGGAAAGGCTGGTGCGGGACATGATTCGCGCCGCAATGAAGAGAGCGGATCCAGACGGTTTCGCAGAAGGGGCACACCCTTTTGATCCAGCGCTGCTGGGTTGATCGCAGAGGCTGGGTCAAGGACAAGGAGGAGGTTGCTGCATGATTGAATGTCCTGAGAATGGCAGAGGAGACCACTGTCTTGGCTCGAAGTGCTGACTGAAATGAGAATGCAGGAACTTTGCTGATATGAGGGCATGCGTGAATAGCTGGAGCAGCCAGACATAAGCCGGGCAAACGGAATAGTAGAGCGGGCGGAGGCGTCTTGCGTCGCTTCTGCTGGCATCAGGAAAGCAGTGGGAATAGAAAGCATAACGACAGCGAAGAAGTGCTCCTACCGTAACCACCGTTTCATAGGACCTTTCTTGTTCTCTGTCCAGGTCCTCGTGCTGCTTCTCCAGGCTGCCCACAGCCCACCTCAACCTCCACACGACTATCACATGCTCACCGCTCAGCCTCCTGTTTCTGAAATGTCACACCCCAGATCACCTGTCCCCGCTAGCCTCGTGATGTTGTCGCTGTAAACTCACCAAATGACGTGTGGCCACGTAGCCTCATGCTAAACCTCACTTCACACCTCATATCTTCGAGGCTTGCTTCCACCTCTCTTCCGACCTTCGACTCGACACCGACATTTGCCATCATGGCTTCCACGTCCAAGAGGAAGGCCATCGGCGAGGCTGAGTTCGACGATACTGGAGGTGTCAAGCTGGCGAAGAAGCGTCGGTGAGTCCACGTTTGCTCTTCTCGTCGCTCAACGTCGCGATGCTAACAGCCGTCAGCGTCCGCAAGCAGCTTATCAAGGAGCCGAAGAAGTCCACACCCAACCTGCTCATGAAGCTGTCCGGAGAGCTCCGGAACCAGATCTACGAACTCGCGCTTACCGATGCCGGCAAATCCCTCAAGCGACAACCCTACGAGCCAGATCACGCTGGCGCCATCCTCATCGGAAACCGCAGTTTCAAGGTTGGCGGTCCGGACACCTGGGTGGTCTACAAGCCGGAGAGCGTGCAGGACGGCCGACGGTATTCGTCTTGCGAAACCCAAAGGGTACCAGCGTGGAGGGAACCAGGGCTGCTGCAGGTGTCGAAGCAGATCCGCCAGGAAGCCATGGGTGTGTATTTCGAGATCAACTCCTTCCGCCTCTCCATCGGCGTGCAGCACATCTCGCGCGGCATGGAGTGGCTGTCGCGCCTCCATGCGAAGTTTGGTGCAGCTATGTTCGACAAGCTGCACATTCAATCAACTGTGATGGGCGCGAAGTGGAGGGCCACCGTCCCGTCCTGGTACTCGATTGCGAACTTCGTTTTCCAGACACCACTTCCGGATGTTGTCGACAAAGATGGCCCTGCTGCTGACGTCGAGGAGAGCAAATACTGGATGCGCTACTTCGGCGTCAGCACCCAGACCCTCCGCCGCATGGGTTACTTGGCCTTCACGTCGATGGTCACCTTGAGTGTGAGAGCGAAGCTCGGCAAGATGGAGCACCGACGATTCCAAGCAGAATTCCGCGACTGGGCTTTCAACCTCATGTCGTCGAACCCTCGTCCAAGACTGGGTGATCTCAACGGAGCCAGAATTTGGACCAAGATCCATGCGGCGATGCAATGCGCAGACCCCTGGGTCCTGCCGAAGGGGGTGATTGACTTCCAGTCGCTCGGTATTCATCCCCCAGTTCGTCATCGTCGCCGCCGCTAAGCGGATGCGAAAGCGTCGAGGGATGGCTGCTGTGTATCAACATGTACTTGCCCTAGCTTGTCGGCGAGTGAGCTGTGAGCGAGGACTGTGAACAAGGAAGGAATGCAAAGAAGCTGATTGTACGTTGAGATGCTCACATCTTCACGCTGATACAGAAGAGGTAGTCGAGATACTCATCGTACGAACCACTGCAGAAGATGTCCTACCTTTCCTACCGTTCCACTACTGTCGTGCCGTCTCAGCCTTCTCCATTGCCCGCGTTTTCCAGGCGCTGCAGAAGAACCTAGAGATTCCACAGAACATCTTCCAGTCTTTTCTGCTGCCACTCTTCGCTCCGCCCTGATAGCCAAACACAACAGGTCTCGCGTGCATCTTTTGTTCGCGCAAAACACAAGTCTCGCCGCGAGAACCTCGAAATCAGGCTTACGCTTTCGACGTGCGCCCCACTGCCCGCTGGTCTCATCAAGCCTCTGCTCGCAACGAGCGCACTCGCTCCTTCCACAGACTGTCTCTTCATCACTTCCCGCGCCTTCCTGTATTCAAAAACAGTACTTCATCACTGCCGCCCAGTCCACAACATTTCCTGAGCTCCCCGTCCGCTGCACGGCGTTGTTTGCCCCTTCACTGCGCATGCGGCAAGGCATGAGTCACAGAACTTTCACCGGTCGCGCGAGACACCTGTCATCATCTTCTGCTCTCTCTTTCACCATCCTCATCACCCCAGTTCCATCACATATTCATCTCTTGACACCTCCACACCAGTAGACAGTCTTCACTGACCCTCTCACTCCATCGTGGCCTCGGTTCAGTCGTGAATGCCGTTCAGCGGCGTGGAGCCATGTGAAAACGCCGTCAACGCAATCGCCCCCTGAGATCGTGGTGAACGACGCTAGCCAGGAAGCGGCGTTGCTGCATCAGCCAATCACGGCCACGCCCCGCGCTTGGGCCACGTTCTCTGTCGCGGTACTTAAGGAACCGGCTTCGCCCTCCCAAATTCCTTTAAAAGGCCACCTCCACCGACTCACCACCAACCACACCCACACACAACCTCCGACTCCACAACCACCACCAGTCGCCATCTCGCTCCTTCGATAACTCGGCGACCCTAATTCCGCGATCACCTTCACTATACGCGCGCGCGCGGTGTGCGAATACACCCGCAGCAGCAGCAGCTTCGATGGACAATGCGCTCGTCACCCACCCGCAGACCCCACAAGAAGCGAGCGCATGGTACCGTGAGAGCTTAGGCAACGACGCATCGGGAGCGAAGCGAGCGCAGGCGGGGAGTATGGAGGGGGTGCAGTCGACGGCGCAGTCGCAGGCGGGTGGTGCGCAGATGGATGGCAAGCCGAGCTGGTCGCAGCAGCAACCAAGTGCGAACGGTGCACCGGCGGCGCAGGCGTCGCTGTCCATGCCGCAGCAGGTGAACGGGCAGGCTGTTGGTAGTAATGGCGCGGACGCGCAGACGGGTGGTGACGCGGGAGCGAAGAACGGCTTGACGGTTGCAGGAAGCGGCATTGTGCCAGTCCTGCAGTAAGTCTGCGCCTGCCACTCATGTGCTGTATACCTCACATGATCACTAACATGCTACCCCGCAGAAACATCGTCGCAACGGTCAATCTCGACTGCCGCCTCGACCTCAAGACCATCGCCCTGCACGCGCGCAACGCCGAGTACAACCCCAAGCGGTTCGCGGCCGTCATCATGCGCATCCGCGAGCCGAAAACCACGGCGCTGATCTTCGCGTCCGGCAAAATGGTCGTCACTGGCGCCAAGTCCGAGGATGACAGCAAGCTTGCTAGCCGCAAGTACGCGCGCATCATCCAGAAGCTGGGCTTCAACGCCAAGTTCACGGACTTCAAGATCCAGAACATCGTCGGCTCGTGCGACATCAAGTTCCCGATCCGTCTCGAAGGCCTGGCCAGCCGGCATCACATGTTCAGCTCCTACGAGCCCGAACTCTTCCCCGGTCTGATCTACCGGATGATGAAGCCCAAGATCGTGCTGCTCATCTTCGTCTCTGGCAAGATTGTCTTGACGGGCGCGAAGGTGCGCGAGGAGATCTACCAGGCGTTCGAGCTCATCTACCCCGTCCTCTCGGACTTCCGCAAGACTTGAGAGAGTCCAAGATCCTACTACTTCACCACACTGGCATTCTGTATCAGTACGTTGCGATCGATCGGCTTGTATCATCAGCAAAGCTTCGAATCGGGGTCTAATGCCGCCTCGAAACATCACACGAACATCACAACACCAGCGAGAGACAGGGCAATGCTGCACACGACGTTGAACTGCTGATCTACCACGGCACATCCACCTTCGACACAGCACCTCTCTCCCCTCCATCCTACCAACTACTTGATTTCCAGCATGGCGCGGCGTCCGGTGTTTCCTTCCACACAAAAAGAACTGGTGCCTTTTTTTCCCGTCCAGCCTCATTCAAGCGTGGAGGCTTTCTTCGTACCTACCTACTTTCTTTGGCGCGATTAAGGGGTGGCGACCCGACTTGCTCAACACGGGGTTGAAGCGGGCGAATATAGATTGATCATGGCCTCGTCGGCTACGGCGAGTGAGCGAGCGGAGCGAACGAAGCGAAGCAAGCGTGACAGTGCGAGAGGACAAGAGTGGCGAGAGTCGTGCTGGGGATGGCGACTTGCTTGCTTTGCTCACAGACAGACAATGATGATGATGAGGGCAGGCTGAAGGGAGGTATTGATGATGGGGCATCTTTACCCTTCGACATCCAGCGAGCAGAGGCTTTTGCAGATGGGGCGTGCATGCATGCAATACTGCGAGTGTGAGGTGCCGCGAGCACAACAGCGACTATGAAAATATCGAAAGTGGTCGGGGGGTGGGTGTTCTCTGAGTAGGCTGAGGTCTGAAATGAGATACTGCTCTTCTTTGACCAACTACTGCTTACCTCTTTCCTTCTTCTTTCCTTCTCTACAGTACTGTTTGATCTTGAGGCCCTCCATGCTCCATCTGTACGCCTTTCACACTCCAGATGCCGCTACATGTACTACAGTGAGCTTTCCAAGTACAGTAACAGCTCACGCCGGCGCCGGCATGTGACGGAGACGAATGCGCCTGGTAGCTTCAACGCCGGTCTGGCCGCCGGTGAACATCCGAGTGCCGTGGTCGAACCTAGAAACGTACCTGGGGATCAGCGTTTGCGCATCGAGATGCAGGAGCTCGGGCAGTAGAGCTGTAGGATTTTTCTGGACTGATCACATCTCTATCTTCTTGCTGCAGTAAAAAAGGCAGCTGTCCGTGAAGAAATGATAGATCTCGAGACGTCCAAACATGTAGCCGTCCCGTCCAAAACGTCTAGATGCTGCGGCCGGCGAGTGCCGGCCTCGTTCCTTGTTAGCAGCGTTTGCAAGGAGCTGTCGCGTGAGACGAAAGCATGCCGGTGACGTTGTGGGGAACACGATTTTTTTCTGGAAGTGTGGAAGGAAGCAGGAGAGCTGAAACATGCCTGTTGCTGGGCGATGATTCGCTGGTGTGTCTGCTAAAGTTGTAGGTTGTGCTTGGGAAGGTTTTTGTGGTTTATGGGATCCACTCGTGCCACTCTCAACACGATGGTCGTCGTGGCCGTCGCCTCCACGAGGGAGAGGTTGCGTGGCGGAAGGGATGGTATAGACGGCGTTGTTGATGTTGTTTTCGACACGTCTGCATCTGCAGCAAACACCGCATGGTTCCACAGCATCAGTAGGTGCATCGGGTGTCGACGCCAGGTGGGTGTGCAGACGGCCCAAACGTGCGGCGCCCGGTAAGCGCAGGCCGGTGATTAGCCTTGGGCTCTTCCATCGTCTCGTTCTTCCAGCAAGGGTGTGCTTTCCTTGCGCCTACCAACATTCATCCAAAGTTACAGCTCGCAAGGTGTGGTGTGGCGAGTCGTTGTATCTGCACCTTGAGTCGCCTCTTGCATGTCCGGAATTTGCACCGACGACGGCGGAAGAATCCAAGTGGCCCAAGCTGAGTTTGAGGCGTGGAGGCGTTGCGCGCCCGCTGACCCAAGCTCCCGTCGAGGCCAGAGCGTCGTCAACCACATTTCTCTCCTGAGAAACCAACGTCACATCCCTCGCCATCCCCCATCGTCAACAACACCTCCACCACCACCTCCTCCACCAGGACTCATCCCCGGCGTATCTGCACGCAGCGTCGTCCTTACCGCAGCCGTCGACCACTCGCCACCCCTCGTCCTTGCTTAAGCGTCGCAGCGTGCATATGCACAACGCCGCCTGCCCCAGCCAATCCGCGCCCGCGACCGCCAGACCGCGCCAGCATTCCAGTCAGCGACTCTGACCGCCCCGTCCAAAAAAACATCCCCCGGCGTCACACTCGCCATACACTTACGCTTTACGACAGAACACTGTCACATGTCACCGCGACCAATATAACGTCCTCGTCGCACACCACCATGGGCTACAACACCAGAAGAAAGAGCCTCTCGCTCACTGAACTCGGCATCACCCTCCCCAAACGCGCGCGCACGCAGAGTCATCCGTCGCCTCCTAGCACGATCGCGGAAAGCGACGAGAATGACCGGCCTTCGAAAAAGTCGCGTTTGATGAGCCCGCCCGCGATCAAAGAAAAGTCGAAAGCAGCCGCGCAACTATCGCCGCCACCGTCGCCGGTCAGAGAAGGCAGCAGCAAGGTGTCCGTCGAAGGTATCAACGACGACATTGTTATCGGAACGATCCAGCAGCTCGAGCAGACGGGCAACCGACCGCATCTTGTAAAAGAGCTCGCGACAGTGCTCGCAACCAACCTCCACTCCGTCGAAAAGTACTCCACCACCCAACACCTCTCCTGCCTCAACACCGCTAATATCCTCTCTAGATCCGCCAACCCCACTGCCCTCATCTCCTCCCGCCTAACCCAATACCTCAACCGCCCCTGGCCGACCATCTCCCCCTGCCCGCTCGCCAAAGACCTCTCCCCCGTCCACCCCCGCCGCCTCTACTTCTTCCTCACTACCCTCCCCCGCCAACCGATCCCCGACACTATCGAGCAACCGCCCAAAACCGCGCGCATCATCTCCCCCTCCCTCTCCTCCGCCTCCAATCACGATGAAGATGTCGATCCTACATTCGACCGCGACCGACACGCCCTTTCGCCTTCGCCGGAAGTCGACCTGAGTTCGCCCGAACTCGAAGACAACAACGCGCAAGAACCGCCTACACCCGGCGCGCCCTTCTCCGGTCGCAACAGCGTCACCCGCGACCGCAGCGCTTCCGCGCCGAATAGACAGAATGGCCGAAGAGGCGCATCCCCGCAACTCGAACATGAAGAGAGGGATTTCAAAATGACGGCTAATGCTTTATACGAACAAGAGCGGCTCCGTCGGTACAGCAGCTCTCAATCGCAATCGCAGGCTCAAGACGTTCAAATGGCCGGTTCAGGTTCTGGCTCCGCGGACGCGGTCACCGGTTCTGCAGCAGAACAAGAACGTCCAGGCAGCGTAGCGAGGAGTATCGAGGAGGAAACACAAGAGATGGAGTTCCAGAACCACGAGGACGCGAACGCGTTGTTTGGACATGCGGGGCAGTTGAAGTTGATGGAGTTGGAAAACCAGGGTATGGGGGAGGGCATGTTCAGTAGTCCGATGATGGCGCCACAACACTCCTTTGATGAGAGGGAAGGCGAGGTCGTGCTCGGCGCCAGCCAGACGAGCCAGCCGGAGAGTGAGCAGAGGATCGATGCGATGCACTTGGACCACCCACACGGACGGGATGGCGGTAAAGAGGGGGGTTTGCGATTAGATGTGGAGTTTGGAGCGTTAGCGGACTGGGAAGAGGAGGTATTGCAGTCCCCGGAGAAGATTGCTATGGCCGAGTTGGAGGGGTTGTTTGATGCTTACTAGAGGCTGAGCGTCCGACTACACCAAAATTGATCGGGCTGCCGCCGAAAGAAAGAAAGACATCAACGGCGACGCTGGGGCTGCCGGGTCGTTGCTCCGCATCGAAACTGACTGCGCAAACGCTGTTTGTGGAGTGGGAAGTTGAAACACGGGGTGGTGAGGCAATGTACGAATACCTCAAGACTGGGAGCGCGAGCTCGGACAGTGACGGAGGAGAAGCGAGCAACAAAAGCTTGGAGGTTGTACAGTATATACGCTACGCCGCTCCGCTCCGCTCCATCCCGTGTTCTGCAGGCGGAGCGCTGGGCTGGCCAAGGAGAGACGGAGACATGGGTAGTTTGTAGACTCTAGTTGTAGTTGTACGGCAATGAAGCAGAAAAGATGGAAAAGCCGACCAGCGAGGTGTTATCTTCCACCTCTCACTTTCTGCCATGTCTACTTGTCTCTGCCTCTGTAGCTCATCCATCCACCAGCAGTGCGGACCTTCGCAAGGCGTCCTCCTCGAGGTGCGGTCCGGTCCTGGATAGATCAGAAGCAAGCAGGTCAGCGTCCCTTCTCTCCTCTGAGCAGTATTACGGGGAAGGGTGTGAAATGTGTGCATCAGAAAGGAAAATCGTCTCATTCACTAAGACTTGCGTCTCTCCGCCCCGTCTTGAAACATATTTTTGGATTTTTGGGTGATCATCATGCAAGTTGTAAAACCTCCAAGGAGATAAGAGAAGGGAGGAGACATACCTTGTGATGACATGCTGTGAGCTGCCTCGTGGAGTGCGCTCGCTTGTGTCTTGCTCGGGCCTGGTGGCCGCGACGTGTCAGGATGGCCGGTGGTGCTGGCATAGAGGGCCGCAAGATCGACTCATGAGTGGAGGGCGGATATGCCGTGCATGTCGTGGTTGTCGTAACAAGCGCGTCGGTGGTCCTCACTTCCACCCCAACCAGCTCGCCCAGGACGTCGCCTCCTTCACCTCATTAGGCCGCTGCTCACCCTGCTTACTGTTCCCCTCCCTCCTCAACCTCTCCCCCGCCTTCAGCTCAAAAACCCACGTCGTCCCAAAATGCCTCCTCCTCCCCTCCACAACCTCCAACCCCGCCCCTTTCGCAGCCTCTTCTACCAGCGCGCCAATGTCCCTATTGAACCAACATCCATGAATCTCCGCATGCTTCTCCGCGGCATTATCCAGCACGCGATTAACCCACTCCCTATCCCCACGTCCATGCTCAAGCAACAGTATCCTAGCATCAGGGTTCCCCGTATCCAAATGCGCCGCCAGACTCCTCAACAGCTCCACCGGCTCCGGCGTACTGCACAACCCCATCGTCTGCAAAATAGTGTCATACCCCCTCTTCCCCTCCTCCTCCCCTTCCACCGGCACATCCGGGATGGAAGAGATCACACTCCCCTTCCGAAACCGCACCTTCAACCCCCTCTTCAAATTTGCACTAGGCATCTCCGTCCCGTGCAGAATAACCCACTTCTTCATACACAACTCCACCATCCGCGGACTCAAATCCACAAACGTCAGACTCTCCACCCGTCCCTGAGGTCCGACGTCAAAATACCCCAAGTTCCTGCCCGTCCCACAACTCGCTTCCAGCACATGCCCTTGACACTTCCTGGCCAACTCCTTCCGCAGCGAATTAATCCCCATCAGCGTCTCGGAGATGCCGACTTCGCTGTCGAAGGCGTCGGCGGTGTCTTCGTAGCGGGCGGAGACGTCGCGCTGGTGGGTGAGCAGGGAGATCTCAGGGTTGATACATGGTTTTCGCAGCTCGATGACGAGGCGGGTGGTGTAGAAGCCCAGGCCGGCTGCGAGGAGGGTGGCGAAGGCCCAGGGGAGGGCGCGGGATTTGTAGGGGTTGGGTGGTGCATCTTTGGTGGTGATGGAGTCTTGGAGGGGTGGGGTGGGTGTTGGGGCGCGGTTGGGTTTGAAGTGTTGTTGTTGGATGGAGGGTTGGATGGGAGGCGGTGGGCGGGTTGTCGCCCGCTGGGCGGTGGAGGCTACATGGTGCGGTCGCGGGACTCGTGGCATCTGCTCCTGGCGGACGAGCGGGGTGTGTTCAGACTGAGATTGAGGATGATGGTGTTGTGTAGTTACAGTAAAGAGAAGAGTTGATCAAGTCCAATGCTGCCGCACTGCCAAGCCATATTTGAGCCGACGGCAACCTCACCTCTTCCTACAGACTCCACCTTGCGCCCTACCTGTAGCTAAAGTATATATCCAAGGGCCACTGTAAGTTTGTAAGTTCTCACATTTCCTCAACATATGTTTTCGTCAATATGCTAAAAGACGTACCCTCCTCTGTCCTCATCGTCGGATCCGGCGTCTTCGGCCTCAGTACAGCCTACAATCTTGCCCAACGACCGGAATTCAAGGACACCAAAGTCACTGTCTTGGACCGCCTGGACTTCCCAGCACACGATGCAGCGTCAATCGATTCCTCCCGTATCGTGCGACCAGACTACCCGGACGCCGCATACTCGAAACTCGCTGCCCAAGCGCAGAAACTCTGGCGTGGCGATTTTGGAGCCGAGGGACGCTATAGCGAGTCTGGTCTGGCTATTCTGCTGGACGATGAAGACTCTAAGCTGGGAAGAGCCTACATGGAGGGGTCGCTCCGCAATGTCAGTCTGAAGCTGGGACTCAAGCAAGGCCCCAGGAGCGAAGGCGGCCAGGTCACCGTCCTAGACGACGAAGAAGCAATCAAAGGCGTCGTCAAAAACATGTCCGGCCACATAGGCAAACTCGGCTACGTCAACTGGACCTCCGGCTGGGCGCACGCCGAAAACGCCATGCTCCACCTCCGCCGCCTCGTCGAAGCCACCAACCGCGTCTCTTTTCAGCGCGGCGAAGTCGCACATCTCCTCTTCTCCCCGTCCCCCTCCTCCCCCACCGTCTCTGGCGTTGTTCTAAACGACGCCTCCGAGCTCCGCGCCAACCTTACCATCCTCGCCACAGGCGCCTGGACCCCGCGCCTCCTCGACCTCCGTGGGATCGCATCCGCTTCAGGCCAGATACTAGCCTACATCGACCTCACACCCTCCGAACAAGAGAAGCTCGGCGGGAACCCCTGCATGCTCAACGAATCGAGCGGAATGTTCATCATCCCGCCCGCCAACAACGTGCTCAAAGTCGCTCGCCACGGATACGGCTACGCTAATCCGACAACAATCCCTCACCCCGAGCGTCCCGGGACGGGAGAAACGATCACAGTCTCCCTCCCACGGACCAAAACCGACGATCCACACCTCAACATACCCGCCGAAGGCGACCGCGCGTGCCGCGACTTTCTGAAGCGCTGTATACCCGAGCTTGGGGATAGGCCGTGGACGCATACGCGGATATGTTGGTATACTGATACGCCGAGTAGTGACTGGTTGATCGACTATCATCCCACCTACAGCGGGCTTTTTGTAGCGACGGGCGGGAGCGGGCATGGGTATAAATTCCTGCCTGTGATTGGGGAGAGGATTGCCGAGGTGTTGATGGAGGAGACGAGGGATGAGTTGAGCGAGGAGTTGCGGCGGAAATGGTCATGGCCGAAGGAAAAGTTTAGGACGGAGCATGTGTGGACGGACGATTGGAGGGGTGGGGCGAAGGGGATGATTTTGGATGAGGAACTCAAGAAGTCGTGATTTTTGGTGATAAACACTGATTTCGTGGTACACAACGACCTTCCCACCCTTCCATCCAAGAAAACGCCCTCCCTACCCAAACCAAAGCTCAAGATCACCCCATCAACCCCCTCATAGCGAACCCAAACAACGAGTCCATACTCACCCACCCCCACCCGCTCTTATCCAAATACCCCTTCACCACACCCGCACACACCTCGAACCTCTCCCTGTTCCCCATCGCCAGCACCTTCAACTTCTCCTTCTCTCCCTCCTCCTCTGCCTTCACCGCGCCGGACTTCGAGATGAGCTTGTCGACCTGCTTGTCCACGTCGAACATGCCCTGCAAGTAAAGCAGCTGGTTGTACAGTTGTCGCTCGCCCTGCTCCCACCTCATGCGTCCAGAACAGCCGTATGCGAGCCCCTTGGGGCCTAAGCAGCGATGGCCGTAAACACTCAATTGCCTCGTCCGCGTCCCGCAAGCCGAATCATCGCAGACCAGCCACCCAGAATAATACCTCGAAGTATGCTGCCGCACCGCCGTCTCCAACTGCGTACTCAACGTCAACGTCGACATAGCCCTCCCGCACTCCTTCCTCGGACACGACAACCCTCCCGGCGTAATCGCAGCAAGCGGGTTCAACGGCTCTTCCTCCCCAGCAGAAGGAATCGGCGGCACCAACCCTTTGAACTCGAAATGCTTCTTGCAACCCAAACACAGCAAGTCCAGCGCCTCGCAGTCCTTGAAGCGGATGTGATCCGGTACTTGGCTCTCCAGGCTCGTGATCTCCTCGCCTGCTTCGGTGGCTTTGCTGGCGCCGCTGACGCGGTATTTGCTTGTGTCTAGACCAAGGCATTCAGCGAGGAGCGTGACGTTCGTCCCGCTGATTGGGGCGCACAGCCGTTCGACAGGGGGTAAGATCTGCTTGTGCAGGTAGTACTCCACGTCCGGCACGAGCCCGCTGTCCTTCGCCAGCACCTCGTCCAGGGGATGCGCGTTCTTCGCCGCGTTCTCTGCGCTGCCGCCGCTGGTGCCGCAGATGACGAAGGACATGACATCCTTGGCTTTGACTTGCTTGCCTTTGGCCATGAGTTTGAGGGCGACTTGGACCGAGGGCATGGAGTTGCCGTTGGGGTATTCGGTGGGTGCTTTGCCGAGTTGGGTGTAGATGGTGTATTTGCTCGCGTCGATGGCGTTGCTGCGCATGCGGTCGCCGAGGGCGCGAAGGTGGGTGTGGATTTGGGAGACGACTTTTTCGGGATCTTCGCCGGAGAGGAGGTGGTTGAGGAGTTCTCTGTGACATCATTAGCCGTGGTCAAGGAAAGTATGGTACTGGTGCGGACCTACTGGGACGTGTCTTTCGACAGCTGGCAGTACTCTCTTCTCCTCATGTCGAGACCCTTGACTTCCATCTTCTCCGTCCACTTGCCGTCCACCTCGATCATATTGATGGCAGCGTACTTCTTCTTCGCATGCAGAAGGAGCCGGCGGAAGATGTTGTCAATCTCGATCTCGAGCAGCTCATACCGCTCGTTGACGCTCTTCTTGAACTCGTTGCCCATCTTGACTGCCTCCTGGATGTTGTCCATGTTGGTGTTCACCATCACAGAGTCAGTGTCACCATAAATGACTCGCAGCGCGTGAGTGGACTCTGCCAGCTCCTTGGTAGATTGCAGAATCTCTCGGCCTTTCGATGTGGTGAGAGCAGCCAGTGGACGGGCATAGAAGCGCGACTTCGTGTAGCCCAAACACCCGTACATGGAGTTGGCAGTAAGCTTGAGCGCCTGCTGCTTGACATCCCACGTCTGGCGCTGGTCATCGGTGGCGGTCTTGTCTTTCATCAGCTTCTTCACCTCTCGTCGGCGAGTGACGAGCGTTCGAATGAGTCGTGGTAAAATCCCCTTGTTCGCAGTGTCTTGAGGAATGTCAGGGACCCGCTCCTCCTCGTCGCCAATGTCGGCTCGTTCGATGGTCGTGAAGCAGATGTTGTACTCCTGAATGATACTGGGGTACAGCGAGTTGAAATCCATAACCAGGACGAACTTGTCGTACAGCCCTTTTTCAGGGTCGAAGACGAGACCGCCCTTGTACTTGTCTTTCTTCTTAGCGTCAACACCTTCTTCAGCATCTGCGTTGCCTTCGTCCTCGAGCTTCTTGTTTGAAGCGCCCTTGCCCCAGACTTTGTCCGGGCAGATGTACTTGTTGCGATAGAACTCATGCAGCAGAATGTATTCGTTTCGCTCTGCGCGAGTGCCGCTTAACGTTCGTGCCCACGAGTTGCCAGCCAAATTAGTGAGCACTTTCGTCAAAGGCAGCAACTGTTGCTTCAGCGCCAGAGCAGCGATGAAGAAGGTGTCGGCTTCACAAAGCTTGACATAGTTCATCAGGCCTCCTCGTGTGGCAGCCATTGCAAGCGCCTTGTCGCTGTCGACCTCCTTGCGCTTATTGTTTCCTCCCAGGTAGAGGTTGCACATTTCGTCCAGACTCCAGCTCTGACACTTGGTCATGGTGCTCTTGCCCATGTCGTTGGCAAGGTCGCACAAGAGACGTCCAGCAGCGAGATGACGCTCAGCAAAGAAGCTGCCACCACCCTTGCCGAATGTCTTGGGCCAGTCGTCGCGCTTTAGTCGGCCAATGCGGTGCCAGCCAGGTGTCTTTCGGTCCCGCATACGGGTCAGCAGGACGTTGAAATCGACGTCGTCAAGTCGGTGGCCCATTATGGCATCTGGGTCGTGCTTCTGGATGATGGCCAACAGCATCGACAAGAGACCTTGCTCGCTCTTCTCCATCTTGATCTGGCCTCGATGTTTTTCGGCGTCCATTTTGAAGCCAATGGGGTACTCGCCGTTGGGACGCATGATGGTGAAGGTCCGCTGCGGCATCTCTTCGGCCGGAGTGGTGTCCGTTAAGGAGACATTCTCGTAGAAGCGGACACTCGCTACGAGAATCTCGTTCTTATTCTCCTTGACGTTCATCGTAGTCCGCAGAGCAAGCGACATCAATGTGAGTGGTGGAGCCTCCAGGTTGTCCGAATCACCCAAGGTAGCTATACCGTTCGGCTTGTCGACTTGCAACTCCAGCTTGCACCACGAAGCGTTTTGCACAGCTGTGAAGTTGCCGCCATCAATGCTCAGCCAGCATGGGCCCATAATGTTCTTCCAGAGGACGAACTGTTCGAAGAGGGAAGTGTTCGTGCCGAAGACGTGTGAAAATGTCTCTCCTGTCTGATCTGTAGACAGAGCAGGCTTGTCGTACGAGTACAGCAGCTTCAGATAGTCCGCCTCCTTGGGGATGCCGGGCAGCTCAAACGCGTACTTCCGGGAGCACGGCTTGATCTTGTGAGTGTTGACCTTGTACCTGCTCATGATCTGGACAACCTCGTCGTAGACATGGTTCATGCCCACTTCTTCGGAAGTCTCTTGTCGACCCTTCTGACGGTACTCCCGAGGCAGGAAGTACAGCTTGCGCAGGATGTTGTCCACCTTAACGAAGCAGGACACGTACGAGTCGTTCGAGCGGTTCCTTACTTTGCCAAAGAGACACAAGCTGCCCCTAATCTCGGTGTAGTCGGTCCAGAAGAAGCGAAGCGTCCCGTCCTGTTCAAGGGCGTCCTTTGGGTCGATCTTACCAGCAGTGGCGGGTTCAGCCTGAGGACTGCTCAGAATGTTCAGCTTCTCGGTGACATTGTTGATAGCAGTCATGTCGATGCCGTCTTCTGGTGCTCGAGTTGGCGACGAGCTGTCCGGGGTTGGGTACACTGTTTTGGCAATCTTAGGAGCTGGTCGGCTACCCTTCATGTTGACATTGGCGGACTTCAGACTGGCGTGTCCTTGCACTTCTGCGACCTCCATCAGATCACCGTCGTCCTCCGTGGGCTCAGCTTTGATTGGAAGCGTCTGTTCCTTCCGCTCAACTGCTTTGGCAGCTGGTGAGGATGGCAGAGGGTCGCTCATTGGTACATCATCATCTGCGGGAGCAACGAAGTAGGCATCGTCGTCGTCGCGAGTGTGCGCAGGAGGTGCAGTGGGTAGATCGTCTTCCACTCTTGCCTTGGATGTCCGATGCTTGACAGGCTGCCGATCTTCCAAGGGCGGGGACAGAACTCTCGTCTTTCGTCGGTCGTTGCTTCTCACTGCCTTGCCGTATGAGGGGACCCGGCTCTGGATGTTGGTGTCGACTTCTCCCAGCAGGTCCGTCAAGAATTCATCGTCTTCGGCTGTGCGTACAGGCTTCGCTTTGGGGGCAGTCGCTCCGGACTTCTGGTTGAAGTACTTGCTAATGCCCTTGTTGAGCTTCTCCTGTCGCTCGGCGTCCTCTTCACGTTTTCGTTTGGCTTTTAGCACTTGTTAGTACATATACTCAGAACTGGGTTGTAGCAGAGGCACCCACCAGCCTTGCCTTGCTTGGGCAAGTCATCCTCACTCTCGCTCTCATCGTACGCTTGTCGTTCATCTTGCCAGTCCTCGCGTCCGTCGTCCGCGTATCCTGCACCATTGTCGTCTACAACGAAGTCATCTTGGTCCAAACGGCTTCGGACAACCTTCTTGTAACCTTCGTCGTCGACTGTTTCGTAGATGGACTCGGCCTCTTCCACCTCGTACGCATCGAAGCCTGTCTTGCCCGCAGCTCTCAAGGCGCGCAGTCGCTTGAGCGTGTCCGCTTTGGAAGGCATGTTGAGGGCGGTATTCAGTCTCCCGCCTTGCGTTGATCTGGTGAAGCTGACATGGGTTGAAAGGCGCTCCAAGGAAGTAACGATGCCCGTATAATGGAAGGATTGCAATGATAGAGTGGCCGGGCGACGCGTGAGCTTGAGCGGAGCGCGACTTAGCGCGACTAAGGTAGATTGAGCCGGTATCAGAGATACGCCCAGTGCGAGCGCACGCCAGTATGGAATCTACTCACGCGGTGACCGGCTCTGCATTTTTGCCAAGCCCACACAACTTTCAATTCTTTGGCGTCGGCTGTCGAACTTCAACCATCACGACAAGTGCATTGCTTGATCACATACCGACACAATGGTGAGCGCAACTCATCAAGAAAGTTGTGAGACGATGCTAACGGTACCAACAGGCGATCAAGCACAACCAGCAGATCCAGCACAACCGTAAGGACGAAGACGCGCACCACTCCGCACATGAAAATTCATACTGACGCTTCCCAGACTTCCGCAAGGACTGGCAACGCCGTGTCCGCGTGCACTTTGACCAGGTAATTCCCCTCTCACACCCGCCGTGCTGAGAGCAGTGGCGCCGGTCGTGCAATAAGACAGCAATGTCCTGACATACTCCTCCCAGCCCGGCCGCAAGTTGCGCCGCCGCCAACACCGTCAAGAGAAGGCCGCAAAGGTCGCACCGCGCCCCGTCGACAAGCTGAGACCAGTCGTGCGCTGCCCAACGATCAAGTACAACCGTCGCGTGCGCGCTGGTCGTGGGTTCACTTTCGCTGAGCTCAAGGTGGGCATTCCCAAAAGATCACACCAAAAAATGCACACTCATAATACATATAGGCCGCCGGCATCCCACGCAAGCTGGCGCCCACCATCGGCATCAGCGTCGACCCCCGCCGCCAGAACATCTCCGAAGAGTCCCTCGCCGCCAATGTCGAACGCCTCAAGACCTTCAAGGACCGCCTCGTCCTCTTCCCTCGCAAGACCAAGTCTCCAAAGGCTGGCGAAGCTTCTGCCGAAGATGTGAAGAAGGCGCGCCAGAGCGGACACGAGGGCAAGGTCGTGCGCGCCAACAGCCACATCCCGATCAGCAACAAGGTTACAGTGCAGGAGGGCAAGGTTGCAGACTACGAGAGCGAGCCGGCCGCGTACAGGAAGCTTCGCGACGCGCGCAGCGAGGCTCGTCTGGTGGGTGTGCGGGCCAAGAGGGCGAAGGCCAAGGAGGAGGAGGCTGCTGCTACGAAGAAATAGACGCTCGTCGTTTCATCTTCCGCGTTGTAGCGGTGGTGGCATACTCCATGAGGATCTACGAGATAGCAATGCTCGTGACCCGGAATCAAAAAATTTCAACCTCCCACAAGCCATGATCTATCACCTTTTTGTTTGCCACATACCACAGCCTCTCAAGACAAGCAGTCTTGCACATTTGTTCCGCACAATGGCGTGAGCATAGTCACTACGCCGACTCGGTGGCCTTGTTCTGTCCTCGGAGCAGATACTCTGTCGCACAAGGACGGCTATTCTACCGCGCGACAACTGAGGCCTGTTTGGCTTCATCGTCGTACCAAGTCGCGCGCGTCTACTGAAGTCTCTGTGCTACTATCTCTGGCAATGGGGATGTTGTGTTACATTAGCTCCGTCGAGGCCACTCTGGATGTCTGTCAACCGACACAACTCCACGCGATGGAGCATACAGACGCCGTTCACTACTCCTCCCATACCTCTCTCCGTCTTCACCGTCTGTATATGAGTCACCGTCGACCTGCATCTTTCAAAACACTTCTCTGCATGTTCGTCGGCAGTTTGATCGCCTCTGCATCTGCATTTCGTTTCAAGAAAGGCCCCGCCCAATCAGCTCCTTCCAAATCCAGCCATTTTCTTTTTAGCCTCTAGCCGCCCGTCCAATGAACGGACCCAGCGGCCTCTTCCCGAGCGCGTACAGCAACAACACCTCTTCGCGACCCGAATGGATTCCCACCAAAATGACGTTCGCGCCTGCAGCGTCCAGACCAGACCGTTTCATCTCGCCAGGCGCGTACAGAGGCGGTTGTTGATGAACACGCAAATAGGTGCGGCCACTGGACTGCCGCCTTTGGCCCTGGGGGCAGAGTAGGTACGCGATGAAGAAGCGTATTTCGGGAGCCGCAAATCGTCGTCCGCCGTGAAACCAGGCTGCAAGTGTTTCAATGGCCTCGATCAACCAGATGGCTGGTTCCTCGCCGTCGAGCCGTACCGCTTGGACGTCTGGCCGCACTGCTCCATGGTTCGTTTCAGATCATTTCCCTCGTGTTGCGCTATCCTCATCTACCCTAGGCGCATATGCCTCTGTTCGTCGTCGATGGACGCGCTGATGGAAGACGCATATAGAGCGCGTCTGTGTCCGCTTGTCTGGCCCTCTTCTCTCTTCTTCTTTCTCATCAGGACATCCAACGGTTCGGCTTTACTGTGACAGCTTGTGACGAGACACACGAGTTTCCTTGACTCTTTTCTTACTCTTTCCTTTGTCTTGTTCTTCGTTTGATAGACGGGACTGGAGCTGGACTCCGCTACAACAAAAGTCATTTCGATTGGGTAGTGTCTAATTTCGAAGACCTACACGCCCTACTACTTGCTCCTTAGCTGTGTCTGGAACACGGCAGAAACAATACGATGGACTACCGACAAGTCACGCCGCCTCTGTCTGCGGACTTTGAGGATTACGTCAACTTCCAATGCCCTGGTGGCAGTGCAAGCACTAATGCGTCCTTTTGGCCGAACGACTGGTCTCCGGAGTCGGTCATGACGGCCGGCACTCACATTACCACACCTCCAAAGTCGCCAGCTAGGATCCGAGAGATCGGACCTACCCTTCTTCCAAGAGTGCGTCCTCAGGACCAGAGTGTGCAGACGGCTCCTACGCAAGCATTCCATGGCCATAGCAGGACTACTTCGCTTCCTGCCGATGCCTACCACATGCAATTCGGCAGCTATCTTCCACCAGTCCCGTCTTTGGAAAGGCGTTCTGCTAGTCCTGCTCCACGCAACCCGCTGCCTACTCCTGGCTCAGCGTCCTTGACTTATGATCACATGATGAACGACACCGCTTCACGCCGCCCCTCCCTTGCCGGCAACAGATCGGTGTCTGCCACCAATATCCGCTCGCACTCGCGCAATAGCTCGTCCACCAGCATCGATGCCAGCGTTCTTGGCCGGTTTGGTTTCCCGACGTACCGCCACAGCCCAAGTCCGGGGCCCATGCCAGCCAACAGCGCAGCAATGTCCCGGACGCCGAGCGCCATGAGCCACCTTGTGCCAATCATGATGCCCAACGGCCATGTGCAGTCTTACCCTGCCAGGCGACGAACGGCCAGTCCTCCGGCTAATCCCTCCAGGCTGTCTGTGGAAGTCGAGTTCGATCCTCAGCTTGACCTGGAAGAGTCGTCCATCATCGACTACTTGACGGCGCCGAACCCAACCCCATCGCTGGTTCAGAGGACCGTAGAAGCAAACCGCCCCTCATGCCCTCATGTGTGGTTCGACGTACGCAATGTCACTTCCTGGTCTGACTTCAATATCTCCACGCTCTCAGCTGTTCCCGGCCTTCTAGATCTCCTGCAGGTCAAGGTCGCTGTTCGCAACCTGCCTGGGCCGCCCAAAGTCAACCTCAACCCAGAGACCGCGACCCAGCTGGCGGATATGTGCGCCAAACACCATGCCGTCAAGGTCAACGCAGCCTTGAAGCTCGCTCTGGGAGAGAAGCACATGGCCATGCGCGCTTTGCAATCCGCCGGCAGCGCCCGCCAACAGCCCGAGTTCGTCTCCAACTACCAGTCCGACGTCGAAAAAACCATCTACGGCGACGGCCGCGGCAGAGTCGTTGGTGTAGCCAAGTGCTACGACCAATGGAACTCAGGCTTCCGCAACGGCACCCCTGAGAACAAAGTCCAGTATCTCCGCGGCCTCGCGCACCTCCACCACTTCATGCGCGAGCACGGCTGTCGATACGGCTTCATCATGACCGAGATAGAGCTCGTCTGCGTCCGTGCTGGCGGTCCATCAGCTGACCCTGCAGCCGTCCCACTGTTTGGCTTCCTCGAAGTCGCAGACCCAGTTCGCATCTCCGACTCCGGCATGAACGAGAACGGAAACCTGCGCATGACCGCTGGGCTAGCGCTCTGGTACTTGCACATGCTGGCTAAGGAGCGACCATTCGATGGTCAGCTGCACTGGAAGATGGAGGTTGGTGGGCCCACGGCGCTGACGAGACAGCATCATCTTGCGAGAGACTCGTGGATGCCTAAGCCGAATGTGAGCGAGAAGAGGACGATGAAGAGGGTGAGAGGGTGGGTGTTCCCGGAGGAGCCGTTGAGTAATAGGGAGGTGGGAAGGGGGAGGAGGAATCGGGTCGGTTGAGTGTGGGAGAACCGAGGTGGAGGTAATAGCATGCTGCTGGTCTGCGTGTGCATTCACGACTGCATTTCACTGGCGCCTGGTATTGCAAGGTCAAAAAGCATTGGGCGGCGCATTGCTCTCTTTTCGCTGCATCAGACGGCGCTCAAGAGGCTGCAGCATTTCTATGGAGCAAGATACCCCTCGGCCACACAGTCGAAGACCTATACATTAATACAAGTCTCTTTCCCACCTAAATCAACCACCCTACAACTTCCCCCTAACCAAATTTCCCAACATCTCCCTCCCCGTAACCCTCGTCGTCGTCCACAGCGTCGGCAAATCCATCGTACTAGTCAACCCATCCGCATACCCAAACATCAACATCCCCGGTATAAAGCCGCGGGCATACTCCAGCGCGAAACAGCCCTCCGGCATCCGATACTGCTTCACCTCACCACGGCGCAAATGGTGCACTGATCCGGGGGAATAGATCTCCGGCTCGTAGGAGCCGGCGGAGAAGGCGAGCTCGGTGCCCGTGAGGATGTGGAAGTAGTCGTCGGCGGTGTGGCGGCCGGAGTGGCCCTCGGTGCCCAGGGGGGTGCCGAAGATTATTAGGTATTCTGTTATGCCTACACATCATACGTTAGTATGGTAATAGTAGGTGGCGCGGGGTTAGACGAAAGAGGGCATACTAGCATGGATCAAATACATAGCCCCCATCGCCCCGCCGGCATTATTAAACATCCACTCCTCCTTTACACTCAGATAAGGCGCCAGGTCCGGGTCGGCTTGCAGCTGGGAGACGATGTTGGCGACGATGGCGCGGGTGTTGTTGCCGTTGCCTTCGATGGAGGCGATGGCGAGGGCGTGGAGTTTGGAGGGGGAGAAGATGTAGTGGGCGTCGAAGATGCCGATGTCGATGAGGTTGTAGATGCCGAAGAAGCTGGCCCAGAGGAAGACGATGAAGGAGGCGAGATATATTCTTGTGGAGTCTTTCATCGTGTGGGAGGGGGAGTGGGAGTGAGTTCCGGTTGTGTTTCCAAATGGCCTGACAGAACCTTTGACCAAGATTCGGGACGAGAAAGGGATCAAAAGAGCCACTTGAATGAGAGATGATGAGAGGGTGATGAGAAGTTTGCTACAATATTTTGTTGGTCATGAAGTAGCACAATGTAAGATCGTACCACTCGACAAAGTTGGGAGTCCGAGCGCCTGAAGTGTTGAACAACGGACAGTCAGCAACACTTCCCCGTCTCGCGTTCGAACAGACAAGGTTCGGCATCGAAACGGAGACCAGAGTATTAGATGATAGTATCAACACAAACGCTGAATGGCACTGTTATCGGGATACCGAAAACAAAGCGAAATTTTGATAGGTGGTGAAAATCGACATATTTGCTGCACAGCTCAGTTGATATAGGTGCTATTGCAGGTGTAGAAGAAAAGCAAACAACTCCTTGCCCTCTCCCAAATACCCAACGCCTCCATGTTTCTATCGAAGGGCAAGGCAAAGCACCGTAGCTATGGGACAGGGCAATTCCGCGTCATGTCTCCTCCTCCTTCGCCGCCGCCGCCGCCGCCGCCGCCCTCCTCATCGCCGACGTCCCAACAACCCACTCCCCGAACTCCCAGCTTTGCTCACTCTCATGAAGGGCAACACCCATCTCCTCAGCAAGCCCGTCCATTTCAGCTGTCGGGGTGCTGACACTTCCGTGCGCCTCGTAGCCATTGCAGTCGGCGATACAATGCGGAAAAGACAATCCCGATGATGAAACCGGTACTCGAGTCGGGCAACGTGGTGAATGCTCATACCTGGCAATCTTCCAGAAAACCCGCTGTAGCGCTTGACCTTTGTCTGCGAGATGGTGCAGCAGTCTGCGCGTTGAGACCGCAAGGCTCACCGGCGACTTCTCAGCGTCATAGTAGTTAACGAGGACATTCTCGAAGGCCAGGTTTGTCAGTGTAACCATGGAAGGTTGCAGTAAGGTTTCCCAGTCTATGCCAGCCACGGAGATTGGACGATTCTCCCAGCGTATGTCGTTCTCAGGGTCCCAGTCAGTGGTGCGACTGATGGTCAGACTTTCGAGTTGAGGTAGCTCCAAGTCCTTCAGAACGTACGCGAGTGAGTGCATAGTCTTCTGCCAGCGTTTCGGAATGCATTGGCGTGGAAGCTGAGTAAAGGTGATTCGCAGGGTCTTTAGATGAGGTGCCGAGTTGGAAAGCATCAACTTGTATGCGTAGACTCGCTCGAGCTCTTCCCACCCGCATTCGAACGTCAAGGTGATACTCGACAGTGGCGGTGAATGCCTCAGAGCAAACACTGGCGTTGGTCGGCCCATGTTGTTACGAGCGATTTGTTGAAGAAGCCCGTCATCGAGGAAGGGCAGTGCAGCACCCACATCAACAGTGGTGAAGTTGAGACGCCTGCTGGTGAGGAGCCCGTAGAGGACGTCTGCATCCGAACGGCGTGGAATCAGAGGACCTCTTCGACGTGGAAAGTCGGGAAACGAAGGCTGGCCAATCGATGTTTTCCTGGATTCCTTGGGAGACCCGAACAAGCTGGAAGGCGGTGCAGAGTGTTTGTGGGCGTGCGACTTGATCTACAATGATGAGGTCTGATTGAGACTCTTGCCTTTCTTGTCTTCGTCGACGTGGGTTGCAAAAGCAATGCTTTGCAGCTTGCGCAGCTTAATGAGAGCGTTTATGAGGTGTTTTTATGTCTCATCGATCGGCAGCAAGCGGTCACTGTCGGACACTTCCGCTTCCAGCGAGGTGCTGTTCGTCGGGAAGAAAAAGGGCCAAGCTCGGAACCTGCTTTCGTATTCGTCCTCAGGAACACGTCTGGACTTGTTCAGTCCAGCCACTGAGGCCCTTTGGTCACTAGTCAGATGTTTCGCTTTTCATAGAACGTGACCTGCACGCTCATGGCGCGATGATCGAGGGTATATGATGTTGAGACGATGGCGATGGTACTCCAGGCCTTTCTGGCGGCAACCGGGATAGGCCAGCTCAATCTCGCGCCACATCGGGTCTCCGAGAAGTACGAGTTCTTCTACATCCTGATGCGAGGGGTGGAGTGGTCAGCAAGCGAATTGTGCCTGGGAGAAGTTTTGGACGCACCTTGCTAAGGATAGGATGCTCGCAAGCTGCGATGACATTCTGCATGGAGTTGGCAGAGGGATGAAAGTAAAGTGTCTTGCTGCGCTTGGCGATGATGGTGTTGCAACAAGGTACAGCATTGCTGCACACGAGTCTGAGGCTTGGGATGACGTTGTCAGGCAGTTCCTCGGGAATCTGGAGGACGATCCCTTCGGGAAGGGTGCTGAAGAGGTCTTTGGGCTGAAGCGGCTGATGCTTTTCCGAGCGCTGTCGCTTCGATCGAGTGTAGGGTGCCATGGCGGCGTATCCGAGGTCTGCTTAAAGTAGGCTGTTGTTATGGTATGGTAGTATGGTTGAGCTGCTTGCGAGATGATGAGGTCGGATCTTGGAAGATGATGAAGTGAATCGCTGCGGCAAGGGAAGGCCTCATATCTATATGCAGGCTGCCTGATATCAGATGCCAAAGAGGGTAAGCAAACTTAAGTGAAGAGGTGCTCACGTGTTGATACCTGCTATTGTCTACCGTCGAAGTGAAAGGTCAGCCAATGAAAGCGGGTGAGACGAAAAGCGAGGAGTCATTTACCGAACTTGGAAGATCGTGAGATGCTTGGCAGGCGCGAGTGAAGCAGATGTCGTGAATAGCGTTGATGTCTTTGCTTTCATTGCTGTCGTTCCTGATCTCGTGTCCTACTGCGCAACATGCCCATGCCTTGCTTTCATACAACTACGACGCCTTCACGTCCTCGTCGGCCTCCGCGTGTCCCACGGGCACCAGCTTGCCAACAACCAGATACTTCTCATTGAATCGCTCTTCCCACCCTCGCAAGTTGTCCATCTCCTCATTCCCCAAGTCCTCGAGTCGATCGAGAGGCCCATTCAAGTCCTCCGTCAGCATCTCAGCGTCGAAGCTCTGGCACGCCAGCCCTCGACTCGCATCTCGCCCGGCGAAGTTCTCATACGGTCCGCCAGGACCATAGAAGTTGCGGCCGGGTGTGACATCGAAGACTTTGCCGCGGACAGCAAGATACACTGGCTGCCCGTTCTCGCCGTTGTACGGTTGGAGTGTTGGCGGAGTAAAAGTCTTGAATACGAGCGGTGCTGGGGGAGTCGGCAGAGTCGCGGCAGGTGAGGGCCGCAAGCGCATGTAGACCAGGACCACGAAGAGGGAGAGTAGAATGAGGTTGATTGGGGTTGCTACTGTCGCACTGCGCCAGAGTCAGCATGGTATGCCAGGGCGACCTCGTTCTACGTAGCTCTTACACTTGTGCTGGTGGAGGGGCCTCAGGAACTTCCATCTTCGCTGCTATGAGAATGTCAGAAGCCTTCGAGTACAGACTGATCAGCCGTACCTACATTAATCAACTATCACCAAGTGAGGTACGTTAAGTTGCAGGCTGCATGAATCCGTCAAGTTCCTAGCGCCTGGCATGTGCTCCTGCCTAAGGCAATCGTGCATGTGATTGAGCCGAGGTGAATGTCACAGCGCTGCCGACTCCTCCTCCTCCACTGTAGACAGTTCCATCTCTGGAACATATACACTTGTCCTAACTCCTATCTGGGAGGATACATGAGATACACGAGCCACAATCTAGGGAATCGAAACAGTCAGGAGCTCATACAAATATCTTGGACCAACCGCCAACGACACCGTACGGACTGGTCCATTACTTAGCACACCTCCACCATGGCCTCACCACCGTACAGCCTGACAGAACGCAATGCCAACCCACCCCGGAACAAAACCATCCTGATTACCGGAGGAGCATCAGGCATCGGCCTCGCCACCGCCGCCTACCTCCACACCTCCGAATACAAAAACAACATCGTCTGCGTGGACCTCGCCTCCAACCCGCCCTCGGTAGCCGAGCTCCGCAAATCCCCCCGTTTCCTCTACCTCCCCTGCGACGTGACGAGCTGGCCCTCCCAACGCGCCGCCTTCGCCAAAGCCTCCGAGTTCTTCGGCCGCATCGACTGCGTCTTCGTCAACGCCGGCGTGGCGGAGATTGGCGAGCAGATCTTCACGGATTCGTTTGATAAAGACGGCCAGCTCCAGGAACCGGATCGTCGGACTATTGATATTGATATTCGTGCTGTCGGCGATACGTTGAAATTGGCCATGTACCACTTGCGCAACGACAAGGACGAGACGAGTGGGAGGCGCAAGGGGTCCGGGAGGGGCGAGGGCGGGAGTATTGTTATGACGGCTTCGCTGGCGGGGTATCTGGCTTCTGCTGGGGCGCCGCTGTATTCGGCCGCGAAACATGGTGTGGTCGGGTATTTGCGGGCGTTGAAGGGGGATTGTGCGAAGGTGGGGATTGCGATTAGTGTGATTGCGCCTGGCATAACGCTCACGCCGATCATTCTTGGTCGGAGGACGGGGCAGACGTTGCAGGAATGGGGGAAGGATATGGGAGATCGTGGTGTCCCGATCAATAATGCTGAGACGGTGGCGTTGACGGTGTCGAATTTGATGGGCCAGGGGATGAAAGCGAATGGGTCTGGGATTTTGATCCAGGCGAACCGGTGTCAGGATCTGGAAGGCGGAATAGCGAAGGGGAGGGAGCAGTGGATGGGAAAGGAGATGTTGGATATGTTCAGAGGAGGCCGAAATGCGCCGTTGTTCCCTAACAAGCTGTAACCGAGATAACCATCAACACAATAGCCATGCAATTCCCTTCCTTTTAACGAACGCCACAGCACAACAACACAGAGCACAGAAGCAACATATCATGGCTCGGACGGTTGCGCAGCAGAGTGGGCAGAGCCTTCCTCAAACCCCGAGTCCATAGGGTTCAATGTCTTTTGATACAGAACATTTCCATCTTCGAAAGCCACACCACTCATTTGGTCGTACATCATGACGAAGAAGTCATCAGCTGAGCTTTGCGTGGCGGCTCCGCCGAGTCTTGGATCATGTGGTGGACTCTCCGAGTAGCCTTCGGCATCAGCCAGCAGAGCTTGTTCATACAAACGTTCCCAGTCACAATCAGAGATGAGGTCGAGCGGATCAAGGCCAGGTGCCAGTTCGTTGGATATACTGGTGGCAGGCCTGCCAGGTTGTCCATGGGACCGAACTCCCGTACTGCTTGCGCCACCGGAGCTCTCATGGTGCAAAGTAGTCTGTCTTGCGTCGTCTTTCTTGTTGTCTGTGTCTGTCTCGGCCCCCACAAAGCGTGCCCGAGGTCTTGCAAGTCGCTGACATCACCCGCGCGAAGCCTGCCAGGGTTGACGATAGCCTCACGCAAGTGCCGGCAGAACATTTGCATCTCAGCGATTGCGGCAGCTCTTTCTTGTTGCTCGAAGTCATCCTCATCAGTCGCTGTGGACGGGTAGCGCTGGTGGGACTGGTACATGTCTTCCCAGAAACTTCTCATCCTTGGTTGAGTCTTCTGGAGCTCCCGTAGCATTTGCCGTGCAACAACTTTCATTCCATCGATGGGAGAACGTGTGTCCGAATTGTTGCGAACCAATCGAGTACTGATTGCCAGAGACTTCGAGCTAGTGCTGACCGCAGGTGCTTCAAAGGATTGTTCGGAAGCAGCGAACTGTGTTCCTGTCATGGTTGTCGCTTGCTCTGGGGGTATGCAAGGTTGTCCGATGAGTCTTAGCAGATCTTCTGGCTCGGGCACTGGTACGTAGGGATCTGTTATGCCAAAAGCTATGCGATAGATCGCCTTCCAAATGTAATACTGGGGGTTCCTGAGCCCAGTACCCGGGTGCTGACAAGCTGGTGTACGTTCGGAGTAGTAGTTTTTACAGACTGATGTGACACAAACCCAACGATTGCAAGCCTTGGCATGGAGACGTCGTTGAGTCTCTGAGCCAAAGGCCAAGAAGCATTTCGTGCACCAGAATCTCTTGTGCCGCTTGAGATGAATCCTGCGTTCTGTTAGTCTGAACTTCGTTAATAGAGCCCCGTAGTTGCTCACCTGATGCGTGACGTGTACTGCCTTTGCATTTTGGAACATTCATCAAACAGTTCGGCATCCGGCGTCTCACAGCCGATGAAGACGCAAGGATATCCTCTTAGGGGATCATCATTGGACGGAGCAGGTTTGCGGACAGCTCCCTGCGGACAGGCATATGGACTAGTCGGCCCCCGAGATGCTGTTACACTGCGTTTGCTCCTCACTGGTCCGAAATTGCTGCTGGGGAGATGGTTTCCGGGACTTCTGCTTGGCCAGTCAGGGAGCATAGCCGGTCCAGCGGTATCAGGATTCGCCATAGGTAGAAGCTCGGATCCTGTCGCTAAGCACAGGGCTTCAATGTTGCGTGATGGTAAAATACAGCGACTCGAAAGGTGCAGATCGGACAGCAGCTCATCTTCATGCGTATTGGAGCAGCTAAGAGGAATTGCATCACAACTTTTGGAGCGTGAGGGCACTGGAGCACCGCACGACCGAACCGAAGGGTGTCTACCGCTTGTGGGATGCTTTTTACCAATCATGTCGGCGAAGGCGTTATTGACTCGGTTGAGCGTGGCCTTGATCTCTTGAAAACGCCCAGGTCGCCGGTGGAAGTCTAGTGCCGCACTTCTGAGCACTCGTGGTGCACCAGAACAACGCGCAAGATCCCCAGAGATGCCATGTACAACAGGCGTTCCACATTGAGCTCCATTCGAGCGGCTGCTGTGAAAATTGTTGTAATCCACCGAGCTCGGATCTGGAAAGGCTGGTTGGTCGGGTGATAAGGCTGGTGTCGTCAAGCTGTATTGATAATAGAACTTGTTCTGAGGAGAACACGTCGAGCTGTGATACTACATTAGCGCCTTACACCTAAGGTGTCTTGAAGCATCTCACTTCTCAATGACCTTCTCGACCTCAAAGCCAGGGTGAGCCTTGATGACATGCTCGCGGAACTTATCGAGCCGGGACCACAGCTTCTCCGCACGGCGGCAGCTGTGAGCCTGGCATCGATAGAAGTCCTTGTTACCAATGGCGGGCTCAAGTTGATGCTGGTTCTTTACGTGACGTTCCATCTCGTAACGTCTCGAAAAGCGGCCAGCATAACTGCAACCCTCCACGCGGCATCTGAAATCTTTCGACCCCCTTCGACTTCAAGATCAGAAACCCATGAGTCTTGCTTAGGGAAGACGGAACATACTTTTTCTCGGATCTGGCCACTCTAGGGAGGCTCGGTGTGGCCAGATCGTCTTTGTTCAGACTTTGAATGCTCACTCTAGAGAAGTGAGACGAGCGACATCTGTGCGCTGCGGAAGTGTCCCTTATGGGCTGCCGGCGAAGACGCTGGGGTAAGACAGGCTCGTGACCTTGTTGTTGGCCGAGCATGACGAGTGTCTCGTCATATTTTCTGCAATCTAGGCCTGCGTGCTCTGGAAGAGAAACACGCTCAGGTGAGGGAGACCTCGAATGTTCTGAACTCGAAAAGCTGGACCTTGAGTGCGGCAATAGATGATGGGACTCAAGCAAGGCCGCAGAGTCGACGTGGGAGGGCTGGGTCTCCGAGACTGGGTGATCCATGCTTTGATGTGATTGGATTTGATAACGCGGTGGTGAGCTGCGGTAGCCTGTTTGCCTTGTGATCACCTCGGGCTAGGGTGGCTCTGGAGCGATGGATGGTAGATTGTATCTTTCTCGGAAATGAAACATGAGGCAAAGTTCGCGGACCTCTGAGGGCAAGGCCACAGGCCGGGCTGTAACGTTTTGTAGACGAAAGGAAAGGACTGAACACTGGCAAGTGTTTCTGCGCAGTCGACTTCGCACTTCTCCCTCGGACCAGGCAGTGCCCACTCGGGCTGCGCACTGCTCACTCGGACCCGGCATCGCCCTACGATGACGCCCAAAGACCAGTAGTAAGGCCAGCTTGACCATCCACCCCCAGCAGCCCCGCGCCTGGGGAAGCTCGCGGATGTGGTGACAACGGGAGCGTGCAGATGTTTGCTGGAGCTGTTCCACCCTTTACAAGATGGAAGCGGTGCTGACCGTCGAACCGCGAGCGTCGAGAATTACAATCCCCATCGGCTGCAGGAAATCAATAGGCCAAAACGTCAATGCAGTGCCGACTGTGAGCCGCTCAGGGTTGCATAAAGCTGTCGACAGGCACGGAATTGCTTTTTTGATCGCAACACCACCGCTTTCTGCATGATGTGACGCCTCTGGGTGTATGCGTACGCCTGTTCTACACGAGTCCGATTCCATTTCTGAAGACCTAGTCCATCGGAGCCGTCCATCACGAGTTTGTACCACAGACCTTTGCTACAGCCCGCATGTGCTTCTCCCCGCAATGGTTCTTCGAGCAGTGCTCAGCCCTCTCGACAGCACACGAGGAGCCTGCAGTGATGTCATGCAATCGTGTTCGACTCTCTACTCCAGGCTCGGCCAAAAGGGTTTGGAAGCCTGTCAGTCCGGAGCGATGGGCCTGGGAGAACTATCAGTGGCACCGGCCGAGGAGAGATCATACTATGCCATACGTGCTAGCTCCGGCATCATGTTACACCACCATAGATAGCCACTGCTCAGCGGCAAAAGATACCAATGCGTGGCACAAGTCCATGAGCGCTCTTGTCAGTGTACCAGGTGGACTTCGCGACTCACAGCAGTCCAACCACTGCGGGACCTTCAAGGAGGCTTCGCGCGGCCATCTGCTTTACGACAAACGTCATTTGGTGCCATCATCCTGCCACGGGCTCAGGACTGGAATCGTGCACGGTGCGACAGCGGAAGAAAGACGCAAGTGGTCATCCAAGATGAAGTCAGAGTCAGTGTACTAAGCCTCACGGGCTCTAGAGGGCCGACGAACCTTGCAGAGCATGGGCCCACCCTGTAAGCACGACGAATGGGATGAAATGCTCATGTGAAGGAGCAGGATCTTCGCAAGGGTATAGGAGATATTGTACCTCTGGTAGGTGGCTACGCTACCTCCGGAGGTATGGTAGCACAGCATGAGCGTCGGGCTCCGACACCTCCCATTCATCGACTAGATTGGACTCCATGAGCCTGCACCTATATCAAGCCACCCAGCTTGGATGTCTGTTGACGAGAATGCACAGCATACAGGATGCTCATCGAGAAGGTCCGGAGACACCCATTCAACTTGTGAATAGTAGTAGACGAGTATCTGTGGTCAGCGGTAACTTTGTGCCATTATCATCCGGACGGCACGATTATCTTTTACTCATTGTCTATATATGTTGCCACAATCAAGGGTAGACCTTGACAGGCTCAGCGGAGCCATTGGATCCAGGCAAGCCACTAAGCTGCGCAATCGCTCTCACACTATCACTGATCACCGCATTAATCCCGCCGTCGAATTGGATCTACAGATGTCAGTTGCTTCCAAATCCCACACTCGCACAGAAATACAACCCACCTTAGCGTTCTCAGGCTCACTATTCCCCACCCCAAACGACATAATCGCCAACCCAGCCGACTTGACATACTCAATCAACCTCGGACACTTGATCAACGGCGTGCACTCCACCACAATTCCCGGCAGCCCCCAGCTCTTCGCAAACTCCACCGCCTGTTGTATGCAAGACGACCGCACCTCACCCCTCGGCGCCGCCGTCTTGCTGAGGAAGAACACCGGCCATGTTCGCTGTTTCGTAGACAGCGCGATGCAGATCTCCGGGCTGAAGGAGGAGAAGACAATGGTCCTGTCTCGAGCGTGCTCGTAGACTTTGTCGAGAACCGTGTCGACGAAGATGTCCGTTTTGATGGCTAGAAGTTCAAGGTCCCACTCGTCTGCTTCGAAGAGCATCGGGTATTTGAGCTCGATGTTGAGGTTGACGTATAGTGGGATTTGCTTCAGGATGTCGACCAGGGTGCACGAGCTCTCGCGGATGAAGGTGCCGCGGGTGTTGGCTTTGAAGCCTTGGACGCTGTGGAACTTCGTGCGTGTCATGCGCTCAGCGAGATCGTCGAGATGTGGAGTGTCTGTTGCATTGAACGAGTTTGATCTTGACAGTCTTGGTGTTCTTGGGCCTTGCGTTTTGCTGAGCTGTTCGAATTGCTCGAACGTTAGTGTATGCATTGGCGAGTTCGTGCCAGTCTCGCTAACAAGTAGGTCGTGGTAGATTACAGGGACAAGGTCGGAGGTGAGTTGCACGTCGAATTCGAGGAAGGAAGCTCCATGATTGATCGCAGTAGAGAATGACTGCAGGGTGTTCTCACCAACCTGCAACTTCTTGGAATTTATCATGTTCTTGCCAGAGCCTCGGTGACCGCCCACGCCGTTCCCGAAGTTCCAGCAGTGCGGCGGTGGCGGCGGGACTGGCGGAGTATAGTGAGCTACCGAGAAGTAGGAGAACGTGACTTGTGCTATGCATTCAAACATTCCATCGCCGGCTCCGTAGCCCGACGTTGCCTGAATCGGGACCGTGGTCTCTCGCATCAGGCTCTCCTTATGCGGACGCATGTTTCGGTTGAGCTCGCCGAGAAGAGTGATGCCTTGCCCAATCAGTCTCCTGCTCTCACTATCTCGGGTGCCGTCCTCATGAGCGTAAAACTTCCAAATGAGCTGCGCCTGAGTCAGGTTCTTCGAGACGAAGTGCCACGGACGGTTGACTGACCGGCCGTGAACAGGAAGGGCAACGCTGTACTCCACGTTCGGATCCCCGGCCAAAGAGACAGAGAGTGAGGAGCTAGCACTTGTTGCATTGGCGTGGTTGCTCAATCCCTCTAGCCCCTTGTTGAAAGACACCGTCCTATACGGCCTGGTAGCATCATTACTACCCAGGCTGATCCACAGGTGAGATCCTCCTTCAGGTATGGGCTTCTCCTGCAGCCACGCCACATGATCCCCAGCCTTCTGATCGTGCTGCCCACGAGGCGATGGAGCGAGCCTCGGTAGCGACAGTTGAGTCTGACGAGTTGCTCCGTGCTGCTCGAGAAACGCTATCACTCGGAAATGTCCATGACACGCAGCGTGCTCAATGGGCAACCATCCAGTGGAGTCCTGCTTGATGACATCCGCACCGTAGTCGACCAAAGTCTGCACTATGGTGAGGTTACCGTTGATGCATGCGATGCAAAGTGGCGTCTGTCCCGTCGTTGCCTCGATGCGGTCTACTTCAGCGCCCTGCTCCAGTAAGTTCGTCACGGTTTCAGGGGCGTTGCGGACAGCATCGCATAGAGGTGAGTCGGCGTTGCCATTTTGAACGGGCTCCCAAGAGCCATTCAGGGTCGTCATCAGCCCGCACAATGAAGCTTTGATATTAATCCGTAGATGAATCTGGTCTTGTATCGGTATTAAGGTGAAGTCGTACAAGAAGATCGATCGTCATATGCAGGTACACAAGATAAAGTGGAGCCATGCATCTGCTAGTGGGGCAGGAACCGTGGTTGCTTCTTCGACACGTGCTAATCTTCATCACTGCTATCGCCGAACATATCCGCTGCCCTCATCCGCTTCTTAGGCCCAGATGGTTTCGCAGGTCTGCTCGTGGACGCAGGTGCACTGCTATGGTCATTGGCTGGCGCCGAATCCGCAGGCTTTTGATCAGCAGCACCATCCATTCCTCCGAGGCCTGGAGCAGATCCAGCATCTGCCATGTTCTGGCCGTCAATATCCTCCATTGGATCTCCGTCGACCACAACTGCCAGAGGTGCCCCATCAACTTCTTCCAGCGGCGCGCCATCCAACGGAGCTCCGTCAAGCGGCGCGCCCTCGACATCCTGATCGACCTTTTCCGCCACCACAGGCACAGGCGCAGGCGCAGGCGCAGGCGAAGCACTCGCAGCCGGCGATCCTACACTCTCCACCCTCTTAAACTTTCCCATAAATTTCTCCTCCTGCTTCCTGTTCTCCTCCCTCTCTGCCTCGGCAGCCGCCGCAGCTTTCTCCTCTTCACTAAGCGGCGGCTCGAAAAAGCTTTGCTTGAACTCCTTATGCACATCATTACTGAACACGCTCCAGCCCTCCCAGATTCCGAAGACCACACCGACTTTTCGCTTCCACTGTTCAGACTTCATGCGACCCCAGGCGAGCTCTTTGTCCAGCTTACCGAGGTAGTCGAAGGTGTTTTGGGCTTTGAAGCCGGATTCGAAGAGTTGGCGGTACTTCCATGCGTTGCGTGCGCCGGCTGTAGAGGAGGCGGAGAGGATGTCGGAGATGACGTAGAGGGCGATGAGTTTGGCGTTTGAAGGGTCGTCGTCGCGTTTGCTGTCCTTTTGTGGTTGCGGGGCAGGAGAGTCGAGGGCGGAGAGGTCGTCGTTAGGTTCGTAGACGTCTTCTTCGTCTTGGGAGTCTGAGTCTTCGTAGCGCGAGGCCAGGGTGTAGGAGAAAGGTTTTACGACGTTGAGCAGAAGCATGTCCACGATCTCCTCCGCCCCGGCACCTGCGCGGCCGATGGCGAAACTGGTGATTCGTGCTACATCACCTTTCCGCAGTCGTGCATTGGACGTAGGCAGTCGAGAAAGGAGGTAGACGAATCGCGCTCTCTGCAATGGCGTAAGGTGCTTCCTCTCGTTCGCCTCACTTAAGCCGTCGCCTTCTCGCGAAGCATTGAATTGCCGCTCACCACCCTCACCATCATCACTTTCCTCGTCGCTGGAGATATAATCGATCTCAGTGACCACTTGCTCGAGTGACTTCAGATCCGGGAACTGCACTTGAGCGTACGGTGGATGCCACTCGATAGGCACATCATCGTGTATCCGCTCGATTGTCAGGTTCTGTCGCTTATCGTCCCTCGCTACATCGCTTGGCTCGTCTGGAGCCCACAGCAGGAACCGGTAGTAAGCCCCTGCTGTACTCTGCGAGTCGTACAAGAAGGCAAAGCGCTCGTCTAGCTGTACTTCCGGTAGTGACATAAGCGACGCCTCGATCTGCAAAGCTCGTGCCGGATCCGGTTCAAGGAGGAGGCGATCCACCACTGTATGAATGGCGTTGACTGCTTCAATGTCTGCCGGGGGACGGACAGCGACAACAGCATCAACGCGATCAGGGCCACGTTGTCTGGACCGACTTGGTGCATCGTATGAGTCTGGCGGCGCAAATCCGCGATGCTCCATTGGCGGCGGTGCGTTGCGCATTGAGGAGTGCTGGTCGCGGGTTTCGCGCGGCCTTTCTGCTCCAAAGGGCTCGTTGGATGAAGCTGCATTGCTGGATATGACGGTAGGATGAAAGGCGGCAGAGGACAGATGCCTGGAAACTGATAGGTAGAAGCCACGACCGAGATACTTCTGCTTAAGGGCGCCAATGGCCAAGTCAATCTGCGAGCTCGATATGTCCGAAGACAGGGTTGCGATTGCGGATAGTGTGCGCTTCGTCTCTGTTCCAGGAGCACTTGGAGGCAGGAACCGGACACTGTGGACTTTGAGCTGGTCCTTGAGTAGACTCTTGATCCCGTCGGCGGTCGTATCGGGTGGCAGCGAAGACAGCTGGATCGTTGGCCGCGGCGCATCAACATCGTCCTGCTCAGCTCGAGCGTTCAGGCCTGGACTGTCGCGAGCATCGTCTCCAGGTCCTTCGTAAGCAAGCATTTCCTCCTGCTCCCGCCTAGCCTCCTGTGCTTCCCGCATCTCATCCAATGCGCGCTTCCTCTTCAAGCTTGGAGGCGGCGGTCCAAAGCTACCTGGTCCTCCCCTCGGTCCTGGTGGGGGTGCTCCATAACGTCCGCCTGAACCGTAGCCCATGCCAGGCCCTCGAGGCCCAGAAGGAGGTCCCCTGCCCCCGTAGGAAGTGTGGAAGCCATCATCGTCGTCGTCTCCCGCGAACGAGTTCTCGAATGCCTTTAGAGCCGCCGCGTTCTCGGCCTCTGCGCGCTGTTGTTTGGCCTGCGCGGCTTGTCTTTCCTTCTCGAATGCTGAAAGCTTCTTAGGCGCAGAGAGCTTCTGGCTGACGTCCGGGAACTCCTTGGGTGTCTCCTTGCCCTCCATCTTGCCAGATCATGCGCATCTGAATCTCGATACTTGCCTTCAATATGCATGTCCGCGGTGTTGTCGTATTGAGTTTAGTGACGTCGAGCGGCTCAACCCGAAGCCGGTAAAGCTTATTTCCCCGCGCTAGTGAGCGCTGGCAAGTGCTCGTGTTCGAGGACGACTCGCAGCTTTCAACTCTCACACGCCTCCAACGGCCTACGACAGCAGAGTGTCGCACTTCGGCTGATGGAGGCGCTGGAAACCGATTCAGAAGACGATTCAGGACACACTGACGACTTATGAAAGTTCTCACCATCACGGTCACCCACCGACAGCCACCACGATGGCTCAGTACCACGAAACACTCGAACTGATCTTTGCCGACCTGCGCGCTCGGAGCGACACCACCCGCCAGAATGCCGCGGCCAGACTGGGCGAGCAGGTCAACGCAGCCTTTCGTGAGCTGCCAGGCCCTGAGTTCCACCGATACTACAGCAGCGTCAATACCCGCATGGCCTCCCTCATCCTCTCCGGCACCGACACACATGAGAGAATCGGCGGTCTGCACGCACTCAGTGCCCTGATCGACTTTCGTGGGGATGACGCGGCTCAGAAGGTCACGAGGTTCAGCAACTATGTGAAGAGGATCTTGGAGGGCAACGATAATAGCGCTATGGTTGTTGCTGCTAGATGCTTGGGGAGACTTGCTACGCCTGGTGGAGCTCTGACGGCTGAGCTGGTCGAAGCGGAGGTTAAGAACACCCTCGAATGGCTCACCTCGGAGCGCAATGAGAACCGCAGGTTCGCAGCAGTCCTGATGCTGAAAGAGCTGGCTCGGCACAGCTCCACCTTGCTGTACCCTTACATCCCTGGCATCCTGCTCAGCATTTGGGAAGGCCTGAGAGATCCGAAGCTGCTGATCCGTGAAACAGCAGCAGAAACTGTGAGAGAGTGCTTCAAGATTTTGTCAGCCCGTGACGCTGCACAACGCCAAGCTTGCCTCACTCGCATGCTGGACGGAGTACAGGATGGCTTCAGGCGAGGTACAATCGAGTGCATACATGGATCACTGCTGGTATACAAAGAGCTGCTAACTCAAGGTGGCATGTTCATGCACGGCAAGCCTTACGCCGCCGCCTGCGACCGAGTGCTTAAACCAGAGTACAGGGACCACAGGGATCCTACCATCAGGAGAACTGTCGTCGACCTCATCCCCATACTGGCCATGTACGCACCGAAAGAGTTCTGTCAGCACTACCTGGCTCGATCGATGCAACACCTACACAGTCTGCTCAAGGATCCCAAACAACGCAACTTCGCATTCGTTGCCATCGGCCAGATAGCTCATGCCGTCGGTTCACAAATCGCACCTTACCTCGACACAATTCTACTCCACATCAGAGAGGCACTGTCTCCGAGAAATCGGACCAAGACCTCTGACGAGGCGCCGATATTCGAATGCATCAGCATGATCTCCATCGCTGTTGGACAGACACTAAGCAAGTACATGGAGGCACTTCTTGATCCTATCTTTGCGTGCGGTCTTTCGGATGCTCTCACTCAGGCCCTTGTGGACATGGCACACTACATACCTCCTGTGAAATCGACAGTGCAAGAGAAGCTGCTCGATCTGCTCAGCCGGACACTCTGCGGGCAGCCATTCCAAACACTTGGCCACCCGACGCATGGCAAAGGTTTGCCTCCCATCTTCACCAAAGACGTGCGTGATCAGCGCGACCCTCAACACCACGAGCACAAGGAGCAGGAGATTGCGCTTGCACTCGACACCTTGGGCTCGTTCGACTTCTCTGGTCACATTCTGAATGAGTTTGTTCGGGATGTGGCAATACGATACGTGGAAGATGACGATCCTATCATTCGCAGAGCGGCTGCGTTGACATGCTGTCAGCTGTTTGTCAAAGACCCCATCGTCTACCAGACCAGTCACCATGCCATACAAGTCGTCGCGGACGTCATCGAGAAACTGCTCACCGTGGGTGTTGCGGACCCTGTACCTGAAATACGGTACACAGTTCTTGCTTCTCTGGACACTCGCTTTGACCGTCATCTGGGGAAGGCCGAGAATGTTCGGACTCTGTTCCTGGCACTCAACGACGAGAAGTTTTCTATCAGACAAGCAGCAATGGGTGTCATTGGTCGACTCACTGCAGTCAACCCGGCCTACGTCTTTCCATCACTCCGCAAAGTCCTGATCCAGCTCTTGACCGAAATCGAGTACTCCAACAGCCCCACGAACAAACGCGAGTCTGCTCAGCTCATCAGTGATCTTGTCAATGCTAGCAGCAAGCTGATCAAGCCTTACGTGGACCCGATGGTAACGGTCTTACTGCCAAAGACTGAAGATGCTAATGCGGACGTGGCAGCTACAACACTACGCGCGCTTGGGGATCTGGCTACAGTGGGCGGCGATGACATGGTTAGGTACATCCCTGCACTGATGAAAGTCATCATCAACAGCCTGCAAGATCTCGGATCTCCGAAGAAGCGGGAAGCTGCTCTCTGCACACTCGCTCAGATTGCCAGCAATAGCGGCTATGTAATCGACCCGTACATCGACCATCCCGAGCTGCTTACCATACTGGTCAACATTGTCAAGCACGAACAGCCAGGCGAGCTTCGGCGTGAGACCATTCGATTGATGGGAATCCTAGGTGCTTTGGACCCGTACAAGCACCAGCAGGTTGTCGAGGAATCACCAGAGACGAACCTGCGCGCGGAGGCAGAGGCTGAATCAGACGTGACGCTGATCATGAAGGGCATCACGCCGAGCAACGAAGATTATTACCCCACCGTGGTCATCAACACACTCATGAACATGCTCCGAGACGATGCTCTCAAGACCTACTACTCAGGCGTTGTGGAAGCGGTGATGAACATCTATGCCACCATGGGCATGAAGTGCGTTCCATTCCTGGGCGTCGTCGTGCCCGGCATCGTCAGCGTGATCAAGGACGCCTCCGACGGACGCTTGGAAGGGTACTTCAGCCAGCTTAGCTTGCTGGTGAAGATCGTGCGAATGCATATCCGACCACACCTTCATGTCATCCTCGATGCAGTCAGCGAGCACTGGCACAAATCGACACAACTACAAGCGACTATCCTCAGCCTGATCGAGAGCATTTCGAAGAGCCTGGAGGGCGAGTTCAAGGTCTATCTAGCGTCGGTGCTGCCGCTAATGCTGGGAGTGCTGGACGCCGACACCCGATCTGAAGCTGGACGAGCTGCCTGCTCGAGAGTACTGCACGCCTTCCTCGTCTTCGGCTCAAGCGCAGAGGAGTACATGCATCTCATCATTCCGGTCATCGTTCGCATGTTCGACACAGAGCGCCACCACCACCGCGACGTCCGCAAAGCGGCTGTCGAAACCATTGGCAAGCTGTCGAGACAAGTGAACATATCCGAATTTGCCGCCAAGATCATCCATCCTCTATCACGCATCCTCGTCGGAAATGACGGCGCTCTCAAGCAGTCAGCGATGGACACGCTCTCGGCATTGGTGTTCCAGCTGGGGCCTGATTACTTGCATTTTGTACCCACCATCGATAAGATCCTGGTCCAGCAACGCATCAATTATCCTCACTACACCATGATCATCAACAAGCTGAAGAGCGGTCAGCCCTTGCCTCAGGATCTGAGCCCGAACGAGCGGTACGGAGAAGAAGACGACGACCAGTATCCGACTGATATCGCCACGAAGAAGCTGGCTGTGAACCAACAGCACTTAAAGAATGCATGGGAAGCGAGCCAAAAGTCGACCAGAGAGGACTGGCAGGAATGGATGAGACGGTTCTCGGTAGAGCTGCTCAAGGAATCACCTCAGCAAGCACTCCGGGCTTGCACGCCGCTGGCTTCTGTCTACCCACCTCTTGCGAGGACGCTTTTCAACTCTGCTTTTGTCAGCTGTTGGACTGAGCTCTACGATCAGTATCAAGAGGAGTTGGTGCGGTCCATCGAGGTGGCTTTGACATCGCCGAGCATCCCACCAGAGATACTACAGATACTACTCAACCTGGCCGAGTTTATGGAGCACGACGACAAGGCCTTACCCATCGACGTCCGGACTTTGGGCATGTATGCCGGCAAGTGTCATGCTTTCGCCAAAGCTCTGCATTACAAGGAGCTTGAGTTCAACGCCGAACAGAATGCAAGCGCTGTTGAGGCACTCATCAGCATCAACAACCAACTTCAGCAGACTGATGCTGCCTTCGGAATCCTGCGCAAGGCACAAGGCTACAATGACGTCGACCTGAAAGAGACCTGGTTCGAGAAGCTGCAGCGCTGGGACGAGGCGCTCGTTGCATACAACAGGCGCGAGAGGGAGGAAGGCGAACGCGCCGGATTCGAGGTCATCATGGGCAAGATGAGGTGTTTGCACGCCCTTGGCGAGTGGGACACCCTGAGCACCATTTCTCAAGACAAGTGGTCGAGCGCGTCCACAGATCAGAGGAAGCACATCGCTCCGCTTGCTGCAGCCGCAGCATGGGGCATGGGCCAGTGGGAGCTCATGGACAACTACTTGAGCGTGATGAAGCCACACTCGCCGGATCGATCTTTCTTCGGCGCGATTTTGTCGATCCACCGGAACCATTTCGAGGAAGCACATGCTCACATCACCAAAGTCCGCGACGGGCTCGACACCGAGCTCAGCGCTCTTCTTGGCGAATCGTACACCAGAGCTTACAGCGTCATCGTGCGAGTGCAGATGCTGGCAGAGCTGGAAGAGATCATCACTTACAAGGAGAACCTCAACGATGACGACAAGCGTGCGCGTATGCGCGTGACCTGGACGAAGCGTCTAAAGGGCTGTCAGCGCAACGTTGAAGTCTGGCAACGCATGCTCAAAGTTCGTGCGCTTGTGGTATCTGCGACGGAAGACACGGAGATGTACATCAAGTTCGCTTCGATCTGCAGGAAAGCTGGACGTACTGGGTTGGCGGAGAAGAGCCTGAACTCGTTGCTTGGCGGCCACGGCAGCATCGTATCGAAAGAAGCTCTCGAGAAGCTGCCGTACGCGGATAACCGGGTTCAGTATGCTATCTTCAAGTACATGTGGAGCAAGGGTGAGAAGGACATTGCTGTACGGTGCTTGAGGGACTTCACAGCCAACCTCAAGGGGACCTACGAGCAGCGCAGCTATGCTTTGGCCAATGGTTTGACGAACGGCACGAATGGCGATCATCATGGGATGAACGGAGTCAACGGCCTCCATGCCGTCAATGCGCCCTTCAGCTCGGCCAATGGTCAGATTTCAGCTGGCGATAAGGCGAGGCTGGATCAGGACAAGGTCCTGTTAGCACGATGCTACCTGAAGCAGGGGGACTGGCAAGCTCAACAGCACGACGGTGACTGGCAGTCTGATCATGTCCAAGACGTGCTGCAGTCATACTACTCGGCAACTCGCTACAACGAGAACTGGTATAAGGCATGGCATGCCTGGGCTCTAGCGAACTTCGAGGTGGTTACCGCCCTGGCCTCGGATGCTGCGAGAGAGTCCGCAGATGTCCCACCGCACATCGTGCACGACCACGTGGTGCCAGCAGTTAGAGGCTTCTTCAAGTCCATTGCGCTGTCATCGTCCAGCTCCCTGCAGGATACGCTACGGCTTCTCACGCTCTGGTTCGCACACGGCTCGCATCAGGAAGTGACGCACTGCGTCACTCAAGGCATCTCCACAGTTTCGGTTGATACGTGGTTGGAGGTAATACCACAACTCATCGCTCGGATCAACCAACCGAACAGGATGGTGCGAGAAGCTATCCATAATTTGCTGGTTGACGTCGGCCGAGCGCACCCACAGCCACTCGTGTACCCGCTCACGGTGTCGATGAAGTCGGACGTCCACACTCGATCACGAGCCGCTGCAAGGGTCATGGAGGCGATGCGTCAGCACAGTCCGAACCTCGTCGAGCAGGCCGGGCTGGTCAGCCACGAACTCATTAGGATCGCAGTCTTGTGGCATGAGCAGTGGCATGAGGCGCTCGAGGAAGCTTCGCGCCTGTACTTTGGCGATCAGAACATCCAAGGCATGCTGGATCTGCTCGAGCCGCTGCACGACTTGCTTAGGAAGGGCCCAGACACTCTGCGAGAGATATCATTCATTCAGAGTTTCGGCCGCGACCTTAACGAGGCGCGCGACTGGTGCGAGGCTTACCGGACTACGCAAGAGATTGGTGACCTGAATCAGGCCTGGGATCTGTACTACGGCGTCTTCAAGCGGATCGCGAGGCAGTTGCCGCAGCTGATGACGCTGGAGCTGCAGTACGTGTCGCCGAAGCTGAAGGAAGCGCACGACTTGGACCTGGCGTTGCCGGGAACGTATCAGAGCGGCAAGCCCGTCGTCCGCATTCAGTCCTTCGATCCCGTTGCATCCGTGATATCCTCGAAACAGCGACCCCGCAAGCTGGCAATGCGCGGCAGCGACGGGCAGAAGTACGAATACGTCCTGAAGGGCCACGAAGACATCCGTCAAGATGAGCGCGTCATGCAGCTGTTCGGTCTCGTCAACACACTGCTTGCTACGGATCCTGAATGTCTCAAGCGGCACTTAAACATCCAACGCTTTGCAGCCATCCCACTTTCGACCCAATCAGGCTTACTGAGCTGGGTCGCCAACAGTGACACCTTGCACGTCCTCATCCGCGAGTACCGGGAAAGCCGGAAGATCCTGCTTAACATCGAGCACCGGATAATGCTGCAGATGGCGCCGGATTACGACAACTTGACCTTGATGCAGAAGGTGGAAGTCTTCGGCTATGCGCTTGACAACACCACCGGGCAGGATCTCTATCGCGTGCTGTGGCTGAAGAGTAAGAGTTCAGAATCTTGGCTCGACAGGCGCACGAACTACACGCGATCGCTTGGTGTCATGTCGATGGTTGGGTATATTCTTGGGCTCGGCGATCGACATCCAAGCAATTTGATGCTTGATCGGATCACGGGCAAGATCATCCACATTGACTTCGGCGACTGCTTCGAAGTCGCGATGCACCGCGAGAAGTACCCCGAGCGTGTACCATTCCGGCTTACAAGGATGTTGACGTTCGCGATGGAAGTCAGCAACATCGAAGGCAGCTTCCGCACCACCTGCGAACACGTCATGCGGCTCCTGCGCACGAACAAGGAGTCCCTGATGGCGGTTCTAGAAGCCTTCATCCACGACCCCCTGCTAACCTGGCGTCTCGGCAACCGCGAGTCCCCGCCCGAACCCTCCTTCCCCTCCGAACGCCGCACATCCATCATGGCCGCCCCAGCTAACCCCACAGAAGGCCGCCGCGCTTCCGTCATGGGCGCCGGTGCCGACCCGGCCGCTTCCGTCGACCGGCCTGGTAGTTCGTACCGTCCTCGCCCGCGCGGTAGCGGGCAAGTCAACGGCACCGCGGATCCCATCGAAGTGGAAGTCAAGAACGCGCGGGCGCTGCAGGTGCTGAGCCGGGTGAAGGAGAAGCTGACGGGAAGGGATTTCAAGAAGGAGCAGGAGTTGGGGGTGAATGAACAGGTCGAGAAGCTGCTGAGCGAGGCGACGAATTTGGAGAATTTGTGTCAGCATTATATTGGGTGGTGCAGTTTCTGGTGATGGGGGAGGCTAATAAGGTATGGTGTGCTTTTTTTTCATTTTGTTTGTACAGCGTGGCGTGGTATGGCATAGCATGGCATGGGCAGCGGGGCTGGGAGGCTGGCTGGAGTGCGATGCGGTGTACAACAAGCATGGAATCATCGTGGACTTTGGGCGTTCTGGCGCGGTTTGCTACGGACGTTAGGGGAGTCGGAATTAAGATTGCTCGCGTGACCAAGATGGAATCACGGCAAGGCTGAAGATTTATCAGAGGCTTCCGAAGTGGAGGGTCGACAGCATATATCGATGCCGAAGATGCCTTGATGCTCGAAATTGCCTTCGAGGCGTCCGAGGAGACAATGGGTTTGCTGCAGCATATCATAGCGTAGGCGCACGTCAATGGCATGCTTTTTAAGTATTCCACAGTTCAACAGAAACCTTCAACATCGGTTCCGCGCATCCCGCAGGGCACGAAGTCGGGGCATTGGCTCTCAGCTGGGATGTGGGGTCGCGACGCGTCTGGCTGTCACCCAAGTTTCTTGTGCGCCGGAAGTGCGGAAAGGTCATCAGTGGCAGCTTCAACCGTGAGTCCCGCGGCTGGCACGGCATCTTCAACGTCGAAGATGGAGAGGAGAGTGCATCGTGGCGTGCTTCATCATCTTGGGGTTGTCACTAGATACTCCCTCACCCTTCTCTTCGACTATGCAGATACTCATCGTCACGAAGGGAACGAGATCTTGGGGCCGACGTGCGAGAAGGAAATTGGATATCTAAGGCGAAGGGAGGGAATCTGTCATGCTTATTGAAGGGAAGAACATAATACGGTAGCGTCAGCACACAATGCATTCAGACGGGGAGCAGCACCACCAGGGTGAGTACCTAAGAACAGCGATGTTATGGAAACATTGTACGACAGTCATCAACTAGACTCTAACGACCGCCCCAGCGCCGAGCCCCCACTTCCAATCTCCAGAGTCAAACGACGGGCAAGATGAATCTTCCTCCTCCTGTCCCTCGACGCGGAAACCTTTGCACCATCACAGGAGACATCACAGCATTATCCCACGGCCGTTCAGTCGTGGTGGGAGGATGGAGAAGCATGTCCATCACTTGGGGTTCGTGAAGCGGATACGCCATTTCACTTGGACGTGGTTTACAATGACGGTGTGTACATTTCATTCGACGTATTGGACGGGGACTGACGACGAGTACAGATGGCTACAGGAGGTGTGGCGAACGTGCTGTACCAAGGTATGGCAGCTTGCTGTATCCATGCTTATTCGAACCATTGTCTAATATTTCCACAGTACCCTACCGCTTCGACGGCCTCTACATCATCGGAGTCATCTACTTCCTCTTCAACATACTGCTGTTCATTTTCAACGTCACCATGATCTCCCTTCGATTCCGGTACCATCCGCAAACCTTCCTGGCATCCATCACCCACCCGACCGAGAGCCTCTTCGTCCCGGCATGGCTGATCAGTCTCGGGACCATCCTTATCAACATCACGCAGTACGGCACGACCTACGGAAAGTCTGGTCCTTGGCTGCTGGGGACGATGTATGTTCTGTTCTGGTTCTACTGTGCCTTGGCGGTTGCCTTTAGCTGCGGCATCTGTACGTTTTCCCATCTCTGCTTCACTGCTAGCAACTGCTGACCTTGACATTGCGCTACAGACCTCGTCATGTGGTCCACCCAGACATACACAATCGACCAAATGACCCCCGTCTGGATCTTCCCCGCCTACCCCCTTCTCATCATCGGACCCTTCGCCGGCGAGCTCTCTGCCCATATCGCAGGTGACAAGGCGCTGGGTGTCATCGTCGCCGGCTGGGTCTTCCAAGGCATAGGATTCCTGGTTTCACTGATGATCTACGCTTCCTTCATCTACCGCCTGATGACCCAGAAGCTGCCGCGCGAAAGCTTAAGGCCTGGTATGTTCATCAGCGTCGGGCCGTCCGGCTTCACGATTGCTGGGGTGTGCAGTATGGGACAGGTACTGCCAAGGGTGGTTACGGATGATTTTATGGACGATGGGTATCTTGCGGGTCAGATTGGGAAGATCGGCTCCGCGTGGTTTGGGCTCTGGTTATGGGGTCTGGCGTTCTGGTTCTTCATCGTGTCGGTCGGTGCGCACTGGTCGTGTGTTCGCGATGGACGGATGACCTTTGCCATGACGTGGTACTCGTTCATCTTCCCGAATACTGGTAAGCATCATTCATCATTGTCGTCGCAGAGCCATGAGCTAACACTCGTTCTAGCCCTCACAACCGCCACCTTCGCCATCGGCCACGCACTCAACAGCCACTCAATAAAAGTGGTCGGCTGCGTGATGACCTGCCTCCTGGTTACAGGCTGGTTCATGGTCTTCGCCATGATGATCCGAGCCGTAATACTCAAAGACATATTATGGCCACAGAAGCAGGAAGACCGTGCTGAGGGTGGCTGGAAGACGCACCCCGACGAGAAGCAAGCCTGCGACACGCGGAGCTGCGGGCCAGAAGAGGCTACCACGTCGGCGTTAGAGGGACATGAGCCCGATTTCGACCAGAGCGAAGGTCAGCCGGAATCTGCGTCGGCGCCTGGTCAGCTTCCAGCAGAGCCTGGTGCTACTTTACCTCCTATTTCGGAGACATTTATCGATGAACCTATACGTAGCAGAGGGCCTAAGCCGCTCGATAGCATGGTCTGAACAATAAATGCGATGAGAATTATTTCCAACTCAAAGCCTACCTACTCCCTCACAATCAAGCTCGCCATCCCCATCCCCGTGCCCACACACATGCTCACCACACCCAACTCCTGCCCCTGCCTGTCCATCTCCGGCAGCAGGGTCGCCAACTGCCTCGCCCCCGTCATCCCCAACGGATGTCCCAACGCTATCGCACCTCCTTTCGGATTCACCTTTGCCTCGTCAATCCCTAGCTTCCTTATACAGTAAATCGCCTGCGACGCGAATGCCTCGTTGATCTCCCAAATGCCAATCTCCTCCTTGTCCACGCCAGTGTATTCCAAGAGCTTTGGAATCGCAATCGCAGGCCCTACACCCATCTCGTCCGGTCTACAGCCCACCGTCTGCGTGCCTGCCCACTTCCCAATAATCGAACCACTCAGCCCGAGCTCGTTCGCCGTGCTCCGCCGCATCATCAACGCCGCCGCGGCGCCATCAGACACCTGACTACTATTCGCCGCCGTCGTGGCCCCATCCGGCTTAAACGCCGGCTTCATCTTCGTCAACCCCTCCGCCGTGCTATTCGGCCTGATCCCATCGTCCTGCGCCACAGTAATACTCTCCACCTGCTCCGGGTGCTCTGGATCCGGCCGCCATCTTGTCGTCACAGGCACGATCTCCTTATCGAAAAGCCCATCCTCCCGCGCTTTCTGCGCTTTCCGATGACTCCGTGCGGCGAACTCATCCTGCTCCTGTCGTCCAACTCCATACCGCTCCGCGACGTTCTCGGCCGTGATGCCCATGCTCATGATACACTCCCTCGCGTCCTTGGACGGCGACTCCTTCAGCTCCTCCCATAGTTGCGTAGGGATGGCTCTGCTCCCGTAGTTGCGCGTCATACTCTCCATCCCACCCCCGACACCGACGTCAATCTGTCCCAGCGCTATCGCGTGCGCCACGCCAGTAATCGCGCTCAACCCGCTCGAACACGCCCGATTCACCGTCTGGAACGCTGCCGTCTCGGGGATCCCAGCGTGTAGCGCCGCCATGCGTCCTGCTTTGCTGCCGCCCAGCTCTGAAAGAACGGTTCCGATCTGCACATCTTGGATCTTGGCCGGGTCGAGGTTCGGGTGGGCGGCGAGGGTGGCGCGGAGGACGTGGGAGAGGAGTTCGTGGTCGTAGGCGTCTTTGAAACCGCCCTTTTTCGCCCTTGTGACGGGGGTGCGGAGGGCGGAGAGGAAGACGATGTCGTGGGGTTGTTTCTGGAGGATGGATTTGCTGCCTTTTTGTATGAAGCCGGCCATCTTCTCGTATATGTGTAGGAGGAGCTATGGAGGGAGAGCGATGGAGAGGGAGAGGTGGCCGGTGATGATGTATTTGGATATGAGCAAGGAGAGGTATAGCATTACAAGGAGCAGGACGAGTAAGGGAAGGAAGACTGTACAGGACCTACGCATCGGAGGTCGACGAGAAATGCCGAGTGGTATACTTTGTTGATGTTTGCAGGAGAAGGATGCGGCAGCTCTCCGAGTCGAAGTCGCCGCCGGCATCGGCTTTCGGCAGTGGTTGGTGAATGTATACCCATAGCAACCACTCTTCGTGCTGCTATACAGCATGAGAGTGATGTGGATGCTGCAGAGTGTCGAGATATGTTATTCGTAACCGTCATATCGAAGCATATCACGACTACTCCACAGTAACCATCAACCCATCCCCCCTCGCCTTTCCATCCGCCCCAATCCCTCCCCAAACCACAACACTCGCCCCATCAACCTCACCTCCCTTTCCAGCCGCGCCGCCTCTCCTAACGCCGAGTCCTCTCCCTGGCTGCCCTTCCTGAATCATCACACCCTCGCTATCCAAGTACTTCACTTCACTCCACGTCGCCTCCCTCGTGTCCATCTTGACAGCCATTCTCGCGGCGTCCTTGAAGCTAGCCGCTGTCATGCCCTCAGGCTTCAGCTGCAACGTCCAGATATCTTCGAGAGTCTCGCCAGCTTGAGACTCCCCACCCAAGAGGAGAAGGTAATTCCTGCCCTGACCTGTCGTTACCGGCACCATTGACGCAGCTGATCGCTCGCCTGGATGCGGTTTCTCTGGTGAGCTCGATGTAGGCGGGATAGACTGCCATGGCCCCAGTGGAGCGAGGCCGAGTTCTCCTTGTCCGCTTCGATCATCGTATGAACTGCGTGAGACATCCAGATAGCTCGTCTGGCCCGCAGAGAACGTGTACAGGCGGTTGTCGACCATCGCCAGACTCGGATGCGGTGAGCTTGGAGGTGGACAGTCAGGAAGTTCCTTCCAGGTTCGTGACGAGATGTCGAATGTCCAGACATCGTTCAGCGCGTGTCCGTCTATGCCTTGGCCGCCTTGAACAACGAATGTGCCGTAGGTGTCTGTATCTGGGATATCAGGCATGGTAGTCTCTGGATCTGGCGGGTGCTGCGGCATCACATCCTGGTCTGCCCTTCTTTGAGCTTGTCGTGGATGTACACTCGCGACCGCTGCTCCATTGGACCTTGCCGGAGGGAATGCGTCTTTCGAAGAAGGATCGAAGTGGGACCATGTGTTTGTCGCCGTATCGTACACCCATACTCTGCCATTCTCGTCGATCGGCTGGCGATCTTGTCCGCATCCACCAAAGATATATATTCTCTCCTCAATCACTGCAGAGCTGTGCCCATATCTTGCTGGGGGCGCATCCTTCGTGGCATCGAGCTTCTTGTAGTCCATCGACTCCACTCCAGACGAGGGTAGGATTACGACGTGTACATCGTTACTCGCCAGCGGCGCGCCTTCTCCATCACCTGTCTTTCCGCCAAATAGATATGCTCGTCCTTTGACCAGCGAGACTGAATGATATGCAAGAGGGACGCTGACGCCCACGAGGGGTTTCAGTGTTGCTTTCAAAGGAAGCGTTGGGTCGTATATGCCTTTTGCTGCTACGACTGCACCCTCTATTCTTCGCGAAGGAGAATTGCGTTAGCAGGAGTCTACCTTACTGGTGTTGGTTTGGAGGGCTTACAGGTGCTCAACAGCGTATAGCGCTCCCGCAGCTGCTTCTGCCATTATGGACGTCCTCGGAATCTAAGTCCCTCACAATACTGACTCGGTCCTGTGTCTTCAGATTGCGTGTATAACTTGTTAACCATTGACTGAGCTCTTCTCAATCTCAAGGTCGTCACGCTACTGCAAGGCACAACGTCTCTCCTCTGACGTATGCGGGGCGACTACATCTTGGCTAATTCGGGAAGCTGGGAAAGTGAACACGAACACGAACGTGATACGAAATTCGCGGAAGGTTGTCCGTCTTTTGAGAGAGCTCCAAGATGTTGACTTTCTTTACTTTCAAAGGCTACCACAATTTGCATCAGTCTGGCCCCTCGAACTATTGCAAAGCGCTGGAACGGAACCAGTATTTCTACCATCCTACCAAATGGCTTATCTGGACCTGGATGCACGTTGGACTGGCCCATAACCTGAAAGACTTTCTCCCAGACGAGATAAGGGATGAAAGCTACAGCAAAACCAAGAGAGACTGAACCAGTTGTAGCGCGGCCTAGACGTGTTCCTCAGCGCAACCAACTGGTGTCTTCCGCTTCATGGTTTGCCGGTCATGGGCTGGGAGGTTTTGGTACGCCAAGGTGGCACAGCGGATGCTCATTGCCATCGCAGGTGCCGTACACGATATTGAGGGGTTCCTGTCACAGCACCCCGGCGGCACGTTGATGCTAGTAGCAATATTTGGCTAAGAGACGGCCGCTGCAGATGGTTGCCTTCGGTACGGGTTTTCGCTTGCTCGACTTGAGCGCGTGCCAGTGTGCTGGATTCACCGATCCTGCGGAGGCAGTGCCTTGTCCTGATCGAGAGTCCATGGCCGTACGCCTCCTTGTCATGGACTTCAAGCCAGCGAGAGTCCACTGCAGATCAATGCCAGCAGAAATAGGTCCCGGCCAGGAGTAGGACTATCGAGCCTACCAAAGGGTCCCATGGTCACACTCCCTGCCACCGTACTGAACGCGAACGCGTCACGCAAGGCTTGGAATAGACTATTCTGCCCACTCTGGATATGACCTGCCAGCGACAGTGCGAGCGAATTTATGTGAAGAGGATAAGACATCCCGCCGCCGAAAGCTATGAGGCGCGGATCATCATGCGAGTGTGTCATGGCGGTCAAGTCTGGAGGTCCTCCTTGTTCACATCGGCAGCGCCGTTGGGGGCTCCAGAGGCCAAGTCTTGGGGCACCTTGATCGACGAACCAGCCTGTATGAGCATACACGTCAGTCCTTCGGCGATTGTTCCTTATCCAGCTGGCCTGGCAGACATGTTACATCGAAGCCTTGGTATGATGTTGGTCACACGGGCGAGGGGTGCAGTAGGTGCACAGCCAAGCTCTTCATGTAGGGATGGAGAGGTGTTGGGACGGAAAGTCCACTTCCGCTGAGGACGAACAGGGGCCGACTGATGCTATATCGCAGGGTCTTGGTCGAGGCCGACACTCCTTCCGGAGGTACTGGGGCAGGCTGCCTCGAATGTTGGTTTCTGGGATATAATGAGAGCTAGCCGCCTTGGCCTCGACAGCGGACATCTAGTCTGCGGTGCCCAGCAGTATACTTGTGGGCAACATGAGGTCGGCATCACCTCCCTGTTGAGCGGCACTTGACCGGCTGGTCTGGTCGCAAACAAGATGGTGGTAGTTCGGCATTGGGGAGCAAGGGGAGGTGCGTAGCCAAGCACGGTAGGCCACATTTGATGGACAGTCCTAGCGCGGTTGTCCCGTCCTTCTCCTTTGAGTCTTTCCATGCATACTGTACGACACAGGAAAGGCTTGGTGTTCCTGGAGGGGCCTCAATTTTCCTTCCATACAACCAGGTCTCTTCACGTAATACGCAGTAAGACTGAAACATCTTACGTACTGTGCGAGCGAATTGCGTTGGAGACATCATGGATATGCCTGACAACGTGCCGTTGTTGCTCCTTCTCGCAATGGCGACAACCCCGGACAACACCAGCTTTGCTCCAGCAGGCAACAGCCCGACCCACCGCCGCTGAAAATTCTCCGGCCTCTCCGCATGAAGTAGATCTGCACTGCAGTAGCCTGCCGGTGCTGCGATCGTCCTGCATGCCTCTGTGCCAAGTGTGGAGGAGGTTTGAGTGATCATTCACAAAGCACTTGGCGACGAATTGCTCGAAACACTGGACGACGGTCCCAAGGCTCACGAGATATAAAGAGGCATCGATGTCCAACCCAAACTGCTTCTCCAATTACTGATTCAACCATCCAAAAAATTTCAAACCATCAACACAACTAAAACTATCATTCGAAGCAACATGCTTTCCCACACAACAATCGCAATTCTGTCCCTCGCGACAACTGCTTTGGCAGGAGGAATCTCTATCGAAGACGCGGCGAGATCTGGAGGCTGCACCGGTGCCAGCTGCTGCATTCCTCAATGCAATGTACAGGTGACGGATCTCTTGGGTTGCGACGGAGGCACTGCGGAGTTCGTTGGGAATTGCAGGGAAAACTTCGACAGCCCCTCCGACGCCGTGAACAGTGTCGGTGGTTGTGAAGGAGTTACGGCTACCTGGCTTCCGGTAAGTGCGCATGCCTTGCTTCGACGATGTTTCGCTAATCTTGGCCCCGAGTTCGATGCTGGCTCTGTCAGAGTTACGATCAATAGCCCGACGGGCTCCAACACCTTCTTGGTGTCGAATTGCGAGGTAGCGCCCGGGGGAAGCACGCAGTGCGTGCCGAGCGGCGGCGGGTGTGATGCAGTGCAGGTTGGCTAGCTAAGTGAGAGGATGAATCGGTCAATGGAAAGAGGGCGGTTGTTGGCGTGCGTAGCCATAGGCGTAGGGAGTGATCGATCAACACTCGCTGAATAAATCAAGTAGCTTACCTGCCAGATGCAATCTGAGTACTTTCGTTTGCAATTTGAACAGTACCACTTCGTGTTTCGGGACAGATTGAACTTAAGGTCGTCAATGCAAGACACAGCGTGTCTCAACTGACGTACTGCGGGGCGGGGCGGGGCGACGCGGGGCCAACGGGGCGAAACCATGTCATCTATTTGTGGGAGCTGAGAAAGAAATTGGACACGAATACGCAAAGTCATTACTACATTGCCAAAAACGCTATCATCAAGCCAACAATCAATGTGGCCCCAGACAAGACCCCAACGCCAAATCCTAAGGTCATCGCTCATGATCGTTCAACGGTGAAGGCGGCCTACTGCTCGCAGGCGATATGGGCGATACAGGCGAGATGTCACCGCGTCCATGCTCTTCCAGCGGTGAGGGCGCGTCTTCGTAGGGAGGTGGCTGGGGCATCAGGTTCTCGTGTTCCGGGTAGCTTGGGCGGGCGGCGTGTTGAGATGGTCCTCGAGCCATTGAATGTTGCTGTTGTGGCGGTGACTGCATGGGTGGTTCGGCGGCCGGCTCGGGCATTGCAACGAGGGAGTGCTGCGAAGGCGTGCGTGGCAGCGTCCACTTCGATGGCGAGCGTCCCATCTCTGACATGCCAGCCAATGCTGGAGCTCCCGAAGCCATCGCCGGTTGTTCGCGGAGATGGGCAGCAGAGGCGCCGCTCGAGCGGTAGTTCCGACTCAATTTGCGGCGGCGGAGGAAGAAGACGAGACCGGCTACTGCGATGATGAGAGGAATGCCCACGCCCAAGCCGACACCCAGCCCAACGGTCCTCGAGTTGCTGCTTCCTTCTGAGTCTTGTGCATCCGCTGTGAGAGGTGCTGAGCCATCGTCGGATGATGTTTGCGAGTCTGGCTGGATCGTCACCGCTCCTCCCGTAGTTCGTGATCCAGATATCGTCGTGGTCAAGCCCGCCGGAGTCGTTGTGGACGCCAGGCTGTCCGAAGCACCCTCCCCTCCTGCTCCTCCGACATTCTGAACAGCCGTGTTGACGCTTGTTGTAGCTTGGGCTTGCACGTTGGACTGCCTCGCAGGTACATCTGTGGTGGCCGTGGATGTCGCCGTGTTGTCTGCTGCATCTTGCGAGTTTGCAGCATCTGTCGCTGTTGTCTTCGTTCTCGTGCTCGTCTTCGATTCCGTACTTGTGTTTTCAAAGCCAGGCGGTGTGAAGCGGTTATTGTTATCCTGTGCCCATGTCATCCCGCATACCAGCGATAACAGCCATAATGACAGTATCGACTTCAACATCTTGCCGCACAAACACTTCCAGAACACGCGAGGAAAGCGAAGATAGACCTGCAGAAGAGAAAGAAGAAAAGGCTCCCTTGCGTAGTCACTTACACGCCGCACCAACTATCTGTCTTGATGTTCAGACCCGCTGACACCGACTGGGGATGGCTTTGCATCCTTCGATGCCCAAGAATAGAATCTACTTCACGACGCAAGGCTGATATCGGCTAGATCGCGAGAAGGCGGACTCCATCAGCCGCAGCCGTTGCGCTTACTGCAGCCGCTATACGCAGGGTCAGCGCGGGTTAAAACAGCGTGAACCTATCGTTGGAGGTTGTGATGGAGAAAACTTGTTTGCGGTATGCTGTGTGTGACGTTGTAAGTGTTTCGAAGATATGCGTTATGCATGAGGCCGTTTTTGCATCTGATAACGACAAGTGTTAAGCGGCAAGAGTGAGTTGGCAAGTTGCTGCGTCAAGAATCAACACTGCTCGAGTGGGGTCCAAGACATCCACCGAGCATTGTGTCCAAGGAACCAGGGAAGCCGAAGGATGAAAGATAGGATGCCGTGAGGGCTATTGGCGGCGGCCGCGTTGCATAATGGTTCATCGTATACTCATTGTATCGTAAGGTCTACATAGCATTGCGGCGTGTCATGTGTTGGTCGACGCCGAGGACGGGGCACCACCGTCTGGCTACCTTGATCCCACGCAGCCCATGAGCGAGGGTTCTGCTGACTCAATCTCGTGATTGTAATGTGGTGGGGAGCCACTTGCGGCAGAGGGAGATTCCTTCCCTGGTGGTCCAACAGGGCTCCAGCATGGTCATCCCATACTTGCCATCCTTGTGCTATCCTTCGAGACAACCTCGATACTGGAAGACTCTAGACTGGGATCACTCAAGCTTCGTCTATTCTCTTGCGCGCGCCATGTCTGCTCCATGGTCAGCATTGCTACCGTCCGATCAAGCTGTCACGTACCGCTGTCGAAGCGCACACCAACGTCTTCGAGTTTGAGACGCCATCGTTCCGGGGAACTGATATCAGTAACGTGTAGGTGCCAGTATTGTGCCCCTATGGAGGCATCTCGTCGTGAATCGCAGGAGCTGGAGCTCCGAGTGGCTAGTCTCATACTGCCGATAATTGTTGCGCTTGCCTGTTCTCCCAACGAAGATTACGAATGGCACGGAGGGCTCCCTTCAGAATCCGGGCCAGCTTGTCGTTGTCTTCGTGGTTCGAAGATTCACCATCATGTGAAATGGTTGTAAGCTCATAACCCTTTGACTCCGCGCAGGCCTCTGAAGAGTTCAGACTGGAATCGCTTCCGATCCGCCGCTCTCGCTCAGTCGCTTTTCCGAGCGAAGCAGCACTATTGGCCATCGGTTCGCGCGGCTTCCGATCGAAGAGGGCGGCAATTTCTTCCTGCGATTTGCCCTTTGTCTCAGGGAACTGAGTTGCGAGAAGCAAGAGAGTTAGTAACGTTGAACAAGCTGTCTGCTATTGATCCGCTTACCCAGATATAGATAATCAGGTCGTAGGCTGTCGACACGCAGATCAACACGAGATAGAATCTAGGGCCGGAGGTTAGCAGTGATGCTCGACAGGCTCAGGACAATTCCTACCTCCATTCAATCGTTTCTTGGGCGATCGGAGCCACGACCAACGTCGTTCCTGAGAACAAAAAGAAGACCACAAGGCCAAGGGATACGCCCTGTGCCCTTAAAGGATCTGGCCAGATCTTTTGGACATCAGCCGGCGTACTTCTAGGTGACGTGTTCCCAGGGCACCATCATACCTCAGATACGTATGCGAATTGCGTGGCATCCATGCACGGAGACCAAAAGCAAGGGTATAGCCAGATGAAAAACACAAGTCCGATCAGGGCGCTCTGGTTGTCCTCCCCACCAAACAATGCTGTCAATGTAGCCTCGCCAATGAGGCATAAAGTACAACCCGTGCAGCCTATGAGCAGAAGCGGTCTCCGACCGACCTTGTCAATCTATCACATCGTAAGAAGTTGGTCCGAGAACGGGAGCTCCTTCTACTCACTATGGCCGCATTAACGCAATTCCCGATAACACACAGTATCGTCCAGCAGGCGTTCAATAGAAGCGGGTCATGGTTGGTGAGGCCAAGTCTTCTGTAGATGATCACAGAATAGTTGCTCAAGACGTAGATCCCGAGGAACTGGTTGCCGAGGAATAGAGTTGTCGTGATGAACAGCCTCCGTATGTTGCCTGGCGTGCGAATTATCTCGAAGCGGCGGTGACTAGTTGACCGCTTTTCAGCTTCATATTGCCTATGAGAAGGCCAGGCTGTCAGCGGAATTCTTGAATGGCGCGATAGACATACTCTTCCATCATTTCGAACTCTTGACTTGCCGCCGATTGTTCGGATGTGTCATCAGATGCGTCATGCTTCGAGGCGTTCACGTGGACAACGACCCGCTTGGCCTCGTCGCTCTTGTCTTGCCTCAACAACCACCGCGGTGATTCTAGAATGATGTTGGAGCCCAGCAGAACGATGACTGGGGGTAAACACTGGAGCGCGAGCGGGAATCGCCTGGCGAACGTCAGCAGCTACTCTTTGTAGCTCTGTGAGATATGTACACACCAAGCAGCACTCCCGTGGGATGACGATGGAGGGATGAATGAACATGCATATCCTGTCCAGCCAGCAAGTAGGTATCCAAAGGCATATGTGACTCCAGTGATGCACACCATGGCTCCGCGAATCTTTACAGGTGCGAGCTCGGACTGATACATTGGAACAACAGCGGCAAGGACTCCAGCACCCACGCCAGTGATTGCGCGTGCCACGATGAGCATGGTCATGGTCTGGGCGCCAGAGCTGAGAGCGCCGCCGATGATGGTCAAGAGACAACCGGCTTGGATCGTTATCTTCCTTCCGAACCTGGAGTAGTTCATGTTAACTTCCGTCACTTGAGATTGGAATCCTGCCGTACCTTTCTGCGGACCAAGCGCTGTAGCCAGCGCCGATAACTGCCTGTCAAATGGTAAGTCCTACATGTACATCCATCTACCATTCAAAGGAAGGACGTACACCGCCAAAATTGGCGCCGTTCAACTTCGATAAGACTCTAGCAGTACGTCCGTACCCTGCCTCATCCATCGGTGTAAGATTAAAGTACGTAAAGACTACAGCCTGTAAGCATGTATATGTTGCCTCTGCGGAATTTAGCAGCACTCACAGGTATCTTGCCCGACGGTTGGGCCCATGATGGCCAACCCGTAGGCGGTTGAGAGAGTTCCAAGAGCCACGAAGACCGCAAGGGTCACGAGAGCTTTGTTGAAGCGCGACATCTTGACGATGTTGAACGCTGTCACAAATGGCAAAAGTTGACGTGTAGGAGACAGTTAAAGAGAGAAAGGAAAGACTCCCCTCGATGGGCGAAGCTCCACACTGTTAACTTATGGAACGGGCATCACATGACCTGATGACCCGACGACGTTGGCCGCTGCATCCAAACACCCCGCTGATAAGATCAATGCTGAAAGGAAGATAATGATAGTGGTAAGCAGCAACCCTGACCGTTGGTATGGCCCTTTGGAGGATGCTTCATTTGCTGAATGAAGAGTAGAGTTGCGGTTCCCATGGTTCATAACGGGTGGGGAGGGCTTTCTGAAGCCTGGGGCTTACCGGAGAGTGAAGATTTATGTCTGCGGGGGTTCGGGGGTTGATCGATGGACGGTACCTAGTCATCATAGATACCTGAGGGAGGCAGCTCCGCAGATAGGCTGCGTCCGGAGGCATGAAAGCAGCGCTGGCTACTCTCCTATGGTGCCAAGAGTCTGGATGCTAGCGTGGGTTGGTACCCAGGGGAGGTTGCACCACTCCGGTCGTCTCGGTATGCTGGCAGAAGAAGAGCTGATCAGAGCAGTGTGGCTGTAACTCGAGCTCCAAAGGCCCAGGCCCGGGGCCATAAGGTAGTGGTCATGTAGCATTGCGATGAGCGGAGCAGGATCCACGGGTAGTCTTCTACCGTACTTCTGCCAACGGCGTGATCGACAGTCTGTTGCCGCCCTTTACACTGCATTCTGGAGGACGCAATGTGTCTTCAAGGCCAAAGCCAAAGTAAAGGTCCACGGCAGGCCCGGCTAAGATGAGCTGGAGGCCAAATCGATCACAGTAGGAGCTGCTGTTCGTTGAGATAAATGAGATATAGCTTGTCATACTGCTGCATCGTTCGCCGACTGCTTGTTCTTTTTCTTCTTCTTCTTTTTGGACTTCTGCGCCAGCACTTCATCGAGGTAGCTTGCCTTCTTCCTTTTCGTAGGCCTTACGTCGTCCTCGCCCCCGTCTTCAAGGTCGGAGTCTTTGACCTTAGCTGGTGTCGTATCTTCAGCAGTTGGAAGAGTCTCTGACTGGGTGACGTCGTCCTTGTGCGACACATTGCTTTGAGCCCCGTCCTCACCGGTCCTGCGTGCCTTACGCGACTTGAAAGCAGATGCCCGACCGCCTCCCTCTTCATCCTCGCTCTCAACATGTGCCTTTGAATCCTCCTTCGACTTTTGAAGCGGCTTTGAAGCTCCGAACTTGACCGCGCTCTTGTCTCCGCTCTTCTCTGCATCCTTCTTCCTCTTCGCCTGAGCCCCCTTCTTGCCCAATATCTGCTCCAGTAGCATGTCATTTGAAGTCGTCTTCTTCCGCGGTATCAGACCGTCTGTCGCAGCATCTTCCGCATACGCCGCCTTCGACCCGTAACCTCCCACCTCGGTCATGGACCTGAAATCCTCATCGTCCTCGCGACTCTCCGAGGTGGGCTCTTGCTCCTGCTTTGGGGGAAGCCATGACTGGAGGAGTCGCTGGCTGCGCGCATGAGCGACATTGATGCGATTCAGTATAATGTCGACATCCGATATCTTATCTCCTGTCGAAGATGACATCTTGATTGTAGCATGCAGGTGAGGTAGGTCTTGGGTGTGGCTGGTGTGGAAAAGAAAGTGGCCGGTTGCGCAAATGTTTCGTCGACTTCAGGCACCACAATAATCCACCTATATCACATCACATTGTATTACCATTTCGGAAGTAGGCATTGGCGGCGTTTTGATCTTGCAAATACTTACGATAGACCCTGCGATGCACTTAAGAACCAGTTGGAAGGAGGAAAACCACGACGGCCAGGACTTCGACAGCTGAATTCAATACCGGACAACACATGTCGCGACTCTCGTTACCAGCACCAGAACCCAGTCGAGCAAACACAGGCCGCAGTCGTGCTCGATCGAAGGCTCCCAGCGGTCGACCCAATAAGCGCATCATCCTCTGCGAAGATGGCACCTGGCTCAACTCCGACAGTGGCGACCTCGAGGGATCCATAGCAATACCCAGCAATGTGACCCGGATATCACGATGTATCAAGCCGATGAGCAACGACGGAGTCCCGCAGATCGTCTACTACCACCACGGGGTGGGTGGCGGATCCGGACCCCTAAGTCGGTTGCAGGGTTTCACTGGGGATGGCATATCAGAGATCATCCGGGAGGGCTACCAATTTGTTGCTACCAACTGGACGCCAGGCGACGAGATATTCATCTTTGGCTTCTCAAGGGGAGCGTACACGGCTCGGAGTATCGCTGGCCTGATCGATAACATCGGAATCTTGACCAACGCTGGCCTACCGTATCTGGCAGAAATCTTTCGGGACACGAAGCACCAGCACGACCGAGATTACCAGCCCAAATATCCTGACATACCATTCAAGAACAAGCCAAGCGCAAATGACCCGGAGTACTTAGATGAGCTGGTACGACTACGACTCACGACGCCGGACGTCCCGATCAAAGTCGTCGGAGTCTGGGATACGGTTGGCTCCCTGGGTGTGCCTAAGATAGGCTGGCTGACTCGATTGGGCCTCCAAAGTACTCAGATGAAGGAGATGTCTTTCTACGATACAGCACTCGGAAACTGCATAGAGTACGCCTTTCAGGCGCTGGCCCTCGACGAGCGCCGATTCTCCTTCCAGCCTGCGCTCTGGGAGAAGTTCGAAGGTAATACGACTGCTTTACGACAAGTCTGGTTTCCTGGCGCTCATTCAAACATCGGCGGAGGATACGAAGATCAGCAGATTGCTACTATCAGTCTGGCGTGGATGGTGGCGCACTGCCAGCCGTTCTTAGATTTCGACGAAGACTACATCTTTGAAGAGTGGGAGAAGGTGGAGGATTTCTACGAGAAGCATGAGCAGAAAATCCGTCCGTGGTCATTTGGCTACATTTACGATGGCATTACATCTCTATATGCTTTGGGAGGCATAAATATCCGCAAACCAGGACGCTATTGCGCGACGGATCCGACCAACGGCAAAGAAACGGACGACCCTCTCATCGACACCTGGGAGTACATCCACCCGTCCGTGCGCTCCCGGCTCAAGCTTGGGGGTCCGGGAGTCGACGGCAGAGGTCGATATGAATGCAAGAGCCTGCAGGACTGGAAGTTGGTGATTGAAAATGAAGAAGGCAGATCCAGGCCTCGCATCAGCTGGCGCTCGCGGGATAAGCCGAAGGAACCGGGCTTTGTTCGAGAGCTGCGCGAGTCTCCATTGTTGCGGCTCGAGACGGAGCTCCTGGAGTATGACTCTGAGACGGCGGAGTACGTGCTGAGGCCTTCTGGTATGCGCAAGCGGCGCGGTCCACGCAGTACGGGCGGGCGTAGTGCGCAGGGTGGGCGCAGTCGAAGCAGACGTCCTGATGACTGAGCTTTCGTGAAGGCATACAACACCGCTGAGGCGCAGCCATGGTTGGTTTCGGGTTCGAAGATACAACGTGCTGAGGGACTCTGCGGCGATCACTTCGGCTTCGGCTTCCGGATAACAACATTGCCGTTCTCTTGCAGCTGCCACCCAACACCACCCTTGACAAGGTCTTCCCACCGCGCATCGCCAGTCCGCTCGATGAAAGCTTTGTCGGCATTGAGGTAGCTTTTGCCAACGCACTTCAGAGCGTGCAGACGCATTCGCTCCGAGGCAAACTCCATGATCGCTCTCTGATACCCATCGACAGCCCGCCGAGTCCTCCAGAAGCGCACCCAGTCATCGTGCACCAGCGACTTCAACACGACGTTGACCTTGCGATCCCGATGCCGGAACTCCAGCTTCACAGTCAAAGCGTCCACCAGCTCATACTGCCGGCACCCAAGATCCAGGATGTGGTAGCCGACGAACTCCTGTACTTCTGGAGTTGAGAGCGGCGTGCATGGATGAATCGAGTAAAGCAGATATAGCAAAGCCGGCTGGTAAGACTCCCAGTGCTTGGTCAGAATGCAGGCGTGGATGATGAACATGTAAGCTCGCTGGGCAAATTGATCCCGTCGTCGAGAGCCGAGGATCCCTTCTCTCAGCTTCCTCATAGCAAGCAGGATGGTTGGCATGTCGTTGGGTCGTTCGGTGCTGGAGCCGCGGTGGGGGAGGCCGGGGCGTGCTTCGGTGGAAGGTTCGGCAGGACGTGAAGGAGGAGCATCGTCCACTGATAGCTCTGCAAACGCTCTTTCAAGCCCTTCACCTCCTCCAGTCGAAGCACAGAACTTCATGTATCGCTCGACGATCTTGGTGTAGTAGTTCTCCTGAGCCTTGTAGTCATGGAGTCTTCTGAGAATCAGCTCATAGTCCTCACGAGAATTTAATTGAATTTAATTGGTTTTGCTCACCTCGTCTCGCCCTTCGACGGCAAGCCGTACACTTCGAGAGGGTCTGTCACCGCTGGTCTGAATCTGCTCCATGCCCCTGATGGCCCTCTTCGCGCTGGCGGTCGTGCTGAAGTCGTCGTTGTGCCTTGTGAGGAGTAGCTCGATGACTTGTCGTTTGGATTCCGCGACATAGTAACTGAACATGGATCTCAAGTCACTGTGCACTCATATACGCCATACGTCGGGATGGCGTTCTGCCTGTATGATTCCAGATGCCCCAATGCCGCAAGAGGTGAGGTGTTGTTCGGAGACAACTGCAATTTCGCCGACGCGCAGTGAAGCTTCAATTTCTCAAAGGCAATCACAAGCCTCAACCGGCTCTCAACCAAGCAGCTACGTTCATAGAATGACCCAACAACTGGACGAAGGATTCGTGAGCGATATTCGACATGGCTAGAGAGATGTGCATTTGATCCTTCCCTACAACCACCATTCTCTAGAAACATGGCCGAACCGGACTCCAACCCGCCTTCGAACGAAAAGCCCCTGGCAAAACAAGCAGACGATGCCACCAAAAGCACATTAACAGTCCTCTGGAACGACCTCCCCAGATGGATGCAAGACAACCACTACATCCACTCCGGCTATCGTCCACAGTCCAACTCCTACTACACCTCAGCCGCTAGTCTCGGCTACCTGCACAACGAGAGCGTGAACATCTACACTCATCTCGTCGGCGCTCTTCTCGCGGTGTTTGCCGCAGCAGTGCTGTACGTGGAAGTCCGGCCGCGGTTTGAGATGGCCACGCCGGAAGACATCATGGTGTTCTCGTGCTTCTTCTTGGGTGCTGTGGTTTGCTTGGGGATGTCGGCGACGTACCATACCATTTCCAACCACTCGGAGACTGTGGCGAAGTTTGGGAATCGGTTGGACTACATTGGGATTGTGGTGTTGATTTGGGGGAGCTTCATTCCTTCAATCTACTATGGCTTCAGCGCTGAGCCGAACTTGGTGAGGGTGTATTGGACTATGGTATGCTCCCTGATTAGGTGCCTTCAGATGTGATGGCTGACTTCCAGCAGATCACGACCATCGGCGCCGGCACGCTCGTTGTTGTTCTCTATCCAAAGTTTAGGACACCGGCCTGGAGGCCCTTTCGAGCGTTCATGTTCATTGCCATGGGTCTCAGCGCAGTCGTGCCAGTCCTCCACGGTCTGAAGCTGTATGGCTATAAGCAGCTTGAAGACCAGATCGGCTTGTCGTGGCTCGTCCTCCAAGGAGTGCTGTATATTGCAGGCGCCTTGATATATGCAGTAAGCCATCCCTGGCCCATCTATTTAAATCAGACGCTGACGATGATCCAGTCACGAGTGCCGGAAAAGTACAGCCCGGGCACATACGACATCTGGGGCAGTTCTCATCAGATCTTTCACGTCCTCGTTGTCATGGCTGCCGCTGCACACCTCGCTGGGCTGTTGAAGGCGTACGATCATGAGCATAGCCACCGAGCGGCGATTATGTCAAGCTATGGTAAGTTGAGGCAGTTGGTGCCTCCCAGTTGGAGTGATATTTGGTGATGGCAGGAGCTGCGATGTTAATGCATTCGTCCTATCCCTACTGTTCATGTGCCAGGCTTCGAGTCAACGCAAACATCCAGGTCAGTAGGAAAGCATGTCGGATCGGAGCTGATGAGGGTGTGTACTGTGTTCTCGAGCGAAGCTCAGGCGTTCATGATTTTACGCACCCTGGATCGTGTAATCTGGAGGCTATTGGCAAGGAGGCAGAACCATTGGAGAGTTTTGGCCAGTGGGAGTACCCGCCCAGTCTAGCCCCTCTCGGATCAGACTCCAAACAATCCTCATGATCGGATGGTCTAACGTTCACAATGCTACAGTGAAGCCACAGGCGCTCCTCGAGATTGAACACTTGCGGTCTTGAGAGCGTTACTGTGGCGTAGAGGTCCGCCGCAAGCGATGTTACTGGCAGGTGAGAGGACTAGGTGAAATTCCCACTCAAGCCCTCCAGTGTTCCATTTCTGCCCTCAAACATCTTCAATGGACGCGATGCGGCAATAGAGCTGTCGTTCGCTAGGTACTGTACAGACGGGTTTCAAGAGCAATACCATCTCTTCATCCTTTGTTGAAAGATCAGCGGCTACCAGCAGGCACGCCTCTCCCTTTTCCACTAAAGGCTCATGGACGGCATCTCCTCTCGAAGCCATGTAGGCGAGCCATGGCGGCGGTACTTCAGGCCAACAACGAACGGGACAAGTCCTACCACGATCGAAGAGCACGAAAGAGCAGTGGAGCAAATAGCGGCGAGCGTGCGGAGCTTTCATAAGCGAGGGGAGAAGTTCAGGATCTTTCATGGCTCGACAAACAGCACACGAAGGTCAGCACTGGGTCGCGATCCCCGCAAGGTTGTTGATACGAGCAAGTTGAATCATGTGGTGGCTGTGGACCAGGAGAAGATGACGGCGCTGGTCGAGCCGAACGTGCCGATGGATCGTTTGGTGGAGGAGACGTTGAAGTACGGGCTCATACCGCCGGTGGTTATGGAGTTTCCCGGGATCACTGTGGGAGGTGGTTATTCTGGAACCAGCGGCGAGAGCAGCTCGTTCAAACACGGCTTCTTCGATCGCACGTTGAATAAAGTGGAGATTGTACTGCCTACCGGCGAGATCGTCATGGCCTCCGAGAGCGAGAATGCGGACTTGTTCAGAGGCGCGGCTGGAGCTGTTGGGACACTGGGAGTGACCACGATGGTTGAGATGCAACTACGTCGGGCTACCAAGTACGTGGAAACGACCTACCATCCTGTCCAGGGCATGCAGGAGGCGATTGAGAAGCTGCACAACTTCACTTCAAGGCCGGACGATTTCGACTATATCGATGGTATCATGTACTCCTTGAACAGCGGCGCGATTGTCACCGGCAAGACGACCGACACGCCTCGCCCTGAGCTTCGAGTACAACGCTTCGGCGACCCTCGAGACCCTTGGTTCTACCTTCATGTCAAGGACCGCATCGACGAACAAGCCGGCCCGACTACGGATGCAATACCTCTCACAGACTACCTCTTCCGGTACGACCGCGGTGGGTTTTGGGTTGGAGCTGCGACCTTCGACTACTTCCCCGGCGTTCCCTTCAACAGCTTCACACACTGGTTCTTGGACGACTTCCTACATACCCGCATGCTCTACAAAGCCTTACATGCCAGCGGCCAGAACGAGTACATGATCATCCAGGATCTTGCCCTGCCTTACGCCACCGCTACCGAGTTCGTCGAGCGCATGGACGCAATGACCGGGATCTGGCCGCTCTGGTTATGTCCGCTCAAGCAGAGTCCGGGACCTACGATGCATCCGCACATCGACGAGCATGAAGCGGATGGGTCGTTGAAGCCTATGCTCAACATCGGCCTCTGGGGCAAGACACCGCCCGGGAAGCGCTTCGTCGACGTGAACCGCGAGATCGAGCAAACCCTCCAAGAGCTCAAGGGCATGAAGTGGCTCTACGCGCAATCGTACTTTCCGGAGGGCGACTTCTGGAAGGACTTCGATAAGGGGTGGTATGATGCGCTTCGCAAGAAGTATCATGCTGAGCATTTGCCGAGTGTGTACGATAAAGTGCATGTGGATGTGGAGGCTGAGCAAACAGCGAGAGAGGAGGCATCGGTAGGGCAGAGGATGTTGGACATGTGGCCGGTGAGTGGGTTGTATGGGCTTGTGAAGGCGATTGAGTCGGGAGATTATTTGATGGCGAGACATCCGGGATGGAGGGACTGGGTGGCTAGGGAGTGAAGTTCGTACCATGTGAGGAAGTACTCGTAGTTGTTCAGGGGGTATCTCTTTCAGATGCAGACCGCCGCGCTGAAGTGGAATGGTTGACGCATGTGGGGGAGAGTACGTTCAGATTGACTCAGGCCGCTCCATGATGCCTGCGCGATTCTCCACAGAGCTTATCGTCGAGTGCGTGCTGCAGACCGCGCGGGAGGTTGGTGTTGAGGGGGCAAAATCTCGCGCCGGCTGCACGGCTACCCCGGCATTGATGTAACAAGAAAGACGGCGGCTGGTCACCGCATCCGCTTATCTACAGCCAAAGAGCCATAGCCCCGTTTGGCATTAGTACCAGGCAATATATAGGGCAGTATAGCAAGGAGATTGAGTCCAGTCAAGATGAGCACCACAACAAAGTGGCTTTCTCGAGATATCTCAAGCCTCATCGAAAACGCACCTCGAAACTCTCCGTGCTTCCTTCGTAGGCTCACCGGCCTAACAACCCCGTCTCTGCAGACTTCGTAGACGTATATATTCCCCCAACCGACATGCGGCCGGGGGTTGGAAATGCTTGAATGCTGCAGGAAAAGTGGCGACATGTGGCACTAACGCAAAGCAGATCACTAAGGCCATTGTTCGGATCTTCAAACGGTCCTTCCTTGGGTTATCATGTATATTGAGCGCGCGGCCTCGTGTTACACACAATCTGGAGCCGGGCTGGACGTACCGTCTCACATGAGATACGAGCCTCTGGGGTATTCCAGAGCACCGAGTAGTACCTTATGGAGGTCATGGATAGAGCGTTGAATGGACGTCAGCAAGGGTGGACAGAGTTTCCCTACGCCGGCACGGGATTGTCCAGAAATAGCGAAAAGGGCTTCTGAGACAGCAGCTGCATCCTTGTCAACGATGGGCCGCCGAAGCAGACTCCACCGTCAATGTCCGGCCTCACGATGCTGCTGCTGCTGCTGCTGCTGAGGTAGTCCTTACACATCCATCTTTGCTCATTGCTTGTGTCTTCGTTATTGTTGCTGCTGCTTGTTCGTTCGTCCCTTGATTTCGACCGCTTACTGCCATTACCTATCCGCGCGTGTTTGGAGGACCACCTCCCCTCGAACGACAACGCAGTATCCTGGTGCCTTGCCGCAGCACGCCATCGGTTCCGGAGAGAGGGAGCAGGGATATCCTTCTACCAAAATCGACACATCGTGCATAATACTGCATTGCATATACATCCTCGTGCTCGGTCGCAGCTGCACGCCGGAGAGGAGGTCTGACATGGCACGGTGATCTTTGGAAAAGGAGCTTTGTACTTGCTGTGTGCGTTGAACTGGGCGGTTGATTGATTCGGAAGGAGCACGTTGAAATTCGTAGGGAAACTGTGGCTATGTCGATATCAAACGGCTTCCCGAGACAGCCCGCGGAAAGATGGAGGGATAATGAAATTGATCGCTATGGGGCATTGAAGGGGCGAGGCGTGTCTGCTATGACAGCGCAGAAGCATGCGGATCTGCCTCGAGCTGCTTCGTACACGCACGTGGGCAATGCGAAGTTCCAGGACTACCCGGATCACGCCCCGATGAAGGACAGTCTGGCGGAGACGGAAGCAGAGGCTTCGCAGGACGATGACTATACGGACACCACGCCGCCGGACACTTCTGGTGTTAACACCCCGGATGAGAACTACGAGGAGGTGGAGTTGCGGGCGGCGCCTCGATTGCGCGCGATAGTCGCGGAGCTGCAGAAGAACTCGAACGTGTTGATGCAGACGCTGCCGGAGGCTTTGGAGGATGATAGGAAGAGCAAGGGGTCTTCGGTGCGAGATCACAGCTCGAGTGTCGATTCTGCGAAGACGGACACGACGTTGTCTTCGACTGCACCTAGCACACCACGCGCACGCAGCTCGATCGCCAGCAACTTCTCTCGCAAGCTGAATCGGAGGTCGTGGATCAGCTCGGCGCCTACAACGCCCTCACGTTCGCCATCGCCGCAGAAAGAGTCGTCTGCGCAGTATGCCGAGGATAGCGATACACCAGTGCATGTCATCACCGAGCCAGAGAAGGCACACACGAAGCGGAGGAAGTCGTTTATCCGGAGGAAAGACTCGTTGAAAGCACCAAAGGGACAACCACCAACCGCAGCGAGCCGGGAGCAGTCAGAAGATGAGCGCCCACCTTCGAGGAAGAGCACGGTGAAGAGGAAGCCACGTCCACTTAGCGGTCTGTTCAAGGGACCGGTGGTGGATGAGAACAAGACGCCTACTGAGACAACTCGCGGCCGCCGGGCTGTCAGCGCTTCAGTGGCCGACAATGATATCCCTGCTACGTACAAGCCGGCGCGACCGCCTGTGCCTTCGCTGCCAAAGTCCTTTTCTACGGACAAACTGCCTTACGAACGCTCAGGGCTGCCTCCTCAGCATCGAGCAGCACCGATGCCGAGACTCCTCTCCCCATCCGAGAAGTCATCAAGTCCATTCATGACACCGAAGAAAAAAGACGAGCTCTGGAGCACTTTCCGCATGCTGGATGGCGATTTCACCAAGTTTGCTTCGAAATCGCTTGCTTTCAAGGCGAATGTTGTGCGCTCGAGTCTTTTGCCGTTCCTGCGAACCTACGCGACGCATTCTTCGAACAAGACCCTTCGACCGGAAGATCTGGATCGGAGGGCGAATATTCTTAATAAATGGTGGACTGGTCTGATTGAGATGCTTCACGGACGGAACAACCAGTCAATTTCTGGGACTGATAGACCTGCGATTCTGGACGGGATAGCTGGAATCATGGAGAGGCCGGAGTGGAGGCTACCGCCGTCACCATTCTGTCCGCTCGCCCAGCGCTTGAAGGCTCCTGCGACTAGCCGCAATCAGTCCAGCACGTCTATGCTTTCCAGCAACTCGGACTTCCTGGCGGAGTCGGTCCATCATAATGTGCGGAACATCTTTATCCAGAACTTGAGTGCTCAGATGGCGTTTGTGGTCGACAAGATGTCGTTGCGGAATGCCTCTGCGAGCTTGGTCACGTTCTGCGGGAAGGCTTGCGCGTACGCTTTCATGTTCGTTCCTGGGATGGCTGACGTTCTTTCACGGCTCTGGGACTTACAGCCGGATGTTCTGCGGAGAGTGCTTGATGGCAATGGGGTTGGGAAGTTCGAAAACCTGACTGGGGTGACGCAGACCATCGTGTCTTCGTTCCCACCAGCTGTGCAACAGCTCGGCTTCAGTTCGCTGATGAAGTACATGCGGAAGCTGCGAACGCCGCCACCTCTACCTCTCGGAACTGCGAATATCGAGTGGTGGGGACACTGGCTCGAACGCTGGAGCGGCCGGGAAAGCGACCTCTTCTACGTCTTTGTCAAGTACTTCCACATCCTCGCGTCTGACTTTCTGCCACCAGATGCCTCGAAGAAAGAGCGCATGTGTGCGCCCGGCTTTCTCCTAGTCCACGCGCAAACACTCACCAACCTCGACGCTACGATCCACCGAGACGCGAGCCAACATTCACCTGACCCTACAGCTCCCGGCTCCTCACCCACATTCGACGATGTGCTTTCCGACCCCGACGCAGTCGCTTCCGCTCTACCACTACCACCGAATAATGCTACACGACTAATGGCGGAGAACCGCCTCATAATGCTAATACGAGATTTCCTATCCGAACGTGCCGCCGAACACCCGGTAGCGCGACGGGTGTTTGCCGAGTCCTTCAACGATCTTTTACAGACGGCGGCGCGCGGGACGTCGATTTTCGATCACTTCGCTTGTTACACTTTGCTGGATTTCCTGGAGGAGGCGCTTCCTTTGCTGATCCGCTTTGAGAAGATGGAGGGATCAGAGGGGTCCCTGATTGATTCCGCATTCTGGATGCTGGTGTGGAGACGCATGATTGAGAGCCATAATACCATGACGGAGGTGCGGCTGTATGCTTTCTTGTACACGGTGTGGAATACGGTGATTTGCGAGCTGGGGTGGAAGGCGGAGGTGTGCAATGATCTGCTGCTGGATCAGGAGATCTTTGAGAGCAGGTTTAATCATTGGTGTCCGATGGTGCGAGCTTATTTCATGCGGCTGCTGTGTTGGCGGGTGGGACGGTACGATGGCGAGCCGGCGCCGGGTTCGGTGACGATTCTGGAGACGTTCCTGGAGAGGCTGCAGACGATTTGGTCGTACTATCTCTACCTGCGAGAGCAAGCCGTGCAGCACGACATCCTGGCGCCCTCGACGGCTCCGTGCAATCCTGCGCCGAGCCGAAGGCTCCTGATCATCCGGACGGACCCGCAGGTTAACACGCCAGCGGCTTTCCTCTCCTTCGATGGCCTCGTGGCGCCGAAGACTCCCACCGATGCGATGAACTCACGGCGCATGTCGACCATCTCCAACATGCCCATGGCCCTGCCCGACGCCCGCCCGGATTCCTCCATGTCCTCCTTCTCCGACATGAGCGCCGAGCCCCGCGGCCGCAGCAGCAGCGGCGGCATAGGCGGTTTCCTCAAGAACCTCGTCTCCTCCAAATCCCGCTCGAAATCTCGCGGACCGCCTCCCACTCCCGCCAAAACACCTTCCGGCGCCCCGCCAGTCCCCGACCGCAGATCCATAATCGCTCCCGCTGGCTACGGCCTCACGCGTTCCGCGACCGACGACCTCACCGCCTCGTCGAACAATGCCTCCAGCACCTCCCTCGCCGCCCCCGTCCCGCAAACTCACCGCACCTTCACCTTCAAGTTCTCCCTCGAGTACACGCCACACGCGAAACCGCACCATCCGCTCCGCCTCCTGCCGCCGCGTCTACCGCTTCCAGCGCAGCAGCTGCTTCACACGTTCTCTTCGGTGACGACTTCGCCGTCGAGGCCGAGGCGGCCGAAGGGGGATAGCGTGGCGCATGCGCGGTATTGTGGTCGGGCGCTGGCGGAGTGGGCGGTGGTGTTGGGGGAGTTTCAGGGGTTTTGTGAGAGGAGGGAGAAAGAGGGGGTGCCGAGGTGGGCGGTCGAGACGCCTGGGATGGGGGTGGAGGTGTTTAGGCGGCCGGGGTGAGATTTACTGTCTTTTGTAAGGAGATAAGGGGAGATGGTTGGGTAGACGGGTTTGGGGTTGGGGATGGTGTTTGTATAGCGTGGCATTGAGAGGGATGGGTATACAGTACAGTAGAGTAGATATGGGCGGTAGGGCATACAGTGGAGGGCTACAGGTTGGGGAGGATGGAGGGTATAGGGTAATCACTGTATAGTACGTCGTTGATGATACTAGCTCGTTGCAGATACTGCATTAGTGGCCTTTCGATCTCGGCATCTTGTTGCTGCTTTTGATATGGTGTCCCGGTCTTTGGTTTGAATGGTGGCATTCAACTCGAATTAATGTGCTGGACACCTGCACTTTGACCCGAGACCCTCTATCTTTTCTGCCCGCTCTCGGCGCAACTGCCTCGACTCGACGCGTTCTACTGCCGCAGCGTTGCTTGACATCCTTGCCCCTCGCAGCTTCAGACGTGGAAAATTACGCAGACACGAAACGTGAGCGTGCTGTCGGGCGTCAATCGGGGGGAAAAGGCACGTTGCTGTAGCACGTCACCACGCTCCGGCATCAGCAGCAGCAGCAGCAGCAGCATCAGCACCGCCATCGTCTCGCGCTTGGACCTCACTTTGCAGCGTCGAGGGAACGAGGAAGCGCTAGCCCGCCCACGCCCACGCCCTCGTCCTCTCTTCTACACCCACACCACTACAAGGGACGACAGCAGCACTCGGCAGCCCGATCGAAGAGCCTGTGAAAGACAGCGACCTGTCTCGTGGCCGGGGAGGGTCCCATGGAAAGATCGGCTTACGGCGAGAGCACCTCCAACCCCAATGACTACCGATATGCTGCAGCAGGACAACACCCACTAGCCGATCACAACACCGCCCACTCTTCGCAGCAATACAACCAGTCCGCCGGCGCCTCCAACAGCCACTCCACCTACTCCACCCCCGCCCTCTCCAACCAGACCGCGTCCCTCGCAATCTCCTCCCCACCCTCCGCCGGCTCAAGAGCGCGCAACATGGACTACAACGGCGACCTGGACGGCGACATGCCCATGGAAGACGCCGACCCGTTTAACAGACAAAAGTACGCCCGTCCACCACAACAGAGCAACAGCAGACCTACATCGCAGTACCTGCCCGCCGAAGATGCGACTTCCCGAGCCGCCGCGCGCTATTCACCCATGCACACCTCACCGACCACGTCATACGTCTCGAGCACGCCGTCGAATATGGGATCTAATCAGTTCTATACCCCACAGCAGTCTGCACGACAGTCGCCGAGCAGACATAACAATCCCTACGCTTCGCCGACGCAGCAGGGACGGTACTACGCTTCTCCTCCTGCGTCTGCACGTGCGCAGGCATCGCAGCTCCCGCCGATCCAGTCGAATTTGTCGCCGAGCAGCTATTATCCGCAGTCTGCGACGAGACAGCTGACGGCGATGTTCAACGATGATCCGCAATCGCCTACCGGGCCGCAGCAGCAACAGCAGAGACAGCCGGAAAGGCAGATGGGTGTGCCGCAGTTTACGAAATGCCAGAGCGCTGCTGAGTTGGAGCCACGGATCAATGCCCAGCCGCCGTTTCGGAGGGCGAATCCTGAGGGTGGCTTCATCAGTCCTTTGCAGGCGCTTACGACGCATCTGCCGGCGACGTACCGGATATGCAATCCGGGTTTTCAGTATGAGTCTTCGCGCAATCCGAGGAGAGTGTTGACGAAGCCGAGCAAGGGTGTCAAGAATGATGGGTACGACAATGAAGACAGCGATTACATCCTCTACGTCAACGACATCTTGGGGTCGGAGGAGACGAACCACAAGAATCGCTATCTCATCCTCGATGTGCTCGGTCAGGGTACCTTTGGGCAGGTGGTGAAGTGCCAGAACCTCAAGACGCAGGAAGTCGTGGCCGTCAAGGTGGTGAAGAACAAGACTGCCTACTTCAACCAGAGCATGATGGAAGTCTCCGTGCTGGATCTGCTGAACGGTCGAATGGACAAGAACGACGATCACCACATCTTACGGCTCAAGGACACGTTCATCCATCGCCAGCATCTGTGTCTGGTGTTTGAGCTGCTGTCGGTGAATTTGTACGAGCTGATCAAGCAGAATCAGTTCCGCGGGTTGAGCACGACGTTGGTGCGGGTGTTTGCGCAGCAGTTGCTGAATGGGCTGTGCTTGTTGAGTAAGGCGAAGTTGATCCATTGTGATTTGAAGCCGGAGAATATACTGCTGAAGAAGTGAGTACTTCGCTATTGTACAGCACTGATGAGTTGAGCTAATGTTTGTGCAGCCTCGAGAGCCCCATCATCAAGATCATCGATTTCGGCTCCGCCTGCGACGAACGACAAACAGTGTATACGTACATCCAGTCGCGCTTCTACCGCTCCCCCGAAGTCCTGCTCGGCCTCCCCTACTCTGCCGCAATAGACATGTGGTCCCTCGGCTGTATCGTCGTCGAGCTCTTCCTCGGCCTGCCGCTCTTCCCCGGCTCATCCGAGTACAACCAGGTCTCGCGCATAACAGAAATGATGGGCTTGCCGCCCAACTGGATGTTGGAGGTCGGCAAGCAGTCCGGAGAATTCTTTGAGAAAGCGCATGATGACTTTGGCCGGAGGACGTACCGGCTCAAGTCGATGGAGCAGTACTCGCGGGAGCACAATACGAAGGAGCAGCCGAGTAAGAAGTATTTTACTGCTACGCGGTTGCCGGATATTGTGAGGAATTATCCGATGCCGAGGAAGGGGATGAAGAGTAATGAGATGGAGAGGGGTGAGTACCAGAAAACTCAAGGTCTGGATGTTTTGCTAATGTGTGACAGAAATGGCCAACCGAGAAGCATTCATCGACTTCGTCCACGGCTTGCTCAACATCAACCCGCTCGAGCGGTGGTCGCCACAACAAGCGCGCACCCACCCCTTCATTACGCAGCAAAAGTTCACCGGCCCCTTCCAACCCCAAATGAACCTCAAAATCAGCTCCCGCTCTCCAGCCCCGGGCGTCCAGCAACAGCAACAAGCCGAAGCCCTTTCCAAACAACGCGCCCAACAACAGCAAGCCGCGCAAGCCCAACAACAAGCCGCCTACGCCGGCCTGCACATGAACCCGGGCTACCCCTCTTCCCCGCACTCCGCCACCCAGCAGCAACAGGCCGCCATGTACGGAAACATGTACACGCCCAACCAAGCCTCTGCCGCTGCACCACCGCCTTACCCTTCCCAACCACCCTCCACCGCCGCTTCAGCCGTGTACGCCCAGCAACAACAGGGACAAGTCCCCATGCTCCAACCCCCCGCGCCGGCAGCCGCTGCGTACGCCGGACAACCCCAGCAACAGAATATGTACGCAGGCAGCCAGCGCAACACGCGCCAGCGCGCCGCCACCCTCGGCGGCGACAGCGGCGGCGGCATCCCCCCCGCCCTCCAGCGCGTCGTCAGCCACCTCGACCCCAACGCGCCTATCCGGCTCCAGCCGAGCCCTGCGTACTATCCCCCGCCGCCTGAGGGCAGTGAGTCCGGGCAAGGGAGCGTGCATGTGGGCGGGAGGAGGAGGACGAGTCGCGGCGCTGGTGGGGCGCAGAGGCAGGGGCAGCAAGGGCAGGGGAGGGACTTTGTGAGGGTGCTTGAGGATCGGACGTTGGAGGAGGGGTGGTCTGGGGGGCAGGGTGGGGGGTGGGGCGCTTGAGTGGGAAGACATTGATGGGATGGAGAAGAGAGGAATCGGACAGCTATACGAGACCGGCGGAGCAGAATAACGAAGAACACCAAGGCTACGTCGATCAACACACCGAAGCGCATCAGCCTGGCTGGGCCATGGCATCAAAGCCGCCGCGTCAAGCACTTGCCGCGCAGCATGCCTCCAATGCAGAGTAATCCAGCAGGACCAGCAGATCATTCTTCGCTGTATGCGGTATCGATGTGACGAGCTGCTTGAGGCAAGAGGCAAGGCTGAAGATTATTCGCGAGCGGTATTCGGCGACATCAAAGGGGGGCCATGTGACGCTGGGTGCGGGAAGCCGGATTCTCGAAAATTGAAGGCCGTCTTCTGGGGAAGTGGAGGATGTTGAGGACGCAGCGGCGTCTAGGGTTCTAGGTCGATGGACTTCACGATGCAAGCATGTACGGAAGAAGTGGAAAGGTTAACGCGTTGCGATGGCATGGAAGACGTTATTCATATTCTGTTTACGAAGCCGATTGAGCGGCTGAATGAAAATATCTACTTGATCTTGTGCATTCATCTGCTTTCTGCGCCTGTTCGTCTCCCGCACCTTCGCTGCCGACATCTTCAGATCATGGGGCTCGCCCAGCTGGTGAAGGCTTCCTTACTCAATGCCACGCTTGGATATGTTCGATGCTGTGTGGCATATGCTGTGCATGTCCGGCCTTGGGACCAACACGCCGCAGAAAGGCTGCAAAGTTGATGGCCTGGTGCACCGTCAGCTCAGCGGACTTCCTGAAGAGCCACGGTTTAGTCACCTACAATGCTCTCCGTAGTATGGCATGCGGTAATGCTGCTTCGAGCGCCAGACAACTGTCGGCTGTCGAGACCCAATCGTTCCATCATTCGCAAGTCGCCCCCTCAGCAGGTTCACGACTTCAACTCCATCTTCTCCATTGCCTTCGCCAGCCCCTTGCCCTCTGGCTTCTGCTGCTCCGCTGCTCTCGCGGCTGCCATGTTCGACTTTGCCGCCGCCATCGTCGGCTGCGTCACGGTCACTGGCAGGATCTCCGTCTTGAGCTCGCGGTTCTTCTTCGGCTTGGGCTCGGGCGCTGCATCATATCACACATTAGCGTTTCCCACCCCACCCCTTCCCCCTCCCCTCATCTCCAGTGACGAATTAGCAACTCACCCTTCTCATTCTCCTGCACATAAAACCGCCTCAACAGCATAATCGCCTCTTCCCGAAACAACCCCCCATAAACCGGATACGTCGGATCCTTGCCAGCATCCGAATGGATCTTCATCACGCCCCCACAGCCCCCGAAGCGATCGTTCAAGCACCCAAAGTAGACGGCGCGGATGCCGTATTGTCGCAAAGCGGAGGCGCACATGATGCACGGCTCGACGGTGACGTAGAGGTCGGTGGTGGGAAGGATGGATTGCGAGTGCCGGGACATGATTTCGGCTAGGGCGACGAACTCGGCGTGGCGGGTGCCCTGTTCATCGTCGTGAGCATGAGGTACTTGATAGGGGGGAGGGGGTGGTGGCGAAGGGGGCAAGGGTTAGGGTTGGGGTAGGCATAGGCATGCAGGCATGCAGTGTGGTGGTGGTGGAGGACGTACGTTCAAACTCGCATTCGTGCCATTGATGCCCCTCCCAATCACCTTTCCATCGTGCACGAAAACGCAGCCGACGGGCGTCTCGTCAGAGGCAAGCGCGAGCTCCGCCATCTGGATGGCTTGGCGCATGTAGTGCTCATGGTACTCGCGGTTGGGGATGGGTGGGAAGACCATGTCGTCGGAGTCGTGCGTGGTGTGATCGATGGACTGAGAGTGTTCCGGGTCTGAAGTCTTCTCGTCTTGCGGTGAAGTGTTGTCTTTTGATCGCCGGTTGGATGTAAAGAAGTAGATTGTTGGTGTGAGACAAGCCAGAAGGAAGCCAGAAATCAATTGTGTTTGTGTTGAGAAGGTGAGGTCCATCGTGAAAACCGCACAAAGACCGGGCGTCGACAAGGCAGGCGCGACTTCAGCTCGATCATAATGTGGAAGGTGCTGTGTCGTGCGGATGCATTTCTGGAAGTGGCGATGGAGTTGAAGATTTGCATGTGCGCCTCTCGGGCTCGTGCCAGCGGTACGCGTACCACACATCAACGTCCGTAGACCCTTCCACGACGACAGTCACATCGTATGAAGCACAGTAGGTCTATCGAAGCATTAATGAACAGTGGACTATTGATATAAATGGGATTTCATGCACAAGATAAATCTAGAGGCTATTATTCCCTTCATACACCCTTCATAAAGCCCGCTCTCGGAAACCCAGCACCCAATCGCTACCTCATTCTGTTCACATAAAAGACTCCTCATCTGTCGAATGAACATATCGAAGATCCCACCAAGCCGCGCCAAAAGGACAAAGTTTCCTCCAAGCAAGATGAACGCCGCGCCAATCTTTTACGGTCTGGCAAGCCGCCTGGCCCCAAATACATGTAACTCCAACCAACACCGAGCTCATTGCCACAAAATTCGCAGCACAAAACAAGAGAAGCTGAAAGGAACAATCACTCCCCACTCATCCACTGACAATGACATCCCCCAGGCACCGTCCACCTCTTCCGCAAGCTCTTCGGCCCCACCTCCCCAGCGTCCTTATACGCAGCATAAGGCGGCGCAGACTCGGCGAGCGTGAGGGTGACCTGCTCGCCGTTCTGGTCGGTGACGACGTTCCACTCGTAGTTGTCCAGCACCTGGTACTGCACGCACATGGGCGCCGGCGTGTGGGTGAGTCGTCGCTCCTCGATTTTGACGAGGTACTCGAAGACGGGGTTGTTGCTGCCTTTCTTGTCATCGTCATCATCATCATCATCGTCTTCATCGTCGTCGTCGTCATCATCATCGTCGTCCTCCTCGTCGTCGTCTCTCTTGGACTTGTGGGGCGGAGGGTCAGTGGGGATAGGAGGTGAGTAGTCCGGGTAGTTCTCGCGCATGTAGCTGGCAAAGTTCGAAGCGACGCCAGAGTATGTGCACGACGTAGTGGGCATGGAGACAGTGGTGGTGATGGTCTCTTTTGGATCCGCCCAGGGAACGCTCCATGGTGTGACGGCGGCGGCAGACGGCTTCCCGCTGTGGAGTGACGCAGCACTGGTGATTGTCGAGGACGGGTTGCCACTCGCTACGCTGGCCGTAGGAGTGGGAGCAATCCTGGCGGGCTTGTCCTTGTAGATGAAAGCTTCCAAGAGAGTGTTGTTCCAGTAGCAGAACCAAGGCTTGTCGCCTGGAGTGGCATATTGCTTCTGGATGAACCAGCCGGGCAGGTTGCCATACGGCTCGCGCTTCATCTTGCGAGTGTCCATGTCAATCATGTCTGATGGCACCACAACCAGCTTGTTGTATTCCTCCTGGAAGTAGAACGCAGGTCCATCCTCGGGGTCGTCATTGTCGTTGACGAACATGAACGGAGCGAAAGAAGTGAACATGCTGGACACCTGTGTACCGTATGACAGCTGATTGGACGGGTCCTTTCCGGCTCGGGTATAGAGATACGCGCCAGTGTCGTTGCCTGAGCGGGATGATCCGATGTTGATCCAGATCTGGTCACTGCCAACAATATCACAACTCCAAGCTGCTCTGTCTCCAGGATTAGTGAGGCATGCGGACGTTGTCTCCTGAGGTAGGCCAAGCGAGAGAGGGAAGGTTCCCGTAGCCGGCGGTACGCCAGTTGTTGTCGTGATGAGGCTGGCATCGTAAAGCGTGGAGCTAGACACCTCCTTCATGGCTTGTCTATGACACTGTTAGCATGGCTTGTATAGTTCGCAATTGAGGGAATACTGACTGCGAGCCTGACTTTTTTCCGGCAACAAATCCTCCCAGGGCACCTCCGAGGATTGCACCAGCGAAGATTACCAGGCCGATGAGCGCAAGCATCAGCCAGAAAGGAATGCCACAGAACTTCGTCTTCCTCCTTTCGCTCCACGACTTCTCACTCCAAGACTTCTTCGACAACAATGAAGTATCAGCATCCGCGTCGTCGTCCAGATTCCTTGACATCCTTGAGATCCGGGAGTTCCGCCTCTGAAGGTCTGACTCGTCCATCATTGACTGTTGTTGCGGTGCAGGTTGCAGATGAGCATGCATCAGCGGCATGCTTGGGTCAGTCCCCAGTACGGGTGCGCGGCTGTGGAGTGCTGTAGGCGGTGCAGGCACGCCGAGCAGCGGCGCTTTCTCCGGCCCCTCTTCCGGATATCGTGTGTATGGTGGTAACTGCTCAGTGTGGCCGTACTCCCCAAGTATGTCCTGTTCCTCGCCATCCGGCCCTCGCCGCCGTTGGAATGGTTGTGAAAGCCCAAGGAAGCCAACAGGGACCGGATTCTGCACTGTGTCCTCATCATCGCCATCATCATCCCCCCCCACACCCTGCGGATACAGCGAGTAGGGATGTTGTGGCCCAGGCGCGTATCGTGTGCTTGATTCTCGTGTAGGTCGCGCAGTAGATGTGGTCGCTACGCTCGGTGTTCTCGCAACGGTACCTTGCGGGTACATCGCATACGGATGGCTCGGTCCTCCAGATCCAAACCGTGGACTGCTTGTGCCAGCATAGTGACTCGAAGAAGCCGATGACACCGATCGATGTGCAATGGCCGCTGCGAAGTTTCCCGAGGGTGTCCGTTGCAGTGGCCGTTCTTCCTCACCATCCTCCGCGCTTGCAAACGGGTTCTCCCTACTCCTACTTTTTCGTATTGAACTCCGTGACATTGGATCTGTAATCACTGCCCCCGTCGCGTACTGTGCCGAAGTCGACCGGATCGGCTCCTCACCGTCCATATCTTGGCGCCCTTCTTCTCTGTCGTGGCTCTGTCCGGGTCTGTAGCCATCCACCACCCCGTCGAAATCCGCCACCTCGAACTCATCATCGAACACGTTCTGCATCTCATACGTCGGTGTCGTGTCGTAGTCCTCGTCCATCAGGGAGCGCCTGTTCTCCATTGTCCCGCTGGGGGGCCGGGAGGCCCTGCACAGCCACCACGGGTTCGGTCGCCAATTGTCGTCGTTGTGCGTGTCCTACACAGTTCTACCGCTCCTAGAGGTCCTTGGGTGGTGAGCGAGAGTGGTATGAAGGACAGAAGGGGTTGTTAGCGAGTGTGTGGTGGGAGGGGAAGAGTGGTTGTCGCAGTCTCCTTCGCTCTTGCTGATGCTTGGCTCACGTACCACATCCGAGCGCTAGCGCGACTGCCAAACCGGCCAATCGGGAAGTCTTCGTTCAAGAATACACTTCCACTTCAACACGAGGAGATGTTTCTCACGGATCCGCGGCTTCTTTCGAAGCATTGTACATTGACAAGTTCGATCTCCAAAACACATTATACAGGCATTCACTTCCAGCTCAACGACTCCCGCCGAGTCCTGTGGTCGCCATGGCACATCACGATTAGTCGGGACGACGGCGTTTTTAGTTCACGGAGTCCGGTTGTTCCTCCGTATTTGTATGCTTGGCCGATGCGTGAAGCATCAACAAACATCGACGACTCGAGGAGCGCAAGAACATCAGGGAGATCTGGACACTGAACCAGAGCGTTGAGCACAAAGTGTGGGAGTCATGCTATCTAGCAGGCTCATCAACAACAGTACTGGTCTTGCGATCCTCACGAAACTACTACATCAGCCTTTGCAGCCCACCCGCCATCGCACTTCGCTCTCCTTCTACAACGCCCCTGGTTTTCTCCTCGAGCTCTGTGCTGATCTTCAGCCGCGACGACCAAGTGGGCACTGTCGTTGGCAAGGCCGGCCGCATTGAGTCCGTAGCACGTCGTTCGACAGCAAATCTCGAGGCCTCCGAACCTCGCTCCCGAACCTTCACTTTAAGGAGGCGGTCCATTCGAGAAGAACTGTGTTTGATCGCTGTAGCACTTTGGATGCAAGGCAAGTGAGCTTCAGCCAGCAAGATCCATATAGGTTGAAAAATACTTCATCCGCGAGGGAGGCCCGGTCTTCTCTCAGGGCCGAGTCCTGACAACCTGAACCATTCTTACTCCATGAGAATGCGCTCCCGCGATAGCAAGATAGGGTTATTACCGTAAGCAACATTCTGCTCTCGTGGACAGCATTTCAGCTGTCTCTTTCCTTCGGTCTCTATCAGCGCTTGCATGTAGTTGCACATTGCGGCCAAGTACACCTTTGTGCATGGTCTGCGTCTGAACCCCTTAGGCTGTCTGCGCGTTCCGTGTGCAGGGCAAGATCAAGCATCAAGGCCACACGACAATACCATGGGTTTCTACCACGGACCGAACTGCTGGACGACATCAGGTGACGGAACTGCTTCCCGCGAATATGGAGGTGGCACAATCCAATGAATGTGCGGTGAGACTGTTTTAACGACCATGGAGGTGGAAGTGGATGCGCTGGGCCCACCGCTCGTGGCTGTGGAAACCCATGAGCACGCTCATATTCAGCTTCCACCAGTCGCCCGTGGTAGCTTGCACCTTCGCACGTGAGCGGGTATTTTGTCGATTGCTGTGATGCAACGTGCCACCAACGCATGGGAGACAAGCCCGCAGGCTGCTCAAGAACAGAAGGCCCAGACGCTGCCCCTACTTGAACTTCATAGTGCTGAGTTGTGGCAGTATCACCAGTAGCCTTCTTCACCTTCCTGAGAAGGCGCTTTCTGGCTTCCTCTCTGCCTTCGCCATATCTGACGGACACATTGACGCCCAGTAGGCCCAGCAAACAATACGATTCATCTTCCTCGCGGGTCGTTTGTCGATTAGCCATCCACGCAAGCCTTTCCTCTACACTCACACCTTCGCTCCGGCTGTATCCTAGCAGTAAATTCTCTGGGATCCCAGTGATCGACTGTACTTTTTTATGCAGCGATCGACTCGTGAGCACGCAGCTGCCCTGTATCGTTGTCTTGGCGCCAATAGCAATTCCATTCGACGTGATGAACACAACGTGCTGAGGAGCAAGCAATTCCTGCAATGTCCAGCCACGTCTAAACCACCCACTGCGCGCGAAGCTACGCTGGGCATAGGGATCGTGAACATCAGCTAGGTACGCAAGGCACATCACCGCGTTGCGATACCACTTCAACATCGAGTTGATGGCTTCTGAAACTTCCTGGCTGCTATCCTGCTGGATGCAGCATGTATCGATCCACATCCAGTCCATGCCAGGGATCTTGCTCCTTATAAACTTCGCGAAGAGTTGGATTTTCCGGTATCCAGTGTTGTGCGTGTTGCGCCGCTTGAGGATGTCCTTGTATGAAGCTTCATGGCCCGCCACCCATCTGTGCGACGTGATGATGCACTGCGGGACGTCGCTGGAGTGGAACTCCTGGAACTCGAAGGTGTGAACGTTCAAGAGGCGGATCATCGTACCGGATAGCAGGGTCTGCGAGCTGTCGTTTGTGCTGGACCTGGCCCACAGATCAAACTCTACCTATGCCGCGATGGTTCGCCTGGGCTAGTAGAGTATCGTCGCTCGAAGATCCACATGCAGCGATATCCGTGACAGTGGAATACTGAAGGCAGTGATCCGATACACGACTGCCGCCGGGGTGGTTACAGCAGCAGGGCTACGGACATGTCACCTGTCGACAGCGGTTCAGATGAGCCTTTCGTGAGTTCTCGGAGATGGATGATACCTCGAGCTTGTCTCGACAGTCTGATTCTGAACGAAGGAGGACATGTAGGTGCAAGTTGGTGTTGTCACGAGGCTGAGCCAGTGCCTCGCGTAGCAGTGGGCGGAAGTGGCGTCTTGAGCATGCAGGTCGAGCTTCACATCACACCGAAGGAGTAAAGTTTTGCACTGGACATGGTAGACATCAGTTTCGCTAACAACAAAGTCCTCTATCACGCACCGATCCGATCACTGGTATACTGCGTTCCAAGAGAAGCCTCTCACTCGGAGAAGGCGGCCAACCTTCACTCGTCCCTTCCCATCATCACCTCATCACCAAGCCGCCTACTGCTTCACCTCATAAGCCCTCCTAAACATATCATCCACTCCCGTCAGATAATACGTCCCCTTCACCAACGTCTCCACATCACCCTGCGGCTTGTACTCCTTCTTCAAATGCGCCCGCTCCCGCAAATTGCACATCTCATCGTACACCTCCGGCGGCACTGTCCGCCTCTCGTCCAACCGCTTCTGCAGATCCACCTTCGATCGCATCTCCTCCGTGCTGCCGCGCACGCGGAGCGAGAACATCGACGACGCCAGCCCGGAGCCGTAGGAGAAGATGGCGATGCGCTTGCCCTGCATCCCGTCGCTGGAGACGTTGGAGAGCAGGGAGATCAGCGAGCCGTAGACGGAGGCGCAGTACATGTTTCCGCACTGCGTGGGGACTTGGATGGAAGGCTGCACGCGGGAAGCGAAGCGCTTCTTCGCCAGGCCCATGAAGGTCTTCTCGATGGTTTTGTCGGAGATGGAGGCGTCGTAGGAGATGTCCTTGACTTCGGGCGGGACGTCGGCGAAGAGGGGGTTGGCGGGGTTCTCGAGGTAGTCGTTGTAGAGGAGGCGGGCGTAGCTCTTGGAGACGAGCTTGCAGGTGGGTGCGTGGAAGCACATGTGGTCGAAGCGGTCGAGGGGTGTTTCGGGTTCCGGGTGGACGCCGTTGGCGTGGCCGTTCATCTTGCTCTTGACGTTCTTCTCGCGCGCGTTGTAGGCTCTGTAGCATTCGTCTACGGCCTCGGTGTAGCACTTGACGGAGTAGTGGCCGTCTACGAGTGGGTACTCGCTGGTCAGGTCGGCCTTGTAGAAGTCGTATGCGTGCTTGATGTAGCTTCCTCGGAGACCTGGCTCAACCACAACGGGAGCATCAGGGCCAACGAGCATTGCGACACAGCCAGCGCCGCCAGTCGGTCGTGCGGCACCCTTCTTGTACAGAGCAATGTCCCCAGCAACCACAACTGCGTCTCTCCCGTCCCACACTGAGGACTCCATCCAGTTGACTGTGTTGAAGAGGGCGTTTGTGCCGCCGTAGCAGGCATTCACGGTGTCCACGCCCTCCACGTTCATGTTGCCAGACTTCTCGAAGAGCTGCATCAGGACAGTCTTTACAGACTTGGACTTGTCGAGCATAGTCTCAGTGCCAACCTCCAACCGGCCGATCGACTTGGGGTCGACATTGTACTTGCTCAACAGCGAGGAGAGGGTTGTGAGGGTGATTGAGTAGATGTCTGAATTCTATCTGTCAGCAACGCCCATCGCCAAAGATTTGATTCTTCATACCTTCACGGTCGTCGCAGAAGCTCATCTTGGTCTGGCCGAGGCCAATGGTGTATTTGCCCTGGCTCACGCCATCGAATTTCTCGAGTTCTGCCTGGTCGACACACTGTTCATTCCTTCACATTAGTTCTTCACTTGTGGATCGTGCTTGTGGAGGATCAACGCACTTGACTGGGGAAGTACAGCTCAATGGCCTTGATGCCGATGTTCTGCGGTCGTGAATCCATGGTGGTGTGTGTGTGTTTACTGGTTGTACTGAAGGAGGAAAGAGTATGGGAGTGTTGTGAAGGCGGTCGCGTGCAAGATATTGAGAGCTTGTCGCTAGCTTCAACGAAAAAAGTTGTTGCGGTGAGGAACAATGCAATGCTGTCAACAAAGCCTTCAACTTCTCGTAATTCGCTCACGTGTGTTCTGCGACTGTTCACGATTGAATGTGGTTCAGGAGGAAATGGTACTGGATAGGCGGCTCACATGTTTTTATTTGCCTGCTGCAAAATTCTCGTACCACCTTTGCGAGCGGCAATGGCAGGCAGTCCCAATCGTTCGATGGTTCCTGCATGAAGTGACGCCAGCGCTGTGGGGTCCGTCCTTAGAACCTCGTGCCACCTGCAGGGGTCCATCCAACCTGCCGAGCCGTTGAGACGACAAGAACACCTCCTCTCTGTCAAGTACTTCTCGTCAAATGTATCGCCACGGGAGAGCCTTCCGGTTGCGGTACGTAGACAAACGCTCCAGGACGTTTGGATAAGATTCTAAAGGGCGTAGTCACGATGCGCGCGGTACCTGGGAAGGCGTACTCCAACCGCAGCAACAAGTATACCGTTGCTTTACGCGACCAACGACACCGGCGTTGTGAGACTATCGGTTTGCTGGCAAGAAATCAGGGAAGACTCCTTTGCCTCCAATGTTTCGCTGTGCTCCTCAAGAATACGCCCCGAGCCAGGCAAAGGATGATAACCTCTATATTCACTGTCACCGATCGTCACAACGCCCGCCGCCTCAAGACTGAGCGGTGTGAACATATGAGCAACACTCAGATGAATGGCCGCTGGCCGAGGCGTGCTCCAGCAAGGCTTCCCAGGCACGTAGGTCCTCCCATCTACATGAGCTTGGTGCTGTCAATTGAAAAACTATTTAAGTTCCATATGTTTGTGCCAGCTGATCGAGAGCGACCAGTTCCTTCAATTCATAAGCAGAATTGTGGTTCCTTCTTGAGCCTCACTGACCATCGCTTCCACCCATCGTCGCGGGCCTTGTATACACTGCAGAACATCAGCATCAGCGTTTGCACTGCAAATAAACCTCACATCAAACTCACCTGCAGGAAACAACCCCATCCTCCCACTCGCCGTATGTCGACCAAGATACCACCCATCATTATATCGATCATCCTTCTCCACCAACACAATCCTATCTCCTCTCACCACACTCAACTCATCCGGATGTCTAGCAGAAAAATCCTGCGCAACCAGCAGCAGCGACCCGATCTGGACTTGCGGCGTGGCTGGACCGGCGGCTGTGGCCGCATTACTCCCATGCTGGCCACCGAAATCGAACGCATCTATCTCCGCAGGTGAAAGGGCCTGCGAGACCGGTGGTGTGGTGCGGGTGGTGTTGGTGCGCATGAAGCCGACTCCGACGTCTTCTACACCGCCTTCGTCGGCTCCGGAGGTGAAGGGATCAGCGGGCGGGTGGTTTTCACTCCTTGCTGGGACGGGTTTGCGATTGATCACCTGTTGCTGAGGAGCACCAGATGAAGCCGCAGGTGTTTGCGAGCTGTGAGCAGGCGTGAAAATGGTTCCTTGTGAAGGTCCAGCGTGATGAAATTGTGGCTCCGTGCTCGGCTCTATTGCAGCATTGTCTGCGGCGTCTGACCCGGTGGCGAACGAGAATGAACGGCCTTCCGCTGGGGTATAAAATGGCTGGTCGTTGGATGTACCTGTAGTAGCCTGGCTGGCATTGCGACCACTCGGGCCTAGGAAGATAGGCTGTGGCGGTGGCAATGGTCCGAGAGTGGACTCACGTCGTGGATCAACGACCTCTTTCTCTGTGGATTCGTACGCCGGACCACCGATAATGGGGTTGGGCTCTGTTTGCGGTTCTGGCGCCGGCGACCCCGATCGACTTCTGTTTTTCCGTCTTGCCAGCATCCACCAGAACAGGAAACTAATCAAGGCGAGAAGCAGCAGCCCGAGGACTACCCCGAGCACGATCCCTAATATCTTGTCGTTACTACCAACACCACCACCACCACCGCCGGAATTTGAACTGGATGATGCAGCTTGCTGGCCTGCATTCTGTCCAGCAGCACCTGCCGCCGCTGAGCTCGAGCTCGAAGCCGCAGAGTTCGTGGAACTTGTGGACCCCGTGCTCGCGGATCGTGTACTGGTGGACCGAGTGGAAGATGTACGGCCAGTCCGAGCAGTCGTTGCAGGTCTCCGGGTGGATGTTGGGGACGTTCTTGTCCTAGCCGTTGTCCGCGTACTTGAGCTGGTGCTTGAGCTGGTGCTTGAGCTGGTGCTTGAGCTTGACACCGGGATGATGACACCGTCCTCCGGGCTGTAGTTCGCAACATCGGTATCGTATCCCGATAGCCAGACTGTAAAGAAGTCATTCCCACCTCCGCCTTAAAAACACTCGTCAGCACCGAAACCAGTACCATGCCTCTTACATTAACTCACAGTCCTCAAGATCATAACCCTGACATGGCGTATCACAATTCTCATCATCTACCTCTGCATCCGAAGGCGGCAACAGATCCCCACACCAGCATTGATTCCCATTCGAAAGGCCAAAAGCCGGTTCGGTCTGGTTCGTACACAGCTCAGCACAGTATCCGCTGCTCTGGTATTTGTAGAAGCCTTGGTCGATTAGTGGGGTCGAGTTGTCAAAGCAGCCTATGTAGATGGGGAGAGGTGTCTGGCGGGTCTGGAGCGTTGCTGGCAGGGACATTGTGTCGGTGTGCTATCGAACCATCCAGGCCATTGCATGTGACAGCCGGATTGTGGGTGTTCGATCTGACAGTGTCGACTGTGCTACAAGGTGAGTGGGAGACGATGATAGTACGGTTTAACATACCGCCTGCGCCACTGCAACATTGCAAGATAGCAATGTCTACTCTCGTCACGGCTCACAAGCGAGCGCCTGCACGCTGTCGTAATATGCAGAGACGGGACGGCATGACATGTTGCTTTTGGTGGAGGGGTAGGAGGCTGGATTGGGGCTGGACGCTCGATCGCTGCGCTGTAGGTTGGGCGCTTCTGTCAAACCGGTTTTGCCGTCGAGATCTTCGCCTAGCGGCTTGCATTTGGCAGGTCGTCGGACGCACGTGTTGCGGTGAAGACGGTGTCAAATGAACTCTACACTGTCAAATGAACTCTATCTTACTCCGAGCACTTCACCTTTTCACTTTACGCACAGCATCGAGTGTTCGAGCGATATATCAGGCGACCAATGCAACGTTCAAAGTCTGTCACGCCTAAAGAACCGTCCTCGTCATCCGTACTCTCCTGCGCTACCTGCACAGTCAACAGGAACGGTATTTCAATGGCCCAGAAACCCGTTCTGTGATGGAATGGTACTTCCTTCGCCTTGAAACCGTTTCGGTCTCGCTCCATGGGGCTGCGCAACCTGTACAGCTCGCACCGCTGCCAGGCGTCCGCGGTAGACATGTCTCCGATCTCCTGGTGTGACATGCCAGACAAATTGCTAAATTCTGTCGTTGTACCGTCGGAAATCCGACTGGTGTGCCGAGGGACTGTCGAAGCACCTACAACTACCTTCGAATAGCATGAGACGTGGCTCCAACTGCGCTCAAGCTGGTGGTGTCTGCATCGACCCCAGGGGTCCTGCGTTTTGGAGGAGTCTCGGTGGTCCACCTGATGTGGATTCGTCGAACATACAGTGCTTACTGTTCACGCTCATCTTGCTGAGGCAGACTAGAGCTGAGAGTGAGCTCTTCCAAGCCCAGCAGCTCGTGTCCCTCTTCCTCCTCAGGCCAAGGAAAGTTCAGATCGAGCTCCTTCAAAAGCGAACTCTTGCCATACTGCCTGTTCGGATCCAACGTCTCAGCAAGCTCGTCCTCTGGACACCCCGCTGCTCGGAGCGCCTCTTGAATGTTGCGCACGAGAGTGGTATCGAATCCTTGCCATTTGTCCGGACCTACCACACGAATGGCACGTTCTTTGTGGAAGCAGCGACCCTTTGCAGCTTGGATATTGCCGAATCCCAACGCTACCAGTTTGACTACTGGTACGACCCGCATGTGCTGGTCCATTGAGACAATCCACAGGCGTTTGAAGAGAGAGAGAATTCCGTTCCCGCAAACATGGATGGAACAAGCATTTTCATGCCCGCCACGACAATAGGCGGGCGGTCGACCAAGGCCTGGAATCTCCCGTCCTTGCTACTTACTCTCCAGACATAAGGTTTGTTGAAGCCGTAGAGGGACAGAATCAACCAAAGCAGTGGCACAGCTATGTCACGAGCCTCGGAAGAGTCTGCTTCGAGATTGAGCAGGACAGATGCGGCGGCCCGGGTAGCTTCGAGCAACGACGAGTGAGTCCGAGTCTCATGAATAGGAGGCCACCACTCATCCGGGGACTCTTCGAGCCCTTCGAGGTGCGTCGGGAAAATCTGAGGCATCGGTTGCACAGTCTTGCTGTACAGATGGATGATCCAGTCGGCTCCGCAGTCGAGTGCGGTAGCTAAAGCATATATCAGATTCTCACGGGACTTTTCGGCCACTGCCCTTCCACGCATCGACAGTATTGAGCTGCACAGATCGGAGCGGACAAAACCCTTCGAGAGTTGATTCGACGCATCGCTCGCAGACGTCCATATCCAGGCGCCCGACAGGAAGTCCATGTCAAGCTTAATCTCAGCGAACGATGCTCCCATGCTGGAGAGCTCCAATGTGGGCTATGCCAGCAGTAGCTGACTGCGATGTAGCTCGTGATATGTACCATATCCTTTGAATCCAAGTGCACAGAAGGGCCAACATTGCGCAACAGAGCAAGCGGGTGATCGAACCAGTCTTGTCCCGGGAACCTAGTGAGTGGCGAAAGCTGTTGCAAAGTACAGACAGGCCGAATGAAGCGCAGTACTAGTCTAGATACTGAGACAGACTTCAAGCGGAATCGTGCAGACACCGCTGGGTCGAGGAGCCGTAGTCTACCAAGAAGAACTCTTGCGTCGTGTTGTTGCTCTTTAAGACTGCTCAAACTCTTCCCCAGAACTCTGGTCTTCGCGGCATCTGGCAGTACCTGGACGTGGACCACTAAAGTTAGCGATCCCAAGTCGGATGTTGGCTTGTATCTGGCACCAAGTGACCATGCCCGTGTCATCTGATCACAATAAAGACACACGTCCTGGGCAGTGCGGAGGTACCTGCTGCCGAGATGCCTCGCCTTGTCCAGATCTCGGTCTCTGACCGGTTCTTCTCCGAGTATCTCCATGTCTAAAGCATTGACACGTTCTTGGAAGCACTGATCGAGGTGGTCTGTCGGATCGGCACCACGACATGCCGTGGAGCACCATTTCATATGATAGCAGACTGCGCATCGGATTCATGTTTCGTTCTGGTCATTCGCTCCACAAGTGAGACAAGACTGAAGCGGAACCAGAATTGCCTCAGACTTGTGTATTGCCATGCGAACACTTTGGGCGCAGAGGGAACGGAAAATGAGGCATGCCCGCATATGACTCTGTGCACAAGCGGTTGAGCACCAGAGCAATGGAGCGCGACACAGAGGGCAGTTGACCTCTAAAGGCAGCGGAGAGTTGCTACAAGCGCAGATCAGACCTTGGGGTTGAGGTGAAGTCTCTGACGACAGTGAGTCGCTCTCTTGTGCATCCTCAGCTGGAATCTCGTCAGCGTCCATTGCGATGTAGCCGTTGTCATCGTGTGCACAAGGGACTAAACGCACACCGGAGGAGATGGTGCATGCTCTCCCGTAATTGTACATCCCGGATGAGGTGGTGTGATGGCTTGGCGTTCGAGGCTGCATGCTGACCAGCTTCACAGAGCTTGCGTTCGGGGTGGTGTGATGCTGCAGAGCAGCGAGCTCTATTCGCTGTTCGCCTCCTTGCTTAAGCAGCATCATTTCTATACCCATAAAACGGCAACGCTGGCTCCAGCCCAGCAACCAGAGATGCGAAGGCGGCTCCTCGAGTTCGTAGCGCTTTCATCAGATCAACATCTCGCATGCCGAGCCTACCTTTGAGAATGCATTCAAGAAGCGGCTGCAGGAGTATGTCTTTCATTGCGTAGATAGCATGAAGCCTGGCAACGCAGCAAGTAGGATTTAGGCCAGCCAGAACCAGAACTACGCAAAACGTCAGCAGGAATCCACCACTCATCGGAGGACTAAGCACAACATACCTTCTCCAACCAGTTCCTAGGCACCGGCGGCTCATCCATCGCCTCCAGCTCATCCATCTCCTGCTTACCCGTAACAACATCGATATCGCGCGTAGGAATGGCAAGTGTTCCAAACGCTTTGAGTCCTTCCTTGATTTTCGCGCTCCTCTTGAGCGAGCCGTTCTCAGAAGACGCCCTGCTCGCCACGAACCAGGCCCAGTAGATTTTGTGGCCGATGTAGAGGGCCAGGAAGATGGGGAGGGTGATGTACGCGGCGAGGAAGTCGGAGACGTTCCATTCGGATGGGAAGAAGACTGCAAGTATTAGCATCACACAGTGGGCTTTGAGCGTAAGGTGGCTTACCGTAAAAGCCGTTGGTTAGCGTCAGGATCGAGATGACGACTAGGCAGACCCATGTAGCGTACGGCTGAAGTACGGTCCGGTATGGGAGAACGGACATCATGTTGTTGAACTCCATGGCCTTGCGAAAGCGCAGGTACGTGATAAAGACCACAATCCATGCAATGAAACCCGAGATAGTAGAGATGTTCGAGAACCATGCAAAGACCTGCGCACCACTATTGGAAACATTCAGGAAAGCCAGGCAGCCAAAGGCCCAAGTGAAGAGCACAGCCGCCCAGGGCACGCCTCGCTTCGTGGTACGCTTGAAGAGTCCCGGTGCTTGTCCGTTCATGGCCATGGAGTAGAGGACACGCGAGCCAGAGTAGACGAAAGCATTGCCGGCAGACCACGCTGAAGTCAAGATGGCCGCGTTAATGATGTGGTTCAGGACTGGAATGCCGGCATTCTGGATCCCGATGACGAAAGGCGAAGCCGCAGCGTTGGACTCCGGTGAGAGTAAACGCTTATTGTCCCTCGGTACGATCACGCCGATGCAAAGCGACCCCAGCCCGTAGAAGATTGCCAAACGCCACACGTAGCGCCGTGCTGCCTTTGGGATGTTGCGCCGGGGTGCGACTGTCTCTCCAGCAGCCATGGCGATCAGCTCAGGGGAGGTGATAAAGGCGAAACCGGCCTTGACGAATGCAATCCAGTATGCCAGGAATCTTCCAGTCGAGCCTGGTCGTAAATATGGATTGAAAGCGCTGTGGCCATTTTCGTCTTTCCAGTAGCGGAACCCAAGGCGGCCTTTATCTGGTCCGCCACCGAAGAAGATTACTATAGACACGATGATCAACCCGGTGATGGTGATGAGCTTGATCGAAGCGAACCAGAATTCGGCCTCACCGAAGAACGCTACGGCGATAATGTTGAGAAGCAGTATCACTGCCAGGATGATGGCGATCCAGACGGCGACAGGGACTGCTGAAGTCCAGTATTGCAGGATGATGGCGCCGGCTGTTGCTTCTGCTGCAACAAGGATGGCGTAGGCGTACCAATAGTTCCTGTGTCAAAAACTGGTCATCCGCTGCTCAAGTGAGCCTGGCTGAAAGATAACTTACCATCCATCTGCGAATGCAAGACTCGGATCCACGAATCGGCTGACGAAGTACGGTATCGATATGCCCTTCAGTGGCAAGTAGCTTTCAAGCTCGTTAGCAAAACCCTTTCAAGTAGCACTTGAATACCACATACGTGACCATCTCTGCCAAGTCGTTCATCACAATCCACACCACCAACATCATGCTCAAATAAGCCATGAACAGCGGCGCCGGCCCGACCTGAGCCAGAATCGCACCGGAACCCACGAACAACCTACGCTTGTTAGCCTCACGCGATTCCGTCCCGGGCAAGAGTTAAGGACCTACCCAGTCCCGATAGCACCACCAAGCGCAAGGAACTGAATATGTCGACTCTTCAGCCCTCGATTCAGCTGATTATTGCTCAAGAGGTCAAGTCCAGCGCCGCCAGCGCCTTGCGCCTTCCCGATGGTGGCATCGTGGGGGACGCCGTCACGGGGCTCGAAGTGGCCGGCTTTGGACTCGTAGCTGTAGTTGAAGTCGTCGTCGAGGCCCATCTTGAGCGCCTAGCAGACGGGTGGTGGAGGCGTGGCGCAGAGAAGATCGCGTAGTGGAAGAGATGAAGTGAGGTCGAAATGGAGTGGGGTGGAGTCTGTGGTGATGACTTACTTGACCCTTCTGAGCCTTCACAGTCGTCGCGTGCACAACCTATCGTACCGTGCCACAGTAATCGACAGGCTAAAGGTAGTACCCGGCTACCCATGGCTTTGTCACTCCATTTCCACCTTCGACCATCACCTCGTGCGAGTGGAGAGCCACGAGGGATCGCCAGCGTTATCAGCCCTGAACAGGCAGGCAGACGCATGTCGTTTATCAACGTTGCATTCTGGGTCGGAGAGCACGGGTCCACGATGGATTCTCAACCAGTGAGAGGAGTCGTGCTGACAGCACGTTTGCGGAGTCACGGAGTGGAGGAACAAGCAGGGATGTTGGAAGCTTGACGGCGGGACATCGGCTTGGAGGGGAATTAAGATATGAGCCAAGGACTCTTCATGTAACAACTACTCTACCTTCTATATGGCTTCGCTTGTGCTACCGTGTCGCCTAGGATATCTGACAGACCTGGGCGGCTCGTTGGCCGTATCCATGCATTCGAGAAGACACTGACCGGTGACAGATCTCCATCCATCACACTCCCCTCCTCAATCTCGCCTCTTGGGTGTACACATGCGAGAGCCAGCGCATCTCCAGTGCCTCCGCTGCTGTCGGACGATCGCTGCGATCTATCGCAAGACAGCCCCGGATGAGCTCCACCAGCTTCCCCCCCTCGCCCTCAGTCAAGTTGCGAAACCGCTGTTCGAGAGGCACCACCCTCTTCAGCTTCGACTCGCGAACATTTCCCTGACCGTCAAAGATATCCTCCACGCGAGGTCGAGGCGACTCTGCGAGCATGTGTGAAGGGAAAGCGCCTAGCAGCGCGTTGATCTCGTCCAAGTGAAACTTGAGCGAGTACTTCATTCCGCCTGCCGTGAACATCAGCTGGCCGAAAATCAGCTCTGGCATGAGACATGCGAGTTTCCAGAAATCAACACTCTTATCCCACGGAACTCTGAGCATGACTTCTGGAGCACGGAGACGATCCGGTTGTATGATCTCGGTCAGATGCTTGTTCCCCCAGCTGGCGACCCCCCAGTCGGCGAGCGCGACTTGGAGTGTATCCAGCTCGAGGAGGTGGCCGAAGTAATGGTCGTGCAAAAGGTACGCTCTTATTTATTTTTTAATATTTACTTGAGCTGCTTATAAAACTACTATTTCAAATATTTCCTTCTCGGTACCTAATATTTACCTCTCACATAAAACTCTAGCAAAGATATACTTTTTAGAAGTTGCTTTTGCCGTCTAGGTACCCTTTAAACCTAATAAAGATGAATAACACTAATCTTACTTGTGTTGCGGCGACTGCTGCCACAAGCACTGGTCGCGGAGTGGCTGGCTTCGTATGATCCCGCTTGGAGACGTCGATGCCGTTGGCTCGTAAGAATCTGGGAACCGCTTCTCGAGATATGCCCTGAGGACCGACTCGTCTGGATTTCGAACCATGATATTGCCCGGCTGGATATCTACGCCGCTCGTCAGCTGAGTGCCCCGCACAAAGACGGTCCTTGATAGCCGTGTGAACGACTTCGCAAGCATGAGCATAGCTCAGAGCCTCTAGAAGCTGCTTCGTAAAGATCTGAACGAGTTGGCTAGGTAGCCGCATCCTTGGGAACCATTCCCGGAAGGTTTGGAGGCTCTCGCCCATGACTGGGAAGATGAGGTAAGTATGTCGTCCGTTTGGCCCAGAATGCTCGAACAAATCTTCGAGCATCGTGATGAATCGATGCTCGGAACCTTCACCACTCCTGGCCTTGATGTGGTGGAGGATTTCCACCTCGTATATGTCGATTCCCCCGTCGGCTATCAGCAATCGAATAAAAGAGTCAGCAAGTATCTCATTCATGCGAACAGGTGTCAGAAGCTCTCAATCCGCCGTACATAACTCGATCATGTCTCGGAGAACCCTCCTACCCATCAGTGCTCCCCTGAAGCACCGAAAAGCAAGAGGGACAACAGGTGTCTCGATGCCGTGAAAGGGTTCAAATGGTCTCAGAGTGCTACCTGCAGGGCGATCGTGTCTGGGAGAAGCCTTTGGGCCATCTGTGCTTACTTCCATAACACTCCGCACTCAGCACCTTCATAGCCCAGAACCTCCGTGTCCTACCACCCTCGTCAGCAACCCATTACCCCCAAGATCTGAAGCGACCACTCACTATTGGTCCCGGACCAACCAGACAGTGGAGTACTGCCCATACCCCAGCTTCTGCAGCACGCGGTATCGAGCACCATACACTTGACCCAGGTGGACAGGGTGGAAGCCTCCGATGTGGTAGTTGGCTTCCCCTCCTTCGAGGGAGGGCGTGCGCTTCTTCAGTGATGCCAGAGGGGATATAAGGCAGTTCAGGAGGTGGGGAAGGGGGTTTGGCATCTTGTGTGGAGTTTATCGAGGGAGTTGGTATGTTCTTATGTCGCATAGGTGGAACTATGAGCAGTACATGTATGTTTTTTTCATGTTTACCACCAAACATCGGCTGACCCCAGTAGTCAATGGAGTATGAGCTTGCTAGAATACAGCGGTGCTTGCTGCACTGGCATGGAATATCCTCTCCCGTGCCATTTGCTCGGACATGTGTGAGCGCGTGAGAGCATGTTGGGGCATGTGCTCCTCCCACTGAACTGCTGACATTGATATCGCACAAGACGCCATCACAATTTGCTTGTGCTCGTGTTCCGTGACGCCGTGATCTTCTGCTCCAGCTTGTGAATCAGCAGGGCACGAGCATGGTCTTCGAGGTCGTATAGGAGACAGTGCTGCATACACATTCCCAAAAGTGCAAGCACCGTAACCAGATCATTACATCCAAACGCCATCATGCAGACCGGGTATCATCCAACCACCCCAAAACAACGCAGCACTAGATCACTTTACTCCTCCATCCGATCATCCCCATCAACGCCTCCCGCCGCGCTCCCAGCCTCCTGCTCCCCCCACTCCCTCTCAACCTCCTGCGCGACGAAATCCTCATAAGCCTCCAGACTCCCTTGGATATGGATCTTGAACTGGATAACTTCATTCAACATCCTTTCCAACTCCGTGTGTAACTCCTCGCGCAGGGCCGAGGAGCGGAGGGTGAGTTGTTCGTACCTGTTACAAACATTAGCATACACTTGCATAGCTTGGTTGGGTAGGTGGATGAAGGACATACTCAAGCTCAGTATTCATCTCCTTCTGCTCCCAGAACTGCACGCTCTCCGTCAACTCGCTCCGCATCTTACTCAACTCCTTCTCCAGCCGCTCAATCTGCGCGTCGGAGCCCATGTCCTGCATTTTAATAATCTCGCGACTCTTCTCGAACTCCTCGTTCGCGGCTCTCACGCGATGCGTCAGCCCTTCCAGCTCCGCGGCTTTGTCTTCCAGAGCTTCTTCGGTGGACTGCAGCATTTCGACCTTTTTGAGGTCTTCTTCGAAAGCTGCGTTTCGTCGCTCGGAGATCTCTTTGCGCAGGTCTTGAAGCGCTTTCTTGGCGGCTTTGAGGTCAGAGTGGAGGATGTCGTTGGCGCGGTAGCCTTGGGTGGCGGAAGCGAGAAGGCGGTCGGATTGCTGTGCGTGTTGGCTCTGCGAGGCGGAGAAGTCGGGACCGGCGTTAATGGTCAGTTTCAACTCGTGCTCGTAGCTGTGGGCGTTTTTGGCAGTGAGGGGGATGATGTCGATGGCGTAGCCTAGGCTGTTGTACTTTTGTACGATCGACTCTAGGTCGTCGAGTCTGCTGCCCGTCTCGGCTTCTTTCTTCTGCATCCGCTCTTTGGCTTCGTCGAGTCGGACGGCTGTGCTGTCGACGCCCTTCTGCAGACGTTCGCGCTCGGTGTTCATCCGGTCGATGTCTTGCACACTCAGACCCTGCTCATCGACCTTCCGCTGGATGTCGTTGCGCTCGTCTTCAGCTTCGTGCAGTTCCTGCTCACACTTCTCGATCTCCTGTTGCAGAAGTTGTACCCGATTGCTGTACTTGTCGATCTTGTTCTCGATTCCCTGGTTGTAGGTCTCAAACTTCACGCGATCGTCTTCAAGCACTTTCGTGACCTTGTCCAGGTTGGCCAGCTTCGGTGCAGACTTTGCCAGCTCGTCAATCTGCTCCTGCAGTGCTTTTGACTCTTCCTCCAGCTGCTTCATCTGCTCCAGATTCGCCTGATTCGCTTGCTCAAACTTCGCCGCCATATTGTCGATATGTGGCTGTATCCTTCGCTTCGCCTCTTCATCGTCATCATCGTCGTCCTCGATCGAAAGCCACTCCTTGTACGCGTCGGACAGGAACTGAAATGTAATGCGGTCCGCGCTCACGTCGTAGCCCGCTTCTATGCAAGCATCGTCGTAAGCACCGGTCGAATACGACTCCATCATCTTTGCAAGCTGCATCATCCAGTGTAGTAAAGCCAGGAAAGTCGGCCAGCCGTTGCTCCCGCCCACTGCACTGATCTGCGACTTTGTGATGCTCCTTTCGAATGGGTATCGCAGCTGCTTCATCACCGCGGGCACCTCGTTCTCAATCTTGTCGCGAAAGCGGTATGACGGGTCGATGCAGTGGTAGAGAAACTGGAACATCTCTGCAAAGTCCTTCTTCGTCGGATTGCTCATGCTATCAGGTCGCAGTGTATGCTTCGTCTCCATTTCAAAGTTGCGTTGCGCCAGAAATTCGGATATGTCTTGTGACATCTGCGCCTTCACGGTCGGGTTTCGAAGTCTCCTGGGGTCTACTGGCGCAGCATTCGGTGGAGGCGCCGTCGTGAAGAAAGACTGATGCGCGGTCGGTCCAAACGCAGCAGATGGCCGCGCGCTATACACACTGCTTCTTCTCGCCGTGCTGTCCTGCATTGCTGTGCTTGGATTCATAGGCGTGCTCGCAACAGGCGCATAACTCTTCCTACCAGTCATGTTGCTGCCCAAGAAGTTCGCGGTGCTCGGTCGTTGCACTGTAGAGAAGCCGCCCATGTCCGCTAGATTGTTGCCGGATGAGGAGCGCTGGAAGACTGGTTGCGAGGGTCGGCCAGGCGCGAGGGACATGCGTGAGCCGGAGGTTGTTCGTACATGGTTCGTCGTATGAGGCGCTTGTTGGAGGTTGTTGTTGGAGGTCGATCGCTTCATGGCGGAGGCAGGCATCGGGATCGTAGAGACATTGTGGCTCACTGGGCCGAGTGTCTGAAGTGAAGCGGTTAGCATGTGCGACGCTGTTGTTGTGTTGATTGCATGCGACTGACCTCTCGCGGCCGGCGCACGCTGAACATGCCGCTTTCTTGCGACATTGCGGTCGCTGAACTCCGATGATTCCCTGGATGGCCTGTTCTGTAGTATGCGCTCCAAGAAGGTCTCCAAATCACGTTCTTCTGTTCGAATCAATGTCGCATCGCGAAGTTGTTGTGTTGTTGACCGCACGGACCAGACGTTGCTAGCGGCGGCGGGAATAGCCGGCAGATCGCTTAGCTCAAGCCGAGGCAGTCCCAGCCCTTCGATATGACCGACGAGATGAACCACGACACCTTGGACATTGGACCTATTATATTGGAGGGATATTTGGCGTTGGCATGAAGGGCATGCGGTAACGTAACCGGACATCCCACATCCATTGAACTGCAAAGATGGCCCGCGAGGAGCTGATCGAGGGTGCCGTCACATGTAAGTCGCCAACCGCCTGTACTCACTACAGCAGCTAACGACATCGCCAGTCCTCCAAGACCCATCCGTCTCCTCCGCGCCCATAGAGCAGAAGCTCTCCTTTTTACGATCAAAAAACCTCACCCATGAAGAAATCGACGCCTCTCTCGCCCGCGCCGGCCAACCTCCTACAGCATCCTCGACATCTGCCCCGCCCAGCACATATCAACCACAATACCGACAGCCGCAGCAGCAACATGGCTACCAACAACAGTACCCACCCTACTGGAACCAACCTCCTCCAGAACCACCGCACCGCGACTGGCGGGATTGGTTCATCATGGCCACCATCACAGCCGGCGTAGGCTCCGCTCTTTGGTGGACGGCGAAGCGCTACATCGTCCCGCTCATCGCGCCTCCCACGCCGCCGCAACTAGAACAGGACAAAGCTTCCATCGACGCCTCTTTCGAGAAGACCTTTGCTTTACTCGATCAGCTGGCCACCGACACCAAGGAGCTCAAAGACTCTGAAGCAGAGCGGAAAGAGCGGTTGGATAAAGCTTTGGGCGAGGTGGAGAGCGTGATCAGCAAGATGAAGGAAGCGAACGAGAGCCGGGAGCAAGAGGCCAAGCGATGGGGAAGGGAAATGGACGAGGTGCGGGAACAGATTCCGCAGGCTATCGCGAAGGAGAAGGAGGCGATGGATGGGCGGTTGAAGGATTTGGCGGGGGAGGTGAAGAGTCTGAAGACGCTTGTTGCGAATCGCATGGGGCAGCCGCAGAGGCCATCGTTCGGGCCGCAGAGTGGGGGTGGGATGAACGGAGTGTCGCCGTCGGGAGGCTCGACGCCGATGCCTGAGATGAATGGTGCAGTCAACGGTGTACCGAACGGCGCTGCGAACGGTGGCATGAACGGCAGTGCTGTCGCAGAAGAGCCTGAGAAGCCAGCAGCACCGCAACAGCCAGCAGCACCATCTCCTCTGCCCGAAAGATCCGCATCAGCGAGTCCATACAGCAGCAGGATGCTCGGCGGCAAGGCGCAGATCCCGGCCTGGCAGCTGGCGGCGAAGAAGAGGGCGGATGATGCGAAGAAGGACGCGGCGACGAATGGGACGAGTGTACAGGATGTCAGTGAGAGTGGGACGGCGGCGCCTGCTGAGGGTGAAGCGGCTGCGTGATTGAGCAATATATATATTCTGTACAGCAAGCGTTGGGATGATTGATCCAATCTTACGAACTGAGCCCTAGTATTGACCATCATCGGTATATGGCTTTAGACGGTGTTCTGTGGTATGGTAGCGAGTAGAGTCTGGCATGTCGACTTTCACATGCTCGGCGGCAGTCCGGTGAAATGGCGGACGGCGCCGTAGCTTCCAGCCAAGCAACGAGCTCTCGAAGCTGGCAGCAGTAACACCTCGCTGTTTGGAACAGCTGAGATACACACCTCTCTACCCTATACCCACTCGACCTCCCGCCATGTTCAAGCTCGCACGCAGCAGGCAGTTCGCCTCTGCGCTGAGGAGCGCGTCCGTACGTCGGGACCGCATCCCTATCCACGTCCGCCAGCTAACCAACCCCCCAGGAAGCCCCCCTCCGCCAACAACGCCGCAACCTCTCGATCCACGAATACCGCTCCGCCCAACTCCTCGACAGCTACGGCATCGGCGTCCCCAAGGGCGATGTCGCTCACTCCGGCAAGGAAGCCGAGTCAGTCGCTTCCGGGATCACCGGCGACGACATGGTCATCAAGGCGCAAGTGCTAGCAGGCGGACGCGGCAAGGGCCACTTCGACAATGGCTTCAAGGGAGGCGTTAGGATCGTCTACTCACCACGCGAAGCTAGCATACTCGCCGACCAGATGATCGGGCATAAGCTTATCACGAAGCAGACGGGGGAGAAGGGGAGGATCTGCAACAGCGTGTACATTGTCGAGAGGAAGTTTGCGAGGCGGGAGTTCTACCTCGCCATCTTGATGGACAGGCAGAGCCAGGGCCCGGTCATTGTCGCGAGTTCGCAGGGTGGCATGGATATCGAGACCGTCGCGAAGGAGAGCCCGGACGCCATCATCACGACCAAGGTCGATATCCACAAGGGCGTGACCGACGATGTCGCGCAGAAGATTGCCGAACAACTCGGCTTCAGCCCGCAATGCATCGGGCAGGCCAAGGAGACCATCCAGAAACTCTACCAAATCTTCATGGAAAAGGACGCGACGCAGATCGAAATCAACCCCCTCTCCGAGACCTCTGACCACCAAGTCCTCTGCATGGACGCCAAGCTCAACTTCGACGACAACGCCGACTTCCGCCAGAAGGAAATCTTCAACTGGCGCGACACCTCGCAAGAAGACGCTGACGAAGTGAAAGCCGGCGAGTCCGGGCTCAACTTCATCAAACTCGACGGCGACATCGGCTGCCTCGTCAACGGCGCCGGGCTCGCCATGGCGACCATGGACATCATCAAGCTCAACGGCGGCGCGCCCGCCAACTTCCTCGACGTCGGCGGTGGCGCGACCCCCGAGGCCATCAAGCAGGCCTTTGACCTCATCACCTCCGACCCGAAAGTCACAGCCATCTTCGTCAATATCTTCGGCGGGATCGTGCGGTGCGACGCTATCGCCAAGGGGCTCATTCAGGTGGTGGAGCAGATGAACCTGCGGACGCCGGTGATTGCGCGACTGCAGGGGACGAATATGGAGCAGGCGCACAAGCTGATTAATGAGAGCGGGTTGAAGATTTTCTCGATTGATGATTTGCAGACGGCGGCGGAGAAGAGTGTGCAGTTTAGTAAGGTGGTTAAGATGGGTGAGTTTTATTCTTCCTTGGAACGGGGTAATACATTGCTAACGACACTTTAGCACGAGACATTGATGTGGGTGTCGAGTTCACCTTGGGGATCTAGAGGGGTGGCTCTCCTTGAGCAGGCGGAATGGGCGGGATGGCAGCGGTGCGGATGGGCATGGAACGAGCGTGTTTGAACTTCTCAGATACTCCTATGTAGGCGCAAGCAGGAAGTGTGTACAGATATCCTTTGACATTCCATCCACTCCCATCCCAAACTGTCCATATCATCCTGCCATCCCGTCAGTCCCCGTCAACCAATCGTATTCCAGCAGCACAAGCTTGCCGAGGAGGGTCTTTGCAAAAGCTTCTCGACTCTTATCGCGCGAATTTAGTCTGCGCTGAACCCTACAAGTGCCATGCACCCAACGACACCACGCGGTTGTGTCGGCGGGATGATGAAAAGGCTGTTTTTTCTGCTGTGAAGATGGGGAAGGTCCAGGCCGAGGGTCTGTTGATCAGGTTCGTCAGCTGCGATAAGTTGAAGTTTCCTTCTCTCTCTGCCTTTCGTCTGTTCTCTGTTCTCTGCTACCTTCTCGTATCTTGAGCAAGAGACTGCATTGGTACGCAGCATCTTCTGCATATCATTGGCACAGCATTTTGGAAGAGGAAGAATACACCCACGCATCACCCTCTAGTATACATGCCGCCAACCCACCTCACGCCCACCCCGAACCTCAACTTCTTCTGGCGCCCCCTCCACAGCAATGGCAGCAAATGATCCCGGCCTGGCCCAAATGGGCGCCCCGGGCGACGACCCGACCAAAGGCGCCGCCATCGAAGACTCCAAAGACGGCAGCATCGTCGAAGCCGAACGCTCCGTCGCCCCGGACCAGTTCGACGAGCGCTTCCAGACGGGCAAGTACGAGATCTGGGCCTACTACAGCTACTACATCGGCAACAACGGCCTGACGCTGTTCAACTTCGCGCCGACGGCGGCGCAGAACCTGGTCTACCAGCGGGCCGTGGTGGTGGGAGGGGAGAATAATGATCGCTTGCGGTTTGCGGGGGGGAACAGGACGATCAACAGTATTATCCTGCTGTGTAACGGAATAAGCTTCGCGATACAGATTGTGGTGTTCTTGGTCCTGGGGTCGTACGCGGATTTCGGGACGTTCAGGCCGAATATCTTGATCGTGCTGTCGTTGATTGCGTGGGGGCTGGGGTTTGGATGGCTTGGGGTCCATCACCAAGAGCAATGGAAGACGGGGCTGGGACTCTATATTATTGGGTTGATTGCGTATCAGCTCTGCTTGACGTACTGGACGGCGGCTTTCCCGGGGCTGGCTCGTAATACGGCTGAGCTGAGGGATAAGGCGAGGCAGTTTGAAGAGGGCGAGATCTCAAGGGATGAATATGATTTTGCGGATATGATGAAGAGGAACGAGCTGAGCAATACGGCCTTCTACGTCCAAAGCATGGGCGAGATTGTGATATTGGCAGTCATCGTTGGGATAATGTACGCACGACGTTCCGCTCCGTTCGTCCATCCCTGCTAACAGTCCTCCCAGGTTCGGCGTCAACGTCAACGCCTCCACCGCCAACAACAACTGGGGCCTCTCCGTCCTCATCGCCTTCGCCAGCGGCGTCTGGCTCCTCCTCGCCATCCCCTGGTTCATCCTCGAGAAACGCCGTCCCGGCCAGGACCCCGGGATGAACATCGTCATCGCCGGCTTCTGGCAGCTCTACCGCGCCGTCACGCAGATCTGGCAGCTCAAGCAGTCGCTCGCGTACCTGATCGGTTATTTCCTGCTCGGGGACTCGCTGAACACGACGGTGACGGTGATTGCCACGCTGCAGAATGAGATTGTGGCGTATAACACGCTGCAGCTTACGTATCTTCTGATTGTCGGTATTGTCGCGCAGGCGGTGGGGATCTTTACGTATTGGAATTTGCAGAAGAGGTTTCGACTGTCGACGAAGACGATGTTTAATGTGGTTGCGGTGGGGATTATTGCATTGGATGGGTGGGGCATGATTGGGATTTGGACGGATAAGTTTGGGTTCCACAACAAGTGGGAGGGTGAGTCAGATACCATCCCTCCATCTTGCAACACTGACTAACAGGGTGATGGCAGTATGGCTCTACCAAGCCTTCTACGGCCTCTTCGTCTGCCCGTGGTACAGCTACTCGCAAACCATGATCTCCGAAGTCACGCCCCGCGGGAAAGAATTCCTCTTCTTCTCCCTCTTCAGCATAGTGGGCAAGACGTCCTCCTTCATCGGCCCGCTGGTCTCTTCGGCCATCATCGACGCGGCGGGCGATGCGAACAACGCCAACTCGACCCCGTTTTACTTTTTGTTCGCGCTGAGTCTGGTGAGCTTTGGGTTTTTGCTGTTTTTTGTGGATGTCAAGAAGAGTCGGGTGGAGCAGAGGGAGTTTTTGGAGAGGGAGAGGAGGGCGAAGGAGAAGATTGGGGGTGGGGGGAGTGAGGTGTCTTGAGGGAAGGGGGACGGGGTTTGTGGTGAGGGATTGCTACTTGATACTTGATGACAAAGTTAAGAAGATCACGAGTTTATGAACGATGAGGACGAACGGAATACGGTTACCGCCCACACTGCCAGGCGAAAAGACTCATGTTGCATCCCTGCCTCCAACCTACACCGACGGTGATTGCAGGCCGCACTGACACGTGAAAATACTCCCGCTACGCCGCTGTCTTCGTGTCCCAAAGGAGTGAACTCCAGCCAAGACAGAGCAACCCGTCTGATGCAAACGGTTCCTTGAGACACTTCCAGGAGGCGAGCGGCAACCTGCAGCATGTTGCATCTATGGGAGACTCAGGGGCGTGTGAGCCGTATTGTCGGGTCGCCTGTCGGTGAACGACAGCTGGCTCTTCTTGAGTCGTTCTCCATCTTCCATTCCATCACTCTGCTACTAATCCGACGACTGACGGACGTACATTTGTTCTTTAGACGGGCGAGCAACGAGCCATGGCGGACCTCTCACAGGTCAAGCCCTGCGTCATCTTCCCAAACGGCTTCCCAGGTGTCGGCAAGCTCACCATCGCTCGCTCCATAGAAGAGAAGCTCCAACACTTCCGCATCTCTTCCAGGCTCGTGGACACTCATCTCCTCGACGACGCCGCGAAAGCCATCCACCCTTCTACGCCACGCAAAGGCAGCGACAATGTTCAACAGGCTGTTCTGTTGGACCGCTTGCGCATGGTTGTTCTCAAAGAATTGAAGACACTCCCGACGCAAAACACAGTCATCATCATCAACGGTGGTCTCTCGATGGAGAAGTGTGATGTTGCTGTCTTTGCCGATTACGTGGACGTCGCTCGCGCTCGTGGGATCCCATTCTACGCATTCACCATCGCCTGCGAGCTCGAGGAGCATCTCACCCGCGTGCGGACGGCAAGCCGTTGGATGCGGATGCAGTTGACCATTGGTATGAGGATTCTCGTCCCGTGCTGAAGGCTTTGATGGCTGACACTGCAGGAAAGCGGAGCTGTACAATGTCTCCAGGAAAAACCGCGTGCTGGATCCGACTGATGAGAGCGTGGTCGGCCGTTTCGACAAAGTTGTCAAGTTGCGGCATAGAGTAGTTGATACGACGGATCTGAGTGTGTATGCGAGTTCCGAGCGGGTTCTGGGTGCCATTGTAGCGGAACAGTAGCACTCCTCCGCAGCATGTATTGTTGGAGAGTTGCGATAGATACGATACGGCGCTGATGGAGAGGTCTAGCAGGAGGAGGTATGTGCAGCTGGACGTTGGTTGACGATATTGCTAACACTCCGGCCAGCATTCTTCGCGGCTTGCGCCAAGTCAATATCAGGAGATACTTCAGAAACATGACGATGTGCTTTCCAGGTCCGATCTATGTTCCAGCTACTCATGGTGCTTCCACTTCTGCCGACACTAATTTCCTGCAACTCCTCTTCAACACCACATTGGTTTCGCCTCTCCGAAATAGCCTCAGCTCACTGTGAACTGATCGATACTATCCAGGAGATCTGCTGGACCTCTCCACGCCGCCGCTGCACATGCCGCTTCCATTCCCGCCGACCCTGCCGCCGCTTTGGCCTCAACAACCCATGTGGCACGAGCAGACACCGCATATCCGATCCAGAGCAACATCATCGCGTCTTCACCAACCTTCACAATGTCCCCATCAGCCCCATAGTCCGGACGTGCAGCGCTCACTCTATTCCACTCCACTCCCGGTCCTTCGAGTGCGTCCGCCAGGTTGCCGAAGGTGATTCCTCTGCTGCTCCTCACCGTCGTGTAAGGATTCAGCTGACCGTCCCTGCCGTACGGCGACCAGGGGGCGAGCTCGGCTTTGTACACCGGTGGTTGTGCAATCTGCATCTCGCGAAAGAAGTTGCCCTCTCGCCAAGTGAAGTGGCGATACAGCCACCATGCGTTGAACTTCAGAACAATGAACCACTTGTGGTGCTCGAGAATATGCGTTAACCAAGGATGAGGCGTGACGATGGCGAGTTGCGGTAGATTCGGTCTTTGCGGTCCGGTCCAGAGGGAAGGCTCGCCAGCATAGCCTTGCCAGGCCGGACGAGTACCATCGTGTTCCTTCTTGTACTCCACCTGCCAGAACTCGGGGTCCTTTGGGTCAAGGGCTATGTTCTTGTGCAGCTGAATAGCTCGCCGGATCGGAGTCGGGCTGAGACCCAGCATCTGCCGGAGGGGCGTAGATGGAAAGATGAGATGGTTCCAGAAGGAAGAGATTCGTCGGACACGAATGAGCGAGCGGAAGCTTGTCACCCGCGTAAGGATCATCTCTGGCAGCTCGTAGGTGTTGAGGACTCTCGAAGCTGCCGACACATTAGGTGTTGCAGGCTGCACATCAGCTGTTCGCGGGTATCTGAGGACGAGACCAAGCAGGGGATTCGAATCATTGGCGCCTGTCTCTGTCTCAGAACCGGCAGTAATCTGGCTGAGCCCGTTCTCCCTGTTGAGCTTGGATGGAAGCGAAGGACGGAGAGAGGAGGATACAGGTACTTATGGCCTGCCATGAGAGCAAAGGTCTGCTGTTTCTTACATTGCGCGGCATTGAGAAGAAGACGCTTGTCCATACTGTGTGCCTTTCGCATCTGGAAGAAGAGCTTGTCTCAGTCGCTGCCTCTCCTTTCACGGACTGGTTGCACAGTCTCGAGACATTGACAAGCTCCACGACAGCATGTCTTTGACCACAGTCTGCGGACGAGATCACCCCATGGCTTGGTGTTGGACTTTGACTCTGTGAAGATCGGACGAGTCTTGCATACAATACCTCTATTTCAATCAATCAGATCATGTTCACCCAGCTCCGCTGCACCATACCTACTGATACTTCAGCAATGCGGCTACTGGAACCTTCAATCGAACGACCTTTCTTCGGGCTGCTGCTTTCTGTTTAGCATCAGCCGCTTTTGCCTCAACCACCCACTTCGACGACGTCGGTAATACGAACGCCGCACTCAGAGTTAGTAAGCCGCTATCCGATACCTCCAGGGGGTTGGCATCCTCCGTCCCAGCCAAAGGGTCAAACCCTGCCCCATTCCACTCCAACTTCGCTCCTTCCAGCTTGTCAGCAACATCCCCGAACGTCACACCATTGCTGTTGATAACATCAAATTCTGCTGACAATGTCGACCTCCCAAGCACGGAACCTCCGCACGTAGCGCTCACGTGGTAGATCTGTGGGTTTGTGAGGTACATGCGGCGCCAAAAACGGTCCTTCAGAGCGTCAAAACACTTCATCAACCATTCCATGTCGACTTCGAAGTTCATGCAAAAGCGCGGGTCACCATGGCACAGCTTCAAGCGCGGATGTAGTCCAACGATCTGGCAATGAGCAGGACGCCAGGGTTTGTTCTTGGGCCATTCTAGCGTGGTATGGCTGATGATGGCGTGAGGAGTGTTGTTGCCGACCGCCTCGAGCTCAGGACGCCAGACGTCCGTTGGGTCAGGGCTTCGTTGTGCCACGCGCGACCACTGGATGACTGGTCTGGCTGTCGATGGAGTTAGGAACAGCCTCTCCTCCAGCCTGGTGGATTCCAGCAATGTACTCCTCCACGTTATTCAGACGCAGTGAAGCAGAGGGGTTCGTAGAGGAGGTAGGTGGTAGAAGATGCTTTCTACGACGTTGACCAGGCTCACGGCCTCTCTCATAAGGTTTCTTGTATGGTCTCACCGCCGGCGTACGGGTTGCTGGATAAGAATCTGTGGGCACCTCTTGTTGAGGTACGCCCGAACTACAGATGGATCAGCTGAAGAGCTCGACATTTGAGGGACAGGGGTTGACATACTTTGAGTAGCTGTTGGAGGACCATGCCCTGCCATGCTGCATTGGAGATCTCGCTGAATTGACCTGACAGGTACGCAACACCATACTTATAGTGATGCATTGTGTATGCTTCTTCTGGTTCTGCAGCATCGCTGCGAGAAAGCTCTTCTCCTTGTTCAATTCGTATCCGTAAGGCAAGACACCATCTCATCTGCTTGTCCAGCGCTGCTGAACGTCCGATCCGAGCGACAAAGCATTCTCTGCCAGCAGGCGCTGGTAGAGTATTTCGCTTGCAGCGGTCGATGATCACCTGTGCCTCTATCGGAGCATGTGAACGGCATTGACATTGATCTAGGATTTTTCCTGTCTCCAGTGCTGGTCTCAAGACGACATCGCGGTGTTGCAAAGGCACATTCGGATTGTTCACAATGATTCGGCACGGTCATAGGTGGAGCCTCAGTCGTGTTATAGTTCAACGAAACTTTTGCTTCTGCTTCTTGAAGTGCACTGCATCCCAATCATTCGTCCTGTTCCTTCCGCGAGACAAAGCATCACGATGTGACCTACTCCGCGTTCATGCAGCGCTCAGAGCGTCGCTATTGTTGCGATCGGCAACCAATACCTGTGTCCGATCTAGTAGGGTGTGTCCACGCCCTCGCCGAGCACAACCGTCATGTTAGCCCAATGCTGTCTAAGGCACGACTTGCATGGCTCGTCCGAACCGTGCAGTTCTTCGCATACCCGCGCGATGATCTCACCGAAGCGGACACCGTAAGGGTTTTCGACTGGCCAGACATACTCATAGCCGGGGCGCGTCAGGACAGGGACCCCTACACAAACTCCTACTCTGGTGCACGGTGGCTGAGACAAAAACATGTCTTTCCAGCTTCCATGTGGATATCTGGGGTAGGCATCGGGGTAGGAAACACCAAAAGCGGCGTATAGGCCGTTCTGGTCGTCATGCGTGCCATCCACTGGTGGATCGGATTTGGACAAGATCACGGCGTTGACGTCCTTCTTCATTTTTGCTCCTTCTAAGGTCTCCCCATTGGGAACAATGTTCCAGCCGCCGTGAAAGGTGGCATATGGACGGCGAGATGTCTTGATGGGATTTTCGGGGGCGAGAAACAGCGTCCTCTGAAGCTTTGTAGATGCCAATATGGCCTCCTTCCACTGCTTGGACACAGCCTGAGCGCTCAGCAGCTCCTTTGTCGATAAGTAGGTGAGGATTTCCTCCAGGATCTCCGCAATGTCGAAGCTCGCAGTCACTGCAGGTGAAGTCATCGTGGTGGCGGCTGCTGATGCGTCTCTGTTCTGATGATTAGCTTGGAGAGCACATACGATGGCAAGAAGACTCTTACCTGATGCTGGGAGCGGTAGGCTCCATCACGCCGGTGCAGCGAGCAAGTCGATGTTGTGTCAAGTGAATCCCGTAAGGTTGCTGTTTGATGTGAAGTTGAAGAACTGATATGGGCTGCGGCTCGGCAGTAGCCGTGTGCAACCCGGGATTTTCATGTGATCAAAAAAGGCCGCTCAAAACGTGACATACCTTGAAAGACTTTCCTCGATTGGCAGTACATACTTGCGTTTGTGTTATACCGCAGCTTATCCACCGTTCGTCTTTTAGTGCTTCCGCCGACCTTTGACCCGGCATTGCTTTGTACGCACCACGCCCTGCACCCGACCACATCTTCACAAGCTCATGTCTGCCACGCCATCGACCAGACCTATGATAATCTCCAGCCGGTCCAATTTTCCCTCCGCCTCGCCCACTTCTTCCCGCTCACGGAGCTCTCCAAACACTACCTCTAGTACGTGACGGATGCGAATACCGTCAGACTGCTGAATGCAGATTGCGTCTCCCACGATCTCTCCCAAGACTGCGAACTCATCTGCTCGGAAGAAGTCTTGAAAAGCTTCGCCCCCTGGAATGAACTCACGCGCCCTGATTCTGCGCCTCTTCGCTCGGTTCCTGTAGACAGTGAAAACGTCCACGTACCGAGCGCAAAAGCAGATCTCGATCTCTGTACAGGCAGTTTGCGAGATGAATTGGACCTCAACCCCACGTGAGAGCTCATATATGTATGACAGACCTCCCAAGTAAAACAGATTGCGCCAAATCTTTCTCATCTCGTTGCCGTGGAGGATTAAGGGGTTCATCTCGACAATCACCCGCGTTGCAGTACTCAATGCGGATTCGTCGCACTCGCTTTCGTCATGTTCGTCGCCATTCTCGCTCTCATCGTAATCGCGCTGTGCCTCGTCGCTATCGTCGACGTGGTTCTCCTGACCATCTTTCTCGGCGTAGGCAAGCTCGTCAAAATCGATGTGCCGGCTCACGGGTCTTGGAGTGTAGAACAGATTTCGCTGGAGCAGAAGCGATCCCGATATCGCCTTCCTCCATCCTTCACAGACCAGTTGAGCACGTGCAAGGTCTTTCATGGGCAAGCGGTCGAGTAGCGCCTCAGTGAGCTCAACGATGCCGAAGACTGCTTCCGTGGCCGATGGGTTGGATTCGGTTGCCGTGGCGGACTTTGAAGCCTCTCTACTCTTAGTTGTTAGCAAGCATTATTACAAGGACCTCGAACGATGCATACCTCGCATCTTTGTTGGTCAACTCCATGACGGTGGCACCATGAGCCAGGGTGATGTGGTTTTCGAGGTGAAGGTTGCAGCATGAAAATCATTGAAGCTGCGAGCCGCATATGATCGCAGTCCACCGAAAAGGGAAGGAACGGCGGGCTGGCCGGGTCATGACTCGTGCGGCAGCAGCGCTAGACAGACTCCGCTTCTTCGACTTCACCACAGCTTCCACCTCAGCGCCATTCCGGTGTTCATCCGCACATCAACGACAATGGCATCTTCACCGCTGTCAACGACTGCGTACGCCTCTGAACACTTCATGGAAGGTGCTGGTGCTGTCCTGTTTCGCCTCTCCGATCGCAAAATATGCCTCATCCAAGACCGTGCGACCGGTGAATGGCTGCTGGCGAGTGGACGCCGTAATATCGACGAGGAACGTCAAACAGCAGCACTGAGAGGGGTCTGGAGGAAGACAGGGTACTGCTGCCGAATGCTCCCTATCACGCTGAAGACCTGGGCACCGCTGTGCTATGACGAAGGTGAACTCGACGTGGTCGACGAAGCCAGAGAGGAAGCTGGGACTTGCGAGCCTTTCATGTTCCCCCACAGAACGTCAAGATCAGGAGCGTTCAAGATCACCTGGTGGTACGTCGCAGCGATGAACGAGCAGAACCCTGCGCCCGAGGATACGGAATTCGAGACTCGACTCTTCGACTTTGAGGGAGCGGCGCAAACATTGACGTACCAGTCAGACCGGGACGTCGTCCATAAAGCGATTGCAATCTTCCGGACCTCGTTCGCGGAGCTCCTGGGCGATGTGATCAGGTGGGCGCTGGACGACCAGTGGTGCCCTGGCGCCTACGCGCAGCAGTGAGAGTTGCTCGTATCTGCGCAGGGTCCGGCGGGTTTCGCTGTCGTGGCAAATCACACTTGACCAAGGAACGCAGCAGAGTGATATGCATTCGTCCGAGCAGCTTTCTACACCTATGCTGCTTGGTTCACAGACCAAATCTTTCTCATCTCCCCACTTTCATCGCATCAATCCGTCCAGTGCCCCGACTACTGAAGATGGCCATGATGCCGAACCCAACATAAAACAGCGCCAGCGGATACGCCACCAGCCCTCGCATATTCGTCATGCGTCCAACCACGCAGAACATCGCCGAGCTGGAGTACGTGCACCACGCGATTGACGTGCTCACTAAGCAGTAGCCAAGAAAGCTGTCGAGCGGCAACACCACACCTAGCAAGCTTGCGAAGACGAGAGGGAGCAAGCAGTAGCCGAGCACGGATGAGCTGCGTCCGAGCGTGAGGGTTGAAGAGAGGTTCGAGGAGCCGTGGTAATTATTGTGAGGGTTCGAGGCGGCGTTCATCTCTTCTTGAGACAGGGGTGGAGACATCATGCTGAAGACGAAGTTAAGGCTGAGGGCGCCGAGGGCAGCGAGACCACAGACGTAGCCGAACCAGAGTTTGCCGGACTGTCAAAGTATCAGCAGTAATTCAAGTGCAAAATCTCCCATCTGTCTTACAAGCAGCAAGAAGGTGCCGAACAGCGCACAGAACAGGAATGGCCCTGCCAGATCCGCATCATCCATGATGTGGTTGTCTATCCGTGCCATGGGGTTGAGTACTGTCAACGTCTATAATGGCTGTCGTCAGCACTTCATAATCCACATCCGCCTTCACCTCTCAGCATCACCTCCAACGTACCTTCGTCCAGATATGCTCAAAATTCACTCCCAGCTCCTCCAGTAACGGCGGCTCCCCCTCATATCCCTCCGTGCCAAACGCGGCCAACCAGCCTGTCCTCAAGCCTCCCTGCCCTGTACCCATCTGCCCCTGCACACCCGGCTGACCTGGAAATGCCCCAAACCCATAGTTTGCTGACCCGGCTCCATATTGTGACTGTGGGTACGCAGCAGAGGATGCTGGGTTCCCGTACGCGGCTTGGAAGGGTGTGGAGTGGCCGGAGACGGGCTGTTGTGAGTATGAGGATTGGTAGAAGTTGAGGTTGTTCTGGGCGGAGTAGGCCTGTTGGGCTGGGTTGGGTTGGTAGCCGTAGGAGGCCATTGTAGGGTGTGTTGGAGACTCGGTCAGGCTTAAGCGGGTGGTGTTGGGTTGTGGAGAGGTACGCGAGAGCAGACAAGGTCGAGAACGCTATGTGAAGGTGAATGAGGTTTGACAGAAGTTGTCATCTTCAGCAGGCGCAAGCTGTTTTCTTGAAGTCGGGATTTCTGGCCGCATGTGATTGGACAATTTCAGGGTCCACGACAGGAAGGTGCACGAGACGATCAGGCACGAGGGTGAGATACAAGCTGTATGTCTCGTAACAATCTAAGTGGCCTAAGTATACTGCTGAATCCATTTGTCTCGAGAGCCCATATATCCGAGCATGGCCGTTTGAAGTATGCCAACCACCCAAGCTCGGTGTCACGGAGCCCGGGTCCTCCAAGCAACAACAAGTTCTCTCCACATCGTAGCCTATACAGAATGACACCGGGAGGACAGCTGATGAGATACGAGACCATGGCCGTTGAAGCCGTATCCTTTCGTCCGAGCAGCAGTGCGGACTAGACATATCAATCAGCGTGACTCGACGTCGGCCAGCAGCTGCGAGTTTTGATCCATTGGAGACTCGAGATCCACAACGATCGGACGTTAGGAATGCTCTCATCCAGGACTGCATTTGGCTCCCCGGCAGCTGACTGCTGCAGATTTGGTGTCGCGAAGGGTGTTACATGTTAAGCACGACCGAGGGCATAGCAGCGACTTCGTAGTCCGTTCTTGGTGAATATGGTGCTGCTCAGGCTTCGGCCGATCCTGGCTCTGCCTCTTCCCTTGTGGGCGTCTTCTGGACCGTGAGCTCCGAGCCTAGAGGATGTTTGTGACCTAGTCGGACAAGATCAGTCCTCTTGAGGAGCTCACTCGCCGCCCAAGGGGGAGCATAAACGGGGCCAGGAAACGGCGAGGTTCTCTTTTACTTTTCCTTGTTCGCCATAGTGGAGTTCACCAGTTCTATAGCTCTCCTGACCACCTTACGATCCTCCTCGAACGTCAACTTCCGCAACGTCTCCTCGTAGCCGTTGAACTCCACACCGAACCTCTCGCTCTCGTGCTCTCCAACGGGCACTTCCTCGTTGATAGTCGCCACATACCACCAAATCAGCTTGATTCCACCCTCGACGCGCCTCGTCTGCATTGCCACTGGCTCAATAACATGCTTGTAGAATCGCGCCTCATCTGGAAACTCCTCATCTTCGACCGGCGGGCAAACGCGCGACAGCATATCCAAATGCATCAGATTGCACGAGAATTCAGTTTCTTCACGAGTCTCACGGAGAGCCGTTTGCTGCCGGGACTCTCCCAGGTTGCGGCGGCCTTCAGGCAGCACGTATTCGTCTTTCTCCAGCAGATGGAGGATGCATATCTCCTGCGTGGACAGCCGGAAGAGGATCGTGCCGGCGGTCTCGACGAAGTTTTCTGAGGTGAATGTTTCGGTCTCGAAGTGAGATTGGACCATCTCGGTGGATGGTGGGAGTGACTGCTCTGCAACCTGGAATACAAGATCTGAGCTAGAGGCAGACGCAAACGCAGGCTACTCGCTGGTAGGAAGGTTTTTCACCACTGGCGGAGGCAATCATGCATGTCTTGTCCTGCAATGCGCCCGGTGTCACAACTGTGCATTCCTGTGCGACAGGCATGAAGAATCCAGTCCAACTTCCGTTCGATTGGACGCCTGGTCATGCAAGCTAGCCCATGTTCCATATGCCTGTGCAAGCTCATGTAACACGCGGTTGATCCTACCATTCTCGATTGGGCACAACGACCATGCCGCTAGCGGATGTTGCATATGACTGTGCATCTGACCTCGCAGGCCACCCTGAATTGAGTAGTGATACAGTAGCATATGTACACTCTATTCCCATCCACTATAAGAACGTCAACCCCACCCCGAAGCTCACACCCTTCCTCCCCTCCTCTCCTTTCCGTAGCACAAGCGGTAGGCTGAAATTGACCTCGAACCTCGCCGCCGGATGCGCGTACACGAGACCAAAGCCCGCCGAACAGCTTGGCAGTCCGTTCGATAGCTCTGTGACGGTCTTCATCACGCTGTCTGCCACTTGCCCCGAGTTCATGGGTTGCTCGCGGGAATCGCTTGGTCGAGTGTCGCGGAGTCCGAGTAACCGGCCTGCGTTGACGAATGTTTGGAAACGGAGAGGACTGTCTTTGCCGGTTCGTGGGAGCGGGAAGAGAATTGAAGCGCCGCCAGCTGCGTATACATCACCACCCACAGCATCCTGGCCGTCACGAGGCCCAAGGCCGGATAGGCGGAAGCCGCGGACGTCCGTTGGACCACCCAGCTGGAAGCGGTCGTTCAGTCTGCTCTGTGAGGGAGCTTCTTGGCCAGATAGCGTGAGAGGGTAAAGCAAGCCTCCACGGAGACCTGCGGTGAAGGAAATGCCGGTGTCGCCCTTCACGCCAGGTATGGGAATAGGCACTGCCCCTTGTGAGTCGAACTCAAGCTTGCCGAAAGCTACGTCGCCTCCCAATGGTCCAAGCCCAGCAAGCTCTGAAGTCGTCTTGAAGAGGTAGCCTCTGCTGGGTAGCATTGGCATATCTCGGGTGTCATTCGTCCAGGTGTGGGTGAGACTTGACTTGAAGCTGTCTCCTGCATCCGCTCGCACAGTTGGGCTCGCTTTCTCAGCAAGACCGGTGAGTTGTCGCCAGAAGCCAGTGTATGAAAAGTCATGTCTGTGCCCGGGACTTGTCTGCCACAGTAGTCGCGTGCTCCCGCCTTTTAGCACCTCTTCATGCGACGCCCACGGCTTGAGCGTACTGCTCGCTTGACCGCCAATCTCCCACCGTAGGTCTGGATTTGAGAGTATAGGTGTGTCAAAGTAGGCGTTGTAAGAGCTTCGCGTCCTCGTGCCCAGACTAGCATTCGCGTTCAAGCTCTCTGCACCACCAAACAAGTTCCGCAGCACCACATTCAAGTAGGCGCTCCCTTCGAGTGTCCCAGCCTCCGTACCCGTCTTGACCGTATACCTGCCCCTTTCCTTCACGCTGACAAAGACATTGTGATCGGTGGGCGTGCTCGAGGCATCCGTCTGGTCCGGCCTGTCGATGTACGTTGAGATGGGCTGCTGGAAGATGTTCAGCCGGTCGAGCTTGTTGACGGCAGTCTGGATCTCTGCCAGCGCCTCTCGGAGGGTATAGGGCTCCGCATCAGGCCGATTGTGGGACAAGACAGGCTGAAAGATCTTCTCGAGAAAGGCACTCCGCGTATTGTAGGCATTCAGCACTCGGACGGAGGAGATGGTGATTGGCTTGGTAGAGTTGAGGGTGACCAGGTCGGCTTGCCGTTGCTGCGCCTTCTCGAATTGGGAGTGTATGCGCTCGTTGACCTTTCTGTCGCGTCGTTCGAGTTCGGCGGGATCGATGGGCTTTCGGAGCTGAGAGAAAACCTGTTGCTGTTAGCTAGTTGCCAATACTGGCTTGTATGGTATACGCACATCCTCGTCCAACGGCGACGACGACGGGGCCGCCATCTTCCAATTGCGCCGAGACGTGACGTTGTTGTTGATCTGCTTTGCTGAGCTCGAACAAAGCCATTGGAAAGTGTTTTGCGGGATATGTCAGACTGCGCGTATATTTGAGCACACCAGTGGCTCAGTTCCACGTCGACCTCAACCCCATCCATCTTCCCCTATACATCATGTATACCATCACCTGAAGCTGCGTGTGGCGCCATCATCACTGCTTGCGATCATTCAAGAGCCCGTGTTCCTTTCCTGAGCCCTACTCATCTCCACGTGGTGTCCAGTCGAAGAGACATACTCGCCTTGGCCAGCACCACCTCATCCGGCCTCAACCCACGGAGTCTGAATCATTTGTCACAGTCCGAGGTCCCAAAGTCGTTCTGACCGACTAGGGCATAGGATATCGACGATATGGCCTTTTCTTAAAGTACCTGGAAGTTGCCGGCTAGTGCTCACAATTCCTTTGTTCGACTCCACCGCATGAGGCATGCGTTGAAGAAGACGCTGCAAACGGCCAGCTCACAATGAACAATCTGTACCGACGACAGGGTTGGCCCCCTCTCAGCTCGCTACCGAGAGGCGAACCGTTCGCATGAACCATGTGCAAGCACCCAATGCAGCCGAGTAGATGTCGACGAGACCGCAAGCGCGAAAGAATGTTGCCGGTATAGTTGTGGCCTCGAACGCCTCCGCCGTCACCTCTGAGACAGCTGTTGAAGCAATCTTTAACAATGAGGGCGGAGGTGAGGACCGACAGTGCTATAGAGTAAGTGCTTCCCGTGCCGTCTGTTCTACAATCTCGCCTTTCTTTGCCTTTCACCCATACAATATCATTGCGCGTACGTATTGCGATCTCGTCCAACCGCTGCTCTGGAGACCGAGGTCTAGAACACTGCAATCTCGTACCCACTGGAGAGCGAGACGCAAAGGATGTCGAGCACCAACAGTGCCAACAGGCTACACTGGACACAGCGCATTGCGTTAGTACGACACAACCTGCACGCTGCCAGCCGGAGCGGTGACTTCCACTTCTTCAAGAACCTACAAGCTGCTGGTCTCATTGAAGGCGTAAACCACATCGCAACTCTAGCAGAAGAGCTCGGCGATGATGCAGACCTAGTCTCGATCGCACTTGATAACCTGAACGCAGGCCTTGCCTATGTGCACCAGGACGCCTTCAAGAATGCCTACGAGAACTTCAAGAGCGACACTCGTGGTTCAGACGACGGCAAAGACTCCGATCGATCAAAGGTATACGTCGACATCACCATGCAGAAGAACATGGCCGATATGGCAATTGATAAGATGACTTCATCTGCAATTGCGCTCATCAACCAGCAGCCGGAGAACGCACAAGACGCTGCTGCAAATGCGTGGATCACTGGGACTACAATAATCGCCGACTGCATGGAAGTTGCTTTACTGCAGATGGATATGCTAGACGCAAAGCTCGACGACTTCATCCGTATGGAGGACAGCTGGAACACCGTCCGAGCGTCAGTCGTCTGCGCCGTAACTGGATTGAAAGGCGTCTTCCGTCTCATGGACCAGAGCAGCCCACAAAACTCGCAGAAGCCATCACCACGTAACTCAAGCGTCGCCAGCGCGAGCAGTGCCGTCTTCCGCCGCCTGTCCAACGCCTTCGCGTCTGGTCCACCGTCCAACCACAGCCGCCAATCGAGCGTTGCAAGCGCTAGCGCGACCATGCGGAGTCCCTCCATCAGCTCTACTGGGCCGGTTTACCGCACGCCAAATTACGTCAGGAACAGTGTGAGCGCTGGCTGCCCTACTTCTCTCCCCTTCCACGTTGATTTGGAGAGGAAGAAGCTCAGCATGATACCACCTACACCAGCTGTAGACGATCAGGCTGATCCGTTTGACACGAGCGTACCGCCGTTACCGCAGATGCCGGCGATCGAGGCGTTGCCACCGATGCCTGCGCCAGTGGCTGTGAGTGTGGATGAGAGGACGATGGGACAGGCTGTGTGAATTGATCTAGTGTATAAGAGGCCTGGTTTGGGTGTGCAACGATAGTGTGAAACAAACTTCAATGATGTTTGACTTAATGGCTGTATATAGCAGAGAAACGAACAGTAAATAATATTTGCTCTCTTCGCCAAATTCACCTCGAAGCATGTAATCGTTCGCATGGGAATTTGACCTCACTTCATCCAACGCCATCTGTAATCACACTTGTTCCCACGTGTTCCAGCAAAACCACGAACAGCATCTTCAATCGCAGCCATCATGTCAATATCGATACGAGATTACATACGTTGGGGCTCCGAAGAAGCCAGCGAGCCCACCACTACACTCGTTCTCACCTCACCCGAACGACGCTTCGTCGACATCCGGGTATTGAAAGCCAAAGACAACGACGAAGCGCAGTCACAAGACACAATCGGAGGTACCTAACGCCCCCATCCAACTCCAGAACACTGTACTGACACCTCTCCAGCCGACCTCCTCCCTTTCACCCGCCTCGACTGGGCCTTCGCCGGCACCTCAGAGTCCGAAGTCCGCCTCACCGCTGCGAAATCCAGCGCTCAGGAAGCCTCCGGCCACGTCCACTCGAAATGGCATCACTGGATCTCCTCTCGCACAAGGAACGTCGACGGCATCGTAGACGAAGGCGACATGTTCCCGCAACCCGACGGCCGCACGCTGGAAACAGGAAGCATGGTGAATCCGGCTAGCGGGAAGGTGGAGGCGTATGAGGAGATGTGGGCGGATCCGGAGCCTACTGGTGCTGGGGAGGAGGGGAAGGTGTGTAAGGTGTTGATTTTGCGTGATGAGGCGCACGAGGCGAGAGGGATGGTTGTGAGGGTGGGGCAGTTTTGTCAAGGTGTGCTGAGGATTGGGGAGGCTTTTGCGTTGGAGAGGTGGGGTTGGAGGGAGCATGGGGGTTGGAGGAGGGAGGTGAGGATGGGGGACTTGTGGTTGCCTTGTGGTGTGCCTTGCGATGGGGAGAGGGTGAAGTTGGGTGGGGAGGTGAAGTATGGGGATCACGTTTGGAAGTGTGTTGAGTTGGCTGAGCTGTGAGTGGAGTCGGGACGACGTGGTCTGGGGACTTGGATGATTCATGAAGGATGATCGGGATATGATGACAAGGAGGTTTGGGCATGCTCATTTTGTTGAAGGACATGAAGCGAGTCTGCGCTTGTGCCCTATACATTTCGTGGTGGCTTCTATCTTGAATGCACTCGACGAGCGTCTCAGTGCTTTGCACCACTCTCAAAGTCCTTCCAGGTAGATCAGCCAAGGTCGCTCTCGCACGTCGAGCTCTTCTGTAAGTGATGCTATGTGCTTCGTTTTATTCGTCCACATCACTGCATTCAAGGCCAGTACACAATGGCCGAAGCAGCATCTGCTTGTCCGCGGTCTGTTAATGCTGGAGTACGCTAACTGGCCAATGCGGGAGTCGAAGGATCGGATGTATGAGTGGCCCAGGTGGAAGAGGCAAGTGCAGGGTTCTGCTTGACCGAGTTGGATCTCAGCAGCCCCCTCCTTTCATGGCGCCGGCGCAGGCAGTACACCCACCTCCCCGACCCCAGCCATGGCCTCATCAAAGTCCACTCCATTCTGCGCAAACACCTCTGCCACTCTGACCTTGATCCTCTCCTGCGTCTCTGCCGTAACGCTCCCGTCCTTCTGCCTCTCCTCTTCAACAATCTCCTGCCACTTCCAGAATAAGCTCTCCTTGCCCATCTTCAGTAGCAATTCCCTAAAAGCCATCATCCGCTTCCGCTGCTCCTCCACCGCATCTCCTGGCGTTCCGAAGCTGTAAGTCAACCACCCGCCCCCCTCGCTGTGCACGAGCACCACCCGATCGAGATCGTCCCACTTCACCTTCCCTTCCTTCACGAGTATGTGCGCGTCCTGCATCAGGCCAAAGTCCAGATCGAAGTTCGCACCCATCATCAGGTATCCCGTCTTTTCCATCACATCCCGCTCGATCGCTGGCAGTATTCGAGTCTGCCAGTACGGACTCCGGTCTCCAACGTTCTTTCCCCGCAACAGCTCTTCCGATCCCCAGCCTCTGCTTGCCCTGATCACCACCTCTTGCCGTTGGAATGGCACCTGCCAGCGCCAAGTGACTGGGTTCGCAGGTTGCTCAGCGAAAAAGGTCAAAGGCCACGGCACAACGAACTGCACGAGTGCGTAGTCGCAGCCGAACATTGCGACCCGACGTGCTAAGATCCAGAGCTGCTGTTGGCGTGTCGTTGACGTCGGATCGACAGTTTCGCTTGTCACGTAGCCGAGGAGGGTTTCTACCAGGGTGAAGTACTTCGGTATAGCGGCGTATAGTCTCCAGAGTAGAAGCGCGGCTATTGTGGTGTTCACTACGATAGCAAAGACGTAGATCTGCTTCTTGTACTCAGCTCGATGGCGGTCGATGTGGGTGATGTAGACCTGGGCTGGGTTGAGCTGAGGGAGGAGCGGTTCGAGGGAGGGCGGGGCCTTGGAGAATGGTGAGGGATACTGTGAGCCTGCCGTCTGCTTCGCCGCAGCCTTTGCGCGTTTCGAGGCCATGGTCGGAGTGTAGTGGTAGAAAGTCTGGACAGGCAAAGAGGAGAGGTGAAGAAATGCCTGTGGAAGCACAATCCCTACCGTCTTCACGGCTTCGACTGGTTCACCGTGTCATGTCTGCCTACAGCAAGTGGACCGGTGCACACACCAGATACTCGTCTTGCGGTGGGTGTAAAAGGACGTAGATGGTGAAGGGAAGTGAAAAAGGGCCATCGTGCTTACGTAACATCGAGACATGGCCTTTTCTTGTCCAGATCACAGCATCTCGCGCATCTCCTCAGTCACTCTCCTCAGTGCTCTGCCTATATGGCGGGATATCAGCACATCTTCAGGTGCCTGGCGAATGGCTACAGGTGAAGGCTCAATGAAGTGGAAGGCCACGCACCTCCCGTCCCTTCTTTGGGCGTCTAACCATGGCAGCCAGACCTGCAACGACATGCAAAGACCACAGTAAACCCGAAGGAAGCCACGATTTGGCCATCAACAACACTCCTCTGCGTCGGCTGTTCACCAGACTGGCCGAAGAGACGGTCGGACGTCTCTACAAATCCGATGGCCTCTGCACCCCCATCTCCAGAAACAAGATCATCAAGACAGGCCACCGAGTCCGCCTGACAGAAGCAGCAACTATCAAGTTCGTCGGTGAAAACACCACCCTCCCCGTGCCCAAGGTGTACTGCTCCTTCGTCCGCAAGGGCCAAGCTACATCCTCATGGAGCGCATTCGCGGTGAAGAGATCCCTGCCGCGTGGAAACGACTAGGCGAAGACGGTCGTCGAAAGATTTTCTCTCAGTTGAAAGCCATGTTTGAGGAACTACGATCATTGAAACCACCTCCAGGCACAGGAGCAGAGAGTTGCGTGGGCGGGAGGGGGTACGATTGCCGCATCCCTCGCTGTCCACAATTTGGACCATTCAAAACGATCCAGGACTTCCACTTCTGGCTCCGAGAGGGCTTCAATCTGACAGACCAGCCAAAACCTGATAACCTAGATGAAACCGAATGGGCGGACCTCGAGAAGACGGTCGCGATGCATGAAGGCCCCTTCCCTCCTCCGGTGTTCACACACGGCGACCTGAACCCTTTCAACATCCTGGTCCGTGGTGATGAAGTTGTCGGTATCGTTGATCGGGAGTTTGGCGGGTGGTACCCGCATTACTGGGAGTATACTTCAGCTTGGTACGGGAATTTGTGGAGGAGTGAATGGCAGGGTCTTGTCGACCAGTTCCTTGAGACTTTCCCTGCGGAGCTGGAAATGGAGATCACTAGGAACAAGTGGTGGGGAGAGTGGTGAGAGACTGCTGCTGTTGCGGCCGCATTGTAATGATCATTCTCGAGCTACGTACTCTTCACACGCGTAACCCCTGACTCTTTTGCATTATCCGTGCCCATAGCCCTGCGATATCCCATGACACCATGTACCAAACTCCGTTCAGAGATGAGTAGTGTTCTTTCTCAATAGTACAAGTCAAGTAAAGACTCAGCTATGTAAACCTCATAGCTCGTCTCAACTCGCTCTTCAGCAGCGTCATTATTTTCACTGCTCCTTCATCCTTTGCGCCCAGTCTCATAGCCGGGCCGGCAAGCGACCTCGTAGCAAGATCAGTGCGCCCCATAGTTCGAGCCCCAGCCCCCACCACGATACTGCGCGCCATAAGTCTGCCCGAACCCACTGCTGCCGTAACTCCCATACCCTCCCTGTCCAGCCATCTGGTTCTGTCCTGCGTGCTGACCCTGTCCACCCAAGCCACCAAGACTGCCGTACTGACTCTGCCCTGCGAAGCCTTGGTATCCGCCGAATCCACCACTCTGCTGCTGCTGGGGCGGCGGGAGACCAGACTGCGAGACACCCGCGACGCTGTTGGCGGCGGAGCCCGGTCTGACGCCCGGTTGGCCCAGTGCGGGCGACGGACCGCCCTTGTTCGCATCGGCGTATGGCTTGAGTGAGTCCTCAGGGCCGGCCATGCTCTGCTGCTGCTGACCGTAACCGCTCTGCTGACCGCCGAAGCCCGAGGCGGAGCGCCCAAAGGCATCGTTCATGCCGCCGAAGCCAGAGCTTTGCTGATGATGAGACTGTGCGGAAGAGCGTCCGTAGTCTTCGAGACCGCCGAGGCCGGAAGACATGCCGCTGGCACTGCGCATGTTGCTCTGCTGGTTCTGGCCAAAGGCGCCGGCGTTGGCTGGAGAGGCAGAGTGCTGGTCGTAGGAGGACTGTGGACCCATTCCGTAGCCGTGCGATTGACCGTACATGCCGCCTTGCTTCGCCGGGTAGCCGCCGTTGTTACCGCCGCCGTAGCCGCCGAGCTGGTTGCCGTATCCGTATTGGTTCTGGTAGGCCGCCGCATACGGGCTGGTGTAGTATGGGTGGCCGTACGGGTAGCCTTGGGAATTGTACGCGCTCTGCTGCTGGTGGCTTGGAGCTTGGTGAACACCTTGCTGAGTTTGATGTACGCTTGGGGCACTGTGCTGCGAGCCACCCATGAGCGGGTTCGGCGTGTTGTTGCCAGAGCCTGGAGCTTCGGCGAAACGAGACTGTGCCTGTTGTGAAGGTACGTTAGATGGGAATGGCTTGGTATGATACAGTGAAGGAGATGCGCGTGGGAAGTTGGTTACGTCTGTCACCGACGGAGCTGGAGCCGGCACATTTCTGTAGAGGGGAGATCCATGCGCTTTCTTGCTACCACCACTTCCACGTGAAGTTGGTGGAACGCCATACGTCGCTTGAGCCCCAGTGGGCTGTGACGGCAAGCTGGCCCCAATGCGCTGAATCTGCTCAAACAGAAATTGCCTCTCGTTCGCGTCGTTGCAGCGTTCGAAAGCATCGTTCAGTTCCAGAAGGGATGTGGGTATACTGACCTGTTGCTGCGATTGGGCCGCGAAAGCAGACTCAGTCGGGCCGGCACCGAAGCCGCTCGTCGAGCGCTGCTGAGCTTGTCCGGCGTCTTGTTGACCCTGGCTTGCGTGGCTGCGTGCATCTTGTGGGCCGTAGCCGCTGCCGTAGTAGTTGTCGTAAGCGGAGCGATGCTGATTCGAGGTGTAGTACTGCGACATGTCGTTCGGAGCGGACGACATCCCTCCAAAGCCAGAGTGACTCTGTGGGAGTTGTTGCTGAGACTGGTGAGCAGATGTGCCATACGGATCGTAGTGACTCGGTTGTGCTTGGTGGCTGAACGGATCGTACTGCTTCTGTTGTTGAGGAGCGGTATCCTGCTGCAGAGCCTGCTGTCCGTACCGACCGTACTGGTTGTAGCTCTGGTTCATCTGCGGTGGCTCATTGTGCAGACTCGAAGGCATGGCCGCCTCTTGCATCTGCTGCTGGTTGAGCTGCGACGCCGGAGGGAGACCTGGGGCTTGCTTTGGAGTGGGCAAGCTCTCAGCAGGGGCAGGCTCTTGCGCTGCAGGGGCCTGACGGGGCGCGGGTGGCAAGGAAGCTCTTGGCTGAGATGGTGGTGAGTGTTGCGGTGCTTGGCGAGTCTCCGGCTCCTCCCTGTCTTCGTCGACGTCCGGACCGGGCTCCCCGTTCAGCCCCATGCTACCGAACTGAACTGTGGCTCGGTCGACTGCATTGTGTCCTGGCATAACGACCGCTTCTTGCTGCTCTTGCACCCTGCGCTGGTAACTGGCGCTCCTCCCTGGCACTCCCGTCGCACGGTAAGCGCTTGTTGCGTAGCCACCCATTGGTGGACGGCCAATAGGAGCTTGCTGGCCCGGCATCGGCGTGAGGTTGCGAGGATCGATCGAACCTGCCGTGCTGGCTGCCGTCGCGGTCGATGGCGGATGAGAGTCATCGGGGATGTGCTCGACGTTCTCTTCTGTGAGAGGTGCCTTTGGCGGTGCATCGGTGAGATCTTGACCTTGTGTGGCACTTGGTGGCTGCTCAGGTGTGGCCGCCTCGACGGATGGTGTGGGTTCTGGAGTGGGCTCTTGAATGACCGGAGCGGGCGGCAGCTCATCACTCTTCGTCGCTTCCTGAGCTTGCGAATCTGCTGGTGGTACTGCTCCTGACGCGACCAACTCAGCTGGCGGGGGTTGCTGCGGAGCTTTCTTCGCCGCCGGTGGAGCTGGCTTTGGCGCAAACATGCTAGCCCAGCTCTTCTTCGGACCGCCTTCGGGAATCAGAGTACTCTTGGCGCCCTCAGAAGCTGCCGCCGGAGTGGCTTCCGCCGTGACAACGTTTCCCCAAGCACTTTGTCCTGCGTCGCCAGCTGCCTTGCTCGCATCCGCAGTGCTGTCATCCCAGTTGGATGTTGGTGCTGCATTGGTTGTAGTCGAATCATCCCACGCCGAAGACTCTGTCGTCGGCACCGAAGCTGCTGCTGCATCCTTCGCTGTGCCATTTGTGGTCGTGTGACCTCCGCGCCCGCCTCTGAAGCCACCTCTGCCGCGATCAGAGGCACGCCCGCGCGCACCACGAACGCTGTCGGTGCCACCTCTTCCGCGACCACCACGAGCAGCGGCCTTGTCGGTCGTGCCTGCCGCAGCCGGAGCTTCCTTGACCTTGGAGCGAGCTCGGTCTTTGGCGCTCTTGACTTCGGCAAACTGTGACACGTTGCCTTGAGTGATTTTGTCGACGGTGCTTGGGATGTCGCCGTCGGCTTCTTGTAGAGCGAACACCAGGTCGACGTCGGTCCAGTCGGGGAACATGTCCTTCAGCATGCTCAATTCGGAGGCATACTTCTTCTTCATTTCACCGAGTTCACCCTGATCTTCGAGTGACTCTTCAGCGGCGAATGTGTCGGCGGTGGTACCGTTGGCGGGCTTTCTGCTGCCGCCGCGAGGCCCACCTCTGCCAGCACCGGCTCTGCCGCCACGGTGTGAGCTCCTGCCCCTGTTGGCCGGAGGTCTCGAGTCGACTTCCGACATTGTGATTGTGAGTTGTGGTCGGTATGGTATACCGGTGGTGTGAGTGAGGTGTTGGCTGCTGGGTAGCACAGCAAGCTCTGGTGAGGTCGAAGCAATCAGGCAGGGGAAAGCGGACTGCGCGCCTTGAGGACGTCGCGGAGATGGTCAGGTGATTCGGATGCTGCGATGGCAGCAGGGCAGTGATCTCGGTGACCAATGCAAAGTGAGTCTGGGTGGTGTGTGTCGTGAGGGAGGAGGTTGGCAGGAAGGAAAGTGGAAGGTGACGACTGTTGCATTGCACAAACGTCCAGTGGAACGCGCCGCCATTTCGCCAAGACTCTCGCAAGCTCCGACCTTAGCGCCAACTCTAAGACCGAACCTTAGATCGACCTCTATCAACATCACCACCTCCATCACAAACTCCATCGCGCGTGGAATATATCCACTTCGAGCAGCAATGGCGATGTGGTCGCAATCACTATGTTCGCTCGGCATACTCCGACCAGAATGAGAAGCTCCGGTGTGGTGCAGAGCCTGAAGTCATGGGCCTCCAAGCTTCATCCCCAGCTGCCGTTGAACGCAAAGGAGTCTCAACGACTGTTGACCGCCTTGACGAGCTCGTTCCGGCAGCAGCTGGATCAAGCACATCCAATTCGAAGCGCTCGTAAAGAAGAGAAACCTACGAAGAAGGAACAGGCTGTTCCAAATATTGGCCATCGCGATCTGCACGCTTCATCCGCAGACTCAGCCGACCGACATCTGACCTCGATCTTGACGAACCCACTGCTGGCCAAGTCTTATGGGACAACAAAGCCTATCAGAGACTATGCAGCCGCCCAGGAGTCCTTCTTACGGGAGCCTTTTCAGGATACGGTCACACTTCTGGAAGAATACCAGGAACACGGAGCAGCCACCGTTCCGATAGCTGCTTTATGCCTGGAGAAGTACATTTCTCAGCTCGATATGCTGTCCGACCCTGATCGCGCCAAGGTCGTGAGCGAAAGGCAGGCTGGCGCTCGGACGCTCAGGTGGCTGTGGAAAAGTGGGCTGCATGACAGTGAGGCGTTTGTCGACGACACCCGCCTGGCGGACGTCTTGCTCCCGTGCCTTGTGGAGGAAGACCACGAAGACATAGTTTGGAAGTGGCTCGTTCAGGACATCAGACTTGGACCGCAAGACGACAGTCATTACGACATTCTCAGAAAGAAAAAGCTGTATTGGTATAGATGGAAAGGGCGGCTGCTTCGTAGCATGATCTCAGCCATACTCGATCAACAATGTCGCCCGACAAAATCTTGCGATGCTGCTCTCGACGCAATCTTTCGCGCTGAGAGTGTCCAGGCAAACATATCCCTTGTTCCCACAATGGTGATACTGAAAAAGGTCTTTCGGGACCGGACTAATCCGTTTCGGTATACGGACTGTGCGAAATTCGATCGGTTTTTGCGTATGGGGACAGCTGGCGGAGGGGACAATATCTACGCCGTACACTGGATGGCTACTCTGAAGCAGTATCATCCCACACAGCCGTCCGGACAGCCCTACCTGGATATGATTCGAGAGATGCTCTCTGAGCATCGAAGCGTTCACGACTTTTCCGACGTTTTCCTGACACAAATGAGAACGACTAAGCATGATACTGCTCGGCGAGAATTTTACACCAGACTCCTGCGAACAGCGGCTCTGCTTGAGGTGGAAGGGTTGCATTCCGACGCCAAGTGGATAGCTAGTCTCGCCTCGGAGTGGTACCCGGAGTGGGATCCGTGGACTGAACACAACCTGCAAAGAGAACGACGAAGTCTGTCGAACTGGGACTCCGTGCGCACTGATGGTCGATCGCTTTCCAACCAAGAGCCGGAAGAATCTAAAGCCACCCATCAACCCGTCCCATTTCCTACTTTCGTTTGAGGAACAAAATCCGCTTCCTCGCTCACGAAAACAATTCAGGCGCAAGTGACGAATATGATGGAGGGTAGCCACCCGACGGTTCATGAAGAAAAGCTGTTGAGAAACGCTCCGCTGCGACGCCTAAAAGTGACGGTCCTTGCGGATTTTGGAGACGCCAGTTCAGCGGACTGAGGGGAGAGCTTTGCGGAAATAGACGAACAGATTGTCGTTGAACTACTTGCAGATAGTCCGCATCACGGTGACCATGGAGGCAGTGCAACAGCAGCACAGCTGTTTCCATACTGATCTCAAGTTGCGAGGTCTTCTATCCTCAATAGCCCGTCGCCCATACCGGCGGCCGCCCACCCTCCAGCTTCGATATTGGGATTCCACGCAAGAGCCGACACCGCGCTCTTCTCCTCAAACACCGTCATGGGTAACGGACCGGCATTCGTCTCTTGCTCAACACGCCCTTCTTTCGATATCACATCGCGATCGATTTTGAACCCCTCGGCAATCCTGGAGAGTCCATTCGAGCCGACCCTTCCCCGACTCGCTGCAGCACCGCCCTCCACGCCATCCATCACCTCACCATTCCCGCCTACACTATCAACCTCATCCCCCCTCGCCGGCCGCCACTCGTGCGCAAACCAGACCAACTGCAAACCAAAGCTGTTCGACTCCCACACCCCCGTCACCGCATTCACAGCGCTCACCGCCCCGCTTGCCGACCCCACCAGCATGTACGGATGACACGCGCTCACCGCCAAAGCCGTCGCCGTGCCTTTGACTCTCGCCAACGCAGTCGACGTGAAGACTCTTCGGATCGGCGACCCACGCACGAAGTTGTTATCTTCGACATGTACGGCGATCTGAAGGTGATCGTGCCATGCTAGTCTGGAGTAGACTATGCGGGTGCGGAGTCCTGGGGCATTCGAGGCCGGGGATCCTGGAGGCCGAGAAAGGTCGGTTAAATGCAGTTGACCGGACATGGAGTATGTGAGGATGAAATTGGGGCGGGAAGGGTAGCAAGATGTGACGGAGAGGATGTAGGTGGTTGCGATTGAGGTGTAGATCTCGGGGCGAGCGTTGGAGGAAGCGGTGGGCTGTGTGGCGTGAGGGAGGGACCAGATGGCGACGAAGCCGTTCGCGCAGCCTGCGGCTATCCGGGTGCTGCTTAGCCAGGACAAACAGGTGCACACGGTGTCCGGTGGACGGGAAGAGAAGGCAGCGTTGGTAATGTGGAGGTAGGCTGTGGTGGAGGTCAATGGAACGTTGTTCAGGCGGAGGACGCGGATGGAGCCGTCTGACCAGATGCCCACGAGAAGACCCAAGTCGACGGTGTCATTGGAGGACGGAGGGTTGGCGGTCGGGCTCGGACAAAACTTCAGCTCTTTGATGTCGCCCCAGTCCGTGCATAGCACAGCCGTCAAATGACAACCAGCTGCTGTATCCACAGTCCCGCTCTCCTGCCGTCCGAATGCCCAGATCTGAATGCTGCTCTTCGCCCGCGTCTGAGAAGAGAATGCTGGCGCCTCTGATTCTTCGTCTGATGGCTGAGTTGTTGGTCTCTCCGACAACACCGAGACAGCAAGATACTGGTACTGGCCATGCTGATGAGGTGCCCACGCCAGACAGTTGACCCGACCTCCAGCATTGAGCATGAAGCCATTTTTGTAGTTCGTTGGCCTCTTCTGCATTCGAGCCGCATCCTCCTTCCAAGCTTCTCGCAGCGGCATACTCCCACCGACCGAGAGCTCGTATCGCTGCGGAGCCATGAAAGGGCCCATCAGAAAAGCCGCTTTCTCACCTCGCAAGTACTCTCTTCCCTTGCTCTCCCCAGTCTCCTCCCACCTCTGCCCAGCAAAACACGCCTCAAGGCCCCCGCACCCCTCCCACAACCCCGCTTCCTCCTTCTCCCTCCTCCCCATCCCCGCCTCATCAACATAGCCACTCCTACCCATCGCGCTCCTTTTCGGCAGCACCCTCTCATCCATCCCCCACTTCTCCCTCGCCGCATACGCCGGCTTCGCATCCTCCATCTCCCCACCGTAGAAGATCCGCCGCCTCCCTTCGTTGCTATGGCTGGCCTTGTTCAGCACGGAGGAGGTTCCGCGAGTATGAGTTACAGGCCCAGAGGGAGTGGCATACTGCGGCATGCGGGTGCGCCGGCGTACGCCTTTGTTGCTGTGGACTTTGGATGGAGTGGCCGGGATATTGGATTCGCGGAATGGGCGCGGCTCGTCGTCAATGTCAGCGATGGAAATGTCGTCGGCGAGCAGTCGATCTCCGGCATCGCTGGCCATGTCATTGCCGTCCTCTGAGACGCCTTCGCCGCCGTCGGATGCCGAGGAAGAAGCGGATGATGGGGAAGGCGGTTGAGCGGCGGCGGAGAAGTCTTCAGCCGAGTCCTCTTCCATGTCGACATCCTCGAGACCAGGCTCCTCGGAACTTGAGCGGGCATCTTCGAGTTCGGCGATGCCTTCGAAGGCGTCGACGGTGTATCTTCTGCGAGGGGTGGACTTGTGGGCTGAGCGGCGTTCCATGTTGGATGGTTGTAGCTCGATAACTAAATCTAAAAGGAGAGGCCGACTTAGCTGGTGAAAGTACAGAGACTTGTACTGGCGCTTTCGCCTGAACTTTGAGACACGAATTTTGCTTTGATTCAGCACAAGAACTTCAGCGGCCGTTGCAGCTGAGAAGCGACCTCAATCCTCCGGCCTGCGAACCTGTTGTTGTCGTGATGACCCTTGGCTATCTGCTTTGCTTGTCAGGTGTAGCTGCTTTCGTACACAAGTACGGTGTCCATGGAAGAGCGGTGTTTACAAGGTGACCGTATCTAGCAGCAAGATACATGTATGTAAAGAAATGGAACAGATCTATGAAATAAACGTGGAGCAAGCGAGGTGAAGTCAAGCGGGAGCACCCGCGCGTGGTGATCGAATCTCGAGGCTATATCAACGTCGTCTCCTACAATCCAACCATGCCTTACCACACATCTGCCCTCACAAGCCGCTCGCGGCGCCACGCCATCAAAAATGGCTTCCACGGCGTCGCAGCGCGCTCTCGACTATCTCGAAGGCCTTCCGGGCACCACCTTCACCCGCCTCTATCAGCAGCCATCAACCGCGCTGGCTATCTTCCGCCGCATGCTACCACACCTGGCTAAGACGATAGTGATGGCGATGCTTTATATGCCAGAGCCATTGACGGCAAATAGTCTCGATGCGTGGGTGAAGCCAGATGCGGACAGTGTGGGTGTAAAAGATCGCGCACTGAGTATTCTGCAACGGTTGCGAATACTGGAGGAAGAGGGCAGGGCATACAAGCTGGCTGCGGCGTTTGCAAAGAGCTTGCGGATGGCTTTGACTGGTGGTGGGAACCACAGAAGCTTTGGTGTGCCCTGCTCAACACCGGATGAGAAGCCGGTGAGCGTGGACTACCTAGACACCTTCGCGCGGAAGCAGTGGGAGTCTATCCTTTACTACGTCGTGGGGTCGGCAAACACCGAGCTGGCGGCGGCAGAGGATATCAGTGCGGGTACGAAGCAACTATTGCAGAAGGGCAGCTTTGTCACGATCCGAGGGCGAGCGGCAACAATCACAGATACTGGCTTTACCTTTCTGCTGCAAGAAGTCAATGCACAGATATGGACATTGCTAATTGTGTACTTGGAAGTCTCAAGCGAGGTGAGTAGAGATTGATGCGAATGTACTCCCTCGACTGACAGGAGTGCCCAGCTTCAAATGGACCCGGTAGACGTCCTTTCCTTCCTCTTCACCCTGGGATCCCTCGAACTTGGCACCAGCTACGCCACCACGAATCTAACACCCACTCAACAACAAATGCTCGACGATCTTACAGATTTCGGCCTGGTCTACCGCCGCACCCCAGACAGCACCCGATACTATCCCACTCGCCTTGCGACCACTCTCACCTCGGACGCACCGGCTCTGCCCAATAGCAGCCTCAGCAGCACCACAACGACCGACATCACTGCCGGCGCTCCGCAAACAGTCTCCCAACAGCAAAACGAAAAAGGCTACATCATAGTCGAAACCAACTACCGCCTCTACGCGTACACCAACTCCCCCCTCCTCATCTCCATCCTCAGCCTCTTCAGCAACCTGCAAACCCGCTATCCTAACCTCGTCACGGCCAAAATCACCAAAGCCTCTGTCCTCTCCGCAATCAACACCGGCATCAGCAGCCAGCAGATCATCGCCTACCTCACCACGCACGCTCATCCAGTCCTCCGCCATGCCACGCCCATCCTGCCTCCCACAGTCGTCGATCAGATCCGCCTATGGCAGATTGAAGGCGAGCGCATGACGGCGTGGAAGGGTTTCCTGATCAAGGACGTCGGGAGCGACAAGGACTATGAGAAGGCGGTGCAGTATGCGGAGGCGCTTGGGGTGCTGAGGAAGGAGTTCAGGGCGAAGGGGTGGTTCTTCGTCACGCGGATGGACCAGATGAGCGGGTATTTTAAGAGTCAGAACGCCAGAAGGAGGCAAGAGGCGGCTGCTGCTGCGGCGGCGGCGGGACAGGAAGGAGGAAGCTCGGCGACTTGATGAAAAGCGATGGAGGTCGTTGAGATCAAGGGATATCATACTACCTATGATGGCGTGGCATCACGGCTTGACTATGCGCACTGCTTAAGACTTGCCGGCCTTCATAGATTGCCTAGTATCTGTGCTGGGTCGAATGGGACTCCGGCACCTCGACAGAAGGACGTAGGGCTGGCGCCGGAGAGGTGAAGACAGACCTAAAGCTTCGTCGCTTCCTGTCTTGTTAGCTGTTGCATGCACGACAGTGATATTCAGACCATCAGCTCCAAGGCAACAATGGGTCTATCACCTGGCATGATCGATAACCTGCAAGCTTTCCGGTGGAATTTTGGCACAAGCGAGAGTCCACTGGTGTTGTGGTCACACGGCAGCTAATAAAGTTTGTTCGTACTACTTGGATAGATACACTGCTCGTACAGAGCATACCAGAATACACATAATTTGCTCCGCAGCCTCTCCTTCCTGAGGGCACACTCCTACATTCGTTATTCATACCTCATAAACCATCATAATACATTACCTTCCTCATCAACCACTCCACCGCCTCAGCCCATCGACTGCGCACCAGCATGCCCGCCAACCGATTTTACACCTCTAAACCATCACCAAACTCCTCCGCTTCTGCCTCCCAAGCAACCGATCCATGAAGCTAATCTTCCGCATCTCCCCCATGCCCAACGCCGCTTCCTCATCCACCACCTCCGTCTCTCTGCCCAGACTGCTGGAGCTACCAAGCACAATCGGCACCACCTTCCTCAACTCCGGCAGCTTCATCACTTCAGCATACTGGCATTGGAACCTGGCCAGACTCTCTTTTGCCTCCTGACTCACGCACAGCGAGCTCAAGTGGTCGAAAGCACGATGGATGCGCGCTGTGGAGGCTTCGGGGGTGTGCATCTTGTCCGTCTGGGCCTTTGGGGTTGACATCGGTCCTTGGGTGGTGTAGCCAGCGAGTTCTTCGTTGCGGTAGCGGTCGAGGAGGGAGGAAAGCCGGCCGGACCAGTAGGCTGGTGGTTCCGCATTGCGGATCTGCAAGGAGCTTTTGCTGGGCTTGGCTGGGGACGGCGGCACTGCCTTGGCTCTGCGGCCTGTCGAGCGGGAGAGAAAGGAGGGCTGCTCGAGTTTTGATGACTGCCCGGACGACTTGCCAGGAGCACTGATGCCTGTGAGATTGCGAGACTGGGAGGAGCGAAGTGGAGCTTTCGCAAGTGGCGGCGTCGGTGGCGGGCGTGCAGACATGAGTCGGGTCTGCTTGATCTCACCGTGCTGGGAGTCGCGGCGGCTGGTGATGTTGTTGTTTGATGTGAGGACAGGCTGGGAATTGTAGCGCTGGACTGGTGCAAGCGGCGCTATTCTGCGATCGCTAATGTTGGAGTGAATTGGGCTGCTCTTGTGCTCATGAGCCGGAGCGAGTTTGAGCGAGCCCGAGTCGTGCGGCATAGGTGGTGACGAAGAAGCATTGGTTGATACTGATGGCTGCTGATGATTGACGCTGATCTCTCTGGGTCGTCCACTGTATGGCAGTCGTGGCACAGGGGATGGGTATCTTTGCCGGTAGCTCGAGATGTCCAGTGCTGGAAGCGGCTTGATCGGACTCAGTGAGATGTTCTCCTTGAACGCTGTTGAGCGAGGCAGGAGGCTGGACTGATGATCATTCACACCCAACAGTGGCTCCGTATCGGACCGCTTCATACGATTTCTTACTGCGGGAGGCTTTGCGTCCACCGAGAACAATCGGCTATGGGAATGCTTCCGGTTCGACATTTGTGGCGATGGCAGTCGAGACGACGGGAGCGCGGCGGATGGAAGCCGAGCATGAGATTTTGAAGCGGCGATGGGATGTGCTTTCTTGCCTCTTGTGGGCAGTGGTAGGTTGCTAAACGTCCTGCTGCGTGGCATACCTCCGATCGGGTCGTCTGGCAGACAGATGTAGCTGCCTCTGCGAGCTGAGACGTGGGCGGTGGGCGGAGGTTGGAGCTCAGAGACAGTGTCATGCTGTGGCAAGCTGTTTGTGGACCTGTTGACGAATGAGGGTGGAGCAGGAGCATTGACAGTCATGCTGGTCAGAGACAGATTGCTGGTTGAAGATGTGGATGTGTGATCGGTGGCATTGTTCGATCGTCGTCTGTTGAACAGCGTTTGGAAAGTGGCGATGGAAGACAGCCGTCGGAGAGAGCTTCGACGAGAATCTGGCTGTCCTGTCTCGCTTGAGCCGCTCTTGCGGGAAGGCATGACGGTCGACAGTGTTTGCTACTAGGGTTGCGATGTGGCTGCAGGTGTTCTCCGCTCCTCTGTGGCAAAGGGAGCGATCAAGCGAAACGTTGGCGAAGTCAAGCTTGGCCTGAGCCTGTACAAGCCGTCTTCCAGTTTCAACCCAGCAAACACAAGTCGGAAGAGAGGGCCCGGAAACATGTGCGGGTCTGCAATGGTCCGGTTCGCTTCGAAAGTTCCGTCGTCCACTGGTAGCCTCCCAGGGTTGCCCAGGTACCAGACAGCAAAGCAGAGCAAAGCTATGTGCAGTTGAATCAGCAAGAGGAGTAGCCGGAAGACAAAGCAGAAGTAGCAACACGTGCGCAAGGTCAGTGCAAAACCGAAGCGGCCTTCGCGGTCGTAAAAGCTCCAGGTAAAGTACTTGCAGAAGAAAGCGTCGACGGACCAGATAGAGTCCACGGCGAGAAAGAGCAGGAATATTGCGTTGCAAGAGCTCTGGAGGTTCATCATGTGGAAGTAGATGAACCTGTGGCATGAGGTGAGGTCAGACTCTGGTGTTGAAATGGCAACTGCGGTCGCCTCAGGGCTCGGAGCGTGCCGAAGAGTGAATCTCATGAGGAAGGAGCGAGGCTTGGCAGTATCTTTGACGTTCGAAATCTGCGTCCTCCGGGTCACCGCCCAATTGACAGCACGACACAACAATCTGCCACCGCAAACATGGCCACCGCCGCCTCCACAGCGGTCTTCGATACCTTCGAGTTGGTCCAAGCGATCGTCGAATTCCTCCCTACCGCCGACATCGTCGCCTGTCAACCAGTCTGCCACACCTTCAACACCGTCATCAAAGACACACGATCCAACATCATCAAACAAAAGCTCTTCTTGGCCCCGATCTCGAAGACCCTTCTTGACGCAAAAACCTGGACATCAGTCACTGGCATACTACCAAGCTTGACATCGGTCGACCTTGAGAGGGAAACGCCTGGCGACAGTATACGTTTGGTCCTCAACCCAAGGATTCATGCACTAAATGTTGTCATCGACAAACGTGGCTTTGTGCGATTCAACTTCCTCGTTGACGGTCTATTCGACATCCTCAAGCCAGACCACAACCTGGCGAGTGCCTACCTCTGCCAACCGCCGGCTACGGTCGCGATTGACATGATTCGGTCTGTCGCTTTGCACGGCAGACTGGCCTTGCCGATGTTTGAGGTGCCAGGAGTACTTCCTGAGTCTCACATGATGACCGCCGGCAAGACCATCAACAGCCTTCGCGAAACGCTTGAGAACCTGCGTCAAAAGATTCCTGCCGCCATAAGGCTCCATTATGTCCATCTTGTGATGCCCAGAGGGTACTGAGCCTAGGCAAAGAACTCATTTCGAGCCACAGTACAAGCAGAGACCTCTGGGCGTGCTTCTCAAGGCTGGAAGTTCACGATGCGTGGTCACTGAAGCATGGCTGGGATACGGTTGCAGCATCAATGGCAGCGTCGACATGGGAGAGAACGGTACGGTTCAGCAGGCTACATTAGCGAGACCTTGCTCTGAATAGATGTTTGCGATATGCAAGCAAATTCAAACGTGCCGCTTCCTCCTCCATTGACAGCAAAATGGTCAATTCGGTTGGTTCTAGCGGCAGATCCCACCTTGCAGCTCGCTTGACTTGTATGTGCCAATGTCCGTCATGCTACGGAAGTGAAGTCTTACACGTGCATCCTCAGTGCTCACTCCAAATTGCTGGCGGCGAGCGAGGCTGACGTCACTTCACTCTCACGTGCAAAATTTCACCTTAAAGCTTCAACCTCGCAGTCCCAATCTTCCTCCACCACCACCCTCAAATCGTCAACAACAAGAAAACATCATCGACACACACCGCTACGATCTCCAAGATGGAGACATCTTCTCCAGCAGCTACGGCTGTATGGGAGACCGTCGAGCTCGCTCAGATGGTCTTCGAGCACCTGGACCGACCCAAAGACCTTGCACAATGCAAGCAGATATGTCACTGGTTCAATGGCGTACTCAACAGGACAACATCGCAAGCTATTAAGGAGAGACTGTTCCTTGCGCCGAGACTTGACAAGCCAATGCGTGACTGGTGTCTCCCCGGCGGGGGAAAAAAAAAGACGGGACTTCGGACTACCGCAAAACTCGTCGTACTACAATTGTGCAGCTGAGGAGCGGTTGCTTTTTAATCCAGCCCTTCCTGGACTTGAACCCGCATTTGTGTTCGGTTTCACTGTCGATACTAAGCGCCTGCTCGACACCCACAAATCAGCTTCACCGGACAGTGCGTTCGCTCGGGGCTTCGTTTGCCAGCCTCCGTACCCTGTCTACATCATGGCGGACATATATTACATCAAGGAGAGCATGCGACCGAAGTACGAACACTGCTGCAACCACATCCCCGCCGGCCTAACCATTGGAAGCCTTGCTCGAGCATTGTTGCACGTGAAACAGGATCTTGACTCTGATATACCTGACCACCTGATTGTGATTCACGAGCGGGGGAAATGGTGACGTTTCTAACCCTTGCCGGATGTCTAAACTTTCACGAGTCAGACCAGATGGATGGAGGAGCAATGGAAAGCCAGCGGCTTGTAGCGCCGAAGGCGGTTCAGAGAGTCGCTGGAATCGCCGGCATCGAACATGAGCTGGACCTAAAGTGATTAGTGGAAGGGCTAGTGGGCTCTTCGACTCCAGCAAGGACATTGAACGATCGCAGCGCATCGATAGGGACTCAATGGTGTCTGTGAGAATATGCCATCCACAGCCGGAAGAGCATGTATCTCGAGCAAACGATCAAAACAGAATACAACAGCGCGCCTCACAGTACTTGTTGACATCCCAGAGAATTTGCCATCCACCGGCAGACGAGCAGGCGTCTCGAGAATACGACCGAAAACAGAATGCCACAGCGCTGAACACAGTGCTTGATTGCGCCTGTGAGAACCTGCAATGCGCTAGCAGATGAGCAGGCTTCTCGAGCAGGCCAACGAAAGCACAACGCTACAGCGCTCCCATGGTGCCTGATTCTGTCTCGGAGAACTCTGTGCAAAAAGAGGGTTCGGGGGCAGACAACAGACGGGCATACTGTATGTCTCCATCAGAAGCAAAAGTCAAGGCCGTCAGCTACAACATTCGACCTGTGCGAAAAACAATGGATCATCGAGCCCATGCCCTTGTGCTTAGAGGTGTGCACTGCTGTCGGGGCGTTCACATGACAAGCCAAGCTCACCTCCTTCCTAATGGAGATCGAGGATGCTCGCATGACGCACCAGCGCACAAGCAACCGAATTTCGCAACTTTCAGCTTGCGGTTTTCCTCATGCAACCATTTTCAACCACAACCATGGCGCCACAACCAGCCGAAGCCGTCGCCGCCCTGCTGCGCACCGTCGAGATCGTGGAGACGATTGTTGCCTTCTTACCAACAGTGCAAGATATCGTGCGCACCAGCGCTGTTTGCCGCCAGCTCAACGCCATCATCACGCAAACACGCTCACAGACAATCAGGCAGAGACTTTTCTTTGCACCAATGCCACCACCACAGGAGGATCCAGGCGATCTCAGCTATGCTGAGGAAGCTGAGCGTCTGCGCTGTCCGATGGGCTCGCTGCTGACGATCTGGAATTTCGACTATCAATACGCGGCGCTCAATCCTCTGCTCCGGCCGTGCTTCGTCAACGACCGCAGCCGTGTTGTCCTCTTCCGCGTAAACGTCGCACGGCTCTCCAGGATGATCGAGATCGATGAACGCTGGAAAGACACCTTCATCTCCCAACCACCACGCCTCTTCGCCGGTCGCGTTCTCGACGGTGTCACTCGATACACCAATCTGTCTTACCAGACCATCGGCGGGCTTGTCGAGGGATGTGAGATGCTGGCTCAGGAAGTCTTGCTACTCACAGGAGCGGACCTGCTGCTAAATAATGTCTTCGTCTCAGTCGCGGACGCTTTCATACCGAGCTATTAGCGTTGTATCGCGGGTACTGGCGAGTATTGTCATATCGGTACCGTAAGTCTTCTCATGTTTCAGCCGGTGTCTTTGATGAGGAATATTTCACTGACCCTTTCTAGCTGTTTGTCAAGAGACCATGCGTAGATGGGGAGGGGAAGATGGAGATTGGGAGAGCAGAGAATGACAGGGATCGGAGTGTCGGTCGAGCATCTCCGTCGTCGGGGTCCAATGGAAGGTTCTGCAGAGCAGTGAAGGCATCGAAGGCTGTGTAACGTAATGCGAGAGGGATCAATCCAGATGTTGCCACCTCACCCGACATGTGATCGCCAAGCCTGTCTCCTTCCCCATGCGGCAGTGCCACTAAATAGCTTGGCAACCCACTCCTTCCATACAAATTATTCGCTGCTTTGCTTCTGCCAACTCCGCTGCGGAGCACGCCCATCGCTTCCTGCGCGAACATGGCGATATCATCACCCCCACCGAACGGACTCCCGCTCAAGAAGACGACGAGCTCACCAGCAGTCAGCGCCGTCTTCTCGACCACGGAGCTCGTCGAAGCAGTTCTCGAGTACCTTCCCATATTGGACCTCATCCGCTGCAAGGCAGTGAACCGCAAGTTCAACGACGTCGTCACCCAGACCAAGTCGAAAGTCATTAAGCAAAGACTTTTCCTGCTTCCGGTATCAGAGTCATCACCTGTATCCATGAACGTGAACATAAAGACCTGGGAAGACTCTCTCGGTCGCGAAGCCAAGCTGCTTGGAGCACCCAGGGACAGCATGGTGTGTGTCGCACAAGATGGGAAATTGCTTTACCGACCGCATGCAATCCATCCGGCCCTTCCCGTTACTGTTGAGAATGGATGCTCCTACTCCATCCCCATTGACGCCAAAGTTCTCTCCCGGAGGCTAAAAACATGCGAGAGTCTGAAGCGTAGCTCGATTGCCCAGCCACCGTGCTCTGCCACTCTGTACTGCTCCAACAGGTCCACACGTCGGCATAGAGTGGTTGGAGAGACCTTGGACGACTTTTGCAAAGTATATGATAACCTGCTTGCCGAGCTGAACCCCAGGATATTCGTGACGTTCGATTGAGCCCGCAACCACGACCACCGGCTTAACTCACCAGCTCTGAAGAGGTCTACGGCTGTGGACGGGTAAGCCGAACCATCTCTCCCATCGGCAGCAGCACGAAGAAGCTGACCACATTGACAGACGTCTCACCGGCAATCGGCGGAGCAAAGATCGGAATCTTTTACTTGAGGCGTACAGCATGAATTGAAGACGCGAGCATACCGCGAATTGTTTTCGGCAAAAGTCGTCATTGCGTGCAAACAGCAGAGTCGCTCAGCCGTGTTCCTACATCATGGACAGCATAGCTCATCTCAAATATGCCCAAAAATGCAAACCTACATACAAAAACTTTTGGTCCCTCTGCCCACCCACCCAATGCCCGATGGCTCCTTTTTGTCCCTGCACATATCGCTTCGTCCCAAGAACACCTACGCTCATGCAACAAAAAGCCATGGCCGAAACAGCCTCACGGCCCGAATCTCCGCTCGATCTCGCCACCGACCTCTCGAACCATGTTCTCACAGTCGAACACCTCGCTCGCTTCGCCGTATATTCGCACCACGTCCTCAGTCCCGCTGGCTCGGACGAAACACCGGCCGTCCTTATACTTCGCCACGATCTCGTCGATCCGCTCCTGCAGCCCTGCAGGTTTCTCTAATCTCCTCTCTGCTGAGTCGGGCACGGTGACGAAGTCTGCTCGGTTGGCAACACGCTGCTTGCCAAGCTTATTCGGCATATCCGTGTACGTGGCCAGCCATTCGCGGACGGTGTACTCTTTGTGCGCGAGTATCGTTTCGACGAGCAGAAAGTCCGAGATGGCATCGCCGACGGTTTGATTTATCAGATCCGTGAGCGCGCGGAGGGTGGTGAGTGCTTCGAGCTGCGCAGGCGATTCGGGCTGGTGGTTGTGGATGCGCTTGAGCGTTTGCGGGGAGAAGAGCACGGTTCCGTGGCCGTTGGCTTCGAAGTAGACACCGATATCTGAGCGGGCGGCAACATGATGGAGGTGCTTGACGCCGGTGGAGGTGCATTCGCATCTGAGCTTGAGGGTCTGTTCGATGTAGCGGGTCGAGCTGCCGTTGGCATATGCGGTCTGAACGACAGCAATCGTAATCTTGTCTGCTAGGCCTGACTTTTGGACAAGCTCTCCAAGGAAGTTCGCAGCAAGGGTGGCGATGCGGTCACCGTCCAGCAGCCGGAAGATGGAGCCTTCGGTGGTGAAGTAGTAGACGATGCGATCGGCGTCGCCATCAAAAGAGGCCCATCGTTCGTATGGCTTACCGTCAAAGCCGGCTGGGGCACGCTGTTGGGTCTTGACAAAGTCCGCGCCGCAGTCTTTGTTGAGAACCTCTGCGTTCGAGACGTTGTCGTTGACGACACGGATGTCGAGGCCAGACTCTGAGCTAGATGGCAAGTGCTTCAAGAGCTCCTTCAACTTTGGTGCGCCGACACCATTCGCACAGTCCACCGTGACTGATCCGTTGGGTTTGATCCCCTCAATCGCGGTTTTGAAGGCGGAGGCCATCTTGTTGTAGTAGCCTTCTTCCGATACCTCACCGTAAGGATGTGAGGTGTCCTTGGTGTTTGTCGCCTTCACCAGGTAGTGCAGTTGAGGTGTTGTAAGAATGCCATAGTCGACCGAGGTCACGCCAGTTGCGTCCAGCCCAGACTTCAGCGCCCGGACAAGCTCCTCGCCCGACGGCCTTGTATCCCGTGCGAAAATGACGTTGGCCGGCTTCTTCTGGTCTATCCGGACCTCCTTCACCATCCACATGTACGCGTTCTGCGCCTCCTGTTGGTCCTTCGCATTGGCGATGTAGGTCGCGTACTTCTCCCATTCCTGCTCCAGCATCTCGCCCTGCGGATCCACAATCTTGACGCCATTGTCTTCCGCCGGGTTGTGCGATGCCGTGATCATGACACCGATCGTCTGACCGTGGAGTTTCCGCGATCGCAAGCCAGCAAGTATGCCAACGGTCATGGCGACGGAGGGCAGCTTATCGGCCTTCATGCGGAAGCCAGCCGTGCCATAGACGAAATCGGCTCCATCCTTCGGTCTTGGGTACTCTTTGGAGACCTGGAGCACGCCTTGCTCATACTTGCCGTCCGGGTCGAATATGCCAGCGTTGGAGTCGGCCATGTTTGGGGGAGTGGTGGAGGACTGGAAGAAGAAAGACAAGTTCTGCAAAGAAGATGGGCCTGCATGTCACCAAGGTGGGATCGCGTGGGGTGGGGTATTATGCAGTATGCAGGGACGTTTCACGCGCCCGGTTGACGATGCTTTGGTGCCGGAGAGAAGTCCGTCGTCCGAGCCCAGACTAAAGTCGTGACATGGTATGCCAAAAGATCTGGTGGAGTCAGACATCAAACTTCATCTGTATCGCCTTCTTTCAGCAACACCACCTATCATGAAGCCACCATCGACAGCGCTTCTGCGCGCCTTCTCTCCGGCATACACGCAGACTCTACCGTGGTCAGCACGAGGCTGCCTCCTCCAACAGCAACAAACAGCCCCCTTCTCCTCCACCCAGCAGCGAGAAAAGCGCAACCGCGGTGGACAGAAGAAGGACCCCCGAATCAGTAGGCACTGTCCTAGTACATAGCAGAAAACACTGCGCTGATACTCCCGCAGAAATCATCCGCTACCACCTCGGCCACGGCCTCACCCCACGCCCTCTGCGCTTCTCGCGGTAAGCCCGTCTATTGCGGCTCCATCATTCTTCCTCTTATAACAAATGACGCAGAACCCGCTACCTCCGCCACTGGACCATCCACCGCGCCTGGCAACTCCATCAACGCCGCCTGCGCAACGAGCAAGAGCGCACTCTCGAGCGACAGTACAACAGCATGCACGATGCCTGCGAAGCGCTACGGCTGATAGACAACCACGGCTTGACGGCGGAGGATCGAGCGAGGCTGGGAGAGCCGCCGGAGGAGGGGAAAGAGATGGGAAGGTTGTATAGGATAGCGATGTTGAAGAATGGGGTTTGGGATGGCGTGCCGATTGAGTATGGGAAGATACAGACGGATACTCCGCCTAGAGAGGGCTGGAATCATGGGTGGACGAGATGAGGTGGAGAGAAGGCGGAGTATTAGATCGAAGCAATCGCCGACGATGGGTCTATGTCTATGTTCGAGATCCTATGTACACCATACATATGTACCATCAACGCCAGTTAACATGACCGAACTCCTTCGCCTTCAAATCTCCCAGCCTTCTATCCTTTCGCATTCCCGACAGGGTCCTCCAGCAACGCTCTGAACTCCTCCATCACCTCGTCAGCCTGCGACAGCGAGACCATTGATTCCGGGCAGAAAAGCCCGAAATCCAGCTTCCCATCCACGACCGCCATCTCAAGGTCAAGCGAATGCTGAGAACTCACATTAGCACTCTCCCATCCCAGCCGGTACGACATATCTCGCAACGGGGTACTTACCTTGTAAGCATCTGCAATCCCTCCCAGTCCTCTCAATTCATTTGGCGCCTCAGTATTACTCCCCTGAGCCTCAACAACTTCTTTCCTCGCATCCAGCCTCTCATTGTTTAGATCTCTAAGAACCATGCCATCATCCCCCTCGAGTGGCTCATCACTCCGCTCCGGCAGCCGCAGTAAATTCACCGTACAGTCAACCTCCACCCCAGTCCACTGCCTCACCTCCCACAGACCAACCGCACTCTCAGCCATTCCGCCGATTTTCCGCAGATCTTCCTGCACTACTCTCGCCGACTCAAGAAGTCCGGTCTCCAAGGGTGCGCGAACTAGTAAAGGCACAATATTGAACGTCGGCGCAGAGAGCGACTCGAGATCCGGACGGTGCGAGCGGGAGGAGAGGTAGATGCCCAGGACTACATCCTTCGCTTCGTCTTCTGGTGCTCCGTTTTGGGATGTGGTTGAAGTGAGTCCGGCGTATACTTTTGCCCATGCAGCGAACAGTAGTGCTTGCATGCTCAGGCGTTCTTTCCTCAATTTTGTCTCCAGCGCTGCCGCTTGGTGAGACAATGCTGGCTGGAAGATCTCGACTCGCCGCTTTGCGCTGTCGACAGACGGCTGCGGGAGGCGGAGCACGTTGGCTTGTTGGAGATAGCTCGTCCAGAATTCTTTGCGGCTGGCACGAGCATTGACTGTCAGTTGAGGAGCGAGGAAGTCGGTGTATGTTACTGCAGCGGCTGGAAGCTCCGTTTGGGGATAAGACAGAAGTGACTTGAAGTCCTGCATCATCAGCGGAAGGGAGATGGCATCGTAGAGGGCGTGGTGGATCTGGAGGTGAAGAGCAAGGCCGTCGTCATTCTGCTGAGCAAGCATCTGAACCATCGGCTGCACGCTCGAGTTGCGTATGACGTGGTCGTGTTGGAAGCTGTCTGGAGCATCTCGCAGAATGAGTTGCAGTATCGGGATCTCCTCGTCCTGGGTACAGCAAAAGACCGTACGCAAGACTGAGTGCTTGGAAAGCAGTGCGTCCCAGGCCTGCTGGATCTGCCCAAGGCTCACGTCCACTTTAAGATTGTACTTGAACGTCGGATAGAAAAGCCGACCGCCTGTCTTGTGCCACATGCTGAGCATGTACACTTGCCCGGCAGTCGCCGGCAGTACGTGGTCGATGTTGTCGATGGCGATGTTCGCTTCGTCCGCAATCCTTTCAATATCGAAGTGGCCAATGGCTTGCTTGATGATCTCTCCGGCGGACTTCTCTGGTGTCTCAGCTGGCTGCTGTGCATTCTTGGCTGTCACAGCAGCAGTGATGCCAGCGGCGTTCTTCACACGCAGTAGCTCGCTGACGCTGATGTTGACGTTTTGTTTCCGAAGCAGGCCTGCGACTTTGATGGCGGAAATGGAGTCAATGCCGATGCTCTCGATGCTTGAACCAGCGTCCAGCTGGTCGAATGGTACCTTCGAGACCTGTGCCAGTGCTTCTAGTATTGTGCGCACCATCGCTGGATCGCCGACGGGCGTGTCTGCATTTTCCAGTACCGTTTCAGTGTGTTGCTCTGTAGTCGTCGCAGTGTCCCTCAATGTGAACGGCTTGAGACCACATATCGACGCTCTGCCGTCCTTGAAGCCCACAGTAGGCTTGTTCGAAGCCTCAACGATTGCTTCTAGGATCTGTTCCATCTCGGCTAGCAGACGTTCTGTCTCTCCTTCGTTCAAGACATCGTCCTTGCAGGCTGCTCGCATGACAAAAGACTGCCCGGCATCCTCCATCTCCACCGCCACAGGATACTCAATATCGGAGCTCCCACTGGCCGACTCGTACAGCGGCGCAGCAAGCATCTTCCTCGGCGTCGGTCTCTTCTGGAAGATGAAAAGCGTATCGAACAGCCCACCACTCTGCAGACCTTGCGTCGTACCTGTAGCAGCCGCTTGGATCGTCCGCAATGGAGTCCTCTGATACGGCCGCATCTCAGTAATTGTTTTCTGCATGTACCGCAGCATCTCCGCTCGAGTACCATGTAGAGAGGAGCGTACGGCAACGGTATTCATGGTCGGGAACATGATCTCATCGGCTTGATCGGAATCTCTGCAAGCTAACACGATGCCGAAGAGCACTTCCGTGCTTTGGGTGTGATGGGCGAGGGCCAGGGCCCAACAGGTCTGCGCCAGAGCTTGCATGGAGACGCTGGAAGAACTGCAGAAGTCACGGATGGTGGTTGCTGACGTTCTGCATTTCCTCTCTGCTCGGTGGACGGCGCCGGTGACCCCGTTCCACGACTTGCGAGGAAATGGTTGATTGTTCGTGCCAGATAAGAAACCGGACCAGAATCGCTGTGCATCGGCAGTGTTTCCAGCAAGAGACGCTTCAACAATCTCATCGCTGGCAGGACGCAGAGAGTAAGCGTTGTGGTAGGCTCGTTTGACGTCCTCGTGTATCAGTGCCAGGCTGTGTCCATCGTACTGGGCATGCGCAATCGAGAGCATGATGTAACGTTCGGTTCCTGTTCTGAGGAAAGTCAAGCGGAGAGGTGACACTGTCTGGATTTTGTTGGAAACCTCTCGTCTGATCTGCTCGAACGCATCGTCAAGCGAGTCGATGTCGTCGACGTGCAGCTCGGCGAATCGTAGCTGATGCTTTCGGTGCACCACTTGCGCGTATACGGCGTCGATATTGGGGTCCGTGATCTCAGCGAACGATGTCCGTAGTACTGGTGAGCCATCCACGACAGTCTGCCATGCGGCTTTGAGCCTCTCGAGATCGACGTGCTCCCTCAACTTCATCACATCATGATTGAAGTATTCCCGCAGCTTGGAGCGGAGCATGTCAGCGACCAGGCCTTCCTGTTGAGAAGTAGCTGGCAGAATTCTCTCAATATTTGTTGCATCTCGAAGGTGCGGCAACATCTTAGCCTGGAGTTGTGCCTCCAGTTCTCTGAACCTTTTCTCGCCGATGCTGATCTCTCCGTTGGTGCTGCCGGCTTGAACCATCTCCAGCATCTTTGGAATCGTCTGAGCCTGTAGTATCTTGCTCACAGGAAGCGACAGGCCCGCTCTTTTAAGCTGAGAGGATAGCTTGACTGCATCGATGCTATCTAAGCCAAGAGCGAAGATAGTCGTGTGTTCGTCGATGCCGCTGGCTTCAGCACCGCCAATTTTCGCGGCAGCGTTGCGAATCAGTTCTGCCTGCTCAGTCCATTGGAAGTCGTTGGCGCCATCGGAATGGGTTGACAGATGGCCGTTGAGGCGCTGGTTCTGATGTCTTGTGCCTGCAGTGATGCCGAACTCGTCGCGTATGGACTTACTGCTTGACATGCTTCCGAGCACAGTCTCGAAGTCGCTGCAAAGGTGTTCAAGTTGGGCTTGGTCGAAATATGCACCCTTTGCCAAGAAGGTCGCCGTAACAGCACCGTCGTCCTGCATCTCGACTTCGCAGGCCAAGGGATACTCCGGCCGAAGGTCAGTTGGCAGCGGCTGGAGTAAGTTTCTTAATTCGGATTGGATCGACTGATCTTGATGCTGGAAAACGAACAGCACATCGAACATGGGGTCGGCTGGGTCTTCGCAGCACCACTTGCGAATGTCACGTAGGGACGTATGCTGGTACGGGAGCATCTCGACGTTCGTCTGATGGCGCTGTTGGGTGTACTCCGATAATGTTGATGATGGACTGATCTTGAGAGCTTGCGGGAGCGTGTTGAACATCGGACCCATCACTCTGTCTGCCCCTTCAAAGTCTATCGAGCGGCCTGACACAACCATGCCGTAGGTCTGAGCGGAAGGGACATGTATTCGCAGAGCGACTTCAAAACATGCTTGAACAATAGCTTGATGCGAAACACCGAGCCGCTTCCGAGCCATCTCAATTTGCGTGACATTGTCCAGGCTCAGCCGCACGAGCGAGCGATCGTCGTGTTGTGGTCCAGATGTTGTGGGTAGAAGCGAGTACCTGCTACCTTCGAGATACTTGGTCCAGAATGGTTTGCCGTTGACAGCACGAAGCGGGCCATATGGGAGTGCTGCAGCGAAGCTTGGAATGTCGTCGATTGCTATTTTGTCATCGTAAAGTCTTGCCAGCTGGTCGAGCATAAGTTCAAATGAGATGCCGTCGTAGAGAGCGTGATGCATGTGCACGGCCAGAATGGAACGGTCTGGAAAATCAGCAACGACGGCTTCCCAGGGGCGAGCGAGGCCATTCTGATTCGTCGCCAACCACTCCCGCTTCAACTCCGCAAGGACACTCTCGATGCTGCCATCGCCATAGGATTGCCGTGACACTGGTGGGCTGTCGTACTGCTTCATTACGGCCTGAGCGTAGCCCTCTCCAGTCTCGAAGAAGTGAGTCCGCAGCACTTGTGTGCTGTCAACAACCCTCCGCAAAGCGACCAGTAGTCGTTGCGTGTCGAGGGCAGTGACATCGTAGTAGAAGTGGTTGAGATACGGTTGTTCGTCGTCTCGTAAGCTTTCGAAGACAAGACCCTGCTGAAGAGTGGTCAATGGTAACACAGCTTCCAGGTCGTTGGGCATGACATTGAGGACTTGCGACGCAGTACCTCGATGTCGTTGAGAGAAGGCTGCTATTGTAAGCTTCGCCTGGTCCACTGAAGTAGCGTCTGTGTCACTACCGGCTTCTTTGGTCAGAGCATTGCTTAGGTGCGACAACACAGGGTTTCTCATGACGGTGGCCACATTTGCTCTGCCAAACCCACTACGCTTCAGAAGGTTGGCGAAGGGTATGGCAGAAACTGAAGACAGTCCCATTGAGAATGTGTTTGATTGCGGAGAGACTTCACCAAGGTCGGTTTTGAGCATCGTTTGCAGTGCTTCACTGATTTTGAATTCCGCCTCTGTCAACGCGCGGTCGCTGCCATCAAAGCCTTGAAGACTTTGAAGTTCCTGAGGTGAGCAAGATTGGAACAACTCGATGAGCTGTTTGGTGTTCACCTTGTTGTTCGAGGTCAAAGGCAGGAAGTCGATAGGAAGGATGGTAGGAACCATGTATCCCGGCAATTGCTTCTCGCAAGCCTCCTTCGCCGTGCGTACACGAGCTGCTTCGTCTTCTGTTCGGGCGAATGAAGGCTTTTGCGAACGCCCGGTGGCATTGGTGGTGATGAACGAAACCAAGACTTGCTTCCCAGTTCCTTCTGCCTTGACAACATCTGAGACGACATGCTTGATAGCGTTGTCTGATCCTTTGATGACATTGTCGACCTCGGAGACTTCAAGGCGCTGACCTCTCAGCTTGGTTTGCGAGTCCTTGCGTCCAATGATCAGGAATGAGCCATCGGCCAGCATCCGAACAAGATCACCAGTGCGATACAGCGTACATCTGAGTCTTTCGGAATAGGGAAATTGTGATGCTGTCAGCTCTTCACGGTTGACGTAGCCCTTCCCGACGAGTTTGCCAGAGACGCAGAGCTCGCCGACCGCTCCTATGAATACAGGCTCGTCACTGTCCGGCTGCAGAACGTATGCGCCCACGTTGTCGAATTGTCGACCAATGTTGGCTGGCTTGGCATCTGTATCGATGAAACGGTTCATGGTGACCCCAATGGTGGCTTCTGTGGGTCCATATCCGTTGCAAATTGTTCTCTTCAGGCCCCAAGTTTGGACTATGTCCTGGTGTAGAGGCTCGCCTCCGGTGATGAACACCCCATCCCAGAGACTCGGTACGTCGTCAGGGTGCACCAGTCGGGCTAAAGAGGGTGTGAGGTCGATGTGAGTGATGCCGAATCGGTGGATGAAGCCAGGAATGTCTTCTAAGACCAAGTCTCTCGGAGCGCCGACCACCGTAATTCCAACGCTCCAGCTCCAAAACTGCTCGAGTACCATGACATCGAACCAGTAGCTGGCGAACTGTAGCCATCTAGACCGGGTTGTCCAGCGTCCGGCAAACAGGCGCTGGAACGACATCATGGCCTGGACGGCATTTTCATGCGTGATCTCGCAGCCCTTCGGCGTCCCAGTTGTGCCGCTTGTGTAAAGACAGTAGCAGGTGTCTGCTCGGGTCAAGCCACCGATCTCAATTACCCTTGCAGGTAGGGTCTGAAGGAGCTTCTCACCCAAGCCAATGCAGTGGACACCGAATTCCGTCGAGGTTGAGTAACTGCTTCCCGAAAGTAACAGCAAACGGGCTCCAGAGTCCTTCAGAATGAACTCCTGTCGACTGGAGGGCAGTTCCGGATCCAGTGCCAGGAACGCACAGCCGGCTTTGAGAATACCCAAGAAAGCGAAGGAAGCCTCCGGACACTTATCCATGCGAACGGCGACAACACTGTGCGGTGGAATGCCAGCGCGGTGAATAAGGTGCGCAACCTGGTTTCCACGCTTTTCAAGTTCGGCGTAAGTCCATTTTCTGGAGGCTTTGGCTTTTTCATCCTGCGTAACAAACTCAAGAGCGATGCGATCAGGGTGTTCGACTGCTGTGTGCTCGAACAAGCCATGCAAGTGGCTGGCGGGCGCCGGCAAGGCCTCGTACGGAGCTGGACTGATGGCGTGGAGATCGGCGTTATTGATAGAACGTCCCTGGACGATAGTGATCATGATCTGCTCGAATTGCCGAAGAAACAGGCTGGCATGCTCTTCCGGTAAGCGGGCGGTATCGAAGGTCAGGCGTGTGTTTACCTGACCTGTTGACGTGACCTCAAGTTCCAACGAGACAGCGTAGTCCACGCCTGCGGTTTCCCTCACCACGGGCCATTCCAGGCCAGTGCTACCTGCCGCTGCTTTCTGATAAACGAAAACAGTATCAAAGAGTTGCTGCCCAGAGTACCCGCCGTGGCGTTGTATCTCCGTCAGAGGACGGAAGCGGTGACGATACGCGTGGGCATTAAACGAAACCATATCATGCAGGACTTCATGTGGATGGCGATTTGTTTGAACTGGCACAGGTATTGTGGTGATGCTTGGGAATGCCACGTGCGCCGCATTAGTGGATGGTTGGCCAGAGATGACTGTGCCGAACATGACATTGGAGTCACCTGTGTATGCAGCCAGCAGACTTGCCCATGCTGTCTGTCCAAGCGCTTGAGTCGTCGCATGGTTCTGACGACAGAATTCTTCGAGCGATGTCTCGGAGAGCTGAAGAGTATGCGTCGCGACTTGGAGCTTGCCCTGCTTGACGAGCGTTGGCGCCAGGTTTGGAAAGGCCGAGATGCTGTTCTACGTTAGCAAGCATTGAATGTAATCACTAAGAGGTAAGTCCTCACCTTGTATCTTGCAAAGCATCGGTCCAAAAACGAGCAGCAGACCCATCTTTGTCGGTTTCAGCATCCAGGATCTTCGACAACACCTCATCGATCCCCTGCAGTCGACCGAGCTTCGCACTTTCGAAGGCTCTACCAAAGTCAGAAAGGATGAGTTGAAGCCCATCTGCATCATACAAAGCATGGTGCAGCGATAAGACCATCGAGTCTTCTCCGCCACTGGACTGGAAAGAAATACACCAAGGCTGTGTAGACATGTTTTGCATTACATGTTGTGAAGCTTCCAGCTCAATCGTTTCCGGCGCTTGGTTGTTCTTCACTTTGCGGATAGGGACCGAGCTGGATTGTGGTTTCGTGATCGACATGGCGGAGAAGGAGGCGGACTCTTGGACTTGGTGGAAGCCCATGCGCAGAACTTGGTGCCTTTCAATAACAATACTCCAAGCTCGACGTACTTCCTCTCGAGTGACGCTCCCGGGAAGGCGGAACCAAACGTGATTGACATAGAGTTGACCATCTGTGTGGTAGGATTGCGATGTCATGCCGGTCTGTGCTGCGGTGGTAGGACGAACAGCTTCAATGTCCTGGTCGGCGACCTCCATCGCCCGTAGAACTGTGGGTCGATACTGCTTGTCGAACGTCTCGAAGTCGAACGCGGATGGGGTTACTGGTGAAGTAGCTTTCTTCTTGTTGGCAACGACAGCAAGAGCATGTGGAGTCAAGGCTTCCATTACATCCGTAGCATCCACATTGATGCCGGAGCCCCTCAGTCGCGAGGCGACTTGGGCCGCGTTCAGGCTGTCGAGACCGATGTGATACATGGATGTATTTCCTTGAATGCTGGCTTTGTCAATTCCTGCAAGCTGAGCAAAGGCATCTCTGATGATTTCTTCGAGCTCAGACAGGTCATCTTTGGAAACGCTATCGTTATGGCTGTGAGCCGTGCCGTTGGCCATCTCAGTAGGCCTGAGCAGTCTAGGCAAGGTTGTGTGTTCTGAGCCCCGCGAAAGGTCGGGGATACTGTACGGAGATACCAGGCAGGACTCCAATAGTTGGATGAAGAGGTCGAGGATGGCACCCGTCTCTGACTGAGAGATGCTCTCGTCCGGAACATGAAGCGAAATGTTATAATCACCCGCCACCGGCTCTACCTCAAGCACCAAAGGCAGGTCCATCATGCCAGTCTCCCCTGTCATTGTCCAAATACCTTGGTCCAGCTGACGATGCTCTGGTTGCACCAGCAGCAGCGCATTGAACAGACGCCTCCCCGGATCTTTAGACAGCGCCTGTATCTGCCGTAGAGGCGTGAGCTGGAAGTCAAGCGCTTCAGTATTGTGTTGATGCAACAGTCGTGTCGTCTCCAAGTAGCTGAGCGGACGTTTCAACTCAACTCTCACGGGTAGCGTGTTGAATGTGGGTGCAACGAGTCGCTCGATGCCTTCCACGGGCACTGTTCTCCCGCTCATCACGTTGCCGAAGCAGATGTCACGAGTGTCCTGGCAGATCATCAGGGTGGCAGCAAATGCGGTCTGGAGGACTGCAAGTTGGCTGAGGGAGTATCTCTTGCAGTATGAGGCGACTCTGCTTTCCATGGTGGCAAACTTTCTTTGCACAGTAACCGACCCGGCCGTCGCGCTGGAGCTTGAGAATGGGTTTGGGCTGAAGTTGCGAAGATGCTTCGACCAGAATGACTTTGCGTCATCGTTCCAATCAGTTCTGTGCCTTTGAGCCTCCAGCAAGAACGGTTTGAAGTCGACCGAGGTGAGCAGCGACTCCTCCTTGTATAAGCACTCCACCTCACTTAGCAACAGGGACATTGAGATCCCGTCGTATATCGCATGATGCATATGTAGCGTCAACGTGCACTGTTCGGTACCCTCGGAAACTTGCAGGCGAAATGGTTTGGCGAAGTCGACCACTGGCTGGTCATCGTCATGACCATTACGATCTTCCAGTGGCCAACCCTTGCCTGCTGAGAAGCCGCCTGGATCCCCTTTCAGCACGACCTGAATATACGGATGCCATTTTTCCTCAGTCGGCAAGAAGGTAGTTCTCAGTATCGGATGCCGTGCAACCATATCATCCCAACACCGCTTCAGCCGTGAAAGGTTGCCATAAACCCTGAAAGAGGTAGAGTTGCAATACGCCTGTCCGGACCGCGAAGCACCAGTCGCGAGCATGGCTTCCTGAAGCGGCGTGCAAGGGAGAACAGCTTCGATCTCATCCGAACTTGCTTCCAATGTGTCGTGGGCCATCTGAATCAGCTCTCGGGGCAGGAGAGGCGATTCATCGGATGCCCTGTCCTGTCTAGTTTGATCGATTTGGCTGAAGAGTCCTTGAGCCAGCCGTGAAACACTAGGCGTGCGTAAGATCTGGCTGACCTGTACGTTGCTCTCCAACCGGTGATTGAGCAGTTTGGCGAATGAGATTGCTGTCAGTGAGTTGAGCCCCAGAGCAAAGAAAGAGTCGTTCAACGTGATGTTCTTGACGGGGATGCGAAGCACTTCCGCGAGTGCTGCTCCGATCTGCTGTTCGAGGTGAGCGCCATTCTCTGCTAAAGCAGCATTGTCATCAGTGTGACCACTCTGGCTTCTAGGCGACTTGGTATGCTCCAGTAAGGTATTCAGGAACCGGCGATCGAGCTTGCCCTGTGAAGTCAGAGGCAGACGTGTGACTGGCACGATCTGGCTTGGAACCATATACGCCGGCACAGCTGCCTCAAGAAGTTGAAACAGCTCGTCAATCCTTTCGCCATCGATATCCATCGCAGCCGTCGGAGCTGCATCAGATGCCTCTGCGCCTTCGAGGATGACGAACGTGGCAAGAGATTGCTCCTTCGAGCTCTGACCAGCGACAATAGTCGTACAATCTCGTACTTGCGAATGCTGCATGAGAAGAGCATTGATCTCCTTGAGCTCAATCCGGTTACCTCTCACTTTGACTTGATCATCAGACCTCCCGCAAGAGAGCAACGACCCATCAGGCAGAAGACGGCCCATATCACCACTCCGGTACAGACGGCCGTATTTAGGATGATCGATGATGCTTTCAGCGTTCAAGTCATCCCTGCCAACGTAGCCCCGAAAGACCTGTTCACCACCGAGAGCTATCTCGCCAACAGCGCCAGCCGGGAGGATGTTGAACGCTTTGCCAGGTGAAATGACGAAGGCTGAAGTATTTCGAAGCGGTGGGCCGATTTTGCCGAGAGAGTCGTCTGTCGCCATGTGCATGTTGACAGTACAGATGTTGGTGGTCTCTGAAGGTCCGTAGCCTTGATGCAACAAGCCCTTGCCTGCCCAACGCTGATGCACGAGGTCTGTGACACCTTCGCCTGAGGTGACAAGGAAGCGGACGCTGGGAACGTTGGATGGATCGATGAGAGCGGCGACGGTTGGCGTCATCGAAAGATGGGTGATTTTGAGTGCTCGTATGCTTGCTTCGAGGTCCGAGAACATGTCGTCCTTGCGAGCAGACACTAGGCACATCCCAGTGTGGAAAGAAAAGAAGATCTCAAAGACGCTTACGTCGAACGCTTGAGAGCAGGCTTGTAGCAGTTTGTCGCCGGGTTGGACGTCGTAGAGCTCCGACAAAACTTCGAGGTTGCTGAGGAGGTTTCCTGCTGTGACGGACACACCTTTCGGCTGGCCAGTACTCCCACTTGTGAAGACAGTATAGGCGACGTCTTCGTTCCGAATGCACGGTGGTTCTTCCACCTCTCGCTCTGACGTGAAGTCTAGCTCATTGATGTTGATGATGTGTGGACCGAAGGCTTCAAAGGCAGTAGCAGAGTCGCTGTCGCAAATGCACATCTTGACCTGACTCTGCTCAAGTATTGATGCAATTCTCCGGGATGGCGTGTCCGGCAGAAGAGGCAAGTACCCGCATCCAGCTCTGATAGTTGCAATGATAGCCAGATAGAGATTGACTGACTTCTCCATGCAGATGCACAGCAGCTCACCAGGTAGTGCTCCAAGTGAGCGGAATTGGTTTGCAAGGGCAGTAGAACTGGCGTCTAGCTCTTCGTAGCTGAGAGTCTGCATATCTGGTCCATGGTCGGTAATGCTTGTGGCGAAGCGCAGAGCAGGAGCGGAAGGTATGTTCTGAGCAAATGATCGTAGGTTACTGAGTAGACCTCCACGCGGCACGCAACTTGACGGATGTGGGTTGGACTTGGATAGTAGATTGCTTGGCATGCGGCTGCCCAGGTCCTTGACTGGGCTATCAGGAGACGCGACGATTATCTGTACGATCGCATCCAGCTGCTGGAGAAAAACCTGGACCTGTTCGCTCGAGATCATGCTTTCCTCATAGGTCAATTTCGCTTGGATAACATCTTGTATGGGAGCCACTTCCAAAACGAAGCTGAACTCATGTCGGTCCACGGAGTCGACTTCTTGAAGAGAGGCGTGATCATCGTGCTGTGAAATTGTGCTCTCTTGCCATAGGAACAATGTATCGAACAGTCTCGACCCTGGCGCTGTTCCAACGGCACTCTTGATCTCAGCCAGTGGTATGAGTCCATGACTCTGCACTGCACGGTTCTGCTGCTGGATCGATAGCAGAAGGTCCGAGCACGTCAGCGAGGTGAAAATATCCACTCGAGACGGTAGCGTCATCAAGCAAGGCCCGACAATCCGATCGATATCGTCGATAGGCAGGTGGCGGCCAGAGTAGACAACGCCATATGTGACATCTGTGCTGCCCGTCAAGCAGCCGAGAAGGTATGTCATGGCGGCCTGGAAAACGACAGCAGGAGTGCATCCTAGATCTTGCGCTTTGTCCCGGACTGTCGAGGCATCCGAGGTGAGACTCTGCCATGCTGTCCGTTCTTGCTGCTTTGCAACCTGCTTCCCGTTCATGTGCGGAAACAAGGTTGGACTGAAGTCTCCCAGATGACCCTTCCAGAAGTCAAGGTCGTCGGTGTGGACTCTTGATCTGATGTGTCGAAGAGACTGCTCAGACACTAGGGCGTGCGAGGGCGGAGGATCGATCTTGCCACCTCTCAGGAGCAAGCAAAGATCGTTTCGAAGGACATCCATTGACCATTGGTCATAGAGCGAGTGGTGTATAGCGAGTCCGAATCGTATTCCATCGCCCTCAACTAGCACCTGGAAGCTGCTAGGATGAAGTAGCTCAGATTCATCCTTGATCCGGAAATCGTTGTCGAATTTGTCAACATGTCGAATCTGCCACGGCTGCGATTCTTTCCAGACAATGACAGCATGAGTCGTCACAAAGCCGTGGACCGCCACGAAGCCCGCCTTAAGAAGGCTGTGCTGCTGAAGCAGGCTGCGTAAGGACTTTTCGACTGTCTCTGGCGAGCATACGAAAGGTACGGCCAGCTCAACCCAGTTGCAGTAGAGCCGTTCGTCTCGCAGAGTCTCACTCAACATTGCAGACTGGACTGGCGAGGCGGGAAATACGTCGTCAACAAGACTCATGTTGATGTTCGACTGCTCCTGCACTGCGTCTCGAAGCTCCTTACCTTCATCCGAAACAGACTGGATGACCTCTTGTACGTCAGAGTCCCGTTCAAGATCGGTAAGCAGTGTGTCAATGTTTCTCACGGTGCGACAGCCGAGCAGCTCGACCGCGTTAGGCTGAGCAAAGCCTGCCTTCTTCAATTGCGAAGCCAAGTGTATCGATGACAGTGAGTCCAGTGGTAGTGATGTCTGAGCGGTCAGCGAGGTCTGCAGTACTGCTGATGCCACATCGGTGATCCGCTCCAGGCGTGGGTTTGTATCTCCCTCTGGCGCAGCGGACGCTTTTTTCTTCTGAGCGTAGACATCATGTAGCTGTTTTCGATTTGCCTTTCCAGAATCAAGATATGGAAGCTGCTCAAGAATCACGACATCTGCTGGGACCATGAATGCCGGAAGCCACTCACGGCAAACCCTCAGCACCTCGTCTGGCGTCAAATCATCCCCGGAAACACAGAAGACGACTAGTGCTCCGTCGATGACATCCGCAACGACCGTCTGACAGCCGGGTGTCTTCGACGCAGCATATTCGATCTCCCCGAGCTCGATTCTTTGACCTACGAACAGAAGGGCGAAAGGTTTAGCGAATGTCTCAGACTTGTTAGGGTTTTGCCCATAGGTTTCGTACCTCGCAGCTTGACTTGACCGCCAGAAATCCGTCCAAGACACTCCAGCACGCCACTATCAGTCACCCTCGCTCGGTCTCCCGTGCGGTATAGACGACCGTATTCCGGATGCACGAAGAACGAGGCTTCAGTCTGTTCGGGACGATTCAAGTAACAGCCAGCGAGCTGGTATCCACCCACTGCCAGCTCTCCTTCTTCGCCTAGTGGAAGTACATCGCAGCCTTCACTCGCTGACTCTTCCTCCGACGCCGCCGGAATGATGAACGCAGAGACGGTGTCCAGAGGAATGCCGATGTTCCGTACCGACATGTCTTTTGAGAGTGCCGTCTGCAGGGTGCAGTGTATCGTTGCCTCCGTTGGTCCGTACATGCCGTATAGGATCGAGGGCTCATCCGCGGAACCGCCGAAGTTCTCAACTACGTCCTGTTTGAGCATTTCACCGATCGTCAGCAGTAGTTTGAGATCGGGTACATTCTGCCTGATCCGCAGCAGACTGCTAGCGACTGAAGGTGTGAGCTCCGCGGCGTCGACTCTCATCTCATTGATGAATCCTGGCAGATCTGTCAAAAGCTTTCGCCGTACACCGCAGATCAAAGTTGAGCCCCTGTACAAAGGGAAGAAGATCTCGAAGACGGAGACGTCGAAAGTTGGGCTTGCAAACTGCAAGAAGCGGGAGAATGCTGGTATGTGTGGCTCATGTGCGAGTAAAGCTTGGGTGGCCGCAGAATGTGAGATGAGGACGCCTTTAGGTAGACCGGTGCTTCCGCTGGTGTACATTACGTAGGCTGGATGTGACGTATCGACGGCGGGTGTAGGTGGTTGTTGCTCGACTTCAAAGCGGTCGGCATCTAGTACTAGCACAGTGACACCATCCAGAGCTGGCACCTTGTGCTGAAGTTGTGGCGTTGTGAGAACCACCTGCGCTCCGACGTCTTCACAGATAAACCGGAATCGCTCTTCCGGTGCATCGACTGGGATTGGACAGAATGCTGCTCCAGCCTTGAGAATGGCCAGTTCCGCGATGTAGAGCGATGGACTCTGTTCGATGAGCAGCGGCACGATGAATCTTGAGTTGCCGGCGCTTGGAGAGTTTTCCCATATTGCCCACAGTCGGTATGCAAGGCCATTCGAGCGCTCGTGGAGCTCTCTGTAGGTCAGACGGTCATGTGCGTCGTCAATAGACAGGTACTCGATGGCTACCTCGTCCGCAGTCTCGTTTGCCACAAGGTCGTGTAGTAATGCTGGTCCTGGTATCTTTCGAGGAGGGTGATTGAGTATCGACATCTGGCTCTCCATCTTGTGTAGAAGACAACAACACCAACACGTTGAAGGCGCTCAGCTTCTTCGGTTGAGGTGGTGTATGGCTTCTCGCAGAGACAGCGATAGCCCGCCTTCCTTACTCTCTCTCACGGCGGGTAATGCCGGGTTCGGACTCGCGGTGGCCGTACCGAAGCAGTCATGGGGATCAAAAGCAATCTGCCAGCGATACCGCCGAAGCACTCGTGATGATGACTAAATGGGTGTAGCCTTAGATCTCACTACACCTCGTGAATGTTGAAGTCGTCTTTCATGTGACGAATGCACGAAAGAGGCATGGCGTCGATCGTCATCCCTGTCGATATCTTTGCTTATGATCACGACGCGACACGACTTTATCTGGTTGTTCGCATCAACACGGCAAATATGGCCAACACTGAGCACCAAAACCGACTTCTTCAAGACTATGTTGTACCACGACTGCGCTACTGTTCGCTGGCTTCTACAGACACAGCATCTCCTGGCCAACATTCACCAGCTGACGAGACACCTAATGGGCACCCCCCTCTCGCCTCCGGGGCAGTCAGTGCATTTAGATTCGATGCCGACAACGCTGCCATGGTCTGCCGCTACTGCATCCTACCCGAACAATACACTGGGCATACGCAATGCGACCCACCGATGGCTGTCTTTCTTCTGCTCGAGCGTTCCTCAGGACTGATCGTCTAATCAGATCGTGATCTGATAAAATTTCTGCTTTTGCTTGGCGAGACGATCTTCGTCTCCGTCGTTATTCGCATGCGCTTGCAGACATGCTTCCCGGCCGTCGAGCCGGATGAGGTTTGTGTGCGTTTCAATTTACACATTCTCTGCTGTCATTCGAGGTGTCAGGTCGTCCCGTCGAACCTTATTGGTTAGAGGTCTCGAACGACATCGCACCTCGCACTTCCTCCAGAAGGCCTGCCATTCACATGCCCTCTTTACTGCTAAGTCCTACGTTCGCTTAGCCGGTCCTGTCCTCTGTCCCGAAGCGGTCGATATTCACTGTTGCAGCTCTATCTCCCGGATCGCTTCTGCTACTGCTGTATGCATTTCCAATTCTCAAGCAGGTGTCTGTTGATGGCCAGATGATTGTAATTACATACCATCGCCGCCGGGCAGGCAATAGTTTGCCATAGGTGTTGACGACAGGCATGGCAGCACGAGTCTCTCATAGCCGCACGAGGGAACCTTCGGAGGCCATCGGCAACGATGACATACCTTCACAAGAATACAACCATCGAGACTCGACAGCAGGCCTGGAAGATACCACTTTCAATCCAGGACAACCGCGACCATGGCACGCTCCGATGACAACAATGTCCCTCAAGCTGTGGAAACAGATCCTCGGACTCAACCCTTTCAAAGGATCATACTTTGGGCTCTTCCGGACACTAGATAGCACGCGGGATCAAGCTATTGCGTACTGTGGTGTCTTGTTCGCTATTGCAGCTGGGGTGCCGTTGCCAATTATCGTACGTATTGAAAGGCTCAGAGCTCTCACTTCTCACTCACCTTCGCCAGGGCGTCATATTCGCACAAATCATCGGCGATTTTCCACCAGATGAGGCCGCGCTGGAAGATCACATCGTCCAGCTCATTGGGATCGCGGTTGCATACTTCGTTGTAACAACAGCATATACCACATTCTTTGCCCGGACTGGAGAGCGGATAGCGATCCAACTACGAAGAAGGCTGCTCAGGACATTGCTCTATGTCGACCAGGCCTTTCTAGACGTCGAGGACCTTGACTACAATGGGCTCCTGCGTGATAGCATCGATACCATCCAGGTCGGCTGCTCGGAAAAGGTTGGGATATTCATTCAGTCGATGTAGGTGCATCATGATTGAGGGCCTGCACCGATACAACCGCTGACCGTCCATACTTTTATGCTCCAGGTCATATTTCGTCGCGGCCTTCACCGTCGGCTTCATCTTGAACGCCAAGCTGACCGGCATACTGTTCGCGGCTGTGATACCTTCCATGATAGCCGTGGTCTCGCTCGGGTCAACGTCGATCTCGAAATACACACGCCGGGTGACGCATCACACCGAGAAAGCCAACGCCGTCGCTTTAAGCGCTTTGCGGGCGGTCAAGATTGTGCAGGCTTTCGACATGATCGCGAATATCTGCCAACTTCATTCTGATCAGCTGTCAGAATCTGCAAGGCTTGGACTCCGGAAAGCGATCGCCTCAGCGCTAGAGCTCGGAGGTGCATACTTTGTCGCCTACGCCGCCAATGCTCTTGCATTCTACGTTGGCAGCCATATGGCAGCGGCCAATGAAGCAGGCGGCGATGCTGGAACCATCTATGCTGTGGTGTTTCTCATCCTTGATGCTTCTTTTGTCGTCGGACAGTTTGCACCCTTTCTTGAGATCTTCTCTCGCGCCGCCTCTGCCTACGGCAAGATTCTGGAGGTCCTCGAAATCAGACCAACGGAACGATCAAACCGGCCGCACGACCACGGAGATATATCTCTGCGAGGGCAAGACGTACGGATTAATAATGTTACCTTTGCGTATCCTGCGAGACCGGATGCACAAGTGCTCAATGGCCTTGACATGCATTTTCAGCCGGGCACGTTTAATGCCGTCGTAGGGTACGATATAGCTCCCACACATGGAACAACAAAGCTGACATTATTGCAGAACTTCTGGCGGTGGCAAGTCGACGCTTGTATCGCTACTCCTGCGAGTCTATGATTACGACGGAAGCATCAGTATCGGCAACCACGAGCTGATGGAGATGAACAAATTCGAGCTCCGATCGCAGATTGCCGTGTTGGATCAGGACTGTGTACTGTTCTCCGGCTCGATCTTCGAGAACATCCGATACGGACTGGTTGGGCGATCGCTGTCAGATGCCGACTCGGTCAGGCTGTGTGAGCAAGCTGCAGCAGATGCAGGCATCGACTTCCTCCCAGAGCTGTCGAACGGTATCCATACGGTTGTGGACAATACGACGCAGCTCAGTGGAGGTCAACGACAACGAGTCTGTCTTGCTAGAGCGCTTGTTTCAAAACCAGCAATACTTATCCTCGACGAGCGTAAGCCCGGCCACAATGGTCTCATCCACAGTACCCTAGCTGACAAAACGTACAGCAACATCTGCACTCGACGCCCGCAGTGAGCTCAAGGTCATGGAAGCGATACGTACGGCAGTCGCGAACGGCATCACCGTACTGATGATTGCCCATCGTCTCTCCACCGTGCTTTCCGCGGACCAAGTAACAGTGCTGCAAGACGGTCGCGCGGTCGAGCAAGGTACACCAGCTGAACTAACCAAAGATGGTTCCATCTTCTCGGGCCTTCTGGCCGCGCAGGCTGTCAACGGCGACAGTCAGACGCAGATCGTGGAAGTCTCAGACAGCTCGACTGACGAGATAGAGAAGCCAACGAGGCTCCGGAAAGACTCCGAGACTACCGAAACAGGCGTCATTGAGAAAGACGGCGAGCCGTCGTTAGCAACCATCTCTCGCAGTTTTCTCAGACTCACCCGTCCGGACCACATCCTCGTTGCTGCGGGAGCAGTAGCGTCCATGATCTCTGGTGGTATGATCATTGGAGAAGCCATCATTTTCGGCCACCTGGTCCAGCTCCTCAACACCGGCCAAGGGCGCTCGGACTTCCAATCGACGGCCGACTTTTACTGCCTGATGTTCTTCGTGCTGGCATGCATAGCATTGCTGTCTTTTGTTGGAAGCGGCACTGCGTTTGGTATTGCATCCTCCCGCTTAGTGGCACGGGTCCAGGCAGAGCTACTGAAGACTGTGCTTCGCCTTGATCTGGCTTGGTTCGCAGAGAAGGACCGCTCGGCAAGTGCACTGGCGTCTACTTTCGCAAAAGACTCGTCGGATCTATCATGCCTCTCGGGCGTCGCTCTGGGCACTGTCTGCACCGTCATCGTCTCTATCATTGGCGGAACCGTGCTCGCGCACGTCGTTGCCTGGAAGATCGCTGTCGTCCTTCTCGGTGCTGTGCCAGTCATGATCGCATCTGGGTTCATACGAATCAATCTCCTCGGGAGGTCCGAGCGACGACATCGGACGGCTTATAGCGAGGCCACTGGAGTCGCGGTAGAAGTCTGCCATAGCCGCCGCACAGTCGCGATCCTCGGTCTGGAGGAGTTGTACCTGGAGCGGTATCATGAAGGTTTGCGCAAGCCTTACAAAGCTGGGTTGATCCCAACGGTTACTTGCAATCTGTTTCTGGCCTTTTCTCTGGCTATTACTTACTTCGTCTATGCATTGGCGTACTGGTGGTATGTACCGGTTAAGTCTTTTCAGAAGACTTCGCACTGATCAGATTTTAGGGGCTCGAGACAAGTCAGGAACGGCACATACAACCAGCAGCAGTTCTTCACTGTGCTGCCGGCGCTCTTGTTCTCAGCGCAGTCGGCTGGCCAGTTGTTTTCGCTGTCGTACGTCCTCTCGCTCGCCTGCAGTAATGAGATGATTTGCTGACAGGGCTTCCTCATAACCACAGTCCCGAACTCGCTCGTGCAAGAACAGCCGCCGCGAGCATCTTCAAGCTGCTCTCGTCTCGGCCCAGCATCCTGACCTCCACCCCCGACGACCTACAGTCAGAACCGGAGAAGTCATTGACGTCCAGCCTTGACAGCCTGGAAAAGTACTCAGACGCCAAGATACAATTCCGTAACGTAAGCTTCTCGTACTCGAATGGAGCACCTGTCCTTGACGACGTCAGCTTTGGGATCACCGAAGGCCAGACGGTGGCGTTGGTAGGACCTTCTGGTGCTGGCAAGTCGTCGATTGTCTCACTTTTCGAGCGCTTCTACGACCCTACCGCAGGCGAGATCCTGTTCGACGGTACTGATTTACGAGATCACGATGTACGAAAGCTGAGAGGCCGACTCTCGCTACTATCACAAGACGCAGAGCTCTTTCCTGGCTCGATACGCCACAATATTGCACTTGGCGCATCTGATCGAGATGTCTCACAACAAGAGATCGAAGCGGTCGCCAACCAATGCGGCATCCACGACTTTGTTTCCAGCTTACCAGAAGGCTATACTACAGAATGCGGCGCTGAAGGCAACTCGCAGCTGTCTGGTGGCCAACGCAGTCGCATCGCTTTGGCACGAGCCCTCCTCCGCAATCCAGAGTGTCTTCTGCTCGACGAGCCGACTGCATCTCTCGATGCTGTGAGCGAGAAACAGGTTCAAGAAGCGCTGCAGGCAGCTGCAAAGGGGAGGACAACTGTGATTGTTGCACATCGTTTGGCAAGCATACAGCATGCTGACAACATTATTGTTCTTGATGGCGGAAGGGTGGTGGAGCAAGGGTCTCATGCTGAGCTGGTACAAAAGGGTGGCCTATACGCGAGCATGGCAAAGGCGCAGGCACTAGCATGAATTGATTGGTTCGACCATGACACGATTCTCGTCCTCGTGCTCACTCTCGCTCTGACTCTCGCCTTTCCTCGTCTAGTCGATCTGTGCTTCTCCCGCGCAAGCCAGGACCTCTCAACACCAACTTTCTCCGCTGCTACGGAGCATCCATCTTCCTCGCTTGTTAGCCTCAGCTAATGCAGCTAGACAATGCATAGTCCGCATGTGATCCGTTCTCGGAGCGGAAATGGTTCGATCAGATAACCTTGTTCCTACCTCAAACCACCAGCCATCTGACGGCATGACGCCGGCGTCTTCCCTCAGCCATGCAGCGCGTTGCAGACTTTTCCATCCCGCGTATCTCGGACCTGTCGTCGCTTCGGCTGCAGGGAAGACTTTTCCAATCGTCGGGCCTTGATCCTTATCTGATTAGATGGCCAAGAAACGGTGTGAGACGTCGAGTTGATTCGCGCGCGATGGTATCCTGACGACATCGGTTTTGGAGTGGGATACGCGGCCTCATCATCGTATTACTTTTGACTTTGGCTCGTTGAGATGAATGATCCATTGTGTTGTTGCTTTGACGCCAGACGAACGTTCTCCGACTTCGGGTAGATGGTGTTTCGTCCTGTCGTGCCTACGTTATTCCTTCTGCTGTGGTACTTGCCCTTATCCTCCGAGTTGCCGGTATACTTTGTTGGTGCACCAGCACGAGGCATTTCTTTTCGGCTCTCATGATGTCGCCACATGCCGTCTTTCCTGATCAGATGCAGAGCTCAACTGAACCGACAAGCAATGGCGATACCAATGGCATATCGCAAAGCTCTCACCTAGAGCGCTGGGACGACGATGAGCTTCACGACCTTCTGTGTGTTGGCTTTGGACCGGCTTCTTTAGCCATTGCCGTAGCACTGCACGATGCGTTCGAGGCGAAAGACTGCGGCCTGTCCACGCGACGTCCAAAAGTTCGCTTCTTGGAACGACAGGGGAGGTTCGCCTGGCATGCTGGTATGCTACTTCCAGGGACGAAGATGCAAATCACGTTCATCAAGGACCTGGCGACATTGAGGAATCCTCGAAGCCACTTCACCTTTTTGAACTACCTCCACCAGAAAAATCGACTGGTCCAGTTCACCAACCTTGGCACCTTTCTCCCGGAGCGGATAGAGTACGAAGACTATATGAGATGGTGTGCTGAACACTTCGAGGAGGTGGTCGACTATGGCCAGAGCGTCGAAGCAGTCGGGGTGGACAGCAGGAATGCCAGGACTGGGGCAGTGGAGTCGTTCAGCGTTCGCTCTGTCGACAGCAAAACTGGACGGCGGCGTACCACCAGAGCAAGACATGTGGTCGTTGCGGTTGGAGGAAAGCCTAGCATCCCAAAAGAGCTGCAGGCGAACCATCCTCGTGTCATTCACTCATCACAGTATGCAACCAGCATTGAAAAGATCTTTCCCGAAGGAACACAGCCGCGATCGATAGCAGTTATTGGTGCTGGCCAGAGCGCTGCAGAGATCTTCCACAACATCCCACAGCGGTTTCCGGAATGTCGGTCGCTTCTGTTGATTCGAGGGGCCGCATTGAGACCGAGTGACGATTCCCCGTTGTAAGTGGTCACCATTACCCGCCTCCTGAGGCATCCTCCACTGACCAGCTGCAGTGTCAACGAAATTTTCGATCCCAACCGAGTGGACGACGTCTACTCGCAGGATCCAGAAACTCGAGCAGACGGTATTGCATCAGACAAGGCCACCAACTATGGTGTCGTCCGATTGGAGCTTCTCGAAGAGCTCTACACGCTTCTGTACTCCTACCGAATACGATACTCGTCTGAAGACCAGTGGCCGCATCAGATCCTCAACCATCGATCCGTCACCGGCATGAATGATGCCGTCGATGGCCAGCCGGGAGTCCAACTCCATGTCCGCAACAATACCGGCGCTCATCACGCTGATGGCAAGTCAAGATCAGAGGTTTTGGATGTTGACCTTGTCGTGGTGGCGTCTGGGTACCAACGGAATGCTCATGAAGAGATGCTGCAAGGTATCGAGCAATTGCGCCAGCAAGGAAAAGATGGATCCAGTTCTTGGGAGGTCAATCGCGATTACAGCATCAAGTTTCAGGATGGAGTGGTTGAGCGAGATGCTGGCATATGGCTACAAGGTTGCAATGAAGGTACGCATGGGCTGTCGGATACGCTGCTGTCGATCCTGGCGACCAGAGGTGGAGAGATGGTGGAGTCGATTTTTGGAACAGGGTGATGGTTAGTCGACTTCTGTATCTGGACTTCACGACTCCAAAATTCACCTACTTGACAGAACTACCATGTGATCACAAACTTCACATGCTTGATCGTACCATGTGATCAGACCCACTTTTTCTCAAGCTCATAAACAACTTCAACATCACCAGCTCGACCTCAGACTCATCACTCAACAAGAACTTGCAGCTTGAACACTGACCTCCGAATCACCACTGGCTACTGCCTTTTCCACAATCATGAAGCGGAAAAGGGCAGTTGCGAAGCAGCCGGCTTCCCGCGTCCACAAGGCATGATCACGAGTGATCGACACCATGACAGTATGCTAACGCTGGAGACCTTAGACGCAAAAAGCAGATATGAGCTCCTCCATCGAATCTACGGACACCGCCATCGGGAACTCCGTCACCAAAGTCTTCGGCATCACTGAGCTGCTCGAGCAGGTACTGGTCAAAGTCGACTTCAAGACTCTTCTGCTGTCGCAGCGAGTGAACCACATGTTCGAACAAGTCATCAAGGGCAGCAAGATGCTACAGAAGAAATTGTGCTTTCTCCCGGTCGATTCATTCGAGGAGGCACTGGCACTGGGCTTTGCGGAAGAGGGGGGTGTTCTCTTGCGGCTAGATTCCTTCGATGACCTCGTCAGTTCAGGGCATGTTTGTGTCCAGCCAAGTTTCCTCAACAGCCACTTGTTCCACATAGTGGACCGCTGGCAGCCAGAAAGACTTTGGAACTTCCCCAAGAACGGCTTCAAGCTCCGTGCTGCACCTATTGCTGGTGCAAACAAATCAATTTCTACCGTCCAAAAGAGTGCGGAGAGAACGTTACTCGCACAGCCACCGACAAACAATCACTTCCACAAGCTCGAGATCCGGAGTTCTGCATACTGGCAACCGGGTCCTTTCGATGTCGACCTGACCATGGACTTGGGAATGGGCGACGTCGCCAAAAGAATCGGTTACGTCAACTACCAGACCGCCATTCAAGCGCCAAACTCACAAGACCCCTTCCGCGGATATCTCAAGGCGGCCCGGGACTTCATGCGGTTCAAAGGCGAGAGCGAAGGCATCGATTCAAGCCTGCCGTGGTTTCCCATAGCGTGAAAGGTTGACGAAGAGGGCCATTACCACATGAAGGAGGAAGACAACGCATCCCGACGGAAACCGTTGGCGACCTTAGGCGAGATCACGGTCAGCAAGGCGAGCTGAGACCCAACATATCGGTACACAGGGCAAGTCTACCCGCCGAGGCATGGTCCACGATTCTTGGTGCCCTCGAGCATGGTGGGCAACTTGACAGTTCAGAACATTGAGATGGGAGAGTGAAAAGAGGCTGCCAGAAGACTTGTCTATGGCGAGGCTTCTTGGCCGTTTGCTAGCCGTGCAATCAGTACTCATAGAAACCCTTCCGACTCTTCTTGCCCAGCCATCCAGCATCAACCATCTGCCTCAGCCTCACCGCAGGCCGGTATTTGCTGTCACCCAGCCCCGCGTGCAGCACCTCCATGATACTCAAACACGTATCCAACCCAATGAAGTCCGCCAACGTCAACGGACCCATAGGCACGTTCGTTCCGTTCTTCATGATATCGTCGATGCTCTTCGCATCGCCAACTCCCGTCTCCAAGCATATGATCGCCTCGTTGATATATGGCATCAATATCCGGTTTGCAAGGAAGCCGGGTGAGTCAGCTGAGGTAGAAGTGATTTTGCCCATCTTCTCGCAGAAGGCAATGGCAGTTGCGAGTGTTTCGGCGGATGTCTGGAGGCCAGAGATAATCTCGACACCTTTCTGGACCGGCACTGGGTTCATGAAGTGCGTGCTGACGACTCTTGAGCTAGCTGAGAGGTCCTTGGGGTCTTTGGTGGTCGCAGCAGCTATGAGTGTGATCGATATCGAGCTCGTGTTGGTTGCTAGGATCGCGTGCGGAGGACATATCTGAGCCAAGGAGGAAAAGATGGACTTCTTCAGTTCAATGATCTCCGGCACCGCTTCAATTACCATATCCATATCTCCTAGATCATCCATCTTGGTGGTCGTCTGTAGCCGTTGTCGGGTGGAATCTGAATCTGATTGGGAAATCTTCTCTTTCTGGACGTCCTTCGCGAGCAATTTATCGGCGAAAGACATGCCTTTGTCCAGGCTTTGCTGAGAGTTGTCCACGACTGTAACTGGTACTTTGGCCATTCGCGATGCCGTCAGAGCGATTCCCAGTCCCATCTGACCTGCACCAATTACACCCAGCTTCTTGACTTCTGCTGCTTGCGCTAAGGTAGGCTTGCTGGAGGAGAAGTGTCGGCATTGTGCGCAGATATAGCGCCTCGATAGGCTGTTGAGGGCGCGAGTGGTGTACATGTTGGCGATCGTCATTGATGGTGTATTCAATGGCTCGGAGAAGAGTTGTTGATGTCTTTGAACTCGAGCTCTCGGCAGACCTCGGCTGATGACGTTCCGGCAAGCTTCGGCCTAGCGCAATCTAAGCTTATCTTAGCGCGACGCGTGAAAGTCCAACGCGACTTCCATTAGCATTCGAACGGTATTTGACGACTTGGTACGTTTGCCGGAGCCATTGGACGTTACGCAGTTTGCATAACACCACATGGGATAGCGACATCAGTTTACGGACCTTTTACAGCAAGGATGAAGACTCGGGCGAAGAAAGGCACCGCATCCGCCTCACAGCAGGACAAGGAGGCGCAACCAGCATCGAAGATACAACAACTGGATCCCAGCATCTCCAACCCGCCCAAAGTCTTCATATTGCCTCAAGAAGCATCGCCGGCGGCTCGTATAGTGACACTGCCGAACCCAGCAACAGCCGCGCCAGGTCGTTACTTCGTCTGCCCGGACAAGGGGTTCTACGAATTCACCAGAGTCGCCGCACCGAAGAGAGCCTGTAAAAGTTGGCTACTGGCTCCAGAGTCACCTGATAACGGCGATGCTCTACCACCTATGGCAGACTCCAATGTAGCTCGCGATGATGAGGGCTACGTTCTTCAGACGGCCGACGTGATGGTGGCGACACCTCTAGATCCTCTGTTCCTGCTGCTGCCGGCATTGTCCGAAGACCAGAGGAATGGCGCGGCGCAGATGTTCCTCTCGACGTCTGACTACCTGGACAGGCTAGGAGAGCAGTCGGCTCATTTCAAAGAGCTCATGCGCATTGACCGGCAATCTGGCAACACACTGGAAGCGATGTTGGAGAGACGGATGCTGGTCGTATGTGAATCGATGGAAGCGGGAGACGAGACCTTGTGCAAATTGTCAAATGAGAAATTGCTTAAGGTTCTGGTGGGCAAAGCTAGAAGAGTGGTGGAACACGGCCTACCTCCAAGCATGGAGGAGCACTTCGTTAAGCAAGCTCTCGTCGTGCCAGTGATGAGTGTGAAGAGGGAGGAGAGCGGTGCTAGTATGGTCGTTGGAGAGGAGACACAGGATGCAGAGGCAGGAGCCTCACAGGATGGATCCACAGCGGCCGGAACATTACAAAGCACAGAATCCAGCAGCTTCACGATATCGAGCGACTCCACTACAGCCACATCGATCGTTCCAACGCCGACATCACAACTTTCAACTTCGGACGGAAACATACAACACCTCCTACGCCTTCGCACAGCGCTCGACTATCTCATGGCATCTTACGTACCCATGCCGCTGCGCACGGCTTTTACCAGCATGCTGTCTGGCAAAGCTGACCTCATTGACTTCAGTCCATTGGACGTTCACCTCGCACATCTCGCCAAGCTCAAGTCGGAAGCACAAGCCTTGCGAAGTCTAAGCGAGAACATTAGCCGAAAGCGCGGACTGGAGGATGATGACGAGGCCCTAGAGAAAGCAGAGGTGAAGAGAAAGAAGAAGGAAGATGAGGAGTTCCGGAAGAAGAATATGAGTCGCGGCGTGCAGCAGTTGAAGAAGGCGGACACGAGTGGAATGAAGAAGCTGAGTTCATTCTTTGGAAAAGCGGCCACCAAGAAGGCGTGAAAGTTGTGACCGCATTGCGCTGGCAGTGTTCGATGGTCTGCAAGGCGTGCGACTGCACAGCCACCGTCCTTGACTTGGTTTCCAGTGCGTCAGGATGACAAAAGGCTGTGTCGTTTCAGCTCACTTGACTTGCGGTACCATCTCCCCGGAGTCAGAAGATCAACTGCCACGATATGCAAGCCTTACGAACAAGTTCTTCGGCGAATGGACCCGGCCAGACGCATGCCCCATTGCGATTTTCGAGGTCCACAAGTCCGTCATTGCACAGCCTCGTTGCACAACAGTCTTTCGTTGACGGCAACCGACATGACGAAACGAGCTAGACCTCGAAGGCAGCTGGGCAAGCAAACAACTGCGTCAGCATCTCGAGATTCCTTCGAGATGCAACATGATGATCACGACCGCTCACTCGCTTTAAATCGGACTTCGAGCTCTACAAGCACCTCGACTGAGCCGTCTGGGCGACAGCAGAATGGCGTCTAGACCAGGCTTCGAATATAGATCTCTCGATCGCACAGCCGGCAGCCGTCACAACGAGCATGCTTCGGATCAAAACCGACCTGGCCTTGGTATCGAAATACCGTATCATAGACCTGCTCAGGGTCAACAACCACCATCAAAGTTGGCACGACTCGACAGCACGCCCGCCAGTATCGAAGGCACGACTGAGGAATCTTCCAAGCTCGGATCATCGTCGGCCCTCGGGGACTGGACTGGCGAGACAGTGTGTGATGAGTTTGAAGCCGGTGACCTCTCTGGGCACGCTGACAACGACTCTGCCAGACAACGAGGGATGCGCGCATGGACCGCCGACATATCCAAACCATCCGAAAAGTCAGCGCCCAACGATAAGGCCATGGGGTCCAGTACATTGAAGAAGAGCAAGTGCGGTTGGTTTTCCATTGCAATGCTACTGCTCTCATTATTCTCGACGGTGTTCAGTAGAATCTTCCTCGTCATTGCCCTCAGAGCTCCGCGTTACGGAAGGAACGTAGGAACAGATGGAGCTCTGACAGTCTCCAACGCGGCCTTTCTCACCTCTGCCCTGGCGAAATCGACCGAGGTGTCGTTCGTCACGGTCGTCATCGCCTTTCTCGGGCAATGCATCGCACGTCGGGCTTCCACGAACGACAAGCAACCCGGTGTCACTCTAGCTGAAATGGCCACGCGCACCTGGGTATCTGAGCCGGGAGCTATGCTCACCCAGTGGGAGAGTGTACGATGCGCCGGCTGCTCCTGTTTAGGGATCCTCGTCGTTGTCTCAGCGATCGCTGCAATGCTCTACACGTCTGCCGCGGCTGCACTCGTGCTGCCGCAACTCAAGTTCTCTCACTGGGAGCGCATCGCGATGTAAGGCCTGGTCGCAACAGCTTTCGCCAACACTCTCTATGTCCAGAAGAATTGCAAGACTCCTATCACAACAGCGTCAGATCTAGACGGGGACGAAGACGCACAAAGCACTTGCCTACAGATTGAACTTGCTTCTCAAGCATATCATAACTACCAGCATTGGCTCAGCGATTGGACAAACACTGCCACTGCTGGAAAGGGAACCTCGAGTCTTGCGTCTCGCCCCAAAGGGCGGGCTCTGTTCAATGACAACACCACCGTCATCGGTTCGTGGATCGAGCAGAGGCCAGTGACCTTGCATAGGCCGCAAGGCTGGGTGGTCAAAAATGTCACAATGGCCTATCCGCATCCAGGAGTGGTGCAAGCAGCGCAGGATCCCTCCAACGGCATCATGCAGCCAAATGAACTCAGTGGTATCGATATCTACAGCATCAGGGCTTCCGTGCCGTCGCCGTTCATCAATGTGCTTTGTGCGACAGGTATCAACGAATCGTCGCTGGCACCGCTCGTATACGCTAAGTGGGCCAACGCATCTTTGCCCGTGAACATGAGGACATTGCCAAACCAGGTGGACACCCCAGATCCATATCTGGGTGGAACGGAGTTCGATAGCCTGTTCGAAGGGGGCCCGGATTACGGCTTGTCCAAATGGCCACCAGTCTTCCCGAAGCTGCCCGCGGAATACAACACCATTGCCAACGACACGACAGGCTGCGATTATGGACGCAACGCCGTATATGTCCTTGGCAAAGGTGGTGACCTGGTCACCAACAATTTCGCTCTTTGCGAGCTTCGAGTCGGTCAGACGCCAGCGTGCTCCACCCAATACAATGCTTCTTCGAATGTAGCCACCCTCGAGGTCATCTGCGAGGACCCTAATGACCAAATGTCGTTCCTCTCTTCCTCACCAATCGCAGTGTCTGGCAATGCCTCGTACAGTAACGAATGGCCCAAAATTGCCAGCATGTGGATCAGAAGTATCAACATGGACTCCGGCGCTGTCGAGCCGAACTCTTCCAATGCCCGGTTATGGCCCGAACTGCTCTTCGCCGAACCGCAGTACGACTGGACCGGAGAGCTGGTGCTTGACAAGAACCTGCCGTCCCCTGCGGAGGCCCTTGCGGTCATGTCCGGCTGCACTCTCCTGCAGAGCGCTCAAGATGCACCGTTCGTCGAGTTCTGGAACTACTCGGGCTTTGGAAACATGCTTGAGCTTCCTACACGGCAGTGGTTCACGGCGTCGGTTCACCAGCAGCAATACGCTTCCGGTGGTACTGCAGGCTATGAACAGGCTTTCAACGTTGTCTTGTTTGCGGTATTCTTCATCAATGTCCGGATCCTGGTGTACTGGCTCTGGCATCGAGTTTGGTACATTGACTTCAGCGACCCAAGGATCTTGTTGGGACTTGCGATGAACAGCCACCCGAACAGACAGCTGGCAGAGAGCAGTCTGCGAAATAGTCCATGTGAAGGACCGCGGTATGACCAGTTTTGGAAAGTGCAAGAAAATGCCGATGGGCTTGTTCATATGGTCAGCCCTTCCCTGGAGAGTAAATGCGGTCAGAGGTCTTTGATCAGTAGTTGGAAGCCGCGCACTCCAAAGGTCTTCAGCCAGCTTGTCCAGACGGTGACAAGCCCGGTGTCCATAGTGAAGGAGAAGTTCGGCAGTTTCAGCAGGCTGAAGGGCTAGATGGGGCTGGCGTCTTGGTGGATTGTTCGGTCAGTATGACTTTTTGATGTAGTGCTAGCTCTTATGACAATTTCGCATGCGCATATGAAGACTTCTTGAACCCACCGACGTTCATTCATCCACCTCTTCTCCAGACCAGCAACCAGCTAGATTAGCCTTGGCGAAGCCCGGCTTCTTTAACGGCCAACCGGACTGTAGTGGAGTTGCACTTCTCAACGGCCCTCGATATGACGAATCTCGTAACAGAATATCATGTAACAACGACCGACCAAACAGTCCACTGCGATCCGGGAACTAGTATGTCTAATACTGGCATGAAGCCGCCGGAGGACGCCTCCGAACGGATCCATGCCCTCGTCCACTATGAAGACGACTACGTGCAGCCTCTCCTCATGGCCGCTCTGAAGGCACGCTTACCACCGGAAATTGTTCACTTTGTCGAGGTGAATACGCCTGAGAGTCCTCTTCGAGACCTACCAGACGGTCGACTGCTGCAATGGCGACAGTACGAATCTACCGACTTTGACCATGTGCTCTCACACACGGCGACCAGCCTGGCCAACTCGTATATTATCCGGAAGGCTCTCATCCGGAAACACTACTTATCTACTACTGTCGCACATTGGGTTGCCAAACATCCGTCTTCGCTTCTAAAGAACCATGTTAAGCCTGCCGTAGAGTTCGAGCTTGACTACGCGGAATTCCTGGACGATGCCTTGGATCAGGCAGAGGCTTGGGAGCTGAGGGAGAGCTGGCGGCGCAACGAGAGTCTGGAAGATGACGCAAAGGTGTGGTGGATATTGAAGCCCGGTATGAGTGAGCGTGGGCAGGGCATCAGGCTTTTCAGTTCGGAGGAGGAGTTGCAGGCTATCTTTGAGGAATGGGATCCTGCCGACTCTGACGACGAAGCAGAGGAGCAGCCAGACGATATTGAGGACTCAGATCAGGCTGGGAACAGTAATGGCGTCCAGCCCAATGGAGTCAGGACATCGCATCTTCGGCATTTCATCGCGCAGCCTTACATTCATCCTCCATTGCTTTTATCGCAACCTCATCCTTCAGCAGATCGGAAGTTCCATATCAGAACCTATGTCCTCGCCGCCGGGGCCTTGAGAGTGTGTGTCTGCAGACGCATGCTCGCCCTCTTCGCGGCAGAATACTACGTCTCACCCGCCAGTGATTCCGCATCACCGAACGAGGATCTCTCAGCCCACTTGACAAATACCTGCCTCCAGTCTGGAGAACGAGAAGGCAGCGTGCGAGACTTTTGGTCGCTGCCATCTGACATCCAGTCATCAACATTAGACTCAAGCTGGAAAGACAACGTCTTCGAACAAATCTGCGCTATCACAGGCGAAGTCTTCGAGGCAGCAGCTCGAGGCATGAGCATACACTTCCAAACTCTACCAAATGCTTTCGAGATATTCGGACTGGACTTCCTGGTAGATGCAGAAGGTACTGCATGGTTGTTGGAGGTAAATGCGTTCCCGGACTTCAAGCAAACTGGAGAGAAACTGCAGGGTGTGGTGAAGGGGCTGATGGAGGGCGTGATAGATGTGGCTGTTGCGCCATTCTTTGGTGTCGAGATCCAGCTGAAGGATGGCACAAACAGTGACAGCGCACTGATGAAAGTGTTGGATATCGATCTTGGTAGAAGATGATGCTCAAACCGCATGCCTCGGATTCGTTATCCTATATGGGTATCTTCCCGCGCCAAACGCTATGCAATGTTGAATGCAAACCAAAAACACACCTAGATACTCGCCCGTCTCGGCGCCATTGTCCGCCGCAGATTCCTCCGCTCCTCCGTCTCTTCCATCACCGGCAGCACCCCCTCTTCCCGCAGCTCAGCGAGGAAGCGCTGTCCGTATTGGTAGCCTACTTGGTATATCTCGTCGAACTTGCCAAACCTACACACGGCATTGTCAGCACAACATCTCTCAAACACATCGCCCGAACAATGAAAGGTAGGGTGGTCACTCACTCCAGCGTCCCATACGGCTCAATAGGCGGCCGCATATACCGACACCCGGGGATATTCTTCGCCCGCTCTAACGCATCCACCGAACTCACATACGCCAGCCGCGCCTGGATCTCCGACAACGTCGGCGGGTTGGGGTAGCTCGAGAACGGATTCCAGCGGTTCAAACTCGCCCAGAACCCGGACAGCGAGTCCCCGTAGGCCTGCGGGCGGTCGTCGTCCAGCGAGCCGACGTCGACGGCGAAGATGACGTCCGCTCCCAGGGATCGCATGTGCGAGACGGTCAGGTTGTCGACGTAGCCGCCGTCGAGCAGCATGTTGCCTTCGTCGCACATGGGTGGCAGCAAGCCGGCGAGCGACATGCTGGCGCGGATGTACCGCCACACGTAGCCGGAGGTGTGGATTTCCGAGCGCGACTTGCTGATGTTGGTCGAGTTGCAGTAGAAGTCGAGCCAGAAGTCTTCGATCTGGCTGTCGCCGAACGTCTTGAAGATGCCGCGGTTGAACTCGTGGCCCGTCGTGTAGGAGGCCGAGGGGTATGTGACGTCGAGGGCGAAGCGCCAGACGCTGCCCATGCGGCCGGCGAACTTCTTCACGCGGCCGTACATGGGGACCACGTCGGCGTCTTGCGCGTAGACGGCGCCGATGAAGGCGCCGATGGACGTGCCGCCGATGATGTCGATGGGGAGGCCGGCTTCTTCGAGCGCGCGGATGACGCCGACATGGGCAAGGCCGCGGGCGCCGCCACCTCCTAACACCAAGCCGACGGATTTGCCGCAGAGACGGCGGGCGAGGCGGTGGAAGTCGCCTTTGAAGGGCGTTTCAGCGGAGTAGAGGGGTGTCTGGCGGACTTTGCGGGAGGTGTATTTGTGAATCTCAGCTTGGAGGACTTGGACGCGCTGTTTGAGGGCGTTGCCAAAGCGCTTGGGAAGAGCGTGGACAGGCTCGGGGGCGCTGCGGTAGGACATTTGGACGTGATGGTGGCCACCGTTCACCCAAGGTCGGTTGCGGAGCCATGCTCTGGTCAAGCCTGGAGGGCAGTATCGCTCGGCGTGCAGCAAGACCAACTCCTTCCGTGCAGTTGTCTTTGTAGTCAGCAAGAAGCGCTCGTATTCTCCAATGCTGGGTGAGCCTTCGGAAAGGCCGACAAGGAAGATGCAATCAGCTTGGCTTATGCAAGTCTCGGTCCAGGGCGATTTGACACTAGTATCAGCGATGTACAGCACCAAGCCGTACCTCTCCTCCAGATCAGCAAGGTACTGTGACAGCTTCAGCTTGCCCATGCGACTGAACGCGTGTCTGCCCAGATGGTTCAGAATGGAAGCCTGGTTGAGCGTCGTGACACCATTTGGTGTTCCAATCTGGTTCAAGGCGTTGTGCAGCTTGTTGCTGAACTCCACTACCGGAACGCCAGCAGTGGTTGGAACAATGGCCACAGTCCGCAAGTTGAAGTTCGAAGTCGCCTGGTTTCTGGATACAGCAAGCTTGCTTTCATGAGCAGAGACGTCGTTCAGTGGATTCTCCACCAGCGCTCGCATGCGAGAAGCGATGATCTTGGAGACCTTGATCGTAATGCCGGGATGCTCCCTCGCCAGGCTGTTGAACAACGTCTTTGGGAACTTTGCAAGCTCAGTGTCACGGATAGCAACAAGCGTGCCTGGCCGCGACGACTCAGTCAAGACTTCGAGCTCACCGACGCTGTCGCCTTGACCATACTCTCCTATGACAGCCATCTTGCCGTCCGGACTCTCTTGTATGGCTCGAAGCCGACCGTTAAGCACGATGTAGATTGCGTCGCTCTCGTCTTTCTGATTGAACACTATCTGTCCGGAGTTCACTTGCAGCCATTCTAGCGCGAAGTCGATGTGCAGGAGCAAGCGAGGAAGAAGTGTGGTCAGCCTCTTCGCCATCGTCAGCAGTACGATAGGATGTCGCTCGACGATCCTCTCGATTGCCGTCCGTGGTAAAAAGCCAACATAGACGTCAGTCTTCGCAGTAACATCGATGAAGGACCGCCAGGACGAGATAGTGCCCAGATAGCCAGCAAGACCTCCAGGCTTGATGAGAAAGAGACTTTTGCGACTCTGCCTCTTCTTCCGCGAAGCGTCTTTGGCGTGCATAGAAGCCGATCGCTTCGACGTGGAAGAGCCTCGTCTGTCCGTTGATGCACGGAAGAACTCAGGTACCCCTTGGTTCTCACCTCCTGGCATTGTGCCGAGCACGTTCATATCTCTGTCTTGGTCGTCCACCGTTGCGCTGACGTCCAAGAAGCCATCGATGACATAGTAGAGGCCAGGATTCCGCTCGCCCTCTTCCACCAGCACCGAGCCTTTCGGGAAATACACGATCTCCAGTTCATTCTTGAGGTCCTCCAGTATGTTGGCAGAGCCGCCTGAGCTGAAAGCCGACATCGAAACAGCAGATTCCGAATCGTCCATAGAGCCAGACCCTTCATACGGATCGATGAAGCCGAAAGCGTTATTGTTAAAGACCGCCGTCTTGTTCCTCGAATCGAAGGATACTAGTCTTGGGGACTGAGCGGCAGACGCGGTGCTCTTCGTACTCTGTGCGGTCGTCAGGCCCACTGCTTTGGCCATGCACTCCATGATCGACTCTCGAAACAGCACATCCTCGTCCATGGACTCCTGGCGATGCATTGTTGCTCGCGGGCTGGCGTCGACATTGAATGGATTGCGAGTGTCTTGTATGTTGGGACTGTGTACATCGCCGTTCGCTGGTTGGGGAGTTGAGTAAGGTTGCGAGAAGCTGCCAAACTGCCGCTTGCGACCTGGAGGGCCTCTCGCGGCGTGGATGTTCGTCAGCAGATCTCCTGCACTCATACCACTTCGGTCTTCATGGTCTCCGCCTGGAGCAGTGCCTCTGCTGACAGACATCCTCGCCTGGAACGCAGCGTCACGCCGAAGATTACTACTCGCTCGGCGTTTTCGCTGGGCTACACGAGGATTGTGTAATGCAATGCCTTTCATGCTCTCTTCTGGACCCATACGTTCTTGATCCTTTCTGAACTTGTCTTTCAGTCGTGATAGTGCTTGGCCTCGCAGGAAGTCGGGTAGGTCATGAGCAGTGTACTTCTCCATTAAGCGTTCGGTCCGCAGCACTTCGCTCGTCAGGCCAAGGTAAGCATGAGCCGTGGACAGTGTTACTCGTTGTAGTCGAGTGAGTATCACTTGAACAATGTGAGCCGTGGCTTTGGGGTAGATCCTCGTGATGCGATGGAAGGCACTGGCAGGTATGATGGCAATAGTAGTATCCACGGTCGCCCTTGCTACGATGTGCGGATGAGCAGAGAACTGCTTCTTGGGCCTTTTCTGCTGGAAGCTTGACCCCCGGATGAAGCTCGGTCGCCGACTGTGGTGCTGAGCGGTCTCCGAATGGTTGTTCGAATCCAGTGCCAGCGGCGGTGGCTCCCGGAACTGACCAGCAGCGTTCGAGGGCCTCTTGTGACTCGACGGGGGCCGAGAGCCTCCATTCTGCCATGCAGCTGGACTTTGTGGGACAGACTCTGGTGTGGTCTCGCCATCATACTGGTAAGGAGACCTGGCCTGTTGGAAGTGCTGCTTCAGATTATTACTCGACCCGTGACTGTCATGCTGTTCGTCTTCCTCGTCGAAACGTAGCTTGACATTGTCTGTGAAGAGAGATAGCACCGAGAACAGAGAAGACATCGGAGCTCCGTTCTTGACTTCGGTTAGCAGTTGATAGCTTCGATTGCCGTTGCTCCTTTCCTCATGCTGGTCTTCTTCGGAAAAGCTCGTTTCGTTGCTAGAGTCCATCTCGGCATCCCGAGCAGCCTTTACGAAAATCTGCACGAGCCCGTCCACGACCAGGCAGAACCCTTTCTCCTCTTCCAGGAGAATCGTCTCGCCGGCAATCAATTTACGAGTTTGCATCGTCCGAGTGAGCTCATGAAAGACGGGTCTTTCGAGGTACCCGAACACTTTAATGGCGCTCAGGAACTCATCAAAGTAGTTGGCCAGTCCCGCTTTGCTATCGGTCTCCTGTGCATCTGGAAAGATCTCGATCTGCGGTTCCTTCCTCTGTGGCTCTGGTGGAAGCCGGGAGTACATGTTCAAGAAGCGGTACCTTACGAACCAGCTCACGCTCGAGACGATGGCCACCAGTAGCAGTAATAAAGTCGTCATGTTCATGGTGAAGGTCAGACTGGTCGACAGGAAGTTGAAGAGCCATGCTGGGAGGGTCAAGGTGACGAAGCTGATGAGGAAGTAGAGGATGCTGGGGATGACCGTGAAGAGGCCCAGCAGCAGTCCTCCCAGCATATGGAGGGTCGAGTGGGTTCCTTCGGGGGTATAGGCGACGTTGACACCGGGGCGGAGAGAGAGGACGGAGGTAGCGTTGGAGCGTGGCGTCCCCATTGCTCGGACAGAGAGAGTTTGCGCTGGGTGTGGCTAGTTTAGAGGAGAGTGAGACTGCACCCGACCTTCAGGCGAGAGGCCTGTGGCGCGTCGAATTGGGCATTTTGCTCGGGAAACGTGCATCCCCCATCTGCCGCCAGTCGTTTGGCCTTCGCTCTTATTCCCAGCTCACATGCTTGGCCACGAGGTGCCGCGACTTTAACGTGGAGGTGTTGTTCGGCGCATCTTCGGCAGAGCTACGCGACCTCACGACGTTCAATGTCCCTTTGCGACTGATTTGCGATCGCAAACACCACTGACAGACGCTGGACTGACCAACACCTCACGAGTCTGCGCTGGGCACGGGGCAGTCAGCCAACCTATTCACTAGCCAGACCACGGTCGGCGACAGCACTCCTCACCCACCATGGCCTCCAGCCAGCGCCCCGGCGAGCGCGTTGTGCACCAGGACTACATCGCCCGCATCCGATACTCCAACACTTTACCACCGCCCGCGAACCACCCTAAACTGCTAGACATACCCGGGACTGGCCTCCTGGGAGGCCAATACACCAGCGCCGCTTATGCCTCGAAGCTCGCGCGAGACCAGCCGATGAACATTGAAGCGGATGCGGAACTGGGCATGCCAATTGACTTAATCGGTGTGCCGGGTGTATTCAGCGATAAGCCGGATAAAGATGCTGGTATGCTATATCGTAGGCAATGTCTCTCCTTTAGCTGACTCTTTCCAGCAATCATGGCACGACCAGGCGGACAGCCCTTACACCCAGCAGATAAGGCATTACTCAAGCCCCTCAGCGCGCTCGGCAAGGGCGCAGGTGGCGCAGTGTCTTTCTTGCGTAGGACCGAATACACGTCCTCGCAAGGACCACAGCACTTCTCGTCCTCCTCACCCAAAGACCTCATCCGGTTACGCAACGACCCGAAGCGAAGAAAGACCAGCTCCAACAAGGAGGACCCGCTGAACATCATCCGCCACATCGTCAAAGGCTTCGACGTCGCCTACCCAGAAGATGCGTATAGAGGGGAGGACAGCACATCCAACATTCGCGGCGCAGCCATTTCCGACCCCGAAGTCAAGGCCTGGTCAAACCCAAAGCACCCATCAAAACCTGAGGTAACTTTGATGGACAGCTACCCTGTCCTGCCAGATCTGGAGGCATTGCCAGAAGTCGGCGCTTTCTTCGTAAAGAAGTTCATCACCAATCCCGTGGCAGCAGGCGACAACTACGACGAGCGGCTGGATGTTGCTTTACTCCAACCTAAGAGTGAGAAGAACGCGCTTGAGAAGTATGAGCAACGGAAAGCGGAGTGGACCGCGGAATCAGGGAAGCCGGCACCGCTGCCAGAGGATGACTACGATCTGTTCCTTCCAGCCGCACCGAACGCCGTCCGTGGCATCAAGCGGAAACTCAACGTCAATGATCCAGAGAACGAGGACGAGGAGCTTTACGCTGATGAATTGGCCAACGGCACCCGCGCGTTCAAATATACCCGCCTCCGGACCTACGAAACATACACGCAAAGCGGCGACCCGAACAACTTCTACGATGACTCCGTTGCGCTGGCCCTCCACGACCCTGAAACCGACGTTGGACCGGTGCCCGGCACGAAAGAGCGACTACAGAAAGGCGCGTACTTTTATCCCGTCATGCAGAGGACTGCGCTGCGGCCGAAGCGGAATGTGGGTGTCGCGGCGCTGAGTCAGGCGGATCATGATAGGGTGGATCAGATTAATATGACGGTTGCCGAGATGACGGAGGAGATGAGGGGGAGGGTTGCGGAGAGGAGGGCGGAGTTGGATGGGTCGGCCGGGGTGGTGGAGGTGGGTGTGTGAGGAGGAGTGGATGGGGAGATGGGAAACAGACATTTGTCGACGTCAATCCATCACCTGTGACCTCCATCACTGCTCCATCATGTTCGCAAATCTGGGACAGCATGCTCACCCTAGGCGGCAAGCTCGCAATCACCTATCCACGCCGAGCGTTCAAAGATGGCGATGCCTGCTGCGGTTTCCTGTGTCCTAGAACCAGCGCTTCATAGACACACAGGATGAGTCCACGGCCCAGCTGGTGAGCACCGAGCTGGAGAGTGGGAGATACGTCAGCTGGGAAAGGAGTGGATGGATTAGAGAGGACGATACGGGAGAGATGTAGAATCGTAGGTAAAAGGCACGCAAATTCTCGGTCGAGGAACGAATGTGTCTGTTGATCGATAAGACTCCTCGAAAGGCAGCGCATTGGTTGTCGAAGCAGCCGTTGAGTTTTTTGAAATGCTGTTTCATATTGTTTATATGATCGAGAGCCTCCACGTACGGCCAAAGATCGCAGATAATAGGGCATCCCGTCCGCTCTGCCGTACTCAAGCTGCGAATCGGGTGACTAGTAGTGCAGTGGGTGACCATGCGCGAATCCCGCCTGCTGTACGTTTTGCATTTTTTGCACTTTTTAGTTTGTGTCCTCGTGGTATCTTCAATCTTCTTTTTGAGACCGCAGCTGAGCATTCACCAAATTTTTTCGACCTCTCGTGATCACATGAATCCGTCTTCGATTGATCGCACGCCCAGAGCGCCACGCTAATCACAAATACACATCCATTCCTCACTTCTCACTTCGCCCGTACTACACGTCCCCCAGATCCACCATCCTCCCCCCATCACAGACCCCACACCCCCCATCCCCACACCCCATCACAAACCGCGGCCGATACCGCTCCTCCGCCCACCCATTCCGTACCGCACCCGCCGGATCATCTCTCGCGACCATCAGACCCACTGGCTTCGCTTCGCTTCCCAAGGCGGCGGCGTTGTGCGGCTGCAGCGTGGATTTGAAGACGGGTTTCTTCTTGACCGCGCCGGACGCGGAAGAAGAAGGGATGGTGGAGTTGGTGGAAGCGGAAGGGAGACTGAGGGATTTCAGCCCGGATTCCTCGGCGGCGCGGGCTTCGGCGGCGCGGGCTTTGGCGGTGGCGGTCGGGTCGCGGGTTAGGGTGCGGAGGTCTTTGAGTCGCTGTTCATGTCAACTTCGTTAGGATGTTCTTGTGCTTTGGGGGGTTGCGGAGACGCACTTTGCGGTGTTGATGGTCGTAAGAGCCTTCGTGGGCTTCGAAGTCGTTCATGCGGGCGTAGCCTTTTTGGCATAGTTCGCCTGGCCCAGATCAGTGGTCTGGTGGCGAGGAAGGGTTGGAAGGGGTTAGTTACAGAAGAAGGATTTTCGTGCTTCGCGGGCAGAGTCTGTTGTTGCTTGCGGGAGGGCATGGCTGCGCTGTAGTATTATTAGTCGATGTAACATATGAAGGTGAAGGGAGCATTTACTGGAGGCATGATGGTCGTTATTGAGTATCAGATGGTCGTTGTTGAGTATAAGATGGTCGATTTCGAAGTCTCTTCTCGCACCAGTAATCTTAAGACGTTTCGAAGCAGATAATCCCTTCTCGTCGAAGTGAATAAGATCAAGATATGAGTGTTCAGACTGTTGATGGAGAGAAGTGAAGTTGCTGTCACATGAAACTCGATGTCCTCGCCTAAGGCAACCTCCGTCTCACCTTCATCTCATCTTTCATTGGTCAGAAGTTGTATACCAACGACACGACATCAACATGGCCAACATCGACCGGGAGAAACACCCGCTGGACCTGCAGGAAGTCGAGCCATCACCGGTAGAAGAGACACCATCACAGAGCAAAGATGGCTACTTCCCCGACTCCTCGAACGCACCCAAAGGCACACACCATCTCGGCCTACACTCGCAACATTCATCCATCTGGTGGCTAAGTCGGATACAAAAATACAGCTCCTACGCCTTCTCCGCCTTCGCCGCTGCGTAAGCCTCCATCTCTCCTATCCACACCATATCGACTACTAACATGACTCTCAGACACATCACCAACACCTCCCTCATCCCCCTCCTCACCCGCTCCGTCCCCGCCAGCGAACCCTACCTCCTCCTCACCCGCCCCTACTACCAAGGCCTACCCTTCGAGCCCCTCCTCGTCGTCATCCCCCTCTATGCCCACATCCTCTCGGGGCTCGCCTTACGAGTCGCCCGCCGCAACCTCGCTGCTAAGAGGTATGGCGAGGGCACCTCCTCCCCAGAAGGCTGGAAGACGTTCTTTACGTCCAAGTTCTGGCCCAGCGTGTCGGGGATCAGTAAGCTGGGCTTTGCGATGACGCCGTTGGTGGTGGGGCATGTGGTGATTAATCGCGCGGTGCCGCAGGGTTTTGCGGGTGGGAGCTCGAATGTGAATTTGGGGTATGTCAGTCATGCGTTTGCGAAGCATCCGGCGGTTTCGTTTGCTGGGTTCGCGGCGTTGCTTGGGGTGGGGTGTTGGCATATTACGTGGGGATGGGCAAAGTGGTTGGGGTGGACGCCGGATCAGACGACGGCGATGGGTGGGGAGAGGGAGGTGATTAAGAAGAGGAGGTGGTACATCATCAACGGCCTGGCGGCGGCCTTGACGACGCTGTGGATGGCTGGTGGGATTGGTGTGGTTGGACGTGGTGGCGAGGCGCCTGGATGGGTTGGACGAGGGTACGATGAGATGTATCGCTCCATACCGGTGATAGGTCGGTGGATGTAATTGAGACAACGGGCGGTTCAACTTCTTTGAGATAGACATGATACCCTACTCTATTCTATGTGTCAGTATTGACGATACCACAAGGTGTCTCACGCTCCCTGTCTGCACACATCCGCCGCTTTGCTTGTGCCAGATGCATCTAGATACGTGCAATCCTGAGACAATGCAGGCTCCTGCCCGCAAATGCCAAGAGACTGCCCTACATAAGAGCCTTTGAACGACGGCGGTATTCAGGTGTTCAGGCTCACATCGATCCATCCCCTCATCTCCAACCACAACCCACCACGACAATGTGCCACATCACGACCTACTTCTTCGGCTGTGCCTGCGCGTACTCTAGCCCAATCATCAGATGCAATGCAGCCGACCTCCGCCCCGAGCACCAACCATGCCAGGAGTTGAAGACAAACGTACACCATCCAACCACCGTCAGCGGCCCTTGCTGGAAGTGCAAAGCCAGAGCAGCCGGCAGTCCAGCGTGGGGACAAGGTCGAAAAGCACAGAGAGCTGCAAAGAGGGCCAGGCGGGCTACTGGCAGTTGTGAAAGTGCTGAGACGACAGCAGCTACCGCGGGTTCTGCGACGGCATCCACAGCTATTCCGACAGACCACACATCGACCGCAAGCGAGGACGGCGACTTTGAGATGGTCGAGGCACCTGAAGATCAACAACCAGGAGGTGCATTTCAGCCATCGAGCGCGCACACACCAGACTCAGTGGTGTCGGGAGAGGGGGCTGAGCAGCCGGCGCAGAGCGACGAGTCGGAGGAAGCAGGAGTGGCGCAGGCATCGCAGGGCCCAAGGTTTTGGAGTCCATCGAGCAAGGAAACGTGTTTGTTACAATAAGCAATCAGGAGACCACCATAGGGGCCTTGCTTTGCCGGTGACAGTGCAGGTGAGATGGAGGCCGTGGTTTTCTGTTTGACAGCGATTGTTTGAGCGGTGTTGTGTTATGAAGATGGATATTGTTAGCCAGGATGATCGCAAAGGTTGTTTTCCATGAGCGGTTGGCACGTCTTTGTTTGAAGAGAGCAAGAGCAAACATGTCGTCCATGTATCTGGACCAGAAACCATATTCATTCACTTCTTGGTTCAGCCAGAATTTCCGTACCAAGCTCCCATTGCTTGATGTGCACAGGCACACTCCTCCACTGGTCTTGCGACCACACCACAAACGGCCCTGTCTGGCTCTGCTGGGCAGCCAGGTTGTTTCATCCAGGATGCCAGCCACACTGGCAGGTCAATCGACAAAGACAAGACATGCCGACCAACTGTCAAGCCTGCAATGATCGGGCTCTCGAGGCACATTTCGGGGGCGCAACAAACCGTCCCACCACTTCAGCAATCACATACGGGCCACTTCAAGAACAGGTCCAGGTAACCATGGAAGTGTCTTCCGGAGACGCCAGAGCAGCATCTGGTGGCAAACTCGTCCAGAGGACGAACGCAACGGCTGCTTTGAACAGAAGCGCGCCTCCAACATCCGATCAGGCCGAAGCTCAGGATCCGCAACACTCATACTTCCATTTTCCACGTTCCGGCGGCAGAGCTGGGCGTGTTTCCAACACCGAACCGGCAGACGACGAGTTCAAGACTTTTCGCCTGCCCAGACAGGATGATGCAGCAGAGGACGGAGACGGCGCGAACGGTCAAGATCTCGGGAGTTCGTGGTGAAAGCATTGAGCTGTCCCGCGCATGCCAGAAACTTGGATCAAAGGCTCAGGAGCGGATCCAGGGTGCTGAAGGCTTGGGTCGATTCTGTAACTTGAGATTACAGCAAGAGCGTAGGCGGAGGGTTCATCAATCGTCGGCGGTCCGGACTGAGGGCTCCATACCAGTTGAACGTTGCTCAAGACAAACCAACACGTTAACCACCACTCGTCTCTTCCCTCTTATGCCTCTCCTTCAGCTTCTTCTCCGTCTTCATAAACTCCCTGATCCCCACCGGTATGCCTTCAAACAGATCCGCCCCCGGCTGCCCAAAACTCTCCATCCCCTCCCACGCAGTCCCGCTCCCACCTCCGTCTTCGTCCATACTCGCTCCCACATGGCCAGGCATTGCACCCTGACCACCGGTCCCCTCAGCCGTTCTCTGCTTCTCCAGCCTTCCTCTCGCCTCCGCGCTCTTCTCCGCCCACTCTTCTAAGTCGTCCCGGAAGATGTCCCACACGCAGTTCACGCATCCGCTCATGCAGCAGTTGTCCGGCTCTAGGGGCTTGGGCGGGACCATCACGCCGGCGACAGTATGAGAAGCGGCGTCAATGGCGCGGCGACGCTCGATGGGGCCGGCGAGGCGAGAGCCGAAGACTACGCGGGCTTTGGCTAGTTTCTCTTCATCCTCGGTTTTGGGTAGCTCTTCGGCAGGCGGAGGAGCGGGCTGGGTGCGGGTTTGAGGGATAATGGTACTCAGTGGAGCGTCTAGGGTGTCCGGCTCGAAGCCTGGGAAGGCAGGTTGGGGGTTATCGGAGTATGGGCGATGCGCCGTGGTGGAAGCAACGCGAGGGGGGCCACGATATGGTTTGTGGCAACATGGCGACTTATTCAAGCCTGCTTGCACTACGCGGCGCATTGTTCATTGCCAGTGTGTAGATGGGATGAAGTGAGGTTGGAACTGGAATTGTCACATGCAAAAGATAACAGCGGCTGACGTCATCTGAGCTCCTTCCGTTGGTGAAGAACATTGAAGTTCCATCTGTGATGCGTATCTACCAAAAGCAATGCGAAGATGTCACTCAGAATGGGTTGATCAAAGACAATCAGTCAATTGAACCGTTTCAGCGGATGCAATGTATACAGATTTGCATTATGTTAGCGGCGTCGTCACATTCGCGAGAGTATTGACATGCAGCAGCTGCCGTGTCGTGTAGCACAGCTACGTCGAGAGCTCTCAACCCTGCTTGCATTGCATACAGACGCCGCACTAGGTATTGGAGTCGGGTAGACCAGAAGTCCTTTAAAGCTGGAGTGAGTAGCAGGCAATCTGTAGCTCTGGAAGAAGATCGCTCAGGGTCAGAAAGAATGCAGTTATCCCTGTGATGTGAGTACTGACTTCATCCACCAACGGCGTTCAGATCCCTGAGTATTTGGAAGAATCCATCTCTCACAGTATTCCGCTTCGACTTCTAGCAATTGCAACCAGCGGTGACATGTCACGCATCACGAAATTGATCTCACGACTGCAAACCACCGCCTCCGAGAGCCAGAACGTTGAGTATGATGAGTCCGCAAGAGCGACGCTGCTCCAACTCTCACGCGAGTTGACTGCATCGCTACAAGCACCAGATGAAGTATGCTCATTGCTCGCATTCTCGGTATGCACCTCACCCGCACAGTGTCTGCCCATTCCATCTGACTGCACAGGGTGGCGCTTTCATGTGCGTCCGGCTCGCCGACGAACTGAAGGTCTTCGACCTCCTGTGCGAGTCCAGCCCACGCACGACCTCAGATCTCAGCTCCAGTACAGGTGCAGAGTTTGGGCTCATCGTACGCCTGCTTCGGACTCTCGCTGGCATGGGCTTCGTCGCTCAGCTTGATGTAGACTTGTACGGTCCAACGGCGGTGACGAGGCAGATGACCATGAGTAGTGTGCGAGCCGGGGTCAAATTCTTCCATGAAGAGAGCGTGCCGAGTGTCAGGATGGCCCCAGAGTACTTTCGTCTGAACGGCTGGCGGCTTCCGACAAGTATGGTAGATGGACCGTATCAGTTTGCGGAGGGCACGGAGGATGATCCGTTCACGCATATGTCGAAGAAGCCAGGTAGAAATCTTCAAGATCAACCCACATGTACTGGATGCGTTCCCACTGATGCTGTGCCACAGGAGTGATAGAGAACTTTAACATCTTCATGCAAGGCCTGTTCGGGACTCCTGCGCGTCTAGGCTGGACCGACTAGTTTCCGGTCAAAGAGCGGATCCTGGATGGTTTCGATGCGACCAAGGGTGAGTACTGCTTCGTGGACGTCGGAGGTGGCAAGGGTCATGAATGCGAGACGCTGTTGCGTAAGTGTCCGGACATGCAAGGGAAGCTGGTCACTCAGGACTTGCCGTTCGTCATTGATGATATTCAAACTCTGGATCCAAGAGTAGAGAAGATGAGCCATGACTTTACAACTCCGCATCCGGTCAAGGGAGCGAGAGCCTACTTCTTGCAAGTGTGTTGCCGCCGCTCTGCAGACCTCGATGAGCTCTGCTGACTCTTGTGAAGAGCATACTGCATAACTGGGCAACACCCGTCTGTCAAACCATATTGGCGAACCTCAAGTCCGCCATGACTCCCGGGTACAGCAAGCTACTGATTGGCAACATCATCCTTGCGGATCGTGATGTTCCATTAAGGCAAAGCTTGCTAGACATCTCCATGCTTGTGTTGCATTCGGGCCAGCAGAGGAGTCGGAGCGAGTTCACTGAACTTCTCGAGGGAGCTGGTTTCGAGGTCATCAAGATTTGGCTCCCACCTGGTGACAGAACGGTATCGTTGAAGCTGAGGTGGCTTAAGATATCAGACGGGACCGCCGTCTCATTCAAATTTCACTCCTCCGTCAAGCCGTCTACGGTGTTCTTCCTAACACTCACTTTCAGCATAGAATCGACTTTCCGCAACTTCTCCAGTCGGACCAGCTCGTTGCCTTCAAGAGCAGTGCTTGCGTCTGCAGTGAAGAACTCAATCTTTTCAAGCGACTTCAGCTCCGCCAATGCCGTCTGGATTTGCCTTGCCATCAACGACCACAGTGAGATGTTGAGATAGCGGAGCGAGATGTCCCGCTTGAAGTGAATAGACCGCAGGTTCGGCAGTGTCGCAGCTTTCTGTACCATCTCCAGAGCCTGTACTCCGGAGGAGGTCGAAATGGTGATTGCGTGGATCAAGTCTCGCTGACGGTGGGGCGCATTCCGGACAGTGTCGGCTGTTCGTACAATGAACCGGTGGAGATCATAGTAGATATCTTTAGATTCATTACGTACTCGCTGGCACGTTCTGAGCATGGCCAGGTGGTGCTTGGAAGGAGGCCTGCCCAGCTCTGCTATCCCACCGTCGACTGCGAGTGCAAGCTCATAGATGTAGAGTCTAATCTCGGCGGGCAGGCTGAAAAGACGGCTTTGGTCCTGGGGATGCATATTCATGTGTGGTGCTGATAGGCCTTCGCTTCCATGTCCAAGGCAGGCAGAGAGTTTGTGGCTGAGCACACGGCCTTCGCGTGAGCGGTGGAAGTGAGCATGCCCGTCGTGGGAATGTCCACCGTGAGGATGGTTGGGATGAGATTCTTCAGCAGCAGGAGTCTCGATTATCTCGAAAGGCTCGTCGACTTCCTCCTGAGGCTGCGCTTGCCTTCGGCCAATTTGGACTTTGAAGCTGAATGCCATATGGAATTGTGTTGGCGGCAGTGATTCGAAGAGGGATCAATTCAACGGAGACCGAAGCTGAGGAGATGTACTGAAGTCATCCAGGCTGCAGGATTCGAGATGGGAGCTAGGGGTCTTTTAGTCGGCCCACGAGTTACACGGTCTTGATCTGGAGTTGGTTATTGACGGGTACTCAAGAAATCGTTGCGAGATGGCCAAGACGAAAGATGGTTGTAAATCTAAGGTAAAGTGTAAAGGCCTTCATAACACAGCACGTCAAAGTCGACGGTCAGCCCAGTCGGGATCGGAATCGGGCTCGTAAGATTTGTGTATAAGGGGTATAGTATGCTCTGCCACAACAACATGAACTTTGCTGGGATCTCTTGTGTGGTTTACGCAGTCCTTGTTTCGATTCTCATGCAGCTAGATATGTCATTGCTCTCGAACAAACAGAGGGTTGCTCTCTGTCCAAGGCGCATGAACCTCGATCCGCTGGCCGCCATCCAACGACTCTCCGTGGCCGTTGCCCGTTGTCTCATCAACTCTCTGCCACTTGGAACCCCCAGGAAGATACACACTCCGGCCAGCCGCTCCCTCAGTCATCACCGGCGCGACCAGATATCTGTCCCCAAACATGTACTGGTCTTCGCACGACCGCTGCCAGCATCGCTCATCCTGCGGAAATTCATAAAACATTGGACGTATGATGGGACTGCCGTTCTCATGCGCTTCCTTCATCAAACCCCGGATATAGTCTCTCAGCAGCTCGCGAAGCTTCAGATACTTGACGCAGATGTCATAAACTTGCGGACCGAAGGACCAGACTTCGTTGTCCCCACCGCTGCCCTGGACTGAGCCGACTGTCGAGCCCTCGGTGCCATGCTCACGGTCCCCGTGCATGCGGAAGATGGGAGAGAAAGCGCCGAAGAAGAACCATCGTCCGAGAAGTTCATGGAATGCTGGTGAAGTTCCATCGCCGCCGTGGAAGCCGCCTGCCCTCGTCAGCTATTATTCAACATTACCCCTGACCAAAGGGTTTTACCAATGTCGCTCGTCCACCAAGGAATCCCTGCTCTCACCGTTACTATCTTTTCAATGCACGGACCAATAGGGAGTCTCACCTGCCATGCCCATATTCAAGCCAGCAGCCACCTGGTCCCGGAAGCTCTTGAACGAGCTCGCCGTATCTCCGGACCAGACGAGAGCGCCGTACTTCTGACTACCCGCCCATGCGCATCTGATTAAGTTTACAACTTTCTCTTGACCAGCGTTTGTCATTCCCTCATAGAAGGTCCGGAGGAAGTCTCGCGGATACGCATTACCCACACTGAGCTGGTTGCCGTTCCAGAAGCGGATGTTGTCGAAGTCATACACACTCATCTCCGGCTCGGCCTCATCGAGCCAGAAACTCTGGAAGCCGTGGTCGTAGTAGTTCTTCTTACAAATGTCCCAAACGAACTCGCGAGCTTCAGGGTTTGTAAAGTCAACCAGCCCACAGTTTGCTCGGAAATCCATCAATGTCCGGAGACCCTTATGCTGCTGAACCAGATACCCAGCTTGGAGCGCTTTCGGATAGTGCTCGTTGTCTTGCTGCATGGTAGGCCAGATCGAGACCATGAGCTTGATGCCCATCTCGTCGCATCGCTTCACAAGCTCGGCGGGATCTGGCCACAGCCTGGTATCGAAGTTGAAGTCGCCCTGTTTCTTCCAGTGGAAGAAGTCGATGACTAGTACGTCAATAGGTAGTTGGCGCTCGTGGTACTCTTTGGCGACTTTGAGCACTTCCTCCTGCGTCATGTACCTACACTTGCTCTGCCAATATCCGATGCCGTACTCAGGCATCATGGGAACGGTTCCGGTCACACTACCGTAAGCCCGGACAATGCTCGCGGGAGTGTCGCCCGCAACAATCCAATAATCCAGATGCTGCGTCTGGTATGCTTCAAAGGACATAGTGTTCAACCCAAACACGGCTCTGCCGACCGCAGGCTGGTTCCAAAGCAGACCGTATCCCAAGCTCGACACCATAAAAGGTACGCTGGCTTGCGAGTTGCGCTGGGCGAGCTCGAGATCCTGTCCCTTCAGATTGAGAAGGCCCTGCTGGTACTGACCCATTCCACAGACCTTTTCGTCCGGGTCCAGAGACTCGAACCGCATCGTCAGATGGTAGTCTCCGCCTCGTGTCGGGTTAAAGTCTCTTGCTTCAACATCTAGAGCACTGCATTTCGGATCTGCTTTGTCGCGGCGGTGGCGCGCGTACTCTTCAAGCAGGACTTTGCCAGTTTCTGTGTTCGCGATGGTGATCTTGCCGTAGAGACTGATGTTGGCTTTGATCGAACCATTCGTTATGGTGGCATGATCGGTGTGTAAGTCGATCTGTGGCTCTGTTTTGGGAGGAGGTATGCTCAGGGCCCAGTCTTCGTCTGGAAACTTGTTCTTGCCCGGCAATCGAGAGGCGCGGACTCGAAGAGCGTTTGGGCCCCAAGGCTCGATTCGGACTTGTTCGGCATCGTAGTGGTAGTTCAGTGCTGTCTTGTCTGTTGAAAAGCCGGGCAGTACTTCTGCTCCCCAGCCTGACATTCTGCCGTTGGACAGGCAATCAGTCTTGGTCAAGCAGGACAGGTATCTGATACCCGTTTGTGAGTAGCGCAATCTGTGTTGAGGTAAGGAAACCTGGAAGACAGCCTAAGAGTCGGATAAAATGGAAGAAGGTGCAGGCTTCGCAGGAACTATACTTGTCCTACTGTTCCACCATGATACTACAGCAGTCACAATATCCACATCCACTATCCAAATTCAATTGGCAGATTTTGTAGCAGAGAAAGAGCGGATCAAAGTAACAGCTTCTCGGAGATGCTGAGTGGGGCGGCAGAGCTCCGTTGGACAGAGGGCGAGGATGATGAGGATATGTGGATATGCGGGATGAGTCCGTCGAGATGATGAAGCTCCGCCGGTGTGGATGATAGAAGACCACGCCGACTCATGTGAAGATGTTTGAAAAAGCAACTGCAAGACTCTACTGCTCTACAGCTGATCATTAACATGCCAATACTTCGTCCATCGATTATCCGCAGCACCCCGATCAAAGTCTGCCTTGTCATAAAACCGCAGGTCGGTGCTCAGTCTGATCTTGCCCTCCGGATCGTCGTTACCACAACTTCCGTGAATCATGGATGGATGATGGAGGATAACATCACCAGCCTCGAACTCTCCAACCAGCCATTTGTACCGATCTTGAGACCAGCCTTCCTTCTTCGCGACAAGGTCGTGCTCGCTTGTGAAATGGTCCGGGTGGTCCGCGAGATAGCCGGTTGCGCCCATGTTCTGATTGAATGCATTGATCTTCTGTTCCGGAGCGAAGTCTTTGGCTCGCTCGCTGTAGTCTTTCTCCATGGCTTCGCCGAGTGACACGCTGTCGTGGAGATAGTAGAGGCCACCACCTGTCGAGGAGATGTCTCCTATCGGCACCCAGGCTGTTAGGAAATAGGCCTCGCCACCACGCAGAAAAAGTCGATCGTAATGGATTCCGGTTGAGTCACCCCCGGGAACACTGTGTCGCAGCAATGTCCGCTGCAACATAACTTCCTGCTTCCAACCCATGATGTCTCTGACCATACCGCGAAGCCGATCATGGCTCGTGAACTTCTCGTAGCCCTCTGTCGTATGCGCCTCGGTTAGACGTCGCAACTCCTCCTCACCCGCTGGGTTACCGCCACCTACTCCTCGATGTATCGTTACATCGTCATTGGAGTTGTAGATACCATCAACGTGGGAGGTCCCAGGCTTCAGCAGACCAGTCCCATCGAATTGGGAAAAGAAGTGTCTTCGCATCTCCAGCACGTCCTCTCGCGGCAAAAGTCCTTTGATCCAGACGTAGCCATCGTGCTCGAGACGTTCACGGACTTCTGATATGGATGTACCGTACGGCGTAGGCTTCAGCCATCCGAGGCGGTCTTGGTGTATCGTTCCTCGGTTTGCTCGTAGTTTTGTCGGTAGCAGGCCGTTCTCGAAGCTATGCTCCAGCGGCGAGTCAACTGCAGCGGCGGCCATGGTTCCAAAGGAGAGCTGGCGTCTATGGACACCTCTGTTATACCATCTACAATGTGCTGTGCTGAGACATAAATAGTCTATGCTCTGACAAGATCCGATGCTACGCCGCTGCTGCTACTGGCCCCGAGCATGGCAAGGAGCCACTGTTGCCGCCGTGGACCTGGCTAAGGCGAGATGAGACATTCGGTCCATCCATTGTTGCTTTCACACGAGTCCTAGCCTGGTGACAGTTCTCCGAGGAAGCGATTGTTCACGTTCAATTGCCGGCTAATATGGTTGTGAGGTGAGGTGGAGTGTCGACCAGTCGGGGCTGTCACATCTCCGACCCCTGCTCGTCCATCTCCGAGACCCGACCATGGATGGCCACCACCTGCACCATTGTTGCTTGCATTCTATAGGTAATCTCCACTACCACCTTGTATGTTGTGGAGAGAAGGAGGGGAGAAGCGGGGTTGACCTCACTCCTCCCTGCACACTGCTCGCTATGACTCCCGAATCGTTATCCTCACTGCCGGGCCTTCGCCCATACTGGCCAACGTTAACACCAGTCATGCCTACTGAGTCAGGACAGAGCTGCTTGCACCGAGTCGACAGGATATGAACAGGCTAAGCGCGCTCAGTCTCGGCTCGCGGACACTTCCTACATACTTTCGACTGTTTCCCAGATCTCGGGGATGATGCTCTGCCGCCGGCCGGGGTGGCGCTCGAGACCTTTGGAGACGGCATTATCCTTCCGCTAGAACAGTGTCTACAAAACCTCGCCGGGCTCCGCTTCTCTGGTGATTCTACTGGAACCCCATCATCTCGTTGACCTGCCACCAACCCCTCGCCATGGCCGAGAAGAACCCAGCCCAGCATGTCGAGTCCTCGCCAGAGGGTCCTACACACGACTACATGGAGCTCCACCCATACTTCAGAGACAACGGTTGGGATCTCGCTCGTTTGACCGACTCTGCTCAATCGGCCATCGCTCGCGAGCACAGCCTGTCCTTTCGAGAAGCCGTCCGACTGTGGCCATGGGCTCTCTTCTTCTCCATTGGCATCTCCACAACACTTGTCATGGAAGGTTACGATACGGGCTTGATCAACTCCTTCTTCGGGCTTCCGCAGTTCAGAGAGGCTTACGGTCAGGAGACGTCGGATGGAGACTATCAATTCACATATGCGTGGCAGTCGTCCATCTCATCGATGGCTAGTGTTGGCGGAATCTTTGGTCTGCTCTTCGCGGGTCAGATTGTCGACCGTATCGGATATCGCTGGACAATGCTTGTTGGTCTCGGCTGGTTGACAGCCGCCATCTTCCTCACCTTCTTCGCTCAGAACGTTGTTATGCTGTTCGTCGGGAATCTGCTGTGCGGCGTGCCATGGGGTAAGCAGGATCTCAACCAACGATCCATCGAGTTTCTGCTGATAGTGCTTTCTTAGGTATGTTCCAGAGCGTGGCCAGCTCGTACGCCATCGACACCGCACCCCTCGTACTCCGACCGTTGATGACCAGCTACATCAGCTTGTGCTGGGCGATGGGTCAGTTCATCAGTACAGGAGTGTTGCGAGGTGTTTTGTCTCGTACCGATCAATGGGCATACCGGATCCCATTTGCTGTGCAATGGGTCTGGCCGCCGATTCTAGCAGTCGTCGCTGCCCTTGCGTGAGTATAGTCATGTTCTTCAAGTCTGATAGAATCGTGCTGACTCCTAACAGGCCAGAAAGTCCGTGGTACTTGGTGCGTAAAGGGCGGTTGGCGGAGGCCCGTCATGCGCTGCGGCGACTTGGTTCAAAGGGTGCACAAGAAGACCACCTTGATAACAATATTGCAATGATATACGTTACGAACGAGCATGAGCGACAGATCGAGCAAGGTACGAGTTACGTCGAGCTCTTCCGTGGTGTCAATCTACGTCGAACAGAGGTGGCAGTCGGAGCATGGATGTGTCAAGTGACTTGGTGAGTCGTACTGCTCGCACATTGGATATGGATAAATACTGACATCACGACAGTGGCAACTGGTAACACATCAATCCGATGGAATTTGACATGCTTCTGCTGACATTTCATAGGTTTGGCGGCAATGTGACGTACTTTATGGAACAGGTACCGCAGTCTCCCTTTATCTCTACTCACAAAACGCAAGCTGACTTGGAGGTAGGCCAATGCATCTGCGCACACCGCCTTCGCCTTCGGCCTCGGCATGAACGCAGTCTCCTGCATCGGTACCGTCGCATCCTGGTTCCTCGTCCCCAAAGTTGGCAGGCGGCCAATGTACCTCTATGGCCTCCTCGGCATGCTCGCAACCTTGCTAATTGTCGGCTTCCTGGGCATTCCATCACCAACCTCCGACAGCATCTCCTGGGCGTGTGGCAGCATTCTGATCATCAATATGCTGCTGTACTTCCTTACTGTCGGACCGGTCTGTTTCACCATTGTGCCAGAAGTCCCGGCTGCTCGGTTGAGGAACAAGACGGTTGCTGTCGCCCGCGCAGCGTACAATATCTGCGGCATTGGAGCTAGCTTTCTCAACCCTGCCATCTTGAACCCAGGAGCTTGGGACCTCAGTGCAAAGGGCGGCTTCGTGTGGTCCGCCTTCTGCATCGTCTCTGTTATTTGGGTCTTCTTCCGCTTCCCTGAGACCAAGGGCCGGACGCCAATCGAGTTGGACACGCTCTTTGAACGCAAGACGAGGACTCGTGCTTTCCGCACAGCAGAGATTGATACTGGGGAGATGGCAGACGCTGCCGTGGCAGATGCTGCTCATGTGTCGACCAAGGTTGTGGAGGGACAGAAATGGTCGGTTTGAGAGGCACAATCGAACGAGTGCGCCCCCAGACTCGTCCTCTTGTCGAACCATGCTAGCACACTGATTGGGAGAATCTGTCTGTATGTCATCTGTATCCACTGCGCTGTTCAATTCTCCCGGCTTCAAGTGGCGCACTTGTCAATTTCCTCTTCCACCTTCTTCCCGACACCTGGATAGCAGAATCAGTAAGGCTCTCCCATCTTCGGGCGAACTGAAGACTCCAGAGCGCTGTCTTGCGCCTGGTTATGGTTCAAATCAACCCCACATTGGGCATGACTGCGTCTGCTGCAAATAGAGTGAAGCAGACCGGCTTGAAGGCCTTGTGCCCCGCTCAAGTGCAAGATGCCGGCAATGGTCTTCATTGGCATTCTGTGGCAAAGTGATATCCAGAAGCAATTTCAACATGCGTCTGTGGATCCAATGCCTCGGACTGCTACGACTGTGACCTCTGTATCTATCTTAATTGTGCTTCTGGCGTTTTACATCAAAGAGCAAGCGACAAGCTGACAGCATTGTGCAGCTACTCTTGAGCTCTACCGAACCCACCGCCTAATGCCCGTCCTCATCATCCCTTTGCCTCCTCTGTTCGAGTGAAAGTAGTACGGCACGAAGTGCAATACATCAATCACATTGGCATCCGCCGCCTCCTTCGCCAGCGTCTTCCACGGTACGCTTGGCTGCGCCTTAAGTGACTTCGTCGGAAGTAGCGAGGAACCGCGGTAGACATCCAGAGCAACGTACTTCTCGTCCGTGGTGCGGTCCACTGTCGGCCGCTCGACAACCTCCGCGTCAGGGTCGAGTTGGAGAGATTTGAAGTGGTCCTCTACCCAAGAATTGTCCATGTCTTCGACGCAGTAGACGATTGGACCTCTTGCCAAGGCAACGGTGTCGGTGTTGACGAGTGGGTGGGGAGCGAGCATCCGTACGTCTAGTTTGACTTTCAGAATGAAGCTGGGGTTGGCGGCTAGCCAGTCGCCAGGGAGTGTCAGGTAGCCTTTTTGAACGTTGCGATGTGGTGGTTCAGGTTCAATCTATAAAGCGTCAGCATCAACTGAATTGACTCTCGGAGCAAGCCGGCATTGACTCACGCTCCACTCCGAAGTCCATTGTGGTATCCGAAGACTGATGGACACCGTCTTTGAAGCCGTCTCCAATGCGAACGTCACATCCCCACTCCAGGGCCAGTCAGTAGCCTGGGTCAGCTTAGAAGGTTGGCCGCAAACGGTGAATTCGAGAGTACTTGGAGCGTACAAATGCACAGCTATGTGCTTGTCTTCAGGCTTTATACTTGCTGGCTCGGAGCAGATGTAGCCGCCGATGATCGCAAGTGTTCTCATGATGTTCGGAGGGCAGCAGCAGCACTTGAACCACTCGCTTCGATCGGCAGCATTTGCGTCGCTGGAGGCAAGCTGGTTTACATATGTGTACTTTCGCCCATCTGTCGAGATAGCCGTCAGCACGGCGTTGTAGAAAGCCAGCTCCATGATGTCGGTGAAAGAGCCGTCAAGATCATACTGTTGCCGATCAGTCCACGTCTCATCGTATGCAAGAAGAGACCTACCTGCAGTACCCGCTCCACCATCATCATGATGCCGATAGCAGCACATGTCTCAGCGTAGCAGCCACCCTCGTCTGTCCCCTGCGGCAAGAAATACGGTATACCAAAGCCCTCATACTGAGGTATCGAGCCGATTCCGCCTGTCACATACATCTTCTTGCCGACCATGTCATCCCAAAGCCTGACAATGGCCTTCTGCAGGTCAGTTGTTGATTTCTGGTCCATGCGCACCATGTCCGCCACCGCTGTGAGCAGATACATCGGACGCACAGAGTGACCTTCCACACCTTGCATCTCGACGAGAGGTACAGATGCAGAGTAATACCAATTCGAAGGAGTGCGCTCTGGGTAGAAATACGGCCGTGCGTTTGGGTCGTCCCCTCGCTTATCGGCCTCCCAGTCGTAATAGTGGCGGCCATCGACTCCTTTGGGGTTGCCACGTTCCGTGATGAAATATCTGGCAAGCTCAAGATGTCTGGGGTCCTTGGTCCGCTCATGCAAGCGCAACAGCGCTATCTCGAGTTCAGGATGGCCTGGATAGGCATGCAGCTGGTCCTTTCCGGGGCCGAAAGTCTTGATCATGAGTTCAACATATTTGATCATCGGTCCCAGCAGCTTGTCGTTCTTATAGTAGTGCTGGTGTGCCAGTGCACCCTCCAGAAGATGGCCAGCATTGTATCTGGCACCGGAGTCAGCAAATGGACAGTGGCGGTCAGTATGAGGACAGCATACAGCTCGCAGAAGTCACGAATGTTGGTGAACCTGTTCTTCGTTGGCTCGACTATTGAGTAATGAAGATTCAAATATCCATCCTCGTGCTGTGCGCCGGCCAGCATGTCCGTCAGTTCTTGGACAGCAGCATCGACTTCGGCATCATAGTCGGTATGGAGGAAATAGCAGGCGCCTTCGATCCATTTTCCAATATCGGAGTCCCTGTGGCAATTCTTCGTTAGCAAAGTGTCGATAGGTCTGAGGAGCAAGGCCGCTTACCAGAAGAGCCAGTTGCCGATGGGCCAAACGGCGGGTGGCTCATCATAGGCCGGTAGCCATTTCAGCTTGAAAGCTTCATACCGTCCAGTGCTTTTGAGGAAACCAAGCTGCTGCTTCAGCGAGGCGGAAGATGCTGCGTGCCTCTTCTTCTCCATAAAACTACCGGGCGACAGCTTGACCGAGAGGAACGTCTCTTGAGGGTACTGTGACGAAGCCATTGTATGTTGTGTCCTGGTGGGTGTCTTGAGCCAGCAGTCACTGCTTTATGAGAGCCCACGAAGAGGCCCGCAAAGGTCGTTTCCATTGTTGTGATCCACGATTGTAGTTGGTACCCACAAGCAAGTTCAATGTACGTTTAGCCGAAGCCGATATCCAGGGCGATGTATTCGCGGAGCTCTGCAGAGGCGTTCTCGGAGGTCGGGATAGTGTTGTCTTCGGAGCTGTCGTACTCGTGACATGCTTTCTGTTAGCGCCCGAAGCCTGCATGAGAAGGATCCACTCTCAACACACTCATGTTATTCCCGATCAACCAGCTGCATCGGCAGGAGAAGAAGACTGGTCGTGAGTATTGTGGCAGGCGAAGATGTCTTCAGCCCGGCTCGTCGCGGACATTCTCCTCCGGGCTAGACGTGAGTGCACGTGAGACGGAGCGATCGAGCGTCAAAAAGTCCTTCGCTCGTCCAAGCAGGTCCGGCAGAAGGAAAGACTGAGCGCCTCGCAGCTTGGAAAGAGACAGCAGCAGACCCCAAAGCATAGACTTTGCACTAGAACATACGGCGACATGCCTGTTTAGAAGATTCGGTCTTGCTGCTGCGTAATCTAGGATGTACGTCCCGAGATCGAAGAGCTTGCGTTCCTGAAGCAGTCATTCAGTTTGTGCATTGATTACTGATGACAAGTAGTAACACTCACCATGCCTATGCCGTGCACTTCCATCGACCGCTGCGAGACCGAAGCAATAGTAGCCATGACCGACTGAGCAGCTGAAAGAGGCGCTTCGAGCGGCAGAGAATCTGCCATGAATACGGTGTCTGGCAGCTGGAAATTTAGCGCTATATGCCAAAGGTAGCTACGCAGCCACTGTTGAGTGACCGAGTTGTTGACAAGCTGGGTCTCGTTAGCGCCCACTGGGAACAACGACTCGTCCGAGAGACTCCAGAAACAGATGGGCACGGAGATGGCATCCTGCGGCATCTCCATGTGTGGAGTGCAAAGCCAGTTGTATAGAGCTCCTGGGATGGACTCGAAGATGCTGATGATGCCGAGAAAGCCGTCGATTGGACCTGGATCGTCATGAAATGTCATGGAAGGCTTCCCGACGGCAGGATGAAGCATGACTGGTCTTTGGTTGTGCAGACAATACGCTCTGCAGTTCATTTTTGTCAACTAGGCTCAAGCAGTGTGTAGATTTCGTCGTACCTCTCGAGTATAAATACAAACCAGTAGATCCGTCGCCGCATCTCTGCAGCTTCAGCGTCAAGGGAAGAGTAAGTCCTCTCATCGTTCAAACGAAGTGATATGACAAAAGAGACAGTCTGGCTGAGGTAAAACCATGCCTCATCGTGCATGTCCAGATTAGCGTAGGCGCTGAAGAAGAAACACGAGGTTAACAGGGTCTCGAGATCTGGCGCAGTAGCCACATTGAGCTGCTGATTTCGAACTTCAAGAGCCGCAGCCAGAAGGTAGCTTCTCTTGAATTGTGCGCAGGTACCATGAAAACCTCCCTCACCGGCATCAAAGTCGAACAGAGAGTCGGTAGGAGCGAGATTCAGCTGGATGTTCGTGGCGGCGCAGAGTGCTAACAGAAGGCAGTAGCTCTTTGGTGGCAGTGTCTGGTACTCCGAGCAGTATCGCCAGATAGTTGCAGGTCGTACTATTGGCCAGATTGGGAGCATCCAGCGTAGGAAGAGTTGAACATGCACCCGGAGTAGGTCGCCGGATACCCGACTGTTAGGGCCGGATACTGTCGCGGTGGATGGGCGGACTGCAGGCGTAGATCCTTGCCGCTGGGTTGAAGGTGCAGCCACGCATGGTGAGATGACCTGATTTGGGGCTTGCCATGGCGAGCTCCAAGTATCGCTGCCGGTGTGATTTACTGCCGGGCCACGTCGATGGTGTTGCGGGCTCTGGGGAGATGGCTGGGGGGCAGAGCTATGTGATTGTCGTCTTGTTGGCCCACGAGGTGCGCTGCGCATCCTGCGAGTAATCCTGTCATTGTAGGTGCAGACGACTAGCCCGCTCCGACATTTGGTACACGGGCGACTGCGATCACACTTCAGTTTCCGGCGGCGGCATGAATCACACGCCTGAGTGGGCAGTGGCTGTTCCGGGGCTGTCGACATATCGAGCCATGCTCAAGGCCCGTCGGCTCTGGAGCTGCGGTGTTCAAAAGGTGGTGTTATGGTTCGGGTGAAGGTTAAGAGCCGACGACTCCGTCTTCTCCGAGCCTTGTCCGCGGTCTGTCTGCGCCTTCTATCTTGTCTCCTCTCCTTTTCTTCCCAACTTAGATCAATTCACGGTCGTATGCTACAAAACTCAGTATTAATTGGTCTCACTGTCAGTACATCCTCTTGAAGCCTCCCTCGCCTACTGGATGCGTGGCAGCCTGGGGATGGCCCCGCCTTGCCATGATGGAAGGCAGTGGTGTAAGGAGGAGCAGCGAGCAAGAAGCTGTACTACGTCTCGAGCATGAATGTCTTGGTTCTGACAAGCTGTGAGGAACAAAGAAGCCAACATCCAATAACACCAGAGATTATACTGTAGAGCAGAACACGATTCTGGTTAGGTCTACATCCGACTGCGACGGATCATCTATAATTAACATATATCCCCAATCAATCCCTTCTCGACACCCGGTCCACCTCTTTCAATTCTCCACGAACTTGACATCACGAATCCTCCTGTGTTGTGCGGGATGCTTCACCCTAAAGCAGTTCTTTACGTCCACGTCCCAAATCTTGGAAGTACCTGGACCTCCCGGGCCGCCATCGCACTGGCCCGCCTTGAAGTATGCGTGGACCCTTCTTGAATCGCCAATCCCATTGACAATGTATACAGACTGGGTCCTGCCGGACATGCCGACACATACTTGGCGTGCGGGCGCGTGATGATAGAGTAGCTCGCCACCGCTAGATCGGACTCGTCATTATAGTCAAAAACCACTGTTACAGCCGACATACCAGTGATGTCCCGCATATTCATTCATCTTTGGGCCATCCTCTCGTACCATCAGAATCGTCATGTTCATTCCAGTTCCACTATCTCCGTCCAGCTCATAGGGTTCAAGCCAGATATCGTCATCTTCGAAGCCTTGATCGATTGGGGTGGCAAGAGTGAGGCCGGCTAGCATCGCCAACACGAAAGCAGAAAGTTGCATGCTGACTGGAAGTCTTGAGTGTACCTTGATTGTCTTGCAAGTTCGAGTTGACAGAAATGGCCAATCAGTGGTGTATAACGCAGCAGCTGCTGAGGAGAGTCAAGAAGCAGCGGTTATTACAAGTACTCTCCCGTCGTACTTACCTTTGCTACCAGCCTACTCCTTCTGCGTCCGCTTTCTGCAAAAGGGGCGGCATCTACACAGAATGCCGCTCGACCTCAAGACTTATTCTGCCAATATAGGTGACCGCTCCCCCTGAAGTACTGCACATCGTGGTTGGATTGGGGGCTGCAAAACTGCACGCTGTTGCCTTGAGTGCCGGGGTAGAGTCAACATAGGTAATTGCACTGATGACTTATCCGTTCAGAGGGCACATAGGCGACGAGAAGTTGCACTTCCAACGGGAGGTTCCATTGGGGTAATGGGGCCGTCTCCGCTTTATGTGGACTTCACAGAAGCTCTTCCTGCCTACGACAGGAGTGCAACAAGTCCGCAGTACGATGGGACATGCGAATGGAGGTATTGCTGTTCGGGTCCCTCGGCCTTGCGGGTGAGGTTGAAGTTGAGAGCCGACAACTCCGTCTTCTCCGAGCCTTGCCCGAAGTCTGCCTGTGTCATCTTATCTCCTTTTCATCGACCCTTCTCACTTTGGATCATTCCAAGGTTGGATGCTAAAATATCCGTAGGCAATCGAGATGCATAATATGGCTGGGGTATTATACCAACCCTACTTGATTCGAGCATAGGGTGAGTTCTCTTGGAACGAGACATCTACCATCCATGCCGAACATGCTCTGGCTCGTCTTGTGTCTGGTGCCTGCTTTGACGTATGCGCAAACATGCCCTGCGACAACTTCATCACCCTGGAGACTCTCAACGTCCAATCGGCTCGTCACGTTCGGCGACAGCTACACGGACGAGAGCAGACTGCAGTACATGATCGATCACGATGGCAAAGTCCCACCGCTAGGCACACAGCTTCCCGAAAGTCCATTGCTGCGGAATTGGGCGAGACGTGTCGCAGTAAACACTGGTATCGAACTACGCAACTACGCGGTGTCCGGTGCCGTGTGCTCCAACCACATCACGCCCCGTCCTTTTCCCCCGATCCGTGGGAATTTTCCGTCTGTCCTCGAGTATGAGATACCGGCCTACCTTGAGGAAAGTCTGGCCGCTGGCGAGGAAGGGGCTGTGTCTACGGTTTTCGCCCTCATGGTCGGCACGAATGATCTCGGCAACATCGGTTTCGTCACGGATTCGCAGGTTGACGGCAAAGTGCTGCGCGACTATACTCGATGCCTCTTCGAAGCGTTTGACCAGCTCTATGCATCTGGAGCTCGTAGCTTTCTCCTTTTCAACACAGCACCTCTCCATCTCGCCCCACAGTTTGCCGACGACGACCACGGCGGTCAAGAAGCTACACAGTACTGGCCGGACAAGCCCAGCAACCGTACCCAGATCGCCCGCAAGATGGAGCAGCAGACCACATCCGTGAACGAGATCTTGCGGTTCCAGGTATCGTACGAGATGTTAGTCGCCGGACGCTATCCAGGGGCGCATATCGCGCTGTTCGATACGTGGCAGCTGCTGACCGAGATCTACACCAACCCAACAGCGTATCTCAACGGATCAATGCCGGCCAAGGTCAGCGACTACGAGCACCATTGTGATGTTTCCGGAGAGAATTGCGCGTACGAGTACAATCACACCAGCCCGGACTCGTTCATGTGGTGGGATGAGCTGCATCCGAGTGAGCAGGTTCATAGGGTGATCGCGCGGGAAGTGGTGGAAACGCTTGAGGGTCGTTCTCAGTACGCGGCGTATTGGTGACAAGTACTTGCAGAGCGGCTGAGAAGGAGGTTGGTTATCAATATCAACTCTGCTGACCCTGACAAGCGAGCCAACACTCAAGCTGTTTGATTCTACAGCAGCTGGTACGCATCATAAATGACACGACCGCCGGACCTTCCCGACGAGGCCACAAACACTCCCTGGTTAATCCAACTGTACTGCTCATCACCCGTCTCCATCGTCAGCTGCAGTCGCATGCGAAACTGGTCCGGTCCGATGCTTTCGTCCTCGCCCAGCTTCTCCAACACCTCCTTCTTCCCTGTCCGGGTGCCCGTGGTCTGTAGATAGATCGTGGCGCCGTCGTGCGTGAGAAGATTATATCGGGTATTGAGATGAGCCGTCTGCTGGTCGCCATCGTGGTCCCGGACGATCTCCCAGTCGCCCCCGCCAGGCAGGATCTCGCCGCGGAGGAGCGGTCCTTCGAATCGACCGCCTTTAAATATGACGGTGCTCCTATCTCCGAAGGGCCCTAGGCCAATGTGGCGGAAGGTGTCCATCTCGCATTCGAGGTGGAAGAGGAATTGGAGAGCTGGCACTGGCAATTGGTAGTCGGGCCTTGCCCACTTTGAATGGGTGAGTGTGCCGATGGGGTGTGCCGGCTCGACCGTTCCGGGCTGTATCTTTGGCATGGCTGTATGGATGGAGGCGGGAGTGGGTAGCTTCTAGGACACGCTGCAACGTAGTTAGGACGTAAGGTCAATACATAGCAATAGACAAAGTTCTTCTCGACCATGTTGTATACGTCATTGGCCCCGCTGTACACAAAGTTTGTGAGAAACATTTAAACCAGAGAACAGCGGCAACTGTGGGTGTGTTCTGATTCTGAAGTTCACGAAGTTATCAGCGACCTGAAAACATGTGTAGGCGCCTCGGAGCGAATGTTTCTGGCCCTGAGAAGCAGATAGCAATCCGTGAGTATTTTAGACCTGACGACCAGGGCGTGTGATGTCCAGAAAATCAGAAAGGCGGTTGAGAGAAGCAGAAAGGTGTAGATGATCGATTGTCGAACTCCAGCGAGCTCTGCTTTTCAGCATCAGCGATCCTGTGCCATCAGTAACATGCATTAACTCCCGGTTCACAACCGACTGCGCACAATCTCCTTGATTTCATCATCATCCAGCTCCTTCAAGCCCAGTAGCTCGTTGTCGTTATTCTGCGAAAAATCGCCGCCAAACTTCCTGCCCCAGATCGCGCACTGCAGAAACGGGATGGCCCAACCCATGAAATTGTTGGGCTGTTTCTGCAAGACCTCATACCCTTCCCTTTCACGATCCGCGGTGCTTGCATGCGAGATCTCCCAGCCATCAACGCTCCCACAGTGCTGGATCACCTGGAGCAATCGATTCTGCGTCATCTTTTTGCCATGGAGCCGGACAACACGATTAGCCGTCTCGCTAGGATGCTGGAGGACGCCAACGACCCCCTTCGCAACGAACTCCAAGGGCGTGGCGGTGAACGGGACGTCCCCTCGGTCGAAGACCTCCATCTTCTTCGCTTGGAGATCGACGCCAAACTTGTGATCCAGATCCCAGTCGAAGAATTCGTTGTTGCAGACCAGTGTGTAGGTCGTCGATGTTCCTTGGATCTGTTGCTTCAATTTGCTCTCGACCTCGACCTTCTGAGCGAAGACCGGCAGTTGACGGACGGCGGCGCAGTCTGGGTCGCCTCCGTACTCTGATGGAATGACTCGCTGAACACCTCGCTTTATCGCCGCGTCGAACAGCACCTCTTGCGCCTTGATGGCGGCATATCCGACTGCGGAGACTACCGCATCTTGTCCTTGAAGTGCCGCGGCCAGAGTCTCAGCATCGTTGTAGTCGATCTCGGCAATCTTCACGGATGGTGGAAAAGTGTGCGAGTTGTATTTCCTAGTCAAGACGGTGACCATAAACCCAGCTTCCGTTAAAGCTTTCAAGACCGCCGTGCCGATGATGCCGCTTCCACCGGCCAGGGCGACTGACTTGATGCTCGACATTTTCGGGATACTTGGTGGATGGATGGTATATGCTGCGACCTCAGTGGCCTTGCTGTGGAAAAGTTGATAGTGTGATACTCTTTATTCCGGCGAGCTGTGTCTTATAGCTGGTCAACGTGGACTCTGACCTACCTTGACCTACCGTCTTGATGCGTAGTCGGTCGCCGTTAGGCTGATCAAACACCCCGAGATCCACTCCGAGGTTCGTATGCGCACCGCCATGTCTTGTCGACGTTGAGATGTTGGCGTGGTGTAGAGTGGAGAGATGGAGGATTCGGTGCCAAAGCTCGGGACGATTTCGGAGTCCGACGCCGACCTCACGCGAGACCGTCCCGACTTCTCTCACATCCGACTTATGTCTTCGCGAAAACGTGCAATCAACAAGGACTGGTCTCGTCTGCATCCTACCATGACTACGCGCATGGACACTGCTGATGCAACATCATCCCGAAGCCCTGCGCCCCAGCATGAGTCAAGAGAGCGCAGCTGTGTCCTCTGCGCCCGGCGCAAAGTGCGATGCAACAGTAGGCCGACCTTGACCCAGGCGACGACGTGATCTCGCCTTCGCACATACGCTTACACAAGAACCGTCCACTGGCAGAACGATTCCCATGTGATAGATGCCAACGAGCGGGTGTTCAGTGCCTTCCTCCCAAGCAGGACCCAAAGCCTCGGTGGGCTCGCCAGATCGAATCGACAGCCAGTACTACTTCAAACGATGGAGGAGGCTCCTCATCCCAGAATGTCCCGTCGGTTTCAACGTCCAAATCGTCCGCGGCAGACACAAATGACCTGTTGCGTGATAGCCACGTCCTCCTTCCAGGACGCAGTCTCGCCAACCAAGACGCTCAATCCCTGCTACCAATGCCCTCGCAAGTTCCCTTTCTCTTAGACGTCTTCTCCGAGAGAGTGCATTCCATCATTGGCCTTCCGCACCTGCCATCACTCAAGTCTCTTCTTCAAGCCCGAAGGGGACGCACGGCAACGCTGTCAGCCGAGGATGAAGCTCTTGTCTTCTCAATCTTCTATGCGGCAATATGCTCCATGGATGGGGATGAAGTATCCACGAGCTTTGATCTCTCGAGAACCCATCTCCTCTCACAGTACCGCGCAGGAATGGAGCACTCGCTTGCCAAAGCCGACTTCCTCAACAACCCGTCCGATGCCGTGGTCCAGAGCTTAGTTCTGTCTCTGGGGTTGGGTCGATCCCACGAGAACGCGACTTACGTATGGATGATGACCGGGCTGACTATCAGGATGGCTCGGTTCCTTGGACTGCACCGAGATGAAGACGAACGCGGCTATGACATGCACTTTCAGGCTGAGATGCGACGTCGAACCTGGTGGAACGTGTGTGCACTCGACATGCGAGCGACGGAAGATCAAGGGACTGATCTGGCGATTACTCCGGGAAGCTACAGTACCAAGTTGCCTTCGAACATCAACGACGCCGACATCTGGCCCGGCATGACGCACACGGCGATTGCATCTCAATCTCCCACCAACACTACACTCCTGCGGCTGTGCTCTAAAATCACACGTCACTCCCAAGAGCTCTTATCTTCTCATCATCCGTTTGAAGACCGCATCCGTGGACTACAGGTCTTGACGCAGGAGCTCGAAGAAGAGTACTTCAGCCGGACCAACCAGTCTCATGACCCGGCGTATCTAGCAGCGACAGGGACGATGCGTGTCTTTCTCGGCAGGCTGACTCTGCTGGCTTTCCTGCCAGAGCTCTATTCCTCCTCCGATGACACGCTCTTCGTGGCAGCAATCGATGTACTGGAGCACAACCACGCCTTGAATTCTGATGAACGCTGCCTACCTTGGAGATGGGTCTACGGCAAGCAGCAACAGTGGCACGCAATTGTCTATCTCCTTCTCGAGATCTGCCGGCGTCCGTGGTCGCCTTTGGTGGAGCGAGGATGGGCTGCTGTGAACAGTCCGTGGCTGGTGCCAGCGAGAGCATCGAATGAGAAGGACTTCAACGTACTGGCTCCGCTCAGAAGACTAATGACCACGGCACGGCAGCATCGAGAGAGCGAATACACCCGGCTTCACCATAACATGGACGCTGCGTCGACTCTGGAGAGGGAAGACCGACGGCGCCAACCGAAACCCTCGAGCTCCATTACCTTCCCAGCGTATTTCGACGATGAAGCCTTCTACTCGCGCTGGCGCGATCTTGTCCGCACTCCCAACGAAACAGCTGATGCGAGCATGACAGGCAACTTCCGCACGAACACGCCGCACGGCAACCCAGCCGGCCCTTTGCGTCCATCCCACGGTCAGTCTCAAATAGCGAACCAGCGAACAAGTGAGCACCCATCCTCAGCAGCGACTTCCGGGCTTGCTCCGTTGCCAAACGTCACACACTGGCCAACAGCATCCTCTGGCATCGTTGGCTTGAGTAATCTCAGCAGTTTTCTCGGCACAGACGCAGAGTCGGAATTGCCTGATGCTACAACTCATGCCATTCTCGATTTTGACTGGAGTCGATGGCTTGAATCCGCTAGAGGGACGCTGTAGACACCATCTGGCGGTGGTTCGAGCTCCAGCAAGAGTGGTGTGCCACTTTGTCAGAGACGGTCAAGACAACATTGGCGGAAAGCATCTGTACGGGGCAAACAGACGAAAATGTGAAATGGCCCAAGTGCGGAACAGGCTTCGGATAATGGATTCAAACAGCGGGGCAGTTAATGGCGTAGAAGATGACACGCTTGCTCTAATCTACGAGTCCAGCCGCTATTGAACCACCATCCCCTTCTCCTCCTCATCGCCCTCTCTCCTCCCCCCTCACTGGAGCAAAATTCTTCAACCACTCCCTAGCACCGTCGAGACTTCCGCTCGCAGCTTCCAACGCCCCCACGCACCATGTCAACCCATACCCTCCCTTCCCTGGTGGATCCTCTTCTGCCGCGAGCATCTCGGCCAGCTGCCTCCGCCTCTGACTCCCCTCGTCGACGCAGAAGTGGAGCGGCGAACCTTCAGACCCCTTCATCATCCCGTCCAAGAAAGGCTTGATCATGGGCAGAGCGTCCTTGGTCGTGATGCTGCCCGCTATCCCCAGGTTCTTCCTCCCGCTCGCGCAATACTCATTGCGACACCACGCTTTCTTGCACCCTTGTGTCAGCTGACTGAGGTACCTTCGCTCAACCCTCCGCCGCAGCGCCTTGTTCTCGGGGTCATACATGCTCACGTAGAGAGGCCCGAAGCATGCGCTGCACAGACCGACGTCATTCCCAGGGCCCTGACCTTGCTTTTCGCCTGCCCGAGTGTCGCCGGCCTTTGAACAAACAAAGAGCGTTCGTCCGCAATTGGGGTTGCGACATAGCACTGGCGCGGGCCGGGACAGCCGGTCGAGATCGTGGACCTTCATGTGATTTTGCGTGTCGCGGAGGCGAATGAGCTTGGAGCAGACATGGCACTCTGTCGTCCTCGCGCCATCCTCAAGCTCGTGCGGTGTCATGCCAGACAGAATGGCTTCGGCGTTCGGGACGTCAGGGTCGCCTCCCTGGGGAACTTCGAGATGGCAGAACCGGCACAGGATCTGCTTCTCGGGGCAGGTGGACGTGCGATGCCTCGCGAGCGTGAGGTACGACGAGAACGTCTCCTGCGTTCCGCAGCTACATCGCAGGGGAGCAGGGTGGAAGACGGTGTCATGCTTCGATCGAGACATCGCCGAGTCCCCGTTTGCGGTGTCGTGTGGGCAATGCCAGTGGTTTTGGTACTCTGCCGACGACTTCTGGAATACCTGGTTACAGCCGTGTGGGCAGAGAACATTATTCCTAAAACAAAAGGCCTCATGGAGGACGAGCCTCGCTTTTGGCACGAATTGTAGGCAGTTCTTGCACTGTATTTCATCTGGCTGGTGTGTGGTTTCAGTGCCTCCTTGACTGTCATCGACTGACGTTGCAGGGTCAGGGTGACTTGCTCGAAGAGTGAAATGGCGTGGCTGAGGTGAGGCTTCTTGGTGGTCCCCATTGGCCTCTATTTGTGCCGGGGCGAAGGCATGCACCGACACATACAACGCCTCTGCATGCTCGAGCTCGGCATTCGAAGGGTCCAGACGTATCCGTTTTCGCGGTCTGGAGTCGATGTCGCCGAACACAAACTCATCGATCCGCGGCTTTGCCCGTTGAGATGCCGAGAAAGGGCTGATGAGCAGATCCACGTCCTCTTCGCCATCGTTGCCATTCAGTTCGATCTCGAGCGGCTGTGTCCGGTTCCAGGAATTGAGAGTGAAGTCGACGTACTCCCCAGGTAAGACCTGGCCCTGTTGCGCCTTGAAAAGATCCAGCTCACCGCCAGCAGAGCTCCCATGCTCACTTCCTGGCAGCCTGGTCATCTTCTCAGCAATGCGCTTCAACGTTTCCCGAGCCTGCTCTTCGTTCAAAGCCTCGATGTCGACTTCAAGGTCAGTGTCGACGATGCATACACCGTCCATTTGTTCCTGCTGAAAGCCATCAACGAGAAACCTTAGGCGTTCCCGACCATGTTCTATTCCAATCACCTCCCCATTTGTGAGAGTAGTGTATCCTGAACGTAGGCTCTGTTCGAGCAGTGCTTTCCAGTCTTCAGGATCATACCCAGGCTCGAGTGGTCTCAGCTTGACAAACGTGCCTTTCGGCAACTGCTTTGCGTGGACCGTGATGGTCGACACAGGTGTATCTTTCTCCGGTGACTCCCCATCCACTATTGTGTCATTTGCGGCCTTCCTGTCTTCCTCCCTCTCTTTCAGTCCTAGCCCCTCTTGCAAGAACGGACTGAGCTCGACCTCGCCTTCCTCTGCGGAGAACTCCCTCACCCCCGCATACACCACCCGCCCGTTCGCCGGATTCACCAGTCTGAAAGTGAGAGGGTATGGCAGCTGCTGTCGTTGGTCCTGGTATTGGGACTCGGCCTGTCTGTATGCAGAGTATGTCGCCGAGTTGTAGGGATCGTAGGCTGGCAAATCACGCCTCGAGTCTGCAGCTGCTGCGTTGGATGCTGCAGAGAGCAAGCCTTCTAGTGCAGACTGGCTCAGCTTGATCTTGTCTCCGGACAGTGGCTGGCCTCGACGAGAGTGCGCGAGAGTGTATTGCGCCGACCATTCGAGCGATGGAGGTGATGTGTCCGCCATGGCGATGATGTTGGGCTCGTCGAGGTGAGGATGTTTGTAGCCAAGGGGAGGTGTCTTCTATGGATTAGACATTAGCAAGGCGCATGACAGTCGTAAGGCGAGTGAATGTTTACTGACCTGGTGAGGCAAAGGAAGCTTCTCGACCGCGACATGTGTTCGTGTAAGCTGCCTGGAACGTCATGGCCAGACTAGGAAGGAGCAGATTTCTCCGATCCGCTCCGACATCAACCACATGCAGTGTCACGAGCAAGAGACATTGACCTACTGCGAGACAATGTCCAACATGGCCAACATCGACGAGCTGCCGCCGACGCTCTTGGACGTTTTAGCAAATACAGTCGTACTCGGTCAGCTGAGCCCATACATCAACATCCGAGATCTCCTCTCCCTCTCCGCCACCTGCAGCGCCGCACGAAACACAATCTATTGCAATCGAGAAGCATGGCGACACCTCGATCTTACCGGCATCAAGTCGGCCATGATCGACTCCTCACCCATCGATATAGGTGGCATGGCGTAAGTTCGCCACTGGCCACAGCTCAACCATTCTCTGCTTGAAGCTGAAAGATTGCAAACAGTTGGCGAGCCGAACGCATGGACGAGGCGCTCACCAGCGATGATTTCTTTTCTGGTCCGCTGTACGATAGAGACCCATTCCTTAATTCGATTGCTTATGCTGATCTCAATGTCCGTCTGTCCTACAGGAGAGGTATCTTCGGACGACTGCACCGAAAGAGCGTATTGCAGCATGTGCATACCCTCGTTCTCGACGGCCTCTCTGTACCAGCGGATGTTATCCACGAAATTGTCTGCGAGGATCGGTACAACGTCAGGATCCTCAGTCTGCGACAGTGCAGGCACCTGAACGAGACAAAGTTGCAGCAAGTACTACGCTACATCACGCGACCCACTAGGCCAGATGGAACTCCGAAGCTGAGGGCACTGTACTTTTTTGGATCCAAGGATGACCTTGGAGCTGTCACAGGTCGGCAACAGCATCACCAAATCTTGCCAGCCAATGCAGGAATTACGGACATTCAAGGCGCCCAACTGGGAGCTTCGAGTCAATTACCTGTAGTCGCTCATGACGCGAAGGTCGTGGATGACGAGGCAAGATGGTATGGCTCCTCCGGCCGCATCATGAAACCACCCCTCTCCGGCTGGGCCGAGACCATGCAATCGTGCAAAGGCCTGATCGCATTCGACGCAATCCTCTGCCGCGGCCCACGGCACGACATTACAAAAGTCGACAGCGAGACCTTCTTACAGCCAACAGTGGCGAACATAGCACTCGGTCGTGGCTGCGAGACCTGCGGCACCATCCCCGAAGGCCCGGCCGTTTTTGGCACAAGTCCAGCACACGCCCTCCCTCTGCTCAGTCCCGTCCCAACCCATTCCTCGACCCTTCGCGCTGCACAAATGCCATCTACCGCCTCCAACGGTCTGCACCAACTGTACGCTCGCTGTGAGGACTGCCTCCGAGGTCGCTACTGCGAACGGTGTCTTCGCTTTTGGTGCGAGGACTGCCTACCATCAGTAGGAGGGGCCAATGGCTCACCGGTAAAGGTATATTCGCGCCTGTGCGTCGAACACTGTCTCGTAAGCGAAATGATGAGTGGTGCTGGCAGCCAGGGGATGTGGGGGTGAAGAGGCCCTGGCATGGATGCCTGCCATGGGCCGGTGCTGCCAGTACGCTCTCGCCATCACCAGTCTTGCGAGGCAGCCTGTGCGACTTTGGCTGACAAGAAAGCAGCGTGATTGCTTCGACTGCGGACGCATCTGCAACGACTGCCGATCGATCTACATCAAGACGTGCAAGAAATGTCGGACCACATACTGTCCTTCTCACGATCCTGACTGCTCCAAAGACTTCTGCTCGTGGTGTTCGAGAGGCGGTAAGTCACTACAGATGGCGAATCACGTCAAAGATATCGCTGATGAGTTTGGCCGTAGGCGGCCGGCGGAACAGACCGATGTACTGACTGGCCTCGGATCAGATAATATGCCATTGAACCAGGACATGCAATACTAGGCACTGCATTCCAAAGCTTGAGCTCCGGGACACACAGCGTCGTATGTCTCAGCTCGAGGATACGAATCAGATTCCCGCCCAAAAATCCAAAAGCCTCCGCACCGTATTAGGCCGTCACAATCATTAGATCATCACTGCCCGTAAGAGAGTTGGTGGCTATCTCTCCCTCCGTCACTACTCGCAATCACCCGCATGCCCTAGGAATCGAGCCGGATTGCCAGTTGGAATCACTTGTCAACGTCGCCTTTCTCTGGGTCCATTGGCAGTCTTGATCCTCTGCCAGTCGGACTGGTTGGGCTGATAGGACTGCTCGCAGCCGTCTCCGTGATGGCTGGGTAGTCGACTTTCCCGGTCATTTGACTCGTCGGGCTGGTCGGATTTGCTGCAGTCGAAGTATCGAATCGGTGCAAGGCGCTGTTGCTGACGAGACCGATCTGGAAGGACAAAGCATTAGCATGATCTTCTTGCATGTAGCCAACAGACGAATAAAGCATCGGACAACTCACCAGACTCTCCGTCCCCTCCCAAAGTGGCCGTTCCTTCAGAACCGTCCTCGTCGCACCCCTCATGGCCATCCGTCGATGTTCAACCGTGTTCAGGTGGTGAATGAGGTCTTGGTACGCAGCCAAAGAGTACGCCATCAGATCGACCGGCGTCAGCAGATTCCAAGTCTCAGCATCAAAGCCGAATCGCCAAGTGGCCAGCAACCAGCGCGCTGCAAGAACGGACGCATTCGCAGTGATGAGTATGGAGAGGACGAGGCCGATGTAAGTCGTTGGTGTCCAGTCGATGCGAATCACGTACAGGTGTGGGTACTCGGTCATGATGACGGGCTGGTCATAGATGGTCTGGTTCTTCATGGCATATCTGGACATTGTCAGCACCAATGTGTTTCATCGTTCATGGTTGTCATACTTGTTAATGCTTTCCGACCAGCTGGTATGCACAATATGGTAGACCTGGTTCACTATGGAGTCGAGACGGGACATGCCACTGAAGATATTGCTTCCTTGTCCTGCATCATCTCGAAGATTGAACAGCTTGCTGTAGCCGTCTGAAGAGCCGAGAACAGCGCCGGCGCCCTGGAAGCCAAGTCAGTCCCGCTGGACTATTTCTCCTACTAAGAAGCATCCTAGCTCACCTCAAGCGTGAAATAGAGGTCTGCAAATCCAGACACAGGCGAACTCTGCGGCGTCGGCATCCGTGCATTCGCACAGCGTTCGTCGGTAACGTTGGCCCGCAAGACGCCATTCTTCAGCGTGAACCCAACTTGCCTCCACGACGAGTAGATGTCGTCCTGGTACTTTATGGAAGCAAACTCGCACTTTGCGACAAAGTAGTAGTCGGAGCCCTGCGGAACACCAGACTTGTCGGGCTCAGTGCCGTACAGCAGTCTATGGAGGCGTGAAGCGTAGCCGTCGGGACCATCATCTGAAGCGGCAATGACGGAGGTGTTGTAGAGTTCGGGGTCGGGGTGCATTTTCAAGACCATCGTGCCTGCTCCTCTGCACACAGAGACATCATTAACACAACTCGAAGTTTCAGTCGAGGAGATTAAAGACATACTCATCGTTGGTGCGGAACTTGATGGCGTACGGGTCGTCGTTCGGATAGTCGAGGATGATTTTGTACAGCGTGATGGGAGGCGCATCTTCATCAGCAGCCTCAAGCTGATACAAGGGTTCATAGCGCACGAGATTGCTCCCGGTCTCGAAGGAGGTCTGATTGAAAGGCTCTTCCGTGCCTGCGTGCGAAAGGAGCAAGAGTCAGAGATGTTCCAGATCGATCGTTGCTAACTCACAAGTGATGATCTGAGGATCTAGAACTGGCAAGCAGTATTCACGATACTCTTCTTCGAATGTTGTTGCTTCCACAGAGTCACTGAAGTGTCGAAGGGCCCAGTATGGTAGGCCCATCGTTCCATTTGGAGGTTCAAACGTAACTCCTCCTACGGTATACTGCTGGAAGGTTACCATCTCTGTCGGCGGACCAGTTGATTAGCGGTGCGCCGTCACCCACAAGAATATCTCCCTTTTTTGACCTACGAGAGCTAAGGGCAGTCAGGGCAAGGTTGTATGCACAGCCCGGGTCAGCAATCTCGATCGTGCATGGGTCGACAACCCTGCCATTGTAGGTCTCTGGTATGTCGATGGACAGTGGAAGGTATGCCGGCCTTTGCCTCCCATTGCTCGAGATGATGGGTTCGACGACGAAGATAATAGACAGAACTGCGGCGTAAGAAGTAAGCACATGCATGTTACGTCAGACCCGTCGGGCGTGGAACCGACTCTCTCGGCTTGACGTACCGGACTGCAGGAAAGCAAATATGATCATCGCTGCCAGGTAGAAAGTAGCGAGTCCCCAGACCTGCCGGTTGTGCAGGGCTGGCATCGCCGCCATCGTAGCCTATTTCGACGTCAGCCCTAGGTACTCGCGGCCTTGTGGAAAGGACCTCTCACCTGCGATCCTGCGGCGGCGGCATGCACATGGAGGCGCTGTAGTGTGGCAGTAAGTTAGAACATACCATGCAGCAGACGTGCATGAGGGGGTACCGGTATGGTGAGCTCATCGTTCTGCAGTTCACCTGAAGTGGTACTTAACATCAGCAAATGTCTCAGATGGTCACGCAAGTCATAACAGCCTCACTTCTAGTCTCTGCTTCGTTTGTAGCGCTATACAATACCTGCGTCAGTCACGACATTGCGGCCAAGAGCACTCTCTCACGCGCTCACCGACGACAATGGCTCAGAAGAATTCCAATCACTGTCGCGACCACGGTCACCAGCAAATTGAGCACCTGCTGGATGTCTTTCTGGGCGTAGCTCGCGGTGTATTCAGGCAGCGTAATGCGGGAATGAGTCAAAGCAACGAAGAGCAAAAGAACCGCCGTGCAGATGGCCACCGCCAACGACTGGACCGCTGCCGTGATGGTCGCTTGAGACTTGTTGCCCATCATGTTGCGAGTACGAATGATGGAGATTTCCTCCTTACTGTGTTATGGAAGTTGACAAAGCTCTCAGCCCGACGGGCGGCCGTTGAGTGTATTTGCACTTGGTTCTCCATCATGTCCGAACAAGGCTGAAGGAATTTCTAAGAGCTCTGCGAGGATCCTCCATCGCCTGCTCCGTGTATTGCTGGAGGACCGGACAGTGACGGGGAGTCAGGTACCTGCAGACTGCAATACCATACCGCACTGTGAGAGGCCGTACCGATAGTAGAGATGCAGACATCCGCGATAAGTCTGCCGGCCGGGCGTGCTAGGCTTCTTCTGAGGGTCGGCGTCCGCTCTCCATCGGTTGACGGCGGTGTATCTGCGCTCGCTACAGACTACACCTTCCACTCGCAGTAGTTGGTCCATGGACGCCAGACCGCCCTGAGTAAGCGCATTACTGGGCGAGAGAGCTCCAGTCGAAGCTCGCTTGGGACGGTCTCCATCTGCACGATGAGCTGTCCATTCCAGGTCGCTTACGTTGCGCCGGATGGTGGCTTGACTCGGTGGCGTGATGATATTGGAGCCTTCTCGTCGAAGTTATCGTTGTCGGGCGAAGTTTCATGAGCGAAGAAGTCGTGTCTTCAAGCGCCAAGCGCCCGCCAAGATGCGCCTTCGAAGAGCTTGAAGAACGAAGGATGAAGGTGCTTGCACTGGCGACACCACCTTCGGTAACAAGAGGGCAGAGCGGTGGAGCGGTGAGACGTGATGTCAAGTACTCAGTCCGGAGCATGGTGCCGTTCGAGGACGGGAGCCGGTCAGTTTGCTGGTCAGGAAATCTCAGGCGTCAAGCATTCAGCGACGAGTATTGCTTCGGCCCCGAACGCTGCAGGTGGTAGAGAGAGAACGAACGTAGAGCTTCTTTTGCAGTAGTGCGGAACATGGGACCAGCAGGAGAAGGGCCAAGAGCCCTCCTACACGGGCAAACTTGGAACACTCCAGTGTCCACTAAAACATGGCAAAGATCCACTGCAGAAACGCCAGCCAGTCCTCGTCTTTCGCACCCTCCTTCAAAGCCTCGCCGTCTCTAGCCCGTCGAAAGTTTGTCGTTGGCTCCCTATGTTAGCCGTCAGTCACCTCAGATCCAGCAGCCACATGCCCCAACTCCAAGTTGATTTTGAGCAATCACTCACCCAGCATCCCATCACCGCCCTGGCAAACACGCGGCATGACCGGATCGCAGCACCAGTAGTCATATGCGTTCATGCGTCCGCAATAGGGACAGCAGGGTTGGTATTCCAGGCGCTTGCCAGGGGACGCAAGCTCAGTGGACGGATCTGATCGTTCTGGGACCTCCTCAGACTCGCTCGTGGGAGCTCCGAAGGCTTCTTCCAGCAGCGTTGCGAGCTCGACGACCTTTGGCCCACTGTTGGCGCCCGTCTCGGTAGGTTGTTGCTCGCGAGACGCTCGTGGTTGATGCGGTGATTGTGTGCGCTTCGGGTAGGCCGGGTCCGATGCGTGTAAGGAGTCAACGGTGTAGCGCTGACTGGTAGAAGGCGATGCTTTCTTGTATGATAAAGACGTGGCAGCCAGGCTGCTTGTCATTGAATTACGCGTCATATGTGCAGTTGTGAATGCACACGTAGAGCGGAGCCATGCAAACAACACAAGCCGTCATTCACTCAGGGGTCCCTCCAACGCCGTCGCTCAAAGCCAAACATTTCCATATATACCAACACCCTTGCTTTTCCATCCTCTCACCTCCCTCTTCCTCTCCTCTCCAACTCTTCTCGTACACTTCCTCCACTCGCTCTATACCACACATCGCCTCCCCATCTTGCTAGCCGCTCACAAGCCGCCGTTGGGCTGTCCACCGCTGGTCGCACGTCCAGGTAGAAGACCGGCTCGCCCGTAGGCTCCGGCGGGCCAGAGTAGTAGTCAATTACGTACCGCACCTCCCTCGTCGCACCACCAGGTGCCTGCCGCTGCACGAACCAATCGTGTCGATCGAAGGGAGGATTGTCCGGGAATTGGCTCGGGTACAACCATGCCATGAAACTCAGCATCCTCGCTTTTGGTGTCGGTTCGTTCGGCCGGCCCATGAATCGTAGCAGTTTCGGGTCCGCCGCTGCTTCGCCTCTCCTTTCCCTCCTCAGCGCCTCAAGCTGCGCGCTTCGCATAGCATGGTCTTCGCCGTTTTTACACCACTCCCAGCCTCTTCCTATCCCCTGCGCGAATAAACCCTCCCAGCCTTTGATTTCCTCCCATGCCCCCTCGTTCAAGAAATTGTGCACCGCAACCATACTCTCCACATGCTCCGCTGGAGTATCCGTATAGCCTTTGCGCAGCATCGCGTTGTACATCTGCTGCGGGGACGGGTACTCCCAGTTGCCGGAGCCGTCGCCTCGGGGTATTGTGGAAGGCTCGCGGGAAAGAGGCAGGGCGACTGATTGTTCGGCGGCGTCGCGGGTATTGGAGATGGAGGTCGGCATGTAGTTCAGAGGATTGAGTTTGGAGATGTATGAAGGTGTTGGTGTCGGTTCTGAGGATGAGGGAGGGTTGTAGGGGCATGCTGATTGGGTCGAGGCGGCGGCGGACGAGAGGGCGGCGGTCTCCTTGTTGCTGTCGCGGGCGAGCGAGTTGTGCATGGGACAAGCTGGCTGTACCTATCGTCAGCTACACTGCAATACGCGCCGCCGAATGCGACTTACTGGAGGCTCTGCTGCATCTCTCGGGAGAGGAGGGTGTGATGGCGGGAGTGCTTGAGATGGATTGGGTTGCGCAATCGCGCTTTTGTCTACCCAAAACCAGCCCATGGTGGCGATCAGGAATATGCGATTGAGATGGAAGGCTTTCAGAAGCGAAGGAGAAGATAAAGATGTTCGAAGGCGAATGGCACGAGGCGAGTAGAAGTTGATGGACGTCAACGATTCAGGGTTCAAGTGAGGGTGGCTCGAGCGTCTCAAAAACATCGCCCTCCCGATACCGCCCGACGACCGTTTTCTCCTGAAAGAACCCTCCGTCGTTGCCACTGACTGCTTGTGTATCATGTCGGTCATGTCATCTAGTCGTTTCTGCACTCATCCCACAACGCCACGCTAGTCATCCCTCCATCGATGATATCACCCCTTCACCAAGCTATTCCCCGCTTCCTCCTTTGCCTTGCCAAACTTCTTCAATCGAATCGCCTGCACGCTGATGAAGCCGGTGGTGTCGCTCGGCGCAAAGTCACCAATCTCGTCCATCGAGCTCTCACTCTCATCGTACAGCTTCTCCGTGTCGCTCCACCGGCCCAGCACCGTCATCATGCCCTTGTATGCCCGACACCGCACGCTGCCGTTAACGCTCTTCTGCGACGACGTGATGGAGTCTTCGAGGAACTCGCGCTCGGGCGAAAAGTAGAGGCCGTTGTAGAGGATCTTGGCGTAGGCGAAGGTGACGAACTGGTCGCGGAGAGCGCGCACTTCTCGGTCCATCACCAGACCTTCCAGATCGACGTGGGCAGAGCGAAGCATTGTCAAGCCTGGGGTCTCGTAGCAGCCGCGCGACTTGAGGCCGATGAAGCGGTTCTCGACAATGTCGATCCTGCCGATGCCGTGCTTGCGAGCGATCGCGTTGGCGGTCAGGAAGAGATCCACCGAGTCGGTCGCGGTCTTCTTGCCGCCAGAATGCTCCAGCTTCACCGGCAAACCCTCCTTGAAGGTGATGGTGAAGTCCTCTGGCTCATTCGGAGCCTTCGACGGGTCGGTGGTGAGCTTCCACATGTCCTCTGGTGGTGTGGTGTTTGGGTCTTCCAGTATACCCGCCTCATACGAGCAATGCGCCAGGTTCTCGTCCATGCTCCACGGCTTGCTCTTCGTGCTCGTCACTGGAATGCCCTTTTCCGACGCATAGTCCAGCAAGTCATTCCTCCCCTTGAACCTGTCGTAGAACACCTGGTCCCTCCATGGCGCAAGGACCTTGATGCTGGGCTGGAGCGCGTAGAAAGCGAGCTCGAAGCGGACTTGATCATTGCCTTTCCCTGTGCATCCGTGCGAGACCGCAAAGCAGTTCTCCTTTTGCGCGACAGCAATTTGAGCGCGGGCAATGACTGGTCGAGCGAGGGAGGTGCCGAGGAGGTAGACGTTCTCGTAGATTGCGTTGCAGGCGATGGCTGGGTAGCAGAGTTGCTCGATGAACTGTACAGAAGTCAGGCTATAGCCTCCTGGGGTTTATGTTCATACAGCAACTCACCTCCCTCCTCAAGTCTTCCACGTAGCACTTGCTCGCCCCGATCTTGAGAGCCTTCTCCTTGGCAGCATCGAAGTCTTCCTCTTGCCCGACGTCGGCCATGAAGCAGACGACCTCATATCCTTCGTCCTGGTCGACTGTTATCCATGTGTCCTTTGACCTCATTCAAGCATGATATTTGAAGCTTTGCAAGGAAGCGGTGTGGGAGACTCACGAGGAAGTACTGCAAGATACAGCTGGTGTCCAACCCGCCAGAGTAGGCCAGACAAACTTTCTGCTTCGCCATGGTGGATCTTGAGGTAATTGTGGAAGTAGTCTGTAGAGGGTGTAGTGTAAAGAGGTTGAAAGTTGAGGTCAATGGCTTCTGTAGCTCTTCAGAAAATGTTTGGACCCCGCTGCTGTGAAAATGAAACCATTGATAACGCCTTATCTTAGCTTCGGGCTGCGAGAAGGGCGCCTCGGAAGACTCCGGTATGGAGCCCAGAGTAATTACAGCGTACTGTTAGAACACATCAACGTTTGGGATACTATTAGGCTCGGGCAATGGTCAATAGGATGTTCGAGGTTCGTGCTGTCACAGAATGCTGCTCTATCTCGTTTGCTGGAGCTACACCTCCGGCTTCATTGAAACTCGCCTATACAACTTCCCAGACAACGACCTCGTAGCATTGCTCGCTGTGCCTTGCGCAAAGCTCCCTTCTGCTGCCGGCCACCGCTCACTCTGCAGCCAGTACTTCTCGTGTGCCGGCCGCCCTTTGATCGTCTTGACGAGGTCGAATGGATCCGCCCATGTCTGCCATTGGCTTCTCCGGTCAACCCAGCCAGGACCCAGTCGCTCGGTCGTCCCATCCACATCCAGGTACTGGAACTTATTCCGAGGCAGGTATCGTCCCGGGTGCATGACGTTCAGCCATATCGTGTAGATGGCCATAGGTGTTGCTTCGAAGACGTAGATGTACCACTCGCGAGTCTCGACCAAGCGGCAGAGAGATCCACATTGCTCAGGAGTGAGGACGCCTTGTGTCGCGAACGCTTCGACCGCCCGGAAGATGCAACGGAAGAGGACCAGTGCTGAGGTGCCGTAGAGCATGAAGCAAAGCGCTCGAACGTTGCGAGAGAGATGGTGCGCTCGAGCAGCGCGATAGTGCATCGTTGCGACGAAGGAGACGAAGACACATTCGACTGCGGCTTGCAGGACGAGCTGGAACGACATCAGCATTGAGTCAAGGAATCTTCCATACGACAGGACGAAGAGGAACCAACCGATATGCTGACGAGCTTGCCCCCAAGCACATACTCTGATATGTCAAGGCCCTTTGAAGCGGCCATCTTCGCTGCGCCAGCAGCCGTCAAGCTCTCGACGAGCGCACCAAGGTAGACGAATACGATAATCACCCGACGCGGATGAAAAACCGCATGCATTGGGAGATAACTCATCAACCTCCCAAGGATGTTGTATTCGGCCGCAGCGTAGATTGGCGGTCCCCCGAGGACGAGGCATGTCTGAGCGATGTAAAGGGCCTTGTTCGACGGGTCGTAGGAGGAGAAGATCCTCATAATCCATCCGGCCGTGAACACCGTGCCTCCCCAGAACATCCAGAAGGTGGTGCGCCAGAAGCGGTAGTAGAAATTCTGGAAGATGTGGACGATAAGGGAGATGCCGATGACAACGGCAAATACAATAGGTGCGATGTAAGATGGTTCAAAGGCGTAAAGCCGGAGGGTCTGTTCGCTCTCCGCCATGATGTGTGTCGTGCTGTTGTGATCAGAGCGACAACAGTGATGTGAGGGAAGGATCACGAAAGGAGAATTGATATATACATGGTCCAAGATGGACGACCTTACCTGCGTGCAGCTATCCCATAATCGCCATAGTAGCAAGGCGCAGTGACTGGATCGGCGACTACGTCAATTGTATAGGCATCGGTTGGGTGGCATGGCAATCTTCCCACACTGGGATGCTTCTCCCCGAAATACCGAGATGGAAATGGTGGTCGTTGTACTGTAAGAAGCAGCAAGTAGGAGAAGGAGGCGGAAGGAATGACCCCCGGCACAAGCCAATCACATGCACCAGCGGCGCATACACCTCGAATGCAGTATAGCGTGAATCGCAAGGCTTAGGCTTCGCCGAGCCATCTTGACTTCAGCTGGACATTGGCGAAGGCGTCGCTCCAAGGCACCAAGATGGACGCTCAAAACTGTCCGACTGCCCGTCTGTCGGTGGAGGAGCGCATCATACCCACCGAACAAGGCAACATACTTTCCAGCCATGCCAGGAGTTCCCAGTGGTCGCGGGTGTTCAGAGTGCCGCAGGGTCAAGAAGAAGTGTGACCAGCGGCAGCCGAAGTGCTCACGATGTGACCGTCTCAAGCTCGACTGCGTGGGCGGCGGTCAGCAGCGGTTCAAGTTCGTCGAGCCAACATTGTACCGGCACGGCAGCTCCAGCAGTGAGCACTCGCGGAGTGTCACCCCCTTCGACAGGAGTGGGCGATCGTCCACTATAGCCGCTCCTCCTCACAGCGAGATCATGATACTGGTCTCGGGCCTGACAGCGGCCATTGGACCTGACGTCGACGACCGTTGGAACCTGATCGGCGCCTATGGACCCTTTCTGCAGCATATTCCATCCCATTTAGGAATCAACAAGGCCCTGGACGCAGCCGTTGGGGTTCTAAATGAAGCACACATGTGCATGTGCACCGGAAGCGGAGTTACTCCTATCGCGATAAGCAAATATACTCACGCTTTGGCTCAACTGCGTCAGGCATTGGATGATCCGGCGACCGCTCGCACGACTGAAACCTTGTGCGCCGCCATGGTGCTTTGCATATGTGATGTGGGTCTCAATCGTATTCCCGTGCTATCTTGCCGATGACCATGACTGACGGCGCTGCAGAGTATGGTGGGAGAAGGGAGTGATGCATCGACAGGCCACATTACAGGAATGAGTCGTGAGTCGCACAGTCTTTCAGATCGTTTCTACCCACTAGCTAAATACCAAACGCACAAGGCATGCTCAAGTATCGAGGCGCTGTCCTTTCCCGGTCTCAAGAACCTCTCGAGCAGCAGTTACTGGCAACTTTACGTGGACCTGTCGCTTTTGCTGCACTCTGGATTGACAATACTGGCTTCAGCGACAACGACTGGTACGAATTCTCCCGCAACTATGAAGGTGGAGCACCAGAGCGTCGCATCATGCAATGCATGTCTCGCGTCCCGGTTTTCCTCAAGAGAGGCAAAATGTGGAAGCACGACCCCGTCGCAGATCCGACACTCCCGGCTGATATCACAGCATGCTACGAGACACTGCGCCTTACAAACATGTACGTCCGTGAAACGATGCAGAAAACGAAGCAGCGGTTCGCCGACGGAGAGCTGGATTACTTGTTCTTCGCAAAAATCGATTTCGCTCTCGTCCGACTCGATGGCCTGGCGCTGGCAGTGACCGCGATCGTAGGATGCATGCTTTTAGCTGTCAGCCCTTCATACCGGAATCTCCAACAGGAGATGGACGAATATGCGACTGATGTTCTTCGACTTGCACATCAGCTGGACAGGTACCGTCCCTTAGGAGCCTGCGCTATGCCTCTCTGTCTGGCCGTTTGCCAGGCAACCACGGCGGACCCGCAACTCGAGTCGCAACTTGGGATGATTCTTAGGGACTACATGCGCGACTATCCGAGCAGAAACAGCGCTATCGCATTTTGCGCTGGAGTGGAAGATTTGCGGCGAAAATTGAAGTTCATGGACTAAGAGTCTGACGTCCACTCGAGAGTCCACATTCTCCGTCCCTGCATGCCCTCAACTGTCACCAGGCAGTGATCTAGCCTGTTGGAGGCTATGTCGATGCATGGCGGCGTCAGACGCTCTCAATACGTGTGTCGCTGGCTGGACTGTGCTACGGCGAAACCTCTGCAGATGAACGCATGGACAACGGGCCTTCGGTCGCAAACTAACTGCATCCGGGTTACATGTGCAGGGCCTCTCATTTTCCGTGCTGACGCTCTGGAAGGCAAGCATTCGCGTCGAAGCCTGAGCTTGTGGGCTTTAATCTCTGGCCAGCACGCCGTACGCATACTGCAGCCGACAACTTCAGCTTCAGTGTGGAAAGCCGATCTGTTTGCAGACCGCCAGACATGGCAGCGCCGGAGACAATGGACGACAGTTGAAACATCGCCGAGCCAATTACGAATTCCACTACCTTCCTCTTGCTTTAGTTGGATATCGACACAGCATACTCGGCAGCTCTGACCCCAGCGCTGGTCCAGGGCAGACAGGGCGATAGACGGTAGCGGTACGTCGCCAATGTACTCACTCATACATCCCTTCTGCATCATGGAATTCTCTCGAACACCCCTGGAGCGTCTCAGAGCCGTGCCCTGCCAGCCATGGTCCCAACGGCTTCCACTGTGTCTTTGACAGGGCGCAATGGCTGCTCGCTGCTTTCCTTCCCAATGGGGCAAGTACTCGCGGTGAGCTCTGTCAACTTTGAGCCCCAACCGTCCTTGACTCAAGACGCAAGCAGATATAAGTCTGAATTGCTACTTCACTAGGTTCAATTTGGCTCCTGACATCGTCACGATTCAGTCGAGAGTTGAGACTTCGACAATCGTCGCCAACATGAAGAACCTCCAACAATACCTCGCAACAGCCAGCGTTGCAGCTGATGTCTTCAGCCTCAGACCGGACTACCGCGCCCTACTCATTGCCGTGAACGGTATCACTCCTGGGCCAAGCGACGATCAAAGCGAGCAGATGCTTCAAGAAGCGGAGGCATCGGCCCGAGACAAGTTGTCGAAGCAAGCGGTTACCGAGCTCCCACACATTGCCGCCTGGCGAGAAGCGTACAAGTCGTTCGGAGCGAAGCCGAACAAGACACGAAACAGTCTGGAGGCGCTGACTCGCCGTGTTGAGAAAGGACTGCCGCGGGTCAACCGCTTGACCGACATCTACAACGCCATCTGTGTCAAGCATCAAATTCCGCTCGGTGGTGAAGATCTCGACAAGTATTCTGGCCCACCGCAGCTGATACGTGCGACCGGGAAAGAGCACTTCGAGGCGACTGCAGCTGGCGAGAAGGTCGTGGAGCATCCTCCTGTGGGAGAAGTGGTGTGGTGTGATGATGCTGGAGTTACTTGCCGGGCGTGGAATTATCGGCAAGGTCCCAGAACGGCTTTGACTGATCAGACGACAAGCGCACTGTTCATCTTGGACGCTCTTGAGTCATGTACAAACGACAACCTCAATGCCGCCGGGGACGAGCTTTTGGATGCTTTGAAGCGATTCTGCCCGGACTTGGAAGTCGCTTGCCGCCTTGTATCAAACACCGAGCCATGAAAGACGAAGTCGCCAGGCTCACGCCTCGAATTGACATCATCAGCGATGGGGCAATCCGTTGGTATATATAGATCTCGACGAGGTCAGCAACAGCATGTACCGCATCACCAGTGATAGCGAGCAATTCGGGGGCCATACGGAGAGGATAACACGTCGTCGAAGTTAGACGGTCAGGCGTTCGGCCATTGATGTGGTCGGCATACAATGTTGTTGAGCATGCAAGTAGCTTGTCGCACTTGGGTAGTAGTGATCACAATATCACGTTTTTATTGCCATTATTCTCCGAATATGCGAGAAAACGAAGCAAATGGCAAGTGAGAACAGTCAGGCCACGGCTTCAAGTTTTATTGCAGTAGTAAGGCCCGCAATACGTCATGCGCTAGCGGGAATAAGGTTTGGAGGTGTCAGTTCTGAGTTAAACTCAATCTCTCTGACTTCACCGAGTGCCGGGCTTTTGTTTCTCGCCTCATATCTTCATTAGTCTTCAGTGAAATACAGAAAAGCCGCATGACACGCAGACGACCAGCATGTCGGCGCTCCTCGTGTCAACGACCGTGGTCAGCCCCATCTATCGCATGCTCAACGCGGAGGACACGGATGAGAGAGATCGAATGACGGAGCGATGGAAGGACAACAAACTTCAAGGTGAGCCTCTCTTCTGGCCTGGCTTGCCGCCTTTGCTCACAACTTTCCAGAGCTCAATTTCATCGGTATTGTAGTAGGTTGACACGCTTCTCCGCCACCTCTCCCCATCCCCTCTAATCAATACACGCATAGGGCGGTCTGATGGCCACCGTCATGACAGCGACCGGTGACTGGCCTCAAGTCTTTCGCACCGAGGAGAACACCAAACCATGGGCCGTCAGAGCTTGCTGGTTTTGCGGTTTGACCTTGGCCCTCGCTTCGGTCCTGACATCCGCCTCACAGTCCATCCGACTGCACCGCCTCTCCTGCCGAACCGATGCCAATGCTGCCATCCGTGCTTTGCTCAGCTCCACGAAGCGAGGGAAGAACGGCGAAATACTCCCGCGGCCAACCCACATCTACTTGTGGCAGATGGGTGCAGTGTACCTCATGATCAGCGTTATGATCCTGATCGCTGGTATCTTCGTGCTGCTGTGGACTGCTGCTCAGGGCGAGGACGAAGGGTAAGTGCAACTATCAGAACCTCGAAGAGACACTGTTAATGATGATTGACAAAATCTGTAGGCAGGGCAAGCTGGCTATTGCTTTTACAGCGGTCACTTGCACGGTCGGTGGAATCTTCGTATATGAGCAGTACACTCTGTTCACATGGGACACTGAGCCGCCAGCGGGGTCTAACTGAGGGCCGCGTCGTGGGAGTCTCGAGCTAAGTAGTTTTGGCTCATGCTGCAGCACGTGAGGTAGGATCTCCAAAGCTTGAGCCACCGTCAATACACGACCGTCTTTCATGAAAACAAAAACATAAAAACTCACTGCTGTCGACTCTCGGTATTGATTGGCCTGGAGCTTCACGACATCTTCAAGGCTGAGCAGTGTCGAATTCTCTTCGTCGATACATGGCCTGAAATCAGCCAGCTGCCCATCTGCAGAAGTGGACCCACACCTCGCGCTGGCCGAGAGATGTCACTCTAGGACCATTATCATCACCAGGCAAAGAACCTTTCCTGGCTTGGGGGCGTAAGGACGACCGCCGTGGCCTTGCACGACAACGCATCTGTGCCTTCGTCCTCCTCCCCTGCCCACCCCGAAATGGACCTCGCTCGGATTGGTCGCAAAGGTACCAAGCGCTAGCTGATGTACGCGGACACGCTTACCCTTCGATCTCCTCTGGCTCATCTTCGATTTTGATCATTCAGCAGCGGTAATTGCGCGCCTCAAAAGCCCGCGGACCAGACTCCGACCGGTTGGAATGACCGTCGCCGCTTTTCCACCACTGGCCTTCCCGGCATGACCTCTCAAACGACTGCAATTCCACCAGTTTACTCCACTTGCTCGAGAAGGCTCTCATGTATCTGATTGGCTACAGACCAGAGCACGCTAGCTCATGTCAAGTTTTCGAGCTACTTTGCAATCGCTCAGCAGCACAAAGGCACTTTCGATCTTCGAGAAGAGGCTTGCGGCCTCCTCACCGGCGTCTGAACATTGGACTGCGCTCCCCATGGAACCGTGAATGGACCGCCTTTCATGTTCTCCGATCCAACGACAACCCCTTCAAGATCCTCGCTGGCTACGGTCGCGCAACCTCACCTCATGCATTCGAGACGGGGCGCTGGCTAGTGGGGGGTCATGATTGGCTGCGAGGAAAGGCACGCTAGTTCATGTTCAATTTTCATGGCGTCGTGAGGCCGCCTAGCAGGTCGTGAGGGCTTTCGAAGTTGGAGAAGAGGCGCTGTCGAAGAAGGCCGGCCCTCTTGCTGCTTTTTCGGCGGCACTGAGGTGTAATGTACTGGCCCGGATTTGCTTCTCGAGCGGGTCTCAACAAGTTGAAGCTGTTTGGAAGTTTGGAGTCCCTTTGGTGAAGTCTCATGAGCGGAGAGGAGGGTCAAGCGGCTCTGAGTGGCTTCTTCTTCCTGCTTTGAATTGCTACCAGGACTGCTGTTGGCTCGGACCCCTGGAGAAATGGCATTGTTTTCAAAGATTCATGGCTTTCCTCGACGGTGAAAGCCGCGGCGTTTGTACTCTAGGCCCTGTGCTCAAGACTACCGCAGCTACAGATATAAGGTGTGCTACACAATATCCAACCCATCATCATCATCGTCATCGTCACCATCGTTACCATTCCCTGCTCCAAGGCTTGGCTGCACCGTTCCAAGACTCTCCCTCCCAGGCTCCCTTATTCCTTTATTCTCCAACGCGAATCGTGCCCTCTTCTTCGGACTCAACCTGCCATCCCCGCCGTCCGACCTCTCCCTGACCAAGCCCGGCCGCCTCGCTCCGCCATTTGTATCAGACGGTGTCAGCTTCGTCTGCCCTTTCTCTGGGCTATCGATTCGAGGAGCCTTGGGTTGCAGGAGGCCGCTTTTGCGCGCACCGCCCCAGCCCATGGCTTCTTTGCCGGAGGTCGAGATGGCGCCGAGGCCAAAGTGACGGCGGCGGTCCTTCGCTGGTGATAAACGAGCAGAAGAGGCGTCGTTGGCGAGGAGGCCGAGGGAGGCGGCGGAGGGTTTGGGGAAGTAGGGTTCTTTCTGTCCGTTTGTCTGGCTGGTGGCGTTGGCAACGCCGCCATTCGTGGTCGTTGTAGAACCGACGGCGGTCTTTGTCGTCTCCCGCAGGTACTCGGCCCCAACACCGTTGCCCATTGCGCCCAGCCTTTTCGCCAGATCACGCTCCTTCTGGGCCTCAGCAAGACGCTTGCGACTCGCTTCCTCCTTGGACATGCCATACAGCCCCTCAGTCGTGTCTTCGGCATCAAGCATCTTGGCCGCACTTCTTCCAAACCCTGCTGCACTCGGCGGCATACTATACACACGTCCAAACTCGCGATCGTGCTTCACATTGTTCCCTTTCGCCTTCTTTCCGTCCATGTAGTTATCCCATCCACCCTCCCCTCGCGCATTCCAGCGGTTCGCCGGCCGCTTGTCACCTTTCTTCCCGTGTCCGCGACCCATCGTGTTGACTTCCATCCTGCCTCTCCTGTTCCGCTCAATTTCAAGGTTGAGATGAAACTCGCAGATGCCCGTCTTGCGCTTGTCGACCCACTCGCCGCACAATGTTCCATCTTTCTTCACGCTCTCGCAGTAACCCAGATCTCGCGCCACGCCAATTTCTAGCACAGAATCTTCGGAGCTACCCAGCTTCAGACTGAACGCTCCAGTATGCTTGTTGTTGCCTTTCGGTGGCATGATGTGGGGGTTGAGTATGGCCAACAGGGTACCAGGAGTGAGCTTCCAGAAGGCGTCGAAGGCGGAGCCGAAGAGAAAGCAGTCAACTTCCCATTTAGCTCCATCGCAGAGGTGCAAGACCATAAACTTGTTCCGTGGAGCTTGGGCATCGTCTTGTGGTTTGTTCTTATCGCTGGTCTTGTGAGAGGACTTCTGGTCAAAGGGTGAGGACTTGGAGGCCAGGACTGCGAACACAACGTAGTCGGATTCACAGTCAGGTGGGTCGTAGTGCGGTGCTTTCACTTCTTTCAAGAGCCGCGGGAGAGTGTACACCTCGCGGTCTTCCATTGCGCGGGCGACGGAGGCGTGCGGCATGAGGCGTTTGGAAAGATGGATCTGAGAGAAAGGGTCGAAGCCCGGTCCACCTTCATCTGTGCCGTTTGCCGGTGTTTCGTGTGAGTGGCCATCGCCAGGCGAGAAGACACCATTGGCGTGTGGGATCTTGCGGTTCTCGCGTTTGGACGACTTGGTAGATTGACTCCTTGCCAAGGCGATGTCATTGTCGAGATTTGTGGATGTCGAAAGCTGGTGTGCGGATGATGGCCGTTTGGCTTCCTCCGTGCCTGCCCTCGACTTCGTCCTGCCGTACGCCTCTCCATCTCCAGCAGGTTTTTGAAACGTTGGAGTCGCTGTACTGCCAAAGCCCTTGCTCCGCGCCTTCTCCAGCCTCTCTTCCTTCTCCTGCTTTTGTTGCGCCTCCGCCCTGGTTTGGTTCAACCTCTCACTGAAGCTCAACTTCGGCGGTTCGACGACATCCTGAGCTTTTCGGGAAGGCTCAGTCCGCTTGATCTGGCTGCCGTCTCTCGCGCGCTTGAGAGACAGCTCGCGTGCCGTGCGTTCGGCAGTCAAGCCTAATCTCCTGCGTGCTGGCGAAGGCTGCTCTGTAGGCTCTATACGTCGGTCCTTGGTGGGTGAAAGCGGCACTTCCACGTTGCTCACCTGTGACTGCGGCCGCGGTCGTGTCGCGTGGGAGGTAGTCTTGTTTGGTGATGTCGGCCGTATCGAGTCGAAGGTCAACTTGGTTGGTGATGAGCCAGGCCGTGACCGCGGTCTGCCACTGTCGCCGCTGCTCCCACTGGCCCCCTCACCCTTCGACCTCTCCTGCTGCAGTCGCTTCAGCTTCAGTTTGGTCTGGATGGCCTGCAGCTGCAACTCCAGCGTCTCCTCGTCGTCCTCGTCAGGCACGGATTCGCCAAAGTCGTGAGTCGCGATCTGGGGAGCTTCCTGCCTCCCTTTGACCGGACTGGGCGACACGGATCTCTCTCGCGCGCTCTCGTGGTCCTGCCACTTCCTCCGACCGCTCGGTGAAGACAGCAGGGCCTGGAAGGGCGACTTGGGCGGCCATTGCGTCGCGCTCTTGTCGGGCGACACTTTGGCGCGTGGCGATTCGCGTACCACCACCATCGTCTCGCTCACGTCATGGTAAAGATTGAAGCTCTTCTAGCAATGTTGACGGCCACAACACCGAAAGCGCATCCCCGTCGTACAGACATGGGTCTTGCTGGTTCGTTATGTCGATGATTAAGCCGAAACGCGCTAAGACGCGGGTCATGTCGCGTCGCGTCACTCTAGAATCGCATTCGAACAGAGCATTAACATTGACATAGCATACAGCAAAATGCAATAACGACCACGACGATGGAGGTGTATGAAAAGAGCAAGACGGTCGACCCGGAGGTGCGAGCCTACATCAACTCGCTCGTCAGCGCCGTCGGCGGCCAGTCCACCCTCGACGACCGCTACGAGATTGGTGATTCTGCTCTCGCGGTGCTCAACGACATCCTCCGCTGGCTGCGCCTGTACGACGACAAGCTCGACCGCTACGACGTGAAGCGATGTCTCGCCGACTCCAACCTCGTCAAGAGCGACTTGCTGGAGATCCTGGCGCTATGGCCCGAGGAGCAGCAGGATAACGCCTGGAAGGCCAAGTTGGCCCTGGCTTGTCTACAGCTGATCGCAACCCTGACATGGCCCATGGAGGTGAAAGAAGAGAAGACCAAGATCAACCATGTGCGACATATGCCGGTGTTGCAGTTGGCGCAAGTGGGCTACAAGCGAGCAATTCTGCACTTCGAGGGTGCCAGCATTCTGCGGACCATGGTGAGGGCGGGACTGCCGGCGATGGCTGTTGAAAGGAGAGACAGGAGTAGGAGGGATGAAGGAGTGATCAAGCTGGTGTTGCATTGCTTCAAGAATGTCTGCATGATCACCCAACCGCAGCATCTGCCGAGTCTGGGAGATGAGAACGAGGTCAGCCGATCTGCCACCATTGACGCCTTCCATGAGCAGGATGTCTTCAGTCTCTTATTGACGATCGGGAGTGGCGTGGGTGACGAGTTCCGAGATCACGATGTGGTGGTCATGGAGACGTTGTTCCATCTCCTGAAGGGCGTAGACGGCAGGAAGCTATTCATGGAGGACGAGCAGATGAGGACGGCCGAAGTCGACGAGCTGCAGACTCTGATGCGCAAGGAGAAAGCCATGCTCAACAGCTATAAGAAGCATGCCCCAACGAGGCACAATAGGTTCGGCACCATGGTCTGGGTCAAAACAGGCGACAACAAGGTATCCACCATGAGTGGGCAGAACAGCATCACGGACGCCTCGAATACGCTGCAGCAGATGGATGCGAGCAAGAAGTATAACCGGCCAAAGAACCGTGGAAAACAGACCGAGGAGCTGAATGAGAGCGAGACCTTCGGTGGCCGTATTGAGCTGACAGACTCAGCGCGTCGCCATCTTCGCAGCTTCGTAGAAGACTTCCTCGATTCGTCGTTCAACCCGCTTTTCTCAAGCTTGCGGAAGGCCATGGAGAGTGAATCCGAGCGCATCGTGCCTTCCAATTGTCGGCAGTTCTGGTATCTGATATCTTGGTTCCTCAATGCGGAGGCCGCACGCAGAGAGCAGAAGCAAGCGCAGGAGGCTTTAGAGGGTGAGGCCGAGGAGAACAGGTTCGCATACATTGCAGCAGTCCTCGACCAGGAGACTTTCGTCCTGCTTAACAGGAACATGCAGCGTGCATATGACGAGAAGATCTGGCAGGACCTCCGGGCCATGCTGACTTGTCTCACACAGATCCTGCTGACCGTACAGAGCATGAGTGAGAGTAAGGACGAGGAAGATCAGGAGATCGCAGAGAACATCTCGAACCGAATCTTCTACGAAGAGACGACCCACGACCGCATCGTCCAAGTCTGCCGGACATATTCAAACCAGGGCCTTGGCTATCTGGATGCTGTGACGGAGTGTGTGCATGTCTTCGTCCGCATGCTCGAGAACTACAGCAAGCAGAACGTCGGCCTTCAGATCCGCTCCAAGCGACGCGCACGGCGGAAGAAGAAGACTCAGAACCAACAGCCCACCACCAACGAAGATGGACATGCCGAACCCGACGAAGACGCCGACCAAGACGCGGCGGACGATGAGCGTGAAGCCCATATGACAGTCTCCGAGCGCAAGTTCGATTTCGCCCGTTTCAGCGCGAAATTCCTCTCGCAGGGCTGCGTCAACACCTTTGTCGCGCTGACGCAGTACTACGCGGATCTGTCCACATCACAGCTGAAGCGGTGTCATCGCTTCTTCTACCGGCTGGCGTTCAAGCAAGATTTGGCGGTTCTGCTTTTCAGGGTTGATATATTGCTATTGTTTCAGCAAATGATCAAGGGACCGGGTGGGCTGGATCATGGGATTGAGGGGTGGAAGGAGTGGGAGACTCTTGTGCAGCAGGTGTTCAGGCGCTGCTTCAAGTGGATGGAGCGGCAGGAGAAGGCGGATGAGGATGGCGGAAAGGGATGGAAGGAGGCGGCGGTGGTCGAGATGTTGTTCTCGAAGATTCCTGGGACGGTGTATTACCTGCAAAACGGGTTCGAGAGAGTCATTCAATGGAGGGCACCGCGGCCGCCGGCAGAGTTGGAGGTCAAGCCGAGTGTGAAGGACATTCAGAAGAGGCTCGCGGTAGCTGTCGGTGTGATGCTGGAGATGGGCAAAGCTGATGCTCTGGAATGGGTGAAGAAGGAAGTTGGCAGAGCGGGCGATGAGAGGCAGGCATGGCAAGATGAGAAGGATGCCAGAATGGACCTTGACCGTGAAGATCAAGAAGGGGCAGATCCTGCACCATCGACCACGCCAGCAGCAACGACAATCTTCTTGACCCCAGACGGCGATGAGAGGAAAGAGGCTTTGTTCAAGGACAAATACCTTCGCCTCCTAATGACCACTCTCGGGATGGAACGGCTGGGCTCCGCAGACGATGTCGATGCTTCCTGGGTCGTTCCTTACCATATCAGCGCCGCGGTACTCAAGGAGGCCCTCGACCACATTCGCAAAGCCGAGCACGACCCCCCCATTTTCGACGACGGCAAGAACGCACAAGACCTTATCCGTCCGAAATCCACCGCCCGCCGCGGCGCCGCCGCCCTCTCCGACGACGAATCCAACGCCTCCCTCTCCGACGGCGAGGCCGAGTTCCCTGCCAACTTCCGCCACAAAGCTCCAGAAGGCGCCGAACGGCCTTCGAAGCGCCGACGGCTGACCAAGCGTAATAATGGCGAGCTGACGGAGGAGCAGGCGCAAGCAAAGGCAGACGCGAGGAAGAAGAAGGAGAAGGAGAAGAATGCGAAGATCAAGAGCGCCCTGTTCATTACGGCAAGTGATGATGAGAGCGATGCGGAGCGAGACCAAGAGTTCTTTATGTTGGAGGAGGAGCGGAGGAAGAAAGTCAAGAGTGAGATTGGAAAGGCTGTGAGGCAGCTGAAGGAGGGTGAAGGTGGTCAGGCTCTGGCTGGTGCGAACCCGAAGAAGGCTAGTAAGAAGAAGACCGCCGCAAAAGAGTCGAAGAGCAAGGCGCTGGTGGTGAGCGACGACAGTGACGCGGACTCGGAGACCTCAGAAGCAAATGGAGCCACCCAAAGACCCCCCAAGCGCATGCGCATGAGCCTCTTCTCGGAAGACGAGGACAGTGCTCACCCTTCCGACCATGCTGTGAGCGAAGAGGAAACTCCTTCGACCTCTCCGACTGCCTTGGATGCGGATCCAAGCTTGCCTTTGACGGAGGTCTCAGGCAACGCAGCTCCTGACAAACCACGACCTCCTATCATGGAAGAGGACGAGGACGAAGAGGACGAGGTGCCTGTGGTGAAGCCCGCAACGCAGAGAGGGAGGAGAAGAGGGGCGTTCATTATTGATGACGAGGATGAGGATGAATAGGGCTTTGTAGCTGTGACCTACGCGGATACTGAACTCAATATACCCACTGTATTAGTTTTGTTCAGCTCAATGTCCAGTCTACGAGCATGACAATGTTCTTACTCCATGACCCGGGGCATTCATCAAAGAAGCCATTAATGTACATCGTGAAGTTCAGCTCGCTCAGATATTCCAGCTCCGTCTCATCACCCCCGTGTTGCTTTCGCTGATGAACTTACGGATGGCAATTGCTGTGCAAGGGTCTTGAAGGGCGTGCCAGTGGAACGCGGGATGAGATGGACATGAGATATACGCAGATGCTGACAATACGATCGTTTTCCTCCTACATATTCCTTCCTCCCGTAACACTCAGTGTCTGTCCGGAAACATAGCTCATCAACGGGCTGACGATACTCAGAATCGCACTGGCGGCCTCAGTCGCCGTCCCCGGCCGGCCAAGTGGGATGTCCTTGTACGCTGCCGAACCGTCCTCCCTGGCCGCCTTCTGCGCCTGAGGGATGCCCAATGCCACCCTCTCGCCATCCGGCAGAGTGACATATCCGCCCTCCTCCTTGGCCGCCGTCAATCGTGTCATGATGTGGCCAAACGCAACAGTGTTTGCGCGCACGCCGAAAGACGGGCCCCACTCCTTTGCGATCGTCTTGGTGAGACCCGTCACGCCAGCCTTGGCCAGAGCGTAGTTGGCTTGTCCGGCGTTGCCGTGAAGACCAGAAGTAGATGAGATGTTGACCACGTTCCTCGGTTCACCGTCCTTCACGCGGAAGTATGGCGCGGCGGCGCGAACCAGCTTAAAGGGCTGTGTGTTGTGCAGTGCCACGATGGTATCCCATTGCTTGTCCGTAGTCTTGTGTATCACGCCGTCCCAGGTGTATCCCGCATTGTTTACGATGATGTGCAGCTTGCCGTTGCCAAACTCCGCGGCTTTCTTGACTAGCGATTCGAGGTACTTGTCGTCGAGCATGTCACCGGGTACAGCGATGGCCTGGCCGCCGGCCTCGTTGATGCTGTCGGCGACGGACTTTGCTTTGGCTGGAAGTAGCAATATGGGTAAGCAGGGTATCCCCACGCTGTTGAGTGGTATGGCTCACCAGCATCAATGTCCGACACCACGACCTTCGCGCCCTCGTTGGCGAACAGTCGTGCTGCTTCTGCGCCAATGCCTTGTCCTGAGCCTGCGAACAGAAGGGTAAAAGGGTTAGCCAATGTCTCAGACATGGCAGGGTTTGCGCTTGGGTTTGGTACCGGTGATGATGGCAGTCTGGCCAGCCAGCATTCCCCGTGGGTAGTTGAGGTGAGCAGCTATCTGCTCGACTCTTTTGCTGGCCATTGTGATGCTGGTTGTTGCGCAATAGACTGATGCGATGAAAGGCCGGAGGTGAGAATACAGCAACTTACATCCACGGACAACTACAGCACATCTTCATATCAACTCGGGAAGATGAGGAAGGAAGTAGTCCGTAGACTATGCCGAGGCAATGGAACAGAACGGCCGAGCTACACTACAGAAGCCCAAAGCTGAGAAACGATCCATCGGTCCTTCCTAGTCGGGAACACCAATCGGGGACGAGTGAACGTCAGCAACGACTGCAACCTCGTGTCGTATGGTATCTTCGCACCATAGCTTGAGTCAGTCAGTATGTCGCCATTGATCGAAGACGATCGCGGCCACGTGAGCGACCGTACGAGCACCTCGAAGCCTCGACTCGCCGTCATCGGTGCGGGCTCTCGAGGCAATGCCTACGCTCGTGCGACTGTCGACTCAGGCCTTGCGACCATTGCCGCAGTTGTCGAGCCCATCCCCTTCAAGCGCAGACTGCTAGGCTCGAAGTTCATTTGGGGGAAAGGCGAGTCCTCCGCTGGACAAGAGTTTGCAGACTGGAAAGATTTCATTGCCTACGAACTGCAACGACGGAAGGACGAAGAGGCTGGCAAGTCAGTTCCTCCTGGAGTGGACGGCGCTTTCGTGTGCGTCCGCGATGAGCTGCATACGGAAGTAGTAACAGCATTGGCGCCTTTGGAGATTCATCTGATGTGCGAGAAGCCGCTGGCTACGACACTCAAGGATTGCCTTCAGATTCAGCGGACGCTTGAACAGTATGACCAAAAGGTGTTCGCAATTGGGCACGTTCTGAGATACAGCCCTCACAATCTGCTCCTTCGTCATCTCGTCCGAGAGCAGAATGTGATTGGTGAAGTGCTCTCTGTTGAGCACACCGAGCCCGTCGGCTGGTGGCATTTCAGCCATTCGTATGTCCGCGGCAGCTGGAGAAAGGAGTCGTATACGGCGCCTAGCTTACTGACGAAGAGCTGCCACGACATCGACTGGCTCATGTGGATGCTTTGCTCGCCGCAAGCAGGAAACAATCTGCCTCCACATCTCCCAAGCAATGTTTCCTCGCGAGGCTCTTTGAAGCAGTTCAAGAGGTCTAGAAAGCCTAAAGAAGCTGGAGCTGCCACAAACTGTCTGTCTTGTCCAATCCAGGATAACTGTATGTACTCAGCCAAACGAATTTACTGGGAAAGGCATCTTGCCAAAAGCAACGCGAGGTGGCCTGTTGAGATCGTCAACCCCGAAGTCGAGACAATATTGCATACGGAAGGCAAACCTAAGGCCAAAGACGCTCTCTTCAAATCCTTGGTGGAAGACTACGATGCCGCAACAACGCCGGTGGAGGACATTGAAGGCCGTTCATGGTTCGGCCGCTGCGTCTGGGAAAGCGACAACGATGTATGCGATGACCAGTTTGTGACTTTTGAATGGGATGATGACCCTCAGCATGGCCGCACGGCGAAGACGGCAAACTTCCACATGATTGCGCAGTCGCTGGCGCAGTGCGAGCGGCGAGGATGGATATATGGCACGAAAGGTGAGATCCATTACGACAGTAGCCGCATCACACTCAACGACTTCGAGAACGATTCGACGAGGAGCTTCACGCCGGAAGTGCCCAAGAATTCTCATCATGGTGGCGGCGATGATGGCTTGACACAACAATTCGTCAAGGCTGTTGCAGCAGTGAAGAACGGCAAGATGAACGTAAGTAAAGCTCAGACAGAGTTCCTGGGTGTTACAATTGAGGAGTGCGTGCGGAGCCACGCGGCCGTGTTTGCAGCGGAAGAAGCCAGGTTACAGAAGAGGGTCGTCGAATGGGGGGAGTGGTGGGAGAAGAATGTAAAGCCAGAGCTTGCAACACAATAGATGTGAGGAGTACGAATTCGTGGTTCTCGTGCAATAGCAAATCTGTCATCCCCCATGATCAATGACCACATTGCCTCTCAGCAGCTCACTGTTGTGTCGCTGGAAGTCTCTCTGGACCCTCCGCTTGTTTGAGCCGGGGAGGAATGCGTTGATGGCGCGCTGCTCAACATTATAATGTCAACCTTCTTGAGGGCTTGTACCAAGTCGCGAGGAGGCTGTACCATGATGCTGTCCTAGTCGAAGGTTTGGTCGAGGGATTGTCCAGGGGTTGCTGATGGGAGACAAGTCGCTACATCCCAGAGGCCATGGCGGAGTACTGCTCGGAAGTCCGTAGCTCTTCGTCCATGATGAGGTTGAGCAATGGCGGCCAACGTAGTTGTGTGATCATTGATCGTCGCCTAAAACCATTCGTTCAGCGGTTCATGATATCTGAAAACAACCCAATGGAAGGCGATACATGAGCAGGTTGGGAATGAACAGGCCTCTCGCATGAGCATATCTTGCTGCCACTGCGTCACACATGTAACACATGCCACGTATCAACCGAAAGTTTGCCTCGCTCTGCCGCTGCGCTGGTGTTTGCGAGCCATTCACCACAGCCTTGTGCCTGTACCACCTGCTTCTCGATCCGCGCATTGACATGTCATGCCGGAAATGCACTTTCAATTCTGCTTGATCATGGGCGCCCTGAATTTGGTCTCCCCAACTCGCGCACGATCCTGTCAGTTACCTGGACGTTATGCCTCCTTCGACGCAGTTGCAATATTTCGCCCAAAACGACCAGCTGCTGGAAGTTGGCGTTGACGACTCCAAGATCCTGCTACCCGGTTGTGGTTATACAGCAATCGGTACAAGGTACCTGAATGGCTGCACTTGCCTTGTCATTCATGGCACCACAGCCGTCGTACTGGCACACTTGTCACCACTTCCTGGCAAGTCAGACGATTGGGTAGACGCAAGTGACGCCGACCGCTCCTGCGCAAGCCACGATCACCACGAAGGATACCTCGACCTTGTTCTTCAGCTGTTGCAGCAGTTCCGAGGCCACTTTGAGACCCACATTGCGTACGCCATCTTTGCCATTGATGCTGAAAGGAAGATCCTGAATAAGGTTGATGCTCAGATCCGGGCCAGTCTTGCCAAAGTCGGACTCTCGTTGCGCCTTGCACTGTATGAAGAGGTTGATCACAGAGTTGCAGGTCCTTCCAAGGGCGAGCTCGTAGCTACGATCCCTAGTGCGGATGGTCGCGGGCCTTGCATATGGCTCGAAGACACTGAGCTCTGGCCAAATCCACCAGGAGAGCCGCCCTTCTTTACCAACTCGGCACCGTCGTCGACGGAAAGACAACCAGAAGCGTCGAGAGAAGCAGAGTCAGATGCAGAGGTCGCTCCGCGGGTTTGCTTCCAGCCACACTAATGTGACGATTTCGTCAGGGTCTCCGATTGGATGGGAATGCAAGATCATTGATCTGAGTTGTGGGAAGGTTCTTCGACGGCTTTTGGGCCTCTTTGCAACCGCTGTATTCCCGGTGGTGGCCGGCTCCGCGAGAAGATACGAGGTCTCCGATGTTGAAGAGTCCACATGGCAGACTTTTTGGCTTTTGCCGTGCAAGTTTGGCGCGGTTGGTAGGCGAACCCCGGAGATGACTCCTGCTATACCGCATCTCTGTCCGAAATGCAGGATTGCTTCTGTGAGCTCTGATAGTTGTCGCCCAACAATCTCACGTAGGCATTGAAGCGGGATGATTGGACGACATCACCATCGGTGAGAGCTGGGTATGTCATTAACCGTCACCAGCAAGCGGCTGATCGATCTAGCGCTGGCTTAGTCTGACGAAGTAGGAGGGATATTGGGAGATACACTTTCGGTCGGGAAGAGTCACAGACCGAGACCTGCAGCTGCCCAGCCCTGCGATCGATCCGATGGAGGAAGGAGTCGTCACTAGCCTACATTAGCCTATCATCCCGAATGTGCCGAATAGGGACGTACCGGGGCTTTGACCTGAACCTGCGGGGATCGACACCAGGGCTTTAATTGTACCGCTTCCTGCTGCCCACTCACCGCGATATTGACTTCCCCTTAACCTTCTAGGCGCTGCGAGGCCATGTCATGCCTCGTCAACTCACAAATCCCAGCATCAAATATTTGCACCGCATGTACCGTGTGTCAGACGTTCGGACTTGTACTGATAGCGTCTCTTCGTCCATATGAGTTCGACTGAAGCAGAAGCCGGCCAGTCGACGACGGGCAACACGCAGGACGCAACGGGCCATGGGAACTTCAAATTCGTCGTTCTAGAGCGACCAGCAGATGCCAAATCCCGTGGATATCGCAAACAGGTGCGGTCCTACATCACCACCGAGCAGCATCGCCGCGCCAGGCAGGATGCGGCGAACTTGAGCACCCGCTCACGGAAGTTCATCCCATCTGCAGGCGACGACGGCCGAAAGCACGCAGTCAAGAAGCGAAAGCAGACCAAACGACAGAAGACTGAAAAGCCCGAACCGCAAGAGGATCAGAGAAAACCCAACCCGATCAATGCTAAAGCCTTGCCGTCTTTCCAGAACGCGGTAGTCCCTGGGAGCCCAGTGTGGAAGTCATTCTCGGACGGCACAGCGGCGTTTCAAGCCTTTGCTCTGGATGACCCTCTGAACATTGTGGGAAGAGGATTGAAGAGGCTCAAACTTGACGTCTCGTCTGTTCTGGTAAGCTCGTTCACGAGAAAGCCAGCCAACTGCAAACAAGGCTGAGCTGACCAACGACAGAAATTCTACGCTGGCATTGTCGCTTTACAGGCAGCAGATTTCGAGTCCCACTTTGCGAGAGAAAACAGCGTGATCAAATCCGGAGAGGCTTACGGCCGCTTTCTGTCCTTCATCGGGAGAGATCCAGTCGTTCTCACAACCTCCATCCTGCTCACCACGCAACACCTGCTTTCGCCTCTGGGCGCACCACTTCGTGAGACAGAATCCTATTACATCCTCCAGCTGGAGGGCCATCTCATACGCAGTATCAACGCCGCGCTGGACGATCCGATCCGCTCCATCTCGAACGAGCTGATAGTTGCAGTGACGCTGCTGGCAGCTTATGAGCTCAAGCGCGGCTCTCTGCAGGGGTACCACCTCCACATGGGCGCGATTGTCCAGATGTGCAAGCAACGAGGAGGCCTGGCTGAAATTGGACTGGCAGATCCGTACGTCACATCTCACCTCTCAAGCGCCACCCGACCTCTGATACAGCTGTTGACCCAAACTTTCCAGGTACCTCGAACGACTGATCATCTGGCAAGATGCTAATTGCGCTCAAATAGCTGGCTGTCAGAGCTACTGCAAGGCTATCGGCCAGTCGTCCATGGTGTCTCCCCCGAAGCCAGACGAGGCGATGTTTCGGGCCACGAAGGTGCTCTCGTATGATTCGTCAAAGATGGCTCCAACGATGCTCAGGGAGTCAACACCAGCAGAGCCATCCGCGACAGCTCCGGACACGTCTTGATTGCATTTGTTTAAATGACGGAATCAAGCAAAACGAGACACATTCAGTTACGTGGCCATGTCAGAACAGAGTGCAGAAGTGGGAGAGAAAGACCGGCTCGGATTAGAGTGGTTCATCGGCATCAATTTCGACACCTATCTTACACACCTCGAAGCGTCTAGATGTTCGGTGAGAGCTGGTCGTAGCGGACGCAGGCCTCCACACTCTCGACACTGGCCTGCAAGAACTTTCTTGCTTCAAGACCTGCCCACACCTTGAGCATCGACCAGTCCGGAGGACCACTCTTCTGCGCACCCAGCTGCCGCAGGATTGGGAGAGCCCTGTATAGTTGTCAGCAACTGTCAATGAGAACACAAAGGGCACGCCTTACCCCGAAAACAAATCAAGGTTTGGGTCCAGACTCCTGCCGATCCCTTCAAGCAGCAAAATCGACAGTACAACATTGACGAAATCGCCTTCCAACCTCACATGGTGTCCTCGGACCATGTCCAGCACTTCATTCAGGATATCACCAATCTTGATGTTGCCCAGCGCAAAGGTCCTTGACTTGACTCCGAGCACGAGATGCTGCATCCGCAGTGCGAAGACTTCCTTGTCGAGGACCACGTCCGGCTGTCGGCATCTTTCCACCATCAGATGACCGGCCTTGTAGCCGTCGAACTCAGCAACGGCCTTGAAGAGGTCCAGGAAGTTCTTTCGGTTCTTGTCATTCAGCTCGGTGACTAGGCCAGTGTCGATGAAGATGAGCTGCGGCCTGTATCCCTCGCGATCTATGGCTGTGAGAGTGTCAAGCCATTCCTGCTTGTTGTGCCGATGGGGTCGGAGACGAGCGAGCACGGTCTCGGTCACGTCTTCGCCGTTCTGGATTGCGGCGACCTTCATCCCTGCCTTGTTTTGCAAGCTCTCTGGCAGGCTCGACTTGACATCCACCTTCGCTGGTCGGTAGAAGCGGACCATGATGTTGCCGGGATGAAGGTCGGCATGGATGAAGTTGTCGATGAGAAGCATGTGGAGGAAAGCGTCGAGACCCTCGTCGGCGATCTCTTTCTGGAAGACGCCGCCACCGTTCTGGAGGAAGTGTTCGAGCGGAATGCCGGTGGCGAACTCCTCGACGAGGACCTGGCGTGTCGTGTACTGGGTGTAGGGGTATGGGAACCAGGCTGTGCTTCTGTTCCGGAAGTTTCGTCGGAAAAGCGTCAGGTTTGCGGATTCAATGCGCAGGTCGAGCTGTAGTCTCATCATCTCGCCGAACTGGTCGACTTCGTCTGGGAAGCTGAGCCATTCCATGGTTGGGATGGCGTTGATGATGTTGGCAAAGAAGCCCATGATCCGTAGATCTCTTCTTACTATCCGCTCGATCTTCGGGTGTAGCACTTTGATTGCCACATAGCTCGACGGAACGCGCTGGGGCGTGCTCTTCAGCAGGGGATCTAGATTCCGCTGTGCTCGTTCCCGCAGCGTACTCGGTTGCTTCGTAGAGTCTTCATCCATAGATGCCAAATCGGATTTCAACTTTGCCTTGTACACCTGCGCAATGGCTCCCACACCCAGCGGCTTCTCTTGGAACTCTTCAAAAATGTCGTCGAACTTCCTGCCAAAAGCACGCTCAATCGTGGCTTTCGTGACCTTGAGCGAATGCGCCGGTGCGTTCGAGTGCAGCGACGACATGACCATACACAGCTCCGTAGGAAAGATATCCGTCCTGCTCGCCGCCCACTGACCCAGCTTGATGAACGCCGCGCCCGCCCTCTCCATCGACGAGACCAGGAAGCCATACCACCACAACGTTCCTCTCCTCTCGTTGTCCCTCTCCCCCACCCTTCCGCCAAACCACATGATGGGTATGGTAGCAAGCACCGGCACGAAAATAACCACCAAATGCAAGAAGCGTAGGCCAGTTGCTATGGGCTCCACGATCCACGTATCCACGAATCGCCATATCCCTCTTCGAATCTTTCGTGACCCTCGCAGCCGTTCTGGCACGTAGTCCGCCAGCTCCTGCATGGATATCTCCAGCATCTCTTGTTCGTGCGTCTTGCCATTGTGCTCGTGCTCTTCGTCTTCCCCGTCCGCGATGGAGACGAAGGCTGCTGGGCTGAGGGCGAGGAGAAGTGCCGAGCCGCCTTTGACCGGCGCTGGGGGTGGGCGGAAGGTGTATCGGAGGTAACGAAAGGTCGAGAATGGGTTGGTCGGGTGTCCGCGCCGTAGGCTCTGCTGTACATGTCGCCGGACCTGTGGGCGGACAGGCTGGCTACCGTGGCGGAGGCATGTTCGTGCGAGGAAGGCCGCGGCGCGCATTGCAGGCTGTGAAGCGGTTGAATGTAGAGTCACCTCATCTTCAATGCATCTCGCGAGGCTTCCTCAGGTACGTGGGTGGTGGTGGTGTTGTTGAGGAGTGCGCGTTGCTCGAGAACGAGTTCCAGAGTTGAGTCGCGGTGATGTCAGAGCGTAGACTTTCACATGCCCATGGACAGGACGCCACCGGAGCTCAACACCACCGAGATACATGGACGCTGGCGTGAAGGGACTAGAGTATATGACAGCGAACAGACATAGTAATCAAAGAAGACCTCTGTATCATACAGCACCATGGTCACTACATGCTCATAGCACAATCATCTGAACAATCACGCTATAACCATTCCAACACCACGCCATGCAATACCCAAAAGCAAAGTCCTTTCCCATCACTCCATCAACTTCCTCCCTGCCCTCTCAATGACACTGGCAGCCCTCTCCACCATTCTCTGTGCCGCCTCCCAGTCACCCTGCTCCAACGCATCCCTCACCGCCGGCCACACCTCCACCCCACCATCAACTTTGCTCGGCGCAAACAGAACATGCACAAACTGCTCCCTGCCAGGGATCCCATGCATGCCCTTGTCGCCGTGCTTGTAAGGTAGGTCCAGCAGATCACTCTCAAAGCGCGCGATGCGGTCATTGTAGTCGAGGCGCTGGATCGCGAAATTACCACTTTCCAGGCCTCCGGCGCCGAGGACGTTGGACATCCAGAGGTCTTCGAATCGGGAAAAGGACTCGATGTTGGCGGTCATGTTTGTGACGGCTTTGCGGAGAGGCGAAAGGTCGAAGCCGGCGAAGGAGTTCTTGTTGGAGGCAGTCATCTCGGTAAGTTGCTTTGCGCCTTTGACTTTCCTGCCGTCGTTCAGGCGGGAGTATGTCTCCTGCGCATCCTGTTGGAGATTGTCCACGAAGCCGGCGATTGCGCCCGCGTACGCATTCAGGTTGAAAGGGATGAGTGGCCTGTCAGAGATCTCGAGGATGAGAAGTGCCCATATCTGAGCGAGAGTGCGATGATATTGAAATCCGTTGTCTCCAAACTTCTGCATCCACTCGAACGTCTCATAGCAGCTACCTTTCGGAAACCCGCCTGGTGGCCCCTCAAACCCAAAGTCGACCGACGACATGCCAGCCATATCTTGGAAAGGCACGTAGTCGCCTCCGCCACCCAAACCAGCCAGTGCGGCGCCGTTTTTGTTCCACAGCTGCCGTAGCGTAGAGTTGGATACTGGGTCCACAACACGCTTGAGCACATGCATGAATGCCTTCTTGAATAGTGGGCTTCCAGAGGCTCGGAAGTCGTTCCCACTCACTCCGGCATCCACGTTTAAATATGCGATGCCGTGGTCTTGCAGATACCCCAGGTTGTCTTCGACGAACTCGGTGCTGCCGATGTTGTTGTACGCTCCGGCATCCCAGGAAGCAAACTCGATCGTCCGCAGCGGCCTCCATCCGAGCTTTCTCAGCGACAGAAAGATGGAGGCCACTTCCATCATGACCGCCGACCCCGACCCCGGATCCACGGCACCAAAGCAGAAGCTGTCGCGGTGCGAGCCAACAACGACCCGCTTCTCGGGAGATTCGATACCCTGGATGAGTCCGTGGAGATTCCAGATTTCTTGCTGCTCGCTGAATTCATTGTTGTTCTTCAACTCCACAATGACCCATTTGCCGTCGTCATCGGATACGTTGGCTGGCTTCCCGCCGGTGAACGTAATTTCGCCCCTTCCGCTTTGTGGGTCAATGATCCAAGAAGGTGGGACTTTGGTACCCTGACGGTCCAGTGACTGAAGGAGAACTTGGCCGTCGCGCCAGGACAGCGGAAGGGAAGGAATCTTGGGCAAGGCGGCGTTGTCGTCAATCTTGGTCCGGTCGTGCTTCTTGCGACTTGCCCAGCCAGGTGAGAGCGGGTCGCCGACGACGTAAGAGCCGAAGCTGACGGATGCACGCTGTACGCTGTCCTCCGATCTCCACGGTCCGTTGGGATATGCCTCACCCTTGCCGCGGCCATCATCGTCCTTGTCGGAGTAGAGAAGGACACCAGCGCATCCCGCCTCCTCCGCCGCCTTTACTTTGAGGCCTGGGTTGGGCTGGGCACCCCCATACCGTATCAAAGCGACTGCGCCCGTTGTCTGAACTCCATTCTCCTTCAGCCACGCAAAGTCTTCTCGACTTCCGCTGTTCGCATAGACCAGTGGTCCCCTCGTCTCCCCGCTCTTACTATGCGCATGCCACGCAAACGTCTGCTGCTTCTGATTGTCGACCTGCTTCTCCTCCAGCTTCGCCTTCCACTTCTTCCGCTCCGGATGCACGATCTTAACACTCCGGCCGTCCGCCGTTGGGTAGTCGAGATAAACGTAGTAGCTCTGCAAGCTGACTTCGTCAAATGCACCCTCCTCCACCCACTGCTCCTGCATCCACTTGGCAAGATACAGATCTCCCTCCGTGCCAGCGACATGATCGTAGCTGGTGATGTGATGTAGATATCGTGCGATATTGTTCCCGTCAACATGCTCTTGAACGAACTGCCGAACTGATTCGGGATCGAAATGTGCACCCATCCGCCGCCGCCTGTTGGGAAACATGTCGAGCGCGAATAGGGCGTAGATCATTGCGCCGATCATGAATAGGCCGCATAGCCGGGCGACATTCGGCGCAGACACGCGGTACTCCTCCGGCAACGGGTTGCGCGTGGGCAGCCATCGTGAGCGCGCGGGCGGAGGGTCAGACGGGGGATCTCTCGAATCGGAATCGTCTCCTGACGAGACAGGAGTGTAGAGGGACCGGAGGGAAGGTATTCGCAGGGAGGAGAAGGTGGCGGAGATGTTGGCTAGGCGTTTCGACCACTGCCCGCGTAACCTCGCCCGATGATATAGGCCGCGCTGTCTTTGCGAGCCATCGGCGGAGGGGTCGAGGTAGTCTAGCTCTTCTATCTGCCGTCTATCATCATCGGCGCCGACTTCTGGTAGTCGAAGGTCGCTGTCCTCGCTGGATCGGGCGGAGTCGACAGTGGGTTGATGGTATCGCGCTTGTTCGAGTAAGCCCTGCCGTTCCGCATCATCGCTCGCTTCTTCGGGGCCTTGTGATGAGGTTGGTCGAGAGGATGTGGCTTCTTCGTAGGTGGGTATCGGCAGGTTGCGATACTTGTCCTCGTCCATGGTGGTGGTAGGTGGGTGTGGCGTGGGCGCCTGTAGTCGACATACTCATGTCAAGATGGCCATACGTTTGGTGTACTAGGGAAGTGGGGCTGGTGTTCGAAGAGTACATGTACTTGGGGGGGTCATTCACTAGGTATCGCAAGTAGCATTGCTTGAACTCCTGCCAATACCTCCACGTCAGACGAATGTGGGAGATGCCGCGGGAGAGACGACCCTGAGGCTTTGTGGCGTTCTTGCGTGCACGTAAGCGCAGTTTCAATGGAAATATCAAGAGCAGCATCTACTGGCGGATCCAACTACAATCTTTAATATTCGCCTGCTTTGACGAAACACATGAAGCGTAAGCTATGACTTGTAAGCCTCCGACAGAACAATCCGATGGTCGTGTCTACATGTATCCTACAGCGCCCTAAGCCGTCTTTGCAGATACGTCCCCTGGCCGCTCCATAGCAATAGTCGTCCGTACTATGGTCGCCCTGCTGTGACCGCTATCCAGACTGGCATCATCTTCTCCGTCAATGTAATGTCGCGCCGAGCTTGTGATGTGGGCTCGTTCATCTCTTCTGAACTGCATTGAACGCTCGCTATTCCGACGCTGATTCCTTGATGACTCGACTCCCCTTGGACCCTCCATAACGTCCAGCTTATCATCCGAGCTGTATAACTCTTGCACGACGTTGATGCGCTCTTGCGATGAGTTCGTGGGATGCTCGATCGAAGTGCGGCCGGCGGACTGGTTCGTGCCATATCGTGACGAGTAAGGGACAGTCGAGGACGTTCCGCTGAAGACCAGGCTTCCGAATGCTTTGACGACGAGGAAGCAGACGGATGCAGCCATTGCGACGTCGACCTGCGCTTCTCGAGTCAGACGGTCCTTGTGCGTGATGCCAATTATGGCAAGGACGATGATGGCCAACGAGCGAGCGGTGAGCGAGATGACGTGCCAGCGGGCGATGCGGAGCGAAATGAGCTTCGTATGGAGATGGTGGATGAATCCTGCTGTCACCAAGGAATCCGCCACGGCCCAGACGATGTAGAGGTATAGTTGGACGTCCTGAGCGGCAATCAGCAACCGTTGCCACATGACGTGTGAGTGAGCGTTTTACCTCTTGCTTAGCCGCGCACCGTCTATTCTCACCGCACGACACCAATACATGCGCAGCCCAACCAACTTGCGCGGCTATGAGCAAAGCTACGAGACCGGCGGCGGCCGAGTAGAGTGGGCGATGGTCTCTGGAAGCCGCTTCGGTGAAGCCGAGAATGACGAGCGTCATCGGACCGTAGACGAGAGGGTTGAAGACGTTTATCAACGCGAGAGGCTACATCGCCTTCGTGAGCTTGTGCTAAGAGTCATCGATTGGGATGAATTGCTTACCACCGGAGAGCGATGAAAGAGGACGCAGCGAACTACGGCGAATAGCTGCGTCTGTTAGACTCGTGCAATCGTCGACCGATGCTCATGTGCTTACCGGCGGAAGCGTGGAAAGGTGGTATAGCCAGAGGCTGCCGGATCGTTAGTCAAGGGCGGCGAGGATCTCCCGCCCATCGTACCGCTCGTTTGAAAGTCTGGTGCGTGGTAAGTATGACCACAGATCATCCAGCTTGATGGGGAGCGTACATTTTCAGTCGTCTGGGCCGCCATGCCGGCACTGTCACGGAGAAAAGACATAGGTAGAAGGTTGTGCAGACAAAGCACAGCCTGCGAAGAGCGTACGTCGTTTCCGAGTCTTGCGTGGCCATAATTGTACAGCGTACGAAAGGTTGAGTATGTTACAGGACATTGAAAGTGTTTGCAACAGATGGAACGTTCTTCCAGCAGTGTGAAACGGGCAGTCCTTACCTTTGAGATGGAGCTTCTTCTAAACGAGCCGCTCATCAGAGGACACACTGACCGTCACGACCCAGCAGCTCGAAGTGGCTATTCCATCACAAGGTACGCTTCAGATGTAGCGATCCCTGGCGGTATGGCCTAAAAGACAGACACGGACTGTGATGAAGTGCAACTCGCACAATCCCCGCACGGCTCTTATATTACCTCGCCTTAGTAGCATGCCGGCCCGTAGGTGTCAGACCTCGCGTGGGAAGCGGCACGCAGCCGGGGGCCGTGGGTCGTCTACTAGTTCTACTCCGGCTTGATATCCGTAGACTTGGCACAATAACATCCTGGACGTTTGCTGCCGCTCGCTCACGTTGGCCTCCTCATACCAGAAGGCGATCGACACCAAGCTTGACCAAGACACGCTCTGGATTGAAGACTCCGTTACATTTTTGACCTTCAAGACCACAAATGAAGCCACTTAGTGCTTCATAGTCAAGCCGGCAACTGCATCTATCACAAGTATATCCGTATACTCCAAGCTGCTGCTCTGCAGAATGCCTCTTCTTCGGTGGAAGTGCCGGGGGCCCTGCAGTAGTTCAATCTACGATATCTAAGCGACGGCCGGTCCCCTACCAATAGGATGTGGTGGCTCAGTGGCCATCGCCAGGCGGTCCAGGCCTGTTGCCCTTGTTCTGGCGAGCTAGAAGATACGCAACTTGCCAGTCTCGGTCACTTTTTTTTTGACGGCCGAGGAACGCTTTCCAACACCTGCGACCAGTCTATACTCCTGCCTTCTCCGGGTGTTGTTGGAATCGTACTTTGAGCACCAAACGAGTTTCCCGTACCGACTCGCGCTCATGCGTAGCCTTTACAGACGTCTCGTCGCTGCATGCGATGACACGGTGCTCTCGGTATGCGGATATGGCAGGGATTGAGATAGCAGACTGCTAACAGCGCTGAACAGCGTTCCATCACGCCTGAGATGGCCGCGTTGCAGGGCATCTGCGTGATGGTAAGTCCAGCCGCATTCAACTACCACAATGTGATATAAGCTGACGATCTGGGTCAGGCAATTCCTATGTACATCGCCATCACATTCTACCCGCTTGTCGTCGACCTTGGCCCTGGCCTGCTCACAGCTATCCTGGCTGTTTCGTGGTTTGCTGCAGCTGCGGTACAGTGTGTCATCTGCGAGCTGATCTCCTGGGACCCCAACGCTGCCGGTCAGTTTCATTGGATCTTTCGTTTACGAGAATGGAAGGCCGTGTCGTTTGTGGTTGGGAATGTCCTCTGTTTCAGTGAGCCCTCCTGGCAATTTGAGTCGAGCTCCGTTTTGCTAACACAAAGGCACAGCCTGGACGGTCGGCGCCACTGCGGTATCATATTTCAATGCCAGCAACGCTGTTGGCGTGATTGCATTACACCAACCGGAGTTAGGAGCTGCCATCTGGCTGCCATGGCTGCTGACCTCATGCTTCATCATTTCCGCACTGCTCGGATCATGGCTCATTATCAGTGCTGCTCGATACATGTGGCCGCTCTTGCTTGTTGCGTGGGCTGTGTTCATATCGTGGTTCCTCGCCATGTATCTTTCAGCAGACCTGCAAAGCCCCTTCGGCGACCGACTTTATTCAATGCAGGCCAAGGGCGAGCTGCGCGCCGAGATTATCATCTATGCCTTCATTGGAGCTCTGGTCTCCTTCTCCGTCCAAGACACCGGATCACATCTAGGCGAGGAGTACAAGAGCGCGAAGACAAAGCTGCCATTGGGTATCATCATCGGGCACACCGTGAACGGAGTGATCGCATTGGCGACTCTGCTTGCGCTCATGGCGGCTACGCCAAGCTTGGACGTCATCCTGGAAGCACCGTTCGGCCAGGCACATCTCTATCTCTGCCTTGCGATGCCCTCAACAGACATTTCTCCACTCGCCAAAGCTGATTCTGTCGGCATCACGACATCCATTATGCTGCTGACCGCGAGCTCATTCGGCCTCGCGACCGCCTCCCGATGCATCTTCGCAGGAGCGAGAATTGGCCTGTTCCCTCAAGTCGCAAACAAGATCCTGGCTCTGTTATACCATTCAAAACCCTGGCCGGCAATGATCATCTCTGCGATCGCTTCCCTGCTCTGGGCACTCTTTACCTTCAGCAGCTACGCCTTCACCATCATTGCTTCGCTCTCGACGCTTGGTCTCTGGTTCAGCTTCATCTTCACCCTGTTTGCCCTGGCGCTGCACAAACGTACGGACAAAGAGTTGCCGTACGGAGGCGCACTGTTTCCGGATTTCGGCCTTCCTACAACAGCGAACCAATACGTTCGCTTCGGGATATGCCTGATTGGCATCGTATGTGCAACACCACTCTTCTTCATCCTCTGCTTGCTGGCAACGCTAGACCCTGCAACCATCAATGCAGCATCGTTCCCTTAGGCACCTATCGTATTCTTGGTCGTTGTCCTCTTCGTAGGCCTTAACTATTACTTTGGCTTTCACGACTATTATCCAGACAAGGTGAGTGTGACAACAAGGAGCTCTAATATAGCGTGGCGTGCTAACGAGATTGCTAGCTCGTCCGCGGGGACGTTAAAGATATACACGGGCGCTATAAGGAGGAACTAAAACTATATCCACGTACTACGCGAAACGAAATAGATTAAGACTCTACTATCTTACTACTACCCTTCCTACTACTATCTTAGTACTACTATCTTCCCTACGCTATCTCGCTCGCCCTATCTATATTCTAACGAATAACCGTATATAATATCGTTATAAGAGGACGCCTACGTAGTACTATCTCGCCGCTACTAGACCGGGGGCTTACCGCTAGTTCGTTACTACTTAAGCGACTCCTATCCCTAAGTCCTCTCTCTTCCTTAGATATTCGTAACTATTTAAACCTATTATTTACTCGTATTAATACTATCTACTCTTAACTCCCTTATAGTCGACTATCTCTTAGCTCTTTATAAGGAGTAGCTAGTTCGAGTATAACGATAGTCTACCTTACCTATACCGATACTACTCCGGCCCCTAACCGATACTATAACGGGTCGTAACCTTCGAAGGAACCCTAGCTATAACCCTTAGGGCAACGTAGGGCCCGCTCTACCTTAGATTACTCTAGTAGATAAAGAAGAAAAAGACTTTTAGGAGGTCGGTTTAGAAGAAAAAGAGCTAGGGTAAGAAGTAGAAGCTATACTAGATAATTAAAGTACCGGTACCGTACTAGGAGTACCGCGCCCTACCCCTATAGTACTATCCTCTTATACGGTATTAAACGGAGCTATAGCTACCTAGAAAAATTATACTCCAAAAATACGACGTATTTTAACTTTTCTCCGCGAAATTTAGCGTTAGGGTCGTAAACCCTACTACGCGTTTTAACGCGTACTTTAAAACAACTTCCTATAGAGAACGACGCGCTAAAATAGTACTCTCTTGTCCTTACTAATATCTAAAGGATCGCGAGTATAATAACGTATTAAATATAGCTAGTATTAAAGGATTATATTACGTAGACCCTAACTCTACTCTTAGTCTATAAACTTTATAGTATAGGTATTTATCTAGATAAAGAAGCTATTAAAAGATATCTACGAGGAAAGGACTATTTCTATAAAGGTAAAGCGCTAAAAGAGGCCGTCGGTACTTTAAGCTAGTTATATTTGAAATCGCGATAAGAACTACTCGATTAATATCCTCCTATCCTTATATAGCCTATCCGTACGATTCCTTATCTAAAGGTTTAAGCTAGATAGTACTATAGCTTCTATAAGGGAAGGGAGTTAACGACGAGCCGAGTCCTAAGAGATCGCTACGCTATAAGGGTATATAAAGTAAAGGCGAGTACTTATAGTAGTAAACGACCTTTCTAGCGGGCGTATAAGCTATAAACCTTCTTCTCGATAACTATAGATATACGATACTTCCGAGTCCTTTGTTACGGACACAGCAGAGAAGTCACGGGATTTCACTGTCAGGAGGAGCACGTGAGCTGATTGGGCCGGGGAAGTCC